ATTGGCCGTCACCTTCCGCAATGCACTTTCTCCATTCCGCATTGAACCTTCTCCGTAAATCTTCTCGGCATTTTTGGGAATTTTGCCTTCCAAGAGGCGTTAATTAGTCCTGTAGATCGTACTCTTCGCGGAGATTACTCCGAGGGTCTTCAGAGACGGGATAACAAAGAGATGAAAAGTTTTGCACTCGATATCTCGATATCGAAAAAGCACGGAGAGTACACTTCTTGCCTAGTCCTGAATTCATTGATGTTCAGGAGATTAAGAATTCTCTCAAAATTGTGATTGTTTACCTCTTGCCGGATGGGCGGAGCTCGTACCAAAGTTCTGGCGCGGGCAACAGATCGACGGTGCTATTGCTCTTAGCCCGGAGGTATTCGGTGCCCACTGGGCCCATATAAGCTTGCGCTAGCCAGCCAGGGTGTACGATCGAATGACGATGAACGTCGATCTCCATCTTCTTTCATCCGCCTCGTTCATCCACCTTTATCCTCATCCACCGTCATCCACCTCCATCCACCTCTACCCACTCTTCTGTTACAACTGTCGATCTCAATTTGGAGGCATGTGGTATGGGTGCGCGGGTTCTCCGGTGATCTCCGTATCGACCATCCAAAGAGGAATAATCCAAATCAATTGCCTGTTCTGGAACTCTCATTAGGGTTTACTATTTTTTTGTGATGATACAATCGCTCACTGAAATCTTGTTTTGTAGAGCTGTTGACTGAAGGTATGGGACAGGTTCAGGGATAGCGACATGGAACCATAACAGGGGCTATGTACAGATGGCTTCGACATGAGAGGACCCTGAAGATGGTCCACGGGGAGGACCAGACCCTATTCCGAATTCTCTATCCAACGGATTGGGTTTGACATGATGGAGTAATAGTCCCACCAGCCAAAAACGAGTTTTATACATAGACTAGGGCTCGATGTTCCACGATAGGGGACCAGGGATCCGCAGCCACAATTGGTCATCGATTTCTCGCGGGAATCTTTGTATAAATACTGCTGTGGCTGCTCCTGCCCTAAACTTTCCTCTCCCATCATTGTCACTCTTTTGGATCATCCAACTCCAGTCACTCTTTTATAATATCCTTACACAAAATACACAATGAAGGCCTCTTTCTTTGCCCTCTTCGCTGCGGCTACTGCTGCCTTTGCCGCCCCGACTCCCGCCCCTGCCGCTGGTCTGTCTGACCTGACCGACCTCGTCAGCCTTTCCAGCATCAAGGGTCTTGCTGATGATCTCAAGCTGGGCGATGTCACCAAGGAGCTCAAGCTCGATGAGCTTCCCCAGGTCTCCAGCCTCGGTGACCTCACCAAGCTCCTGAACCTGGACTCCTCTGCCACCAACGGCAAGGCCTCCAAGACTCCCATCATCCAGAACGGTCACGTCCTCCAGAACCTCGGCCCTGAGCTCCAGAACATCCTGGTCATCACCGGCCCTAACGTTGGCTCCCTGCTCATTGAACTGAGCCCTGAGGTTACTGCCCTCCTCTCCGGCCTTGGTCTCGGTGCCCTCGGTGCCCCCGTCGGTGGCATTGTCGCCTCCGCCTCCGGTCTTGGTGGTCTCGTCACTGGACTTGGTCCCTACGTTAACGGCCTCGTCACTGTCCTCGGTGCTGATGTCGGTGCTCTCCTCGTTGGCCTCTCCCCCGAGGTCGCTGGTCTCGTTTCTGGTCTCGGTCTCCCCACTCTTGGCCTTCCCATCGGCACTGTCATCGCTACCGTCGGTACCTCCCTGAAGCGCGGTGAGATCGTCCAGGACATCGCCCCCTCCGTCGGCTCTACCCTCCGCGTCACCGGTGCCAACGGTGAGGAGCTCCTCGTCAAGCTGTCCCCCTCCGTCGCTGCTCTCGTCTCCGGCCTCGGCCTCCCCACCGTCGGTGTTCCCCTCGGCTCCGTCCTCACCACCGCCGGCCAGGGCGTTAACAAGCTCCTGAGCGACCTCTCCATCCCCATCACCAACGTCCTCACCATCACCGGTGACGACGGCCAGGACCTCCTCATCAAGCTCTCCCCCGAGGTTGTCTCCCTCGTCTCTGGCCTCGGCCTCCCCACCGTCGGCACCCCCGTCGGTGCTGTTGTTGCCACCGTTGGCAAGAACCTGTAAATTAGACAGATAATGTCTAAGCAGGGCATTTCTTACGCAGCTATGGATAGCGTTCCAGGAGCCTTGTGAATACCCCCTCCACAACCTGTTTGTGTGCATATATTGGCCCATGGAAGGGTGCTTTTTCTTGTATGAACTTTTTTTTTTTGGAAGACTTTGGGATTTTTTGGTGTCTCGTCTTCCACCCATTTACCATTTTTTTCTTATCTGGTCAATGACATTAACAATATAATGTTCACGGAGTACACTTCCCTTGAGCATAAGTTCAAACTTTGTGACTATAATGTGTACTACTATTGGAAAGTAATTTTACGTCTGTCTACAAACTAGAATTCCCAGGTCTTTAAGGCCTTTAAATGATCGTAATCTATCCATCCATCTTGGTTGCCTACCCTGGCAGATGGCATCGCACTTGGTATTTCGCAAAAGCTCAGATGTTCAAACGAACTCCAGACGGTTTCTCCGTCACTTTTGTTCATTGCCCAGATGTGCAACACTTGAAGCTTATATATTTTGCTTGGACTTAATAATAATTTCTAATTAGAAGTAGATACTCAAAGGAAAATTTTGCTCAAAGTAAGCAGGGACTTATTCAATGGCCACTGTTCGTGAATATATTTCAAATGTTAATCGACCCCTTTACACCACCTATGATGTGCACGCGCGGTTGGGGATGCTTCGCTGCCCGAAGTTTGACCCGGGTGACTGCTTCATTGTGTCTAGGAACTCAAAATGGATTCGTTTGGGTTGTAGCCGATCATCTCTGGGACTATGAACTCTACGCCGAGCAGGATGCCAGGGCCGAGACCTTCGATTACGTGCGTTTCTCGCTTGAAGTAGATGGCCATTTCACCCGCTTGGTTCTTTGTGTTCATATAAATATCAATAATGACATACTCTGAGGTGGGATAGCCTGGAGTATCGATACGACACACTTTGCATATGATTGATACAGGTGATCGCTTAATCTCAATTCCTTCCTTTGGTTCTCCTCTCCTAGGACGGTTCGGTCGACGAGAGTTATCGAGGATCCGAGTCGCTGCACACTAGTCTTTGAGGGCGATCCGAATCCTAGGAACAGTAAAGGATCATTTGAAGCCGAAAAGAAGCTCATGGAACTTTTCCCAGTGGCTGCGCTGACAGTCCATTTGGGAATACGCATCAAAGCTGATAAGGCGTCCTCCTGGACTTCAATGTGGCATGTGGGTAGAAAATGGCATGGGTGATTAGAAATTTTTGGCTCACACTAATGACATCCATTGAGCTCAACCGAGCTATTAGCTACCATTTATCTTCAAGGCGAGAAATTACTCCACAATTAAGTCTATGCTTCACGGGTCGGTTAATATTTCCCCGTACTCTATTTTACGAAGGATCTCGTGTCGTCTAGATGCATGGTATCCACAGGATCCACCCCCGGAGCCAAGTCCCCCACGCCACCCTTTCACATATCTAAGTGAATGCCATTGGTGTAGATCTTGGATCGAAAACTCGTCTTCTGCTTGTTAAAAGAATCGATTAGAGCACTAGAAGAAGAAGAAGAAGAAGAAGAAGAAGAAGAAGAAAGAAAGTGCAGGGTGACCACATGACTGACTCCGATGTTCTCACGCCAGCGGATATTGCAGACCGGGCAGTGTCAAGTTTCATTGGAATCTAGAATCTATACCCTAGATTGACCACATTGCCATGTGCATCAAGAATCTAACCGTGTGGATACCGGGTGGCAAGAATCACGGTCTTAGGTCGGTGGCCCTGTGGTCATGTGCCCCAAGGAGCACGTGCCCGAATGCCTCTTTTGGCACAGATGGGTTTCAGTGCTGCTCGCGTGTGACCTCCCACTTCCACTTCCAAGGCGTAGCATCGGGTTTCTCTGAATGGAGCTATATCCAACAACCCGTGATTCATAGCCAAATCTATCAACTTCCATGGCATTCCGAAGGTGTGCGGCCCGGCGCGTTTACTGCACATGTGATGATGTTCTCGACTTTTCGACCAGGGCAGATGGAAGTAGTTGGGCTAAACGTTCCGCGGAACGGTCTAAGTTCGATCTGTCAGCCTAGTTCCACGGTCGCAAAGAGGCTGCTCCAATCGTTAAAGAGTTAGGAGATCCATTTGCGTCTTTGGAACGTGACAAAGATCTTAATCAGGTTCCGGTAAACAAGTTGGGAAATGGTATCCAACAAGTCGAAGTCTATACAGTTGTGACGGCAATGCTGTTCCGGTTGGCCGTAAAGTTTGATTAGTAAAGTGCGCGAATAATGGGCGCCTTATCTCTGAGCACTGATCAATGGAAGACGCCTGATAACCACCTGAAACCGGGGCCCCCCAAACGAACATGTGGTCCTATTTCGGTCTTCAAGAGTGTAGACTAGAACATCGAGGAAGACTGAAAAGTGATGAAACCCCGCCTACGCTCCAGCCTCCCATGTGCCAATAGAAGCGCGCTTATACCTGCCACCCACTGGGCGCCGTTATCGGGGTCAGCTAGGTTAGCGTTTGGCCGTACCAAGAAAATGTCACCTATTGCCGCAGGTTGCTCGGAGTTAATCATACTCCTTTCCCCACATTATATGGTGCTTCCGCCAATGGTGCTGGGGAGATATCGCATAGATAGGTCGGCTATTATCTCGTATTCTCCGCCACCTCCTTGTACCTTTTTTTTCGCCTCATATCTCTCTCCGCACTTTTGTTCTCGAACATGCAGTTCTTCTAATCCCCTCCATATACATATACCTAGGGTCTGTATACGCCTGTGTATGTATATGGACTGCTCTCTTTTTCTATGACTTAATTTGCCCTTCGCTTTGCTTCACGCTCCTCTAATGACCTTGTAACCTTGCCTCCACTTGCGGTTCCACTCGACTGTCGCAGAGAGAATGCTCTTATGTCGAGCTACGATATCCCCGGTAGCAACTTCGGTTTAGCCGAACGGTCTATCACCAACTTCGCCGAGCGCACTGCAGTGGCCTGCCTCATCGGCGTAGCATGGTATAATGCATTAGAATTGATCGTTCTGTGCTTCACCACGTTCAAGCGGTATGGCGGTTGCTACTTCTGGTGTCTGCTCATCTCATCCGTGGCCATCATACCCTTCGGCCTCGGATATCTCCTCATCATCTTCAACATCTACAACAATCTCTTCCCAGTAGCAATGGAGCTCATTGCCTGGGTGTGCATGGTGACGGGCCAGTCCCTCGTGCTCTGGTCGCGATTACACCTCATCGTTCAAAATCACACCGTCCTTCGCTGGACACTCGCCATGATCATCGTCGATGCGATCGTCTTCCACATCCCGGCCTCCATCCTCGAACTCGGCTCCCATTCCAACAAATCGGCTCTCTTCACCCCGGCGTTCAATATCTTCGAGCGAATACAACTGATCGCATTCTCATTACAAGAAGTAGTACTTTCAGCAGTCTACTCTTATGAAGCAGTGCGCCTCCTCAATCTCCGCCCAAGGGGCCACTACCGCGGCACCCTGGTCCAGCTGCTGATCGTCAACTTGGCCATGATCCTAATGGATGCCGCGGTGATCGGAGTCCAGTATTCTGGCCTCTTCGACATCCACGTCACGCTCAAAGCATTCGTATACAGCGTCAAACTCAAACTAGAGTACGCTGTTCTCGGCAGACTGGTGATCTTCACGGAAATGTGCGGCAGCAGCTCACAACCCACCGACCTCTCGGATTTCGTGGATCTCTCTTTCCATCCAAACCAAACTGCGGATTGCGATAGTCAGGCGCATATGATTGCCACGCCCGAGTCTCCTCTGCCGCAGCGCCTAGAGGTCGCTCCCCAGAAATCCTCCGACCCACGAATATCCGAAACATCGGGTGGCCCCAGCTCGAGTAATGAAGCTTTTTGATGATGGAATGACTGTAAATAATTATCTTTGCCATTTTATATAGCGCAGCAATATATTTTGCACATGAAAAAAATTTGTAACCTGTTTGTTGAAAGAAGGGAAGCACTTCCCCTCTTCTTATCATCGGAGACCGCCGTACACCAGCGGACATGTCTTGGCTTTCGTCCACCTCAAGATGTCAGGATCAAGTCCACCTCAAAGTTCGCCTGCCCACCACGTACCTTGATCCTCAACTCTACAATGACCCAGCCTACTAGTCCTAGCAAGCAGGACGCAAGCCGATCCACGGTCCTCACCCCCCTGACCCCGACACAACTCGACACGGGCGCATCCAAATGCCTCGCCCTCCAAGCTTCCGCCCAAGACATCCATCAAAAGCGCCCATTCGTGGCAATCCTCCTCGCGCCAGACAATGAGACACAGCTCATGTCATCTCTCTCCCTATCGCATGTGCGCCACGCCGAATGTGAATTGGCGCGCAACGCAGCCGATAACTACTCCTGGGACTACCTCGCCGGATGCACCATGATATCAACCTGGGAGCCGTGTGCCATGTGTGCGGGAACGATCTACTGGGCGCATATCGGACGATTGGTATACCTCGCGTCGGAGAAGACTCTGCAAACGTTGACAGGCCAAGGGAATACGGAAAACCTCACGCTAGACCTCCCTTGCCGGGAGATCTTCGTTGCTGGTCAATTTAAGGTGGAGGTGGTTGGGCCTTTGGCTGAGTGGCAGGAGAAGGTGGCTGGAGATAGTAGGCGGTACTGGTCGAAGCATGGCTAGGGGGCTAGAAGGTTTCACATAGATAATATTATGGTAGTCGCCATCGGTTGTTCTTAGTCATTCTGTGGGATCAGGTCGCACGCAAGTCAGGATGGACCCGGTCACTAGCGTGCCCAGTTCGTCGTCATCACTAGAGCCATCACTAGAGCTATCACTAGAGCCATTGTAGAGCACCCTCGTACCCATCCTTATTTCGATCTCCAGGCAACCATGCAATTATTATGGAGCATGGGAATACTTTGCAATCTACCGAACAATGGGCCACACTTGGCCCATCGTCTCCACGAGTTTTGATCGAGAGGCCTATGATGGTCTCCATTGCTGGATATAAACTCCACAGTGGGGTAATTGCCTGGAGCTTTCGTCACCGTCCACAAGGAACTTCAGCGGAAACAGCACCCCAGGAATTTGTCAAGCGTGCCAGCCCCTTACCCATTTAGAGAATGAATTTTTTTTTTGTGCTTTGACGGACGGGGCCATGTACTAATATCGAATCTAAGGTCTCTGCTCTCATTTTTGTAGGCCTCATACATTCTACCGGACCCGAGCGTCGTGGCTGTGTGCGAGTCGGTCAACTCGCGTGCTGATCAACTCGCGTGCTGATCGCGAGCAGGGCTAGAGTCAAGAATTATTACATAGTCTGGTGCAGGGGTGCAAAACCGGTCCCACTGCGACATACACCTCGTCCCGTGCAGTCCACGACAGCTTGAATTTCTCGGAAGAAGAATATCGTACGATTGACGTCAAGCTGATGCGGAGGAGATACTGGTTTCGGAGCCAACACAGTTTGGAAATGGAACGTCCTCGCCCCACTGCCAAGACTCCACTCGATCTGGCAATTTCAGCAGATCGTGGGCCTCAATGCCTCGATGGGGTTTAACGCAAAGAGCTGGCTTTGCACTAGTGGCGTGTGCAGCTCGATCGAGGCCAGAAACAGAATCCTGGGAAACCCAGCCTTATGATAGTTGCCAGCTGCTACCTGACAGCTACCAGCTACCAGCTACCAATTACTAGCCACAGGCTGTAAGCATAGGTCTATAGGGACGTATGGCTCATGGCTCATGGCAAACGGCAAATGGCAGGCAATAAACAGTGACGAAATTACACTTCCAATTATTACAATTGGGGGAATAACAAGCCGTGCGAAAGCCACGAAGGGATGACGTCAGGAGGCAGTTGCGTCAAGGAGTAACTTGGGTACCTCCTTCCTCCTCGTTCAAGTAGGGATTGCCTCGTTCCTTGCCCTTTATATCTTTCGTCATCCCTTCCTCGCTCCCCTTCTCCCACATACCTTCCTTCATTCTTGTGATACCCCCCCCCCCTTGTTTAAGGAAAAAAAAGCTTCCTCACTCCACTAATCCTAATTCCCACTTGTATGTTTCCTTTGATCTCGCATACAGGGTCGCGCTAATCTGGGGCTCCAGAATACCCTGACATATCTACGAACTTGTTCTCCTTTGTACACGATTGATACGAGTTTCATCATGTCTTCCAAGGCCGTGAATCGTCCCACCGACACCAAACAGAAGGAGAAGGTATGCGCCGGGACCCAATGGAGGGTAATTGGTCGCAGGGATCACTAACCGGACCCTAGGACATCAACCAGAAGCTCCAACTGTTCGGTATCTTCCATGGTAAGTCCTCTCCAGTTACCCAATTCGGTCAATTGATCTTGTCGCTAACGCCCCTGAAGCTTTCAAGAACAGCAAGCTCCCATCGGTTAGTTCCACCCGGTTTGCGACCGTCCCTCGAAGAACTCGCTACTAAACACCCGTCCATACAGAACAAACAGTGCGATGTCGCTCTTAACAGCGCCTTGAACTCCAAGGTTCTTGCGTCGCCTCCTTCGGAGCTTTCCGATGAGGGCAAGGTCCTCGTCGCGGACGTGCGCAATGTGATTGAGCATGCCAAGAAGATGCTCCTGACCAAGAACCAAGGCGAGCTTCTTCAGGACTTTATCTGGCAGGCCCAGCAGATCACTGCTGGTGATGCCAAAGCCCCCAACGTGCCTGTCACGAAGGAGGATAGCAAGCAAGATGCCAACAGGGCCCTTGATGGCCTGAAGACTCTTGGTACTCTTCTGCTTACCAACGGCGAGTTCAGAAAGATCTGTAAGTTCTCCACTGCTGCAGTTTCCATACCCACCTAGTCTAACACCACTCAGTGAGCGATGCTACCGTCCTCATGAAGGATATCGCTGCCGACGCGTCCCAGAAGGCTGCCAACCAGGTTCGCCCCTCTGAAGAGCAGCTGGCACAGATTGACGCTCCCGCCGAGGAGAACGTCTGGCACGAGAAGCCCAACATCAACAAGGATGATCTCAAGTCCAAGTTTAAGAAGAGGAGTGACAATGCCAGCACTGGCTCTCCTTCTGTTGCCGACTACGAGACTACTGGCACTGCCGACCGCGCGATTACTGGCACTGCCGACCGCGAGATTACTGGCACTGCCGACAACGAGTCTGTCACTCCCTCGGAGATGAGCCGCCGCAAGAAGTACGCCAACCAAACCAAGGAGTACCTCCAGGATAAGATCCCTAAGGAGCGTCGCGAGCAGACCATCTGGCGTCTTAAGAAGATGGTCATTGAGGTTCAGGGCCACGCCGACTACCAGCAAGCTATTGAGACCCTTCTGGATCTGGCTGAGAAGTATGCGGGCCACACCAAGGACGTTACCTCGCAGAGTGGCTCCGCTGCTAAGGACGTCCGCTCCACCGATAGCGTGAAGATTGTTGAGAACAACTTGCGCACTCTCATTGAGCGCTTCGCCAACAACACCTCCCTGTCTAACTTCTTCGAGTCTCTGAACAACATCTACCGCGATGCCGACCAGGACCCCGAGCTACGTGGCTGGTTCTCTAGCATGGATACCTTCATTCGCAGGGCCCTTCGTGAGCAGGGCTTTATTATGGAAGAAGAGTGCAACCGCCAGTGGAATGACTTGTATGAGAAGGGTCGCTACCTGGCTCGTGAGCGCTACCGCAACCACACCGACAACATCGTCGACCAGATTAAGTTCCTGGCCGACCAATTCGAGAGGGACCCCCAGAACAAGGCTTTCGCCGACTCCATCCAGAAGCTGTTCCTCGACCTCGGCCGCGACTCCAATGGCAAGGTTGTCTTCAAGAAGCATCTGCTCACGGATATCCGCGACATCATCCTGCCCGGTATCTTCGAGAACGTCCGATACGTTCCCATTCCCCGTATCGAGGTGTCTGACCCCATGGTCGACGTCGTGGTTGAGAACCTCGTTATTGAGAGTGACAACTTGATGCCCAACGTTGTCGAGTTCGGCAGCGACAACTACTTCCGCTGGGGCCGGAAGAAGATTAGCAACAAGCGTGACAACAAGATCATGATCGCTGGTTCCGGCATCCAGGCTGATCTCCGCGATGTCAGCTACTACATCAAGAAGAAGCAGGGCTTCCCCTCCATCACCGATACCGGTATCATGGATATCTTCCTTGGTGGCGAGGGCTTCAGCTTCAAGATTGCTGCCTCTACCGCCGATAAGAATGATAAGCAGCAGCACTTCGTCAAGCTGGACAAGGTCTCCGTGAACATCAAGAACATGGACATCAAGCTCCGCAAGTCCAAGCACAAGGCTCTCTTCGCTACCTTCAAGCCCCTGCTCTTCCGCGTGGTTCGCCCCGCTCTCGAGAAGGTCATCGAGGGCCAAATCCGCAATGCTTTCCAGAAGGGTGATGCGTACGCTCACGAGATTCACACCGAGGCCACCAAGGCCCAGGAGGCTGCCCGTGAGGACCCCGAGAACGCCCCCACCATTCTCTCCCGCTACGCCGATGCCATGCGCGCTCGCGCCCAGGCCAAAGCCAAGCAGGCCGAGGCCATCATGCAGCGTGACACCAAGGTGCAAACTGTCACGACTATGCACGACTCGATTTTCCCTGACATCAAACTGCCCGGCGGTGTCTCCACCAAGGCCACCGAATACGTCGACCTTGCCAGGAAGGGTGAGCGCTGGGAATCGCCCATCTTCAGCATTGGTCACGCCAACGAGTCCACCGATATCCCTACTCCGGGCCCTGTCACCCGGAAGGCCCCCACCGCCGATGGCACTGTCGGACAATCGGGCGTTGCTGGGACCATCGGCCACACAAACGGCCACACCAACGGTACTCACACCACCCTCCCTACCAACGGTACTCACACCAACGGTTTCTCGCGCGAGGTTGATCAGGCCTTCGTCAACGACAAGACGAAGAACCTCAGCGACGGTGTTACCAATGGCGCGCACGCCGTCACCACCGGTCCCGCAGTTGTCACCTCCGGTCCCACAGTTGCTTAAGAATGAAGCACGAGTATAATACTTTGCTACGATAATGTCTCGATGACATGTGCAAAAACGACATATCCACTATGTGGATGCAAGTCCGGGGTCTTCCGGAATAATTTGGCTTCTCTGTTGTTTTTCCTTGTGTTTTCGTGATTCTTTTTGGCTTACTGCTTATGATTTCCCCCTTTTGCAAATCGTTTGTATCTTGTATGAGTACGGCTTTTATTTGTCCAGTCGGTAGCCTAATACATAATGCCACCACTTATCATGCGTTGAATCCTTAAAAATGGTATATTATTCTACAAATCATAGTCTTATTAGTAGTGTCTTTGATCATAGCTTAAATATGACCTGGTATGGCTGTGCCCCAGCGGGATGTGGGCTTCGGCCAGCGGGTCCAGGTCCACTGCACCTCCACCACCGACCCGGCCCTTTCGGATAGAAACACAATATAAGCTTAAATGAACCCTTCGATTAAGTGATCGTTATAATAACAGGACTCCACTTCTCATTCAACCTACGGTAGAGGTCATGCACATGTGTAAAATTCATTCATTGTCGTCTAGATCTGATATAATAAACGCCTTCTGCTATACAAGACACGAAGACCGTATCTATCCTCTGCAAAGTTTCTGAGACCTATTTTCCGCAGGCTTTTGGGTTTCCGTTAAAAATATTTGAACATAGTTCAGAGGCGCTTTACATCTGCTCGAAGTACTTCTCCCAGCCTAGTTCCTGGAGCTTGGTTCCCTTCTTCTCCATGTTCTCGGCGCGGGCTTCTTCAGCGTATTTCTCTACCTTGGCCTGGATAGCGGGATCGAAGGCGCCGATAATGCGTGCGGCTAGGAGGGCAGCGTTGATGCTGTTGTTGATTCCGACGGTTGCGACGGGGACACCTGATACGGTGGATTAGCTGAATTGAAGATATTATGAATAGTGCATAAGTTGACTTACCACGGGGCATCTGCACGATGCTGTACAGGCTGTCCACGCCGTCCAGGGAACTTCCCTTGACGGGCACACCAATGACAGGCAGCGCGGTGTGAGCGGCGGCCATACCGGGGAGGTGAGCAGCACCGCCGGCGGCAGCAATGATCACCTTGATGCCGCGCGCGGCAGCCTCGGCGGAGTATTCGGCCATATAGTTAGGGGTGCGGTGGGCGGAGGTGATCTCCACGGCGGGCTTGATACCGAAGTAACTCTCCAGCAGCTTGAGACCGGGCACCAGAGTCTTCAGGTCACTGTCGGAGCCCATGACAACAGCAACCTGGGGAGCGGGCTCGGAGAGACCGGAGACAGCGGCCTTGGTCTTGATGTCTTTGCGCTGGGCACGCATGTCATCCACGACGTCAATGAGAGGCTGGATAATAGTCTCGGCCTCGTGCATAGTCGCAGCGGTGACAGTGACGTGGCCCATCTTGCGACCTGGCTTAGCGTCACCCTTGCTGTACAAATGAATGCTTGCATTAGGGATAGAAAGCGCGGCCTCGGTGGCCCTCAGGTGGGAATCAGGAGTAGCGCCACCGATGATGTTGAGCATGATCGAGGGAGTGCGGAGCTCAATGCTCTTGGCGGGGATCGGAAGGTCGACGATGGCCCGCATGTGGCTGTCGAACTGCGACAGGGCGCAGCCCTCGATGGTCCAGTGGCCGGAGTTGTGAATGCGGCTGGCGATCTCGCACAGCATCAGGCTGTCGTCCTCGAGGAGGAACATCTCAACGCCAAAGGCGCCCTTTCCTTCGAAGGCAGAGACAGCCTTGCGGGCAAGGGCCTGGGCGGCCTGGTTGATCTTCTCGGAGACGTTCCGGGCTGGTGCGTACACCAGCTTGCATATTGAGTCCTCCTGGACGGTCTCGACGGTGGGATATGACAGAACACCGTCCTTGGTCTTGATAGCCATGACAGCAAGCTCCTATATGATAGATTCATTAGTTATAGTCTGAGCATTTTGAAGTATAGATTCACGAACCATTTTGAAGTAGGCCCATTTCTCCGCATACAACGGACGGTCCTTGAGAGCCTCAAGAGCCTCGGGAATATCGGCTTTGGAGTTCACGCGGAAGTTTCCTGCAATAACATTAGCATGAATTCCACAAAGGCAACGCTAATGCCACATACCCCGCCCATCATATGCCATTGTCTTCGACTTCAACATCATCGGGTAGCCCAACTGCTCTCCGACCTCGGCCAATTCCTCGGGTGTGTTCTTAACTAGCTCCCGGTGATCCGCCATAGGGATACCGAACTTGCGCAAGTGCTCCTTCTGGTTGAACTTGTTCTGAATCGTGCGGATAGCCTGCCAAGAGGGCTCCATGCGGACTTCGGAAGAGACCTCCTCGAGCGCATAGGTGTCAACGTGCTCGATCTCGGCAGTCAATACATCACAGGTCTTGGCCAATTGGCGAACGGCCTCGCGTTCCTTGAACGAACCGGTGACATGGCCGTCGTGAAAGCTGATCTGCTTGGCCGGGGAGTTCTCGGCGTCGAGGACGTTGCACTGAATGTTCAATCGGTTGGCGGACTCGACGAGCATGCGACCAAGCTGGCCGCCGCCGAGGATTCCGACCTTGGGCGAGTTCCACATTGTGATGAGCGAAATGGGTTGCTTTTCGTGGGGAAAGAGTCATCGTGAACTGCCCCTCCACCGAAAATTCGCGGAGAGTCACGTGGTACTATCGATAAGGGCCGACGTAAGCCAATCAAACGCCGATGCCACCACCGCCTCAGCTGGCCACTTGATCGTCGTCTCCTGCAGCTTGAAACACCTCGACGATGTCGCTGGGTAAGTCTCCCATCCTGCTGGTGACGCGTGTTCTTAGCTGACTAGTATCCTGCAGACGAAGAAGCTCTCCAGACAGTCGCCAATGGCGGCTCCATGGACTTGTATGTGTGAACTCGCGATTACACGATGTCTTGGATCACGCGAGACTAATGCTTTGACACAGAGAGAAATGGACTGGCATGGTTGATCCTTTACTGGAGCGCCTGGAAAATGTATGCTATACCTAATGCGACTCTACTCTTGGCATTTCTGACCCATCTCAGATTGTATACAATGTGTTTCCTATGCCCAAAGTGCCTCCAGGGTCGTACAACCACGAAGAGTTCCAACAGCCATCCCAGACATCTGAGACTACCACTGTCCCGCCCGAAAGCAGTAACAAGGAGAATACTGCCCCGGGCGGCCCACAAACCCCTCCAGCGCCAACCGACTCTCTGCCGCCGACCGAGAGGGTGCCTGACTCGCAGCCCCAGTCAACACAGCAGCCGAACGATTCACTACCGCCTCCACTTGCTCTTCTCCTGAGCTCTATCGAGTCCGCGATTCAAACTTTCTTTCTGAGCAAGCCTCCGCATACAATCCAGCGGTTTGCGGAGCTTATTCTCAACCCGACGGCTCATTATAGGACTTTACCCGCCTACCTCCGTGCTGTGGACCGCGTGGTTTCGGTGACTAGCGGGATAGACGTCTTTCCTTCCAGCATCCTGGAAAATGCCACCCCCAGCGGCCAGTCTAACGGACTCGCGCACCCCACAAACAATGCCAGCACCTACCTAACTCCGGACTATGCGACTGGTTTAGGGAGCGACGAGTCCTTGGGCGGTGCGCTACTCACCCCTATTCCATGGCTCACCAACGCCTCTTTTGAGGGTGAGGAAGCTTCTACATTGGACGATGGTACGCTACAATGATTCGCTGATTCTCTTTTGACCTGCCTAACGGAACTGACTATGTATAGAGCAAGCTGTACCAACACAACCGCAAGAAATGGAAAGCGGCGACAACAATATCGCAACCACCACAACAACTACTACGACGTTTACTGATATTGAAGAGGCTGCTCATCGTGCCGGTCAGCGTAATTCTACTTCGCCACCAGCAGAATCCCCAGACGAAATCCCCCATGCTCGTGGCCCGGCACTCTTAGGTGTTCAGGATATGGGCCTGCAAGACGGAAAAGGTGTGGAGGTTAACCTTGGTGACCAAACTGCCCAAACTGCTATAGGCGATGGTGCCTCCGATGCCCTGGCCTCGGCCTCCATCGAAGCAGCACAGGAGGCTAACGCCACAGATGGAGACGGGGATATAGTCCTCGACGACTCTACACCCAAGGAACAGATAGACAAGACAGAAGATTCGACAGAAAAAACCCAGAAGGACTTCGAAGCAACTGATTCCACGCAAGCCTTGGACCCTGAGAAGAAGAACTGAAGTATGGACCTGCGAGTCCGAATCGTTTTGTGTTTCTTGCCAATGGCATCATGAATAACGACCTGCAACAAACATGCTTGATATCCTGATCAGATTACAATCTAACTTGGATGGATATCGTGATAATGTGATTCAAACTATAAGAGATTCAACCCCATTACTTTCCTCTCGTAGAAGATCACCTTCACCTATTGGAACTCATAGTCGGCATACTCATCACAGGCTTGGAGCAATTCCGCCCGAGTTCCAGGTTCCTATAAAGGCATAAGCATGTATCCTACCGCACCATGAATAACGGATCGTACCTTCGCACCATGTCCAGCATCAGGAACAAAGATCACTTTCGCCTTGGGCAGAGCCTTTCCAAGCTCCCAAGCAGTATGCGGCGGACAAACCAAGTCATACCGCCCCTGGATAATGACGACTACACACCAGTCAACCAAGCCATCTTCAAAATGCAGACCAGAATGCAACATACCAGGAATATGCTTGATCTTCTCCAGATTTTCTCTTTCCAAAATATGCCCATCCTGCAACCAGAAATCATGAATAGCATAATGCGCCTGAGCGCATGTGCCAATGACCATTTCTCATCCTCCAACTGCCTGAACCCAACCTCATCAGCCACCAAAGATCCAATGCTCATCTCCCACGCATTCCAAGCCCTCGCCGCCTGCATCCTCGTATCCCTATTCTCAGACATAAGCAGCTTATAATACCCATTCACCAAATCCCCTCTCTCATATTCAGGTAAATGCGAGACAAAAGCCTCATACTCCTCCGGAAAGAAACTCCCCGCTCCAAGAGGCCCTCTCGAAAACTCAATTTCAAAAGCGCGGGTCGTGAATATTCCGCGGAGGATCAAGGAGCCTACGGCGTGCGGGTACGCTTGCGCGTATAGAAGTGCTAGTGTGGAGCCCCAGGAACCGCCGAAGATGAGGTGCCATTTTGGGATTTGGAGATGATTGCGAAGAGTCTCGATGTCGGAGACTAGGTCGGGCGTGGTGTTGTTGCGCACTTCACCGGCGGGTTGGGATTTGCCTGTGCCGCGTTGGTCGAGGAGAATAACCCTGTAGATTGATGGGTTGAAGTAGGTCGTGTTGCCTTTGCTGGTTTGGCCCCCTGGACCGCCGTGGAGGAACATTACCGTTTATTTGTGAGTTTGATGATGGTGTGCTTGGGTTGTGGGATTTACCTGGTTTTCCGTCTTTTTTGCCATATTGTGCGTAGTAGAGCTTGTGGATGGGGTCAACGGCGAGGACTCCCTCGTCGAAGGCGTCTGAGTGTACATGTCCGCTCATTTTGGATTGCGTCTGGATGTGTAATGGAGGTGTGGTTGAGCTGGGGAATTTGCCGTCGAAAGACATGCGACCTGAGTCATAACTTACCTCGAGAGTCCCAAATTGGTATGATTCACAGAAAAAGACGGAATATAGGGAGAAGTACGTAGGTGTTCGTGAAAATCAAATTGGCATTTTAATTCATGCATCTATGCAAAAGAGGTATCAAAAATCTAGAATCAGTTCTCATACGCCAGTTACCCCGTTAGACAAATTATTCGAACCGAGACAGATAACCTTCATGTTGGAATCGAACGTATCATCGTACGAAGTCAGAAAAAAAACGCATTAGACAGGCTCAACAGTCTGTAATGGCACATAGCCCTCGTCTCCGCGGATAACAGGCCGTTTCCCAGTAGCTGCAGACCAAAGGGCAGAAATCGCATCGCCAGCCCAGCTACGCAGAGAGCGTGGCCTGTCGGTGGAGAGCATTGTAGCAGGCGTCCACCAAGTGGCCTTGCGAGCGTGAGACGCACCGCGGTCGGGGGCGATGGTACCTGAGCCAAGCTCTTTCTCAAGGCGCTTGACGTCCATCCAACCCGGACGGCGCCAGAGCTTAAGCAATAGACTGCTGACAACGACGGAAACACTGGAAGCAGCCATGGCGGCACCGGCGGCCATTGGGGGAAGCATAAAGCCTGTAAAAGGGAGGAAGATACCCATGGCGAAGGGAAGACCGATGATGTTGTACAGACAGGCCCACACGAGGTTCAATTTGATGCGATTGAACACCGTGCGAGACAGTGACAAGCTAGCGGGCACGGAAAGAAGATCTTCGGGCCGCATGAGGACAATGTCGGCTGCTTCCATGGCGACGTCTGTGCCTGATGCCAGAGCAATGCCGACTAATGCGGTAGCGAGGGCCGGGGAGTCGTTGATACCATCACCGACCATGGCAACTTTCTCCCCACGTAGCTGGAGTTCTGAGATGATCGTTCGCTTATCGGATGGTGAAGCCGACGCGTGGACTGATGCGGCTGGGATGCCGACGGCTGATGCGATCGATAGAGCAGTGGAAAGTGTGTCGCCTGTCACCATGGAGGTCGCGATGCCCATGCGGTGCAGGGCAGCCACCGCAGCGACTGACGTGTCCTTGACACTGTCACGAAGAGAGATAGTTCCGGTATAGCGAGAATCGATGGCAACATGAATCCGTGTAATACCAGAGGCAGCGGCACTGGGCTTGGGAGCTGCAAGATCTGTCTCCTCTTGCGCTTCTGATAACTCGGGGTCAACCGACGCGGGCATATCGATATCTTTTGAGCGGAGATACTCTGCATTTCCAAGTCGGACTTGGTAACGGATCCGTTCGGCACTGGACGTAGGCTCCACAAAAGCCGAGATACCCTTGCCCACAATCGCATCAAAGTCACCGATACTGCCAGGCAACCCATCATCTCCAGGATGACCAGACTCAGCCTTGGCCTCTGTCAGAATGGCCCGGCCAACCGGGTGCTCACTGCCCATCTCCGCGAGGCCGACAATAAGCCACCACAGCTTACGGCGCAAGTCATTCGCAGCCCAATGAGGCTCAATACGAACGTGAGCCACGCTCATCCGGCCCGTAGTCAATGTGCCCGTCTTATCAAAGACGACGTGATTGACCTTAGTAGCAGCTTCAAGCACGGCGCCTCCCTTGACAAGGATTCCATGCTCGGCACCAACTCCTGTTCCAACCATGACAGCAGTCGGTGTGCTAAGACCCAATGCACAGGGGCATGCAAAGACGATAACGGAAATGCAGAGCTTCAGGCAAACCATGACACGGCCACCACTATCTTCGGATTGGAAGACCCTGGGCGGGTTGGGCAGGACATGACTGAGAAACATCCAACCAAAGAAAGTAACTAGACCGAGACCGATGATGCTTGGGACGAAGTAACCGGCGACGATATCGGCCATGCGCTGAATGGGAGCCCGGCTGGTCTGAGCATCTTGAACTAACTTCACAATCTGACTCAATTGAGTATCCTTGCCAGCGCGAATGACCTTAAAATCGACCGAGCTTGTGCCGTTGACGGTGCCAGCAATAATGTGGCTTCCTTTCTTTTTGTGAATTGGAAGGGCCTCTCCGGTGATCATGCTTTCATCCACGTAGCTTTCACCTCGAATAATCACGCCGTCCGCGGAGACTTTGTCACCGGGACGAAGAATGACAACATCTCCAACTTGGATCAATTCTGTGGCAATGATCTTTTGATTCACAGATGAATCATCGGATGCAAAAGCCGGCTTCGAAGCATCTGTGGCACTTCCAGCAGCCCAGCCATCGGCCAGCTTCTCTGCTGCAATAGGATCTTCGTAAATAGTTGTCATAGATGGAGTCAATGACATGAGACGGGACAGAGCAGCAGATGTTTGCCCCTTTGCCCGATTCTCCAACCAGCGTCCCAGAGTGATGAAGGTAATGAGCATAGTGCTGGTGTCGAACACAGTACTTGGACGTTTGTGATGTTCGTCGAAAATGGCCATCGCCATAGTAAAACAGCTGTAAAAGAACGCGGCAGATGTTCCCAGCATAACGAGGACGTCCATCGTGGGGGACCGATGCTTAAGAGACTTAAAGCTGGTGATATAGAATCGCCGTCCGATACCGAATTGTACAGGAACAGTCAGTGCGAGACAAAGCACATCTCCTAGGTAAAGGCCTGGGAATAATTCAAAAGCGCCAAAGTCAAGGCTGCGCAGATACATGGGCAAGATCATGTTGATGAGAAAAACCGGGACTGCAAATGACACTGAAGTGATGAATGCGCGTCGCCATTCCTGTATTTCTTTTGTTTTGGACAACGATTCCAGCTGCGCATTTGTGTCGTCCGAGTCTGCGACTAAAGCGTTATATCCGGCAGACTCGATTACCTCGAACACTGATCGTATTCCAATCACAGATGTGTCGAAGGAGACGACCAGTCGCGAATTTGACAGAGTAATTGTTGCGGATTTGATTCCCGGTTGCCTCAAAAGGTCTTCCTCGAGGCCCGAAGCAGAGCTGGCATCTCGTACCCCGTGGAGACTAAGGCTCATTTGCTGGATCTTTCGGGAGAGCGGTTCCTGCGCCTCTGATGATACGATCGACGCATCAAACCCAGCATCCTCCACCATTGTGGTAAGGTCCTTGGCTGTGAGAACGGACGGATCGTGCACAACCACTGCGCGCTCAGCGAGCAGACTAATGTTAAACTGGATCATGCCCTCCACATCAGTGAAGGCATTCTGCACACTAGATGTACAGGCACCACAGGTCATACCTCCAATCGCTACGGTTGTGACCATATGCCCTTTTTTGTCTTCCACCATATCGGCGAGCGCGGATGCATCTTCCAATCCTGCAGGTGACGCCTTTGTTTCCAGCACTCGCGCCCCAAAGCCTCGATCTTCAATCATGTCGGCAAGTTGCTCTGGTGAGATAATCTCTGCATCGTGATCGACTACCGCGCGCTCCGAAAGTAGTGAGACCTCGACGGAATTAACACCAGCAACGTCTTTTAGGCCGCTTTCCACCGCAGATGTGCACGCGCCGCAGGTCATTCCTTCGATCGCAAGAGTTGTTTTGGAGAATCGCATTGTCGGAGCTTCAAGCATACCGGTGCTTGTGCTTGTAATCCGCTCCTCAGTCGACAGAACTGCGGCTTCGAAGCCGCAGTCTTCAATCATCTCCGCGACCTGGGCCGGCGAAAGTTTGGAGGGGTCGTGCTGCACGGCAGCTCGGCCCATAATTAAACTGACAGAGACATCACCAGCACCGTCAACACCTTTGAATGCGCCCTCGACCGCAGACGTACATGCTCCGCAGGTCATCCCATCGATCTTCACGGTTGTCATGGCCATGGCGGGCAGAGGGTCGGGTGTCGCACCGCCTGTACCGAGAAGATCTGCAGACATGTCGAGAAGGGGGCCGTACAGGTATCGGAGGGCGGACTATGGCATAAGGGCGTAAAAGGTGTAGATAGCTCGTTGCGCGATGAATGGAGGGGATAACGTGATAAGCACAACGGATGCTCTCGGATCGACTGGATCGATCAGATCATTTCTCGATCGAGAGCGGCAGAAGCAATAGAACACGTTTTATCAGAACATTACGACGAAGCCGCGTTGCGTGGGAGCAGGGAAGAAGGAAATAAAAAGGTAGTGGATGTGATTACGCACAGGGTGGATCGCGCCACGCTGAGGAATGCTAAAAGTGCTGCGCCGGCGTCCCGCGGCATCGATATTCAGCCTGTCTATATGGAGTCCACCTGATATGACAGGACGTTTTCCAATCTATTTTCTCACTGGTACCCATAGTCAAAGGCCCTATAAAAGCGCTTGAAAAGGTGATGCTGAAACGACGGCGCCGTGTCAGCGAAGGGTGTTTCAAACAAGGAGAAAAGGGTCGAGGCAAAGCGCCCGTGTGATACAAAGGACCCTGGAATGGACACCTTGGAGAATGTTACAGTAATACGAACTACGCTCGGGATAACCCATGCACATCGATCTAGTGAAGATTGAAGATGGGGAGCTATTTCCGCTAACTACAGTACTAACTACAGTACTAACTAATTTACTTACTTCATCGATAAGGTGTTTGCACTTGATGCAAACCAGCTCCTCTACATCACATCCAACTTGTTGATACTCCAACTACTTGCTTGTCTCTACTTCTCCCTCTTCTTGAGATCTCTCAATAATTAATTCTAATCGACCACGTATCGTGCTCCTTTACAAAGTTCAATATCGAAATTCGACTTCCATCCTCCCCTTCCATTGACCGCATCTCATGGACCAGACACACACCCGGGCCTTGGAGGCTCTACAGCCTTTCATCCACCTGGCCAACTCCAACAGTGCAACCTCGCCCCGTTTCATAGCCAACATCATCACAAATGCCACCTCCAGCCCACAGACCTACGTCTTCGCCGAACTGCTCGAGACACCCAACATCCAAACGCTCAGCTCCCCCGATACCCCCGCCGAGCACCGGGGCTACCTGAAGCTCCTAGAGATCTTCGCATGGGGTACATGGCAGGACTATCAATGTGAGCTCATCTGCCACATACCAAAATTGAAATACAACTAACAAGCGCAGCTACACCCAATCTCCCCAAACTGAGCATCGAACAAACCCTCAAGCTCCGCCTCCTCTCTCTCCTCTCTCTCTCGGCAACAGTCAAACCCCTTACCTACCAGTCCCTAATGACCGCGCTCTCACTCTCATCAACCGCTGAGCTCGAATCCCTCGTCACAACCGCCATCTACGCCTCCCTGATCTCCGCCCGCCTCTCCCCCGCCACAACCCCGCCTACCGTCAACGTCACATCCGTCGCTCCTCTACGTGATGTCCGACCGCAATCTCTCCCCAAAATGGTCACCCTCTTGACAGAATGGGAGGCTCGGTGCGGAGAGGTGGTGTCTAATCTAGAAGCGGAAATTGCGCGAGTGAAGGAGAATGCGGAGAAGCGCCATGCCAAGGAGCGGGCGTATCAGATCCAACTGGAGGATGCGACGAAGCAGCGACAGGAGGCGTTCGACGTGTCAAATGCGGGCGCGCGCAGTAGACCTGGAGCGTGGGGGCGTCGAGGTGGTCCGCGGCTTGGAACTGGAATGGGCAATAAGCGTGAAGCAGATGATGTCGATCACGATGATGGATATTTTGAGGCTGGGGATGGGGAATCAGGATCGCGAATGGATATCGACGAGGGCTCCGGGTCTCGTGGGAGTAGGCATTCGAAGCGTGTAGTGGGCCGCAAGGCATAAGCTTCTAGCTTTCAAGGTTACCAAGACCTGATGAAATGGTTTACGACTATATTTGCTGCATTAGTTGCTTTAAAGCAAACATTGGTATGATACAATTGATTTGAAATATGGTTGGTAATTGCATTCGTAGCCCTAGCGGCAACACTCATTGAGAACATAAATACAAGTGATCAAAAGGGGTATTGGCAGAAGAGAATAAAAGACAACGAAATGAGGCAGATATGGACAGAACAAAGAGAGATAAAGAGATTGCATCGCAGCCAAGATGGCAGGGGGAGGAGGAAGAAGGAAGATTCCCGTGGGGTTGCAGAGTCCCGGTGAATTAGGCACCCCAGGGCATCGTTTTCAAAGATTATGCTTCGCAGAAGCAGATCAGAACATTAAATCTTGGACACCGGACTGGTCACCTCAGATCGTACAGCTGAAGGAACTAGGAAGAGCAAGCCCCATAGCACAGCGTCATCGACAGAAACGTATTCACAGCATGGTGCCGGGGACGAGAATGAACAAAATACTCAAAGCGGCAGCCGTCAAGAAAGAGATTCCTGCGGTGACTATAGCACGCTTATTGAGGAGCTTGCGGACATAGGGTTCGCGAATTGGAGCCCAGTTCATAAAGGTGTACTCGCTGTAGCCGATGAAAGCCATAACGGGATCGATCTTGTACTGATACGAGACGATGAAATAAGATGCAATCGCGAACGGCAAAATAACCCAGCAGCGAATGTCACGAGGCTTGTCGCGGAGGACAACGTAGAAGGCAGCCCAGAATCCACCGAAGAAGCTGATCAGGGCAAATGTCAGACGAGCAACAATGCTAAGAGGTACAAGATTACCCAGTGCCTTGGCCTGCAAGAAACCGGGGAATGCATCACGCTCCATGGCTTGGAAGACGAAGTCTTTCGGGGGATCGAAAACCTCGGGGTCATCACGGCCATCATCTTCGATCATGTTGATAGTCTGGCTGACCATCGCCTCGGGCAGACCGATTTCTCGCTCGGCGCCGGGAAGTAGATAAGTGTAGAGGATTTTCTCGGCACTAGCACGAATATCATTTCGCGCAACAGTGCGTCCGGGTGAGTTGGAGTCGTCACCATTGTGAGTGCCGGAGCTGGGACGAGGTTGGTCATCATGTAAGGCGCCGCTGTACTCAGAATGAGATCCAAGACTGTTCTGTGGTGAATGATGCGACTGGGTCTCGGAGCGCAAAAACGCGGATAGGCGTTGATCGACGTCACGGTCCTTCTCGTCGGTCCGCATGCGCGAAGGCCCAGCCTCTGTCATCGGTATATCGCCCAGGTTCTCCAAGTTATCCAGCATGGCGGATGATCGTCTGCTTTCGACTTGATCAATGTCGGGGGTCGCAACGAGGACGGAACGGCGGAGCTCGCGGACATAGTGTCGACACAAAGACATGTGTTGAGAGACATCGAGCCTTGAGACCAAATGCTGTTAGTTTTCTGGCTAATAAGTATCTAGGGCTTTAAGCTTACCAGAAGTCTAGGTAGTCCACGGAGCGTCGCTGGTCGCGCATGTAAATGTAGAACGAGAAGAGGTCAACAGGAGCCAATGTGCGCCGGCTCAAGACCTCGAAGAGGGTCGGAAGCCTATTGCGGCTCTCAATATCGGAAAAATTGTCTGGTGAAGCCATTTTTGCAGGTTTTGTGGGAGTTATCGGCGGAATGTCCAGCACCGAAGGATTGAAGTCGAAGGGGGGGCGCAAAAGGGGTAGTGAGCGTGCAGAGTCGCGTTGGCCTGAGCGGCACACACCCAGAACAACCTTAACGAATAGCGATATGCAAATAGATCAAGAGAATGGAAAGCACTGTATGGGGTGCAAAAGAGGGGTGTTGTGAAAGGAATGAGTCGAGTCGTGGCAGGACACGCAAGTGGCCCGAAAAGGAGACACTTCGGATAAACGCGAAAGTCGACAAAGGGATGTCACCGACGATAGGCGCAATCAGAAGAATGCTAGACACGACAAGCCCATGAGGCTGAGAAAAAACGAATGAGATCGGGGCTCCAGGGATGCAACAGGAGAGTCCAGCCTTGTCGTACTTTACTTTCCTGCCCTGAAACATCGCGTCAACAATGATCCGGGCCCACCTGTCATTAAGCCAGACGCGTATTGCATCATACTCTTGTTTACAAAACCTTAAAACACTTCGGTATAATGGTTAGCTATAGTGAGGGCTATGGGCGAGTATTCATTATTTCATATTTTCAATCAACTTCCGCATGCTCCGTTAATTTATCCACAGGGTATTAGTAATCCGACAACGCTCCCGAAACGCCTTTCCTTGTAAACACCTCAGAAAGAAAGCAACCTCGACACTTAATGTCCCTCGGCAAGATGCTAAGACGTGTTAGTAAACATTTAGATCCTTCTCAGGGATTGTTTTAACTTCAACGTACCGACCACTCTGGAATATTGCGGATCTGTTGCCACATGAACTTCTCGAGTTTGTTTGCGCTCTTGGCATACGGGGTGCTTTCGTTGTTGTACCGACGGCAGTTGTCAAAGATCAACATCGCATCCTTGGTGAAGTCCTGCGGAGTTGGGTACATATCCTTCTCGTGCTTCTCCTCCATGGTGGAGAGGTCCATCGGTTCCAGAATCACCTCGTAGTAATCAGGCACCTCATCGCGATTCACGGGTTGGGTGAATGGCCAAGCGGAACTGTGATTCTGCATATCGTTCAACAGGTGTAGTAGTTGGTTGTAGTTCGGGCCGTGGCGTGGTTGGCGAGCCAACTCGTCCATGTCCGGAGACCATCCCGATTCCTTGATCGCAGGAATTGCAAGGGGGTCAATCTTGTGAACTCCGTTCTTCCATTCCTTGGGCGGAGGGTGAATAATGTGAGATCGGCTGAAGGCACGTATCTTAGCCTGTACAGCTTCCTTTTGCTTGAGTAGCATCCGACCCATTTCCAGGTATCGAGTCTTGGGCAACATGGTACACTGCATGATGGTACCGCCCTCATAATCTTTGATGTATCCCATCCAGATAGACTTGTCGAGGGTAATCTCCTTGGTGAATCCCTGTTTTTTGAAGTACCCGATGGCATAATTGTCGGCGTACGTGAGGAAGTGCATGATAGGAGAAGTAGCTTTCACATAATCCTATTGCATTCTTGTTAGATCGTTGTGTCAATGAGACAGAAGAAACGAAACGCACCTTCAGATGGGACATCAAATGAGCACCATAGCCCTTAACTTGCTGGTCAGATGAGATGGCGCAGAACACAATTTCAGCAAATTTGCGACTGTTAAAAGGTCGGTATGTAATGCCTCTGTATCAAATCGTTAGTAACTCCGGCGCGACAACAGCTGATACTTATCCTGATGTACATACCCCACAACCTCTAGCGGATGCTTTACAATCGCAATAGATAAATGTGAACGATCATACACCAGTCGCGCGATGTAGTCCTTCGGCATCTTAGGAAGCTGCTTCTGGAAGATGCATTTCAGGCCGGTCAAGACAATGAAACTGTCGTGCGACCCATCGTTGTTGACCACTCGGAACTCAATATCACCTCGGCGCTCTTCCAGAACAGCGGGCTTTTACCACCGTTAGTCATTGAGCTTCAACTGAATCATGGGGGTTGGGTGCGCAAATGTGGAGGGTGGTCTCGGGGGGTCGTTGCGGCGGGGATGGGAGCTCACCTTCTCGGGGAAAGGTACGATGCGCAGCGCCGGCTTCGGAGGCGGTCCTTCTTCCTGTTCATACTTAGACACTAACCATAGTCTCGGAGTGTTCTCTCGGCGATCATACCTCTTTTTCGGGGGAGTCAGTCCGCGCCTTTTTGCCCAGCTGCTGAGACTCCGGGGAAGCAGCCTCCTCCGAGGCCTTCCTCTTGGAACCTAGAAAGGGTCAGCATACTAGACCAAAGAAACGAATAGAAATTAGTCCTAACACACTCTTTGGAGAGACAACTGCCATGGTGGATGGATAAGACTACCTTGCAAGAGCGTGTTCCTTAACCTAAGATGACGCTCCCCGGGCTTCGGCTTCGGATTAACTTTAATCAGAGGCAATCGGCCAGATCAGCGTGTCGCATCTACAATCAATGCTTCGTCTTGCACCATTCTGATCAATTCCCAATCTTCACTCATGTCTCTGAACGAAGTCTGGGAGGCATCCTCCGCATCGCCTTTCTCACCCTTTGTGTCTAAGGACAGCCAGTTCGCCGTTGGCTTCAACTTGCTTGTGCTTGGTATGCATAGCTCGCCGAAGCGTTAGGTCCCAACTAACCGTTTGTGATATAGCAATCCTCTTGACAGGTTTCTTCGGTCTGAGTAAGCTCTTTCTACCAGTTCACTACCCAATTGAGTCCACTAACGTTTTCCAAAATAGACCGTTCCTTCCTGAGCTTCACTTCTCTGGGTGTGCCTGCATCTGCTTGTTTCGGGTGAGTACTGGAGGCGACCTTGCACATTCGAATGCTAACAATATGGTGCTTCACTTAGGTTTGGAGCTGTGTTCATGATCTGCGCCGTCGGAGTCTATGTTTAACGTGATACCCATTGACCTTCTCAACCTCCCCTCTATGTACCATAAGCGGGGAATTCAAAGGGGCCTGTACTACTAGAAGCTCCAAGTCATCAAACTTTCGCGAACCAAGTTCCCACCATGGAGCCACTCTTCACCGGTGTCTCAAATAATGCTCATCACCTTTACACCCTGCTCTCTTGCATCGGCTTTGCTTCCAGAGCTACTGTCCAAATCACCCCCGATGGACTTCGTTTCTCGGCGGAAGAAGGCCGTGTGCTCCAAGGACTGGCTTTCCTCGACAAATCTCTCTTTACCAGCTATTCTTTCAATGCCTCGACAGACACCAACCAGGATGAATCTGGTCAGAATGACGAGGATTCCGAAGTGGCCTATCCGCACTTCGTCGTCTCCCTCTCTGCTCTTCTTGAAACATTGAAAATCTTCGGCATCAACGACCTCTCCGAGCCCAATGGCTCCCGGGACACCAACATCCCGCAAACAAACCCAGCATCAAGTGCATTCAGTGCCCCAGCCTTGCTAATGGACCGGTCTTGCACCTTACAATATGCATCCCACGGAGCTCCACTCAGCATCGCCATTACAGAAGCGGGCGTAAAGACGACCTGTGAGCTCGTCACCTACGAACTCGAGGGCAACGAAAGCGATATTCCACTTCAGCGCGATGCCATCATCATGAAGGTCATCATGCGTTCTGCTTGGCTCCACAACGCCATCGGCGAACTCGACTCCTCAACCCCAACCATCCTCAAATTGTCCGCCTGTGCCAATCGCGAGCCGTACTTTGCTCTCTCTGGTGCCGGTGGCCCATTTAGCGAATCTACCGTGGAATTCTCGGTCGATAAACACAATGAACCAGGCGCTGATCAAACAGGGCTGTCTCAAACACACAAGGTGTTGGCCAATGACGGGTCCTCGCGAGCCCGTGCGACTCGCACGAAGATGGCTCCAACGGTCACTGAGACGTTCCTTGTCACACCGCCGTCTGCGATGGGCGACCGAATCAAACAAAGCTACCGGTTTGCCTTGATTCGCAAAGCTGGCCGAGCAATGTCCGTCGCCAATAAGGTTAGCATTCGGGGTGATCGGCAGGGTGTACTGAGTTTACAATTCATGATCGAGCTGGATGACAATGTACCAACTGGCAGGCCTGTTGGTGCTGGTGTTAAGGCGGTGGGTCCGGTGTGCTTCGTGGATTTTCGTTTTGTGCCTCTCTTGGATGAAGAAGAGGCTGAGATGGATGTGGAAGTCGATGACGAATGAATAGCTAAGTACATGTTTTGAGATACCTCGAATTGGTTCATTCAAGAAAGCTAGAAAGCTTCTGCTCTATTTATCTAAAGAAAATCCGTAGCCTTTCTTTCCCATGCATCCTCCGCTGTGATCTGCTTTGAAAGATCAACAAGTTCATCCAGCCACTTCTGAACTTCTTCTCGACATACCTGCGCTCCATCCCAATGCACCCAAACGCGCATACGTCCAGGGCCAAGAGGAGCGCCTTTCCACACGAATGCAATGTCTGCGGTCCATTCTTGGCCGACTGTTCTGACGAGACGGCCCTCGTCTCCCACGTCTGCCCCAGCTTGCATATATCCACCAAAGAAGTTAAAGATTTGATGGCGACGTGCATCAATGATAGTCTGAGCATCTTTCTCGCCGAGCTGCTTTTGCATCAACTCCTGTGGTGCCTGCATATGGCGATTGATGTTTTCATTCTCGACAACTAGTCGTTGAAGTAGATGACCAATCGTTTCCGGTCCATTCTGTCCTTCCTCGATTTGGACTCTAGCCGCAATGTTGGCTATGCATGGTCCTGCGATGTCGATTGGATCGGGCATTGTGGCTTCCAGTGCAGGCGGTAAGAATGGCCATGAGCGTCCCGATGTGGTAGCTCCGAAGATGGCGGTTCGTGTTTTAGTCTGACGCATGTTAAACAGTGCGATAGCTGCTTTCAGCACGACTGGGCCAGGCACGCTGTGCTTATTCCGAAGATTGAAAAGACCTGGTAGATCCATATCTGCTTGGAGACCTCGCAGACCGACTGCCTGTCCGTCTGGATCGAGATGTTTGCGCGGATTCCCGGGACTATTGTCAGGCTCGACGTACTCGGTATCGGGACCGAGGAAGAATTGCGATGTGCGAGCCGGAGGCCACAGAGAAGAACGGTTTTGTTCAATTCCACGGAGACGGTTCACGTGGTAGTCTATGCTGCGTTGAGCAGACAGGGATTTGCGATAGGTGTAGAATAGCTCGGCGAAGACTTGGAACGAGGTTCGAGGAGGAGCTTTACCATCGCGTAGAATCTGATTGAGATCCTGTGCCCAGTTGGAGAAGGATACACCGTCTATCATGCCGTGATGTGCAAGAGCAACAACTCCCAAGCCACCCGTGCTAGATATCCGTACGATATGCACCCTGAAAAGCACGCCTTGCTCGAACCCGAGGCGGGTGTCACAAGCATCTGAAAATTCCATGTTCATGAGATCTTCATACCTCTCGACGGTCGAGTTCTCCGTGATGCAAAGGTCAAAGAATGAGCTGGCACGTAGAACGGCATATAACATCAGCTCAGCATCGAAAGGAGTAATGAGGACTCGGGTTGCGGGCCACTGGGCCAATGCCTGTTCTATAGCTTTTCGAAGCCGAGACACATCTTTTTCAGAAACTCTCAGCGCCACTTTAATCAGCGGCGCGTTGGGTCGTGGCCCATGAACAAATTTCCGGGGGAAGTCTGGCATTGGATAGCATGACTCGACATCCTGTTCCCACGTACGGCCAAGATTCGATAGAATCGGGTTGAAAGCGTCGATAGTTTGTTGAGGATCGTATTCCGTGTCGCGGCAATGTACCATGTCCTCAGGCGCCGGTGGCCCTTCCTTTGGAGCGGGCAAATGGCTCGATAATGGTGACTTTAGTGGTGACTCTTTTTGGAGGACCAAAAGATCCTTCATAGTGGTAGCCTGGGAAAGTGCCTCCAACGCCAGCTTTTTCCCAGTCTGGCGCTCGATGTCAAACTTGAATCGCATCAACGTCAAGCTATCTGCCTGGTCTGCGATGGGAGAGTCTCGTACAATAATTTGCACCGGAGTTCCTGTTAGATGAGCCCAACGATTCAACAAGATCGTTTCCAGATCACGATGGCCAGGCGATGAAGGTGTCTCTTCGGAATCGAAAAGGTCCCCGGACTGCTTGCTTTTCAGGTAATTCCATGCCATGGATTTGAGTTCGCCCTTTTTGATCTTTCCGGACGTAGTCATGGGGAACTTTTCCAGACCCAGTTCTTGAAGAGTGACAACATCAACATCACAGGTTTCATCTCGCAACACTTTACGCGCCGTGTCTCTGACCGAGTTCTTGACATCGCCAACGTCTCCGTATATCTGCAAAACAGCCACAGGTCGCTCTCCTGCGATCGAATCAGGGACACCGACGACTTGCGCCTATTTAAGTCTTGTATCAGTCCAAGCCAAAAATCATGTCAAGCTCAAGAACGTACCGTGACTCCTGGGATCTTGTTAATGGTTAGCTCAATCACGGCAGGCGAGATGTTATTTCCACCGCGAATAATCACGTCTTTGTACCGACTCGTGATGAAAATAGCTCCTGATTGATCCATAATCGCCTGATCGCCTGTGGCAATCCATCGATGGCCATTTTCATCCGTGTAAAATCCATCGCGATTGCCATCAAGATACTGGGCCAGGACATGGGGTCCACCGTGATGAAGCTCGCCACTTTCTCCAATAGGCAGTACTTTACGGGTCCCAGGTTCGCATATTTTGACACCTGCCCCCATCGTGACCCTGCCCACGCTGGTAATGCCATCCTCGTTGAAGATGATCTCGTCACCTGATAGGAAGGCAATTGTGTTCATGCCTTCACTCATGCCGAATCCAAGCGTCACCGACTGTGCGGCAAGCTTCTCCTTGTTCAAAGTCAGGTCCAATGTGTCTCTAGTGATTACAGTCGCTCCAAGGGCCACATTTTGAAGGCAACCAGTCTTCTCGGGTGAAAATGAAGGATGATGGACCATTGCAAGAAGCACGGGAGGAACGGCAGACAAGTGAGTGCATCTTTCTGCTTCAAGGCAGTCAATGGATGCTTTGGGGTCGAACGATGGAGAGGGAAAGACCACTTTGCCGCCAACACGCCAGAAGGAGATGAGATTCATGATCGCCAGAACGTGCGATAGTGGAAGATGTTGTAGTAGAGAGGTGGCCGCGGTTATCTGGCGAATGACAATGCTGCAGCTTGATGCCGCCCAAATCGTTTCGCTCGTATGAGGGCAGCCTTTGGGCAGACTGGTCGTTCCACTTGTATGGCAGATTAGCACTGGAGCATTCCTGTCACTGGTTGCTTTGGCTTCATGTAGCTCGTTTGTTGATTTCGGCTCGGCCAGTAGGGATCCGAGACAGTCCCACTCCGAAATACTCTCGTTTGAGCCATGACTACCGGCAAACACCTTCACAGCCATGGCTGGGAGTAGGTAATCGCCATCGTTGTTCAAGGCGTGTGCTGTTGCACCATCTGCAACAATTATTGCCCCGGGGCTCAAACTCTGGATCAACAGAGCGGCTTCCTCGGGCTTCTTCAGGCTGCGCATATCCAAAGACGCGAAGGGGGCGCCAATGATTATGGAAGCCCAGAAGGTCAACGCCCACTCAACGCCATTAGGCAAAAAAACAGCAATAGGCATCCCCTCCCGGACACCTCGTCGGTGGAGCGCAGCAGCGAGCAAGGAAGCACCATGATAGAGCTCCTTATAACTCCACTGCAGTGGTGAATCTGTGGGAGCTTTGACCTCAGGGTACAGTCCATTCGGCTGCCATCGTGAGACGATTGCCGTTTTATCTCCATGTTCCTGTACAGATTTTGAAAGAAATTGGCAAACGGTTGGGTGTGTGTTGGCCTCTGGCAGGGGACGGCCCCATCCGATTGCCATGTCTGGTTTCGACATCCTAGTGTAATTGGCAAGAACGATCGGTTTCTGTAAGAGGCAGAAACCACTGCTCTGGGATTGAATTGAATTGGCAAGTGGAATTATTCAGGCTTTTACGTCACGGAGAAGTCAGTATCGAGATCTCCGGTGGGTCTGCACTGGGTTCGTGAGTTTAGATGCCCTGATGTTCCGGCATTACAAGGTCGCGGGCCTCTAGAGACGGGGGATAATGTTACGACAACCATGCATCAAGTGATGCACACCTATTTCATTAGTCTCGCTGTGTCATCTCCAAAGTGTCATCTCTAAAGTGTCAGCGGTTAGTCTGAATACCCACCCACCAAACTAGTACTCCAGGCGTATGTATCTTGCCACCCTCACTCGTGTTCTACATGACCCAAAGAGGACCCCCACCTAGAGGTACCCAACATTCTATGCGCCATCACTATCCTATATACGATAATTGACACGATAAGATACAGTGTAACCAAGAAAACAACACTAGTCTAAATAGCCGGTCACGACCTGCTCGGGGATATCTCAGCGATTTCACAAGATACCTTGCAAAAGAATCAAACGATGACTGAGAGATAAGTGATCGGTACACTTAGTTTTACGTCACAGTGGAGCCAGATGGTCGGCATCCTGGAATCTGGATCGCCGAAGTGGAGCACTCGAGACCGTGTGAGATTTGGTACCTGAAGGTAGCAGCAACACACGGAAAACTATTATAAATTAATAGAGACTCGTCAAGTTTCTTGCTATTACAATCTATGGCATAGGTTCAAGTGACCCAGTGCCGGGCAGGAGGAAGCTAGTATGGGCAAGATGTGAACACCCGGCAACCACCCCTGATCGACACTAGGGGCTCCATTTGAGTTGCTTTGGGCCAGGCTACTGAATACATAGCCTACTTTTAGGTAAAATTGAGATGGAAGGCGATCTTTGATTCAAAACAGGGCCATTGACGTATTTATTTAGTGCCGTCCCGGTTAGCGCCCTGCAGCCAGCCCTGCAGCCCAGATAAAGTCGGTGTTTGAGTGTTTTTGCGTTCTGCTTCCCATCCCGACACCATTAGAGAAGGGTTCGCAACATGTCTGAAGGCCAGACCTATATCGATCGTCGCGGGGCATCCAGGACACGTCCGATGGAAGTGCTTGCCCTAGGAGCTGGGAGAACAGGTAGACATCACCCAAGGCTGCTACCTGCTATCCCGAAAGACGTATATTCTAACCAGCTCAAACATACAGGCACCGACACAATCCGCGTGGCACTCAAAATCCTTGGTTACGACGACTGCTACCATGGCTACAGCTGCCTTCTCGAGAATCCACCTGACAGCTATATGTGGAAAGAGGCCGCTGATGCTAAGTTCCGTGGAAAGGGCAAGCCGTATACACGCGCACAATGGGACAGTCTGTTGGGAGATTGTGCGGCGGTCTCTGACTTGCCATGTGTGGCCTTTGCACCCGAGCTTATCGAGACATATCCCGAGGCTAAAGTCATCCTGACCCACCCACCGAAGGACTTCGACTCGTGGTACAGAAGTAACGAGCGCACTATCATGGTCATGTGGGAGGATTGGACTCGGGATATGTGGGCTTTCTTCCATCAAGAAGCCTACATCACGAGGCACACATTTTTCACCATCTTTTGTGACTTTTGGGGGCGGAACTTTAGACAGAATGCGCGTCGTGTCTTCGATCAGCACTATACTATGATCAGGGAGAAAGTGCCAGAGGAGCAACTTCTCGAATACAATGTCACGGAGGAATGGTAATCATGCTCCCATCTTCACCCCTTGAGCTCTCACTAACTCTAGTAAATTAGGGAGCCACTTTGCAAGTTCTTAGGCAAACCAATTCCAGATGTTCCCTTTCCAGCTGGGAACGATCCCCAGGACTTCTTCCGTCGGTTTGCCGTTGTTGATCGACGTCGTCGCCGTGAAGTTGTCGTTAAGGGGGTTGCCACAATTCTGGGTGTTTCAGGGTTGCTTCTTGCATTCCGCGAGAAAAGTCGACTGATGGACCTGTCAGCCTCAGCGATCGGTCTGCTCAAATCATGGCGCTGATAACGATAATTGTCATGTACCAAGTTATAATGGAGCATGATTCACGCTGATCTAGAGAAGAATACAAGTAATCCAAGTGACGAAACGATCCTGCTCTCGCATATTGCCTCACCTCCAGCTATGGCCTCGGACAAATCGCGAAGAGGCCAAGGGCCATGTATTATTGGACCCAACTGTGGAGACCGCGGATGGCGCTTGTAGATCTCGGTCCCACGGGCTCTATCTCGCCCCAAGATCGGTCCGATCCCGCTACCATACAAATGCTGATCGCATAGCTCCGCGAAAGTTCAAGTGACCTCAGCACTCATTAGCAAAGAATTCGAATATCTTCCGGTCATGCTAGTTATTAGTCGTATGATAGGAACCATCTCGGGTTCGCCATATATCTCATACAATTACTTGATAGATAGGAGCTGGACCAACATGTTATTTAGATGGATAGTCATCCAAATAAAGATTCCGAAGATTAGCTTATAGCATGAAACATACATAGTTATCGTCATCCGTCGCGCTAAAAAAAAGCTCCATGAACGTAGCCTTAGGAAGCATATAGGCACCGGCCTACGCAAATTTACATACGAGTGTTCGAGCACCCTCGAGTAGGATGAGACGGCGAAGCAAGACATCCCTGAGATTGCATTGCGTAGGGGTCACTCATGCCCACGGTCCATGGATGAAGATGACAGAAGCGGAGCTGCCAGAGCCTTGTGGACTTTTCTTTTGTGCGGACGTGAGTCTGTGATTTTGACTTTGACCGCAACTTATCGCTCTAGGTGAATATCTCGGGCAAGTCAAACCGTCGAATGGCCTCCAAATCCAAGTTTGTCTGCAACAGGACAATGGTCATGTAGCACGTTAGCAACCATAACAGGCTAGTCACCTCCATGATCGTGCTCGTCAAGTGTCTCCACACACTTGGGGCAGTCGTACTCAACGCGATAGTTTTTCAGCCATTGTAGACCTCAGTTGCCCAAAGGCCCTGGTTCGAGCTTTCATCGTCGCCAGCACAAAGATGAAATAGAAAAAGAAGGCCGGTAGGAGCTCGCTGGTCTAAGATAGCCGATAGGATATGCATATGAATTCAAAAGTCGTGTCATGGGAGATAAGCGTGGTCGCTCTTCGAATAGCCAAAGAGTCAGATTCGTTCGGATATTGGTTGTTCCGTTGTATGCCTTTTTATTGCAAGCTACTAGTCCGGAATTGGGGACACTCATTTATGCTTTGATTTGGAAGAAACGCCTGCATAGCCTCGCCGTAATGAGTCAGGCTCCATGCGGTTAGTAGAACTCTAATTGATTAATTGACCGGGCTCCTGTTTGATCAAACAGCCGAGCAACATTAAAGGAAGCAGCAGGCAGAATGATTTCTACTTTCTACATTTGATTCATTCGCAAGTCAGGAAGGGAGGGGGGGGGGGAAGATATCGTTGGTTCTCATAATGGATGAATGCAAATTATTGCATGTTGAATACAACACGTTGACACCGGTAGTGACAGTAGGAACGAGTGATAGACAAACTGCATGTTGGATGCAATCCATTAGACAAGTTTTAAGCTGAAAGCACTCTTGTAACAAGACAAATCATCCTCCCCCGCAGCCCTTCAAGGTAGCACAGCTGGCCATGAACCTAACGGCACCATTTCTGCCACAGACACCCTTGTCGAACAGCATAGCAGTGAGGACACCCATTGTTTCCACGGCAGTTGGCAATCGTTCCACAGAACTGGTAGCACCGAGAGACGCGCTTCTCGAGAACGGATGCGTCCCTATTCAATAAGCTTTCACCGCGTGGGCAGACGGCCAATTCCTTTTCCAACGTCGGGTCGTGCACGGAGTCGTTCGAGGGAGTTGCTGGCTGCAATGCCTCTTCAGCGCGCTGATTCTCCTGGTCAAAGTATTGGTTTGCAGTGTCACTTGGGGTGAACGATTCGGAAAGTGCAAGTTCGTTGGACGGGTGATCGTAGACGTCAATCTTCACTCGGCTGTTCTCGAGGTACATGTCCATGAAGTGAGTATCCTGCAGATTGTCCAGAAAAGCGTCGTAGCGGTCAAGCTCATCCTCATGGATGGCAGACCGAGGGGAAAGAGCCATTGCACAAGCAGCAACAGACATGACGACGAAGAGTGCACGGAGAAGAGTTTGGGACAGCATTTGGGGATTGTTTTATGGTTTGTTGATACAGTGTCATGTGATCCTTCCGTTTGTGCTCGATGGCTTTGCTGAAAGGAAAGGTTGCAAGTCGTCAAGTCCTTTCTTTGTGATGATTGAAAATAAAAACTACCTGGGACATGACCCGGATAAGACCCGTGGCATTTATACCTCATTTTGAGCAAGTCAGACCATCGGATCCTTCAGAGGATGTCGGGCTGAATCGATCCCTGCTATCACAATCCAACATTAAGCTCTGCTTGCAAGGTAACTCCACCGAAAACATCTGTCCTTTGCATGCTAGTTCATATCACGTAAATTTCGGAACATTCTCCGGCCCTTGAACGCCACTTGTTATGCCTAGTAGGACAATCGCTCATGTCATAACGAGGCAATACTCGGGGATAGAGGAATTCCCTGATATGATTGACTACATACAGAACGATACAGATATGTAGGGTCCTAAAACAATGCATGTGCTGTGGGTCATTCCTGACGATCTTGGGGTATGTTTTGGGGCCAAGCATCGAGAGCTGAACATCAGTCCCGGGGTACTGGTTGGCTCGTGGAAGTACAAACTACATATCACCAAACTGAACTAGAGCAGTGGAAGACTTCAGGGGTCTGATTTCGCTTTCTCTCAGTGTAACATCGATCTGTGGCCTGACATGCTCTTGCATTGCCCCTCATTTGGGCTTATTGAGCCGAGTTGATTGTAGACGATGGGAGACTCCTGCAGGATGCTGATTAGCACTCGAAGCCCGAGCGCTTCATCAAGCAGCTTGAATTTATATGTCCAGATCTGTCAGGCAATAGAGGCAACGTCTCAAACTATCGATGAAGCACATATCCAGTGTACTCCCCGACTTGGGCTTACAGCAACGTGAATCCGGGGTTTGCCAACAGGTAGGTCTCAACGGGATCTGAAATAAATCCGAGACAGATCTCGGACTAGGCGAGTCTCTAGTAATATACTGACATTCTTAATTTGGATTCCATCGCATGATTGATGTGACCTTGAGTGCGCCGACTAGGCTACAGCAAATTCTGGACATTGACCTTGGCCCAGTTTCTTCCCTTTTCTTTCTGAACTCAAAATACGAGGACCTATGTAACCGACGCCAAAGAGCTACTTTGGCCAGCCAAGGCCGCTTTGCCCCTTGCCATATCGCCCATCATCTGAGTAGCACCACTATTATGCACCCGCCAAGCTTTGTTAGTTTCCCTGGAGCGCTGTTCGTGCTTGACCTTCAACGAGTTACTCTCCCCAAAATACAGCCTTGGTGCTGACTCTGTCCTACCACCTATGTAGCTTTAAGATACCGCTTTTGTGCTGAGATTCATACCTTCTCTAGCCTCTTTCGTCTTGGTCTTCAGATAGTGTAGTTGCTCTTCTTTCTTTCTTTCTTTCTTTCTTTCTCAGGTGAAAGGACAAGATGATCCCATGCCTCCAGTTACGCCACGGTTGAAGATGCGAAGTAATGACTAGGTGAACATGAAGACCTTGGAGTCAGGAGTTACCGGATTAAGGAAATATAAAGGTCAATGCATTCTGTACATAGAGATGGAAATGAATAGCTCGGCCAGTGAAGCAAATGGTATCAATAGGCTATCTTTCCCGAACGCCAAAATGCGAATGCTTCCTGACATCTGCGCCTGTAAATTGAAAACACAAAGTAATATGGAATGTAAGATATCCAAGAATCTGCCAGCGACGTGAAATAGAAGTTACATGACCTGGAATCAAATTAGCACAAGTTAGTAGAAACTTATTCAAAACACACCTCAGCGATAGACTGTCTTTCGATAATTGACTTCTGTCTCTCATTCCGCGATACGCGGTAGTAGTAATCACTAAAGTCCCCGCATTGCATATGACGCAAGAATTCTTCATCGTGGGTAATGACTATCAACTGGAAGTTTGACTGCTGCTGACGAGTTCGGATAATATCATGCAGCGACTCCGCAAGGGAGCGGATATTGTCACGATCCAGATTAGTAGTCGGCTCGTCAAGAGCGATGAGTCCACAATTGACGCCGAAACACTCGGCTAGAGCGAGTCGAATGATGATACTAGCCAGGACCTTCTGACCAGCACTGCAGCGGCCTCGCATGTCCATTTCGGCGCCCTGCTTGACCATGCACACTCGGTAGTTGTACGATCGATTGCCCTTGGCATTCTCGTTATCGGATCGGATCAGGATCATATCGACGTCTGTTCCGCGGTAGGTCTTTTGCCAGAGTTCGCCGATGATGGAGTTGATCTCCTCCATCTTCAACCCGTGGTAGCTCATGATGGCTTTGTCAAGGGCGCCTCCATATCGAGCGAGATCATCCACGGCTGCTTTAGTGGTCTCTACCTTGATGTGAGCTTCCTTATACTTTGAGGCTGCATCCTTGTAGTCCGTGTTCCAGTCTGCCAGAAGCTGCATGAGCTGATCGTCTTTGGACTTCATTTCGCCCATCTTGCTGGCTTGCTTGGCAGCAAGGGCGTTGTGTTCACGGGTCCAGCGCTCAGACTCTTGCTTGAACCGGCTGCGGTCGACTTCGGCATTTTGCTCTTCCAGTTGTTCGACTTCTGCCAGGACTGTGCTGAGTGACCGTGTAGCTTGTCTGTATTGCAGATTGTCGGAGTACTGTCGCTTCGTATTCTCGCTGTCCTTCAGCTGTGTGGAGATCTTGTTTATTTCTCTTGTGATCTCGGCCTGTTCGGTCTCGAGCTTGCTGATTTTCTCCTCGATCTCGGATAAATCTTGCTTGCTCCGTTCGAGTTGGCTAGGACCTCCTCGTTCGTTGTACGAGTTGATGTCTTCGTTTGCAAGATCTAGTTGATGAATGTTTTCTGAGAGGCGGTTGATCTCATGCTGCAAGTGTCGTTCTCGCTCCTCGGACCGCTGGCTGATATCATCGTAGCGGGCTTGGGCTTGAAGCAATTCAGGCGTTAGGTTTTCGATATCCTGATCGGCCTTCTCAATTGCTTCACGCCGCTGAGAATTGAGTTTCTTGAATTCTTCGACCCGGACAAGCAAGTCGGCCTTCTTCTCAAGTTGGAATTTGGCGTTGTTGAGGCTATCTCTCACGTCGCGAAGCTGAAGCTCCAGATTGTTGACCTGAGTCCGAGTCTGGTCTCTTTCGTTTGTGAGCTTCGTCAAGGTCCTCTTCAGCTCTCGAGACTTTTCACTGCTTGCCGAGATTTCGTCTTGAATGTCTTGCAGAGTGCGAGTAGCAGAAGCGTCCTTTTCGTTGGCAGAAAGCTCCTTAATTTGATTGGCGATGCTCTTAATGTCCGCGTCGTATCTGGCAATTGTGCTCACAGTCTTGGAAAGAGATTCGACCTCTCGTTTGCTTTCCGACTTCTCGCTGACGATGCGATCATGAGACTCGAGCTTTTCTAGGAGCTGGTCACTTCCCGAGTCGTGCTCTTGCTCCTCTTTTTCAAGCGCCGGGATATCAGTCTCCAAGAGGCGGACCCATGTGTCGTACGCGCCACTAGCCTCGCGGGCAGTTTCGAGGTCTTTTTCATAGCCGGTCAAAATGTCGTCTTCGACTTCCGCGGTGGCCTTGTTCACCAAGGCCTCCAGTTTTTTAGTGAAGACCTGGAGTTCTGTCTCATTCTTAAAGGACCGAGTGCATGTGCGGCAAACCTTGTTCGTCTTTGCTGCACTAAGACACTTGGTGAGGTATTCGCCCATGCCCGCATATTGATCAGCATCTTTACGGGCCATATCGTATTGCGCTTGGCGTTCTTTGACGATTTCAGGGTACTCAGAAGGCTCTGCGTCAACTGCTTCCTGAATATCCTTCACACAATCGTCGAGCTCCTTCTCCCGCTGCTTAAGAATCTTCTTCGCATTGGCGAGCTTGAATTGAACTTGTTCCAACTCCCGGCTGACAGCATCACGGGCTCGCTCAGCATCGCCGACATACTTTGTTTCTTGATCGACGGCTCGTTGAAAGTCACGCTCCAGTGTCTGGGGCTGCCAGTCGGAGCCCAGAACTTTTGCGAGGCGGTCTCCATGAGCCCCTTTCATTGTCAGCAGGCTGCGCTCCTTGTCCTTTGCTTCTTTCTTGAGATGATCCAGACGAGCAAGATCGCCCGCTTTCTTTGTTGATTCGATCAATTCAGCATTCAGCCTAGTGTTTTCGTCCTCAAGGTGGTGAATCTGAGAATTGATGCTTTGGATCTCTCGATCCCAGGACGCAACCTTGGCTCTTTCTTTGGCGTGTTCAAGATCCGAGGTAGTATCTTCAAGCTTGGCTTCCAGGGAAGCTTGAGCACCTTCATCGACCTCGATTTCATTGAGTTTTGATTGGTAGGTTGTCGATTCTTTCTCATTAGCTGCAATCTGTCTCTTTGAAGCGTTCTTAGTCTCTTGAAGCGCGGATTTACGCTGTCCGATGTCATTCAGAGTTTCCTGAACTTCACGGAGCTCCCTCTGAGCCTCACGCTTCACTCGGTCGAGTGCTTGATTTTGCTCTCGCAAGAGACGCCGAATTTTCTGCATGAACGTATCAACGGCCGATTGATCCATGTTATCATCGAGTCCGCGGATATTGTTACCGCGGGCAACCTCATTGATCATGTTCTGTCGTCTCTGAACCTGTCGCTCAAAGTTGGCTTTGTCATTCTCATATTTTCCATATTCAGCCTGCTTCAAGCCCATTCGGTGGCGAGTTTGTTCGATTCGCTCTTTCAACTCCATATATGTCTCCTTTTGAGACTCTTCCTGTTGCTGGTACTCAACTTGTTTCATTTCGAATTGCTCCAGGGTGGACTCGAGCCATTCGTCGGAATCATCAAGCACAACCAGGTGCCTTTTTAGGTTATCGATGGTCGTCTGAATGCTTTTAGCTTCAATTCGTTTGCCCTCCAAGGCACCCAGGACCTGGGCATAGCTCTCGGAATTCTTCCAGGCTTTATCAGCCAGATCTGCGACTCGCCGCATCTCTTTCGACATTTGCTGGGTTTCCTCTCGCAATGCCTCAATCTCATCTTGCAACATGACGGATCGCTTCTCTGCCCGGTCGGCCTTGTCCTTGTCCTCTTTGGCGTGCTGCTCCATAATCTTATACTTGCCCAGTTCTTCATTTTGTTTCTTCCGTAGGACCTTGATGTTGTCGATAGCCTTTGTGTACTTCATAGCCTCGAAGATCTCGTCAAACTTCTTTTTCAGAACGGACGGTTCACTCATTGGCCAGAGACTCTCATCCTGGTGACAAAAGATAACCGAGTCCAAGACTGCTTTGGAGACGCCCAAGTATTGCGGCATGATCTGGTCGAGCTCGGCTACTCGCGAAGAGATGGACGTACGCTCGCCATTCTTGATCATCATCAAATTCCCCTCCAGTGTCTTTTGCTGCCTCGTAGTCTTCTTGACTGTGAGCTGGAGGCTGCGTGTGGCCACCATCTTCGCACCGGATGTGCCCAGGAAAGAGAGCTTCACCTGGGCAAGGACCTCCTTCTCACCACATAGCTTAGGATCGTGGATAAAGGCACCGCCTTTGCTGTTCGGCGGGAGATCACCCGTCGTAGCATACTTGAGACACTCGATAATGGTCTGTGCTAATGTCAGCTTCCGTCCGTGCCCTCCAGCTGACAGCTGACAGCTCTCAGCACTTGAGTCCATACCGTTTTTCCAGATCCATTGTATCCGACAATCAAGGTGAGAGGGGCGTGGAATTGAATGGTTTCACTGCGCGTGTTATCGAAAGAACGAACTCTGGAAACGAAGTAACTCGGTTAGCCTCCATAAGAAATTGCATCATCTTGAGCCGGGATGGCTCAAGACAAAGTACGTACCCTAAGATTGAGAGTTTATCGATTCTCGCTGTCAGAAAAGCTATGGTTAGAGTCGTAACCGACAGTTCGGAAAGTTGGTACACGTACACCTGCACATTCGTTAGCAATGAGTATGGAAGCGGATAATGATCTACACTCACATCTTGCCGGCGAGCGGAATACCGGCTGTTCGGCTTCGGTCACAGCGAGGACGAGAGAATCTGGCGCATCCGAAAAGGCAGCAACTAAAGAACGAGTGCTCAGATCGCCAGCAACTTGTGATGCATCAACTTTCTCCACTGCGCGTCGGTGCGACACGAAGTCACGTGAAGCGGAGTGGCTGATTACCTGAGCGGCAACTCACAAGATCGGCGGACGCCTGTCAAACCAGTTGGCCGGCTGTTATTTCCCTCTCTTTCCCGGATTTCAGTTCTCTATGTGATAGGCGCCAGCAGGGGTTCGCCTTGAAACCACGAATATCTGTCTGGGGTTTGGGAATGATAATTTCCACTCCAGATCTATACCGATTACCCTCCGTTCGGAGAATGCGCCTACTGTCCGCTTAACCCTAATACCAACTACGCAATAGGACCTCCTGGCCAGCATCATACTCAGCTAAGCTCGTCTCCCTTCGTGCGCGCTTCATCGATATGGCCCATGGCCAACAGCAGTCTGCCTACACTAGCATGCACTTACCTGGTCCACTTCCACGAGCCAGCTCAGGTGAAGGCAACCCAGGATACATGGTCGAGCAACAGAACATGGCGGGGTCGTCGGGGTCGTATGCGATGCAGAGGCAGCAAGGAGGATACCCAGGTGTACAGAATGACCCGGGTTGGATTGAACGAGTCTTGGAGGAGATGAAGGATATGCTGGTTCTACTTAACGCTCAGGGCCGAATCACCTATGCCTCGCCATCTGCGAAGCAAGTCACTGGCCGCGCGGCTAAACAACTTGAGGGTAACCACCTGAGTCAATACATCCATGAGGACGACAAGCCTGTCTTCTTGCGAGACATGGACGACGCCGTAGCACACAACCAGCCATTCCGTACCCATGTACGGTTCCAGAAGACCTCCAACATCTACTGCCTGGTAGAGATATACGGACACCCACATATTGCCAGCCATAATGCAGCTCAGGGGAGACACTCTTCCACTGAGGAGCGCTGCACGGGCTTCTTTCTTATGTGTCGGCCTAACCCCTCGAAGAACTCCCAACTTCTCGACTCATTTCTGGAACACAAGATCGAGAACGCGCGTCTAGTGCAGCAAATTGCCAAATTGAAGCAGGAGGAAGAGGAAGAGGCAAACTTCACCCGTTTGCCTTATCCTAAGATCGACGACAGCAAGTCGATGATGGAGAATTCGGCCACCGCGCAAATCATCTTGAGTGACCAGGATTCAAGCGAGACTGTCGCTCCGAACTCGAACTCGGATGATTCTGATAACAACTCGGGCGACTTCTTCGCCGATAATCCTCCTCAAATTGAACCAATATCGCATATTGACGGTATCGAAGTTATGACCGGTCTCTACTATGGTGATGGTGAACGATCGCAGGGCCTGAGTACCGGTTTGAGTAAGGGCCGTCTAGTCCATTGTGATATCGACATTACCACCGCCGCAGATCAAGCCCGTAATGCCCAAGAGGGTGATAGGCGCAAGAGACTCAAGGGTCAGCACACGTGCGGCGACTGCGGAACAGCCGATTCCCCCGAGTGGCGGAAGGGTCCCAATGGGCCCAAGACCTTGTGCAATGCCTGTGGCTGTAGGTTTTTCCACCTTTCAAATTACCACGTAATTGACGCTAATGATCTTATAGTACGCTGGTCCAAAAAGGAGAAGAAGCGACAGGAATCTACATAGATTTTCAACATCTATTCTTTGAAAATCTCAGACTGGCAGACTCTGAGCAGTCAAGACTGTATTTCTTGTCTATCTTCTCCTGTGTTTTTCAATTTATGCGTCAGGATACCCTTTCAACTGCTTGACCATCAATCTGCAATTTATTTTTCCAGGCGGAGTTCATTTGAGCTTGAGCTTGAACACGCTTATGCTCGATATTCAGCATGATTGATGAAGTTACGATCAATATTTATCGAGACCCTTTTTTTTCGACGTTCCAATGTCCACTATTCTAAGTTTTTGATGTATGAATCTGGTCATCTCTTAACTTAAACATCGTGACTGATGATGTACCAGCATTCGGCGGGATAGGATAATTGAAATTACTGTTTTTCATTTTTCAAATTCAAATTTTGATAAATAGCAACCGAGTTCAATCAATGAGGTATTAAAATGACATTTGTTATGTCTCAGGCGCAAGGGTCCTTTCAAACGCCATGATATGTACTTGAATGGTGTATTTTGATGCTTCAAAGTCGTCAAAAGGCTAAAACTGCGTATCTAGGTGTCACGCAGAGAGACTCAAATGTCCCCTTAAAGGTGAGAGAAAGGTACATGGAAAACAAAAGATGGTATCATGGAAAAATTATCTCAAAACAGTCGAGCTTGATGGGCTCAGTTCTTGCTTGGCTTCTTCGGTGGTGGAGGGAAGTACATGGGCGATGCGGCACTTGCCCCGATCTCCTGGGTCGTTATATGCGCGGACATGTGGGGCGAGGGCATACTGGGAGAATTCCGCAAGGGGAGGTCTGACGATGCACTTCCGTTATTGGCATCCAGTCGGTTGAAGCCTAGGGTGCGCGGGGTGAACATATGTGGCGAGACGGGGGATCCATCCTTGACGGGACCCGTTGCGACCACGGGTGGGAAGCCTGGGGTACGAGGAACCATCCCTCGTTGAGGCATGAAGCCCGGGATCATGTGTCCGGGTGACATTGGGCCTGGAGTCATGGGGATCATGCTGGGAGACTTGAGGATCTCTTCTTCGAATTCCTTTTCGATCTTCTTCTCTTCTCGCTGCTCCAGAACCTCTTCGCGTTCCTCCGGAGTAATGAAGCAGGAGTGGATGCTGAAACCGAGTTCAACGCAGTAGTATACGCTGCAGATGGTGTTAGTCTTCTGTGTCAACAAGATGTGGGGATATTTTGCATACATAAGGATAATGGAGACAGCGAAAAGTGATTTTGCCTGCTCGCAATATGCGATGTTTGATTTATGGGCTGCGACACTACAGCTCTTGGAAATGTACCATGGCGGTCCTGGCTGGGGGTGCTTGGGGTCCGACATGTCGCTTCCTGCTTGATACCGTGCTGACACGATCCACAGGACCATGATGGATCCATGGACCACCGCAGCGATGGGAGGGAAGAACAGGTGCATACAGTGAATGGGGAATTTCACGACCCATAAGAACGTGCTCAGCACTCCGATAACCAGGTTGTAGTTGGTCAAGCTATCCTGGTGTTAGCTTCTGATTTTACGGTGTGTAGATTTGAACCGAGGGCAACGTACAAGCCTGACCACACCATCGGTGCCGTGTATGCACGGTAATTAGCGGCGGCGTACAGCGCTTCATTGGGGGCGCTGTTGAAGCCATTATCTGCACCATCTTGCCATAGCAAGGATCGATACAGATTGTGCGATGCGATACCCGTCAGAGTCAAGATGACGATCGTGATCGGAAGCTCGGCGACCATCATCCAGAGCATTATCCTGCGGTGGCGATATTGCCTTGGGAAGAAGAACTGCATGTTGGGTGGTTTCGCGAGGGTTGGGCAATTAGCGCCGAGTAGGTTTCGCTCCGAAGGGACGATTCAGAAGAGAGACGATATTCAACAAGCGAATCAACCAGACCGGCTGGCTGAAGCATTCAGTGCTTCGCATGTAAATATTCCAGACTAGATCTTCGCACTGAAGGCGAGAAAATCAGAAACCCTCGAGTCTGGGCACGGAGGGCGTTAGATATGAGCTCGAGACCCCCGGTCTCCCAGAGACCGCATCGCACCAGCACCGAGAGGGGCACGAATCAGTGGGCGAAGCTCGATGCAACGAGCCCTGGGGTGTTTCCAGGAGGTGCATCTGGCCAATACCCGTGGGCGGCAAAGCGCCAGAGCAAGCATTGGGCCAGGCCGGTGGCACCAATGAGACGCCATACATGGGGGATGAGCTGCCGGTCGTCACACACTAGTTCTTCATCACACGGATCTGCACTCTCCGCATCACTGCATCACGGTCGATACCTCAGCACAGTCTCGGCTCGTGCAGGAGCATTAGTCGTAGTCTGGCGAAGCGCTTCGGTGGAGGTCAAGTTCCCCATCATGCACAGTACATGACATGATGTTAGATTCCAAGGTTTAGCGGTTGCAGACATATCCGGAGGTTCCCATGGGATGACTGTGCATCTGACTCAGTGTGTCCCTGGGGAGGATTGAATCATTCCGTAGGAGACCGTTTAGGCATCGTAAAGAGGATGATGTTCAATATGTTGATCTGTTGGACTTGACTACTTGATCTGTTGAAGGGCGAATCATGTGGGGCAGTTACTCCGCATCTTTCTTCCACTTCAGAACCCAACTTGAAAGCAACCTTGGAACTGTGCTAGTACTCTGAATCCCACAGATGAGGGGCTTGCGACTGTGTCAATCCTTGCGTACGCGACACTACCAACGTGCCATCACAGGCCCGGCCCGCAGCATGTCCCGCGAAGACTCGATCCCGCACGAACTGCGTACGGCGGCCGAACCCCGGCAAAACCAGCTATACCCAGTGCGACTGTCACAAGTGGATCAAATCAACCCCTCAATCCGCTTGCTACGGTTGGCCCTACCTAGTGTATGCCCACTCTGTCACTGGCGTTTAGCATGACCCATCCTACATTGAACCCGTTCGCTTATACTCGAACAGCATGACAAGAAACACCCATTCACCTTTCAACCCGGACAATGGCTAGATGTCCATATTCCATTTATCGCCACTGCTGGTGGATTCACTATCACTTCCACCCCGGCAGACGCCCAATTACTGCCGTCCTTAGAGTCTCTAGGTCCACCCTTTGGCGCTGAGGCTACTGCACCAGCATCCCAGGCACACCCACCTTATGTGGAACTAGCCGTCCAGGAATCACCCGGTAACCCACCCGCTGCATGGCTCTGGAAGCCACAGGAAGAAATCCTCGGCCAGGAAATTAACATCCGCGTCGGCGGTAGCTTCGTATGGCCTCCCACCGGGGTGGATATACATCGAATCCAAAACGTGGTTTTCATCGCCGGTGGTGTGGGCATCAAGTAAGCGCTCCATCTCCAGGGCTGTCCTCCCCTTTCTTTTTAATGTTCTAATCTTGGCGTGTACAACCGTGTACAACCCCGAAGAACGAGATTGTGGAATGACACTGACATGGGTTTAGTCCGCTGATTTCTATCCTTGCACACCTTCACCAGACGCAGTCCGTGAGGCCGTTGAGTGTGCGTTTTCTGTATACTAGTCGTCTTCCTCCGGGTCAGGAGACTGCGTCGCTGGACGCGGTTCTTGATCGGGTCCTTTTCCTTCCTCGACTGCGCGAGATTATCCGATCACAGGCGCTGTCACGGCGCCTACGCATTTCTCTAGATCTCTTCCTCACTAATTCGGCGCCCAGTCTTGCCGCTACTGGTCCTCCCACTGATCTCGCGATCCACTCGCGAAGAATCAGTGAGGGTGATACTCGTGCAGCAGTGGATGGGGATGGTGAATTCGATCCCCAGGGAACGGTGGCTTATGTGTGTGGACCTCCGCAGATGACGGACGAAATGGTGGAGTCACTAAAGGGGATCCTTGGAAAGGCCGGAGACAAGAGAGTTTTTTTCGAGAAATGGTGGTAAAGATCCTAATAGTCTATACTAGTGCAGACGCAAAGGCTAGATGAAAGCATGCCATAGACGGCTTAGACAAAGATTGGAAGAAAAATGGGAGATATTCAATGAGAGGTAGACACTCTACAGACGCCGACCTTTTGTAGGCAAAGGGGGAAAACAGGGCAACAGGTAGTATATGTACAGAGTAGAAAAGAAAATGGACGGAATGGCAGAGGAACACATTTTCGCCGATAAAGAAACAATGCTAGAGAAAAGGGTTTCATCAAGATGCTTCACTGGGACCTTTGACAGCACCGCCGTCGACGATCATCATTTCGTCGATCTTGGCTTCTGTCTGTCCCCACTCTAGGCGCTTGTAGGTGGTGACTCGGCCGGGGCCAATTTCGAAATCGAAGAAACGTACACGCCGGACGTAGTCGTTGTAGCCACCGTAGCCACCCAGGCCGCTGCCACCACCGTAGCACATCCAGAGGGAGGGCTTATCGTTGGCATCTGGCTCGAGCATGCAATAGTCGTTGACATGGTCACTGCAAGATTGTTAATACTTGATGAAAGCTTGATGGTATGAGAGATGAACTTACTGTCCACAACTGACAAAGAGGACGCCCTCTTCTTGCAGGGCATCCTTGAAGCCGGAATTGAACCCAGGCGCGGTAGGAGCCTCATCCCACGCGCCCTTGACGTATCTTCCACTGCTCCGGTACTCGGGCAATGGGATGTGGATAAATGCCAAATTCATGTGGATGTGAGAGTATTCCAGATGTTTCCTCCGAAGGCCTTGAGCAGTGTTCTTGAACCAGCGAATTTGACTCGGCTTGATCCAGTCGTAGCCTCGGAATTGGCGTTCATCAGGAGAGTAAGAATGGGTATCAAGGAGATAGAGAGTAAGAGCAGAATGCGTGCTCTTGCCGCGGTCGAGGACTTCGACAATATAGTTTCCGACCCCGTCAATGTCTTCGGGGCCAGCTGCTGCAAGCGAGTAGGGAAGGTCTTCATAAATAGACATGAGTTGTGCTCGGTTCAAGTCGCCTTCATCATCGTGATTACCGAAAATGACGGCGTAGGGAATCTTGCGGTCGATGAGGAGTTGAACGCCCTTGAAGACTGCACTTTGGGCGTCAGGAGATGTCTCCCCGTTAACCTGGTCACCACTCAAAATGACCATATCGGGTTTCTCCTCATCAAGGAGCCTCGCCACGAATTCCAATGTGCGGGGATCGGCTTCACACTTCTGCCCAGGCACAAACTCGGCTGGAATAGGGTCACGACAGGCACCGAGACCCGTGCTCAAGTGCAGATCCGCCAGCTGCATGACCCTGAATTTTCCATTCTCGTTGATTCTGGGCGTGGGCTTCTTGCTCTTGGTCGGGTTGCCTCGTCGAATGCTGAGACGAGTCTCCAGCTTTTCCGTCCAACCGTCCAGCAACAAAGGGGTATCCTTGACCTCCCAATTCATACGGGGGTCCACAGCATCTGCACCGAATAACACATCAACGTATGTCACCGCCTTTCCAGAATCGCTCGCGTGGCGAGAGGCTGAACGCTTTAGCCAGATACCACCCGGTCGCGGTTCCCACGCTTCGACCTCACCCTTGGGACTATACTCAGTCGGAGGAGTGAGACGGCTGATTTTCAAATCAACGACGACCCTGTCATCCGCGGTCAACTCCTCCTCCTTCTTCCGCTGGAATTGAACATAGGCAGTCGAGGTCCAGCCCGAGCGCAGGTAGAGGTCCTTGTCGATGCGGTACCAAATTGCCGGGTCGAGTTTGCAAGTCAAGAAGGGGTTGAGAGATGAACACTTGGTGACTGTCACATCAGTGATCACGTAGCCGGAGTAGTGCATGGGAAGGTGGCCATGGATGGAGTCAGGGAGGACACGGAATTGATTATCGAGGAATACGACCAAAAGGATCGCGAAAGTTACTAGTAAACCGAGCTGAACGCCCGTTCGGACCTGTATAGGAAACCACATTAGTTTGATCCCTTCCGAATTGCCAAAGGAGACGTACGAGCCGGCGAGCCATGATGTAGTATCACCCTGGCAAGGACTTTGAGGATAGTTGAGAGACGCAATGTCGCATGATGTCACCCACAGACAGTAGATGGGTGCGATCCAGGTCAAGAGAAGACCGGCAGATTTAGGACAACTCATAAAGCCATGGAGGCTTTCGAAGTAGATGAAGAAACGTAAAGATGTTTTGGGGGGGAACTTCGAGGTCGCTTGGACCCGCAAAGCCTAAAGGCGGTCACTCCTTGACTCCTGACGACTCTCCGCTTTGATCGCCATGGGGTACTTCTATTGGTACTTTCTATTACTGGGTAATCTGGGGTTTCCATCTTTGTCCCCTCTAAATGCTCAAGTCTATATATTTCCCTTTCTTACGCACTCTTGGGTCGGATGGCCACCTGACTGGGAGTCACCTTGCCAGAAAGAATGTCTTGGGTGGTCGACAGGATGGTGGACCAGTTCTGGAAAGTGGTGTAGGCAATACCACGGCGCTCGCAGAAGGTCACAAGGTCTAGAACAAGGTTAGTTACAACTAGTTGTCGAGCTGGGGAGGTTGGGGATTACCTTTGCCCTCCTTGGCAAACAGGAGGTTGGTCTCAGCAGCGGCCGAGAGGTCGGAAACACCATCACCTGCGTACAGAAGAATCGGGCGCTCGTCATCATTCAAAGCAGCGTACGGCTTGATCTCCAGAGACTTGTCGTGGCCGAAGTGGCTAAAGGACGAGAGTGAGTATACTGATCGGAGACGTAGCGCACCCGCGCACAACCAAGAACCTACCTCTCATCGTGGAATTCAATCTTCCAGCCTCCCTCGCTGTTGATGTCCTTGCCATCCCGGCTGACGACTTGGTTGGAAACGACGTAAACATGGCTGTCGATCTTGTGGCCCAGGAACTCTTCCAGCAAGGCGAGAATGACGGGGCGCATGCCTCCGGACAGAATGACGATGGGCACGTTGTTCTCCTTGGCCCAGTAGTAAAACTTCTGAAAGTATGGGTCCAGCTTCATGTTCTTCTTCAGGATCTCGATACACTCGTTGAACGGGGTCTTGATGCTGTCGAGCATTTCGCGGAAAGCATCCCTATAGATTTTTTGCGTCAATGACCAATACCTTCATCGATGCATTTCTTCCACCCACCGGAAACCCAGAGTCTCGTCGAGAACCCGCTCGTTCAATGCCTTGCGGCGCTCGGCGCCGAAACCGAGATTGTCAATCTGCGAAGGTCAATTTGCGAAAGGCGCGGAAAGGCCTTGGGCACGAACCATGAAGTCATTGCCTTGGAAAAATGTTAGCACCGCGGCCTATATGTATTGGGAGGGAAGAAGACCGACTGTCATCGACTGTGATAGTGCCGTCGAAGTCGGTGAAGAAGACCAATCGCGGCTTGGTCTCCATGTATGGAAGAGCGACGGACCCCATTGTGGCGGATTTGAAGTAGTATATGAAGAAACCTGGAACTTGTAGAATGCAAGTATATGGGAGGCAATATGTGAAGACGCGAAGAAAAAAAGATTGGAGGGGTCCGGTGAACCACGGAGGGGAAGCCGGGGATTAACATGTGGGTCAATCACGGCGCCGCAGTGGGTAGATTGCATAGGTGGTCGCGCCCAAGATTTTCCCGTTCTGGTCATTTTTAGCCCCGGAGCTTGCCATGACTCGTCTTCTTCAGTCCCTCAGGCGCGTCCTAGGATGGACTCCGCCGAAGACTGCTCCTCGAGCTCGCACTCTCAACCCGGATTTCTCCATCTTTCAAGGTGTGTTCATCGAGGATCTTCGCGCTCGGCTGAGAACTGACACCACGCAGAGGGCGATCGCGCCGTGTTGCATACCAAGCAGCCTTCCCTGACGAAGCCATTGACGAAAGGCAGCAAGACAAATCTGCGTCGGGGACACGTGGAGCATGATCGCATCATTGGAAGTCGAGTCCGCGATGCTGTTCAGGCACATAAAGGTAGGAAACAACGGCATCCCGCATGGCAGCATACTAACCTCGTTGTAGGTCCGGATCTTCGATTGAGTCTTCCAACGTTGGAAGAATACGTTGCTCTAACACCTCGACATGTGACGCCGGTATGCATTTCGTTTATGTGTAACAATACACTTGCTCACTCCATTAGATCTACGCCCATGATGCCAACCTAATCGTCTCCCTCCTCGACATTCATGTCAATCCTCCCGCGGCCGAGTCCCAACCTCCGATAGAGATCCTTGAGTCTGGCACCGGCCATGGCTCTTTGACTCTCCACTTGGCACGCGCCATTCACGCTGCAAACACAACTCCACCTCCTCAGCCTCAGCGATCTCAGATTCGGTTCGTCGAAGATCGACTCCAACGACCAGGAGAGAAAGATTCGGAAGATAAGCAGTCAGCCACGAGTATCGACCCCTCACAACAGGAATGGGATGAATGGCGGGCACAGCGCGGTGCTGTCATCCACTCCGTGGACGTCTCGTCAAAGTTCTCCGCGCTAGCTGAGAGCAACGTACGGGGCTTCCGCCGCGGTATCTACACCGGTGATGTTGATTTCTACGTTGGTCCGGTCGAGAACTGGGTCGCGGAACAGAATAAGCAGCGTACCAAGACCGGTGTTCTGGCTTCGCTCACGGGCTCGGGATCAGTCGAGCCCTACCTGTCTCATGTCATCCTAGACATGCCTTCGGCACACCTTCGGATTCTCCATGTGGCTTCTATCATGAAACGAGACGGTATACTGGTCGTTTTCATGCCCAGCATTACTCAGGTTGGTGACTGTGTCAAGGTCATCCGGGAAAACCGATTGCCTTTCTTCCAAGAACGAGTTGTCGAACTTGGAATCGGAATCAGCAGTGGCCGGCAATGGGATGTCCGTCTCGTGGCTAAGAAGTCTGGTGCTGACCCTTCTTCTTGGGGACTTTCCGAGGCTGATGAGGCTACTCCGGCTGAGTCTGACGAGCCAGCCTCGGATAATAGCGGTGAGGTCCCTGCCCCCGAAGAATTGGGTAAGGAAGATGACACGGTCATGGTCTGCCGTCCCAAGGTCGGTTTGCGCACTATGGGTGGAGGTTTTGTGGGAGTTTGGCGACGCATTGAAGATCCCTCTACGCGGTGATCTCCCCTCCGCGGTGGTATATATGTATCAACACTTGTATATTAAAAGCTTAGAGAAAGACGACGATAATTGTATAATAGACAACGATAAAGAATCAGGAAATACTCCGAGACGTTGAAAGCATGCTACAATCAAATCTCACCCAGCTCACAGCTTCGCCTTGCTTACCTCGCTGTCAGTCTTGCTCGGGTCGGCTGCAACCTTCTGTTCCGACTTCACATTGCTCTCTCCCAAGCCAGAAACAGCTTCACTCGAAACCGGAGCAGGACACCTCGCCAACAACCAATCCGAAACATCCCTCGTAAACTTCGCCGTCGTCTCCGGCAGCTCAGCATGCAGAGTATGATATGCACCCTCATACTCAACAAACGTAACATCCCCCTTCCCCCCAAGCCTCGTCACCAATGCCTTCGTCGCCTCAAAACTAGTAATCTTATCCTCCACCCCATGTCCAATCCATAACGGCACATATCCAGCTTTCTCATAAAACTCAACTCCAGCCTCCTCCAACCACAACCCCCGATCCAACATCCCTTTCAATCCCTGCAAAGTCCCAGTATCATGACAAAGCTCGTCCGCCTCGTAATTCTTAGTCACACTCTCATTCCGCGAGATCAGCCCCGGATCAAGCGGCGAGTACCGCTGCAGTCGCGGCATGACGCGGGCTGCTATTCTACCTGCTATGATTGTAATTTTCCCCGGCTGGGAGGATGGATCCAGGGTAATGAGCGGAGACCAGATGAGCACGCCGGCTAGAGTGGGCTTGGTGGCGCTGTGGTAGGGTGACTCCGGGTGGAGGATGTAGGTGAGTGCTTGGCCGCCGCCCATGCTGTGGCCTACTAGAAAGAGGGGAATTTTGGTGTCTTGGGCGTAGGCTGCGGTGCTGGTGATGAAAGAGTGCATGTCTGAGAGCACTTGTGCGGTGTCGCCGGTGTTGCCGCGGTCTTTTTTGGTTTTGACCGTGCGGCCCCAACCACTGGTTTGGGCATGGATGCTTAGTTTGGTGGACATGGTATATATCGGGGGGAGTCTTAGAGTCTGTTCTCTGATACTCTGGACATATATACGTACCGCTGATCAAAGGCTCTCACCTCGATACCGGACGAGGCCAAGCTTGGGAAGAGGTCGTAATAGGTATTGCCTTCCTATACATTAGTGGCTATCCAGGATGCATGGATTTGTTCCTAGTAGACTCACAGTGATCACTGAATCCATGGATAAGGACAAGGACTGCTCGGAGAGCTCCATCTGGCTACGAAAGAGAGTAGGGTTAGTTTATTTCTTGCCCAAACGGCCCCCGGATCATCTTGGAAATTGGAGCGGGTTGCAGTGATCGGCTGCCTCTTAATCTGTAATGGACAAGCATTTCTCCTGGAGGCTGGAATTAACAAACCTTCCATGTTTTGGAATAGACCTGCTGCCCATCAGGCAGAGTAAAAGTGCTTTCGGTAGACATGATGTTGAGACAAGGTAGAAAGAATACAATGCCGACGGGATGATTTCATGTCGCAGGCATGTGATGTGGCGCCACCAAGACGCTAGTACACAAACAAAATAGTACGAATCTACTTGAATCTACTGATGGTTCAAAATGAAATAGCCACGCTCTATTCTCAATAAGGCATGGCAGAACAAGTACATGGATCAAGAAAAAAAACTCCCTTCGCCGGGCAAAAATCAAAAAGCAACCTCGAGTCCTTCGGCCACCTGTTCCACATGAACACCAATCCGCCCTAAGCGTCGCGAACCCCAGATGACGTTAGAGATTAGGCGAGATGAAACCGAGAAGATATCAGGGAATCCCAACGTGAAGACAGAGATGAGAAAAAGCAGGGAGGTAGGGAGGGGAAAGCGAGACTGCCATACCGGTTACTACTTCTACCAGTCGGCATTTCGGCTGGAGATGTTTCGACGGCATAGCAGAAGATAGAGGACAGCAAGACAGAAGAGAAAATGGAAACGACTTCATAATCACGGTGAAGAAACGACAACAAGAAAGATAAGATAGAGACGAGACAAGGCAATAAAGACAGCGAGGTAAGAACCCACCGCTCCAAAGATTCCGAGAAAACAGTAAAGAAATGGGAAAAGAAAAAAAAGGAATAACGACTAGACAAACACCCGTCTCAAAAGACTCAAAATGCTCCTGCCCCTCAGTGTCGTTGTGGCCCAAAATCCGCTTCCACAACTTTACCCTTTTTCCCCTTGACGGTATACTCCGCGAACAATGCAACGTGATCACTAGGAAAATGGAAATTGGGGAACCCTGGCACCCGGCTGAGGTAATCCTTGTCGACCTCACCCAACAACGCCGACACGTGAAGTGTGTTGGTGGTGTACCACATATAATCAAGAATGTCCTTGAAGTCCGGTGTGTAGTTGGTGAAGCTGAGTTCTCCGATAGCGCCATAGGTTGATTTGAGCTTGAACGGATGCTTCATACCCTGCTTTTGGTATCTACCGTACAGGCGACCATCAAGTTCGGAATGATCCTTGCTTAGTTGACCAGAGTTGATCAGACTGTGAACCGCGGACCCGGGTGAAGAGTTCAAGTCACCACATATGAGAAGAGGGATCTGGTCTCCGCTGGCATACTCAGCTGACCGCGCAGGTTCCACAGTCGGCGTGTTCTCGGGGCCGCTTTCTGCCTCTGAGAAACGGAATGCGGCCTTGTCTTTGCACTCGGGCCATTTGGCGTACTTCTCCGCAAGCTCCGTCAAGTCCTCCATCATGATGGCAGCTTGTATAAGCTTGACATCCTTAAAGGCGGGGTCCCAATAGAGATGGCAATTTACAACGATGAAACGCGTTCCAGTTTGACGGTTCTCCAAGAAGACGACAACTGCGATGTGATCTTTCAGCCACAGACGATTGTAGATATCGTCTGCGCCATTGCCTTTATGTTCAGGCCGCGCGACAGCAGACTGGCTAAAGTTGATCAACTGTTTATCCAGCAAGATGTATTTGCTGCTCTTGAAGAATATAGCGCAACCGTCGATCCTGTTCGCATCATCCAGGCGCGAAGCACGTCCACGCGGCCAATAGATACCCTTGTAGTCGTTGTAGGCCAGTTGCTCTCGGAAAAAGTTGTTGAAGCTGCCCTTGTCGACTTCCTGAAGACAGACAATATCTGAGTTGTGAGATCGTAATTCGTTGAGTATAAGTTCACGGCGGAACTCCCAGGAAAGAACACGGGAGGCGGCGTAGCCGTATTGCTGTTCGGTGGCAGAGTTATCGCAAAGAGTGTTGTAGGAAAGAACCGTTATCTTCTCAGTGGGGCTGTTAGTCGAGCTCGCGGTTTCGTCAAGGATGACCCAGTCTCGATCGGGCGGAGGAAGATGAACTAAGGAGTAAAACGATTAGCAAAATCCAATCCACACGTTACTAACCCAAACACAAAAGGAAATGAGCTTACCAGGCATCTCTTCCTTCAGGTACTTGATCAGAGCCTTGGTTCCGTCCTTCATAATCTGAGACTTGAAAACATCGTCGAGAGGGTTGCCCTCAATGCCCAAGGTCTCCAGTCGATACAGGTAGCCCATCTCGTAGGGGAGATTGCGAATGTTGTTATCGAAAAGGTAGAGCTTCTTGAGGTGTGACAGCATGCCAATTTCTTCAGGGAGCTCAGTCAATTCATTGCCGGACAGATCGAGGTGGGTTAACTTCCGAAGCTGGCCAATTGTCGAAGGGAGCGCTTTCAACTTGTTGTGGTTTAGATATAGCTTCTCAAGGAAGCCATAGCTGAAAAGAGACGTAGCCATGGCACGTAATCCCTGTCCACCAAAATCCAGCGCGTTCCAACCTTGTCGGGAAGCCGTTTTCCCCGCGACGGTTCCATTGCGCCCATCAGCTCCCTGTTCCGACGCATCTGCTTGACTGGACAAAATTTGGATGCCCTTGGACTGCTGCGCCATGACGCGTGCATAGTAGTGAGGGGAGTTGGCCTGTCGCGACTCGGCAGCAAGTTGAAGCTGGTGCTGCCAGTGCTCATTCATTGAATCATCCATGTCATCCACCGCATTCGGCGCGCCATTCTGAAGGTGGGTCGGGGTGAAATGAGGGGTAGTCGTGGAAAGAGCGCCGGCGGAGAAGGTGTGGTGTTGGGTGAGGGTGTGTGTAGCTTGCGTGTGATGGGTGTGATGATGTTGTTGCTGCGCATGGTGGGGATGGTGATTTTGCGACTGAAACTTGGGGACCTGCATGCCAAACCGCTGATGGGCTTGACCGCCATTCATCATGACATGCTGTCCTTGATGACCCTGACCGTACATATTGAATGGATTCAGGGAGGCCGATTGGTTAACAGGAGGCGATCGTGATGGGGAGGGAGTTTCGTGGTTGAATTTCAGTCGCCCCGGAGAATTGGTCCCGCTTGGCAGGGTGTGTCGTTGGTGTGAATGTTGCTGCGGTTGCGTTTGGAAGTAGAACGGCCCGGCCCCAGGCTGCTGGAACCTGTAGGTACCATCTGCCATTTAACGGGGCAGACGAGACCTTGTCTTATTGCCCTGGTGAAGAGCCGGGGGGTGGGCAAGCGGCGACAGGATCGGGGTGGAAGAGGTGAGGAGAGGAGTAACGGATCGGATACGGTCTCTTCTCTTCTTCCACATAGGGTCCTGAGGCAGAACAACCCCTTCGAGCGAACACAATTGAGGGGTCGGTGGCCACTGATGACCGTGTTGGAGTGGGGTGATGGCAGTGGGTGTTGAGGCCGAGTTTGGATCGAGCGGTACCTAAGGGCGGAGGGCGGGCGGAGGAGTCACAAGCATCGATGGTCGGTCTAGTGAGCCAGCTGAAAGCTAAAAGTCAGAGATAGTCCGGAGAGAAAGTCAAAGTATCATGGAGTGGTTCGCACGATTGTATCTTTCGGAGGGGAGGTCGGTCGATAATGTAGAGCGATCAAGACGACAGTCTTGGACGGTTTGCATCCAAGGCGGGAGTTGCGCTCTCACGTGATGTACCGGATGTGATTCGCCTGCGCCAAGACTTGACAGAACCGATTCCTAGTCACCCTCGACGGTGGTTCGTATGTCAAGGTAAAAGTTGACGTTGATGGAGAAGAGAGGTAGGGCCAGGGGGATACGATGGAAGTTTGTGACTCCAGTGGCTAGCGGTCGCTTAAGGGGGAGAGTCGCTTAGTGGCGTTAGGCGCTGGGAACCTGGTGACTGGCTTCTGGCGTTGAGTTTGCTCAATTCCTAAGGTAGCTACAGCAGGCCCAATAAGGTCTAAAAAGCAAGCCAAAGTTGACTACCTTATGGCATTTTTCTTTTGAGTATGCTTACTATTGTCCACCTAGCCTTACAGGGCCATGCGTTAGCCAGCGCTTCCCATTGTACAGTCAGACCAAAATAATAACCTGAATGATCATAAATTGGCAGCCGTGACTTATCTGCCTGGCCATGTTGAGAACCCATGGAATAAAGGGACATTTCAAAATCATCAATAAGAAATCTAAATAAAATAAAATAATAAAATCAAAACCGGGGAGAGGATTGTCCATTTTCGCAGAGACTTAAGAGGATTCAGAATAAAGTGGTTAGGCCCATTTGCTCACCTCCTTGCAGCTATCTTTCTATTCATTTTGGTGATACAAACAAGAACACTTGGACAGGACGGTGCATTAGCAATTCAAGTATGGGAAGCAGTTCCTGGCAGTGAATAATTGGTGTGCGACAGTGTATGCGAAAGTGAATAACCCCCCACGGCCGCGCATCGTTGGCCACTACTCTCGCTAGAGAATACTGCTGTCCTGTTGGGCATCAACTATCAACTGAGACACTGCCTTGAAATTCGAAGCACCCTTTCATGGCACAGGCAAAGATTCATTGACCTTGTATCTTCAACTCTTTGACCTCCCTCATTGCCACCTCTGAATTTTGGGCCTAGAAACATGTTTCATGGGCAAGCTCAAGCTGGCACACATGGCCAATCCGGAAGGATTCCCTGTCAGGTCAACAGAAAGGTTATCCTGAACTATCGACATCGCTACACGCAGGGGATAACCCAAAATTTGGAACCAAAAATGAGTATAAGCAAGAATGATACGATTCACGCCAAAAGCCCCGCTTCTTACATAGTTCCGCCCCCTGGTCGCACCACTACTGCACGGTCTTTCTTGCGACCGTGGCCACATGGCCATTGGGTAGTACCGAAACGAAAAGGCGAGGCATCATTGGTTTCAGCTTCACTTTTAGGTATGTAAAAGAGAGGCCTCCTATTCCCGCTCGAGGTCTGAGTAGAGACAGGAAAATCTGACGAGGCCAAGGAGCTACCGCCTCAAAAGTACGTGACAGGCACTTTGATTTGATATACTCCGTACTCTGTAGATCCACTATCTTCAATCTGCAGGAACATTACCCGGGTCCATCACATCGGGGTCAAGGGGAAAGCCGAGAGTCAGAGCGTAGGGGGTTACGGGAAGAGACCGGGGGCTAGGAAACTCCAGAAGAAAGCACGGGGCAGGCCGGTATCAGATAGACGAGCTATGGCGGCAGCTAAGTCTCACCTACCGCTAGCTTGGGCTCCGGGTACCTGAGAGTTGGGACGGACATGGCGGGCAGGGATCTCCGGCGGCGTATTTTCTGTTGTACTCCCATAGTACATTACTATACTATTTTAGTCCATACCCGTTAACCAGTACCAATGGTACTTTTGAAAAGCAGAATTTTCTAGGCCGTGCCCTGTCCTCCACCCCCCGAAATTGATCAATTGATCGTTTATGGCCACAACCACATGGTCCTGACTCCCTGCATGTGTTTTGCTACGCACGCACCGACCAGAGACCCCGGCGGGGGGAGTATTCGGTATGTGTTGCGCAGCCCCTCCGACAGAGAAGGCAATCTTCGATGGTAGAGAAAGTAAAGAAAGTGACCAAACCCAGTAAAAGAAGAAAAGGAAAGAGAAGAAAGGAAAAAGGAATCCTGGTGAATAGCCACGTAGCTCCGTGCAAGTTCCTATATAGTTCGTACGGCCGCGGCCTTTGCCTGATCCGGTGAATCCCTCATACATCAATTCGGGACAAGTGGCCCGTGGTACCCATAGGACTCATGATGTCAGTCCAGACCTTGACAACCACCTGCCCCAGCTGGTTAGTCTTATGTAGCCTCCTTCCATAGGCAGGAAATTGCAGACGTCGCGTGCCTTGAACGGGTTTGTGAAGACGAAAAGTTAGCCGAAACGCGGCCAATGCTTGTCATTGGCGGGGGCGCCTCCTTTTTACCCCCATAGCCACCCATTTTCGTAGTTTACCACGAGTTGGAGGTAATTATTACATCGAGGGTCATTACGAGAAACTAGCTTCCCTGTTGCACTGTGGATACTGTTCAAATGCCACATCGATCCAGGGGTCGGGACCAGGCCGTCCTTCTACTCGACTTTTTCTTCCATTCCCCCTCTCTGTTCTCTTTCTTACTCGGCTTGCCTGTTTCTGGGGAAATAGGGCATCGTTTATGCATACTCCAACTCCGTGACTCAAGCGTGGAAAGCCTTCGCCCAAGCAGATCTTTTTTTGGTTTCAAATCCTCCAAACTACTCCGTACACTAAAGGATATTTTCCGAGCCTCCTGGAACCCGGGTTCTTTCTACTTGCATTTTTCCTTCTCTCGGAATTTCCCCTTGAGCAAAAGACCCCTCGAGCTTCCCATCTAGACAAGCATGTCGCACAGTTCATGAGCCTTGAATTGCTCGAGAATGCAACCGACCGGAGAACCACATTGAAGAGTCAACGGGGACAATCGGACAATCGATGCGCTTGAATTGAAAGGGTATGGATAAGATGTCCGCAGCAACATCTTCATTCGCCGGCCCCTCGGCCTCCGGCTCGGATATTCACTCCAATCTCAGCTCGAATTTTGCCGTGGCCTCCTCCTCGTCCTTGAGCTCCTTGACGGACTACAATACCTACCCACTCGCGCGATATGGCGACCGCACCTACCTTCGCGACCCGGAAAACACATATCCTCTACCATGCGACCTGCTCGAGATCCACCGCCAGAGCCTACGCACCATGATGCTGCTGCGCGTCTTTGGCGGCCCGTTTTGCAACCCCCACTCGGCCAACCAACTGCCCAAGCGCGTCCTGGAGATCGCCTGCGGGTCAGGTTTGTGGTCCGGCCTGTGCCACGAGCATTTTGTCCGCCGTGGTCATCCAAACGTTTCTTTCGTCGGCATCGATGTGGTATCCCTCGCGCCGGAATTGCGCAAGCAAGGAATGAACTGGCAATTCAAACGACATGACCTACGAAAGCCTCGTCTACCTTTCCCCGATGATTATTTCGACCTTGTTTTTATTAAAGATGCGGGCCTATGCCCCTCCAGCCCTGCGCAACAGGCCTCGGGCTTAAGTGAACCCCTCCGGGTCTTGAAATCCGGAGGAATTCTCGAGGTGTGGGACTCGGACTGGGTGTTCCGATCACTCCTCCCTAACCCAGCACCGGCTCGAATGACCTCCACGAAAGACCAAGAGATCGCCGAATCGACCGCCACATACACATTCTCCTCCGCCACACCCTTCACCATGGCTCAGAACAAGTTCCTCGTCGACTACAACTCCTGGGTCGAAAAGTCATTTGACCGGCGCAAACTCACATCTTTACCATGCGCCACCATTGGCCTGTCCTTTAATTCCGAGGTGGATATCCTCGAGAACGTGGACAGTCGCCGCATTGCAATTCCACTCGGTGACATGCGATGGGAGCGAGAAGGAACCGGCAAAGACTCCAAGGGTCGTGCACGCAAGGCACTGACCCCAGAACAGGCTTCTCTCCGAAGGACGGCCTTGATAACGGTCATCCAGATGATCGAGGGGCTAGAACCCTTGCTTATGGAGGCCAGTGGGAAGGGTCGCGACGAGTGGGATCGCTGGTGGGCGGCAATGACCGCCGACCTTTTCCAAAAGGGCAGTCTCGCCAGTGGCGAGTGTCTCGAAGTAAGTGCCTGGTGGGGTCGAAAGAAATGAAACTCAACCCTCCATAAGTCAATTCCGGTGTTTCGGTGGGCGCAAAACAGTGATCATTGATGTGCGCTTCGTGTTGGTGATACCCAATTTGTGATTGTTTTTTTTATTGTTTTTATTTTCTGTTGTTTTTTTTTTCTTGCTCTCCTCCAGGTTTTTTAGGGTGCATATGGTCCGGGCATTTCTTGTCGGGGAGTTTTGAGGTCCATGGTAACGTGGGCTTCAAGAAGTCTCATAGCGCTGTTTCATCGTCCGGTACCTCTTCAAGTAGTATCTGGGGTTTGGTGATCTTGTCAGTGTCTAATTCAAACCAAAATTTTGTGTCGACAGGAAGATGTGAGCTCGCATGATGCTATGATGTATGACAAAATGTATGAATCAGGGACAGCTGCCTTATATCTCGGTTCCGCCCGTGAGCACGAGAAAGCAATAAATAGAAGAATGACAGGATGACCTCGATGATAATGTGCAGTATTGAGATCTTCGTATTGAGATGGCGCGGGAGGATTGGTATAGGCGCAAAGCCGATGGGCACAGTGGGCATATAGGATTCAATCTTACAAAGCTTCGATCTCTATTAAGTCAAAATTAGCGATCAGTCTCAAACCTCGGCGACAGTATCATTGGACTGTCTTACCCTTCTTCACAAACTCAGCCCTGGCGATCCCTTTTCGGATCTGCTCCTCGTCGCGGAGATGAGCCTGGCCAGCAAATGCGCGGTGGAGCCGGTCTCTGAAATACTGATATCCGAGGGGATATTCTCGTCCCATCCAGAGAAGTTCTGCGCGTCTCAGTTGGCGTATGCTCTCAGAAATACGCTGGCGTTGCCAATCTGGTGCAATCTCACCTTTGTACACAGTGATGACCTGCCGGCGCAGCTCAGAGTTGACCATATTTAAGCCATACGACAGCTGATCTTTTTGAAAATCAATAGTACGACGTAGTTGATTAGATCCGTGGGGGGTATTTGCATGGCAAAGGCTGTGAGTGAAGTTGGAGAAAGCTCTCGGGAGTTATCGGTGACGTACGGCCGAGCGGAGATCTTGATCTGTTAACAATTCATCGGCTACAAAAACGCCGAGCAATGAAGTCAAGCTTTCAGCATTTGCCTCGAACTTTGAATTCTCAAAGCAAGATTTGGAATTTCTAGCTAATGCTTGATTGACTTTGACAAATTTTTATTTACGTAGTGCTTTGGGACACGGCTATAGGGAGTACCTCGAGGGTTTCATAGCATTCAATGGTGACTATTTGCTCAACTGAGGCAAAGCAATAGATTGCAGTACCTAAATGTTCGAATCAAGCACAGAGTTAGTACATGCCTAAGAAAATACTGCTCACACTTTCCAAGCATGCGAAGGTATACGGCTACACGCGGGGTTCTCGCCGAAGCTTGTAAGCTTGGCCAAAGCTTCGGCATTTAACTGTTCGCGGCTATCTTAATCAACTCATTCCCATACCAGCATACACCATGATACCCCGATCAGCATTACAGAGGCAGCTGTCCAGCTCAATCTCCTCCACTTCTGCGCGTCGTGCCTTTTCTACCGCCCTAGCAGCACAGAATGCCCGCGCCCCGACACCGGAGAACCCGCCCGCACGCCCGCACGGAATCGACCCGCGATGGCTCACTATGATGAAGCGCCGACTTGGGCGGTGTATGATGTTCGGTCTCAAGCCGAATCAGATTGACGAGGCGGGGAATATTCTGAACCAATTGGCTAGGGATTGGCGAGAATTGATTGCTGGCAGCGAGGGCTTCTTGACTGATGAGAAGAGGCGGAGCTTGTATCGCCATAACGTGGTTTGGGGGGAGATGGTACGGCCCTGGTTGATTTTGTCGCAAGGATTATTGGAGAATGGCTGACATGTAGGATGTATTCTGTCGATTAGGATGTCATGGTAAGCTTGAGCCCCTGTTGTTTGTCTCGCTCGATATGCAAACACATCTTATATCGCGATCAAATGCTAACCGGTTCTTAGGGTATGTATTCTCTTATTAACATGCAGTCCTTTTCTTCGGTTCCCAGTTCTGACTGCTGAGCAGGGCATGTCAACAACGTCACCTATGTTAGATACGCCGAGTCTGCTCGAGTAAACTGGACACGGAACATTGGAAATCATATCGATCCAGCAAACAAGAAACAATGGCTTAATCTTGTTAACTCAACTGGGATCGGGCTCATTCTGCGAAGTATCAAAGTCGACTATAAGTTTGTAAGTGCTCGTTGGGACGGGATTGATGATGAACGGCTTGACTAATGGTTGTATCACGATAGCCCATGAAATTCCCGGACAAGATCACTGTCTACCAAAAGCTAGTGCACGATCCGTCATCGACACCGGCTGGGCATTCTGCATTCCAGCTCCAGGTAATGATCCTGTCGGAAGCTCGCCAACGTCCTGCGGCTCGCTGCCACGAGGAAAATGTCACGTATGACTATAAGAAAAACCAAAAGACCCCCGAGCTGCCGGCTTTCATTTTTGATCAGTTCAAGGAAATCTGGGAACTGCAGGAGAAAGCCAAACAGGATTGGCAGAAGCGTATCCTGGAAATCGAGAACCGAGTCCGGACCCTGGAAACCGACAGCTGGGATCGTGCAGACGCGGTTGAAGATACTGGTTCTGCGAAGCAATAAATATCGGTAAAGACTAAAGTCTACGTACGTCTATCTTCCAGGCAGAAATGACTTCAATCTAAATGATAACCCTCCTGTGCCTGGTTTTTGGTTTTAGCGATTTGAGATCATTCAAGGTCTCTCTCCAATTAAAATTTCTGCCTCAACTTGCCACAATTTACTACGAAGGATCAATCGATGTACCTGTTCAGATAGGTCCGACCTGCCACGGCATATGGGACGGGATGTAGGTAATAAGCCGGACAACAAAGCTAGCAGGTATATGTAGGAGACTCGGGTAAACGTGCCGCTTTTGAGCATTGAGAACCATCATATTTCCCCCTATTGCATGCCTTGTCAATACACTTTAGGATCCATGGATGCTCCACACGATATCCCGCACACGTCCCATTGGATCGGCTATATGCTACGGATTTCCCAGCACAACCCTCCCGGAGTTGGGGCTCTACAGGCCAGCTCAGTCGCCCCACTCCTCATCAGAGTCGCCTACTCGGCACGACGCTAGGCGGCGTTTTACCTCGGAAAGTGGGATGCTCTTATTGGGGTAAAGTACTAACCTCTACAATTGCCCTCGCATTCAACATATGAATGCAAGAGTGCACAAAGTTTTTGGGTTTCAAAGCCTATTAAACAATAAACGGCCAGAAAGTCCCAAACACACAATAATGACATCGGTTTCAAAGTCGCCTGCTGGCGACACGAGAACTGAGCGTTTGGCTAGCTGGGCGGTAAATCTCCGATATGCTGACATCCCCCAGGATGTCGTTGAGAAAACCAAGGATTTCTTTTTGGATACGCTAGGTTGTACTATCGCTGGTCGTCACCATCCAGCTGTCGTTGCTATGTCCAACTTCGCGGTGCAAATGGGTCCTTCGAATGGGAAAAGTGAATTAGTGGATGGAGATCTGAAGTTCACGACTAGCCCGGCTTTTGCTAGTCTAATCAACGGTGCTTCGTCTCATGTAGTGGAACAGGATGATCTTCACAATAGCAGTATTATGCACCCTGTGAGTTTCCTAGAATTGAATTTTGACCTTCAAGCGTTGCCTTTTCGAAATGATTGCTGAGTTACACCCAGGCGACTGTCATATACCCTGCTGCCCTCGCAGTGGCCCAGGAAGTTCAAGCTAGTGGACAAGAATTCATCACGGCCTGTGTTGTTGGTTACGAGGTTGGCTGCCGAGTAGGAGAATTCCTGGGCAAGAGTCACTACGAGGTACGCTATCATGCATTCTCATAATGTATTCACCCGTCCTAATCTTGACAAAGCGCTTTCACACGACTGCAACTGGAGGTGTGATTGGAGTTGCAGCAGCAGTCGCCCACCTTCTAAAACTCGACGCCGAACGCACTTTGTCCGCGATTGGAACAGCCGGAACGCAAGCAGCGGGACTATGGCAGTTTCTAATGGATGCGACACACTCAAAACAAGTACACACAGCAAAGGCATGTTTTGATGGAATCTTCGCCGCATATTCTGCCCGTGACGGACTCCTTGGTCCACGCGATATCCTCGAAGGACCCCGAGCGATGGGGATTGCGTTGGTTCCTGGAAGCACGTATCCCGAAGCGATCGATCAGAATCTGGGCAAGAGCTACCAGGTGTCTCGATCCAGCTTTAAGTGGCACGCGTCTTGTCGCCATACTCATCCCAGTGTTGATGCGTTGTTGAGTCTCATGCAAAAGAACGCGGTTGCCTTTGAGGATATAGAGTCTGTGGTTGCGCACACTTACCAGGCTGCTCTTAATGTTCTTGGTCTCAGTGGACGGGGAGAGACGGTTCATCAGAGCAAGTTCTCGATGGGCTTTGTGCTGGCCGTGGCGGCCAAGAAAGGACAGGCTATGATTACTGACTTTACTGAGGATGATCTGAAAGATTCGACTTTGCGAGAATTCCAAGACCGCGTGGTTATGGAGTTGGATCCGGTGATTGAGAGCAAATTCCCAGAGAGTTGGCAAGGAACTGTTGTTGTTACCACCAAGTCTGGACAGAAGTTTACTGAGACGGTGAAGTTTGCAAAGGGAGACCCCGAGCTTCCATTAACAAGGTATGATCTTGAATGATATGGCTTGCAATTTATTAGAGCTGACTTCATGTTTCAGGGAGGAAATTGAGAGAAAGACACGAGCCCTCGCGATCTATGGTGGCTTCACGGACAGCAACAAAGTCGATCAATTGATTGGAAAGGCTTGGAACCTTGAGAATGAGAGATATCTTAATGGTTTTATCTTTTGATAAGTGTGCGGGGTTACATTCTTGTTGACCTGGCATTGTATATACGCTCATTGAACACGGTGCTTGGAACCCTGAAAGTGTTTTTGATCATTTCCTTCTGGGTGGCTTGGAACATTCCCCATCAACTTAGTTTAGGCAACACCTTGGTAAAACTCACGACGGCCAACAAGGATCTAACAGAGACGCGAGGAGCTTTCACCTTACTCGGGCATTTCACCGCAGGGACCTCAGGATCGACCAGTCTAAATTAAGTGGCATTGGCTCTGTGCATTGGAATGTGGCCACGCCACCATGCGTCTGAGACGCCAACGATTTTTTTGTAACCTTGTAACCCAGAATTTTCAACAATGTACGTAGTAACCTACGCGCAATGAGATGTATAAATGGCGATAACCCTAAAAGAACTTCCCGATCTAGTCGGGACTGGAAGGGTCCGGAAATAGTAGGACGAGGAAGAGATCGGCACAACCTTAGTCCAGCCGTTGTCGGAACCGAGGCAAGTCCGGGCTCCCGAGATTATAGATCGGCATCTATGGACCCAGACCGGAGCAAGACAAGTTCGAACAAGCTATGAAAGTAAGAAAAGTTCTATTTTAATCAGTTGAAGTTAATAACTATGTGAGACGGTAGATATGTGAGACGGGGATCGAAGGGTCAAAGGTGGGCAGACATGACTGGGACCGGTGTGCCGATCTCTTACCTTAACCAACGCAGGATCTACAAGGCAAACTTCGATGCCAAGCGTTTGCTAATCGTGCCGAGAGGGGAGAGCGATTCGTTTCCCTCGTTTTCTCTTCTTTTCTCTTTTTTTTTTAACCTTCATAGTGATGGTTCTCACTATCTTTCAGGCGACAGGTTTTTCGCCACCACAGGTCTTGACAAAATTTCCACAGTTGCTTATATTCTGTGAAGACGTGGATCGGACGTTGTGCCACTGAGCGGAGCCTCTCCAGGCCACGAGAGAGCCGAGCATGTGAAGAAACTACCCTTTTTTGAAAACTTGATACACCGTTTAGGTAACGTTTTTGAGTCTTACGTGTTCCTATCTGCATGCTCTTTGATGGCTACATCCGTCCAATTGTGGGCAAAGGGCCTAAAAGACTCGTGTCGCCATGCATGCCCCAGGTCTGGCGTAAGGATAACCCCGCAGCTGGACGGCCCAGTGAACGGTGATCGTCGTGAGTCGGTCTGATAGCAAAGGGCCAATGACTTGGGGATAGGGCTCGATCACACGCTCATTTCCCCAAGCCTAACTCACCTGCATAGCTTATCATAGCCGGTAGAACGCGGGATGTTGCCCGATGAGCCAAACTCCAGAGTTGCAGATTGGACTAGGGGCCACACTTTTGGGCAGGTGCAAGAGCTCTCCTTTCAGACCCCTTATGGCCGTTATTTGCCGTATCGCTATCCCGCCCAAGTGCATAACTATGGACGGATGTGGAAATTAGAGGATGTTGGACCCAAAGAACAAGTCTTGCTAGCCTCAAGCTAAAACCGTAGGGTCTGCAGATAAAAGACAAGAGTAGTCCCTACCACTACTTATGTATCTATTCCAAAACAAGAAAGATAAAGAAGGTAATCTGCAGGGAAAAAAAGGCAAAAACGTGAAACTGGTAAGTTCGGTACTAGGCGTACAACGGGAAGAAAGCGGGAGGTACCGCCAGCCTAGGCGTGAATGATCGACGCCTTACCGTACCTTACGACTTTTCTGTTTCTTTCTCTTTCTCAACCTCATAGTTCCACCGTGACTTTTCCTTCTCTCCTTCTCGTATTACCACCTTCATTTACTCTCCCCTCCCTCCCCTCACTCTTAATCTTTCATTCGGGACGTCCGAGGAGGATTCTTTTCTTTCCATCTCGTCCCTTCTCCCCTTCCTGCCTGGTCCCAGTCCTTGGCCGTGTCCCGCCAAGCTGACTCGGACCTGGGTTTCGGGCTCCCCTCGTCCATGCCACGCTCATCTACTGCGGGTAGGAAGAACCAGAACAATCGGCACGATAATGGCCTCGTCGGTCCCGGCAAGAAAGTAACCAAGCAGAAATCCAGCGGCCACCTCAACGGCTTCCCCGGCAACGGCTCTGCTACCGGCTCGGGCGCCGCCGCTCCCTTCGATCTCTCCGCAAGTCGTTCCAACAGCGATACCGCCGTCACATCTCCGACGATCGCGAACAAGGGTGTGGATGGGGCGAAGGCCGATGGCAACGTGCGTGGAACGGTGAATGGACATACAAAGGGTGCGGACATGGCGAATGGTCAAGCAAACGACGCTGTGCCGCAAAATGGTGGCATGGCAGGCTCGGCTTCGCGCAATGGCTCTGCAAAGCGCTCAGGCTCCAATGCTTCGATCAACCCCCTCCAGCTCGCATCCACCATCCTCAAGTCGTGTCCTATGTACGACACCATCGCCATCTTGATTTTTCTGCTACAACTTCCTCCGATGGTTCTAACCCTGGTTCAATTCTTGTTCGCGTCCTTGACATTCATGCCTCCGAGCGGTGCTGCCGCTGGCTCCCTATCGTCGAATTTCGATATCTTCCAGGGTCCGGCCGGCACCCCTTCTCTGGGGACAATGATCGCCATGGACGGGTTCTGTCTACTATTCTGGGGCCTATTCATGTGGACGTGGGCGCAAAATTTTGCGATAGATCTCGCTCATGTCCAGGTTGCTATCACATTAGGTGGCGGAGGCTCCGGTAAGAATGGTGGGGTCAACGCCATGTGTGTTGGAATTGTTCTGCTTCTTCACATCATTCGCAGTAAAGGCATCCAAGACTTTGTCCTGGGTCATCTCGTTTCCGCCAAATTCATCAGTCCCGATCTCCTTTCTCAATACTCGAACTTTCTACCTGCCGAATTCCGACGAACCGAAGCGAATGCATCTCCTAGTTGGCTGAGAAGTCTTCTCGCCGTCCATATATTAGCACAAGCCGGGACTGCAATGGCAAGACGTTCTATGGCTAAGAATCGGGCTCCCGCGCCGCCGAGGAGCGGTAAGCGCGGGGATACAGAAGCCTCGGCAGGGTCTCAGGGCCAGGCCGATTCTGCCCTCGAGTCTGCGGCCAGTCTCTCGTCTTCTCTCATGGGCCCGGATGGGCAATTTCTCAAGGATAGCAAGGATCGTCTTACTTCAGCTAAGAAACGCAGGAGGCAAGCAAATCAGGTCCGGAGTCGCCAACCGTTTTGGGCCGCCCTCGCCAGTACAAAGGTTACCGTGATGCGAGAATACGAGCACTCGCGAGCGTTATCCAAGACCGCACGCGGAATTACGTTGACCGAGGAGGACTTACAAGGCGCTTCTCTCGACGATGGACTGATTTGGATTACGGATGTGGATAGTTCTACGATCAAGTTCGCCGTGGGCGATCTCTCTGACGATTCTACGGCGCCGAGGTCTTGTGAACCTTCTCGATTGGAAGGAGAAATTGCACCGTTCTATGTTTGTGTCAATGGTGCGCTTTGGGCCACCGCTACGATCTGCAGGGTCTCCGATTCGTTGAAGGAGCCAAGCGTGGTACATTGGCGGGGCGAGATCTCCGGACTCGCACCCAACTGTGCATATACTTGCTCTTTCGTGCGCAGTGATACCGATGAGGAATTCTGTGCAATGAGTGTCAAGACGCCGGTCACGACCGACACAGAACAAGGTGAGTTTGTTGCTTGGCTTATAATTTATGATGGTCGTTAATCTCATTCACCCATTAGCTATTTCCACGATTTCAACTCCCCCTCAGCCGCCCTATCGACCCTCCTCTCCCACGACGACGTTAAAGAACTCCGTTATCAATGCCGAAGCCAAGCTCAACGAGAAACGCTCTCGCTTGAAGAAGACGAAGAATGACCACCGACTTCTTATCTCAAGGATCCGGAGGGAGCTCGAGAATTTCACCCACCGTCTTCAGAGCGGAACAGACGAAAACCGGCAAAAGCAGCGCTCGCTCCAGCTCGAGCGGAACATTCAGCAGACAGAGGAAGCGACTGAGGTGTTGAAGGTACAACTCGACAATATGGAGAATGTCCCGGAGGAGGAGATGGAGCAATGGTCTGCGCACAAAGCCGATTTCGACCGTGAATTGGAACACTTCAATGCGGCCAAGGAAGACCTCACTGAAGCTCGCCTTGCCGCAGCCCAGCAAATTGCGGCGTTGGAGCAAGAGTTGAGCGCGGCTGTGCAAAAGCGCGAGCGTCTTCAGGGTCGCCGTACCCGGGTCAACGAGCAGTACGAGCGTATCATCTCGGCCAATGCCCAAGGATTGAATGAGAGAGAGCGTCGCGCCGCCGAGCAATTTGCCCGAGAGCAAGATCACGCCAAATTGGAGACCAATTTCCACGAGCAATTTGCTAGCATTAGTCAGTCTGTGCAGGACTTCCAGTTGCGTACCAGTGAACTATGGCAGCAGGCATCCGCTATTGAACAGTCGATTCAACAGCAACAACAAATGCTTCTCGAGTCTGGCCCCCTCACCCCCGAGGGGAATCTGCCAGGTACCAATCCGCTGTCCGAAGTCAACCTGCCGACCTCTGCTGCTCCGAACGGCCGCGCTCTGTCGGGCCTCAGCTTTCCTCCGACGAAACCCAGTCCGCTGCAAATTTCCGAGTCCAATCCAACGAGTCCCGTGCAAGATGTCTTCATGCCTCATTTCACGAGCTCCCCAATGGGCAATGCCAATTCATATTTCGGAGCTGATTACAACCGCGACCGCTCATTCTCTAACCGCTCCGCTCGCAGTAGCCAATACGGCTCGGAGTTCTTCGACTCCAACCGCCTGCCTCCCCTACAGCTCGATCTATCTGACTTACTCTCCGAAAAGCATCGATCCGGATCGGACAGCTACGGGAATGGTAACGGCTTTCTGTACCAGAACGGCCGTCCGACCCTAAGTCCTTTCCAACGAGCTGCGAGTCGAGGAAGTGGAGCTGGCAGTGGATCTGGTAGCGGCAGCAGAAGTGGCAGTGGTAGTCCGAAGTCGACACGCGATTGAGGTCCTGAGACCATTGTTCGGTTGAACTCTTTGAGTTCCGCGCGTCTGCCAACCCGTCTGAGTTGCGCTTGTGCTTTCCATTCTATCTGTTGGGTAACGCTTTGTCTTGCGTCTACTCGCCCTGAAGGTCTTCATCGAGTCGTGTTTGATGGTCATGGATATTCCGGCTATTGCTGTATGACTGGTGTCCTCGCGATGAGACTAGGTGTCGGATCAACTTGAAGTGAGATGAATCAGTTCTGTCCTCAGAGAGAAAAAAGCTTGTTTTATACATTATACTTGGTCGCATTTTTGCGTAGTTGTAGCCACGATCGATCTCCGATCCAAGGGTCTTCTTCCTAGTTTCCTAGTTTCGTAGTGCTGAGAGCCGACGCGGGGCTAACTCTAAATGGCAACTCACCGCGATAAGAACGACCCCGGGATGTTACTCAGACTTCCCCTGCTATCCTCTCCACAGTACGTTATACATTGCGTCCAAGTACACATGGGCACAAAGACAAGGCGTTCCCACAACGGCTGTGCACGCTGCAAAAGGCGCCGCCAAAAATGCGATGAAGCAAAGCCGGCTTGCGGCCGCTGTCTACATGCGGGGATCGCCTGTGAATACACAGTCATTTTAAAATGGAACGGCCGCGTTCCGAGAGAGGCAAAGTCTTCTGCCATCGGCTTTATATCAGATTCGACAAGTACCAGCTTGATTGACCGGTCGAGTAATCCCAACTTCACACCTTCTGCGCTGGATATCGAGCGGCCACTCACTGCTTTATCCTCACAAACCCAACTTCTACTCCATCACTTCCTCACAGAGGTGTCCCAGAATTCCAGCCACGCTTACCTCCGAGATAATGAATGCCAGGACATTCTCTCGATGGTCCATCATTCCGACTCGCTGAGATATGCAGTGATGGCCATGTCGGCACTTCACCGCTCCACTCTGGTGAACGGATTACCCGATCAATTCATACCAGAAGCAACGGTCTTGAAATTGATTTCAACGAGTATCAACTACCTTCGCCGGGACCTCGAGGTACCGGATTTCCCAAGCCAGCCTCTACTTCATACTATTAAAACACTTTGTCACTGTGAGATATTCTCGGGGCGCGCCGATTCATCGTGGCGGGTTCATGTCAATGGTGCTGGTGCTTTTCTTGCAGCAATGGCTTCACAGCAAGACCCTAACGGTCCTACATCGGGGTCCTCGTTATGCTCTCGGTGGTTCTGGTCCATCCAGGCACTTGCTGCCGTAACGGACTTTGGGTTCCTATCGGTTCAAACTATAGGGTCAACCATGCAAGGTGGTAGTGATGATTACTATTTTGACATCTATACCGGCTATTCTTCAGACCTCAACATTGCTCTTATGCAAATCGGCCTCCTAGCACACCAACGCAGTATGACCGAGAACAACAGAGAGGATGACAACGAGTATCATGACCAGATTAGAAGGCTTGAACGCGCGATTCGGAATATGATCAGCCGTGACCACGAATTGGGGTTGAAGTTTCCCATTCATCATTCGCTGGATACCAAAACTACTAATCAATTCCGCGCCTGCAATACAGCTTATCAAACTGCTAGCTTGATTCATCTGTATAGACGGGTACAAAGTTTACCTACATTTTGCATTGAAGTTCAAAGGTGCGTGAGGGATATCTTGGATGCGGTCTGCATGATTCTCCCGGTGACGACACTTTCTCCTTGGATCCTCCTGACCACACCGATATATACAGCCGGGTGAGTTTATACCTGTGTAAGTCGACGTTGATGTGACTGACATTCTTGTGCCTAGCTGCGAAGCTGTTGGGTCAGATAGGAAGGTGGTCAAGGATCTTCTTCTGGAACTATACTCCAAGCTGCACATACGGAATATCATCAGAGCAATTGAAATATTGGAACAGCGGTGGAGAATGCTGGACATCTCCAAGGATATACTCTCAGGGCCCGAGGATATGAAAACTGCAGGCTTGCTGGACTTTATACCATATTAACCCGCATTTGGCACTCGGCCAAATAGATGCAACATTTGTAAGTTAATATGCGGGGAAAATCTTTTCTATATATACAAGCAGCAGATCGAATACTGCTATGAAGGTATTATGTACAGCACCACAGGTCGAACGCGAACAGTGATGTCTTCCATGATTTACATGAGACTTGCCACATGCCCGTCGTATGTGTAATATTTAAATTTCAATTCCCATCTTCCAGAAGCGGGTATCGGCATATGTCAGACACAATTGTTCCGGTGAATGTTCATCTATACCGGAGGAATCAGGCTCTAGATTCGAGGCATTGACCTCGATTGCGCGCACAACCGTGCCAAGCACAATAGAGTGATCATGCACGTCGATCTTGTTCGGATAGAGAGTGCATTCAAAGACAAACGGGAAGTCCGCGGACTGCGGATCTTTCGAGTCCTTGATTCTCCGTCTTAAGATGGGAAGCGGTCTCTCGGTTTCGCCAGCTTGCGCCTTCGACTCCACGTCCAATGCCCTGAATTCAAAGTCACCATGTCCGTTCAGAATTGAGGATAGCGTGGTATTTCCCTTGGAAAAGTCTCTAGCGAGCGTTGCAGTATCAGGTCCGGGTGCGAGTAAATGAACAAGGAAGCGGCCTGAGGCTAGTAACGCATTCAAGGTCTCTGATGGTCGACGCACATTGAAAGAGATCACGGGGTCTGGTGAAAGGGTCACGGTGCTGAAGGACGAAACAGTCATGCCGCGGAATGAGGATGTATCTGCTGGGCCGGTGGGATCGGTGGCTGTGATGATGGCGACGGGGTAGGGCACACGACGCATGAGGAGGCGGACATGTTCGGATATTGAGGATGCGGGTGATGTTTGAGGGATGTGTGTCGATTCTGCTGTATTGTGGCTTGGTTTTTGGGTATCTTCTTTTGGTGAAGTTGCAGGATTGCTGTTGTGTCGCCGAGAGGATTGCGACTGTTGATAGCTCGGCGAATTATTTCGGAGGGGCGAGGATAAAGTTCTGGTGGTAGGGAGACTTGGGTATAATGACTCTAGAAGCACGTTAGGATCACTAGACTTCATCTGATACGCTCTAATAGATCGAGAACTCACCTCCGAGGCCTCTCCGGACCGCAACGCGCGGGATTGCTAGCTTCATCCCGCAGCTGTTCAGGCGGAGCTATCGCCCGACTCTCAGTGAAATCGCGGGACTGTCAGATGGTTAACTATCTAGCAGTCGAATGTCGTCAATTGATTTCGGATAAGCAGGTAAAAAGACCCGATAGCAACTGCGCGGTGGGATTTCTTGAATTTGGTTCGCAGGAAAGTGACGGGGTTGCTGACTAAGGCGCGATAATTTCTCTGCGGAAAGTTGTATAGCATCAACTCATCTCATCTCTGTTCTCTGCAACCTCCGCCACCCCATTGCGCCCGCCTGATAAACTAATCGGGCCCGCATCATTTCCGAGCTCATAAAATCGCCCACGTCATCCGGCGCCAACCCATCTACAATGTCAATGCACATCTCTCTCCGCCGCGCCGCGGCCACATTACCAAACTCGACAACCACGATCCTCCCCTCCGGCCGGGTGTCAGCCTCTCAAACTAATGCTACAACTTTCGTCTGCTCGCAATGCCGCCATGCCACTCTTCTCCGCCGCCCCAAGCGCCCCTATACCTTTACCCAGCTCATCACCCTCTCCGACGGCAGCGCCTTCCTCCACCGTACCACTTCTCCTGCCCCGATCTACCGCTCCACGCGTGACACGCGCAACTCTCTGCTCTGGAACCCCTCCAGCAGCAAACTGATGAACGTCGAGGATGACGAGGCCGGTCGATTGGCTGCTTTCCGTGCGCGATTCGGCCGCAGCTTCGATGCGAATACCCCTGTTGCCGATACCAGCTCGAGCTCAAAGGACCCCGCCACCAAGAAGGCCGAGGAGGCTGCTGCCAAAGCCCAAGCTCAGGCGGAGCAGGAGGAAGAGGACAACCTTTTGGATTTGATTAGCGCCTTTGGACAGGAAGAACCCCAGCCGACTGGCAAGATCTTCGATAAGAAGAAGAAATGAGCGGCTCCATTGGCTGACTATTGGTGAGCGTTGAGAGGCGGAAGATTCGGTTCTTGTCGGATGGGCCTGGAGTTGGGTTCCTTTGATTCTGTATCACTTGTCTTGTACACTATACATATGTCCTTTTTTACTTTTTACTGTGCATGAATGGCCATGAATGGCCATTTCATTTTCTACTTCGCCATTCTGGCCCTTGTACACCCGGGGGATGTGCACTATGCAACCGTGGGCCTTCTATCTCTCTCTTGCTGTAATTGTTCCAATACCAGTATTCACCGTTGTCTTTTTTGTTCTCCAATTACTGTGGACCTATATTGTTAAGTCTTCATACCTATAGATACCAAATTCACTCAATACCTCATATTCCGTTTAAATTCCGTCTACATTTTACTCTCTTTGAGCTCCATGTCCTGTCCAATCTTTCTGTCTGCTTTGATACTTTTCAGGGATTGTGGTTCCTTGGCGGCATCTCCAGCTTCCAGCTGCTCGACTGTGGCAGCAAATGCAGCTTCCACATCATGCTCCGATAGCCACTCCGTGTTCGGTCTGCTCTTCATTCTCTTTATGAGAGCGTGCTCTTCCTCTTCTGGTGTCATATTTCCTTGAGGCTTTTGGCTGATCTGATTGTGTATAATATGCAGCAGTCGTGCAGTATGCGGTTGTCTTGTTTTGCTGTATAACTCGAGCGCCTTGCCAACCTTATCAACCGGGAATGATGGCGGTATCGAGCTTGAACTAAAAACATGCTTCATAGCAAGACTGAGCGCCAAAGCATCATCAAGTGCTAAAGAGCCACCTGCAGCAAAAGCACCCCCGTGAGCATGTGCTGCATCTCCAATCAACGTGACACGCGACCCAAATACCCAAGTTGGAAGGGGGTCTCCAGCAAAATTGGGATAGAGGTGGGTGTAGGGAGTCAGCTGGGTGAGAGCTCGGATTGTTGGATTCCAGTCCTTGTATCTTTCCCTCAAGAAATCCACGTTGCCTGGCTGGTCCCAAGAAATATGTTTCTCGATCTCTTCAGCCGAGTGTGGATCATCATAGGCGCCGACTGTGGTATATTTGCCTTTGCCTAAGGCTTGTTAATTATGGCGATGATCTATTGGGCTTGATATGTTCACGTACCCAGTCGCGATGCAAAGAAGTTATCCTTTGGTCCCCACTATCAACAAATCAATATACACTTTCGGGCTGAATGGAGGATGAGTATACACACCCAATGTATTGAATCTGCAGGTAGATCGGGCACGTTGCCATCGACGAGAGATGCATCAAAAGTAGATCTCATAAATACCTTTCCAGTGAAGCGAAGCTTATACTCAGGAATGAATGACTGTCTCACTCGCTGTATTAATCATTAGCAAGTTTTTCGGCCTGACCACAGTCACAACAAACCGATCGGATTCCATCTGCTCCTATCAGAATATCACCGTGAGCACTGCTTCCATCCTCGAAATAGAGAGATACTCCATCTTGGCTCACTTCTGCACGCGCGACCTTTTTGTTCAAATGAATAGACCGGGAATTGACGTGCTTCAGAAGAGCACTATGCAAATGGCCACGGTGGAAACGAGTTGTGTGGTGACAAGGATCTGGAACGTTGGCGTGGGTATCAAAAGAAACGATTTGGTCGGTTTTCCAGTGGCTATAACTATGAGCAGAGTTCTGGAAATGGAAACGAGAAGACATCTACCGAAAGATTTGTGGAATTCCACTTGGTCCTCTGTAGCCTACCTCATCTGTGAGAGCTTCGTGTACGCCGAGTTTCTCCAAAGCACGCATACCCTGTGTAATCCACTTCTTAGATATATGTTTCATGGATCTGGCGGAGATCAAGAACGTACATTGGGGCTGAGCGCAATGCTGGCACCAATTTCAAGAAGCTCAGGAGCTTGGTCGTATAGTTGTATATCAAGATGCGGAATCGTTGACACTCGCTCGAGGGAGATGGCTGCTGCAAGCCCCGCAATACCAGCACCAGCAATAATCACGCGAAGAGTATCTTCATCTGCCATCTTCGTATCGAAAGAATGTTCCTCAATAAGTCCCAAAAGTGTGACTGAAGAGTTCATAGAGCCTTGAATTTGAATTGTATGTTTAAAGTTGACCAAATCGCCTTATCATCTCATCTGCCCAGGTGCGGTATGCAACCCCGCAATGGCGACTTCACGCGTGCTTCGAGTGTTGATGACACCAATTTGAATACTGTTTAAATAATGAGAACTTGATATATGACTATCAATTACAATTATCAAGTCTATTGCCTCAAATGCAGTAGCATCAATCTAGTAATCTTGATATCTCGCGCGTGCTGTAGTGGAAGGCTACCTGCGATACCATCCTTTCCCGAAGAACATCCCGATCTAGAGCCGCGTGCCGAGTTGAATAGCTTCCAAAGCACCCCTGACTACGCCCCTGCTCCCGGTGCATTCAATTATACAGAGTAGCTCTTGATACTATCTATACGTTGGTAAAATCGATAGATGCACCGATGACAGCAGCGAGTGTTAATATCATCTCTATTGATGCTCCTCCTAGGAACCATTCAAACCCACAATTCATTTACCCATATTAGTAATAAAACAAAGCCCGCAGGCCACAATCACAAGTCAGCAATCTAACGAGAAAACGCCGGGTATATATAAGCCATAGAATCATAACACAATCCACCTCACCCCAACTCATGCACAGCCTGAGCCGTATTTCTCTGCGACGAACCAATCTCATGAACCATGCTAGGGTGCTGGTCTGAGGACAGTTCAGATGTCTGCCAGTTGGATGTGGCTTGAGACATGGAGTGTGTATCGGGAGGCATGTAAACGGGTGACCAGGCCGGTCCGTCATCTGAGGCGGGCTTGCCCTTTCCGAATAGCGCTAGAATCTTCTTCCGGAAGATGAGCGCTAGTAGGATTACGAGGGCGGCGACGCCGCCGATGACTATTCCTGCGATTGCGCCGCCTGAGAGACTGCTGCTTGAACCGTCGGAGGTGGAGGTAGAGGTGGAGATAGAGGTGGAGGTTGAAAATGAGGTGCTTTGTGCATCGGTATTTGTAGCGGTGTGATGGCTTTTGGTTGCGGCTGAAATGGGAAATGAATAATCAGTATGTTTACAGATTATTTCTATCTTCTTTGCTGCACTTACTGGCAGAGGCAGATGCGGACTCGGTCTTCGCAGGCGCGGCGGTGGAGGAGGAGTAACGAGCAGGAAGTGTGCGATAGAGGCTGTTGGCGGCCCAATTGATCATACATCCGTATCTCAGTACGGCCTCGCTATCATCGGAGCCTTCGGTTGGGAAGATTTTGTAGGAGGAGCATGAATAGGACGTGGCACTGAATCATACCGTTCAAGATTAGTATCGCGAAGAAATGAAATAAATGAGGATATGAAACACGACACATACCACACACCAGAATCATCTCCTCTGAGGAGTGTGGATCCATCGCATCCCGTGGGAATGGGAGCCGAAGATGAGGGATCGTAGCAATCCGCAAATGTGCTACTTGTGTAGTAGGTCTGCGTCGACGCGCAAATAATAGGCTGGGCTATAGAGGTCAGTCGGGGTCTTGCATCCACGAATAAGTGAGAGTAAGAACGAACGAGTCGTCTGCAGATACCAGCCCTGAAAGTCCGCGCTAGTAGAGTAATCAGCAGCAACGAAGGTCGCCGAAGTCGTTGCTGCCATAGAAGCCGACATAGCGAACCGAAGAAGGTTGTATAGCTCAAATTGACCAACTCGCACCCCGAATCTGAGAGGAAGAAAAAGGACCCAAAGGGAGATATGGGCGCTGACAAAAGATAAATAAATCCGAGTAAGCTCAGGGTAGTTCAGGGCCCAAAGCCCGGCCAATATCCTGCCACTAGACTGCCAAATATCATCGCGAAAAGGGACCCAGTGGGGGCCGACACTCAAACCCCTCAGCCACTCAGCAGCGCTATTTCGGAGCTCGTCCCCGTGAGCGCTAATAGCGGTGCGGCACTGGCAATGGCTGAACACGAGAGATGGTGGATTCGCTATCCTGGTAGCCCATTGTCAAGCGCATATCTAGTTCTCGTGACCGTCCAATCAAGGAGGTATTCTTCTGGCGTAATCTCCATCGGGGGCTCAGTGGCCCCATGAGAAGGGCGAGACTGTAGATCCACCCCCAAGCAAAGGTTAGCGCTGCAGGGCCTTGTTACGGCGGGATCTGGGAGTCCTCCTGTACGGTCAGACTCCGGCTTCTCTGACCTAGACATCTCTCCGCTAGGGACCTGAACCGGTTTCATGGGTGCAGGTTTTGTAGCCGCACGTGTGGACATGTATGTACATAGTAAAATTCGGTTACTTCCCTGGATGTTTGGCTTTGGTTGTCATCAATGCACGAGGGATCGACTGTGACAGTTCTGGATAAGGGTTGGCGCAATGTGATGTTGAGAAGCGGAGTGGATCTGACCTAGACTTGAATATCAGGGACGTTCACGTGGCGACGAAACTTCACTGCCGCTTGCGCTGAGACGATCCCTTTCCCTCTTCATACTAGGACTGACTGAGTATACGGTACACATTCGATTGCGATCGGAAACTTCTGGTTTTGTATCGGCTACAGTACACGATAGTGGTATTTGGACGGATGCTCTCAGTATACAGAGTGCTGGTAGAGGGAAAAGACAAAAGGCAAAGAGAAATCACAGCTGGCTGAAAGTGATCATTGAGTTGCAGTATTCATATAGAATACACAAGGGGGCTGAAGGGTATATCTGTCCCGGGTTGGTACATCAAGTTCCGAGAACCATGAATAGAAGGAACTAAGCCTCCTCGTCGGTTGCGGGCACGGGGGACGCCACGGACTCTGGCGCAGCATCCCCAGCCTCGCCGGATACCGGAGGAGGCACGTAGTACGGAAGACCGTCTTCCCCGGCATCGAGACGCAACAGGAAAGTCTCCCAGAGCTCGATTAACTGTGAATACGTGTGAGTAAGAAGAAATCCAAGAACCTAAATAGGAATCTTTGCTTACCTCCTTCTGAGCCTCGACGGCACTCTCAAGGAAGGTTTCCACGCCGGACTTGAAATCTTCAACCTTCTCCTTCTCGAACCGTCCCAGTTCGTTGCGCATTAAACGGCCCATGTCCTCGAACAACAAACGTGTCTGGTGCACCTTGCGCTCTGCATCGGCAACATCGGCATTGGCCTGGTTCAATCGGTCCTGCTGAGTCTTGCCTTGCCGAAGTAGCTTGTCTTGAGTATTCTTGCGCTTCTGTAGATCAGACTCGGCGGCATGCCAAGTGTGGAAAGCCTTTTGCCGCTGGCTAAATGCCTGCTTTATGCTGCCAATCAGGCGAATGTACTCGTCAATGGTGATACCCAGGGTCAGAACATCCTGCTGCGCTTGGCGCTCGTAGAGTTCCCGGATGCGCAATTGGAGCTCAGACAACCCGTCCAAGGGTGATGATAGGGCCGGAGAGAGCTCGACAGAAGCGAGTGCATGCAGTGAGCCGGAGAAATCCCCCGCGGCCTCTGCCAGACCTTTACGCTGCATAACCACGGTGTCCATTGATTTCATGAGAGCCTTCAACTGGTTCTCCAGTGCATCCAGGTAGATTTTGCGGTCATGGAACCACTATTCAGAAGTTAGAAGGGTTGAACAACCCATTTTTCAAGTGTACTTACGTCGTCATGCTCCACAAACTTGCCTCCTCCACCGACAGAGATTCCGAGTGAGCTCAGCATACCCTTGCTCTGACCCAAATCAGGCTCCCGGTTTTCCTTGTTCTTGACATCAACATTGAAAGCATCGCTCTCGAGGAAGATCTTCAGATCGCCGTCGTGCTGGAGAATTGGGTGGCCAGCAATCTTGTTCAGCATTCGCTCCAGAGCAGCTCTCCGCGACTCGACAAAGTTTGTATCGAACCGACCAACAGCCTGTTTTTCAGGTGGGGGAGCCACAACCACCCCGGGGTTGTTGCCGTGCATGGAGTTGTAAAGCCAAAGGAAATCACGGTATCGACGACTGACAGAGAACTCAGGCACGCGGTATGCTTTAGAAGTTGTCTGGTCACCACAATTGATTAGCATTTGCTCTCCCAGTTTCCTTTGAGAGGTTAGGAATCAATTACCCTTGTCCGAATTTGATAAACAATGTGACTGCTAGTCAGATCCCCGACTTTGTGCGGGTCTCCGACACTGATTTCGAATGTAGGCTTTGCAGCCTGCTCTACGCTCATGCTGGGTTGTGTCTGTCGCTTCGGTCCCTCGACATCGGCATGTGGTTGTACGGGCGGAGGTCCTCGGAAACTGCCGCCATCTTCTTCCAGGTTGACAGAATCCGCCAGGCCGGCTCCGCTAGAGGTCGGAGAAAAAGTCGAGGCCGGCTGGGGACTGCGGCCAGCAAGCGATTCCTTCTGGGGAGGTGCCGGGGCTTCATCGGTAGGTGTCGCGCTAGTCTCGGTCGTCACTTCTCCGAGCGGACCAAGGGGATCGAATGTGTCATCGACGGCTTCCAATCGAGTTGCCTGTGCGCTATTCTTGCGCGTGCCCCGTGGGCCTCGTCTTCCAGGTGTACGAACCTCGGCGGTACTGACGGACAGTGCGGGCTGGGCGGAAGCTGTAAGGAGACCCGCCGTTAGTGAGGGGTTGAGGGGAGCGGAAATGTTTGTGAGCAAGACGCACCACCGTCATTGGTATTTGGCTTCGATGTGACGGGGCTAGAGGCCTGGGAGGGCTCATCTGCACTGGAGATTAGATCGCAATCCCAAGAGCTGGTATCATGACTGCCTACCGCCCCACGGGGAGTCTCCCGTGTCAATGTTCATTGTTACCGGTCGTGAGCAGAGGCGAAGCTAAGAAATATGCGGAGGTAAATGATCAGAAAAATGGCATCAATGGTCCACTCGAAGCTCAAGAGGGTCGGGGGACTTGAAGGTGGGAAGCTGGTAGTGGAGGTGGAGGATGATCCGCGGTCCTTAGTCACTCACGGGATCTCCAACCCCCAAGCTCCGAAGGTGGCTTCTTCTTTCCCTCACCCTCAAGGCTGGGAGCAATCAATCTATCCCTACGGATCTACACATTTACACCGATTCCGATTACAACTTGAACCCCTCTCTACCATGCTACTATGGGAACGAGGTGGAGTCGTTGAGTACCATTAATACGTCACATCATCTCTAGGGTTCCCCCAGATTTGGCCCTTGGCCAATCTATACGTGAATGCCTGTTGAAGCCGGCCATGCACGCCACATAGGGAGAAAGTTCTGGCCATCAAGCTCGTGAAGATGCTTATTTAATCCAAGGAAGGCCCAGCTTGTGCATTTCCACGGCCAACTGGAAAATGTAATCCAGACTCTCACACTGGGTCTTGGCCTTGGCAGGGGTGTCACCCCAGACATAGCTGTTATCATTGTTAGCGGATCAAAGCTTTCAAAAAAAGAGTCAATGCTTACATTCCATGTCTCCGCACGAGCACCGCATAGGTGTCAGGGTACTTGTTCATCGCCGCCTCCAGACCTTCGGTCAGATCCTCCTCGTATGGGGTGTTCTCGATGATCGGGATGCGCAGAGTGTCGTGGTAGTCCAAGTAACCCTTACCCTTCCCACGAGGGATACCCTTGATCTGCTCGATGTGGCTCATCTCGAAGCATGCTTCAGAGCCCTTCTCCCGCTCAACTAGCAGGGTGATCAGAACTGCCCATTGCGAGTGAGTGTGAATACAGCAGCCGGCACCTTGCTCAAACGCCGTGAGGAACAGCGGGGTGCAGGCGGATGGTTTCAGTGCGAGGGGTTTGCGGATATAGTTGCGATCTTCGGCGGGGTATTTCTTGGTGGGCCATTGAATGACGAAGATGTTGTCGGACTTGATGAGTTCCTTTTGGACACCAGAGGGCGCAAGGAAGATGTGATCGCCATGGCGAATGGATGTCTGGAGCGCGTCAACGGGTTGTTGCGCTTCCTTGCGCGCAGAAACTTACGCCTCCACCAGTGCCGGTAACCCAGCCCCAGTTGTAGAATTTACGGCACATCTCCGGGATAAGGTTGGCCGGGTGCTCGGGGTCATCCGACTGCACGAGATAGTCATAGTTGGTCGTGGCCTCGACGGCCTCGTGTCTGTCACCGCACATGGTGGGCTGAAGATCCGTGCTTTTCGGCACCTCGATTCGAAAGATCGGGTTCGAGCAAGCTAGCGATGCAATAATTGCAATGCCGTGGAAATGGTGATCGGATCCTGGCCCAGTACGAAGCCCAGAAAGTAGTCAGCTGAAATGAATCGGGGATGAAGAAACACGGTGTAACGGCGCATAGCGCAATCCAATGGATCTTGTCGGGCGGGGTGGGACTCTGCAGCTCCGCCCATTACACACGGCACTTGGGAATTACGATAAAACAGCCCAACTCCGAAGGAGCGAAGGAGAGATTTATTAGACAATTCAAGCACATGATTGTGATTTCAGAGTATTTATCCCAAATGTCTCAATAAAATCTAGGGAGTTCGGTAATCAGTGTAGATAGAAAGGGATCGAAAGGTCGCGGGTACCTCGCAGGGGCTAAACCCGATTGGGGAGCTGGCATGGAAGAGGCCACCTGGACTGTCGCCCTGCTCTTCTTCTATATAACCACCACGGGCTCCGCTTCTCCTCTTTTCCCTTTCGGTGTTCTTTTTCCCTTTCCCGGTTGTGCGCTTCTTTGTACTATTCATCATGCGCTTCGACGCTGCTGCCTTCACGGCTCTGGTCTCCTCGGCCTCCCTCATGGGCCTCGCCTATGCCGAGGAGCCTGAGCTTAACTCTGATGCCACCTCCATTGAGAGACCTATCTTCACGGTACGTAACCCCACCCTTCAATTCCCATGAACTTTTCTAATTGTTGGTTTATTTAGCCTACTGCTCTCAAGGCTCCCTTCCTCGAGCAGTTCACTGACGACTGGGAGACCCGCTGGAAGCGCTCCACCGCGAAGAAGGATGACCCCAAGTCCGACGAGGACTGGGCTTATGTTGGCGAGTGGGCCGTTGAGGAGCCCAGCGTCTTCAAGGGTATCGAGGGTGACAAGGGTCTTGTTGTTAAGAACCCGGCCGCTCACCACGCTATCTCGGCCAAGTTTCCCAAGAAGATTGACAACAAGGGCAAGGCCCTGGTGGTCCAGTACGAGGTTAAGCCGCAGAACTCCCTGGTCTGCGGTGGTGCCTACTTGAAGCTTCTTCAGGACAACAAGAAGCTCCACCAGGAGGAGTTCTCCAACGCTTCCCCTTACGTGATCATGTTCGGTCCCGACAAGTGCGGTGCCACCAACAAGGTATGAATGTCCAGTTCAGCTAGCATTTGCGGTCCCCAGCAACTAACAAACCATTTAGGTTCACTTCATCTTCCGTCACAAGAACCCCAAGACCGGCGAGTATGAGGAGAAGCACCTCAAGACTCCCCCCGTGGCCCGCACCAACAAGGTCACCTCCGTTTATACTCTTATTGTCAACCCCGATCAAACTTTCGAGATCTTGATCAACGGCGAGTCCTCTAAGAAGGGCAGCCTTTTGGAGGACTTCAACCCTCCTGTCAACCCTGAGAAGGAGATTGACGATCCCAAGGACAAGAAGCCCGCCGACTGGGTCGATGAGGTCAAGATCGCTGATTCTAAGGCCACCAAGCCCGAGGATTGGGATGAGGAGGCTCCTTTCGAGATCGTTGACGAGGAGGCTGAGAAGCCCGAGGACTGGCTGGAGGATGAAGTTACTAGCATTCCTGACCCTGAGGCCGAGAAGCCCGAGGACTGGGATGATGAGGAGGATGGCGACTGGCTCGCTCCTACTGTCCCCAACCCCAAGTGTGCCGACGTCTCTGGCTGCGGCGAGTGGACTCGTCCCATGATCAAGAACCCCGAGTACAAGGGCAAGTGGTCCGCCCCTATGATCGACAACCCTGCCTACAAGGGCCCCTGGGCTCCTCGCAAGATTGCCAACCCCGCCTACTTCGAGGACAAGACCCCCTCCAACTTCGAGCCTATGGGCGCTATCGGTTTCGAGATCTGGACCATGCAGAACGATATTCTGTTCGACAACGTCTACATTGGTCACTCCGCTGAAGATGCTGAGAAGCTCCGCCAGGAGACCTTTGATGTCAAATTCCCCATCGAGGAGGCTCAGGAGGAGGCTGAGAAGCCCAAGGTTGAGCAGCCCGCTGAGGGCACCACCGTTACCTTCAAGGAAGACCCTGTCACCTTCGTCCGCCAGAAGATCGACTTCTTCGTCGGCCTGGCCAAGGAGGACCCCATCAACGCTGTCAAGACTGTCCCTGAGGTTGCCGGTGGTCTGTTGGCTCTTCTCCTCACCTCCATCCTGATTATTGTCAGTGCCATTGGCTCCAGCAGCCCTGCTCCCGCCCCCAAGGGCAAGCAAGCCGAGACTACCTCCAAGGAGAAGACCGGCCAGGCTACCAGCTCCTCTGCCGACACTAGCAAGAGCGGTGCTACCAAGCGTAACACCCGTTCCTCCGCGGAGTAAAAGGCGCGAGAGAGTGGAAAAGAAGCTTACCCCATTAAATCAAATGAGATCACATCGTTCTACTCCGTTGATTCCTTTTCCTGTTTGTATTTTGGCCTGTGTAGTCGTATCCTAGGTAGTGATCCACCTCGGAATGAAAGCCCGGTATACTTTTTGTCCACGGTGTCCAATAAGTTTCGTAAAGTATCATCTCCACTTTCAATGTTGGAGGACAACAATGTCTCTCCATTTTGGAGTTTGCCGGATGGAGTATGTCCAAGTCCCGATCGAGTAATGACTTGAGATTGGCAAGTTTAGTCAACTGCAGTTTCCCTCGGAATGGCCTGCCTAACCCACACTAGAGTGGAAGCTCAGTGCGATTTAGTGTGATTGCGGGCAGCTTCGGCGATATGGCCGTATCTATGGCCAATATGATTGGTTCCCCGCGCCGAGGTAGCTTATCGGCTGGCCATTGTAACTGTTATTTGATTATGGGGAAATCCGATGCAAGGCGGTCGGTTGACCTCGGGCCTGGGGTAGTGATACTTCTTATACTTCCCAATTGCCACTCTCCTTCGTTATTACTCTTGTTCCTCCCCCTTCTCAGAGATACTATTCTTGATCCTCATATCTCTTCACACATAATTCATCATGGCCGCCCGTCGGTCTTTGGCCCGTCTCCCGGCCCTTCACTCCGTCCCCCGCACTCCTGCCGTTACCGCTCGAGCTGCCGCCGGTGCTCGGTCTCTCACAACCGCAACCCCAATGGCTAGATCGACTGCTCAGAGAGCTACCGCTACCCCCGGAGCTATCTCTGCCTCTCGCCGATTGCATGCCACTGCCCGCCAGCTTGCCCCTCCCACGACCTCGGCTGCTACAACCGCAACGGAATACCCGACAACCCACGAGAAGATCTCTAACCCTATCGACACCGCCAACTTCCTGGACAACGAATTCGTCACATCCAAGGCCACCAAGTGGATCGACCTTCATGACCCTGCTACCAACAACCTGGTCACTCGTGTGCCCCAGAGCACTGATGAGGAGCTGAAGGCCGCCGTCGACTCAGCCGAGAAGGCCTTCCCCGCCTGGCGCGCCACTAGCATTATGGCGAGACAGCAGATTATGTTCAAGTTCACCAGCTTGATCCGCTCGAACTGGGACAGGCTGGCCGCTTCCATCACTCTCGAGCAGGGTAAGACGTTCGCCGATGCTCGAGGTGATGTTCTTCGCGGTCTGCAGGTCGCCGAGACCGCTTGTGGTATCACTACCCAGATGACCGGTGAGGTCCTGGAGGTTGCCAAGGACATGGAAACCCGTAGCTATCGCGAGCCGCTGGGCGTTGTCGCGGCTATCTGCCCCTTCAACTTCCCCGCCATGATTCCTCTGTGGTGTATCCCCGTTGCGACTGTCACTGGTAACTGCTTGGTCATGAAGCCCTCCGAGCGTGACCCTGGTGCTGCTATGATCCTGGCTGAGCTGGCTAAGGAGGCCGGGTTCCCTCCCGGTGTTATTAATATCGTTCACGGCCAGCACCGCACCGTCGACTTCATTTTGGACGAGCCCGCTATCAAGGCTATCAGCTTCGTTGGCAGCAACAAGGCCGGCGAGTACATCTATGCTCGTGGCTCTGCCAATGGCAAGCGTGTGCAGGCCAACTTGGGTGCTAAGAACCACGCTGCTGTCTTGCCTGACTGTAACAAGAACCACGCTTTAAACGCTATCACTGGCGCCGCCTTTGGTGCTGCTGGTCAGCGCTGCATGGCTCTGAGCACCGTTGTTATGGTGGGCGAGACCAAAGAATGGCTGCCCGAGATTGCTGAGCGTGCTAAGGCCCTCAACATGAACGGTGGCTTCGAGGAGAATGCAGACCTTGGTCCTGTCATCAGCCCCGAGAGCAAGAAGCGCATCGAGGATCTCATTGCCAGCGCCGAGGCGGAGGGTGCTACTATTCTTTTGGATGGCCGCGGCCAGCACCCCGAGAAGTACCCCAACGGCAACTTCGTTGGCCCTACCATCATCACTAACGTCACCCCTGAGATGAAGTGCTACAAGGAGGAGATCTTCGGACCCGTCCTTGTCTGCCTGAACGTTGAGACCCTTGACGATGCCATTGACCTCATCAACGCCAACGAGTACGGCAACGGCGCTGCTGTCTTCACTCGCTCCGGCTCCACCGCCTCTAAGTTCCAGAAGGAGATTGAGGCTGGTCAGCTCGGCATTAACGTTCCCATTCCTGTCCCTCTTCCTATGTTCTCCTTCACCGGTAACAAGAAGAGTATCGCCGGTGGTGGTGCCAACACTTTCTACGGCAAGCCGGGCTTGCAGTTCTATACCCAGCAGAAGACTGTCACTAGCCACTGGAAGAGCGAGGATGCGACCAGCTCCAAGGCTTCTGTTGTCATGCCTACCCATTCTTAAATTTGATGCTAAATTGTTGGCATTCCTTTTTCTTTTTTCGTGTCATGATCATGTCTCTTGTATTTATGACTCCAAAATACTGCCCACGGGCCACTTACATACAATGAAACTATTTTAGAGCAACTTTGCCCTCGTTTACTTTGTTTTATCTGCTTCGAATCATCGAATTGGCGTACAGTTTATTCCAATTCTGAATTGCAGGATGGCAGAATGCATTTGGCCGACTTTTATTTCTTGCACCTAGAGTATTACTAGCAAGGCAGAATTTAACAAAAATAATGCTCTTCATTCTATCAAGCTGCAAAGGGTTAAAACGGCACCCGTAGTATGGGTCTACCGAAGCCCATACAACGCCAATCCTCTGGGAAGCCGGGAAGCAGGAAGCAGGACGCTCCTCAACGCTACTCTGAAGCCGTAGGCTTCTGCCAGACGTAAACAAGTCGTGCCAACTCGACATGCCCATTACCCTTGGTGACAGCAACGCGACGAGAGTGGTGGCGCAGGGAGCCATTAATCAACTCGAAGCCCCAGATCTAATCCAGAACAAGTTAGCATCCAGTTCACACACCCCTCGAAACGGTCAACCATACCTGCTCAGCGGTCCAGCCGCTCTCCTCATTCACAACCCAGCTCTGCACATACAATCCTTCGCCTTCGCCAAACTCGTCACCCTCGTCCTCAACAAGGTATCCCTCTGAAGCCGAGCCATCTGCTAAAATCTCGCCGCGAAGGAACTTCCCCGCTTTCTCATCCGCCGCCGCATCACCGACCTTAGTCTGAATCTCGACGGCTGGGCGAACCTTGCCGTCGGCACCCTTTACACCGCGAATGAATCGCGAGCGGCCGTGAAGCGTGCCGAAGATGTTATCGGTGTGATCACGCTGCTCCCAGTCAAGCTGGCGCCGTTCCTGGGTTCCATTGATACCGCCAGTGATCACCTGGTCAACATCGATGTGGTAAACCAGCGGGTTGGCCTCTTCGGCGTACTCCTTCACGTGAAGAGTTACGGTGGCGTAGGGGAGAGCTTTGCGGAGGAACCAGCTCATACCTTGCTGCGCCGTGTTAGTGAGTATTTTCTTCGGGCCATTCTTGCCATTGGTGTGCAATGCTGCGCGCATGTGACGAATGTTTTCTTTTGTACGTACCAGAGAGAGGATGGAGTCGGTGGGGTCGGACAGAGTTGTGTCCTGTTACACAGAGGTTTGTGAGCCATTTTCCCAACTGGGTTTTAGCTTTGAATCTTCAGTAGTCACTAACCATCTGCCACTGTCCGGTGAGGTTCTTAATTGTGGTTGTGGCGGGAGCTGCCATCTTGACTTGGAGAGCTTGGAGAGCTTGGAATGCGGGGGTGGTGGGGGTAGTGGGGGAATTGATATGTTAATTGAGGTGGAACGAGGTGAATTGGAGCTTTCGTCTCAAGGGTGAAGAGCGTAGACGGGATTAAAGAAGGGATTTCCAGCAGAAACTACGTAGCATGTGGTTGATTGCCAGCTTATTTGTACCTGCCTGGGTCCACGGGTTTGCGGCTGCTCAAAGCATGTGCTCATCCCGAGGCTGACACGTGCATGCTGAGTCATCCATGAACTAGGCCGTAGTGCCTTAATGCCTGAGGTGTCAATGTTTCCCGAGTGAGAGCTATAGTGGGCATCTGATTGTTGACGGTCTCCTCCAACTCCGCAGCCATGGCCTTCAACAAGAAATACGCCGGTCTTCCTGACCTAGTGGGTTTATTTGGACAACAAATAAGTGAATTTTACTGATTGCGCCTCAGGATCCCGCCCCGGATATCTACGAAACCCCTGACCTGACCGACGAAGCATCCACCATCCCCGTGAGTCCGCGATTATCAGACCATGCCACCATAAGCCATACTAACAGTCGATTCAATCCAGACCACTACAGTCCGCACCGAATCAGAACACGGCGATGCAGGCTCCAGCTCTGACATTGACCGCGAAGGCGTCAACGCAGACCAGGCGCGTATGCACTTTATGGGTGCCGCCGTGGACGCCCGCGACGTGAACTTCTCCGACAGCATTTCCGCAAAACGCCAAGCCTATCGCAGTAAGAGTAAGAATCGGCGCCGACGCCGTGTTCGTGAAGATGGTACCGAGGATCTCGGCGACTTTAGTGACGAGGATGAATCGGTCGAGCGGCGGCTGGCACGCTTGCGCAGAGAGGTTGAGGAATTGAAGGTGGAGATGGAGAATGAGGCAACTGCTGGAAACGATGATAGTGTTGAGAGTGGAACGAACCAAAGTGCGACGACTGAGAAGGGGACGGAGGGTGCGTTGGGCGACGGTGTTGCGGAGTTGAGCCGCGCGCTGGATAATCTGCATGCTTCTTCGAGAGGTGAACAGACTACTTTGCATTCTGCTGCTGCGATGCTGTCTCAGAAACTAGGGTCTGAGAACGGTTCTGCACCAGTTTCACAAGGCAAACAACCCCCAGCTGGCGGTTCGGCTGTTACCACAGTGCCCCCGCCAGCTGCGGCGTCATCAGCGGGAATCCTTTCTCATGCTGCGGCCTTCGAAGGCCGACTGGCGCTTATTGAAGCTTCCATGGGCATTTCAAACGCCTCAAACCCCTTCGTCGGAAATGGCATCAGCGAGCCTGCACTGCAACCAGTGCTCCCATCCCTGGAACAACTTACATCCCGACTCTCGGCCCTTACTGGTCTTCTCGTAGGAACAAACCCCACGGCTGGTGGCCCAAGTGCTGTGCCCGGCTTGACCACACCTCATCTCGAAGCTCTCTCCACGAGAGTTCGCAAGCTCACCACTGACGCTGAAGCCCTCGCGTCAGCGCGCAAACGCGCCGTTGACGCCGCCAAGGCTGCTCAAGCTGCGCGAATCGCTTCATCCGGCTCTGATGCCGAAGCTGCTCCTACCACGGACGGCTTTAACCCATCTGACGACGACAATGCATCCAAGATTCAAGCACTCTACGCAACACTCCCCACCATCCAATCCCTGCACCCATTGCTACCCAGTGTTCTCGAGCGCCTACGTTCTCTTCGTGCCTGTCATGCAGGTGCCGCCCACGCCGCAGACTCACTCGATGCGCTCGAAAAACGTCAGGCTGAAATGAGTTCTGAAATCGAGCAATGGCGTGAAGGCCTCACGGTCGTCGAGGAGAAGATGCGCCAGGGTGAGGCTGCGCTCAAGTCAAATGTCGAGACTGTGGAGCCCTGGGTGCGTAACCTAGAGACTCGCATGGCGCGCCTTGGTGGCCCGCCGGGATCGCTGTGAGATGTTTCATTTCTGTCTATTTGAGTCTGCCGAGTCTGCCTTCTCCGAGGTGGCTATCATGATACATAATACCCTGTTGCATGTACTTTCTTTGAATTGTGGTTGATTGTTGGAAAGGTGTTCATACATCCAACCCAAGTGGATGGATAGTTCTCTGTCAATGAAATGTACAGTTGATTCAACGAATATGAAAAGAACACACCAATTTTACTATGTACAGTGTAGTCAACAACCTCAAGGCTAAACTTAATGCCTCTGAACCCTTTTCAAAACCTTGAGCTTCGGCTGCATCTTCAACTCAACCCACCATCCTCGCAACACGACTTTGCGAAGCGCATCCCGAACTTGCTCGTATAAGTTCACTGCGCGTTGGCCCCCTATCACAGATAGGAGCTTGCGTTCAGTAGTCCCATCCGCCGGAGATCCGGGTCTCACAATGGAAATACCAGCGAAGCCATCGATGGTGTCAGCTGTGTCCCAATGAGAATCAGGAAGCGCGATTCGCAATTGAGTCTCATCGCTGTCCTTATAATCAGGATCCGCAGACGCCTCCACAAGAATGTAATCAAATTGATCCCAGAAGACACTCAAGGACTTGGTAGCTTCATCCTCGGTTTTATCATAGTGCCAGCCCAGTGCAGCGGGTTGTTCCAAGAATCGCGTAATGCCTGTTTGGCACGCCAGATTGCCGAGATAGACGGAAGCTCCATTGGCATTTCCATCTGCCACCTGGTCATGGTAACGGTGCAGTGCATCAAGAGCATATGCGCCGGGATAGTTGGCGGCCGAGGCTGGGAGGAGCACAAGATTCGAAAGGAGGAATGTTGCCAGCGTGGAAAGTACCAAGGCGTGAGAAGCGATGCGAGCGAAAACAGAGCGCTGGCGGTGATTCCAGAGATATCCGGCGCCGAGCGAAGCTGCAGTAGTGAGAGACGGAACGACATAGATTATGAAGCGCCACTCTTTGTGGGGGATGATGCTGTACAAGGCGACGAAGGCGAGAGAAGGCACGAGCAATGCGATCGCCGGCTGCCGAGTTGCGGGCTGGCGCAGCGCAACGGGAAGAGCGACGAGGTATGTCAAGGGATTCATAAGAAGGCGAGGAAGCGCATTCAAGAAATAGGAATACCAAGGATCCGTTCCCCATTCGGACGACTGGCCCGAGACAACATTGAATAGGAATGCATCCAGCTCCGGCCATACGAGACGATCCCAGAAGAACGAATCAGTAATCACAGTAGCTGTGAGAGCGGTGAAGAGACCGACAATACCTGCGTAGACCGCATCTTGGAAGAATCTGGCTTGGCGAGTGATGAGCAGGAATAGCGTCTGTGTCGCGACTAGCACAGCTAGTTCCGAGCGGAATATCACGCCTGCCATGGTGAGCAGTATCAGTGACAGACGGCTACTACCGGGTCGACCCATGGGTAGTATGGAATCTGGGAGAAGAAATCGCATGGCCAGGGTTGTCTGCCCGAAAGCGAACATGTTGGATAGTGGCCGCGAGGCATAGTAGATGAGGTGAAATTGGCTTGCTTGGAAGGCCAAATACCATGTTGCTACAACGAATCCGAAGCTTCGTCGGACACCGTGTGCGTACACGAGCAGTGCAGCTGCATTGTACAGGCCTAGAATAGCTCGAGCTGTGGATGTGTTAGCTTGGTTCGTCATTGAAGACTACAGCTGTCCCTACTGAGGATCTGCCGATCAACTGCCTCGCTCAACGTAGGTAAGTATCTTGACAATTTTGTCAGTGCTACCTCAATACCAGTCGGTAGAGCAGCTTCGGACAGGTTAGAACGATTGGTGCCATTGGTGTAGAGGCCGCCGCCAGCTATGCCGGGCGGATTGATTGCATTACTCAAGGCAATGATGGGTCGCGACAGCTTAGCAAGGATGGCAGCACCGATAGCCGACCGAGGCACAGCTCCCGGGAAAGCGAAGTGGTCATAATTGGTGCGGTCAACGTTCAGAACATGTACGGGGAATCCGTGTACGAGTATGTCGTGGGTGGCCTGGACGTGGAAGGACTCTTCGACTTTGGTGTACGGCGCAACAAGGAGATGGAGGAAGATCAAGGCCGGAAGGACAAGGCCGAGAATTGTGAAGACTGGGGAAAATTAGCTATGCGCATGGTTTTTGCGTGGCGCGGACTTACTATGTCTCATGGTGGGCGATGTTGTTGATCCGGAGATCTGGCGCTTCCGAACCTCACTTTATCAACGTTCCTCCAACCACCCCTCGACGCGCAACGATGTTGTTCTTCGGCCTTGGGAACCTTTTCTTGGGTTGGTTTCCTAACAAATGCCTCTCTTGATGCAAGCTAATAACTGCTCCAGTCGTCATCCTCATCATCAACTCTATCGCTATCCTATCCGAGGACCGCTTCCTTGCTCGCAGTACGTCCCTCCGCTCGCACCCCGGTTGCATGCCACCCCGTCGCGAAGCTTTCTCTGGATAAAATACTAATTTGTTGTGAATGGTATAGTCGGATGGGGCCGCACGTCAGCTGAGCCAGGCTTCGGCGCGACGTACGATAGCACCAGCGTGAAGGCGAAGACGATCAACTTGATTGCCAGTGTGCGCACAGTCATGCGGAGTACGCTCAACCGTCCCCTTATATCCGTCATCACATTATCTCTCTCTCCAATCTGCACGATACCCAGAAGAGCATGGTGTATTTTCGAAGTCGACGGAGGATGAATGTGTGGCAGCTCCGGGCACTCTAGCTAATGCCCAAATCTCCTACAGTACCCCTTATCATCATCAATACCGTCGTCATCGTCTACGAGCTTGTCCTCGGTTGATTCCCTGCACATCCTCAGTTCCTGCCGAGTCGGCCCACGCGCCCGGGAGAGATGGAACGGTTCTGCTCTCCGCCCCTTGACATCGTCACTCGCGCAAAAGCAGTTCTTCAGCATTTCAGCGAAAACAGACCCCGCATAGCCTGTCTGTTCCCCACCACAAGATATGTGGTACGAAGTACATGAACCAAAACCTACCAGGATACGGGAAAGGGTGGGACTGATAGGACAGACTATTAGTTCGAGGTAATTGACATGGCGAATCTGGTACACTGATACGGAGTTCTTGGCCGGCTTTAGGTGGACCAATTAGGCATGTTTGAGCCCGGTCTATGCTTCACTTGCGATCTCTTCCAGGTCTCTCGGCCTCATGTATATACCCAAATCCACCCTGATTCAGAAAGGTACCGAGAAGTAGGGAGCTAGTAGGGTCTAGAGTCCAGGTAGGCTGAACGTATGAATGTTTCGATGCTCTTAAGTTTGGGATTTCCCGTTTTCAGACATCTAGCCAACATATTGAGTCTTTGCGTGAAATTCTAGCTCGATCGGACCAAAGGAGAGAATCCAAACGGGCCTAGTAGGGAAGTCGAGAAGTGGGCAACAGACTTTCACCCACCAATTCCCACCACCGAAGAGCTCCGAGTGGGGTGCCAATGCCCAGGAACCAGCTTCTCGGTCAATAGTTCATCTCTGATGGATGCGGGTCAAAAGTGTGCTTCCCCAAATCGGGCGAATCAGTCGCCGGGTTTCTATCGCATTTGCCGATCAGGGTTAGTCGATCATGGCGTTTCTCGATCGACCGCGAATTTCAATTCGAGAGGCACTTCCTGCCCCTGAAAAAGATATCATTCTTAACTCAAACAGAGCGCATCTCATCTCAGTATAGGCCACTCCTGAGCTGCTCCGCCGCCGAAATGGATGAGAAACATCTTGCCAGCGAGCCATTCGATGTATATCCTCTACATGCTCTGGATGATACCTTACTTTACCGCACGCTCATAAGTCGGTTAATGCGCTTCAATGACGTTCTCGACGCCGACAAGCTACATGAGGCGTTGCTGGGCTTGTTTGAAATTGGAGATTGGAGGAAGCTTGGAGGTCGGCTGAGGTTCAAGGTAAAAGAGATACGGGACAGCTCGTTTCACGGTAACCCGGTGGACTGACGAAATATAGCAAAACGGCAAGCTTGAGATCCATGTCCCGCGGTCATTCACAGATGAGCAGCAGCCTGTGGCATTCACCCACGATGTTTTTGATATGAGAATCGAGGAGCATCCGGTGGCCGGCCAACTTCCTACACCAACCGATGGCCCGTCAATTCAACCTATTTCCTCTCTCGACTGTCGGTCCTTTGTCGTACGTTGGCCCGACCATCCAACAACGATTGACGAAATGATTCAGATGGATGCACCTCAGCTGTCGTTGCAGATTAGTTCTTTTAGCAATGCAACTCTTGTGGCACTCACCTGGCCTCAGACGATGATGGACGCCGTGGGTATTCAAGCCTTACTGCAGGCATGGTCGCTGGTGCTAGCTGGTCGTGCAGATGAGGTCCCACCGGCATTCGGCGCACATAAAGACGTTCTCGAGACTATAGAAAGCTCCAATGATGGCAAGCAGGAGGATTTTGGGCCTGATGAACAGCGAATGACGGGGATGAGCAAGCTTACATTCATTTTCCATAATCTGTGGGACAGACTATGGAACCCTCGCTGGGAACGTCGGGCAATTTACCTTCCCAAGGATATCTACTTACGGCTGAAGAAACGAGTTCAAGATGAAGCCGCCTTGAGTACTCTTACGAGTCTCGAGAAGCCCGTTGTCACCGAAAACGATACACTTACGGCGTGGGTCACTCGCGCCGTCGCAATGACTCTGCCCAATCCACGTCCTGTGACCGCAGTGATCCTCTCAAATGCTCGGTTCCGACTTCCACTACTCCTGGAATCGACTGGGGTTTACCTTCAGAATATGGTACTTATGGGGCTCGCATTCTTCCCCACCGAGCTTGCCAGAGGACCCCTCGGACCGATTGCTCTCACTAATCGACGTCATATTGCTGAGCAGGGCACAGTTCAACAGACCTTGGCTATGCTGAGGACTATGCGCCAGGATATCACGTCAGATAAGACCCCGAATCTCTTTTACGGCGATCCGCACGCTAGTGTACTTTTTGTCAGCAATGTGAATAAGTTGGATTTGATCAAAGCTCCGAACTTTGGCCCGGCAGTGCTGCGCCAAGGTGATGGAGAGAAGTCAAGGATCAATCCTCCAGGCACCATGTTGATATATCATAACTACACCACCAAACCGCTCGTGGGTGGGACCAACGCTGTTTGGATGCTTGGTAAAGACTACGGCGGGAATTATTGGCTCGAAGGAAATTTCCTGCCGCGAACATGGAACTTGCTTGAAGAAGAGATAAAGGATATGGAAGGAACTGTTTGAATGATACCCGCACGTGCTATGGCTTTCTCGTTAATACTCTTTTTCTCTCTTTGAATTGATTGCTTTGTACCTGGTTATTGGAACATACCACCTGGGTAGCTTTCAATCTATATATACTATTTAGCTCCCGAGTCCGGCGTTGATAATTTCAAGTATATGTTTAATCAATAGACCTAGGAATTACTATAACAATTCGTGCCCGAGCAGTAAGCACTCGACTTACTGCAATATCCATTCACAGAGCAACAATCACCAAACAACCACCTAGGAAATGTCATGTTGTTCGCAGATTCCATTGTAAGTGGCCAACAAACCTGCCTGACATCTGAATGGTATCAAATGGGTAGTGTTGCCGTTGCACTTCTTGGGGGCGTCGTAGAACATGTCATCCAAAAAACCACTCAACATGGGTTTACCCCTGCACCTGGGCAGTGTTGGGTCCGCTAATGTGGCTTATCGCAAGATTTGAATAGCTGTGCAAAAGTGACTCTTCGATCGCATTGAAATTGGGAGTAAGAAGACAAGGTAGGTGGAAACATGCAAAAGAAATCCACATTCGCTAAAAACGCTCTTAAAAAAAATGCCACATTCCAAACCCATCGCCAGAAATTGCAAAGATCAAACGCCCGTTTTCGCACCGGCCACCCATCAACGTAGGTATCATGCCGACGTAATTGTACAAAAAGCAGAAAACCGTTTAGCGATGGAAAAGCAGGAAACAACAAAAAAAAAAAAAATAGTCATGATCCAAGAGCCAAGAGTCTAAAAGACAAGTCCATGGGGAAATGATATCTCGATTTGAGGTATCCACGGCAGAAGGGAAAAGAACGATGGCCATACGCATATCATAATGAAAAAGAAAGATGGTGATACATCCACGGAAAGCTATGTGCAGAAGCAAAAGCAAACTTTGCGCTTGTATGTGCATAAATGTGGGGGGTATCTCCGTGAAACCCAGGGGCTCTGGGTAAATGCAAGAAAAGATAATGCTTCCTGGAATACATGTGGCAGCTAGGATTTCTTGAGGCTAAGAGACCTCCAACGTCCGGTTTTCTCGGGTTTGCTGTCCTTGGCGACGGGTGGGCTGTTTCGTGACACTAGCTTGGGGTTCGGGAGGGAGGGGGTCTCCTTCTGGGGTAGCGGGGATAGAACGGGCTCTTCTAGTTGCGGTGCTTCGGGAACTGGGCTCGGGATCGGTGGCAGATCGGATGTTGAGACGCGAGGCTCCTTGTCCTTGCTCAGTCTTTGGCTTAGACTGCGGCTTCCACGTCTCAAGAAACCGAGCTTCCTCGGCGACCCGTTCTCGGGGCCAAGTTCAGAGCCATCATTGTTCTTAGCCATCTCGGCTTCACTGGCTTTAACAGCCCGTCTGAAATCCTCTGCTTCGCGTCTCTCGTTCATCTGTTGTCTAGCCTGTTGCAAATCGGCTTCTTTGCGCCGGAGCTTTTCTGCCCGTTCTCGCTCTTTGTCTGCCTTTTCTTTCTCCTTCTCTATTGCCTTGCGCTCCTTCTCCTCCTTCGATCTTTCCTTTCGTGACTGAACGTCGCTCTTCTTCGGACTGAGAGGGGGGTGCTGTTCATCAGGGATCGTGGGCAGTGGTGGCTGGGGTGGTTGAACGGGCTGTGGAGCTGACGCCTCCGCCTCGGGCGCTTCGGGGTGCGTGGACATTTGAGGGGCGGTGGGGATTCGGTGGATGCCATTCACACGATTCGGGTCATCCGAAGGCACTTGAGACGCACTGTGAACATGGGACAGACCGGGTGACAAGGGGTATCCGTTAGTCCTCCCGGCCTCTCCGTTCTCAGCCGGCACAGTTGAAGTGGCCTGATCCTCCTGAGCTTGCTCTCGGAGCACAGCTTCGAGGGTAGTTTCCTGATAGAATAGGACGTATGCACAGGCCAGGCCAGGTCGATCTCCAAAGAAGTTGCGCACGTAATTCTTGTCCACCGGTTCCACCAGCTCATCGTCAAAGAGCAGCCAGCCGCGATCTTCTGTCTTGATTATAGCAACGTAATGGCCGTGATAAGGCCCTCCGCCAATATGAACAACCACAGCGTACAGTTCGTAAAGCCGATCTGGGTCCTCGGCGTCATCCGTGGTATTGAATAGCCGCAGATGATATGGGTAGACGACGCGGTGGAACAGTTTCTGCAATCGCTGCAAGTCCTCCGTATACTTGAAGCGTTTCAGATGCAAAGCCAGTACACGAGGCAGACGCTTGATCTTCATTCGCTTCTCGGCTTCCTGAAGACCTCCACAATTATCACAGTGAAACTTGTTCCGCTCGCAAAGCATTTCTTCGGCGGAGAACTTTCGGAGACAGGATGTCACCGATGAATGCTGCTCGAGATCCACCGAAAGATCCAAGAAGACCTCGTCACGCTGGGAGACTTTCTCACAGGTCAAGCATTTAGTCTCGGACGTCAACGTCCCTTCAAATAACTCGTGGACCCATCTCGTAGTGTTGGGTGATTTGGAACCCGAACTGGGCGTCATCGTGCTTAGAGAATCGACGCTTTCTGACGGCGGGAGTGCTTTCTCCACAAAGTTGTGCTTGGTCGCCTCAGCCTCCACATTCGACACGACCTCGTTTAGTAGTAAATTCAAAAACTCGTGTGCATCCTGGTGCATGGCCGTCCGAAACATCTCATGCTCCCGTCGCAAGACATCCAAGAACTGCTGTGGCCGGATGACACCGATCCGAGACTGACTGCCGACCAAGGATTCAAAGATGTCCTTCAACGAGGTAAAGAGGGACTCGGACATGCCATAACTCGAGGCGTTATTCCTGGTTTCCAAGATCGGCAAAGTTTGGAGTGCCACCTTCTTCTTGTATTCCGGCGATTCTTTATCCTCCGGTTTCTGTGGTTGGTTGGGAGTCACGCCGGCCTGGCGTGCGGATGGTGAAGTTGCCGCCTGGGCCTTTTGCTTGGCGGCCTGCGCCTCGGCTTCTAGGTGTGCATTGGGATTCGGGAATCGCAGGTTCTTGGCGAGGGCCGCCTCGAGACTCTCCAACGGAGTGCGCCGTGGGTAGTTGATCACGGCCTCGCGGAAGGGAACGGAATAGTAAAGACATTGGAGTATCGAATTGCAGTAGCAAGTATTGCCATACTAGCGCGCACGTCATGGTCAGCGGGGCTACGCCACCGAGACTGTGGGAAGACTCACATTTTCCATGCCAAAGAACTTGTCGCTACCATCGCCGCGTATGGAACCCATGTCTTGCAACCGCTTCTCCAGCGGGGTTATCTGTGGCGTTTGGGGGTCTTTCCTGACCGGCGGCGCGGCGGGCGAAGGGGTGCTCGACGCCTATGTAAGGAAAGGTAGTCAGTTCCCGTTCGTAATCAGAATCAGAATCGTCGAGCGGGTGCACAAGTGTGCCACGGCGGGGAGGGATGATGCCCGTAGGGATGAAGAGCGGCTTACCCCATTGCCTCGCGAGCCGATGCCGAAGAGCCCCTTCATTGTGGGAGAGTGTCCTCGTGGGACGCAGGCTGCATGGAGGAATCGCTCAAGATTGAAGATTACGGATGGCAGGCCGGGTTGGACATGAGAGGGTGGGAAGTGTTTCGAGTTCGAGTCAAGTCGGGGAAGTCGGACAAGGTTCCAGGAACGTTGAGTCGCGGAGAGCGTCCGGGGAACGGCACGGCACTACGCAGGAACCGCAGGGCCTGGACTCGGTGAGGGGAACGGGACAGAGGAATGAGGAGAGATATGTGGCGTACGAAAGTACGGTGTACGGTGTAAATGAGAGAGAGAGAGTAGAGAGAGAGAGGGAGAGCTCGGGAAGAGCGACTTATCTACATCAGACCCGCCCCGTCTTATTTCGCGCAGCGGAAACGTCCAGAAAAGCCCTCCGCATTGAGTCTCCCCGACCAGTAAGCGCAATGACCACAACCAGACCACGACCAGACCACAACCGCTAAGACCGCTAAGAACACTAAACCCGAGTGCCGCGCTCGAGCCACGTGGAATTCTAAGGCAGGTACTGGCCCAATCGCGGGTTTTCCCATGCGCGCGACCTTAGAGAAGATGCCTTTGTGCGCCGGCTAGATCGGGAGAACGGGCAGAATAGCAGAATAGCATGGAGGGGAAGACGGCAGTGCCAGTGCCAGTGCCAGTGCCATTGCCATTGGTGTTGCCGCTTCGGCTTTTCCCCAGTGGAGGCCCCCCACGACCATGGAACAGGCATCTCTTTACGACTTCGGAGTGACGGGGTCCAGAGTTCAATTTCCCCCCCAACCGTCGACCAGCCATTGGCTCTATCCTGTTTGGCGCTCACAGACCATGTGTCCGGCCCCTCGCATGGCGTGTCAGATACGGCCAATGACCAGCCTCGACGTGGGGAAGTTGGTGGCGTGGAGTCTTTGCCCCGACTGATCGCGAGACCCAAACATACAGTCCGAGGATCGACTCCTCGAGCATCGGGGTCTGGGGGTAACGAGACATGGGGTACCAGTATCGACCCATCGGCACAACATCGAACCCATGTTCTGGGCCGCGCGGCCTGGGGTTCGAGGATTGCGGCGACCTTCCGAACAGCGCGCATCTTATATAGTGCGCCTGCATTGCATCTCAATAGGCTCCTTGCGGGGCCCGGCTGCACGCGCTAACCGGCGAGACACAGGACTGTGGTGTGCACCCTATATACGGATCGCAGGGATCGCTTCAATATCTCCAATCCAAACCGGGGTCGAAACGCCCGACCGGGGATGGTTCCGCCCTTATTGGTGGCACGGGGGGCCAGACGAGGGCGAAGGCGAGCTGGGATACGGGCCAAGGTTGATGCAAATGCTACACTAGCCATGACTGCGACCCACGACCGGGAATGGGAAGGGGGGCCTACGATTTAGCTGTACCTCCGAGTACGGGACATCATAGTGGGGGTGGCACGGTTAATTCGTGAAAGCTCTACAGTACCTAGTCGGAGATGCTTACCGTGACTAGGTATTGGATTATGAATTGGGGGGTGCGGTGGATGTCTTGGCCCGAGTTGACACTTTACCTACTGCAGTAGGTCCTTAACTACTTCGGAGACAGCCGGATATACGTCTCCACTGATAACTGATTCTTCATGACGTCGCTCCATTGATTGTGGCAGTCCTCCTAGCTGTCTGTCTCACGTACTGTAGATATTCTAGCTATCTGATGGATCATGCTCTCCATGCCTCGAAAGATGCTTGTGCTCTGCGAATATTGAACGGCACTTAACAAAGAGGAATGCCACCGCGACACCAAGTGGGCATGATATACCACGAATCTATAGCACTGATACCATCAGATCAACCTATACTACTTATCAAATACCCTCTAGCCATCTAGGAAGAGGTTCGTTGAAGTACCTCGAACAGACAGTGCCAATAGTCCAATCTAAATGGGTATACCACTCACTATACACCCACGTTCGGATAAACATGGCGGAAAAACTCGCCCGAAGCAGGAAGATGGCCCGTTCCAATTTCGCCGACCACTTTTCGTGCAGTCCATTCGCGTTTGCTTTTATGCCGTCCATCCATATTCCCATACGCTCAATACGACGAGCAGTTTCAGACACCATCCGCGCGTGTCCTGTCGGCCGTCTGACTCATTTGCCTGCCCAAGGCCTGCGTGCGACCTCGAATCAAATTCGTCTCCGAGCCCCCACCATCCCCCACCACCAAATCCATCCCCGCCCTCGTTACTTTTCTTCAATCCCTCCTCGCTCCAGTCGAATCGATACAATGCCCAAGGACAAGGTTTCTTTCAACCTTAAAACCCCCAAGGGGACCAAGGACTGGTGCGGCTCCGACGCCCTCCTCCGTGACCGCATCTTCACCACCATCGCCGACGTCTTCAAGCGCCACGGCGGTACTGCCCTCGATACCCCCGTTTTCGAGCTGCGCGAGATCCTGGCTGGCAAATATGGCGAGGATTCCAAGCTCATCTACGACCTGCAGGACCAGGGTGGTGAAATCTGCTCCCTGCGCTACGACTTGACTGTGCCTTTTGCCCGCTGGCTCGCGATGAATAGCGACGTGCGCAGCATCAAGCGTTACCACATCGCCAAGGTCTACCGCCGAGACCAGCCCGCCATCAGCAAGGGCCGTATGCGCGAGTTCTATCAGTGCGACTTCGATATCGCCGGTGCTTTCGACCCCATGATGCCTGACGCCGAGGTGCTGCGCATTGTCAGCGAGGTCTTTGAGGAGTTGGGCTGGAATGGCCGCTACACTATTAAGCTGAACCACCGTAAGATTCTGGACGGTGTGTTTCAGGTCTGCGGTGTGCCCGAGGATAAGATCCGTCCTATCTCGAGTGCCGTCGATAAGCTAGACAAGATGCCCTGGGCCGATGTGCGCAAGGAGATGGTTGACGACAAAGGTCTGGACGGCGCCGTTGCAGACCGTATTGAGGGCTATGTCATGAACAAGGGTAGCCGCGAGCTGCTTGAGAAGCTGCTGCAGGACGAGAACCTCACTGCCAACGCCTCGGCCAAGGCTGGTCTGGAGGATATGGCTTTGATGATGGAGTATTTGGATGCTTTCGGCGTTCTGGACAAGATCTCCTTTGATATGTCGCTGGCGCGTGGATTGGATTACTACACCGGTGTTATCTACGAGGTTGTCACCGAGGGCTCGGCACCCGCTGTACAGGCTGGTGACGCTGAAGCCGTGAAGCCTCAGAAGTCCAGCAAGAAGGATAAGAAGAACGATGATGATGACCGCTCTAACGACCCCACTTTGGGTGTGGGCAGTGTTGCTGCCGGTGGTCGCTACGATAACCTGGTGGGCATGTTCATGCCCAAGGCTCAGATTCCCTGTGTCGGTATCTCTTTCGGTGTCGACCGTATCTTCTCCATCACAAAGGCCCGCCTCGAGCGCGAGCAAAAAGCCGACTCTTTCCGCAGCAGCGAGGTCGATGCCTATGTCATGGCTTTCGGTGGTAAGGGTTTCACTGGAATGCTCAAGGAGCGTATGGAGGTCTCCCAGAAGCTGTGGCAGGCCGGTATCAAGGTACATATCACCCCTGCTCCCCCCCCCCCCCCAACATGGGAATTAGACTAACACTCTCCAGGCTGAATTCTCTTACAAGGTGAAGCCCAAGCTTCCCCAGCAGTTCAAGGCCGCCGAACAAGGTGGTGTCCCCTTCGCCGTCATCCTCGGCGAGGAGGAGCTGAAGGCCGGCAAGGTCCGCATCAAGGAGATGGGTCTCCCCGAAGGCCACGCCGAGAAGGAGGGTGTCGAAGTCGAGCTTTCCCAGCTTACCGACGAGCTCCAACAGCGCCTTGCCAACAAGCCCTCTGCTTCCGGTGCCACTTTGGCAGAGCAGTTGAGTGGCGTCAAGATTAGCGCCTAGATGACTTGATGCAGGCGTTTTCTCGTTTCCTTTGTTCGGCCACGGTTAGCATTACATTGTTGTCCCCTTCTTCTACAAAATACATAGACGCATCCGGTTACAAAAGCATTTGAGCCGTGAGGCTTAAAAGTCTGGGATATACTAGCGGATTCGCAAATACCCAATAACATTACTCTACCTTGATTACAATCCTTTTCTTTTTCGTAGTATTATGGTACTTTGGACAGATGGTATCTTGATTCTTGAGCGTTGAATGGTCTGTAAAAGCATTCGAGATTGAATGTCTGATATTCGAAAAAAAAAAGAAACTAGATATACACTATAGACACAAGACAACATCCACTTAATACCCCTCGGCATTCTTCATCAAGAACGACTTAACAAAGGGCAATTTGTCAATGACATTCAGACCCAGACTACGCGCCCAGGTGATCGGGCCCTGCCCAGGGATAGTATACATCTTGTGCAAAAGATCACAAGCACCGCCGATCTTCGCATTAGGCAGGTAGCGCTCCGAAGAGTACCGCTCAAGGGTAAGGAGATCACCGATGTCCATGCCATGAGAAACGGCATACTCGATCGTCCGCGAAAGAGAAGCCACGTCCGCCAGGCCGAGGTTCAGACCTTGTCCGGCGAGGGGGTGGATGACATGAGCTGCGTCGCCGACGAGTGCGACTCGGGGCGAGATATACTGTGCTGCGTGGCGGAAGCGCAGAGGGAAAGAAGCTATAGTGCCTGACTGCACGGCTGTGGCGAAGGGTGGGGTTTGTGGCGGAAGGGGAGTGTGCTGCACGCGCCAGGCGAGCTCGTCTTCGTGAGATATTTGCTCAGAGGTGGACATGCCCATCATGTATTTTAGGTCTGTCATGGAGAATCGGAAGGCGGCGTTAACCATGGCCAGGAAGGCGGATGGGGAGAGCGATTTCAGGTACGCGGCGTGCTCGGGTGTCGTTGACCAGACTAGTGTGGCGTGGTTGTTTGGAAGTGGGAGGAGAGCAACGGGTCCTCCTAGGGCGGGCAGGAAGCGCTGGTAAGCTGTGCGCAGGTTTGCCGGGAAGGGAGGTGTATCGAGGTCTGCAAGCGAGAGAGTTGCGACGATTCCGTGGCGATTGTAATCCCAGCCCTGGGTGGGAATATCGGCGAACGAGCGCACGGGACTGTTAATTCCGTCTGCGCCAACTAGCAATCTTGCTGCAATGCGAGAAGGCTCCTTGCCCTCTGATCCCGGCCCAGTAGGCTTTACAGAGAGGATCGGCCAAGCGGAGAGGTCAGGCCCGGCAGTCTGAAGATCGGATCCGTTCTCAATAGAGGCGACAGTAGTATTCGAGAAGAGCGTGAGACCCTCATCGCCCGAGGCAGAAATACGATGGAGAAGCGCACGCACAAGGTTCGAGTTCTCGGTCATGGTTGCAACTGCGCGCATATCTTCGAACGCACTTGTATCCCAGGAATGGTCAAACGATATTCGTGATCCGGTCTCGCCATCCCACACCTGCATCTCCTGGTATTCCTGCACACGACTGGTATCAAGATGCTCCCACGCGCCAATTTTGCGTAGGAAAGAAGCAGAAGACGGGGTCAAGCTGCTAACGCGGTTCGAGAACTGATCCGATGGCATGTTCCATGCCTGGGCCTTGTTGAGATCCTGGCTTTCGACCAGGGCGACCTTGAGCTTCGATGTGATGGGAGAAGCACCTGTATTGATATTCATATGTTAGGATGTTTCTCTGTGAGCTTCATTTAAGATCCTTAGGTGACGTACGGAGTGCAGCCAAAAGTCCCAAGCCCGCCGGACCACCCCCGACGCAGACTACGTCGTAGATGTCGGGAGTTTGATCGATTTTGGTGCCGAATCGGCGTCGGCCACCGCCAATGCCATGGCGGCAAGATGCGCAAACATACGGCCGCAACGCAACTCTTGTAATTGGGCGCATTATGTCTGAGGTGTGAATTTGCGAGGAAAGTCGGATGGTCAAGGATGGGGGATGACCGCGGTGCAAACAAGTCAAACACGATCCACATCATACGATAACGGGGACAACAACTTTATAGAACTATAGAACAGATGAACAGATGAACAGAGTTGCAGTGAGGACAACCCGAGCACTTGCTCTCCACGGTTTTGAATTTTCATTTGCATCGTAGGTACTTCCGAGTACCTCAAGGTAGTTGGTTAGCTCGATAAGTAGTAATCCAAAAATCTTTACTTTTACAAAGCATACTTAATGTAGATGAAAGTGATGATATGATGGATATGAAATGGTCGGCAAAAAGAGCTAAGGAAATGTTCATGAAAAGCTATACCAAGATCATCAGAGGTCATCATCCCACCTAAGCGGTCTACCGCACCCCCAGAGCAGCTTCTTCAGCCTCAAGACCGACCTCAGAGTCGCCTTCCATCTCGGCAATGAACCGCTCCCAGGTGGAAAGGACGCCCTGGTAGAAACCGATGTGTGATTCGGCAAGAGAGCCGAGAGAATCACGGAACTCTACGGCTTTGATACGCTCGAAGTCTGCAATCTCTCGGACGACTTCTTCGTCGAACATTTCCGATGTCGTCTTGGCTGATTCGACTTCACGGGTAAGCTCGTCGATGCGGAGCTCGAGCTTGCGAACCCGTTCGCGACGGGACTGCTCATGGTCGACGCCACGCATGTCTTCCATCTTGGAGCGGATAAAGGAGGCTGGGGATGAGGTGAGCGGGTTGGAGGCGTAGTATGCAGCCGGGTTGGCAGCCAGAGAATCACGTTCGGCGACAGCCTTGTTGCGGTAATCGACTAGGGCCTCGAAGTCCAGCTGCTTCTGTTCACGAGTCTTGAGGAGGGCCTTGACGGACAGAATATATGACTCCATATCGCGTAGCGAGCCCAAATAGTTTTGATCCGTGTGCTCTTTCAACTCGCGAACACCGCGCGCGGTCTCTTCCACCGAGGCTGCGAAAACTTGCAAGGGCATCTCGACCGCCGGTTCAAGAGACACGAGCTTGCGGAACTGTGTCGCCAGCTCGGTGTAGTCCGTCTCGAGATCGGTCTCTCGCCGCGCGACCCGCGCCACGGTCTTTTCCACGTGCGACAAGTCCTCGTCCAACTTATCAGACTTCTCCTTCACCTCGATGAATCGGCGATCCGGTTTGTGGACCTTTGTGAAAGCGTTGACAAATGAATCAGTCAGATTATCGAAGATGCCCGGGGTTGCATTGTCCGATCCGGCACTTGTTGACCCACGGTTCGTATGCAGCCGCATGTGTGCATTCCAATCAGGCGACTCCAGGAAGATGGCAAGAAGCGGCGCACGGCGCAGTACAGGGTGCAGTGTCAGACGCTTCAAAAATCGGTGTAGCGACCACGCCCGGCGTTTCGTAAAGTCTGACCCGAACCGGTCTCCTGTGACATATTCCATCTTCTGCTTGTCCGGCAGCGGCGGAACGGCGCATGCTGGATATTTGCGATAGAGCGTCTTGTACAAGAAATCAAAATCGTGGTATCGTCGCCTTACAGTAAACTCGGATTTTTGGAAAGACTTGAAGTCGGTCTGGAGGTGCGTGTTAGCGATGCTTCAGTGTAGTCTCCGGGCGTTGGCGGGATATGAGCAGGCAGCAGCAGCAGTAACTCGGGTTCCCAGCGCAAAGCCGATGAAATGTGAAAGCACTCACATGTGTTGTGACCAGGTATGAGATATATGCGTCCTTGGTACCGTCGCTTTCTTTCATCGGGGTGTCGACTTGGCACTCTAGCACACCGTCTCCAATGCCTGCCAGGTCCACGGCATCGGCCAGCGGGCCGGCCTGGGGTTCTTCTTGAGCCGAGCTCATTCTACGCTTGCCATTGGAGTCATGACTGTCTTTATGTGGCTCCTCCGCGTCCGTTCCCGATGTCGTAGGCCGAGAGATGTCGCTATCCGGGTCGTGTTTCCAGGAGACGCTATCGAAGTCGTCGTGTTCATCCATGGCGGGGGGAGTGTCGGCCACAGTCGGCGGGTTATCAGAAACTTGTCGAGCGCAGTGGATGAAGGTGGGTAGGAAAAAGCAGAGTGAAGGGAGAGCGTGGGGCAAAGGAGAAGCTGGGAAGCTGAGAGATGATCGTCCTTCCCCAAGGCGGAGTCCCAAAAGCGGCAACGTCGTCATCGGCCGTGAGGGGTGTTGATACGGGATCACGTCTCCTTTTCATTACCTAGATATTTTGGGCTGGGCTAATTTACTAGTATATTGAAAACACTTCTATTCTTTTGAGCTCATAATTGCACCTGCTTTGACTTTCACTTGCCGTGACATGGTAGATTTACAGACGCCAGGCAGCCGGTCCCTTTCTATTCCCAGTACATGCGGCCTCAAATATCAAAAATAACCTCATGCAGCACGAATACCGGGCCCAATGCAAACACATGCCATCAAAATGCGACTACCGCTTTTCAGAAAGGAGACGGCTATCTTCTTCGCCCTCCTTCTCCGGGATGTTGGCCAGCCGATCCCGGTATGGCTCGTCGTTATCATCACTAAACATCTCCTCTTCGCTTTCTCCGGCAAATGCATTGTACAGTTCACCACCACGACGCTGGGTGCGACCACCCCCAGCCATGGGGTCCATTTCATCGTCATCCTCGATCATTTCAAACTCATAGTCGTCCTGAGGGTTGGTGCGGCGGCGCTTGAGGCGCTGGAGCTGGAAGAAGACGCCCAGTCCAATGAAAAACATAATTATCATTGCCAAAGAGGCATAGATCCAGACCTGAGTTCGCTTCGAAGCACCAAAAGTAGGCAGATATGATGACAGGTACTGCTTCGAGGTATCCGAGCCCGAGGTGGGACTGGGGGTAGAAGTAGGGCTGGGAGCGGTCTGGGTTGACTCTAGCTCTTCGGCAGGGAATTTCTCATCCTCCTCGGCCGCATCGGTCGGGTTGGCGTCTGAGGGCTTCTCATTCACGGGTCGGTCATGGTGGTCATCGGGATTCGTAGGAGGGGCCGTCTTCGTTGGTGCTGCCTCCACAGATGTTGTCGCGACGTGAGCGTCCTCGTAAGGATGATCGTCGTCGTGCTCTTCAGGCAACGGGTGTAGCGGCTGTTTGGACCCATCCTTAGATTCGCCCCAAAGATTCAGTCTCCAGTCGACGAAAAATCCATCGAAATCATTAACGTCGGTGTCTTTGACAATCACGGTCCAATCACCGACAGGCGATTCGCCCCTAGTATCGAGTCAGTCTGTAAATCTCGAGGAAAGAGTTGGAGGAACATACCAATGAGCAACGGACATGAAGGTCCAGTCAGCGTACCCGGCTCTCTCTTCGTCCCGCTCGCGAGTAACACTAAGATGGCTGACGATACCCGCGGGGCTGCGCAGCTCGACACTGAGATCGCCACGGCGAGTGTGGTTGACATTCATCGTGACCGTCACATGCTCCAGCCGATCGAAATTCGCGTTCTTGATGTGATCGGCGGTCACCGTGTATTTGCTCAGCAGTCCCTGAGAGCCCTGGGGAATGTTCTTGTGCACTCGGAGCCAGGGCGAGTTGAACCAAGCCTGTGGCTTCACAAGGTCCCATGTGCGCGCTTTCGAGACCAAGGCATACGTATCAACCTTTCCAAAGCCCCAGTCGTGACTGAAGATTCGACCAGAAGGAAGCTTCTGCCAGCTACCATCGTCCTCACTAATGGGTACTGCAGTCTCGATCATCAGGTATTGAATATCACGCCACGACAACTCGGGTCGAGCGCTGAGAGCAAGTGCCACTGAGCCTGCGCCGAGCGGGCCAGCCGCAGAGGTACCACCGTGCAAGTTGTAGCACTTGTCCGTACCAACGTCGGTGGTATGAATGGCATCACCGGAACCACTGCTGTAAGCGACCACGAGCTGAGCAGAGCACGACTCTGAATAAGTAGGGTGGTTGCCCTGTCGATCAATAGCACCGACCGTGATACTGTAAATGCTGTTGGTATACCCGTCAAAGTTGCAGTTGTCACCATACATAGCTCCATTGCCGGCCGCAAACACAAAGATGGATCCCTTTCCACCGCGGCCCTGCTGAACACCGTTGACCAGCGCTCGCTTGATCAACAGTCCCGGTGCATCCATCGTGGCGCCATCGTCGGGAGGTCCCCAGGAGCAAGAGTAGATGTCATTCTTCTGATATTCATAATTAATGGATTCCGCCTCATCATGGTCATCAATCGGCTTGGATAGAATTCGAATACCCGATATTTTGCTGTCGTAGGCGACACCAACCCCACAGACGTCGTTCTTGGCGGCTGCGATCTCACCGCAGCAGCGGGTACCGTGCTTGTCGTCGGACAGACGAGGCCGCGGTGTAGGGGAGTGTTCGTTGAAATCGTAGGAGCCTTCGGCGAAATAATTGGGCTTCAAGTCATTGCTGTCCATATCCAACCCATCGTCTACCACTGCCGTTGCAACTCCGTGACCTGTGATACCTTCCAGCCAAACGCCTGTCACGTTCAAGTCGTGTCCGGGTTGCAGGACATTCATGAGATGCCACTGTTCTCTGAAGATCGGATCGCTAATACCGAGAATTGTCATAATTTCGCTTTGTTCCTCGAGAAGCTTCAATTCCGCCTCCCCCGCAAATCGCGGGATGGATTCCTTGGTAGGAGGTGGCATCCGCTTCTCCAATCGTTGCCTCGGGGCTTTCAACTTATGCGACCACAGGATGGCATCGATCGGATCTTGGTCTCGAGATACGATGACCTCCCCCGACCGCTGCCGAAGCTTTCGCCTGGCCTGCAGGTCGTCCAATAACGCATTTAAGTCGGAGCTCTGGTCCCGCGGCAACGAGAAGGTATGGTGGTTGGGGAGTTCTCCGATGCGGCCTTCGTGGCGGAGGTTCAAGGAGCGTGCGATCTCGGAAGGAGGAGTAGCGGCATCGAGATGAAGGGCAAAAAAGTCGCGCGACTCGTCGGAGCGAGGGTGTAGATTGGTGGAGGACACAGCGCCCGCAAGGCTAAGGGCGACAGCAATGCCGCCGGCGACACGCATGATCAAAGACGGAGGCGAGTAGACAGTACTCGCTCTCGAAAGGAATTAAAGGGGGCAAGAAGCAGAGGCCATGAACGTCGGGCCTTTCTAGGTTCAAGACAAAGGGAGGAAGTTTAAGGAGTAGTGGCAAGTGGAGGAGGAAACTGAGAATCAGGAGGATCGTCCGAACCACACGGGAACCAATGGAGCACGCAACTTGACGGGGTAAGGGTGTGGGTGTAGGTGTCTTTGACTCTTTGATCGCAGACGAGGGATCAGTGCATGGTTCATGTCCGGGTCTACGTCTTCACCGTTGGCCAGTACGTACTGCTCAGCTTGTCCGTACCGCCCGACAAGCTTACGTACGAAGCTTTGACACCAAGGCACCACCCTTGGTCTTTCTATGCAAATAAGAGCAATGCTCGGGAGTAATAGTCCGTGTCTACCGTGTCTACCGTGGTATCGTACCTATCGTGGCTATCGTGCCTAATAGAGATTGACGGGTTCCTGCTGCACGATCCAACTAGCTGGCTGGTGTCCTTGCATGCGTGAGATCGATTGTGCCTGAGCTGACCACCAGCTGGCAAATCGAGCGCAATCAGCACAATAATTGTTTCGGCTGTAGTATATGATAGGTTGTCCCGGATCTTTCTACAGAATTGTATGGTAGACTCGGGATGGATGGCCCCGCGCGATGGCTGGGGTGAACCAGCCACCGGGATAATTATGTATAGAGTCGCTGCGCAACGCTTTTCTTGTTTTCCTCGTTTTCCATCGTTTTCTCCCTCTCTTCCATTCCTTGCCCTTGCCCTTGCCCTTGCCCCCTTTTCTCGATCGTCTATTTCTCACCCGAGATCCTCGCGCCCCGTGCGACGCTCTTCCCTGTCACCGCCATCTTCCCCGCCCAAAGTACCGGACCTCTGGGCCTTACCGGCGATGATGTGGTGAGCCTGTTAGGCAGAGAAAAGTCCGATTGTGGCCATATCCTGAACTGAACATCGTACGTCAACTGTCCTCCTACTCGACTTTTCGCTTTCCCATGCTCCAAACAATGCCTTTGTAATTGAGATTGACATCGACTGGTTATTGCAGCTGGGACCATCTGTGCTTCGCATTGTCGAGTTTTGGCCCCAACTTATATCGTCCTTGCGCCTGGTGTCTAGGGAAGAAGGTGTAATATGGCTGCGACTGCAATGCGCGCATCGCCTGACATGGCAAACGGCGGCTCTAACCCGCACAGTACAAATGGGTCACGAAAGGCAGTCAGTCGCAAGTACAATTCGGCTGCCCCAGACTTTGCCGGCTACGAGGATGTGGCATATGAGCTACCAGAAACGGAGACTCCGTATCAACGCTCTGCTCAAAAAGCTACACAAGGACGAAAAGGGCGGCCCTTCTCGGTGAGAGCTGGTGATCAACCGGCCGCTGACCTGAACTATACGACGCGCAAGCCTGTTCCCGGTATGCCGCCGGGCAGTATAGAGGAATCAACCACCCCTCGAGGTCTTCCTCCTGCCGAGTATACCTCAGAATCCAATGCAGCTATGCAGAGCGAGGAAAACGCATACCCGTCGGCCCCCATCTCCCCAGGGCAGCCATCACCTCTAAGTCGCTCTAATACCTCACAATCCACAGCCGAAAAACGGCGAGACTGGGCACCCGATCGCTCGCCATTACAGAAACTAGAAGTTACTCTGAATGGGATCAGCAAGGAGGAGAAGCGAGCACGAGTTCAAGAAGCTGAGATGCGCCTCCGAGAACGTCTTGCTCGCCAAAAGGCTGAGCGCGAGAAAGCCGAATCAACGGCTGTTGTTCCTCCGCCGAGTCAAAAGCTAGAGAACCGTGTCCCTTCCGGACGACCCAGAACGAGCGGACGGAAAGACCTTATTTTGGAAGATGCTCCTCCAGATGCACCCGTACCACGACAGCCTGAAGGCATTGTCATGCGTCATACTAGGAACGTCTCCACAACCCCACAGTATCCGGCTATCCAACGACCTGAAGGTGCTCAATATGCGCAGGCAGATGTTGCCGTACCCGTTTCGGCAAAGATGGGCAATGTGCCTCGAAGATCTGTTACAGTGAGCGGACCAAAATCTGGGCCTCCCGGCGGCCGCATGCCCCCGACCCGCTCTGTCTCTCAATCAGGACCTTCAAAGCCCGTACGAGTTGCTGCCGTAGCCACAGAGGCCACAGAAGCAGAGAGGGTTGAGACTCCGCCCGCACTACGAACTGCACGAGCAGCCCAAGAAAGTGTCGAGTCTCACCAGAAGTCGAAGCGAGAGAAACAAACAGTGTCTTTCGATATGCCGCCACCCACCCCGCCACCGGTCTTCGAGTGGAAGAATGCACCAATTGCTCGTCTTGGTGCATCTGACTTTGATTTCCAACACCTCGATATCAACAGGAGCAAAGCGTGGTGGGAAGGCGGCGCCAGTAAAGACCGCCGAAAGAGCAGAGCTCTCCCTAAGAACTATCAGACACCGGCTCAGAAGCTGACAGGTAAAATTACACACTGTGCCAAAATCTTATGAAGGAAAAGAGCTAACATGCAACAGGTGTAACTGAGCACAAGAATTTCCAGCCCAAGCTTTTCTTGAGATGTGGCCCACTTCTTCGGTACACGGGCATCAAGAAAGTGAACATCGATGGTTCCCAGGGCCCTGTTGAAAAAGAGATCTGGCGAGGCTCCATCTTGATCGTGACAAAGGACTCCCGCTCCTCATACGACAACCCGCCTACCCTGAGGCTGTTCTCTCAACCGATGGATATCCTCCCTCCTCCCCCGACTGAAGTCAGTGGAGCGGACCTCGCACCTGAATACATTGACCCAACCGCAGGCCTCATGAAAGTTGGTCGCGATGGCCGACCACTCTATGTCAAGCCAGTTGATCATCTCGAAGAAGAAGTTGACCTCTCCGGAGTGGAGAACGATGACGGTCTTTATGAGCTGTCACCCAGCATGATCGACCACACGCCCGAGAATGGCACGCAGCCCATTCCTTCGAACCGAATCAACTCTGTTGATGGAGAGACCGCAGAGGTCCATCGTGATGTTCCCGGAGTCCGTCTTTATGCCGACTCTGCGCGAGATGTGACATTCTGGCGATTCAATGTCGAGATCGAGCTCAGCCCGACGCAGCAGCGAGTCGCCTATCGCATAAACCAGGGACCTGCATTGGGCTTCTGGGTGCCTGCTATGGGTCAGCCCATGAACATCATGTTCCATAGCGGCAACGGCTTTGGCCCGTCAGTCGATTCTAACCGATTCTGTGGACCCGATCCTCTCTGGCGAGACATCCTAAACGAGCACCAGACTCGACCCTTTCATGTTATGATTGGCGGAGGTGACCAGATTTTCAATGACTCGGTCATCACCGATTCAACTCACTTCCAGGAATGGATTAAGATTAAGAACGCCGGAGAGAGATACGGCATGCCTTTTACGGCCGAGTTCCGTGCAGAAATCGAGCAGTTCTACCTGGAACGCTATGCTTCATGGTTCTCCCAGGGCCTCTTTTCCCTTGCAAATTCCCAGATCCCGATGGTCAATATGTGGAATGACCATGAGATCTTTGAGGGCTTTGGCTCCTACCATGACGATTTCATGCAGAGTGTGGTCATTTCAGGATTGGGACGGATTGCGTTCAAATACTATCTACTATTCCAGCACCACAGCGTGCCGGAAGAGACCGAGGCCGATGAGCCTAGCTGGCTTCTTGGTGCTCACCCTGGCCCTTATATTGAGCAAAGAAGTCGAAATTTGTTCATGTCTCTTGGCAACGATGTTGTTCTTCTTGGCCTGGATTGTCGAACTGAACGAAGGGTAAGTCTCTTTCTTCTGTTGCTATCACAGATTATGCTAATCTGTCTTTGCAGAGTAATGAGGTCCTCGCGGAGGAAACATGTGACCTTATCTGGGACCGCTGCCATCAGGAGATAATCAAGGGAGAAACTAAACACTTGATTGTTCTGTCTAGTGTGCCCATTGCCTACCCCCGAGTGGTATGTATTAACACTTTCTGTGTTACTGAGGCCTATGCTAATCATAACTCTAGGCGATGCTCAAGAATTTCTTGAATAGCCGCAAGTCGCTGGGCAAGTCCGGTATGCTCGGTGGGCTTGTCAATCGATCTGGCGGCAATGTGGAGGTGTTTGATGACCACTGGGCCGGAAAGCACCTGAAGTCCGAGCGAACGTGGCTGGTTGAAGACTTACAGGACCTTGCTGCCGAGAAGTCTGTTCGGGTCACAATCCTCAGTGGTGATGTTCAACTGGCTGCCATCGGACAGTTCTATTCCAACACGGGTCTGGACGTGTCCAAGGACCGTGACTACCGCTACATGCCGAATGTCATATCCTCTGGCATCGCCAACATGCCCGAGACGGAGCTAATCTCGGACATGCTCAATAAGCGCAACACTGTGCACCACATGGATTCGAATACAGATGAGGACATGATTCCCATCTTCACACAAGACGTTGACGGCAAGCCCCGAAACAACAAACGTCTCCTCCCTCGACGCAACTGGTGTTCTATACGAGAATACCTTCCTGGCTCAACGCCACTTGGCACACCTGAGTCAGAGATGACGCCTACCCCAGAACCCCGTCCTGGTAAACTCCAGCGAACCCTGTCCCTAGGACGTGGGGACAAGGGAGCAGGTGGCAAACCGCCCGGCCTCCTTCGCCGTCTGTCTACTCGGGCGGCACCTCCAACAAGGACTATGAGCTTTGGCAGGGAGGGCGGAGCTCGCCGATCCAGCGTCGACGGCCCCGTTGCACGTCCTCGTGAGAACGGGGACAGTTACTTCCCTGATGATCCGCAAGCGCCCGAGCCCGGTCGCTTTCACCGTCGGCCAACTAACCTCGGGTTGAAAGCAGCAAAGAAAGCAGCGAAACAAGGCGACGATGGCGCAGGCGCATTTGTCGATCTTGAGGGTGGCCTAGCCATAACCTTAAACATGGAGATCAGTCCCCAGGACCCCTCTGGCATAACTGTGCCCTACAAGCTTCTCGTACCCGCGTTGCGCTACGAAGGCACCGAATATGATCCGCCGCCGACACAGGTGGTCAAGGGCTGGCGAAAATGGCTGCCACGACGCAAGGAGCAGGCTGAACAGGCTGAGCATAGAGCCGACGATGACGACGAACCCGATGATTACGAGGACCATGACACAATCAACAATACCCGCGCCAATGCTGCCACTGAGTCCGATCAATTCCAGTATGAAGGATATCCGGACAGTGAAGAGGATGATTCGGATGAAGTGCCTCAGCGACTGCCGCCCGACGCTCTCACCGATTCATCGCCGGATGAGGAATATGATGAACCAAGCCAGCAGAAGCGGAAGAAGTGGTTTGGGGTGATTTGATGTACATTATTATGACTTATGCCGGTCCTTTCCCCTGTTGAAGGATTTCTTTACGATGTGTATGAATCTGGATTTTTCAGTTTAGATCGCTTTCTGGTCTATTCTACATGAGTGACGCAATTTAGCCCGTTCTTTTCAGTCAGCAGTACATAAATAATGCCCTGAGATAAACGCCTTCCCAATATTCGGGAGTACTGCGTAAGCATCGTGGTTCTACCACGGTCTAGGTATTCGTTAGTATAGATAGGAGATCAGATATGATCTAATCAGCGGGTTCTGGCCTCCGATGAGTTCGGCAACTATGGCGTGATTCTACCGAGAAGGTTCCGCCGAGATCATATCAACCACAGAGCCTCGCTCTGACAAGACTCGGTCTATTCAAAGATCCCACCATGTCACCAGTAGCAATCTAGAACTCGACTCTTATTTCGGAGCCGGAATACCAGAATTTGCAGTGATGTGATCGACTTACCTCAGCGGTTCTCGGCCCTATCACGTGACCGCCTGATTAGAAAGCGAGGGGCCTCGACGCGGGCAAATGATTAATTTGTACGGAAAGACACAGAAGGAACCTGATCTCATCCAGTCTCCACTACACTCTACCCCTCTAGAAAAACGTCTTTCCCCCTCTTCTTCGGAAACACCTTCAAGCTGTTTTCCTCCACTCTCCGACGTTTTCCCTCCGCTCTCCGTTCCATCGGACTCACTGCCGCCGCGGCTTCCACTCTCCACCAACAAACTCCGCCAAAGCCTTCGGTCTTTTCACAGTCCTTATCGACGCCCGCGCGCGTCATTTCTACAAGTCCCGCCAGGATGGTGCACTCTCAAGTCGTTAGTATGTGCCAATTTCCCCATTGACTACGTTCTCCGGCTTGACCAAATGCTCACGAGACCTTCCAGTCATCGGCTCCGGCCCCGGCGCCCACACTGCCGCCATTTATCTTTCGCGCGCTGAGCTCAGCCCCGTCCTGTATGAGGGTATGCTCGCCAACGGCACCGCCGCCGGCGGCCAGCTCACCACCACCACCGATGTCGAGAACTTCCCCGGTTTCCCCGACGGTGTTGGTGGCCAGGAGCTGATGGAGAAGATGCGCAAGCAATCCGAGCGCTTCGGTACCGAGGTCATTACCGAGACCATTTCCCGCATCGACCTGTCCCAGCGCCCCTTCAAGATGTGGACCGAGTGGAGTGACGGCCCCAACGATGCTCCCGCTCGCACCGCCGACGCCGTTATCATCGCCACTGGCGCCAACGCCCGCCGCCTGAACCTGCCCGGTGAGGAGACCTATTGGCAGAACGGTATCAGCGCATGCGCTGTCTGCGATGGTGCCGTCCCCATCTTCCGCAACAAGCCCCTCTACGTGATCGGTGGTGGTGACTCCGCCGCTGAGGAGGCCATGTTCCTCGCCAAATACGGTAGCAGCGTCACCGTTCTCGTCCGCAAGGAAAAGCTCCGTGCTTCCAAGGTCATGGCTGATCGTCTGCTCGCCCACCCCAAGTGCAATGTCCGCTTCAACACCGTCGCCACCGAGGTTATCGGTGAGACCCGTACCAACGGCCTCATGACCCACCTCCGCATCAAGAACGTTGTTGACAACAAGGAGGAGATTGTTGAAGCCAACGGCCTCTTCTACGCTGTTGGCCACGACCCCGCCAACGGCCTGGTCAAGGAGCAGCTCAAGCTCGACGAAGATGGTTACATCGTTACCCAGCCCGGTACCAGCTTCACCAGCGTCGAGGGTGTCTTCGCTTGCGGTGACGTCCAGGACAAACGCTACCGCCAGGCCATCACCAGTGCCGGCTCTGGCTGTGTTGCTGCTCTCGAGGCCGAGAAGTTCCTCTCTGAGGGTGGCGCCTCCGAGCCCAAGGTCGAGACTGCCAACGGTGCTGCCGAGTACTCGTCCAACCCCGCTCTATAAATACCCTTTTCATACCATGTTTCTTGTGAATCCGATCTCCATTACGGAGTGAATTGTTTAGATTGCTCGTGCGTATCTAGACTTGTTCGGTGTTTCAATTCCCCTGCATATCTTGTTTTCATCTCATGGTTGACGGATTTCCTTTCCTTTTTCTTGGCTTTTTTTTGATACTGGGTCATGGCGCTAGCTTATCTTCCCGACCTACGTTCGGGATGGTCGTTGCCTATAGAGATAGAATTAGATGAAAGTCCCTTATCACTTGATCTAGTAAAGTAAACGGAGAGTAAGCTTAGACGAGAGGGAACAGTGATTTCGTAACAAGAGGCATAACGTCATTGGAAACTAATAAAACAGAAACGAAAGTAACAGCCTAGTCTAAGCCGGACTGTGGCGCCTCCCACTGTTCATAGGGGGTTTGCGCACACCACTGATCCTTTATTTCATAAGACCTCCGCTCCCACTCCGTATAAACCACCTTGTATTGCTCCCATTGCTCTTCATTCGTGCGCCGGTTCGTATCCACCTGGTCAATGTATGGCTGCTTCTCAGCTGGCTCAGCCTTGCGCCACATCTGGCCGAGGGCAGCGCGGATTTCGTCGCGCGCAGCTTTGGCATTGGGGTTTTTGGATGATGCGCGCCGTGCTTCGTCGCACTGGTCGCGGCATTTGGCCCAGTAGTCCTTCTGGTACAGGAGGAAGGGGTTGAGGCCTGCTTTTTGCGGCCGGAGTGGTGCCGAGCCAATTTCAGCGTAGATTGCTGTCCACATTGCTTGGTCGTAGGTGTCTTTGCGGTGTTTCTCCGTGGAGTGAGGATTGCGTGCGGGTGTGGTGATATTCGTTGGAATTGCGGTTGTGGATAGAGGGTCGGCTGCGTTCTGCGCTGTGATCGTCGTGCCCGTGGGTGTTTGGGCTGCGCTGACAGTGGACTTTTCGGGGACAAGAGGCTCACAGATCTCGATCGGTCCGACAATGGCCTCGATCACCTCCGAGGCTGCACGAAGCCCTGAGAGATATGCACCATGAACGGTTGCTGGATGTGTTCCGCAGGTGGCCTCTCCGGCAAAGTGCAGGTTGCCTACGTTTTGGGCCATGAAATTGTAGTCGTCGGGAAGTGCTTCTGCAGCCACATATGAATAGCTACCGCGAGTGAATCGGTCTGACGCCCACCGAGTAATGATGGTCTCAAGGGGGTCCGGCACAACAGCGTCCTTGAAGACGTTCCGAAGTTGCGCCGTGACTTCAGCGATGATCTCGTTGTCAGGAGTATTCTCGGCTTGATGTGCTGCGTCGCCCGCCATGAGGGCGATCAAGACGGGTAGACCAGTTGTCTTCAAGCAATTCCAGAACAAATAAAATCGGCCTCGATTGGTTGCATAGTCTTCCTGGGCCATACTGTCAGGAGTTGTCGGTTCGCGAAGCAGACCAAACATATCCCGCTGCACATCCCAGAATGGCCGATCAAACACAAGAACGACTTTGTTCATGACACCAAAACCTAATCTCTCAATTGCTCCCAATTTCCATTCGGGCAACGGAGGGTCAAAGTTGATGGTACGATGTTTGAGGGTGCCAAGAGAGCCAGTGTACACAATATGGTCGGCTATGAATTTTTCTCCATCTTCGCATTGGACGGTTGCTTTGTGCTTTCCAGATCCTTTTGCATCATATGAGATATTGGTCACGATCTTGTTGGTGCGCACATCCAGCTTAGTTGGCAAGGAATACAATCCATATGGCAATTGCTGGTAGCCACCAATGACTGTCGAATGCTCGCCCTCGAATTCATTACCGATATCCTGGTCCCACCCAGACAAGCTGAGTTTGTTGATATTTGTGGCATTTGCGTACTCGAGGTTTGCAAAGTGCCAGTTCAAAAGACGCATATCCTTGGGTGTCAAGGGAAGTATGCGCTGGTATTGTTTGACACCCTCATCCATCACAGCCCCAAGGGTTTGAGTGCGCGACTGGTTGACGATGTAATCCAATTCCAATGTATCGGTGGCAGAGTATCCTGGGTTCAGCTTCCATCCTGTAGCCTGACAGGCCAGAGCAGCCGGGTGGTCTTCTGAAGGACCCACAAGGTCCGCTGCCACATCGTTTGGTTCGATTTCTGCTGTCTTGTGTCCAACTCCTCGACGTCGACGAACACGCTTTGTGGGAACGAGTAAATCAATGGTTCCTGCCGCGCGCGCATCTTCGTATTGTCTTACAGTAAGACCATCATCCATAGTCGTTTCACGGCCGCTGTCAATCAAATCGCGGTCGCCCTCGGCTGTGGGCTTCACCATCGGGTTGTGGCGATAGAAACCAGTCCTATCAAGAACATCGTTATACAGCTTTTCATCCATTGAATCTCGGACTTCGTCCACGGGTGAACCATCAACATCATAAATCGTGGAGATATCACGTAACAAGTGGTAGCGAAGAGCCAATTGACCACGAACGATCTGATCGAGCGGATTGCCGTGCTCAAAGCCAACAATGATCTGGGCGCCCATTTCCGCCTTTGGGACAAGACCTGGTGGAAGCATGTTTGATTGGAGGCTGTGCAGTGGGTGTGAATAGACTCTTCCACCGATCCTTCGACGTCCCTCGAGCACAATAACGCGTGGAGCAGTATCTGCATCCCGGTAGTGGCGGAACAACCCCTCTAACTGCCGCGCACATCCAAGACCTCCAACACCACCTCCCACAATAACAATGATAGGTCCATCCTTGCGTCTGCCACGCCTGGGAGGCACTGGCGGGATCGGAATTTCAACGCAGCCGAAATTGATGTACCCATGGCGTGACAGCCAGTCGTATGCAAAAGCAGCCAAGTTCATCCACCGATAATCCTTGGCACAGCCCAGGGCCTCTTCTCTGGTGACACTGACCATTGGGTTCCGGGTCCATAGTCGCAAAATGCCGTTTCGGATGTTGAGATAGACGGTAACGTGCATGTGGCAGAGACGGTCCTGCAGCAGAGCTTGTTCCTTTTCGTGCAGTGCATACGGGTCGAGTCGGGATCTATAGGCTGCTGTCACGCATTGCTGTGCATAGATAGCCGGCGCCAGCTTTGCTGGGATAGATGACCGTGGACGGCATTTAGACAAATCAACCTTCGTACTGTCCAAAATACTAATCCCCGAGGACACCGGTGGCGTGGAAAAGATCTGTGATGGAGTCGTTGGGGGTGTTGTGGAGTTGCTGGGCTTCAAGCATATCATGGATGCCGTTGTGGTAGGTGCGATAGGGTGTTTGTGGTATCCATCGGGACGTGACTGCCCTAGCGGGCCATTGAAAGTATGCACTCCATTTGCGACCAGCATGGGCTGGGCATCATCAAGAGTCACGGGATGCTTCTCCTCCTCAAAGGGGATGGATAGCGGAGCTTCGGTAAGTCCATCCGAGAATCGCATACGTTTCAGAGGCGGTTCTGATTCTTCAAAATGAGATATCAAAAGCCTTCCTTGTTCCTCAACGTTTGAATGAAAATTTGTAACAACTGGCTTGACGTATGGGTTCTGGCTGGGATGAACCCCAGCTAGGGCGTGGATTTTCATAGACGCAGTGCCATCCATGTTCGATGGAAGGTGCAAGCCAGGTTCCGATCTCACAGCCTGGGGACTTGAGTTTGATGGAGACATATCAAGAAGCACCGTTCGAGCTTTCTCGCGCGCTTGTGTCCTTAATATCTTGTATCGGGAGACCAAGGTGGGATATCAAATGTCAAGGCTTCCACATGTATTCAAGTCATGGCGCGGTTCGCATCGCATGAAGGTCACAAACGAGGGTATTCAAGCAGGAAAGAAAGTTTCGATAATCTGCAGAAGTATTAGAGGCGCTGTACATGCAATGGTGCTTGGTTTTAGATTTTGCATGTAGATATTGCAAGGATCAGAAGATCGGGGGTCGGGACAGCTAGATCAGCACATACATTGTAGTCACCCACCTCCCCCGCAGACCCGACCCATGCGAATAAGAATCCGAGCATCAATCGAGAATCAATTGCGATCCAAAGCGGTGGCCGAAAGGGAGGGGAGAGAACCTCAGGAAGAGTGGTGGCCGTTGTGCCTTGATTCCTCGGGCCGATGCGTATTTCTCAGTCCGCCTTGGGGTTAACTACGGCATGTTCACATCTTCACTTCACCACTGTATAGGGTAATGTCATAGTTCTCGTTCTACCTATTCTTCTGGCTTTCTTTACAATCCTTAGGCCTCTCGCCCAACATGGCTATGTAGCCCGTATGTCTCATCCTCGCCAGGGTAATCATCCGAGTCATTATCCGTGAATTCATCATGGTAGGATCTCCGGTTCTTCTTCTTCCATCGCTCGGAGCGGTCGCTGTCGCTTTCTTCGTCTCCGAGTTCAAGGTCGACATTATCGTCATCCAGGTCGTCGAACCCAATACGCTCCTCTTCATCCCGGGCTAACATCGTCGCAGCCTCGTTCTCGTCATAATCTTCGGAGAATCTGCCATGAGGCCGGTGGGCTGCATGATCGGCTTGGAGAGATTCCCGGATATTGGCGCGCTCCTTGGCTTCGAGTTCTTTCGCACGAGCCAAGGTCCTAAAATACCTTGTAGTTAGCATCGGTGCATCAGAGACGTGGAAGATGGACGCGAGAAATAACGCACCTTTGATAAATATACCACCCGGTACCGACTCCAACACTGACAGTCACAAGAATACTAATGATATTCACAGCCTTGGATCCTGCGCTCATCTCCTCGCCCTTTTCAGATAGAAGCCGCACTCGGCTGCCAATGAACGCAGGGACCAATAGCTTAGGGGAGATGATCGCGGTCGCCAGCCCGTACATCAAGGGCTGAACTGTAGGGAATGTAGAGACGGCGCCGTTGCATATGGAGTAGGGCAATGGACAGAGACGGATCATGCAGAGGAGTTTCAACCCGTCATACTTCAAAGTGAGTGAAAGCGCGGCGAACCGTTTGTCGTGTTCCATCAGACGCTTGACAAACCCCGATAGCACCGTTCGCGAAACATAGAATGAGGCAGTAGAGCCGAGGATAGTTGCGGTGGCATAGATCAACCATCTAGAAACACCAAAAGTCAGCGTTACTATCTTATCAGAATGTCAATGGTGAGATTCTTCAGCTTACCCCTTCCACACGCCAAAAATGAAGCCCGCCACGGTTCCAAAGGTCGACCATCCTACCAGCGGCGGAAATGAGACGAAGAATACACAGAGCCATAATACGAATGCGACCAGTGGAGAGCGCTCCCACTTTTCAGCGACGGGGCCAATCCAAATGAACACCTTGGCCGACAAGACCAGGAACGCGATGCCCACAGCACCCGTCAAGATAGAGGCAGCATAGAACCCAATCTTCTGCCACAAGGTCATACCCTCCCATCGGGCAAGCGCCTTTCGATATATGTCTTTGCCGCGGTCGACGAGTCTGTCGCGCATGGTGGTTGCCGGACGGGCAGACCTGGCGGAGTCCCGCCTACCCGAGCGATTCCAGACCGGCGACTGACCATCACTGCCAGGGGATTCGAGTAACGGCTCGGGCGGCGAGGTAGACAGCGCCAATGCCCGTGCCGTGGACTCATAGTCCGCGGGCATGTTGCCACAAGGTAAGGGTTGATCGAGGACACGGATCTGATCTGGGGGAAGCTTGAGCGATCGGCGAATGTGGAGGCGGGAAGTAGGGAAGGGTTCAAGGAGACAGGGTTCAGGAAGAATAGAAGCCAAGGGCGTTAAAAAGCCCTATAACTGGGGCCTAACATGAAGGGTTGAGGCGAAGCACAAGCCAAGGCTTCGGAGTCGGGAGTTGGAGGCGCAGGCGCAGACTGCCTGGCCACACAGGCGGATCCGCCGGAGCTTGGGAAGCTTGGAGCACTTGACTGTTTACTCTGGATCTACACCCGCTAAGATTCATCTGGACCCTGTGCGCCCTATGTTTAATTAAGGACTAGATTGCATTCATGGACACTCTCCGGAGATTTTCTGTCCACTATGCTCCATATTGTTGCCTATTAACTGCCACTGGACACAGGGTGAGTTGGCCCCCCCTGATGGTTTAAAATTAGCTTTGCGAAAGTGAGACACTAAATAGGGAGATATAGAAAGTCAATCCTGGTCCAGATGATATATAGTCCACAAAGATACATATATGTCGAGAAGTCGGCACATTGGAGTGAATCCACGCAAGGATGTTCACGGAGTGGGCTGAGTGCGGAGAGTGGCCTCTCAATCTACAACCCGATGTTGATCTCCTTTCTCCGCCCCCTCTTTGTTTTCCCCCTTTGTCTTTTGCTTCATTTATGCAGCCCCATTTGCTTGAGGGTCTTGCGATGTAATCGCCTTTGTCTTCGTTTGTCATTAATCGCCTCTCGGGTTCTGTCCCTCAACCCCCCTATTATTATTACTCTCGCCCTCGGTTCCCAAGTCGACATTATCAGGGAGCATGGATCGGGGACTCTGACGCCCTTAATCCTCAAATAATTACGTTGATAACCCAAACCTGAGCGCGTCCTCGTCGCCAGTACGTGCCAGGACCCGGAAGCCTTTCTCCGCTATTTCAGCTTATTCCTCGCGGCGTGCCCATTACCCCCACCTATCATAACAACATGGTTTCGGAGGAGCTCCTCGATAAATGCCTGGAGATTCTCCAGGACCAGGCCCTGGACGAAGAAGAGCAGGTGGAGAAGGTCGAAGACTTTTTGCGCGATAACACCTCGCTTTCTGGGTCGTCGTTGGAGAACGCCGTGTTGGACATCCTCTGGCGCCATCGCAACCGCTCGCGACCCGACTCGTCTCCCCCTCCAGTTCGCCATACAGTGATTCGCAGGGCATCTCCAGCACCATGGCAGATGCAACGCGCTGCAACACCGCTCTCTCCTCACTCAAATCTGGGCACCAGCCCCGGGAGTACCTCGTGGGTGCAGAGCTCGCGCGGGGCATTCTCCCGACCTCCGCTTTCCTCGACGGTATCTCCGTTTACCTCGCCGCGCCCATCACCCCGACTCGCTCTCGCGCAACCAATCCCCCACTCTCCCAGTTTACATGCCTACGAATTCTCAGATCAAAGCCAAATCTCGGATTTTTACCCTGATTTTGGTAATGACAGTAATGTCGACTGGCTAGTGGGAGATGATGCGAATAGCACCACTTCCTCCACGGGTCTTAGTGTTCCTGCGTCGCTAAGCGCGACAGCGGTGGAATTTGTGCCCGATATGAGCCCTCATGATATCTTGCGCACCGTTCTAGGTGACAAGCGCTCAAACGACGAAATCGAAACGGCCCTGGAGGCCAACGGCTATGATCTCGGGGCCACCATTGCATCCCTGACGCAGGAAGTTGATGCGGATGGATTATCCCGGCAACAAGACGGCCGCGTACTAGTTGGAAAGTCGATGATAATGGAGCAGCGACCAGTCACGCCCTCGGGGCACAGCCGCAGTCCCATAGTCTGCAAGTACTGGCTGTCTACCGGACAGTGTCTACGCGCGGACTGTCGCTTCAGTCATGACTTGACGAGTCATCTATGCAAGTGAGTCAGTCCTTTTTACTGATGGCTTCGGCTACGAGCTAACCAAGATAGATATTGGGTGATGGGTAGCTGCCTGGCTGGCGATGGGTGTCCATTTTCACACGACCCCGAAAAACTAATAACCAATATTAGTCTATCAGGTAGTAGTCGACCAGCGTCGCCCGCTGGATCCCCGTTCCAAATGGACAGCGGCTCCGATGCTTTCCCGCCTTTGCAATCATCCGGTGGGACGGAGGACCAATGGGCAAACCAATATGGCGGCCGATATCCCTCCAATCTCTCCGGCGCCAAAGCGATCCCACCGGGGCTCCACCCCGGCATGGGCAGACGCAATGGGAGCATGACCCATTTAGGACGGCCAAACTCACGCCCAACTAGTCGTCATCAGAACCGAGAGCTAAACCCCACTGCTCCATCCGTAGATGATCCAGATGCCTTCCCTACTCTCGCTGCTGTGAGTGCGAAGAATGCCGGCAAGAAGCACAACGGCAAGCGAAGCAACCGCGACATGGTCAAAGAGAACATCCCCTCCTCTCTGGCAGACGTCGTTCGTATGACACCATCCCCTACTTCGAACAAGGGGAAGTCCGCCTCCAAGAACGGGAAAGACACCAAGAGTCGTGAGAATAGTGCGGCTGCCATGTCAATTCCAGCTCCACAGAACATCCCTTGGCTCGAGACTGGCACGCGGGCCAACCAGCAATACATCAAATACCGCACCGAAGCGATCCGCCATGGCACCGTGCGAAACAAGTTTCTCCAGAGGTATGCTCCCGACAAATTTGGTCCAACCCAGGAAACGGACTTTTGACTGACAAAACCCACTAGTGCTGCCCAAGCCTGGAACAGGAACGATGCTCGAGCTGCCAAGGCACTGTCACTCCGAGGCCAGGCAGAAAACGATGCGATGCGTCGTTGTCACCGAGAAGCTGCACGTCAGCTGTACGAAGAGCGCAACCAACATCTCACCCAGGCTGGCCTGGACGAAACCTCAGAAGAGCTCTACATTGACCTGCACGGCCTACACCCGGAGGAAGCGATTGAATATCTGGAGAAGATTCTCCTCCAGCATGCCCGTGAAGGTATGCGGGTGGTCTACGCAATCACAGGCACCGGCCACCACTCGAAGAACGGCAAAGACAAGATCGGCAAGGCTGTCAAGGCCTGGCTCAACGAATGGCGATACCTGTTCCGGGAATTCAGCGTTCCTGGCGAGCGCGGAGGTTATGTCGGTGGTATCCTCGGCATTGATCCAACAAGCTTTGACAAGTCTATGGCCAAGAGTCTAGCGGAAGACGATTCGGTGGAGGTGGATGGTACACAGCCAAATCTCACATTAGGCAACATTCAGCTGCTCAAGCGCGAGGACATAGAAACGCAGAATCAATGATTTGGTGTGCCCCGTTTTTCTTCGATCCCTTAGCAGATGCGCACGATACCCATCCTTCAAGAGGAAAAAACTTCGAATACCTGATCTATTTCAAAGATCCGTAGCCATGCTCATGCTCATCCAGCAAGTTCAACATTGAAACACATTCATCGCACCTTCAGCTATCCTCCAACTTCTTCCTTGGCCGCCCCCAGTAGGCAGTATATCTAGAACGAGTGTAAATTTAGGTTCCTACATACATACCTGGCTAATTACCGTTTGACTTATTTACTCGGGCTCCTGATGCTGCCATTCTCCCCGCAAAGCTCTAACATCAACACCACAAGCCTCTGCCTTGTCAACAATTGCCCTCGCCTTCCTAGCAACAGGCACATCAATCATCTTCCCATCTAAAGTCCAAGCCCCCCTCCCCGCAGTAGCAGCCTTCTCATCCGCAATAACAACTCGCATAGCCCACTTGGACTCCTCAATATCAGGTCCGAAAATCGCATTCGCAACCTTCACCTGCGTCGGGTGGATCAACTGCTTCTCATTGAAACCCAATCTCCTACCATCCCGACACTCCTCTTCTAATGCAGCTGGCGGCGATCCGTCTGCTTTGTCGGATTTGTAGGATGTGCAGACAAGATCGATTGTTGAGGGGAGATCGGCCGCGCGAGCGGCTGTCGCGATTGCGGAGCGCGCGAAGAGGAACTCGGATAGGGAGGGCGTGCGCGTTATGCTTAAATCTAGGGCGAAGTCTTCGGCTGCGAAGATTAGGCCTTGGAGGAGCGGGGAAGCGGAGCAAATTTGAGATAGATTAGTTAGTGATTTCGCGGACTCGACGAGGGCGAGGAGGGAGATCGGAGGGCGTGATTCCAGTGACTGCTGTTGTGCGGCGAGGGTGTGCGTGATTACATCTGTGACGAAGGTAAGGTCTGAGGCGGAATTGACCTTGGGAATAACGATGGTGGTCAGGTTAGGCGATTGGAGCTGTTGTTCAGGATTAGCTCTTGCCCTGGGTGATTGTGCCTCTTTGAAGCTACTCACGACTTCTGTAAGGTCTCCCAACGCCAATCCACTATCCACAGAGTTGATTCGGACTGCGCGCTCCCGAATTCCTGCTGGTGCGGGCTGGTCGATGGCTCTCCGCACCAAGCCACGGGCCTCCGCCTTCATGTGCGGAGTGACGCTGTCTTCCAGGTCATATGCGACACAGTCCGCTGCTAGAGAGCGTGACTTGTCAAGAAAGCGCTGGGAGGATCCAGGGACTGGATTTTGGAGGGCCTGTTAGCTCCAAGGTCGTCGAGCAGCTCGGCATTGAAATGCGGGGAAGACGCGATAGCAACGCTGGTGGGCTTACCGTATAGCAACGAGCGGCGGAGGGTGTTGCGGGCAGCCATTTTGAATAGATTTTTGAATGTAGCGTGATTTTAAATATTCACACTGGCGCGTTGAGGAAGGAGCTTCAAATCGTCAGTGAGGAGAGGATCCACGCAAGCCGGGGGCTCCAGACCTCGGGAATTCCGCGCTTGGCCACAAATGATGTCAATGCCTCTGGATATGAAATTCAGCAATGATTTTATTTTCAGCTCTTGGATTGAGAGATGTAGAGGTTGTATTCTAGTTATAAATTCGGCCGGGTATGAATCTCTATGTTTAATGATTGAAGAGAAGCCGGTTAAGTAGGCTATATGCTTTGCTTTGCGGGATCGGCCTCGTATACATGGAATTTGCCGAAGCTTGACCGATGTACGTCGATCCTTGCTTTAACAAATTATTGTCGAACGTATACAATATTCAAATCAACTTTGGAACTTGTGAAAGAGAGGACTGCGATATGCCACGAGGAAAGTTTAGCGTTTGTGTATCTTGGCCATTCTCAGCCGGGACAATCTACGTACGGGCAACTACGTACAAGCTATCGAGTTTGATCTTATCCACAAGGGATGCTGGCAAAGACGTATAGACTGAGGCATATAGATTTAATGGTCTAAATTTGAGTGCATGGAGCACATAGCCCACGGTGCTAGGCGGTGATCAACTTCATGGCCAATAGGACACTAAGATCCGGGCAAAAGAAAGCGGGCGTTGCATCCGTGACAGCCTTGGAAGTATACGAGTGAGACAGTCTTAACTTTGAGTTATCAATGTAATAGGACACTAAGATCTGGGGGAAAAGAAAGCGGGCGTTGCATCCGTGACAGCCTTGGAAGTATACGAGTGAGTCAGTCTTAGCTTTGAGTTACCAATGTGACGATCAGTTAATTTCCGCGATCAATGCTCAGGTGTCCGCTTCAAACTTGGTAACTAGGGGTTATATTAGAATGTCTTAAAATAATAAATGAAATTAAAGAGCCCCGAGGAAGAAACGAGCTTCATCAACGCGTACTTAACTCTACAGGACAGAAATTTTTGATTCTTAAAATAAGACAGTGGTAGTTTCAATCATGTCTTCAATCAAGATTCCGCTAACGCCCCGTGTGCGCGAACTAGACCTTGTTGATAAGGTCGCTGTTGTGACCGGCGCATCTCGGGGCATCGGACGTGCTATCGCCTTCAACCTGGCCTCTCGTGGATGTTCCATCCTAGGGACTGCTACCAGTGACACGGGCGTCGCTGCCATCGCGAAAGGCCTCAACGACGAGGTCACCAGTCGCGCCTTCGAAGGTACATCTCGGCAGAGACCTGCGCGTCTCCTTATTACAGCAGTCGTTGCAGACATCTTCTCTACCGAGTGCGCCAGTATAATTACCGAAGAGGTCACCAAGAGCTTCAATGGCCGCGTGGACATCTTCATCAACAACGCCGGTGCCATAGGGACCGACACGATAGGAGAAATGGATGTCAACCATGTCCAACAAAGTCTACTCGCCAACGTTCAAACCCCCGTCATGATTGTCGAAGAGTTCACTCGTCGGCACTTCTTCCAGCCCAACAGCCGCATCGTCTACATCTCATCTATCCGATCCCATTTCCCATGGAGCGAGCATCTCGTGTACTCCGCTGGAAAATCAGCGGGTGAGTCACTGTGTCGTACTTGGGCACAGGCTTTCGGTGGCAAGGACGAGAGATACTCCTTCATGGCCGGAACTACGGCCAATTCTTTGTCGGTCGGCTTGACCGAGACGGATTCCATGATGAACTGCCCACCCGACATTTTAAAGCAATTACAGAATGAATTCTACCCCTCGCAGAGTATGCCACGTTTTGGACAGCCTGATGATATTGCGGATATCGTTGGACTTCTTTGCAGCTCGGATGCTCGATGGATTACGGGATGTGTTGTTAGTGCTAGTGGAGGGGGTATCAAGATTGGTTCAGGCTAATAGAGAGATCTTTTGGGCCTAAATGGCTAGATAGGCATATTACAGGATGAAAATGTTTACAAGTCCTCTAAAGAATTGTCTAACAAGTGGTTGAATTAAGTGTTCCGGCCTACTTGCCTTCATTCCTTTCCCATCTTATCTGGCTGTAATAATGCAGCTCTGGGTAGACATATATATGCAACTAACTTTTGTATGCACTAGAGGCTTTGTACAGATCAACATGCCTTCAAGATAATGGCTCTCAAGGAAAAATAGATTACGTTTGACAACTTACACGAGATGTAACTGCGTCCCCGCTTACGATAAACATACTGCTCAGTAGATAGGCCTCTACATTGTCATACTTAGGACGGTGGCAGGAGTGGGGATTGTATGTATGAGAACCAATGATTGTTGAGGCCCACACTATTCTGCCATTTGGTACCGCCCTTAGATGTCCCGTGTTGTGAACACATCAGGGATCCTCAAACAACAGCTCCCACAAGTCAGCACAGCAAGCACTCAGCTGCGGAACGGTGCCTTTGGAAGCTTCAGAATCAGTGGCTCTCAGGTCTTCACCATGGATCAAGGGCAGCAAGGAGAACTGAACTGGCGCCTCAGCGCTCACCCGATCACGCTACTTGTCTTCTTGGGAATTCGCATCGGTTCGTGCCATCTATTGCGGTGGAACACCAAAGGAACACTGGATTAACATATCTTACTTACAGGTGCCTTGCTGATGTACCTCTTTGGTGTCCTCTTCATTGACAACTTGTACGTTCCCTCATATCAAGCTATCTAGCTCCCGTCGCCACAGAACTCCACCCCGCTAACCTGCTTGTGCAGCATCCTTGTATTCATCCTGACCCTGCTCCTCCTCTCCGCGGACTTCTACTACCTTAAGAACATTGCTGGGCGTCGACTTGTTGGCCTACGATGGTGGAATGAGGTCAACACTACCTCCGGCGACTCACACTGGGTATTCGAGTCCGCAGACCCTAATGTTCGCACGATCAGCGCCACTGATAAAAGGTTCTTCTGGCTGAGCATGTACGTCACACCGGCTCTGTGGGTTGGACTGGCCGTGTTGGCCATCGTGAGATTGGTTGGTGTGATTTGGTTGAGCTTGGTTGGTGAGTATTTCTTTCACCTGAACAAATAGATCTTGGAGAGGCTTGATTTCAATTGCTTACTCAATAAATATAGGCATTGCCCTGATTTTGACGATTACCAATACGGTGGCTTTTTCCCGTTGTGACAAGTTCAGCCAGGCATCGACATTCGCGAACAGCGCCCTGGGAGGTGGAATCGTGAACAACATTGCCGGTGGCCTGCTGGGAAGGCTTTTCCGGTAATTGAAGGCTAATGGAGTCTTCACTGGACCTGCACAGCACTGATACTATTGCTGTAAGATTTGTATTCTTTACACGTTTGAATAAATCCACAATAACAGCGTTTGAACTTGCAATGAGCCTGAAAGTACGTTTGTGTTATCGTAGCCTGGAAACTGGTGAGCGCGAGTCAAATTCGCGCGTTGTCGTTCGCGCTCCGCATCCAGCTGTTGTTGGCTCATTTTCTCTCTCCATTTCTCTTCCTCCTTCTTCCCCCCCTCACCCCCGAGTTTCACATCATCAGACTTGTCTGCTGATCAATCGTATTGCATTCAAATTCTCGTGAGTCTCATGTCTATGTCATCCTAGATTTGGATGATCCCCATACGAGCTCTGGTACATGACCAGATCCTCGACCGTCTTTTCTTGCATCATCCCCGTCCAGGATCATTCTCGTTGAATATCGGTGGCCTCTCAGAGTTTCTTTAGTCAATACTGACAGTGTGACTCGTCCAGACTCAAGCTTGTCACTGTCTTCGGGCCATTTCTGTTTCAACATGTTTGATATTGGGAAGCGGACCGGTTCCGGTGACTGGGACAAAACGAACAACGATGGCTTAGAGAAAGGAGACGGCGATAGCGGGATGTCTGGTATGTTTTAACCACATCATGCTTATGGCCGATATCGTCCTCTTCAAAGAAGCTAATCAGTGACAGGCCAAGGTGATGAAAACGTAAAGCCTCAATTCGGCGATGACCACATGTGCCGCAAGTATGTATCATCTCCATTGAACATTCCTTCTGAGTCACTGAGTGGAAAAAGCTGTGGCGGCATTGATCACTTTGCCCGAAACTGCCTCGATGCTGATTACCATGCTGGACACCATAACGGAGGTGGCCTCGGCGGCTACTCGCAGGGAGCGTGCTTCAACTGCAACGAAGAAGGGTAAGTAGTGTGCCGTAGTCTGACAGAAGAGACTGACTTACCCTTGATGAATAGACACTCGAAGGCAGACTGCCCTCGCCCTCCTCAGCAGTTTGGGACCTGCTACAACCGCGGCGAAGAGGGGTAAGTTATCTTATAAGCTATAAGCCGACATCAAAGACTAACCTAATGTTGATGAATAGCCATTCCAAGGCCGATTATCCTGCCACTCGCAAGGCTAGTGGAGCTTGCTTTAACTGTGGCCAGGAAGGGTAGGTTAATTCGATGTTGATCGAGCTCCACCGTGATCAAGATGCTGACACATGGACAGTCATTCCAAGACCGAGTGCCCCAACCCCAAGGTATTTACCGGCACTTGCAACTTCTGCGGCACTGAGGGCCACCCAGCTGCCCTCTGCCCTCTGCGAGACCCCATCGTCTGCAAGAATTGTAAGGAAAAAGGTGCAGACATACTGATCCTGGGTGAAGAGATTCGGATGAAGATGTCCAGTCATTAATCAGGTTTAACAGGTCACTCGGTCAAAGACTGCAAGGGAAACCGCAAGTTCGACATGTTCGGTGTTGAAGACAAGACTTCCGAAGAAGCTTGGGCTATGATGAAGGGGGCCTGTGACGGCGAAATGGATGACTTCCGTAAGGTACAATCACTCCACTCACTTTTGACTGAACCACCGCTGATACTTCAAATAGGCCATTCAGGTCTACTCAAAGGCATGTCCAGCTGCAACTTATCTGGAAATTGCCAAGAGAATGCATGAGGAGAAGTTCAAAGTCTATCTCATCGGCCTTGTCAGTTTACTCATCAGACATGTTTCTTGAAGCAAGTCATCTAATATTATTTCTCGTCCACAGGAGAACCCTAATCAGGCTGACAACATGACCCTCATTGACCTGCAGGGCCAGTTGGACCGTCAGTATCTGGTCGGACTTTTCAGAAGCCAGAAGCTCTGCCGAAAGGCCCTCAAGGGTCGTTGGCCCGAGAACCAAGATGAGAACATGGACCGCCTGGGCAATGCGGGCCTTCCCTACGATCGCCTGGTCGTCAAGTGCCGCAACTGTGAGGGTACTTAACTTTGATTTACGTTATTTTGTGTCTATTGCTAACGGCATGTTAGAACTGGGTCACATTGCCAAGCACTGCCCCGAGGAGGCCAGAGAGGTCTCGAAAGTCGAGATCATCTGCCTTAACTGCAACAATATGGGCCACCGCGTTCGCGACTGCCCCCAGCCGCGCAAAAGCAAGCATTGTTGCCGCAACTGCGGGTAAGTCAAGACTAGGAGGTAGCTCTGAACCGGCTTATACTGATTTACATGCAGTGTTGAAGGTCACCAAGCCCGGGAATGCCCTGAGCCGCGCTCCGCTGCTGATGTCAAATGCCGCAACTGCGGCGATAGTATGTTACACCTGAGAATCTTTGCTGTTGTGTTGTGTGCTAACAATACCAAGCCGGTCACTTCGCAAAGGACTGCACCCAGGCTGGCGGTGGCGGTGCTCGTACCTGCCGCAACTGTGGGTATGTACATCCCATCGGACACATGTTTGAGGATATGTCCAGGACTAACACGCTATAGATCCGAAAGCCACCTTGCCCGTGAATGTGACCAGGCTCGCAACCTTGAGACTATTCAGTGCCATAACTGTGACGAGAGTGAGTACCAACATTGAAGAACGACATGCCAGTCTCCATGCTGGATCTTTCGATGGATAAATTGACAATCATTTTATACAGTGGGCCACCCTGCCCGTGAATGCCCCATGCCCAAAGATTGGTCCAAGGTCAAGTGCAACCGCTGCAACGAAAGTAAGTCTTGATTTCAATGTGTTCAGGAGGGGAAAGTACTCATAATATTCAGTGGGCCACACCGTGCGACGATGCCCTCTGCCCGAAGACTCCGGTGAGAACGAATACGGTGGCTATAGTCATGGCAATCCACCTCTCAACCACACCTGGGACTCCACCAACGAGGTTACTGAGCAATTCGGTCAGTTGAACACCAGCAATGCCAACGTCTCCGGGCCCTCGTGGTAAAAGCTTTGAGAAATCCAGTAGGAGGGCTTTGATCTGGGTAGCAAGGATGATTACGTCGGCTCTATTTTCATTGAATACCAAGCGAGATGGATCTGATGCTGCATGTATTCATGATGTTTCACAGCAGGTCCTACATCTGAAAGATGCTTTGTCTTGCGAGGTTCAGTTATGGCGTTGATGATGTCTTCTCGTGAGCGGATTGGCCACCTTCTGGGCATCCAGATGGAAGCGCAGATTCAATGTTTTTGACGGCTCACTGCCCTCATCGTTACCCTTACGCATACACAAGAAATTAGTTCCATTATTAATGCAAATTCCAGACGCTTGATCCTGAACGTAGGAGGAAGTAGTGACTGGTTTTCCATGGATTCAATAGATAACAGCTGCCGCGTCCATGTAAGCAACTCTCATTAGACTTCAAATATTTCCCAGTCCAATCGCCAATCCAAATCCAAGAACACCCCTTGTGCAGCTCTCCAACAAAGCAGAAACCTGACACCCATCGCAACTACCATTGAACGACAGGGCCTGGAACTGTCCACAACACCTAGCACACCATTTCGATCCTGTGATATCAAATGACCTGTCAATCCAAAGCAAAGTCAAACTTAAAGTCGCCCATAGACCGTACCCCCAAACAACCCTATCTAGACCGTTCTCTTTATGACTTGGTTGCATTGTAACATGACCAGAGCCAATCAATGTCGTCATTGCAGCACTCCGAACCAACATCCCTGCACACCGCACTCTACCAGACACAATCTGAGTAGACTTTCCGACCCGGTATCCCTGACACTCGGTCTCGAGGGCTCGGCCCTGCCGATCAACCCAGCAAATGCCGCACCGCTGAAAACCTGTTCCGGCAGCGTAAGCGGGCTAGCATTAGCGCGGCCATTCCGAGTCCCTTGGCAAGCGCGATGAGATCATACTCGCTCGCAATAAGCAATGCGAGAATCCTTTGGGTTGAGAACAGTGTACAGCTGGACAGATGGGCATACTGTAATGCAAGACGGCCTGAGCACTTGATCGGGTCGATTGTTCTGTATCTCTTTCCCGGCCATTTTCCTGTTCCTTTTCCAAGGTATCATTTGGGCCGATTGTTTAAATCCACCTGGGGAGAGTCATGACCACTTGTAGATGGACCACGGGGTGGTCTGATTGGATGCTACTGTGATTTTCTTTTCCCGAGATGCCCGGGGTGCCTGGGGTTGTGGTATTACGGCGTCAAAACGATGCTTGGGTGTATTGTGGGCCGGTTGCCGAATCCGGAGCCTCATGCGTGGCTGGGGTTTCCATTTTGTTCTGGATGGAATGTGATCTAGGCGCTGTGTACTACAGCAGATCGAAACCTCGGGCTCGGAATTTGTAGGCTATGGATGCTACATCGGTTTTGTGAGTCAGGTGTTCTTGGAAGAGGACTCTTCCGGATGCCCAGGCGTGTCTACTAGGGGACATGGATGGGGGAAAATGCACGAAGGTTTGGTCAATTGATCGTGTATGATGGTTTCAGCTGACGGGATCATCCCAGCTGCATGTGCGAAAAATCCTTCGAGGCGCAGTACAAGCACACATGTTGGAGAATAACTTAAGCTTTACTGGAAGGTTGTGGCGTCCATATGGCTTGTGCAGGAACCAAGCGATCTATGGAAGGATCAAACCTTGAAAGCATGTCGGTGAGGCCGATAGACTGTTGTTTGAATAATGCACACAGGTAGTATCCTAGGAAGATGCCCGATGTTGCCTAACATGAAGCAAGGAATTGAAATCAGGCGACTGCGTTCTCCACTGAGCACGCGAAACGGGTTCGCCCGATCGGGCAGGCATTGGCGCGGCAATGCACTCTAAGAGGAGAGGTGCGTCAAATGAGGGTTTGCGTGTGGAAATTTTCGATTTGATTCACTGACTGGTAGAACAGGCCCCAAAAGTCTAGGTTCAATTGAAAAAATGGCGATAATGTGCAATTATGGCCATTATCTAAAAATCTAGAAGGAGACAATCGAAACGGGGAGCCGAAAAGGGTAAGCCGAGCCTAGCCATCAGTTCGGGCCACTTTGGGGACTGCAAGACCCCGGCATTCGGCCTCAACCGAGCTGGGGTCTCCGGGGGTATGCACCGGAGTCCAACATTTGGATACCCAGTATAGACGCATTCCGAATAATCAATGCTGGCACTCAATTCGCAATTCACTACTAGAAAACAATAGAAATAGAAATAACTTCAAACTCTTACCCCGAGGTCAGCACTGCGTTCGATGTCTTCGTCCCTTATGATGTCATTCTCCGTTGCCGTCAGCGGCGATCGGTTACTCATCTACCCTTTCAGGCTATTTTCACGTTCCAGGTTTTCTTTCCCGGGCCCCCAGGAACTGGGGAAGTGGCTACGGGACCCCTGAGAAGGAAGGTACTTCCTCTGATCCATTGAACGTTTCATCCTTGGTACCCTTCCGTTGCCCTGAAGTTTGGAGTTTCTATTAGCCAACGGGCCGCAGACCAACATGCAACCCGAAATCTCGGGATCAGCTCGCTCGAAACCGGAAAGAAGCTTCCTTGGCCTTTGTAGAGTCTCGGGGCCAAGGTCAGTGCGTTAGCAGGAAGCCGACGCCGTGGTTTGTCGAAGCATCCCGAAGCCGGGCTGATCCTAGTCGACGTGGCCCTTGGCACGGCATTGCGGCAAAAAGTGATTCTGGTTGTGAGATTTGTAGATAGGATACCTCTGTGACGTAGGGGATGAAAAGGTCATGCGACTTGAGAGGGGATGCATACAGTAAACCCCAGGACCTGAGACTACTCCACATAGGAATCCGGGGAGGCCCATCGGACCCAAAGTACAGACGGTCAACCACGCGAACCACGAGGGGCATGAATCCGCATCATAGATGTGGTCATCCACTCTACTCTCGTTCTGAAAGCAGCCACTGGTTACTTTCCTGAGTTCAGTCCTGTAATGCGTACCTTTACCGTACGGCCCGTGATACCGGAGACTTACCGATGAAGCCCATGGACTTCCCTGGGGCATTGTCGACCGGTGGAACCCGAATGCCGAAATGGGCTGGCGAATAAACCGATCCCGAACCGTGATTTGATGACACCGCGGACTGACCCTCTCTGACCCTCTCCGACCTGTGAAGAGGGTCTGCTCTCTCCTGATCCGGCGTCGACTCAATGCGACCTTGCTGCTCCTTCTGGGAAGTCGTTCGAGCCCGCCCTTTTTTACTATGTTGCTCATGGGGGTGGATCCTAGGCCATTTCGCCGGGGTTCTTAAGCCCCAGCTGTTTCCCCCAGACCTGAAGGGTCTTTTTCCGTTCACACTTCATCTTTTTCTTTTCCGTCCCCAGGCCTGGACTTTTGGACGTTGACTTGACCCGATCCTGGACTTGTCTGTTACATTGACTGTACACAGCCTGTCTTTTGCTTCTTTGATTCTACTCTGTCCGGATTACCCTATCTTCCAGGATGAAGCCATATTTCGGGCTGAGGGGCACCTCCCTCAATATCATGATCAGTATCATTGCTGGTCTTGATTTCTTGTAAGTTGTATCTCGTCGAGCCCAACATATCATTTTCTTAACACTAGTTTAGGCTCTTTGGGTATGACCAAGGTGTTATGGGTGGTCTGTTGACGTTGAACTCGTTCGTCACAACCTTCCCGCAAATCGATACTACCAAGGCCGGTGAGATGGGCCTGTCGGCCGCTGAGAGGAGCACTCGCTCGACCGTGCAAGGTATTACAACGGCATCATACAACTTGGGTTGTTTCTTCGGTGCCATCTTCTGTATCTGGATCGGAAACTACCTGGGTCGCCGCAAGACCATCTTCATGGGATCCTTTATAATGGTCATTGGCGCTACGCTGCAGTCTTGCGCCTACTCGCTTCCGCACTTGATTGTCGGTCGTATCGTGACCGGCATTGGCAACGGCCTGAATACTTCTACTGTCCGTAAGTAGTTATCTATGCCTACCATGACATGTGATGGTCACTAACTTTTATAATTCCAGCTACCTGGCAGTCTGAGTGCAGCAAGTCGCACCACCGGGGCCAGTTGGTTATGCTCGAGGGTGCTTTGATAGCCGGTGGCATTACTATCAGTTACTGGATTGATCTTGGGTTCTCTTTTCTCGACCCTAGTTCCGTCGCGTGGCGCTTCCCTATTGCTTTCCAGAATTTGTTTGCGCTTATCATCCTGTTCTGCGTTATGCCTCTTCCGGAATCACCCCGGTGGCTGACTTTGAAGGGCCGCGAAGAGGAGGCTATCGTGGTTCTGGGAGCCATCCTAGATTTGCCCGAGGACGACCCCTATGTTCACTCCGAGTTCGCCGCAATCAAGGACGCTGTCCTTGCCGATGAGAGTGTCGGCTTCCGCGATTTAATCACTATGGATGAAAACCGCCACTTCCACCGTGTCGTTCTCGCCTACGTCAACCAGATGTTCCAACAAATCTCTGGTATCAACCTGATCACTTACTACGCTGCTACTATCTACGAGAAGTCGATCGGCATGAGTGGTCTGATGTCCCGTATTCTGGCCGCCTGCAACGGAACTGAATACTTTTTGGCATCATTGATCCCCATCTTTATCATTGAGAAGGTTGGCCGCCGGACGCTGATGTTGATTGGTGCCGCTGGCATGTCAATCTCTATGATGGTTCTGGCTATTGCCACCAGTTTTGTAGGCAACTCTCAGGCCGGTATCGCGGCCGCTGTGTTCCTTTTCGTGTTCAATACCTTCTTCGCCTGGGGCTGGCTGGGTATGACCTGGCTGTACCCCGCTGAGATTGTAAGTCTTTTCTCGCCATGATCACTTTTCAAATGACTAACATTCTTAGGTTCCGCTCCGCATCCGCGCGCCTGCCAACGCCCTGGCCACGTCCAGCAACTGGATCTTCAACTTCATGGTTGTCATGATTACCCCTGTGGCCTTTGATACCATTGGATACAAGACCTACATCATTTTCGCGGTCATGTAAGTCTCCTTTACAATCCACTTACTTGCAAACACTAACACTATGTCAGCAACGCATTCATTTTCCCCGTCGTCTACTTCTTCTACCCTGAGACCTCTTACCGCTCCCTGGAGGAAATGGACACCATCTTTAACAAAACCACCAGTGTCTTCAACGTCGTCTCTGTCGCCCGCAATGAGCCCCACCGCTACGGCAAGCACGGCGAACTCCTCATCAACTACCAAGACACCGAGCAGCACCTGCGCCGCGCCAGCCACGTCTCCGAAAAGCGCAAGTCCGGCTTCAATGCTGGGGCTGAGCTGGAGAGCGGCAAGGGCGCTCACATTGAGCATCCTCATAGCAGCATGTCAGACAGCAGCAACTAGACTCACTTGAACTAGCTCATACTATACCCACAACCCCATATAAACATTCGGTTTATGCCTCACGAATGTCTTTATGAACATTTTTGCTTTCACATCTAAGTTCCGCGTCGCTGATTCTGGGTAATCGTGTCTCTGTCCTGCGGACGGAGAGTGGAAATTGGGAATATCTTTTGATTGAGCAGCTGGCTGTTTTGTTGGTATTTTTGTATTTTTGTTTCTTATACCCATGTACATGACCACCCCTTCAACACAAACGATATCATATGGCAGGCTTAAGAGACTGAGTCTTCGAGAATGCCACGTGGGATCGTATATACGATATGTATGAAGTTGGTACAGAAAAGACTAACGAAAGTGGGACTCTTTCAACATTATACACATTCTTGTAATCTCGTAAAAAGATAGTAATTAAGAAGATGTCGCAGTTCTTCGCCTTACTCAGGAGCGTCGTGCTCATCCGCCCTCCTTTCAAACACCTTTCGCAGATCCTCATCATACCTCGCCTTATCCTCCAGCTTATCCTCCAGAAACTGATAGCTATCAAACCCCCAATAGGGCATAGTAATCAACCAAAACGAATCCTCATCAATATGGCTCTTCGCAAATCGCGGCTGAATGTGCCTGTAAAACATATCGAAAATAGCACCCGGACTATTTAATGCATAAGAGCACCACAACGTTCCTTTTTCCAGCCCCTGTTTCAAAATGGGGTAGAATGGAAAAGGCGGTTGCATCTCCGGACTGAGAGCTTTCTCCTCTTCTTCAAAAATAGCCATAAAGTCCGTATGCAGAGGGGTATACTGTTCTTCATCAATGAGCTGCATCGGCTGATTCGACAACCAGCTGGGCGGATGAATCATCTCCACAGGCCGTGAACAGGCCCACTCCAGATCAATAATGCACGTAACATTCCATTCCTTGTCAACTAAAATATTGCTCTGATGCAGATCCGTAAGATTGAAAAAGAACGGTCCGCGCAGTAGATCCCGGCGGAAGAAACACGGCCAAACACTTCGCATTATGGTTAGTCCGCACGCTTGGTAGAAGGCGTCTTGTATGTTATTGACTGCGTTCGGCTGATGACGAAAACGGCTTTCATGGATTGAGAATAGATCGTTAATATATGTTTCGGTGCTTGAGTGAGTGCTGTTTCGCGGGATGTCGATGGGAATGTTTTGGTTCTCTAGATAGTGGATATCGAGAGTGAGAGGTCTGTTGCTTAGGGTTAAGTAGCCCTCATTGTCTAAAGTGAAGGATCCGATTTTTGAGAGAGGGATACGTGATAGTGAGAGGAGAGTGCGAGAGAGGTCGCGGAAGAGAGTTTGTCGTAATTTTGGGTTGTGGCGCCTTTCAGGCCATGTATTGGAAAGCATTTCACCTTGGGTTGAGTCGATGTATTCAATTAAGAGATAGCCTGTTCCTAGCGCTGATGCTTCTTTGTATGTAGTTGGGACATAAGGAGTTGCGATTTGATATCCTAGCAACTTTGAGATGTTTCGGCGAAGAGACCAAAACATGCGTGTCATGAATGGTCGGGACTCCAAGGCAGTGAACTAGAGGTATTAGCTAATAAGTGGCAAGGAGTGGCTAAGCTTTGGATGCATACAGACTGACCAGTGGTCATCCCGAATCCATATAGCTTTGGAATTGGTATTGTTGGACAATTTTCTTGAAGCCACACATATGTTCCAGCCTCACAACGGATCTTCTCATCGATATTACCCGGATGTTTGTTTTCTCCAAGTTTATATGGCAGAGGCAGCCTTATCATCACCCGTCTCCCAGGTTTCCGTGCCATAGCATCAATGTCGATACGAATACAAACATTGAAGCTTCCGTGTGCCCATTTTCGCGGCTCAGCAACATGGCATACATCTGGGGATACACCGAGGTGATGAGCGACGATCTTCTGAAGCAGCGATTGATTATTCTGAATGTGCCTGAAAAATTGAGTTCGCTGATCCCAGTATTTTAGCTCGTGGAGTACATTGTAGTCTTTTTCTTTAGCGACGGAGTAGGTGATTTCCTCGCGGAGCAAGCGGCGAGGTACCAGCCCCGGTGCAAGGGGTATCCCCTCGAGCGAGTCCGTGACGTTTGACATTTGAAGCTGTGACGATGGCAAAGATAAGGAATCGTTAGATAAGTGTTAATGTATGGTAAGATGTACTTTGTTGCAAGGATAATGCATGTGCCCTAGTCCGTATAAAGCTCGGGTAAATGATTCTCCTGTGAACCATGCCATATACTGACAGTACGTTTAAATTATCATGTATTTGGGCTTGGCAAAAAGATTCATCCTTTGAAGATCTATCAAATCATGTGGATGCATAAGTCACTCTAGGTAGCGTGGGCTTTAAGGTTATTTGCCAAGTGACTTGGCCCCGGTCTTTTGCCGAAGCTTTACCCTGTCTCGCTGGCAGCGGCCCGGGAAACGCGGGGAATAAAACCTATTAACGAGATTGTCATGATCTATACTCCAAAGTTAATCTCCCTTCTATCCATTCACCCAAAGCCCGAATATTCAAGCCTCTGAATATGCCTCTTTGCTCGCTACCAAAAGAATTCCATGTCTAGCTGGCGTAACCTCCCTTTTTTTGTGGCCGTGAAACATTGGCTCTATAAACTTAAAGAAATGTTGAAAAGAGGCTCCGTGTCTTTATATAGTGGTTTGCTTTGCGCTTGGGTAGAAGCTTTCAAATTTGGGCTCAGCAAGGACATGTCCTAGCACCACATTACATTCCATCTAGGACGGCGGGTATAAGACTCAGAGGCTGTGTAAATTGTCTGACTTAGAGCCGCATCGCATCCCCGCTAAATACGCTCGGGTTGCAAAAAGATACTCTATGAGGCAGATAATAGGCCAAATGATGACAACACGGCCCTTCCCCAATGAGCTAGCCTCTAGCGGCCCCGGGGCAAGCGAGCACTAGGCGTACGCCCCAAATCCTACAACACCGGCTATGTCCAAACTCGCCCCATTTACCACCAATACAATTAAGCGCTACCGCGGTCAAAGCGTGAAATTTCTAGCACTAGATCAATTTTGCTGAACGGGACCAACATCCTTGTCCAATCCTTCAAAAAAAGATTGGAACTTTAACAAAGCTGCGCCCCTTTGTCCGGGGTTTGAACTCGTAGACTTTGCTTCTTCTACCTACTTCTACTTATATGCTCCGGTCGCCTTTTGCCCTAGCTTCTGTTCATAAGCTCGATCATCACAGCAACTCATCAAACCTACGTTTACCTACTCTGAGAAAATGAAAATGAAAATACACCCATTCAGCATCAGCGCCATGATCATTGGCACTTGTTATCTGCCAGGAGCCGACGCAATAACCAACGATCCCGCTTCTCAATATCTCGAGAAGATGTGCTACCCTAACCTGAGTAACGCAACCCGGGGAACATCGCTTCAGCTATCAACAAATGAGATAGCTGCCTCACTCGCCAGGTCATCTTTCCCCTGCGAACAGGAAATGTACATCGAAGCTGTGTGCACTGCCAACGGTACTACCCCAATCGACTTTCTCGCCGAGCAAGAATGTCTCTGCACCGGTGGCTACTGGGAAGCAGTGCGCGGCTGCAATGCCTGCAACTATGCTCACGGCTACCGTGGCTCACCCTCTATCTCCGCTGCAGCATTTGAGCACTCCACCGCATCTTATGTATCTTCTATCAGCGCTGCAGAATGCCATGTCAGTCCGCCATATCAACCTTTCTCGAATCTACTTCCGACTGTCAATATCACGTCCTTGTATGATAGCCCGTCTATCACGCTAGCCTCGGATCGCTTTCCAAATAATACTGCCGTAAGCAAGTACTTCACTGCCACACGGAGCATGACCCCAGGCAATATTTCGGGCAGTGCGACGGCACGGTTAACCAGTTGGACTAATTACAGTGGATTGAGATATACGCCAACTAGCACCCCGGACACTACGGGGTCTCCGTCTACGTCTACATCTGCAACCTCTATTTCCGCTGCTGGCTCATCTGCTACAAATGGTGCTAGGGCTGGGGCTGTAATGGCGAGAAGTGGAAGATGTCTTCTTGCAGTTATGCTGGGGTTTACGGTGTTGTGATTTACGCTCCTCCTCGTTTTCAGCTTTCATGTGAAGTCTTCCAAGCCTTTTAACTTCTCAATACTCTGCCTAGAACTGGCTTTAATTGCCTAGATTCGGCTGTGATATGCAGCCACACTAAGGTAATGATTTTATAGAGTCTAAATAGGCGGCTATGACTTGTCTGTCTGTCAGGCCACAATAAAGGTTTGTCAGGAGATATTAGGAAAGGATCAGAAAGGTGTTTGAAGAACTTAGAGAGAAATGACTCAAGTTTAGAAAGAGTAAGAGAATTAAGTATTAAGTCCTTCTACATTCTTATCTTGATCCGGCTTCATAATTTTCAAAGACAGACGACATCCTCAGAATTGATACAACTATCGGCGTACGCAGTCACGGCAATCTCTTTCCTTCTTTCATATAACTTCGGATGCTTTGTCATCACATCGTTCGGGCAAGATGGCCGAGTTGGTCCAAGGCGTCAGGTTAAGGTCCACCTTAACACCAAACATTGGTTTCCTGATCTCGTTTACGGGGCGTGGGTTCGAATCCCACTCTTGTCATACCTTTTTGCTTTTTCACTCTCCTCTGAATGTGTATTGTCCTGGGAGTTCTATTTTTGCAATGTTTATGATCGCCTCCGGTCGAAATAACTTCAGGGCTGAAAATGAAAATTTTGCAACGGCCAACAAACTGGTGCAAGACACATCCTACCGTGATTACCAGTATCCATTATTTAAAATATATAAATATACGTTGGAAGCACATTTGGGCCGCCCGTTATGATTCAAACTAGAAGCACTCGATTCACATATATTTACTCGTGCCCATGTGGCCCTTGCCAATCCTCACAAACCAAAGGCTAACGCCGCAATTAAAGCCACAAAGCCAGCACCTGCTACAACCGCAAAACTATTTGTGGACACGCCAGTCGCGGAGTCTCCGACGGTAAGACTGCTTCCTTGGCCTGAAGATGAAGTCGAAGTTGGAGTAGAAAAACCATTGGAAGCCAGCTTGACCGGATCTGTGGATGCCTTAAGCGAAGTCGCATAGTATGGTGCAGAAAAGGTATAACTCTCGGATTTGGCGGCAAATGAAGAGCTTGCTTCGGCGCTATTGGTCTCATAAGCAGACCAGATAGTCGTGGTCGTCGTCTGAGTAGAAGTCACTGTCTTCACAGTGTATGGAGAGTAAGAGGTCCAATAGTAGAACCAATAAGTCCTAAACATCATAGGTCAAGATTGAACGGAGAAGGCAACTCCCACATCAGCTTACCAGTAGATCGTGGTGTAGTAATACTCATAGTCGTAATAAGTATACGAATGCGTGTATGAAGGTGCAACCGTCGTAAACATCGTAGCAGTCTCAGTCATACTCGCAGCAACAGTAACCGTGTTTCCCAAATCACCACTATCATTTTCCCCAACACATCCAGACGTAGGACAGCAGACCTCTCGGCCCCGCCATATGCGACAGTGATCTCCCGCGTCGCAGTAAGACCCATCGCTGCAGCATTCGCCATTTTTGGGTGAGCACATACCAGCATTACCGCAGCAGTTCCACCCACTAGGACAAGTTCCCACCGTGCAGCAGATATCACCCGGGTCGGCGCAGTAGTCGTTGCTACAGCATGTCTTCCCAGTTGGACAGCAGCCCGAGCTGGAGCATTCAAAGTACCCGATGGCACAGGTGTAATAGCTGCTTGCGCGGTCGACAAGTCCAAAAAAATCACGCGTGTCCAGGGTGGCGGGTTTGGCGAGATTTAGGGTTGCATTTGATCGTAGTCGAGATCCATCTTGGAGAGCTGTGCTTGCGAGAAAGCTAGCGAAGAGAACCAGCGAGATCCACATTTGCTTGAGATTTCGGATCAAACTCTTAGATTATATAGAGAAGGTATTGCTGGGCTGAAGCTCGGAGTTGAGGCGTGCAGTGGGGAGCTCCATTGTTAAATAGATCATGTTTTGGACCCTGCGGCTCTGGGCACCGGGGAATTGTGCCTGGTGAAAAACGGGGTACCGTTGCGCCCTGTGCATTGGTGTGCCTCTGGGCGTATTTCTTGAAGTGGCGGTCTCGCATCACGACAAATACGAGGTTGACCTTCTTGGCACGGACACGAGCCTCTCTGAACTTGAGGCTACAAAGCTCGTCGAAGAAAAATACTAGTAGATAATAAGAGCTGTGTAGCTCAATAAATTTGGACAAAACGCCATTATGCTCACGGACTTCCAACACTTTCAAGAAGGGGTATTAAATCGCAGTTCAATAATTAGGGCTAGAGAGTAGCTCCCGCCATTTGCCCGAGAGTAGATCGTGAAAGTGGGTTTCACCCCGAATACGAACCCATGGGCGGATGAATCTTCCAATATAGCTGTGATAAATGTATTAGGTATTAAGTCTCCTGACTTGGTCTCAGCCTGTAGCGCAATGGCGAGTTTGGACAGGTGATCACCTTCTTTGAGCTACCCTGAGGTACAATAGCATTCCATCATCTTTTGCGTTCCGGCAGCAATATGACTGTTTTGAACTTTGAAGTTAAGGGTTTATCAAGGTACACTCATTCACCATTCTCAAGCACCGAAGAGTACTCATCTGCTAAATATCTAGGTCGTTGTTTTCTGATTCATGCCTCAGGCATAACTATGACTAAGTGAGCGAGTAGGCGCTTATTGATCACGTGAATAAATTGCACCGAGACCGGCGATTGAAGCCCAAAAAAATCCTGAAGAAACAGTCAATTAAGAACATACGTGTATTGAAGTTATCGTGCATGGGTTTTGCACCTGGCTGGGCTGAGGCTACTTAAACAACGCAGGGTCACCCCGGCCCAGTAGAATTTGGCCTTCTAAATGTTGCTGGGCGGGAGGAAGGGGGAAGAAAGCTATAGGAGAGAAATATTATAGAAACAACATTTAGGATTCAAGATACAATGCTTGTCAATGTATTAGAGTTGATCAGTTAGGTTAAAATCGACGAGGTTGCCAAACTTAAGCGGAGTTTATTTGGGCAAGAAAAACAGGTCCAACATTCTGACAGCGAAGATCACTGCAAGGGATGGCCTGATCCAAGTCAAAGCATTCCCGAACCCTAAAAGAGTGACCGAGGTCAAGAGCACAAACGAACGCTAAGAACAAAGAACCCAAGAGAATTAAAGTTATCCTCGGTGAGAGCTGTTTACCTGTTGGGGAGGCTTTCCCGTCCAACGCCAACGCCAACGCCAGCGCCGAGAGTCGGAAGGTTTTTCCCGCGACTCAACCTCAACGGTTCAACATCTTTTTTTTCTTTCTCTTTTCATACTATTCTTAGAGGGACGCACTCGTATCTCCTGTCTCTGTGAAGATATAACAGGAGACGTGCGCTCGGACAGTGCCAAGACCCCTCCTAATCGGATTATCAGATCTGAAAACGGGCCTTCTCCGCCTCTTTTTTTTTTCTCCGCTCGGCCAACTTCGTTGCGATACCGCGAGTTTAAGCGGAGTCCCCCGGGGATCTGTCTGTGTCTGCTGTTAGAGGTAGGTTTACGCGATACGCCTTTTCATTTTACTCTGCAAGTTGGCTTCCTCTTGGCTCGTCTAGTCCGGTTTCAGACCTCGGTTAAGGTTGATGAACCCGATCATCTGGGGACCCGCTAGACCTTAAATGAGGATGACAGCCCACTGACAGTGATACAGCGGGATAAGTTCTATACCGGCACGTTCTGGCTTTACCTATGCTTGAAACCTGTTAAGCTCAGTCGCTTAAATAATTTATCGGCGGCTGTACGTCCGAGGAAATCTTGAAAAGCAAAGAGAAAAGTGGGCAAATTTGCGACGATGTCAACACACACTCCAGAATCCACTTTGAGCGGAAATAAGGAGCCAGCATCCGAAGATGTCTGGGAACAGCCACAGGCTTCCTCGAGTTCTCGAGAGCTGGACGATATCAACTCCGACGAGATCAGTCAAGAAAACATCGAGCGCATCTACAGGTGAGTCACGGCCTCGGAGAACGCGACGCTTCATACAGCTAACATTCTACCACAGTAAACTGGACTGGCGCATCATTTCCGCGTTTTGGGTCATCTACTTCATGACCTCAGCCGTTAAATCAAACATTGGTCTGGCGCAGACGATGAACAAGGATTCCGGCCATGATCTCGCTAGTGTGTTGCACTTGAACGCTCACCAGATCTCAACCGCTCTTGCGCTCTTCTATGTCTGCTATGTGGTGTTCGATCTGCCTTCTAACCTGGTTATGACCCGGCTCAGTCCTCATATCTGGATGAGTCGTATTGTGATTAGCGTTGGGCTGATTGGCACTTGCATGACGGCGATGAAGGCCGCTTGGAGTCTCTAGTAGGTTAACTCTTACCGTCCTTTAGATAAATTCCAACACTAACATAAACACAGTCTCCTCCGTCTCTTGCTCGGTGTTGTCGAGGCCGGTTTGTGGCCTGGCATGGCCTTCTATCTTACCCTCTTCTATCCGCCCTCTCGCATTGGGAAGCGCATTGGTCAGTACTTCACCGCTGGGCAAGTCTCAGCTGCCGTCGTAGGCCTTGTCTCTGCCGGCTTCCAAGAGATGGATGGTGTCCGAGGTTATGTTGGATTCCAGTGGATGTTCCTAATTTGGGGTGTCACTACCATGGCTCTGGGCTTTGTCCAGGTCTGGTGGCTGCCAGACCGTCCTGCACCCCCGGGAGAGCCTATCCCTGAGCGCCACTGGCTTCTGCGCTGGCTGCCAACAAGTAAGCCTGCCTTGACCGGCCGGGATGCAGTGGTCCATTATCACGACATGAAGCGCGTATACCACAGTTCCAAGTGGACCATGCGAGATCTGTTGAATGTTTTCCTGGATTGGAGACTGTGGCCGCTGCTTATTATGTACTTTGGTGTTGTGGGTGTGGGTGTTGGCGTGCAGCTCTATGCCAACGTGATCATTGCGGCTATCAACCCGTCGCTGAACGGCGTTGATCTGAGCTTGCTGACTGCTCCTATCTGGATTGTAAGTCTATTGATTTCTCGAGTGTCATTCTTCTGCTAACATATCGCCAGATGGATCTTATCGCTATTCTACTCGTCACTCCGCTTTCAGATCGCTTCCATCGCCACCGCGCTCTCTTCTTTTCCATTCCGGTCCTGATCCAGATCCTCGGCCTGCTGCTGACCAGCTACGCGGGTACTGACGAGAACCCTTGGCCTCGCTACGGTGGTCTTTTGATCGTTGGCTTCGGCCTTGGTCCGACTGTGCCTATCACCATGACGTGGACCGCGGAGATCTTCCAGCCACGACACGGCGAAGTCGGCGTTGCAGCTGCAGCGGCCGTTGTCTCCGGATGGGGTAACACCGGCGTTATCCTGACAACCTATGCGTTGTACTCGGGGTGGAAGAGTGACTCTGAAGCTCCCGGTCGGCAAAAGTACCGCAAGAGTAACCTGGTCATGATCGGCATTCTGATCGCGAGTATTCTGGCTGCCATTACCATGGAGCTTCTCCTTCGCTACGTAGACAAGTGGTACGATGAGCCAGTGGAGGATGGAGAAGGCAACACCGTCGACTACGCGCGTCGTCGTGAAGTGAAGCAGCGTGGTCTTACCGGAATCAGAGCTGGTCTGATGGGCTGGGCGAGACGAGGTAAGGCTAACCTCGAGTAAGAGGCATTTGCTGCCTATGATTTATTGGAATATGGTTGTGAAAAGGTCTTGGCAAAAGTGATATAGATATTATGATAATTTATTAGATTCTTGTTTCGAAGGATACCCCGAATAAACTCATGGTCTCGCTCGACTCTCTAACTACAAGCACCTCACCCCCAGAAAATGTTGATCTTTGCTAACAGGTTGTCCTTCTTAATTGGAACATTCTCAGGGTCGTTGTTGGCTTCGTCGATGGCACGCTGAACAGGGACCTCATCAAGAGGGATGATTTTGGTCCGACGGATTAGTTTATAGCCTCCGTATGCTAAAAGCACGAGAGGAATATCCCTAGATCCGGTGTTAGCCTTTGTCACCCAGAAGTTTCCAGTTCGGGGATAACCTACAAATAGGACGAAACGAATGTGGCAACATCCCAGTTGCCGTCTGTGAAAACCGCAAATCCTCCGGTGAATAGGATGACGACGCAAGAGATCAAGGCGAACCAGCTAGTGTATTCTAAAACAAGTCAGTATCAGAACGATTAAATAAACTGTAAAGGGTTTCACTCACTGGTTATGGGATTATGCCACGGCAATTGGTGAGGTGAAATGCCTTGCTTCTTCAGGGCTTGCAATAGGCGAATATGGTTCAGCGCAATGGCGATCCAGGAGACCAAAGTACCAGCTGCTGTCAAGTCCACAAACCACCAGAAGACGTTCATGGCGCTATTCGAAACGCACATGTAGGACAAAAGAGAAAAAAGGATCTGCAGTAAAACACACATGTATGGGATACCCCACTTAGTAGTTCGAAGGAAGATCTTCGGAGCATGGCCTTTGACGGCCAGACCATACAGCGTTCTTGTTCCTGCCAGAATACTCTGATTGGAAGCAGACCAAGCAGATGTCAAGCAAACAGCATTCACGACTGACGGAATGGCCTTGATACCGGCATCGCTGGCGGCGAGAACGAAAGGGCTCGTCGATGCAGTACCGGAGTCGTCTCCGAGACGGGGGTCAGCGCTTGACACCAACATGCCGACGATCAGAACGGCTGCAAGATAGAAAATGGACACTCGGGCAAATACCCGCTTGCAAGCCTTGGGGATGTTTTGACGGGGGTTCTTGGTTTCAGCAGCGGCCATGGCCAAAGATTCCACGCCGGCGAACGAGTAGACTGCATTGGTCATGACAGCCCAGAAACCCAAGAAACGGCCCCAAGAGCCCGTGGAGATGTATTCGACAAACGGACCGGGATCTTTCCAGAAGTGAAATCCTCGTCGTGGTACGCCGGGCACTCCCCCAAGGTCGATGACCAGGCCCAGAATGACAACAAAGATAACCAGGAGGATCTTCAAGATGGCAAAAATGAATTCCACCTCCCCATAGACTCGGACGAACGAGATGGCCACCGCCACAGAGACGACGATCAGGATGGTCACCCACACGGCGGCGCTGATATCGGTCCAATACTGAATCAAAACCACACTGGCGGAAATCTCACTCGGCACACTGAGGAAGCATCCATACACGACATTCCAGCCGATTGCAAATGACAGCGCAGGGTCGACGAGAAGCTCTGCATGGCGCACAAAAGAACCCGTCACTGGCATTAAGGCGGCGACTTCACCTAGCGCAAACTGAATTGCGCAGACCACAGCACCCACAAACGCATAACCCAACAGAGCACCCAGCGGACCACCAGTAGCAATGGAACCACCCAGTCCCAAGAAAAGACCCGTGCCCTATCTCTCGTTAATAGCCAGAACTCAGAAGTACCCATCGACTCCACCTACAATTGCACCCGCAATAGCAATCATTTGAACATGTCGCTGCGACAAGCCACGAACTAGCCCTAACCGTTCATGCTCGGAAACGATCTGCCCATCATCGGAAGCCGGTCTGAACGTTGGCGGCGACTGCGGGGACAGTGGATCTTCAACATCGTGGACGATGTACTGACTCCCCGCCTTGGTCATGTTGGTGTCCTCCATGGCCGTGCAGTTGGAAAATGTAAACCGGGCCTTTGCAGTGAAGAAATCCTTTCGGCGCTAGACAGTCAAGTGCCCAGGCCAATCACACCATCTGCGTGAATAATGAGGGAAGGCTATTCCTTCTTATCTGGGAACCGAGGCCGAAGTGGAGACTTTAGCTTATTCTTTGACAGGGGGGAGCGTAAAGATGGGGGGTTTGATGCGTCTGAATTGCTTCAAGGTCCATATTTGGCCCGTGAGAGCATCTCGGTCCGGTGATTATGGTAGCAACTGCAACTGTGCCTTTTCTTAGACGCACAAGAAGCAAAATAGTCGAATTGTAGAGAAACGCCATGTCGCCATTCCGTGGTACTGGTGCACGGGCCCGCTCGGTGGACTCCGAGAACCACCCGTTTGGGGAAACTGTAAGACAAAAAAGATGGTAAACATTGTTCTCCTGGTTGTCTATGAATAGGCGTGGAGGAATCCAGAGCCAGTCTGGTATCTTACATCCCGCATGCTCCCTTGCGCCCAGAAGAAACGGAGATCAAGCATCCAGGTACTCGCCGGCCTCAGGCAGGAATCCATACAAGAGGGTCGAGTCCGTCGCTTGTCTCTCCCGACTTGTTCGGAATCGGGATCACGATTTGACCAGACACGCGTACGCTGAGCTAGTGCGCCCTTGAACAATGCTCCTGTCCATACCCGTGAGAACAGTGTCTCAAACAGGGGGAGTTGTATTCGTAACTATCTAGAGCTGTCAAAATCCTCAGACTCCGACGAAAATGGTATGCGAGCCACCCTTGGCATTAAGGACCTTGAAATTTTCTCCAGATGTCGCAATCGGTCCCATCGTAGATGCCTTCGCATTACTATTGACCTTCTTCCCGTCCACCACAATCTGGGCGTTCTTAGATCCACTAGTCGGAACGCAAATAACACCAGTGGTATCCTGAGGAGCATCAATTTGCATCTCAAAAGCGCCATCGCTCTTCTTCTGCCAGGACACCTTGATCGGACCCTGCAATGTACCAATTTGTCCCCTGGCCCAGGTAAGGTTGCCACCATCAACAACAGGGCAAATCTGCCAAGTCTTGAACCCGGGCCCAGTAGGCTTGATTCCAAGAACATAGTTGCTCATCAAAGGCACAATGCCCGTTGACCAGCCGTGGGCCATGGACGTAAATCCTTCCTCATAGGGTGATCCGCCGGGCCCAATACCCTCCCAGAAAGTGATTTCGGGATCATGCGTCGACATCCAGCCATACAAACGCTTAATCTCGTCAAACGCCGATCCTGCAGCACCAACTGTAGCGAACCGGGCCGCTAGCTCAAAGTAAGAAATGAAGGCGTAAACGCGTTCCGAGAACCCTTCCTGAAGGGCGTCGTTGTCGTAGAACGCGTTTCCATACGGACGGGACGTGTTTTTGGCGTAGTAGTCAAGTAGGCTGGTCGCAACCGTGGAGTTAACGGCGCCCGAAAGTACGGACAACCCATTACCGTCCTGGGCGTGGACATTGCAAATGGTGCCTTCAGCTTCATTGGGGCAAGGCCCTCCGTCAAAGAATGCACCAACCGCAGGATCCCAGTTACGGGCAAGTAGCTTGGCGCTAACGGAAGAAGCGCGTGAAGTCCAAGTCTTGCTGTCGGCATCGTGACCGAGAATATCGGCGAGATGAGCGGCGGCTTTTAGAGCGTGCACATAGAGAGCGTTGTAGTAGGTAATAGGGCCAGAACGGGGAAGGAAGGCGTAGTCACCATAGCCGTTCTCTTTATCGAGGAGACCGCCAGTGGAGGTGAGGTTTTGGCCGTAGTAGACGTCCAATGTCTTCTTCATCACGTCGTAGTACTGGACCGCAAAGTCCGTGTCGCCGGTATACATAACTAGATCGGCAGTTGACACTACCCACCACATGGGGTAATCATATAGATCGAGAGTGTAGTTGTTGCTAATTCAAAGTCAAAACTTGTCCAAAGCCTTTACTAACATGGCCGTCAAAATGAAATGAGGGTTGACTACTCACATGCTGGCAGGAGGGATCCACCCATCAGCACGCTGGTGCTCGGCCAGGTCTGCGAGGATATTGCGCGTGGATTCCGGAAAGTTGTGAGACAGGTAAGAGGTCAGGGCAGCGACAGCCAAATCTCCAACGTAGGGGTCACGATCGCGCTTGGCACCATCGAAAAGAACTTGCTTGCCCTGGAGTGTGGGGGTAGCAGAGTTCCTGGGGTCAGTTTCATTGGCAAGGAAAACATCAGTGTCCATGTCGGTGGTGTAGACACCATCGAACCACCACTGAGTGAGATCCTCATCGGAACACTCGAACCATCCGGTGAATGTGTCGGGGGTTCCCATGTAGGCAGACCATTCGAGCTCAATGTTTGAGATGGAGACAGAGCCGTAGGGTTGAGCATAAGGCGCATCGCTCTCAAGAGCGTCGAGCCAGATCTTCATATACCGGAATCCGTGAAGACCATCCGAACACACTTGGGAACCGTGTTCGCAGCCAGTTGAATCCCTCCAGGTATATGGTCCGTTTGCAACAGCAATCTGGATACATTCATAAGTACTTCAAACACTTCAAGCTAGGGATCATTCTCATACTTGATCTGTTCCATTCGTGATTTTTGAGCCCTGTTCAAGGTATCAGCACAAGACCTTTCACGTTCGAACTTTTCTTCCACATACGGCTGGGAGATTATCAGATCGAGTGAAGTCACTGGTATTAGTCAAGTACTGCTGAGTCTCCGAAAAGGCCAGCTTCAAACCAGGATATCCTTCAGATGAATTGGTCGATCCGGCAAACGAGATCGAAACAATACCAACCACATTCTGCCCAAAGTCAACAACAAGCGAAGGGACATCATCGCCTTCGTTGCGTGTCAGAACTGTCGGGTTACCATTTCCATCAAGCAGACCACTGGGATTGATGACAGCACCAGTCGTGTTAGCTGACAGGATACTATAGGGCTTCAGAATCGGGCTGCTTGGCGATCTAACAAATCGATGCCAGCTATCATCGCCGGCGATATCCCTGCTGATGGCAGCAGCATTGCATACCATGCCGGCTGCAAGGCTCGCAATAAACGTTTTTCTGACGAAAGAAGCCATTCTTTGTATGATACTCTCCATAGCAGGGCCGAACCCTATTTAAAATTGTTGTTGATCACCAGGAGGAAGGTCTGTGCCGAATCGCCAATGCAACGTCGCTATATTGTGCCTTTCACAGCTCGGGCCAATTTCTCCCGAGTTTCCAGACATATCATCTAACTTTGAAGAGATCTTTTCGTTCCTGAATAATAAGACTGCGAAAAGATCTCGTCGTTCCCCGCATTCGTCACCGTCCCTGAGGCGGAAGTTGCCGACTGCATACAACCTCGTTCAAACTTTATACCCCCGCAATAGGACTGGCTTCGATCCTCTTCGCTAAACATTATGCCGAGCTTGAATAAATGATAAAGTTACGATGCAGAACGGATCGTGGCTTCGGTTCGGTTTGATTGTTTCTTATTCTAACCCGTTTAGGAGTTACGTCAACCTCTCGAGCAAGAGAACCTTTATTGCAAAAACATCATATTAAAACTTCACTTCAGATTCAGATAGCTCGCCTCAATCCATTGAGTGATGTTAGTCCATCACGGAGCATCCGGATCGGGTTTGTTGCCCCAGTTCCGCGTCGTGATACCACAAACAGAACCCTCATCACCCGTAGGCTCCAAAGCAAGAACGGTGATCTTATTCTCACTCTTCTTCAAATAGCATCCGGGCAAGTAAAGAGTCTGCTGAGGTCCCACGATCCAATAACGACCTAAATTCACACCATTCACCCAGACAACGCCCTTAGTCCAACCGGGAAGCTCGAGGTAGGTATCACCAACGTTATCCACGTCGAAAGTGCCTGTAAAGAAGGTCGGGCCTGAGCTGGATGAGAGCTTCGAGTGTATTGTGCCAGAAGTAGGTGGTGCGTGTAGAGGAAGGGGATACATCTGCCAGTTGGAAAGCAAGTTCGTTCCCACTGTCACGTTGCCCACGATTCCCTTGCGCTGGTCGACAATCCTGGGACCGTAGTTGACACGCCCAAGGTTCTCGACCAACAAGTCCAGAACATCGCTTTTCTTCAAGACCAGGTGGACGGTGCTGGGCACCTCGTAAGTGCTATCGATGACACCGACACGCTTTCCGTTTACATAGACGAGAACCCGATCTCTAGGGGCATCTCCAGGGGCTAGGGTACCATTGACAGGCTTTGTGATGACATGCCTATACAATGTCAGGCCAGTCGATTGGCCCAGAGCTTCCATGTTGACTGGGGCCTTTTTCGTGACTGGCTTCGGGAGAGAATCAAACAGATATACCGCAGGTGTCAAGCGAATCTCGGGAATCGTGATCAACGGCTCTTCCTTCAGAGTGTCTGGAATAGTATCCTTGCCAACATGGTTGCCAATGGTCTCCCGAAGAGCATTGTAAATCTCATTCGTTCGACCACTCTCATCAAGCGGAGAACCATAGTCATAGCTCGTGGTGATGGGTTCGAGAGAGTCGCCCCAGTCAGCTCCATTCTGGAATCCCCAGTTGGTACCACCATGGAACATATAGATACTGAACGAGGCGTTGTTCTTCAGAATCCAGCCGAGATCTGACTGGACCGTTTGGATCGCCTGGGTATTTCCGACATCGGTCTGGTGGGTATAATTGCTGGCCCACTGGTCGAGCCAAGTCACGTAGTACTCGCCATCGAGCTGAGGGCCCAAACTGCTCGGATCGGTCACGTATTCGTTGCGAGCTTTGAATCCAGTCTTGGGATCACCATCTGTCTCGGCGAGAGCGCCGGGGATCTGGCCTCCTTCGATCATCGACTGTTCGCCGCCATCATTGGTGTAGAGAGGTAAACCAAAGGCTTCCTTGAGTATGTCCCTCAGGTCTCCAACATACTTGTGGTTGCTCCCATAGGATCCATATTCATTCTCGACCTGGACCATCAGCATGGGCCCTCCGTGAGTGACACCTAGCTGGGCGATGTCCTTGGCAAGGTGATCAATGTAGGATTTCGAAGCAGTCATGAAAGGCTCATTGTCGGTACGGACGACCATCCCGGGCACTTCACTCAGCCAAGCAGGGAATCCACCCCATTCGTGTTCGCCGCAGATATAAGGACCCGGTCTTAGAACCACATTCAACCCCTGTTTCTGAGCAGTCTTGAAATATTTCGCGATATCGTTGTTACCGGTCGAGTCCCAGGAACCTTGGGTGGGCTCGAGCTGATCCCAATAAATGTAGGAAAAAATAGTGTTCAGGCCCATGGCGCGTGCCTTAGCCAAGCGATCAGCCCATAGCTCATTCGGGATGCGCTGGGGATCCATCTGCCCGCCGATGATTTGGTAAGGCTTGCCATGAAGAAGGAACGTTTCATTATTCCAGCTGAATGGGGCAATTGCTTGCGCCGCTTGGAGCAGTGCAGGTGTGAGGGACAACAACAATAATTTGAAAAGCATGGTAAGATATAGCTTCCAGCTGGAAGGAATGGTTTCAACCCAGAGGGATTGGAAGCTGATTTCAATGGCTTTAAAGCTGTCATTTTAGCGTCCGCTCGAGAGTTGATCGATTACAACGTCGCATGAAGATTCCTTGATCTTTTGCAATGGCAATGTCGATCTTGATCTCGGATGTTTCCAACCCCGCACGCTAGAGTAGAAGGGGACCCTTTCGATGTTACAGTAACGTCTCATAAGCTTTCGAATTATACAATCGCATATCATCGCAGATTAAAAGCGGGACTTATAGTGCATCTCTGCAATCAATGCTAATTTGGTCAATAGTGCACGATGGCTCGGTGCCATAACATGTCTTAGGAATGGCCTTGCGAGCCACCGTGGCGGCTGCCCACTACCACTATTAAAGATGATTCAGCTTGAATTCCAGGTTTGATAGCTGTATTGCCTCCATGCTCATCGACGCATTGGAGAAAGTACGATCAAAACAGGCTCCCGGGGACCTTGTTGTCTTAGCAGTGACAGGTTGATTTTCCGGGCAATCTAACGTGAAGACCGATATTATAGAAATTCTCAAGGCGTGTCTTGTGAGAAGCCATCCTTTGGTTATGACTCCTTGGGCCACGTAAGTAGACCCCAAATGGAGAAGCCTAACGATCATTGGTAGACTTGGATTGAAAAGGAGTTTTTTTTTCTGGCGCATGATCTCATCACATCAACTGAAGAATCTGGATGCAGCTGATTGTGAATTAATGTTGGCTCGTGTGGAGGGTTTGCTCACACAAGCGAAGAAGCTGTTCAATAGGAGCTTTGACCCGAACTGGCCTCCTTGAAGCAAATCGCGTATGATGACAGGTCGATAGGTCAAAAGACAGGCGTGGTGTTGTTGGTTCCAGTGGAGATTGAGGCGATGAATTGCGCGGTCAACGAGGACACCGTCCATGTCACCGAGTGTGGACAGTCGGTGGTCTAGTTGACGTGATAGGGCTGCGTTGGCAACAAGTATGTTCTGGGTGTCTCTCTTCTGACTTCCATCGCTAAAGGATAGCCACAATCCGTCTGTTCTCTAATTGAAGGTCAACCATCTCTTTCTTTGTGACACTGGGACTGTCTCAGCAGTATCAGCCCGAATTCAGTGCCTAGGCCTTGGGCTGGGTGAAGTCTTTTGGTGAACACAACCTCTGTGATGATCAGCGCATGATTTGCTGGAAGTTTTCGCCCGTCGCGGCGGATTTTTGGAGACCTATAGGAGTCACATCTTCAGATGAGAGACTGCTGATCTTTCGATAATTACGCATGGGGTTATGTGTAGCAGTTGGAACCTGGAATATTCACAGACAAGATGCAAGTCTGTAAGTCTGTGCCGAGACTTTCACCTCAGATTGCCGGTGAATCCAGTGTCAATCTGGAAGCTAACCTGATATTATCAAATCACTTTGGGTTCAACATCAGACCGGCACTACCAAGATAGGCAGGTTCAACAGTAGAGAACCGGCGAACCCGGAGATTCGGCGATACCCCTCTTGACTCAGCTATTCGAGCGGTGATGTTGCATCTCCTATCAAGTATAAAGAGACTCCACCCTCCAACATCACCTTTCACCTCTCACCTCTTATCATTCATGTCCCCCTCAACACCCCAAATCACCATCATTGAACTAACCCCCAATGAACTTTCCACCAAACAAATCAACTCCTTCAACCTCCAAAAATCCATCGAAGCCCTCCACCACGACGGAATCGTCGTTCTCGCAAATGCCATAAATCCAGCCCATCTAGACAAGCTCAATGCCCGTATGGTCCCCGAGGCCGCACGCCTCTATGCCCGCAGCGAAACCCACCGAAACTTCGGCAACCATACAGGGAATATCCAACAAGAACCCGTCTGTGAAGCAGAATACATCTTCGAAGATGTCATCGCCAACCTATTCGCGACATCCGTAATAGAATGCATGCTTGGTCCGAATCCTGCTATGCGATTCTATAGCGCGAATACGGCGTTCAAGGCGACTGGGCGGCAGCCGGTGCATATTGATTTTGATTTTGATATGCCGAAGGTGCCATTTGCGTTTTGCGTGAATGTCAATCTTGTGGAGACGAGTGAAGAGAACGGAGCGACGGAGGTGTGGTTGGGGAGTCACCTTGATACTGATCGGGGTGTTATTGATAGGCAGTCGGAGTATGGGGGTGTTAAGGAGGAATTGCTGGAAAAGAGGGGGAGGTTTAGTCCGGGGATTCAGCCTGGACTGCCTAAGGGGGCGTTGATTATTCGAGATTTCAGGTTGTGGCATGCTGGAATGCCGAACAGGACAGATGAACCGAGGGTTATGCTTGTTTCTATTCAGTTTGCAAACTGGTATAGAAGTGATCAGAAGTTTAGGTTGCCGCGTAGTTTGGAAGGGAAGATTGACTGGGGTCGTGTGGTACCTTGTGTTGAGTGGGTGGATGATGGGTTTAATTACTTGCAGGGAGCTCATGATCATGACTTTGCACCGCTGCCATAGTCCCATAGCTATATAGTTACGATTGTTGTTGGGCGCAGTTGAAAACAGTTTTCACCAATCAGTGGTGTTCTCAAACGATGGTTGATTTTCCATCCATGTAATGATTCTATGCTATTGTACGTGTCACATAACCCGAGGGTTGGTTGTTGATTGGATTCAGAAGAAACAAAACAAGAGAATCGGCGAGTGCAACGAGGGAGGGGTAAGATGAACGCAGAGGCAGGCCCTGGCGCCAGGAAAGAAAAGATAGGATAGGGTTCAGAAGAAAGCAACGGCAGAGATGAACAAAAGGCACGGGTCAAAGAGAAAATCTATGAAGGCTCCCTCACGCAGTCAGGCCGCTCTCGTGGTCCAAACTCCCAGTTGATGCCGAGAGGGTATCGGAGCGCTAAGACCAAATGATTATGAATGTCCATTTAGAGGCCACCACACATAGTCTCGACGATGATACCAGTGATCTGGTAGGGATCAGCGTTCGAAGCGGGGCGGCGGTCCTCGAAGTAACCCTTGCCGTCCTTGGCGACCTGACGGGGGATACGGATGGAGCCACCACGGTCGGCGACACCATATGAGAACTTCTCGATGTTGCCGGTCTCGTGGCGACCGGTGAGACGCTCCTCGTTGCCCTCACCGTAGACGGCAATGTGCTCAACGTGGCGGGCCTCGAGCTTCTTCATGGCGGCCTCGATGGCCTTCATGCCACCCTCGGCACGAGTAGAAGCAGTGGAGACGTTGGAGTGAAGACCGGCACCGTTCCAGTCACCCTTGATGGGCTTGGGCTCGAAGGAGATGCGAACACCGAACTCCTCGGCAACACGGTGGAGGATGAAGCGGGACATCCAGAGGTGGTCACCCACTACAGTCCTAGTTAGTCTCAGGGGCAAACATCGACCAGACGAATAGAGAACTTACTGTCAATACCGGGGCAGGGGCCGACCTGGTACTCCCACTGGGAGGGCATGACCTCGGCGTTGATACCGGAGAGGGTGATACCAGCGTACAGGCAGGCACGGTAGTGAGCCTCGACGATGTCACGGCAGTAGACCTTGCCGGTACCGACACCGCAATAGTAGGGACCCTGGGAACCGGGGAAACCACCACGGGGCCAGCCGTAGGGCCAACCGTCAGTACCGAGGAGAGTGTACTCCTGCTCAAGACCGAACCAGAACTCCTCCTTGGCGTGAGTCTCCATCAGGCGGGCAGCCTCGTGACGGAAGTTGAACTTGTTGGGGCTGCCATCGGAGTCCCAGGTCTCGCAGAGGACGAGGATGTTGTCACCCTGACGGAAAGGGTCGGGGAAGATGGCGCAGGGGCGGAGGTAGACATCGGAGTTGTCGCCGGGGGCCTGGCCGGTGGAGGAACCGTCGAAGTTCCACTCGGGGAGCTCGTCAACGGTCTTGACGGGCTTGGACAGAGTCTGTAGTGGGCACGTTAGTACGGTGATCGTGAATACCCCTCTATTGATCACGTGACGCGGATGGGTGCAGTCGCGTGTTAAAGATCCCCGTGCACAGGGCTTATCGTCTCGATAAGCCCCAACACCATCCCACCAAATGTGGCGGTGGGATATCAAGAATGTGTGGGTGTGTGGATGTAAGCTTACCTTGGTCTTGGAGCGAGTGCCACCGACAGCATCAATCCAGATGTACTCAGCCTGGACCTGACCACGCTGGTCCAAGGACATGTACTTCATGAGCTATCAACCGCATGCAAGTCAGTATGTTTCCTCTTTGGCTCAACGGCCATTGTGGAAATCCAAAGTGTCAAGAATCAAACGCACATTCTCCGTGTTGGAGACGACAGTTGAATCAGCAGCCTGGAGAGCTTGTTAGTGTGAGTCACTCGGGAGAGTAGTGGGATTGGACGTACCATAATGAATGATTATGGGTGGGTGTGTGTGTAGAAATGGGGTTTTGAGCTTGCGAGCAAGCAGGGTTATCAAAAGACAAATAAGAACGGAATCCCGAAGGACAAGCAAAACACGAACGGATGGATGGAAAATCCAAAGAGAGGGAAGAATGGAGTTTTAAGAAGGTGGGGGGGGAAGGCAAGGAAGATAAAGATTTAAATTTAGTCACGCCGCGCGAAAAGTGGCTTTTGGGAAAAAAGAGAAAATAATAAAATCACACAAAAAGGGAAGGCGCGGTTCCATATTGAGCCCAATCGGGCTAGTCGTTTTGGTATTACGGTATTAACCCCCTCCCCTTGCAAACGCACACTCATAAAGTGCCTCATACTAAGGACATTCTCGAGCCCGAAACCGGGGTCGTTGGGGAAACAGAAAATCTCTCACTGGCGCATGACAACTCATTCCATATGTAAACTTCTTTTTCTTTGCAGTGTTTCACCTTTTTATATGGTTTAATTTTGAATGTTGAGGAATACAGATCACTTCTCGGTTGTGCGGTTATGGTATCCCCATCTGCCGAGTTTCCACGCCACCCTCAACTCCCCGTGTCATCATCGTCGCATCATACAGTGTCCGGTGCCCGGTCGTCGCCGATATTTCTAAAAATCTAGCAGTGATCTGCCGCCGACGTTGGACTAGTCAACAATTAACTTCTCTCCGAAATGCAGTTTGTCGGTCTTCGAGATTTTCTGGTGTCAAGACCCTGGATCTACCTCCGCATCCAGCACTTCTACACCGTAATATCAATACCGCGTAGACCGCCACCCGAGACCTTCTTATTCCCACTCTCGCTCTTGAGAGGTCCTTTTCTCGTATGATAACCAGATTCTAGCCAGGTCCAATCAGCTGTCGGGCCTTGTAATAGCCTCCATTAATATGATCAATCGCTCCGCTCCCGTTGGGCCGATAACGCTAAAGATGGGCTGCTATGGCCTTCAATCCGTTCAAATCATGCGCTATCGATTGGTAGAAAGGCGCATCTGCCTCCCAGATCTGGATGTCGGTCCCGTCGCCGATGCCACCCCACTTATCATCCAGGTCCTTTCATCCAGAGCGGCAAAAGTCCGGGGGAGCGTTCTACCCGGTGTCAAGAACGTCTGGTCCGAGGCAGGCAATCCTACCCCTGCATGGACATGACGATAACTAAATGCTACTAAAGTCACAGTTTGCTAATACGAAAATATCTTGTTAGCAATCGACACTAGGATCCCCTAGTCGAGGCGCATATCAGCTGCATAGATAAAGTATAGACCATGAATCTAGACTATAGAAAAAAGCAACACTTACCACTTGAAATTTCCGAGGCTCTCGCGCCTGTCAAATTTCCTGAGACCCCCTGATAGATACTGGTAGCTAGTACATACCAGATCGACTTGGACCACATGGGCTGTGCGACATGATCGAGAGCTCCTCCGCATTCCAGTTCCTGAGCTCCGTTATCAGTGCTCTTTGCGCGGCACTATCGCCCGCCTGACAGGTCCTCCGCACAGATACGACGGACTCTGTCTAGTCTTATCGGGTCATTCTACTGTATCTAGTGTCTAGACTTATCGGAGCGGCGAGCAGCGAGCGGCTAGAGGCTAGAGGCTCGGAACTTCCCACCTGTACAGTGTGTACCTGCATTCTATCCAGTTTCACATATGTACAGCCCAGCTATGGAGCTCCGAGATCACGACACCGGTACCCCATACGTAAAGATACGGCGATCCGCAACCCCGTTTCAAACTGGAGAACCCAGCCACTCTGGGCCTCACAGCGATCAGTCTCAGTCGCCGGCGCAAGTGGAGCGTGGCAAAACGTTCTCGAAACTCGCGTCGACTCACCAATCATACTCGGGCCAAGCCCACAGAACCGCCCCGAGGTCGGCCGTGGGTTGCCATTCAGTACGGCTGTAAGGACTCCTTTTGCAGTTACTAATTACTTACTCGGCTATGTAAAATAAACCGCATTGGGCAATCCTGTTATTCTGTCTGGTGAGAGCCGGAAAAAGTCTGGGGGCAAAAAAGGTAGACAGGGATTCTCCAGAAAAAGAATAAGGAAAGATGAGAAAGTGGCGACTCAGATCTTCCCCCATATTACCTTCGGACAAATCGAAGAGCAGCAAAAAATCGGGGGTTTTAGGAATCGACGATTTAGTGGCTGAGGGGGCAGAAACTCCCCGATCTTTTCAGCCCTGTCTATAGAATCTAAGAATACAACTTGCCAAGGGTAACCCCAGACTTGAAACAGACCCTTCGATAGAATAAATCGAAGGTAGTACAGAGTAGAGGCGCAGTTCTACTCCGTAGTTTCTAATTCTATTTCCATCGCGGATAATAATAGCGCAGTGAAACATGGAGGCGGTGTCCACGTTTCGGCCACCGCCGAGTCGAGAACCCGGAGGTCACAGAGCTGACGTTCCATGTATTATTTTCTTTCTCGAATAGAATCAAGTGAAAAAAAATAAAAATTTAAACAAGTTTCCACACACACAGGAACCGAACAGGAACAAACCAGGAGAGCGTAAATCGTAATTGAAGGCCCTAGCATCGATCGACGGTACCTGTATTTCTTATCGGCTTGTTTTCATTGGCTTGACACACTGCGCTGACTGTGGCCTTGATTACAGTAACCAGGGCTTTTGTACGTCACCCGAGCTATACTTCTCATTAGACATTGGACATTAGGCATTAGGCATTAGACAGTACAGTTGAAGTTACTTTGGTCATCATACCCGAGTAGGTAACTATGAACGTGGCCGATATGGATTGCTTGCTTGGCTACAAGATACATAGACACTCACCTATATCCCTCCAATGCCTCACCGAAATGTGGCCAAGAATGAAAAGAAAAAGGACAAAAGGAGGGGCAAGCTCCGCTACATTTTTTCCACTGATAATCGGATATTTCATGGCGTGAACTGAAAGCTCTCGTAAAAGCCTCAATTGGTGGGGTCGTTTCGGCGACTGGTCTTATTAGTGCACCCTATACTGCATGGTGTTTCGACTTAGTCCCGCCTCGAGTGTTCTAGAGTCCGTCTGGCTAGGTAAATGCCTCTCACGTTCCTTTTTCACTCGCTTCTGGCGCGTACGATGGATATTGCGCGATTTGTACCTCATATCCACCTGGTATCTAATGTATTGATGCTTCTCGTCACGGACTAACCTGCGAGGGGACGACGTAACGACGCAGGACCAGTGAAGCCCTCTACTTGGTTCCTGGCTTATCTGATCTTTTCCTGACATGGCGATGATGCGTTGCTATGTCGTCGCGGGGAGAAAGCGTGGCAATCATGTGATGAAACCTGGTCCTGACGTAGTTGTTCATCTACCGGTTTTGTAGTGGTGAACCTTGCTTACAGGTCAATACGATGAACTTTAATGGTAGACAAAAGGTCGGAGCCTGGAAATCATCGGTGTGCTCAAGGATGAGGTCACAATGTGAATGCTTGGCTAGAGTATGTTGCTAGAATAGTTTAGTCTCGTATTGCCCGATTAAGCTCGGTCTGGTAATGCATCATTTGCAAGCTGGGCTCGGCGAGGAGTATTACGATGCATCTCAAGATAACGCAACAGCGCCTGGGTTGTCAAATATACATGCACGGCACGAATTCAATGATCGGCCACTCGTAGAATTCAGATAGATCGATCAAGCCTCCAGCTGCTTCCTCTCTTGCGTGTATTGCACGCGCTATGGCGCGCTATGGCGTGGGCGCAAATGCAGGCTCTGCAATGATGCCGCAATTGGAGTGCAGTCAGTCACTCAACCCACCCTCGACAGCCGAGGTGGGCTATGGCTTTGATGTCACGGCACCCGTATGCTGCGGGTCAGGGGTAATGCCGGTGTCTAGGTCTAGACACCCTCTGGCTATCCAGAATCTTCAGCCTCACACCTGACGCATCACGCCTCGCCCGCTGCCGGCCCGCTGCCGCTGCCAGCGCAGGACCCACTCGACTAGGATGCCCAGGTCTTGTGAGATCTCCAGAACTCTGGCGATCTTTTTGTGGATCTCCTGCAGCTGTGTTTCGGGGTTTCCCGTCCCTTGCATCTCGGCATCGCCACCGTCCTGTTGATTGTCGGCGCCGAGCCCGGAGGAATCCACCACCGAAATACGTCCATTGAGGCCGACTTCGACGCAGATTGCAAGTTGCACAGGTTCAGGTACATAGCTCTCGGCGCTTTTACCGGGATCCGTGATCAACAATATGAGGGCTGGAGCCTGTCCGAGTTGTGTGCGCAGGGTCACGTCCACCTTGACGTCGTCATTGAAAATATGGCTTGGGCTTCTGCTGACGTTATTGAATGGCCAGGCTGTTGACGTGGCATCACTTTGACTTGATGAGCCATTACTGAACAGACTATTGAGCATTTCCTCGTTTGGATCCTCATTGGTCAACGTGATGGTGCCCTCTTTGCCAGTAACGAACACTGGTTCTTGAATGGCAGGGGCTGGGGGTTTCATTGGTGTTGCTTTCATTTTTGAGGATTGGGTTTGGTCTTTCTTTCCCTTGGCAGAAGGGTGAAAGACCTTTCGGATCAAACTCGCAAGTAAAGCATATTGACGGAACATCTGGAAATATCAGTAATCAAGTATCCGGTTGCCTTGTGAAATACATACCGGAAGAATCTCAGCAAGCTGCCGAGGATGTGAAATAGGTAGGTCGCGGATTGTACGACCTGCAACAGACTCGAATGCCTGGAACGTGTAGCTGTGTTGTTTCGTACACGGATCACCAGTCGAATCAAATGCCTGCACTGACATCCGGCGCTTTTTCCGAGAGAATTGAGGTGAAGTGTCTGTTGATAGCGGCGTTCCGTCTGATACCAACAAGCCGTCGTATGTGACCATTTTGAAGTCTTGTGGCAGCTGCATTCCAAGGTGTCTATAGATCTCAGATGCCACAGGAATTGGCATATCAAGAGCTGGCTCTAGCCTCGCGACAAATCGACGGTTAGGAGAAGTGGAATCGAGCATGCTAGAGTCCAAAACCATGGGGTCGGGGTGATCACCATGCGACAAGCGCATTGTCTGTGGCGGATCGAGCCAGTTTACAGATCCAGTGGCTTCAGGTGAAGATTCTTCGTTGGTTTTCTCGCCGGTCGTTGACACCTCACTCCCAACCCATTCCTTCGATATGCGGAGAGATGGATATCCTTCCTCACATTCAAGCATGATAGCCCATGTCTTTTCCTGATCATGCATCTCTTCGTCTGCCTGGTCTTGCGGTCGATCAATTGCCATTGCGTCGGGGTTCTTCCGCTTCTTCGCATCAAGGATTTTAGCTTGTTCGATCCAGTACTCCAAGCCAAGACCGATTCGAGAGCCTTTGTGCATGCTCGGACGACCTATCGTTCCTGTGCAGAGATGTTCATAGTCACCACTGTACTTTCTGTTCTTTCCCTCTTCAACCCAGACCCGCTTGAGATTCTCCTGAAGGCCCTCCAAGGCTTCAAAGCAATTCACCTCTTGGCTGAGCCTATCAAGCTTTGCCAACCATTGCAAATTCTCGTAGAACCCTTGGAGTGACCTCCATTTTCCAGTCTCGCCATCTTGTAGAGATTGGACAAGATTTCGTTTGAGAACAGAGGTAGCTTCCTCTCGTAGCTCGCCTTCCTGATGTTCCGGTGTGGCATATTGCAAGCGGACATCCTTGACGATATCAGCCTCATTAGGATAGAAGTCAATCTCGAGGTCGACAAAGTTGCCAGCGATATTGAGATTGTCGAACGTCCAGATTGATTCGAATCCTTCGATCTTGCCCAACCGCTCAATACCTTCGCGAGATATACCTCGACCGGCCACGGCAGCGCGTAGACTTTGAACCACTTCCTCAATTCGGTGTCTCATTTCCTCCTCAGTATCTCTCGCGACGCCTAGCTTGATACCTTGCATTCCCAGGTTTTGGATATCATTTTCATTCATGCCGGAGCCAACAAGACTGTCGTGAACAGCGGGGGAGGGACTGATACCCGCATAACCACTGAGCGCGAGCAGCGCTGATGGAGAACTGAAATTGACCGGATCATCGACCGCGCTTGTGACGGCAAGAGGCGTGGAATATTGATGAGAGGTGCTCAGCTGGTGAGAGTGGCCAGGCCCCGAGCCTGTTGGAGTTCTTGTCGAAGGGGACTTATGAGCCATGGAGCGGGAGAGAGCTGCGGAGGACGGGTGCGGAGAGGACAGGTGGGTTGGCGTTGCGCCTGGTTTGGCCGATGGAGTCGCCATAGTGATATAATTCTGCTAGGCAGATCGAAGGTGGGTATGATGTCGGGATCGCACTCTCTGAAGGAGATCCAGAAGACACGGCGGAAATCGCAATTGTGCTGTGTCGATGCGCAATCCGATCACGATGCGCAAGTGTTGATTTCAATGATAAGCGGGGGAGATATTTCGGTAGATGGTACAGATAGAGACTGATTATCACAATCCAGCCCCTTCCCTCAATTTAACCAGCACCAACACCACAATTGACAGACGCAAAGCTCGCGACTGATGTTCTTCAATAACAAAAGCCATGAAAGCGGATGAGGCCCGGAGCTTTCACCGCCTACCGGACCGCCCGCTAAGACGGATATCCAAATGACGATTGGATCTTCGCATTGCTTCATACTTTCGGGTCTTGACCGTATCAGTTCTTTGAAATGTTTGCTCCAAGAGTACTTGGCCGTCAGGCTATGCGCATGCCTAGGTGGAATCAGGTGCGCTCTGTATCTACATTGGAAGGAAGTCCTCACATTGTACGGCTTTTCCCCGGATTTAATCCAAGGTTGTTTGTATACTGACACCATCGCAGTTTGTGTTCCCCAGTGATGGACCAGACGACTCCCATATCCTCTCACTTCTACCATCCGAACCTGTCAATTCAGATCTTGCCATTGGAGTAACTTCCAAACTGCCACCAACCACAGATTCGGTCAGAGAGAACCCCAAGTTCCTCACCATCCTTCAAGAAGTCTTTTCGAAGCACGCGCACGAGGACCCCGATGCACAATCTCAGGCACAGGTCATGGTATCAACTTCTGGGGCGAACTTAAACTCTGGGGGTGTGTTGTTAACTGGCCAGCGTGCGAGAAGACGACGCGCCGAGGTAGGCGACTCATCCGGCGGTGCCAGTGGCCAGGGTGGTGCGGGATCTGCTGGTCGCGGTGGCTGGATTCATGTTTCGGACAACAGGCGGCCACCTGATTATGGAAGGATTGCTTGGTGAGACTCTCAGTGCTATGGAAGTCGAGACCCTAATTGCTAACAACCTCCCAGGCCAGAGGACATTTTTGGAAGTCTTGAAGTGGATGGCCAGGGTAATTTCGTTGGTGGGGATGGGAACTATCAGTCCAGTGGTAAGAGATATCTGATTTTCCTTGGTTTATGCATGAGACTGACTTTCCACAGGTACTTACAGACTCGTGACTCGGGAGGGAATGTAAGTTACATCCATAGAGGAAGCACTTTATACTGGACCATGCTAATCTTCAAATCAGTTTGGGCCTGAGTCCCTTCCTCAGAGAAAAGCTTGTGCAAAGGCTGCGAGAGCTCGGGAAACAGTAGAGCTCGTCGTTTATACCAGTCTGAAGCCAGGGCTTCTTGTACACTATTCTAGATCAGGGAGAAACAAGGGCTTAGGTCGCATATGTAGATTACTTTCGAATAAAGGCCCATCGCATCATATCATTATATCATCCTTATTTTTTGAAAAAGTTCGTTATTCGCTGCGAGCCATCTGTTGGTTTGATCTCGCTGGTTTTCTTCCTCGGCGTGTTTTGAGTGGCACTACGCATCTTCGCTTTTTGCGGAGAAGGAGACTTTGAGAGTTGCTGGGACTTTGGTCTTTTGCTTTCTTCAATGTGGCTTGCCGAATCTGGACTGTGCTCTCTTTTGATGCCTTGTGTAGTGGATTCTTTCTCTTCGCCATTGACCTTTGGCCCCTTCTGTGAAGCAGGCTCCTTCTTCGGAGATACACCTTCTTTCTTTTTCGCATTGGCGAAAAAGTTTGCAATGTTATTCTTGTTTTCTTTGCTGTTGACAGGCACAATGAAGTCAGGAGAATTATTTCCGACTTTACCGACCTCCTTCGAGACTGGATAGCACTCCAGCTCACCATCGTACGGCTTCAAAGTGGATTGTAGATCCTCCGACCATGTCGTTCGGTTTGGATCAAGCCATTTGCTCATTGCTTCAGTGCCAGGATCAAGAATGACAGGCATCCGGTCATGGAGAAAGTTCAAGTAGAAATTGGAGGATGTCGTGATGATGGTATAGGTGTAGAGCTTGTCCTCGGAGCCTGAATAGTCAGTCAGCTCATGTTTATATAGCTGTGTAAGGTCACCCACCTTCATATGATACACAGTCCCACAGCCCAGCAAAACACATCAAATCGCCATCTTTGCGCCGCACGAAGTGCGGAATCCTCTGCTTGCCTCCCGGGCCTTTTTTCAGCCATTCGTAGAAGCCCTGACAGATCACAATACATCTCTTGCGACGTTTCATGGTTGTCCACATGCCACGATCTTCGATTAGTGAGTCGTCGCGACAGTTAATCGTACGCATCATAGAGCTGTAGTCCGGTTGGCGCTTGGTCCAGAAAGGGATGAGGCCCCATTTCATGCTCTGAATCTTGAATTTGGGTTTGGTCTTATCAACTGCTTTGTCAACGGGGTTGTCACTCATGTCGTGGGTTTCGTTGTGTTCTGAGCCTTGCTCCTCGCCGGCAGCTGCCCCAGGGCTGGAATGGTGCTTCTCAGGGACATCCGCTCGGTAGACGGCTCCGAAGCTACCGGGGGCAAAGTTGTATGTCTCTCTTACTTCATCGTCATCAGGCGCTTCATCCACCTGCATCCCTCTCTCCTGCAGACGCTGTTGGATGTACGCCAAGCGCTGTTGCCCGGGTCAGTATACGCCTCTGCCAGGTCGAGAATATGACTTACCACGCCCAAAGCATAGCGTCCACACATTATCGAATGGATTGACAGCTCTTATGAGACCTTGAACAGTCTCATGCTCAGAGTGCAAATAGAATGTCCTCAAAGCAACCCGATAACGGGCGACGTCATTATAGCGGAGAGGAAGCTTGGGCCAAGAGAAAATCGGCCGCGGGAGTTCCGTCCTAACTCTCCAACTTACCATCTCCAACAATTGAACCCCTCCAATCTTGAAAGAATCTCGGAGCCTCGAGCCTAGTGCTAAGTCAACTGAGAGAATTCATAGCCAATGTTCCGCACAGTATCGCGGCGCATCAGCGCCGCCCCGCGACTCCTACAAGCACAACGCCAACCCGCCCGATCAATATGCAACCAGAGTATCCGGCCATCACAACCAGGATATAACAATGTGAAATCGCTTGCAAATCCCTACCTCTTTCACCCGCGATATCTCACCTACGCCCAGCGCCTACGCATGAACTACCGCGAAGCGTCCAAGGGCATCTTCCGCAAGAACCCTGTCATGCTACCGCTGGCCATTATATCCTTGATCGGTGGCCTGTGCCTATTCACATACATCTCCTATGTGGAGCTTACACAAGTTGCACCACAATACCACAACTTCCCGCAGCCAGTCGCCGAATCGCTTCGTTCTGCAATCTACTACACCGAGATCGACCTGAACCCGATCAAGGCGCTGAATTCTTACAAAGAAGCTCTGCGGAGAGCACTTGATCTGGGCATGCACCCCTTCTCAGATGAGGTCATGGGTATTAAGTTGCAGGTGGCCCTGATGTTGGAGAAAGCGGGCCTGGTGAAGGCATCGATTGAGGTGTTGGAGCGGACGAGGACGGAGACGATGAAATGGGTTGAGGAAGGAAGGGCCGCGGAGACTGCTGCCGACAAGAAGGATACGAAATCGCCAGCACCGGCAAAGGCAACTCCGGACAATGTCCAAATCAAAGAGGGGGCTATCCAGGAAGCGGAGGAGGAATTAAAGAAGATGCAAGCATTCGAGACCCGCCAGCGCGACAAAGCACTCAAGAAGGTCGTCGGCATGGAGATGAAGCTGGCTGAGCTGTACTCCAGCGATCATATCCAGGAGGACAAGAAGGCCGAGGCTGCGCAGGTCGCTGCCGTTGAGCTGTGTTTGAAGGAAATGCATCGTCGTCAGAAGTTGGGTCTTCCTGTTGGTGGAGGCTCTGGTGACGCAAACAGTGACGCTTGGTTGAACATGACCGAGATCGCTACAGCGCTGGCAGAGCTTGCATCCACTTACACAGCCAAAGATCGACACGAGCTCGCCATGCCGTTGTATCTGCGCGCACTAGAATTGCTTCGCGTGGCGGAGGGTAACTCGCCATCTTGCAAGCAAGTGACCCTTTTGAACGATGTCGCCAGCGCTATGGTCGGCCAGGTGCAGCTGCCTACTTCGCCTCGCGCCGAAAAGCAAGCCATTTCTCGAGAGCAGACAGTCGAGGCTGCGCGTCTATGGGCTCAAAAGTCTCTTGATGTTGCGGCACGTATTCAACCCCCGGTACGTGACGAAGAGTGCGATATTACCTGTGTCGTGGCCACGTACAATCTGGGCGAGCTTGCAGAGCTGCAGGACAAGCACGATGTGGCTAAGCAACGGTATATCGAGGCCAGGTCGCTAGCCAGTGGTATGGGTTATGAAGATGGAGTCGCCATGGCGGATGCGGCTTTGAAGAGATTTAGCAAGAAATAGGCGACCTATGGACGCATGTGAAGCCGTGCGCTTGATGTATATTATGACCATGTAGAACACATCTCCTATAAGTCGAACGAAATTCTCTATATCGTATCTAGTTTCTTTCTAATATCCGGTGACTAACGAAACCTGCAACTGTTCTCAATAGCAGTATAAGAAAACTTCCCAAGGTTTGCAATGAACAGAAGTAAGTTCTACCGAAAGAAAAGAGCTTACTGCCATACCAAATCTAGCCATAACTGACTGCACCAAGCCCAAATAGACACAATAGGTACAGACGATGTTAGGAGCCTTGGAGCTAAGACATCATTCATACCACGCCAGGCCTGCCCATAAGACGGATGTCTTCTCCATCTCGGGAAACTCATCTTCGACTTCTCTCTCTCTCTCTCTAGGTCCTCTTCGAAGACCAAGCAAGAGGTAAGAGATCACGGCGGAACACCCACTGCTGCAGACAGGCGATGGGGAATTTCAACACTCTGAATATTTCCGGCTGTATGTGGCGAACAAGCACTTGTGAGAAATTTGTGCAGGATAGTAACTTTTAATGAAGAGGATGTCACTAAAGATATATTCTTGCAGTATATCACGAGCGCATATCATGATAGACATGAACTTATTTAGTTTCAATGGTTCCTAATCATTTTGTTGAGCTGGAGCCAGCCTTGGAAGTGTGAAAATGCGACATCGGAGGCGCATGAGAACTGGAACTCACGAAGACGCCATCTCAAAACCTCCACCTGCGGTGATATCGCCTTGGGTAATATTTCCAGGGCAACACAGACACGTCCTGCCCAGCTGGGATCACTAGAAGAATGTACGGAATCCAGAATTTCCATCTAGGGGCACATTGGGCAAAGCCGCGAAAGATCTTCAGCGTGGAAGGGCAGTCTAGACCAAGGTCCAGGAGGATTCCAACTTTTCAGAACAAGGAAATACCTCATCAGGTGTACAAAAGTCTACGATCTAGGTTGCTACATTTACAGATCCACATCTACGCAAAAAAACTCGAATGAAGAAAAATAGGAAACATTTTGATGCCTTGTGGTATTAGAACATCACATGCCTTCACAAGATTCCAGACATTCGATTTTAATGGTGAATCAAGTAAGCTAGACATGTCAGAAAACCTCTAGGCCGGGCCTCATTCCCGGCACCGAGAGTGCTTCATTGCTCGTGGCTCATACATTCCAAACCAATGCCCTTCATGTTCTGGTTTTGAACTTTTTTTTGATTCCCTTGGCGATAGATCAAAAACAGGCCTTGCTCCTTCACCCGCGACATACATCATCAACTCATCTATGCCCGCGACATGACACCCCAGGCACGGATCTTGTTGTCGGTGTAACCGGCGAACAGGGTCTGGCCATCGGCGGACCAGGCGAGGGAGATACACTCAGGGTCACGGCTCTTCTTGCCCTTCTCGACGTACTCGGGCTTGAGCTCATCAACCTTGCTCTTCTTCTCGAGGTCGAAGATGGTGATGGAGCTGCTGGTGGCAGCGCACAGCCAGTAGCGGTTGGGGGAGAAGACGAGAGCGTGGATCTCATCACCGGCGTGGAGGGAGTAGAGGTGCTTGGACTCGTTCAGGTCCCACAGCATGGTGGTACCGTCCTTGCCACCGGAAGCGCAGAGGGATCCGTCGGGGGAGATGGTGACGGTGTTGATGTAGCCAGTGTGACCGATGTGGTCGGTCTGCAGGCGGCAGGAAGCGAGCTCCCAGACCTAGATGGAGGATCAAGTGTTAGCGGTGGATTCATCAACGCAAAAATGAGTCCAGAAGAAAGAGTTTTCCGCGTCCTCCTCAATTCAACAAAAGTTGAATTTTTTTTAACATCAGGCATTGGGTGATGGGTTGTCTCATAGCCGGTAAGGGCTCTGAAGTAGCAAATACGTTTATATGCAAACATCATTTGAAAAAAAAAAAAAAGGTACAAGTCTGGATGACTTGTTGCGAAGGAAATCGAGAGTAATAGCATAGCGTACCTTGACGAGCTTGTCCCAGCCGGCGGAGACAATGACGGGGTTCTGGGGGTTGGGGCTGAAGCGAACGCAGGAGACCCACTCGGTGTGGCCCTTGTCGGTGATGGTGAACTTGCAGTCACCGAGGGTGTTCCACAGCTTGATGGAGCGGTCACGGGAACCGGAGACGATCTGGCGGTTGTCGGCGGAGAAGGAGACGGACAGAACATCGTTGGTGTGGCCGACAAAAGTGCGGGTGGTGTTACCGGTGGACAGCTCCCAGAGACGGAGCGACTTGTCCCAGGAGGAGGACAGAGCGTAGGCACCGTCGGAGGAGATCACCTATTCGCAAGAAAAAGACCGACGGTCAGCCAAACAGTCCAATTGACCCGGTAGTTTGATCCGATTCCATTGTATCCACGTCCAATGAATCCTTTTCACACTTTTTCCGGTCGAGACGGGAGGGGCAAATGACATACACAGTCAGAGACGATGTGGGAGTGGCCCTCCAGGCTGCGCTTGGGGTAACCGTAAGCCTGCTCATCGCGAGTGAGGTTCCAGATGATCAGGGTCTTGTCGCGGGAACCGGACAGCAGCATGTTGGGGCTAAATGTCGAATTCAAGTCAGAAGAACATTCGAGGCGAAAATTCAGGCGAGTCTCTTACTTCTCCAGAGAAGTGGCAAGGGAAGTAACCCAGCCATTGTGGCCCTCGAGGGTGCCGCGAAGAACCAGCTGCTCAGCCATGATGGGAATGAGACGATGGAAGGGAAGGATGGGCGGAGTAGGTCGTTGACGCTGAGGAGATAAAATCGCAGAGGAAGGATACGCTGCGTGCCCGCCCAAGCCCTAACCCGGTTGGCCAGCGCCTTGTGTGGTTCCGCCGTGCCCTAAACTAAGCGAAGATCACGTGAGAGATATCGGGACTTGGTTGAATGTATTCGATTGGATTGTCCCGTCGATTCGCTATGGACACTGATTCGTTGTTTTGTTTCTAGGTTCATCCGGCCCAGTCTGACAAATCTGACCTTGTTACACTTGGAATTGAACCCTCTCCTGGTGCGAGGTCACATGACCCGACAATACAACTGCATAGCCGAAAGTGCATCATTACATACGCAGTACATCAATCAAAGAACATGCTGGCATAGCTATATCCGTCTATCGAGCCAGCGATCAATTAGCAAGTTATCTTAAATATATGAATAACCATCGGTCTCTTCTGTCTAGATTGTCACCCGTGGGCTAGAGAGCATCATGACAGATGTATTCCCTCACTGAATTAATACATTTAGCCTTCTTCGCAGCGAAAATCTATAGTTTACATGCTGGGCTATATCATGAAAAGAGTCTAGCATGTTGACACCACTATAGACCACCTAGCCCGAGTAAAACTTATACCCTAAGGTTCCCGAGGTCAATTGACGAGGGAACCAGCACCCATTTTACTCTAGCTGTATACTTCTACTCCACGAGCGACACAACACTACCATAGTGTATTCAACCATGTCTTATAACCAAATATACAGATCCTCACATAGAGTACAAACCAAGTTACATCCTAGGGTTCTCACCCTGGAAACCTACGAGTTGAACACCTGAACATCAGGCATCCGTCCCAACCCACCTCCAGTCTTCTTATTCTTCGCCGACTCAAACCCAGTCGCGCTCTTATCCCGAACATGCTCCCTCAACAACTCCAACACCTCCGAGCCATTCCAGCGCTCCGGCACAGGTCTGTATGCTGCCTTGAACGCTCCAATCGTTTGCGCCCACTCGCCGCTCTTAGCGCCAGTCTGTTTCCACGTCTCGGTCAGAGTGTCCTCGGCCGGAGCAGAGGAGCCTTCGGTAGGTGGGTCCTGGGTGGCCCAGTAGTAGATGTCCCAGTCGTTTTCATCGAGGAAGCTATCATACTCCTTAAGTTGGTCGTGGGACATGTCGCGCAGGTAGACGTCTGCGAAGGTTGAAAGGAGGAGGTCGGATTCGAGGATTCCGCGCTTGCGGCTCTGGTCTATCGTGCCTTTGTTAGTTCCGATTCTAAAGGTGTTCATATTTGTTGGGGAACGAACATAGTAAACGAGCACGCATGGTCGTCACATCTTCGTTGACCCGCTTCAACGGCTCAACCTTGAAAGTGATACCCTCCATCTCACCAACGCCGAGCTCCGGCTTCTGTGCACCAGTGTCCTGGCGTCCACCAGTGAAATGCTCAATCTTACCCGGGTAAGGATCCGCAGGGCGGTAGTTAGGATCGACGGAATTGAGCATCTCAGGCGGCGAGGGTTTCTTGCCAACATTGGGAAAGTCCTTGGTCATGGTGGAAGTGGTGTTTGGCACGAACTGGTTCGGCTGCTTCTTGGTCTGGTTCTCACGGTGAGCCTTGAGTTCCGAAGCGGCGCGTTCGCTGGTATCGTTGAAACGCAGAGCCGAAGAGCCGAAAGAGCGGTTCAATGCTGAAATTGGTGTGTAACTTGAAGCTGAAGGCCGCGCGAGGCGGGTGATGAGTCGTGAGGCTGTCATTTTGAGGTTCCTTTATCTGTCCGGGGGGTAATTGGGACTTGGGTGAAGGACAGTTGGGGAATTGTTAGCTACGCGAGCTTGATGTCATCTGGAGTAATGGCCCGAAAATGTACATACCCGGCGTCCCGGGGTTTGCAGTGTTTGCGGGCCGCTGGGTCCACTGAGCCTTGGAAGATTACACAGCCAGTCCGGACTGCTTGATTGGATATTTGGCATGGCCTAGTAGCCTGTCTGCTCCTCTGTATATACTCATTATAATAAATTGCAACCTGGAGGAGCCATCCGTTTTCACATGGCTAAACTACCGGGTAACTTGGCGGCAGAACGACCAAAGACGATATAATAGCCATCTAACTATAGTAACTTTCAAATGTTGATTAATGCTCAGCATGCGCAGAGCCTATATTTTGTATCATTGAGGTCATGACTGTTGTAACAGAATGCCATAAGACATGAGAGAGTACACAAACAGGAATCCCTCGAACGCGCTGCGTAAATTCAAAAAAAAAATGTAAAATAAGCGACTCCAAAATGCAACCGCCTTCCACACCATCTAGATAAGGTGCTTAGATCGGAAGTAAGCCCTCAGGTAGACAACCTGCCACGCGCCCAGGCCCATCAGCATGCCCATGGTACCGAAGGCGAACCACTTGACACGCTCGTTGGTGCTCTCGTTGGTATCGCGTAGGCGCTGCTCGCGGGCACGCAGGTATTCCATCTCCGTGACGATATCTTGGACCATCTCTTCGATGCGGCGGAGGTCGGTCTCGACGGGCTTGAGCTTCTCTTGGACTTGGATACTGGACCAGTCGCGGGCGTCGGCGCCGATCTCGACATCGAGCTCGACTTCGCGGAAGGAGTTGGCGTTGGCACCTATACGGTTACTTGATTAGCGTTTATCCATGCAGGCAGGCAAGCTGTAAGCCTCTTTTAATAGGTAGTTGGTAACTTACCACGACCGACAAGTTGGTTGTCCATGCACACATCGAAAGCGGTATCCGCGGTAGAGGTAAACGCCTGACGCACCTCACCAACGATATCTTTAGGACGACCGTGGTCATTGCCCATGGCATCCTTGATCTTTAGAGCGAAAAAGCGTTAGCTGTCGCGTGTTCGGCGGAGGAGCTGGCAGCGTAACAATCCATTTACAACAATTGGAACATCAACTCCCCGGTGGAGGTATTTCACGTACGTGCATGCTGACCTGCTGGCCATCACCCTTATTGCCGTTCACGATGGCAGTGACCACGACGAGCTGGTCGCGGGACACAAAGTTGCGGACGCATCGCTCGTTCTTGCCGCTGCCGGCGGGCAAGTCGAATTTCAGGGCGGAGACAAGTTGGATGGCGAAGAGGAAGAGGGCGAGGACGGACCTCATTGTGAAGGGAGAGGAGCCCATGGTTGGCAAATGGAATGGTAGACAGGTGAGCTGTTGACGCTGTTGATGCCACCTGGAAAGGGGAGTCGGGATCAACGGGATCAACGATGTTCCGCGCCAGGTACATCTATAGAACAGCTGTCAATATCGGCTCTTGTAAGGGCTGCTTTCATTTTTCTAAGCAAGGTTTTCCAAGATTAATTAATAATATGAGTGAACTGTAGATATGAAAAACTCGAATTCTCTTCGAATCGCGACATGTGGCTACAATCTACCCTCATTTCGATTTTGGCACCGTGCGGCACTCTGACGGTTCATACAAAGCACAGCCAGCATCTTTCAACTCACTACGATGACTACGAACGATACAAAGAACTTGGTAGAAGATTAAAGAAGGTAGTAAAGAAATGGTTCTGAGCGTCGTGGCTTTTAGATACAGGCACAGGTACTTCAAACATGGTATCTCGCAAAATTCAAAAGGAAACCAAGACAATCCCGTCTCGGCCCACAGAACAGAGAGAAAAGAAAATGATCCGAATTAGTCGTTCAGTGCCGGAGAGTATCACATCCACAGAAAAAGAAAAAAAGGGGGTAAGAAAGAAAGCGGTTCACATGAGGAGTCGGAGAAGCCACTGGGTCGTAGCCTTGAGAATAATGAAATAAATAATGGGGACATTGCCTCTATACAATATGTCGATAAATAAGGAAAATATGAAACGATGGATCCGTGTAAATGATCGAAACGATGGACATGATATGTAGGGATCGTTAGATGAACTTGAAACGCTCAAAGCATGACATCGATGTTCGGGGCTTACGCCTCGATCTTTCGGCGGCGTGTGAAGAACCGCGAGAATGAGCCCTCCTTCGTCTTGGGATTCATGTTGGGTGGAGGCTCGGGAGGGCCGGTGTTGCGCAGGAAGTCGGCTAGGGCGCCGGTCTCTGTTTGCTTGTGGGAGGTGGATGGCATGATGCCGGGGTTACGCTCCATGCCGACCTTGGCTGTGTAGTTGGATGGGGATTGTCCGTTGTTATTTTGCGAGCGCAGTGAGCTCAGGGACATCTTGTTTGAAGGTCCCCTGTCTGCGTTTCCGCGGAGGAAGCGAGCCTTCAGGTCTGATGCACTGCTCGCGAAGCCATTCGAGCCCGGTTGTTGAGATTGAGTGCTGATGTTCAAAGGCTGAGGAGCAGGTTGCGAGAAATCAGGCGGCGGCTCGCTTCGCAGGAAATCAATCAAACTTTCCTCTTGGCGAGGGGGTGGCTTGGAGCTAATGAGCTCTTCCAGCAATTCGTTGTCCTCCTCATCGTCGGAATCCGGGATAGCGTAAGGGTCTCGAACTCGATTCTGCTTGCGAATAGGACGAGGATCATCATCTGGAATAGCGCTGCTTGCAGACGGTATAGCCCTGACCTGGCTGGGTCCGCGCTGAGGTGAATCAAGCGGTCCAGTACGCGAGCCCGGAGATGTCAATGACTTGTTACGTGTCGACGTATCCTGGGTAGCGGCGACGGAGCTGCCCTTTTGCTGAGCAGAGTCGAATTGCATGTCATCCGAGTCAACGGTGTTGCGGAATGGTGCAACTGTCCGCGGGATACGGTGGGCTCCTGGTTGCTGAGGTCCTTCGCGAATGAAGTCGATGAGCTCAGACGTGGCCGAACGCTTGGACTCGGCAGGGCCAGGCTTGGATCGCGACCCACTTGGCTCCTTTGGTCGAGAACCATTCGAACGGCTTGTACTCTTTGTGCTGCTTGACAAAGTCGAGCCTGGACGAGAAGTCTTGGTCCCTGAGAAGTTGGTACCTTGCTGGTAGATCACACTCGGAGGGGGGCTTGAGGTGAACGTGCTTCCGCTGGGGCTGGCAGGGCCTGTCGACTTGATGAACTCGGCAAACTCCTGAGTTGAGTTGGGCGAAGGACGGGCATCCCGGGCCTGTCCAGCTACGGATGGCTTGGGAGATGGAGTTGCGCGGGGGGACATGGGGGAAATTGGGGAAATCGGAGGAGCAATGGTCCTGGGAGAGTCGAGATTCGACCTAATACGTCCCAGAGACGTCAACTCTCCAGTAGCCTTCGAGGAAACAGATGCCCGAGCCTTGTGTGGCTGCGGCGGTTCATCGACCGGTGGACCGGTGTTCTTGATGAAATCAGCCAAAGCGTGGGTGTCTTGAGTATCTGACCGAGGAATCGGCCGAGGCGCGTCAGGGAAAGACATTTCCCTCACACTCCGCGGGGTAAGCGTGTAATGGATAGTCTCGTCGCTGTTGATCAACTTGTCGAGATCTGCCGAGGTATCATTCTCCACAGAATCGCCACTGCCAGATGCACGGCTTGTATCAGACGAGCTGCGTAGACGGAGCGAAGGGGAGTCACCAGGTTGGCGGCCCATGATGCCCTTGAGTTTGGTCGAGACTCCGGATGTGGTCGAGCCAGCGGTCACTGGTCGCTTTTCCTTCGAACTGCTGAAGCTCTCTGATCGACGCGGCTTAGGTTGGGCCAACTGAACGGATGTAGATGGACGTGTAGGCATTCGCTGAACGGCTGCTCGCTCAGATCCTGTAGGGCTACGGGAGCTGACTGCGACGATCAACGGAGTAGGTCTGGCTTTGCGGGATCTCGATGAATACTCGCTACTTCCGGAGGTTGACGAAGGTCGAGGATGTTCAGGAGAATATGAGGGCTCATTGGTGGTCTCGGGCACGACATTTTCGATTGAGGGCTCAGTCGCAGGGGTAAAAGACATGACCGACTTATCTTGATCGTCGTCAATAGCATCTTCATTGTCGTTAGGGATTTCGATAGCCTCGACGGTGGCTGCGGACGGTGTTGGTGCGATTTCCATCCCTTGCGTCGGTGGCGGCGACTCGACGGCGGGTTGTTTCTCAACATAGCTAGTCTCTGCATCGATCGCCTTTGCATTAGGCTGTACGGCATCCCTACTAGAGTGCCGTCGCGGTCGTTGTATCGTCGACGCTGGTCGGGGTTTCTCGCACATCCCTTGTCCCTCAATAACCTCCGGTTCCTTGGCCGTTCGCTCATTCGGGGATGAGATCGACGCTCGCGAGCTGTTGACTTGATTGATCACCTCGTCGGGGGTCACCGACCGCAAGGATGCGACCATTTCGTTGACTGGAGGAGCTGCTTCCTCTTCCTCTTCATGCAAGATCGACATTCTGTCCTTCTCGGCGGACTCGTCCACCAACACCAGCTCTTCGCTCGGTGTGGTAATAGCGAGCCCAAGCGCAGATTCCGCTGCATCCACGAATTCGGCCGACTCATCGTCTTCGTACATGGTGTCGAGTATCCCGGCCTTTTCGCTGGAAGTAGGGGATGGCTGCTCGCCCTCTGCAGATTCCTGCACCTCGCGTGCGCCGCCCGCCGCATTTGGCAATGACCTGGAGCGAGAATGGCGGAGCGACTTCGGATTCTCAATGGCCGAAGCACTGACGGGAGACTGGTTTTTCGACCCCGGGGACCTGGGCGCGAGCGAAGGCGAAGGGAAAACCATCAAACTCCGCGGTCGCACCTTGTGGGCCACCACGGCCTCCATGGTCTGCACCTCGCCATCCAAATCATGCGAGTATCCCGGCACTTCGATCTCCTGCACGTCATAGTCGCCAATTGGCAAAGGCACATCTGCGGGATTCACAGGCGCAGGGATCTCTTCGGGAAGATGCTCCTTGGGAGTCACGGGCTCCTCAATGGTCACAATACTGCTCTTGCGGCTGTTGGCTAAGGAGTAAGTGCGACGGCGGAAGGAGTCACGAGACCCTGCGCGAGACAGAGATCGGGAGACAGTGGTGCCGCGTCTGCGCTTTCTCCATGTGCGCCACAATCGGCCGAGGGTCGCATTCAAGGCCAATTTCTCCATATCAAGATCCTCCACTATTAACTGGTCGATCGTCTTGTGCTCTTCTTCCATATCGGTTTCAGCACTCGCGCCGTCGTTGAGCTTCGCTGACAGTCGGGAGCGCGCAGTCTCCCCCGCAATGATCAGGGCCTGCTCGCCAATGTGCTCAATGATCGAGGTCAAGAAGATGGCGGCTGCGGGGGTGATATTGTCGACATGGCTGGAGAAACGGCGAGGCGCACCATCGCTCTCGCGGAGGCCCTCCTGGGCAATGAATTCGTCTTCATCCTCCTCTTCCATATTGCCCAAGCGAGTGTAGACCATACATCGGAGGCGGGTCAATTTCCAGGAGCGCACCAAGTCGAAGTCGCCGCCCGGCTGCTGGCCGCCGCGAAACTCGGTCTGCTCATCCTCGGCTCCGCCCATATATTCACTCAACTCCTCATCTGCAGTAGCCACCACTTCTCCCGCGAGTCGCGGCTTCAATACGTCGGCCAGACATGGTCGGATCGCCGTCAACTGTGTAGACTTAGAGGCGGCAAGAATATTGAACAGTAAGTTATCGAGGAAATTGTTCAGGAGAGAGAGGGCAGCGGGAGTAACCAGCGCATTGGCGCCCGAGCCGGGCTCTTCGTCGTCGGCGACGAAATCGGCGGCGTTGAACTCCTGGTCAGTAGTGATGATCTCGGAAGCGGCCGCCGATGAAATATAACCAGGCGGTGGTCGTACCGAGGGGGGAGACATGAGGTTGACTCGGGAGAGTTGCGAGTCACTGGAGATGCTGCTGGTGCGAGAACGGGACTTGGGCCCGTCCTGGAAATCGGATCCTTTGTAAGGGTTCATAATGGGGTTAGGACCCCGGTCCAGGGATCTGTATACTAGTGTTCCTTTCTTTTCTACTTTTTTCTCCTCCCGCGCGGGACACCACAACAGAGACTGGGATGAAATCCAATCACTAAAATCCAAGCATCCTGTACTCCCGTCAGCTTCACGTTCTCACATTGCCAAATTCTCTCCTGCTGACGTGAAATGGGGGGCCTTTTGGGGCGAGTTTCACAGCATGCAGGCAACGTCCACTTTGGTCCCGTAATGCATCCCGTGGAGGGTTTCCAACGTACCCGTAAAATAAATCAAAAATAGAACAGTGCAAGAGGTATAAAGAACGACAATAGAAAGGAGCGAAAAAGGGCCAAAGGAAAGAATATGGAGAAACAGGCGGCAACCGAGGGTTTAAAGGAGTAAATGAGCTTCACGATGGAGTGGAGCAGTGAGCATTCGGGGGTTAGCTACCGAGGAATAAATTATGGAGCAAATGATTCTGCCCCGAATGTCTGCGATAGAGTAATCGGCGGTACACGTTTTATATACACGTTTCTATACACCGTTCGCTTTGCAGCGGGTGGCTGCCCCCTGCACGAGGCCTCCAGTTGCCTCCCCAAATACCATGTCTACGGTACCGTACAACCTAACCTGTGCAATCTGTATGATCTGAGTGCCTGAGCCCAAGGTCAGCCATCCATGGTTGAGAAATATCAGGCTGGATCGCAGGCGCCTATCGCATTGAAGAACAGGGGGTGAAAGACCAAGGGCAGAAATCGAATTTAACGATCGACGGGCCCCAACTCACGCTAATGAACCTCCACTGATGAACTTGCCCAATAACCACATCAAAGGTGGGTTTAGTCTTTGGAGCTACACCACGTTCGTGTGAATTATTGGAATCTTCCCGCTTCAGCACGCTACTCAGCACCGGCCTGTACCTGCAGTCCCCCTGTCGTGGGGTGACTTTGGGTGTTTCGCCTCTCTTCCATCGTGGTTCCATGCCTTCCACTCCCCTCCGCTATTTTTCTCCGGGCTTGTTTTCGATAGTCTTAGGTCCTGACTCCACTCTCGGCCTTGCTCCATCCAGTCCCACGGCCGTGTTCCATAGCACGTTCCTCAGCTAAGCCCGTTCCATGGGCCCAGGGGGCACCCACGAGGTCCCGAAAAGGGATTCTCCGATCCGTCTTCTAGTCTTTTAGGGTTGCCCCTCCAATATGATCGAGATCGGATTTTGGCATACTACTCAGGTCTACATTTTGAGTCTCTCTACAGTAGATATATCCCTCAGGAGAGGGGAACCATCACTGGCCGCGCATTCAGGTCCGTCAGTCCGAGACGTGGTACCGTTCTCCGATCTGATTCCACGGAACGTGGTTCTCCAATCGGATGTGCAAAGTCCACAAAATGGTACAATCAAGCTCTCCGCAGAGATAACAATGGAGATAATCCCATTCACTGTGATCGTCGCGAGTGGGTCGCACGGTCACGGTCATCATGGTCATGGCAAACTTCCCCCTGAACAGATGTATATCCCAACCTAGGAAGGGTAAGATGGATAGGGCAGATCCTGATTCATGCACATGTGAGTGCCATTATATGCTCCATCATTTGATCCACGATCGGCAACAGGCGGGTCTAAGAGCCCGTAGTATCCTGTTAGGTCCTCCGCAATTCCAGGCCGTGGGGGAAATGCCGCTCGAAGCGAGCGATGAGATGAGCAACCACCTGGGCAGTTGCCTGCAGGAAGAATACAGATCACCGCATCTGAATGCCGACTGTCGTGCAACCGAAGATACATCAGATCCCATCACAACGCATACATTGTCTACTGACCACCCCCGCTCCCCGATTGGCCCCTTCTTCACCTCCCTGTACTGCAACCCCCAGCACTTCCACATCTCGTAAGCTTATAGGCCGCAATATCCAGCAGCCGTCCGTGCAATCCATGGCCTGGGCACCCCGGGCAGTTCAACCCCGACGGGATACGGTCGCACCATCGGCCCAGTGGCCGCGATCGCCACGACGAGGCTGGTCCTGAAGTTCCCACCGGCCATACCCGCTAACTTTCCTAGGTAAGGATGTGTGGCTTATCTTGGCCTAGCTTTGGGGCATTATTGACCACGCGGTGGTCCACTCCCGTTCGCTGTCAGAATCCTTTCGCGGCTATTGATGATCCACTATATGGCCGAGACGCAAGAATCAGTCTTGCTAGGGGCGAGATAGGCAGACTGGAACAAGAACGGAGACGTGTCCAAGGAAAACAAGGTGACGATGTGTCCGTGTCCGTGTCCGTGTCCTAAGGTTCACGACTCATCCATGATCGACCGCACGCAGCGAGCTATTGCACGGTGCATATTTAGGACGGACTACGTAGAATGAATACATGTTTCTTCACCGCATCACAAGAACAAGACTTGCTTGCGTCTGTCTGTGCTCTGGCGCCGTTGCGATCGACACGGCACAACGGCGTTACTCGTCCTCGCACTCATTTGAACTCGACATATCAATTCTATCCAGCATTCAAACGTAAAGTCGCACAGCCCCGACATTCCAATTACATCCTAGTCTCCAGTTGATTGCCAATCCCTTCCACTCCACTCCCAAGCGCGGTCCCAAACTCAGAAAATACGTCTCCCTCAAGTGCAGGTGCTCCGTACATATCCACCCCGCCATGACCGGAATCTATAGCACACCAAGCCCCTTTTTCAGCATAACTAGGCGCCTAGGTGTACCCATAATTTTTTAAAAAAAAGTCCTAGTCAACTGGAGAAACCTCCGTCGTCTCCGTTCATCCCCACCCAGAGATCCCTCAAAAAGAAATCCCAGACCCGCTCCTGTCCATCCATACGCAGTAGGGAAGGAACCTAGAAATTCTCCGACCCAACGTCTCGCTAGCGTGCCGCGCCTTCATCTACTTCGATAACACGCGCGTGTCAGAAGGCAACTGGTGTCACCGGCGAAGACTACGGAGTAGTTATGCGTCCGGGGTTTCGGATGCGGGCGGAGGGGCTTGGGAGATCTGAAACGCTCGGGGGAGTCGAGTCGGGACGGGACTGGGTGGGTTCTGATTTTGGGTAATTTATGGATGCTATTGAGGGTGAGTCTAGACTGGAGAAGAATTGGGAAGCAAGGTGGGGTATTTGGCACGGAGTTCGTCGTTGTCTTGGTTCTTGGGTTTGAGGATTCCAGAAGTAGATTGCGTGCTGCATGTGGACTAAGACAAGTTCCAGTGGCATGGTTTTTGGGATGTCTGGATGTTAACGAGGCCGAGGCGATGGCTGAGCTGTGGCGTTCTGAATATATTGCTGAGACTCGGGTGGACGGGTGGATGAATCTGGCCGGCGTGTCCGAGTGAATCTACAGGGGAATTTAAAAATATAAATGTGTACGCTGGATTCTACCGTGACAAGGTATGTATTGAACTTTCAATCATTGGAATATCAAAGCTAGTGTGGCTAGATAGAACCGGTCCTGTGGGCGGTCATCAGCACAATGAATCCGAAAGCTTTTCTAACTGTTAAATCCTTCCAGTTGTTCCCTTTCCCTTTCGCCTGAACCTGGCGAAGCCGAAATAAAGCTCATTTCATAATCGTAACGTCGTAGCGTTGTTTTGTGGTAGATGCTGGGATAGATAAAGATCTTACTCCACTGCAGGGAGATCCTTAGTGCCGAGAGCGTGGGCGATACCGCCAGCAAAGAAGCTCAACTCGTCTGGGCAGACATCCACGCGACCCTTGGCCAGTCTATCGAGAAGGAAGCGCTCGATCTTGTTCAGCAGAGCCTGATGATGGCTCAACGCTGGAATCGAAGTAGCGATGGTACCTTGCTCGGGGATCAGGCCTTTTTCTTGTTTGCGGAGTGCGACCAGTTCGTTCAGCTCATCCACAGCGAGGAGGTTGCGGAAAACCCCGATGACATGATCGAGGATTTGATCAAGATACATGCAAGGTGGGTCGTCCGGATGCATGGACTCGGCTTCGTGGCCAAGTCGAATGTTGTCAACCTGGGTGCGGAGATAGTGTTTGTACTTATTGTCCGCAATCCCATGGATGCAGTTCATCTCCGCGACAAAGATCTCTCGGTCCTCGTTGACAGCCTCCCGTGGGAAATCTTCTGGCTGATGTGAGGTCGTTCGAGTAAATTCTTTGTAGTCGATCTCAGACTCATTGTCGGACTCGTCATGCATTTGAGAGTCGGATAGAGATTCTTGAGAGCTTTGCATTATATGGAGAAGGAACTGCTCATGACATGTCATCTGACTCTCGGACATTTTCTCATCATCCGAGAATTCAGGAGAGTCGATGTAACAAACTTTGTCATCAAATCGAACCATGGAGTCAAATCCAATGAAAGAGTCGTCAAAGAGATCAGTGTGATCTTCACGCGATTCAGGCACATCCTGAGAAGTGTTCTCCCAGATAGAGAAGTCAGACATGTCGTCATCGTCGTCGTCGTCGTCTTCTTCTTCTCCCGAGAGGGCATCATAGTCGTCTTCCATTTCATCTGATCCGTATCCAGATTCAGATTGGTTGTCATCCTGCAGGTCTACACAGGAGTTCTTCAAGATCGACTTCAAGAACGGGTGCAAGGATGACTCCTCGTGCTTGACAACATTGGTCGAAACGCCGGACTGCAATGGAGCGGTATTGTTTGAGGAAACGGAAACTTCGTCCGATCCATAACAGCTGTCTCGGGAGAAAGACACATCAAGATGTTCCAAGGTTGAGGTAAGAGAATCCCATGATTCTCTGTTGATGTTGGTAGTGGTGGCCATTTTGGCGGTTTTTGTTTCCTCGGTCTTGACGAGAGGATGACTGTAGGTTGGGTATAGTGTCTCAATTACCACGAAAATTCCTCTTCGGATAGGATCCGATATAGGTTCGTGGTGTACGGGGTGAGGTAGAGAGTTCAAAAGTTAGTCAAAAGCACACAGTTGTGGCATCGAAAGCCTCCAAGGCAAGGAGAGAGATCCATGGTGAAGGCACACGAGAGACGTGTGATCGCCTAAGGAAACTTGACAGGGGCAGCCCCAGCAAGGATATTGACAAAGTACATGGTGTTCGTAGTGTCTGTGATTGTGGTTTCGGTAAGAGGCTTTCTTGTGCTGCTAGTGGGTGCGGATCGTGATCCTGCGGATATCGGGTAAATCGGCTGAGCAATGTCGGAGGGGGTTCTTTGTAGGGATCGAATGGGAGACAAGAGATGTTGGTTGGATTTTGGTGAGATGGCAGAGGCGAGAGGAGGCGCGGGTATTCTCGCGACGCGATGCAAACGGAGCGGGAATGCTGGAGCGACGAGGGGTCGCAAAGGGTAGGCGATCGCAGACCGGGACTGCGAAGAAGGTGTGGAATTTGGAGACGGGATAACAGATGAGGAGAAGTCAAGATGGAGATCCGAGGATGAACCCACGTTGCGCGGGGTGAACAGAGGGGTTGTTGAGTCACCGTCGGGTTCGGTCCGGAAGGCCGACTCTGGCGGAAATAAAGGAGCACGAGAAGACCAGGCGCTCTTTGTGTTCTATGAATAGGTGGTACAGACAAAAGCAAAGATAAGGCTGAGCAGACAAAGGGCCTGAAAAAAAGTAGTGAATGATTTCCAAGGTTGATTCCAGTTCTTTCGCCTCACAGGATCGCCTCCGTCATTTCTGACTCAGCTGGTGCCTCGATTTTGAGGCGGTGCCGGGTCCGCTCACTTTTAGTGTGTGCCGGTGCCGGTGCCCTAAGTCGACCATTCTGAGCCCAATGGGATTGAATAGAATGCAGATAGGCCTGGATAGGTGGCCACGACTTGTCTTCTAGTACAGATACAAAGATGTGTTGAAATGCTACATTGGACAGGGGCCAAAAGAGGTCTGGAATGGCCCCTAGAAAACTGTCAGAGACGAGGGAGGCATGGAACGCCCGGCAGAATACCAGTGTTTACGCTCATTGCCTTGACTTCTTGGGCTAGCAATACAGTACAGCCACTACTTTCCCACCCTACGGAAGAGGCAGATACTATTCACCGGGCTCAACTCGACTGCGTTTACTCGGCACATAATTTGTGCCGAGGGCCCGACTGCAGACTGCGTGGGCTCCCAGCCCAGTTTGCAACGACAACCCAAAGATTGTCCGGCTGACTGCGACCTTACTGATCTTACTGACATTGAGAGGCAATCTTCAACATTGAGCTACGACTTTAGACTTGCATCAGAGTGCCCCTGACTGTACCCGAAGCAAACAAAGCACTCAGGGGTCCCTTCACGCGACTCGAACGGACGCTTTTTCACTCTTTCACTCCGCATGAAACATCAGGCCTCAAGTCTCTCGACGCTTTGAGTTGTGCCTGATAATGTGTCAGTGACTATCTAAGAATACATTCGCCTCACTGGACCCTGACCGCGACGCGTGGACAATGAAAGGGTGTCAGTTACAACCGTCTCTGAATGAATACTCCGCTTTGTTCTGGAGCAGGTCTCCAGTTTCCTGGAGCCGGATTTGGACAATGGTACCTTTGCTGTGCCAAAGATAGCAGACGGGAAGACCCCAAAGACTGCCCCAGTAGGGGTGAGACCCTCCAGGGCATCCTTCCAAGCATGGTTCGATAGTCTTTCCACTACTGCATTCGAAGATGAAGTGAAAGGCTATCGGGGCTCATGTTAGGTGTCTGAGGGTAATAATAGAACAAAGGTCAACCTGAGGAAGCCAAAAGAGCGCACTGACCGACGATCTCCTGCAGGTCGGAGCTTTCCCATCTCGCGCTATACTAAGCAAAGCAGGTACGAGAGTCAATCTAGCCTTCTCGAATTCCAAAAGACTATTCTGTGCATTGTTGGAGGGGGCGTGACATTCCACCCAGCCTCTACATTCCCATTCACATTCCAGTCTTATCCGCAGCACAACATTGGCCAAGCATAATTTCGGCTCTGGACGCATGGCATTGACAAATGATAGGGCCGAATGGACAGAACGGGCACTAGAGGTAGGTGTAGATCCTACCATCGCTCAAATTAACCTTGTTTGGGCGATTGATGATCGAATTACCCGCTGTCATGACGCATACATCGACAGCAGATGACCGGCATCTCCGCCAGTGAGAGCGTCTGTCCTGGCAGCTCCACCGGTATTCGGCGGCTCGGGCTCGGCGAGCTTTCCGATCCACGCCTAGTACTTGCCCAATGCCATCACTAGATAGCAGGTCGATCGGAGGAGGGCACTAAGTTTGGCATACCGTGCCTCTCCACACCCGCCACTTCGACCTATTCAGCATCCCCGCTGCTTTGGGCCTAGCGATGGAGGGTTGCATTCTCGAGGGTGGCTATCTGCATCAAAGTTTCCTATGGGGGTGGATACCCTCCAACGTCTTCCTTAGCCACTGAGAGATCTTAGGGCCCTACGATTGGCTCTGCCGTTCCAGCAGAGACCTGAATCATTCCTCAAGATTCCGGTGGAGCAGGCTATGAGCCAACCGGATCATGCACAGAGCATTCCTGACCCATCTCGGGGAGGCATTGGAATGTATGCAGAAAAGATGAGGCTGGAGCTGCCCTCGGACATTCAAATAGTCGACGCGATCTGTTTGTTTGCTTTGCTATCTTTGCATCCTCTGCAGTGTTTTCTTCCTTTGACAAACCGTCAAACACAGATTCTTTGACTTTGCATCTCTTGCATACACTGCATACACTTTGCATACTCGCAATCTCACATACTCGCATCCTTGGTATCTCCCAGATCTGTAGGATCTTTGAACTTTGGTTCCCCAATCACATCACTTCGTCTACGTTGGCCGCAAACGGAATACAAAGCAAGATGTTCGCCCAACCATACAACCACTCGTTCGATGACTTGTTCAGCCAATACGTCAACGTGGAGAGCTCCGATGGCAACAAAGACTACGAAGAGCTCTTCCCGCTTGACTCGTTATCGAGTGACGGCGATCACTCTCCCCCGGGCTCCACTATCAAGCGTGAATCACCGCAACCTTGGACTAAAGACTGGTCCCTGCAGGACGGCCCGGGACTTGAGCAATTCGCTTTTCAAGACACTGTCCACCCCTCTGCCATTTCTGACCTCGGCCTGAACAATTTCGAGGTTTCTTCCCGCCCCGCCACAAACGCCGTTTCTTCTCCCTCTACTCCTCCCGCTACTCCCCGCCGCAAGGCTATCTCCAAAAGTGCCCTCATCACTCCCAAATCTATTCGCCATCGCGATCCCAATGAGCGACGTGCGCTCCTGCGCAAGCAAAGTTTCTCCCCTAGTCTGATGCGCTCTTCTATCCAGAAAGGAAGAATGGCTTACCCTGAGGCCTGGGCCCAAAGGGTCCAGAGCTTCAACCTCTCCGGTTCGGATCGCCTTCCCTTGTCTCCCCCGCCTTCCGACGTTATCGCTCAGCATGAGACCATGCATGCCGATAGCCTGAACCGCACTGGAGACACCGCAGAGATGCCTCACTATGATGCGCAACTCTTCCACCAGTCCCCTGCTGTCTCCATGCCATCTCCTTCCGTCGGTGCGCTTGCGCGCCACCAGCAACATTACATGAGCCATCCCGGCTCCTCAGCTTTGACCAACTCCAGCCCTCCCTCCGCCGATGACATCTTTTCTTCCTCCCACTCTTCAGATCCTCAGTCCATCTCCTCATGGCAATCCGATGCCTTCAACCCCACCCTCTCCTTCACTCCCGATCTCCATGGCCCCGAAAACCAGTGGTGGTCTCCCATGCCCAACAAGGTTGCGCAACAACAACCCGCTTATCATTCCGCCCCTCATCCGCGCATACAGAGCGTTAGCAGCCAGAGCGATATGATGCAAGGCGGGCTTATGATCCAGATGGATCCCTCGTTTGACATGTCCACTGAATCCTCTTTCTCATCATCAAACATGATGCCCTCAAATGGACAGAAGTTCATGACTCCTTACACCGCTCCTCAAGTCCAAAATATCTCCCGCTCCCCATCTCTTTCTCCCAAGGCCAGCTCACCCAAGGGCCTCAAAGGCCACCGCCGCACCCACAGCAGAAAGCTGTCGGGTCAGAGCATGAATGCTCCCAAGTCGGCCAAGTCATCCACTAGCCCTCGCGGCTCCAACAAGTCCGTTAGCGTCTCCTTCGTGAACTTCACTGCCCACGATAGCCACAAGATCCTCGGCGGCGTCGCACCCTCCGGCAGCTCCAAGACAAAAGCCCGTCGGGAGCAAGAAGCCAAGGATCGACGCCGCAAGCTGAGCGAGGCAGCTCTCAAGGCTGTGCGCAAGGCTGGTGGTGATGTTGACGCACTCGAAGCCATCTTCTGTTAAATTGTTTAATTTCTGATTTTTGATTTTGTCCGTTCATTGAGCCGGTGTTTTTGGGTTTTATAACATTGGGAAATATCTACTGGTCGTTATTTGGTGTTTTGGTTTGTTTTACAAGCTTTGATTTCAGGGTTATACTCCAAAATGTTACTGTATTTCTAATGTCTAGACATATATAAAAATGTCTAATATCATCAAACCACCTCATCCCCTTTCTTGTATAAGTATATCTCTAAGTCAGTTATATCTCACACAATATTCACTTCTTTGATTTTGGGAGCCCTAGAGGTCTGATCCCCGTTCGCAATTTGAGCTTCAACCTCACCTCTCGCTGGTAAGTTGCACCTGCTCTTCTACAAGACCCCACGATCAGCTGAGTGACTTGGGATTTTAGCGACTCATCCACCTTTTCAGATATGTAAGTGTTTCGCTGCTATTATCACCTCGAACACAGAACATTCGACATCAACTTTCAGGGCTAACCTGTTATCACAACAGGTCCCAAACACCCAGACTTAACTGCTTTTTAAGGCAAGACCCTATCCAATCAATAAATCCTTGAGACGCCCTGGTTTGACCGGTTTACAGGGACTGCGCCGATACCAGCTGCGAAGCTTTCACGGTCCCAATCTTCCATCCATATTCGTAGCCTGCGGCAGCAACCACTTTTTGTCCTTTTCGAACCTTCCTTTCTTCTTACTCCTCCAACCACTATCAACCTTTATCTTTCATGAATACCCATAAAAACCATACACGTTTCCAGCTCGCTGGGTTGCTCTTTCAGAAGAGGTAAGTGAGCACCACGCGTAAATCGCTGTTCCCGCATCCCAAACATATCATATTGAATCTGACATTTCTATCACTTTTCTTTTCTTTCACTGTCATTGATACCTTACTTCTTGCCCTATCGTTCCCACTCGCCATCACCGTTTCAACGATGTTTGAGACTACAAGATTCCACAGATTGACTTGCACACGGCAATCCAAATTTGCCGTTTGAGACGTACCTTCTACTCCCCCAAATCACATAGTGAATTTGCCGTGTCTTGACCCCTCGAGTCCTTCTGCTCTTCTCTCATCTTTCTTCCATTTTGGATGTTTGATCATCTTGTTCTTCATCTATCTTCTTCATTCTTCATCGCACATCTTATCGAAAGTTTGTCTATTCCCATCATCATCTCCTACCATCATCATCTCCTACCATCATCATCTCCTACCATCATCATCTCCTACCATCATCATCTCCTACCATCATCATCTCCTACCCTCTATCACGTCTTGAAATCAGAGACGCCTTCTTGGTTTCACTGACAGCTACTGATGATTCTTTAGTTACCTACAGAAACCCCCTCTCTCCCAAAACTTACCCTCAAACCCGCTCTTCTCCCATCTCTCGTCACCTATTTTCCTCAACTACGCCTACCTCAATCTCCTTCCCCCTGTTCTCTTTCTCTCCAGATCCTGGAATTGAGTCTTCGTGACTCAAAGTTGCACAGAACCTGGTTCCCACCCCCTTTTTCCTTCTCTCTTCTCGCATTCTTGAATCTCTATTTCCTTCGATCCGCAACCCTTATCATTCCGACCCTCGTCACACTACTTTCCACAAATCCCTCCTCCGATAATTTGCTTCGAAATTTTAGCAAGATGTCTGGAAATCGCAACTCCCGAATCCTCTCCATGCATGGTGGTCGTTCTGGTGGAAAAAGCCTAGGCCGCAGTGGTGAACAAGGCAACCCGGGAAGTGATTACCGTGGTGGCAGCCGTGGCTCTTCTTCTAACCCTCCTTACCGTGGCGGTGATCAACGCGGACGTGGTGGTGGTGGTGGTCGCCCAGAGCCAGATGAAGACCCTAAGTAAGTTCGTCAACATTGTTCTACCATGACGCATTGCTAATATGGCCCGATATAGCGTGATGTACAACTCTTCCGTTACTACTAACCCAGAAATCGAAGCCTTCGAAGACAAATGTATTGCCAAGAACAAAGGCAAACGAGCTGACAAGGGAGAACTCGCTCTTCGACCTGGCTATGGTGTTAAAGGGGCAGCTGTTGTCATGCGCGCCAACCTCTTCCAAGCCAGGTTCCATGGAGCGGACTGGTTTCACTACACAGTGAAGGTCAGACCAGATCCGCAGAATAGCCGTCTCAATCGCGAAATTTTCACAGAGTTCATGGGCAAAGAGATAATCAAAAAAGGCTCACGCTGCCACTGATGGCGCTCAGGTTGTCGTTGCCATGAAAAACTTACTGCCGGGCAATCCCTATGAAGTCACCATCGACAGTAACCTGAAAGCAGCCAAAAAATTCTCTGTTGAACTGACTCTGTCCGAGAAAGTTAACCCCTCAGAGCTGGTCAATACCCTGGATAACATCGCTCTTCGGACACAACCGCCGAATGAATTCTCGTCCCTTCAGATGATGAACATTCTCATGAGCGCTCATCCATTCCGTGACCCAGGTGTTACGACAATCAGAAGCTCCAATGGTAACAAGGTCTTCTGGACCGACGGGAGAAAACAAGCCGCTGATCTGCAGGGCGGTATCGAGTGCATTCGGGGCTTTAACTCTAGCGCAAGAATATGTGACAATCAAGTCTTTATCAACTTGGGCATCAATCACAGCTCATTCTTCCATGAAGGCCCATTGCATAGTATTCTCACCCTCTTCAACGCGATGAATCCCGATCAACCCCCGGATTATGTTCTCTTCAATCGATACATCAATCGACTTCGCGTCAATGTCACTCATCTTGGTAAACACATGGAGTGCGGGGTCCTGGTTTACAAGCAGAGAAGCATTTGGGGCCTTGCTTGCCCTGAGAAAGATGGGAGAACACATGGAACTAACCCGAAAACGAAAGAAAAAATAATCCCAGACCCCAATCCTCCCAGATTCACAAATGAGAACATAGGAGCCACCGCAGATCAGGTTTCTTTCTTCAAATGCGACAAGGGTGCTAATGGCAAATCTCTTTCTGCTGGAGGATACATTACTGTCACTCAATACTTCAAGGAGGGTATGTATATCACGCCATTTGGTTTCTTGTATACTTATGTGGCTGACACTATTAATGCAGAATACGACTTGAAGCTGAAGTACCACGACTGGCCTGTGGTGAATGTTGGCAGTTTCGTTCACCCGGTTTACCTTCCCCTTGATGTCTGCCTTGTTCCAGCGGGACAGCGCTTCATGGGTGAGCTGGCGGCCATTCAACGCAAGAACATCATTAGTTTTAGCTGCCGTAAGCCGCCCAATAACTACAAGTCCATCACGCAGGACGGCCGAAGAATTATGGGGATGGACAATCCATTAAAGAATATCGACACCGAGTTCAGACCTGAAATGATCGCTGTCAATGCACGCATCCTTCCGCCGCCGATTCTGAAGTACGGAAAAACCAAGACGATGATGCCGAAAGATGGATCTTGGAACCTGAGAGGTCAGCAATTTTGCAAACCAGCTGAAATCAAGAATTGCATGGGCGTCGTCTATACCAGAGCCTCGCTTAATACCATTGACAATGAATTAGTCAGGAAGGCATTTGACAGTTTGGCGGCAGAGGGAAAGAATTTGGGCATGAAGTGGTCTGCATGGAACCAAGGCATCCACACAAAACAGATAGGAAAGACACCCGCGGAGTGGATGAAGCAACTCGAGCTTATGTTCGAACATATCCGCAACAATCCGGTCGACCTGGTGGTCATCGCACTTCCCGCAGGCGAAGAGCGCTTCTTCGACCACCTCAAATGGTGGAGTGAGACTAAGGCAAAGGTCATGACTCACTGTTGTCTCTACAGCAAGTTTGTCACCCATGGCAGACCAGAAAATTCGCAGTACAACGCCAACAATGTCATGAAGATCAACTTGAAGATGGGCGGTGACAATCAGACGCTCAAAAATGCGCCTCGCTTGATAGAAGGAGGAACAACCATGGTCGTTGGTCTTGATGTTACTCACCCATCTCCGACTGACCCGGAAGGATTCCCTAGCATGGCATGTATTGTCGCTAGTACGGACAAGTCGATGGGGCAATGGCCTGGTGAGGTCATGGTACAGGAGGCTCGCAAAGAGGAAATCGGGACTCTCAAGGCGATGATGCTGGGTCGCCTGCAACACTGGAAGGCCGTTCACAAGGTCCTTCCCACCAATATCCTTATCTACCGCGATGGTGTCAGCGATGGCCAATTCAAAATGGTCCTGAAAGATGAGTTGCCCCAAGTTCAGGAAGCAGTTGCTTCTCTGTACGGGGGCAAAAATGCAAATATCACCATCGTCGTGGCTGGCAAACGACACAACGTGCGCTTCTACCCGGCCCAGTCTCGTTTTGCCGACAAGAGATATGGCCCAAAGAGCGGCTTGGTCGTTGACCGCGGCGTCACTCGCCCGATTTACTGGGACTTCTATATGCAGGCACAGGCGCCGCTCCAGGGTTCAGCCCGCCCGGCACACTATATCGTGATTCACGATGAGATTTTCAGCGCAAACAACTCTGACTCCCACCCAGCCGACTCTCTCCAGCAACTGACACACGACATATGCTACATGATGGGTCGTTGCACCCGCTCTGTTGGCTATGCCACCCCTGCCTTCCTCGCTGACAAGTACTGCGACCGGGCCCGAAGATACATGCGAGCATTCTACTACGAAACCCTAATCAAAGAGGGTAAACACAAGAAGCCCGACAACAACAAAGCGATCAAAAATACAAACGCAAATAACGCGATGGCTTACATTTAAAGACCAGATTCGATCCTGTTGCAGTTTCCAGTTTTCCATCATCAATCGCTTGATTCTTCACAGGACATCTCGCTCTGCTCTCCACTAATAGGAAAGGCTCGCTAACAAAAGATAAAGATATACATAACCCCAAAAAAATTTCGAAAATGGAAAATTTCACAAAAAATTTGCAGCGTTTTTCCTGCTGTACTCGTCGCACTGTTGTGCTGAGTTTCAACACACTCCATATGGAGACGCATACATTGCGCATCGATTGCACTGATACAACTTACAACAAAAGCTTCCAAAGACCAAACCAATGTGGAGAACGGGGGATGGAAACCAACTAGAAAAAACCGAGTCTCCTTTTCATTTGTTTAGGGAGAAAGAAAGGATTTACATAGCTAGATAGAAAAATTGAAAAATCCAAAAACGGCCTTCGGGCTGCGGGAAGAATCCACTTGTTCTTTTCCAGTGTAGATCATAGGAAGAGACTGTACTGTAGATTATAGATTTCTGAAGGATGGGACATCCAAAACAATGTTATCGGAACTCGATGAGTGGAATTATCAATATATAGATAGATACTCCAGATATAGGTACCCGTTAACTAGATGAGACATGAACTAAATAATATACAAAAGATGGTCATGAATAGCCATGATAGGCCTAAGTAATTGAATAGCGCCCATCCTGGCAGTGCTGCAGGCAAGTTGAAGGCATGTATGCCCCTGCCAGGTGAAACGCTGGGGAACTGCCGAAGCGGGTATCCGGGTTGTGAAGGTGATGGCAAATCAAGCCTGATTCTAGCATTAAGGCACCAAATAGCCCCTTCAAGAGCCTTGGCCCAGCACAAGGTCAAGGTCAAGGTCGAATGGATGCTTGAAGTGGACTCCGGCCAATCACAGCGAGTCAATTTCAGATGTCGATAAGAACGTTTTTATCTCCGCGCTTTTCACCGCTGGGATGTTGGTGTCCAGGATTCAGGTTGCCAGCCATCGCCGGGGTTCACGGCCTTATCCCATGGATTCTCGGGTTTCTTGGTCTTCGTCTCAGCGGGAGCAGGAGTGGCAGTGGGTTCTGGCTGTGGCGTTGTCGTTGGCTCTGCGGGTGCCGGAGCTTTTTGTGTCGGAGCATCGCCCGGTGTTGGACTTGAGGTGGGCTGGCTGGTTTGCGGTGTAGGTTGTTTATATTCTGTCTGGGGCTTGTCCAGGAAAGAGGGCTTGCTGGCCCAGCGTTCGTCAGCGAGTCGGGCGAGGTTTTTCATTTTGGCCTGGCGTATGAGGTCTTGTCGCTGTTCCTCGATGGTCGGCGGGTGTTCGCGAACATGTCGGAGCCATTGGTGCCATTGTGCTGTTCATCCAGCTTGTAATTAGTATAGCATTCTCTGTTTAAAGATACAGTCTGCGGTGGCAAGGCCAGGTCCGGTGCACATCTTCGGGAATAGCACTCACGTGAAACTTTGACTTCATCATAGTGTGTTCTGGGGTCGAATTTTACAATCCGTCGCAGCCGGTTGGCATTTACTGCGTCCTTGAACACCCAAAAGGTGTTTCCGGCGAGGTCCTCGCCTGGTAGTTGGTTAGCAAGGCCGGGGGATTCCAGGCGCATAGAGCGCGGACGTCAGTAGGACAACTGACCGACAATAAACATCTTGCGCCATGGAAAGCGAAGGCTCTTCCACTTGAACCAAAGGCTGTTGACCATATTTGCGGGGAGGACGTTAAGGGTGTTGATGAGGCGTGGAGAAAAAGTTGCGGGAAGTGAAGATCAGGAACGTCATTGGAGCCGAAATAAACAGTCCCGAGCATTCCATTCCTTCCCTCTTTCTCCCTCTTCTGAAGGGATTCTGCAAACTCCTTTTGATTTCTATTCAACTCCTACTGACTTGGTTAATTGCGTTGTACTTTCACAGCTCTGATACCCAACCCCCCTCCCCCCACCCTTGGGGACGATCAGGCACCGGATTAAAGGGATACCCTCTGACAGAATCTCAACAATCCACCTTCCCTCGCATACACCAGACAACCGGAACCGGATATCCATGATCGTACACCGACCATGGCTTCGGTAACTTCTCTTGACAAAGACCTACGCAACATGCGCCTATCCCGCTATACCCCGCAGGCAGCCGCGGAGGTGCGCGATTGGATTGAGGAGATGCTGCGCGAGAAACTACCATCCAGCGACCTACTGGAAGGCTTGAAGGATGGGACCGCTCTCTGCAAGTAAGTCTCGATCGCGATGAGGTGGCGTCAATGGTGTTGGAACCCGGACTGACCCCTCGTCTAGGCTGGTCAATATGGCCGTGTCACCCGGCGTGAGGTACAAGCAGTCTTCGATGCCTTTTGTACAGATGGAGAATATCTCGCATTTCCTGCGCGCATGCCAAATGCCGCCTCTCAGCCTTCCCCCGCATGACGTCTTCCTGACCGTGGATCTCTACGAAGCCAAGGACCCTGCGCAAGTCCTCCAGTGTCTCGCTGCATTTAGTCGACGGGCAAACGCCCTCCAGCCAAGCAAATTCCCCCGAGCAGTTGGTCCCCAGAGCAAGCGGAACATGGTCAGCCCGAATGCGACAGGCTCGTCAAGCTCGGGGTTGTACAATCGATCCGGTCGTGCGTCCAGCAATGTCAGTGACACTGAGAGAACTGGGTCTATGAGCTCCTGGAGTAAGAAGGGAGACGAATCTTCGACTTCACCAGCCTGGAACATTCATCAATACGGATATATGGGTGGAGCTAGTCAGGGCAATCAAGGAATTGCATTTGGCGCTCGCCGACAAATCACGTCTTCGTCTCCTGCTGTCCCCAGTCTTGCCGATAAAGAGAAGCGCAGACGAGAGGAGGAAGACCGAATTCGCCAGCAAGAAGCTGAAAGGGAGGAAGCTGCACATGCGCACCAACGGGAGATTGAAGAGCAGGAGGCTCAAGCTAAGGCCGAGGAAGAGCGGCGGTGGGAGGAGGAAACGGCTCGTGAGAGGGAGAAGGAGCGCCGTGAGATGGAAGAGGAGAAGAGGAGTTGGGAGGCAGAGAAGCGTCAATGGGAAGTCGAGGAGCAGCGCCGAGCTGCTGAGGAGAAGGAAGCCGAGGAGCGCTTTGAACAAGAGCGTCAAGACCGGAAACGAGCCAGCGATGCTCGTCTCAACGGCCAATTCCTCAGCCAATACCAGGCTGGTCAGGTTTCTGCTGCTTCTCCCGAGCCAGTCGGAGAGACAGCAGAGAGCCGCCGCATTAAAGAACTTGAGCGTGAACTTGAGCTTGCCAAGCAACGTGAGCGTCAATACGAGACTGAAAGGCAGGGAATTCAAGACCAGAAGAGTGGTGATGCTGCAGCGCGCATCTCTAGCCGCCCTAACCGTCCCGTGCCCGTTCCTCCAAAGCCCAGCTATGATCTCTCTTCTCTTGAGCAAGAGCGCCGCATGCTCGCCGGAGAGTGGATCAAGAATCAGGATATGCCAGCCACACAGGAAGAATCCGAGCAAGCTGAACAAGCGCCACCTCCTCCTCGCCGTCCGCTCCCAGAGCCCGTTAGGTCATCTCAACCAACGCCGCCAGTCAGAGACCTTCCGCCCGCTCCGCGTCCCCTCCCCAACCCTGTAGCCTACTCTGTCAATGGCGATCCGAACCGTGTGGACCGCTACCTCTCGTCTAACCCTGCTCCCACAGCTCCACCCCCTGCCACCCACCGTGTTCAAGACTACTCCACAACCTCCGAAGTTGACGCCGAGAACAGCCGCCGTTTCGCCTCCCAGCAAAAGACCAAAGCCGGTGGCTGGGCATCAAAGTCCCTCCTGGAACGCGAGATGGAGCGTGAGCGTGAGCGCCAGCGCGAATGGGAAGAGAACCAGAAGCAAACCCAAGCCGCCGCAGACCACGGCTTGACCGACACCACCTCCGGCACGGGCCCAGGCCAGTCCTGGGACGTCCACCAGTATGGCTACATGGGCGGTGATAACCAGAATCGCGGTGGCCATGGCCTGGGTATTGGAGGTGCCAGGCGCCAGATCATCGGGCCTCGACCTCCGCCTTAAAGGCCTGATATTGATCTTGTCTCGCCTATTCGACCTAGGAAGCCTTTGTGTTGGTTCTTATCCTTTTTGTTGATTCTCGATACTCGACAGTTTGAAGGATTATATTGTTGTTTCTTCTTGTTTCTTTGCGTCGGCGCGGTGGATTGTTTTTCATGCGATGATTCCCGCCCAGCTGCATTTCTTTTTTTTTTATTTAATCGTTTCGAATCGAGGCTACTTATGCCATGACAAAGGTTGTCGATAGCGGAAAACTATAAAGTACTCCATTACACTTTAAACCTCGGGGTAGGAGCTAAGCGTAAGCGTATACAAAGCATCGCCGTGCTCGTATTGATTAACTTGCTCTACTGGTTACCGAAAGTGTGAATACAAGAGCATAGGTAAAGACGTACTCGTTTTGAATATAAATCATAAGGATCATTGATATCGTCAATGTCATAACATAGGCCAACCATCAAGCCGGCTTCTACTGAGTACCCCTCAATGCCAGCATTTCAACCAAAAACATCAATCTGTCCCCACTTTCCACCAGCCAGCACCACTCAAGCGACTCCTTATTCCGACTCGCAATACTACGTCGCATATCATCCTGAACCCGGCTAGCCCTCTGCAAAATCCCACGCTCAACAGATTCCTTGAATTCAGGCGTCATTGTCAACAAATCGCCATTAGCCAGGAGAATGACCAGGGCCTCGAGAGCGATAGACACTTTGGCATTATCAGCCGCGCTAGATGTCGTCGCTGCGAATGGAAGGAAACAGGTTTCCAGCTTGACTTGGTCGAGCCATTCTTCGTGCATGCTCGGGGCGCTGCTCTGGCGCAGGGTTTCTAGTAAACTTTGACAGAGTGTTGTCTGTTGGTCGTCTGGGAGTTCGGGGAGGATGTAGGGGCTGACGAAAGTTTGGAAGATGGGGAGAGGGAGGGGGCGAATGTTTTCGACGAAGAGGTAGTAGAGCTCCGAGACGGGCATGAAGTCGTCTTCGAGTCGCTCGGAGACTTTTGATAGGAGACCGAGGAGTTTCTTGCGCAGGCCGAGTGATTTTAGTCCGCCCATGGTGGAGACGCCACCACTGTGTTGGGTTAAGGTGGTTGTGTCTGAAGAGTCTTGAACAGGCTCGGCGGCGGTTGGGTCTACTGTGGTTCTGGTGCCTCGTCGTGTACGCTTCGACCGTCGGGGCATGGCGCCTACCGGGGGAGACGAAGCGCGAGAGGTTGACTTGCTTTGGTCTGTGACTTCGGTGCTTTCTTCGTCGGACTCGTCTTGGGACAAGTAGTCGCCATATTTGTCCTCGTCGATGTTGACCTCGCTCTTTCGCTTTTTCGCCTTTTCTGGTGCCGATTTCGACTTTGAATGTTTCAATTCTTTGGCGAATACCTGACGGAACTCGTTGACTGAGGGAGTGCTACCATCTGCAAAGATGGCCCTCACAATTCTGCGATTTTTTCCATGTCTCCCCGAGTAGATGTACCGGAAGAGCATGCTTTCGCGGAAGATGGCCAAGTCATCATTTTTGATTGACCGGGATCCTTTTCGTGTCGTCGTCTCCCGTGTTGTTTCTTCTTGTTCTTCCTGGCTCTTTTTTTCTAGCAGCTCTTCATACTCCTGTTCGCGCTGCTCCCAATCATCCAGAAGTATATCACACATGAACCGAAGCCAAGTCTGCCAATGCTCCCACCGCTCCGGATGAAGTACAGAGCAGTTGAATGCCCATCCAACAGCATGCCAAAAGTCTTCAGCACGCGACCAAAGCGAGGACTCGTTTGCCACATCCAATTTCTGCCAAGGAATCTTATCATGGGGTACATCTTTGGGGCTGGAAGAGGCATCATCTGCATGAAGCAGTCTTCCCGATCGCGATGTCCGAGTAAGTTTGAAGCTGAAAGCCAAACCAAGCCCAGCATCTTTCGGGGTAATCAAAGTACTGATAAGCCGCAAGAGCCGCAACGCGACCTGCGGAGCCTCTTGCTGTTCGGGCTTCTTGGCACGGTTTGTAGTCGATGGGTGAACGAGGAAGGTACATGCCAGCGCAAGATGCTCAGGTAACGGAGCTATCACTGTCTTCGAGGCGTAGGTCCCAGAGGCGAGGGTGTTGAATAGAAGCGTCAATGCTTGGGTGTCTGTAGTCGGGTTAGCGGGGCTCGGCCAGTACGCAGGAAAACGTACATAGTTGTTCCTCGAAGAAGATTCCGGTATGTTCGGCGATCTCGAATGGCAGCCCTGTGGGCGTACGATACGCCATACCCACCGGAGGACCCATGGCCTCAGAATGTTGGTCCGACATCTCTTTTGGTCGCGCGTCTTTGGACGCGCTTATCGATAGCTGCTTAGTCACGTCTCCTTTCGTGGCTGAAAGTGATGGATGATCAATTCCACAAAGTAACGGCATGCAGACGATATTTCAAGTGGATCAAAGAAGAATTGAGGAGCTTTTCCTAGAGTGAAATTCATTCGGAGTTGTTCGGGGGGTTGTGAACAAAGAAGTGTGTCTTTGTAGTTATACGTTGTTGATAACATTGGACCGAGAGATGCTGGTACTTCCTAAATCCAACTAGAAACAATGTCCAGTGTACACAATTCTAGTATCGACACCCAATTGATTCAACATCTGGCACGAATGTAAACATGAGCCCAATATAGTAAAAGAAGTCAATTCTGAATTGCTACTGACCACGCGAATCGGAGAAGTGCACTCCAAGCTATGATGCAATGCCCCCGCATAAGCCAAGCCAAGCCGATGACTTGCGTGCTTAGCAGCAGATCTCGGACCTTGGAAACCCTACAGGGTCCGGGGTGCTTCAGCCCTACACATTCTACAATTCTAAAGCGCTCAGAGCAGGCCACAGGCCTGGCGATGCAGGTAAGACAGGAGGTTGTGCAGAATAAAAATATGCATGGCTCTAAAACTGTAAGATCTAGACAAGGACAGGGAGGTAATACACCAGGCTCTGTCGCTCGCAGGTCGAGGGTGGGTTCGTCATATTTGCCAAAAGAGAAGGGAAATTTGCAACAGCCAACGACGGATCAAAACTCCGTGGATCAACGCAATGCAAAAACCTCGGTATGAGGGAGCGGGCGAACAAGGAGAGGCAAAGGACAAGGAGCGAGCTCGAAGGCCAGAAAACATACGCCAATGTAGCAAAAGGAAAAAGGAAAGCCAAGGGGAATAGCTATGATTCCTCTGGTATGTCGGAGAATAAGCCTATTCGCAACCGATGCGACTAGAGATGGGTTAGCGGAGTCCAATGGGCCGCGTCAGACAGAGGAAACACCTACAAACGGCAATTTGGGAATGACCACTCCCAAGGTGGCGAGGAAGTTGATGATGAAGTAGGTCACGTCGTAGTGTGTATAGTGGGTGCTGAGAAGGAAGAGCCCGATGGGCACGCTGAGGAGGAACTTCTTGGCCGGGGTGTACTGGTCGCCGTTATCGATCTGCTCCCACATGTTGAGGTTGTCGTAGGCACCGGCGTTGAACTCGAAGGGGATGCCCCGCACCCAGTGAAACATGAGGAAGGAGCCGAACATGTAGCTGATGTTGGTGAGGGTCCATGAGGTCTCCTGTGAGACGCCGGGGATGATGTCGTAGAAGATTTTGAGGGCCGCGATGCAGACGAAATGAATGGTCCAGGCACCTGTTCATGCGACAGAATTGCAGTCAGTACGGATGTTTCTTGTTGTTTTGAGATAGTTTCCCGTCCACGGTGTCCGGACCGGATCGGTCGGGGGAGGTGGGCTTGGGGAACCAGTGCAACTCACCCTTGGCATTGACCCAGTTAGCATTGAGGTTGGGCAGCGCGGCCTGATCGCTCGTGTGTTCGATGGATTCGGCAGGTTCCTGGTAGATGAGACTGCTCGAGCGACGCCGGCGGCCCTGCTTTTGGGTATTGGGGGATAACCGCTGTGGCCCGTCCATCTCGTGAGGAAAGGAGATGGTTCTGGGGACCAGCAGGGAGGATTTGGAGGTATTGGTCGCCAGCGTGACTGGAGAGGGGGAGGTGTTGAGGTGGTGGAAAAGGAGCGTGGGGATGAAGGTGGCACACGGCCCAGATCCAGAACTGGAGAAAGGTCGGGCGGATCGGGGTCACGGGGGCAGGGTCGAATTAGCCGCGATGAAGTTTGGGATTTTTAAAACCGAAAGGGATTCCAGTTCTTCTGGAAGGTGATGCTCGAGAGAAGTAGAGAAAAAGGAAGTTGGGGAACGAGAATGTCCTGAGGCACGTGCAGTGGGCAGCTCCAGCACGGACAGATCAATCTGGGACTATTGCACCTTCACCACGGGACCGATCTATATTTGGCTAGCCGAGTTGGTGGCGAGATTGCAAGATAGCGAGACCTTCCATAACCATCGGGGGCAATTCGTGAATAATTCCAAGGCGTGGCCTAACTGACACGAGTCTACAGTTCCGGACTGACACAGCCTAGACCTGGACCTAGACCTAGACCTAGACCTTTGCGCCCCTAACTTAAGATGCATAAGAACCTGCAGTGAGCTACTTACCTACTTAGGTATACCTTCCTAACCTAGGGAATAGTTCGTGTTTCTCGAACCTATCCAGGCCATCATAATAATCAATACACAGTAACGCTAGGGCCGTGTGCTTTTAAGCCTCGATCGCCGCATACCTGGTTTTCTATCATGGAAGTGCGAAAACGTCAAAGTAATTATTATTTCGAAATGAGTCAACCTATGCTCCTTCACGGTTGTGTTTTTGCACGAACTCTCCCAAATAGCGACTGTCCTGCGCAAGTGGTCTGTACAGTCGACCGTAAATTTTAGCCCTCTGATGTGAAAGTCGCGGAACGTCCGAGCCAATTTCAAACACGCCCTAGCCCACCATGGCAGACTCTTCGGGAGACGAGGCTGATTCTCGGACAGCAGCAGTTGGTTTCCAGCGCTCTCGGGCAAACAACTCATCGGCCCGAAACTCCCAAGATGGCGATTCCCGACCCGCGAAGAAACAACGACGGAGCCGATCCCGCGGCCAAGATGTGACCGATTTTCTCCCCCGTGGCGCATCGTTCAGCGAGACCCCCCTTAGAGGTTGATCCGGATGACACATCTAGCTCAGGATCTAGCTCAGGCTCCGGGCACGACTCGGATGGATCAGATGCGCCCAAATCGACTGCTGCCAACCCTCATGTAGGAAGCACCGCGCCTGCAATCAGTTGGAACCAGGGAAAGAAAGCAGCGGTTCGCACAACGCTTGGAAAGAGGAAGGCTACCCCGACCAACGGGACTACCAACCAATTCAACGCTGTGAATGATACATACTGGCGCGCTCGCAGTGCCTCTGTCTCATCTGGAGCCAGCGACACGCAGGAAACCACAGCGGACAAGGACAAGGCCGAGGAAAGCAGTGGATTGGAGGAAGGCGAGGTCGACTCTAAGAGTGAATCGGACGGCTCGGTTTCTTCCAACTCCGAGGCCGATGACTCCATATTGCTGAACATTGGTGCGAAGAACGCAAATGATGCGACTCCGGCAGAGGCTTTGCTCGCAGATGGTGTGCACACAAATGGAGTTGCAAATGGCCAGACCAATGGATCTGCGGAAGGGGTTGACACCTCTGGCCCGGCTGAGCCCAAGGAGGATGCATTCCAGCGCTTCTCGCGCAAGTATCCTACCGCGCCCATTGCTTTGATGGATTTGAGCCAAGAAGACTTTGAGGAGCAGGCGAGATACGTGCACTGGGCTCTTGACATCAATGATATCGATCTCCAGCTCCCTGTTGTGTGCATTGAGTGTCAAGGACAAGGCCATCTGGCCGAGGTGTGTCCGACAAAAGAGGTATATTTCTCCCACCGATTATTCCCGACAATATGCTGACCAATTAGTGTGTACACTGTGGTGTGTGGAATAAACACACGAGTCCTTCCTGCTCTACATGGCAAAGATGTCCCCGATGCCGTGAAAGAGGCCACGATGAAGCCCAGTGCTCCTCTCCCTTGAAAGGTTCTACTACTGAAGTCCCCTGTGACCTCTGCGGCTCGCAAAACCACGTCGAGGTTGATTGTAGTGCCGCGTGGAAATCCACGCTACAAGAGCCTACTGCGACAGGTGTCACAGTCTCCCTCTCGTGTGCCCGTTGCATCAGCTCCAGCCATTTGATCGGCGACTGTCCGTCTAATCGCAACCCTCTCCCTAACTCCTCCTTCACCCTCAGCGGCGTTGACCCCAGTACCATCACAAACCTCAACACAGGGCCCTCAACAAAGCCTATATCTGCGAAACCACCCCCGCCCACCAGGGCTCCACGCAGCAAAAATCGTCGAGGACCTAAGATTCGTGATCCATCTTCAGAGAGTGACAATGGCGCTTTCCCCCCGCGTGGTGGCCGCCGTCCTCCGCCTCCGCCTTCATCGCGTGGCAGAGGTCGTGGCAATATTTCGTTCGGCAGCAGCAACACTTTTGTTCCTAGCCAACCTCGAGGGAAGCCACCGTCGCGTCCGTTCAATGGAAACCGTGGACCTCCGCCTCCAAGAGGAGGGGGAGGTGGTGGCTTCCGAGGCCGTGGACGGGGTGGCAAGTCGCGTAGAGGCAAATAGACCATGGAGATCGATATCGATCTTCGTGGTCGGGGGTAATGAGAACATCACGAACCTAATGCACATGTACATTGATCCTATACTGTCTTGTAAATATTTGTATCTTATCCTTTAGAACATTGCATTGTACTGGAATTGCTATTTTGAAGCTATTTCATGATGTGACATCTAATGTAGGAGAAAGTAAAGTCCAATGAGCCGAATTATCCAAAGTCATCACATGATTACTATGGCTCCCGAGTACCGACGAATCCCCTTTCAAGGATATCAACCAATTCATCCAGCTGGTTGATACAAAGATCGGTGTGAGCGTGCTCTTGGAGATGACTATTGTGTTCATTGACCAGCAAGACTGTTGCTGCGCCAGCCATATGACCGGATGTCATATCATCAATGCTATCTCCGACCTATCAAACACATCAGCTTTCAACGCAATTCACCACCCCATAAGAAAAGGTAATACTCACCATAATCAGATTCTCCGCGCGATTTGTCAATCCCCATTCCCGCGCAATATGCAGGATACCCGCCGGATCAGGCTTAGGAATGACATTCGGCGTATCCCGCGTGATTATGGGCAGGAATACATGGCTTGGCATGTGGTTCTGAATGAGATATTGCACGGGTGCTCTGCTTATACTTAGGTTACCGAAAATAACAGACCAGGGGGAATTGCATACTCGAAATTCCGTGTACAGAGACCCCGTCGGAGACTGCGCGACTTCAGGTAGTCCATTAGCCGAGCCAAACCAGGCTGCGGCTGTTGCTCCAGCATGGCCTTCTGCTCGACGGCTTGCACTTTGGCAACGGCGGCAGCTTGGTCTTCGGCTGTCGGAAGGTCACGAATATGGTGGAGGATGTCGATTGAATTGTCAATTCCGAGCGCCTCCCTGGGTTGCGTTAGATTGGGATAGGAGGTAGTACTGTGAATCGATGAGCAAATCACCTCATTTCTGAGAACATGTGGTGTTGCGGTAGGCTGGATGTTGTTAGTGGGGATCTTAGACGTGGAATTGACGTTGAATGAGTTTCCCGGGATTGAGTCACGTATACCGGTACCGCCCATATTGACATGATATGTGAGCCCGGTGCAGAGGAGAGTGAAACAGTGTTCAATTAATGATGAGAGGAAGATAGTACGATAAAAAAAAACACCCCATTGAGGATGGAAGCTTACCACAAGGTCCCATCCACGTCAAAGATGATGCCCTTCAACGTTGGCGCATCCGACGCACGCGTCGGATCGAGAGGCGCGAATCGTCGCGGACGGAGATGCTTGCATTCTGCAACAGACATGATGGAGGAGCGGATAGTGCGTGCGGCGAGAGAAGTCATGGGTGAGAGAAGAGGTGCGGAGGGGGAATCGGGGAACTTTGAGATAGAGGATAGAGCCCCACTTGGAATATAGTTGTAGAGTTGTAGAGTTGTAGAGTCGTAGAGTCGCTCTATAACAATTGCACCTTCCACTTGCACTTGCCAACTTCCCAACTGTACCATTCCTTCCATCTTCCATCATGACTCAAGTTCTCTCCTACTCTTTCACACACACACACATTCATTGAACCACGTGAAACACCTCAACACTTGACAGTCTTTAAAACCCCATCCAAATGCCGCTTATATCCTCCAGACGAAGCTCCCAGTCCCACGCCAACCTCCCCATAGCTCTCCTCACAACTTTCACCCTCATCACAGCCCTAGTCTACCTACAACTCATCTACGCCATCTCCTGGATCCTCCGACCATTCTACAACTCAGGCCAAGAATTCCCACCTATGCGACGCACCATCGAGAAAGCAGAGAGACTAACCGTCAACATCATCCTCGGTATCGTACCTACATCATTTTATCGCTCGCCGCCAGTCTCAGGTCTACTCCACATGCACGAAGATTCGGCCCACCGTATCCCATCTGTTCCACGATATGTTTACGATCCCGCATCACACACCCAAGGCACAACTGTTCTCCCAACCCTATCACAATGCTACCCGGAGAACTCCATCGAACGAACCGGTATAATTCACCACGACTCCCATTTTCCGGTATGCGCGACCCCAGACCACTACACCAGAGACTCCTCCGTCTATGACACAGTCAAGAAACACACCACTGGCAAACAACGCATCTCCGTCGTCGAAATGCACCAGTCTCAACAAGCCACCCAGACATACCAGCAAACAAAGTCACCTTTAGTCCCTGCCCCAGTTATCTCGGCCCCACTCGAGAAATCACCCGCTGCATCGTTTGATGGCGTGCGCGAGGCGAGTATGCATTCTTTCCTGACGGAGACGGATAATTCGAATAACTCGTTGACACTGCGGATGAGCAAGCGGGCGAAGTCGAGGTCTACGGAGAGTTATCCAGGGAGGTTTCCTGTCAGTGATAGGTTGGAGTATACTAATCTTGCTACGGCTGAATTGAACTTTCGGGAGAAAGGGACTACCTTTGTGCGGCCTTTTTCGGATTACTAGCTGGTTGGGTTGTTGGCTGGGAGTGTGAGATTTCGGATTGATGTCTTGTGTTGCGGGTTTCTTCTTTCTGGGGTTCGCATATGCTTTTGTTCCCGGGTTCGGTGGTGGTGTTTTGGTATTGGAGTATACTTATCCTCTGTGTCCAGTCTTTTATTTGAAAGGAAAGGGTCAAAGATGCTCTGTGTAGTCTTTGAGTGTTCGATGCAATGAAATTTCTTAACATACAAAAGGCGTGACTTGATACAAGGTTTCTAGGAAATATATTGAGATGGAGAGATTAAAGTAGGTTTCAAGTTCGTAATCTGCACTACAAAGAATTTCGGAAGTTTGGAGAATAAGCCTATGTGAGGATCAAATGTGAGGATCAAATGTTGTTACTACTTTGTACTATCTACACATAACCATCGGAATTATCCCGAACATGCAAGGAGAGATGCAACAAGAAATCATAAGTAGATAATCCACACGTCACAGCCGCTCCCATCCGAATGCCTATTAGCACTGAAAGCACAAGATATAAGCCCGCTTGCGCTGAAAACCAAAGAAGAAAGAAAAAAAATAAATTTAAAGAAACAAAATCATTTTTGCGCTCATTGCTCATAGATGGGAGGGATAATAGATGATAGATGATAGACGTCCGGTGTAAAGCATAATCATCACTGTCGTAAAGGGCGCGGACGCCACACACTTCGTCAAGACACAAGAAAATGCAGAGGGTAAAAAAAAAAAAAAAAGGAAAACAATCGAACGCTGGACACAAGTACAACCCGTGGGTTTGGGGTATCACAATGCGGTAGGACTTAGTATTCGTCGTCGTAGTCAATCTGCATCGGGCTGCCTCGGTAGCGGGTTCGTTTGATGTTGCTGGGGCTATAGGTGCCGCTGGAGGTGAGGGGGCGTGGGCCGGTGGGCTTGCGTGTTGGTGGGGAGCGGATGGCAGAGCTCTTGATTGGACTGTTAGCTTGGGAATTGGGTACACTTGATGATGAGGTTCGTACCCGTGAGACGACGCGGTCGTTGTAAGGCTGCTCTTCTCCCTCGGAGACCTTGGGGGGTCGCTCGGGGATCAATGGGCCCTCGTCTTTGACCTTGGGAGGCCGAGGTGGGCCAGCTTGACGGGAGCTGGTCTCTGAGTAGCCTGCATCGGAGATGGGAGACAGGCGGCTGCCACCGCTGAAGCGTTGCTGGTTGGGGTGGACAGCAGGCAAGCTAGGGTTTGAGCCCCAGTGGTCTGAGGAAGGCGACTCCGGGCCCATGTAACTCTGTGCCTGGGATTCCAGGTGGTTCTGGAAGCGCCCAGTGGGACCCTGGCGAGGCTGAGGGTGCTGTAGGTCGAGACTGCGACGGTTCGCCTCGAACTTGGGCCTCTCGGAGACTTGAGAAGGAACCAACGGAGACGGCGGCCGGTTCTCCTGATCATCCTCGCCCAGAGTGTAGGTGGACCGAATACGGTCATCGCCCTGAGGGTCGTAGTAGTCCCCCTTGTAAGCATCCTGGGCGAGATCTGACCCAGAGCGTGAGACCTCGGAGTGTGGACGCTCCTTGCGAGCAGGCTGGATACTGTTGCGGATGTTATCACCCATGGAAGATGCGGTGGTCTTGGACCAGCGGGAGATCTTGGGGAAGATAGAAGAGCTGCTCGATTTATGCTTGCGAGCCTTCTCGGTCTTGTCGGAAGCCTTGGGTGTCGTATCGGTGCTTCGCGCTCCCGAGGCAACAGGCTTGCGCGGAGGAGTGACAAGGGGCAGGGATCCAGAGCGTTCGTGGCGAAGAGGCTCTTGCATAGGCAGGTGTGCTGTCACATAAGGATCATCCTCATCAATCTCAAGGTCGTCGTCGTCATCCTCATCCTCCTCGGGCACAGTGCTGACGCGCGGATCCGCGTTAGACGGCCGGGGGCTCGACTGGTAAGGATGGCTACCCAAAGGCGCACCACTGTGGTCATTGGTGTTGACTCCAGTGGGATCAGTGCTTGCGCGGCGAGTGCCAGGGCGAGGGCTTGGGATGTCCTGCCCTTCACGCAGTGCCTCAACCTCTTCAAGCAACTGCTCCAGCATGCCCTCGATCTTGGTGAGGTCATTGCCCGACTTCAAGTTCAGACCCTTGAGTGCACGCTTGAAAATGTTTTTCCGCTTGGCCTGTTGTTCCTCCTCCTCTGCGTTCAGCTGATGGGCACGAGAGTTGCTGGTAGGCAATGGTCGAGGGCCGCCGAGAGCCTTCAAAGTCCGGTCATGTTCTTTTTCAGTGGTATCTTGAAGCATTTCGTCCTGCTGGGCGATGAATTTCTTCATAGCTTCGAAGGAGGTTCGCATCTCAGCCGCACTTCGGACCAAAGTAACCAAAATCTCGGTATCTCTGGCATTCCGCTGAGCGTCGCGCACGGTAAGATGGTCCATCAGAGCGACAATGTCCTTGGACTGGATTCTTTCGATGCCGCGACCAGTGGCACTGTCGTAAAGCGGAGAGCCGACGCCATGAGAGTAACCGCTGAGATCCCGACGGTGTCCAGAAGTAAATGGATCATCAGCCTCGGGGCTGTCGAAAGCACCTACACCAGCAGCATCCGCGCCGGCTAGACCACGGCTACCCTGCTTGGGAGTACCGATGCTGGGGGACATGGGGTTGGCAGCAGACACATAACCTTCATCCTTGGCTCCTGGAGGAGTACCGAAAAGCTGCTGAGTCTGCTGATCGGGATAGTAGTCATCGCCACCGAAGATGTTCCTGGCAGTCTCGTAGTACTCGGCGTCAAGACCACGCTGTCCATTGTGAGGCATTTCCTTTGTGCCACCAGACTGGTCATAGTACGGAATCTCAGCTGGCGGTGATCGCGAACCATACCCCCAGTGATCCTGGGTTCCTTGAGCACCACCAATTGGACCCTGGATGATGGACGGGTTGGTGTTGATATCCGACTCCGACTCTTGGCTATGAGCATCAGCATCCACGTCAGGGTTTTGCAGTCCACGAGCGGCGCCAGCGATAATGCCCGCTTCCTCCAAGTCGTCAATGGACTGGGTGACACTCTGCGGGGGAGAAGTAACACCCATGCGGCGAGGGAAGGAGGTCTCATCGGGGCTGGAAGCATCTTGTACTTGCTTCAAGGGACTTCCGCGCTTCTCGGGGCTGCGACTGGCGGCTCGCTCAGCGTTTTCCGTTTGGGACCGGTTGCTCGATGTCTGGGACTCGAGAATAGATGGATCCATCAAAGAGGCCACTGCTGATTCAACATCTATAGGATGGACAAACTGGGGGTTGGCAGCCACCCCACCACCAGTGACATGCTGACCTTCCTTGATCCGGTCCATGAAATCAACATCACTGTCCTCGCCATCACCTGAAAGTTTGGACTCCTCGTCATGACCATAGATGTTTTCTTCGGTTGAAACATGGCGAGATTGCTCATAGCCGAGGTCAGGACCTCCCTCGCCGTGGAAGGCTTCGCTCTGACTGTTGGGGCTGGGTCCATTGCGGGTGGATCGTGCGAGGTTGGTGCTAGGTGCCGAAGACAGGGAGTCAATCGAGAGGCGGGGTTCCATTTCTCGCTTGCCTTCAGGCTGATGGTGGTACTGGGCCTGATAGTGATCGCTACCAGTCTCAGTGTGTCCGCTTGCAACACTCTGGATAGGGCTCAGGGCCCGGCCGTACTGTTCGCCGTCCGAGGCCCGATGTCCTGGCTGAGCTGCGTCAAGAAGGTTGGCAGCGGCCGCAGCGGCAATGGCCCAGTCTCCAGAGCCGGTTCCAGGTGACTGGCTCTTGCCACGCAAGTCACGGTCTGAGATGCTGTGCATGGAAAGGTTATGATGCGATTGGTTTCCATGACGCATGCCCAGCTCATATCGCGAGTCCAAGGGGGTTCGAGTCGGGGTACGAGCGGTGGGTGAGGCGAGCTGTCTCGGCGACCCGCGGGAGACTTCGCCATGGAAGAGCTGGTTGTGAGGGGTAGGACTCTCCGTGCGCTCAGAGAGTAACGAGGCTCTGGTCATCTCCGAGTCCATCGCACTGTGCATGGGCATGAGCGGTATGTTGTGCTTCTGGAAAGCGAGCTCCGTTTCGTTGTTTTTGAAGCTGTCGACACTCTTACGAGAGCCACTCGCTCTGCGTTCGTGGCGTTCGGTCTTGTCTAGGCTGGAATTGGAGTCATGGTGCTTAAGTGCCGCTTGGGTCAGGACCGAGCCCACTCGGCCAGCAGCTTGCGCATCACGAAGACCTTTACTCTTCTGTCTGCGAATCTTGTCTTGCTCGGTGAGCTCAGGTCGACCCCATTTGACCCAGGCGGCGTCGGAAGCCTCGCTGCTTTTGCTCGACTTGCGCTCCTTGGACCGTGGTACTGACTCGCCAGAAAGAATGATCCCTCCGTCTTTGCTGTCTTTGTTCAACACAACCATAGGCTTCATGACATCTGGGGCACTCGCGTGCTTGGATAAACGACGACCCAATTCATCCCGAGAGCTGGTGGATGAGTACGAAGTGGTCATGTCTCGGTCAAATTTCGACGTGTTGGACATGACCTTTTGGTCCTTCTTGAGCTCCTTCAATTCCGGTAGAATCAGCCGTCGGATGGCATCTTCTACAGTTTCCAATAGCCTAGGATTGTTGATAGAAGATTTGGACGCGCCAGAACGGATAGAATACTGATCGCCGGACTTGCGGTTCGAGGAGACTGCCGAGCTCAAGAGACTCGATTCCGGGCTGGTGATGTACTCTTCAGCCTTTTCGTGGCGCCGTCGTCGAGATGACTTCGGTTCAGCCTCGAGATATTCTTTGCCGACGCTTTTATTCTTGCTCTTGCTCTTGTGTCTACTGCCCGAGGTCTCCTTGGGCGGCTCGTTGAGCTTCTCTGCCACGCGATGAGCGATGCGCTCGGTACTCAGACTGCGACTTCGTTGCCGGGTCGGAGCCTTCAAATGTCCTTTTTGTTTCTCTTCGCGGGGTGAACCACGCTCGAGACTTTGACTTCGCTTTCGCCGAGGACCGGCCGAGGAAAGAGTATCGATCATGCTGTCGGCTGGCATGGACGAAATGTCCGATGATGGAGGCATGAATCTGGTGTTGCGCGAGACTGTTGATAGCTCGCTGTCTTGGCCGCGATTCATCAACTCTATCTCGACGGGTAGACGCCGTGACAACTGCGGACTCTCTTCAGCTGAGTTGTCGTCACTTGCGCTCTGATCATTCAGCGCCGACTCGGTCAGTTGCTTGTGTTTTGACGGTGAGCTCAGGGAGATACGTCGGGTGTAAGCCGGCTTGCGACTGCTTCCGGACTCGGTGATTTGAATATGATCTCGGTCCTTTCTCCTGGCACCGGAGGGTGTCACCCGGACTCGCACACTAGGTCTTGATACCACGCCGCCGGGGCCTTTCCCGCCCTCGAAGTACTCGATGAGAAGCGAAGTCTGGGAATCGCGATGTGATCGCGACGCCTTTTCGTCGCGATCCCGATGGTGCCTGGTGGCGACAGTGATAGGGCTGCCGTCGTCCGGGATCGAGTACGACGTTTTGTCTGTGTGGCGAGAAAGGTCAGTGGCCAGATCTGTGGGTGTTGCGCTGTCGCCCGGGCTATCGATGATGGATTCTGTGGGGGCAGGAAGGAGTGGTCTGCGAGTATCGAGCCCCATGGTGGAGACAGGCTGCCTGGCTCAATCCGACAATCGCATGCTCCTAAAACCGAGAAGGATGGAATCTGCCGGAGACCGGGGGAGTGGGGGACGTGGTGACTCTGCTCCGTGGTATCGGGTTTGACACAGGATAGTGGGGGTAGGGAGAGGCTGGGAAGATCGATGGGAGAGGAATGGAGGAATGAAGGAATGGGAGGCAACTCGATATGGAGTGTAAGATATTAGGAGGATTCAGCGTACCAGCGCAGATACCTTGACGGTGGAGAGAAGGAGAAAGCAACGGTGAAGAACAATGAGTTGGTTGCTAAGGGCGAGCCTCCGCAGATCACCCCGATTGGAGAAAGTGGATGGGATGAGGTTGAAGGGGGAAAAGAGAAAAGAAGACTATGCGAGGGATGAAAGGCAGTGGTATTAAACCCAGAACCCAGAACCCAGTCACTAGAACCCAGTCACCAGTCACCGTAAGAAAAATAAAAGAAGATGGCTGGATAAGGTGAGAGCCATAAACAAACGGGAACCGTGGGTTGAACTGCGGATCCCGGATCGTCTTCGGTTTCCCCGGTTCTTGCCTCTCGAGGTGGCTGGTAAAATCTATCCTATCCTTCACACCTACACCTACACCTACCCCTACCCCTACCCCCCTAGCCCGACTCGTCTCTACACCTGCCAGGTCCTCTCTCCACGATGCCTGTTGACACCTGTTAATACCTAATACCTGATACCTGATAACACCCCTCGTCACACCAGGACACGGACCAAGCTGCGGCCCTCCGTGGAGCCAGGGATCCAGTGAATCAGTGAATCCGTTGGCCGAGGCGCAGACCCGGTTCGACTTGACTGGTCGCCCAGACGACCAGACGACCCGACGACCCTGCTCTGGAGGCCTGGTGATTGGCCCCGACACTTGCCAACTCATCATTTTCATCACATTTCTACGTCTACAGATAGTCACCTCGAAGGATCGCTCATTTCTATCTTGGATATCCTCAGATTCGATTCACCTATGCATGCCATGATCCGGGGCCCGCTGCATGTCATGGAATCTTCCTGTCGTGCCTGCGCCCACAGGTGCCCAAATGGTTCTAGTTCTTTCTCACGTCAACTGTAGACAATCCGGTCGCCCAGAGCTTCATTCCAAAGAGGTCTTTTTCTTCTAACCCCGCGATTTCTAACTTCGGCAGGGCACGAATTGTTACCGGATCAAACAGAAAACTCCGATGTAGAGCGCCGGATGCTTCATCCAGGATCTTCATCACTCATCGGGCACTTCGGGTAGCTCAACCATGGCAACTGCACTAGCAAAGCTTGAAACTTGACAGGTGTCAATCTATTCAGCCCAATCAGCCACAATGACCCTAAGAGCGAAGGCCCGAGCTAAATGAATTTACGGTAGACAGCATAGAAGGAGACGGATAGGTAGAGCCGCGCGATGGCCGCATTGTCATTGTCATCCTCATCTGAAGGCTGTTTGCCCGCCGCAATTTTGATCCCCCTCCACGTGGAAGCCTTCTCTTTCCCACATGGCACAAACTTTAGAGCATTCCAGCGCATTCCGCGATCCAGAATGGGGAAGGAAAAGCTCTGTACACCCTACCCTCTTTCATTTCATGCAATGCGACCAGCCGACATCCCCGCCTAGACCCGTAATCTACAGCATCAATGGACAGAATACACCGAAACCCGTTCAAAAATAGTCATTGAAATTGAAATAGATATATCTACACTAGTAAACTCCATGCCGATAATGAAGATGCAGACGACCAGTTACAGTACTTTTTGAGCCACATTCCTTTCATACACTAATCATCGTGCTTGCGTTTGAACTTCAGTCCCTTGCCGTTCCTGGGCTGGCTGCCGTATGTCCGCCGTCCCTGCTGCTCCTGCTTCTTGTCACGGCTCAAGCTAGCACCCAGCTGGATGTCAATGCGGGGCGGGGCGGAGAATCCGAAGCCCTTGGCCACCTTGACAAGGTCCAGCTTGTTGACGTCAAACACGGAGCGGAGAGAGTGGGAGGCATAGGCCTGCAGGTATGATCGGTATCCATCCTTCGCGGACTGGAGATGAGGGGTTAGCATAAGATTCATGTGGCGTGGTGTAGAGAGGGACTGACCTTGTTCAGATAGTAATTTTGTCCAATGAGCTTCTCCAGCTGAGACTGAACGTTGACAATCTTCGAGAGGGGGAACTCAAACTCAACAACGGGAACACGCGCCTCCTTGAGGTGCTTCAGGAAGCCGACCTCTGAAGGCTGCAGGAACATCAGACTGCGGCCCTTGCCGTTGGAACCACGGGCGGTACGACCGACGCGGTGAATGTAGTCACGGGGGTCATCCGGGGGATCGAACTGGATAATCCAGTCGACAGCCGGGATATCAAGACCACGGGCAGCAACGTCGGTACAGATCAAGGTACCCTGGCTGGCATTGCAGAACTCGAAGAAGGTGTTGGTGCGCTTTTGCTGCTTTTGCTTGCCGTGCAGTTCCAAAACGGGGAGGTCGATATAGTTCAGGAGCTCTGCGTGGTACTTGACGCAGTTACAGCTGGAGAAGAAGACAATGATCTTCTTCTTCAGGTTGCGCTTGAGGAAGGAGAACAGAAGTAGGAAGCGCTTGTCGGCCTCACAGACAACGTAACCTTGCTCCAAACCCTCGACTGTGCTGTGCTCCTTGCTGTGATCGACGTTGATGTAGAGCGGGCCAGGGCGCAGGGATATGCGGGCCAAATCCTCAACCTTGGTGGTTTGTGTAGCAGAGAAGAGCATAGTCTGGCGCTCCTCCTTGGGCAGAATCTTCACGATCTGGCGCATCTCGTCCTCGAAACCGACTTCGAGAATACGGTCGGCCTCGTCAATAATCAGAGTCTTCAAGTTCTTGAACACGAAGCCCTGGGTGTTCTGGAGATGATCAAGCAGACGACCGGGAGTGGCGATCAACAGGTTGACACCCTTGACCAGCTTGTCGGCCTCGGCGCGGCGGTTGGCGCCTCCGATAACGATACCGTAGGTTTGGGAGTGGTGGGCCATGAGTTCGCGGGCAACACCGAAAATCTGCAGAGCCAGTTCGCGGGTAGGAGAGACGACGAGAACACCAGTACCGTTTCTCGGCTTGAAGCGCAACGCGCTCAGCATCTCAATAGCAGGAATCAAGAAGGACAAAGTCTTGCCGGAACCGGTCTTCGCCGCACCCAAGACATCACGTCCAGCAAGTAGCGCGGGGATAGTACGCTGCTGAATCTCGGTCATGGTCTCGAAGCCCATATCTTGAATACCCTTCATAGTCTTCTCGGAGAGGTTCAACTCGGAGAACTTTTGCAACTCACCCTCCATCTGGGGAAGGCGAACATCGCCCACGACCGGCAGGTCTGAAGCATCATCCACCTCAGCATCGACAGCATCTTCGGCGTCCTCATTCTCCTCCTCCTCCTCCTCGCTGTCCTCGTTCTCCTCCTCGACCTCGTCGGCGCTGCTCTCCTCATCGTCACTGGGCGAATGGCTCACTTTGCGCTTCTTAGTCGACTTGTCTGATGCGGGCTTGGAGGGGGCAGCGGCCTTCTTCGAGGTCACCTTGGGGCTGGCCTGAGCCTTCACAGGCTTGGGGGCTTCTTCATTATCGGCGGACTTGGAACCGTGCTTTCTCTTGCGCTTCTTGGTGATATCCTTCGCGGTGTCCACAGGGCCGGGCATCTTGCCGGTTGAGCGCACAAAAGTCTGTGCGGATTAGGCAAGAGTTGAAATAAAGACCCGAAAAATCGGATTGATTAGTTTGCGTGGACCGGTGTGTTTTGATCTTCGAGGAGACAATCGCGGAAAACCATTCTGCTACTTTTTTTTCTGATCGGTAAGACTGGGCAGAATCTCCGCATCACGTGTTGATAGGACAACTTGATGCCTTGTTATTCGGGCACCAATCAGAGATGAATTGGGTATAGTTGATGAGACGATCCATAGAGCAGTTCAAGCATCATACGGTCGGACGCGTTCATGAAGCATCTACCATCTTGCTGCCTAGTCCTGTGAGATGTGGACAATTTGAGATAGATTGTACCACCCCACTTCTCTGCGAACCGACGGTGCCAAGGAGTATAGAGCTTTGAAACGAGGATAAAAGTCGTGTACAAGTACGGGTGCAGGAACGTTTGAGCCTATACGAATACGATAGGCAGATGCGCGCAGACGCCGCGCCCTTGGCCAGCTCCAGAAGCGGGTATCTGATTCACTATACGATAGCGCCGGACGGCGAAGTACCAGTACCGTGTCTTACGCCAAGCGCTCGGATCAGGGAATGGCTCTTGGCTGTCAATAGGCAGGCGGCTGTGCTGCCGAAAAGAATTCAACTTGTAAGATCGGTGTTACAGCAATTCCTGCTACAAGCACCTGACTGAGGCATGCAAGATACTCAACAGCGATCCACCTGGGCGGCGGACAACCCGTCTAAAACGATTCGTCTGTTCAAGGTGCATGGACCAAGCGGCTATCACCACCCTAAACAAATACAGAGACTACAAATAAGAGTGTAAGGCAGAGATTTCATGGCACAGTAGAGCGAGGGCGAATCAGGAGAGGCGACGGACGGGGGGAAATAGACGAGCCATGAGGAGCCACACAATTGGCGCCAATTGAAACCCTGATCCAAAAATAGTGGCCGACTGAGCCCGTAGGGCGACCCATGGCTCATGGGAGCGACGACAGCCCATGTGAGGCGCGCATCAGCTTCAGCTTTGCAGGTCGCACATGTTCTTAGGTGAAAATGGCGTGCGATAGGGTTGGAGACTGGACGGGCTACACCCACGTCATGCCGATCTCAACTCAAGGGCTCGATCACCATATTCCCCCGCGATGATCAGGAGGGAGCTCGGCTGAGAAGTCATCGGACTAGGTCAGTATGCCCAGTGTTCTAGAGCGCACGTGGAGACTTCCAAGGTGAGCCCTTAGCGCCCGGAATCTGACACCGAACATGTTTAGGTGAGGTCTACGTTTGCAGCAATGTGTTATGGATTCGGAGGGCCAAGGGGTCCCGAGGCTGTGCAGGCGCTAAAGCCCCCGATACTTTGATTGCGACCGCTCGTAGATCACCCAGGGTTAATTTTCGCAAATTTAATTTTAATCGATCTTTCCATTTGACTGGTCTTGTGAGAGACAGATTGGTCTGATGGGGTCAGCCACTGGCCTACACTCCAGTATATCCTGGGTCGGAGGGTCTGATCTTTGAGACATGTAGAATTGTTAAAATGGAAACAATGGGTCGGAGTCTTTTTGTTTACCCCCTTGCTCCATTCAGGGGTCCAAGATATTAGCCTCGCCAGTGCCATCAGGCAGACGAAATTCGTACCTGAGGCCAAGTACTCTAGGTCCCATGCAGAGGGCCCCCGGGAACGGTACAGTGGCCGCGAGGGTAACGATATGCAGCAGAGATCCACTAGGGGAAAGAGGGACACCAACCATCATTCACATGAATTGACGCACTCCACAGTTCCCTGGGGGCTGATGACCTAATACGGTCTCTGCAGTCCATTGATGACCCGCTAGAATCCGCCCACGATCCATCAACCGCTTTCGGGGCCCAGAACCACTCTTGAGGACGCGCGTGCACAGTACTTCATTCTATGGAGTTGATAACTTTAAGTCAACAAGTAAATAGCCCCGACGTAGGTAGTGACTCCCAGAGGGCGAGTGGCGGTTAAGGAATGATGAGCAATGGCAATCATGATCACACATTCAAATGTACACAGGTGCCTTAATATAGACCTCCCCCTCTTCGGGCTTAGTACACAAGAAAAAGGGACCAAGGAACCCGTGGTCAGGGAAACAGACTGGAACGCTCGTAATTTCCCACTATTGGGCCTGGGCGCCCCCGCTGGGGTCCCTTGACGGGCGGATTACCATACGTTTACGATACCAGTCCACATTCCACCCGGACCCGCCTGTCCCTGAGACAAGAGAGGCAAAACGCTCCAATTCTCCCCCATCTTTGAACTCCTTCTTCTTTGTACAACCCTGCTCAAGGGATCTTCTCGCAACTTTATCAACCCTGTACTTCGGTACTCCTTGGCCCATACTGTGTGTGTGGCCGTTTCGCTCGCTCTTTTCCCAACTACGATATCTCTCCCTTTCTTCCAACTCGTTCAACTTCACGGCCTCCATTCGCCTTCGCCTTCACTTCTTACGCCCTAGCTTCTACTCTGGTAGCAATTTGCTTCGTCGCCATTCGGATCCTCGTCCATCTACTCTCCTTCAACTCAACAGCTACTATACCAAACCCCTTGTTCAATTCGATACTCCGATGACGCTATAAAGGGTCGTAAATAAACCGACCCATTATCGCATTCTCCATATCCGCTCGCCTTTGAAAGGTAACATCTATTGTCACATCTCGCGCGACCTGTGGAATTCCAGCAGTTCCACTCTATTCACCAACTCGGCCGCCAGGACACTTCCGCATCCGGCGGTTGCTAACGTGGTACTCGGGAGTACCGCTCTGACAATCGCCGTCATACTCTTTCTCCCCGTCATCTATCTGCTTCACTGGAATTTTTTTCCTCCCACCGACCTAATTCGCATAACGCCAAAATGAGGTCGTTAGCGCTGCTCACCTTCTTCGTCGCCTTTTTGGCGCCGTTGGTGTCCGCAATCAAGCTCCTGGAGTCCAATGCGCTGAACGTGTGTATGGAGTCTAGTAATTTCACGGCCACCTACTTTAATGTCGTTTTCTACCCCAATAACAACACCCTCACAATCGGATTCGATGGTGTATCTTATATCTCCGGCAAGGTCATCGCGGACATGACCCTGACTGCTTACGGTTATGAGGCCTACTCGAGCACAATCGACCCGTGCGATATCTCCGGCATGGGCATGTGCCCTATGGCACCCGGTCCCATCGATCTGGGCCCCGTTTCGCTTCCCCTTCCATCGGACACGGCCTCTAATATTCCCGGTATCGCCTACACGGTTCCCGATCTCGATGCGACTGTCAAGATTGTGATCAAGAGGAAGGATACTCTAGAGACGATTGCTTGTGTGGAAGCCAACCTTTCCAACAATAAGACCGTCTATCAAATGGGTGTCGCATGGACGACCGCTATCATTTCCGGTCTTGGTCTCGCAGCATCCGCTATTACCTCTGGTCTGGGTCATTCTAACACCGCTGCTCACGTTGCGGCAAACGCCCTCTCCTTGTTCGGTTTCATGCAGTCTCAGGCCATGATTGGTATGATTTCGGTTCACATGCCCCCAATTGTGGAGTCGTGGACCCAGAACTTCCAGTGGAGCATGGGTATTATTCGTGTTGGATTCCTGCAGACAATCTGTACCTGGTATCAGCGTGCGACTGGTGGTACTCCTTCCACCGTTCTCTCTCAGCTCGGCGATACCTCCGTGGAGGTGCTGCGCCGCAAGCGTGACTTCGTTGATCCCGCGATCAACATGATGAAGCGTGTGCTCAATTCGCGAGCTCTTAGCTCCATTACGAAGAGATCCGACTCTAGCCAGAAGCTCTTGATTGTGCGCGGTATCGATCGTGTTGGATTCCGCGCTAACATGGAGGAAACCAACATCTTCTTAACCGGTCTCATTTTCTTCGTGGTCTTTGTCTGTGTCGTCATCATCATTGTCGCGTCGTTCAAGGGGGTTTGTGAGTTGCTGGCTAAGAATGGCCGGATGAAGAGTGATAAGTTCCAGGACTTCCGTAACGGCTGGAAAGTTGTCTCTCGCGGAATTCTGTTCCGCTTGACTTTGATCGGTTTCCCCCAGATGTGTGTACTCTGCCTTTGGGAGTTCACCCAGCGGGACTCTGCAGCCGAAGTTGTTTTGGCTGTAGTTATGCTTCTATCCTTGCTCATTGCTTTGGGCTGGGCTGCCCAAAAGGTCATTCGCCTCGCCAAGCGCTCGACTACTATGCACAAGAACCCGGCCTATATCCTGTACTCCGACCCCGCCGCTCTCAACAAGTGGGGCTTCCTATATGTGCAGTACCGGGCCACCGCCTACTACTTTGTTGTTCCCTACCTGGGCTATATTCTCGTCAAGTCTATGTTCATCGGTCTGAGCCAGCCTGCCCCGGTTGTCCAGACTGTCGCCCTGGTGATTCTGGAGGCTGGCATGCTGATTGCCGTCTGCGTTCTGCGCCCGTGGATGGACAAGAAGACCAACATCTATAACATCTCCATTGCCGTTGTCAACTTCCTCAACGCAATTTTCCTCTTAGTCTTCTCAGACGTCTTCAACCCTCCCGGCATGATGATTGGTGTCATGGGTGTCATCTTCTTCGTTTATAACGCAGCCTTCGCTCTCGTCCTCCTCGTTCTGGTCCTGATTGCGTCCGTATATGCCGTTGTGTCGAAGGATCCCGATACCCGTTACCAGCCCATGCGCGATGACCGTGGCTCGTTCATCAAATCTCAGACTCAGCTCACCACCGAGTTGGATGCCTTGGGCGCCACCGCCCGCGGCGACGTCAAGTCTGGGCATTACAACTCGAACCCCTTTGACGATGACTCTGCCTCTATCTCGAGCGGCAACGGTGCCAGCTTCGGCCACCACAACAATCTGAACGTTGTCAACAACGCCCATGGCCAGCCTCCGCACTCTCCCGTGGACCCATCAGTGCCACTATTCCCCAGTAATGGATCTCCCCAACGGGGTTCTCCGCCCGGTTACGACCAGTTCGGCCGGTCAGCGTCACCCCGGCCGGGCAACTATGGCGATGCGCCAGTCGGCGCGTCAGCCATGGCACCCACATTCAGAGCTCAAAACAATGCCAGCCCATGGCAACGGGGAGCCGGCTACGACCACTAGGTGCAGCCCCATAATTCTTGAATCATTTTCCTGAATTTTCTGAGATGAAGATATATGATTTTTAGCGGGCAGCGATGGTCTATGATCCTTTCCATCCGCCATCCTTTTGGGTCCGGTATTCTATTGTTTTGGTTGTTGACACTCTGTCCCCTGCTTTTCGTCGACTTGCCCTTTTTCTTCTCTTCGTGCGCCTCCGGGCGTTCTTTACCCTCCCACGGGAGCGTCTTTACACTAACTTTCTCTACACCCTTCTTCTCTTTCTCCTTCTGTCTCAAAACTTTCCCTCCCTCGGTAGGAGGTTCACTCGCGGTCGACGTGTACTCTTTTCTTTTCTTTTGCTTTACAACCTGGCGTTTCTGATGCATTTGGATTAAGGAGATCGGCCTGGGTTTCTCGTGGGGCTTCGGAATACACAACTTCCTTTTTCTGTTCCAATGTACCCTACATGGGTTCGCGCGTTTCTTTGTGCGCTATAGTACGTGCAAAGTAGTCTTAGTGTTTTAAATGAGATCTCCTGTACTCTTTCATACTAGATGGTCCTGGTATAGAAATGGGTGCTTGGATATGAATTGTTTCAAATGTTTGATTTGTCTAAGACCCTGGATTCTTTATTGAAGCTTCCTCTTGTGAATTTTGCAAAGTTGAGAAAGTCCATGTCCGCGACGCAGAAACCTGTTTATGGAAGTTTCTTGTGAAAACAGAAAACGCTATTGTACACCGTTATAACGCCGAAGGAGGTTCTTTTGCCCTTTCTGGGACAGTTCTTCGATCGAAGATGTCAGGGCACCAAAGGAGCCAACGTGATCATGAGTAGGATGGAGGGTTCATCCAGTGAGAAGACGTTGAAATAGGAAACCGTAAAGAAAATTTAGAGCATAACACCGCACCCCAGTGGAAGATTACCACCGGTCTCCCCGGCCAGGAGGCGGGGCATACCCCTCTGAGCCACGGGGCCCAGTGGGGATGGGTGAGTGCGACGCACCGCCGTGAGGAGGCATCGGAGGAGGGAAAGCACCGCCCATCCCGGGTGGGGGGGATCGGGAAGTTTGCGGGGAAGCCACCAGGGGGCGGGGGCAGGCCGCCGGGCATGTTGGGAGGGGGAGGGAAGCCTCCTGTGGGAGGGGTGCCGGTAGCGCCCACGCCTGGGAAGGGAGGCGGGAATGGGAGACCACCAGGAGCTAATGGATAGAACAGGGTGTTGTCAGCAGGCTGTTGGCCATGTTGTTTGATCCGTATGATAACCTGTGGGTGGACGACTTACGAGGCAGCATTCCTGGGGCGCCTGGAGCTCCGGGAGGTGGGAGGCCTGCGAGGCCGAAGGGAGGGGGCGGGCCTTGTCCGGGAAGACCTTTCATTGTGTGATTAGTGCTTGGTACTTTGATATAAGGCTGCGGAAAGGGACGTACCAGGGAAGCCGAAAGGAGGAGGGAATGCGCCAGGGACCATGGCGGGATTGGGCAGAGGCTGGCCCTCAGCGGCGTAGGAAGAAGTGATGGAATCGATGACTGATTGAGCCTTCTCTTGGCCGATCTCTAATGAGCATTGTCAGTCATGCTCGGTCAATTTGCCGGGTACATCAAGTTCCAAACTCACGCTGGTAGTACTCCACCACGTTGCGAAGGTGGTTGCGGCCGGAGTTATGCGCCTTGCGCACGCTCATCGAGTCGTGCGTGAGGTAGACATCACAGTAGTCGCCTGTAATCGAGCGAAATGTCAGCACCTAGCTCTCACATTGCGGAAATGGTGGATATGTGAGGTTCTATCGTCTCGCCGGGTCCGGAACCAGGTCGATATAATAGGGAGATCGCGTGGGGATGGAAGTAAAACTAGCTGCACCTACAGAAGAGTGCAAAGAAAGTTAGCTTATTAGTTTAGTCAGATGGAACCCAGGGGTACATATATTTCGGCATCTTGTCGGCTTATTCTGCGAGCACTTGGCCGCAGTTGCGCGCGAGACGAAAATTCCCGTTGGGGATGGGAATGGCTCGACCGGGGTCTGAGCTTTTCTCGAAGAGCGTGAAGCTTCTTGGAATATCGCAGACTCGGCAAAGGCCCTTGCAATAGGCGGCGAGGCGAATAGTACGGAGGACAGTGCTAGACGGAGGGTCGCAGGACGTTGAGCAGCTTTGATGGCGAGGAGCATTTGGCGGTGACGCATGGCAAAATTGAGGCTTATCAGGCTCGGCTTTGTTTCGGTCTCATGCTGGGTAAGCTCCTTTTCCTTTTAGGGTTCAATGAAATTTTCTAATATTGGCTCGGATTCCACAATAGCGGTGCCTTTACAGAGACTGTACCCCTTGTAACATAAGTCCTCAAGCATAAAACTTTCAAGGTTGCCACGTATTTGGCATGCCAGACGGAAGTACATCATAGAAAATCAATTCGAGCAAGCCCTAGAGATATAACAAATCCTACAACAAAGATAGCTGCTTAACTTGATAGGCAAGCGAGCCCCGGCTATCAGATACCGAATGTCCATTATTGAACAGACAGATGTACCCTTCTGCAAGGCCCACGTGATTCTTCGATGTGGTGGAATCGATCCACTGCGGGAGCTGACAACTCGGCCCGTTCAGCCTCATGTGCGACTCAACGATCCCGAAATTCGTATTCACTGAAGAGAAGGACTTAATAACAAGTCTCACGCCCGATCTTAGTATATGTTTACTTCGTTTTGAGGCTCACCATATCTTCATCCAGTCCACCTTTACAAGTGTCATCAACTCTAACGAAGCAGTTTTCGGCGAATTGACAGCTTGACGGGACACCAACATCCGTGTGAAGTACTTCAAACTCGTAAAATCGGCGTTCAATGTGTAGAGACAAGCCTCTGCTCCTATTCCTGCTTCAACGTATTCCTTATATAATTGCTCCTCATCTTGCCCGCTCCCTTTGAGCAGATCCAGCATGAGCTGGCTTCTCTCTTCACAGTTCTAGAAACAGCACAGGGGTCTGCTACCTCTGACTCCACCGAACTGTACTGCCTGATCAAGAAAGAGCTAAAAGCTCGTGAAGATCACGCACAACGGCGAGAAAGAAACCACTGCACAAGAGCTACAGAGTGCGAACACCAATATTCGACTTGATCATTTCTATACCCAGAAAGAATGGCCTCAGATATGAGCTTCACAGGTGCTGTGTAGTTACTGGGTGGAAGATGTATGTTTCAAGCACCCGAGGAATAAAGAGGAGCCGATTTCTTGTGTCGAAGAAGAGGATATACATTTGTGAAGCAGAACTAGAACCACCGTCGACACCGCATTCTGGGTTCACTGCGGTAATGGAGATAAAGATATTGTGGTTTTGTTATCTGACAGGGGTGCGAATGTGTATGTAATGAATAAGGATAGAGAGGCTGCTATTGGTGAGGCTGCGAAAGAATGGGCATGCAGGCATCGTAAACATACTTATTAGTCATGGAGACTATCACGGTGCTCAGTCTCTCGATAGTGCGTTTCAAAGAGCTACTGAGAATCTGCATGTAAAAGTGGACTGATACCTTTCGGGAATGTCAGTTGGACTCGTTACTAATGTAATTGACAGGAAATCACGAGAATAGAAACCTGGTACCTTGAATGAAGTATATGAGACAAGGTAATTATAGACTATGATACTACACTTGCATCCATTAGCTCGAGTTTTACTGCCTAGGCAGTAGATGCAGCTACCTGAGTATATCCACACCAGGGTAGTTCTCTCGTGATTCAGCTACTGAAACTGGGGTTCAGGCATACCATAATATCAACCAATGGACCTGTCAAGTCTTGACCAACGACACCTCCCCAAATCCCAGTATCCATAGCACAATAAACCTGACACAGGATCTGGCAAGTTGGAAATCCCAGAGCTTACCGCCTACCCCCAAGGAAACGTAATGCAATCAGGAATATTGCAATCCTTGCATAGAGAGCACAGAGCACATCATATTACAAGTTCTACATGCAACGTCTCAATACAAACCCAAAATCACGCAATCGATTCGCAACTACATTCGGCATATTACAACTAAATCACCACGCATGGAAGGTGCGCAAACACCTTGCGTCATCGAAACACCTTTTCCCGGCAGCACCGGTCATCGGTAACCGGTCCCGGTGGTCTCGACCAGCGCTGGACGATAATCATGTGTCATCATGCTTCACCATTAGATAATAACGTGGGAGAGACAACCGCCAGGTCCCTGGTGTCTCCACCTAGGTGCATGGCGAGGGTTTAGAGAAGTGAATGGAATCCCCATAGCCTGTGCACTGAGGGAGGGGTATGCCGTTTGGGATATGGGGTCGGTTAATCCCGCATTGGGTACGGGGGATGGCGGGGGATACTCGTACTTGCCATGGTTCCTACTTCTCGGTAGAATCCATTGACTAATTGAGGCGTAGGCGTAGGATCCATTCTTTGCTATAGTTGGAATGAATTGCATCCCCCCCCCATCAGGTGAGGCGGAAATGATTCCTGCAGGACAGGGGGATCCCGAGGCACGTCTATTCTACCTGGAATAAAGTGCGGAGAAACCGACGCTCATACGCTCGGGCAGTATCACGGGGTCTGATCAGACACTAGACAGCGCACAGTGTGATCTGGTAGAATTGACGGGATCAGCCACCCAGAGGCAGAGGCAGAACGAATCCTGTCGGAGTCCGGGGAAATCTGAAAATCTGGGGAAAGTCCTCGCACTGACAGCAGGCTGTGGTTGGCCGTCGGCGCCGTGGTCGGATCGCCCAACCAGTCAGCGCAGCTGATCCTGAAAATTTTCACGATTACCGTTTTGGTTTAGTCTCGTCATGCCCTGCCTCTCTTGGCCTTCCTTTGTCTGGGGAAACCGCTATTTTGGGTTCCAGGGCAGAGCCCAGGGGTTTGCCGAGACAGACGAGAGACGTGTTCTTACTGCCGTTTACCGTATTGCGGCAATGCCGGCTATGGAAACGCTATTGAACATGGCCCTTGACTATGGGCGTCTCGGCATGCTGGGCATTTCTAGCTTCTGTCTCAAGGAGTGCGTGAATTGTTCTAGGTGATCGCCCCCAGGGTACCGCGCGAACTGACACTAGGAGTCGCCCTAGACCGGATCAACGGGGCACAAGGGGAGAAAATTATCCCGCAAATTTCATCGCGATGGAGTCATGGTACTGCGATCGGCAAGACCGTGAAATGAGATCTGTACGGAGTACCACTGTATCGAATAAAAATGTATTGTTTTTGGGGGGGGGAACTACCTTGATGTTCGATTGTGGTGTCGGTGTCTACCTTGATGGCGTGAGCTGCTTACGGGTCAGGCTGAATGGCGATTGACCATGGGATGGTTGACTCATTAGCAAATTCTACGGTATAGAGCCCGAAATAGAAAGACGGTCCTCGAATGATGCAATACATCGTGAGCCAGTCCTGGTCACACGGGATATCCTATGGGAGGACGATGGCGACAGAGAGTACCGAGCCGAGCCACGAGGTGTCAGGAAAATGGATGCGGTGAACGCGTATTACCAGATTTGTGCGCTGGGTTCGGTCTAGACATCTCATCGTGGACCATGAGGGTTTTTTCGAGGAGTTTCCTGGGGGTAATGGAAACCGCCCATTCCAGTTTTCAGACGCCGAGGGAGTTCATTGGCGCCCACTGCAGTTTCTGTTACGTGTGAAGCCTGTTTATTGGGGGCTCAGGGGGATGGGACCCAGTCAGATGACTGCGGCCAGCGACGGCCTGGTCGTTAAAGCAGCGAGAGGAAAGGGGTGGATTCAGCGGAATTGTCGAGCCCGGTGGTCCCATTAGCCCAATGATACTGCCGAGTCCAGTCACAGGGCTGTTGCCGGAGCACCCACGCTTAGCTCAGCGCCCCCGAACAGGAAATCCCTACTTGCCGCTTCAGCCCCTATGACGCCGCCAGTTCCAGGTGAAAAAATAAAAAGAAATGAAAAAAATTCCCCACAAGTGACCCAAGGACCCACCCCATGCACCCATGCGCCGTGTGACCCGTGGATGTCGTGCCTGGCCATGGTGACATGGTGAAAATTGCTCGAAAAAATGACTCCATTAGTTCCATAGTCCCCATCCCACTATATAACTTGGCCCCCGCTGTGATGTTTGGGTCCATCTGCAATTTGCTAAATTTTCAACTCGCTTTCACTCTGCACATGGACTTGTCCTCATTATAGCTTGCCCTGCAGCTACATACTTCACATCTACAATGCCTTCTTCAAATTACCGCGTGGTTGAGCCTCATCCCTCCGTGCCTCACACCAGCCGCCCGGCGGTGTTCACTGGTCGCGGAGGCCAGGGTAACGTTATCAGCCTGAAGAACACCAAGACCACCGACTCTCGCTCGGCCACCGGCCCTGCTTCGCTCACTCGTCTCAACTCGCGCGCGCCTTCTACTTTCACCTCCGGCCGCGGCGGTGCCGGCAACGTCCACAGCTCCAGCGAGCGCGCCATCTTCAGCTTCGACGAAGAACTCGAGCGCGACCTCCGCCGTGCCGCCCCAGTCTACCACGTCGGCCGTGGCGGCGCCGGCAACATGATGTACCGCGACGACGCCAGCTCCAGCCTGAGTCGCAAGTACTCGGCCGGTAGTACCGCCACCAACAGCAGCACCGGCTCCGTCGCCGATCGTGCTCGCGACATGGCCCGCCGGGGTCTCGAGAAGGGTTGGGGCAAGCTCAAGGGTGCCGCCTAATTGCAACACCATCATGATAATCACGACATTCACGAACACCCCAAAAAGTTCTCTTGCTTTTCATCTCGCCTCATTCGCCTTTCAACTTCGCCTCCTCGTTTAATCCCGAGTTCGTCACAGACCAAGGGAACGTCGTCTTTCAGACGCAGTGTTTTTGCTTTCCAGCTATTACGTCGCCCGATACCCCTGTTCTCGCGACTTGGCATCGATATCAACTTCGATACCCCTGCGGGGGGATATTTTCTGGTGACAACTCTCCAATCATCATGGGTCGGCGTTTTACATGCGCATCACGCCAGGTTCTGGAATTAGAGTGAACGGTTTCCTCTTCCTTATGGACTAAGCATTTCGATCGCGTCATTTAGATACTGAACGTTCAGCATCTTGCATCGTCCTTCCGGTGTCCCATGTATTTTCTTTTTCTTCTCTGTACCCAGATTTCCCTTTGTACCCTTTTAGTTATTAGTCTTTCAGATTCCCCCATCGCGCCATGGCTACTACTTTTCTAGCTTCGGGCTTAATGAAATACATGCCGTCGGCAGTCTTCAAATATTCAATTATTCTCCACAATTTTTTCACTAGATAAATTTTCTATTTTTTTTCTTCGATTTTTTCGTAGATCTCACTGTGGACCTTGCGGTGGACAATTTTGGTCGGTGGGCCCCGATGGCGACATGGAAAATGGAAGTCGGGCCGGCCTTGTGCCACCGCAAAACCTCGCACCGACTGTAAGCGCGTTGGCCACTTGGCCACTCGTTCATTCTAGATTCTATTTTTCGGTGCCTGAAACTGGATTTATTCCGAGGTAGTATTCTTTTCAAGTTTTATGTATCATTTTCCAGGATCATCCACCCAGGTAGATCATTGGTGGATCCCCTTACAGCGTGTAGTAGAATCCCTGCATTCCCTCGATTTCCAGCCGACCCTGTCTGGCTTTTCGATTAGCAGAGTGCATGTATACAGTAAGAAGCCCGGTGACTATAAGAATCACACCATTGCATCTGCCCGATTCTCCCGTTAGCATCTAGTTCGGTTGCTGGGTGTGGATCGTGACTCACACAATCGACGCAATGATGCCGGGCAAATACTTTGGTGTGTCCTGAGATCGGAAAACCAGCGCTCCGATGATACCGCCCATGCCCCCTGAGGTGATCAGACTGGCGCTGCAAAAGGCTCGTTTCCACTGTCCTCGGATGTTGTTCGCCTGCCATGCCAGTACGGCAGGGATCGTGGCATTGCAACCAGCACAGACGAGGAAGACGCCGAAGTATTGTACTCCGGGTTGGGCTGCCCATTCTAGTAGACACAGACCGATGATTGTTTGTAGGGCGTTATAGACGATGATCGGACTGCGGATCCGCCATTTGTCGCCCAACCAGCCTTCGGTGTACATTGTGATAGCTGCGAAGAAGTATGGCGGTGTAGTCAGAGCCTGCGATGGTCCGACGCCGAAGCCCATCTTACTGGATAGAATGATAGGCAAGAAGAAGGCCAAGGAGTAGGCGACGACGGTGCTACACCTATTATTGATATTAGCGTCTTGATACTTTGTAAGAACAGGTTCAACCTACAGGAAGATCATTGCAAACCCCCAAACTTTCCACTCCAGCGCCGGCATAAGGAACGCAGACCATGTGAAAGGCTCGTCTTTGGCATCATGGCGATCTTGGTCAATTTTGTGAATGACAAAGTCGATTTCTTGCCGCGACAGGAAATGTCGTGCTTTGTGCGCATCTTGTGGCAAGTCCACGAGAAGTAAATATCCGATGACAGCGATGACGCATGTGAGAAGACCCTCAATAACGAAGATCCATTGCCAGGCTTGTAGTCCACCCAGTCCGCCCATTTGTGAGATGCCGTAGGCGAGGATGCCTGTGAGGGATGAGCCGACTATACTAATCAGGTAGAAGGAGGAGTAGCGTTTGTGGACATCGTCTGATAGTACGCAACTGTTAGCAAGTGGGCATGGAGCGATGACGGACGGACACACATCGAGTATACCACAGTGAAAGTACATAGACTGCGCCAGGGAATAGGCCCGCTTCAAATGTTCCTAGAATGACGCGCAATCCCAGCATCACCTTCCAGTTGTGGATGAAACCGAAACACTATGCTACCATAAGTTTAATGAAGATAGGAATGGTTCATGAGACTCACCATCATCACAACGCCCCAGAGAAATGTGATTCCCCCAAGGAAAGCCTTAGGACCCAGCTTGCGGACGATGATCGAGCTCGGCAACTGAAATATAACATACGGGACGAAGAAAATCAGGACAACAAGGGACTGCAAAATCAATAGACTGTTAGGAATGGTGACAAGGATAACTAACATAGCGTGACCCAATCTCCAAGCCAAGATCCTTTTGCATGCTAGAATCTGTCAGTCAAACTTGATATCTCTCAGCGTTTCACGTACCCTGCGATTGATGCATTTCCCAGATTAGTCCGGTCAACCAGACTGATCCCAAATAGCAATCCCAAGCCAGTGATAAGCCGCCTATCAATCTTGTGCACGATCTTCCGCTGCTCGCGTGGTGTGAAGCTGAAGTCATCAGTTGCTGAGCCCGTCGAGTGATCGGCCATCTCGACCTGCTCCAAACTTCCTTTGAAATCCATTTGATCCAAATTTAATCAGTCAGATAATTACAAAATACCGGGATCCACCCTGGGATTCGACTTCTTAAAACCTGGGGTAGAATGCGGGGGTACCGAGTCTACTTCGGTATATTCGGTCCATGTACCGAGATGATACCGAGATGGTCATAACTCGGCACATTGACGCCATCTAAATAGCCCCACCACCTGAACTATTTGAGCTGCATGATATGCCACATTCATTCCTCCTGTCAAAAAAAAAACTCAATTCATCGCTACAATGTCTGATTTCGATAACGCGAAGCGTGGCTTCCTGGGAACGGCTGAGCCATGTACCTTCAAGACTGCGGCTGGTCGGACAGCCTGGGATACACAGGAGTATGCATTTCTGCAGAGTGACTGTCCGGAAACCGTGAATCCAAAGCTGTGGCGTCAGGGCCAGCTTACCTACCAGCATGGCCTGTTCGAAGTTACAAAGGGCGTGTACCAAGTGCGTGGCTTCGACCTCTCAAATATGACACTGGTGGAAGGAACCAAGGGGGTCATTGTTATTGATCCCTTGGTCTCCAATGAGTGCGCTGCTGCTGCTCTGTCCCTGTATAGGAAGCACCGCGGTGGTCGACCGGTCACTGGGCTGATCTATTCCCACTCCCATATTGACCACTTCGGCGGTGCCACCGGTGTCCTGTCCGCAGGCACAGAGAATACCATTCCCATAGTCGCCCCAGAAGGCTTCATGGAAGAAGCCACAAGTGAGAATATCTACGTTGGACCTGCAATGCGCCGCCGCGCTAGGTACATGTACGGCTCGAGTCTACCGAAGAGCGCAGAAGGCCAAGTTGGCTGCGGCTTGGGGCTAGCGACATCGCAGGGCACCACCTCCCTGATCCCACCCAACGTCCTAGTCTCAACTACTGGCGAAGAAATGACCATAGATGGAGTCCGCATTGTCTTCCAAATGGTCCCCGGAACGGAAGCGCCTTCTGAATTCAACTTTTATTTCCCGGATACTCAGGCCCTGTATATCGCCGAATGCGCTACGCATAACATGCACAATATCATCACTCTGCGCGGTGCACTTGTTCGTGATGCTAAGGCCTGGTCGCGATACCTGGACGAGAGCATCGCTCTTTTTGGCGATAAGTCTGCTGTCCTTTTCGCCGGACACCATTGGCCAACATGGGGCCATGAGGAAATCAATCGCATGATCTCCGAACAGCGAGACATGTACTCCTTCATGCATGACCAGACGGTCCGTCTAATGAATGATGGTCTGACGGGTGTTGAAATTGCCGAGATCCTCAAACTACCTCCGACTCTCGATAATGCCTGGCATTTGCAGGGATACTACGGCTCTTTGAATCACAACGTCAAAGCCATCTACCAACGCTATATGACCTGGTTTGACGGTAATCCCGTTAATCTGTGGAAGCATACCCCCGTGGAAGAGGGTATTCGGTATATCTCTTGTATGGGTGGAATTGACCAGACAGTGAGCTTGGCAGAGGGCTTTAGTTCTAAGGGTGATTTGCGTTTCGCTGCTACGTTGCTAGGACATGTTATTGCTGCGGACCCTAAGCATGTTGAAGGGCGCAAGCTACTTGCTTCCGTGTTTACGAAGCTGGGATATGGTTGTTTGAATGCGACTTGGAGAAACTTCTACCTTACTGGAGCTCAGGACTTGCAAACCCCTCACACTGAGAATCCGTTATCCGCCATGGGTACACCCTCACTGGGTCCCCTGTTGACTGTCGAGCAGTGGTTCTCTGGGCTTTCGGTTCAGATTGATGGGCCGCGGGCTGCGAACGAGTCGTTTATTATCGATGCTGAGGTTACGGATCAAAAGGAGACGTGGAGGCTTATTCTTAGCAATGGGGCTTTGTCTTACAGATTGTTATCTGACAAGGTTGGCTCGTTAGAGAAGGTGGGGTTGCATTTAAGAGTCACGAAGGCTGAGCTACGGCGGCTTATTCAGGGCGAGATTGACGCTGGGTCTCGAACCGTTGGAGGAAATCCAAAGTTATTCAAGAGACTTTTGCAGTTCTTCCCATGGGGAGCTACGGCTGGGGAAAGTCATTTGTGAATATCTTAGGCAGGTAGTCAGCTAGTCAAATACCACGGAACAATTGAATGAGGAAGGAGAAGTGAAACAGTGAAACCCTTTCGGTATATTCAAGAAGTATTTCAAGTAGATCAGGAATCTAAAAACCCAAGCTGGAACTCATTAAAAATCCAATCCAAATCATCATTTCCAGCCTCCACCATCCTATCAAGCATCTCTTGATCTCCAAGTTCATCACCACCACCCTTTACAAGCCCCATCCTTGGACTTAGCTCACTAGGAAAGGGAAACAAAGCTTCCAAGATATCAAAAGACAATTGGCCAGACCAGGACTCTGCAGTCTGCCAATCCTGGCCATCCCCAATATCATCCGACACCCCGGCCTCAACACTACACAATCTCCCAACAATATCCAACAATACCCCAGCAGGAGGCCATTTCAACTTCATATACCGTAAAGAATTAGTAAGAATAAGCAGTTCCTCCCCACAAAGTCGATCCTTGCCCTGACAAGCTGTGTTGTGGCAAATCTGAGGCGCACAGCCAACCATCAGGAACCAATTATTGATCGGCAAGAGATAGTTAATTTCATCGCGATGTGTTATCTCTTGATAGAGGCGGGCTATGCAAGATGAGGCGACCAGGGATGCGGTTGAGGCCGTTTGAGGTGAGATGGCGTGGCCGAACAGGCGGAAGAAGACTATTAGACAGACGAAGTAGTTTATATGGACCTCGTGGATGTCACGGCGGAAGACGTTGCGGCTTCGGCCGGTGTAGATTTGGAGCTTGAGCGGGAGGTTGTGTATCCAGTCCTGAAGGGATTGGAGGAATGATGTTGCCTGTATTGTGTTAGAGTATTGAGATGCTCGTGGAGTAGAGATGAGTACTTCTTCTTGAGAGATGTCGCTTTTTCGGCTGTGACGGTCTACTATCCGGCCGAGAATCACGTTGAGGTTTGTATACTCGATGCAAAGCTCAGCTTGAAGATCTGGGATTTCGAAATCTTCAAGCCTTAGGGGTCGAATGTTGAAGTCGAAATCTCCAAAGAGAGAGGGCCGGCCGAAACAGGCGGTCACGAGCTTGTCTTCGGTCTGTGAATTGATTCAGTAATGGCCTTCCAGACCAACAGGAAGAAACTCACAAATAGAAACCACATTATTCGACGTGCATTCCCTGGATTTGGAAGCTGGGCGTAGGTCTCCTCGCGATGAAATCCCATTTGTTGGGCTAGGCGAGTTGCCGTTCCGATCCATTGCCATGAACAGTCCAGACTGACCACTTTAGGAGGGGTGATATTTCTGAGCGCAAGAATACAGAGCGCCTTTAGGACATTTCGCTGATCTGGTTCGTGGTTCGCGTATAAGAGGGCTTTCACTTTGTTGTAATACGGTTCGCTCTCTTCGACAGGCGAATGGATGCCCGAATATCGGAGGATTGAGCCTATGAGACAGATAGCTTGAGTCAAGATTAACGAAGGTTGGTCCGTTGATAAATCAGCTCGATCGATGATGGGAGCTCGGTGGTAATGATGGTTGAAATAGGAGTCTCCGTATGCTTCGATCTGAGAGTTCGGCGGTAACGAAGTGGCTCCTACAGCTTGTAGAAGCTCTTTAGAGAAGCTGTCACGCATTAAGTCCACAGACTCGGATACTGCATGTGCGTGAAGAGGTGCAAGAGGGGACATGAATGATTCCTTAGCAACGAAGGCCTGGGGTCCGGCAGAGGGTTTAGTGGCTTGAAATCCATCTTGCGAATCCTGGTTCGACGAGACAGGCGAGTGTAATGGGCCGATGTTGTCAGATACACCAAAAGTAGATCCTATATTGTGCGAAAGGGGCGGTTCAATGCGCTTGGGTAGAGAAACAGAATTCCTGGTGATGTAAGGCCTGCGACCACGACGTCTAGAGATTGTCAGTGTCTGGCGATATTGGCATTGGAGGTATTAGTAACCGACCGACAAGCTTGGTTACGTCTTCTGCAGTTGCTGCAGACTCCACCTATTTGATCCTCGAGATCACATCGCACCTAAAGCTCCTCCGTTAGTTCCGGGCCACTAACAGAGGTGTTGTGAGGTAATACTTTTCGCCCATGGCAATTGAAGCAGACAACCCTTGCCCGTTCAGGCAACCCCTGCTTGCCAAGCATGACAGAATTGACAAGAGCTGGAGAAAGGCGGAGCAGGGATCAAGTCACCTGCAGGAGATGCTTGATGTTCATCCAATTAGTGCTTAGTGCCGGTGTTTCGCACGGGGTCAGACAATCCAATCAGGGCACCCAGACTGGATATTTGAATTGACTATGGAGCTGACAGACACGAGAGCAATGCCAACTCCCTGAACATGGGACCTGTCACTTGAGTTGACAGCTGGAGCCCTGGAGTCCTCGGCCAATGGCGTGTCCCTTTTCGCGGCTCGTCATTTAATCCCCGCACTTCAGCCGAGGCACCATTGAGGAAAGCTTCGTCAAACGCTTACGGCATGGCGTGATTGCCGCTCCAGCTGTGTTACATACAGACGATTGGTTCAAGCTGTTCAATCTAAGCCAGTTCGGATACAGTCACTTTGTTGGCAGTACGACTATGTAGTCTTTGAATTAATCCAGTCTCCTAGATCGTCATCTGAACTAGCGTAACTTAATCTAGACAGTTCCACACTTCTCGATTCTGATCATAGAGTTTGTCTTTCCGTTCTTGGTGCCCTCAGCCTCGATCTTCGACACAATATCCATTCCCGAGACAACACGGCCGAAGACAACGTGCTTTCCATCAAGGTGGGGGGTAGCGACAGTCTATAGTAAAGTTAGAAATCATAATTACAAAATAGTACATAATGCAAAGCACCATAGCTTTCGTCTGAAAAGAATGGAAGGGGTAATCAATTGGGAAAACTCACGGTAATGAAGAACTGGGAGCCGTTGGTGTTCTTTCCAGCGTTAGCCATGGAAAGCAGACCAGGCTGGTTGTGCTTGTGGATGAAGTTCTCATCCTCGAACTTGGCACCGTAGATGGACTTGCCACCGGTTCCCTGTACCAAGAAAAGAAGGTTAGTCAATCGATCCATGCATCGTAATTATCAAGTAGAGAAGTGGGGTGGTGGGGGTAAGAGATATTAGAGATCGCTAACGTACATTGCCCTTGGTGAAATCACCACCCTGGAGCATGAACTTGGGAATCACACGGTGGAAGATGGAGCCGCGGTATCCGAAGTTGTTCTGGCCAGTGCAGAGCTCCCGGAAGTTCCTAGCAGTGCGGGGAACAGTGTCATCGAACAGCTCGAAGACAATCTGTCCGGCCGGAGCTATATTGTGTTCAGGTAAGTATACTTCTTGGTCAAGTTATTAGAGTATATCAGTTTGGTCGATTCTTACCCGATCCAATGCTGACGTCAAAGAAAACGCGAGACATGTTTGCGATATTTAGTGATGGATGTTGCATGTAGTCGATGGTTGGGCTTTTCTTCCTCGCTGGCGGTCTGGGATGGCAGAACCAGGCTCAAACGGGGTTAGTCTAATACTTGCTTGTCAAAGGTGATGTTCGAAGAAGCTGGGTTGGTGCAATGGCAATGACAACGACACTGGCAAAGGTAGCATACCTGTACGGGTCCTCAACTAATTCATTTGGGGTAGATTTAAAAGGTAATTCTTGAAGATCTAAGCTCAAATCCTGTGCTCGGCTAATCTTTGTTTTTAACCTCTTTGTTCCGCCCATGCATCCATATTTATTTTAAAGCGACGAATCAATTATCGGTGACGGATGAGTTCTTGCTAGCGTTGCAATCAATGGAAAAAAAATGCCTTTCAAACTTGAAATCATCTTAGTTGTCTAGTCATGCCTTACAGTGCGGCTACCCCGGTAATATGTGTACCCACAGTCCGTCGTGAAACACGAAACTCCCGGTAAAAACAAGAAAGAAAATGTATTTCCACTGAATCAATAATATGAGCGGCAATATGCCAAATATGTCACATCGCAAGGCATGGACAGGATGAGGGAGCACGATGGTAAGGGGTATCAAAAATCGCAGATACACGACTCGGACAAAGAGTATCGAAGTGATCGCTTGGCACTTCGTTGCTGCTGTGTGCCATGCACGGTATTGACAACAGTAGTGCATGGCAGCTGACTCGGTCTGAGAATGTTCTCTTTCTCATTGAGGGTAGAATGTAGGAGATTGGATGTTGAGGCGTTGGCAATTCACGGTTGTACAATGTAGTGGACCTGGTCTTTAAGCAAATCGCTTGAAGATGACCTCCGGGTCCTCATGCCATTCGTCCGCGCTAACCCACATCTGCAAAGAATCAGTTAGCTGTTAATTGTTATACAGGTACCTTCACAGTTGATACATACCTTTCTGAATGTGCTGAGACCGGCGAGAATGCTACCACCAATCCAGGTGGTGTACTTGCGCTCCGCAGGCGCCGAAATACGAATCTTCATGTCCTCAACGGCCAGTCGTTTGATCTCGCGCATCAAACGATCAGGGAAGTTCTTGCAAAGTGTTGATCCTCCAGAAAGCACAATGTTGAGATATAGTGATTTGCGGAGGTCGAGATCTGTACGGGTGATAGCATCCTGCACGATCTGATGCACACCGGGGTACTCAAGGCCAATGAGTTCGGGGTCGAACAGGATTTCGGGGGCGCGGTAGCGTTCTTGGCCGATCTGTGTAGGAAAGAAAATTGGTATGGGTGGTTTAAGTAACATCAGGGCACGACTTACCTTGATCTTGTGTCCATCGGGCAGAACATAGTCGACTGCCTTGGCGTCCGACTTGTGGTAGCTGTTCATCCACTCCTTCTCCTCACGCTTGGGATCCAGCGAGACGTAGCAGACCTTCTCCTTAATCATGCGTACTACCTCCTTCTCAGCGCTTGTGTGCAGCACATGGCCGGCCTTTCTCAATAATAGTTGCATCTGCTCAGTGACATCACGTCCAGCAACATCGATTCTCCGGATACTGTTGGGAATGGCGAAACCTTCAAACACGGGCACGGCGTGGGAGACACCGTCTCCCGAGTCTAGGACCACACCGGTAGTGCGTCCAGACGCGTAAAGAGACAGTACTGCCTGGATGGACATGTACAGGGCAGGCACGTTAAATGCCTCAAACATCAACTGGGCGGCAATGTCGCGGTTGGCGCGAGGGTTCAGCGGGGGTTCAGTGAGCAACACGGGGTGCTCCTCGGGGAGGGTCTTCAGTTCGTTTTCGTAGACATAGTGCCAGATTGACTCCATATCCTCCCAGTTTGTGACAATTCCATGCTCAAGGGGATACCGAATCTTCAACAGTCCGCGGAGCTCCTGTGCGCGCGAGCCGATGAACGAGTCGCCCTCTAGACCGCCAGCCATAACCCGCGGATGCTTGGGACGACCAACAAACGAGGGGAAATAGCATGACGGAATCTCCTCTCCTGCGAAACCGGCTCGAATAGTACCACTGCCATTGTCAATGACAATTGGCACGTTGTGAAGGGTAGCCTCAGCCATTGCGGGGATGCGTGTGAGATCGAGGAGGTCGGGGGAATTGAAGGCGCGAGTATCTGGGACGGCCCCACGGCCTAGGATCGACGACTCGGGGTATCAGGGGCGCGATCAGAGAGTTGACAGCAGGTATATGCGCAGTGGGCAACGTTCGATCTCGAGTCAGGAGTGGAGGGTTTTCGCGTCGGGAGTTGTCAACAAGGAGCTTGGGCCAATGATGGAGGCCGATGCCGCCTACCCACTCCATCCGTTTATTTACGACTTTTGTAGGAGATCGAGTTCAATGCTGGGAGGCTATTTGGTTCAAATCCGCTCGCCGGTCCATTGCCTGATTTTTGGTCAGAATTTTAATAGCCTTACTTGTCAAAGTCATCTGGGTTGGTGGTGGGAGCATGAAAAAGGCCATCTAAGTACTGACCTGCAGTACACCTAACCTTGATCAATAGTTCCTTGACTCCAGAGCTAGTAATAGCCATATATATGGCCCAGGATTTCCTGGGTAATTTTGATGTGCACCATAAAATACGCTTGTATGGACCAGCAGCCTCTTGGTCTACCTTGGAACAGGCTCCATTGAAAATCCAGTCATGAATCATAATAATGTTAGAACCTGAGAGGTGTTCAAAAGCTGGTCTTCACAAGCTTCCTGGAAACATAAGCCACTACCTCGTTATGCGACACAACACGCCGAGGCCAAACTCCCGGAGGATCCTGTGTTTTCCTCCAAGTCAGAATTAGATTGATCGCCAACGCCAAGCTGCTCCATGAGAGGTATAATTTCCCAATCACCCGATTATATACAGTAAATAAAGAGACAATCAGTCGAGTGTGGCAAGCTGGTCGGCCATAGCCCGACTGACCTGGATTTCATTCTCCTGAGTGTTCTCATGGGCCCCATTCATGCCAGGTCGTTGGTGGCGCATGGATTCAGCCTTTGCGACTGCGGAGACGAGATCCCTGAATCAGCGTTAGAAAGGCGCACACAGAGTGCCAGGTCTCCTATTTACTCACTCTACTAAAGAGTTCACAGCATAATTAGTCCTGTCCAGCTCGATTGCCAACTGTTCTTGGTGGTTGTCGGCCAGGTCACTGTTGGGGACAACAATGAGAGGAAGCTGAGCCCGAAGACCCTCCAGGATAGAGCCAGTGCCTATCGAATTAGAAAAGAGATTCAAAATTTCACAGGTTTCAAGATAGTAGCTCACCGGCATGAGTGATCATCAGTCCCTGTTCCTGATTTTTGGCTTCATCGGCCATTGCCAGATGGATTGACGAGTCCAGGTTTGGCTTAAAGTCGAAGCCACCAATACCAATTCCATGCAGAGCTGTACTGCCGTCTGGGTTATTTGCCAGGAATTCGTCCATTATGGGCTTGCCATCCTTGCCATACTGAACCAGCAAGTGGGTGTAGTTCTGTTGCTTGAGGCATGCCAAGAAGGGTTCGCTGAGCACTTGCCGCACGAGTTTCACAAATGAAGCGGTCGCTCCGACCGTAACCAAGCAGGTCTTCATATTTCTGACTGAAATGTTCAAATTTGGGAGACTGCACCAAGTGAGAAGGTGATGGACAATAGCAACCGTATCATAGTCGCGACACGTGACTAAATCCACTAGCACTGGTTAGGCTTAGCGTATTGCGGACTTCAAGGTGGAAAACATCGAAGGTGCGCCGTAGCCCATTCTACACTCCACGCTGCAACAATGGCTTGCGCTGCCCGGTCATTGACTCGCTCAGCCAGAGCCCTGGCCCAGAGGGGCCCCGGGTTCTTCCCTGCGCGGTCTTTTTCAAACTCCCCGTTCCGATTCGTCTCCGATGACCGGGTCGTTCCTCCGCCCCCGAAGGACCTCAAGGCGGAGGATTACCCGGCTGCGCCTGAGTATTCCCCGGACCTCCTCAGCAAAGAAGACCGATCTATGTACGATATGATGGCCCCTGAACAGCGGGCTCAATTCGATGCCGACAATCGCCGCCTCGTGGCCGAATTCAACGATGTCGAAAAGCGCGCCGCGATGTTCGCCGAGCTCGATAAGAAAGTCAACCAGATTGACAAGGAGGAGGACTTGCGGTTCGAGGATATTCGGGGCAAGCAGCGCGGTTTCTGGGCCGAGGATGATCCGGATGAGTTTGCCCAAGTGGAGGACGGTGATGAAGAGATCAATGACGACGAAATCACTGCCATGGCACACGCTGAATTGGAATTGCACCGGGAAGTCAGAGAATATGCCCGTATTGCGGCATGGGATATGCCAATGCTAAGCAGTAAGTATCAAACCCACCCTTTTCATGCATCGCAGTGCCTAACAACAGTCTTCCGTATAGAGCTGGCCAAACCCTTCACCCTCCCTCCGGATACACACATTCTCCGCTTCCGCTATACTACATACATGGGCGAGCAGCACCCGGCCGAGCCCAAGGTTGTTGTGGAACTTGCCTCTAAGGATTTGAGCCCCAAGTACCTCTCCGAGGCCCAGCGCCAGACTTTCCTGAAGCTGGTTGGCACCCGCTACAACCCCCAGACCGACATTGTCAAGATGTCCAGCGAGCAGTTTGGCTCTCGCGCACAGAACAAGCGGTACTTGGCCGATATTATCAACTCTTTGATCAAGGAGGCCAAGACAGGCGATGCCTACACCGATATTCCTCTCGACCTCCGCCATCACAAGCCCAAGACTCGCGTTCAATTCCCCGAAGCTTGGAACATGACCGAAGAGCGCCGGCAACAATTGGCCGCTCGCCGTGCCGAGCGCATCGCTGCTGAGAAGGAGCGTGCGGCTATCGTGGATGGCGGCAAGGTTATCTCCCATGCCGTCCAGGCTCTCCCCGAGCTCAACCCTGCATTGAAGGCCCAGGCTGCCGAGGAGCGGGAGCGTGTTGCTGTCAAGGTTGGAGCTCGTGGAGGTAAGAAGTCAGTTCGTCGATGAGTTGTTGACGAGCGGTGTATATGCTTTGCATGGTATTTCTTTGGTGTGTTGGATAAAACTGTGGTCGACATTTGCGAGGCGCGGGCGCATATTCCAGGAAGTCTAATCGGCTTCATTTTTCTTCTCGCTGTACAATAGTCATAACATTACAATCCATTGGCGTCTCGCTGCCACTGTCCATCTGCTTTGTACTGTTGTAAACCCGAGTGTACTTCTCTTCATCACAGTTGCAACGGTATCTTTTGCCTTCGCCCAAATCTACGCTACAAGATCTACAAATTGGAGGTTATAGCTGAGAATAATCGTATTTCATAAGTAATTTATCGAAGAAACACGTCATTCATGTCATATCAAGTCGAGATCCTTCAATTCGTCCTCTCCCCGTAGATTCACCAACCACAAAAGGTTAAAAGGGCGGCAAGTCACCAACTTGAAAAGGTGGCGAGTCACCAGCCACAGAGGCAGCGAGGCCCGGAAAGGGTAGCCCAAGCCGCGGAAGAAAAAACATGTGTTGGGCGAGTCGACAGTATATCAGGCTTGATGTTGTTTGGCTTCATATGTTCCTCATGTAATTAATCAACAAGTCAGTCTCGGGAAGAACAGGTGACCGACAAGGATGCTGACAATTCAGTCGCTAGGCGAATCGATGCTGCGTCAGACTTGATGGTGTTCTTCATGAAAATATCCCTCATGTCAGTCTCGGGAAGAACTGTTAACCGACGAGGGTGCTGACAATTTAGTTGTCAGGCTTGGCGTTCTTCTTGACAGCCTCGTCAAAGAACTTGTCAAGGCCGGACAATAAGGCAGTTTCAACACTAGTATTAGACGAAGTGCCGGGGTACTGAACAGGCTCACCGATAGCACCGTAAGTGTACTCCATGTCGTGTGGGTGAATCGACTCGCTGTTAGACAGAAGGTTGTTGTAAATACGGCGCTGCTCGGGGTCCTTGAAGTTGGGAGCAGTGTAACGGAAAACAGGATTCACAGACGGAGGAACAAAGCGAGAACCAGGTTCCGCGGTGAAGGCGATGCGACGGTGCACATCAGTTTTGACAATATTGGAAACATGATCACCGACAGATGTACTGGGACGACTAACTGGGTTGACACCGGCGGGATTACCGTTCGACGGACTTTGAATATTGGCGTCACCACCGAATTTGTCGCGGTCATACTCAAATGGACGGCGAGACTTAGTACGGAAGCCACTCCTCGAGAAAGCATTCAGAGTTTCCTCCACGGTCAGCCCGGGAAAGCTAGTAGTCAGGTCATGTCTCTCGGTAGTCATACCATCCTTCTCGAGCAATTGCTTGCTCTGGGAAGAAAATCGACCGGAATTCTGCTGAGCAGAAGCGAGAGTAGCACCTGTAGAGTGACTGGGGGCGTTGTGAATAACAAAAGAGTCGCCCGAGCTGGCACTAGACGAAGTGGGAGTGACATTGGCAGACTCGGCGTAGTTCTTACGTGGCTGCTGAACCTTGATAACATTGCCACGAGTTTTGCCAGGCCCGAAGCCAGGACCACGAGGAGACTTGGGGGCCCTGTGACGACCCTGCTTGTCGTGATGCTCGTTGCTTCCTGGGGCGTCAACAGAAAGGCTCCACTCGATAGATCTCTGAGGGGACTGGGAGGAGGACTGGTGGGCATGCTCAGTCAGAGCATACTGTCTCTGGCCATCCTTGTTTCCATAACCGGACTGCAGACTGGGGACTGAGAACTTGTCACGGTACCAACGAGGGATATCACGCAGACCAAGCTTCTCTAGCAGCTGAGCGTCCATGGGCATCTCATGCTTGTACAGACAGCCTACAAATGAATGAAATCAGCAATTTTCTTGTTCAAGTGAGGGGTCGAGGAATATTCTTACCTTGTTGAGAGTAGTCGCACTCGCCGTGACGGATCCAGTAGGAGCAATAGTGCTTCTTGCTGTGGGCCTGTGAAGCCAGTCAGTCAATTTGATCATGATACCAGGTAGTGATGAGGCAACTTACGTTCTTCTGATTGGCCTGAGTGCTTCCTCCCTGGGTATTGCCAAATCCATGCTGAGACGCAGTCTGGGCACCGGGGTCGAAAGCAGAAATAGGAACAGGAGCAGGAACAGGAACAGCAGAAGTGATAGAGTCAGTAGCAGCAACCAGAGAAGGAGCATCAAAACCACGGAAGAGGACTTCCTGGATGGCAGAACGAATATCACCGTGGACATTGTCTTCACGAAGAATCTTGTACAGCAGAGAGTTGACCTCATGAACCTTTTCATCAGCTACGACACGAGCACCAGAAGGAGAACCATCGACAATCCAGCTTTCGGCCCTTGGAGCAGCAACACCGCAGCTGGTCATTCCTTGAGTCTCACCGGGAGTAAGAGCACGAGAGACGCCGCGGACAGACAGACCGGGAGGCAGGTCATCAACCGCGATGAGCGGCGTGAGAGTCCCATCAGGACGAGAGCAGAAAAAGGAAGGACGGTCCTGGCTGCCCATGGTGACAACAGCGGGACGTTCACCTTGACAAGATAATGATACACAAATAATAATATGTGTAGATGAATAAAGATGGCTGAGAACAGGTGGGAAACGTAAAAGATAAAAGTTGGTAGGGAGGGGAGATGGGCAAGAAAGGGAGAAGATTCGAAGTAAAAGAAGTCAAGGCGCCTTTTAAAGCTGGAAGTTCCCGGTGAACTTGAATCGTATTGAAGTGAAGTTTGACCGTGAATATTGATGTAGATCGTGACCATGCCTCTCTGCAGTCACCTCAATGCCGACACAGCGCCAGCTCACCAGATTCAAACTCCTAACCCTGGGGAATGAATCCAAATCCCTGAGCTATATGGCTACTTTAATGAGCAGCAGGGCTTATTTCCGTGAAACCCATGCGCAAGAGATGAGCTGCGATTGCACAACTCTGAAGCGTCACTGACCTTCTCGAGGTAGACCCAATGCCTGAGAACTAGAAGCCCTCTCAGATATACACCACATCCATGTATAAAGACCAGAGCCATCAAAGGTCTCAGGAACGCAATCGCTGCAACATTCAAGCGACGTCAAACAAGGAGTTGAATGGCCAGAGAGCCGTCGGTTAGCTGCATTGGCCTTCCAGCTAAGATCTCTATTCTACTTTCTGCACGTCTTCCCTGTGACATACTCCTGTCCGTACCCTGGAAACAGAGATCCAGCCATATCTCAATTCTTTCATCCCTTTGTGGCTTCATAGTCAACACCGAAAAGCATTGTATGCAACAATGGCCGTCCCAATTCGGTTTTTATTCTGGCAAAACAACCACTGGTATCCCGGATGTATCCAACACCAAGGCCTTGTATCATGACAGTACTGTGTGTGAAAAAAACGTTTAGCATCATTGAGTTGACCCCTGGGAGCATCCGAGCTAGCGCGTTGTCCCGGTTCCCCATGGATGGATTGGTAATCAATAATTACGGTATAATAATCTTTGGCCCCAAAGTTTTCCAAAAAATTACCGATTTGACTTGTGATATTGATACAGATTGAATGGGTCTGGGATGATCGTTGTGGCCCGTGGTCCCGTGACATTATTAGACCTAACTTCCGGCCGCTCGCGATCCAACAACTGGAAGAACAGCACACATACGAGAATATCCCATCAGGGGGTCAGACGATAGCCATTGAGAAAGCATTAGATTTGGATGCATTATGGTGGGGACGGAAAGAATGGTCCGCTAAGTGAGATCGCAAATCATTTCACACCTAGACCAACTTGAGCTTGCGTCTTTCCCATCCCAAGGCACCGAAGGTGCCTCTAGGATCAGCCGGCTTATTCCATCTGCTGAAACTAACAGTCAGATATCCTACTCTGGTAAAGGATATCTCGTCACCAGAGCCTTTCAAAATGAGGAGAAGACAATATCCCTCATCACTCTCCGTGGTCCATCCATCAAACTTGAGAACGATGCAGACATGGTGTTCAATCAATCGAGTGAACTGTGCCGTGTCTGCCTCTTGATCCTCAGCTGATCTAGGTCTGCAGCAGCCGCAATCAAACATCAATGATTGATCCAGAACTGGCCTTACCTGAAACCCTTTCGGCTGACCCTCGAGACTCTTGAGACTATCAGTCAGCTTTTTGAACCCGATACAGGCCGCCTCGAGGATAATATGCGATCCTTCCAAAATACGTCCGTAGAGGTTTGAAGGGTCTGCGAGCTCAATGTGGTGCGAGACAAGCTCTGGCTGATAAGTTTGTGCCCACAAGGAAACCGGAGTATCATCTGCTTGGACATTGTCAATGGTCACAGGGCCATCCACGCTCGCCCAACTCCAGGTTGGAGCCCTATATTCCGGGGTTGGGGTCAGAAGAGAGAACATTCGGCCCCAGGAAAGCCCGGATACAACATGGTTGCTCCAGATCCCGGCTAGGTAATCTCCCAATGTTCCATCGTTCATGACTAGTGCGATTCTCCCTATCACAGGGAGTTTGTCAGAGGGGTCTTCAAATTTGCCCCAGGAGAGTGCGTTGACGTTTTGAGTCCAAGTCTTTAGCCGCGCTACGGACTCTTTACTAGCTTCATCACGACCGATTTCAGTCTCAACTGGGAGTTGCTGAAGTGTACGCTGCACATATCTCTGCATGTCGCTTTTGTCGAAGGCATTATCTTTTGGCCCAAGATCCTGGTCTCCAACAAGCTTGGCTGCCTCAAATTGATAGCCAGAGGCACATTCCCAAATCAGTTGCTGTTTTGTGAAGTGTACAATACGCGGCGCCAGAATCCGCTCCAAAATATTCCAACCATGCATAGCGAGTGGAGACTCTGCGATACTTGATAACCAGCGTAGTTCTCGCGGTCGGAAACATCTATCTTTGTGAGGCCCCATCGCGGGTGAATAAAGGACGTTCCTGTCATGAAACAGTCCGCGATTGGCTTCTTCCCCAGCCGACGCTACAAGCATCAATGATGCCTGACCGTAGATGTTCAGAAAGCCAGAGGGATCTGAAAGCTCGGGGGCGGTGATACAGAGCTCCCTTGTCCAGAGATATTGATATCCCAAGCGGCGGGCGATATCAATAGCGTCAGACACAGCCTTGGAACAAGCCGTGACATCCAAAGGAACCGAGAGTCTACTTTCTTCTGGCTCTTGCAAAGCTAGATCCTTGACTTCCCCAGAGCATTGATGGCTCAAGATGATGTAGGGACCGTTCTGCTTCTCAGTAGAGACAATCTTTGGATCCACCGTAGGGTCATGGGAGATCTCGATGACCCTTTTCGGCAAAGGAGCTGATGTGGATGAAAAGCACGTCTCATGCTCTGTACATTGCGACATCCAAGTCGAGATCCTCGTCAAGCATTTTTCATCCCCCGAGCTGACTGGCACTGCCCGTAGACGATCCAGCCCATTGACAGGTGGACCTAGTAAAATCAGTATCACACGTAGCAATCACTTAAAATTGGGCCACGAATACACACCTTGATAGTCACTAGCAACACACATATCTAGACAACAATCGTCTGCGGACATTGTCATGCCAATGATCCCCTCTTCTCTTGCATCTAGACGTAAGTGGCTAAAGGATATCTCTCGTCCCGATAATTCGTCACGTCGGGTTCTCCAGCGGTATGAAGAGTGTAAAACTGCACAGAAAAATTTGCAGCCCTCGCAGCCTTCAGCTGCCTTGACGAGGAGATTATCGTATTTGCCTAGAGTAACGCCAAAGCCGTTTGTCGTCTCCAGATCCCAAGTGTTGCAGTCTTCGCAGAGAGGCATGTTTGCCAGACGAATAGTAGCTAAATTGTTCAATAGCAGAAACGAAGTTGCCTGTCACCAACTCTACGGCGACCGCGCGACATAAATATACCCGGAGCATGCTGTTGTCCTTCGCTAAACAAGGTTTACTTTAAGCCGTATGACCCCTGGTAAATCAAGTTTGAGCGCTGCCTGAAGCTTAGTTTTCTTGGTTTGATGCTACGTGGTCTCACTAACGGTAGCGAGATGTTTGGACCCCTGTGGCGTCCCTGAACCTCCGTGGCGGGATAATGTGGAAGACATCGACATGCGACTTGGCCAAAAATGGCTAGGGTGGTATAAGATACAGATCAAGTAGCATATATCTATAGCACTTGAGACACTCCTCTACTAAGGAAATTCTTGAAGTCCCAACTTCTAAAGATCTTGAGATTAATATAATCTAACAACAAGAGGGGTATCATCGTGAATGGGAATCTGAAAGAGAAAAAAAGCCTCCTATAACCTGTATTCCCTGGCGCGCATATTAATGAAAGCAAAATTGGCAGCCTAGAAAGAGACAATGCTCATCCGCACTCTACTTTCGTCTTGTCATGGTATCATCATGCCGTGATCGCTATGGTGTATGCAAAAAATGAAATGGTCGATCGTGAACTGATATGGATCGTCAACAGCGCACCTACTGTGGAGGGAGCTGCTTGGTGATGGATTCCGTGGAAGTCGGAGCAGGAGACGGGTTGGTGTTGTTTGAGGCTCTGATGGAAGAATCAGGGCCAGTGAGATCAATGTAAGCTGATGCACCCCCAAGATGTTGTGCAGCGGGAGGAAGACCCTGTTGAGGAACCCGCGCAGGTACGAAGGCACTCATGGGAGGAGCCTGTAGAGAGGATGACGTAGCTCGCTGGGTAGGCCCGGGGTGTTGAACAGCACCCGCAGCCATTGCTGCCTTCAAGCGCTGGCGCTGTGCCTCACTTGTGAAGATAACTCTCAGGTACTTTGTGGCCATGGCCACGAGCTTTGGGTCTTCCTTGCTCTTTGAAAGCGCATCCAGCATGCGGTGAATTTGAGTAGGCGATTGAAGATGCGGACAGGCGCGGCGCTTTCCAAAGTGTGCCGAGCCGCAAAGCGGACAGTGTTCAACTCCTGCCTGCTTTAGTGGGCAAGCGCCTGGATAATGAGGCTGGCCGCATGCAAGACATGTCGGACCAGCTTGCAAGTAAGGATGGGGATCTAAAGCGCCATCGAGACTAGATGGTATCGCATTTGGCGGCATCTGCACGCGCTCGAAGGGACGGGCTTTCGGCCTCGGAGGCGTCTCGCTATGCAGGTCCATATCCATAGGATTTGCGCCTGCGTCCTCATCGTCCGCCGACTCGCTTTCTGGCCTGCCCTCCCGAAATTCGACATCACTGTCATCGTTGCGATGTGACTTGCCCCGTCGCTTGACAGGCGAGGACTCGAGAATATCGTGATCCTCTGCTCCTTCCTCTCGAGTAGTCTGGTAGTTGACCGTGGCTCGCTTGCGCTTACCACGGCCAAGACCCTCCAATTTCGAATATTCCTCTTCATTGGCATCGCGCTCACGCTCGCGGAGAATTTTTTCCCAGGCAGCAACATCGGCAGGTATGATCTCTTCAGTCTCTTCGGCAACCTCTTCCAATGTACCCCGATCATTCTGCCAGACGCGTGCAAAATTGAATTTCGGCTGTTCAGTTGAACGAGAATCATTGGTGGAACTTTGCTCCTTTTTTTCAACTTGACTGCGGTCCAGCAATTTATCAATAGAAGGCAAGTCGTAGTGGATATCAGCTGAATCATCATCATCAAATAGAGATGCTGCACCATGTTGAAGAATTGATTCTAGATCCTCTTCATCTTCATCGGCCTCCATGCGTTCGATTAGAACATGATCGAGCGCCAGCTTCTTCTTGCCCTTTAGCATAATTTTCTCCTCCACCGACGCGCGCGTTGTCAAGTGGAAAACAAGGACAGTTTTCTGCTGGCCAATTCGATGGGCTCGCGACAAAGCTTGCATATCCTGCTTGGGATTGAAGTCAGGGTCCATGATGATGACTGTATCGGCAGTAGCAAGATTGATTCCCACACCGCCCGATCGAGTTGACAGCAGGAACGCAAAAATCGGAGAGCCAGGCTGGTTGAATTGATCGATTTGTTGCTGTTTATCTTTAGCGGATAGTCTGCCATCCAGCCGACCGTATTTTAGGCCAAGGCCGTGGAGGAAGTCCTCCACAACATCAAGGTTTTCCAAAAATTGGCTGAAAATCAAAACCCTGTGTCCGCGCTCCTGCAACCTTGGCAGCATCAAGTTGAGCAATCGAAGCTTCCCAGAGGCCTCCACCAAGTGCCTCTGTGCCAAGACGGAGTCACTAGTGTACTCCTCAATGGCTCTATTGTAGATGAAAGGGTGGCAAAGGCACTTCCGGAGTTGCATCAAGATGTTGTTCAAGTTATGCCGATCCTGCTTTCTGATTTGACCGGTCTGTTTCTTGACAATGGCCCTGATCAACTGAGGGTTTTTTCCAAGAATTGATTTGTATAGTTTCTTCTGCACAAGAGACATTGAGACGGGGACGATGATTTGAACCATTGGAGGCAAGAACGGTAGAACCTCCGCCTTGGTACGACGAAGGAAGAAAGGACGGATCAATTCATGAAGTGTCCGAATCTTTCCCGAATCAAGGGAGCTGTATTCCTTTTCCAACTCTTCTGCGTTCTTGTCTCGATCAAGAAACTGGAGTAGGTTGAAAAGCTCGCGAATGTTGTTCTGGAGAGGAGTTCCACTCAGAAGGACTTTGAAGTCAAACTTCATACGACAGAGCTTTTCGTAGAGCTGGGATCTGTCATTTTTCAGGCGTTGTCCCTCATCTACCACCAATCCTGCCCATGGAACCTTGTTTAGAACCCTTTTTGTGTCGTCATCGATCATGCTTTCGTATGAAGCGATCACAACATGGCAGTGGAGGTCCCTCCCGCCCTGTGGAAACATTTCGTAATCTCTGGCCATCTGGCGCGAATATTGAGTGCCGAAATAAGTGGCGACTTGAAGGCTCGGTGCCCAGTTCTTGATCTCACGTCGCCAATTCGGAACGGTCGAATTTGGACAAACTACCAAGAAGGGCCAGCATGAGTGTTTTTGAATTAGGGCCGTGAGTAGGCCGATGACCTGTATGGTTTTCCCAAGACCCATATCATCCGCTAAAATGGCATTCTGCTGTCTCACAAACATGTAGTAAAGCCAATTTACACCGTCCAGTTGATATGCCATGAGGTCACCACCAGTAATCATATCTGATTGGGTGTGCATAACCAGATCTTGCTCGAAGTCTTTGGTCCGAATCAAGGCCAATCGTTCATTGAGTTTGTTCCGGTCTGGAATCGAAATATCGCCCCGGGCCAACCAGTCATTGAAAGCAGTCGAGAAGTCTGCCCATCGGTCTTTGTCGTCTGCCTTATTTGGCTCGGGTGGCTTCTCCCATACCGTGTCCTCGTAGTTCAGGCCTTTGTATTTGACATAGGCCTCTTTGACCATCTCGGGGTTGGACTTGTCTTTCTCGACGGTATTTTCCCGGTATGTCACCTCGAAGACGACGTCTACCCGCAGCTTGTCCTCAGAAACTGCATCTTCTGTTGTCCAAGTTGGCTTTCGAGCACTGTCTGACATAAGAAAGGATCGACGCGTAGTGGGGCTACTGATGCAATAGACCCAGTCACCCGGCATCCAAGCAACTCGGAAGTAAGACTTGCGTTTCCACTTGATTAAATACTCTTTCTTTACTTCTGGGATGATCTCAGAATGGGGAATGTTCGATCCCATGGATTCGCGTTCGATGAGACGCCAGGCAAGGATCTCTTGAATGTCACCGGGGGCATTGGAGCATTCATTACATTGCCAGTGGACGCTGTAATCCGAGAAGTTATCGAATGTATCGATGTTTGTCATCGGTTTGAGACATTCCACGTGAAAGCCTCGATGGCATCCGGTGCATCTGAACAGGAGATTGTCGATGTTGTTCACCCGAGTCCTATCAACTGGGGTGACGGGGTCCATACCATAATTAGCGACACGCTGCTGCTGCTCCTCTTTGGAGGTGAGACGCTGTCGCAAAGGCCGAGACATTGGGCCGAGCTCATGGCAATTCGCGCATTCGCCCAAATGTGGAGACATATCATGTTTCTTGTGAGCAACGCCAAGACAACGTCGACACTGTAGAATGAAGTGACCCTCATCGATCTTGGTTACAAGGTGTTCTCGACTGTTCCGCGGACCGAGGCAAGTTTGATGGTACGATGTGCTGCAACCTTGGCAAAAGACCAATGGCCCCTTCACCGAATCGTCCTCGTAATAACTACAGGTATCGCAGCAAGCAAAGTGGCGTTGCCGAAATTCGTCATCGTGCGAGGTGATTTGGAAAGTCTCCTTGGCTCCAGTATATTTTTGCTTCTTAGGAGTGTCACTTGCAAACTCCGAAACATCGTCCTCATATCGTTCCCGTAAATTCTGTCGAAGCGATTTCCTATCACGTGCCGAGACTCGTGTGGCCTTTGCCAGAGGAGAGTACTCGTCCGAGGATGAAGGACGAGTTGATCGAAGGCCTGGCCTGGGTCCTCGCCTGAGTCCCCGCTTTCCGGCCCGCCTGGCGCCTTGTCTCGGTTTTCTGGTGTGAAGCCGAGCATCAGTAAGCTCATCGGTGGAGCTTTCTTCGCTATCTCTAGAGCTGGGATCATTTTGGTAAAACCCCAAGTATCCTCCACGTGCAGCTGGACGGCTAAGGTTGCGCCGAGTTCGAGTGTGCCGAGTTCGAGTGTCAGAGTACGAACCGTCGGATGCCGGCCCATCACCAGCATGGAGGGGTCTGTAAGAGAGCGGTCTCTGTCCAACCAACATGATATCATCATCCGAGCCGGAGTCTTGGGTGTATTGGTCTAGGGCCTTGGTGCTGTTGCCCAGATCCATGAATCGATTGTGGGTCATCTGCAAGAAAGGAAAGAAACAATTAGACGAATGCCATAACCAAGTGAAAGCAATAAAAAGAACTCACAGTTTCACGCTCTCCGCTTTGGAGGCGCACAGTGTAAAGAGGCTCTTTGGCGGTCGATGAGTCGATATCTAAGATACGGCGCGCCACGAAGTGACCAGGGAGGTACTCGTAATCATTCGGGTTTGAAACAGCAGGGGGAACGATCTTGAAAGAGCTGGGTTCCGTTGATCTGGGAGCTTTTCGAGGGGCTTCTGGGTCTTTAGTGTTTCGAGTTCGTGGAGCAGTATCACGCGCAGTGGGAAGTTCGTACGAGGCGGGATCCTCATGCTGGCTCAATACATGCGCGGCCATGGCGTCAGGGTCTTCGAGCTCCTCAATGCCTTCCGGATGACCAAACGTCATGTCGGTGAAACTCGGTTGAACGGCCGAAAAGTAGAAGGCACGCTATAGTAGAAACCGCGCAAGCAGTCTCTATGGAACGCGAAGCAGATGAGATTGTAGTGTGTTTCATGAGAATAGTGAGAATAGGCATGGGTATTTGCTGTTCCACAGAGTCTTGTAGGGTAATCAAAAAGTGAACACGGTCAACGGCCAGCACAGGTCGTAAGTATGTTATTCAGAGAAGTATAAATAGACAGAAAGCACTCTGGGGCAGCGAGTGATGCGGGAGCGCGTTTGTCTGGGAAAATATTGTTCCGGTCGTATCTAATCGGAGATAAGGACTCGGGGTAAATTTAATCCGTGTATCTTTTCTTATGCTGGCCTCGCCGGGCAAACAATTACTCTCGAAAGCTTCAAGATGCTTTTGAACGTTTCAAGACCAACCCTGGGTGGGCGTATATCGCTTTTAAGGTCAGCTCAGTGCTCAGTACCAGCTCGTCATGCCTCTTTGAACTCGGCCATTGGCCGGGGTATTCGCCGATCACAGCCTGGGGAGACATCGCCGAGTCGGTCTCTCGATGGCCGAGATGGACGCCGGCGGGTGAAGAGAGATGATTCTCAGTTCCAACCAAAAGGCCAAAGAAGTTGGCCTGAGAGATCCGATGAGAGGAGATTCGAGAGGAAGCCCCAAAAGTGGTCCGAGAGGAAACCCGAAAAGTGGCCCGAGAGAAGGCCTGAAAGGAAGCCTGTTTCAGATGCCTTTGACCAAGATGAATTTATACGGAGCGGCAGTTTTCGAACTCCGTCGCGAGGTCAGGAACGTGGGCATTCAAAAGACAGAAGTGAATCGCGCGAACGGGATTCACTTCCATCAGAGAAAGTAAAGTCGTTCTCACGAAAAGTCAGTACTCATGGGGTATCTCGTGCTCATCGAGCGACTGCGAGTGTCCCGGAGCGAGTGAAGGAACACGTCAAAGTCCCGGAGTCGATACCTTACACGTCACCGGCATCTGAATTTATCTACGGCACCGGTTCCGTCGAAGCAGCATTGCGTTCCAGCCGTCGCCAACTATACAAGCTCTATCTCTATCAAGCCGCCGGAGAAGAGCTCAGTCCTACAAAAGTTGCTCTTCGCAAGCTGGCTCTCTCGAGCAACATTGAAGTCAAGATGGCCTTTGCCGGCTGGGACCGACTTCTCGATAAAATGAGTGCTGGCCGACCGCACAATGGTTGTGTTCTGGAGGCATCCCCTTTGCCAAAACTGCCCATTCGTGGCTTCCATCCGGTTCAAGCATTGACCGACAGCCATTTCCGTGTAGAATTGGGACCCCAAACGCGGGAGGAAGCTGCAGTTAATGGCACCGATGACCGCATCTCTATTCTTCATCCTCCAATCTCGCCTTCTGGTGAACAAGCGCATCGCTACCCAGTGTGTCTACTCTTGGATGGAGTCGTTGACCCTGGAAATCTTGGTGCTATCATACGTTCTGCTTACTATCTCGGAGTTGATACGATTGTTTTTGCTGGCCGCAACTCGGCACCTCTTTCACCTGTGACTATTAAGGCTTCTGCCGGCGCAGCAGAGAACATGTCTCTTCTTCACGTCAAAAATGAGATTGATTTCATTCAGCGGTCCCAAAACAACGGATGGAAATTCTACGCGGCCGACGCTCCGGGTCCCGGTGCCACGTATGTGGACCGCCTATCACCGGGCGATGGACCAAACGGCAGCCACCCTATCACCCAATCTCCCAGTGTGATCATGATGGGTAGCGAGGGGTCCGGGCTTAGCTCGCATATCAAGTCACATGCAGATGCGATCGTCAGCATCCCGGGTGCTCGACACAGCGCTCATCTAGGCGTTGAATCTGACCCAGCTCGCATCGATAGTCTGAACGTCAGCGTTGCCGCGGCTCTCTTGATGGAGACGTTCTTGCGAACCCCGCTGGGAGTCTCGGAGCCGGCTAGAAAGGGGAAGGGGCAGCGGATGTGGTAATCTGTAAGATAATCTTGGCATTTACATATGATGTCTGCTTGTATATTATTGTTGATAATAAGGTGGCTGTACGAATAGAACTGATTGTCTTGATTGTTTTTTTTTTCTTGCTCGGACAAAGGCATCCCCGTAAAAACCGGAATCGATTTCGGCACTGAGCTTTTGTGTTCATCGATGACGACGGGAATCACAAATTGAGACAAGTCTCGCTCTCCGCAATGACCGTGTAGCTGATAGGCCCAACGGAATGACGCGGCGATAATTCATGTTTTAGCGTTCCGCGCATCGATTTACCGATATTCGACGCCGAAATGGAGTTTGGTGTGGGGAAGGGATCCATAGGTCGGTGCTGCGGGGAAACGACCCGCAAATTGGGTACAGGGCTCTACGCAGTAAACTGTTCTCTAGCTTGAGCGAACCATCATAAGAGGGTCCAATTCAATTCCTTCAAGTTACACATCTTCTTTGTTTCCTACGCCTCCCAAGCTTTCTTGTGCATTGAAGTGGCACCAATCGCATCGAAGTCCCACTATGATTCCCGAGAAACAGATCCCTACAAAGGCCTTTGTGGTCGAAGCGCCTCACGCCCCGTTTGTCCTTCAAGATGTTGTTCTAGACGAGGTGCGGGATAACGAAGTTCTCGTTGAAATGAAATTTACTGGTCTGTGCCATACGGTATGGTGCATCTCGGAGGAACCCCGGCAGTACTCGGGCATTGCTGAATTACCGTGCTAACCTTGATCGTGTAGGACATTGTGGTGCAACAAGGTGCTTTGCCCGTTGGAGATTATCCAGCGGTCTTGGGCCATGAAGGTGCAGGTATTGTGCGCCGAGTTGGCAAGGCTGTCAAAGATAAAACCTTGAAGGACGGAGATCAAGTCTTCCTGAGCTTTACTACTTGCGATAGTTGCAATCCCTGCAAAGACGGACGCAAAGGCTTCTGCCGTGACTTCACTAATATCAACCTCGCGGGTGTGCGCGGCATCTCTGCTGCAGATTCACCGATCTCAACCCCTGCAGGCCAGCCTGTACGAGGACAGTTCTTTGGTCAGTCTTCGATGAGCAAATTGGCCATCGTGAATGAAGCGTCTGTCGTCAAGAGCACCTACAAGTTGAGCGACTTGGATTTTGCCGCACTTTCTCCCTTGGGGTGTGGTTATCTCACAGGTGCTGGCACCGTCTTGAACATTCTGAAGCCCAAACCCAAGTCGCGATTTGTGGTGCTTGGAATGGGCGCAGTCGGATTAGCTGCTATGATGACCGCCCGAGCTTTGGGCGTTGAGACTATAGTCGCCGTTGACATTGTCGACTCGAAACTCGAGCTAGCGACCTCTCTTGGAGCTACACACACGCTCAACACGAAGCATGTTACCGATCTTGCAGAAGGATTGAAAGAGATATTCCCTGAAGGTGTCGATAACATTCTCGACACCACTGGCGTTATCCCTTTGCTTCAGTCATCTATTGCAGCTCTAGGCCATGATGGAACTCTGGTCTTTGTGGGTGTTGCCCCGGCCACTGGCACCCTTACTATCAGCCCGCTGGAAATCATGCTTAGCTGCAAGCGAATCATTGGAGCGATTGAGGGATCGTCAGATCCAGCTAAAGTGAGTCACGGCTTTTTTTGGAGTCAGGTGGGTTTCGCGACTAATATAATTTTCCGTAGCTTCTGCCTCTACTGCTCGAGTGGTACAATCAGGGAAAATTTCCAGTTGATAAGCTAGCTAAGGTCTACAACACAGATTCGCTGGATCAGGCGTTGGAAGACCTGCAGGCTGGCAAAATTATTAAGCCGATTCTGAGGTGGGGTGATATTTGAATTTTAAAATTTGATACCTAGTCATCATTAGCTATTGTACGAATTGTTTCAACCTTTTGGCGGGCAAGCATGTACCGCGATGATTAATGCCATGAAGCGACAATCCTTATATGTTCTACCACTACTTTCCTAAATGTTCCAGTCTGCCTTGTAATGTCGAAGGATTTAGGCCAATTTCTTACTATAGATATCTTATTAGACCCTCAACCGAGAAGAGACTCTAAAGGGGCTTCCACATTTAGTTCTTCAGGTCTTCCTCGATGTCTTTTCTAGTTCTCTCTGTGGAATTCTTTTTAGACTAGATAGCCTTGAACTCCTTTATGGGAATTAGCCAGGGACGCCTGTTCCTAATCATTTGTATAATGTTAATGATCTGGCTGTATGCAAATAGAGCGGTTGGCCGAAGGCCACTTTGATAGAATCTCGAATTCCTGACATTCTGTCCGCCAAAATTTCATAAACCACAGACGTGATTTGGCATTAAACCTCTTCCTTAGCTCCTCGCCAATGTACTGAATGTGAGTGACCCACCACCAGATCCGTATCTTTTTTTTTTTTCTATCTTTTTGTAGCGAATGTGAATATCTGATAGCACGCGGGTTGTCTTTAGAGTGGAAAATTCCCTCCTGTGGCCTAGTGTATCTAGGAATATGTGAGTATATTGATAATAATGACTCGAGATGATTCTTAAGGCTCGTACTTCATTTGGCCGTGGTAGAGTTAGTAGTATAGATAAATAAAATCGGGTAGTCATACTCCGGTAGTATGATACTTTGGCGTGACTAAGCTCACGTATTGGCGCCTCAATATCATCTAAGCGGGAGATGTGCAGCTGACAAACTCTTGGCGCGTACCCGTTACCCGCCGAGGCGTGTGCTTGTCGTGTGCTTTCATCTCTTCTTCCAATTCTTGGCGCAAGTCAATTCTATGGATAACATCATGACCCGATGAAGTTTATGAAGGCTTAACTCGACAAAACACCCCATGTCTTCTCAATATCAGCAGAGATACAGCCAAGACGCGTCATCGCTTTCCGGGCCAGTGCGACAGCGGTCAAAACAAGCCTGTCTCCCGTGCCGGCGCCGCAAGAGGAAATGCGATGGAAATTTGCCCTGCAGTATCTGTCAAGGGTACGGGTACGAATGTGAATTTGGCAATGGACCTCAACCAACGAATCTAAAACGACCTGTGCCTTCGGGAGGGTCACCTCAGCCTAGGAAAGCGACCCGCTTGGCTGATCCCCAAGAGCCTCCAAAGCAACTCACGGAGTCCTCCATATTCCCTGGAATTCTTGAGCCGTCAAAAGCTCGATATGTTGGAAGGTACTCATCCATCGCTTTCCCACTTTACGTCGGCTTGGAGGTTCAGGCGACCACGATCCCGCGTCTGCACTCGTTTGCATACCACACGGGTATTCGCAAAGAGCCGCCCTGTGCAGTGACTTGTGAGGCTGCTCAAAAGATTTCATGGAATACGATGAGAAGTCTTCTAGAAGTCTATACAGCTACAGTGCATCCTGTGTTTGGCTTCTTGGATCTGGATCAAGTCTTCATGCTGTGTGAGAGACACTGGCATGGACAGCCCCAAGATATGGCCTTTGAGGCTATGATTAGTGGAGTCGTTGCAACGGCATCGCTATTCAGTGGAACCCTAGATCAGGATACTGAAATGTGGTTCATCTTACATCAGAAAGAGATCCTGGAAGATTGTGTGATTAGTCGCTTCCCTTCTTTGGAACAGATTGCAGCATGGATTATGCGAACTATTTACATGCGGTGTACTTCAAGGCCACATGTGACCTGGCTGTCCAGTTGCACGGCCATGCATTTGGTTGAGGCAGCTGGCTTGCATCATGCATCTGAATTCGTGATGCAGACAACTGGCAATGCGACTCCGAGTACAGAGATGTTCAACATAATTAATCGGACGGCACAAGTTGCGACCTGCCTTCATACTCTGATTTCTTTCGAATATGGAAGATCTATCATCACCTTGAACAGCCATAGTCTCGATAATTTGCAACCCGCAGGCGGAGAGAAGGATCTGACTTTTCAACTGTGTAGCCTGGTAGCTGCTGTTCCTACAATTCGGACAGGGAATCCTTTGTCATTGATGGAAGAGCTTTTCTCATCTCTAGACAAGATTACCGATGTCGCCATCGACCATGACTTCCTTCTTTTACTACGCGCAGACCTTGCCTTGGGTATATACCGTCGGCTTCGTGTCATGGATTCCAAATTTCAACAAGGACATAACGATCGCGTGATTGCTGCAGGCACAGCAGCTCTGCCGGCAGCACGGAGGTTAGCTAGCCAAAACCAGCCTTGGTGGAATGTCATCGGCACTGCATTTCAGTTTGCCTGCGCTCTCCTGGTTATGGACACCCCGACAAGCTGTGAAACCCTCGTGGAAACAATGGACACCTTGGAAATGATCGTTGATCACCTGGACACACATCTTGCCAAAGAAGCTCTCTCAACGGCGCGTCAGCTTGTCCGGGCTTCTTTGGATAAGAAGAAGAGAGGTGTTGAAGCCCTCGAGCGCATAGCTCGAGATGCCTCACCCGACCCAGCCGTTGGCGGAACAAACGACCACCTTCAACAGGATATTGCCGCAATGAGCCCATCACTCGTAGCACAGTTACCACTTGATCTGGATTCTCTATGGGCCATGGAATTCCAGCTTCCATTATGAATATAAATATTTGAGCACTTTTATAGAAATGGCTGAACTTAGTTGACTAAGGAAGGTTTACATAGTCAAACTTAGCCTATGCTGAGCCTTTCCTAGATGACTTCCAAGTCACCACCAGGAAACAACTCGCAATGAGGGTACCCACTCCTGCAAGTCCCACGCCCATATATGTGGCTCCCCGATACCCTTTGAGGACATCCTTGTTATCGTCATTGACGTATCGCTCGACCGTCCCTGCAAATCCAAGACCCAATGAGATTGAATAGTTCACCACCGTATTCACAAGGGATCCTGCAACACCTTGATCTTTCTGTGGCATAGAGTTACTCAAAATGAGACTACCCGATGGAAATGACATGTCCCTGTTGTTCATTAGTTTTTGAGCTTTTTTTCCACGGGAGAAAGAGATCACTTACATTCCCCAAGGCGTGACCAGCATGAGCACAAAAGCATTCGCCCAATATATTTGTCCAATGGGTATTGAAGCCAAGAGTGCCTGACCCGCTGCAAAGGCCAACATCGCAATGAACATGATGATACTTGCGGGGATGCGGCCAAGGAGAAGACCAGTGACCACAGCAGCGCAGGCTCCGGACGCGGATGCGCCAGCCCACTTGGCTGTAACAAGAAGTCCACTGTTACCCTCGATATTCTCTAAAATCTGGTAGTAGTAAAAGACTAAGACACCGAAGCTCGACCATCCGGCCGCAATGCAGCCAAGAACCCAGCCAACCTCGCCTTTCAATGCCGTTCTGGGAAGCAGTGGATAGGCTGTCTTGCCTTCGAGAAAGAGGAATAGTCCAAGGATCAGGATACCTACGATCAAGAGAGCGTATGTATATGGTGCCTCCCATCCGACAACGGCAGCCTGGTTCCACGCAAAGTTGATCAGGATCAGCCCCGACACTCCGGTGATAGCACCCCACCCATCCAGACGATCGAAGGTCGAAAGGTCCGGTCGCAAAGGCTCTTGTATCATGGTAGGAATAACATAATATCCGAGAATAGCGAACATCACGCAAGCGATGGCCAAGATCCAATATCCCCATGGCCACCACAGACGCTCAGCAAGCAAAGACGAGAAGGTCGCGCCCAATGTGAATCCACCCGGTGCGACGGCACCAAAGAGACAAAAGACCATTCCCTTTCGGCGACCGGGGGGTATGATCTTCCTAAGATAGCAACGGCATTTGGAAGAAGAAGTGCAGGGCCGATACCCTGGAAAGCACGACAGCAATCGAAGAATCGAGGGTTCGACCAGACAGTAAAACCTCCTAGAAGTGACCAGAGTGCGAACCACAAGAATCCAATGACAAAGAGCAATTTGTGTCCATAGACATCGCCCAGTCTTCCGGACACGAAGATAAAGGTTCCGACGGTCAAGCTGTATGCTGCAGATCCCCATGTCAGTTCTCTTGGGGTGGTGTCGAAGCTCGAACTGATGATCTGCAGAGGCGCAATAGAAAGTGCCAGGCCAGCTTGTGTCATGAGCTGAGCTGCACAGACAACAATGACGAAGATCGCTTCACGCAGCGGTGTCTTTGGTGGGCCATAGTCCGGTGTTTCGTTCTTGGCTTCAATGTCCAATGATGTCGGTCGCGAGAGGGAGGAATCTTCCGCCATAGTATTATTGACCGCGGTATTGCCGGCTGCTATATTTTCTAGAAATTTGACTCAGATCAAACCCAAGAAGTATTGACCAAGATAGTATGACTTACCTAGATCGTCGGTTATGATTGTCCGATCATCCAAGCAAGGACGCTCACTCATTTATGGCAGTTTCAAAGCCTAGACCGTAACGTGTGAATAGTAAGCATTTCCCGAGAACTGTTCAATAAGAGTAAAAATTGCGGACTTCCACGCTAACGCATCACCCTGAAGATCACAGATTGATAACTTTATTTGGCCGCGTGGCCCGCGCGGTCCGCACGGCACGCCTCAATCGGAAGGCGACCATGCCGGGAGACGTGATCGCCGTGTCCTTCAAAAGTCACAGATGGCAGAAAAATCTTTGAATTGCATTGCGAACATTCCCGAAACATAGAAATTCCTATATAAGTTGATATCCCGTCGCATCTCTAAGTAAAACACATCTCAAGCTCAATTCCACCTCAATCAACACGCGAAACGCGATTATCAGTCTCATCTCTATGAAGTCCAATACGATGAAAGCTCTCCGCCTAACACGCGTGTCCCCAGAATCACCGACACTTGCGGTATCTTCTTTCCCAATCCCGCAATTGAAGCCAGGCTATGCCCTCGTTCGTATCCGCTATGCCTCTATCCAACCATCCGACAGACTGAACGCGCAGGGTCTCTTCCCATTCACGAGATTCCCTATAGTTCCCGGGCGTGACTATTCAGGAACAGTGGTTGACATCGCAGACAAGTCCGAGCAATCCAGATCATGGATTGGAAAGAATGTCTATGGAACCAGTGGTTCAGGTCTTAGCTTCCAGATTGATGGTACTCATAGCCAGTACTGTTTGATTCCTCAAGCTGCGCTGATTGAGATGCCTGCATCTCTGTCCTTTATTCAGGCTGCTACTGTCGGGGTACCATTCACAACTGCGCAGATCTGTTTGCAACGGGCTCAGGTTAAGGAAAGTGATGTGGTGCTCGTGCTCGGTGCTACCGGGGCTGTTGGATCTGCGGCTGTGCAGATGGCCCGCGCAATGGGATGCAAGCAAGTTTTGACAGCAGCTCGGCACGGTGACCTGAACCCTGATATTGTCTTATCTTCGAGCAATCATGCTGCTGTGCTAGAGGGAATCGCTGCATTGACCGATGGAAGGGGTGTGGATGTGGTCATTGACACCGTGGGCGACCTGGCACTGATGTCAGTGGCTGTAGAGCAACTGGCTCTGAAGGGGCGCTATTCTTGGATCACTGCGCCCAAAGGTGATGTGAGCAAGAGGCTGTCATTCGACGTGTTCCAGGCTTATCGGAAGGAGTTGTCTCTACTGGGATGCAATTCGGCGGCTCCCCCGGTTGAGGATACGGCTGAATATTTGAGATCTATGAGTGGATGGATTGATCAGGGACTACTGGGGGTACAGAAGGAGTCTGAGTTCCGAGTGGTCAAATTGGATGATGCTATTGAGGCTGGTTATAAAAAGCCGGGAAAGGTAGTTATCGATATGGAATAATGACTGCGTCTAACTGTTGAGATCCATAGTGAATATCACGAGACAAGTATAACATGTATTGAATCACTCCACACGGATGATATATCCGAAGGCCTTGTAGAAACTAAAGTTTACTCTAAGAAGGGGGAGCGGAAATGTTCTGGTTAAGTTCCTTGCGCTGAACCGCACCGAAGCGAAGGTTGCCGACATCGAATACCTATTCGAGTATAGATTAGTTTTCTGATATGGAGTGTCCCATTAATAAAAACGATAGTCACTCACAGCATAGACACCCTTCAGGAAAGTATCACCCAGAATATCAAAAGTCATATCGCCACGACTCTGGATACCACCGTAGATATATCCAGACTTGGCCTCGGCAAAGCCAAGATCCTCTTTCTGAACAACATATTGCGTATCACCGACCGCAAACGAGACAACGGGAAATTTGTCAAGAGTAGTGTCACTGGGATAGATCCACCCCTGGCTGTCATTGTCGTATTCAGCACCGGGAATTGCACCGTAAATAGCCTGGCAAGTATCATCATCGACAAGAGCCAAAGTAGTACCGGTATCGGCAATAGCCTTGTTGCCCGAGCGAGCGATAGATTTGCCATTTACAGTAGCAGAGGTAGAATCAAACATCCAGAAACCCTGGCTGTTATCAATAGGGGTGTAGGCGATCTCCGCGCCCGCGGCGGTAACGGTGGCCTGGTCAATGAAGCCAAATGTATAGAAAGACTCGCCCTTGTCGGGCTCATCAGCATCACGCCACGAGCCAAGCTTGGCTGTGAAAAGAGATTCGGACTTGGTGATATCATTCTGCGTGATCATGTTCTCGACAGGTGTTGCCACAGCCTTGGGCTGGACTGTGTTGATGCTACTGAAGGCAAGACCAAGCAGACCGTCGCCAGCTCCACTGGCGAACTGTGCTGACATTGTGTCTGCAAGCTCGATGGCTTGGCCTTTGACGACGAGACCGCCGACGTCGACATTATCATTACCTACGATGCCAGAGGCAGATGAACCGTCTCCATAGGAGATCTTCCAGGTAGAGCCCTCCTTGAGCTTGTAGGTGCTTGACTTGGATGGGTCAAAGACAGTGTGGTTTGAGTTCGCTGACAATGTCGACGCAGGCAGCTTGGTCGACCAGACCTTCATCTACCGTTAGCCAAGCCAGACGTCAAGGATATAGACAAGGTACTCACCCAGAGATCAGCCGAGCCAGTATCGAAGTCAAGATTCAAGTTCTGAGCCGGTGATCCAATACCCACTGTCGCCAGATACATGGCATCGTTCTGCACATCATCGGCGCCGACCTCGCCAGCCTGGTCACTATCGGCCGCTTTCTTCTGCAGCACCCGTTGAGAATGCACACGACCGCCGACAGCCTTATCGGTGTACTGGCGACCAGTCTGGTGCATAGTTGTGCCGAAGAAGTACGGGCCAGGCTTGGTAGGGGAGAACTGATACTTGCGCATGGCGTACAAGTACGACTTCGTGCCCGACTTCTTGTAGAGCGGGTTGGCCGTGATCTTGACTTTGGTAGTAGGAGCCATGGTTGGAACTTTGGTAGAAGCTTTGCGAGATAGTTTAGACTTGAGGAGTTTGAAGAAGGACATAGCTACAATTGCCGAACTATATAAAGCTCGGGAAAATCGCCACTAGGGTAGGAATAGGATGATTGAGGTCCACTTGGAGAAAGGACTCCATCGGGGTTTATGAAGATGAAGCAGGATATTGGTCACTTGCACGTTTCATGCCCGCATCTTTCGTCATTGCAGGTGACAAGCTAATTTAGCGTGGAATTGATGCAGCTGGGCGACGATCTTTCGGTCGCAAAATCATGGAATCTGCACGATTACACATTCCCAGCTTACAGGTTTATCAGGCGAGCGCGCCACATGCAGGGGCACAAAGATAAGCACTGGAAATTACTTTCTATCTTTCTCTGCCAATACACTAGTTGGTACCACGGTAAATCATCTGCCAACGCCCCTGTCCGAATATTCCCCCCCCCAGCAAAGCACTTGGAAACATAGAAAGAAAAATACAATTATCATCATTTCTTGCGACCTTTGCCCTTAGGTCCGGTGGAGACACTGACCGCGCGCGAAGTACTGTTGGAGCCGGCTTTGCTGCCAGCCTTAGTTGTTTTAGTCTGTTTAGCCTGAAACAGCTAGTTAGAGGGGTTCAACGATTGGGAGAGTGTCCACACTTACAGTGGCGCCATTCTTAGCCTTCTTCTTCACAGGTGCCGCGTCATCATTCTCTTCATCCTCGTCGCGGTCTCGACCACGCCCCTTGCCCTCTCCGTTTGTTTTGCTGTCGCCTTCAAACTCCTTGGCGACAGTGTTCAGCAGCGTCGTGCAGCGCCGACCGATCTCGACCGGAGTACGGCTGAGGAAGAACCAGTCGAAGCGGAAGAGTGGCGAATCCCGGACTTCATCGCGAATCTTTTCGTAAAGGCCTTCGCCCTCCACCCCGTACTTGTCCAGCATCACGAGCAAGAAGCGGTCCTCCTCCTCGGTGTAAACCTTCTTGTTGGTCGTAGACACGGTGTAGTTGATCTTGAGTTGCTGTAAAGGCACGCGGTACATCTCCAGCTTCTTGCGCAGCATCTTCCGTTGGTGGTTCATCTTCCGCAGTTTGTCCTCGCCCTGCTCAATGACCTTCAAGTACTTGTTGTAATCTTGGATTTCGGTGTATCGACGCCAGAAGACCTCGGCGTACTCCTCAATTTCGTCAGGCTCCTTGCTGTCCACCTCGGTGGCAATGCCAACGTAGTCAGTTTTTCCAAACTTAGCCGATCCATTAATGAACTGTTGGAAATCACGGCGGTTCCAGTGTGAGAAGCCTTCCTCAGACATGCGGGCCTTCTCAGCCTGCTCTTCCTCGTTCAAAGGCTGGGCATTGTCGATCTCCTGCTGCTCAAGATCCCGTTCGGCCTCACGCTCGCTCAACTCTTCCTCCGGGCCCTCGGGAAGCGGCGCCTTGTAGCCAATATCTCTGTGGAAACTAGCGGTCTCCCTCTCCTGCAACTCCTGCAGACCGGGAGGGTAGAATTGCCAGTCATGAACAGTAATTTGCTTTGGTGCGCGAGGAACCTTGGGCTTGGTATCGGCGGTCCGGCCGCCCGTAGCCAGGGCCTGACGATAGTACTTGTCGATTGAGTAGAATTGCTCCTTGCGCTCACGCTTGGCAGGGTTGATCCAGCTGATGCCAATGTCCTTCTTGCGCTCGGTGAAATCCTGGCCGTTCCACTCGTAGGCACTCTCGGAGCTGAACTTCTGCAGGTCGTCGATACCGAGCTTCTCATACTTCTTGTTCAACTGCTGCGTTCGCTCCTCGCCCTTGCGGAGGATAGCTTCGAAATCATCTTGGGAGATGTCGTCGCCCTTACCAGAGCTGTCGGTGGGGCCGAAGACATCGGCGGCGCCGTGCTGAATCATACCGAGGAGGTCATCTTTAGACGCAGCCTTGCTATTTTGCTGAGCACGGCCTTGTTGGATAACCAACTGATCCAAACGCAACTTCTGGGCGGCGCGCTCAAGAACCTTCTCTTCGATAGCATTCTCTGTGACGAATCTGAAGACCTTGACCTGCTTGGTCTGACCGATTCGGTGAGCACGGTCCATGGCTTGAAGATCGGCCTGGGGGTTCCAGTCACTGTCGAAAAGCACCACAATGTCGGCCGTAGTCAAGTTAATACCCAGGCCACCAGCACGCGTTGTAAGAAGAAAGACGAATTTTTCGGACCCAGGCTTGTTGTAATCGTCAATAGCAGCAATACGATCCTCATGGGCGGTTGTTCCATCGATTCGGCAATACTCAAACTCTCGGAAAACACAGTAATCCTCTAGAATATCCAGAACACGACTCATCTGGGAGAAGATAAGGACGCGACTACCATCCTCCTTCATGCGCTTCAAAAGGTTGTCCAGAATGGCCATTTTTCCGGCATTGAAGATAAGATGCTCATCGGTTGTATACGGGGGGCCGGGCTCGGCTCCCTCGAAAAGGTAGGGGTGGTTGCAGCATTTTCGCAGCTGCATCACAATATTCAACAATCGGGTCTTGGACTCCTTTTTGCCAGCCGCACCGTTGACCGCATCGATATCTTTCTCCAGAATCTTTTGATACCACTTCCTTTGCATCTCAGACATGGGCACATACAGGTTGAGCTCCTGCTTCGGCAGCAAACTCTTCTCAACATCACTCTTCACTCGTCGCAACAAGAAAGGCCGCAGCACACGGTGAAGCTGTTGCACAACAGTGTCCTGATCAGAGTCCTGGCTGGAGAACCACTGGTCAAATGCATCCGAGTCACCGAATACATCTGGGAGCAAAAAGTTGAGCAAAGCCCACAGCTCGTGTAGGTTGTTTTGTAACGGGGTTCCAGTGATAAGCAAGCGGTTGCGGGAGTTGAAAAGACGAATGATCTGTGAAAGTGAAGACTCCTCATTCTTAATTCGGTGAGCCTCATCAATGATGATGTACTCCCAGGCGAACTTCTTGAGGTGAGACTTCTCGCGGAGAATCATCTCGTAACTGGTAATGCACACATCGAAGTTGTTTTCAAGTAGCTCTTCGTTGATCAAGCGTTGTCGCTCCTCCTTGTCACCCTGGAGAATCAGGACGTTGACATCAGGGATCCACTTGGCGAACTCACGCTTCCAGTTATCGAGGGTGGATTTGGGGACGACGACCAGATGAGGGCCAGAGATATCGCGGACAAAGCGCAAGTATCCCAAGAATGAGATAGTTTGCAGAGTCTTGCCCAAACCCATCTCATCGGCCAAAATACCAGAGATACCATTCTCGTGGAGCGAGACAAGCCAGTTCAGGCCTGCAACCTGATAATCACGGAGTTCACCATGGACAAAGGCAGGCGATTCACGGAAAACGGTGGTTGTCTCGCCGCCCTGTCGCTCGTCCCTCAACAATTCCGCATCCTCCTCCTGTTCGGTTCTACGGCGCCGGTCGCCGCCTGCACCACCAGTGCGTGAGGACCCCTTACGCGCCTTTGCTTCGCTTTCCAAATTCTGTCGGTCGATCTCAGCAATGATCTCCTTGATGCGCGGATTTTGATTGGTTTCAATGAAATGGCGGAACAAATCTGTGAGGCCGAGAAGGTATCGGAATCGGCGAATGGAATCATTTTCCTGCGTGCGTAATTGACAATCAGTCCATGCCATAAGAATGGCGCAGGGATTGCACTCCATACCTTCGACTCATCCAAACGGTCGTGCTTCTTGCTCAGGAGGTTCTTTCGCAGTTGAGTAGCTTCGGAGCGGCGCTTGTGACCATCGGCTGTGGCGTCGCCTGCGACGCTGCTAGCCGTGGTATTCGGATTAGTGTCAGAGTCCTGCGGAGCGTCAGTGTCGAAACTAGATATTGGTTGTATGCGATTCGAGGCGGTCATTACCGTGTAGTCCGGGGTATCTGCCTATATAAAGGTAATATGTTCAGTAAACGTCTGTTGTGAGTGTGTACAGTGTGCACCGCAGTCGAGGAGAGATGCGACATTGCGGCACAAATCCGGAAGGAGTAGGTCCACGTACCATCGGCGCGTCAACAGGAATGGACGGGATTGCATCGTCATTAGCATCAGTCATTGACGTATCGGTCTGAGCCGGGGATTCAGCTTTGGCCGGTGCCATGATTTTTGTTCAGCGCGCAAAGCGCAGGCGTCACGTCGGCACAATCACGTCTCGACCCGGTAATGGAAGCTTGTCTGAAGTAGACAGTTGGTAAACTATGGAAAGAGTAGGGATGAAGAATGGATCGAGTTTCGAACAATTTGAGAAAATGAGAGATGTAACGAGAAAAGGGGAGCTGTGTGAAGGCGGAACAATCAAGCACATGGATTGAGAGAAACGCCTCCAGGCGCGAGAAGAACAAGGCGGCGAATGACACGCGCTGATTGGCCATTGCGACATGACTCAGCTGAGGCCATCCGGGAAACGGAGAAACTAATGATCCGCAAAGTGGGGGTCACGTTACCCGGCCAGTGCAAAAAGTGCAGCCGATCATCTGCAGTATCGGTTACTACGCCTCTAGTTCCCCTCCGCCCTAGTGACAACCTACCAGTACAGAGCTAGGGAGCATTTTCTTTCATTCCCCGCCTCCTTTACCTGACTTTGGGAAATCTCAAGGACTATTTCCTGTCTATTCCTTTTCTTTTGTTTGGGTATCACGTGGGACAACATCGCCTTTGACAGTGCGCTGAAGTACATCTGACCACGCCGTAACAACATCTCCCTCCGTTGATACCAAGTCTCCTTCACGGTCCTACCGATTCCTTCTGCAACTATGGATTCCATGAGATCCTTAAACACTTCCCTGCCGAGCTCGACACCTCGCCCACAGCCACCCGAGCAACTCCTCCAGTCTTTCAAAGCGGCTGCGCTATCCGTCACCAATCTGTACAAGAATGCTGTCTACGAGCAAGCCCAGGCCCGGCAGGCTGGCTATCAAGAGGCCGTAGAGGACCTGCTCCACTTTCTTGATCGTGAGAACCTTGGTCTCGGCGACGGAGAGGGTTGGAGGGTTCGTCAGTGGGCAACTGAGAAGTGTGACGGAACCGCCCAGGGTAGCGACGACGACGAGCGAACCGACCCAGATAAGCCTGACCGAAGTGCAACACCCGCAGCTGGTCGTAAGGAAGCTCCCTCTTCCGAGCCCGCTGCCCGACAGCAACCTACCTCGGCTCCCGCCTCCGTCCCCTCCGCCCCTCCCATGCCCCGTCCAGAGACCACAACCACAACCCCCACACCTCAAGCTCATCCTCAAGAGATTTCGCCTGGATCACCACCGACAGTATTCACATTCACAGCTGGTCCAACGTTCCCCCAATGCCAAGACCTCGAAATGGACGTGCAATCATCCGACAACCCTACCCCTCCTTTGCAAGACGATGCACCTGTCAGCATTTCCATGATGCCTCGCAACCCTCGCCATCAACACCGCCACAACAACCTTGCCCGTCCAATTGCCCGTCCCTTTCCCCGAGAGTCCCCTGCCAGTATTGGGTCCAAGAGGAAATTCAACGTCCCGGACTTCTTTGACTTATCCGGGGACATGTTTGGGGGAGGCAAACGTGGCCGCTTCACCTAGCACGACTCTTCCTAGGCTTAGGGAAGTCGATGAAATGACGAATTTTCTATTCTGATTGTCATGCAGCAGTTGGGAGGAACTCGGGCTGCTTTTTTCGGGTGCATTATGGGTTGAGGGACACTTGCATATGGATTCACTGCATGACCTAACCTGGTCTCTTTTTCTTTGCTTTTCTTCTTTCATGAATTTCTTTGGTCTTCTCGTTTACCCCTTCCCATGCCTCTTTATACCTATTTTTCAATACAGCATATAGAGAAAGGATTTTGTGGAGGAAATACCCGGTTTGGCAGCTATCATTACTATTTCTGCTCATGATAGTACGAATCAATATATTACAAACCCCTCAAAAAATTTCCAAAGTACATAATAAAGTGCTTTCTATTGTACAGTTCCCAACCTAATACTCCTTTGATTGTCCGTAGTATAGTTCAAAAGATCCCAAATGGGTTCTCATGGGGTTCTCAGTTGAATGCTCGGTAAACACCCATGGCAATGAGTGTTCCAGCGATGGCCGAAACTCCGAGCCGGCGCGAGCCCATCTTGTATTGTGATGTGCTTTGCATAATGCTCTTCTCTTGTTTGCGGAGGTTGGTCATGCCGCTGTGGTAGCTGTAAATACCGGCGCCGATGAATGCAGCAGAGCCTATGTCACATATCAGCAAGTTATATCTTTAGCCGGAATATCTAAGAGCAGACCACGTACCGGTTACTCTGCAGGACATGCAATCGTCCCATTTGTCCTCCGCCAGTGCTAGTTTAGCATCCTTTGGCTGGAGTTCCCAGCCACGGTTATCTGATGGAGACGCCATATCGAATGTGAAATTGCTACTTGCTATCCAGATATTCCGATAGAATATGAAGAAATAGACGTTCGTTAAATCACTGATTGAATCGCAAGTTGCGGAGAGAATCGCGGAGAATCACGCGCAGCCAAAAAGTAAACCAAGGCGGGGATCGATGGCAGAATGACCAGCTTCATCACGAGCTATGCAACTCCGACACTTCCTGTCTCAGACAACAGCCACAATGAGCGGAGAGATTGATGCCGTCTACATTTATGACGAGCTCAAGTATGGCATTCATGAATCTGGCCGTGAATTATACTGACAGCTCGATCTAGTGCCCCTCTCGTCGAGCATGTATACCGAGCCCGCCCGCCCTCGGCGGCCGCGATCCTACCCCTCTACCTCGCCCATGCCGCCCCTCGCCCCTCCTTGCTGTACATTCCCAATGCCTCACCACCGGTGACAGTGTTTTCGACTGTTCAATCGAATTTGCTCTTCCTCGCCGTGTCTGAGGTGGACACCGAGCCGCTCTTGGCCTTGGAATTCCTGCATCGCGTGGTCGATGTATTGGAGGAATTTGTCGGCGCGCCGCTGCTTGCGACCAAGATTCAGTCCAACTATGAAGTGGTTGCACAGTTACTGCACGAGATGTGCGATGGGGGAATGGTATCCAACACGGAACTCAATGCTTTGCAAGAGGTTGTTGAGGTGCCCGGCTGGATGGGGAAGCTTCTCGGCGGGATTAGCATGCCTGGGTAAGAGGTCTGAGCAATAATTGTACGAGAGCTTTCAGTTCTGACGATTGAAACTTGGTTTAGGACATCGACACCGACATCAGGACCTACTAACCCTCTAAAACAATCACTCGCCGCTGCTAGCGCAGCCCAGGGACCTGCGATACCATGGCGACGACCCGGAGTACGACACACGTCAAATGAGCTATACGTCGACATTATTGAATCTCTCTCTGTGACTATGGCCCCATCAGGGCGATTACTCTCTGCAATGGCATCTGGAACTATTGCATTCACTGCAAAGATATCGGGTATTCCAGACTTGCTCCTGTCATTATCGGCGCCGGGTGGTCAGCAATCGCTTGCTCGGAAGATCGAATTGCCAGTCTTCCATCCGTCTGTCAGACTTGCTCGCTGGCGAGAAAAGCCCGGGGAGCTTAGCTTCATACCTCCAGATGGTCGATTCATTCTGGCCGGGTATGAGGTTGATCTTCTTCCGATAGACCCTGATCTAGACGAGCCACCCAGCCACATGGAAAAGCTGTTTCTGCCAGCCATTGTAGACATTCGAAAATCAATTGGGCCCTCCGGCTCGGATTTTGAGGTCAGGTTGACTCTGAACACCAACTTCCCGGGTAGTTCCTCAAAGCCAACAGTCTCGCGGAATGGATCAGGAACATCAACGCCTTCCTTTTTAGGCGGCGGAAGCAGCTCAAGTGGGCCCGTACTGGAAGAAGTAGTTGTCAGCGTCCCGATCTCCAAATCCGTCCGGCACATCACAGACATGCAAGCTAGTCGTGGTGATGCACAGTACTCTCGCAATACGGGGCTTCTCGAATGGCGGGTCCCCACAGGCCGTGAAGCTGGAAGCATTTCAGGCACTGCGACTCTCCGATGTTCTGTCGCAGGCTATCCAACGGCCGACGAGGAACATGATGACAGCCTCGAGGACGACGAAGATGCCAATGCAAACCTTCTTCAAGGCTACTATGAAACCCCTACATCTTACAACGACCCATCTGCAGGCACCACCAGAAAGCGCCGCGACCCCTCCAAGAAGAAGAAGAAGAAGAAGAAGGACAAGGAGAAGGGATCCAAGAAATCTTCTCGATCTGCCGCTCTCCTCGAAGAAACAGTCGAAGGTGAAAGTGAAGGCCCCGCTGAAGGAATATCAGAGGCACCTGCCAAAGCCAAACCCCCATCTCCGAGCCCTTCCAAATCTCACACGCCTACTCCTCCTCCACAATCTCAACAACCATCTCAACTTCCTGCGTTTTTCGCACCTTCATCCGCACCTCGCTCTGGGCCCCGCAGAACCAAAGCCCAACTGAATGCCAGTCTCATGCCGAACTCTGCCTCTGTCTCCTTCTCTGTCCGAGGATGGCTTCCATCTGGCATCAAGGTGGACAGCTTGAATATTGATCAGCGCCGCAGTCGAGGGATAGGTGACAGTGTCAAACCGTACAAGGGAGTGAAATATATATGCGTTAGTCGGCGTGGTGTCGAGCGACGCTGCTGAGAGGGGATAACTTGATTTTTGGAAAGCTCCATGTCTACTCAGGTGGCTCATCTCATGTATCGGTGGAAGCCATGATCTAGAGTATGCAATATGGTAAAATAAATAACGAGATACCATTGAAATCAAATCTGCGCTTAAATGCTCTGTTCGGGTTGTGAATCACTCGGTGGCTACAATCATCTTTGCCAATAATATGATCCAAACCCTTCCGCCCTGCTGTGTGTTGTACCTCCTCCAAAGGAATCCGTGCACAAGGAGGGTAACGGCGTATTGACCTCCGATGCTGCAAGCACAATCGTAAGCATGCTGAACAGTATCCAGGAGTATCATTCCTGTAATCCTCTCGGCTTTCTCACTCCAGGACCAGTCCGCCATATTTGAGTTGAAAAACTGCATGTGCAAGTCTTGCGTATAGATAAAATTCCTGGTGAGGAAAATCTGGACAAGTTGTAAAAGAAATGTTTTCGAAAGAGGCTGATGGGGGCTCATCGTACACGCGCCCTACAAGCACCGCATGAGTTGTTCAACTGCGCCTCTCTCATGGTGATTGAATCTTTTGTCTTCCCCCGCTGCCCCTCAAATTTCGCTCCTCTCATAAATCTACATACTGAATGAAAAAGAGAAGAGTTATGACCTTCCCACAAATGACTACTTTGCATAGCGGGAGCAGTCCACCCATAGGAAAGGTACTTGCTAACGCATAAAACCAACTTGTTCCAATCCAATCTTGGTGGTGTTTTCCTAGCCTATCTCTAGTACGAAACACCCGGGCACCTACGTAATAAATTGTCATACCTATGTTGAAGTTCAATAAGAAACACGGGTGAAGTAAGTCACTTGCCGTTGATGTGGGAGTCAACCCGTACTGTGTGGTATTGAATCGTTGCTAGACGGTGGACGCGCGTAAGGGAGCCTCTGATTATGAGGCCAGGCCTCCACCTGGGCCAAGAAGATTCTATAAACGGCTGGCTGGGCTCCACAAACTTTCTACTTGGCCCTTCCTAACATCTGTCCAAGCGTTCTCCGATCACCAATATACATATGGCTCTCGAAAATTTTTCTTCAAAGATCCCGAAACAGATAGCCATGAGCCGGTCTAGACCCACTTGGGGTAGTTTCAGGCCCGGTTCATAGGAAAGGATCCTTCCTCATTGAGAAGACTTTCGAAGATGAGCAGCACAAGTTACTCAATTTGGACTTATCTACCAAAGATAATAATGAAGAACCCCCCACCGAAAGTCTCGAAAGGAAAGGATCAGCAAGTGTAAAATTGAATTTGGTTCCGTTATTTTCCTATTTAGACATTAAAAGACAAGTGGTATCCATCAGAGTTTGGAGGCGCGGCGCTCCAGCGCTTGCATCAAGATGTAGGCAACTACCGACCATGTTAGATGAGTTCAAGACTGGGGTATTTCATGACCCGCAATCAACGACAAATGGCAAAGGAAGTGGATCCATTAAGATTTAGGGTATGCGTTTAACATGTATGTGACTTTCTGGGTATCCAGTTTGGGAAAGGCGAAGAAGACATTTATGCAAGGAAATGAGAATGAAGGTGGGGGGGACGTATCCACAATGTGACAGTGTGAAGTAGGACTGCTTATATGGGTATACAGGTGGGGGGTATCAACAGTCTTCATGACAATATGTGCACTTGGAACGTGTCGTTTAAACTCGCTGGAGGATCTGCTCCAGGCTTATTTAACCTCTTCGTCTGGAGGAGACAGGCCTTGGCGAGAAGGTTGCAGAAAATGGGAAAACAGAGCAAGAAGCATATTGAACAGCAATGGGGTAGATCATGAAATAAATCAAGGGAGAGGGTGGTACTCACTGGCAGCAACAACGGTAGCACGGCCAGCGCCGGCCTGAGCACTTCCTCCACCCAGAGTCAAAATGTATCGCAACCAGCCGAAAGCAACCTTGTTGCCACTACGGTCAAAGTCGGGGGCCAGAGCGGTGGCCGCCTTCCATGTAGCCAGCTTGCCGGCGTAAGGCGGGTAACGGATAGACAGGATGGATTCCAACCAGCCAGGGCTAGTAGTGATAGGGCGACGGTGCACCCAGACGTCAAAGCTGGAGCGGCCGCGGTATGCGCCGTAGCCACTCTCGCCGACACCACCGAAAGGCAGAGTTGGGATATGAAGGGCGGCGTCGTTACAGGCAACACCACCGGAGCGGGTGCTAGAGATAACTAGAGAGTTGTCAGGTCTGCAATATACGGGGGAAACCTCCAGAAAGAGGAAGCTTACTCTTTGCAACATCGGCCTTGTTGCCGAATGGGTAGAGACCCAGAGGGGGTGGCCTGGACGCCATTGGCCAGACTGATAGCCTCGTCAAGGTTCTCGACGGGCAAAATGGGAATAAAAGGACCGAAACTCTCCTGGGTGCACATGGAGTCATCAACAGAGTCCACCAGGACAACAGTAGGCTCAATGTAGAGCTCCTTCTCATCCATGGTGCCACCCATCATGATCTTGCCCTTTGTGTTGTCGAGCATAGACTTGAGGCGTTGGAAGTGAGTCCCATTGACGATGCGTGAGTAGTCTGGCGAAACTTTGGCGCCCTGGGGATAGAACTCCTTGTAGGCCTTCTTGAACTCCTCCACAACATCGGTCACAAGCGGCTTGTCAACGAGCAGGTAGTTCTGCGAAGTGCAAAGCTGACCGGCATTCAGAAGCTTGGCCCAAAGCATACGGCGGGCAACCAGTCTGGGGTCGGCATTCTTGGTGACAATAGCCGGGTTAATACCACCCAACTCGAGCACGACCGGGGTCAGATGGGGCGCAGCGGCTTTGGCGATAATTCGGCCAACGTTGGCACCACCAGTGAAGAAGATCTTATCCCATCGCTCAGCAAGCAGGGCCTGCGTCTCAGGAACACCTCCCTGAATGACATGGTAGCACGAGGGGTCGAGACTGGCCTCGCAAATCTTCTGCATCACGGCGGCGCTGCGGGGAGCATTTTCGGACGGCTTGATGACGACGGTGTTACCAGCGGCAATGGCACCAACAACAGGTCCCAGGGTCAACTGGAAGGGGAAGTTGAAAGCACTAAGATAGGCAGACTGTTAGCTTCCAGCTTCTCTTGTCTCCTACACACCGAGCTAGGGAGAAACATACCCGATGACCAACACACAGCCCAGGGGGTCCTTTCTGATCGTGGGGCTCATGAACTTGAAGGCAAGATCCATATCCTCCGCCTTCTCATCCTTGACCCAGTTGTGGAGGTTGCGAGTGGTGAAGACGACATCGTTGAGCAACCAACCGCTCTCAGCGACCTCGACCTCGAAGCGCGGCTTGTTCAGGTCCAGCGCGCAAGCCTCGGCAATCTCCTCTTCATGATCCTTGATGCTGTAGAACTGTCAGCCGGTGTTTCTGAAGTGATTTGTGGCCACTCACGCCCAGTAGAACTTGCGAAGCTGCACGAGGCGGAACTCGACATCGCGCGTGCGGTGCTCCAGGAACGCCTTGCGGGCAGTGGAGATGCGCTCGGGAATCTCCTCGAGCGAGGTAAATTGCAGTTCAGGAACCTGGACACCCATATTGACTGTGAATGAAGAAAGAAATAATCCTTACGTCAGAAAAAGGAGGGTGACTGCGAGGGGCGACATTTAAGAACTCTGAGGCAGCGGCTTCTCCGCATCCACATGCGCCGCCCGGCTCATTCTATCTCTCCGAGCCGTCGATCATTCCCCTCGCGATTTTGTCTGGACCCGCGAACCTAGGTCTAGTACGAACCACCTATGAACTGGATGGAGTACTATATAATTATATGAACACGGTTCATCGTCTACTTTGATCAACTGCCTCTGCATCTATTCTGCAACACGCGAGGCCAAAGGCCGCACGACGCCGTTCGCCCGCCAATTCTCCACTTGCAACACCCCTGAGCTCTGCCGCGGCTTCACAGAGACCCACGCACGCCATTGTCCGGTCGGGCCCCCCCCCTGTTCGGGATAGCTTAAAACGACTTGAAGAAATTAGTGGATAGGGGTGTTGCCTGTTACAGCCTAGATGGATCTTCACTACTCCTATCTTGCCAAGCGACAGAGTTTTCCAGAAAAAGAAACACGTTTCATTCAAGCATCAAATTACTCGTACTTATGCACTGATTTTCAAAATGCAATGACAAGTCAGGTCATCCTACAAGACAACCTCGACGGGAATCAAGTCATAGATCAACAAACAAAAGGAAAGAAAGAAAACGCCGTGATAGCAATATACATGACACCTTTCAAGGCTTGAACTGGTCCTCCGTAACACCCTTGCCCATAGCGGCCGTACTACTGACGCCACCGGAGACCATCTTCAAGAGGTTATCAACGTAGTTAGCACCGCTCCACTTCTGGTGGGTGACCACGTCGACCTCTTGTTCCATCTCGGGTTCCTGGACCAGCTCGCCGTAGGCGCGCATGCCATTCTTCGCATACGCCTTGGCGAACTGATGAGAGATGAGCGCCGTCGTGTGCAGACCCGCCAGGGTGATGAACTGCCAGGAGTAGCCAAGTTCGCCCAGACGCTTAATGTAGGTCTCTTGTTCATCGCGCGGCATGGCCTTCTTCCAGTTGAACGAGGGCGACAGGTTGTAGGCGAGCCTGGGAGACTGTTAGCTTCTTGGATTCGGGATTTGAAAATTTTCATTTCGGGCGGAACTTACTTCTGCTCAGGCCACATGGCGTGCACACCGTCGGCGAACTCCTTGGCCTGGTTGTAGTCGGGCAGCTTGCTCTCCATCCAGATGAGATCCGCAAAGGGTGCGTATGCGACGGCACGGTTAACGGCGCACTGAGTACCACCTTGGTAACGGTAGAAGCCCTCACGGGTACGGGGCGAATCCCAGTTCCAGAAAATGTCAACGCCGGTGATGCCCTTGGCAATGGCGCGGGCTTCGCTGTTGCTCTTGCCCTTGGAGGACTTGAGGTACTGTTGGATCAAGCCATTCTTATCAGCGTGGACACCGGCATTGATGGTATCGACAACGGCTTCGTTGAAGAGCTTGAGACCCGCTTGAGCGGTCCACTGGTCCTCAATGGCCTGCAGCTCAGCGCCATTCTTACCGGCCTGCTCAGCGGCAACCATCAGGTCGTTCAAGGGCTGGAGGTTGGCGTTGGTGGAGCCGACAATGAAGGCATGATCACGGTGGTCAATAGTGGAAGTGATGAGGGTAGCGGCTTCCGAGTCAGTACGGGCAATGGCCAGGAGATCAGAGCCCATGATATCGGCCTGGGCGCGGATGGCAACCAGACGGTTAATGTGTTCGCTGATGGGAACCAGCACCTTACCAGCCATATGGCCGCACTTCTTGGTACCAGGAGCCTGGTCCTCAATGTGAATACCAGCAGCACCGCGCTCAACGAAGAGCTTGGTCAGCTTCATGACGGCGGTCAGACCACCGTGACCGGTATCAGCATCAGCAATGATAGGACGCAGGTAGTCGACGCTGGCAACATTTCCACGCTTGTCCTTAGGGGTGGTGACACGCTCCTCACGCTGTTTCCGATCATGGAAAAGCTGAGCCATGAAAAGTTGGTTGACCTTGCGAGGAACAGTGTCCTATATTTCTGTAAGTATACGACTTCAACACAAACTGCCTGGAATATTTCAACCTACCATAGGGTAGTCTGCCAGATCGGGAGAAGGCTCGTCCGTGGACGAAGCAGTTGAAGAGCTCTGCCATCCAGAGACGTAGATAGTGTCTAGGAACTTGCACATTTGTGTAATCATGGTAGGCTCGAGGCAGCCGTAGGTGAAGCTAGCTTGCTTTGTCTGTTGAGAAGGTTCCAGTTAGCCCTGATTTCGCTCATACGGTGCCGACATTCCTTACTTTGAAGTTGTTCTCCACAATGTCCCAGAGCTTCTTAGCCTGGACAGCGGACGGGTAGTCGATCTTCAGGTTGCCACGCTTTGCGACAATCTGTTCGGCTGTGAAAGGACGCTTGGTGTATCTCCAGCGCGAGTCTTTCCACCAGTTCTTGACAGCCTGAACCTCCTCCGCGAACTGGCGGTCTTCATCTTCGAATTGACCCATGGTGACTTTTAGGGTAGAAATACAGCTGGCGAAGTGCAAAAAAGTATATATTCAGTTGCAGTAGTCCACAGCGCTTGCAAACCAAGACAAGGACAAGAGTTTAGACAAGGGAAAGGAGGAGGAAGGAGACGGAACCAAGCACAGATAAAATAAAGACCGATCACAAGCCAGCAGGAAACCCGGGGTACTTATTTACTTTGTGAATGCGTCACAGCATTCCACTCTTCGGCAAACGCTCGGCTCACCGGGACAAGTAGAATCCAATCCCAGACAGCCTAGGCATTTTCCCGTACTGAAAACAGCTATTCGACCAATGTTCAGGCTTCGGAGGTCCGATGGGCGGAGGCGGTGCGGTTCTTCGGGAGAGAGGATCCAGACTCTGAGATCCTCGGTCTAATGGACGATTTGTCTCGGCGCTTTGCCACTACGTTTTACTACGCACCGTTGACTCATACCTATTAAGAGAGCTTTTTTGGAATCGCTGGCTGATGAGTAAAACACTAGGAATCATATTCTATGTCCTTTCAAACACACTCTCAATTCTAATGATCGCATTGAAGGACACGAAAGTGTCGGGACGCCTAGGACCCAGATGACGTCGTCGAACATGTGCGTTTCTACGTGACAATACCTGAAACTTTCACGTGCGTCTACGATCACAGGCCTTAAGGCAGGACTAGGGCTGCACACGATCTATATAGAGCTATCTAGCCAATTCATAGATTGAAACTAATGTCCGTTATCGGTTCTCGTCCTTTTTCGGCATGTATTTGGCTACAGGAGACCAAGCAATCAGCTGCCAAAGAGAAAATTGCTGCCTGAGTCATCAATACAAATCTGTTATCCCCCGGTATTCAAATGCATCTCCACTGAGCCTCTTGGCCGGAACATGAACATACAAGAACAGGAGAATGCCCGGTAAATCAGTAGCTACTAGCCAAAGGATCATAGAAGAGTACAAGGATAAGAGTACCAATAGCCATCTACTCCTCTATACAAGTTTTCTCTCTCTATTCCTAGCGTGTGCATTATGTCGATTAATACGAACGCAAATAACTCGATTATATGCCTCAATACTTGAACGACTTGGAATAGCACGAATTCATACCGGAGGAAATGACGCTTCTAGCGACCAGCCTAGTACCCTTGTCCAACACTGTACACTCCACCCGATGATCAATGAGCACTGAAATGACCCGCGCTAACCGTTTCCGTTGTACCTCGGCTCATCGAGAGCTTACCTGCACTCCCTCAATGCGCTTCAACGTCCACCTGACAGCAAAAGGCCAATACAGATCAGCAAGGGACTCTTCAAACACAATTATAGACGGCCTGATAACCATCGCCTGACCACAAAGCTCCGTAGTCGGTGAATTCCACTCCCACAGCCCAATCTATACAACCATACCAACCCGAGCCCCCAAACCCTGAAGCACCAGCTCTATCTGAAACTACGAATCAAACCCAAATCGCAGCGCCAGATTCTACCAAAATAGCAATATGTAACCTAACGAATCCGTACCACTAGGCCGTAAGCCCAAAGCTCCAGCCACGAGAATAGCCTCGGGAAAACCAGGGTCCGCAACGCGCGCACCCGTGTAATTGTCGAACCTAGGGCACTATCGGTGCATCTCAGCTGCGGAGGCCCCGATGGCGGAGTTTGGATTTCGGGATCCCTGATCTTCTCTCTCGGATGTTGCCCGGGAGGCCCTACGACTTGCCGATGGCTGCCGGGTTATTTTCGCATTGCGGTTCCTGGCGGTGAATTGCCTTGATATGGATTGCGGGGATTATGCAGCCTTGACTTGAAGTGGGCCGGGTAGGGTGGAGTGTTTTTGCTCCAGACTAGAGAAGGCTATGTATATACAAAGTGGTTGGTTGCGTTCTTGCTTGGGTGAAACTTGATTCCAAGATTGTAGGCGGCAAGATTTCTATCACCTTGGGCATGTACACTCTTCCGAAAGAATTAAATACGCTCCCTTTCACGGTCCTCCGGGATATTAAAATATTAGTCACACTTTTATTTGATTCAAATTGCAAAGCCAAGCCAAACATTTTGCTTTGTACTAATTTCTAGATGCGACTTTTCTGTCGTTTCTACAATTACCCAAAGTTTCCACACCGGCAAAACCAGCCATGAGGTATTAAACCTCCAATCAGTAAGCATCCTGAGCCAAAACTGCCTTCCTGTACGTCTCATAAGGCGTGATAGCTCCCAAAGAGCGTCTCATATGCGCGTTGAGAATCTCCAGTCCGTAGACATAGCTGGCATTAACCCAACCGAATCTGTGGAATCAACATTAATAAAGATTTTGAGAGCGAGAGAGATTATCCAACTTACCCTTCACGTGGTGCGCCCTTGAAATTAGTGCCTTGGTTGCCGTACTCGGCATCGACCCGGTGAGGATCAATGGGCCGAGTCACATCATACTTCTCCACGACCACACCGTTGAAGTCGACAAATGCCTTCGTGATCATGTACAGCCACTTGTACGCAAGTCGCTCCGCTTCTTCCTGGTATCCGTACCGCAGCAAGCCAGTCCACGCGAGCATCTGCTGTGGCGCCCATCCGTAAGGATAATCCCACTGGCGGTTCGGGCGTTCCAAGCCGACTGGACCGCGGGACTCCTCTGTACCCGAGACTAGACCGCCGAAAGCTTCCAGCCGAGGTAGGGCCTTGGAAACCAGTGCGGCAGCTTGGGCAGGGGTAGCGAGACCGGCCCACATTGACCAGAAAGTAGTCGCAGACTCATAGTCCGAGCGTTCTTTCTTGACAGTGTCGTAGTCGAAGTACATGCCCTTCTCCTCGTTCCAGAGATGCTTATCCATGGCCTGCTTGCGCTTGCGGGCACGGCGGTCCCAGGTAGCGGATGACTCAAATTCGATATCCTTCGACATGGGCGTGCGGAACTCAACAGGGATAGACAACTTGTCCTTGAAGTGGATGCGGATGATGCGGGCAATGTCCACCTCGTACTTGTACAACAAGGAGTTGAGGTCAACTGTCGCCAGGTTGCCGCACACGCGTTCGAGACGGTAGCTTGTGTCGTGACCAGACTCACGCACGGCACGATCGTGTAGGAAATACTCGTCAAGCTCTTCTTCGACAACTTCGCGAGAGTTGTATGCTTTGACAAACTGCTCGAAAGTCATGCCGTGCTTCTCGGCATACGGCATAAGAATGTGAGTGAAGTGGCTTGGCTCAGTCTCAGGTGGCACGCCCCATCCCTCAGGGCGATATCTGGAAAGGCCAGTGATGGGATCAAGGCGGGGTTCACATGCCCAGACACTGTAGTATTCCTTGATGGCGGCGAGAACGGAGTTTCGGAGGAACTCCTGGGAATCGGGCTCATTCTTAATGCGCTCGTAAACCCGCAAAGCCATGTCGGTCAAAAACGGAGGCTGAGAGCGTGTGAGGTAGTAGGTCCGGTTAGCGTTGAGGATCTTTCCATAGTGCTTGATACTGAAGCAGAAGTTCACAACCATGCCCTTGGCAAGGTCAACGCGGTCGCTGACGATAAGGCCGAGAGACTCCATGTAGCTGTCCCATCCATACAACTCATTGAATCGACCTCCAGGTACCACGAACGGAACACCTCTCAAATCTTCCTTCCCGGTCTTTTCATCAATTATCTTGTCCATTGCTAGTGCCAGTAAACCTGGCTTCTCACCGAGCGTCGTGACAACGTAATCGGGAGTGATGTTGGCTTCAAGCATGAGCACCTCCAAACGCAGTTCGGGGTGATCCTTCGCAATTTGGGTGTAGTATTCAAACTGCTCCGGGGCGCCGGGTGGGATGTAGATACGGGGACGAGGGTCATCCGTCCAATCTTTCGGATCTTTACCCGCAACCTCGATATTGGAACCATCAATGCGCCTGGTGAGGGCCACCCAGAACGACTTTTTGATCAAACGAGAGAGTCGCGCTACTGGGTTCTCGCTGAGCCTCGCTTCATCGAGAATGATGTCCTTGCGGCCGTAGTCTTTGGCGATTGTAAGCTCCTGTAGGAGGTTGGAGAGCATGTAGGTACCGCGGACATCCACACGCCGGATGCCTGAGGAAGCGGCCGTTCCGATCGAGAGAGTCTGGAATCATTAGCATATTGCTCAATTAACCTCAAAACGACGATAATACCTTCGGTCCAAGATCTTCGATCGTAATTTGCATGTTCTGATCCGTATCTTCTTGCTTCAGGAGGGACTCGAGGGTTTCGTCCACCTTGATGAGGAACTTGCGGGGTTGTCCGGAGGCCTCATCTGAGTATATTTATCAGCATTCACTGCGACATGGAGGCGGGGGAGGTAGCTAGACATACCGTGGCTACCACGTCTAGACGGCAAATTGATATCCTCACGGCTGTTGTAGTCCTTATTGACGCTCTATCCACACAAGAGACACATTAGCGGGGGATCTCGCAGGGTAACCACACAGGCACGGTGGCTGCTTACCACTGAGAAAGCACGGCGCCGATCTCTGATCCTGGACCGCGAATCCTCGTTGCCATAGTAGACATCGGGGTGGGAAAACGGATCGAGGGAAGGCGCCCGCTGGCGGTTGTCTGGTGAGCTCATTATCTCTCAGGGTTCAGGAAATTGCAATCCGTATTTCGGTTGTGCGTCACGCAAGGCCTGTCCACACCGACTTCCTGGGGAATCCCAGAAGTACTGCAGGGCAGGACGGATATAAGTACTGGCGGTGAAAGTTCCGCGGGCGATCTCGAGGCGATCGGTGAGCAGCTGGGAACCTTGCTAGCGGGATGACACTGTCTCGACTTCAATTAAGCGAGACTGATCGATCTATGGTGAGGATGAGAATGTGGTGTATGTAGGAAGGTGGGATGGCCGAAAGATCTTCCAGAATGACGGTATGTGGACGATGATGTCGCCGCTCCACTGTTGTTGCCTCCTGATAAGAAAATGATAACACAACCCGGTTTCTTTGTTGTCCGCGTTAACCACGTTAATCGCTGAGATGCGATGTTTTCTTCTTTGGGGGAGGCCTAATCTAAAAAAAAATTTGGATGGAAAAAAAAAGCAATGTAAAAAGCAATGTCTTTTTTTTTTGAAGGACCGAAATAGCGGTGATGACCAGCCTTTGGTTGGCATGTTGTTTCCCCGGGGTTTCGCCCCGCAGTCCGCATTGGGTTCTGGAATGTAGCTACTCGACATTTTGGTTTAAAAGAACCGACGTTTCCGCTCAATTATCCTATCTATAGTGCAATATGGGCCTGAGTGATCTAGATCTTGGCGGAGATGGCACTGCCGCCGTCCACCGTGATGGTGGCGCCATTCACGAATGCGCCCGCACGGCTACTCAGGAACAAGCAAGCACCAGCCACATCTTGAGGAGTTCCGATGCGGCCCAGAGGGACGCCAGACTTGATGGCCTCGCCAAATGACTTGAGGGTGGCGGCCATCATCTTACTCTCGAAGGGGCCACAGGCCAGGGTGTTGGAGCTGCCACACATATTAGACATGGACAAAACAGTCTGGACCGAATGTATAGACTCACGTAATGTTTCGCTTGCCCAGGTGGTTCGCCAGCGTGCGGCTGAGGTGGTGCAACCCGGCCTTGCTAGAACTGTAGGCGAAAGTCTCGAGGGAGGGCACTCGCAGACCGTCGATGCTGCCGATGTTGATAATGCGCGCGGGGTCATTCGGAGCAGACGCCTTTTCTAGCAAAGGAGTCACCAGCTGTGTGAGATCGAAGACGCGGTGCAGGTTGAGTGTCAGGACGCGGGTAAAGGCCTCGCTGGGGTACTCGTCGTAGGGGGCACCCCAATTCGAACCGGAGTTGTTAACAAGGACATGAAGCTCTGTAGAACCACCCGGTTAGCAAGGCCATCATCTCAAAGATTGTCCAGGATTGACTGACTGCTCTCGCGCTTGCCCAGCTCCTCCGCCAGCTTCTTCACATCGTCATACTTGTAGAAGTCGGCAGGAATGGCGTGGGCTTTGCCCTTGCCAAGAGCATTGAGCTCGTTGACAGCTTTATCGCAGGCCTTTGCATCGCGAGATGAGATGTAGACCGTGGCACCGTTGGTAACGTAACCCTCTGAGATCATGCGACCGATACCTTTGGCTCCGCCGGTGACCAGCACCACTTTGCCCTAGAATACAGTTAGTAGAACGACCCGCAACAATAGACAGACGATCTCACCTTAACATCGAACAAACTTTGAGAATCCATAATTGAGAAGAATGAAGTATAGGTCAATCTCAGATGCGTGGACCCATAGTTTTGATCTCACCCTCAAAGCTCCTCATTGCACTGCATACCCGAAGACCGATCAGACAAGCCGAGGCCCTCGGTGCCATGGTTTCTCCGAAGAACACGCTGTTCCCAAATAGGCCATAGTGCCGGTAGAGGTAAGGTGCCATGTTTATTGCTGCATCAGCGATCATCTTTCTATAGCTGCATTGGTCTCTTGGTATTCAATCTCAGGTTGATTCATTTTCATCATGATATTCACACGCTTCGGAAAGCCCTACCTGACCCTGACCAAGGGACACAAGTGACACTGACACCAACGTTTGAAGGGCAACTATTTGGTTAGCGTCATGTTAACACTTGAGCACCTACAATATGTTTATTTCACCCGATTTAATAACCATCCGACATTTGGGCGAGATCTAATACCATGGTGTAGTCTCTGCTGCTTTATTTCATGAGAATCCACCACTTTTGGTATACTACCGAGCCGAGCGATCGAACGTGGTGCTAGTAAGACAGAGTAGACTTTAGAGTCATGGACTATGACTCGATTCACAATCTGCTATCTTGTCGTGAAGTCTGTTAGACGTAAATCTATCCATTTAATCTATACCTGGCTGTTATTCTTTCTGTGCCTAAATAAATCCCATAGGTCGAGACTCTCGGCGATATAGTTTCCCCGAAGCGGACTACACCATTCCTATTTGGGCTCTGATTTAGGGCAGCTCCGTCAGGGTTTCGCGGGGCGACTTTGCAATGCGTCCTTGCTTGTTACTTGATTAGCGACTTTCTTTTGTTCCTTGCATTTGCATATTGATATCCAATTCTAGACCGATTGGTCTCTATCTTCGCAATGGACGGGCTTTTGGCAAAGCACCGCAAGGAGCAAAAAGACCTCCAAGGGCGAATCACCCAGAAGAAAAAGTCCGCCACTAAGAAGACCCGCAAGGGCGTCAATGATGAATGCGAACGGATGCAACGGGATCTCACAGAGCAACAACAAGCTGAAATCACACAGCTGAACGGGAACCCGGTCGAGCCCACAGAGGCTCTCGACGACCTGACTCTGGAAGATGAGTTACCGACAAATGGAGAATCGAGCGAGGACAAGACGACACGATCCGAGACTGAGCCCGCCGCGACTGCCGAGGAAGAAGAACCTGCGGCCCGCTCCAAGAAGCCCAACCGCCAAAAAGCTCGTCTCGCCCGCCGTGCTGCCGAACAAGCTGCCCAGGCCGAGGCTGCGGCAGAAGAAGCCGCGACTCAAACCAACTACCGAGGCAACGAGCAGGAAATTATGGAAACAGTGTTTAAAAAACTGGGCTTGACGGAAGTTGAGGTCACTCCAGACGGCCACTGCCTGTATTCCGCGGTCGCAAAGCAGCTTGACGATTCAGGAGTTGGCTTGCGGCCGGACCCAAGCCGAATTATTCTGCAGCCAACGACACTATCCCGTATCGACACCGTCGCATCACCGCAGCACGACGGCTACCGAGCTGTTCGGGCTGTCGCGGCCGACTTCATCACAGACCACAAGGAAGACTTCGAGGCGTTCATGGAAGAGCCCTTGGACGTCTATACTCGGAAGATCAAGCTGACAGCTGAGTGGGGTGGTCAGCTGGAGCTGCAGGCTATTGCGCGGGCATATGGGGTCGATATCAATGTCGTACAAAAGGACGGAAGATTGGAGAAGATCGAATGCGGCGATATGGACAGCTTTGATGACGAGGAAAAGCGCAGGCGCATCATCTGGCTAGCGTATTACCGACACTCCTACGGGCTCGGGGAGCACTACAACGCTCTTTTCAAGAAAACCTAAATAATTCAAATGATGATACCCAAAGGCACTGTTATTCGGCATTCTTGATTGAAACTTGGGTAGGTCAACGAGATTATAACTTTTTCTCGTTCACCTAGTCACGTCGACGCCAAATGGAGACTCTGTCATGGACCACTCCGTTCTCGCCTTGGCCTATTTCGTGGGTTCGTTTGGGTGTCCAGTACGCTACTCTTTCTAGGCCGGCCTTGCTCGGTCCTCTCAGAGGCTCATGCTTCACAATACCCTCATTGTAAGGAATCTCCTCCCCTGGGTGACTCAGGTGCTCCATATAGGCCTCTGAGGAGGAAGGGTAAGGGGGACCTGGAGCTAGGGGGTCTTTATGACGGGGGAACTCTAGACAAATCAAGTTACCTAACGGAGACGGAGCCAGTAATTGAACGTGTCGAAGCGCCCACTTAGGGCGGAGTGCCGGGTCCAGAGCACAAAAGAACTATATGCATGTTAGAAAGGGAGTGCCAGAGACATATCGTGATGAACAATATAATAGACGAATCAAGATACCGTATAGTCATAGATGATATCAAATCCATTCAAAGAAACCCCCATGGTTTGAAGCCAGGCATTATCGAAGAAATCACCTTGCACAAACATAACTTTTCCGCGCCCGACCGTCTCATCGCGCACATGATAGCTGTTGCGGTTCTCTGCTTCTTCTTTTTTGCATTCATCGACGGCAGAAGCACTGTATTCAAGACCATAGGCATCGTAGCCGAAGCTAGCAAGCAAGAGTACATCGACTCCCCTGCCACAGCCGGGGACCAGGGCCTTTCGTCTGTGCGGTTGGCCCTGTGCATCCAGGGCGATGGGCCCGCCGATAGTACCTCGCTGCTGGACCAGCAGATCCTCCAATGCGGGGTTGGGGAAGCCCTTGTCCCAGGGCAACTTGCCGCCTTTATCCCAGAGTGAGGCCCAGCCGTCGACGTATTTGTCGCCCTGGTACTGGGCCAGAGTGGCCTGGACGTCTTTGATATCGACGTTATTTGCCATTTTGAATATTTGATTTGAGAGTCGTAGATTGTAAGAACAGGTTGGTGTAATTCTTAACCTGATTGTATGAAGAATGCGGTTGATTGCGTTGATGATCTCGTTGACTGATCCAATAATCGAGATTATTAATCCACTTTTTGCAAGACCCCTCGAGCTCGAGCTCGAGGTTGTTTGATGCTACCCGTCAGAATCACTCTTTTTGAACAGCCCAGTGCATATTGTGAGCTGTAATTAGGTTATCTCTATTTATCACTGTTCATAGACGCCTCCAGGCATCTCTCCTGTGGCCAGGGTCAAGGCCAATTTCCTAAAGCGGGTTCCCCCCACGAGCCCGCAAATCCACGGTGGATTCGGACCACACAATACCTGGACTAAACGAAGCCAAATTGCATCAATCCTGCCTGACAGATGGCATTTGTTCATAACCGAGCTGGTCAAACTCCGGGGTTATCTCCAGGCGGGATTGCCCGCCCAGGTCTTTTGCCGGCGGAAGACCGGCACGCGCACTCTCCACGATGACTGGTCCCCAAAACGTGGATCGCGAATCTCGAGCCTAGGGCCCTAAAGACATGCTTCTCTTAGTTTGCCGACCCCTCACGTCGGATTAATATCCACTGACAGACGCTTGAATTAAATGAGATGCTGTTATCTTTCGGTACCCACGGTGCTTGTCGGCCTTCCGCGTGCAGACACTCTTTGTGCCGGAGTGGATCCTTGAAGATCTCGATCATACGTATTCAAACGGCGACTTCCCCTGAGGCTTCCAGAACCTCCTCCTCCTTCTGGATAAAACTAAGTATCAGAAGGAGCAGATCCCGAACATCGGGCTTGTGATGTGCTAAGTGTAGTGCACTGACCTAGAATCGTTCCTGCTTTCCACAGGTTCGCAACTCTATAGTCAGCGATCATCAGGCTCACGCCTTCCACATTCGGCTTTTGAAAGTCTCAACTCTGCCGTCGCGCTCTTCTTCTCACAGCCGAGCGTCGCAAAGAATTTAGCACATTCGCCTTATCGCATTTATCTCTTCCGGGTTCGATATCAACCTCATAGAGCCCGGTCGTTCGCAACCTTTGCAGATGAACTATCTGTATCGTCGATCGTCCAGGTTGTGGTGTTTCATCTCGTTACATCATTGATCTTCAGGAGATATCGCTTGTCCATTTCATGTCTAGCAAGGCTGGCTTAACACTCTTGCATCTCAATTTGCTGAACCCCAGGGTTTTTCGACAGGATTATTCACCACTCCTCATCGACGGCAGTACGATCCGACATGTCTGGTGAGCCCGAAAAAGACGCGGTCGTGGCATTGGCTTTGCCTCCATCAAGTTCAGGCAGCGATGAACGTTCAGTAGACTTTCCCGGCCAGGAAATTGGACTGGAACCTGTGGAAGATTATCACTCGCGGTCGCATGCCTCCAGTATCTCCCATCGCGGCGAAGAGAACAAGAATCACTATGACGAAGAGAAAATGATCCTGCGCCTGAGCCATTGCATCGTGCATCCACGGAGCTTGGTCCTGCTGTCACAATCCCACGGCTGAAGCGCAGAGGATTACTCGGTCAATTTGCCCTCGTTGCTGAGATCGAGAACCCGAAGACTTATCCACGAAGGACGAAGTGGTTCATCACTTTCATTGTCGCTGTAGCAGGAGCTGCTGCACCTTTGGGAAGCTCGATCTTTTTTCGTAAGTTGTGCTGTTTCTGTCAATTTTGTCTCGTCCAGATCTGACAAATCTCTCCAGCCTCGCTCTCCCAGGTAGCCAAGGAGCTGAACACGACTGCCACCATCACTAATCTGTCAATTGCTCTATACATGCTGAGTATGGCGATCTTCCCTCTCTGGTGGTCCTCATTTAGCGAACGACTGGGACGACGCACCATCTATATTACCTCTTTCGTTCTCTTCGTGCTCTTCAATTGCCTATGTGCAATCTCCAACTCGATTGCCATGCTGATCGTCATGCGAATGCTTAGCGGTGGTGCTTCTGCCTCAGTTCAAGCTGTCGGCGCCGGAACCATCGCGGACCTCTGGGAGGTTCGGGAAAGAGGGCGTGCAATGGGCATCTTCTATCTTGGTCCGCTCTGTGGACCTTTGCTGGCACCCATTGTTGGTGGTGTCCTGGCCCAACGATGGGGATGGCGCAGTACCATGTGGTTCGCCGCGGCCTATGGTGCGGTGACTCTCATTTTTGTTCTGGTTTGTCTACCAGAAACTTTGGTTTTGCAGAAGCCCGTGCTTTTCCCGCCTCATGAAGAGGAAGAGGAAGAGGTCCCTGGGTCTCGACCTCTGAGTCGAGTATCGACGCGGCAAATGGCGAGAACCACAACAAGATGGCTTAAGAAGCTCAAGGTGATCTTCATTGACCCTCTGAAGATTATTCTCTACCTGCAGTACATCCCGGTTCTTCTTTCGGTATACTACGCTAGCATTGCCTTCGGATCACTTTACGTGCTGAATGTCAGCGTTCAAGACACATTTGGGAAAGCACCCTACAATTACTCGACGATCATCATCGGCCTGCTTTATATTCCCAACTCCCTGGGTTATTTCGCTTCCAGTCTCGTCGGTGGACGATGGATGGATAACATCATGCAGCGCGAGGCGCGAAAGGCTAAAAGATACGATGAAAGAGGGAGACTGGTCTTCCGCCCAGAGGACCGTATGCGAGAGAACGCTTGGCTTGGCGCTATTCTTTACCCTGTTGCTCTTATCTGGTACGGGTGGACCGCCGAGAAGGGTGTGTACTGGCTGGTGCCAGTAAGTGGACCTTTCCCCACTCGTCAGTATTAGACGACGGCTAACAAATTACATCTAGATGATCGCCAACTTCTTCTTCGGTGTCGGTTCAATGCTCATCTTCAGCATGGTCACTACCATGCTTACTGAATTCGTGCCTAATAAGTCTTCAGAGGCCGTTGCCTTGAACAACTTCGTGCGGAACATATTCTCCTGTGTGGGATCTCTTGTCACGACCCCCATTATTAGTGCCATAGGAAACGGCTGGCTCTTCACCATTCTTGGTCTGGTTGCTCTAGCCAGTAGTTCGGTCATCGTGTTCATGAGGTTGTTTGGACCCCGCTGGCGCGTGAAGATGGATGCACGCATGCATTAACCTGCACCCAATTTGTGTTCTGGGAGTTGCATTCATATTTGGCTGTTTTTGTCACTTTTACGCTTCCAAGAAGCTGTCCATCTGACTCTATTACTCCATGTCAGACTCGCGCTTGTTTTCCACCCAGGTGCCCTGATGATGACCGATATCCTGTTACTGCGTTTGCTCTTGTCGTGTCGAGCGCGCTATCTTTGATACCCCCATGAGATAATGTCTAGGTATTATTATGAACCCTCGAATGAATAAAGTAACGACTTCATCTCTCTACGACAATCCTTATGCATCAGACTTGAAAACGCAAGGTATCTGCATAGATATTCTAGAAACTTCAGCGTAAACATGATCAACGCACCCCAATCACACCCAAACGACCCAAGCACCGAAACGCCAACACAACACACATCAACCCCACCCGACGCATGAAACCAGACCGGCAAACATGTTCTCCTTCTCCAGGCGGGTCAAACCCGCAGGCCCAGGATCTAGGAATTAAACCACGCACTTTCAGCAAGACAAGGCATCCAATCGGACTATTACAATCCCACGAAACAACCCTGGGACACCCCCCGAGAAGAGTCGAGTCGGGATCGAGCGAAGAAAGTTCTTTCTTCCGGTCGTTACACCGGACTCGGAGGCGCTGGGGTCCTGGATGGATTCGTCATTTTGTGTTGGCTGCAGGCGCTAGTGGGGTTATCGGCCAAGAGGGGATAAGGGTTGTGCTTGGGATTGATGCATGCTCATGTATGTTTTCTGTGGTCAAGGGGGTATTTTGTCATCGGTTAGCGCGGAAGGAGGATTGGGAGAGGTTGAGATTGTGAAGTATTGCTTGGAGTGGGAGGGGAAGGTTTGGATGATCGGAATGAAGATGGGTGCAGTAGACGGCGAATATTAGTACCGCATTCGGAGTTACTTTGTTATTTGACGCTTCATTCAAGAAGTCTGAAAACTTATGGATGGTTTTGTGAAAGCAATTGCTTAGGACTTGAGCATATAATATCTGAATGGATTTCGTGGATCTATAGGAATCCCGAGTCCGTGGATTCCGGAGAGATTAGTTCATACTGTAGATCTCCAAGATTAAAGATAGACCACTTGTTGACAAATTTACATTCATTGATTTTCATAGTATACTAGTCAAGGTTGCATTGTGAGATCTCTGGCCGGGCATATTTCAATCTATTGGAGCCAACGCTAATCGCTGGCAGCTTCTATGGTCTTCTCGAGTCTTTGGGGGGGGGGGGGGGGGGGGGGAGTTCGAAGTCAACAGTACACTGCGCACTTGTAGATATTCAAAGACCATCCACACCTCATCCCAGGTATGTTGCCCAACTAGGCCTAATTCCAACACATCACCAGCACATAATTGCACAGTTTCAATAAAAGTGAAGCTCTCTAGCGGGTTTTAGCGCGTACCATTGATTACTTGTAAGCGTGGCCAGGATACTCGGCCCGCTGCAGGGCGTTGGGTAGTCAGTTGACCCAATTTGGGAACACAACAGGGTTTCAAGAGGCACAACAGATCGGGCCATGGCGATATCGGGTCGCCCCGTCGCGAAAATAGACTGGGCGGTGACGCATGCATCTCTTTTGGGACCGATAACGAGAATTGACCTTTAGGCGACGAGCCTAGCGATCAGATAATCGGATGATCGAGGGACGTGGTGAACGAGCAGTGGCCGGAAGATCGTAAATGAGCTGTCACCTGATTTCCACCTTCCCCCGCATAATGTTCCACCACTTCTGCGATGCACAGGAGTGCATAGGGGATTGCCCGATCTTCATTCCGACCGCGCCCTTGCTGTGAAATCTCTCTGGAGCATTTGGCGAGGATCGGCCGGATGAAGTGTCGGTGTCGAGAGTGGAGTCGCGCAATGGCCAACGCGACTCCATCCAACAACTCATTTCGCTATTTTGACTCACCACCATTAGTGTCTGGGCCAATATTTCCCTGAGCAAAGGTCCAATTCCTCTGGCAACGCCCTTGTCGCCGTCTTCCCCACTGGCGCCAGGCCATGCACCTTGTTTGCCGCACTTGCCGGGAAACGTTGGGCAGAAATGGGCAGTTCGACTGCATCACTTTTCGTGCTCGGTATTGTGAGCACCTCAACCGGGAACACAACAGAATACATTCGTGTTTCAGTAAACCCTCTTCGATTGACTCGTGACCCACACCCGGTTAATCACCAATTTGCCCCCAAAGGTCGTGTGTGTACAGTAGTGGCAGGAAAACACAACAGAAATGACAAAAAAATGAATGGTGGAACCCGCCCCCCCACTAAGACCCATGTTTCTCCATGATGCTGCAGCATTACCTTTCCTATCTGGACCAATTTGGGCCCTTTTGCTTTCCGACCCCCAATACAATTCCGCCATGGAATACTTGCTACTGCATCTCGTCCTGCAAGTGTGGATCGTGCTGTCCTCACCCGGCCCTAATCAGTTACTAGACATCCCCATACCGGTCACCACCGCATGGAGACCGAAGCGACGTGGCCCAATGGCATCCTAACGTCGTCGGGCAGTTCGTTCATGACGTTCAGGGCCCAATACCGCTCTTGCAGTGGGTTGCTGTCCCATCCACCCGGATAGCGGGCGAACTATTATACGCTGCCTCACAATGACTGTCCAATGCTAATTTCCCATCTTCTAAGAAGCAAGCATATGGCCTTTGCCAATTCCGTCTTCTGTCACATTTGTACCTTGCCCCAGTCTCGAGTTCCTTAAACTTCCGTTACTTGTTCCTCCTTTTCCCTTGCCGCCCCAACTTTCCCTGCAACCAGCCTGACAGCGGCTTGTCAAGCTCCTATTGTTCACACCACGCGCCAGTCAGCATCGCCGGCCTCGATATATGATACGTCATTGATCCGAGGTCATGGCCAAGAAGGGCAAAAAGAAGAATAATAAGACTAGCAACAACCGCCTCCCCGTCGGTGCTGCTCCAAACACCGAGCCTGACGAAAGCACCAACCAGCCTGCCCTCGACTCGGAGGCTGCAGGTGCTGAAGATGAGCTCAGCAGGTTACAAGTACGCATCGCTCCCTCAGTATCAGTATCAGCCGGTGGAGCGTCATTATCAGACCTTCGATTTCAACACCGCATCTTATTATACTTATCCTATTTCAATTCCCAATGGCAATGATCTGACGGCACCCAAGGTCCAGGACGACAAAGAGCCAAGTGCCGAGCAAGAGAAGGAGACTCCTCCAGCTGAAGCTGCAGTAGAGGAGCCAAGCGCCTCTCCTGATGAACCCCCCGCACCAGCAGAAAATGCAGGTAAGTGTATGACTCCGGGATATGACCATTGTATACATATTCGAGGGAGACCGTGCTCGGTGTAAAATGAGGGTACTCACTCACGATATACAGAACCTTCAGGGGACACACCACCAGCCGAGTCCGCTGAAGCCACCGACGCCCCTGGTGAAGATGCCAAAGAAGAGGGCAAGGACGCTGACCCTCCTGCAGGCGATGAGCCTGCGCCGAGTGCAGAGGGCGAAGCTCCTGCAGCAGAGGCCGCTGAAGAGCCGCCTACAGAGGGTGCAGAAAGCGCAGAGCCAGAGCCAGAGACGACAGAAGAGACTCCAGAACCCGCAACAGACGACGGCGAACCCAAGAAAGATGACGACAATGGAAACAATGGTAGAATGTACCTCTCCACCCATGACCATTGGGATACTAACCATTCGCAGACGAAGATTTTCCAGAATGTGACCCTGAACTCGGACACGGTGGAGTAGAGTCTGAGAAGGAGGAGATTGCCAAACAAGCAGCTGAAGACGCCGAAGCCGAGGGAGATCCTGCCGAAGCAGCGGAAGAAAGCAAGGACGCCCCTGTCGAAGATCACCCAGCTGAAAGCAACGCAGAGCCTGCGCCTGAAGCAGCTACAGAAGATGGTCCCAAGGACGAACAAGCTCCGCCAGAGGCAAAAGAGGATTCTCCACCCACCGACGATGCAGTCGAGCTCGAGAAGGAAGTGGAAGCTCAGCCCGAAGAACCAGCATCAATCAAGCCAGAGCAACCGCCAGCAGAAGATCCTGCGCCTGCGCCGGCTGAGACCCCTTCGGATAAAAAGAAGAAGAAAAAGAAAGGGAAGAAAGGGAAGAAAGGCTCCTCGGACGAAGAAGCAGAGCCTGCGCCTACGCCTACGCCTGAACCTGAACCCACTGCTGAAGCCGAGCCCGAGCTCCCTCCAGAGCCTGCGGCCGAAGCAGCTCCCGAATCCGCTGTTGAGCCTGAGCCTGAGATTTCTGCTGAGCCTGCTCCTGAACCCGCTGCTGAGCCCGAGCCTAAGATTTCTGCTGAGCCCGAACCTGAGCCTGCTGCTGAGCCCGAACCTGAACCTGCTGCTAAGCCCGAACCTGAACCCGCTGCTAAGCCCGAACCTGAGCCTGCTGCTGAGCCCGAACCTGAGCCTGCTGCTGAGCCCGAACCTGAGCCTGCTGCTAAGCCCGAACCTGAGCCTGCTGCTGAGCCCGAACCTGAGCCTACTGCTGAGCCCGAACCTGAGCCTGCTGCTAAGCCCGAACCTGAGCCTGCTGCTGAGCCCGAACCTGAGCCTGCTGCTAAGCCCGAACCTGAGCCTGCTGCTGAGCCAGAGCCCGAGCCTGCTCCAGAGCCTATAGTCGAGCCTGAAACTAAACCCGCACCGGTAGAGGCTCTTTCGAAAAAGAGTAAGAAAAAGAAGAAGGGGAAGGCCTCTAAAACCGCCGATCAGGCAGTGGTGCCCGAGTCCGCAAATGAAACTGCCACAGATCAAGCTCCTGAGCCAGTCCCGGAGGCAACAAAAGAAGCTCCTGCTGAAGCTGCACCCGTAGAGCCCGCGGCTGAATCGGAGGAAGCTCCTACTGAAGCTGCCAAGGAACTAGAAGATGCGCCCGCTGAGGCCCCCGCGCCCGAGGCTTCGCAGGACACTTCGGCCGGTACAGCAGTAGCGGAAGCGGCCGCAGAAGCGAAGGACGAGCCTGTGGAGGAGCCAGCTGCCCCCGAGCCTGAACCAGCTCAAGAGGAAGCGGCCGCAGAAGCAGCTGGTGAAGCCGCACTCGCCGAGGACACGACAGATGAATCAATTCCTGAACCACCAGTCGAAGAAACAGCGGAAGCAGCACCGGCAGAGGAGCCATCTTCTGAACCACCTGCGGAAGAGCCAGCTGCTGAGGAGGTTCCCGGAGAAGCAGTCGCCGAATCCACTCCTACGCCGGAGTCTATTCCAAAGGAAGCGCCACCAGAGAAGCCTGCAGCTATAGAGGAGCCCGTAACAGAGCCGCTTGCCGCCGATGAGCCTGTCGCTGATCCCCCTGCTGATCCCGAGCCCGAGCCCGCTCACACCGAGGAACCCGCCACAGAAGAGGTACCCGCTGAGGAACCCGTCGCGGAAGCTCCTGCCGAAGAAGCTCCAAGGGATGAAGCTCCGGATGAGGGGCCTACCGTCGAAGTTGCTCCTAGCGAAGAGCCTACGCCTGAGCCACCCGCTGCTGAGGAACCAGCTCCCGCAGATCCTGTGCCCGAAGAGCCTGTAGCGCCCCCCGATGAACCAGAGGCTGTGGCCGAAGAGCCTGTTCCAGAACCGCCTTCTGAGACACCTGTGGAGGAGCCTGCAGCAGTTGAAGAGCCACTAGCTACAGAGGCTGCAGAAGCTCCAGCAGAAGAGGCAGCTCTCGAGCCTGTGGAAGATGCACCTGAGCCGGAGCCAGTCATTGAGACACCCGCGGAAGTCGCGCCTGAAGTCGATGAAACAGCAAACGAGGCCCCTGCTATCGACGCACCAGAGGAGCCAGTAGCCGTTGAGCCTGCTGCTCCGGAAGCTGCAGCGCCCGAGGAAGCTCCACCAGTAGAGGAGCCATCTCCTGAAGCGGAACAATCTAAGGATATCCTTGCTGAGGAGGCCCCAGCTGAAGCTGACCCAGAACCTACTCCTGCTCCCATGGAAGAGCCACCTGCTATTGAAGAGGTCACTCCAAGAGATGAAGCTCCAGAGCCTGCTCCAGAAGAAGCTGTAGGACCTCGTGACGAGCCCGAGCCAGTGTTCATGGAGGACCATGCCGGTGATGCTGGCGATGCCGGTGATGCTGCCGCTAGAGAACGTCGACGCAAGAGGCGCTCACCCAATAGTGGTCGCGATGGTCGCGACGGCCGTGAAGGTCGTGAGACTAGCGGCCGTGAGCGACGATACTCAAAGACATCCTCTGATGGACGTCGTGATCAGCTTCAGCTTCAGCGCCAAAAGAGTGAACGTGGTGGCGTTTTTACCAACCGATGGGCCATGGCTTTGGAAGAAGCTCGCCGGCAGCATGATGAGAAAGAGCGAGCCAAGGCGCAAGCTAAGCGACAGTCCGAAGCCGTCGCCACCGACAAAGTGCGCAGTGGAATTCCCCCGTCGGAGAAGTCCAAGCACTTGGAGCGTGCGGTGAAGGACAAGGAGCCGCTGGTTGTCGAGGTCAAGCCCAAGCGTCGTGCTTCCCATCAAGAGCCGAGCCGCTCCGTTAAGCCTCCCCCGTCGTCGAAAGAGATGTCCACCTCCGCTCCTAAGCCTAAAGCCTTCCTTCGGTACATGAGCAACGGCCAATCGGAGAATAAAGGCCCTCTCTTGCGCGTCAATAGCTCCAAGTCCACGTCTAAGTCTACAGCCCCGGCGCCCGAACTGTCGCGTCGAGCTTCTACATCCCATAGCCATAGCAGCAGTCACCGTGAGCGTGATTCCAATGAAGAGAGGAGATCCAGCGGACGTTCTAGCGGATCACACTCTCGACGTGAGGAAGATGCTACCCGGTCGGAGAAGAAGTCTCGTCGTCGATCTGTCGTTGAGCCCGAGGCTAAGCCCCGTGAGAAGGAGAGCCGCGAGAAGGAGAGAAAGCCTGAAAGCTCTCGCCGCCACCGAACCAGCCAGGAGAAGGAGCCCCGTGAGAGTCGTGAAGCCCGCGAGCCTCGTCAAAGCCGTGAGAACCGCGAAACTCGCGATCGCACCCATCGCCGCCGACGCGATGAGTCCCCACCCAAAGAACAGTCGAAGCTTAAGGGACTCTTCAGAGCCATCACTGCGTTTTAAACCTATGTTTGCCTTTCAACCTTTGTTTTTTTTTTTGATATGATTGGGGATGAGAAATGATGTGTATGATGATTGATTGATATTGATGACTGCATAGAGACACATGGGAGCAACGCATTGCCGGAGTAATTTGTTTATGTGTTGAAGACTGTTTGAATCTGACTGTGAGCATAGTTGTTAGGCATTTCGATCTATAAAGTCCAACCGTTGGAGCTTATTCTGATCACCATTTCTACCAATTCGTACTGGTAATCGACGTAAATCCCCCCGAGTTCATTAAATCAAGACTATTTTTCATCCCAGGCCCAGAGTATGCTCGGTATTTACATCATCATCAGGGCCATGAAGATATGGAAGTCGCCCACATTGCAAAATACTCCGCACAAATGCAAAGCCATCAATCTCGAGCCTCAGTTCTCGCGGGAACAATCCGAGAACACCATCCACACCAAGCCCGATGCAATCCATTCTCCTCACGGACAAGATACTTGCCCGTCTCCCGCTCATCCTCATACTCAACCACACAAGCGCCTACCATAACCCTCTTCTTCGACTTATGTTTCACTCTTCCACCAAGCCCAATAATCTCCTGCCTGAAATACCCTGGCTCCTCGTCATCATGGCTATCATTTGGGAATAGATCATGGTGCGGATGACTTGCGGGACTGTGACTCGCACTACTGGAATCACTAGATCCTTCATTTGCTTCGCAATCGACTTCAAGCTCGATCTCCTGCGCGGCCAGACATCCTTCTCCGCGCCCACATTTTACGCCCTGGCATCCTTCGCCGATACCAGTTCCTAGCCCGCCGCCCAGGTATGTGCTATACCGCGTGCGCCAGGCCCATACACGCCTGTATGTTGTGTCATTGCTGCGCAGGGTCTGGCCGCATGGCGTACAAAGCCAGACGAGGTCATCGCAGTTGCACGGAGTATGCGCGAAGGCCTCAAATGTAGCCGATTCCGATCCATCACCGAAGAGGTCTGGGGTAGTGAGCTCCGGGTGTGTGTGTGAGAGGTGGCAGGAGAGCGGTGCAGTGCCGCACGTTCGACAGAGACGACGGATACGGCTTTTCAGCGAAGTTGAGGAGGGTGGTTTAATCGTGCAGTTCTATTGACTGTTAGTCTTTTGTGCTGTCTCGGAGTGTGGATGAGCCACGTACTCTGCATACGACCTTGTTGCAGCGGCGACACTCGCCTACCATGTCGCGCGCGCACTTGCTCACTTTCCCGCGCGTCATGCGTCCTGGTTCGCCATTTCCTTGGCTTAGAAGGCGTAGGACGGACTTGACACTGTTGGGGATGACAGCTCGGCCGTCTAGCATTTCTGCTACGGTCTCGATGTATTCATTTTCGCAGCGGAGGGTCTCACGGACGAGTTGGTGGCGGAATGGCGCTAGGTTCACGTGGAACTGGCGGCATGTTCGCGATAAGGCGTGGAGGGTATTCAAATCGACGGCGCGGGCGATTTCTTTGACGATGCTAGAGCGGAAGGGAGTTAGTCTTCTATTGAGTGGGGACTGGGAAGTGGGACCGTACGGGTAACAGCTCAAAGCTGCCGAGAAGGCGTTCCTGTTGGGATTGTCGAGCTCCTCGTGCGTGGCGTCCTCGCGCTCGTCATCTGAGGAAGTCGGTGAGGGTGGGAATTCAGCGGAGTCGGCTGTGGCGACCGGCGCCATCAGCTGAGGGAAGGGCTTCTCCGCAGAGAAAGCGCGATGCCCGAAGGCATCGTCCAAGTCCACAAACACCACCATGCTGCAGCTGCCATCAGAGGCTAGATGAATCAGCACATCAGATAAGATGAGGGATCCGACTTTTTAAAGGCGTCGGTGGGGAATTGAAGTGGTTCTCCCTGAGACCCTCTGCGGCTGGCGCGTTCCGAGTGGGATGATGCAGCCTGAGCGATGTCGTGCTCCGTTCTTCGGTGATGGAAGTTAAGTGACTAAAAGAAACCCAGGACGCCGCGATATGAGGATTCGTAGCTTGAAATCTCCCTGCGCAAACCAGATGAAGCTATTCCAAGGTCACCTGGCCTATGATGACATCTCCATGCCCCCCCTCTTTCTCTTTCGTTTTCCCGGTTTTGCGATTAGATTAGCCCTTGAGCCCCTCCCTGTCCGAGTCTAGCTGAGGGGTTTCTGCACATCCACCAAAATCGACGCTTTCCAGCAACATGGTCAATAAATGCTGTTATGGCTACGAGCAAGTACGTACTTGTCACAATCCGTACTCGTCATTGTCGATTCCAGCAAGTAGTCTATCATGTGACGACAGACTGCCAATATGCATTGTTTCGGTAGCAGTCCCCAATGACACAGGGCATCTTTTGCTCAAGCCCGGTATTTTGCAAGCAAGGTAATATGCTATCAGGGATCAGCGTCTTGGTGCTGCCGTCCATGGCCTTCGGGAGAGCAGAGTTATCCACAAATGAAGATTCTGAATCTAGCTCTATGGTAAATGCAGTCTGACAGATGACTTTCAAACTATACAGCCCACAGATCCCGAATGCATTAGCAATTTTCAAGGCATGCTGAGAAGCACCCACTTATATAGATCACTTTCTGCCTGAATTGATCTAAGAACGCAATAAAGCCAAACTCTCTGCTTGAGATTTCCCCGCATCTCATGAATCGGGATCCCCTGAAGATGTCTAACCTGTAGCCAACCATGTCCACGTACGCCATTAAATATTTGACACATAGGCTATTTCCAAAATTGGTTTACTTGTGCCTACTTCACTGGTTCGGCATCCTTGCTGTTCCGTGTTACGAAATACGCATTGGGAGTTCGGAATGAAACACCGACACACGGTAAATGTATTAACATCCGAACGGTCACGACTTCGGAGAATTGGAGAATTAGGTAAAATTTGGCCGAGGCACTGCTTAGTTAAGCTTCTTTCGGACATGATGATCAAGAGTTATATCAAATCCCGGCCTTTCAGAGTAATCGCCGCAAAGTGTCCGATGCCTTTGAGTCAAGACGGGTCAAAATATCTAGTAACACCGAGAGATCATTCCGCGCCCGAACGGAGAGTGGAGAGTTCTTATGTTGATCAATGATCTCAAGTAAACTGGCTCCGATAAGCCGGATCTTTTCAACCTTCTCGATCATTAGAACAGTTTCCTACGGTGGGCGAGAGATCAGACTTACGCATGGTTCACCATTCACCTGCAATGTCCAGAATGGAGCGTCACAAATGACACGCAGCATGTCGCGTGCGATGTCGGTCTTTCTTAGTAACAACATGTCATTGCGCGTCGGTGGGTAATAATTGAACTCTTCTAACTTCTGTGTGATCACCATCTTGAGGCAGTGTAATGAGACATAAAGATTTGCCGCTTGAATACCACACTGTCTCATTAGACTACTCAGTCGACTGCTTTCTTCACCGAAATTGGCCACAAACTTGTCTGGTTGCAATAGCGCGGGCAAGTCATCGAGTGAGGTAGCAAAAAGCACGTAGAGATGATCCAGTCGGTGCCGCTCCTCGGCTGTAGGGGGTGGACGAGCAATGCCATTCACTGGCGTGCTCTGGTCTATCAGTCGCATCTCCAACAGCAAATCCGATGCACTTTGCCAGAGCCGGATATTGGCGTTGAAGCCTGCGATGAAACTCTTTCGAGTATTTGAATCATCTGGATCGGCACTTCTCGGTGTCAGGACAATTTCGCCTTCGACGCCAGTGGGATACCCAATTGTGATTCCCGAATTGAATGAGAATTTGTGAATGGTGATTGGCCGATTATTCAGAATGGCGGCTGATTTATCACCAATATAGACTATCCAGAATGCCCGTCGTCGGAACTCTGCCTCAAGGGGCGAGAGACCTTGTAGAGATTCCTCTTCATGCATCTGCATCACTTGTGCCAATCTGGTAGCCTCGCCGAATATATGCCACGACAGTCGTGGTTTGCCGGCTGCATGCATGCAGTTGGAGTGAAAGTAACGGATCGCAACGGAATTGGCATTTGGATATTCAAGATCGGACTCCAAGTATGTGATCAGGCAGTTGCGAGAAGCCCCAAGAAATATCTCTGCGATGCTATCGCCTTCGGGGAATATGTTTTTCGGAAGAAGGAATGCCGCCTCGGCGCAGACAGCCGTGATTAATGTGAAAGTAACATCCGGCCACAATTCTGGATACTTCAGACTATTGAGCCCGTATATCAGGCTATCTGCCGTTGTGTGATTTCTCCGGGTAACAAAGAAATTGAGTCCATCTCGAAGACTGGGTTCATGAACCAGTGGAATCAATGGGAAGAGATACTGAAAGAACAGCTCAAAAGAGTGATTGACTGTCCTTTCTAGATCTACCGATAGATCAAGTGAGTACAATGCATGTGCTAGGTCTTGCCATCGTTGTAAGGCTGAGATCGCCCTTGCAGAGGCGGCGTCGGAGATAGAAGTGTGCACGGTGTCGGGCGAGAGCGCGGGATCGACAACTGTAAGACTGGAGTCCCATGCATCAAGTGATACTGCTGCAGCAGTTGGTTTAACGCTCAAGTCATTGTTAGGGCTACGTCCCGATAGATCCAAAGGAGGCGCCGGAGGGCTATGTAGGGAGCTTGAATGAGCTTCACTGATGGACTTTTGCCGTTTCGCCTTGGGTCCTCGTCTCGCAAGTGGCAGATTAAACGTGCATGATGCTCCCGATAATCGGCAACTGGTGCACAACGACGATACATCCGAGCAGTCGCACTAATACAGCGTTAATCCAGCTTCTTGGAACTTGTCGGGAATTTTCCATTTCACTTGGCACTCACTTTTGCTTTTCTCCGTCGGCATCGATCACACGCTCTGGCCGGTGCTCGAGATCTAGCAGGGCTGATAGCTGCCATCAAATTTTATGCAGGCCGGTGATCTGGGGTGACGGGGAAATTTGTCGAGGGAAGAGCCCGAAATCTGGGGATTAGCATCGGTCAAATACCCCACCCCCGCTCCCTGCATTTCGCCGACGCGGGACGTGAAGATGGGACATTCCCGATTGAGGTCTCGGTAGCGAGATTCCAGCCCGACGTTTTGCCTGTTTATTGCTTGAACCGATTGAAAGCCCCCTAAAACAGGTGGGATGTGTTGAGTTAGAATGTGAATTTGAATAGTCTTAGTTTCGTTCTAGTCTTTCCGCAATTTATTCCGCAATTTATTTCAATCTGTGAAATTATTCTAAAAACGTCTCACATCAAACCCTTTACATGTGTGCCCTGGCGCCTTTACCAGAGGATTCTTCGGCGCCATCTGTCTGAGACTGGGTATTTACTGCACCCATTCGCTCGTCGAACATGCTCTTCAATTGCAACGCGGACTTCTTCGGCGTTCTTTCTAGAGTATCATAATCGGTGAAAGTGACACCAAATCGAACGCCATAGCCATCAGACCATTCTAGAAATCTCAGTTCATCAAGCGGAGCAAGGGTTGCCAGATCAAACTTACCCAAATTATCCATCAATGACCACGCGAAGTACCCTTTGATGTCTGAGCCATCCTCGTTGCAAGCCAGTGCGACGGCATCAATATGATCCTGGAAATAACGAATCCGATAGTCATCTTTGACGGCGTCTTCACAAGTCATCTTTTCTTCACCGGGGCATGGGCACCCATTCTCTGTGATATAGATCGGCTTCCCATATTTTCGGTACACTCTGGTCAAATGTTTGCGGAAAAGACTAGGAGTCGAGCGAAGCCAATGAACACCACTTGGTTCGCCAACCGAAACGCCCTGCTTGTCTTCTTGGCACTCTTCCACATTCCCCAGGAAGTCAACCTCAGGCGCATATTCATCGCGATGACGTGCAAATTGAGAAGTATAGTAATTCATGCCGTAGAAGTCCATGTTGGCTTTTCGAAGTAGATCAAACTCCGCATTTGTAAACTTGGGAAGTCTCTCACCGATTTGCTCTCTCATGCAGGCGGGATAGTCTTGTGCTAGGCTACCGAATCAATCAGTATTTGTTTTTCAACTTTTTCATGAATATACTCACCAGACTGGGTTAGCAAACCATCCGATGTGGAACTCCATGCGGCGCTCTGCCGCGAGTTTGTCACGCTCATCTTGGCTATCCCAGGGTTCGTAGTAATCGCCATTGAGTGAAATACCGATCTTGCCATGTTGAATAGCTCGAAAGTCTTTGTTATACAATGCGACAGCACGGGCATGGCTCATAATTAAGGCCTTTCCGACGATCCAGGGCTCCGTAGCCGTGTTACCCTCTGTTGACTGAGGATTGATGCTGCTTCGCCCAGGCGCATTTCCACCAGTAGCGTAGCCCTTGAATTGGTCAGCCAGTGAGAACCCGAAATTGCACAGATGAACTCACAAAGATGGATACAATCCATGGCTCGTTCAGGGTAATCCAATTCTTCACCCGGTCTCCAAAACGCTCATAGCACACCTTGGCATATCGCTCAAAGTCCAGTTGCGACTCTTCCACATCCAGCCATCCGCCATAACGGTCGTGAAGTGCTTGGGGGAGATCCCAGTGGTACAAAGTGACCCACGGTGTAATGCCCCTGACCAGCAAGGAGTCAATGAGCCTGTTGTAAAACTCGATGCCGGACTCATTAATCGAATCATTTCTTCCACCTAGTGGAATGATCCGAGACCAAGAAATTGAGAACCTGTAAGCCTTAGCACCATATCGGGAGAGAAGATCGAAATCCTCTTGAAAACGGTGGTAGTGATCGCAAGCAATATCTCCGCTAGCTCCTTTGGTCCGCGTAGGCTCTAAATGGCAAAAAGTGTCCCAAATTGATTTCTCGCGACCATCATCATCAACAGCTCCTTCAATCTGATAGGCAGCTGTCGCGAATCCCCATTCGAAATCGTGGGGGAGTTGAACAGGAGACATAATTGACGTCTTCGCGGGGTGCTCGAAAAAAGGACCGGATAATTGAGATTCGAAGAAGTCAGCATAGACAGAATGCAGAATCTTTGAAAAGCTTATAGCAGACAGCCAGCTTTAGAATTCCGGGATGGAGTTATCCCGCATGGTTTCGGGGAATTTACGGTCAAGATTCGACCCAAGTCTTGTAATTCGCCGTTTTCCCGTTTCGCCGCCAGGAACCCAACTCAATTCTTCTCTTCCCCACGGGGCATTTCCCCGCAATGCAAGGTCTTCCATTTCCACGTGTGCTTCGAATATCCCGGGACCTTAGGGCTGGTTGGGGCATTCGTAGTGTCCGCAGAGCTGTCATTTCTATAAGAAGTGCAAGGATGCCTTGAGCTTGACGGAACTGCATTCCGCTTGGACAGTTGAGCCCGATCTTTTCCCAAGGACGCCGCACATCCCTATACCTGATAATGGCTCCTGCTGCTGCTCATGCGGCCGAGGGCATCATTTCGTCCATCGATGTGGACTCGATGCCACCTTTCTGGCGCCGGAAAAATGGAATCTTGCTCTATTTCCTCCTAACATCCTCCTTGCTTGCAAGTGCAGCGCTCGGTATTGACGGGGTAAGTTTCTACCTCTTTAACATATGCTTCTGTATGAATTAACATATCCTAGTCCATGACAAATGGTATGCAGGTCTTGGAGTCCTGGCAAGTTCGATTCGGACATCCCGAAGGTGCCAAGCTGGGCTTCTTCGGCGCGGCCAATGCTATTGGAGGCGTGATTCCTTTCATTTTTCTGAGCTGGATCAGTGACAAGCTTGGTCGACGTTTACCGACTGCACTGGGGTCCGTCATTATTATCACCGGCGTGCTCATTGAATTCTTCGCTAAATCTTTGAACATGTACATTGGTGGGAAGATCGTGCTGGGTGTAGGATCTTCGCTCATTCAAATGGGTGCTCCTGTCTTGGTCACTGAGCTGTCCCATCCCAAAGAGCGTGTCCAAATCACCACTTTTTACAATACTTCGATCGTGCTTGGTTATGTCATTGGTGCCTGGGCGACATTTGGCTGCTACAGAATTACTAGCCAGTGGTCTTGGAGGCTTCCTACTCTGATCCAAATCGTCCCCTCAGCATACCAATTCTGTCTGATCTGGTTCTGTCCTGAATCTCCTCGATGGCTGATTGCAAAGGGTCGCCACCAGGAAGCGCGCCAAATTCTGATCAAATACCACGGCGAGTGCGATCCTAATTCTGAGCTGGTCAATGTCGAGTGTGCCGAGATCCAGCAGGCTATTGATAAAGAAGCCGAGAATAACATGTCATGGAAAGTCTTCTTTACTTCTCAGGCTAATCTCAAGCGCATCTTCCTCTGTTTTGCGACGGCGGTATTTAGCCAGAGCTCTGGCAATTTGCTTGTCTCAAACTATCTCACGCAGATCCTGAAAGATACGGGCTTGAAGACACAGTATGAAATCACGCTCATGAACGGAATGGTCACATTGTGGCAATACATCGTGGCCATCTTCGTCACTTTGATTATCGATCGGTTCCGGCGCCGCTTCTTCTTCCTCACCGGGTCCGGCGGCGTTCTCGTCACGTTTATTGTTTGGACGATTGCCGCTCAGCAATACCTCGAACATAACTCATTGACCGCCGGCCGGGTTGTGATCGCCTGTATCTTTTTCTTCCAGGCTTTTTACACTTTCGCCTGGACGAATCTTATTGTCACGTACCCCCTCGAAGTTGTCACTCTTCAGATGCGAGCCAAGACGTGGGCATTCGTTCTACTCACAATTCAAGTGGCATCTATCTTTGGAAGTTACGTCAACCCTATCGGATTAGAAAAGATTGGGTGGAAGTTCTATATCTATTATGATATCTGGGTGTTCATCGTCTTCCTTGTTGTTTACTTCTTCTTCGTTGAGACGGCTGGTCCCACCCTCGAGGAGCTGACCTATCTGTTTGAAGGGGAAGATACAAAGCGCAAGCTAGTTGAGAAGATTGAAGAGAAGAAGGAACAGGTTCAATACGAGGAACAAGTGGAGGGCAAGTCTGCATGAAGCTATGTGGTATAAGCTACGAATTTACTCTGGGGTGGTAATTTCGCAGAGCATATTGTTTTGGACCGAATAATTGACTCGAATGACGAACAATGTAAAAACATGCATAAGTAGCAGCACCCATGCCTCGAATCCCTCATGCCACCTCGGGCGGGGGTGTCAACAACCCTGCAATTCCGACTATAGCCGCACGACCTCGGGGCCATCGGCCACAACACCGACCACTCCAGCGCATGCGGCTCAAACCAAAGCGCGAAATAGCAAACCCCGAGGTCCTCATCTACAACGATCAACACGATCAATACGATCAACGAACCCAAAGAAAAACCCCAACAATCTACACCCCACTAGGCCTAGATACTGTACTCATCACATCTCTGGCAAGCACCCACCACCACCCGCGCGCGCATCATAACCAAACCAGGCAGGTCTCAACCCACTTCGACATAACCAACCCACTAACCCCAAAAGCACCCTCGACCCAACTCAACCCGTCCCAAAATAAACCCTCGAAAGCAAAAAGAAGAAAATAAATAAATGGAAATTTTGCTCGCAAAAGCCAGATAGAGCCTCGTGACCCCCCCCCCCCTGATCGACACGGGCGCCCGCCTCCGCCGTTTTGAGCCAAGATGGTCTTGGTTGGGCCTTTACGCGGTCCGGCCCTTGGGGCTGAACCTATTATCGACACGGCTAACCGAGCTCTATATTTCTTTTTATTAATTTTTATTTTTATTTCTTTTTGCATGCAGTCAGTATGGAGTTTACCAGTATGGAGTACCCGGGTGACTAGATGACTTGGGACTCGACTATGACTACTATGTTGAGTCATACGCTAAGGCAAAACTTGACATTCCAAACAGGGGTAAGTGAGGCTATCGCTTAAGGTGGATGTTAACAGGCTTATCTCGTCTAGGCATAGGTCATCATACCTGCACGAAGGCGGGGAGTTAGGAAAGCCTGGTACGCTTATGCAGTCTATGTGACAAGGGAAGTGTCCCACTTGGCCTAGGATGGTTAACTGATTTACTAGTTTCGGCGCTCTCGCTTCTTGTCACATAGGGGACCACGGAAGCGTGGTTCGCAAGGGTAATTTCATTTTAATCTAATTTAGTGAGAGGGGCTTTTGGCTAGGGCACGGGGGATCGGGTCGAGGCCCGTTCGGCGCAGGCACGGAGGCGGAGATCGACCGATCCTCTCTACGAAATTGCGAACTCCTGAGATTTCAAAGGTAGGTTTGGGTTTTCGCGTTTGGTGTTTGGCGGTTAAGTGGGTTTCGTGTTTCCGGTTTTTAATTTATTTGTCCTTTAACCTGACTCGTGTTGGTGTCCTTGGTGCGGTGTCGGAAGGACAAGCCCCGGACAGTCCGACAACGAACCTAGGTTTGCCCGCTATATTGCCGAGTCTCCGCGTTGTCGTTGATTTGGAATGCGACCGTGGATAAGGGCGATCTAATCAACCATGGAACTGGGGTTGGGGCAGCCTATCCGATTGCCCTCGCATAGTGATTTGCTATTAATCCCATGTGCTCCTTTGGTTACCTAGGTTCCTAGGGACTGGGAAAGTAAGGTAAAAGGGTAAAAGTTAATAGTAAAAGTCAATTGTCAACGGTAGAAATGTTTGTATATGGATATGCAATTGTGTACAAAGGGTATTCTCATATCAAGTAAGGTTGGGGGGTATACAGCAGAACGCAACACGCATCGTCAAATCATAAATACACACATTCATCCACCAAGGTGGACAGGGAAAGGAAAAGGAAAGGAAAAAGTTACTTTGTGCTCGCAGTTGTTCGGGCTCAAGGTGGAGCCGCTTGCCCAAACTGGAGCCCCTTCCCCACTGACTTGCTCCCGCGGAAGCTCCGTGGTCGCTGCTCGCGATTCGCGATTCGACTTCTGGGTCCGGTGTTCTCCGGCCCACGAATGGCGTTGAGGCATTTGAGCTCTGAACTAGTCACGCAAATCTGGTGCGCCCAAGCCCATGATCAAGAGACTTGCTGCGCTTGTCCTGGTGGAGACCGGCGGCACAAGGCGCACTGCCTCTTACGCGAGGCAAGCTAGCAGGAGGAGGGGAGAGAAAGGCTCGTCATAAGTCATCAAACGGATTGAACTCCCGAAAGTTTGATATTCATTCACATGGCCCACTGCTTCCAGTTCATGGGCTGGAAGTGAGCCAGAGAGTGCACATGCTCGTCGTATGGCAGGCAGTCGGCGCTGGACCAAGACGGGGAAGGGTAGTGGCATTGAACTGGAGGCTGGACCAGGTTCTCTTCCAGAGAAATGGGCACAAGGTGTGAAGGCGACAGACCATCATGGCCGTCCCATCGCAATGGTGAATGCATCTGCAGCGGGGATGAGGTGATATCGTTTTTCAAGATGCTTTTGGGGTACTGTTCAATGACCGAAACGGATGCGGAGGAGATTGAGGAGCTGGAGTGAGGGGGGAGGGAAAATGTCGCGTCAGATAGAGGCGAGGGGCAGGTCTCTGCAGGCGAAGAGTAAAAGGGACTGTCGTCGATGGTTTCGGGGAGGTGATTCTGGAACAGATTGGCTGATGGGCGCTGCTGCAGAGGGAGATCCATGCCGTTCCACACCAGAGAGCCGTCACTGGCGAGCTCCGGGTGCACGCCGGGAGCAACGAGAGACCCAATCGACATGGAGTTCGATTGCTGGGGAGTGGTGGCGAGGAGAGATGCGCTATCCATGGGCAAGCAGTGGGGAACGGAAGTAGGGTCATTCATGACGGGAGCCTGGCGGTGCAAAGCCCATTGGGACTCCGGTTGTGACTCGAGCTCACTACCATTGTCAGCTTGCGATTCTCGTATATGCTGACATCTAGAGGTGCAACTTACTGTCTCTCCATGTGGCGCGCCAGCAAATCCGGCCGGTGGAAAGCCTTCTTGCAGCCACTCTCGGTACAGCGGTACGAAGCTTCGGGGTTGTGATTCAGTTCATGGCGTCTGCGGTGCTCGGCACGAGTGAAGACCTATTGTGCGATGAGAGTCAGCTTCATTGCGCATCATGGTCCGAATAGGCGCATACCTTGCTGCAACCAGGGAACTCGCAGGCGTGTACACGCTTTCCCTTCTTCGCTTTGCTGATGCGGTGGGTGGTGGGAGTATAGGTAACGTCCACAGAAGCGCCAGTCTGTGGGCTACGGCGCCCGTTCTTGCGGCCGACCATGGTTGATACAGAAGAGTGAGGCTCAGGAGACGGCGAGGTAGAAGTGGGGGAATTGAGAACAGAGATTATGAGGTTGTCAGACAGTGTGTTAGAGTTGCGCTCAGTAGAGGATCTTCGGGCCATCCTATAGACAGGGAGGGAGGGAAGATATATAGGAAAAGAACGGTAAGTGATGTAATTCAGTGAAACGGCAACTGAGGGAGGGTGGACTGATATAGAGAGATGGGGGACTAGGCTTGGCCTCAGATCCGGCGGAACAATAGGCGGCTTTCCCAAATTAAATAAAAATAAAATCATGGAAAATGGAGAAAAATGGAGAAAATGGCTAAGAAAAATAAAATAAAATAAAATCCCCAATAATTACCATAATAATTACAGGCTAACCTTAGATCAAAGGGAACCAAGCACGGGCGTGGAGGCGATGATCGCTCGGGATGATCAAGCATAAGCCCGTCCTAAAATTACACCACGTTGTCGAGGAGTGCGGCTGAGGCGTGAAACGATACTAAAGTTACACCGTATCTATGCAGTGTAGACCCGTGTCAACGGCTCGTGAGGCGCCGATCCAGTGCCCGCATGAGGGATGCAGCCAACAGGGGGTTTTCCTCGGTGTTGGTTCTAAGATAGTACTCGTTACCGCCGCCCCAAGGGATGGCCCTCTCTAGAGTAGATTGGGGGGGGGGGGTTTTCACGTTTTCTCATGCTCAAAGTTTGCATAGAGTTCTCACAAAGAAGGGAACAAGGACTTTCCAAATGGTGGATCTAGGGCAGTCCCAAGTCCAAGCTTCCACGGAACGTAACGGGTTTGCCCCACCGGGGAGGGGGACAGCTCTCCGTCATGGTTCTCCACGCTTTGGGAAACTCGCAGGATCGCACTTTATACCTAAAGGAGTATGTATGGAAGCCTAGCCCTGTAACTCGGTGATTGGTTAGTGCCGCCATATCATGCGTTGGAATTCCGTGTAACTTGTGTTAGGTGCCTTGTACTTTTGTCCCTGAGGCTGAAATTTAATTTCTTTTCTTTCTTTTCTTTTTTGGCTACCTGGTATCTAAACTATCAATTTTTTAAAAAAAATAATTTTCACACCTTGGGATGGTTGATGGAAAGTTTTACTTCACGTAGGCGCTCTGGACGGAACAACTGTCGAATGATGCGAGCAGTGCCCCCAGTGGTACCAAGGCCTGAGGTGTGGAAAGCCTGGGTCAGCCTAGTGGGTCTGTGAGTCCGCCTTAGGAGGCAGAGAGGACCTCTTGGCCCTGGGCCTGTAGCTTGTTTCACTCTTGCTGATCCTTTACCGTATAAGGTGAATGAACGATTCCCTGCTCGGTCCCGAGCTTTTCTAACGTCAGGAACTCGATCTCCGTCCTGTGTATAGGTATGAGAATAGCCTCCGTCCGATCTCTGCAGCCGAGTCTAGGGGCTCTTCAGAAGAGACGGTGTAAATCATTGCCCATTCTCTTTTTCTCTCTAAGGGTTCGAGACCTGCGCCCGACTGCACCTTGCTCCCTGCACGCTGCACGCTGCACATGACTTGGTTGCCCAGGCATGCACCCCATGCTGCGTGGCATACAAACCCGGCCCTCGTGGCATCCTGATACAGGGGGATTCAGGAGTCAGATCCTGGCGGTGGCAATGACCTACATTCCTGAAACACGATACTCTGCAAACATTCTGGAAGAGATCCTTCGTTCTGCACTTGCCACGAGGCAAATCGCCACGCTTATGGTGATAGACATGCAGGGGCAACAGTCTCACGTACATTCTTACTTCCATGCTGCCAAATCAGCAGTATAATAATGCCGAAGTCAGCGTGGAGGGAAGGCGTGGGGAATCTTTGCACGGCCCACCACTCCCAATCCAGCATTTAGTGCGACACCTATACACTCCGTACATCACGAGTCAACCTTGCAACCCCGTCCTAGCCGGGATCTTCGGGCGGCATGCGCGTGAACGTCAATTTCTCACTGCCCACCGCTCACAGCTCAAATTCCAAGTTATGAACTTCGAGCTAGGGGCCTGGTTTGATCGCCCCCCTGGTTAATAGCATTTCGGCTCCCCGTCTGATCGCGGCCCTTACCGTATCTTATCTAGTCTCGACAAGGGTCCACGTACGGTAATTTCGCTTGCCCGGCGCTATGGTTGGTGGTTCACGCCAGTTCCTTCGTGCAGTGCCTTCCCCTCACGTGGATGGTTGCAATGTCATTTTGGAGCAAGGTAATGCGGATCATGACGATATCCAGTGCCATCTGAATCATGAAATCATGAAAGGCACGATCGGCACGATACTAGACATTCGATTTCGGGAACAAGTAGCAGGCCATTGTATCTACTCTCTAGCCCACTGGCCATAGCAATACGCTACGGATGGTGTATTTCCGCAGTACCTATGTCCACATCGGGTGGACCCTGCCATGACCTTCCCCATGTCTCATCGGTTGAAGATTACGGGTGTTTTGATCAGCATCATAACATAAGGCATCGCCCAAGGCACAGCCTTCAAGTCTAGGGCTCTGCAGAGTGAGTTTAGTGGTCGCGAGTTAGGGTTCACTGTTGAGTGTTGGTTCTTTTTTTAGACGTGCCAGATCCCGTCACTCAAATAACAGCGACAGGGGTGTCGCTTGGTGTTGGCACGAAGGCTTAAGGGTACCCGGCCAAGTGTGCACCCCAAGAATTCCTCCGTGTAATCTGCACAAAGTACGGAGCTCTGAATCTCTGCCCCTTTTTCCCGGTTTTAGCAGTTCGATACCGACGTGTCGGGCTCCCACAGAGATCAACGCTCGGAGAGTCCCCGGGGATTATCGGGTGTCGAGGCAGAAAGCTACGAGCGGAGAAGCTCCGTAGCGAATCACGTCATTATTAATATCTCCACGAGGCTCTTGTGACCGTGTCTGATGGTCTCGGCTTTTGGAGATGCGACAGTGAGTTCCCGGTAGCACACATAGCTTTGAATATAGGATGAAAGTGGGTCAAGTTCTATCTCAGAGAGGAAGGTCTTCACCTTGACGACAACCGATATTCATCCTCGCGGCCGCTAGTCAAGCCATCTCACCTAAGATCGAGTGGATCGTCTCCAACCAACGGCTTCTTTATCAGTTGCAGAATCGTGGTCATGAAGATTCGACTCCTCACATGGGCCCGCGTGGCTTTGCTCATGTAGTCTAAAGTAGTGAGGCACTTAACCCAACAGTCGGGATTCTGCGCTCTCTCCTGATCGGGACAAGTGAAGCGATTTTCACTTGTCCCGATCAGGCTGGCATGCTTTCCTGATTAATCTCCCATGACTCGAGCTATTGAATACCCTACGTATTTTGATATATTCCGTCCGGTGGATTGTAACCTCCGGCCTCCGATAACGGTCGCCACGCTAGGCCTGACCCAAATCCATGCCCTGGTTTTCCCAACTCTAACAGAACGGTACTTGACCGTTGGTCCCGAGTTAGTCCACAGTCTGTGCTAGTAACGCTCCTAGCCTGTTAAGCGCCGTCAGCCTCATGCCTTCGCCAGAGCTGTACATTATCCCCTCTGGGCTTAGTGAGAGAAGCGGCCCACCCACCTCCAACTGCGCCTTGGCGCATCGGGCTTTGAAGTTATTTCACTTTCTTCTTTCGGCCGTTGTGTTGGGCCTAGCTGAATTGGGAGAACTTTGAAATTCCCCGACTTAGTGGTCTCCACCTGTGCCTTCGACTTGGCCCTTTGCATTACGGACGAGCCAAGCACTACCCGGGAAGGGTGATCGATCTACACGGTCCGACCGATGAGAAAGGTGGAACAATCGTTGTCAGTGCTTCGGATTTTCCGCATAGGTGGCTCTGAGTAGTGCAGCTTGTACCGGCTTTGGGGTTTCAAATTAATGGTAACCGGCCGAGTTGCATCTCGGGCAAGGCATTCAATAAATGACGCACAATCTCTGGCTCGATAATCTGTGTTTACAAGGGTCTGGAGCCCTGAATAGTACACTAGAGGGTCTAGGTCCTTCACCAGCCTGGACCTATGCTTCGCGGGGAACACTCTGCACTCCGCAAGGACATCCGCATGGACATCCGCAGAGATCAGCGGCGATATCGTCAGCGCCCATGGTACCTGGGTAAAAGCCGCAAACCCCGTACGCTACGGGAGTGATAGTCAAAGTCAAATCTACGTCTGATGAATCCATTTGCAGATCATGATAATTGGCAATTGTTCTACTCGGAATGTCCGCCTTGTATGATGAGACGCCCGAGTGAAATGCACTTGGAGGCCTAAATGCACATCATGCTTACTGTTTTCCTCGTCAACACTGTAAATCCATCTCAATAGGTGGTGGCTACCCACACCTCATGCAGGTCCTCAAGCCGTTCGGCCCTATGAGAAGCGACGTTTCGCATAGCGTGTGAAGATCAGGCCATGTGGTTGTCAGCAGTGGCAAGGCAGACTGGGATTCTGCCTGATCATGCAGCTCGGCCATGTGTCTGCACTATGGATGTGATGCAATGAGCGCCGATGTACCAATAATATGCGCGATGCCGTCGGACGAAGTCCCAGACGGGTTCCCGGATCCAAGCATCTGCGATCGGATGGAGACCTTGAACTCCATCACGACTAGCTTGGCCAAGGGTTCATCAATACCCCTGGACATAATCATCGATGAAGACGAGAAAGGGCAGGTGGACGAGAACCGGATCGACTGAAACAACGGGAACCAGTGTTGCCTTGCATCGCAAAGCTTGCTCAGTTCATCTTCATCTCGGTATTAAAGAATTAGCCGACGGCCGAGTCCAGCATCACCTCGAGCCCGTCCATACAACGACGACGCCTCCTGGCTCCAGTCCCCCTTAACCGACCCCCGGGACGCAGGATTCGCACCCCTGCCTGACCATGTGGCCGAAGGATCACGGATCAAAAGATGCGGTAGGAACCGACGTGGCTCGAATAGGAAATCGCACGATCAGCACTATACAGCTGTAATGTTAGTAATGACCTCGTAACGAACAAAGCCCTACCCAATCTGCCATGCGCCCGGGAAAAGACTAGTGTGTTTGCAAGGGGCCATCAGGGGCTACACTACTGTCGCGAGTATGCATTCCTGCGCCCGCTAGGCCACTTGAGGTTATTGTACATCGGTTTGTGAGCGAAGAGTGTTATCCTGGACCAATCTGAGATGTGTTTCAGATTGCTTACACGTGGACGCTGCTGATCATAGCGTGCACTTATTTTTATCGACTGTTGTGTATCGGCCCGCATCGACTCCTGCATCTTGTCGTTCGATTACCGTGGGAGGGTTGTGTGGAGATCCCGGGCTTGAATGAAACGAACGCCCGTCAAGCCATGTGCTGATCGCCTGTTTCAGGTTTTGTTTGTCGGGTGCGTTACCCAGCACTATTTCTGGTGAAGCGCATTTGATGTATTTTATTCGGGATCTAAATCTAGAGTTTCGTTTTTTATCATTTCGCTCGGCCCATTCAAGGTTGTTGCACATGATGTGAGGGTCCACAGGTATGGTCAAGCTTAGGTCTCTTCCCACCTGCGCAGGTGTACTTTACTAAGGATCGGCAGAAAATGAAACAAGTGGCTTTTGTTAATCTTTCTCATTCAAATCCTGATAAAGACCGAGCTTGGATTTCGCGATGAAGCATCGGGATCGGACTAGAGGACTTGGGGCCCGACCAACCTTTCCAACCCACTCTTTTACGAGCAAGCCAATCAAAACCTGAGATCCACATGCCCCATAGCCCCATGAACAGTGCCTTGGTGCAGATCTCCAGTATGGACATCTAGACAATTGAGCCTTGAATGCACGTCTCCCGTCCAGAAAATAGATTTCGGCAAGCCTAATAGAGATGTTGGGTGGCTTGGCGGCTAATACAAAGTTGTTCACAAATACGGACACGCGCATTGCGTTGCATCAGGCCAACGCAAACAGCCCCTAATTAGCAACATTTGGCTTTCCAAGACAACAACCTGCAGATAATTTTCTATTGTAGTAACCAACAAGCCACCAACAATACCGTTGGACGCGCGAATCACCGTAATCCCAGGCCGCCATCGGCGCTTCTGCAAAATGCACCCCCGAAGCTCTTCTGGGGCTAGTTCCAGCCTTCTACGACCTAGCGGTGACTGCCATCTGCAAGATGACATCACTCCCACGTTTCTCCCAACGAGTCATATGCCTGTTTAATTGTTGGTTCATGGAGTATTCCTATTCGCCACCATGTACTCCGTACTGCAGGCGGTGCTCAGGTTTCAGGAGCAGCGGACTAACGTGGTGTTTGTCACAGCTCGTTGCGCGAGCTGTCTACTGACATCAACCCTGGAGTCCAGGCTCAATTTGGTCCCCGGCGATGGATCCCCGATGCAACGAAGAGAAGTGACGCATCGCGGATTCTCAATGCACCGATGCTGGCGACCAAGGTCCTCAACGTATCCGAGTCTTAATGTTCCTGCCAGGGATTACCTGCGTCGCAGGCCCCCGTCTAGCGCATCCTTCCGGCCAGGCACGGGTGTGCATGATGCCATAATCTGATGTCCGATAGAGACGGTATGATAAAACTACTAGATTAGGTGTGGTAAATATGCATTGTTCACATCAAGATAAGCACACGTGGGCCGCTTTTCTCGATGTGCTTCGACTCCACCCTCGTTTCCGGGGGTCCGGATGTGCTTGGGCTTATGTGGTACTACTCTCGGGGGTTGTCTTAATGTTGGCCGTCGATCATCGCTGAATCCTTTCGCCGGTTTAATCTTCTACGATGATCTCAGTGGCTTTCTCTTGGAATGGTCGCGTTGTTCCTTATGTGATTGATGTCATGGAAATGAGGAGATCCTGGGTCAGTCAATTCTTCCGTCGAGGGTGAGAGTTTCATTTCGCAAAGTCCGGCCGGGCTTTGGTGTGTCTGAAATCTGTGTGGCGTGGTCTGAATGTAGCTAGTCCAGCTCTGGATTACTGTACTTATTCTTGGCGTAGACTCGAAACGTGAATGTACTTTGTGAGAAACTTTCGCATACTTCGGGTCAAGACAGAATGTATAGATATCATCCCAGGACAATTTCGAAGAGCAGACTACTCCGATAGACATTGATGTTATCATCTAAAGAAGATGGCTCTTGCTATCCAAGCATTTAAAACTATTCACAATCCCCTCCTGACCATTTCAGCAACCACTACACCTTCTCTTATCATCCTTAGTTGCAGGGCTTCTTAATGCGCATGGGGTGGCACTCGGTGTTAAACACAAACTCATCCAGACTGACGACATCGGTCTCAGCGAAGGAGAGATAGAGGTACTTGAGAACCTCAGCAAAGTAGAAGCTACACAAGCGATTCGTCAGTTCCATCTTTGTTAGCGTTTAATGTTGAAAGCTCACCTGGCAACATAGTTGATCAACTCGCCACCGCCAGGAGCATTCACATCGGATATCTCGGCGTAGGGCACGGACTTGGATCGCTTCGTATCCAGAGCCTGGAAGATCTCCCAGTTGTAGTCCTGCCAGCGAGTATCACCAGTGATGCGGTACGCGTACCAGATGCTCTCGATGGGCTCGGGATAGTCGCGATACGAGGGGTCAGTGATGAAGTAGCCGTTCTTAGCGGCTTCGGCGCGGTAGGTGGCGTTCTTATTGTATTGGTTGTCGTAGGCGGTGTTGTTCTGGTTGTACCAGGCAATACCTGGATTTTTTTTTAATCAGCTACAGTAGAAAGACTTGGGCTTGTGTGGCCTCACTCGACGGATTCAGACCGGTCGTGGTGGTGTTGAAGAGCCGGTGACAGCTATCAGTCACCTTGACTCCAAGGTCAGTGATGTCGGGGCGGTCCAGATATGCTCCACCGAGAAGAAGATTACCGCCAGCGAAGCAAGCCTAGAAGAAGATGTTAATGGGTAACGGGAAAAGCAAGGTGGGGTTGACGAACGTAGTCATCCATGGCCCACATGAGGCTACCGTTGATGTCGGATTGCGACAGGAAGGTCAGCTCGGGGTGATGATACGGGTGTAGCGCAATATTCTTCATGCTCGACTCTGCGGTGACAACCCAAAAGTCACGTAGCTGCTGAGCGTATTCATCCGAGGGATCGTACACATAAGTCTTGATAAGGTACTGCGGAAAGAATTAGTCTCATACATACATAGCTGCTTGATATTGAAGTCTACCTCGATGAAGCTGTCCACGCCAGCTTCCCAGCCAGCATCAAAGGTAATGAACTTGCCAGTCTCGGTGTCAAGCTCGGTACCAACGAGGCCGGGGTAAACGGGAGCAGGGCTGGGCTTGATGAGATAGCTCTCGGCCTTCTTCGCCTATAATGTGGGATGCATATCAATATCCCGTTCTCAAAACTGATCAATAATGCGGAAGTGGACCTACGTGCTCGCGGAAAGACTCATCGCCAGTGAGATCGGAGAGACGGTAGTACTCCAAGATCATGGTTCCGGCCTGGGCAGTGTTGGTACTATTGTACGTAGTGCCATTGATGGTACTGGAGGCCTGAATAACTTCGCCAGTGGTAAAGTTCATCTGTGACGCAGGTAGACCAGTGACAGTGTCGAACACTGGGCTGATGGCAGTCGCCAGGGACTTTGCCTGGGATAGCAGGGCCTCGACAAGATGCTCGTCATAGGGGTTAGGGAATTTTCCACTCTTGATCAAGTCATATGCGCTCAGAAGTCCAGCGAGATAACGGATGTTTGTGTCAAAGAAATTGACGATATAGGCAGACTTTCTATTCGGGAATTAATAAACAGCGCCAGTAGATCGGTTTCCGAACTTACGTGAAGTCAACAGAAGCAATGTGATTCAGCTGTTTCTCAACAATATCGGTCAAGCCCATGACAATGGCAGTGTCAATGCCATCGACAACACTAGCACCCCAGCCGAAAAGGTCATTGGTGCCGTTGTGGGTGAGGGGCATGAGGTCGTCCTGGGGGAATGCATATTTGTAGTATTGGTTCCACTCGCGGACATAGGCCTGCTTCACAGCTTCGGCACGCGGATCATTCTTGTTTGTGCCAGCAGGGAAGTCATGCTGAACCTTTCGGCAGGTCTGACTGGGACGAGCAACGACAGCGGGGACGAGGGCCGCCAGGGCCAACAGAGCGCGGGAGACGATCACCATGCTGATCAGCCTTTTGCTCTTTCTTTGAAGTGCACTGAAAAGGAAGTTGGATTGGCGAAACAAGGGATATATACTAAACCCCCTGCCGATCGACAGGGGTCATTGTTACATTGCTGAAAGGTTACATAGTTAGCCCCGGGGTTGATTACTCGAGTCAACACAAGCTAGTAGATTTACAAGGTTGACTTTGGGGCCTTACCCCTTCAAGGCTATGTTTCCATGACGCACGAAATCATTTGTTGAGCAAATCAATGAAGTTTCAGGAGTCGGGGGATGACCGAGCTACAATATTGAGGGGCTTGCGCATTGACGCGTAGCGCGTGCCTGGCGCTTTGCAGGGTTCATTCAAGCTTTTGCGGAACCATCCGCTTCGGACTAAAGAAAACCGAATTCTGCGGGGAATTGCCCGATCTCCGGTCCAAAGCTGGGAGTCCTGAGGGCTAGAATGTTTTCTGTCTTGATACTGAAATACGCTGACTTTCTATATCCTTGGAGATATACTATACTGCCCGAGATCCAGTAGACCAAGGTTCAAGTACCTGCGATTGAGGAGAGTATCCATCGTAGGTGCTGACCTAGGCAACACGCGACAAGGAACAAGAAACATTGGGGTAAACACTAGTCCCGTTATTACCGCCACTTCGTCACAGTTCTACTTCGTGGCGTTATGAATTATGCTCTGAGTGTCCACTACTCCAGATTCAACAACAGATGATCTTAATGCTTATTCGAGTAATGATCAGTTTCGGTCAAATTACATCAGGTCAAGTCGGGCTTAGGCATCTCTTCTTCGGAGATATTAAAACTAGAATGCTACCCCGGAGTCAGTGCGAGCTCGACCCCGCGCCAACTCAAGAGAGCCTAACAGGCCCGAACGTTACCGTCCTAGATTGTACCATCACAAGCACATCTGGATCTCTTTGCAGTGGGCGCGATTGGGGATCCACTACACGGGGGTAATAACACCGAGCTGCTCTACGTGTGGAGACCCAACTGGACCTATTCCGCTATTATATAGAGTGTATGAGCTATGCGGTGAAAGCCACAGTGCTATACGGTTGATAATCTTGCAGAGATAGACAGGAAGATGAACCTTCATGGCTTGTCTTTGACAGACTGGATATATTTGCTTCGATCGAACTCTGTAGCCAATCTGTAGGAAACACTGATAATTATTTCCGTCCGTTATATCTTGGCATGTTGAATATCGTCAAGACTTGCGAAGATGGTTTTAAGCTGATTCTCAACTTTGCCAGTGCTTCAGACATTACAAAGGACCTGGCTGCTCTTGGAGATTATATGTTACCTCATCGGTGATCTTACTCTTACTAACTAGCCCAGCATCTCCGACGCAGTCCTTGTGGATAGCTTCAACGACGGAGATGATCGAGAATCCTGCTACAAAAACTTCATTCGAAAGACAGGATCCAATTTTGGCTATAATTGGGCTCCCAAGATTGCCCTACTCGGTATCTGGCAGTCTGCGTGATTGGTACCACTGAACTCTGCATCTCCGATGTCCCTGCAGACTGCATTGATTCAAGAAGCAAACCGGACCGTACCCGCCTGGTTAAGCTTTGAGGCCCGATAGTCACTCAAGATGTTCTTTTATCGCGCAAGATACATCTTCGAGACCATAGTCTAACACTTATTCTATACCACGACTGGGGACTCGGAAGCATGGGATTATCGGTCTTGTGAGAACCAACCAGGGGAAATGGCAACTTGATCTGGAAAAGATATCGGAGAGAAGAAGCCTGTCTCAGAGAATGTGGCATTCAATACCAGGGCTATTGACTCTACATGCGTGTTCAAGACTAACACGTTCGATCAGACTGGACTTAATCTACGAAATGTCGTTCTTCAAATAAATGTCTCTGCCAAAGATGCCGCGCATAGCAGGAATAAGAAGAGCTACACGCAAACCTCGCTGTTCCGCTCCATGCCACTTCAGAAGGTGAATAATCAGGTTCCTGGACTACTTATCGAGATGAGCTCCTAGTGACGAAGGCTGGGCCGCATGGATATGGCTTTATCTTCCACTTATTGTGTAGGGTTACTTGGAAGGTAATGGCTTCTGGCTTGCTGCTAGTGGGCCTAGGAGTTGAGCCTCGCAAAGGATTAAATTATACTATAGGGAATTTAGTAGAGGATGTTGTGTTCAGTAGTATTTGGAACAATACCCAGCAGGGGCTGTTGTATACAGAATAAAATGGGTTAGTAAGATATTCGATAGCCAATTGAGTGTTCAGGATTCTTTTGAAGGGCATAGCCAAGGCAAGATCGTACTCAACATTTCTCTCGGTCGGGTCATTAATTTCATTCATCTTGTAAGAAGGGTGAACATTATAGGGACAGTCGGATAATCGATGCATCGAATGCTCGGCCCCACCGCGAGATGACAGGTCTCTGTAGATCTCAATCTCAGGAGCCCTGGATATTCAATGGACTAGTAGAGCACTTCGCATCCTACTTTCAAAGAGCAGATGATTTACCATCATTCACCCTGAAAAATAATAGCCAGAAACCTACGCGGATAAAACATTTATTGTGCACTTCCATTCTCACATTAAGTACAAGCTAATGAATATTCCCCAAGCTCTCTGGAATTCGTCTAGGAAACGTTCAGGGCAGTATATGCCCCCACCGAATCAGTCGCATTCAGTGGACGAGAGAAATGAAGAAAATATCTGTTAACAAGAAAATAGGAATCATGTGAAGGAATGGTGTGCTCATGACGGCGCGAGCATCGAAAGCCCAAATCAAAACGCCTTTTCGGATACAAGATCTTCTATTGAATCCTTCTCGCCGAGAGGCAAGATTGCAGTTGACTGGCATTACTTTTCTCGGGTGAGAGGTCCGGTGTGGATCCCCAAGTCACAAGGTGCAAATCCCCAGACGGTAACGACAGGAGGATGGGTATCGTTTATCCAGGACCCGTGTAGCGGGTCCAGAGAGCCGGCCAGAAGTTGAAAATAATAAATCACCAAATATGGACACCGAATCGGGTCGAGCTATATGCCTTTCGGATATCATAACTCCGCTAAATAACCCGAGGAAAATATGACGGAAATAGGGCTCTCAAAAAGAAGCACCTGCGGTGGAAGGGAAAAGTCGAGATGTGAGATGATTGAGGAGTGGTTGAACAGGGTGAAAGGAAAGAGTCGTGCAGTCTAGTGGTTAGGGCTGACCGTTTAGTGGTAGCGGCCTGCGTCGGGGTTGGTCACCTGAGTCGGGGTTAGTACACTGTGCAGAGCAGTTTAAGAGTATCCACGTACCTGCAAGATGCGGCGAGAGAAGTCGTGGTCATCATCGATGCTGCCATTGCTTTGGCGGCGCTGGGCCATGTAGCCACCGTCGAATCGTGAATCCGTCATGGATGGAGGCGATTCGCGCTCGAAGCCACCGGAGGTACCGCGGAATCCTTCGGCCTTTTGCTTCTTGGAGCGGTAGAAGAACCAGACAGCACCTGCCAATGCGGCCAGGCCGACCACACCAACCACAACACCAGCAGCAATCGCGGCTGTGTTGTGGGTGCTCTTCTTCTCAGCCTCGATATCATCTGTGCTACTAGGCTTAGGCGCGCTGGTGGCAGTCACCACGGTCGTCGCTCCATTAGCGTCAGTCGAGACAGAGGCAGTTGCCCCGCTGCTCTTTGTAGTAGCGGTATTCGTTTCGCTGCTGCTAGAACTCGTAGTTGTGGAGTCAGAGTAGCTGGGAACATCGGATACCAGACCAGTTGTGTAAACTGAGAAGAATCCACTTCCACCGCCTATTAAAGGGTCAGTAAATGATTCATATAATCGCCAAGTAATCATCGCATACACATATCCTCGGGCCAGCCATCACAAGCCTTGTTGCACTTGCCGCTAGACACTTTGTCGGATGCCAAGGGCAGCTCATCACCACACAGGCAATCGGAACCTGCTGTCAAAGCAAACGCAGCTGCGTTGTACGGAGAGCCGCTGCATCGGTCGTAACACCATCCAGAACTCTGGAAAGTGTATGAGGTCTGGTTACCCATGCCCTCACTGCTGCTGTAGCAACCGACCAAGGTCGCACCGGCTCGTCGATCTAGGTGGTTTTCAAAGTTGAAGGCCTTGGCAGCAGCCGAGCTGGCGAGAAGCAGGCTGGACGCCACAAGGGCGGTCGATGTGAGGTGCATGATGAAGGGTTTGGGAGGAGATTATTCGAGAGAGGCCAGAGAAATTAACACCGCTCTAGACACAGTCTGAGCGGAGAAGCGAAGAACCAGGAACGACCTGCGTGACCCTTGGAAACTTCAAGTGAATTGTGCCGATGGGCGTGTTTGTCGAGGACCCACGGGAGTCTTCAACACGTCGCGTTGTGATAGTCGGGTCGCTGGGAGGCCAGACTCGACGACGACTCAAGACGGGACGGTTCGAATCGGCGACACGGAGGATCGAAGGGCAGAAAGGCGGGGAGCGAGAGAAACGAGGATAAACAACCCAGGTGACAAAGGGTCGAGGTTCAACCCCTTAACGTTTCGAATGTCGTGAGAGCAGGGGCTCTGGTCGAGAGTGTAGAGTAAAGAGCGATACCTCGGGGAGGAGTAACGAGTGTGATGTGAAAGAGAGAAGGAGTCAGGGATCGAAGGGGTCTGATCTTTACAGTACAGTCAAGAGCGGGTGAGCAGTCGGTTTGTTTGTCCCGTTCGTTTCCCCGTAATTTACAGGGTCCACTTGTCTGGCGAATTACAGTGTATTTTCGGAATGACATAATCAGGCACCATCGCAGCGAACCAGGGGCCTTTCGTCGATCGCTTTCCCCTTCAAGATGGAAACGGGCGGCATGTCTCCAGTCACATTTGCTGCTGTCGCCCCTCTGGCTTCATGTTATTCGATCGACGCACACAAACATGCCACATGAAGCATGAAGCCCTTCAGCCTCGGATATACAATTGATACAACTGCGACGCTATGTCCCAGTGGCTGAGCACTTCACGCTAGTGTACGAGCCAGACAGTCTCATCACCCTGAAATTGCCGTGCGGGCAGACATTTCTGGGGGAACCCCCCCCCCTCCCCTTCTGGAAATGAAACTCCTTAGCGCCTGGAGCCAATTTCCGTGGGGTGTGACGGACTCGCCAAGCGCCCTAAGGGCCCGAAGATCCGATCTTTAAAGCAGCCTAATACTGCAGTCGTTTCGCCCTTCGACCCTTCACACGGTCGCATGTATAGTGCCGAGCCTGGTACTGTACATGCAGGTCGTACAGGACCCTGACCCCTTTTCCTCCTGACGAAGGTATTACCACGGGTCCCGAGCGGACACTCCCGGTGGGTGGACCGGCGCACCACAAAATTGAGCTGTCTCCTGTACAGTCTGTAATAAATGACGGAACCAAAACACTGGACCCCTGGGACTGTGCTTGGCCCGATGTTTTGCATCCATCATGGCTACCGGGTCTACTTTTGTAATGTAATACAGCGAGCATGTTCATTGACTACAGTATCTGTTTATCTATAGTCAATCATCCGATGCGACCGATGTCGAGTGACGAGTTTCAAACCCTGCAGATGGTGGGCGAGGCGCTGTATGATCAGCAGACCCTGCATTCGCCCCAATGGAGCAACCGCTGGTGAATGACACCATTGAGTCCCGCTGATCGCGATTCTTGGAGGGTCCATCTCGCTAGAATAGAGTATTTAGAAGCCTCCGAAAGCTTCCGTTGATTCTTCCTGGCCTAGCTTTGCACTTGAGCCATCCTTTTGCCTTCGTTTGTTTGTCAAGGTTCTCGAGGCCTCACAGCTGCTATATATAACCAAGACACCCCACCGGACCATCTCAGATCATCACAGGCGCAAAATTAGGGCTTGAAAGATCTCCCACAATGATGACGTTGAAAAGAGACACCGATCAAGCTAACTAGACAGAAGACCTTGGGCTAGTGCTACGTCTACATACAAACCTCTCTGCAGGGGGCTCCCTCAGTCTTGAAAGCCCGAGAGTCAAAAACGAGCACTTGAGACATCTTTCGCAACTTTGAACGTTGACTCCTTGAGTTGTGCTCTCACAATAAACACAACCTTTGAAGTATCCGAAGCGTCCCGAAACGGGCCAAACCCATCGCACAAAACAACGGGCAGGTAACACTCAGGTACCATGCACCTCCAATCCTATCGGCGCACGTCTAGACCTGTCTTGACTCACCACATATTTATTCCTGGAACTGTGGCGCCCGCTAGCTCGGCCAAGTGCCCCACCTGCCAACAGAAATCCCGTCCCTTGCATCCTCAAGAAGAAAATTGAACACTGTTGATGAAAATTCTGACTGGATCCTCGGTATCATATCATAACATAACATAACATAACATAACATAACCTAACCTAATACCTGCTGGCAGTTCTACTCCCTCCCACTCGATTGGTCGTGGGGGAACATGTGAATTCCCAACTCGAAGATCGAATCGACTTCCCGCGGTCTAGAACACTGGGGCTTGTTCCATTGAGACTGGAGCCACGATTAATGACACTAACGCCATCTGACAAGTTCACATCTCGGATGCTCCGGGGTGTGTTCAGGGTCTCGGAGGCTGGAAATGATCCGTTGGTGGTTACTAGTTCGTCGGTGGCGAAGTGGTTATTGTATTTGGCCTCCTCGGGGTTTTCAACCGTTGAGTCTCGAATTGGACTCTTTGGCGTGGTCCGCAAACGGAGGGACCAGAATGCCTAGAATCTGCGTTGTTTACCATACGCGTTCTGAGTTGAATGACCTAGTCAAATCTCGAAGGATCGCGTGACTATCTTGATAGCTCGCCCGGGTTCTAGACCACTGAAGTCCGCGACTCGGCTGTCAGAGCTGACAAAACATTATCGAAAAAGGTACCGCGCATGTGTAAGTATACTTTTGCTTCCCAGCCATCGCATCCCGAGCGACCTCGCCGTATAGGTAAGAAGGTGATACGAAACAACCCTTTCGAAGGAGACCATCAACCTTTCGCAAGCGGCCGTGATCCGATCGTCACAGGCCAAATATCTGTCGAACATAGCCATCAGCCTATCATCGGAGGCAATGAACTTGATCAAATTTACTTCAAGAATGTTTGTAGCCGGGTACGATGGATGGCATTCGTCTGTCCACTTGCACCTGACATCTGTAGTCATTTGTTGGAAGTGGCAGTCCTTCTGGCGATCTGATCTGTTTCCAGAAAGCTTCCTGACAAGGCTTCGGCCCCCAAGTTTGTGACAATCGCCAGGCCACTTGCTCCGCGTGGGGTCCACGGCACATCAGACAAAAAAAGATGCTAGTTCTTACGAAGGGGGTTTCCTGGAGTTCTTTCTAATTTAAAAGCTTACAGTGAAGGGAACAAAGTGTCAAGTATTATTTCAGCTATGTTAAAGAAAATACAAGAAGTTCCTTGACTTCAAAATATTTTAATAAAAATGAAGAAGAAATACAGGAACTGGGATATGCCCTGAAAAGGAAGAAAAGTATTACGACTCAACCGAATGAGTCAAATCCATTACAAAACAGCTTCAGAGTTTATCGTAAATGGTCTGCACGGAATCCGAGCCATCAAAGACATGAACACCATGGCCCGAGCAGCCGAACGTGGAAGCATCGGGTCCGCCTGCAGAGTGGATGGCTCTCTCAACACAGCCACTCTTCATCAAAATAGGGAGGTTGAACTTTGCAGCGGTACCATTGGTGGTCTCGGTGCTAAAGTCCCAAGCAGACATTGCACCGCAACCCTTTTCTTGATTCTTGAGAGTGCTTGACAGAGTATCCTCGTCGACATCCCAATGGTCGATGTCATAAATTAGGAACATATATGCCGATATCTCATCCCACATAGCACACTTGGCGGTGGGCGATGGAACCGAGATGGTGGTCGAGGTTCCTGCACCGTATGTCTCAGTGAGTGAGTATCCAGCAACAGCAAAATACGAGAGAGTAGAGGTCGCGTAGGCGATCACAGTGCCATCAGTAGTGGCCGTGTAAGGCCAAGGGACTGTCGGGGTCGGTGTTTGGAGAACAGTGCTTGACCCAGAGCCATATATCTCAGTGAGTGAGTATCCAGCAACGGCGAAGTACGAGACAGTCGAAGTCGCGTAAGCAATCACTGAGCCATCCGACGTTGTAGTGTAAGGGTATGGGTTCGTAGGGGCAGGGAAGCTAGTGTAGCTGCAGTAGCCATTGCTCATTAGGGAGAGAGAAGTGTAAAGAACTGATCCACTAGAGGTAGATGAGCAAGTGCAGTAGTCCTCGTCCTCATGAGGATTTGCCCAGTTTTGACAGTAATAAGTTGTAGCCGTGGGTGCAGCAGTGATTGAAGCTGGTGTCGAGGCTTTGGTCGTTGTCGTTGGTGTGGGGGAAGCTTGTGTAGCTGCAGTAGCCATTGCTCATCAGGGATCGAGACGTGTACAGAACTGATCCACTAGAGGTGGATGAGCAAGTGCAATAGTCTTCATCCTCATGGGGGTTCGCCCAGTTTTCACAATAGTAGGTCACGGCTGCAGTTGAGGTAGAGGGTTTGCTGGTGATGGTGGATGAGCCAGACCCAGTGCTAGACGAAAAGCTGACCACGATGTTTGAAGACGAGCGCGCATTGATGCTTGATGAGGATGCAACCATGTTGCTTGAAGATGAGCTCGTCATGGTGGTCGATGAGGAGGCAGTCGTGGCGCTTGATGATGAACTCCTTGTGGTACTTGAAGTTGTACCACTGGCCCTAATTGTTGATGAGGAGGTTGTAGTGATTGAAAAAGAGTTTACATTTGATGAAGCTGGATTTCCTGCACCAGTCGAGGTTCCAGAGCCCTTCGAGCTTATCGCAGGATAGGACTTGCTTCTTCTAAGTTTACAAGCCTTGGCACTGGATGAAGCGCTGCTGGTTATTGTGGTTGTTAAGCCAGTCACAGAGCATCCCGTTGTTGTAACAGTAGTTGTAGGAGAGCATTTTGTAGTTGAGATCGTCGAGCTTCCAAACATGCTCGTAGTTGGCTTACAAACAACAGTGACTCTCTCGGCTGTAGTAGATGAGCATGCAGACGAAGAGCTTGACGACGAGCTGGACGAGCTGCTTGAGGTGTCAGTGCTGGTATCACTTGACGAGGAAGATTTATCGTCGTCATCGTCAGTGAGGTCGTCCGCGGTTGAGGTGAGAGTAGAGATGATGCCTTCAATTCCTTCGACATCATTCCCCTCAACATCCTGGGTAACATTTTCCAAATCTTCACCGATGCAGGTCAATGTGTTAACTAATCCTTCGATGAAACCGAAGATGCCCCTCTTTTTCTTGGAGCCACAGCCAGACGTAGATGACCTTCCTCCAAGATCTGAGATCACAGTCTCAATATCGGTTTTGACATCATCCACTTTGTTAAGTGTATCAGTTTTGAGCGAGGTTGGGCTCGATTTCCAAGAGCTGAGAATGGGTATGAGAGCCAAAACTTCCGAAGAAACCGAGGACGCACTCGATGAGGCTTCGGTCCCAGAAAGAGTTGTGGTAACTGGGGGAAGGGTGATCGGAGCCGAGGCTCCATCCCCAATGATGTTCACTGTACGAGTTATACCGGACTCAACCACTGTGGAAGTAACGATGCTGGGAGTTCCCACCATGACCCATAGAGTCGATGAGCTACTACCTCGGGTGCTGCCAGATGACGTACTCTTGGAGCCGCCAGTTGGGGAGTCACTGGTTACCAATTTGGTCAAGGAAGAGCTTGGAATACCCGGCGAGGAAGGTCTGACTGGAGTCACAGATGAAGAGCTGCTGCTGGTACTGATAATGCTTCTGGATGTGCCTGAGCTCGTGGAGCTGGCAAAAACAATGGAGCTAGAAGAGCCAATAGATCTAGAAGAACTGGTATAGCTGGACGAGGTGGTAGAACCAGAAGAGCTGGGAGATGATGGGTTGATGCTCGATGAGATCACCGGAGTCGCGCCTTCGCTGCTGAAAGGCGTGCTATGAATGACGGAAGATGTGAATGGCCAATTTGAAGAAGTCAAAGAAGTACTGGATCCAATTGCCGGTACAACACTGGATGGGCTACTCGAATGGAACGAAGATTTCAATGCGCTGGAGGGAGAAGTAAAGATTGGCGTCGGAGAGTAGGAGCTACTCTCGCTAGTACTGGATATTAACAACAACTCGTCAGCTTCCTTGAATCTTCAACACATCTGGTTACATCATACATAGATAGGGTTGAGTGAGGTGTGGTAGAATTGAATGAATGGCGGCTGCTTGTCCCAATGACCCCAGCAGAGGCATAGGAAGCCAATGAAAAAAGGACAAGATACGCCCTCCCGGCCGATAGAGACCAGCACTTGGGGGAGTGCATCTTGAAAGTTGAAAAAAGGTGTCTGAATGAGTGGGTTGAACTGTACACAGTCGAGGAAGTTCCACGGCATTTAAATACTTCACACGGGGGTTTCAAAGGGTACCCACCTACCTTGCATTGGAAAGAAGGAAATGAGAGTACACCAGGGCTGTCTGGTTGATTAGTTAATCTTCAATGTTATTTCCAAAGCAAGTCAGATTTTAGCTTCTTCGAACGGCCTCCTGTTTGGGGTAGCGATATCCCGTCCTTGTTGATCCGTTTGATGGCCCCCAAGCTGACAAGTACTATATGTGAGGTTTCATATACCCACTTTGAAATTATTTTTTAGCCTTATGGGGTCCAAAAGATGGGGGCTGAGTTGTGAGTATCAAAGCTTTAACAGACTGGATCGGTTCAGGAGAGCGCACATGCTCCGATTTTGTATACACTATGTGTGGTTCGGAACCGATCATTTCTGATGAAATTCCCAGTTGAGAAAGCGAACTCAATTTGGATTGATTCTTGAGCAAGATCTTGCACTGTTAAGATCTGGCTGGAGCTTTCCAAGGTTCAGCCCCGACCGTACCTGCAGTTTTACTCTCACTTCGAGCTTATTGCCGATTGCCGATCCCCCTGAGGCTTCGATGTGCCGGGGTGGGTATATGTTCTAGATATTCTGAGTTAGGGTAGCTGCACGCAGAGCAGGTATTCCATCGGGGCTATCTTGTATCGATCAAGTAAGGAGGGAAGGCCAATTTAGACTTACGACCAGACCAGGTCATGGAGTAAATCGCTTCGTACCAGGTTCTAAATATAATATTATCCATCCAACCTTCTCCTCCCCGTGACTCATTCCTTGATAAACTGTTTGATTTCCTCATTCTTCCTTCGCGATAAATATTCGAACGCACTTCCAAAGGCACTTTTTGTGTGTGGACCCGTCCGATTCTGTAACAACTACCTCACGCTTTCAACTGCACCGGCTATCACAGCGTACAAAATTGCATACCTGGGTTTCATATTGATGAGACTCTTCCTTAGCATTTACATCGGCTTAACTTATCACAAGTACCTGCGTAGCTGAAATTCTATTGATATTAAACTCTTTGCTTGGGATGACAGGACCCGCATGAGGGTTGGCTCCTGGTGGACAGACTCTGGCGGCGCGGCTCGAAGGCGTCCCATTCTTAATAGAACGAGTAATGGTACGGGGTGGCCATCACATTTGACTAGGGCTGCATTCGCTGTCCCTGCGGCAAGTGTTGCTGAGCGGCTGCTCGTGGCCTAGCCACCATCATCTGCATTTGCATTTGCATTTTGTGGCTGACGTGCTTGTGTCATGATCTGATGTCGCATCTGTTCTTGTGATGCCATGATGACCTTGGGCTTGGGCGGATGAATTGCCACTATTGGGGACCTCCAGATTGAGAAATCCTTGAAGAGCAGTTGGCAAAACAAAATTGAACAGGTGATTGTTCAGACGGATTAAGCTGCTCGTGTACTCTTTAAAACTTGGGGCCCGACGGGTCGATTGACTGTTTCAAGAAACGTACAGGTCTATCCCGAAGAGGTAGACGTTAGTTCAGCAATGATAGCGCTAGTCTTGGTTGGTAGTATACTGTGGAGAGGCTTCGTTAGGGACCCGTCCGCCACACGTTGATCTTCAATTGCCCGTCTCCATAAATAAGAGTTAACAAAAAACTCAAGGAATCTGGGACGTCGTGCGGGACTAGTGCTGACTGAGCTGACAGGGGTAAAGGTTGCCTCTCAGGGGCTACTTGATCTCACTGGGAGCGGATGATCCAGTTCCACGCCGACCGGGCTATTGTACAGCTATAGGCTCTGCCATTTAGGCGATCAGCACGGGGATTGAAGTTGGGTGTGAATTTCTCCTTGAAAGAGCGTGGGATTTTCTCGGGGCTCTTCACCCAGCAATATTCTTCAGTATGGCCTGCCCTTGCCGGCGAACAGTTTTGCGGCCTTTCTGGATTCTTCTAATGAGCCCGAGACCAAAGTTCCATCTGAGTGGTTTTATCAGCAGTTTGAAGTCGAGATGACCCCTGCTGTGCTGTTCAATGCTTACAGTGTGACCTGCTGGAGGAGACTACCAAGGTGAGCGGGGTTTGCGGGGACTATACAGCCAGTACACCTTCTGGGGCAACCTGTCCGCATAATGTGATTGTTACGAAGAGGCGGACGATCATGCTGCCGAGAAGACGAGGCGCAATCAGTAAAAAGGCCGGGGCGAAATCGTTGGGCATGCTGGGGGTGATTGCCGTGGCTACGACAAACGACATTGATAATTAGGTCAGGTTAAGGTTAACGGAGTCTTTGGCAGAGCTAGATGTGCCTAGGGGGATACAATTGCCGTTTCCTCTCCGCTACTTGTTTATCTCATTTTCCAAGCCGTATTACCTCTGATTCACTAAGCGAAACTAGGTTCATGGTTTATCAATTATAAACGGATTGTTCAGTTCCCATGGCACACGTCTAGCATATATATCATTCATGCTCCCATTCAGCTGTTCGATACTTAGCTGGTGATGGCGGAACTGCTGTATAATCGCATTGGCAATGCTCACGTCGTTGGCCTCAACTACTGCTTGCACATGCGGTTCACCTGCAGGATTCTGAATTTCCTGCAGTACAGCAAATTGCACCTTCTACACCCGTCAGGAATTATCATATCCTAGTCTCTACTCACTACGATCCGTAAAGCACCTCTATCCGAAAAGAGATTCCGATTTTTTCGTGGACATTAATCCATTCCGCATCATGGAGGAACTATGCAACGGGCTTATATCATCTATGAAACCACGACCCATTGAAACATCCTCAATTAAGTATATTGAGATCGTGTCCAGCCCTGCGTATAGACAGCAGCGCTGCTCACCTATTTCCAAGGCCACCCATCCAAAGACAAGCATTGGTAATTTTTTCCAACTATATTACCCGACTAGGTCTGATCACGGCTCACGGCTTGGGGATGTGGATGGTCTTGCTAACCATCAAACATCCATGCAGAGTGAACATGAGCACAACCGGGTGGAATTCAAAGATCGTACCCTCCGCAACGAGGCCAAGAGGGATGTTCTCATGGGTCCAGCTTTGGGAGACCCAGTAGGCCATGAGAGAGACGATTGCCAGGGTTGTGGGGATGGGGGTGCCTTCGAAGTATTTTGACTTTCCGGTCTTATCCTTAGGCAAAACAGCAACTGTCACATTGAACCGAGCCAGGCGGGTCAGACCACAGAGAACGAAGAACGCGAGGAAGAGGTGGTCGAGAGATGTACGAATCCCAAGCGCGAAAGCTGCAGCGGCGGGAGCGAGGCCGAAGGAGATCTATAGCCACACGAAACGGTTAGAAGCCTGATCTGCACCAATCCTTAAAAGGCGAACATACCAAATCAGCGAGCGAATCGAGCTCCTGGCCCATCAGGGAGGACTTCTTGCGCCAGCGCGCAATCTTTCCGTCCATGAAGTCGAAGAACAGGCCGAAAGGCATGAAGCCAAGGGCGGCCCAGATGGCACCGTATTCAGTGGGCTCGCCGAGACAATAGCGCATAGACGAGAAAACGGACATGACTGTTTGGCGGTTAGCGGCAGATCGGCGATTCGCGAGGGTATAAGCTTGCCTCCGCAGAAACCTAATCAGACCGGAATTAGCAATCAGAACTGAAGATGCACGAGGTAGAGTGCAGGAGCTCCATACCATTAAGTTCAGTAACTAGATCGGCAAGATGGAGAGCTCTGGTAGCAGCGTTAGCAGGGGGGTTCTACGAGCCAGGCAGCAAGCTAGATCCCAGATACTGACTTGATCAAGCTAAAGTGGCCATGTTCCGAAGAAAGCAGCATCTTCTGCTTTTCCTGGCCTGTGACTTAATGAGCATCCATTCGCAGACCTGCAGATCAGCGGACTGACCTCCGTCGCCCGAAGACGGGGCATTGTTAGAACTGCTCGACGCCATAGTCGAAGTTCTGCGAGACATGAGGTAAAGTAAAGTGATCAAATAGGGCAAAATGTGTCGGGGGGGTTTCTGAGGGGGAGAGGGGGGAGGAATCCTGCTTCGTGTTGACGGACGCACAGATTCGCTGAGCGGTCAAACGTCATTCCCGAATTTCTGGGGCGGTGCACATGCAGACTGTGCCACACTCCAGCCACTCGGGAAAAAAGTTACGAGCTGGGGGATATTTACTCTCCACGTTTTTTGGAGGATCTAATCATTTTGAGGATGGAATGAATAAAGACAATTTTTTGACTGGATATATTCTACAGTCTCTGCAACCCTGTAGGCAGAGAAGCAGCAATTGTGTCAGGATGCACAAGAAGAAAGGAAATATTCCTGCAAAAAGCTCCCGAATCCCCCAAACGCCATAAATAGACATCAACGGTCAAGTTTTGCTTCACCCACGGCCACGGAATCCACCGCCACGGCCACCACGGCCACCGAAGCCACCGCCGCCGCCGCGAGAGAAGCCGCCGCCACCACCGCGAGAGAAACCACCGGAGCCGCCACGGCCGCCGAAGCCACCACGACCGCGAGGAGCACCACCACGGCCACCGAAGCCACCACCACCACGAGCACCGAAGCCGCCACGGCCACGGGGAGCACCACCACGGCCGCCGCGGGCACCACCAGCGCGCTTGGGCTTAGCACCCTCGGGAGCCTTAGGCTTGGGGAGGAACCTGTATCAAGAGTCAATTGGGATCGCAGATTTAAAGGGGCAATGACAACACATACTTCTCGAGAGGAAGCAGCTTGTCGCCGGCGATGAAGACCTTGTCACCAGTTTTGAAGGAAGTAGCGACAATGCCCTCCTGGGGCTTCACGGTAAAGTACACCTGGTTGATGGGACCAAGGATCTCGTCGACCTTACCGATGGGAGTCTATTGCAAAATAGTTAGATCCATATGTTGTGACTCGATCAGTGTAGAATAATTGTAGCGACAACGTACCTTGTTCTCCAGGTAAATCGGGGCGTTGAAGTAGGGGATCTTGGGGTTGAGCGACTCGCAGACCATCTCGCCTTCGCAAGCGTGCATGACAGTTCCCATCTCTAACCAATCTATCAGTATCGAGTCCGTAGAATTTATGTAGATGAATCGCAATTACCGAAAACTTGCGCGGGGGGTCCGAAAGACTGCTGGTAGCCTCCGCGGCCTGGATCAAAAAAATTTCGTTAGCTTCAAGCCCGATCGTCAAATGTCGCAGAAGCACATTACTAACCTCCACGGCTACTAAAGCCGCCCCGGTTCGCACCGGTGGCATTGCCACGTCCACGGAAAGACATGTTGTTGTGTTGAAGGATTGAGGGTGATGGGCGAAGAAGTTTTCGGATGGTGGAAACTTCATGCGGTAAAGCGTCGCTAGCCAGGGCAGTTTGCTGTCACATGACTCACCGCCCGGTCTCTCACGAAAAGAGTCATCTCCCCCGACGCTTGAGACATAGTTCGTTTAGAAAAGTTCCCCTTTCTTTCGTTGCCGGTCAATTTCTCTTCCACTTCGAGAAATTTCACCATGGCTTCTGGCGCCCCCAAGGATTTGCCTGTCCGGCCTGCCGACGAGGCTCAGGGCACTTCTCAACCCGCCGCTGCCCCGCCAAAGGACACCAAAGCGAAGAGCGCCCCTCCTGCCGATACCCTCCCCCAGTGGCTGATTGAGCGTAACGAGCTCTTCGAGCAGCTTTGGCAACAACATTTGGAGGAGACCAAGTCTCGCCCTCACCCTGAAATCAACGTCACCCTCGACATTGGCGACGGCAACCCCTCCTCCGTCCCCGCTAAGGCCTACGAGACCACCCCTGGATCTTTCTTGCGCGATGTTCCCAAGGATGTGAGCGCCAATGTGGTTATTGCGAAGGTGAATGGCGAACTCTGGGATCTGAATCGCCCTCTGGAAGGCGACTGCAAGGTTCTTTTGGTTCCCTTCAGCAACCCCGAGGCCCGTGAGGTATTCTGGCACTCCAGTGCCCACACTCTCGGCGAGGCTTGCGAGTGCGAATTCGGATGCCTTTTGTCCCACGGTCCTCCTACTCCCCAGGGTTTCTTCTATGACATGGCCATGCCTGATGGGTATGTAAACAATGCGCATATTGGAGTGTTGGGTAGTGCTAATTATGAATAGACGTGTCGTCCGCGAGGCCGACTGGAAGCCCCTTGATAACCGCGCTGGAAAGATTTTCAAGGAGAAGCAGAGCTTTGACCGTTTGGAGGTGTCCAAGGAGAACCTGAAGAAGATGTTCTCCTACAGCAAGTATAAGACTCATTACATCGATAAACTTGTCTCTGGAGAATCATCTACAGTTTACCGCTGCGGTACTCTGGTTGATCTATGCCGCGGCCCTCACATCCAGAACACTGGCAAGATCAAGACCTTCAAAATCATGCAGAACTCTTCTGCCTACTTCCTTGGTGACCAGTCCAACGACTCCCTGCAGCGTATCCGCGGTGTCGCTTTCCCCGACAAGAAGCAGATGGCCGAGCACTTGAAGTTCCTGGAGGAGGCTGAGAAGCGCAACCACCTGCGCCTGGGTAAGGAGCAGGAGCTGTTTTTCTTCGATGAGGTTTCCCCTGGTTGCCCCTTCTTGCTTCCCGCCGGAACCAAGATCTTCAACGCCCTCCAGTCTCTTCTTCGCAGCGAGTACCGCAAGCGCGGATACCAAGAGGTCCAGACCCCCAACATGTATGATGTTGGTCTTTGGAAGCAATCTGGTCACTGGGCCCACTACAAGGACGATATGTTCAAGCTGGATGTTGAGAAGCGTGAGTGGGCTCTGAAGCCTATGAACTGCCCGGCACATTTTGTCCTGTTCGGTCACCGCGAGCGTAGTTACCGCGAGTTGCCCATGCGAATTGCAGACTTTGGTGTTCTGCACCGTAACGAGGCCTCGGGTGCTCTCAGCGGTCTGACCCGTGTGCGCAAGTTCCAGCAGGATGACACTCATATTTTCTGTACCCAGGACCAAGTATGTTCTAATTGGAGATTTACTTTGACGCATTGGCTAATTTATCTCCATAGATCATGTCCGAGATTGAGGGTCTCTTTGACTTCCTGCAATCCATCTACGGCCTGTTCGGCTTTCAGTTTAAACTCAAGCTTTCAACCCGCCCAGAGAAATTCCTGGGTGAAATAGAGACGTGGAACGAAGCTGAAGACCAACTGAAGAAGGCTATGACTAAGTTCAAGGGCGAGGACTGGACCATCGACGAGGGTGACGGTGCCTTCTACGGACCCAAGATCGATATCACCATTGCCGACGCTCTCAAGCGTGAATTCCAGTGTGCCACAATTCAACTTGACTACCAAGCGTCACTTAACTTCGACCTCCAGTTCATGACGAATGAGAAGACGGAGAAGGCTGAGAAACCCGCCAAGCCCGCCAAGACTGAGAAGACTGAGAAGACTGAGAAGCCCGCCAAGGCTGAGAAGACTGAGGAGACCGAGGAGAAGAAGGCGGCCAAGCCCATCGAACCCGGCTCTGGCCGTGCTCGCCCGGTTGTCATTCACCGTGCCATCATCGGCTCCTTCGAGCGTTTCCTTGGTATCCTGATCGAGCACTTCGGCGGCAAGTGGCCCTTCTGGATCAGCCCTCGCCAGGTCATGATCATTCCCGTCATGCCGGCTGTCAACGACTACGTCAAGGAGCTGCAGCAGATCCTCCAGGGTGATAAGCTGAACGTCGATATCGACATTAGCGGTAACACTTTGCAAAAGAAGGTCAGAACGGCTCAGATTTCACAATACAACTTCATCTTTATTGTCGGCGCCGACGAGAAGGAATCTCGTTGCGTTAACGTGCGCTGCCGTGACGATCCCGCCTCACAATCTAAGGGAGTCATGATTCCCCTGGACGAGGTGCGGCCCAAGCTCCGGGCATTGCGCAAGGAGCGTAGGTTGGAGAGCACCCTGTAGGGGAGATATGAGTTACCGGGTTACGAAAAGTGAAATGAAGTACATGCGGGTATCCTACTATATTCCACCAAATATATCCCATATATAAGTAATGTAGTCGAGTAATCAGGGCCTGGATTGAGCCACGGAACCCAGTACCCTGAAAGCGAAAACACCTTGGGTAGATCCAAATTTTCCTGACTTTAAAGACGGGAGTGCCCATTCGAAGTTTAGCCTACCTACTTAGTGATTATCCTTATTAATAAATCAAGCCTACCGCCCTTGATTCTCTAGCCTTTTCCTAAATTTTTGCCCTTTTGGTCCTGATGATCAGCCGCATTATTGTTATAAGGGGATTGATAGACGCTAGAACACCCTCTTTATGTAATAATTGTCTGTCTTATATCTGAAATCCACTATAGCTTCTTTTACTATGATCATTCATGATCGCTTTCTCAGGGAAGAGGCAGCCATCATTGGAAAAGTTTTCCTCTCGGCTGAGTTTTAAAAAAAGAAACATTAGGCAAGGCTTCCGTGAGATGGGGGTTGGATGAGATAGTCTCGTTCTTTGTGCATGTCTACGGGTGTCATGTTGCCCCTGGACGAGTCGCGGGCCAAGCTGAAGGCGCTGCGTTCGGAGCGTCGTCTGGAAAATGCATGGTAAGGGAAAGTCGAGAGATGGGTTGACCGAGTTACGAACGGTGACCTGAAGCACGATATCCTGGCGAGTGGGTAATCGTCATCGTAAATCGTAACTGTAGCCAAATCAGAGTAAAAGGTGTAGGGCTGGATCGAAGATCAACACGAAACTCTGTCCTCCCGTGATCTCCACTTGGGAACAAAGCTGTTTCAGTGTTTCCGTGTTTCAGGTCTTTTGACAGCGACTCGGGGTTTCACAATTCGAGAAGAGAATTCTCTATCTCTCTCGGTAGAAAGCAGTTCTGGGACGAAGGATAGAATCTAGCTCTCCTCTTTTGATCGTACATAGAATCCTGGATTCTCGCTCCAGCGTCCATCGCGTCTTAATAAGAACCCGATCACCCGCGGGGACTGCGGGGCTCTGTTTCTCATCACACATCGAGTCGAGTCGAGACTTCCCCTTTCACCTTTCTCTTTTTCATTCTCCCTCGTTTCATTCCACTTTGATCTTCTCACTCTTTTCCCTCCTCTCCTCCTCTTCTCTCCTCCTCCTCTTCCTTCCTCGCCTCTGTGAACACCGGCGCCATGGCTGATTTACAAGGTCGCAAGGTCTTCAAGGTCTTTAACCAGGACTTCATCGTGAATGAGAATTACAATGTCACCAAAGAGCTCGGCCAGGGTGCGTACGGCATCGTTTGGTAGGTCTCTTGATGCGCCCGTGTCGTTTTCCTCGTTGGCGCTCCGAACTGACTTGGTTGTCCCTCCAGTGCCGCCACCAACGTCCAGACTGGCGAGGGTGTCGCGGTGAAGAAGGTTACCAACGTCTTCAGCAAGAAGATTCTAGCCAAACGCGCCTTGAGAGAGATCAAGCTGCTCCAACACTTCCGTGGCCATCGCAATGTACATCGCTCCGTCCCCCCGGCCCGTGCTGCGTGCTGTGTGCTGCGTGCCCCGCTAACACGCGCCAGATTACATGCCTTTACGATATGGATATCCCCCGCCCGGACAACTTTAACGAAACATATCTCTACGAGGGTACGCAACCATAACAGTCTGATACTTGTGGGCATTGTCTGACATGCCACAGAATTGATGGAATGTGATCTCGCGGCCATCATCCGCTCCGGCCAGCCCTTGACCGATGCCCATTTCCAGTCTTTCATCTACCAGATCCTTTGCGGCCTGAAGTACATCCACTCCGCAAACGTTCTGCACCGTGATCTGAAGCCTGGCAACCTACTTGTCAATGCCGACTGTGAGCTTAAGATCTGTGACTTCGGTCTCGCTCGTGGTTTCTCGATCGACCCGGAGGAGAACGCCGGTTACATGACTGAGTATGTCGCGACAAGATGGTACCGTGCGCCGGAGATTATGTTGAGCTTCCAGAGTTACACCAAAGCTAGTATGTGACCTTCTCCGATTGTTCTATCTTATCAACATCTAACCCTATCCACAGTTGACGTGTGGTCTGTTGGCTGCATTCTCGCCGAGCTCCTGGGTGGACGTCCCTTCTTCAAGGGCCGTGACTATGTGGACCAGTTGAACCAGATCCTGCACTTCCTGGGAACTCCCAACGAAGAGACCCTGTCTCGTATTGGATCTCCACGTGCCCAGGAATACGTGCGCAACCTGCCCTTCATGCCCAAGATTCCCTTCCAGCGTCTATTCCCGCAAGCCAATCCCGACGCGCTGGACCTTCTGGACCGGATGCTGGCATTCGACCCGTCGCAGCGTATCTCCGTTGAGCAGGCATTGGAGCACCCTTACTTGCACATCTGGCACGATGCCTCGGACGAGCCCACGTGCCCAACCACCTTCGACTTCCACTTCGAGGTCGTCGACGACGTCCCCGAGATGCGCAAGATGATCCTCGACGAGGTCGTTCGCTTCCGCTCCTCCGTCCGCCAGCAGTCCCAGGCCCATGCCGCCCAGCAGCAGCAGATGACCCAGCAGACCAATGTCCCCATCCCCGAGAACCAGCAGGGCGGCTGGAAGACCGAGGAGCCCAAGCCTCAGGAGGCGGCCGCCGGCGGCGGGCACTCGAATGACCTGGAGTCATCGTTGCAGCGCGGCATGGACTCCGTGCATCGCTGATTGCCGTTATTGAAATTCTGCAATTTTGGTTGTCTGCGTCTGCGTCTGCTTCGGCTGATTCACCAGCAAACTCGGTTTTCGCCTGCATGACGATATAATGAATTAGCAAAGAGATACCTCCGAGAGAAAGGCCGGAACGATTGCATGTTCTTTATTTATTTATCTTCCTCTCTTCACGCCATGTCTTGTTTCTGCGCTATTTCTTTCTTGGATACGAGGATGAGGGTCTGAGTGCCCGAGTGTGTTTAACGCCTGATCTGACTCCTTGCACGCCCTGATGCCTACTTCGGATCAGGAATCGGGGTCAGGATCAGATAGATAGATCGTTGTAGCCAGATCCAAGGCCGATCAAAAATGAGATTCGTATAAAGCTAAAATCATCGCTCAAACGTAACTGGATCGACATTTCGACCCCGTGCTTGAAAGTCGTTAGGAAGTAAACACCTCCTGATGCTAAATGGATCAAAAGCACATTCACTCATGCCACCCGGCTAAATCCAACATATGAAAGAAAAGGAAATAGATCAGTGGTAGTACCCACGCCACCAAACAGCCATACAAGCCGCGACTACAAGATCCAACATTTTGATCCCCTCGTCTTCGATAATCAACTTTCCCAGCTTCGCGCTCTTCCCGCGCATTCCACCGCCTGCTAGCTCTCGCGCAAGTGATAGATCAAGTCTATCTTCGTCTGAATCTGCCCCACCACTACTCGTACTCGTGCTGCGCCGGTGATGCTGGAATTGATTCTGGCGCGCGAAGCGCTGGGCTCGGAGAGATGTCCGCCGCAGGATATGCGCCGGACTCATGGGTTGACGCGAGTGTTCCGGGATAGGCGCATTAGGACCCGAGTGTGCACGTGGTCGAGAGTAGGTATTTGGGTTTAAGAGGTTTGAGAAGGAATTGCGTTTCGAAGCAGCCAGGTTCGGATGCGTTGGTGAGTCTGGAGATGGGGGGAGATTGTGAGTTGGGTTTTGGGCGAAGGAGTGTCCGTGTGTCCGATTTGAGGTATGGTAGTGTAGATTGGCGGCTTGAAATGGAGTGTTGAAGCGGATTTCGGCCACCGTCACAGCGGGATTGGAGTTCTCGCCTTCGCCTACTGGGACATGACCTGGACCGGAGATCATGTGTTTACATTTCAGACTGCGGCCATTGACGCTGCTGGAGAATGTGCAGGTGCCGTTCCAGGGTGAGTTGAAGACGTAGTAGCCGCTCTTGAGGTCGGAGGGGTTGCGGGTGCCGGTTGAGTCGTCGAATGGTTTGGAGACGCAGACTCGGCGGTGGAATTTGCGTGGACCCAATGGCTTCTCACTTGGTTGCTCGACTGGGAGGGGCTGTGGCATGGCAGTTTCGGCGGTGCGGATCAAGCCTGGAGGCAGATTGGCAGCCAGGCTTGCGAGTGAGAGCGGCTCATTGGACCCGGTAAATCGGTTATATCCCGGTGTAGCTATCTCAATATCAATATTATTGCGGTCCAGTCGTGGCGCCGTAATCGTTGCAACATTCCATTGCGTCCCCGATGAGGGATCACGTCGGATAAGTGTAATAGTGAAGCCTGAGTTGTTTGCAGGGACTGATGGGCCTCTTCGCTGCCGATGAGGAGAGCCACCTGGACTTCTATTTGCCGAACCTGGACGGTCCTGTGACGTTGGGCGTGGCGGCAACGGCGGCCTGTTGGCATCAAGACTATGTCGGCCTGCGGATGGAGCTTCATATCCCTCCTTCCAAGCTTCTAGTCCACGGTTTCCGGTAAAAGTGGTCCACCGATTTGTCTTTCGAGGCTCGTCTCCGCCTGCTGGGTGCTCATTCCACGGCTCTTCAGTGGGTGGCACGGGTGGCAGAGGCCTCCGCTGGAGAGTGTTTGGGGTTGTCGGACTCGGCAATGCCGGTATAGGTCGACTTCCAGGATGTTGCTGCGCATTGGCCACAGGCGTCCCAGCGAAAGACATATTTTCCGTCGAAAGTTGAGGCGTGGGAACAGGTCGGCGCGGCAAGGGTGGCGGTGCTGCTGGAAGTTCTGCTGGAGCTTGAGGCGCGTAGTTCTGCTGCGTCGGCCCCTCATCGTCCGGTTCTAGATCCTTGCCGCCCACTGGTTTCCTTCGAACATTGTTCATACGAAGGAATTCGCGCTGTGTAGGATCATCTGCGTCTGCGCCGGACACCTCCAAGGCCTCCCTCCGGCGCTGAGCCGCCTCCTCCCGCTCCTGCTCGACTTCCTGCAGCAGCGTATCGTCGTCGGGCGTCGCGACATGGAGATAGTATAGAGACGCATTGATAGCCTCAGCAGAGACGCTAGATTTCGTCGGTGGCTTAAGAGGAGAGAGGAAAATATCTGTCTCGTGTAGGCATCCATCAGTAACGGGCATATCATGACGACATCAGGCGCGATAAGCTTAGGCATGAAAGCTGGGAGAAATGGCATTCGAATACGAATGCAGGATATGAGGCACACACGCACCTTGACTGCCGGGGACCCGAACGATGTATAGCACTAAAGGGTCGTGTTTCTCGTGGGTGGGATTGCGCGGATAGGCGGGGGGTTGGATGCGATGGCGGTGATGGACGAGAGCGATCGTGCCTCGACGGGGCCCTGTGTCGCAACGGTAGACATGGCGCGGTCGCAGTGCGCCGGCCCCGAAAATATCGAGGAAGTTCAATGTCGAGGTGTTCCAAGGTTGAAGGATGAGTTCGTGGGAGGGTTTATATGGGCAGTCAACACAGGCGGGTCCTTCAGTGGGCCCTCAGTGATCCATGACGAAGGGGGCGACAGCTTAATTCCCCCTATGTTACCAGGTCACACGTTAGCCCCGGACCGACTGGCCCAAAATGTATTGAAGCAAGGGAAGTGCGACAAAGGGCTGCCTTGAGGTGTGGCGCAGTACGCGGCCGGCTTGCGCAGGCTGCTTGATTACGTTGTTGCTCCATAGATCTACTTTAAGGACTTCCCCCGGTTGGCGTATTCAACAATTGGTATCTCCCTAGCTGAAAGGCTATACAACGAGAGAGAAAATGCAGACAAAGAAAAAGTAAAAAAGAGTGCTCCAGATGGAAATGTCCAGAAAAGAATCAACAAAACTCCGTCTGCCAACGCCGTGGTGATCCCATCCTATTCCTAACCCAATTAGACAACGGTCTCAGACCGCTCACCCTCTGCAATCACCGGCACGCCAAGGCCACGGTCGGGGCTCTGCAGCACCAGTTGCTCGTGGCGCCGGGCCCGAAGGAAATCGCTAACCGCGCGGATCAGAATGAACCAACCAACAATCATGAGGACGTAAGAAATCCATTCGCTGGTACTGATGGTCGACATGGCGCCTCCATCACTTCCTCCGTTCTCACCAACTGAACTTGGATCGAAGCTGTGGCTGTTGGGGTCTGGGGGAGGCACGTATTGATCACCCCCGCCATCGGCACCAGAAGATTCGCTGCCGCCCTTCATATAGAAACCATATTGAACGAGGGTGAGACCGAGGCCCGCTCGGCTGCCGTTCTTTGCGGCGTGGGTGGTGTGCAGAAGATATGTCAATAAGAAGCCAACCAGCTGGAAGGACATTGAAATCATGGCATTCCACACAAATGAGAAGATGGATCCAACGGGCAGTCCATCTACATATACTTCGTCGGATCCGATTCCGGGCGCCACAATCGTGGTTTCCCAGTATGGGGGTGTGGCGTCGGCGGCGGCCTCTTCGTAGGACTGTAAATCAAACAACAGATCAGTAACACATTCTAAGTACATATATCCATATTTAGATTCAAACTCACAGGAGGCAAATCCTCATTCTTCTCGCCTCGCTCTGGCTTGGCTGCCAGATTGGCAAAGACACCGTCATTGGAAGGGGCGACAGAACGACTACCCCCTGATCCCGAGGTAGCGAAGGTCGGCAACATAGTAGGCCTTCGAGGGATCCCTGGAGCGGCTCGAGACGGTTCTTGCGCATCGTTCCGCGAATCGGACGATGAAGACATCGGGATCTGTGTATGATCCGTCGGCGCCCATCCATCAGTGTTGGCACGCATCAACCGTTGCCTGTCATCTGGCTCGTCATCATCGCCAGATTCATCCTCGTCTCCGAAGGCGTCGGCCAGCTCCTGGTCATCGTTGCGGAGTGGGTCGTTATGCAGTAGTCGTCTCGATGATGGCGAGGATGAACGAGAACGGAATGAGGGTGGCGGAGAGATCGGGTTGAGATCGGATCGAGCAGGATTCAACTGATAGGAGTGAGGGCCGTCCTCTTCGTCCTGGGCATTAACCTGGAGGATGTTAGTCGGGAAGAGTCATGATACCGGGGCGCTTGCGACTGGGGCAATGGGATCAGCGGAGGGGAAGACGAACCCGTTCATAGCGCTGCGAGCTCATGACGAGCTGAGCGGGAGGCCCGAAAAAGAAAGCAGTATAAATGAGGGAAACAGAGTGAAACAGGGAAAAGAGAAAAAGAGAAAGGATAGTCGAGACTCAGGATGGTTGGAAACGGGCGAAGGCAACAGGGAGTTACGGGTGCCTGAGGCAGGGAATGACTTTCCCGGCTGACAATTCGACATCCGACAATTCTGGATTTTGGTCATCACTTCCTTAGCTTTCTACTGTGACCACTTGCCACCTGCCACCTGCTACCTGCAACCATGTCGAAGCCAGTATGTACTTTTGGAGCTATTCACCACTTACCTAGCACAATCCAGCACCATCTACTATCCCCTTTCTTCTCTAACCATTTACAGTCTCTCAACCCGAGTTCCGTCCAAACTCGCCTTGCGCATATCCTCAAACACTGGCCTTCCGACGCCGTGCGTCCGGCCTCCGTTTCAGTGCAAAATTACCTCCAATCCCGCATCGCACTCCCCAAAAATGAATCTACACAGTCTTCCACGCCGGCATCGACGCCAGCACCGAAAGCAGAAATCTCCGAGTCCTCAGTAAATGCGCTTTCCGCTCTTTTAGAGAACCGCTTCGCGCGTGCGTACCCTATCACCGAGAAGATCCGGTACCCAGCTAGCGATCCGGAATACTTTGATAATCTCATTCGCGAGTTCGAGGAGGCACCGAATCGCGACTGGTTTGGCCGGGTAAAGAAGAGACTCGGCGGTATCCTGCGCTTGCAGTGATATCGCAATGTCGCGTTATGCATAAATGGGTTTGTGGATTTTGAGGTGTTTTATTGGGCTCCATGAGAGCTTTGGGACTGCATCATGTACAATATCAAGCTATTGCTTTGCTGTATCACTACTCAAGTGTACAAAATATCTGATCATACAAATTAATTCAGTGTTCTGGAGACATGAAATGATCGTTTTAATTCGCCGGTTAGATTCAACTCCGAAAGCTCTCAAATTTGCCTATGTACAATGTCAATCCCGGTATGTCCCCGATTATAATTAAACAGATAGTGTCACTAGAATGCATATTACAGCATGGGCTTCAGATCGTCGGCGACCTTGAACGGCGCCTCGGTCTTAGCCTTGACTTCCTCGACGGTGACGCCGTCGGCGATCTCAATCATGGTGAGACCGTCGGTGAAGTCTACGTCGAAGACGCAGAGATCAGTGATAATGCGGCTGACGCAGGCCGGGCCTGTCAGCGGGAACTCGCACTGCTTGACGATCTTCGGGTTGCCCTTCTTATCGGTGTGCTCCATGGTCACGACGACCTTGGTGGCGGACGGGTTTGAAACCAGATCCATGGCACCGCCGAAGCCCTTGATCTTACCGGGAAGCATCCCTGTGAATTTATATCAGCATATGAAATGGCAAAGGGGGGATGGAACTATATTTCGTACAGTTGGCCAGATCACCCTTGGCGCTGACCTGCATGGCACCCAGAATGGTCAAGTCGATGCGGCCGGAGCGAATCATGCCGAATGACTCGTCACTGCCGAAGCAGGAAGCACCGGGGTTGAGAGTGACGGTCTCCTTGCCAGCGTTGATCAAATCGGCATCCTCCTCGCCCTTCTTGGGGTAGGGACCGAGACCAAGGATACCGTTCTCGGACTGAAGAGTAACCTCGACAGAAGGATCAACGAAGTTAGGAGCCAGCATGGGCATACCAATGCCCAGGTTGGCATACATGCCGTTCTTGAACTCCTTAGCAGCACGGCGGACAATACGCTCGCGCTTGTTGGCAGTCTCACCCTTACCCAAAGCAGAGGTGTCGGCACCCTCCTCCTTGGCGAAGGTGTACTTCTCAATCTTCTTCTCGGTGGTGCTCTGGATCACGCGCTTGACGTAAATACCGGGCAGGTGAATAGCAGCCGGATCGATCTCACCGGGCTCAACAATATGTTCAGCCTCGACGATAGTCATTTTAGCATTACGGCCCATGGCACCGTTGAAGTTAGCCGCGGCATAACGGAACTGGCAGTTGCCCAGCTTATCAGCTTTCCAGGCCTTGACAAAGGCATAGTCGCCCTTGATAGCCTCCTCCATGACATAGCTCTTGCCATCGAAAACTTTAGTATCACGCGGTTGGCTGTATAACGCGACAGTACCATCACTGTTGTGACGCAGAGGCAGGTCACCGGTCTGCACAACGGTACCAAAGGCCGCAGGAGTGTAGAATGCAGGGACACCGGCACCACCAGAACGGCAACGCTCAGCGAGTGTTCCCTGGGGAGTCAATTCAAGTTCGATCTCGCCGGTAAGGTACATGCGCTCGAAAGTCTTGTTCTCGCCCACGTAACTGGCGATCATCTTCGTGATCTGCTTAGATTGCAAGAGCAGGCCGAGGCCGGAGCCGTCCACGCCGGCATTATTGCTGACCACCGTCAGTCCTTGGATGGATGAGTTGGCCCGCACGGCGTTGATCAGAGTATCTGGCACGCCCGAGAGTCCGAATCCACCGGCAAGCAGAGTCGAGTTCGACTTCATGTCCTTGGTAGCCTCCTCGGCCGAGGCAAAGACCTTGTTGATCGCCGCGCGGCGAACGGAGCTAGAGAAAGTGCGTGCGAGGAAGCGCTGATGCTATAGAGAGATCTCCAGGTCAGTATTGAGTTGCGTTTCGTTATACTGGAAGCTCGCACCTTGGCTGGATCAGCAGAGAACTGCCGCGCAATGCGCAGACATGTTGCTACTTGAGAAGGCATAATTGATATTTATAGGAAATCAATTTGCTGTTAGAAGGAAGAAAGGACCCGAAAGTGGCATGCGGAGGCCTTTTATGGTGCGGAGTAGGCGGCAAGATCTCGCGGAGGCGGCAAGATCGCGCGGAATACAATAGGCTTACCCGCACCGCACCCGACGCTGTCAAAGCCGATCGGCTATGAGTTTGGTTGCTGGATTTGACTCGACTTCGCCAGTGTTCGTAATCAGAAAGTTCAAAAAAAAAATACTGTTGATGCTATTTTAACACTGTAGCTTCTAGATTTGTCTATTATAGAACGTTTAGATGCCTGGCACTACACCCTTCATCGCCTCCTCTGATCCCGCTGCGGGGAAGATTCCGGGGGAAAGAGGGTCGCTGACTCATCACAATCACCGGCTATGCCCTCTTCCGATGGCCACTTCGGAACGTCCTTGTAGATCTTGCAGACCCTTAAGAGGTAGGGTTTTTCTTGAATCTTCGGTATCTTTTTTGCTGTCTACTCTCTGTAATTTAAACCGTATTTGAAACAGTACAGATAAAGTCATAATTGGAAAGCTAGCTTCCGTAGACCTTGTTGGCGGAGGTTTTCGGCGTTCTTACATCCGACGGCTTGTCTCTCGGAAATGGTTCTCTATAAATCCGGGTTTATTTCCATCCGCGTTCGCTGAGCCCCAGTGGATTTTGTGTACTTTCATTGAATCTATCGTGTAATTCTTTACCACGGTAAAGGACGAGGATGATATTACTTATACGATAGCATTTTGTAGAAAGGGGGCGGGTCTAACCACGGTGGATAATTAATGTTGGAAGGACTGATACATTTTCTCATCTAGTAGTTCTACCTTACTTATAAAGAATGCTCCTGAGTTATTGGAGAACGCGAAGTATGGACATACAGCCCAGGCTTCGAAGGGTGATCACAAATGGCCTCTAGCATCGGAGGGGTGATGTTTCGTTCATCGTGTCGTCAGACACGAGTTGGGGGCGTTCTGACATTTCCAAATAGGCTAAGAGTGTTGTAGGTGTTGATGATTGAACGCCAGCTGCTTCAGCCATTTGTGATGTGTTCAAGGGTTCGCTAAGGGTGGGTGCTGGCTCCCAGGGGGCGTGCTGACATACTATAGCTGGCGGCGGGGTTCAAGAACGCACTTTTTAGTACATAAATTTCACTGGCAGAAGACTTCACATGACCCCGACCTATCAACTACCCTGCATAGTCGACGCTTGTCCCCTCGAGCTAGGGGTGCTGGCCCACAAAACTCAGGAAGACGAAGGCTGTGAAGGAACGGAAGGATTGGAGGCGTAGGGTGAATCAAGCCAGATCACCAGACTTTGCTCCCTTCTAAAAACATTCCATGGCATTATACGGTAATTTAGGATACCTCATAATATGATAGACCGATACGGTCATTACCCCCAAATGGCCTGCTAGTTATATAGGAATAGACTTCGATATCTACCGTTTTTTATACCTGCTCTAGGAATCTATATCATAGCTAGGCTTAGTTGCTCTAGTTGACTCTTCGTTCATGGTATCTTTCGTATGTACATGATAGAAAAGATCTTCTCGCTCATGCAGGGACATCAAAAGACATGGAGACATTAAAAGAAAAGATTGGATAAGATAAAGGCCTATCCTCCATCAGTCGGATTCCAGACCCATTGGACTCGTGTATGAACGTGTGAAATCGTTAAGTAATGACCCTTCCCAGGGGTTGGGATCAAGGCTGGCCTAAGGCACATCCTTTCCTGTACCTGCCGCCTCATCGTATGACGGCAGTCCCATGTCCACATCTTCGGCAGGTTTTGTGGTCTGAACATCTTCCATGGCGATGGGTGCATCTGCAGAGGTCTCGGCAATCGGCGCATCCGTCATAGGCTGAACGATGTCGCGGCAGACAGGATCGACAAGGCGTTCCTTCATTTTCTCGTTGATGTAGACTAGGAAGTAGGGGGTGGGCGGGTTGGAGTTACCGGTGTATTTGAATATTTCATCCAAATTCTTGACTTCGGTCACGTACTCATCGTTGTACTTGCGCCAGATTTCCTTCCGGAAGTCGTAGATGTAGATCCAGTAATGACCGAAAGAGACAGAGCCGTGGTGCACAAAGACCGCGTACAGGCGGTAGGGGAGATTGCGGTACTCAGCGAATTGATTCGAGATCATCGCCTTAGTGTCTTGGACTTGTTGATCGATTGCTTGGAGCTCAGCATTCGCGCTCTCGGAGAGAAGATCCAGCTCGGAGGATAACGACTCGACTTGCGTAGAATCCTCCGCGGTGATTTCCTCCAAGTCTTCAAGAGCTTCCTTTGCGTTGCTGAGTAGCTGTGACATAGTAAGACCATCCTCCTCCTAGGTGTAGAGTCAGTTTATCGGGGCATATAGTTGAAATATTGCCTGGCCACAGGCCGTGGGACATACCTGCTTTCGGAGCAGCTCCGCCTTACGAGCCTCTAGTGACTTGAGTCCACTCTTCCACTCCCAGCACCGACGACGGCGATCCACAATTTCCGTTTTCTGGGTGTCCATGTATCGGTCCATGTAGATGGTCTCCAGAAGATCGAGGTGGTGTGTCGACTTGAAAGAGCTCTTCTTCACCGGATCAAACTGAACCCTTTGAACCTGGATCTGCAGGATTGGGGGCAGTCGAGTGATAGAGCCATATTGCTCGGCTTCAGTGTTCTCAACGCTGATTTTCTGGGCATCAAAAGCTCCGTCAATCGCAGCATAGATATCCCGTGAACCACCGGCAACATTGACTTTGATATCACACCATCGTTCCTCCTTCGATCGAACGCTTTTCCCGGTGGAAATGTAGGACCGAGTTTGACCGTAGAATAAGCTGGAAAATTATATTAGCACAAATTCAGCAATTCAGATAAGAAATGCTTACTCTTTGATCTGATCGACCTGCTCGCCATCGGTGGCCACCCGAATGGGTTTGATGGCACATTGACTCTGGAAAAGAACATTGTTGATCACTTCTGTGACGTCCTGCTGGGCACCAATCTCGACTTCTTCAATCAATTGCTTCTGGCGATCGACTTCTGGAACCGGGCGCGGGGGAATTGGCGGCGGGCGATTGGGAGGTTCGGAGTTGGAATCAAGAGGTACACCCCCTTCAGGCTCCCCTGTCTTTGGCGAAAAGGAGTCATTACCTTCGTTTCCACTGGGGCTTTTGCTTTCGTTGTTATCAGACACTAAGGTAGCATCACTATCCACACCAGCAGGGCTCGGGTCTTTGGCATGGGCCGACTCGTCGACATCGGGGGCTGTTGGCTGCTCATTGTTCTCCTCCGCAATAGGCGGAGGGGGGCCAAGCGGTCCCAAAATAGGTGCTCCTTCGATTTCACCCAGACTTAAGGACTTTCCTATCGTTGACCTGCGACGAATCGCAGCTTCGCCCCCAGGACTAATTAAAGTTAATCGTGCGAGCTCCTGACCAGGAATGACAGAAGACCGTGTAGAGCCGATCATGTCATGGAACAGGTTCCGAAGCTCCCCAAGAAACTTGAGTGAACGTTCGACTTCTTTCTTGGCCACCTTTCGAGATCCAACTTGTTTTTGAACAACGCTCTTCTCATCGTTCAGGTCCATCTGATGTTTCTCGATATCGAGGACCATGTCTCGGAATGGGCGGACTGAGAAGTAAAATTGGAGGAGACTGTTGAGATAGCATGTGTTACCAATATTTTGCAGACCAACAGGCCAATCCGACAAATCACGATCTGACTCGGTAGAGATGCCGGCCAAGTTCTTCAGCCCGACGTTGTCCATTTCTTTTGCAATGATGCTCAAAGCACAGTGATAGGTTTCGGCCTGGCCAGCATTTTCATTGACGCAGATGGTGTATGCCGCTATGACAGCGTCGGCATCGGCAGTCCGGTCTGGAATTTGGAGCAGGCGGTATGCATCGCCAATGTCCATGTCGCCCTCCACTGTTTCACCAGTATCAAGGAAATGCTTCAAACCAATTGAATTCCGATCCTCCGCAATAAGCTTGAGTGCCTTATCCGCCAAGTCTTTACAAGCCGGATTGTCGGTGAGCTTCGCAGTGTACATAGTGATGATAAAGTCATCGGGGGTGTTTGCGTCGATGCCAAGAAAAACTTCAGCCTGTTCTGCAGAAGCAACGCGATCTTCAGAAACGGCCATTATGCGATCGCTGCCCCTGCTATTGCCAATCCGCCACAAGTTTCGTGCAGCTTCCAATATCTGGTCACTCTGGCTAACTGAGCCCAGGTATGCGTAGTACTTCCCAATGATATTGTCTTCGGTGATGCTTGAATCCTCTCGTGAGAGATGGAAATAATTGTAGGCTGCATCCAGATCGTTTATTGTGTACTTCCCTTCTGCATAGGCGGCCTGGACAGCCTGGTCAATGGATTCCCAGTCTTGACCACCACGAAGCATGCCAATGGACTTGAGACATTCGAGATAGTGAGGTGCATTGGCCAGATCTGAGGAAACTTGACGTTGGTAGGCGTCAATAATTAACGGAGTGTCCATGTCTTCAACCACCCCCAGATCTTCGTAGTACCTTCAACAGAACAATTAGCAGGTATTAATCACGGAGGACAAGAGACACGAACGGAGCGTAAGCCATTTCGAACTTTTCGGCGCGGGATGTTTTCGAATCTACTCCAGTAGTCAGCTTCGGTGCTTGTGGTAGATTGGATAGTACCGACAGTTCAAGGCCTCCAACGCTTGAAGGATACTGTCTGATGCAGTTGGGGGTAATGGTGGGACTGTGATTTCTTTTCTTTCTGATAAGGGTCGGTGGTTGATTAAAGACAGTAATTCATGAATGACGTCGTCCAGGAATACACAGAGCGCGTCTTGGTATGGAGTCTCCGCTTTCGGATCTGGCTGTGGAGGCTGCCAACTTTGATCCTATCAAAAGTGTCAACAAAGAACTAACTTTGACATAAAGAGGGCAGTACAAACCTCACGGTACGTAAAGCCAAGAAACTCCAAAACCTGTTGACAAGGTTTACCCTCCACACCGAAGGAAATCATAAACCGTTTGTTGTTCCCAGAGATCGCCTTGCTGATTTTGCTGCTGTGAAGAGAGTTGGAAAGGTAGAGCCGTAGGTTATCCAAGATGTTTATAGGCAAAGGCTTGGCCATGCCCTCCAAGCGCTCTGGCTCGACCGCGATCGCTTCCTCCGCTCGCTGGCGAATCGCCTCTGGATCTGTCAGGAGGTATACAAATTGCGGATTGATGAGAGGCGACAGGATCCGTAGCGACACCATTTCCGAGCATGAAATGTGGGAGCATTGATAGTGGAATGTTTCAACCACCTGCCCCTGCTCTGTCACCTCGACGGATGATGTGCCATGTTGTCTTCCTGACTTGTACACAAGGTGATGAATGTGGCCCTCCCTGGGCTTCCGTGCGAATGAATTTCCACCACTGGTATGGTTGACCACTACCTGTAGATGGCAACGGCACCTCGAGCAAATGGCAGATACTTTGGATGATGCACCTGGTCTTTTTTTCTGCTCTTCTTGCGCCAGGAAAGTTTGATCTGCCTTTATCAGGTACTTGTGTTGGCACGCCTCGGACGATATCCAGTCCTGTCGCCCATCAAGACGGCCTTGGAATACTGGCGGTACTTCGGAGAGCAGGTTGCGGCCGGTGCCTGGGGGATGTGCTGGATCGTACAATCGTATGTCCTCCGCTAGCCGGGGAGTGGTTTTGCCTGTGAAATCATTAAGGAATGGCTATTAGCAAATATCTCACATGGTTGTCAGGCTCAGATTATATTCATTCTCAGTACTCACCAGCTTTCTGTGGATACGCCATGACGCAGTTGCTCTATGCTCGCAGGGCCCAATATTCTGCAGTGTTTAAGGGAATATAGTAGATCTGGAGACTCCCAGGTGGGAACAGTCCATCGGACGAAGCCAGAAAATGGGGTGCACAAGTGAGCGTCTCGGTCTCGTGTGATGTGATCTTGCTGGCGAAGAGACAGCGGGGAGCCCACCGCACTGGGCAGTAGCGGGCGGCAAGCTTGGATTCGAGTGTTGAGAAGCTGCAGCTGGAGATTTCGGACAAATGACGAAAATGCAAGCGTAGTGTAATCGTATAGAGCTAGAAAACAATCAAACACAAACAAACAAAATCAAACAGCTTGCATGTAACGATTACTCTTGTTTGGAGTGAGCCATGAGCTCCATGTTTCAACTAGGGCGGTGAATAGGGCGGTGGATAATAGCAAAACGCATCCCAAAATCCCATTTCGAACGACATCCCGTTGCACCCGCAGCTCCATTACTCCAATCCACCATGGCGCACCACGAGTCCGAGGATCACAGCTACCACCCCCAGGATGCGCTCTCGGTAGCCATCAAGGCCACTGCCCTGACCGGTAGCATTGGTCTCGTTGGCTCTGCTGTCCAGAACACCCTGGCCAGGCAGAACGTCGGATCGCTGGGCATCTTCATGCGCAGCGGCAGCACCGTCGGTGTCCTCGGTACGGATTATGTGTGACAATTGATATTCAGAAGTCGATGCTAATTTACGTGACTATGTAGCTGCCATGGGAGGTACCTACTCTTTCGTTAAGACCGCGTCCGCCAACTTGCGCGAGCAGGAAGACACCTGGAACACCGCCATCGGTGGCTTCTTCTCCGGTGCTATCCTTGGTTTCCGAGGTACGACTTAAGAAAACTCCGCTTTTGCGTCAATTGCCGATCAAGTACTGACTTCGAGCGCCCCCAGTTCGTACCTTCCCCGCTGTTCTCGGTTACGGCGCCGCCCTATCAACCTTTATGACCGCCTTCGAATACACTGGTGGCAGCCTCTTTGGATATAAGAAGGACCAGGATGTTGATGAGTACGATCGCCGTACCGCGTTGCGGAAAAACTTCCAGACTGCCGGCGAGCAGACCGTTGCCGAGCTGGGTGAGGGGCGTGGTATGTTTTCCCATCACCGTCACCATGATGAAAGGCGATCCTCAGTACTAATTATTTCTCAGGTGTCTACGGCCAGGGCTATGAGCAGCGCCGTGCAGAGCGGATCAAGGAGGCGTACGGCATCGAGGTTCCCACATCTCCGGTCCCTGCATCATAAACGTTTCTTTCCTTTGATTGCCTCTCTCTTCCCGGGCGCGTTGTGTAAATTATCCCCCTTCATCATGTCGCGTCTCTAGCATGCCGGACACGTCAATCCGAATAAGTTTTTCTTCTGTTGAAAGCGATACACGGTGTATAGTGGGCTGTAGAATCTGGGGTAGATATCCTCGTGCCGCGTAGGGTAATTGTGGAGAGAATGAGTCAGATGACTGAAAACAGTGACAACATATATTGACAGCCCTTTGTATAGCCAGCTTGACGTCAATTGCCCATTTCCATAGACATTGGCTGTGTCGTAAACGTCAGTGATTGTGGAGGTAGAGTCTGGCGCATGGAGGGGTTCTCCCAGGGCGGCCAATGATCGTGCGGATGTATCAAACCCTCCTCAAACACCAAACCTGCTCCGATTCAATCCATCATCTACGCATGAATCGTGTTTCTACAGGAGACCTTACAAGGATGACACACTTGACTATTGAATAGCCGACGATGTCCTGGACCCCGGTGCCCAACTTTCAGACAGACGGGTCATCGAACCGAAGCGAGGCAACCTCGTCATGACGGGTCGCCACGAACCAAGGCCCATGGAAACCCTACAGCATCGAGGTCCCGATTGCTTTTGATATATCGAAGTTGCCTACGGGTGGGTAGTCCCACTGTGGAGGGAAGTCAATAATCTACCTAGAGAACGAGAGACGGAAGAGTGACCAAATGGGCGAAAACGAGGCACCAAGCTGACCAAATCCCCTTGGCAATGGAGCTTATTGAGTCATCGTGGCATCCAAGATCGGAAGCGTCGGCCTCGAGCACAACTCCCCGTGGCCACAGCAAGGGGCGTGCCATGCTTTATGTCCGTGCCGGCCCCGACGTCATGCAGCTTTTGATCAGGGGACATTCGGGCAGAATTGCCCCCTTTTCGCCGACTGAGCCACAGATCATGTGGATCACCTCGCCTTTGCGAACATGGGCATCCAGGGGATGGTGTTCTTACTTGCACAAGGCTCGGCGGGGCGGAGCCACTGTCGTCAGCCACGCAGGCAGCCAGATTGATCTCGATCTTCAAATTAGAGTATAGGAGGCCCCTTTCGATGATACACGAACCCCCTTAACAAAAGGACCAAGAAGCCGAGAAAAGAAAGAGAGAAACAGGTACCTAGATCCCGACGGAGGAGATTTCCGAAGTCCTCGACGTCAACCATTGTAAATTTCGTGCGAAATTAGCTTTTGGAGGAGTTCCGTTCCCCTCAACAGGCCGGGAGTCCCGAAGCTTTCCCCCAAAATTCAGGCTCGTCATCGAACCTCGAGTCGTGTAGACGTCATTCACTGTGGCTTCATATTATTCCCCTCCTTTCGGTCTTTTATACCTGCAATCTGTCTGTCTTAATACTCGATCCTTCTATCCCCTTTTCCCACGCCCGTCCATCGATAGTCTATTGTGTGGGGCCCTGGATTGATCACCATTCGACGGCCCTCGCCCAAAGCCTGTTCTACACCGAGACGAACTCCCCGCAAAACACCTCCGTTCGCCTGGTAACCACGGCCACGCCATAGTCTTAACTCTTATCCTTCTCACCTCCCCTCCTATTATACGTTTTTTTTTTTTCTTATATATTTTTTTGGTTGCAATCTTCCGGTCTTGCATTCTTGGGTAACGTGTCTCCCTAACGTTCACCCACGTTCCCGTTACTCCCGCAATAATGGCCATGGCCGCGCGGCCGCAGACGCCCGTGCAGGATGCATCTTACATGGGCTCGGACTCCAATGACCCCAGCATGCTGAGTCGCCCATATGGCTCCCTTCGTGCGTCCTCCCGGCCCAGCTCCTATGCTGGCAACAGCTCCGCCTTTCACTACAGTCACGGCGCTCGCGATCAATCCCCGGCACCTCACAACACCCGTTTCAAGGAGGACTTCGAGACCGCTAGTCACCGAAGCTCCATCGATGTCCCCAGCATCCAGCGATCCGCCTCGCAGATGTCTGGAGTCCCCTCCCGGTCGAGTACCCTGCGAAAGAAGGCATCTCTAAGCAAGAAGGGCAGTTTGCGACGCAATGGGAGTCGCCGTTCCATGCGCGCCGGCAGTGTGAAGAGTCTAAGCTTGGGCGACCGTGAAAAATACAATACCGACGGCACCGAAGATATGAATAGTGTCTTTACCGTCCCCGTCCCGACAACCGGCAACCCGACCGAGGTCCTCGCAAATCGGTTCTCAGGTATGGAATTTTGGTGGCGCTTGTCTAAACAAATCCCGACTGACTGATCACGCAGCTTGGCGCAAAATCCTCAAGGACCTAATCCTTTTCTTCAAGGAGGTCCAGAAATCCTACGAGACCCGATCGAAGCTTTTCTTATCCGCCTCCAATGTCATGAACAGTCAGTCTATCCCGGCGGGCTTCCTACAGTCCGGTGGCCTCGCCGATGCGACTGAAGTTCTTCAAGGCTTCCACCGCCAGGGATATCACGAGGCTAACAAGGCTGTCGAGGTGGAGATTGAGGTCATCAGTCAATTGACCGGTCTACGAAACGACCTGCAGAAGAAGACCAAGGAGATCAAGGGTCTTGCTGGAGATTTTAAGAACACGGTTGAGAAGGAGATCGACGGCACGCGCAAGGCCGTGCGCAACCTGCACGAGTCCTTGGGCCTCGTTGATACTGATCCCTCTGCAACATCGGGCAAAGGCGACCCATACTTGATGCGCCTCAATGTCGAGAAGCAAGTTGAGAAGCAGATCGAAGAGGAGAATTATCTGCACCGGGCATTCTTGAACTTGGAAAACTCCGGTCGCGAGCTTGAATCGATTGTCGTGAGCGAGATTCAGAAGGCTTACAATGCTTACGCCAGCATTCTCAAGCGCGAAGCCGACGAGGCCTACGATACGGTGGAGAAGCTGCGGGCCGGACCGATTTCAATGCCACAGGACCATGAGTGGAACACATTCGTCGCCAACTCTGAGGAGCTGGTTGACCCCCGCGTACCATTGCGCAACCTCGAGAGTATCACTTACGCTGGTAAGGATCACCCAGCTGCGGTCGAGGTTCGCGCCGGTATGCTGGAGCGTAAGAGCAAATATCTGAAGAGTTACACTCCCGGCTGGTATGTCTTGTCGCCGACTCACCTGCATGAGTACAAGTCGGCCGATCGCGTGGCATGGCAGACTCCTGTGATGTCATTGTACCTGCCAGAGCAGAAGCTCGGATCCCACTCGCAGGAGGATTCTAGCTCTCACAAGTTTATGCTCAAGGGCCGTCAAACCGGTGCGATGCATCGAGGTCACTCGTGGGTCTTCCGCGCCGAATCCCACGAGACCATGATGTCTTGGTACGAAGATATCGAGAGTCTGAGCAACAAAACGGGGGAGGCGCGGAATGCTTTTGTGCGACGACACGTGCGTAGCATTAGCGGCAGATCCATGAGCAGCGAAGTCTTGGAGGACGACGAAGCCGACCGGACCCCGTACTCAGCCGAGTCCATGGTTCTCGGCCAAGATCGGCCCACCTCTGCCTCCCGGCAGCCCGGCGGGGCTTTCCCAAGCGATGTGCAAATCGACCGCCATCTCCAGGCGCCTCTGTCTCCATCCAGTGGAGACAGCTCCGTCGGGCGAGACGTGATCGCAGCTGCGGGGTCCTATCCTGGGGACAGTACTCTTCAGGATAACCCGCGCTTCTACGCCAACGATGTTGACGGTGCCTCCTCGCAAGTCAACACAGGCAGTCCTGCCAATCGGCCCAAATTCTCACAACATGACAGTTACTACGGTGATTGGATCGGCCCGGGTGTCATTGTTGCCAAGCAAAGACAGAACCAGCAGAGCGACGGTTTGAAAGCCGATGACCGCGAGATTCGCTCTGATGGAGACCACAACTCGGTAGCTGCCATGTCCGGTGTCGCTATGGCGGAACGTCGCGACCAATCTGCGCCTCCTAACGTGGCCCGTCGCGAAAGTACCTCCACGGCACCGACCAACACCAACATCACGGATTACACCAACCACACTAACCAAACCTTGGCGACATCCGTTGATGACAGCAAAGATTCGGGGGTGGCCGGATTTGTGGGAGGAGGAACTTCCACCGGACTCGAGAAAGACACTGAAAGCCCTGGAGCCAGTACTCAGCCTACGTGGGACATCCGGCCCAAGCAAGACAGCGTCGTGGCGCTCGACCTGAAGATTCCCGGCCGGTACCCACCGACGAACGTGGCAGCGTGATCCACACTTGACCTTCTTTTGTTCCTTACCTCTGGTTTTCAATTCCTTCTTCTTTCCCCTTTCACTGTACATGTACACTTTGGTCATGCGTCCCAGGGTTGCAGGCGTTCCGGTCTCTTCTTTCTTTGTGGTTCTCGTCGTGGCCAGCAATAGAAACTGCAGGCGTTCGTTCCGGAGGCGTCGGTGGGTTGGTGCTCTTTGTTCGTGATTCCCTTTGATTCCCACGCCCGCGCCTTCGTTGATAGTAAATTTCACCAATGCAACACACGTGCCAGTTGATACTAGAGAGTACGATGCGTGGCATTTGATCCGCATCTAGTAAGGGAAATACTGGGGGTGTGATACAGCCTGATTGCAATGTGGTACATGAGTACCTTGAGTACCCTGAGTCCCGTAGTACCTGGCGTTGTCTCACATGTGGTTTCCGATATCCGGTACCTTTGTGAGGTATAGGGTACATAGTAGTATCGTAAGATATAAGATGCATGATGGAAGTAGTAGAGGGGTAATAATGATATGTCGGCACACAGGACATTAAGTATAGCTCGGGCCTGGCCTGGATGAAGACGAGGGCGGTGGAGGCCAGTTCAGCTCGAGTATCAGAAACCAAAACAACTTCACTTCCAGCCTCTCTCTCCATCTTCTCCCCCTCTTCACCCCCAAACACTTATCTCCACGCGCAACTCCTGAAATCATGGGTGGGTTCCTCTCCTCTCCATCACTGTATTCTGTATTACCTTTCCCCTTGGTACATTCTCAGCTCCCGACCATTCCAGTCTTCCATCCAATCAATCCTTCCCAACCTATTGACGCCTGACTTCTTCCCTTTTCCCCCCGCTTTCTTTCCTTCCTCCTTTTTACTTCCCCTATATCTTCCCTTACTCTTTCTCTTGCTAACCGGCTGTCCCCCCTTCAGCCGACGTGTATCGCCCATATCAAGTAAGTTTAAATCCCTCTAGTTCTCCTCCCCTCTCTATCTATTCCTCTACGATGCTGGGGAGTCTTGGAAGCCGCGCGACTCTTTGATGGTCAGTGCGGGGGCGGCCCACGCTATGCGCCTCCTGATGTCTATGAGTCTGTCTCTCAAGGAAGGGGGAAGAGGGGGGTTTAGACAGGTTGCTTGGAATTCAAGCCCCTGGAAAGACAGAAAGCAAAAGCCCCAAATCCAAAAACCAAAAAGCCAAAGCCTTCAAAGCCCCCCTCAAATGCGTGCACGAAAGTGTGTTGAGCAGTGCCCCGAACGTCCACGTCCGGGGTCCTCGATTGCGCATGTCTCATAGTCACCTGACCCGCAACCTCCAATCTCCCCGAGTTCCGTTCCTTGCGCTGAGCCTCCCACCCCCTCATCTCTTCCCTTAATCCCCACCCAATCCCCCCATATCCGCGCGCGCAATCGCGTACACCTTCTTTTCATGTCTTCCTATCCCGAATACCCCGATTCTGACCGCGTCAAGCGAGAGAGATCCCGTTCGCCCCGTCGTCGTTCATCTCGCAGTCCCCGACGTAGCCGTCGCTCGTACTCTCCACGCAGTCGCTCTCGCAGCCGTGACGATTATCGCCCCCGTGATCGCCGTTCACGGTCTCCGTTGAGTGCTTCTGGAGCTGCTGGACCGTCGGGATCGCCGTACGGTGGACGCAGTGGATACGCGCCGCGTTTCGAGGATCGTACCGTCGCCAAAGAAAATATGATGCAATCAGTTCGTGATTCGTCTCAGCAGGACCGCCGGGTCTATGTGGGCAATTTGTCCTACGATGTCAAGTGGCATCATCTCAAAGATTTTATGCGACAGGGTGAGTGGAAGTGGAGACGTGATGCGCTAAGCGCCTTAGTGGTGACATTGTGAGATCGGTTGCTGATATGCGCGTACAGCTGGAGAGGTTCTCTTTGCCGATGTGTTACTTCTTCCGAATGGAATGTCGAAGGTGGGCGCCAATGCGTAGAGTGGCTGGTTCCTTTTCTACTCCCTGATTTTTCGCGGTTTTCTGGTTTCTTTGCATGGACTGTTGGGTTGACGGGCTGGGCCTGGCCGTCCGGATAATGTAGGGATGCGGGTGAGTTCGATTTTTCCCAGGTCAATCGCGAGAATCAATGGCTAATGCGCTGCAGGATTGTGGAATACGCAACGAGGGAGCAAGCACAACAAGCTGTCAACACGCTCAGCAACCAAAACCTGATGGGTCGACTTGTCTACGTTCGCGAGGTATGCAGCAACCCGAGTTTACAAGAGTTACAATAAGAATTGCGTTGACCACGCTGGCAGGATCGTGAGTCTGAGCCTCGTTTCATCGGTGGTCCCCCCGTGGCGATTTCGGCGGCCGCGGCGATTTCGGAGGCCGTGGCGGCTTCGGTGGACCAGGATTCGGTGGCCACCCCGGTGGTGGTGGTGGTGGTGCTGGCGGCGGCGGTCGCCAGCTCTATGTGTCGAACGTTTGTTATCCTTGCGGCCCCCTCTTTTTGCTAAAGTTCGATGAACCAGGTGATATTAACGGATCCATGTATAGCTTCCTTTCAATGTGGGATGGCAAGACTTGAAGGATCTGTTCCGCCAAGCTGGTAAGTTACCCTTTTATGCCCGGACCGTATTGGGTCGCGATTTCTTCTTGTATGAGCGCTTGGTGAATTGACTTAATCTTCGTTTGATAGCCCAGCAGGGAGCTGTCATCCGTGCCGATGTGCACACCGACCCCACTGGTCGCCCTAAGGGATCTGGTATTGTTGCATTTGAGTCCCCTGAGGATGCTCGCAATGCCATCACCCAGTTCAACGGATATGAGTGGCAGGGTCGACCCCTCGAGGTCCGCGAAGACCGATTTGCAGGCGGCGGTCCCGGCTTCGGCGGACGCGGCGGCGGCTTCGGTGGTCGCGGTGGCTTTGGCGGCGGTCCTGGCTTTGGCGGCCGTGGAGGCTTCGCTGGACGCGGCGGCTTTGGCGGTGGATTCCGCGGTGGCTACGGTGGTCCCCCTGCCTTTGGCGGTGGTGGCTTCGATGCCGGCGGTGGTGCTCCTCCTCCTGCTCCTGTTGCTTCGTCTCCCCCGAACCCTTTCACCGACTTTGCTACCTCTGCCGGCGAGAAGAGCGCTGTTATCTACGTGCGCAACGTGAGTATCGACATGCTCTTTTTTTTTTCAATTCGGAATGAACATTGACGTCTTCACAGCTGCCCTGGTCCACCTGCAATGAGGACCTGATCGACTTGTTCTCCACTATCGGCAAGGTTGAAAGAGCCGAGATTCAGTACGAGCCTAACGGCCGCTCGCGCGGCACTGGTGTCGTCGAATTTGATTCCGCGGACACTGCAGAGACTGCAATCGGTGAGATCCAGCGCTGTCACAAGGAAATGGAAGGCCTTGCTAACTCTTCACAGCCAAGTTCACCGGTTACCAGTACGGAGGTCGCCCTCTGGGCATCACCTTTGTCAAGTACCTGAATGCCGGCCCGGGACCTGAGGACATGAACATGATGGAGGCTACAGAGCCCACTGGTCTCACGCAGGACCAGATCATGTAGATCTGACATGCCTTTTTCTTAAATTTCGATGATTCCCTCCGTTCCTGTTCCAGTTCTCCAGTATCAGTTCCAGTTTACCAGGGATCTGCTAGAATGCAAGTCTGTGCTCGAGCACGTGCAGATCTCCACTTTGACTTTTGTACCGTAACTTTACCTTCACATCTACACTTCAACTTGACCTCTCACTTTTAAAAAAACATTATGGCTTCCCTCCGTATGCCCCGACGGGCCCTTCCCTCCCTTAAATCCGTCCGCACTCCCTCCTCGATCTCAACTTCAACTTTCACATCAACCCACCTCCGCCCCTCCGTCCCCTCCCAGTCCAGATCACAACCACCTCAAATCCGACCATACCACTCAACCCTCCATCCTCGCCTCCCAGACCATACCTACAACAACAGCCAAACAGCAATCCTAACCGCCTCCCTACCCCACATCCCAACCCACGGCTTTTCAGCCGAATCCCTCGCCCTCGGCGCTCGCGACGCAGGCTTCCTCGACGTCTCCGTGCAGCTCTTCCCTCGCGCCGAATTCGACCTCATCCTCTTCTGGCTCGCTAGTCGACGCGGTCTGCTTCGCGCAAAGGTCGAGGAAGGCGCGCTATTCCGCCGCGTTGCCGATCAGGCCGGGAGGGATGTGTCTTCCCTGGACGTCGAGGAGAAATGTCGGATTTTGGTGATGGAGAGATTGAAAATGAATGAGGATGTTAAGGGGCAGTGGTCGGGTGTAAGTCTTGTCTTTCTTTCTTCTCCTGCTTTTTTGCATTTTCGTGGGAATGGAGGATATGAATGTTCGGAACGAATTGCTAATTGCTAATTGCTCAGGCCCTCGCGCAAATGTCCCTCCTCGGAAATATCACCCTCTCCCTAAGCGAGCTCCACGCCCTTTCAAACGATATTCTTTCTCTAGCTGGTGATTCCGCTGTCGATGCATCCTGGTACTCGCGCCGGTTCGGGTTATCTGCCATCTATGCCTCGGCCGAGATGGTTATGACGCGTGATCCGACGCCGGATCTCAGTGAGACTGAGACGTTTGTGAACCGCCGGTTTGAGGATAAACTTGCTCTTAACCAGAAGATTGAGGGGTTGAGTCAGTGTGTTAGTTTCGTGGGGAACACGGCTGTGGGCGTTGGAAGGTCTTGGGGGTTGAAGATTTAAGGTGGATGTGGTGGTTTTGTATTTTTATATTATCTTGGTTGAGAGGTCGCTGCTCTGGTTTGTTTGATGGCTAGGCTGGGTAGACTGGCAGCGTTGTATTTCTATTATTATTATCTTTTACTTTGATTCAGCGTTTTACGAACTAGCTCTGCTTCGTTGAGGATATCCATGCTCTTATTTCTGTCATAACTGTTGACTATATACCTATGCTTCTAGTGGAGGGATACATTCTGCACTGCCTCTTCCACGCTCAACGGTGCGTTGCCCTCTTCTGTCTGCTCAGATGGAGACACTAGTAGTGTTGGCGATGTGGGAGAAGTCGGCGAGAATGGGTCGGAGAGTGCACCGTCGTCTGGGGATTGCGATTGTTGGGTCCGGGGTAGTGTGCTCATGGCCACAGCCTCTGCTTCGTTCTCTCTAGTCAGGCTGCCGCTGCTTGTCCCGCTCTCGATAGAATCGGTCTGCGAATGCTGCTTGCCGCGGCCCCAGCGCCGTGTCTTGGGCGGAAGGGGCTTCTGTCCGTGCTTCCCTGCTCCGGCTGGCGGTATCGCACGGTGATGGCTGGATGAAGGTGTGGTTGGGGCTGAGCGCCGGGGAGGAGGGACAGCCGGGGGTGGGTTTGATACGGAGCGACGAGAGTGTGCTGGGACTGGAGGTACGAGGTGTGAGGTGGTGGTGGAGTTGCGCCGTTCCCCGGGAGGCGCACGAGATGAGGGAGTTGTAGGACTTGGTGTTGGGGCCGTGTGCGTGGACGTAGGGCTGACTTCTACGCCTTCGGGGATTGTATTGCGGTCACTGCTGGTACCTGCAGAGTGTTGCTGATCTTCGTCATCGGCTGCCATGCGCCGGCCTCGCCAACGTCGAGCTTTGGGAGGCTCAGGTTTGACCTTGGGTAGGCGGATGATCGGTGTATCGCCAGAAAGACTGTTGGCAGCATGGCCATCTTTGCGGCTTGGCGTAATGATTCCAGGCTTTTCATGCAATGACGCAACAGCTTGAACGCTGAGAGAAGATGCAGATGCCGGCTCATGCATGCCGAGCCGTTGCACAGCGCTGAGTCGGCGTGATATTGGCGCCTCTGAAGAGCATCGAGAGTCCATCGAGTCCATTCTCGTAGGTGATGAGGTACCAGGCGAGTCTGGGACACTGCTATCACGCGACATGGTGCGAGTTACATGGAGTGATTCTCCGATATCTATAGGAGACTCCTGAATGGCCTGGTCGAGAACTGTATCAATCGTAGCAGTGACCGCTTGGGTAGGAGTATCCTGAGTGGGCGCCTGATCTGGTTGATCCGGATCTCTTAACCACTCAACCGTTGCACATCTAGCAACAAGGCGTCGGGTGGTGTCATCAACTTCTTCGAAGTGAAGCATCTTCGCCTGTTCGGATTCGCTGCCATATGAGACCTGGCCCCGGACGAGAATGTTCAACAACCTCCTCAACTCATGTCTCTTGTAATGTGGCGGCTGTCGAAGCTGAGTATGTGCCAGGAGCGGATAAAGAACGCGTAAATAGGTATGTCGCAACGCAGCGGCTTCTTCAGGCAAGTCCAGAAGATTGCGTATCAAAATATCCACCAGCACGTGGAGATCATTAGTGAAGAAGTATTCATAGGTGCTTGGAGTAGTGAAAATTAAGTAGAGAAGCTTGAGCGTTAGCAATTGCAACGAGGTTTCCGCTGTTCGATTGTTAATTGCAGCTTCGAGTGAGATTGGTGTCGGTTCGTACCTTCACGGTTGATGAGCAGAATGATATTCTCGCCAAAGGTTTTGTACAAGCCTCCGTATGCCGACAATATCTTGATGACCTTGTTGGTCAATTGACCTGAAGAAGAATCTTTATCCACCGGGTTGTGAGCCGATATCATGAATTGTTCATTCAATACCAGCTATACAGATGGTCAGCGTTGACGATGATCAAGACAGTTTCAACACTCACCAAAACTCGGATCACAGGGTAGTGATATGGATCCGTGACATCGAAGGACAAATCCTCGATAATGTCAAATAGACATCGAATAAAATCGTCATCGACAAGCACTACCAGCTTGTCAGTGACCAGCCGCGGTTTGCATAACTAGTTCAGACCTACCCAAATCTTCGATCTTCACACGCTGTATCCTGGACATCTCGTATAACAAGTCCATCAACAGCCGGTGGAGACCCGCCCCGCCGTCCATTTCCTCCTTCCGCAACGCCTGAATCAACTCGAGCAGTCGCGCAAACGCACCCTCCTCATTCATCATCTGCAGCGCCAAATCATTTTGCCGACCGTCGAAGAGAAGAAACGACACAATCAGATGGAGAGTATTCGGATCGTCTTCCTATGGGGAGTATTAGTGTGTTTCTCGGGCAGTTCTCCGGACCGTCCTACCTGCAAGAGACCGTAGATAATCTGTCTCCGGACATAATCCGCGTGTGCAGCGAAAATGCTTGACGCGAATAGTTTATACGAGCAGCGGGAAATGTCGTAGTCTGCACCGAGGAAGTCATCTGCATCCAAATCGCCATCTTGTCAGCTGCGTGTTCTTTCGGAGACCGTCGCGGCACGGAAGGCTGTGTGATAAGGGAGAGGGTGAGGTGTCACCTTTGTACTGGGTCGAAAAGCTCAGGTACTCTCGCAGAGCGTCGTCAATGCTATCTTCGGATTCGCAGGGCTTGGAGACGATTTCTTGGAGTTCTGCCGGGTGTTAACAGGTGCTCGCATGGGATCGTCGAGATGTCCGAGGGAGGTTCAAGCTCTGTTATGGATAGCAGCTTACCATTCCAGAACTGCTCCGGCTCCAAAACCTCGGGCTCCATTTCCCACCGGAGATCTGCGACTTCGGGGTTGTGTCAGAGCACTCATCCCGTCCTGTGTAGGGGAGTTGGAGATTCGGAATGCGATGGAGGCGGGGGAAATCAGTTCCACTGTGGGCCACCTTACACTAACTTATAAATATGAATTTAGTGAACTACTTGAACTTAAGATCATGGATCACGAATTAAATAGGAACGGCATATGCACTCTGGTATCACTATACAATACAGCTTCAAACAAGGAGAGAAAAAAAACACAAAGACAAACATAACTCATGAAATCGGGCGCTGGAATGGATGCGCTTCGGTGTTCCTAGGGGAAAAAAAAAAACAAGTCAGCCCTGAAGTCCCACATCGACGTCAGATGTACTCACAATACGTATTTATCCAAATCCACCACGCTAGGATCACTGAAGAGCAGGTAGAAGTACTTTAGTGTCTCTGCTAGCCAGAATGACTCCATCGTGTCTTTCTGGGTAGGCTTCTGAGATGTGACGTCCTTGACTGCCGCATGCGCAAGCTCGCTACGTGTGTGTTTCGCGATAGCCTCGAACATCTTCCACCCTTTGATTCGCCAGTAACTGTCGCCCGTCAGGCGGAACATGATGAACACCGACTCGATGGCTTCAGGGCGGAGGAAGTACTCCGGTGCCAGAATGCTCGTCATGCCGACCGGGGTACGGTCGTGTCGCTCATTGCCCTCCGCCTGCGACAAGGCCGGCGACTGGGGGAGGCGAGGCGATTGATGAGGCGCATCGCGGTTCTCAAGACTTTCACCGTCGGCGACAGCCCCGGGTAGAGGGGATGGACTCGGGGCTGTTCTCCCGACTCCAAAGGAATCACGTTTGTATAACGGGTCCTCGTCATGTGGGTTCATGGAACCTGGCATGGGAAGAGGAACAGACATGGCACTCTCGCTAAGATCCTGTGGCTTGTTTTCGTCGTTCATCTTGACGCGCTGTCCGTATGCACTCTCGCCAGTGCGGAAGCGGGCTTGCGCCTCGGCATCAAGAACGGAAGAGGAGCGCTGCGCTTCCTTTTCATAACGAACTTCGTCCCATTCACAGGACTTATCCTTGTCGCAGGGCAGAACTCTGAATCTTTCCGGCATAAGTCCGGTGTTTGTCGCCTCGTAGGCCCAGACACAGGCGTCAGTCAGTTTGTAAGCAATTTCCATGTCGCTTTCAATGCCAAAGGCCTTGGATCCAACAGCCACCATACCTCCGAGGAAACAGTGTAGATGGGACCATTCGTATACCATTTGAGTAGGAAGAGGTAACTCCTTAGTCTCGGGATTCAGAGAGCTCGTAGATGCCATGAAGCGAAGGTCGCGTTCACCCTTCATCATAGGTCGGAAGAGAAGAGTCTTGCGGGCAGCGTCCATCGCCTTCTTATACATATTCTTGTACTGCTCATTCACGCCACCCAACAGCAAATGCTCCTTGGGCAGATACTCGTATGTCGAATCGGCCAAGGCTCCCAAGCCGTACTTGTTATCGCGCTGTGAGAGGGGCAGCTCCAATCCGCCGTTACACTTGTCTGTAGTCGTGAAATCTTCTGCTTGATTTCCGCTGTGGCTGTAGACCGCAGGCTCAGACTGGGGATAGTCGATGAAGCCATCACGCTGAATCAACCGTAGGTAACTCTCAAGGTCAGTCGGCACAGCGACCGGCTTTCGGGTGGCTGTTGTATTTTCGGCGGTTGTGGCAGAGGTCGTAGAAGATGTAGCGTTTATCTTTCGGCGACTTTCCTGGCGCGTGGGGGTACCAATGTCACGGCTGGGGGTGTACCTAGCACAGCCTTGCGCATTGACGTGGAGAGGCCACAAGCCCGGGATATTAGTTTTATCTTGCAGCCGCTCCAATTCATTCGTGATACGAGCAATCGCATCATAGTATTTGTCTTCCTTGGTCAATTGCGCTAAACGGGTAAACTCCAACGACAATGATCCAATTTCTGCCAGAGCAGCCTTGGCCGAGGCTCGGTGAGGCCGGCCAACGTGGTCCCTGCAATTTAGAATTAGCACGCAAACTGACCCGCAATGGCTTCATGACTCACGGGGTCCAGCGGTAATATAGAACCGGCATGCGATTGGGAGTATCAAAGGCGCCAATCAAAATCTCGGCAAGTTCCTCTGCCTTTTCCAACAGCTCGGAGTATCTTTGGCCTGAGATATCATAAGCACCAATCAAACCTCCCAAGTACCGGATCACAGTTTCGAATATTGGTATATCCTCTCTGGCTGAGGTGGTAAAGTCAATCTTCTTGATGGCATCTACAGCCTCGGAGAATTCATCCTTCAACTCCATGATCCAGAGGGTATCGAGAGAATCCACTAGGGTCGCACCCCAGCCATTGAAGGGATCATCAATTTCAGCAGTCAAAGGCTTGACCTCGTCGTGACCCATGGCAATCTTTTTATATCCAGCCCATGCGTGCTTGAACTCCGCCTTGACGGCGCTCAGTTGCTGCAGCCGCTCCTGCTTGTCAATTGTCGATTCATCCTTGAACTTTGCCTGCAGCTTGGGTATGGCCTTGGCGCGCTCCTTTGGCAGCTTGATCAGCTCGCTCGCGGGAACAGGGAACTTTTCAGGGAACTTCTGCCAATGTCTCGACACACCCTTCTCAGGGTGCACGACCGAGACTCTGCCTGTGCCTCCATGATCAATCTCCTCGACCTGCGAGAAGAGCGAGCTCCCTGAGCTCGTGGATCCACCATCTGGTTTCGAAGGTGACTGCTTGTCGACGCCGTCGGCACTGGCCTTTATGGTATCATCCGAGTTGATCTTGCTGGGAACGTTCTCGACCGCATTGCTATTCGAACCAGCTCCCAATGGCTTACTGCTATCGGTCTTTGACGAATCTTCCGAGCCGACAATCGGGTAGGTCTCGGCGGACGAGCTGGAGCCGTAGTCGGGCGGGGGAGGGGAATACTTGCTCTCCTCTGCAGGGGTAGAAAGTGGCTTCGTCTTCGGACGAGTATTTGGGTACACAGGGTCAGACGAGGGGGTCCTGGCGGGGTCTTCGATCACGGTGTAATTCCAGTCGCGCGACCGGGAGAAATGGAGAAAGGTCAATACAAAGGCCGCCGCAAATGCGAGCAGAATGCGGTAGCGACGGGCGCGAAACATGACGAGCACCCCTCTCTTAGGAAGGGGGGGGGGAAAGGATGTATAACAGAACTGGCGAGGGTAAGAGAAAGAAAGCAAAGAGGAGAGACTTCTAATGTCACGAGACTCCACTCATAAACATGCGGAGGTGAGATCCACAGAGGGACTTGACTCGGAACTTGGAACTTGGACTCAAGTCTTGACTTGGCCTTGGCCTTGGCCTTTACGACTTGGCTTGGCTTTGACCCCTGGTTCAAATTCCTTTTTGGATCTGCTATCTATAGTCATTGTTGAAACTGCACTACCACTGCAACTAGACACTAGAGGACCTAGCGCTACAGCCTCGTCCTTCCCTGACCTCCGGGGAAGCCACTGGAGCCCCATCAGCCCGAATTACTTGATGACTGCCAACAAACACCCGCTCTCTCGGACCCCTGACCAGCAGGGACCCTGTACTTTGTGAACTGTCCGTCCATGACACCTCGGAAGCCAGAGACTAAGGTCCAAGGCCCCAGGCCCCTGGATCAGATCAGGGAGGATCAGCAAGGGTCTCGAGGATCGACCTATCATGGACACGCGACAGGGCCTAGGCGTGTCCACCAAGTCCATCAAGTCCACAGGGACCCATCGATGTAACAATGCGGCTGTCTTCGGAGTTTTGCACATTTTAAATATTGAAAAATTAGGATCAACGTTAGATGAGATATATTTGCACATGTATAAATCATACAGTGCTAGTCTATGCCCGGGTGTGTTTATACTGAGTACCAAAATAAATAACTCGCTATAGTTAGCTACAACTGGATACCCACCGTACTACTAGCTAGTATAACCAGACACACTCAACCACCAACGTTCGAAATTTCAGCACCCCTAACTAGTCAAATGTTCAAGTTTTTAGAAAGAAAATTAGGCTAATGCCTGCGCGGTTCGAAAACAAGATAAAGTTCCTGCTTGATCGAAAATGACTACTAAGGTTTGGGAGCCAATGTCTGTGGCAACCTGCTAAAGACTAAAGGTACTCTCGAGTGCTACTCAAGTGGTCTACTAAGCGAAGAGAAGAAGAGGAATGATAACAATAATAACGAAGCAAAACTATGTATATTCCTATGCCCTGAAGGAAATGAAACATCAGGAGAAAGAGCTGCATCCCAACTCCGAATTGATCGTAAGGTCGTGTCATGCGCATAGATCAGATGCAACCCTAGATTCCCAGAATATCCCGTCTTCAATCGCGCTGAAAAATTTCAAAGAAAAGGATCTAGATGCCAACATTGGTACGTCGGCCATCAGTGTTGGCTCTCTGGAACTGCTGGAGCAAACCCAGCACACCCGCGCCGCCGGCAATCTCGTCAATGTTCTCATTGTCATCGTCGACGTCGGCGTTGGCACCAACGTTAGGAGTTGTGTTCATGCGCCACGAGTCACCGAGATTGCTGTCGGTTACACCGCCACTGGAAGCTCCGGTTGTGGCGGGCTGACCGACGGATGGATCGCGGATATCCTGGGACTGTTCTTCATCTACAATGGAATCGTTTGTTGGGCGTGCTAGGCGAGATCGCTGGTAGTTGGTACCGCGTGTGCCGCGGAATCCGGAGGCGGAGGGCTGGTGGTGCGGGTCCAATAGCATGGATGGGCCGGGGGAGCGTTGATCACCTGGAATCATGGGTCGGAAACGGGAGCCGCCGAGCATAGACTGGAGACCGTATGCCCCAGCTGCTCCGGGGCGACTGTTGGGGTCGTATCGATCGGGGTAACCGGTCAGATCAGCCATGGAGTTGGTTCCTAGTGTAGGCAGGCCCGGGGGAGGGTGGAATTGGCGACGAGAATTGGGCTGGTTGCCGTTGCCATGGCCATAATTATCCAGGAAACCGTAGTAGGACGCGAGCATCTTTCCATCTTTGGTGGAGAAGTAGTCGGATCGTGGGTCTGGCTTTCCTGTGTTTGAACTGCGGCGCCGGCCTTGAGACATGTCGTTCGCACCTTTCTTGAAGTCAAATACTGCAAATGAGCAGACGTAGCCCATCCCATCAACATGGATGGTGAACTCGCGGAAGAAATCAATCAGCCGATCGCTGCACTTGGGAAGACTGAACCACAGCACAAAAGGTGTGAAGATCATGCTCAAGATCTCCTCTAAGAAAATGACGATCTTCATCTGGTAGAGCACTGCAAATTCCTTGCGTACATCGTCGCTGTGGAGGCGTCCATTCCAGGTTAAAGGGCAATAGTGTGTGAAGTCGATCAGCTCTCGGAGAGCATACTCGGGATCAAACACTTCGGTCTCCTCTGGAGCCAAGCCGCGAGCAAATGCCCAGATAGTACCAAATACTCCCAGGTAGAACAGGACTGTACGGTCATGTGTGATCTCAAAGCCAAGGAATAGTTCGGGGTCGATTACCGAGACCAGAGCAAGGACGGATGCCAAAGCTCCAGAAACGAAGGCAACAAAGCGACCGACTTGGGCGGTCTTGTCCTTTGGGAACTGGTCTATGTACCGACTGGCAAATGGATAGGACATGTTGGCTCGACGCTCGAACAAATGCCAAAGTTCGTTGAACTCGCGGAATTTCCACTCAGCCAGCGGGGTATACTGACGGGACCCAATCTGGGACGGGTTCTTCTTGAACTCGTTAAAGTAAGTAAAGAAGTAATGGATCAGGAAGTAGACCACGAGGAATGGGGCGACGAAGATGTTCATGATCCCAGCGAAAATGAACCGTCGACGAAGGCCATCACTCAGAGCTCGTCGATTGTTAGACTTGAGAAACAGAGAACGCAGCTGCCCTTGTTCGTTGAAGACGTAATCCATAATGCAGAGGTTCAAGTTCCATTCCAAAGTACGTGAGAACAGCTGCCGGTTTTTAAGGAAAGGAATGGGCAAAGTCAAGTCCAGAATGTCCTTATTGACTAGGGCGATCATGTAGTTCTCTCTCCGCATCAACCGATTGGCGATGTCGTGAGCATCCATTCGTTGCTTGGACTGGCTGCCCATGAATTTCCGGTGCCTGGCAGAGATCGCGGCTGCGGTAGCCGGGTTGTCGTCGCGGAGCGTCATCAAACGACTCACAACTTCCTGCCACGAGATGGTCTGGACTTCAGCATCGGCGACTCCGAGCAAGTAGAGATAGAAGTCGCGCATCTGGAGAAGTCTACGAATGTCGAGCAGGTACTGGAGGAGCTTTCCGATCCAGAAGAAGCTGAGTAACCATAGCAAGAAAGTGGACCCTCCGGACATTTTAGATGTGCACTGGGGGATGAGAATCTCATTCAAAGTCTTGCTCCCGGGAACTTGGCTGTAATCAATGCAGTTGGTGAGAAACGTGGAGAAACCCACGACGAATGCGAATGTGCTTTTCACCTGTCAGTGTTGGTCTTCATTAAGTCAACACCTTCCAAAAAAACTTACAAAAGGTTTAGCACTCGGCTGAGCAAGATCGACCAGAAGCCATTTCCCAGGAAGTAGATGTAAACATCTCGGAGGAAATTGTCCAGGTCCTGAACGTTCGCCCAACGCCACATCGCTTTCTTCTTGGGGTCGGTGTTGGTAAGAATCGAGTGTTGTTGGAAGGGCAACCAGCGTCCTAGAATGTGTTGGTTATCGGCAATAGTATCCGAAGTCTGGCGGGGGGGAACTCCTTCGGCGCGGCGTTGGGTAACCTCGGGTGAGGGTGGAGAGCTGGAGGTGAAAGAAGGACCTGGCATGCTATGCGGTGGAGGGGGCAAGCGGGCCTTTAGTTCTTCATCGTCGTTACCTTCCACCAAAAGCGACGGTGGCACATCCCCATCTCCGTCATCCAGCTCATAACCTGCCAACGACTCTCGAGGCATCCATCGTGGTCTAGACGATTTGCGACGACGACGACCCAGCAGGCCTTCACGGTAGTTTGACAGCTCGTCGGCTCCAGTATCGGCCGCATCTTCCAGCTCTCGATCACTGAAGCCTTCCTGCATGCCATGTCCAGGTATCAGATTCGCGCGCTCTTCGACATCAGAGGTTTCGGAGTCCGCATCGTTCTGCCGGATGGCTTCGTAGATGGACGGGGAGTCCGTGGGGGGTAAGAAACGCGAGAGTATATTCGAGGACATCATCTTGATCTTTCATCAGGTTTGAGCTGACGTCGACGACGCTAGGTGTTCATCGCGTAACGTATACGGGGGTGTTATCGACGTGGGGCCCCGCTTGTACCTCCAAAACGGTCGCCGGCGATGTCGTCTTTCGTTGTTTCAGTTATGGAGGTAGACCCATTCGTCTTAAAGGGCCATATGACGAGGTCAGACACCTGCGCGTGAATAGTCAACAGCTGCGGGAGCTCCGTGATCACCGCCCCGGTGACATAGTTGTTGGCCTCAGGCCACTATGCCGATCATTACTAACTGAACACCTGGAGCTCTGGTCTATTTTCTACTTCCTACTTCAAGCACGCACATTTGCAATTGCACTGGAAATCAAACACGGGACGAAACAGGCAAGGCGAGGTTCTTCTGTCAGCTTTGCTTACCATGAACCTTCAGGGGCTTATAGCTCGAAACCTTGGTCATTTATATTTAGACTAGAAAGACGGTCAGAGGTAAAGTACACGGGATGGCAGTACGATTAGACTAGAAACCATAAGTACATGCATAGCTATGGAGTGATAAGATATTGTGCACGTCAACGCTAGTATAGTCAGTGGGATGCACAGGCGGAGAAAAGAGCGGTAAAAGATTACGCGACGCAGCACCTGCGAATCATGCGGGGTTCAAGATCGGTCGTTAAATGTACCGTAGTGCACCTATGTACGTATTCCTAGGATGGGCTTTCAACGTACCTGGGAGAATATCCGAACACAGAACCTCCTTCCCGATGGCTAGTCAACTCCCGAGTTCTAGTCCAACTTGAACACTTGCTCAGCTGGGAACTCACGGCGCCCCGGGCGGCTCCACTTTCGGGGCTTGCCCACGATCGGTCCTTTTTTTTTCTAGACTCGCGGGCAACCGGAGACCCAAAGACGGTTCTAGTCCGTAGTCTCCATCCAGATAACATGGACCCGGCAGATCCACTCGGCTTGTCTTCTCATGGTTCCCCCGTACTTTAGACTGTACTTTTGTTCCAGTATACTGCGGAGGACAAGGACAGGGGGTCAAATGGGGAATGGTCATAGGCTGGGTCTGATCGACAAGTCCCTGGGGCCCTTTGGACTCATGATTCAGGGATATTTCCCCCTCAGACCCTAAAGTCCGTGCCGCGCAATTTAGCATGGAGCATGGAGCATGGAGCACCTCCGGCTACAGCCCGGAGATATTCTCCCTAGCTTCTGGTGCAATGACCAATTAACTCGGAATCTTCGGTTAATAGCTGCCATTCTGCAAAGCTTAAGGTCACAGCATCAAGGCGCAGTGAGTTTCCGTCTGGCCGAAGGACGGGTTTCGGGGAGGAGAGTGTAGAGAGATGAGGAAAGGGAAACAAAGACTTAGATGTTAGAGGAATAGGAATAGGAATAGACAATAGAAATAATAATCCAAAAAGAGACTTGCGGTCAATGCGAGAATGAGAGCCTCGTGGGAGTGCCATTCTCCTTATACTGCGCTCATTTCAGCTCCCGCTATCCACTTCACTCCCCTCTCCCCTCCTCCCCTTCACGCTTCATTCTTCACTCTTCACCTCTCCAAACCCCCCGTCAACAGATAGGTTTTTTGACTTGACACTTCTTTCCCCCCTGCGCCCTACGCTTTTCCGCCCGCCATATTTGCCGGGGGATCTGCAAAGTACGGACGCACAAACGCCCCAAGCCGACCCCCCCCCCCTCCCACGCCTACGGCAATATCTCAAGACCTCGGATTTCAAAAGGGACTGATGAAGGTGTGTGCGCGCTCTTTCCTCTTCTACAAATCTGCATCGCCTGCTCGGATCTCTCCTCTTCCCTCCACTCAATAATGATATCACGCCTCTCTCCCATTCCTTTCGGCTTCCTCGGGCCATAATTGACTTAAGCCTGACAGCGACTCCTGTCGCATTTCGATCGATTGGAGGGCTGGGCGCTCACCGCATTTCTATTCCTTCAGGTCCTGCACCCATCAGACAAACGACGGTGACCCGCGCCTCGATTGTCCTTTCGTCCCGCCCCACCGAATGTACGACAACCGCAACCCCCTTCCTCCTAGACTCCATGCGTTCTCCTAGCAATTTCTTGGACAAAATCGACTTTCAATTGTTGAAACTGCGCACGAGGTATACCTATCGACTGTTTTGAGGGGAGGTTGTGTCGCGCTCTAACTCCCTCTTCCTCCGTGCGGGTCTTCTTTCGACCGCGCTCACGTCGGCTCTGAAAGAGCCCACGATCGAGCAGAATGGAGTCCGATAATCCCAACGGATACAAACGGAGATCGATGCACCAAGCCTTCCACAGCCGTCCCGTGGAGCGTCGGCCGAGCAAGAAGTCATCCTCCCAGGATCGCCATGGTATGGTCTATCCAGACAACTTTCGGGAAGCGACCATTCGAACCGTCACCCCAGATTCTCATTCCCCCCTTTCCGAACCCGAACCCCTTACCGCGAATAGCGCGCCCTCACCCCGAACCACGATGCGATCGCGACCCGTCGAACGAAGCGAGGAAGAGACCACGGTGGATGGCAGGACCCAGCGCACACGATCACGAACCGCGACATTGGAAGAACAACGAAGCGATATACCATCCAGTGCATCCAAAACTCGAACACGTGTCGGATCAGTGAACGTTCCTAGTTCGTCTCAGCCCAAAGTGCCCGAGGGGAAAGTGTCGGAGGACTCGTCTTCTTCCATTGGTTTCCCATCGATCCAGTCTCCTACTTTTCACCGCCAGCGAGTCAGTAACCTATCCAGTTCCCTTTCGGGAGCAGCGCAAAACCAAGCCGCCTTCGCCTCTCCTCTCTCTAATACTGATGCCGCAAAGATCTTACACCTCATGAAGACCACGTGTGGAAGAATGCACGGTATCCTCTCGTTTCGATCTGCAACTACAAGTTCCGGAACCTCCAATGCCTGGACCTCTGGGTATTGTGCTATCAACGTTGCGACAGGGAGTCTGATCTACCAAGCAAAGGGAGAACCCGCTTTGGCCAAGACTTTGATCCCCGACCTGCGCGGTTGCCGTGTCCGAACACTATACGATTCTGAGCTTCAAACCACATACCTCAGCGTTTCCACCTTCACATCCGGTCTAGGAATTCAACTACGACCCCATGTCAACGAAACTTTCGACTCGTGGCTTGCTGCTTTACTCTGTTGGCAACCTATTCGCCCCAAAGGCGTTCAGAACAAGATGACCAAGCCCCAAGAAGTTGTGATTGGAGAACGCCGGATTCCTGAGCGTCGACGAAACTCAGACAGTGCAGCTCAGAAAGACGCTGCTATTATCAAAGTTGGAAAGATGCTTCTATGGAACAAACCATCAGCATCTGGAGCACGACCAGTCTCCGCACGCCGCGTCTCTACTTATAGACAGTCCAGGGCTCTTTCCTCATCATGGCAGCGTGTCAGCTGTACCTTGCAGGAGAATGGTATCTTCAAGCTCTATACCGAGTCTGATGTCACGCTGGTTGCATGCATTCAACTCTCCCAATTGTCACGCTGTTCGATCCAGCAATTAGACTCTTCGGTTTTGGATGATGAGTTCTGTATCGCCATATATCCGCAGTACACAGCACATCCGGTTCTTGATCCGGGCATGCGTCCTATTTATCTTGCCCTCGAAACACGCGTCCTCTTTGAAGTCTGGTTCGTGCTCTTGCGCGCATTCACAATTCCAGAGCTTTATGGACCCGCATTACCAACAGAGAAAGATGAAGACCCGAATAAGACGCCAGAAGCGGAGACCCCCGGGCATTCCTCTCTCAAAGACATGTTCCGTATCGAAAGGATCCTCAACCTTAGAGTCACGGAAGCAAAATTATTCCAAACGAAGGAAGAAACGCCGCGCAGTCGAAAGCAGTCCAAATCCCACGGCTATTCTGCTCCATCGTCCCCACTCAAAGCGAGCGATTATTACACCGAAGTTCTCCTGGATGGAGAGATTCGCGCCAAGACTGTTGTGAAATATCGCACTTCGAATCCGTTTTGGCGTGAGGACTTCATTTTCAATGATCTGCCACCAGTTTTGTCTCAGGCTTCCATCCTAGTCAAGACACTCAACCCAACGCAAAGAGATTGGACGCTCATCTCTTCTGGGTCATACTCGTCTAGTCAAGATGTCAACGCAGTGAACATGCTGGATGAGATTGAGATCTCCACCAAAGACTCAATTTGCGGACGGGTCGATCTTCGCTTAGATGAATTGGAAGCTGGTGCGGACACAGAGAAGTGGTGGCCCATTCTGGACGATCGTGACCAAGCAATTGGAGAGATGTTTATGAAAGCTCGAATGGATGAGACAGTCGTGTTGATGACTGATGAATACGCACCAATGCTGGACATCCTTCATCAATTCACCAACGGTCTGACAATTAGCATGGCCCAAGTGATGTCATCCGAATTAACACAATTATCGGAGATGCTTTTGAACATCTACCAGGTCTCGGGATCAACGGTGGACTGGATTTCAGCGTTGATCGAAGATGAGATTGACGGAGTTCATAAGGAATCCACCGCCAATCGACTGCGCTACACGACGAGGATACATTCTAATGACACGAGAGAAGGCGGCCAAGAACGTGAAATTCTTGTAAGGGATATGGGCAGAACAGCTACGGTTGAGGCCAACCTTCTATTCCGTGGCAATTCGCTCCTCACTAAAGCACTCGATCTGCACATGCGTCGTCTTGGCAAAGAGTACTTGGAGGAGACAATCGGGGAACGACTGCGTGATATTGATGAGAGCGATCCTGAGTGTGAAGTGGACCCGGCTCGTGTACCACGCACTGAGGACCTTGACCGCAATTGGCGGACTCTTATTGGTCTCACGACAGGTGTTTGGAAATCGATCGCGCTCTCTGTCTCTCGTTGCCCTCCAGAGTTGAGGCGCATCTTCCGTCACGTCCGGGCATGTGCAGAGGATCGTTATGGCGATTTCCTGCGCTCTGTAACCTACAGCAGTGTTTCGGGTTTCCTGTTCCTACGATTCTTCTGTCCAGCAATCCTGAACCCCAAATTGTTCGGACTCTTGAAAGATCATCCTCGTCCTCGTGCCCAGCGTACCTTGACCCTCATTGCCAAGGCCTTGCAAGGACTCGCCAACATGACCACGTTTGGTAACAAAGAGCCATGGATGGAGCCCATGAACAAGTTTTTGGTCGGTAATCGAGCCGATTTCAAACAATTTGTTGACCATATCTGCAACATCGCTGCTGATCGTCCCGCCCCCATTGTTACGCCTTCCTATACCACCCCTGTTCAGATCCTCGGTCGCTTGCCAGCTACCTCCCGCGAGGGCTTCCCCAGCCTGCCATTCCTGATTGATCGCGCTCGATGCTACGCACACCTGATTCGTGTCTGGCTTGATATCGTTCCAAGCCGGATGACTGAGTTGGAAGAGGTGGACCCGTTTCTTACCAAGTTCCACGAACTGGCTCTTAGCTTACAAGCACGTACTGAAGAGGTTCTACGCCAAGCTGAGCAAGCTGAGCGGCCAAGTGGAAGCCTTGAGGTCAAGTGGGAGGAACTACTGGATTCAATGGAGCGAGCTGTGACATTTTATGATGAAAGCTCGAGCAAACCAACTACTCCGGCACCAGACTCAGGCGTCACGGCTAATGTCCAGGTGGCGGGCCACCGCGGTTCAATCGGCTTCTTTGCCCCGCGGCCGGCTATGGGTCGCCGATCGACCGACTATGCAGCAGACGAGGACGAGACGCCACCCAGCTCCTCATCCGCTACCTGGGATCAAGCACGCATGCCTTTCTCCATCCCAAGGTGGTCCGATGCTCGCGATAGCACCGGCAGCTCCAAGAACTCATCCACCTACTCCCTCGAATACTCAGAGAATGCCAAAGCCCGCAGGTCCAGCGTCAGCAAAGAGTCATCCAGCAAATACCGCTTCTTCGACTTTGTCCCGGCTCCCTCCAGACGCAAAGCCAAAGACCGTGACCAGTCCCAAGCACACTCGCACGATGACCTTCGGAACGAATTCTAAACGCTCACCTCTCACCCCCTTTTCTTGATTCGAAACCTTTCCTTCCTCTCCTCAATGTGCTCATGAAGTCCACGCATCCCCTTCATCTCCCCTTCTCACCAATCCTCCTTTCTTAGTGTCCTCGCAGCATGTGTCACGGTGTTGATACCCTTCCCCCTCTTTATAGTCTTAATGCGTGCTTCAGGATCTCACATACACGTCTCCCCCCGAACCCGGCTTTGGAAAAAAGCAAGACAAAAGAACTACTGTACACGGACTCGGGTTCTAAAGCGTTTTTGGGCCCGCTGTTCGACCCCCGATGTGCTTTTTATTTGCTTATACGCATTGGCGTTGATCATGCGGGTGGGTTGATGCGTGTATATACTCTCGATGAGTTCCTGATAGACGAAATGGACTCTTGTTCTCTTTACTATTATGTGTGTAGATCTTGCGGCTACTCGGTGCTAATTGGACTTTCTAGATGCAAATTCCATAGCCGGGCTAGGGATATGACCTTTGAATGTAAATGCACGTAGTTATAACTAGATAGGCCTTGAATTTTAATTCTGTTGTTTCTACTTACATAGACCGTGGGGCCTTTTTGTCAAGAGGTGGACATTTCCTCAACAAAATGTCCGTGATCCGTCCGTAGTTGACCCCTTCATCTGATGCTAGTGATTCAACTTGGCAGCTTGGGGTTGGAGAATCAAAATTTGAAGCAAAGGGTGTATGTAGATCAGGGATGGGAGCAAGGGCGTCGAGATGTACTGGCCTCGGTAGAAACTCAGTTTATTCTAAAACAAAAGACAATCATAGATTCTCAATCTTCTTCAATTGTACATTATTTCCAAGGTATTAAAAGCGACTATCTTGGTAACTGAGGAAATCTCCCACAAAAGCCAGTAGCCATCAAAGGGCAAATGCCGGGACACAGCAAATAAGCGTAACTCCATACTTTTCAGATATTCTTCCACAAAATCTACATCCAAAGACAGACCTTGCCACTGGCAGTGCCACCAGCAACCCAGTTCTTGCTGCGGTGGAAAACCGCAACGGCAGGGACAGCAGTGATCCCATCACCGCCCAGCTGGGCAAGCTGGTCGCCGGATCCACTATAGACATCGACAAAGCGGTTCATGTTACCGATACAGAAACGTTGAATGCGTGACTGGGGGTTCAGCTGCCACTGGGGTCGAAGGCTGGATAAAAAGGTTAGTTTCTTTCGGGAATATAACAGACAGAACTGAGGACTTACATGGTAACCCAACGGCCAGTCTGACAGTTATGTCTGACAACGGTATCAGGGCGGAAATCACGGTCTGAAATGCCGTGACCCTTCTCCCAGGATGAGAGACCCTTGGCGCCAAGATCGTAAAGCTTGAGCGTATCGTCATAAGAAGAAGTAGCGATTTGACCAGCGGCGTTGAATGCAGCGTGAGAAACAGAAAGGCGGCTTTCATGCTCAGCTACCGGGGCCGGTTCATCAAAAGACAGGTTGCGCAGATCCCACACCCTCAGGAAACGATCCAGACTTGCAGTTGAGAAATAGTGAGATTGTGAAGGGCAAATGGTGAAACCGCCGATTTTCTTTTCGGAAAGCTGCCAGGTTGAGACAGTCTTCTCAGAAAGAGGAGTGCGCGTGTCATATCGACCGAAACCACCATTCAGAGTCGTCCAGTACAATGTGTTGGGATCGTCTCCGGCCATGTCAATAGACGAAACAGCCTCGTCAATGTTCTTCGAGTCCGGTCCGTATTTCTCAACAGATGTCGTCTTCTCAAGATCCAGCTCGCGAATTGAGCTGTCATAACTGGCTGTGTATAGGTGTGTGGGCTTAGACGGGTGAACCATCATGGAGCTAATAGTGCGCGTGTGAGGCTTGAGAGTAGTGAGGACCGGATCGGGATCATCGTCCTCCTCATCATCACCCACATCTGGCTTCTCTTGCGAGGCGTCCAGAATACCGAGGTGACCCATCTTGTCTCCGGCGAAGATCAGCGGCTTCGATTCCGAGGGGTGGAATGTCATACTGTAAATTCGTTCCGGGGTGATCTTGATTCCTGTGTCGAGTCAGTGAGTATACTATAATTCGCACACGATTGATTTCAAGATCTTACTCTGCGGATCCCAGCTCTCCCATAGCTGAAGACCACTCATTTCCTCCCGCAGTGCCTTCAAGTCCTTGTCCGTAGTCTTCTTGACATCGTCGTCGTCAAAAGTGCGCACGTATGGCTCTGCAACACCTTTCGTGATGATATCCACGCCGACAAGACTGTCTCCACTCAGCTTCTGTCCAGCAATGAACATGTCACTTTGCGAGAACTCATCGGTTCGGCGCATGCGCTTAGCGCGATCGACTTCCTTCGCCGCTTCATAATCGTCTTCGGCTTTGCGCTTGAGGACTTCGCTTTCTGCAGCAATACCCTTTAAACGAGACGACTGTCGTCGAGGAAGTATTGGGGAGTCCTCTTCTTTGATTCGCTTCGGAGTTGGTTTCCTCGACTTCGAGGCATTGTTCCGAGGGGTCTTCGGAGAGCCGAAGATGCCATTGGATTGCGCCTTGAGATTTAGCTGCTTCAGAAGCGCATCTCGCTCCGCAATGTTTGCAAGGCGCTGCTTTTCGAAATCCGAGAGTCCAGCCGTAGATTCTTTACCCATGATGAGCCGTTAAAGATGAGACCTCAATCAATGCTGACGGTGTGATGAATGGAAAACGCGGAGCACGCGTCAGGGACGCGAGGTCATGTGACGCTAATGGGAAAAGCTTGAGACTCAAACTTTTTGGCTTTTTGCGCAGCATCAAATCAACTCGATGGCCAAAATCCCTCGTGCATTTCTCCTATCGGCCACCTCAAGCTCGGCGCCGTTTCTTTACCAGACCCGCACCCTTGCGCCGTTATCACAATCGCTATGCCGATGCCCTCCGATCAACCGGCTTCAACGTCAATACTCGGGAAGTAATATCCCGGAGAACGATGATGGATATAAAGATGGCTCAAACGAGAACAATTCGGGTCCGAAAATATCCTCTGAGACGTCAACAAGTCCGGCGACAAATGACTGCCCTGCACCTCGGCGAAGTTTTCTGCGCCGGCGCGCTGAAGAGGTCGCCCCGAAAACTGAGCCCACTGAGCCAGCACCCTCGTCGCGCCCACTCCAAACGATTACCCCTGCGGAGAAGATGATCTTTGCGGACCTGCTGAAACAACTCAAGAAAGAGAAGCCAGCGGCGACGACCACGAAACCGTCCCGGGCCTCAGCGCGCCGACCCAAGCCAGAGAACGTCAACGATTTAATTGCGTTGTTTGATGATATATTTGACAAGAGCGAAAAGGAGGCAGCAGAGAAGAAAAGGAAGCAAGAGAAAGAGAAAGAGAAAGCTGCATCTGCCGCCCGCGGAGATACACAAGAAAAGTCATTTGATATACCAGGAGGCTCAGACAAGATTCGCTACAGTGACCTCAGATTCTCGGCGATAGCCTCTAAGGCCCACCCGGACTTTGAGATCACAATTACCGATGCTGTTGATCTCGTCATCAAAAGGGAGTCGAAAAGAATTGAAGATGAGCTTTTCAAGGCAATTGAAGAGGGTAGAGGCGATATGGGACTATGGGAGGAATGTCAAGAGCACATTTTCGGCATGTTGCAACATCTGGAAGAACCAACGCCAACGGTGTCAGATGCAGTTGCAGACGATTCATCTTCGGGCACGATGAACGGAACAGAGAGGCCAATGATCTCTTCTGGTCCTCTTAATATCCCCGCCATGGTACCCGTTACCCCGGTACTTGCAAAGCTCTACCCAAAGACGCTTCTCGTCGCGTTCCGTCTTCTGAACACTCATTTCCCGGAATCGCAACTCATCGGTCAATTCCGCTCCACGATCAAAAACCAAGGCCGCACATCCTCCGTCCTCGGAACCTCCTCTGCACTCTGCGATGAGATGATCTATTTCCACTGGCACGGCTGCAACGATCTCCCAGCCGTTATAGGATTCCTGCATGATATGGATCTCCACGGTCTCTCGCCGAGCCCGAAATCCCACCGGCTTTTGAAGGAAATTGTCCGCCAGCGTTTCCGTGACTTGGACTCGGTACGTCAGTCTGATACCGGGGTGGCCTCTTTCTGGCAGTTCCCTCCAAACCAAACGGCCTTCCAGGAGCTTTCTGGACCTGGTGGCTGGTTGGATAGGTTGGATGAGCACGCTCGGCGCGAAAGTGCAATTCCGTTCACGTCCGAGTGAATTTGTTGACTCAAGTACTGGTTGTGGCACTCTTCCTGCCTGCACAGTCTCTTCTCATTGTACAAACATGTATAGACTTAGTAGATATGACCCTGTATAATAAAAGACATGTCGGCGTTTCTTTTGAACTTATCTTTCGTGTACTCAAGTGACTGTATCATATCTCAGGTAACCTACGTAGCTTTGGGGTCATCTTATGAGCCATTTCAAGAGCCCTCTCCTTCGTCAGTTTACTGCTTGAATGACAGGCCAACGTCGAGTCATCGAGATCTTAATTCCAGAAACCCAATTGGAGTATCTATACAGGCTATCGTTGACCCCGACAACTCTACAACCCCAACGCCCCGCATTTCTCCAACGCGGTGATGCCCTCGTTGGTCGAACATGAGAAACCCCAATTGGTGGATAGCTGTGTTCATGTTCATGTGCTCGAATCTGCAAGCGATTGATTACTAGTATTTAGTCTGATATCATGCCGTTATCATCATAGTTGGCCAACTACTCGGAATATTGGCCTAACCCCATTCCCCGCACGGAAGCACATAAATGTGATAAGCGTTCCATTTCTCTTTCACCAAACACTCACCTACCTCATCCGCCATGACTACACCCAAGTCATTATCAGGCAAAATTATCCTCATCACCGGCGCAGGTAATGGCATTGGCCAAGCAACCAGCATCAAACTAGCCGCCGAAGGAGCCTCCCTAGCCCTATCAGACACAGACCTCGCCTCCGTGACTAAAACAGCGGCTCAATGCAAAATCGAACACCCAGGCCAATTTCACTCCGTCGAACGAGTAGACGTGAGCGATGTGACTTCCGTAAACGCCTGGGTGAAATCAACAACTGCACGTTACGGTCGACTGGACCACATCTTCAACTGTGCGGGTATCAATCCAATTCAGATCCCCACAGTCGACACTACAGATGATTACGCCCATCGTCTGATCAGCGTCAATCTCCAAGGTACATTCAACGTCTGTCGGGCTTGCATCCCACACCTTTCTGCTGGGTCATCAGTAGTGAATGTCTCTTCTATCGTTGGAACCCAGCCACGCGCCGGAATGGCGATCTACGCTGCGACGAAGGCTGGTATTATCGGACTCTCTAAGTCTATGGCCTTGGAGCTTGGACCGAAGGGTATTCGAGTTAATGTTGTGGCTCCGGGAGAGATCCATACCTCGACTAATGTGTCTGTTGTTTCCGGCGAAGAAACCGTGCAGCAGGCGGGTAAGAAGGTTGCTCTAGGAAGACTGGGCCAGCCGGGTGAAATTTCGGATGTAGTGGTTTGGATGTTCCAGAGTAGCTATATGAATGGGAGTGTGGTCGAAATCAATGGTGGTGTGGAGTGAGTGGGTAGAGAAGAGGGTATTGAGTGTTCGGAAACTATTGTCAATTGCGTGTATCTCGAGAGCTAAATACCTATCTACATGAGTAACGTGCCATCGTAGAAGTAAACCGCCGAACTCATTATTCATGGTGGATTCCCCAGAACCGCTCTGCGTTGAAGGTCCACCGATTATCATCCTTCCAGAGGTCGTCAAATGCAGTGAATAAAACTAGATCGTCGCTTCGGTGCGCAAAACTCTTACGTAGACTTTCAACTGCGACACGTTGGTTCTCTGGAGATGGGACTGCTGCGCCGTTGGATTGTCCAGCGTGTGGCCATCCTGATTCGGTGATCATTGTGTGTTTGCCACCTGCGGCTTGCGAGACGCCGTGGGCCTGTTCAAGGGCGTAGGGGCCGGCATTGTTTGCGTGTTCCGTGGCGTCGAAGAAAGCGTGGCAGTTTGCGGCGCAGTAATCCGATACTTTGCATAGTTCTGGATGTTTGAGGAGGACGGAGAACGTATCCACTGTTACGACAGGTCCTTGGTAGCCCTGGCCACGGAGGATAGTCCGGGCTTGTTTAACTGCATGGGCGACATCTCCAGGTGCAGCCATGCCAGCATTGACGAGTTCATTTCCCACGGCGATAGTGTGGAAAATGGACCAATCCTTCTGTCCGTCGGGTCTAATGGCGGCCTGATTGAATGATTCGAGGCTAGCAGGGAAATCACTCAGGTCGTAGATTCCTCCGAATACTTTCATGTTATGAATCCTGGCTGCGTTGGCGACTAGCTTTGTTTGATCACAGTCTGTGCCATATATCCGAATAAACTTGTAATCGGATAGCTGGTCCAAGTCTTTGTTTACCTCGGCCTGGCTCTTGCACGCTCGGTTCGCCTTGTACGGGGAGTAAGATATTCCAAATCGACGATGAGAGTCCGCATGAGGAGCAGGCGGGTGAGGTGCCGGATGAGGTGAATGTGGTTGAAGAGGAAGCTCAGGGAGTTGAGGAAGCGGTAGCTTTGGAAATGGCAGATTGGGAAGCTGAGGTTTAGGAAGCTCGGGCAGACCAAGAGGAGGCGCAGGAGCTGGCAGTGCAGGATGTCCAGGATGACCAGGAGGCTTGTTCATCCTGAGATCTTCCCGCACTGGTTTCTCTGCCGGAATATCATGGCTGGGCTCATTATGCGCCGCTTCTGGTGCTGGTGCATCGACCGTCAAATTGACATCTGGCTTCGGTACAGAGACCTGGGGAACAACTGCAGGCTATTGATAGATTAACGGCCATCCAGATCAAGATCAATTGCTGTCTACTAACATTCCCTTGCGGCACCGCAGTCGGTGTAATGCGGTTCGTCTCCGTGCTAATAGGCACTCCTTGCTCATTGACCCAAACAACTACCTCCGAGGCTTGAGTCTGGACTTCTCCAGAGCATTGTCCTAGAACTCACAGTCAGTAAAGGTTATCCAATTTCATCGGGGCCATCGTACCTTGTGAATCCGCATAAGCACCACATGCCAGGAACAGACCCAACGCCAGATTAAGGCGCTTCATTGCACCCGATATCAGAACCTAGTTAGTAGCTCAGACCATAGCAGGAGTGACAAAACCCGTCCCTAGACACGAGGGCGATCATGCAGATCAAGCGGATTATATTCAAAGGACTCAAGGAACTCCACTAGAGCATGGACCCTTCGCAGGTAAACAATGGCGTATCCAGGCATAGCTATTTAGCGTGGGGTGACATGTGGAATGAGATCTGGGCTGAGCGTCTTGCACCCCTGGTTAGGGTTTGATTGGTAGGGAGGTAATAACTCCCGTTCGAGGAAAGCTTGGAAGGAGATCTTGGTTTCGGGCCTCGAGGGGCGAGATCGTGTTCGGGATGAGGCGAGGAATTCTCCTGGCGCTACGGCAGGTTTGGGGAATGCGAGGCCCATTCCGCATAGGTCTCTCAGATACCGGGCTAATTGGACTCGTCATTTGGTGAATCGTGGTAGAATGTTCTTGAGTGGTTCAAATTGACCGTTTGAAAGAGGTCTAGGGGTGAAGTAGAGCTTGCGTTAAATTTACCCTAACTGAGGATTTCTAGGCCAAGACCAAGTTAGCCAGGGATAGCCACAATGGCCTGAACAACTCCGGGCAAGGGATAAAGGCGTCAACTCCACTCAACGTATCAATTGTGAATGAGACTAATAAGTGGCCACCTCCTTGACACTCTGTCCACAAAGGAATGGGGTCTCAGCTAAGGGATTGTACAATGAGGAAATATCATGCAACACAACGGATTACAAATGCACTTGGCACAGCCAACGCCGTAGCCAGAGAAGAATAGTATTAAACAATCTAGAGCAATGCACCCGAAGAGTATGAAACTGCCCATAGAAGCAAAAGAAGTAAGCGGGCAGTGCTGTACAGGGGAGCAATAGAGATGCATATTAACAAGCAAAGCGGCTTAACAATACACGGGAGAAAGAGGCATTAGGGCGTATGGTTGATGACGGTTTCAAACCCAGCAGATGCCGGAAGTCTCTGAGCATGAGCGGTCATTTGTGGAAAGCGAGAGGATGCAGATTAGTGAAGGGATTTACTTTTTCTTGCTCAACACTTTCGTGATCGCGTGTCGGATGATCGTTCCGGATTTCTCGATCTCCTTCTTAGTTAGACCAATGGTCACGCACACCTTCAACGCGGCGGGGACGAATTGCTTGGGCTGAAAGTTGTCTTCCAGAGTCTTGAGGCGGGAAATCAGGACTCCGTTGGCCAGGCACTTAACGAGCACAAGAATTAGCAAGTTTTAGACGGTAACATAATGGAAGTGAACGTACCTCGTCGACGACATCCTGAAGCAAGAACTGCTGATCTTCATACGAGAGCTTCTTCGAAGTGACAACCTCGGGCTTGATAGTCAGAATGAGAATCGGGTTCTCAGTCGCACTGGTACAGGACATCCAGTCACTGCGAGGATCCAATTGAGCCCGCAGAGCCTTGGTGTACTCCCGGAGCTGGGAGACGGTGTCGGGGTTGTTTTGAAGAAGGTCGATGCACGCACTGGCAGTAGTGGACAAGAGAGCGGGAAGAGCTGCAGAGAAGGTGTAGGCCGCGGCCGAAATCCGCTGGTGATGAACAATCTCCTCGGAGCCAGCACAGAAGCCTCCACCTGCCACGAGAGGGCCAGCCAGCGACCCAACAATCATGTCAACCTCGGCTGCGTCAACGTTCTGGTGCTCGGTGACACCACGGCCAGTGCGGCCCAAAACACCGAACGACCAAGTCTCGTCCAAGATGAGACGGAACTTGTACTTGAGTCTCAGCTCGATCTGCAGCATTGATTAGTACCTGACGATGTCAAATTGACGTACGCTATCACTCACAATCTTGGGCAGGTCCACCATGTCACCATAGGACTCGAAAAGACCCTCGGTAATGATGAACCGCCGAGTCAACGGCTTGCGAGCCTGCTCCTTGGTAACCTTGGCGAGCACCCGTTCCAGATCCTCCATATCATTGTGCTCATACCAACGAACGATACTGCGAGAAATCTGGATACCCTTTCGGATAGCAAAGCTGACACCCTTATCGGCAACAATAATATCTCCACGCTTCGAGAAAGCCGGAATGACACTGGGAATCGTCGAAAATGCCTGTGAGTACATGATACAAGCTGCGGTACCGAGGAACGACGCCACATCCGCCTCAGTCTTCATATGGACATCCTGGTTACCGTAGAATCCTCGTGGACCACAAGGACCAACGCCGTAGTTCCGAAGGGTCTGGATAGCGGATTCCTTGAGAGTTTCATTTGTATTGAAGTTGTAAAAATTGTACGAGGCGAGATTAGTAACGGTACGGCCATTGGCGAGCTTCGATTTGGGGCCGACAGGACTGTGATTCCAAGACCCAATTAGCCAAATGTCCGAAAGCGCTCAGCGAAAGAATGGGAAGGTCCTACCCCACAATCACCGTGCGCTTCTCAACTTCCATTTCCTCCAAGGTATTAGGCCTGCCCACAAGAGGCTCAGGCGTCCACTCATCCACAAGGTCGTCAATCTCATCTTCCGACAATGACACTACACCAGGCTTGGTCGAGTATTTCGGGGCTAGCAAGTAGCGAACGGCGAAGAGAAAGAGGAAAAGCTCGACCGCCGAACGGATTGGATCGTCTTGATAACTGGATTTCACGTAGCGTAGGAAAATTGCAGAGCCGGGGACGCGGTGGAAGAGGTTCGCCAGTTCGTGCAGGTACTCGGACAGGAGACGTTGCGTCTCCTGGATGTCCATAATGGCGTTTTCTGGGGCGCTCGGGGCGCTCGCACACCGGGCAGGAAGGTTCCGGTAAAAGAGAGTGTCGAAAACCACCGAAAGGAACGTGTTCAAGGCAATTGGCGACGTGAACGGGGACGTGAACGTGGACGGGGACAGACGCCGGGGGTCCGCGGACGAGTTGGAATAAGCAACGTCACGTGAGCTGCCCGTGACCGAGGCCCTGTGTTCCATGCATGGTCTAGTAAGGTACAAATGGAGTTAATTCAGAGTGGGTTGGAAAGGAAATCTACATTAGGATAACGATAAGAATGAAGCAATGCAGATTGTATTCCGTTAAGTTTGTAATGAAAAAACGAGCTATGAGAGTGGCAAACGAAGGTAACCCCACTCCACGGGCAGTGGTTGAACCACCAAGATAGAAGTCGTTCCACACAAAAAGCCATTAAGATCAACAGGTGCGCCGGGGATTTAAAAAGAATGCAGCGAATAACAGGAAAAGTGATGACAAGGAGACAGAACTTTGTACAAGCCATTTTCATACAGGGGGCTCAGGGCCTCTAAATCATTTTGTGGAAATTGAAGTCACCGGCGGTGGGGGTAACCGACTCACGAGGCGACTTGTAGCCGGCAGGCAAGTGGCTTCCGGTGTAGTAGGTCGCTGTGTCGTTGAGGCCAGCATCCAAAGGCTGCAGGAGACCGAGCATGCCTTTTTTGACACCGACAATTTCGTAAAGGGAGTGACGAATGTTGTAGCTGATGGAGCTCATGTCACGAATGACAAGCGGCGCAGCAATCAGGACGACGAATACAACCAGCATTACGAAGTAGAGGATAGCGAAACGAACAACACGTCTCTTTCTAAGCTTGGACTGCTTGAGAGAGTAGATCGGAGGACGAATTTGACGACTGGAAGGAGGTTAGCAATGAATAGTAAAGTTATGAATTGCAAAATAGAACATACCTGGGACGCAGCCAGAACAGGATCACTGAGTGGAACTTGTCGGCATACGGGATTGCGAGAACGGGCAGCATGAAGAACAGAATGATGTGGCCCAGAATGAAGTCGGCAGCGAAGTAACCCAACTCAGTGATCTTGCAAAGGAACTCACGGCCAGGCTGGGACAATGAGTGCCAACCCATGTTGTACCATTTACCGGTCCACCAGGCAATGTTGGACTGATCGTGCTTGAATTCTCGAGTGAGAGCAAGAGAAATGATCAACTTGTAGATGAAGCGCTGGATGGCCATCGCGGCGATCATGCCCGACACAGTTCTGGCCCAGCTGAAGGACTCCAGAACGAACAGAGCGACGAAGATGATCATGAGTACAATAACGGCAATTGCGTGAGCGATGGCAGCAAGAACGGAACCGAACTTCTTGCAGCACATGCTGAAGAGGGGACCCATGCAACAGGCCATGCCGAAGAATGCTGCAGCAACACCAGCATTAATACCAATGGGAGCGAACGCCACAATGGCAATTCGCATGATGGCGTTCGCGGCATATTCAGGTTTGTTACTGAACATGGTTCGCGAGTTGATATACAGGTAAGGAATGAGGGTAGCGCCAACAACAACCAAAGGAGCAATGATCTCGCTGAAGAAAATGTTGGTGAAGTTAGCGCGAGGCACATCTCCAGAGCCCTTCTCAGAAGGAACACCAAGGAGCTTTCTCTTGTAACCAGTCAGTCTGGTACGCGAAAGACGACAGAAACCGATCCAGGACGAGGCGTGCGAACGCGAGTTACCACGAGACAGCCAGCGGAGGTAATCACGGTAATCGATGAAGAAGTCGTTCCATGCAAATTGGTGGGGGTTGAACAGGAAAGGTGAGATGATCAGGGCAAGCAGGGACACCCAGAACCAGATAAGAGCGGGAGTCCAAACGGTGGATGTGGCAAACAGCAGCATCATCAGCAGACGAGCACCAAGGTAGATGGAGGGACCAGCAAAACGAGAGTATAGAACACCGAAGGGAATACGGGCAGTGGCGAAACCACGACCAGTACCGATGTAGCGAGCACCACCGAAAGACAAGTTCTGGTGGACAGCTTGGGCGTAGATCTGACAGACGAACACTTCGAACATGAAGGAGAATGAACCGAAATGCTTAGCCAGGCGGGTCGCCATGCGCCAAACACCACGCTCAGTCAATTCTTGGACGGCCAAGGGAACGAAAGAGATGAAGAACACAATGAAGATAGACACCACGCAACGGTTGACCCAGTTGACAATGGGGTGCAAATCAGCGCAGTAGGTCGGCAGAAGAGGATCGGTAGTGGGAAGGTCGGAGTTATAACGGCAGGTGATAGTCTCGTGCTTGAGCGCACCCAGGTTGATCAGAACAATCATGAACATCTGCACTGAAAGCATAATGAACATGTTGTTAAGATGGAAACCAGGATGAGCATAGTAGAAGGACAGGAAACGATCCAATGGAAGTTGAGTACCGAGATAATAGTACTCGCGAGACAACATCTGTTCACCCATACCGGTACCAATTTTGGTTGTAAAGTTCAGAATGGAGCCGAAACCCAAATCACGACCCTTACCACACTGGTAGTACTCACAATGCTTGATACGACCCCCACGGAGAATAGCGTTCATACCGGCGTAAATATCCTCGTTCAAGTGCAGACCCTTCTGAGCCTTGGACACACCACCACGAGTACACATGAAAGTAGCGTTCAGGAAATCAGGATGACCATAATGCAGCTTACCACCAATCTGGGCAAGAGTACGCGCGAACAGAGTACCGAACGTTTGTTCTTTAGAAGCAGCAACATCACCAAGGACACCAATGCTTTCGGAGAAAATGTATTCACGGGCACCGAGAATGGCGACGGGGTTACCCTCGGGGTTTCCGATGCCAGGGGTGTAAGGCGAAACGTTGTCAGTGGTCAACTCCTCGAACTCAGCGAGAACACTGCGAATCTTCAGACACTCCTCAAGGTAGTTGTCCTGGTTGGCATCGATGAGCTGAATGTATTCACCGCGGTAGAAGATGATAGCGTGGTTTTGGTTGTCGGACTTTCCGTCACCGAGAATGGGGTTGCCAGAGAGCTGAATGCGGAACTTGGGCTTGCGCATGTTGTTCTCGATAAGTTCACAGTGACCATCAATTAGGGCGGAGTACAGACGGGGCTCATCACCCTCGTTCTCCGGGGGCTCTTCATCGAGGTAGGCGATTTGCAGGTCAGGGTAGGCACGGAGAAGGAACTCAGTATTCTCACGCTCATCCTTGTTGAACTTGGCGTAGCGCTGCATGGACACGCAGATACGGAACTTGCGACGGGCCATGCGTTCCAGCTCACGCTCGAGCTTTTCGGAGTTACCACCGAACATCTGGACAACTTCAGGGTTCTCAACACGGTACAGCAGCTTGATAGCACGGCTGTAGTTCATGAAACCAGAGACAGTTCTGTATAGAGTCTGCGAACGAAGGGAGGCCCAGATACGAGTGCGGAGAGTGTACTCAGGAGCGGCAGACTTGAAACCAATGCAGTAGAAGGGCAGATCATCGATCTTGCTCTTCTGCGCATCCTTTTCACCCTTTTCGCTAAATTCACCGTTGAATTGAGAAGTCTCATCAGCCAAAATCTTGGTATCCTTGACAAAGCAGTCCCATTCATGGGGGTGGAGCTGCTTGAGGTATTCCAGGACAGTGACTCGGGAGTATGGCTCATCTTCGCGAATAATCTCACGCAGCGACAGCAGGATCTTCTCACTATAGTGAGGGATCAAGACACTGAAAGTGGGCATGTTATCAACGGGCAGTGGCTCGGGCATAGGAGTGGACAAGGACTGGGCGAAGAAGGAAATACGACGCTCAGCCTCGCTGCCAGCTGGGAAGAACTCGGTCTTAAAAGACTGGTCCTCCTGGGAGACGAAGAAGGTAGGAGCACGCAGAGTACGCTTTCCCTCCTGCTCGGAAGGAACCTGGTGGTACAGCAGCTTCTGGACATGGTCAATGGCCAACAAGTGCTCGCGGTACATCGAAATGATGATGGCGTTCCACACTTGGGAAATGAGAACCTTGGGCTTGTACTTGATTTCCATATCAGTGGTAGCCAGCACCTTGGAGTAGATACGCTTGGGAAGGCGCGAAAAGATGTTTCTCCAGGGAGACCAGATGGAGACACCGAGATAGAACGACCGAGCAACGGAGAAGATGGTGTTGCAAATAATGTACCACAGATAACTGTCCAGGAAGAACAAGGTCAAGTCCATGAAGAACATAAGGCCGAGCAGAATCTGGGGTTGTTTATGGCAAAGTACGTTTCCAATGTACGTGACACCAGTGCACTCGAAGATGCTCATGGGAGACAAGATACGGATTGGGTCCTTGAACGACAGAGTCAAGAAGAAGTAGGACTCAGCGAGCTTGGCACCGAAGACACAGACCCAAAGACCGTATGACATCCACATGTCGTTGCCGTGGAGCTGGGGGAAACTGGCAGTGAATGTCTGACTGGCGACGTACTGGCGGCCATTCTTCTTCAGATAGCTTCCGAAGAGAGCACCCAGAGGCTGAATCGAAAAGAAGGTGACTGTGAAAATAGCCAGCACGAAGTGCACGATACCGAGAGCGAGACCGACAGGACTCTGAATGTTTGTGGGAAGCATATGAAGGAAGCCAAAGATGATAACACCAGGGATCAAGTTGATGATCAAGACACCAAGAAGGAACATGAACCGCTTGCGAAGATGCTGAGCACCAGCCCAACGGCGAGGAACGTAGCACCATTCGCAAATGGTGGCGAAGATCTGAATGAAGGCGGCCAGAGCACCACCGAAACCGACAGCAGCCAGATACTTAGCCGAGGACGGCTTGTTATCCCACTGCTGCTGGTAATTGGGAGTGTAGAGAGTCGGAGAGTTGTAAGCAGTGAAGAACCAGAAGAAACAAAAGTGGATAACCCAAATACGGTTGAAGTTGGTGACCATATGGAACCACGAACGAGTCTCCTTGTAGGTCTTGAAGAAAGCCTTCTTCCAGACCACATCCTTAAGCTTGGGCCAACGTTCCTGGGTAGGAATATCGACCAGGCGGGTCTTGTCCTCAAAGGAGAGGCGCTCGATACCCTCGGGATACCAGAACAGCTGATTCATATCGTCGTAACCAATGATTTTGTTGTGATCATGCTCACGGCGAACGTACTTGCCATCTGAGATCTCGTATCCCTGATCACGGCAGTACTGATATAGAGGTGTGATGATCTCATTAAGGTAGGTAAACTCCTCAATGGGCTCAACACGGTTCTGGCACTCGGGAGACCCGTAGTAGTCATCGGCGCACTTGAAGATGAAGCAAATACACTCTGGCAGGAAACGGACCTGGTTGGCCTCACCCCAGATGAGCAGATACAGGGCGACCTGACGGGCCCGATCGTGCTGGGACATCCGGTTCATGCGGGACTTCCAACGGTACTCGGCGGCCTCCAGACTGTTGTCGCCTTCCAATGCTTCAAGAGTCTCTTCTTCGTTCTCGGGGTTCTTCTTAGCGGCCTTCTGGGCAGCCTTACGAGCCTTCCTAGTCTTGCGATCGGCCTTGCCAAGTTTCATGTTGGCGAATCCCACGGCATCGTCGAGATCCAGGTGGGCGGCGAAGTACCAACGGCGATAGTTGGCGTTGTGACCACCGATATAGTCGGCGTGCAGCGAAAGCAGCGCCTGGTTGGGCGTCATACGAGAGGCACGCGAATCAAGAAGCGTCATCATATGGTCGTACATGTTACGCATGCTGTCACGCTGGAAACCGAACTTGTTGACAAGATCAATGAAAATGTCCTCGAGCTCTTCCTTGGACAGAGGAATCTGGGCCTCCGCGCTCCAGGCAGGGTAGGGCTCTCGCGAACGCTGGCCAGCCGGCAACGCGTTTCCGTACTCCATGCCATAGACAGGGGTAGAGGCACCGGATGATCGATTCCCACCGTATGAAATTTGGGAGGAGGGAGGACGGTAGCCGTTGTAGCCGCGACCGCCGTACTGGCTATCCGCATAGCTGTTGTATCGGTCGTCACCACGGCCGTAGTAATCCATGTCTGCAGCACGGGCAGTCTCAGATCTCATGGTGAAATCGCTGAAAGTCTCGGAATCCTCTTCAGAGCCGCCGCGGCGAGCCTGACCATGACCGGCCTGGTCGTAGTACTCATCGCCGTAGTAGCCCTCCTGGGCGTGGCCAGCTTGGTCGTGGCCAGCCTGGTCGTAGTAGCCTCCTTCAGCGTATCCGCCTTGGGCGTGCCCAGCGGCTTCGTCTCCATAATAGCCACTGTAGCTTCAGATGTTAGCTGGGTCACGCTCGCGGTAGTTTCATTGGGTTCCGTACCCGTTATCGTAGTAACCCTCCTGCTGATTATCGTAGTAGCCCTGGGCATGTTCGTCCTGGTAGTAGGAGTCACCGTGAGCCGCCGGATGGCCGTAGCCATCGTCGTACTGGCCTCCTGCTGCGTAGCCGGACATGACGAGAGAGTCGTAATCGATTGCTCGAGGATAGCTCTGTGGTTGTTGGTCAGCCAAGGAGATCCCTTGTCGAAGCCGGAACCTGCCGCGTCGCTTGCGATTCCGGAACCCTCATTGTTGATTGTTCACTCTTACCTCAGACACGACTCATCCACAGTATTAAAAAGGTATATGCGCCGGAATGAATTATTGCAGCATGGACACAAAAGCGAATGGCGAAGGTCGTGACGACGTAGAAGCCGGAGATAGGGCGAAGTTGGCGAGTGTCAAACTCCGCGGTTGGTTGAATGAGCGAAAGACGAAACGAAACAACCTGAAACCCCCAATGAGGAAAGAGCTACCTTGCTCCAAGCCTTCCTCTCTAAAAAACGAATGGAAGGAAGCAAGATGATGGATAGACAAAAGGCAAACGAAGGGAAGGGGAGGGGAAGTAAGAGAGGGAAGGGGAAAATAATTGGCAGTGCTGTTATTTTGGGATCGGGGGAATTTGTCCTAATTTACGACCGTACGTGTACGCGTGTGTAAAGGGTACCTCTCCTAATATGGGGCCACTCTTAGTCAAGTATGTACTGGGTACAACGTGGACTCAGGGGGACGCATTATCCTGGAGCTGTGCTCAATACCGTTGTTGTCCTACAATACGGTAATATGGGGACTGGATCTCCAGTTGATGGGCCAATAATGCCTGGGAGAGAGCTGGTCGGAATCCCAGGGAAATCTGGAAATCTGAGCGGCCCCTGAAACCTGCCCCACAACCGTATTCCAGGTAATTTGGTACCAAATCATGTTACTGATACCGTGCTTGATTGCCCCCTCTGATTAGTCTGTGCCTTGTTATTGTTACCACGGTATGCAGGGATGGCGTTGCACCATGTTTTCATTCCTCGTTTCTATGCAGTCCTGGTATCTATGCACTAGTGCTTTTTTTTTTTCCTCGGGTCTCGAAAGGATAACAGTATCTGAGAGGGAGATTGGGAGCTCGGTGCTGGGTGCTGGGTCTTTGTTCGGGTAATGAACCACGGCTCTCAAGCGACAGGAACCACACATTGTTGGATTCTTTCCCCCTCGTCCTTTCTAAAAGACAGTGATCGTCCCCTTTACTTTTCTTTTTCGGTGCTGGTGTTCACATTATTTCCTAGACAGGAGAGCACAGTTTTTCACGCTAGCCCTAGAGAGCCCCGATTTGCCACCCACGATACAAATTGTACTGCTTAGCGTGGTTTTCACCGTTGAACTAATCTCGGGTGCTGCACTAAGCAGCCTCTGATAAGCCCGCGTCGAGGTCTCAGAGCCACTCAACTCTCTCCAGCCCCCCACTCCGTGCCCAGTAAACCTGTTGCTCCCTGAACTCTAGAAGCCACCGTTTCCAATGCCTTTGGGTACATGGCAAAATTGGAATTAGCCACGTAGAACTTGGACCTTTGCCGGTCTCGCTAAAAATAGAAACCCTCAAATAAATTATTTGATGCTCCGAGATTGTCTGTGGAGGGTACTAGCTAGGATATGTTTCTGGCATATTCCGCGGCCACGACCTAGAGGGTTGCACTGGAAAATATCTACCCTCGAAAATATATCTCCGCCATTGGGAAAATGACCTTGGTACTAAATCCCGTACACCGAAACAGATGACGAGTCGGTATCTGTGATAGCCTATTTTACGTACAGTACACGCAACTAGTAACGTCGTAATAACTTGGTCGCAGCCCATATCCACCGTTGGACCCAGCCTTTTCGTTCTGTTCCACACACCTGGTGGATCATCAAATGCTTTTCTCCCGGACCATAAGCCTCGACCCGGGCCACATTGGTCCAGCCGGGGTCGCCCCAGGGGGCTGCATACGCAACGGCCTGCGAATCCCATGCGCAGGGCGGCCTTCCAGTGCACACTCTATGCCGAACACCTGTCTCGTTCGGCTTCGGGTCCTAGCTCCTAGCTACTCCGTCTCCTGTTACTCGGACATGGCGATGTGGTTACACCTGTAAGTACTCAAGACATGACCAACGGCGGCACCGCAGGTCCGACACATCCAAACTGCTGCAGTTCGGGGCTGAGCTTGAATCCCCTTCCAGCCTAGGTGCCCCGGTGCCTGGCCTTGATGTGCCCGGAGTTTTCATAACTCCTCACCCCGAGTAGATTCGTCGGGGGTTCCAGGGGGGCTAATGACCTCCCCAAAAATAACCTGTCTCGGGTGCTGGTAGGGTCTAGTCAGCGATCGTGCGCCGCGGGCTTCGCCCTAGTGTTGCAAATTCATTGTATTGATCCGCTGCCTTTTCAATACGCTCGATACCCCGATCGCTCTACTCCTATTTCGGCTTAAGTGTGGCTGTATCCAATTGTGAAGTTGATCACTGTGCTTTATCACTCGGTGGCTTGGTGTCAGGACATGCTACAGTAAGTGCCGTGGTAAACTGCAGCCCCTGGATCACTGGAATTAGGGGTTAAGACATCCGAACTCCATAGACCTGATTCGAATTGCCACCCCGACACATCTGATAATGACACGAGCTGATCGTCCTATTTGGCCCCAGTCAATATTTGGCCCCAGTCAAGTACTGTGATCATCCAGGCAATCAGGTCAATATCCAAGTAGGTGGGGGGCTGTGCTCGGTTCAGCCGTGCCCCCTCCACGTCGACGTGATCGATGGCCAATCAACTTATCTGCTATCTACGAATCTGTACAGTACATCTGTACGCGGGCTACCTCTCACATCACCTGCGATGTTCTGCATAGACTGGGGGTTAAAGCACATTAGTACATACTGTAGACATGGCTCCGTTCGTGACTTGGCGATAGAGTTTGTGGGAAACCACCCTGTCCAATGATAAACATACACTTGCCATTTATTGCCTGTCGATGATCCTTCGACTTCTCTAAAAATGAACTGAATACACATTCAAGCCCAGGCTCAGTAGACTGACTCGCCACAGTATTCGCAACTCTACTTGATGGCACCTATCGGCAAGGGGACGCTGATCATCCCATTCCTTCACCATGCCATCAGACGATCGCCCGGTTGCCAGCAGCCGGGGTCCCGACCGGAGCTTGTCGATCCAGGGACCAGGGGGTCCTCTGGTGTGATCGGCATGATTCGGAGCGCTGTCCATTCCATGACTGCGTGGCCGGGTTTACCTTTTGGTAAACAGCTCGGGTTAAGATTTGTTTGGAGCCACTCTACTGCAGGTGTAGGGTCCATGCACCGTCCTCGCGTCAACCTATGGGTTTCAGATTTCTAGCATGTGAGAGGGAGTAACCTGGTCGTTAGATCAATCTAAAAGATTGTTCCTGCTGGGTTTGATCTACGCTACCGATCTTTCGTGATGATGTGGCTTGGGCGTAGTCCCTACTTTTGGGTTTGAAGTATGGGTCGTGCTGAAGGTAGATCTAAGACATGTTCTTGCATCGACTGGGAACGGTGGATTTGTCTTCTAATTCTGGTTCGATCCACCTGCCATCTAGATTAGTGCGGTGGTCGGGGTGTTCGACTTTTCGCCCCTTACCGGATGGGTCCTTAGAGGGACTTAACCCAAGGCTCCTCGACATAAATTTATTGGCATTGAATACTATGTCGAGTGGGCAAGGGCAATTCTGGTATCGAGATGCTCATGCCGGGTAAATTGAACTGTCTCGTGTATGCTTCGATGGTTACTTGCCTAGGACGCCTTCTTTGTTGACGGTTACCTACTAGACATCCTTCTGTCTTCAGTCTAATTCGTGCTGGGGGGTATGAGGCGTGACTTTTGGTCATCTTGGACGGGCTACGGTATTGCTAGAGTGAGTTTCATTGGCTGTCCACATTTGTTGTTTCTAGATATTTGTGTTGTGGTGGACTGCATATGTGCAGGTAGCCGAAGCTTGGAAGCAAAGAAATAGATTTAACTTTTATCTACGACCAAGTTGGCAGCAAACCATCGTTGCATCCGCTTCTTGACTCTAGTCAGTAACTATGAGGACTAATGAATATTGGAAACCGACACTGAAATTGACCGCTTCTGGCGCCAGAAATGGCCGCCTTTCCGCGCCTGGAGCCAAACTGCCTACCAATCGAGATACCTACCGTAATGTTTTCTCTCAATTAGCCATACAATGACACGTAATATATGAACAGCCCGGGTGGTCTAGTGGTATGATTCGCGCTTAGGGTTCGACCTAAGCACTCCTGCGCGAGGTCCCGCGTTCGATCCGCGGCTCGGGCCTGTTATCTTTTTGCTGACCTACATTTTGTCAGGCAACCCTTTTTTTGGGCGCCATTAAGTGAAGGTCGTCTCGTCTCAAGTACTAGATAATTATATAGAGCATATGTAGATTCATACTTTTACTTCTAAAATGAACATTATATACCGCAATATATGGCAACATATGTTATGCTAATGTCAATCAAAATTATAAGCCGCCAAAACAAGCCACGTCAATATACAGAACCATTGCGACCAATTAAAATACCAGTATTCATATAAAAAGACCCAACTGATGGACATGTGTATGCATATCGAAGTACTGCAGCAAAGCTCATTTGGTATAGTTCAATATGAGGTGCGCGGTACATGGTTGCCGTGCCAACAACTAGCCGTTGACAGCTCATAGTGGTTGAAGAACCTCCATCACAGAAGTAGAAACACTCTTCAAACTGGAGCGCAAGCCAGCTTCAACGCAGCACCTGTTGCGTGATCGCACCCGAAACGCCATCTTCGCCCAAACAAGCCAATTATAGAACAAAAATCCCCGTCTATTTATCATCAGACCGAGACAAACCCCCGCAAAGAATATCAGATGGCCAGAATCAACACATCGAACCCGCTGGTTCGTGCACCAGCACGACACAGAGCTACGCCCGACGAAAAGACTGAACGCCCTGCCTCAGTCCTCTCCGACTCGCCCGACAGCAGCCGCAACGGTAACACTTCACTATTCAGAGGGTCATCGCAACGAAAGAAACCGGGACCAGGCGCCATGTTCGACATCTTTCCTGACCCGGCTATCGAAAGTGGAAGCTCCGCATCCAATACGCCTCGAAAACAAATAAAAAGACGCACGCTCAAAACTACACAGGTCAACTCTCTGCTCCTTCCGATACAACGACCTCGCCAAAGACCCAGCGTCAAAGTGGAAACAGACGATTACGATAAAGAGAATGATATCGCAGAGGAAAGCTTCACAGAGGCACCTGCAACATCAATGGAACCTGTCCCGCAACTTTCGCCCGCAAGACAAAACCGACACATACCGCGAAGCCCCGGACGAAGCCGACCAGACCACAGACCTCTGAGAGAAATACACTCTGAGACCGAAGAGGAAGATGACTGTGGGAATTATAGCCTCGACTCACTTGAAGACTTCATTGTCAGTGACAATGAAGATATCAGTTACCATGAGACATCTCAGTCTGAGACAGAACCTGAGAAGGCTCCAACACCGCCTCCTCCGCCAAAATCCACTCGAAAGAGACTTTTGAGAGGAAGAAAGCCCAACACTGGTACCAATACAAAGGTCCTGAATGACAATCCCCTCAAAGCACCCTTTCCATTGGAGACGAAAATATCCGACGCCATAAAGTCCCACTCCAGCCCCATGGAGGCTCCTAAGCATCTGTTTCAGGACGATTTTCATCTATCCTCAAAGCTCAACGAGCTAATATTGGGCGATGGCAATGAGTCAGCTGCTCAGCTGGAGACAGTCACATCTCCGTAAGAGTTGCAGGCTTCCTATATGATCACGACCATGCCTGCTAACTATACAATATAGAACAGTCATAGATCTGGACTCCCCAGCACCGGAATTGAACCCATCTACCAAGGGCCTAGAGACACCACCATCCAGTCCATCACGAAACTGTCTCCGTTCTCCCACAAAAGAAAAGATTCGTATTCCGCCAACACCACATCGCGAGAGCGTTGATGCCTTTTGGAGCCAGACAGAAACGAACCTTTGGATTGATCAGCACTCACCTCGCAAAGAGAAGACACCCAAAAGATCTGTAATAGATCTACTCAAGGATTTCGATGTCTCAGATGAGGAAAATAGCAGTCCAGACTCCAGCATCAGCCTTGAGTCCGATTCCATGTCGCGAGAGAGCGTCACACCACCCAAGACACGCAAAGCTTCCAAAACACCTAGCAAAACAGCAATTAAAAAGGCCGAGGCAGACGCTAAGCGTGCAGCCAAAGCACGCAGAGACTCCTTCAACAACAAGAAGGCAAATTTCGCTGAAACCTTCCTCGAAATCTTAGACAACGCCGTCTCCGGCGGCAAGGTCAATCTTCTCGCCAAGCCAACCGGTGGTGTAAAAATCACCTGGTCAAAGACCCTTCAGAAGACAGCAGGCCGAGCACAATGGCGCAGCGAGCGAGTCGAAACCCGAGACCCAGATGGCCAACGAACAGGCGCCTCACAACACATCCACCACGCCACAATCGAACTCGCTGAACGCATTATTGACGATGAGTACCGTCTCATCAATACCCTCGCGCACGAGTACTGCCATCTAGCCAACTTTATGGTCTCTCGCGTAACGGACAACCCGCACGGAAACAGCTTCAAAAACTGGGGCAAGCTTTGTGCCGAGAAGTTGAAGGACCATCCCATCTACGGAGGCCAAATCAATGTTACTACCAAACACTCATACCAGATTGATTGGAAGTATGTTTGGGTTTGTACGGGATGTGCCGTGACTTACGGTCGACACTCGAAGAGTATTGATACGGAGCGACAACGCTGTGGAAGTTGCAAGCATCGATTAGAACAGATTAAGCCCAAGCCACGCATGTCTCCTCAAAAGAAGGCCATGGCTCAAGTTACGAAGAGTCTTGCTCAGGTTCAAGTTGAAATGTAGATTCCCTGCATTTGCATTTTCGGAGTTGGCATCTTTGGGGTGGGCTGGCGTTTCAGCGATTTATTTCAATTTTCTCTTGATCTTGTCGATATTTCTTTCATTGAATATACAATCAAACATTTCATTCATATTCAATTGGGGTCGAGACTGGTCTGGTCCGATTCTGGATTTAAGGTCTGTTGTAAATCTACGTGTAAAACATATCAGTCTGTTTTGTATCCATGGATGCTTGAAAACGTCATCACACATTGCGTTGGATTGCTTTATTGTATTCGTTTGATTTCAATTCCATTGACTACCTAGATCTTGACTGGTATCTATCTATTTAATATCCGCTCTTTTCTTGAGAGAGCGGTTCCCAATTGCTCATGTTTCCCAGCAGACACCCATGTCCCCATGCTCCCTTATCCCAGAGATTCCTTCTAATATCATCACCCAACCACTCAAGAGTCTCCAATCCCATAACCCAGACCAGAAAATCAAACAAAAAGCCCCCAATCCCGGATCTCCAAATTCTCTGCCAACACTCCCACAGTTTCCTCTGCAACACTCTCCTCCTTCGACAACCCCTGCACATCCCCACTCTTATCAAACTCCTCATGCGGCACATTGAAGAAGACCAAAAGATCCGTCTCCTGGCTCTCAAGTCTAACCAGTAAATAATGGCACGTCATTTTAGAAGTCAACCCTGCCTCCCCATCAACTGACGCCCCGGCAACCGCCGAATCCACAGCAGAAGCATTACTCCCATCCGCGGTCCGCGCGCCGCGCTTGCGAGACGCTGTCTTGAATTGCACAATACCCTTGTACGCACTAACCACACTACCGGGAGGTGCAGATACGCCCAGACGAGACGAATTCACACGCTGAGGCGGAGTCACAATTTGCATGGCGTCGCCCTCGTCACAGAGATCATGCAGATGGTACAGCGCGGCTGCTTGGTCGAGGGATTCGGGCGTTGCGCTGGATACGCTGCCGCTGCCGGCTGCGAGGGCTGGGTGCTGGTGGCTGAGAGTGGCGAAGGTGCTTAGGGCGTCTTCTTTGCTCACGCGCTGGTTGATCTCGACAATCATGTTGGAGAGAGATTCTGGCGAGAGAAATATCTCTTGGTGGTCTGGAATTTCGCGGAGATTGCTGTGTAGTTGGTTAATATCTTGGTGTCAAGGAGGGTTGGGTGGCATGGAGATATCAAATGATGGAAGGTATGTTTAGTCTGCTGTCTGAGCTCATGGGTGAGTTTCCAAGTAGTTGGAACCACCTTGATATCTCAATACACCATTTACTCAAGCATAGAGGGTGTTTTGAACATAGGGAAAGTGTGTAACTAACCTTGCATCGATCCAGCGCTGCGGCACAATGCCTCGGATGGCCCCGCCGAAAAAATCTTGCTCCACGGTCTGCGCCATGATGAAGAGTTGTCGTTCAAAAAGCAGAAGTTTAGAGTCTCAGGCTATTGATACTCGGAGTTCGCTCTTTTCTCCTGCTGCAGCTCGGTAGACTGAGAGAGCCGGGGTAATCTTTTCGATATAAATTTGATGCCAAGGCCCCACGCTGGAGCCTATGTTTTGCCTCTTGAGGTTCAAGTTTTGCGGGTGCCGCGGTAATCGATCAGATACAATGAAGCAAAGAGACTGAGGCTAAAACACCGTAATGAAACTCGACTTCAGCGCTTGATTTATGTTGATGGGCGCGGCAGCAGTTGCGGGGGAGCAGTCTTTCGCCCAATGACGTTGGGTCGGGCTGACTCAGTGCGAGGCTCTGCAAATTACAACAAACTGACGAACTAGTCACAACAACGAACGGAGATTCACGGAACTAGACATATTATGTCGAAGTATTGTAATATCCCATGTTGGATTTCCCTCTACAAGCTTGCTATGCCAATATCCATGGAAAATAGCGAATGGTTAAATGCATCAGATGATGTTTCATGAGCCTTTTAATCAAAAAGTTCCTCCACGTAGTCATCCAACTCAATCCACCGGAAGCGGTCCCCCCATTTCTCTCTAAACTCCTTCTTACGATACGCATAGCTCGTCACCTGAGAGAAGCTAACCAGCTCCACAGTCCAGCCACGATGAAGCGCACGCTCCACCATGCGCATGAATCCACCAGAGTACTCAGCTTCCGCTGCATCTCCAGTCGCCAACACGATCGTCGCCGGCTCATCCGTGTCCAAAAGGGACTCCAGGATCTTCAGGTGCAGAATTTCGTCTACACCCTGCTCAACCCATCGGTTCCCAAGATTGCTGACCGTTTCAGGCCCACTGGCAAACTGGGGCCCTTTTCGAAATTTGGACGCGCGGGGAGTTGTATGTTTGTTCTTGTGAACACGGTCTAAAATGTTGACTTCATAGCCTAACTTCTCAGCTTCGCCGATCGATGGCAGTCGGTCCGAGCCTACCAAGACTCTCTTGGCGGCGGGGCGATCCCGTTCCATGATCAAAGAGAAATTGGCAAAGGCCATGTGAAGGCGGCGTATTCTGGTTGCGATGGGAATGTTCCGCGAGACTTTTACCGAGTCGTGGAATCCAACCATGATCTAAGGAATATTAGCTTGACTGGGACGAGATTGATAATGTAGGTGAATTGAAACATACATTGGACATGTCAACAAAGACATGGACAGGGCGTTGCTCACGATTCTTCTTTGAGGATGGCGAACTTCCTGCCTGCGACACATGTCGGGCATAATCAGGGAATTCATTGATAAGCTTGTCTATCAGACCAGCTCGTCTGTCCGTTGCCGCCTTGTACGCAGCAGGCAGGACACGAATTCCCGTTGGGGTTGTAATGATATTCCGGGCAATTTCCGAGCCCAATACCGAGTTTGGGTCATCGTACGACGATGGCGGGGTGTCATCCTGGCCAGTCCGTGCATCTGTGGTACCCACCTGGGTCGGAACAAATGCCAGGGTACCGGGCTTCTTGATAATCGGGGAATCGAAAATGACAGTGCTAGAGTCGGATTCCGCCTCTGCGCTGCTTTCAGAAACCCATTCAGATTGAGAATTGGTGTCTTTCCCGGTGGAAGTAGCCTTGACTTTGACTTTCGCCCTCGGCGTGTTTGTATCGCTGGCGCCGGGAATCGGCTTTGAGGGCGTTCGAGGTGGCAAAGGGGTCTCCTCTTTGTCCGTGGCTCGTTTGAGAATGGTTATGGAAGGGGGTTGAACGTATGAAAGTGAAGAACTGCCTGAAACGATACCACTGGAAATATGAGGTTTCGAGACAACCGACAAAGGTGCGTGCTTAGACGTGGGATGGTATGTTTCAGTAGTAGATGGTCCACCACGGGGAGTCCGCTTGAGACTCGTTACAGGCGAGGCCCGATCTTGAGAGTGTTGGGTGTTGAGCGACGAGGCAAGTGTGGGGTCGCCAAGAATCTTGTTCGTGTGGGTGTCGTCTGGGATGAGGAGGTCCCAGAGAGACCCAAAGTCTCCAAGCTGGGTGTGACTTCGCTTAGGCTTTACTTCTGTAGCTGACCTGCAGTCACCACCCTCAGTCTTAGACACATTTTGCTTTGACCGTCCCTCAGAAGACGAGAGAGCTAGGAATTTGGAGTGGCGGGCAGGATTAGAGGCATCACTGTAAGTGGGTGACCGGAGGAGGTCAAGCACTGCGGTGAAGTCCCAATTCGAGGCCGGCTCGGTGGGATCAGGTGAGGGCATTGACGATTATGATAACTAGAAGACCGAAAGTGCCAAGTCAAAATGACGACGAAATGGATAGAGTAGAAGACGAAAAGTTCAAAATCCAAACTGAATGTTTATTGAAGACCATGTCGCGGGAAGTCATAAAAGAACTGTTGAAACAAGCATAGTGAGTCAGGTAGACTCTGGGCAGCAAGCGCCGAACCGGGTGGCGAGGCACAGGCGGTGAGATATTCTGCAATATAATCATACCGCCCTTTAATTTAGGTGAGAAAACAACTTAGCCTGATGTAGAAATCTCGTGATTTGACCTGGATGATCGATGTTAATCATCCTCAGTCCACGTCATGGAGTCCGGTGCCACAGACTCTCCTAAAGCTTGCTAACGATCCTTGTCAAACACATGCCACACCTTACCAAACGTCATCGGCATAAAATAAAGTGGGGTCTTGATTCGTGGTTCGGAGCCGTAAGTCACGGTTACCTCGTATCATGTTGTTAAGCTACGGATTAAGGTAAACTGTACATTGTAGATAATTTACTTGTCGGAAAGCGACGTCATGTTGTTTCGCGTCATGGAGATATTTCCATGTGAAAGTGAAGTTCTATATAATCCTCCTGATTCTCTCCTTCTTTCCTCATCAATCTACTTATCTATCCAATTCAATCAACTTCAACCAACTTTCAACCAACCACCAATAAATTACCAACATGTCTGACGCCGGTCGCAAGGATTTCTCTACTAGTACGTGACACCCAACTTGTTTACTTTGACTCAATACTGAACTGAATCAACAGAGGCCAAGGAGGAGATCACTCCTGACTCCACCAAGTCCACCCAGGAAAAGGTCAAGGAGAGTGTCACCGACACCACTGACCGATTCGCTCGCGGTGCCCAGACCGATAACAGTAAGAGCGGTCCCCAGGAGGCCTTCGATAAGACCCAGCGGGCCCACGACAACGAGGCTCATGGCGGTGCCACTAGCTCTGTGTAAGTTCTTCTTCCCCTAGACATCCAACCCCGCTATCAAGATCCAAGACTGATACATCTTCACAGGGGCGATAAGGTCAAGAGTGCCCTTGGCATGGACAAGTAAGGTGTCTCATGGCATTCTGAACGTGCCTGTCCCTTTGCTGCCATGATTTCACGACGAGTCGACGATACCACTTGCTCTTTGTTTGTTAGCTACAATTTAGCTACGAGTTAGCTACAAACCACCTGAATTAAATCTGTGATCAACATGGTTCTCTCACAATTCTGTAGACATAAAGCATTTTTGTAATTCAACGGTGCCCCACCAAGCTTCCAAACATAGTATCACATTGCCGCGTAAGTTGGCTGAGCTCACGCTCCAGTTCTTTGTACCTAGCTCGTGCCCCTGGTATGTCTTTGGGAAGATCGTGGAAAGCTTTCACCCTTCCTTCTAGCCCCTTGACCGTCTCCCTTAGCCGTATGACTTTCTCTTCTTCCGCCATCAGCTCGTCAATAGTAGGGCCTTTCGGCTGGTTTCGTTCGAGAGATGCAATGCGGTCCTGATATTCCCCAACCTTCGTGGTCAGTGTCTTCGTACCCCGTGTCCATTCAGAAGTCAAGCTTTGAATATCCGACGGAGTCTCATAAGCCTTGTCAGACTTGAGATCGTCGAGCTCAGATTGTAACCGCGATAGTTCCTTTTGAAGGTAGCGGTGCAGCGTTTCCACCTTGGCCATTTGCTCTTGCGCGTCGAAGACCTCCACGGTGAGCTCGACAATAGACTGACCAAGATCTGCAGGATCTGGGTTCAATGTGTTGCCCAGAACGACTGCTGTCTCGGCTAGATCATCCAGATCTTGTCTGCCTTTGTGCTCCATGCACAGTTCCACCTCCTCTAGAATCTCAGTCTTCTGTCGTTCATGTGCGTCTTTGCGTGCCGCCTCTTCTTGTAGCTTGAATATTTGGATTGATTCTTCGCGCGCGCGATGCTGTAAAAGAGCCTCCTCATCGGCGGCGTCATTGGCAGCTGCCAATGTTAAGAGAACCTTGAGAGTATCTTCGTTCCGTTCGAACGCGGGTAATGGCTTGGGCGCATACTGTCGGCTGAGCCAGGAGTTCACGTACGCCCAATCCTTGGCTTGGATAGCAGCCTGGCGAGCTTTAGTTGGAGAGGCGAGCGGACTATCGAAAGAGTCCATTATGTAATTGGAAGTGGACGGAGGGGACTCGTGGAAATGTTAATCTTTGGATCTTTGGTTGATGCGGATAAGAGGGCGGTTCTATCCATTGGACGCTGGCCAGGGGTATGCCGGATGCCCCACCCTATGCTCGCTTACATACGCAGACTGATTGATAGTTATCCAGTTAGCATGGTACGTACGTTGCGGACTGTCCTTCCTCCCCACCCCGACAGGCCATTGTGCGTCAACCATGACGAGCTATTTCTCTCCTGGTGCCGGGAATGGCTTGTCTCCGGCACAATCACCGCTGTCCCCGCCTACACAGCGTTCTTCTGCATTGTCCAATCGATTGACCTCCGTTCTCTCCGCGTCTTACGCCGACTCCGACATCCGCGACGCCCTCGAAACATTGAGTGCCCAAGGAATCCACAACTCTGCCGAGACAAGGCGACAACTTCGACTAGATGTGCAGAAGGAAGTCGTTGATTGCAATGGAGAGATTGTGCGGGACTTTGGGAAGGTGGCGGAGGTGAGACCCGTGGTATCCACATCAAAGCACCAGGAAGCTAATGCTATGTTCGTAACAGCAATTGAGACGAATCGGCGGTGTGATAACGGCCTTGAACCAGACATGCGATGAGATGCGCAAACACATCAGCTTGGCTAAGCAGGATACGGCACCCGTGCTAGAAGAAGCCACTGCACTCATGGCCCAGAAGAAGGACGCCGAGACGAAGCAGCAGCTGCTAGATGCTTTCTCCAAGCACTTCCTTGTGCCCGAAGAAGACGTGACATATTTGACATCGGCAGAGGAGCCTATCGACGAACGATTTTTCGATATCCTTGCCCGCGTTAAACAAGTGCACCACGACTGTGAGCACCTCCTCGGCGGAGAGAACCAACGGCTGGGCTTGGAGGTTATGGAGCTGAGCACCCGACACCTCAACTCCGCATACCAGAAATTATACCGGTGGATTCAGAAGGAGTTCCAGTCCTTGAATCTCGAGGATCCTCGGATCAGCAGCTCCATCCGCCGTGCCTTGCGGGTCTTGGCCGAGCGGCCGAGTCTGTTCCACAGCTGTCTGGATTTCTTTGCAGAGGCGCGTGACTACGTGCTTTCCGATGCATTCCACTATGCGCTGACTGATGCTATGTCTGGTGGTCCAGGAGCGGGCGCCGGAGGTGATCCTAGCGTGAAGCCTATTGAATTCTCAGCACATGACCCGCTCCGGTATGTCGGCGACATGCTTGCCTGGGTGCATTCAACTACTGTGTCTGAGCGCGAAGCTTTGGAAGCCCTCTTCGTTGCGGATGGGGAGGAACTCGCGCGAGGCATTCAAGCTGGACTTAGCAGCGAGCCCTGGGCCCGAATTGACGAGGAAGAAGAGGTTGTCTTTGACGGTCGCAAGGCACTCAGCGATTTGGTCAATCGGGACCTTACGGGAGTTTCTCGGTCGCTCCGCCAGCGAGTTGAGCTGGTCATCCAAGGCCATGACGACCCTGTCACTTGCTACAAGGTGATAAATCTACTGTCTTTCTATCGTACGACCTTTTCCAAACTGGTCGGTGCTCAGTCACACCTGGTGGACTTGATGCAAACTCTGGAAAGGTTTACATTTGGTCACTTTGTGACCTTGATGCGTGACCAGGTCGTCGCCCTTTCAACCGAGCAAAATGCCATGATCCCACCCGGAGATCTGTCTCCTCCAGAGTTCTTGTTGGATGTATTGGAGGAATTGGTTTCGCTCATGAAGACACACGAGGCTTCGGTTGACCCAGAGGAGCCGACCGATGGCAACGAGAACCGATTTACGCCGGTTCTCCGTGCTGCCTTTGATCCATTCTTGACACTGGCGCGGTCTTCATCCGACGAGCTCAAGGATGCCACTGAGCAGACAATCTACCGTACAAACATCCTTCTCGCGGCCCACGCCACAATTTCGTCATTTGCATTCGCTAGCGAAACTCACAACTCCCCCTAACTACCGCGCTATCTTCACTGCGCACCAGCCTTCTCGACGTTCAACACGAATTCCTTCTCGAAACATCAGGTTTGCAAGTTCTTCTAGACGCCCTGGAGCCGTTCTCCAAGACGGGCAAGGATGGAGATTCCGATACCGAGACAGAGAAGACAGAACAGCAGAAACCCCAGCTTGCAGACCTAGCCAATCTGCCGGCATTCCAGCCCGACTCGTTGGTCACGTCTAGTCAGCAACTGGACGACTTCCTCCCGTCTGCTCTTATGGATGCCACCGAACATCTCAAGCGCGTCCAGAGCGCATCACTCGTTCAGAGAGTCACGGAAGACGCAATTGAGGCCTTCTGTCGTGACTTTGAGTTTGTCGAGGGCATGATTATTGCCGCGGATGAAGCCAGGGGCATGACTCAGGTCACCCTGGGAACAGGTGGTAGTATGATTAGTGGTCGGAGTGGCAAATCCGCCCGCAAGAACGAGGTTGAGAATAATGAGGAGGAAGAAGAAGAAGACGAGAAGGAAGATCAGTGGAGTCTGCGGACTTTGTTCCCCCGAACTACTGGGGAGATCCGTGTTTTATTGAGTTGATCCATACACGGTGCAGATCTGCTCCGGTGGGAAAACCGGTGTGCAACAGCGCATGCTATACAACATTGTACATAGATTTCTCAATATGAAGATTTATGAATGAGAGCATGCAAATGTCAGTCTTGAAACACATATCGTTTATGCATACATATCGCTACTATACACCTATAGCCATATTATGTTCATATAATTGAACCATATACAGATACGCTATCAAGATACCAGGATCCGAAGATCTAGGCGCCCTCGGGTAGGTCATCCTCACCCGGCTCGCTGTACCCGGTGCTACTCTGAGGCTTTGCGTGACGGAGACCCTGAGTCGTGATGTTCGATTTGTCGATGGCATCGTTGTCATCGTAGGCTAAAGAAGAGAGAGTTAGCCTGAGCCCGCGACATTAGTTCCGTAGTGCGTACCAAGTTGCTCATCAGAATCAGCCATGTTGTTGTTATCAAGATCGGGGTCCTCGAAATCGTCATCGACGACCTCGGGCTGACGTTCCGCTGAGTTGGACATGATGAGAGTTGGGTTGTGACACTGGATTTTCTGGTATAATGGGCAGGTGTTAACCAAAATTAAATGCTATGTAGGCAGGAATTCTGCCGGTATTTATATTTGAAGCGAGCATTTGAAATGTGATGCCATGGGCCGTCATCCTCACGATGAGATCTCAGATCTAGATCTTCCTTGATTTCAAGGTTCGATAAGGTTTACCGAACCAGACTTTGAGATTTGACCTTGAGAAGCTATAGTACAGGTTTATAGATGATCCCGATCTACCAATTGCGTTTCCAGACGATACCCACCAAAGAAATCAAAGATATAGGCGGTGGCGTTAAAAACATACTTTCCCAACGGACACTGATCCGGATTACTCGTGTAATCATCATTCGAGACAGTACTTGGCCAGCAATGGCCATTATCACCCTCCCGATAATGCTGCACTATTCCCTGCTTCCCATCACAGTTCCAAACCGCATGCTTGACAAGCGGGGTTGTGAAAACGGTCTCATTCGTCGCCCACTTGGCGTCATGTCCGCATCCGTTTTGCTCGGCCCAGCCTTCCAAGATGTCAATGGTGGGAAGCTTGGGATTTTTCGAATCATTGCCATCAATTGGAGCGGTGGTGTCTATTGTCCCATGGAATTCAAGGAATGGATATCCTTCTTCGCGCTGGGCCGGCGCACATGGTCCTATGCCGGGTGTATTGTCGTTGTCGTAGTAGGCACCGCTGACAGAGGCAAAAGCAGCAAAGCGGCTGCCGACTGTGGCATTGCAAGCCAGTACGCTTGTGAAGCCACCCCCGTTGGATTTGCCTGCGGAGTAGACTCGGCTGGGGTCAATGCATAGCAGCTCCTCCATGTGCGTTAGGAGGTCGTTGGTGAAGTCGAGATCATTGGGGCTGGATGTATCCGCGTTGGGATTAGACAGCCAGTAACCATTCTTGCTGTTAGGGTAGATGGCGATGCCATCCTTGTTGAATTCCGGATTGGAGAACTGTGATAGCCCTTCCTGTTCGAGCATATCCTTGCTCGCGCCATGGAAGGAAAAGTACAGTGGTGCCGGTCGGTTCTTGTCATAGGTGGCCGGGATGTACAGCCGGTATTCACGGTCAGCTCCTGGCAGACTCAGATTCTTGCTGGAACCGGGGCTGGGAAACTTGGAGGGAATGTCTCTGCCACAGCCAGATGACTGGGCCGAGCCCACAGTCACAGCCACAGCCAGTGCAAGGGATAGAAAAGGTGAGAGAGGCATTTGGAGGTGAAGAGTCTCGTGGTTCACATCTGAAAGGAACGCATGGTATATAAGACTAGCAAGAGTCCGGTTCTCCGGGTTCGGCCCCCCGCGATCTGCGTCTCCCTTGCTCCACCAACCTTCAAAATGGAGAGCACAGTCAGATCTAAGCAACTATTCCTGGGATGGCTATTGGTCTTTTATGCGACCTGCAGATACCAAGGCCAGAATATGTGAAACCTCCTTCCGATTCAGGCAATTGCTAGCCCCCACGCCTAATCAGACCCTAGACATCATTCACTGAAGCATGCCATGCGTTGGGGGCCATGGGCTGAGAGGGGCATGCCGTCATATTCTTCAGATTTATCTTTCCTGCCCCTGATTTAAATGGTGTTCAGACCCAGAGATACGATTGTCACAGCAGTATGTTGCTGAACCTACATCCCCATAATGTGATCGCGGTGGGTGTGATACTCCCCACATTGGCCTCGATCGCAGTTGGTCTGCGATTCTATGCTCGACACCGAATACGAGTGGCTCTCAGAGAGGATGACTGGACTATGCTAGCCTCGATCCTCTTGGTATGGGGCTTGGGGATAACCAATATTGCCGGTGAGTACTGGATACAGCCCCGTCGTTCGAGAGTCATTTAATAAGGAGAAAAAGGCGCTGCGCTCGGAGCGTTAGGCGCCCATTCAAAACCAGCTGAACTCGATGCGCCTCATGATAATACGATTACCCGAACTCGCGCGGATATAATCGTGGAAGAGGTACGTACCCTTGCCCCTCGCGATTGAGATGTACTGATCATTCTCTAGATTGTCCTCGGATATAGCATAGTTGAGAAGATCACGTTCGGAGTGATTAAGATCAGTGTGCTCATGGCTTACCGGAGGATCTTTCGAGGCAAGATATTCAACATGGCCTCGCTGGGCATGATTATCCTTTGCACACTGCTAGCACTTGCCTTTCTGATTACATCTGCCTTCCAATGCCATGTTCGAAACTGGAGTATGCAATATCTGGCATGGTCGCATAGACATCACTGCATTCAAGCAGAGATCTCCTGGTCCGGCTATGCCATCTCCGACGTGATTACAGACTTGATTCTTCTCTTCTTTCCCGTGCCATTGGTGTGGAAGCTACAGCTCACCCTCTCGAAAAAGATCAGCGTTTTGCTGGTCTTCTTGCTGGGTTCACTATCCACAGCAGTCGGGATCACAAGGATGGTAACGATACTATACTTTACCTACGGTAAGCTACTGTGTTCACTCCCATGAAACACAGCTGACAAGATAGGTACCTCTGATGGATACCGGGACCTACTAGACACTATTGCCACGGCCTTGATCTGGAGTCTTGTAGAAGCCTCAGTGGCCATCATCGCATCCTGCCTACCTTCTATTCGCCCACTCATCCATAGATCCTCGACCAGTTATCACAAGAGTAAGCCGTCGGGCTCAAGCGTTCAGGTTTCGAGACCGAGAGCATCACTGCTCCCGGCCAAGCCAGCCTTGGTTGAATTCGATGACATTGATGACCGTCAGCACCTAGCGTCTCGGTTAGAGGAGGGGAAATGGTCACAACAATAATGAAATCATAAGATATATGCCTATTTGGAACTAGTATCGAATGTTCTCTATAGCTTAGAATACACGTTGAACTTTAGCGGGCCACAAAAGGTCTCAGGATTGATGAATCTGCAATTGCTTGCATCTCTCGATATATCTCTCTCTACTTCGTCAAACCCCAGAGACGGTTCGTTCCTCATCTGCTCTATCTTCTCCGTGTTGTGCAACTTGCACAACACATAGCCCCGTGCAATCCCGTCTAGATGCGGGGTCGTCCACTCGCAATCCCACATTGCCAAAGTAGACGACGCTAGATATGCAGAGCAACGAATTGACTGCATTCTCATGTGATATTCCCTAAAATCACATCAAACTGATTAACGAGCCTTGAAAGGGAACTGGAGGTTGATAACTCTCCTTTGCCCCAAAGTCCATCTCTGGATATAACCCGAGTGCCATCGTCAAGATGTTGCCAAAACTCGAGACCCTTAAAATGACATCTTTATTTTCTCTAGCAACGATTGCTGTAAGTGTGAGCCATCTCAGTCTAGAACTATCTCACTGACATATCTCCAGCTGGCGGCATATCTTCTATGGATCATACTCTACAACCTCTACATCAGCCCACTATCGAAATACCCAGGCCCAAAACTCGCAGCATGCACCAATCTCCCAAATTTATACTGGACATCAACAGGACAGTACCACTACAAGCTCAAAGACCTCCACGACAAATACGGAGACGTCGTTCGAGCCGGCCCCCAAACTCTCGTCTACCGCACCCCCCAAGCATGGAAAGACATCTACTCCCACCGCAAATCCGGAACAAGTTCCTATCTCAAAGACCCAAAATTCTACCTCCAAGGACCACGAGGCCCGAGCATCCTTAACGCAAACGATGCAGACCACTCCCGAACCAGAAGACTCCTCTCCCATGCCTTCTCGGAAAAAGCCCTTCGAGACCAGGAAGCCCTCATCCAGTCTTATGTCGATATGCTTATCAATCGACTACAAGGCGAGATCGCCTCGTCTCGCAAAGTAGTTGATATGTCGCAATGGTACAACTTCACCACATTCGATATAATCGGAGACCTGGCCTTCGGTGAACCATTTGACTGTCTAAAGAATAGCCAATACCACCCGTGGGTGAAGATGCTTTTCTCAAGTATGAAAGTCCTCGCATTACGGCGCCCACTGGCTATATACCCATTTCTAGCCCCGATAGTAAGTGGTCTAATGCCGAAACGGCTAGTGAAGATGCGCGAAGAGCATTTCGCCTTGACCGCGGAGAAAGTGCATCGACGATTAGAGACTAAGACTGATCGGCCTGATTTCATGGCTTACATTCTACGGGTTGATGATGATCGGTCGTTGACTGCGAGGGAGATGGAGGCGAATGCGGCGATTTTAATCATGGCGGGTAGTGAGACTACGGCGAGCTTGCTTTCTGGGTTTACGTTTTACGCTCTGACGAATGCTGGGGTTTGGAAGAAGCTTGTGGAGGAGGTTAGAGGGGCATTTGGAAGTTATGATGAGATTGATTTCAAGGAGGTTAGTCAGTTGGGGTATTTGAATGCTGCGCTCGAGGAGAGTTTAAGGGTTTACCCTCCTGTTCCGGCCACGATTCCGAGGATTGTGCCTGAGGGGGGGTGCTGTGATTGATGGGGAGTTTGTTCCACAAGGGGTAACGATGTCTCCTTTTACTCGTGATGGTGCGGTGAGCTGACCAGCGTAGGTTTCTGTCTCGGGGGCTCACTATTCCACTTATCATACCGAGTCGCTTTTCACCGACGCCGACTCCTTCATTCCCGAGCGATGGCTGGAGAATAGGGACAAGCGCTTCGAGTCGGATTGTCGGACGGCGCTTCAAGCGTTCTCACTTGGACCGCGGAACTGTCTTGGGAGAAAGTGAGTATAACTCTTCATATTTCGGACACAGAGCTAATCTCTATTCACTTGAAGCCTTGCCTATGCAGAAATGAGACTCATTGCAGCCAAGATGCTATGGAGTTTTGACATGACCCTGGATGAAAGCTCAGCTAGCTGGAACATCCAGAAAGCGTACAACATCTGGGAAAGGAAGCCGCTGATGGTGAAACTATCTCTGGTGCTGCACTAAGAAACATGCAGATTAGCCAACCATCTTGAACGCTACTATTCAAAAGTAAGATCGAAATGCAACGAAGAGAGTGTATATCGATAATCAACGTCCTATGTACGCCATGCGCCGATCCCGGCCGACACCAATCCAATCTCAACACCAGACGCAGAGAATCTACCTCAACACCGTAAATACAATGGCCCTCGGCCCGTGTAGCAACTATGCATGAAACATTAAATCATAGACCAGTCCATTCCCTACTTCGAATACCAGGAACACGTTTAACTCCAAGACAGGGTGCAGGGAAGAGGCATGGAAGCGCCAACGCTAACCACCTCTTTCACCGAACTCCTTTGCCCAGTCTTCATACTTGCGTAGCCCGTCATGTGATACGCTGGGCCGGATAGAGTACAAGCTTGCTTCGAAGTCTTCGAAGAAGATGGGTCGGATCTGATCCATTGGTGTGTGGAGGAGTGCTTCGCCGAGATTGCGGAGTGGGCCCATCGCGGCGTCTTTGGCTAATGCTGTAATGTCTGAACCGGAGAAGCCTGTTATGATTGTTAAGAATGGTCATTATATGAACGGGACAAGGAAACTTACCTTCTGTGACATGGACCAGGACCTGGATATCCGCATCGCTCAGCGTCTGATGCTGATGCCCGAGCAGCTTGCGTATCTGCTGCTCGCGCACATGGTGCTCTGGCAGGGGAATGTACTGTCTCCGAACAAAACGGCGGCGTGCAGCCTCGTCAATATCCCAAGGCAGGTTCGTAGCTGCCAATACGAGAACACGACCCGCATCACCTTCCTTCTTATCCCTTGCCGTTGGTTCCCGGCCCGCGGCAGCGCGCTGAAGATCAGACCACTGGACTAAGAATTCAGTCTTTGACCGACGCGAGGCCTCGTTCTCGGTGCCAGAAGAACGTGCAGATAGAAGAGAGTCGATTTCGTCGACGAAGATGATGGATGGGGCGAGGACTTTTGCAAGTCCAAATAGGGCACGCACGAGCTTCTCACTCTCGCCATGCCATTTTGATGTGAGGCTTGAGGCGGAGACGGAGAAGAAAGTGGACTTGGATTCTGTAGCTACTGCCCGCGCAAGCATGGTCTTTCCTGTGCCGGGCGGCCCGAAGAGTAACATTCCACGTGCTGGTTCCCGGAGGCCTGAGAAAAGGTCTGGTCGAAGGAATGGGTAAACGACTGCTTCTTTGAGAGCCTTTTTGGCTCCCTCTAAACCGGCGATGTCGTCCCAATGGACTTCATCACCGCGCACGACGATATCATTCAGAATCTGTTGTGCTGATTGTAGGTCCACGCCCTTAGGAAGCTTATTCAAGATATTGACAATATCATTGTTATCTTCGTCTTCATCCTCATCCTCGGCTTCATTGTCAGACCGCTGTCCCGAGGAATCTTGATCACTTGATGGTGGTGTCTCGCGACGTTTAGGTGGAGCTGCTTTGCGCCGAACAGCGCCGCCGTTCGCAGCAGAAACAGACATCCGGTCAACTCCGCGCTGAATGTCATCACTCCCGGAGGATGGTGATATATAGGATGATGGCTCGGTCTTAGTAATGCGTGGCGCAGATTTGGTCCGCGGCTTACTACTCGACACATTTGTCTCGCGATCCTGTCGCGGTGTTGTCGCCCGAGAGCTGCCTTCAGACTTGACCTGTGTCACACGAGGCGGAGGCGGAAGTGAGGTTCGTAACCCGGCAGGCTTAGGTTTGACAGATGGTCTGGGCGGATAGCTAGACGTGTAATCCTTAGGATCTGGCATGTGCACCGGCACAGGCGGGGGAGCCCTGCGGTGATCAGGCGAAGGCTGAGGGCGCAGAACCGGCGCCTGGACCAGAGGGCGAGGAGATGGCCGAGCCGGGGACGAACGACTAGGCTCTCGCCAATTCGCCGCAGGAATCCGATCCGACGACTGATTCTTCTGTAGAGACCTTCTGACAGAGGCAGGCTCTTCGCCAGAACTCGTTCTTGGCTCTGGATCACGCCGCACACTAGGGTCGTGGGCAGCGGTCGATCGCGACGAAGCCAGCGCCGCGTCGCTCACCGTTTTCTCGCTCGCTGACGAAGATCGGTACAGGTTGCCCCATGCCAAACCCGCAGCTTTGGAAGCGGCCGGCCGCGAGTCCTTCTTGGAACCGATCTTGCTTTTCTTGCCGTTCTTTTTCCCGTCGGTGTTGCGTAATGTCGTCAGCATTCCCTTCCGTCGCTCAGGGCTGGAGCCGCGGGATTTCGTCTTGCCCGAAGAGTTGGATTCCACGCGCAGTGCAGGTGCGGCGCTAAGCGACGGACCCGAATGTGAAGGGTCATCATATACCGCAGGAGGATCGGTATCTCGTCGCGCCATCGAGGGAGGATGTGGTCGGCCTGGTATAGCGGCCGGTTTGGAGAGATCTGTATAGCCGACGGCGGGGATGGTGCCGTCTCCGATCCAGCCAGGAGGGTTGGAGGAAGGACTAGGTGTGTAGTTGGAAGATTTGCCCTTGGTCAGCGTTGTAGGGCCTTCTTTAGCGCCGTTGTTGTCGGACTCTTTTCGGCTCTCCCGCAGTGCTGCTAGAAGATCGACTCGCTCGCGGCATTGGACCTCCAGCGCACGGATGGAATCCTGCAGGGCCTTCTCGGTTTCGGATTTTGGAGTATAGGTCGACGAGACCCGGCGGGCATTGTGGTGGTAAATAGTATCGAGAGCTGATCGCCAGGATCTTAATGCTTCCTCCTCGTTGTTCTGATGTCATGAGCAATTGAAGGCGACCGGGGAGAACAAATCTTACCTGGCCTTCGAAGTAGACGGCAGTGGAGCACAAGAGATAGCACTCATCGTACGTCTTCTGCATAGAAGACGCAGGCCGTGGGCGCATCATTGGAAAAATACAGGCCCGCTCCCATCGGTTTGTTGGTGGGGAGAAGATGGAAGCGATGATCTCCCGTTTTAGGGATTTTTCGCGTGACGTCGACGTTCCATTAGTTACTGCATGCGGAGGCTATTTCACTAATTGATCTACTTGACATCCTTTGAACCCTGTACGTGTGAATTATCATCTCTAGATTCCTGGTGGCACGTCTATGCGTACATACAGAAATAATAATAAAAAATAAAAAATAAAACATGTATCGATGCAGAGAGAGAAACCCAGCCCGCAGAAATCAAACCCGATCCACGTTTCAACGCCCGGTAACGATATAGGGCACAGGCCACGGGGAGAGCGTCAAGAAGAGAAGAACAAGATCCCCAAGCCGGCCACCATTTCCAAATACCCTCCAAACTATATTTTGCCGTCGCTTTTGGTGAATACAAGTCCCAAACATGCAGAAAGATCGAAACCCGCTCATGGCCTATGCACCTTCATGAGGGTTGATCGGGCGCTGCCCGTCCCTCGTCCATATCGCCGCAGAGAAATAAAAAGCAAGGGCATTACGTGGGCATCCACGTAATGCGGTATATCGAACAGTGGAACAGTTATCGGGATCCGTAGATGGTAGACAAATCGGCAAATGGTGATCGCGTGACAAGGCGTTATTTTTTATTTCTCGCTTTGTTGCTTGAAGTAAGCCTTCGCCATCTCATAAGATGTCCTAGAAGATGTTAGTGGTCTTGAACTCCTCGCTTTGGGAAGGGAAAAACATACCAGCAGATGGCTGTGGACGGCATGGTCGAGATAATGCGAGGACGCATGCCTCGGAGGAAACCAGACCAGCCAAATTGACGCTTGATAATGGCAGCAGCATTGAACAGACCGCGCGCAGAGCGGATCTCCTCGCTCTCGGCGAGGCCACGGGTCTGGAGGAGGGTCTTCACAACGTCGAGAGGAGTGGTGAGACCGGCCGCGAAGGCACCGGCAAGGCCACCAGCCATGCAGTGGGTGAAGGGGTCGTATTGCTGGGAAGGGTTCATCACCTTTGAGATGGACTCGTAGGCGACGAACTGGGTGGCAGTGAAGGGGACGGTCATGCAGAGGGTGGTAGGGTAGGAGACGTAGAAGGCCTGGAGACCCTCGGTGCGGTAGAGGGTTTTGGCGCATTGCATCAAGCTCTTGTGGACGGAGCCGTGAACCTGCATACGCTGCTTGATGACTTTTTGGAGTCAGCTTCAAGTCAAACCTCATGATAGTCTCAAAAATCACTTACCATCGAATGGGTTCATCAGTGCATCACTCGCGATCGTGGCCGAGGCACCACTCATAGCTTCAGTACGAGTTAGTCATGCATTCATTGCCAACTTCAAGCATCAAAACCTACCAGCTGCCAATGGGTGGTGTCCATCATCGACGTTGCCACCAGCCATGTCCTTCACGACCTCGTAGGTTCCAAAATACACCGCGTGTGCCGGGCCTGTCGTAAGGTCAGCCCGAATGATTCTCATTATAAATTTTTCAGAAACTCACCAGCGCCAACAATCACACTCGAGACTCCCTTCCATAGTGTCCGCCAACCCTCGATCCGGTAGATTGTGGAGACCGCATTGGTGAGACCGGTGTACAGGCCGCCACTTGAGGGGTTGATAATTTGCATGCGAGTCTAGAAATGCCAGAAAACCGTTAGCCCAAGCCTTCCACAATCCTTGATTTATCGCATCCAGATGCAAAATCTTACCTTGAGCAAATCAACCGGGTACATCACCGAATGTTCCTTAAATCAACCATCAGCCCTGCCTCTCCACCAAGTCAATGCCGGTAATCATACCGCTATCCCTGCAAAAGCACCCGCAAGCATATTCCGGCCTAAGCCATAGTTGGAAGGAAGAGTTTCATAGCTGTTGAAAAAAGCACCACGTTAGCATGCACCAATATACCGGGGTCTCCAGCCCAGGAAAGGGAAGAGAAAAAAAATCGTCCGCGACGAACGCGCGGGGACAGTCCCAAGACACCAGCAGAAGACAATGACACGTTCGCACAAGCCTCAATCGCTCCGCAGGTGAATGGGTCCGCCATATCCCGCCCATCGATGAAAGTCGCGTTGCCCGCTCGACGAAAATTCCAGCGCGGAGAGTCACCTACTCAAATTCCTGCTCAAGGGGAAGCTGCTCGGTAGCCGCCATGGAGCTCCGCTAGCTCAAGGCACAGGAGGTGCGATTCGAGAAAAAAGGAAGGAGAGCTGGGGGCGGCGGGGATGTCGTGGTGCCGTGGCCGAGGTGCGCAGGATGGGGAAGGTTGAAAGTGCTGAGGTAAAACGGGGTCGTGCGAACCAACAGGCACTAATACGCCCGGTATAGGGGAGATGGTAAAGCTGAGGAATTTGTGATTTTCCCAAGTTGACCAACAGATCACTGAAGGGATTCCTTTCAGTTTTTTTTTTTTTTCGGGCGCCCGGAGAAGGAGAAGATGGGGACAGGACGAGTGACAACTAGGCACTAGGGAAATTATTCAAGGCCGACGTTCGCCGGATTCCACAATCTCCGACCCTTGGCAACTAGATCCGAGCTCCGAGTGCCATAGAGTGCTGTACTAATCTCGTTCATAATAATGCCATTTCGTTCGCGTTCCCCTTCCTCTTCTACTTTTCCTGTTGTATTACCAAGAAACAAGGTCCAGATTTCCATCTCAACCCAAGTCAAACGACTCCCGAAGATCCGATGACGGAGCTTAGGTAACATGTATTGTACCGGCTGCACTTTCTGCACTAAGGCAAGTTGGGTATGGTACGGATGCAATACCGGTAACTTTTATCAATCTGATAAGCCTTTAATTTATTCCCCTTCAATCGGGGTTTAGCTTATGAGAAGGGGTGGGCCGGGGAACGGTAGAAGGCCCCCAATTCTTTGCTTCGAGAAGCCGTTGATCGGCTATAGACACGAGTGCCATGAAGCTGGTCATAATGCTCGTGTTCTATGCTCTGCTGCTCTGCATACACGCTCCATTCGTCTACTTTCTTTTGAATGGTTGGTCTCTGCACAGGTACCCTACCAAAAAAAAAAAAACAGAACCATGCACACACCCTGGGCATTGTTCAATACGAGATCTCCTACGAAAGGGGCGCTGCCCGAACACGCGACTCTGGGAACCGGGCTGCCGAGGCACCGGGTGGGCATCAGCCCGTGTAGACTAAACCCTTCGTGTCGACGAACGTAAAAGGCTGCGAATAGTTTATCAGATGTGGCCACATGACTCGCCCCAGGGAGCTGCAGAAATAGTACTAGCGCAATCTTACGATGTATAGAGCCGCGGAAAGGGGACATTTTGGATTCTGCAAGGAGCGAAGCTTCTCCTGAAATGGTTCCCCAGGTTTAACACAAATGCCAAGGTAAACGAAGAGTGAGCAAGAAAAAATCGCTATGAATATGATTGTAAAGAGCACTGCTATCTGGCCATGGTAATCCCAACAAATGATCTCAACACCTTCTGCGCCACAGCCTCGAAATGGAAATGCGGTAAGATCAAACAGAGCAGACTTTCAGGTACTTCACAATCGGAATTGGATAGGCATATAAAGCAATTACTTCAGAATCCACCGATCATGGAAGGGGGATTAAGGGAGGAGGGTCGGGCGGCAACAAGTTGGGGGGGGGGTTCGTTCACGTCGTGAGATCTCATCGGTAGTCGTCCGAAGGTGGGTCGAGATATGGATTTACCATTCGACGTTGAACGCCCATTCTCCTGCGACTGGTGTGAGCGAGTAATTCTCAAAAGGTGTAAGAATCGTGGATGTTGGAATTACCATTTCTCAAATTTTCTGCGGTGTCGCTCAACAAGATGACTCGGCGCTTGTTACAGTAGGCAGTTTTATCCAGAATGTCGACTTTCAGCTTGGCCAGCTCGGGCACGGGCTTCTCGAACATCTCACTGAGACTTTCGACAGCCATTTCCAGGTCCTTCTGGTTGTCCTCAAAGATCTCAGTGAGGTTGTTGCGCGCCAGATAGAACGCAAATGCATACGTCCACTTCAAAGTCTGTCGGCATTGCTGCAATGCCTGTGAAGCAGTGTCCAAAAATTGAACTTCAATCCAGGACAGTCCTGACTGTGATTGGAGGCTGGTCATCTTCTTCTCAGTCTTGAGATATAGATCCTTGTCCAACTTGGCAGACTGTTCGTGGTTGGCATAACGGTTGTAGTAGTGCAGATAGCGCTCCAGAAACGATCGCGACTTGGCCTGAGCAGTGCGAGCATCGGCACCGGACTTTTCCTCGTATCGGTTGCAGTTGTACCAGCTAGTACCGTGCTCCGACCACAGTCCCATGCACATCCAGCAGAACTCGTGCTTGCACTTGCGACAGGTCATGTGGTTACAACCGCCGTTCTTCTCGATTGTTGAGACGCACCTCGGACACTCCTTGGTATTGGCGGAGATCCAGTTGGCTGTCTCGGAGTCATCCTCACACTTCTTCAGCCACATCTTTACCAGTGCGCAGGGAGTGGGTTGGTGATCATTGAGGGAGCAACCAAAACAGAAGTCATGCTTGCATAGGCAAGATACCGTTGGTACAATGCGGCGGAGATCGCGGGGCTTGACTGCACAGTCGATGGCATACTCACAGTTGGGCGCCGGGCACCAACGAAGATTATCCTTATCATCCACATACGTTCGGGTGAGAAGCGTGCGATACCTATGAAAAGCGTCAACGTCAGTAACCTTTCCTTTGATCGCCGGGAATGGGTGGCATACCGCTCCTGAAGGGCTTTGTTGTCTGCCAAAAGTAGTTCTAGCGACTTGGAATCCACGATACGGTGACAGCTATCGCCTGGGCACTCGATACGAGCAGCCTCACCTTCCTCCTTGATCTTCTGTGACAAGTAGTGTCGGTAGCAGTCGACACAGAACCGGTGGCCGCATCGCATCGCATACGTCTCAAGGTCGGGGCCTTCCTCGCAACAAATATCACACATGAAATCTGCCAGCTTCTCCGTCTTCGCAAGGCACTCGAAATTCGTCCCAAGACCTGCCTCTTCTAACGTCTCTTCCGGGTGTTCCATGTACCCCTCGATAAGCTTCTCCTGCTTCCACCGACCGAAGCGCAACAGGATCGCAGCCGACTCCGGAGGGAGACCGAGAATTGCGGAGACATCGTCAACCTGTACATCCTGCTCACGTTGAATGTCGAACGGATCTAGAACTTTGTACTCCACTTCGTAGGGTTTTCGTTTTTGCTTGATCAGGTCCTTATCATCGGAAAAGCCGGTGTCGAGGTCATCACCGAAATCTGATTACGCGAAGCAAGGTTAGCAAGAAGACGATATAACAGAAGCAGCAAGCAGAAACATACCATCACCTAAACTCTCATCGTCACTGTTCTGGTTGTCAAGAAAGTCACCAGAACTCGACACGTCGCTGAGGAAGTCATCATCGGAATCCATGCTGCCCGTAGTCGTCGCAGGGGTCACGAGATCCCTCTTCTTTCGACTGGGGCTATGGGGGTCCGGGACGATGGAGAGCGATGAGACTGTGAGAGAGTCTGGTTTGCCGCGCGGATCGGATGGAGTGGCGTTCTCGGCGTGGGTAGCCTTGGTGGCGGCTTTGAGGAGAGGCTGGTTGTCCGCAATCGCCGCCTCAGCCGCCTTTCTCTTCCGTGTAGAAGGAGGCGTGGTGAAAGGAAGTGCGGCAGATTGCCGGTGAAGGGGGACGAGGGATGCTGCGTCACTTGGAAAATGGCGCGCGGGCGAGAACCATCGGTCAGAGAGGGGTGGAGTGGGGAAGGGGCTGCGATCAGGCGGATCCCTTTACTCTATCACTCTCTTATCCTCAACCCGTCTGGCTTGGGGTTTGCAGGTCACAAGGAAAGATGTGACCGTCTGATGGCGTTTTGACTCACGCGATGATGCACTGTGGAGCTTTGCGAATTCCAGCGTGTTAGGCTGAACTGAACTGACCAGGCTGAAGTGACGTACAGATGGGGCCTCGGGTGGGAGCTGGCAGAGCTAAAAGAGTTGACGAGTTTTCGAGTTTTCACCCTGGGTACGAAGAGAGCTACATCCTCTATTAATTCGGGCTATTCCTCTTCCGAAGCTTCCTGGCGAGATCCATGGATACTTAGTTGATACTTAGTTAGTATGAACAGGTCTATCTTGGGTGTTTGCCTGCAGAATACGGCATCGAAGCAATCAGGTAACTAGAACCGATTACGGAATCATTCATGTTACTTCGAGAATGAGCTTTCCTTATATGAGCGACCGTGACGTGGATGCTGAGGTTATGTGAAATTGTAAGTCATTATTAATAATTAAATCGATTTAAATACATTTCGAGCAGAATGCCTCTGGGTTGATGACTCCCTTTGGGTGGCAAAGTTTCGACAACGGTGATAGCTTACTGGTTAAGCATACCGAATTCCTTCGGGTTCCCAGGTTCGAATCCTGGTGCCGACGCACCGTCGGTATGGGACAGTGGTTACTCCGTTCGGCTGCTATTTCTGAGCTTCATCGTTGTTTTTTTGCTTATTCTTCTCGTTTTTGTTTCTTTCGACCACAGTTCATAGAGAACCAAGGCATCTAGAAAGGCCAGATTATAATGCTTGACGAGCGATTTACATATACATGCAGGTAGATACTCAGCCTCCGTGGATACGGTAACAATTAAACGTGGATCGCTCCCAGGTAGATGTATGGACGATGAATGGGTGGTAAATGCGTTAATTTTAGGCGTGAAAGCGTTGGTATCTAATTCAATACACCAAGCCCAGATGTACCCCCTACTCATCATCACTATCTTCCTCCTCACTGCTCTCCTCCTCAGCATCCGCAAGCCAATCCACAAACTGCTGCGCCTGACTCCTCACAGCCTTCATCTCCTCACTAGCAGTAGACCTCTCATCACCCCACCATTGCTCATAAGCTTCTTCATCCACAAGCTCCAACTCATACAACTCCTTCGCCGTAAACAGCAAAACAGTATCACCTTTATTCCGATGCACTAAGTCCTGCTGCAACTGCAACAGCAAATCAACCTGGTCCTTCTTCTCGTCCTTGTTCCGGTCGAATAGCGTGCGCTCCACCACTTCCCGGTACTTGGAGAATATATCGTGCACGGCTTCGCCGGCGCCCTTGCCGCCTTCCATGAGTTGTTGGATGTATTTCATAAATGAGGTTACAATTGCACGTCGCACTTGCACGTCCGATGCGTTTGCTGTCATACGCAGACTGACTAGTTCCAATTGGACGACATCTGCGGAGACGCCGTCACGTAGGCCGTCGAACAGACTGGCTGAAGCGTCGTGGTGGAAATGGTCTTGTTCCTCTTCGTCGGAGAAACTGCTGCGTGGGGATCGTTGCCATGAGCCATCAGACACTTCGGAGGATAGTGTTGAGATTGAGGTGGATGAAAGTGAGAGTTCGGGCATGCGGTAGACCAATCCTGATGAGGCGACGGAGATATTGTCGTCTTCCTCGTCATCGTCCTCGCCAGGTACAAACTCGTAGCCTTCGCCTCCTTGACCGACGATGTCCGTCTCTATGGGACCGGAGGATCCGTCCCGTCGGACCCTGGCGATGCGCTGTCCGCTCTCGATCCGCATACCATCTGCGATCTTCACATCGTGAGAGATAAGTGCACCGGCGGCAACACTGCAGCCCTTGCCGATAACGACGTCGTCGGCGATAATAGCGCCCCGAACATCGGTGTTATCTCCAATTACGACATTGTCCCAGATATATGCGCCATCCAGCTTGACATTGCGGCCGATCTTGCAGTTCCGTCCCAAGACGGTGCTGTACACTGTTGTACGGTCACCGATACTGGTGCCTCGGCCGATGACTGTGCGGCGACCAATTACACATGACCGAGCCAGAGTCACGCCCTGTTCTTGGTACAAGCTACCCTTGCGGAGATCGTAGGTGTGGCCCGGGAGCAAGTTCGTATCGGGGCACAAGGGGTAAGTCCAGCGCGAGATGATATCCTTGCTAATAGCATCGTAGGCCTTCAGGTTACGTACCCGCGCGGCATAGTGGTCTTTGATGATATGTGTGTGAATGGTCTTTCCATTCAACTCGTAGTCCTTCAAGACACCGAACAGGTAGTGTTTCCGCGGTGACTGGTAATCGAAACTGTCGGACCACAAGCTCAGCACGTCAGGTGTGCAGATATCGATACTGCAATCGATCAGATCTTGGCGGATATCCAGCTCGGAGTGCGAGAGGATGATCTCGGTATCAATGTTCAGCCGGGCCGGAGCATCGTCGTCGTGGTGGTCAATCTCCTCGTAATGGAGACAGCGGTCCTTGGTAGGATCAATCACAAAGACGGGTGAAACGGAGGAGGACTTTGTACGGTGGTTGAGGCCGGCTTCGCGCAGCACCATGGTCATGATCGCGTTCTTGTCGGCTTCGCGGCGGGCTCGGTGAGCGGCCAGGGCGCCCTCAATGGGCAGGTTGCTGATAACATCACCGCTGACGACGATGAAGTCACCGGTGATCAGATGCTTGCCGTCCAAGTCGCGCATAACATCACCGACGGAGGTGGATGTGGATTTGAGGAAGGTGAATTTCTTAAAGGGGGAGGACGGAGCCCTCCATTTCGAAGAACTAGAAGAAGAATTAGTGTCTTCCTCTGGTTACATTCGCATCGATGGTGCCGGCGTACTTGATGTGTTTCTCAAGCTTGTCTGAGTGAGCACCTCCGTAGAGGAACACCTCCTCAACGCCTGCATTGGCCAAAAACTCGAGGGTATATTCGATGAGAGGGGTGTTGGCTAAGGGGAGAAGACACTGTCATTATGAAAGCTGGTTAGCACCTGGAATTCTTCTATAACTTCCCCACACACTTTCATGCTTCAGGTACATACCCGCGGCTTGTCGAGAGTAAAGGGCTCGAATCTGGTCTCGAAAGTATCCGCCAGGACCACGGCCTGCAGAGTCTCCTCTACCTCATCGGCTTGGTTACCCTTAGGCTTCGAGCTTCCCTTTTGCTTGGCACCCATTGCTGGAAGATCCTTGGAGGCGTCAGTAGGAATTCGCGCAAAGAGCTTAATTGTGTTGAGATGACACAGTACCGAGGTACCGAGCTGGAGAGATATCAAGTGGATCGTACCGAGAATCAAAGGGATAACAAAAACGGGATTGACCAGGTCTGTTCAATCGGCGCAGCAGCTGTAGTCCCAGGCTCGTTATCAAAGAAAGGCACAAAAAACCCCGCCAAGCCTCTGATGACTCCCACCCTGTTGCACTGTTTGCACTTTAGACATATCTCACAAACAGAGTGAATATCACATGACTACACGTGATCTATATCCACGTGTGTCGCAGACGGCCCAGAACTCCCCACAAGGTCTGGGCCCTCCTGGACTTCCGTTAATTGTTTGTTAAGGAGATACGCGGTCTAGACTCCCCCTCGGACTCGCGCTGAGCACGAGCTCGGGTTCGTCCGAACAAAATGGCTGGGATTGCGGGTGTGGGGACTTCCTCCCGAGACTTGGTAGTTTGTCGGAAGTGCAACACGCGTGTATACATACTAGGGAGAAGAAGAAAAAAAAATTGATGACGACTTCTTTGAAAACTATGATTTCCCTACATGCTTGGCCCCCATTCTACCCAGGGAACTGCATGGAGCACCCAACCTTGTTCAATAAGTATGTGCGTAAATATGTACCTGACGAAACAACCTTTCTCTTTCGGGAACGTAGAATCAGAGTCCCGAGTGGGTAATAGACGCGCGGTTAAAACAAATTCGCCACCAAAACCTGAAATGAAAAGAGCCTGCAAGAACGCCCATGACCTGTAAGGGGTGGAAAGACCGTAACCAAGATAAACATCCGGTCAACATAGTTGGAAAGCAATATACGATCGAAAGCCTCGTTATAAACAGTGGGAATCGTAGAGTAATAGACAGTGAAGAGGAGGTAAGGGTCGAGTTTAGCTGGGACGTCCAGCTTGTACCGCCATCATTGGTTGCGGTTGGGGGTACATGCGTTGCCGTTTAGCCATGTTCGGATTATCCGGGCCTCCTGCTATGTCTGACATTTGCCGCCGATGAGGTGGGCGGAGTGGGGCTCCGGTAGATGGGACGGCAACCGCGGGTGTTGGGAACTGGACGCCGTTCTGATCAACAGTATAGGCTGCCGGTGTGGCTGTCGCCGGCACGTATTGTCCCGGGACTGCGGGCATTGTCGGAGGAACAGTCTGCATACCCTGGAACTGCCCGGGTGATTGCCAGTTGTTCATAGAGCCGGCCGGTGACTGACCAGGGGAGCTGTCTTCTTTGATCGATTGGCTTGCCGATGTTTGAGCCATGGTCACCGCGGCTGCAGAAGGCGGAGCCTCGATGCCTGGCTGCATGGTCTTGAGATGCACCAAGTGCTTCTCAAGCATGTCGAGAAGACTCTTGCGGGTAAAAGGCTTTGGAAGAACATCATCCATGCCTAGATAGGTCAGCAAAGTCTTGCAATTACTAGATAGTTTGAGACTTACCGTGCTGGAAGTAGAGTTGAATATCATCACTTCGAATGTTGGAGGTCATGGCAATAATAGGAGTTCGATCGAATTGGCGGATGAGATGACAGGCTGACACGCCGTCCAAATTCGGCATAATGATATCCATCAAGATCAAATCATACTTGGAACCACCCTGCATTTTGTTGACTGCTTCCAAGCCATCAAACTATGCAACAAGTCAGCTTTCGTCGCATCAACAAACTGCCTAATTCGAACATACCGCGGTGTCAATAACGCAATTAAATGAGTATAAGAATTTGCCACCAATCTGTCGGCAGGTAGCATCGTCCTCGACCAGCAAGATTTGCGGGCTGCGCATCCAGCCAGGGTCAACATTGGTGCTCTTCTTCCGATTGTCCGGGTATTGGCGGCGCGCGTCAGGGGTGTCGACCTCTGTCTTGGTAGGCATGGGGTATGGGACATTGTTGACATGCTCGCTATACATAGGATCGATGCCGTTAGTGGCACCCACTGGGTAGACCACCTGGTCCATGTCACCACCCATCTTGGGGTAGACTAGCGCTGGGTTGGGAGGCACAGTGGTTGCCGGACGAACAGCGCCGTTTCGAGCAGCCGGATCCATAGAAGCAGATGCTGACACAACTCCAGCCTTCTGAGGATCGTTGGGGTCCCCACCGGCGAGGTTGAACTGGACCTCTGCGTTCATATCGTTCAACAGTTTCGAAGCCTGCTGAAGAGGCGAAGACGGCTCATCATCCACCGCACCAACCTGGGAAGGGCTCATGGTCGAGCCGGGTTGTCCTTGGTAGGGGACAGCCGCCTTGCTGTCTCTTCGCTGGCGTGCATCTGTCGAGAGCAAATGTTGCATCATCTGTTGGATGACGTTCTCGTGGTTCAAGACCGTCTTCTGCACTCTCATCATCTCCTGTAGCATGAGCTGGTGGTCCACCGTGAGTTGCGCATATCGGTCTGAGAGGTGCTGGATTTGCTGCTGCTGCGCGACGATCTGCTGGTTGAGCAAATCGATCTGTTGGGTAGGCACAGATTCGTCAGTGGTCTGAGTTTGCTTGCGAGGCGCAGGGGCCTTTCGGCGGATGTTATCCAGGGAATCCTTGCTGTTGGCACGGAACTCGGGGTGTTTGAACTCCCAGGCCTGTGCGATTGAGGTTAGTCCTCTCGATCAAGAACTGGAGAGGGCATATCCGGGAGCCCTACGTTCTGTCCATACGGCGACTGGCCGTTTTCCTCGTTATTTTGGCGAACTTTGTGGAAATCGTATTTGTTAAGTTGGCGCACGAAACTGGCAAAGTTGCTATGTTTGAAATGTTTGGGGAGTATGGTCTTGGTGAACTTCTCGCACTAAATTTGATGGAGCCGAGTCAGCGAAAGTTGGTGCGACCGCACATCGCCAGGGAGCGCAGTTACCTCGAGAACCACGAAGCTATCCCCTTCGTCACCCCAGCGAACTATGGACGCGTAGGAGGGGTCCTCCAGCATTCTATGATGACGGTTAGCATTCGGAATCGGGCGGTCGGGAGGCGGAGAGGGGGCACGGAGAGAGTCGCGTTGAAAAAAGTCGAGAGGGCACAGGACTTACTTGTACAGTTTGCGTACCTAGACATGTTGTTAGCAATGCAACTTTGAGGAGCAAAAGATCGACTCGACTCACAAAATCGCTGGAGTTCCCAGCGGGGGGATTCGAGGAGGTCTGGCCACCCTCCATGCCGGGCTAGACGGGTCGCGACCGGTCGAACGAGCAGGCTGGACCCGGGGGCGGGAGTATCCAAGTCTGTTGGATCTAGATCGCCCACCAGAAGGAACAATAGGGAAAAAGAAAGTATCAGGCCGATCGAAGAGGTGGGATGGGGAAGAAGAGGAAAGGGAATTGTCAACGGGGAGGCGGTAGAGCCAAGTACCAAAGTTACTGCGCAGGTACTGCGCGGTACATCGCGGTACTCGCTGAGCCTGGATTCCTGTTCCACCCTGGACAATAAGGTCTTCAGGAATGATGCAAGGAGTTCCGTTGTTTCTATTTCTACACCCTTCCTATACCTACCTCCTATTTTGCCTTTGCTTTTCTTTCATCTCGAGCACGTTCGTTCCTAAACTTTCGGTACGTCTCCGCCGAGACCGAGAGCAGCAAAAACTTCCCCTCGAAGGTGCGCAGTACAGTTGTCAGTGCGCACGAGATGGAGGGGGGCTTGCATTTCTCTACCCTATTACCTAGCACCCCTCAACTACGAGTTCTCACGGGAGTTTTTTAAAAAAAAAATCAGGAAAAAAAAAAACGAATATGCAGGTGCCAAGAGGACCGTTGAGACAAGTCCGAGAACAGAAAACCCCACTGGGGCCGTTGAGACCCTTGGAAACCGCGTCCACTGGCTCGTTGTCTTTGGTTCCCACACGCGTTCGTGCTGATGAACTGATGAGTTGGCAGTGGACACTTTTAGATTAATTTTGATTTCATCATGACCATTCTGGCTATAGTATGGCATGGTATGGATTTCATTAGTAGCATTCCTGATGTGTTTGAATTTAAGCACTTGACACTCGAGACTTGTAACATCACAGCCAAGCAGGCCATCACCAACTAAAAAAAAAAAAACGAAGCCCCACGCGAGGATCGAACTCGCAGCCTCAGAATGACATATAGAAGTTCTGCGCGCTACCGATTGCGCCAGCAGGGCGGACAGGTAGCTAGGAATCTAGCTACTTTGCCCGGCAGCTTGGGTACCTTTACCTACTAGCTATAGTTAACTAAAGCTACCGCCAGCATGATGCCTTTGTGTAAGGTTGTCGGGTCCATAAACTCGGTACATACATTCGTAATTTTCATCTAGAGTTCAAGCATTCAACTAACTAGCGAAATTAAGTACCTAGGAGTAAACGATTAGGATTCTAAGGCCCACTGTTGTGCCTGTGAAGAATGATGGTCCGTTTACCGAGCTCAGCCCTGGAGCCATGACGAAATCCCCGCAAGCTCCATCACAACTGGTCCACCTCCCCCGTCCTACATGATCCTTTCAACATCACCTTCAACCCACATCAAATCTTCACAATGTTTGCCGCTCGTCGTCTCGCCACCAGCCTCCCCCGCGCGCGCCCCCAGGCTGCCCTCTTCCACAGCACCGCGCCCGCTTTCGTCCAGAAGGGCGACTCCATTCCCAGCTTGGACCTCGTCGAGAACTCCCCCGGCAACAAGGTCAACCTCGCCAATGAGCTGAAGGGCAAGGGCGTTATCATCGGTGTCCCCGCAGCTTTCAGTACGTGCATCAGCGCAAACAAAACAAGGGTAGAAAGTTGACCATCCACAGGCCCTGCCTGCTCCGGCTCGCACATTCCTGGCTACATCAACCACCCCAAGCTCAAGGAGGCCGGTCAGGTCTTTGTGGTTGCCGTGAACGACCCCTTCGTGTAAGAATAACGGCGCGCATCAATAAATTCCTCCGCGAATGAAACGCTAACTCGGACCTGACAGCACCAAGGCCTGGGCTACTTCCCTCGACCCCACTGGCAAGAGCGGTGTAAGTGATTCCATATTGGTTAGTGACAGTTCATGGTCTGATATCGTGTCCTTATAGGTCCGCTTCCTGGGTGACCCCTCCGGCGAGTTCACCAAGGCCCTGGACTTGAGCTTCGAGAGCAGCGCCATCTTTGGCAATGACCGCAGCAAGCGTTACGCTCTGCTCGTGGAGAATGGAAAGGTCAAGGAGGCCTTTGTGGAACCCGACAATATCGGTCTCAACGGTAGGTTTGCTCTCTGACGCGATTGGAAGATGATCACTAACGCGAGGGAATTTAGTCTCCGCTGCCGAGAAGGTGCTCGGTTAAAGGGATGTATACGCATGTCTAGACCCATTGCACATGGCAGGATACTAAAAGCGACAAATCGACTCGAAATAAGGTCCAAATTGGAATTATGGGTTCCTAGCCCTGACAGATCCATCCCCTAGGGCAGATGTATAGATTATAGTAAGACAATATATGTTGAGTTCTACCTTGGAATCCAGGCAAACCAACTCCTGTCATACAAATGACCCATTTTCCCGGAGCCAAGCTTAAATCCGATCATGCACGTAAAATATTGGCGGCTGCCTACCTACTTACGCGGCCCCTTGCCACATCTGTGGCGGTGATAAAACGTGTCCGCAACGGTATTCGGGATTTCTGGACCCCAATTATTAACTGAACCCTGCAGATCCCCACTCCAATTCGAAATAGTTTTTTCTTTCTTCCTAATCCTAAGGTAAATGAGTGAGGCATTAACCTAGATATTAAGAATGACAGATCCCAATGGGTACATACGTATGTAGATAAATACTCAGGAATTCCTCTCACCTTCCGACACCGGATACACGGCAAATCATACAACGCTAGCCAAAGTCCTCGTGGCAGATGTCTTCGACCTGGGGAGACCGTATCAGGTGTGATAGAATTAAAAAAAACAACAACCATAGTTTCAATCTTATGAACCTACTTCTAAAAGAATCCAAAGAAGTACTGTGTAGATCGCAATCCACCAAGCTTTGACGGCTGCTTCGTCATTGCCAAGGCTGTGCCCCCGTTCCAGCCACAGAGTCCCCTCTCTCGACTTTCATCTTCCCCTTCTCCCCATACTCCAAAAACGATTTCCACTTTGATTACCCTCTAAGTGGCTGGTCCCTTGATCTTTCCGAACAGGTGCAGGGTCACCCATCAATCTCGCCCGACAACCGCTTTGGGCCGCCATCCCGAACAACGCTGAGTGGGCTGTGAGAGCTTGGCAACCAAGCCGGCTACATTTCCCTGACTCGTCTGATCGCGCGACCTCTTCGTCTTCTTCCTACTATTGCGACCGTCGCGTCAACACCGGCAACATGTCCAAGGTTGTGCGCAGCGTCAAGAACGTTACAAAGGGATATTCCTCAGTGCAGGTCAAGGTTCGAAATGGTACGTGTCACCACTATCAACGGCTGTGGGATTGTGCTTGGGATTGGCTCCTTAGTTTGGGGATCACGGGGAGATATCGCGACCCGGACGTGGTCATCTCTCCTTGCTACGACCTCCTTGCCTGAACAGCGTGGTTCAATGACAGCGTGCCCCGGATTGGTGCAACATGCTAACTGTCTTCGCCATGCAGCCACGAGCAATGACCCCTGGGGCCCGACGGGCACTGATATGTCCGAGATCGCCGCCATGACTTTCGGGAGGTAAGTGATCCCTCATCCTTATCGAGCTGGCAAGGTCTTAACGTATCGCTTCCGCATAGCCCGAACGAGTTCTACGAGATCATGGACATGATCGACAAACGTCTCAACGATAAGGGAAAGAACTGGCGCCACGTTTTGAAATCGCTCAAGGTCCTGGATTACTGTCTTCACGAGGGTTCCGAGCTGGTGGTGACTTGGGCGCGCAAGAATGTCTACATCATCAAGACACTACGCGAGTTCCAATATGTTGATGAGGAAAGTCGCGATGTCGGACAAAATGGTAGGTGATTTCTGAAGTCATATTCCATACCAGTTGCTAATTTTTTTGGTAGTTCGTGTCGCCGCAAAGGAATTGACCGCACTTATTCTGGACGAGGACCGCCTGCGCAGCGAACGATCGGATCGCAAGCTTTGGAAGACTCGTGTCAGTGGACTCGATGACGGTTATGGAAGCCAAGCTGAGCCCCCGCGCCGAGAGCGACGACGACCCAACCAAGACGAGGACGATACCGAATACCGACTAGCGATCGAAGCCAGCAAGGCCGAAGCCGAAGATGAGCGCAGACGACGGGCTAAGGAGACCGCTGTCGGCGAGGACGATGAGGACTTGGCAAAGGCTATCAAGCTCAGCAGAGAAGAAGAGGAACTGCGGAAGCGGGAACTGGAGGAGAGCAACGCTCACTCGCTCTTCGATGAGACCCCTGCCCAGGTTCAGCCGACTGGGTTCAACCAGGGCTACCAGCAACAAGGTGCCGTGGACTGGTTCGGAAACCCAATCAATGTCCAGCAACCAATGACAACTGGCTTCTTAAACAACCAATACGCGCAACCCACCGGCTTCCAGCCTCAAGCCACCGGTAACCCTTATGCAAATGGTTACCAGCAGCCCTCTGCTTTCGACCAGAACCCCTACGGACAGCCCCAGAACAACTTCTTGCAACCTCAAGCTACCCTCCAACCCCAGCATACCGCGTTCAACACGAACAACCCCTATGGACCCCCGGATGCCTTCCCTCAACAGCAGCAGCAGCAGCAGCAACAACAACAGCAACAACAGCCCCAAGAGAACTACCTGTCCGCTGGAAGCAACAACCCTTGGTCCTCGAACCAGCCAGCAGATGCACTCAAACCCATGCCCACAGGCTCGAACAACCCCTTCGCGCAGAAGACTCAACCCCAGTTCCAGCCCCACTCACAAGGACCTCCCTCTCTTAACACCCTGGCAGAGGACCGTGCCACGAACCAGTTTAGCAACCAATACAGCCAAAATAACCAGTTCGGTAACCAGAACCAGGCCTTTGCCCAACAACCTACTCAGCACAACCCAATCGCCAACTTCCAAGCTCCTCAGCCTCCGAAGAGCACCCCACCCGTGGCCTCAGACCCGCACCATGCTCGTTTGAACGCCCTTCTTTCCTCAGGCGAGGGCCAGGATACTTTCGGAAACGTCGGCGATCTCCGTATCCCCGCGCAGCACACCGCACCCGGCACATTTGTCAACTCCGCCGGCCAAGGTCTGGATCGTCTGCACGCCAGCCAGACTGGCGCCAACCCCTTCTTCGGCCAGCAATATACTGGAATGCCCCAACAGACTGGTTTCGTACAGCAACAACCCGCAGCAAACCCTTGGGGAGGCCAGCAACAGCAGCAGCAGCATGGAAGCAGCTTGATTGACCTGTAACCACATCCACATGGTACATGATCATCTTCGCTTAGAACTCTCATGGCTTGTTTGCATTTCCCTCAATCGCTTTCTTTCCGCTCCATGATCTCCTTGCTCATTCCCGTTCCGCCCTCCAGCCCTTCGCCCTTCTATTTCCGCCTACCAATGGATCCCAAGGCAATGCATAAGCCAAGCCTTGTTTCCTAGTCGTTTTGTCCTCTTCCAGCTTTTTTTGCCCTCCTCGGACTTCTGTTTCCTCCCTTTTCTCTTGTTCTCTTTTTTCTCTCTCTCTCTCTCTCTTCTCTCTCTTCCTCCTGCCCCAAATACTTCTCTTTTGTCTACTTCGTTCATCACCATACTAGGATATCCTTTTCCCTTCTCAACTGGTCTCAAACTATTTTTCAATGCTAGATTCTGTAGTAGGAATTTCTCTTCCACCCTGTGCTGGGTACTTGTCAGGTATAGATCTGTAGGCTGGGATATATGATTTAGACATGGTACTTGCAACGAGACCCTATCCCTACATGTAGTCCTATGAGTAAGATGGGTACTCTCTTTTTGAACATCAATTGACCACAACCACAAGAAAGATCGAGTTCTTCGATTCCCATTTAATTCTCATCATTGCATTTCAGCTGCAAATCATATGTCTTCAAATATTCAACGCCGAACCATAATTCCATACGGATCCCGATCAGCCTCACTAACCGAAACCGAGACCTCAGCATCCCGATAAACCTCAGAATCCTCCTCCAAAGCACCCTGAAGAGCAGTCTCCCTCTCAGCATGCCACCGCTGCGACAAATCCTGCAGCAACTTATTCCGCATAACAGCATGCAGATACCCGCGCTCAGAGTTCGAGTGTGCAAGCGAGATAACCACAGACCCACGCTCCGTAGCAGCCAATGCTTCATGGTGGCTCATTTCGCCTGTGAATAGGAGATCGGGAAGTTCGCCGCGCATGAGGACGCCGGAGCCTGAGCCTGGGCACATGCCTACTGTGCGGATGTGGATATCGTCCACGGCCTTGGACTGGGGAATGGCAATAGGGATCCCACCGGGTAGCCCGACGCCCTGGCCGATGAAATCGATCAGCTTGGTCAAAGGCTGGGCAGAGTTAAATGTAACCAGGCGACCTGCACCGGCGTCCTCGAAGCCCTCGGGGATAGATGTGGAGGGTGAAGGGTGGATGGTGGTGCGGGCATGGGGGATCGAGGTCTGTGTAGCGGATGCTGCGAATTCTGGGCGAGGGTAGGTAGGTGCGGAGTAATTTGATGAAGCGCATGATGCGATCTGGGATGGCTTGTTCTCGCCGTAGACGCCGGTTACTACGTCACAGAGCCAGTCGGCCATTCCGCCGGGGACGGTGTCGACTGCGGTATGCGGTGAGTAGACGCTGATTCCGTGTTGGGCTAGACGGAGGAGGGAGCGTTGCTGGGTGTCTTCAAGGGTGATGGACTTGAGACCGCGGAAGATGATGGGGTCTGTTGGTTGGTTAGTTGTTGAGCTTTAGGTTCAATTCCAGGATTGGGACGAATGGACTTACGGTAGGCCACGATGGCCGAGTCTCGACGCTTGATCGCCTCATCTGCAACGGCTGTAGTAAGATCAATGGCCAGCAGGACCGAGTTCTTCTGCCGGCGCGAGGGATCCAAGGGAGCTTCAAGAAGCACTGTAACATGATAATTAGCACTGGAGTCGTAGCTAGATATATTCAATCTAGAAGAGAAAGCTCACATCCAGTGTTATCAAAGCTCTTATCAGCCAATGCCTCCGGATACCTAGCTTCCAGTTAGATTCCAGCTTCAAGATCATCGCAGGAAGCTCCCCTCCTCACCACATACAGCTTTCTCATCGAGCTCACAACGGCCCTTGTAAAAGGCGAACAAGAAGTAGTGGTAGCCATAGCAGAAAAACGCCGTACAGTCGTACGCAGGTAATTCATGAAGCTGTACAAGTAAATAAGGAAAGAAAGTGGGACGTGACGCTAAGAACCCAGCGCCACTTCACGTGCAACACCAGCCACAACCGATCGGGGCAGCGCAATTTGTAATACGAACTTCAATCGCGATCTCCCGGGGTACCTTCACTTTCAATCAATTACTTCTCTTAATGTTTCCTCGCACATCCTCCTTCACTGTCTTGAGCAGAGGCTGCCGCTATCTCCTCCGCCCGACTGCCCCCCGCGCCTTCTTCTCGCTCTCCGCGCGCTCCTTCGCCGCCGTCGACGCCGCAATGGCCGATACCTCCGGTGTTACAGCGGACTCGCTAAAGAACAAGCTGGTGGAGCAGCTGCAGGCTCACCACGTGGAGATTGAGGATCTGTCTGGTACGTTTAGGGAGACTTGTGAAATTTGACACGGGCCTCGGCTAATGGGTATATCTATAGGCGGTTGTGGTCAGGCATTCCAGGCTGTCATCGTTTCTCCCCAGTTCGAGAGCAAGACTATGCTTGCGCGTCACCGTCTTGTGAACTCGGTACTTAAGTCTGAGATTGCGGCTATTCATGCTTGGACTCCCAAGTGCTATACCCCCGAGCAGTGGCAGGCTTTGCAGCAGTAGGGTAGCAGAATACTTATCGAGTTATGATATCGGCACCGGAGGTGATGATGTGATGGTTAAGGATTGACTGCGACGAGAATGAAATTCTCGCTCTGTCTTTCTACTTTCCCAATCGAATGGGATATGTGTGTTGATGAAGGCGCACAACCCTGGACCCGCGCATCCTCTTCGCAGGACATTGATGACACCAAGATAGTACCTAGGACAATTGGTACCAGGGCTTAGGATTGTTTGTACGATAGGGTTTATCTGATTTATACAGAAGATTTGATTTCTGTTCGGGGTTCTTTCATGCAATTCTACAGATGCATGTTTTCCTTTCCCCTCGGGGTTATGATGGCATCACCGACTCTCGGTGGTTCTCATCGGACTTTCGCTCTTCCTCCAGCGTAGATCCAATGATACCTTCGATACTTCCAGCAACAGTTCCTGCCAAGACGCCGACACCAATAATGCCTCCGTCGGTGGCCTCTCGGAGGAAGATACTCTTTCCTTCACTCTGCGTTCCAGCGCTAATGATGAGTCGGTCGATGTATCGCTGGATCGTCTCCTTATAATGTGGGTAATGTGTAATGACTCCGCCAGAGACAGCGACGACCAACTCTTCTGGTCCCTTCTGCCAGCCTGGCTTCGACGATCCGAATTCCGGCATCTTGCGTTCCGGGTTCGTTTCCTGAGGTGTTTGGGCTATTTGTGTATTCGCGTTCAAAAGTTCGGTGTTTTGCAGCTTGATCTCTCGTGTACAAGCGAGAAGACCAACAGTAGCGGTGGCAATTAATGCAGCGGACCGGTCCTGCACGGCCGCGGCGACTGAACGAATATGTCCTGCATACTCGGGTGTCCACTTCCAATCACTCCCCGCTGGGGTAGGAAGCTTTTCCTCCAGCTCCTTTGCTAGTTTCTCATCTGAGTAGCTTGGAGCTACCACGAACGAGAGAAAGTCTGTTGTCAAAGTGTATTCCTCGACCAGTTTGAGGGGCAGTGACGATCGTGATACTCCCTTCGGCCCACTGAACCAGTCACAGCAAATGATCCTCACAAGCTCGCCAATGTAGCGACCTCCGACCATATACTCGAGCGGCTGAAACCCGGGGCGGTTGGATTTCGCCTCTAGCGCCGTGTCCCACTTTGTCATGATGCTCAATTCTAGCAGCGGTGCCGTCGCACCGCGGAGCGTCCACTCCGTTGAGACGATTGACTCAACTGCATCTGGGTCCTTTTCGCGAATATGTTGGATTTTGGAGTCTTGTAGGTCGGTGAGTTTCATGGGTACAGCGGAATTGCAGCCTGCGCCCACAATGAGGCCCATGACCACGCGTGTGTTCGGTAGTGCACGAATAGAGTATGCCAGTGAAGCGAACGTAGAAATGGTGTCGTTAGTCATGACGGTGATTTTCAATTTAGGCAAACAGTATTTTTTCTGTCGTTTGGCTGGCATTTCGGCGAGGTCTTCATCCGACCGCCGTGTGTGACATTCATAGCCATCGAGCAGGGCCTGATGGAGGTTGAGCGAGGATCCTAGTGCAAAGCCTTTTCCAGTTGGCATGAGGATTGCCTCGTCCATGAATTTTTGTCTGCGATGTGTTAGTCCAAACCGATAAAGTAACTTAGGGAGACTGATTACTTGATCGGGAAGCAGAAGGAAATCCCCATCGCCACCTCTGAAGGCGCATCGTCTTTCGAGTTGGCGAGGTCATCGTGAATAACCTCAGCAATGCAATCACCAATCCAAGAGAAAAGCGAATTCGCTTGGTCCCGCCGCAGACGGTCCTCAATAGGCCATGCTTTTTCGAGTGTTCGCCGAACATGGGACGGCTTTCCCATCTGCTCTTCACCTAGGAGATCAATGAAAGCAATTCGGAGATAGTACAGCCCCAAGTAGACTGCGAGGTATCGACCCTTCTCATGCCCGGTTGGCAGACGAGTTGTAGCCGTAGGGAAGAATTGATCCGAGGACCCCGCAGCCAGCTCGCGATATGTTTGAGACAGGCGATAGGACAGGCGATAGAGCGTGTCACTGTCGATCTTGAGCGGCTGCAGGAATCCCTGCAGCGCTGGATCTGGTCTGTTCATCGTGTATCCTTGTTGGCGTATGTCGTTAGCTGCTGCATCTCCACGTGGTTTGGCAGGATGCCTCAGCCCCGCAGTGGCAGTGGCAGTGGTGCGCCGCAGCCGTATGGAACCATTTTTCATTATATTTCTGGCCCAGCTGTGGCAACCATAATACAGCCCGATCGAGAAGATCGGTTCTTCGGCTCTTTCTCGATATTCTTCTAAGCACCTCTCTATAGCTCTAAAAGAGGTTTCATTGTATTTTAATCCTCTTCTGAAACATTTCTCCAAAGAGCTTAGAACACCTCTAGTTGGATCATTCATAGACGCCTACTCAACACTATTCATATATTATTATTTCCGTGGCCCGGCTGTTTAAGGGGAGAAGTTAATCGATAATCCAATTGTTTAGGTAACTAACGTGGTCGTATACAACCTGACCGTGTCTAACAATACCTATGTTTTGGTCCTCTCAAGTATACTTTCAATTCCCGTACGCCTCTTCGAAACTCATACTCCAAACGCCATTCGGACCACGGACTCGATAAGGCTCGCTCCAATCTTCCTTGGGATCCTCCTTGTATGAAGCTGCACCGACATGCTGCATTTGAGAAGGCACAATGGCAAGCCGATCCAGACCGTTCTCGTCGGCAAACTTTTCAAGAGCAGTGTCAACGGCCATGGAGATTTTTTTCTCTCCCCATGAGGCGAAGATGCTCCACCAGCGGCGGTGCTTTATCTCGGGGGAAAACCATGGCCTGGGTACAACAGCCATATCGATTCATGACATGGATACCGGGTTTCAGAGGTCGCATTGTCACGCGCCCACTCATAAAATACAGGCCGATCAATAGTGGCAAGAACACAAAGCAAATAATTATCGGAAACGGGAATGTTGTAAGCTCTCGCACTGGTCGGTATCTTTTTCGTCCGAGGAGGAGTGAGCCGGCGACCACTATCAGTGCGAGTATACTGCAAGTTAAATACTTCAGCCATTCCTCAGAATTCCATCCGAGAAACTTCTCTGTGTAGAAGAGGCGGAGGTAGAGCCAGTCTCTGATCAGGCCTTGTTGTCTCCATTCGACAATCTTTTGCAGGCTTTTCGTCGTGTGCTCGTACCAGTCCCGCTGCGCTAGGATATCATCCTCGAGTATCATGATCCACGGGGCTTCTGTCTTCTCGTAACACGACTTAAGCGCGAGGCGGTAGTCAAAGAGCGACTTCCGACGAACATCCCTGTTTCTTTCCAAGCGCATGATGGATGACATGGGCGCCCCGAGATGCTCGTAAGTGAAGACATTGTCGGCGAGGTTCGAGAGCCACGGCTGAGTGTAGTCCGGATGATCAGCGGGATTTGTCTGCGCAAAGAGGATGTGGAGGGAGATCGTAGATCTCTGGTCTTTCGACAATGTATCCAGGATAGATCCCAAGGTGGTGTCAAGGTTCTGCTGAAATGGTCGCTTCACGGAAATGACTCCAATGCAGATTTCAGCATGCCGGGCGGCTTTGGCGGGACTGCCGATCGGTTGCAGAGGACTTGTAGAAATGCTATGGTCAGAGACATGCTGCAGAGCTTCTTCAACTCTCTTGAGGCTGTATCGGGGTCTGTAACCGGCCTCTGGCTTGAAGAAGAAGGATCCGGGATCGCGTGCGGAGTGAGAGCGGGAAGTGAACAGAAGAAACAGGTAGATAATGCAAAAGGCTATTCCTACAGCCAGTTGCTTCCTGTTGATGGTCATCTTGAGGACCATGAGATTCAAGAAGATCAGGTGTCAACTGGATTTTGCAATCGCGCCATCGCTTGTTCCTACCTAGGTACATGCTATTCAATAAACGTGGAAAGAAGAATCCAAGGACCGCCGGGAACATCAGGGCGCCTTCCCTCGGATCGCATATATGTTGCAGCTTCACAGTCCGTTGATCTTGCCCGACCCAAATGGCCAGTGGCTCCGGCAATGGCTACGACTGGGTGTGAAGTTATTGCGATGAGACCAATTGATACCCTCAAGGGCAGTAGTTTCATTCAATCATAGATGGGAGTTTATCTACAGTAGAATTCGAAAACATATTACCCCAGACACTCATGCTTTATTACTCGGCCCGTACCCGAAACCACGCCACGCTAACCCGCATCTGAATGCATCTCAAATATTGTTTTTCTAGAAAAGACCTCTGTTCAGTTCCAGAACGACTGCATTACGTATAATACCGTACATTACACGAAATTCCTATACATACATACTTCCCTGCTCCTCACACCCTCATAACATCTCCGAGTCGTACCGCCTTGTTTAAGTTGATGAATCTGGACGTGATGAACAAGCTGGGTTCCGACAGAATAGCACCTCGACAAGTGTCACAGTTCCACCGTGACGAGAGCTATCAAATCTTGCCTTCGTATGACTACGATGTTATTCTGTTTACTCGCGTCATTCACGGGCTCGACAGATGCCTCTGTCTTCGAATACTTCGTAGATACGCTGCTTCAGCATTGCGGGCGATGGCCGGAGCTGAAGCCTGTTCTGGTCATGGCCAATGCATCATAAGCAAGCTTTTCAGGAAATGGAGAAAGGCGGGCCAAATGCCCGCGAAATTTTGCATCAGGAATAACTCCAACGTATTCAGGAGCGATGGAAGAGGCAATGGGAGAAGGAGAAGACGGCCAAACCGACAAGGGCCTAACCAAGGCGCAGAGGCACAAGGCTTTGGAGTGGTATGAGGTCAATGCGCATTGGTTTGGGTCACTTCTTATACAAGACCAAGGAAAGGGAAAGGGATCGTTGTTATCAAATACCGTGATATATCCTGCTCCAGTGTCCGTTGTACAGCGATCTACGGTGAACCATGCTTGATAATATCACTCGCACCGACCTTGGCAGCACCACTAAGTATGATGCAATTGCATCTCACCCGTGCGCGGTCCAATACGCTGCTGCGATGATGCGTCAGGACCACTCCGATCGCTATTAGCCGAAACCTGCCTCGGTTGACCCCGCGCGGACGTGGAATATTTAGTGAAATAAGTCCGGGGCGATGAGCTTCATTGACTTCAATTGACTTGTATTGACCATGAAGCTGCAATTACCGGTTAAGATTGTCTTCGGAGCTGCTGCTTTTGCCGTCACTACTCTGGCTGCCGCGTCGGAGGTGGCCGAAGCAACACAGTTTACTTTGACGGCATGCTCTTTGGCCTCCTAAATGGCCGCATTGCTGACGGACATTCCCTAATAGTATGGCTATCCTCTCCCACCTTTTGCACGGGCCGCTGTCGCAGTTCTCAGTGAGGTCAGTTGCACCAACCGCTTTCAGCATATGAGACAGCTCGCAACATCTGCCTCCCAAGCTGTCGTACGTCCCAATGTGGACACACTGTACTCGACAGCCGTTATTGATCTCTCCCACCATGACGTCGTGGTAGATATTCCCGTCGTCAAAGGCCGGTACTGGGTCTTTCCGTTCTACGATGCGTACGGCAACAACTATGCCAATCTGGGTAGCATAGAGAACAGCAAAGCGGGCAAATACAGTCTCCGTTTTAACGTCGGCGGCAAACAAAATACAGGTGTACAGCTGTGTAGTGATCCGGAAAAGTGTGACGGCCTTCAGGGCTATGTCAATGCGCCAACACCGTATGGACTTATGGTGATTCGTTACGCTGTTACAGACACCGTGGGCGACCTGCAACAAATTCACGCTCTCCAGAACCAGAGCGGCCTTCATACCGTTGAAAAGGGTGATGGAACTACTTGTAAAGCAACAGCACCTACCCTGACCATGTCTATGCTCAATTCGTCGTTGTCTGCCGACCCGGCGATGAAGATTATGCAACTGACGGCACGCATTGCGCCGCATAACCCTCCGCGCAACATCACGGACCTGGCACGGGTCAACCACATGCTCAAAGAATCTGGCGTCAGGGACGGGGTATATAAGCCCCAGAAAGGCCAGAACCTGACTGCATCATACATTGCCTCGGAGATGACCATGTCCAAAGCAGCCAGTGAACCACAGAACCTGCATTCGCTCGGAAACGGATGGCAAGAACTAACCCCGACGGCACAGGGCGATTACGGCGAGAACTATGCGATGCGAGAATATGTAGCATACTTTGGCTACCTCGCTCTCAGGGCAACGGAAGCATTATACCCCTCGTACAGCACCGGTCAAAAGGGCCTGCACCTGGGCCCCAGGGAGTCTTATATCTTCACGTTCCCCAGCAAACCGCCGATGGCGCAGTATGGGTTCTGGAGTTTGACTGCATACAATACGGAGGAGTACCTCATCCCCAATACGCTGAATCGATATGCGCTGAGCGACCGCTCCAATCTCACGTACGCTGATGGTTCTCTGGTGTACGACGGCAATGCCCATGGTGATGGTGATGGACATTTCCAGCTGCTGGTTCAGCCAGCAGATGTGACTCCCCCAAAGAACTGGATGTCCAAGTATGCGGCAATCACCTTCTAGCATGTTCTCCTAGCTGACATTAAAAAACAAGCTGGCTCCCAGCTCCAAAGGGTGGAGGAGATCTTTCTCTTACGCGTAAGTCGCACTTCCTCGTTTGAATTTTGTTCAATTAATATCATCGTCTAACTGAGCAGTCCGGTTCTATGCCCCAACTGAACAGCTGAGCAATGGCTCATGGCCCTACCCAGTGGTGCAGAAAGGGGATGCTATCCAGGCGTAATTTACCTATTGCTATAGACCCAATTCTAATGCTCGGCACGGGCTGTTTTCGTAGTAACCTCATTATGGTCTAGCGTCATTTCGGGTACGGGCCAAGAAACAAAGTGAGAAGAGTGTCTGGAGGGTAATCTGTTTTCGATTTCTACTGCATATATACATAATTCAAGTGCCAAGGCCAAACAGAACAAGCCATATTCTGCGCTTCTCATTGGCCGCAGAGATCATTTTGTCTTAAACACATAATATACTGTACATACAAACATAATATCGACCAACCACGTACCCGGCACTAAGTGGAGTTAATGGGGCTACTACTTTATACATCTGGACATGGCCCGCTCGTGGCCTGTCTCACCACTCTATGCAAACCTCCTCAATCTAGTCTCCCGCTTCGGGGGGAATTATTTCATTCGAACCACAAATGCGGATGGGCTCTTCATTAAGAATGGATTTGACGCCATGAGAGTGGCGACGCCGCAGGGCTCATATAGATATTTGCAGTGTTTCAGAAAATGTAGACCTGATGCGATTTTCGAGGCGATGGAGTTCGTGGATAAAGGGTTGTCTTTAATTGATCCTGTTAGTCAATGTCTAACGGATGGAAGTCTCGTTCCGAGATGTAAGTGCTGTTCTGGGGAGGTTACACTTTGTGTGCGCGGTGGAGTGTATTTTAATGAGGGCCCTTTGAGGAGGTGGAGGGTATTTAAATGAGGGCCCATTGAGGAGATGGAGACGCACTACAGGGAATTTGTGGGGGGTTTGCAAGAGAAGAACGGGGTGGATGCTGTTGGAATAACAGGGATATCAAGGTTGTGCTGGATGCTTTGCTCTCCTAAAATTGAAGGGGTATGGATTGTTTTATGTTCAGCAATGATATACCTGTGAATGTGAATGAGAATGAGAATGGAAGCATGCGTGATTCGTCAACATCGCTAGCCACAAGGCAGGATCACAGATACATTTCTAATTTAGGCAGACCCATTCTCCATGCTCAGGTACTTCGCCTCCGCTCCACGGATACAGGCAATGTTTGCGCCGAGCTTGTTAATCGTCTCCATATACTCATCGTACGGGTCCGAGTCAAATACAATACCGCCACCAGCCTGCAGGTAGGCAACGCCGTCCTTGACCAGCATCGTCCGCAGCGCAATGCATGTGTCCATAGCACCAGGCTCCTCGCTTGATCCATCGCCGTTGGCAATGTTGTACCCAAAGTATCCGACGGCACCAGCGTAGACACCGCGCTTCTCGCCCTCAAGCTCGGCGATGAGCTGCATCGCGCGAATCTTGGGGGCACCGGAGACGGTACCGGCCGGGAAGATGGATCGGAAGGCGTCGAAGCGTGTCTTACCGGGTCGAAGGACACCAGAGACTTGTGAGACGAGGTGCTGCACGTGAGAGAACTTCTCTACAACCATCAAGCGGTCGACTTGCGTCGTGATCGGGTCACAAACACGGTTCACGTCGTTGCGGGCCAGATCGACCAGCATGACGTGCTCGGCGCGATCCTTAAGACTGCTGCGGAGTTCGTCGGCAAGCGCTGTATCCTCTTCCAGAGTCTTACCACGCTTTACTGTTCCAGCGATAGGGTGGGTGATGATGCGGCCTCGCTCTTCCTTCACGAGGAGCTCGGGACTGGCACCCACGAGCTGGAAGTCTTCGCAGTCGATATAGAACAGGTAAGGGGAAGGGTTGACGGTGCGAAGGTGACGGAAGAGGTTATACGGGTGGAGAGAGGTGGGCCTAGACAGCCGTTGTGAGGGGACGGTTTGGAAGATATCGCCCTTGCCGATGTGCTCCTTCAACTTCTTGACGTGGTTCTCGTAGCCCTCCTGACCGATGTTGGAGGTGTACTCCTGGTTCTGGATAATGGGGCCCTGAGGAGGCAGTGGTGTGCGGTCCTGGAGGAGAGTATCGATGGTCTTTTGAATGATCTGCTGACCCTTCTGGTATTCGACTTCGATATCGGCATCGTTGGCCGGAATCGGGACATAGGTGATGACCTTGACGACCTGGAAGAAGTGGTCAAAGGCAACAATAGTGTCGAAGAGCATGAACATGGACTCCGGCACGCCCAGGATATCCTTCACGGGCCGCGCGGTCTTGGGCTCGAAGTATCGGACACAGTCATAGCCAACATATCCGATGGCTCCGGCTGTCAAAGGTGGGAGGATTAATCCGGGGACCGAAGCAACGCGGAACTGCGAAAGTTCCTCCTCAAGGATAGGCAGGGGATCGGTCTCCGGGCCATGGCCAGAACCGGTCTTGATGGTCTTTCTAGGGTCTGAGCGAGGTTGTGAGTCAGGATACGCAGGGTTGTGTGTAGGCCGAATCACCCACCTGCGCCAACGAAACTATATCTTCCAATAGTCTCCGTAGTCGCGGCACTCTCGTATAAAAAGGACAAGCGCGAGCTATAGGCCGAGTCAGCCACCATGCCACCAGATTTCCCCCGGCTGCCCCGCAGGTTGTCGAATTGAAGGCCGGGCACTTACCTCTCCGCGATTTTGAGGTATGCTAATGTCGGCGTCAAAAGGTCTGCAGGGATTGAGGCAGTCACCGGCAGGAGGTTCGGGGCGAATTGAGAGTTTCTTGACTTGGAGATGACCTCGCGCGCTGTCTCGAGCGACGGGACACAGACGATCTGAGTCATAGAGATGCGCGTTAGCAATTTTCCGACAGATGAAGGGTCCGTATGAAACACTTATATCATACATACCGGAGCTGCCATGCTGAGCTACTTTCACGGGACAAAGTAGAGAGAGGAAGAGTCAACTTCCAAATGGATATGGCGGTGGGAAAAAGAGTCACTGTGGGGCTCTGGACTCGGTGTTCCGCTGGTTGACCGTGAACTCCGCAACCACGGATGATGCTGGATTTTGACAGACCAAACGAGACCTACAAGTGTCATCCAATACACTTACTCAATATGATAGAAACGAAGATATAGCACAAGCTTCAGGAAGCCGACGGCCACACCCAGAGAGAAGCGTGGGGCGGTTATCGCTTATCGCCCAATTCGCATTCGCATTCCCAATCCGCGTGGCCGACACGTCCACTGCACGACGTGCATCATCTCACACCTCTCACACCGACTCGTCAAGATACACGTATGAACCACCAATGGCGACGCCCGAAAGCGCTCCTATTGCTCCCTCCATCCCGTACCTCGAGTTCGCCGAATTGAGTTCCACTGCAGATGGCGCCGGTCCAGCTGTCCCATCTTTGTCAGAGCGCTTAGCGGACCTCGCACACCTCGCATCGGCATCGGTATCGACATCGACAGAGAACGAGCACGAGGATGAAGCGGCACAGTCAATACACTCCCATCTCGATGCGATTGAATCCATACTTCGGGACCCACGCCCGGCGCTGTCGCGTGAGGTAGCAAAATGTCGACCGGATGGTGTTTCTTACGGTAGATTCGATAGATCTCGTGCATCAAGTCTTTCGTCACAAGCCCCAGATCAAAAAAGCAACGGACCGCATATTGAGAATGGGTTCAATAAGACGGAGATGCTGGCGCAGCTGTCGGCTCTGCTGACCGAAGTAAATGGGCTGCATGCGCAGGTGGGAGACCGTCGCAAGGAGACGAGTGAGATATGTGATCTTTATGAAGAGCGGTGTCGCTGCTTGGAAAGAACAGTGGCTGAGCTGGAGCTGGAAGTCATGGAATTGTAAGTTGCAGTCTATGGCTTTCCTTTTTATCCAAATCCTTCAATTATGCTAACGTGTTTGTGGCTATAGAAAATCAGACCTGGTCGAAGATGCCGTCGAATTGGAAGGGATTCAGGGAACGATTCTTGGCCTCCAGACATGGATCGATAGTCTCCAAGCGGAGCAGGTTATGCTTCGACGACAACGATATCTTGCGCAGCATAAGGCGCGACAGAAGAGATGGGCCAATGGCCAGAAAAATGGCGACTATGATGATCTCGGGGCCGATACGAAGGTCGATGATGTCCTGGAAGGACTCGATGCATGGATGCGTGGGCTGCGAGATGTGGAAGAGGGGTTCCGATCTCGGGCACGAGCAAGGCGCACAAGACGAGAACGGAGACGGGAGATGCTTGAGGAAACACCCGGGGTGGAGAAGAAAGACGAAGGTGCAAATGTAGATACCGATGCTGGATTGTGGAGTAGAGCCTTTCCAGCCCAGCTGCTTTGAAGCTACGATGTTGTGAGAAGTCAAATCATTAGAAGTTATTGATCATGCATTATTTTTGTGAGATTCACAAGAAAGAAAAACTCAAATCATAACCACAGACCACCGACCCCTTAACGCAGTTGATAGATTAAAGACCTCTCGCCAGGAATCCGTACCGTTCGCCGTACCCAAGCTTGATCCCAAGCAATGCATGCCGCCATGCGTCTTCTAAATCACGAATTTATGTCCAGAGAAAATATGTAGAGGAAGGCGGGAAAAATGGTGTGAAACATGGAGTGTAGATGCCAGCCGTCTGCGGCCTTGGTGGACGGTGAGAATGTTTTCAATATCGTATTCAAGGCTGTTTCGACGGTGTTATTTCGAGAATTGGGTGTTTTGCCACCACGAGACTATGGAATGACAGCGATGACTTGATGGAAAGCCCGAATTGATCTCCAGCTTGTAGGTGGTCGGGTATCAATTAGACCATACCATGGCTGAGGATTTTAGGATCCCAGTTCGTCGGTGACAGGGAAGCGTTCATTGTATCAAGCAATGCCTCCGGGCAGTGAAGCTGGCCAAGCTTGTCACCGCTGCATGTTCACAATAGCCATCTGATCCGGGTTAGTGTGGTGTCTTGGCTTCTTGGCATTCACGATGCAACTCACCTGATTTCCAAAGCCGTACGCAAGTTTCTTGCCATCAAAGTCCCATGATAAAGCGCAATCGGGGTCTGTTGCTGTGTGTCCATTTTGTCCGTTCGAGTGCTCGGACTCCTCCTTGATTTCCCCGGAGCCGGGTGCGGTCCACGTAGATACGGGCTCACCACCACGGTCTACGTTCCAAATGAAAAGACAGTCGTTGCTTACTGCGCCCAGAGCGTATCCGTCTGGGGAGAAGCCTCCAGCAAGAGCTGGGAGAGAGGTGCCCAGGCGTAAATGATGGACACGCTTATACTGCTTCAATTCCAGATCCACCTGCCACACATTGACACTGCCGTCTGTCGAAAATGAGGCAATCGTGACTGTAGAGGTCCCCTTTTGTGCTTGTGGTTGCGGACGTATGTCAATCGCCGTGATGAAGTCTTGGTGTGCGTTTTCAATTAGGATGTCGTGTGTGGGGATCCAGATTGCAAATTTCTCATGACTGGCTGTGACTGCCACTGACTGAGTTTCGGTTTGAATGCAGCGAATGAAGGTCCAGCCGGCCTCAGCATTGGCGGATAGATAGGTCTTGGCGAGGCGGATATCTTGGTCAACGTCGCATTGATAGACGGCTCCGTTGCCACAGGCAAATACTTGGTTGCGTCCACACCACGCCAAATCGTAGATATGACTATCGATGACTTGGGGTAGCGGGAATACATCCGGTCGGCGCTTGTCGTCCCAAAGGGCCAGTTCCGAGGATCGATCGTCCGATGCGACAATGGCCAGCTGCGGACTATCCTCTGCCCAATGCAACCCACTAATCACCCGTGGAAGGTCGGGCAATAAGTCCACCACGTTGCCATCAGGGTTGTACATGGTGACCGTTCCTTTCAAGTCACGGATGGACGCCACGGCCAATTTAGCACCGATGGCGTCCCACGCGATGGCTGATACGTAGGCGCCACTACCTTTGAGATCCAGGAACCGGTTCTGCACCGGATCTGACGCCTTAGAGAGTTTCCACAAACTGCAGAAGGTATCGCCGGCCGCCACGAGCAGGTTCGAGTCCTGAGGGTGCCAGGCTGTGGATAGCACGTGATCATCGGTCTGGAGCAAGGCGGTGTCGGGCGCCAAATCGGCGGCCTTGGCGGGGGAGATCTGGACGCCGACGCTGGGGCCGGTTGTCAAGATGGGTTCCTGAGGCACCTCTTCGGCCCCCATGCTCACATCCCCGTCGCCATCCAGGTGGTCCGGGATCGGGGAGCCGGTTTTACTTTCGGTTTTGTCGTCAACTTCCATAATTTCCTCGCTGTTAACATCTTTGCCGGTTTTTTGGCCGGTCTCGACCGGATGACCATTCGTCACGCGGTCGCGAGGCTCCGGCGCAACGGGAGGCTCGAGTTCGGGCTCATCGCGTTTTTGCAAGTCTGTTACGTCAAAAGGCTCAGGCCCGAAGAAATAGTCTGATGGTTTAGATGTGATGACGTTTCCTTCCTGGAGACCCGGAGTTAGATCATTCTCCGTAGATGAGTGCTTGGACGGGAGGGCCCCGATGAAAAGGCCTTCTGCGTCACACCGAGTGTCGCGCGAACGTACCTTGTCAATGGATGACTCCAAATTGTGGTACTGTAGACCCTTTTGGACCAGCGATACCAGCGCATGGGTTTGAATGTGACGCGCAAAAGGCAGACTCTGCGGGTCGGGGTACCATGCGCGCTGCAGTGATACGGCGGCCTCACCGTGACCTGTCGGATGTTAGCGTGGGAAGCCGGGGATGGCGCTGGGGCATTGGACCGAGCTACTCACCTGCTTCTTGAAGATACCTAGACGAGGGATTAGCGAGAAGCTGCACGGGTGGAGAGAGAGAAACGTACCGCCATATTAAGTAGTTGACGTGATGCGATGTAAGGTCGGGGTGTGCCATGATTACATGTGCGACCACCTCCAGGTGGACATGCCAGAGAAGGCGCTTCCGCAAGGGAAAGAGAAAATCAAAAGTGGAGTGCGGATGCGAGATGCGCGTCCAGGAACACGAGTCGGGGATGGGGTCCGGCAAAAGTCAGGGGTGGCTAAAGTGTTGAATAGGGTTTGGGGAGATAAAATCTCAGGGTCGAAATTCCGGGGTGATGGGCAAGGGAGAAAGAGGGTGGAGGCAGATTGCAGGTTGAAGGTTGAAGGTTGAAGGTTGCAGGTTGCAGGTTGCAGGTTGCAGGTTGAAGGTTGGAGAAGAGTTGGAGCCGGGAAGGGAAGCTAAGGCAAAGCCGGGGATCCAGGGTCGAGAGCCAGATCGATCGTGGAACACGAAACAGAGAAGTTCGAGATCGCGAAAGTGACACTCAAGCTTAAGCGCACCAGCCACTTAGAGAAGTGGGCTCCAAATCTTGAACTGCAGAGCAAATCCTCCTTGTGGCGCCCCAGGCCTTCCGTGCGACTCGCTTGTGGATCGGCGGACTCGGCACTAAGGACTGACGCCTAGGGGCTAAGAACTAGGCACGAAACAGTCAAGACTCGGGACTACAGACTACAGACTACGGACTACGGACTACGGACTACGGACTGCGGTCTACGGTCTACAGACTGAGGACTACGGACCACCAACGAAGCTGCCGTCCACAGCGGACTTCGAACGGGGGATATTCGGGCTTTCAGAGCGTGTCCAGGTCTGCTGCATGCGAACCGATGCTCTGCAGTAAAAAAGTGGAGCGGGGCCACTCCGTTTGGCTCCAACATTCCTACTTTCCTATTACCCTACTTTCCTGCTTTCCTACTTTCCTACTTATTGATCTCCAGGGTTAGAACACTCCCCCCTCCCTGATTGTACATAGCTCGTATAGACTTTACTCGCGTCACTCGTCCCCTTTCGTGCTAAATAAACAGGGGGAAAAAAGAGTCCCGGATTGGGCATCCTAAGCACGTATCGGATGAATCCCCCTAACTACAGCTCAAGAATGTCACCCCGATATGAATTTAAAGCCCATCAGTACTATGCGTATCCAGATGCGTCAGTCCTGAACTATTCTTTGGGCTCCACAAATGCATTGTCAAATCGTGGTATAGTCTCGCATCTCGCACGGGTGTAGCATCCCGGCTCAGCCCTGTGTCGTTGTCCGCCTTTCCAAGCCCGAGCTCGGCCCCCCGAATAACCCTTGGAATACCTCACCCCTCGACAACCCGGTCCGACAAGCCTGCGGTCTCGCGCCCGCGAGACAAAATGCCGCTCCGAGTCAATATCCCTCCGGCTACGCGTATCTGTCTCATCAGCTTGCTCGCCCTCTCCTTCCTTTATAACGTTGCGAGATGGCGACAACTTGACACCTCCGCCGGCAGCGTCCAGGCCACCCCGGTCATTCCCTACCTTACACTCGTTCCCTCCTTCTTCTACTACTACCCGTGGACTCTCGTCACGGCCACTTTTGTCGAGCAGAATATCTTCACCGTGGTTTTGAACGTGGCGACGGTCTTCTATGGTGCGAAGTATCTCGAGCGCGCGTGGGGTTCCCGCGAGGTCAGCAAGTTTATTGCCGCCGTCATCGTGATCCCCAATGCCGTGATTATTCCAATCTATCTCATCTGGAGTGCTGTCGCTGGCTCCCCCAGCATAGGGTAAGGTTCTTCTGCAATTGATTAGTCTCTCAGAGCTGACCGTTTCACGTCGCAGCCTCACCCAGATCTGCGGCGGTGTGGCCATCCAGGCCTCCTTCCTCGTCGCTTTCAAGCAACTCGTCCCCGAGCACACAGTCACTGTCTTCAAGGGCCTGGTCAAGATGCGTGTGAAACATTTCCCGGCTCTGTTTCTGCTCCTCAATACCCTCAGTGGCATCCTGATCGGAACAGATACCGCTGCCGTCTTGGCTTGGCTTGGCCTCCTGACCAGCTGGACCTACCTTCGATTCCACAAGCAGCAGCCTGACCTCACCGGAACTTCGATGAATGGCCTCGGAATCAAGGGCGACGCCAGTGAGACCTTTGCGTTTGCCTGCCTATTCCCCGACGTGATGCAGCCGCCGATCGCCTTCGTCGCCGATCAGGTTTATGCACTCTTCGTGGCCGTTAGGATCCTGAGACCGTTCTCCGAGGATGATATCGCCTCCGGAAACCAGCAGGTGCTAGCCCGAGGCGAAGCTGGTCTCCCAACTCTCCTCAGCCAGCGCGGCGGAGGCTCGCGAGGTGCCGGCAAACGCGAAGAGGCTGAAAGGAGACGTGCCCTGGCCCTTAAGGCCTTGGACCAGCGCCTTCAAGCGGCATCTGTGGGAGGCCCACAAGCCGGGCCGTCAGCTCAACCGCCGTCAGCACCTGTTGGCCAGAGCATGCTGGGAGAAACCAGCTACAACCCGGACAATGCATAGACCATGCATAAAATAAACAGGAGTTGTCGGTGTTTCTGGTATTTACCAAGGCTTTGGACATATTAGCATGCATAACAGGACTTTCAGCTTGACGAGCCTGCATTGATGCTCTCGTCTTTCTTTCTTGTGTATATTGCCTATCCATATTTTGTTTGGATCTCTCTTCGAATGGCCCATTTCAGCCCATGTGTGATGTCTCTCAGTCACTTTTCTGTTCCCGTTCAGCATGTATTCTTCTACGCTCGAATTTCTTCCTAGCTCTATACCAATCGTCGAGAATTGCAATCGAAGTCTCTTCAAAGTCCACTGCATCTTTTCAAATGCTCTAATATAATATCCCACAAAAATACATGGTCGTAAGGAAAACGAAAAACCAAGATGCTATATGCTACAGGTGGCTCCTTTCACCGAGGAGCCAGAGAATGGACCGACACACCAGTCCTCTTTAAGCCGTCTTAAGCTTCTCAACCTCACCACGCGCCTCGGCAAGCATCCGCTCCTGATCCTTCTTCGCCTGCCGCATGGCCTTTATACGCTCACGATCTCCAACAGCCTTCTCCGAAATAGCCTTCAACTTCTTTGCCTCCTCCTGATCCGCCTCGGAAGCAGGAACATCCTCAGCACCAGTAGACGCCTGCACCCGACTCCAGATCTCCTCCCAAGTCAAGTTCTTCAAGTCCACCACGGCAGTCTTCTCGCTGGCCTCCGGGGCCGGCGCGTGCTTGTCGGTCACCTGGGTCTTGCCCGCGACGGCACTCGCTGTGCTGCTCACTCGCTCGGCGAAGTAGATCGTCAATGCGGCCGGTCCGGCTTGGTCTTCTGTTTGTTGTACTGTCATTCGGACGCCTGGGTTGTGGTACTTCAGGCGCGGGAGGCAATTGCGCCAGAAGTGGCGGGCGCCTTGGTGGCCGCCATAGATCTTTTGCGCGTATGTGAGGTGTAGGCGGGTGACGGCTGGGAATTCTTTGCTGGCGGTAGCTAGGGTTGGGAAGATGGCGGCGCCGGTGCCGGCTCGGACTTCGAGCATCTATGGATACTGAGTTAGTGTACGTGGTCGATTGAAGTTTGGTGTGTCTGGGCCGGGGGTCGGTTCAATGTCCGGGCTTGAAGGGTTGGGAGGCATCAATGGGGAGATATGGGGGAAATTACCCTCTGAAAAGAACAAACACGTAAGATTAGCCAGATTGGTTCTCAAATGGGGCGAGCACCTGCAACTGAGGGCAAGAGAGGACAACTTACAGTCTTCAGCTTCCGCATCCGCTTGAAAAGGTTCACCATGATGGCAGGTGTCGCACAGGGGCTGGCCCTGATACGAGGTATGTGGAGGGAGTTGGAGATTTGTTCGAAGATTAAACAGTCAAAATACTGCTCAATGGCCTCACGGAGAGCTTGCGATGTGGTTTTGATGATCCGGGGAAATTTGTTGCGGAAACTCTTGCGCTGCGAAGTCTCCCGTGATATCGCTCACGTGACGCCTGATAGTGTCCAACACATTTGGTAGGTTTCGAATCGCAAGATGAAGGGTCTTGTGTAGGATTTATTTAATTTCGATGATAATTGCTTTTCTCTTAATCAAATACATAGCTCAAACTATGATACTCGATACTTAGAGACTGCAATCTCTCAATATGATAAAGCACGTGCCGTAAATTACAACCTATGAATACAGGCAAATTACAATACTGACTCACAATTCCATTTGACGGTTTTATGTCCACCCCGCGATCTTTTGTTCTATGCCCCTCGGGACTCTTGCAATCAGGGTATAACTTTTGCAGAGAACATCATGGCAGCTGCCGCCGCCGCGTCTGCTGCGCTCGATCCGAGCAACGGCACGAAAAACACCTTGAAGTTGGAAAATGTTCATCTGCCCCTCCCCCTCCATCGTTCTCCCGATTTTTTTTGGTTGCCCGTTGCTAACTGAATTTACTTCCAGACCGAGAAGCGTGACTCTTTGGTCGCAATTGAGAAGAAATACCAGGCACAATGGAAGAAGGACAAGGTCTTCGAGGTCGACGCTCCCTCCTTCGACGAGGTGCCCCAGGGCTCCATGTCCGCCGCCGAGCTGCGTGAGAAGCACCCCAAGTTCTTCGGTACTATGGCCTACCCCTACATGAACGGTACTCTCCACGCCGGTCACAGTTTCACTGCCAGTAAGGTTGAGTTCATGACCGGTTTTGCCCGCATGGAGGGCAAGCGTGCCCTCTTCCCCCTCGGTTTCCACTGCACCGGTATGCCCATTAAGGCCTGTGCCGATAAGTTGCGCGACGAAGTGAAGTGGTTCGGTCAGAACTTTGAGGGCTACAATGAGGAAGAGGAGGCTGCCACTCCCGCGGCGCCTACCCAGGAGTCCAAGCCGGAGGTCAAGGAGCAGGCTGAGAAGTTCTCTGGAAAGAAGAGCAAGGCCGCTGCTAAGACCGTCAAGATGAAGTACCAGTTCCAGATCATGCTGGCTATCGGTGTCCCCCTCGAGGATATTCACAAGTTTGCTGATGCCAATCACTGGCTCCACCACTTCCCTCCCCTCGCCATCCGTGATCTCGACAGCATGGGTGCTCGCGTCGACTGGCGTAGACAGTTCGTCACCACTGACGCCAACCCTTACTACGATGCCTTCGTTCGCTGGCAGATGAACCGCCTCCACGAGCTGGGCAAGATTATGTACGGTAGTCGTTACACCATCTACTCGCCTAAGGACGGCCAGCCCTGCATGGACCACGACCGCACTGAGGGTGAGGGTGTTGGACCCCAGGAGTACACTGCTCTTAAGCTTCAGGTCAAGGAGTGGTCTCCCAAGCTGGCTGAGGCCATCAAGGGTAAGATCGAGGACGATGCCAAGGTTTACTTTGTTCCCGCTACTCTGCGTCCCGAGACCATGTACGGTCAGACCAACTGTTTCGTTGGTCCCAAGATCAAATACGGTCTGTTCAAGCTGAAGGAGAAGGAGTACATCATTGTCACCAAGCGCGCGGCTTGGAACATGGCTTTCCAGGGCCACTTCTTCGACAACGATAACTTCCCCAAAACCCAGGACCAGCTTCCTATGGTCTATGAGGCTCCTGGCTCTGACTTCGTTGGTACTCTTATCAACGCTCCCCTCTCTTTCCACACCGAGGGTGTCTACATTCTGCCCATGGAGAGTGTCTCCGCTGCCAAGGGTACTGGTGTCGTGACTTCTGTCCCCTCGGACAGCCCCGACGACTATGCTACTCTGATGGATCTGCAGAAGAAGGCCGACTTCTACGGCATCAAGAAAGAGTGGGCCGAGAAGGAGATCCACCCTCTGATCGAGACCCCCACCTACGGCAACTTGACTGCTCCTACTCTGGTCAAGCAGCTGAAGATCAACTCTCCCAAGGATGTTACCCAGCTTGCGCAGGCCAAGGACCTTGCCTACATGGAGGGCTTCTACAAGGGCACCATGCTGGTTGGCGAGTTCAAGGGCGAGTCTGTCAGCGAGGCTAAGGACAAGGTTCGCAAGTCTCTTTACGACAGCGGCGATGCCTTCCCCTTCGCCGACCCCATGGGCAAGGTTGTTAGCCGCAGTGGAGATGACTGCGTTGTCGCCTACCTCGGCCAGTGGTTCTTGAACTACGGTGAGAACGATGCCAAGTGGCAGGCTGATACCCTGAACCACGTTGTCAGCGATCTCAACACCTACTCGCCTGAGGCCCAGAACGGTTTCGAGAAGAACCTGTCCTGGCTCAACCGCTGGGCTTGTGCCCGTACTTACGGTCTTGGATCTCAGCTTCCCTGGGACAAGCAGTTCCTGGTTGAGTCTCTGTCTGACAGCACTGTCTACATGGCCTACTACACCATTGCCCACCTTCTGCACGGTGACCGCTACGGAAAGACTGTCGGTTCCCTGAACGTGACTGCTGAGCAGATGACCGATGAAGTCTGGGACTACATCTTCTGCCGTCGGGAGATCAGCGATGAGCTGGTTTCCAAGTCCGGTATTAACAAGGAGGCTCTGCAGAAGATGCGCCGCGAATTTGAGTACTGGTACCCCCTGGATGTCCGTGTCTCCGGCAAGGACCTGATCCAGAACCACTTGACCTTCTTCCTGTACATCCACGTCGCTCTCTTCCCCAAGGAGTACTGGCCCCGTGGTATCCGTGCTAACGGCCACTTGCTGCTGAACGGAGAGAAGATGAGTAAGAGTACTGGTAACTTCCTTACTTTGAAGGACTCCGTCGACAAGTTCGGTGCCGATGCTACCCGTATCGCTTTCGCCGATGCCGGTGACAGCATTGAGGATGCCAACTTCGAGGAGTCTGTTGCCAATAGCAACATTCTGCGTTTGTTCACCCTTAAGGATTGGATTGAGGAGATCTCCAAGGATGAGACTCTCCGCACCGGCCCTGCTGATGCCTTCGCCGACAAGCTCTTTGACAACGAGCTCAACGCTCTGGTCCGCGAGACCCAGAAGCACTATCGCGAGTAAGTTCTTAATTATTGAAACTTATCTTGAAGTTGTTCGCTAACCCAGTTTTAGTACTGATTTCAAGCTTGCCTTGAAGTCTGGTCTCTATGACTTTACAAGTGCCCGTGACAGCTACCGTGAGATGGCCACCGCCGCCGGTGTCGGTATGCACAAGGACGTTATCCAGCGCTACATTGAGCTGCAGGCCCTCATGCTTGCCCCTATCGCTCCTCACTGGGCCGAATACGTCTGGCTTGAGGTTCTCAAGAAGGTAAGCCTCGTATCCTCCACCATTGAAAACACATCTAACATCCGCCAGTCCTCGTCCATCCACCACGCCAAGTTCCCCACTGTGCCTGAGTCCTCGCCCGAGTTGACCGCTGCTCAGCAGTACGTCCGCGGCACTTCCTCAAGCATTCTCTCCTCGGAGGCCATGTTCGTCAAGCGTCTGTCCAAGGGCAAGACCGTGAACTTCAACCCGCGCGATCCCAAGAAGCTCACCATCTACGCTGCCAAGAAGTTCCCCGCCTGGCAGGAGAAGTACATCGACCTCGTCCGTGAGGCCTTCGACGGCCTCAACCTTTCCTTTAATGACAAGGAGCTCAACGGCAAGGTCGGCAAGCTCGGTGAGATGAAGAAGGCCATGCCCTTTGTTCAGACTCTCAAGCGCCGTCTGGTGCAGGCCCGCGAGGACCCCACGACTGTCTTCGAGCGCAAGCTGCCCTTCGATGAGTTCGCTGTTCTCGCTGAGATGGTTGATGGTCTGAAGCGCACGGCTGGATACAAGGAGATTGAGCTCGTTGCTCTTGATGAGGGTGGTAAGTCTGGTGAGGTTGTTGGTACTGGTGAGAAGCGGGAGGGTCTCTCGGCTGAGAATGCTGTCCCTGGAAACCCTACCTTCCAGTTCTCCAACGTTGCTGCTTAGACTTGGTCATTCTTGGGCGTAAATGATCTTTCTTTTGTTAAAGAGTCATGTTTGATGAGCTTATGCTGAAAAATAAATAAATGCATTTCATGGTTCTAGTATTCTGGCATCGAAGTTGAGCGTAGCCCTTTATCTAAATGTCCTTGGAGCGAAGACTATCAAGCTTGAAACAACCATCTTGGAGATATCTTCGTCCGAGGTCTGCTCGTGATCGGCAAATTCAAGATCCAGTCGCGGGCTTCAGAACACTCAACAGTCTGCAAGGAGCATTATAAGATTAGCATTTGTCGACAAAATGAGTGAAAACTCGCAAGAAATAACAGTACTAGCCTTCTGAGTCCTTCCTTCAACGCACTCTCATCCTGCGAAAACACCAACCTAAACCAGCCAGCATCCTTCCCATGCTCCTCACCAGGATGCAGAAAGACACCAGCATCAAGAAATCTCTCCGCCAGGGCAAACTCCTGTTCTCGGATAAAGTCACCATCGGGCAGGAAAGGCGATAGATCGACGTAGATGAAGAATCCGGCATTTCTGAAAACCTTAAGCGAACATCCTGGTTAGTGGTGTATATTGACTTACCCTCCCTTGACGTAGTTGATCCCAGCCCGGTCCAGTGTGGACGTGGCCATTTTGTAGCTCGCCGCTAGGCTTTCCCTTGTTTTGGCAGTGAACCTTTCGACGAAGGGTTGGTCTTCTAGAATGGCTATTCCGATTGTAACGGCTGCCTGGGATGGGCTGTGGAACCGCCTGCACTGGAGTTAGCTTACTTGCGCGTGTAGAGAAGTAATATTGCCTGGCTCATAGATCAGGATCAGAGACAAAACATACGAACACATCTTGCATGCTAAACGCAGTTGCTCGTTCTGAGTTACCAAGAATCCAAGGCGAAGGCCACCAGAGGCAAAGTCCTTGTCGAATTAGTGTCATCGGAATGATTTGGGAACGATGTCTTCCTACCTTGCTGAAGCCATACAGAACATGCACAAGGTTAGGGTCTATGAGATTTTTCAAGTCTAATGAAAGAATCGAGGTAAACGGAACAGCTTCGGGATCACCGGTCTCAAAGACACAGGATGCATAAACCTCATCACTGATCAGGTGAAGCTTATGCCGATCACAGAATCGGGCGATATGCTTCAACGTCTTGACCGGATAGCAGCGACCTGGTTTGAACTCGAGATGAGCGCCTAATCATACCATAGCTCCAACAAGTCTTCAAAAGGGTGAAAAACTTACCAACAGGATTATGAGGATTCACAAGCAGAACTGCCCGAATAATCACTCCTCGCTCTTTGGCATCCGCCAAAGCCTGCTCATACTTCTCTACAATATCAGGCATAAACGCCACTTCCGTGTCAGTGTCGGCATATACAATTTCAACGCCTGCTTCAATACCGTAGTCTAGCTCGAAGCGACCGTATACTGGCCTGTTGACGAGTATGCCTTCGCCTGGTGCTGCGAGGTTGAAACCTAGCATGCTACCCATTGAAGTTGGGCAATCGGCGACGAAGACATCTTCTGGTTTGATTGATGTATGCGAATTCAGAGCTTTACTCATGTGAGCGGCTGCGACACCAGGGAGACGGGCGTTGAGGACTGTAGTTGAGCGGTAGCTTATGGAGTCCAGTGTAAAAACAACCTAAGATATGTTATAGTTCCATCACGGAGTTCGAGACCAGCTTGTCAATACCTTCTCATTGATGAACTTGACAATTTCTGCTCTCATCGGTCTCTGAAGCTTTCTTTAGTGTTGAGATTGCCTGATGGCGGTAGGTACATACATTCTCCGCAAATCCAAAGGAGATGAGTCCCTTTGGATTCGTCTCGGGGTCATAGTCTGGCGTAGGCGCAAAGCGCCAGGGGCGACCAAGCTGCTCGATGTTTTTGAGCGCACGCGATGATAGCATGTTGGCGTAAGACTTTGCGGCGTGTCTAAGTCAGACAATACTTGATCAAGAAGCGGTGACGATACCGAGATCAACCAAGTACTTTCCTTATCTGATCTTCGATTTTAAATCGAGAGATCAAGAAGAAAGACGCTCCGGAGATACCACCAGCTAGTTTCAAAAACGTCAAGAGGCCTTTTACGTACTGGGAGCAATAGAGCGTTGAGGTTGGAAGAGTGTAAGACGCAAGGTACCTGAACCTGTTTTGGGGGCGGTTCCCCACAGCGGCCGAGACGACGATGCCATCTGGACACAAGCTGACGAATATCACAACGTAAGCCATGAGAGAATATTCAGGTAATGGAGATTGATGTATAGATACAAAAGTTGTCTGCAAATGGAAACGCCACGCTATGCCACATAGTATACACTTCTTACACGTCCATCAAGCTAGATCCCAACGAGCTTAACTATACCGGTAACGCAGACGCGGCCTCTTGCGCTTATCTGCCTTCTTCTTCTCTGCAATGAAATTCCAACATTCAATCGGTGGTCGAGATCCAATGTGTTTCCCCTCGGGAGTAAACACCTCAATCTGGGGATATGAGGGGGACTCGGTCTCCGAATTGCGCTTAGCGCGCACTTGCACACTGACTTCCACCCAGCCGCAGCCTTCAATCAGGATGTCGGCTGACATCACTCGGTACGGGAGCGGAGGGATGGGAATCTTCTTGTCTTTGACAGCCTTTGCGACTGAGTCGGGGAGGTTGGAAGCGGTGATATCCCATTCGAGATCGAATTTCCCTGCCGAAGCAATAGAGCTACCGGTGCCTTCTTTCATGAGAATCTTTCCTGAGTAAGGTCGTTGTTCGTTTTGCATTTCAATCGCCTTGTCAGTCTTTGTAATGTGGCTCTCGATGGGCACGAAACAAGCGGCCAAAACAGTGTCCTCGGGATTAACGGGTGTAATGCGCACGAGACCACCACCAAGAAGAAGAGACTGGCCAGGTTTGATGGTACAGCGCTCTGGCTTGACTCTCTTGACCATGATAAGATCACGTTTATGGTCGTCACGGACAAAGTCCTCAAGCTGACCACGTTCCATTCCTGGTAGGTCGATCATTTCACCCTTTCCACGGCCGAATGGAATACGAATGGGCGAAACAGTTGTTCCTGGCAGCGAGGAAATGACCGGTAGCACTGGAAATGCATCTTCACGAGGTGCAGGAGGAAGGAGACTGTCAGGAGAAATGAGATCAAGGAAACCGGCCTGTCCGTGTTTCGAGACCTCATTCTCTTCTCGTTGTTGATGGATCCACTCAGCCATGTTCTCCATATTCCTTGAGTTCTTGGGGTAGCAGGCTTCGATGAAGCTACTCTTCCCCACATTAGCCTTGCCAACAACCCAAATTCCTCCACCGTGCTTGTATATTTCCTCCTTAACTTGCTTCGTCCACCAGCCACGACGCGCACTGATCATATGGACGTTACCCAGACGAACATCTTTCCCGGCTTTCCCCAATGACTCGCGGAGTATTGAGCGAACGTATTCCATCTTCGAGTCAACTTGATCCTTTGTCGCAGCCAGCAAGTCGGAGCGCGTGATGATAAAGTTGAGGGTGGCCAACTTTTTTCCCCCAATGTACTTTTCATTTGCGGCTCTTCGGTTTCGAGATCGTTGTTCCTGGAGCGATAGTGCCTGGTGTATGCGCGGGATCAAGGACATCGGGAAATCTGCAGCATCGACAATATGATAGACACAGTTGTCTTTGTATGGCGACTCGTTCAGGAACTCTCGGATGGCAAGGATCGTCGGTTTGGGCGCGGAGACTGCCTTGTTGTGGTGAATCAAATCATGACATCGATCACAAACCTGGTTGATTTGCTTTTGCGACTCAGTCGAAGGGATCGGGGAAGATTGGAACCACTCGTCTGGTAAAGCTCCACCTAGTTCGATGAGTCAGTCATCATGAACCGGACGCGATGTTTCTGCTGTCGGCTTACCTTGGATAGGCTTGGGAACCGTAGACTCTCCGGTAAGATACGCAGAATCCTGAACTGAACTATCTTGGGTACTTGAGACGGCCACATCCTCCGAGTCTGTAATTTGCTGCTCTGTGTCGTCTTTCTTGGACGGCTTTCGTCTCTGCTTGCGACTCTTGCCGTAATAGCCTGGCTCGTCCGATTCGATCGTCTGGGAGAATGCACCGCATCCCGGACAGCAAACAGGGAGAATATCGACTAGGTTCTGGATAGATGCTTCGGATTGTAGGCAACGAGTGGTCGAAAAAGCACGGTGGGGAGTAGTGGTCTGTTGCCCGACATTAATGGAGTTGATCGAAGACAACTTCCTCGTAAAACAGAATCGTAGATAGAGAGTAGGTGTTAAGGGTCGAGAATATGCTCGAGATGGCAATCTTAACACGTCAAGCCTCAGGGCTCGCGCAATCGCGCCCCGAGAAGAAAGCGACATGGTTGACGTGCAAGTTTGCGGAGTTCGCGCGGAGCTTTTTTCTGCTGGAGCCGCTTATCGATAGCGCTAATTTTCCGCAACAATGACCCGCTTTGTTCTACGTGGTTCTACAAACTTGTTCTCTGAAAACTTTGGATATTGTAAGGGAAAGATCCTGATATTAGGCCTTGAGAAACAAGGTGTGAAAATATCGATATTGATACAATGATGCTAGAACCCAGATACGCTTGAACCCCATGAAGCATGAATAAACGCCATCATAAACCGTAGACCAAAAGCCTTTATTTTGAGGATCTTGAAGGTCAAGCTTACGCGCACGCCTTGCCCTTGCCCTTGCCTGTGGATTCCTCCTCTCCTTCATCAGAGTCACTCATGAACTCATCATCATCGTCGAATCCGATAAAGCGGCGAGGTGCAGCTTTTTGTACGGGTGCAGAGGGACCAGCAACAGCTGAAGATAAAGTGTTCTCTTCGTCATCCTCGTCTTCATCGGAGGTAGACGATTCCGCGTGTTCGCTGCCTTCGCTGGCACTAGTGCTGGACCCGCCCAGGACCGCGTCGCGAAGGCTATCAGTCCATGAGTCGTCCTTCATAGCGGCCATGACGGCTTCGTGGAGCTTCTCAGTCATTTCCTCCTTGTCCTCCATCCACTGGCCATCGACCTTTTGCTTTCCGCCACCGTTCTTCAACTCCTCCTGGCGCTTTTCTGCCATATCAACGACAGCTTGCCACCGGCGACGGCGCTCTTCCTTGTCCTTCTTGTCCATTTCAGGTTTGACTGCGAGGTACTCCGCGAGAGCCTTTGCCTCGTTGACAGTGCGCAGCCGACGGCCATCGAGGTTGCGACTCGAGCTGTTGTTATCACCCTGGTTGCGCTTGCGCTTGCTAGACATGCGGCCACCAGCGGCACGCAGCTGCGATCCGAAACCACCCTTACCGCCGCATAGGGGAACGGAAAGGCGGAGAGGCAGAAGTGTCGAGCTACCGGAGTCACCATCACGGGCGGTCAAGAGTGATTGCAAAGTATCAGCAGATGAGGTTATCTGCCTGTTGTCGGTAGTAGTAAGGATAAGAGACTGGAGGGAGAGCGAGGATGGAAGGTAGGATGCGACCTTCTCGGTCAGGTTGGAGATGCTGGATGTCGAAGGCAAGGCGAAAGAGAGGGTGGGTGGCAGCGACAGTCCAGGAAAGGATGACAGAAGAACGTTGACGTTAGACGACGCCATCTTGAATGATGTTTTGTGAATGATCTTCCGTTTAAAAAGCTGTGGATAAGCCGGGACAACTTGACGGTCGCGAAGATAAGATGGCGACACTGGCGATTGAATACCACGTGACCATAAGATTAATGACTCAGCATACTAAGTCACCTGACTGTCATGAGCAGGGCGTTAGGGCTCACACCCTAGCGAAGACCCCGAAAGGGAACGCACTTTTCTCGCGCCGCAGCTCCACTCTCTATTCTTTAAATCACCCATCTTTCCTGACGTTGTCAAAGCGATTCCACGAATTGCGCCAGGAACTCGCGACAATGTATGTTTGCAGCCCTATACCCTTTCTTTTGAATTCTCACTAACAATATCCCAGGCTTATCCCTAAGGACGACCGCAAGAAGATCCACGAGTACCTCTTCCGTGGTATGTAGCGACTGCCCTCGCCGGCTTCCTAGCCTACCCAGCGTCATTGCGCATGAGCGACTTCGAACAAATTGACTGACTATGGATCTTCAGAGGGTGTGCTCGTGGCCAAGAAGGACTTCAACCTTCCCAAGCACGGTGACATTGACACCAAGAACCTCTACGTAAGATGCGCCTCGACATCGTCGGCTTCCCGAACATTTTCGCTAATACGCCTTCTCCTTTAGGTCATCAAGGCTCTTCAGTCTCTTGACTCCCGCGGTTTCGTCAAGACCCGCTTCTCGTGGCAGTACTACTACTACACCCTCACCCCCGAGGGTCTGGACTACCTCCGCGAGTGGCTCCACCTCCCCGCTGAGGTTGTCCCCGCCACCCACATCAAGCAGCAGCGTTCCCACGCTCCCCCCCGCGGCATGATGGGCGGTGAGGAGCGCGGCGAGCGCCGTCCCCGCGTTCCCCGCGAGGGTGGCTACCGCCGCCGCGAGGAGGGTGGCAAGGAGGGCGGTGCCCCCGGCGAGTTCGCTCCCTCTTTCCGTGGTGGCTTCGGCCGTGGCCGTGGTGCTCCCCAGTAAAGGAGAGATCTTGGTGTCCTGTCATCCACTGCTCGGTCATCCTAGGGACTGATGTTGTCGGATTCGGTGCGCGGTAGGTCCCAAGAAATTGGGTTCTGAAAGGCATTGTTATCTGGCCCATCTTACACGGCCCCTTGTTTCTGAGGCTTGGGGATACGGAAAACAAAAAAGTTAAATGAGATCACTGGCTTAATGATGTAGCTAGACTCAATGGCAAACTCATGACCTCAGTGCTTTACGCTTCACCGTAGACCACCTGCAAGATCGTATTGTTTATTCATGTGCACTTGGCGCCATCCGATAGCTTCGATCTATGTGAATCTCTTCCGATCATATCGCACGACGGCTTGCAGGATCACCGATGCTCCAGTGGCGCAATCATTTGCTGAGCAGAATTCCTCAGGATGATGGCTCAACCCATCCTTACATGGAACAAAGATCATGCTCGTGGGAACTCTCTTCGAGGTAAATACGCTGTCATGACCAGCACCACTCATGATGGGACGGACCAGTGACTTTGTATCTGCCACCGGAGCATCCGCAACAACGGCATGGGCTGAGTCTTGGACACAACTGATACAATCCTCGTGGAATTTCACGGCAGGTGAGTCAAAATCAAGTGTCCACTCAACACGGCACGGCTTCCCAATACCAGCGCCTTCTTCAGCTGCAATGGCGTCAAAGTCCTTGCGCAACTCTTTCTCTACCTCGGCCACCAGCTCGGTTTCTGGACCACGGATGTCCAAGCTAAAGCTCACTGTGCCGGGAACGGTATTGACACTGCCAGGCTTCGCCTCGATAATACCCACACTGGCAAGGCATCCTCGAGATTTGGCTACTTCTCGGGCTCTGACCATCATGCAGGAAAATGCATACAGTGCATCTGCGCGGTGTTCGAAGGCAGTCGTCCCCGTATGGGTATCCCTTCCGATCACATTCAATCGATACCAACGATAAGCCTGGACTGCTGTGACCACACCAACTCGCTGACCGGCCGATACAAGATGCGGGCCTTGTTCAATATGTAGCTCGAAGTGCGCCGCCATTGGTGTTGCCTTATATGAGCATGGAACACTGCCCAAGTAGTCGATCTTCTGTAGGGCACTCTTCATTGTCTCCGGGGCGGAAGCCGCTGTGGGCAAGGATGCAACTGTCGGCACCTCCTTGAGGTCGTGGGCTTTGGCTAGCGGGATGCACTCTGCCCAAACGCCTGAAGCGATCATGCTAACCGGAAATCGAGCCCCCTCCTCACTGAGATAGTGTTAGCGGATTGCTTCTGAGCATGAATGCCCTTCATTCTTACTTAGTCCAGTTGACAACCCCAACACCTCCCTCTGTTTCAAGACCCATTTCATCCATTCGCTTGAGAGCCTCAACGCCGGACAAGACACCCAGAATTCCATCATAGCGACCTCCTGTGGGTTGAGTGTCGAGGTGACTTCCGATGAAAGTGGCCGGAACATCTGTCCGCTTGCCAGGACGCACGGCGAAAATATTGCCCATCTCGTCGACGGTGATCTGACATTTCAGATCTTTCATGGTTTGAATGAACCAATCTCGAACGCTCTTGTCTTCCTCGGATAGAGCAAGACGCTGCATACCAGTATCCGTCGATCCATCCCCCCATCGAATACCATATCCCCATTGACACGAGTGGTGAAGGTCTTTAGCCAATCGCTCTTTGTTAACCCGCAGTGCTGATACGTCGGCTTCAGATAACTCGGTGGTCAACATGGCGTGATAATGTGACGTCGAGAAAGGCTTGATAAGAGGCTTGCGGAAAGTTGGGTTTGGTACAAGGTGCGACAGTCTAGAAGTTGGCCTTGCTAAGGTCGCTCGCAGTGAATTCATCCCTGCCATGGTGGAACGTGGATAGTTTTTTTATAAAGGGATTACTCCAAATATGAGCTCGGTATTGTAATTGATAAGAGAGCGGGGAATGCAGCGGACTTTCTCCGCCCTTGACAGCGTTGCCGATATACATATGGAGTACAGTCCCCGCATTGGAGTAGGTGGAGTAATCCCAGTTTCTCCATTTCTGTGCTCAGACCTCATCCTCTACAGAACCATTTAGCCATGTACATATTTCCCGACAACCATGAGACCTCTTGTCGTTCCACCCCTTAGTCAACACAAGTTCAACTGTACCCGAGCCTCATCCCTCGAGCATTCCCCGTCATCCTTTTCAATCTTGGCCGGGATTGGTTTGTTTGCCAGAGGAGTTAACCTAAAACCGTGTCTACGATCTCCAACGGGGTAATCAAGAGTCTGCGAGTGATTGGTGACTCGCTGATCCCATACAAGCACGGTACCAGCTTCATAACGGATCCGACAAGAGAAATCTTGTCGTTTGGCGATGTGATCGAAAAGGAACCTGAGGATGCAGTCCGACTCCTCCTGGTCAAAGCCGACGATTTTCTTCGTGTAAACTGGGTTAACATCTAACAAGTCATTGTTAGAGCCGATAAACGTGTGAGAGAATGCCCGAGAAATACTTACAAAGGGCTTTCTGCTTCGTAACAGGATGAACAAGTACAACGGGGTGTTCAGCCCGAAGCACTCCGCGCCGCATCACGGCTTGTTGACCGTGCTTGAGCTCTTGACTGACACCGTCATTATTTGTGTGGATGGCTGTCAGGCCTTCAAGGCGCTTTCGAAAGCGAGGCGAGAGACTGCTGTATGCCCTAACGCTTGAACTCACAAGAGTGTCTCCGCCAGCGGTAGTTGGGGACTCGAGCATAGCAATGAAAGTGGTTCCAGGGGGTTGCTGCTCGGGACTCTGGTCTGTGTGCCATTGAACTGGGCTACGACCGGCCCAAGATTGGCGGACTCGGAGATCACTTGGAACAGTGTTAGTTACGTTGGACTTGTAGCGTTCGCGAAGGATTAACTATCCTTACTCTTTGTGATCGTAGATAATCATGTGCTCTTCAGATCCCGCAGCAGGATGAGGGGCCCAACCGTGAATGTGCAGAGGACCAAAATGGCTGACAAGTTTCTTCTGTGCCTCAAAGCCAATATTCACAAAATCTTGATCGCGGAATACCAAAGCACCTCTCTGCGCAGCAAGAAGGGCGATTTCATCCAAACCGGCGCTGTCGAGTTGAGAGAGCTGAACTCCATGAACCTCAGTTCCCACATGAGGGGATAGGTCCCAGACCTTGGTCGCGTTTTTCAAAAGATTGGGCAACTTTGGATCAGCGCGGTGACCAGGATCGAAATGCTCGAAAGCACCAATGTCCTCTACCTTCTCGAGAGGATCATAGAACGCTGTTCAATTAAAGTTTAGCCTTCGCCCCACGATTCTCATAAAAAGATTTCATCATATCTGGACTGACGCATGTAATCAGGATACAGAGGGTCGCCATTCTCCTTCTTCTCTCGTGTGATTGTGCCCGGGGTGATGACTGTAGTGCTCGACATTCTGTCGCTGACTCAAATAATCGCCGTTTGGCCTAATTTGATGGTCCAGCTCAGTCTATAAAGCTTATATAACCCTGTAGAAGAATAACTAGAATAATGAATCTAGGTGCCGGTATTTCGCATTCTACGACTCGAGTATCAATCACACTGATAGAGTTGGCCGCTCGGCAGCTCGGCGAAGCTCCGATAAACCCTATACATTCCTTATCAGCGCTATCCTTTCATAGCGGCCAAAGGATAGAGACCAATAGAGTCACATTTAAATCAGGTTATTCTTGTTTGCTATAGCTGCAGTGAACTTTGATGATTCATGCCCGATAGGACAAGCCCCAAGCACTTGTACACAGTATCAGATCCAACCCACCACCTACTTTTTATCTTCTGGGAGATATCATGCTCTAGGCTTGGAGAGATAACCAAGAGAATTCTCAGAGTCTCTTTAACCTCCATTTCCCTCGCGATAGATAAATTCAGAGTCGAGGTAAAGATTAATTTCTGATAGATATCTCACTATGGAATCGGCCAATTCTTCGTCACCATCTTCGATGACTGACACGGAGAAGAAAGGCGACGCAGTGGCTACCGTGACCGATGAGAACTCAGCAGCGGAGTACCAACGCTTTCTTCACCTTGAGAATGTGTTTAGCGGGGCTTCAAGGAAGAAACTTCTGAGGAAATGTAAGACTTGTGCAACGATGGAATGCCCCATTGCTCACTTTGAACTCAGTGGACTTACGCCTACTTCCAACACTGAGTTTTCTCTACTTGATGTGCTCGCTCGATAAGTCCAATGCAGGGAATGCCAAGGTAAGCTCAAGTTTTACCGTTTAGAATGTATTCCAAAAACTAAAAACTTTCATCTATAGCTATTCGGCCTCCTAGAGGACCTTGGCATGAGTGGTACCCAGTATAACCTGGCCCTTATGTACTTCTTTTTCACCTACGGACTCGCCGAGCCCGTATCCAATATCATGCTTCGAAGAGTTGGTCCTAAGATATGGTTTCCTTTCATTGTATGTGCATGGGGACTTATCACAACTCTCACCTCGCAAGCAAGCTCTTATGCTGGCTTCATTGTCATCCGTCTGATGCTAGGAATTACCGAGGCTGGTCTCTACCCAGGAGCCTACTTCATTCTCTCCATGTGGTATACACCGAAGGAGATCGGCACGCGCATGGCCATTTTCTACGGTGCGAACACCACCGCAGGTGCCTTTGGCGGTGTCATTGCCTACGGTGTCGGGTCTCTTGATGGAAATCTTGGCTGGAGAGCCTGGAGGTGGCTCTTCCTCATTGAAGGATGCATCACCATCTTTGCCGGGCTTTTGTGCCTGTTTTGCTTGCCGTGAGAGCTCTAAATCCTCATTACTTTCATCAGAAAGCAGACTAATTGGACATTGGCAGCGCGTTCCCTCATCAATATCAAGCAGACAAAAGTACCAAATGGCTTACTGACGAGGAACTTGAATACGCTTCTCTCCGTGTCAAGTATGCCAATGGCCCGGTGTCATCCACTTATACCTTCCGCTGGAGTGATGTGATCTCGGCTGCAAAGGATCGGAAAACCTATTTCATGTCAGTCAAATCTGGAATTTAATTGACCGCTTATAGCTAATTTTCCTCCAGGATGATGCTTTTTTGGTGGGGTGGTTCCGTGCCTACGTACTCCCTGTCTTACACTTTGCCCACTATGGTCGCAAACTTGGGATATACTGCGGTAAAAGCGCAAGCCCTAACCACGCCTCCATACATATTTGCCACATGCGTTTGCGTTGCCGTTGGATACATCAGCGATCAAAAGCAGCAACGTTATCTATGCATTATGAGCGCCTATACCCTAGGTCTGGTGTAAGTTAATCTTTACCAAGATAGAGGATCACGCTAATTGAGATAATTTAGTGGTATCATCATTTTGTGGATCACAGTTCACTACCCTTCTCTCCCCGGCGTGAGCTACTTTGCAATCTTCTTGGCTGCGGCTGGATACGCGGCGCAAGCTCCTATTGTAAGTTCACTTGTGAACTCTAAGTTTGAAATCTCGACTGACCATTGAATGCAGGTTGGCGCATGGACAAGTTCAAACATCACAAATCCGTCCAAACGAGCCGCTGCTATTGGTCTTCTGATGCTCTTCGGCAGTGTCGGCGGTGGCAGTATTGGGTCGAACATTTATATTTCTAGCGAGGTCAGTTGGTCTAGAAATCAAATATCGCGAATTTGGCTAACACCTCGTAGGCGCCTACTTATCCTCTTGGATTTGGCTTCTCAGTTGGCGCAACTGTGGTTGGAGCTATGATCCCCGCTACAGCACACTGGTATTTGATGCGCAAGGAAAACAAGCGACGGGATGGATTGGATGTTGCTGAAATTGAGAGAACATACACCACCGAGGAGCTAGGAGAGATGGGAGAGAACAGTCCGTTGTTCCGATTTGTGCTATAACATTTATTCTAGATGACAAATTGCTTAAACATTTGAAAACATCGTTACCACATACTTATTCCAAAAAGGCTTTTCTGCATATGTAAAAGAGGAAATTTTAGGGACTGAAAGTCAGGATATCAATGGTTCAGTTTTGATATGTATCAAAGATTTACATCCCACCCTCCAAAAGATTGTTAATTCTAGATCACATAATTTAAATCTAGCATGAAACAAAGCCCCACAATGCAAATGTAGGGTCGATGAGAACTGATTGAGGGTACTATACCCACATAGATAACGGCATCTTGTGGAATGTCACTATCGATTCGATAAGCTGCGCGCGCCAAGCAGGTCTGCCGCACTCAAGATCTCGCCCAAGCTTCCTATCTTTGCTTCACCTTTATCGGCTGTATCCAGATATCTTGATTAGAAAAAGCCTTAATTTCAATGTCAAAAAGGGGTGAAGAGGAGAGAACAGATTAAACATTATCCTTGGCCGAAGACTTCCTAACAGATACTTTGTCACGCACCCTTGAACATCAGCCACCAAACATGCGGCCACTACCTACGGGAATCTATACGCCTTTGCCGTGTTTCTTCGGCGATAATGAGGATATTGGTGAGACTGAAATGATATGAATGGAATTATAAGGTAGCTGATGTGATGTAAAGATATCGAGGCTTTCCAAAGACATGTGAAATGTATGGGCATAGAGGCCAATAGAGCTGTGCCAATCATTAACGAGGTTGAAAGTTATTGCGAATGCCGGAACCATACCAGTAGTGTCTGGGTCTATGGGCGAGGCTATTCATTTGGTGATAATCATTCTTCCAGAACAATAAGTCTTCAATACTAATGGATTATTTAATTCCAGAACCGCGAAGAGAAGAAGACCCTTATACGATTTGCTCGTGTCGCTCTAGATGAGGTGAATCTGCAGGACATTCCAATTGTCGCAGGTGCGGGAGGAGCTAGTACCCGCGAGTCTATTCAACTTTGCAAAGATGCTGCAGAAGCTGGCGCAGATTATGTGATGATTATACCGCCAGGGTACTATGCCGGAGCCCTTTTAGCGGATACCACCTCGATCAAGAAGTTTTTCGTGGATATCGCAGAGGCATCACCTTTGCCAGTGTCTGTATTACACCGGTCTTCAGAATGACAGGCTTCTGACACCTTGTAGCATCATATACAACTTTCCCGCCGTGTCAGGAGGAATTGACATGGATAGCGATCTAATTGTGCAGATCATCAAGTCTTCCGGCAACGTTTGCGGCGTAAAATTGACGTTCGTTTTCATTCTTCACTTCACTTCAATTTGGCTAACGCAGCCCTGCAGATGCGCCAATGTGGGCAAGTTGACTCGAATCATGGCTCAAGTTTCGAGACCAGGATTCCAAAGCGCTTTCCCTCGGTCGTCAGCATCCCCCTTTCGGGCCATCGATGGTTTTATTGACTTCTTGCTACCATCCATCTCCGTTGGATCAGCGGGCGCAATCAGTGGCTTGCCAAACATAGCACCGGTAAGCGTCTGTAATGATTTGGATACAATAGGCGAATAGCTGACGAACAGTCAGAGATCCTGCGTGAGACTGTGGGATCTGTGCCAAGACAGCGAGTCCAGCAAAGAAGCAACTGAGTTACAGAACTTGATTGCTCTTGCCGATGGAGTGGCATTAAAGATTGGCGTGAGTGAACTTCTGAGACAATTTGATAGTTCCCGATTTTTATGCTGAGATTACTGTAGATTGCGGGGATGAAGAAGTTGTTGCATCGTCACTTTGGGTATGGAGATAGACCTCGGCTGCCACTGTTGCCAATGGACGACAATGTGGCGGACGCAGCTCTATCGAGTCCGCATCTGAAAGCATTGTTGGATTTAGAGGCCACACTCTGAAGGGAATAAGCAGTAATAAAGTCAAAATCTCCGCGGTCCAAAGTCTGAGCCTGCCAAAGTGTGGAAATCTGCCCCCGCTTGACTCGGATAAGCAGGCGTCTGTGCTGGAGATAAGAACCCATTGTTTTCAATCTTCTTTCTTTCCCTTCAATTTTTTCCTAGCTTGATGTTATAATGGAATGTTCTGCCTCTGTTCCGGTCCCGAACGGTCGTTTGTACAAGTCTCGAAAATGTCGACCTTGCGACGCTTGTCGCAGACGTAAAGTCACCTGTGACATGCCCAATGGGCCGCCATGCCATCGATGTATCGGCAAAGGTCAACAATGTCTGTTTGAAGAGGGCCCAGGACCGCGAAAGAGGGCTAGACTGTATGAACAAAACGAAATACTTGAGACTTGTGAACATCCTGACGGTTGGCTGCGCATTTCAACCGAGGGCCGACCGAGCAATGGGCAAAGTGATGAAGCATTATCGCCAGAAAAAGACCTTCTGGGTGCTATTCTGGAGTTGGAACCAAGAAGCCCACAGACAAGCCGCTCATCTCTCAGCCAAGATGGCATGGCGAGGCTCGACTTGCGAAGCAGCATCTCATCCAGTTCGGGAAGATCCCCACCAAGTCAAAATCGACCAGCATCCAGTGACTCGCCTTATCAAGTCGATTCCCTTGAATCTATTCCAGGGGCATTCAGTTTCTATATTGGACCAACCGGAGTTTCTGATATCCATATTCTAAGCCACCAACCGTACAACGACCAGAATGTCTCAATACCAAAAGTGAATGGCTTGAAATATCGAATCATGGACAAATCAGGTCAGAAACAGAGGAAAACAGTCGATTTCTCCCCCCCTACTGTTTTTGGTATCACCGACCATTCTCTTCTAGAGAAAGCCGAGCCGAAACTTGATCCGCAACTTACGGATAATGCATGGCCTCGCCTTTGGGCTATGATGAATCCTACTGAAGCGTGGCATCTCATCAAGCTGTATTCGCGTTATGTCGACCCATACTTTCCGATTCTATCCAGTCATCAAATCCCATCATCATCAACCGAATTGAGCAAAATGCCCTTGGCATTATTGTCGGCAATCTGCGCCACTTCACTTCAATTCGTCATGTATGACGATAGTCTCTACACCTTGCTTTTAAACCCTCCCTCTAGTGAACAATTATATCGTCTTTGCTGGCTTTGCGTATCGCAGGAACTTCACGCACCTTCTCTTGCAACACTTCAAGCCTGTCTCCTCCTTCAACAGCGACTTCCTACGAATATGTATCTGTCCGATACCGCTTTTGCATGGTCACTCATGTCAACCTCACTGGCCGTTGCGCAAACCATCGGGCTTCACCGAGATGCAGGATCATGGACTTCTATTCCGCCCTGGGAGAAAAGGCTTCGGTGTCGACTCTGGTGGGGTCTCTATGCCATGGAGAAGTGGGTCGCCTTGGCACGAGGAATGCCCAGTCACTTGGGTGATGATGATTACGATGTATCTATGCTAAAGCAGGAAGATATGCACGACACCCTCTCAGACTCTCCGGATACACAGAGTCACATCTATCATTTGTCGACATTATCGACAATACTATCGGATATCCAGCGATCCTTCTATTCGGTGAAGGCGATCGGAAAGACATCCAATAACCTCCAATACTCCTTGGACCTAGCACGGCCAATGCGCGTGAGGCTTAAAGACTGGCGTGATAATTTGCCAAGTAATTTGAGACCAGCCTCTAATGTTGTTTCTGGAAAGGACCTCGATGGGAATGGATCACTTTATCTTTCATACATCGTCACGCATGTGGCTCTTCTTCGTGCCTTGCTAAGACCATTGGATCGGTGGCCGGCAATAATCAAGGTAAACGAAGAAGAGCCGGATGCGACCTACGAGGGCGCCAAAGCAGTAGTCAAAGGGGCGTTGTTATGTGTGAAAGAATTTGTTGAGTTTGTCGAAAAGCTCACGGGAGCTCAGTGGAATGGATTCTGGCATAGCTGTGAGTATTTCAATCCATTAGCCAGAGTTCCCGATTTAACGAAGTAATCAGGGAGTCGACCTAATTTCGCCATCGCTGGCTCCTTCATGGTGCACCTTCTACAAATCGTCTCACTCTCCAACCAGACCGAGGGTGAATCAAGGCCCGAGTTTTTAAAATATTCATTTGACCAAGAGCATACCGAACTTCAAGACTGGATTCGGAGATGGCGCTGGGCGACTCGTATTTCGGCAAATGGAGCAGCAGGGGCCAAAGGCTTGACAAATCTCGGATTCATCAAGGTAGAGATTCTAATGGGAAACGGAACATAACGTAGTATAATAAACAATAATGCAAATATTCGACAACACTAGCAGAGATTAAGCATCATCCTTCCTTCATCCTTCGCACAGTCCCCATCGTCCTCTTCAACCAAACTCGGAATCGGCACATTAGCCAAGGGAGTCAACCGGAAAGCATGTCTTCGAGATCCAGCTGAATAATCCAAAGTCTGCGAATGCTGCGTCACTCTCTGATCCCAGATCACCACCGTACCAGGCTCATATCGCACGCGGCAGCAGAAATCATGCCCGCGATTGATGTGGTCGAACAAGAACTTCAGCATGTAGTCTGACTCTTCCTCGTCCCAGCCAACAATGCTCTGGGTATAAGAAGAGTTGACAAACAGTGCCTTCTTTTTGGTGACGGGGTGTACCACTACGACTGGGTGGATGGTTCGAGTAATTGGGCGACGAAGGACGGAATCCGGGCCGTTGTCGCGGATCTCGCGCATGATCGGGTTCGCCGTGGTGTGGACGGCTCTGAGGCCCTCGAGTCGCTTCCGGAATGAAGGGGAAAGGCGTTCAAAGGCCCGGGTCATCTGCAGGAAGTCTTTCAGCTAACTGAAACTGACTTGTCTTCTTTGGTGAGACTCACGTTGGAAATGATCGTGTCACCCCCCACTCCTGGAGGGGACTCGAGCATGCAGAAGAATGTCGCCCCGGGAGGTTGAGACTCGGGAGACTATTTAAAGGCCTGTGAGCATTTTTTCTTACGAACCTTAGTATTGATTCTTACCTGATCGACATGGAACTGAATTGGGCTTTTTCTTGCCCAAGATTTGCGAATTCGCAGGTCACTATTTGGTGGGAAATCATGTGTTAAGATACAGAGCAGGAAAACAAAACCACAAAATTGGGAACTTACTCCTTGGAATCATAGACGATGACGAACTCCTCAGGACCATTTTTAGGATGAGGCATCCATCCATGCTTATGAAGGGGGCCAAAATGACTAAAATATGTGAGATAGTCTTCATTAAATGAGCATAGTAAACTCACGAGGCAATCTTCTTCTGCTTCTCAAAGCCCAGGTCGGTAAAAGTTTGGTCCCTGAGTACTAGACATCCGCGTTCTGCCACCATAAGGGCCAGTTCATCTAGGCCTTGGGTTGAAAGCTCCGACTAAAATCATCTGCATTAGCTTTTTTGGGGTGGAATAGAAGGGACACACAGTCTCACAAGCTGAACGCCCTGAAGCTCTGTTCCACAATGAGGGCTCAATTCCACGACGTTAGTCGCTTTCTCCAAAAGATTCGGGAATGATGGATCGGCTCGATGGCCTGGGTCATCGTGCTCGAACGGCCCGACCATCTCGACCTTTTCGAGAGGGTCATAGAAGGCTATACTTTGTGTTATTCCATGAAACATTACTCTTCTGTTTTTCGACATTAGACTCACGCAGGTAGTCGGGATAGAGTGGCCCCTTCTCTTCGACTGTTTCGGACACCATCTTGGCGATGCAATAGGAAGCTCAGAGGACGTTCAATTTGATGACTTTAATTTCCAAAAGCACCTCAGACGCTATGGTTTTAAAACAGCAACCATGGCGCCAAATTCTGCCCATTCCTAGCCTCTGATGGATGGCCTCATACATTATCGTGCAAATGGCCGCCGATGGAACGCTTGCCCGCGCGGCCAACTAAATACCAGCCCCACTTGCACCTCCACTCGTTATCGATGGTGGCTGATAAGGGGTCCACAGGCAATCACTGGCAACGGGGGTTGGCCGAGATCGTGGGCTTGATGCCACTGTTGGGGGCGATAAGCCTATCGAGAAATAAGCTACCGATAACCGAAATTCAAAGAGCAAGATGAACATTGCATATATTGTCAGGCCATGAGTAGCCCTATGGTCGTCACTGGAAGTATCAAAACTGAGAATCTGAGCAAACAACATTGCAGAATTAGAAGATGGCTGTTGATCAAGTCACCATCAGCGATGAGCCCAAGGGAGGCAGCGTCACAGCCGAGGCAGCTGTCAAGGCCATTAAGGCCGGACGAAACAAAGATGTTGATATTGCTGCACAGATAATTAGCGACTACGCGGATCAAATGGATGGTGAAAGTTGGTCTGTTGAGGAAGAAAGGAAATTGATCCGCAGAATTGATTGGAGACTTATTCCCACTGTGAGCAACCTTTTAGTCATCGCGAATCTCTTTCAATACTAACACAGAATAGCTATTCGTTTGTGCTACTCTATCGGGGCTTGATAAAACTGCTATCTCGGCGGCTGCAATTTACAACATCAAGACGGATCTCAATCTTACTGGGGATCAGTATTCATGGATTGGATCTGCGCCATTTTTCGGTGGACTGTTATTCATGGGTCCTTTGGCCTATTGTTTGCAAAAGTGAGACACCTACTATGATTTTATCTGAAACTTTCAGGGTGAACTCATATCTAACTTACCTAGGGTCCCTGCTGTGCCGTTCTTCGCTTTCAATGTCCTTTGCTGGGGCATCCTTGAAATGTGTATGGCAGCATGCACCAGTTTTGGAGGCCTTTTTGCGTGTAGGTTTCTTCTGGGTGGCTGCGAATCACTGTTGATTCCAGCTGTCACATTGGTTGTCTCGATGTGGTATCGACCTGAAGAACAGCCAAAGAGAAACAGGTACCAGATGACCTATCACTGGCCAGTAACACACATAGACTGATGTGAATCTGCAGTATCATTCTTAATGTGGTCGCTCCGATTATCAATGGCTTCGTCGCTTGGGTCGTTGGGTATTACAATGGGCCATTCGAAACATGGAAGATTATTTTCCTTTTAGTCGGAGCTCTCACTATCGTCACATCTGTCGTAGTGTATTTTGTACTGTACGATGCCCACATCATCGAAAAGAAAAGGAAATGACTGACAAGATCGAATAGGCCAAACAACCCGCTGGAAGCCAAGTTCCTTACCCCCCGGGAAAAGTACATCGTCATTCAGCGCAAAGCAGCCGATAACACCGGCATCGAGTCAAAGACCTTCAAAATAGACCAAGTCTGGGAAGCTATCTTTGACATCAAGACATGGCTGATTTGGATTGCCATTGCTGCTTTACAAGTACCAAATGGCGGGTTGACAACATTCAACACCCTTATCATCTCGGGCCTTGGCTTCGATTCCCTTCAGACCTCGCTTCTCGCTATGCCTCCTGGTGCTATGAGTACTCTGTCCGGAATCGGTCTCTCTTTTCTGGCTGCTACTACAAGACGGTATCGTACAGCTATTGTGGTAGTCTCTATTCTTCTGCCCCTTCTTGGCGCGGTGCTGTGTTATGCGTTGCCGCGGACGAACCTTGCTGGCCAGCTCGTTGGGCTATAGTAAGTTCTCTAATAACTTGAATTGTCTGCTTATACTAACTTCAGCTCTTCATAGCATCTTATAGTAGGCCAAAATGATTCCCAGAGTGCGCTATGCTTGCTAACTTCTCCAAGTACATACTGGGCTCCATACGTCACCCTGGTATCGGTATACCAGGCTAACGTCGCAGGTCACACCAAGAAGTAAGAAACTCCCTAGAAAAATAATTTTCTGTCTAACGGTACTTCAGGATTACGCTATATGCCTGGTTCTACATTGCGTGGGCCACCGGAAACATCATTGGACCCCAAACATTCCGAGCAGATCAAGCCCCTGAATATACCGGCGGCACTGTGGCGATGATTGTCTGCTATATCATTGCAATGTTTGCTATTACAGCATATGGCCTTGTCTGTCATTTCAGCAATAAGAAGCGTGCGGATGCCATTGAAGGTCGCATGGCTGCCGACCATGACTGGTTGGATATGACGGATAAGGAGAATGTGGGTTTCAAATACACAACCTGAGGCTTTCGATTAGTTTCCAATGGGAATTACTGCGAGAAATGTAATTAGGAAGTACTGAAGTCTCCATGGAACCAAGGGCTCCGGCAAGAAGAAAAAGCCTTTCCTGTCAATCAAGTGACTTCGCTACTGCTCACGGGCTATTCTTCGAAAGTGTTAAATAAAGCACTAGAGAGTCTCCAGATCGGAAAGCTTCCTCATCTGTAATGATGATATACGTGCTAGTGGCAGCTTTCTGTAATGACATTCCAGTCAATGAATCTTGATCGTCGCACCACACTTCAGGGTCGGTTTATTTCGCGATAGCAAGGCCTCTGTTGAAATAAGAACGGATCTTCTCGTGGTCGCCCAGTTCAGGGACTTTCTTGATTATAGGTTCACCATCACTAGAGTGAAAAAGGCGTAATTAAAAGCGTAGTATTGAACATCGTTCCAATAAAAAATTATGATAAAACCTTGAAGCCAATAAGACAACCTAAGAGAGAGATTCGAGAAGTTTAATATATTTGATTTAAAGTCAATATTTATATCACATCTCACTCGTAAAGCCAAGAAGCGACATAGCGTGGATCCACACTCGTCTTGGAAAATGATCGACTCAGCTGGCTGGGGCCACGCTTCAAGTACTTCCCATCTCCAGGTTTTCCTTGCAGTTTACCATTGGCCCACACAATATTGCCTCGCAAAATAGTGTATTTAGGCCAATTGACAAACTCCGTGCCTTCATAGGGTGTGTCTTGAAAACAGATGTGTCAGTAAGCGGGACGAGACTATTCGAACGTCGGCAACTTACAATCAACATTGTGGTGAAGCATAGAGTTAGTCAAACGGAAAGGCGTGAATTCTGTATCGGGATGCCACTATTTTGTAATTTAGTCTCAGATCACGCGAGATAAAGGGGAAAACGTACGATGACAAGATCTGCGTCGGATCCAGGCATGATAGTCCCTTTGGTGGGATATAGCCCATACTAGAAAGTCAGACTCCATAAACCAGTTGTCGAGGATAGAGATTCATGTAGCATACCAGCTTTGCGGGATTAGTTGACGTAAGCTCCACAAACTTCTGTGGGGTTATCCGACCTGTTGCCAAAGCCCCAGTATATAATAATGGCAGTCGTGTCTCAACCCCTGGGATACCATTGGGGATCAACTTGAAGCTTCCTTTCTTCCGCTTGAGGAGATCCTGCAGCTCATCTCCATGACAGTGCTTCTCTCCCTCCATACTCGGCTTATGTTCAAGAACGCCCGACGGTTTCCCATTCGGATGGTCATAGCGGAAGGGACAGTGATCCGATGAATAGATCGTGAAGGTGCCATTTTGAAGACCACTGAAATCATTAGCCGTTTTTAATGTTACTTCATGCAGATATGGCACTCACGTGAATAAATCTTCCTGGTCCGATGCATCGGGAGGTGGCGGCGGAGAGCAGATCATCTTGCTATTTTCAAAGCAAGTGGGAGAATGGAATCGTTTCTATGAAAAACAATCAATTGAATGTTCATATTCGACTTATAGAGCAGAACTACCAAATCATTCCATGTTAAGTGGAAGTACTGTGGGCATGTTTCCGCATAGATGGGCAGTCCCATTGTTTGTGCCTTCCGCACACTGGCCGCGCCGAGCTATTGAAATCAGCATCTAAAAGAATATTATCGAATGATTTGCAACTTACTGCCGATCCCACGTGAACGAATAGAATCGGGTTCTGAATCAAATGGGCAAGAGCAATAGCTCGATTGGTAGCCTCCGCTTCAACCAGAGGTGGACGTGACAAAGCGTGGTAATAAGGAGCTTAAAGTTGTCAGGTAACTGACCTCGGGAAATGAAAATGCTGCATTGGGTATAACATACCGACCATTCCCTTGCTCTCAAGCTTGTCTGATTCCAAGTTAGCTTTTTCCCGAAACTGAAAGTTCTCAGCAACCTACCCGTCAGCCACCGAATCATATCCCCATTCTCGGCATGAACCATCTAAAACATTAGACCTGCGCTTCAAAACTGGGACAGCCCATTATACATACAGTAGTGATGAGATTCTTTCTGGCAGCAAACATCACATCCAAAAGCTGCGAGTCCGTCATTTTTTGAGTTTCGTAAGTCAAGAATAGTTTGCAACTAGAAATGCCCCAGTCTTTCATCAAAATAGGTAGTTCGTTCTCCAACACATCGGCGTCATTTCGGACAATGATAATGTGAAATCCATAGTCAGCATAACTGCCCGTAGCTTCTGCTCGAGCGTTGTATGCCTCGACTACACTTAGAAGACTACGATCTTCCTCTGCGCGCGTTTGAGTCGCAAACGTGATCATGGTCGTGGTTCCCCCGGCCACGGCGCTTCTGGAACCGGTCTCGAAGTTGTCGGCGCACTCTCCTCCCAGACCATGAGGCCCGGTCTTAAGATCTTGGCAAAGATGGACATGGGCATCAACGCCACCAGGCATGACATATGCACCTCTGTTGTAGCGGGGTTAGACGCGACCTGGCTTTCATGTCGATCTTGCTCACTCTGCATCTATCACTTCGACTCCCTGCAACTCATCGGCCGTGAATTCATCAACCAATGTCCGGATTTTCCCACTCTTTATTCCAATACAGCAAGTACTAAATGCTTCGTTAATACTCTGCTGCCACTTGATTCAAGATACACGTTACCTGATATCACTGGCCGTGACAACCTTGCTATTGAGAATAATCAAGTCGAATTTAGCCATTTCTCTTGCTCGTGGAAATTATAGTAAGGGCTAGGGTAGCTAAGCTGCTATGAAAAGCAAAAAGCCTAGCTTACATACAGGTTTTACCCTGGGATTTCTTACGTTTCTGCTTATCAGTCCCTTTCACGGGCTTATAGATAAGAGTCCGGGTGTTGGGTGATAGCGCCGCGGGGGCCTGATAACAGTCGGCAAAGCTCTTTCTCTGTCTATCGCGGGGAAAGTAATCAGAAACTCAGAAGCTATTGTCTATTTTAGTTTGGTAATTTTTCTTCCGACCTCCGAGAGATGCCCGGGGTGAATGGATGTGTTAGATATCAGCAGGCTATATAATTGGCCAGGATGCCTATCAGGTCAGGTGACTCTATTTGTGAATACACAGCTCATTTTGCTTTGTTTTCTTGTCTCTTTGGTCCTCAATCTTCAGGCGGTTTGCTTTGTTCGCGTACAGGAAATCCTATTTCCCTGATTTCTGAGCACACTCAAAGACCATCATCATGCGGACAGGCATTTACGTTTGGCACATTGCACACGTGAAACCCGGTGTTTCTTACTAAACAAAAATAAAACCAAATGCATATATTTTCAGATTTAGAAAGCCTTGATCAGGCGACCAATATGAGACAGGAGATTACAAGCCTGGGCAGACACCGCGCATAGCGCGCACGGGGCAATAGTACGGTCCGAGATAAGCAACATTCCAGTGGTGAATCAACAGTAGTGCAAGAATGAGAACATCAAAAGCACCGGGGCACGAATGGAGAGACATTTGGGCATTATAAATCATCGCAACGGGGCCATAATATAATGAACCACCTGCAAGGAGAATGAGTCAACCATTCGGAATATTCAGCCGAGATTGTGACATCCCCGCATGACTCGGGGCCTGATCCGGTAACTATCGTTCGGCTTGAAAATCAGATAAGCGCTTGCGGGTGGTTCATATCTCCCCGTATTCTTGCTTTCTTCTTCTTCACTTTCAACCTCAACAATTGCAAAATCCCCTACCCTGGTGGATTTCGTCAATGGCAGATGAGAGGGGCTACGGCTCTTTACAGACTGGCGATAACGGGTCTTCCTCCGTGATGGGCCGCGCCAACCCACAACCAGAACCAGATGAACACACCAAATTGTTACCCGATGACGTCCACACGGGATATGAAGTTCAAAGGGCGATCGAGGGACACGCGAATTTTCATCGTCTCGGATGGAAACGTCTCACCGTGGTCAGCATCGTCGAAGCGATCGCGCTCGGCGCACTGAGTCTGCCTCAGGCATTTGCGGTCTTGGGAATGATCCCCGGCATCGTGATTACTATTGGGATGGGGATTGTCGCCATCTACACCAGCTACATCATCGGAGCAGTCAAGATCAAATTCCCTTCGGTTGCTCACTATGGAGATATTGGGCAACTTCTGATGGGAGACTTTGGTTACTGGCTGTTTAGTGCCATTTTTGTCTTTCAGCTGACACTCTCTGTCGGATCTCACTGCCTTACGGGCATGATAGCCTTCGCGAACATTACTGAGAGTAGTATGTGTGCCCTGGTATTTGGCGGTGTCTCCGCTGTTATTTTGCTTCTGTTAGCGATACCGCCGACATTCGCCGATGTCGCGATCCTGGGCTATATTGACTTCGTTTCCATTATTCTGGCAATCGGAGTCACCATGGTCGGTACTGGAATACAACAGGCGCAAATGCCCGGTGGCCTAGCCGCATCAGACTGGTCTTACTGGCCCGCAGAAAGTGTCACATTCCCTAAAGCTGCCGTCGCCATTAGTAATATCGTCTTTGCATATGCTTTTGCTGGTGCTTTACCATCATTCATGAATGAAATGCATACGCCAAAAGACTACGTCAAGTCGATAACTGCACTTGGAGTCATCGAAATCTCAATCTATGTATTGACCGGATCCATTATCTATGCCTTTGTCGGACAGGATGTTCAATCTCCTGCTCTTTTGTCAGCTGGACCCGTTGTCTCCAAAATCGCATTCGGCATTGCCCTCCCAGTGATTTTCATCTCTGGCTCTATCAACACTACGGTCGTGGCCCGCTTCATTCACTCACGAATCTATCGTGATTCAGTCGTTCAATATGTCAACACTGTGAAGGGATGGGTCACCTGGTTAGCGCTCGTTATTGCCATTACCGCAATCGCTTGGGTAATTGCCGAGAGCATCCCCTTCTTTTCCGAACTCATGGCTATCAGTGCTGCTCTCCTGGTGTCAGGAATGTCATTTTATTTCCCTCCAGTGATGTGGCTTTTACTTCTCAAAGACGGGGACTTGCAGGATAGAAAAAACGTCTGGCATGCTGTGTGCAATCTGGGTTGTTTCTTCATCGGGGTCACAGTCCTCGTTTGTGGTGTCTATGCAAGCATCGTCGAGTTGGTAAGTCGCATGAATCTACAATTCATTTCAACGTGCTAATACGGGTGAATAGATAAGAAAGTTCCAGGATGGGAATATAGGGAGCCCATTTTCGTGCTCGCTGGGCTAGTGCTTAGACTTAATTTTTCTACTTGCCGAAGATTAAGCCCATCGGTGGATGAGCGATAGAACATATTGATGAAGACTATGAGAATAGAATGACTAGATACATCATCACGGAGCAATATCAACAAATCGTTTCGGTGGTAATGAAACGAAGCGGCTGAGCAATCACGGCTCGCGAAAACGGTCCCGCAGAACTTTAACCCCGTAAATCCGACGACATCCGTGGGAATTGAGGCGTCTGGGGAAAATTCCGGGGTTTCGACGGTCTTCATCTCTGCTCTATCTGTCGATTTGTACACCTATGCCTCAGACAAGAGCACGTCAAAAGCCACACAGGGCCTGTCCTTGGTGCCCTCGGACATTTACCAAAGAAGAGCATCTCTCTCGGCATATCCGATCGCATACCAAGGAGAAACCCTTCACCTGCTCAGAGTGTAAGAAATCATTCAGTCGCCAGTAAGTATATAAATGAGAGGAGAGGCTTTGTTCTCTATACTCGACAGCTAAAGGGATCTTCAGCGATACTCTTCTACGACATTCAAGAGCTCACCCGTCTTACAACACCCCACAGTCAGGGCCCATCACCACACCCCCTGCAACTAATGCGACCGAAAGTTTTCCGTCTCTTGTTCAGTTACCGAGCGCGTCGGACGCCAACTCGCTGCCTCCAGATGAGTCAGTCTACTTCAACCTCAGACCGTCACCACCTCGGCTGCCTGCGTGGCTTGAGACCTTCGTGGATCCACCCACGGAATTCGTTGATCAACGGCCGGTGACATCGCAAGAAACTGCCTTTACACCTTTCACAGGCATGCTTCAGAATGCATCTAGTATTCAGTGGGATACTGATCTTGACGCGCAAGTTCCCAACTGGCTGGCAGGCGACGACTTTGACCTGAATGCACTGAATTCCTCCGTGTTGGCCAGCGCTATAAATGATATTCCCCTTCTAGTATGCAACGATGACGATATCTCTTTGTTGTCACCTCACGGGCAGTCAATAAACTTTGACGAGTACCACGAGGAATACCACATTCGTCGACACTGGTTTAGCTTTATACCTGCCGGCGACACTGGGCATGTTACTCCTGACTTGATGCCCGTGCACACAGAAGTTGATGATCAGTACCGTGAGGGCCTGTCGCGTTGTCTTCAGCAAAGGGTACTCTCGGAGCCTTTACCCTCTACTGAGTTCTTAGTGAGTCTGTGTCATGTTCCAAACTATCGTACAGGATCCTAATAAAAGCCAGAACCAATGTGTCCAAATGTTCTTTACTCGATTCAGTCCTATTTTTCCTGTTGTTCACCCTTCAACCTTTCGACCATCTCCAAAAAATTCTCTATTACTTCTATCTATCTGCTCGGTCGGGAGTCTCTTCGTTGGTTCTAATTACGCCATCGCTCAGGGCTCGAGGATCTTCGAGAGATTAAACAAAGCTATTCTTGCGTCGGTTGGTATTTATTTTCTAGATAAGACTACTCGAAAGCTGACCTTTAAAGTGGGAGAAATACTTCGTCAAGGGAAAAGAGGAAACCCTTGCAATGATCCAAGCAGCCTTAATTGGGCAGACCTTCGCCATTCTCTCAGGGGTAATGATCTAATATCACCTTCATTACCTGGGCTAACAAAAGAAAAGAACCCAAAACAACTTCTTGTCGCACAAATTTTCCATGGAACGGTGGTAAATGTTAGTATTTCTCCTTCAATACGAAATGATGCGTACCTAGATCTAACATACAATGCAGTGGGCACGAAGGTGTAAAATGTTCCAAGTCCGTCAAGCAGATGATATTTTACCCCGCAGTCTATCTACATGGACCACAGAACAACGCTGGAAAGCCTGGGCTCATGCCGAAGAACAAGTGCGCGTTGCGACGGGTCTCTACATTCACGACACAGAGCTTTCTACGCTCCTTATAGCCCGTCCAGTGTTGAAACATTCCGCGTCAAACATCCCAGTCACTTCTAGTGACAGGTTCTGGAAGGCAAGGAATGCAGCTGAATGGAATGCTTTGAATGAGGAGAGAAAAGCAAACACTCCGCCCACGTCTCAACTGACAGAAGTGTCTGAGTTTACTCAGTTCACGATGCTGGAGGCATTTCTAGCCTCCATCTCCGATAGTCGCTCATTACATACTGGGCTGCGTGATGATACTCGAAAACAATTTGAACGATGGTTATCCCAGTTTTATGATGACTACCTGAAGCGAAGCGCACTGAGCCAATCTAGTCCGTTCTGCCTTGAGATTCTTTGGCATTCCGCATTCCTGGCCCTATTCGTGGACTTTGATCGTCTGGAACTCGCCACAGGCAGGGAGGGATATGCACAATCACTTGCCCATCACGAGTACATCCAAAGGTGGGCCTGCTCTCAAGATGGTCGGCGTTGTGCCCTCCACGGAGCATTGGTACTTCGAAAAGCTCAAGAAATGACACTTGGTGTTGAGCCGGCCATTCACGTTCCTCGCGTCCTATACCAAGCGGCTATGATATGGTTCGCGTACCTGAAGTTTGGCGTTGACAATCACGACTCTCCAAAAGACTTTCCCGAGCTCGCACATCTGAATGTAAACTGCCAAGCTCTGCTTTTTGAATCAAATGGCTTCAAGATTTCACGACCGAAACTCAAGGAGTCAAGTACCCTGAGTGGACTTGTGGATCTGTTGCGTCGAATTGGTCATTGGGGAATTTCCAGGAAATTTGCTGATCAGTTGGTGCGGATGATGCAAGGAAATACTGAGGACGAGCAGACTAGCGCTCTTTTATGAGGTCATTTGTTGAAGAATTCGCATTGATAGTAATTACGACGAAGGCCTCCAAGCTCATCTGAATAGGTGGATTTGTACATGTTTAATCAAAATAGTTGCCCTCTGTCTTCCAGAATCCTATACTTCAATATTTACAAGCAACTTGCCAATCGCAGACCTTAAGTCCTCCTTGGTATCACATGCAGCGAAGATAAACCGATCCTGCCTCACGATAACGAATCGCATGCCCTTCAACTCCTTCGCAAGGTAAAAGAGGTCGTAGAATTTAGGCGCCGGTCGCCTATCACACAAAAGAGATCTGGCAAACTCCTCGCCAGTGGCAAGACGATAGACATTTTCTCCTTTAATGCACTTCTCATTGTCCATTCCCTCTATCAAGAACGTTGCCTCAGACGCTCGGATTTCACCTTTGGACATGTCATCAACATCAGCAACAATCTCTCTTGAGGATGGTAGTTGATCTGTGGTTTTGATATAGACCAAAATCTGGAACAGGCCCTTCTTCTCCCTTCCGAATATCACATCATCGGTGAAAAGAACTTCTCCATCGGGCCTGCCAATGTCTTTACAGTATATTTGTGGAAGACATAGACCACCATTGTACTCCGGAAGAAAGGGCAGCCCATTGGAATACTCGTATCGCACCATTCCCTCCTTCCGACGCCCGAGAGATAGCTCATGACGCCATGCTGGAATGAGCTGTATTAGCCAGAGATAGATATTGCGCGCAAATATCTTCAGCGGATTTCTCTCTGTGACAAATTCCCCGTTCACGATGGTACTCGCCAGCGATTTCTCAAGTTGCTGCTTCCGTTCAGTATACCATGCTGCCAGAATGGTTTCGTGGAATCTGGGGCTTTGATTTTGGTTTCGACAGAGGAGAGCGAGACGCCATGCTAACGAGACGGCATCTCGAAATCCTGATGCAATGCCTTGACCTCCAACTGAACACGCACTTGATTAGCTCAAGCTCTAGATAGAATACCCTATTAGAAACCCCCCTAAAAACCCACTTACATGGAGGAAAGACGTGTGCAGCATCGCCACACAATACTACTCGACCGTGCGACCATCTGTTACAGCTTCGAGCCGAGAAATTGAATGGTCGAGAACGAAGAACTTTGATACAGTCTTCAGGGAACATCACATCTGCCGTAAGTCTAAACCAAGTCAGAAAGAACACAACAAATTTGCTGCAAGGGTTCAGACTCACCCATATCGAGTCCCTGCGTGCGTGATGTACGGGAAGACGACTTTCTTGATCGCCTCCGACTTTGACATTTCGTGTCCGTCTTCTCCCTTGTCAATGACGAACTCGAATCGCCATAACCGATCTGAAGGTAGCCCAAAGCGTCCGCATACGGCTGGTCTATCGGGATTGCAGATGAACCGAAAGTTGCAGGGGAAGAAAAGATCGTAGATCTGCTCGGGTGTATAACCTAGCTTCCATAACGGGAACTCAGGGTGGGTTTTCTCGTTAGGAAGACTTATTTCCCAGTTAAGAGCTACCCATGTCTCTTCGTAGAATGCTCTTTGACGCGTCAGTCTGTCATGCACCTTTCACCCGTAGGAATTGCTACTCACCGGTGAGCCTGCTCCATAAGAATCCCTTTCGGCTCGAGATATTGCTTCCTGGTGAACCCAGTCTTGCCATCCGCACCAATAAAAAAACGCGATCTGATGTGGCGGATTCCGCCATTTATGTCTTTGTACTCGCAAACAGTGCCTTTCTCGTCTTCCGAGAGACCGGTGATTTCACAGCCCGATCGCAGCTCAGATAATTTGGAAACTGCCATGGCATCACGTAGGCATCGCTCCAGAGCAGGCTGCTTGTGGCAGATGAAGCCGACATGACCGGTGCCACCTTCAGTCTATTCACGTGGTGATTAGCGTTTATTTAAAGAGGGCTGGATATTTGCATGGAGCTGGAGAGATCCCACCGTCCCGTAGTCCATCTCGATAAAAGCTTTCTTATCCAGAACAGGCTCGGTTCCTCCAATAAATCGAAACTTATACATCGCTGGGTAGTCTTCGATTAGTTATTGGGATAATATTGGTGGGTAAAACAAACTTCGACTCACAGGTTCCAATCTCCGAATACACGGAGGAATACAGGCCGAGTCCCTGGAGCAGGCGGATTCCATCTTCATCCAGAGCGATACCGCGAGGATCTGTCGTGATTTCTGTTCCTTTCTCCAAGACAATATTTGGCACGCCCATCTGCCCCAAATACGCCGAGAGCATGGCGCCTGTCGGCCCGCAGCCACAGATCACCACGTCGGTGGTTTCACACTCCAAGTCAGACATGATGTTGGTCAGTATCTCCCAAGTTGTTCAGTTAGGGTCTCAGAACCCTCAAGTAGTTTTGTGTCTGCTTATTCTCGGCTCGCGGGAGTGGACCACTGCAGCAAGCCTCCCCCAGGAATGCGGAGGTCCCGCATGCCCCGCGAGTCCCGGATCCATTAGGCCCCTCTAAATTACAAAGTACACGATTCATAGTATTTCAGAATGATCTTTCTGTGTTTTCGTGATATTCGGAAATACACATCGTATATCCGAATCCGGTGATTTTTCAGTCCCGCCGTCCCGCTCGGTGAAGCTCACCCCGGACTATTTGTTAAGATAAGACTCAAATGACTTTGTTTTCTTCTTTAGAGACTCTCACAGATTTCCATCATAGCTCAATATGCCTTCTTGGACACACCTGATTCGTTTCGTTGCTGTTGAGGACAGCTTGGTCCATCTTGGTCAACTCGTGGATACTTCGCGTGATGCTGGACGCGATAGTGTTGACGGTGTCGAAATTGCCGCCTATGTGATCGACGGAACTATTTTCGATGGTCGCGTTACCAAGGATATTATGCATGTGAAGCAGGTAAGATGATAACGAAGTTTTTTTTCTCACGTATTCTAACAGTTCTCTCTAGCTTCTTTCCCCGGTTTCGCGGGAAGAATGCAATTATATCCGATGCTTGGGCTTGAACTACATGGATCACGCAAAGGTGAATTTTTTGCTACAGCCCTTCAAGTATCCCAACGGCTAATATCATCTAGGAAGCAAACATGGCTCTCCCTAAAGCCCCCATCCTCTTCACGAAGCCCCGCACTGCCCTGATCGGCCCTTATCCCGCGGCCATCAACATTCCCAAGTGTGCTCAAGACGGCACAAGCGACTATGAAGCCGAGCTTTGCTTGATTATTGGAAAGACTGGTCGGGATATTCCGGAGGAAGAAGCTCTGGACTATGTTCTGGGATACACTGCCTCGAATGATGTTTCTGCCCGAACAATGCAGTTGCTTACCACCCAATGGTCCTTCTCTAAGGGCCTGGATGGAAGTTGCCCAATTGGTCAGTTGAGCCAGGTCCTCGATCTTTTTCCTTTACTGACATTTCCTAGGGCCCGTTCTGGTTGCTTCTTCCGTCATCAAAGACCCCCAGACCCTTTCTGTCAAAGCAATCTATAATGGCGCTACCGTTCAAGACGGCCACACACATGATATGATCTTCTCTATCAGAAAGCAGATCTCATATCTCTCTCAGGGTACTACCTTGGAAGCGGGTACCATGTTCCTCACTGGAACCCCAGCGGGTATTGGGTATTTCCGTGAGCCTCGGGTTGTGCTGAAGGACGGTGATGAGATTTCGATTTCAATTGACCAGATTGGAACTTTGGTCAACAAGGTTCGCTATGATACTCGCTAGCTTTTGGTATTTGGTCTAAACTAGGTCTTGGCAACCACCGTGACTGTAAAGAAATTATTAGATAAAATTGATAAGATTTTTGAATTCGAAGGTTTGAGCTCTTTTTAGAGTCATGTTGACCTTCTAATCAAAGGAGAATACGATGTAATTCTTTTAGGGTATTCAACGGTGATGTATGGTTATTGATTTAGATAAGACAGGGTAACAATGAAAAACACAGTACGGACATGCGTCATATGGGATGTACAATATACTAGCCCCCGAAGCCATCCACTGTACTTGGTGCTTGAAAAAGAATGCTTCGATGTTTCAGAACCAAGCATTAAAAGTTCAAGTGAAAAGGCTTTTATGAATACGTGGAGTGATAAGAATGAACAAGACAATGATCTTCAATGTGGACCTATTGCAAGAACCAAGCAGGAACCTCCGGCCCCCAAACAGCCAACGACTCATCTCCCGCAGGACCATATCCAATGGGCGTTTGATCATTCACTAGATCTCCATCCGCATAGTGCTCAATCATATTACCGGTAGTATCCCACCAATAATCAAAGATTTGAGAACCGAGAATGTGCCGGCCGACACCCCAAACAGATTTGTAGCCTTTTTCCGCGAGCCATTGGTGTCCCAATTTCTGGGTATCGAAGTCATGGACTTCGAAGGAACAATGGTGAACGTGGGTCGTGGCGTTTGTGCTCATGAAAAAACTGTGGTGATCGACGTGCTCATTTCCACGATCAATATGCGCAAACAGCGCGACATTCTGCTTGCTGCCTTCCTTTTCCACGTAAAGGAAGTCAGTAGGCACAATGTTGAATGTTGTCGTATAGAAAGTGACGAGGTCCTCGAAATTCTGTGTGCAAACTCCGAAGTGGCCAAGCTGTTTACAATGTTAGTTTGTTGAATATGTTGATTACAGCAAACTTGCCTTGTGAACAGCGGCCGGGCCCGGATTGAATCGTTGAAATTTCCGGATCCGAGGCTTCTCTGCTTCATAGTTGATAGTGAGTTTTTCGGGGAAGACGCCCTTTTCTGCAGGTTCCTGGCCAAACAGCAAGTTGATAGGGTATCCCTCGGGATCCTTCAAAGTCACCAAGAAGCCGCCGCCGGGCGCATCTGAGAGCTCTTGGATATCGGTAGCTAAAGGAAGCTGGGTGGCTCTGTCGTAGAATCAATATATGGGGGTTTGACATGTTTTTCGTTTCAACTCACTTTTCCAAATCTTCGTATGATTCCACAGCAAATGTGCCTCCCAGATATTCCTTTGGCCCCTTCCGAGCATAATATACATACTGATCATCACCGTAGCCTCGATACCAAATTTCATCATCTGTTCTCTTGACCACAGTCATGCCAAAATCTGATTTGTTAACAAGAAACCAGATAGATCAGAAGGAACGGTAGTATACCTTCAAGAAAAATCGTGATTTGGTCAAGATCAGGGTGTTGATAGCGCATATGCGACAGTTTGACCAGACGAATCTGCTCATTTTTGTTTATACCGCATCTCTCCTGCCATTCTATGATGTTTTCTCGATCGGGGCCGATGGCGACGATGTCGGGCACCGAAGCTCCGTGGTTTGCGGCTATCATGACTATTTCGGATTGAGCACACACTGATGCTCTCGACTCATATATCCAGGGTGGATAGTCGATTTGTATATTTGTATCTTGCTTTCAGTTAATGCGTATTCATCGTTGCTGTTTACGTTGCTGCCCCGTACCCCACAAAGCATAGGTCCCGCGTCCCGCAGATCGACGGTCCCGCAAGACCGTAGCCGCATGGCCGATTCGGCTTTACGGTAGATTTGTGGTTGTTGGGCCCTCGACTGCACGATCAGTTTTACCAAATGTAGGTCTCAATTTTAGACTTGGACCTTTTGTGTAGCCTATATAGCCTACTTCTCCCATAGCACTCATACATCACTCACATTTCTCCATATTCAGTCATCCCCTTGGACGGACTTGATATGTGTTCAACAGTAAGTATAGACATGAGCCAAGGTATAGCGGTCAATGTACGTCGCCTATGATTGCTTCCGGTCGGGATATTTTCCATTCCTCGTCGACTTTACTTTGTTTTTTTGGAGAAGTCTAGACCCTCGACTTTCTGTTCAAGGCTGGTTGAGTCCTCTCAGTTGGCCCGAAATAATGATCGTTCAAAAAAACCTACCTTGTATATATATATATATAGAGAGAGAGAGAGAGAGGAAATAACAAGACATTAAACGGAAAAAATGAGTCGCGGTAAAGTAAAATGTCATGGGAGGCCATATCCATGCTGGTACAGTACCACATTGTAGGCTTGACTGCGGCCCAGGAAAACTGGGCTTTCCCGAGGCAGATGTTTCCCCGGAACAATTATGAGCAATGAGATCTTAATCGCCCGCTGAAAGGGGGGAGAAATGTGCATCACGCTAGTTATCACGGAGCATTCACTGCAGTGGCTGTGAATGTCCCAGGGTTAAATCTGTAGGGGCCGAAACGGGACCAAAAGTAAGTTAGAGCGGACTCCGTGTCCGACCACCTCTCACTACCCCGCCAAATCTAAGCCGCGACATCAACCACTAGTCTATCCACTATTGGCGATCTGGACTCTGCCAAGTCAACCGCTTCGGCCTCCGTTGCACAATTTTTATTCAGCTAGACAGCGTGGTACATCCGGCATGGACGACCGAAGCGGAGCCCGCATGCCTAAAGCTTGTAAAACATGTGCCAAGGCCAAAGTACGATGTGATCCAGACTCTAATAACGGTCCATGCAAGCGGTAGGTACCTACCTTAAGAATAATATCCCGTTCTAATAGCCTATAGATGCCGCCGTCTCAAAAAAGAATGTGGAGGTCAAGACCCTGGGGCTCATCGTCGCCAGAGACCCACCGCAAGTAACATGTAAGCTACACTTAAGTGCCTTTCGACCAAAAAGACTTACATTCTTCACAGTGAGGTTGCTGCGTTAGGGGCTAAGCTGGACCGGATGGTCGCCTTGCTAGCCGCTTCGGGTCCAGCTGCCAAAGACCCTTCTGATGTAAGCCCTTCGCCTGACTTGTCTTCACAAACGGAAGAAGATGTCACGTTACCTGGTGAACAAGAAGGGAATATCTTCATGGACATCTTCCGCACACGGATGGTTCCTCTTTTCCCATTCATTGTCATTCCGGACAATATGACCGCTGAGCAAATGCGGCACGAAAAGCCATTTCTCTACCTGAATATCTCGATGGTAGCGTGTCAGAACTCGCCGCGCCAGCGAGAGATCTCCGGTATCGTCAAGGAGTACGTGGCAGAACATATTGTTATGGGGGGCGAGCACAGTGTAGACCTGTTACAAGGTCTTCTTGTTCATCTTGCCTGGTTCATCTCCATCTCTCGCCTGCCCCGCTTGGACCTTACTGGGCAAATCAACGAAAAACAGAATACAGACACAAAGAACAAAGCCTTGGGCGTTGCGCAATTAGATGTATTTGTGCAATTAGCAAGAGCACAGGTGACCAGCATGGGCTTAAATCAAGAGCAGCACATTATGAGAAGCCTTGATAAGCCTATTGTCTATATGGTACATTATGATCTCGAGGCTAACAAGACTCCAGCTCGCACACTCGAGGAGCGTCGCGCTTACCTTGGGTGCTACTATGTGACTGCAATGTAAATTTGACCCCTCTCTTTGCTGTGTTAGATCGAAAACTAACTGAAAAAGGTTTTCTGCGTGTGTCAGAGATATGGAGCCTCTTCGCTTCACCAAGTACATGAATGATTGCTGCCAAATTTTGCAAGAAACCAAGGAATCTTCCTCGGATGACTTTCTAGTTCATCTTGTGCGATCGATGCACCTTGCCGATAAGATCAACCGCACTTTTTCAATTCACGACTATGATTCCTCTGCAGTCCTCTCCGCCCCGATAGGATTGAGCGTCAAGTGGCATCAAGCCGAGCTCCGACGACTCAGGGCATCTTGCGCATGTAAACCTCCACACTCAAGTAGGCATCAACCTCACCTGGCTCTAATACGGACACTGATTCTTTCCCGTCTCCAAAATAGCTATTTTATTCTTCCATTACGACACACTCGAGCTACTCTTATACAAAATCGCCCTCAGTGAAGAGCTATCAGACGCAGAATACGGCGAATACCCAGTAACACGACTTGACCTCCTTTTCCGGTGCCTAGAAGCAACCAAATCCTTCTTTTTCAACTACTATAGCCTTTCATCCGCCTACTTCCCCTTTTTACCATTCACATCATGGTGCCAATTCGGCCAAGCAATGGTCACCCTATCCCGTCTAAGTCTCTACCAAAGTGACCACGGCGAATGGGACCGAACATACGTCGAAACAACAATCGATTTCAACCATACTGTTGAGCAACTAGAGCAGAAAATGGAAGAAGCGGTTCCATCCGGTCTATGTAAGGGGAAAGATCCGCAAGCTGACGATGATCGACCTGAGATCTATGTGAGGTTGGAGAATAGGATGCATTTGATGAAAGAAACGCATCGGAAACGACGAGAGGCGTTGGAACAGAGTCAGCCAGAAGGCATGCAGGCTCCGCCGGACTTTACTTTCATGTTTAATATGCCTATGAGCTCAGGGACTTTCTTTCCATTTACTGATTTTGGAGAGTTGCCTGACGCGTTCGCGGCTCCGGTGTAAAAGTAGTATTCCTAAGTAACCTATTAATTTTCGTCCAATTTTTGAAATCCTGTAGCCTAGATGGTTGCGCGTATACTTTGGTGGCTACGCGATGTTTTGAAGTGGTTCGGGGTGGGTGCTTGTCCGTGGGCGCTTTGTTGGGTGGTCTGACGTTAAGCGGGGACGGAATCCCGTCTTACCAACATGTACGAAGCTTTTTGAGAGGGCTGCTAACACATGCACTGAATAAGTTGATTTTGAATTAAAGATATAAAAGATGGATCTTTCGGGCATATTTTGGTTTCATTCAGACTTCCATTCATCAACGCAATCACCAAGAAAGACCACAAGCGACTTTAAATCAAAATGACATGTCCTCAGGCAAACGAGAATTCTCAGGGGAGCACCGATTTTGGGAGACTCCCCGAGAGAAAACCAGCGTCAGGTATTACGGTACTTATCATCGGAGCTGGTGTTGGCGGTCTGCTTGCCTGTCTAGAATGCTGGCGCCAAGGGCATGATGTTCGAATCGTTGAACGAAGCGCCTCGCGAATGCAATCCGGTGAGTATTATATCGTGAATACTTTCATAGGGCTTTGCGTCTGACATCTTCTTACAGGTGACGGCTTTACTATCGGATCAAGCGCACTACGAGCCTTCCGGAACTGGCCAGAAATGGAAGATGAAGAAGATCGCATCGCGATGAATATGTGGGTGTCATGGCACAAGATCAACGGAGAGAAGATTTCCGGCCCTGGGCCTTTTGAACTTCATGCTGGGAATGTCAAAGATGATACAGTTGAGCCTCCGAAGGTGCACAGACATAGTCGTCCCAAGTTTCATAAGATGTTGTCCAAACAAGTCGAGCGAACCGGGACGACGATTGAGTACGGCAAGCGGGTAAAGTCTTACTTTGAAAACATCCAGACAAACAAAGCCGGTGTCATTCTTGACGACGGGAACATCATTGAAGCAGACGTGGTTATCGCAGCAGATGGGGTTGGAAGCAAGTCCTCGCAAGTCACAATGGGACATGAAATTCGGGCTCGCCCCACTGGTTATTCAATCTATCGGGCTGCCTTCCCGGTTGAATTGGCTCTTTCTGATCCAGTCGTGGCCGAGAGATTCCAGGTTCTGGAAAATGGAAAATTTGTCGCGGAGATGTGGATGGGGTAAGTGCTATTCACCTATTCGAGGATTTAGCTGATCATGTCCCAGAGATGGGGTGCATGCTATGTTTGCGAGAAGTGAAGACGAAATGTCGTGGGCCTTGAACTACCCGGTAAGTTCCAGCTTATCTACATTACATCTGCTTGAATATACCATTCTGATGGAACTTTCAGGATAGAGAGGTTGGAATCGAGTCGTGGTCGGCTTTGGTAGACCCCAAAACGGTCCTGAAGACCACAGCCAATATCCCAGGTTGGGCAGATGTTGCGGACAGAGTAATTAAAGCCACGCCCAAGGAGCATCTCCATGACTTCAAATTGATGTGGAGAGAGCCTCAGCCTTGTTGGACCTCCTCTGGAGGCCGCGTTGTACAGATTGGCGATGCTGCTCATACTTTCCTTCCATCTTCTGGAAATGGTGGTACTCAAGCTATTGAAGATGCCATCTCCCTGGCAGCGTGTCTACATATCGCAGGAAAGGACAATGCGCCCTGGGCGACTCGCGTCCATAACAAACTCAGGTGAGTTTCTATAACAATGGGAATTTTAGATCGAACTGACGACTTATCCTGTTGCAGATTCGAGCGCGTCGCCTGCCTTCAAAAGCTAGGGGTTGTCAACCATGAATTGCGAAATCGCTCTTCCAATGCCGACGTATCACAAACAATGCCTGTAGGCCTTTTGGGTTCGTGGATCTGGAGCCATGATCCAGAGCGGTACGCGATCGATAACTACGGCAAAGTGCTGGCTCATTTGAAGAACGGGACTCCTTTCCAGAGTACCAATATTCCACCCGGTCATGTTTACAAGCCTTGGACTATTGACGAACTACTGCAAGCCAAGGAGAGCGGGAAGGAGATTGAATTGGATGGGGACTGGGATTGAATGAATGGATCCTGATTTTCGTTTTGGGGTATATATTGCACGCGGAATAGATCTCCTATTTGAGATATTTTTATGTAAACTTTTGGAGCCGTTTGGAGTATGATGGTAGATTTTGAATGATAATTGAGTCATGGACCCAATTACAGAGCGAAGGCGCCAACAACTGCTGCGGCGATAGCCATGACCCCAGCGATGTTTGCCGCGGGAATGACAGCAGCATTTCCGGTCTCGGTGCTTGTCGCAGCAGCGGAGGTAAAGTTCCCAGCCTTGGAGCTGGGCGAGGTAGTCTTGGTCATTGAGAGAGCGTGCGAGGAGGACGGGGCCGCAGTGATCATAGTGTTGCCTGAATGAGCGATAGTGGCTGAGAAATCGGAAGTCGACTCGGAAAATGAACCAGTAGATGACTCCTCAGCAGATGAAGCGATAGTGGTGTGCATCAAGGTGGCAGTAGACGTCTCAGAGACAGTGGTGGTGGAAGCCACCATCTTGCCGTTGGGCCCGTAGCCAGGGAGGTAGCTGGGCGTCACGGTGGCAGTACCGGTATACAGAGGGCAGCCGGGCTCGGACTTAGGGGGAGCCCTACCACCGCCGCAGTCGATGAAGCTGCAGATCTCACCGGTACCAGGGACATACCAGATCATACTGGCTTCGCCCCACTGGTCACTGGTGGCCGAAGAGACACAGCCGCTGATGTCGGTACGGGCAATGGCCAGGCCAATGAAGCTGGCAAGAATGGGTAGAGTAAAGGCCTTCATGTTGGGGATAAAAAGAATGGAAGGTTCAAAGAACGAAGGGTATCTGGTTGGCAGGGAATGAGTGACGGAAGGTTGAGAAAAAAGAACCTCCAGGATCCAGCGGCTTATATCTCATTTTACATCGGCGGCGCTGGGGACCGTATCGGCCTTAGTACGAAACTCTATGAGCCCAAGTGAATGGACCCTTCTAGTCCTCCACAAGCGAAAAATGGGAAATCGAGGCAACGACCGTCCCTGCCAAGGCCGAAGTGGCGTTCAGGGACTCAGTTCCATTGGCTTCTATGCAGGCATCGGAGTGAATGAGGTTAGTGAGCCTCAGAGTCTGGGTCTATTGGAAGCTTTTTTTTTTCTTTTTCTCTGTTCGGAAGGTCCGGCCCCAAGGTGTGTGTTGGGCGTTGTGTGTTGTGTGTTGTGTGTTGTGTGTGGTTTCGTGTGCCTGAAGGTGAAAATTTTCACCCCTTTTGCTATTTTTAGCTCTGAGCAAGGAACACACAATTGACATGTTGGAAGTCAAGCTCGCAGCCGTTCATCACAACAATATTGTTTACTTTCAATGCCAGGAAAAATATACCCACTTACCATACTATCTGCTTATGTTTAAGTAGAAATCTCAAACTGACACCCGAACACATGGGTCGGGTAGATCGACCCACGCGGTTAACGCCGATCTAAGGGCCTAAGGGTCTTGGTCTTCTAGGCAACGAAACATTTGAACATCCAATTAGGCATTTGGCGATCAAATCACATTATCCTATCCTATACTTGTTCACTCTTCAATCCTATAACTTACCCAAAGTGCATCTTCATGCCAGCTGGGCACGGGCAATGAAGACCGTCTTCTCGACGGTCTTCCCCGCCTTGGTAAACACCAGTGGCTCAGACAATAACTCATATTCAAAATTGACACTCAGACCAGCATCTTGAAACAGCTTTTGCATCTCACCCTTGGAAAATCCGTGGGCCTTGACGGTATGAGCGGCGTCTCCGAATTCTTGCTGGATCATTTGTTCGTGGCCGTGACCGTGACCGTGACCGTGACCGTGGCCGTGGCCGTGACCCGAATGTCCGGCATGAGGGACGAGATCAATGATGAAGCACGCCCCTCCAATCTTCAATCGCTTTGTCAACTTCTGTAGCGCAGTATCCGGGTGCTCGAAGTGGTGCAAGGCCAAGCTGACGGTGATGAGGTCGAAGTTGTTGAACCCTGATCCAGCGAACTCCAGTGGAGCGGGCTCCGAAAGAAGGTCTGCCTTATATCCTGTCATTTTAGAGGCCATGTTGACTGTATTGGCGTTCTTGTTGAATTCTTCCGCCATCTTTTCGGAGACATCGATGCCAACCACTTGGGTCAAGAAAGGAGCCAGCGTCTGTCGTCATTCTTCAAGATTACCTCATGATAAATTAATGAATACAGAACTTGAGAGAAACTTACCATCGAGACTACTCCTGGTCCGCAAGCGTATTCTAGCATCTTGATCTCTTGTCCTTTGCCTGCTTCCGTATCGGTCCATCGGTCGCTGATCCAGGACCGGCGCTTGGCGGTCTGCTCAGACAACATCTTTTGGCCTTGGGCAAATTGGTCTTTGTAGGTCGTCGCCATCTGACTGGAGAGAAATGTCAGTTCAAACATCTTGCTGTCGTAGATTCAGTCAGCACTTACTCGAAATATCTCCGATTTGCCTCTGTGAAATCAGTCATGTTTGTGATGGCTTAAATGATGAATATTTGTAATGGCTTTGACAAGCGTGCAAGTGAAACCGTGTACAAAGTTAAGAAGGTTGTGCGGGGGTAGAGCTCAGGTACCGCGGATCATGGAGTATTTATGCGGTGGCTCGGAGACATCTCGGATACTTCCTGTGCCTAGGATTTTGACTCCATAATAGAGTACCCTGTAGGCCTCGGAGACATCCGACACCTTGATAAGGTTCTGAATGTCGCCGATGGTTGTTTATGGTAAATCCATACGCTTTATTCCCGAGAGCGAGGCCAAGAATGCATATTATGGATGGGGCTAGATTTGACGGGTCCATATTTGCCAGGCTTCTTGACACATTACGCGAAAAGAACAAGTCCGAACTTGATAATCATAACTTTAATAACCTTAGAAAACAATAAAATAGCTTCCTCTGCAGTTCCGGTGCATTTCAGACAAAGCAGAGCAGAGATGCACGGTCGTGCCTGGGGTGTATACAGCTCCCTCACCGCCCGCAAGCTCCAAACTGCCGAAAAGACATCATCAGCTCCGTCCGCATCTCCCCAATCCCCACGTCTAACGATTCGCTTCTCCGATTTTTCATCTGTTGTCATCATTACCATCTTCTTCCGTCTGCAATCACATCTACGCATCCATCGAATCACCCTTCGCTCTCCGCCATGGAGTCCAAGATCCCCGATTTCCTGGCCGAGCAACAGGCGCAAGGCACCCCCGAGACTCAGACCTACCTCCTCACCTTTGAAGACTTCTGGGAGCGCAAGCTATGGCACCAACTCACAGACTCACTCGTTGAGTTCTTCCGCATGCCGGAGAGTGCTCCGCAGCGGTTAGCCTTCTTCAAGACCTTCGTTCTCAGCTTCGCCGACCGCATCAACCAGCTCAAGTTCGTGTCCCTAGGGTTGATGGCATCGACGGAATGTGGAGGTTAGTTCAGATCCAGGCAATGCTTTGCTAAAGCGTTGCAATTATCTACAAGAGCTTTTGATCCGGCTTGCTAACACCTCCGCGGTAGATGACAAGGAAGCGCTGGCTTTCCTCACATCCCTCGCCGACAAGGTCGACAAACCCGAATCACAAGATGCGTACGTCTACGCGCTCGCCGATGTTGCCAACGTCAAGCTGCGTCTACAGGATTTGGATGGAGCACAAAAGGACCTGGCGTCCTGCCAACGGGTGCTGGACTCGTTCGACTCCGTTGAGACTGTCGTTCACGCATCATTCTACAAGGTTAACGCTGACTACCACCATGTACGTATCAGCCGGTTCTACAAAAAGCCCAAGCACACATTAGCGAGCTCATGCAAGACCAACGAGCAACATAACTGACATCATCCAGGCCAAACAAGAATTTGCCTCTTTCTACAAAAATGCCCTCCTGTACCTGGCCTGCATCAACCTGGAGGATCTCCAAGAAAGCGAGCGCGCCGAGCGTGCCTACAACCTCAGCGTCGCCGCGCTAGTCTCCGACACCATCTACAACTTCGGCGAGCTCCTCCTTCACCCGATCCTGGATTCCCTGACCGAGACACCGCACAACTGGCTTCGCGAGCTCCTCTTCGCCTTCAACCGCGGCGACCTGACTGCTTACGACGTCCTCGCAGGCAACATCAGCAAGAACAAGCTCCTCGAGTCCCACAAGGTCTTCCTCTACCAGAAGATCTCCCTGTCCGCGCTGACGGAGATGGTCTTCCGTCGTCCTCCCCACGATCGCTCCCTCGCTTTCAGCGCCATTGCCTCCGAGACGAAGGTGCAGCCGGATGAGATCGAACACTTGGTTATGAAGGCGTTGTCGCTTGGTTTGCTGCGCGGGTCGATCGATCAGGTTGCGGGCGTAGCGCAGATCCACTGGGTTCAGCCTAAGGTTTTGGATATGAAGCAGATTGATGGTATGCGGAACCGTTTGAAGGATTGGGATGCGGGTGTGAACCAGCTCGGTCACTGGATCGAGGGTGCTGGTAAGGATGTCTGGGCTGCATAGACAAGTTTCTGATTCTGCCACTTTTTATCTATAATGAATGAATAGGGTGGTTCCTCTGGCATTGAAGAGTGTCTGTTCTTCATTTGTAGATCTACTTTGGATTATAATCCAGTACTATATGATGCCGAGCTGTGTACAAATGGTCTTAGAACATGGATGATCCCAATACCACGCAGCCGATCAACCAGGCTGGCCACCACACACACCACACCACTACCTGCGTCCACATGCCCCACACATCCCATCCGAAGGCGGCCTGAGTCATGACAGACTCGACGGATACACCGGTGTACCAACACACTCCCAAAAGAACAATAGGCGGGGAGAGCAGATTCAATAACAAGAGTCCAATAGTGGAAACAGCAAACCGTACTGGCGCCGAAGGACTCTGGAGACGAACGATGAAGCTGAGAGGTGCGCACAGGAGGCCGATCATGAAGGAAAGGGAGAAGTTGAGGGTTGCTAAGGTGGAAAGCGACAATCCCAATAGGAGAAGTGTGAACGACTTGATTAGGAGGTATTGCTGCGGGACGATGGGTGCTGATAGACCCAGGCCACTGGAGAGCAAAGCCGCGAGAAGCAATGGAAGAACTACATCCACAACAACGAAGACATAGGTAGCAGTGGTGAAGTACTATGACAGATATGTAAGCAAGACAGAGTCCCGGTAAGAGTGGCTCAAATTTCAACGAACCTGGTGTGAAAGGGTATTGAACATCCAAAGTGGAACAAGACCAAGTAGGTGGAGACCGCTGACCAGGGTAAGCGGCATAGCCATGAGACGCTCTGCGACGGGGGTTCCTTTGGTTTTTTCCTCTGTCATAGACTGGCCCTTCGTATCAGAGGACTTCTCACTCTCAGACTTCTCGGCTGGAGCATTGGTCTTGGAGTCCGAGTAATAGCCCGTCCGCATCCATAGGGCGATTGCCATGATAGTGAAGTTTCCTGCGATCAGCATCGCGCTAGGCAGGTAAGTTCCAATGCTAACGAAACGGTTCGTCTGCATAAGCAGGTAGAAGAAGAAGCTCTGGTGCAGGTGCTCCAAAAGATTGTTCAGACTGCGGCACAGACTTTCGATAGTTCGGCCGAGTGCCATCTCGTCCTCCCATCCCTCGCCCTTGGGCTGCAGAGTAATAGCATCAATATGGTAAGGCATGAAACTGCTGTGAGCACCGGTGGCATAGCCAAGACCCTGTTTGGTCATACCGCGGAGGATGGTCTTGAGACGTGCCTGGTAGCTGTCGTCATGCTCCCACATTTCCTGCAGGTTAGTTCCCATGCCCATTTGGCCGCCTGCGATGGCAACGGCCGTGTTAATCAAGTCGAGATTAGGTAGTTGGCCATTGACACCATCATAGACAACGTGGAGCGATCGAAAGTTATGCTCGAAAGGGAATTCGATAACCAGGGCGCCTTGCAATGCTCCACTCTTCAGTGGGAGCGGCTGAACGGACGCGGGCTGCAGGTCATGGTAGGCGTCAATCCACGCCTGAGTTCCCGATTTGCTGTCGGGTGTGAAAAGGAAGATGATATCCTTGGACCAAAGGGACCATCCTAGAAATAAGTCTCAGTTTTAAGGTCTAGAAATGCAGTCGGAACTCAGGACTCACGCTTGAAGTATCTGGACAATGTCAGGGCTAGCGTGACGCCCTTCAGGTTCAATTCATCATCTGCAGTCTTCCATGCCGCGACGAGCACAATTGCCTCGGTGGCATCGCCTCGTGGTGCGTGGATAATACCATAGATGTTCTCGCCTTGGTGGGTAATGCCTGCCGAGGTGTACTCGTACTTCTGTGTCGCAACTTTCAACCCCGCGGCTTGCAAGATTGAATGGACTTTGTTATGCGCCCTGCTTCAATATCAGCACGTTGCTCTCGTCATAGTTTCGACTATACGGTCCCACGTACGCTGGTGTCACGGCCACATCTTGCGAGACTCCTTCCTCGCGCCCCTCATTTAGGAGGACTTCCAGCTCCTTCTTGTACCCTCGAAAAATATTCTGCTCACTGCCGGTGAAATAGGCGTGTACTTGACCGGGCAAGAGTGCATTCTCGGAGATGTAGGTGTTTCGGGAGTACTCGTTCAAGGGGAGGAGCAGGAGCCAGACGACGCCAACGACGATACAAAGGAGGGATAGAACATTCGGGAGGCGAACGAAAAGAACGTCGGGTTTGTTCCGCAGGTTACGGATCGCGGCTGGCATTTCCTAACTGTCAGTGCTTCGTCCTTGGTTCCAGGTGTCGTTTCGAGAAGGGAGGTGCTTGGAGGAGATGCGCACGTTGTGCGTGGAAACTTACATTTCAGCGCCATTTCATGAGGACCATCGGAGAATTTCTCTCCAACATGCAACGGCGAGCCCGTCAATTGGATCGACTAGTTGGGCGATGTCGCGGAGGCCAGCTTGGAGTTGACCCCGGAGCTCGGAGATGTTTACGGGTAATTTACGCCAGGCGAAACAGACCAAAAGCGCAGTTATTATAGTATGCAGCCGCTATGCTATGATCCAATGCCCCCGAACCTTGTACCTCCCACGTAATAAAAAAAAAACTATGGCAAAATATACACAGAATATTGAATCAACAGTCATGTGGTGAAAGGAATCACGCGCCCAACCGTTGGTTGGTGCTCATATAGCTCATGGGTGTCCCGTTGGCGTTGGCAGCCGCATTTGAAGTGGGCAGAACTCCATACCGTCCGAAGGTCTTCTGATCCACAGAAACATAGTGAGGCAGGCGGCCTAGGAGGTTGAGCTTGCCCTCGATCCAGCGGAGGACCTTCTCCGGAGGCACAAAAATCTTGAGATACCCGAGTCCGACTGCGAATGTTAGTAACCGGGAACGAGAAATAGCATGAAGAACACTTACAGAGGTAGCCCACAGCAATGGCGCACATGTGGCCGAGGAAGCTCACGTTAGAAACCAGGATCGAAAGAACAACGCAGGCAAGCAAGGGCGAGGTCCAGGTGGGAATCTTGTAAGGTCCGAGGCTAGAACTTGTTAACAATGATCGGTCCGTGTATCGCTTGTTTCGAGCATACCTAAAGTGAGGGTTTGTCTTGTATGTCCGAATGGCCTCGGAGCCCAGAAGCAAAAAGACCCAGACACTGTAGAATTCATCAGCTCTGCTAAGAGTGACTCTTGAAACAGTCAAGACTCACCTGGCGCCAACCACGGGCGTATTTCTGTGCAAGATGACTTTCTCAAACAGGAGATAAAGACCGGCCGGGAAGGTGGAAAGCGCTGTGGAAAACAAGTAAGTCAGCAAGGCTGTACTCCAAACGCCAAAGAACACACAGACCGCCCAGTATCAATCCCGGGGTCTGTAGCAAGGGGTTACTTACGTCCGACAAACAGCGCGATGGACGTGAGGGTACCATGCTCCGCCTCGAAACGTTCCAAGAGAGGAGTCAATGCCAGAGCATTCAATGCGGCGTGAAAGAACCCAGTGTGGATGATAGGGAAAGTGTTCAGGCGATACACTAGATCACGATAGTCAGAATAATTATATCAGCTGCACTCGCTGCCGGGTCACATACTGGTTCCCAGGTTAATCAGGTCTGGGGTGAGGGATCCCCATTCCACCACGCTCCAGATCGTCTGAAACTCGAGCAACCAGAATGCCAGAATCACCAAAAGCACCAATCGCGTAAATAACGGTAGCCGCACAAGATATGACCGAACCCGGGACGGGTTGAACGGCAGTGGTGGTAGCGCAGCCGGAGTAGCCATCTTGATGGAGGAGTCTTTATCGACGAGATGTCGCGATAACACTGATACTGGACAAGAAACTTGACACCGATGTGGGGTTTGAAATAAGGAGCGACGACTGTAGAATGGTGATCCCGTTAGTGTTGCCTGGGGTTTAAGAATTGTTGGCACCCGAGGGTCGTCAGGCCTTGCCAGGGATAACCCGCGCACGCGATCGGTTCGCCAGGGAAGAGCGCGACAGGAAGAACCGGACAAAGAACACCTCGGTAAACCAACAGACAATATTGAGAGCAACTCACCCAAGCAGATGGCAGCAATGCGGCCCAGAATCGGTGGATAGGGTCGTGAAGGAAGAATGGTAAACTCAACTCTCGGGGGGAGCGTGGCCGCGGCGATCCCCGCTATTCCTTTTTGGGATACGGTCCCACACGTTGGTCCGAACTATAAATTGTGCACGAACAACATCGGCTGCTCTACGTCTCTTTGGAACTGATTATCCCTCGGAGTCTCCAAAACAGGGTTAGAGACACATAGGTTGGAAAGTCTAGAGAGAAAAAAAGAAACGTTGGCACAATAATCAACATATTCATTTGGTACATGCTCGAGTAGGACTCGCGAGCCCTGCAAGTATCTACTTGAAATCATACTCAAGGCGCCACAATATAAGCGAAAGGGATTTCTTACCAAAGCTACTATGGCTCCAAGTCTCCTCGGGCGGCGATGCTAATATAATGCCCGCTTCAGAACTCAAATTGTTCAGTGTCTTTCCCCAATCAGCGCGTTCCTGAGAAGATTACCTAAGCGCCAGCCTCCTGTTTCCCCCAGCAAATCAGCGCGAACCGCCGAACAAACAGCAACATCAAACATCAAACATCAAACATCAAACACTGTCTCCTGTTGCTACCTCGAGAAATCTCCTTCGACGAAGATTTCTGATCCGGCGAAATTAGAACTCTTCACCCATATATGTGCTCCCCCTCGTGAGGGTTCCCCATTCGTCGTCGCGCTTGTCATATTCGCGTCGATGGCCAGCATGAGTTCCGATAAGAGCAATCATGTCGAACCCTTTGATATCACCAAGTGGGTACGAACCTTGGACTTTGTCACCCGCAAGGAGAAGTTTGGTCCCTTCAGCCTCGAAGATGCGCGGAATCATGTGCTTTCTAGCATAGAGATCATGCAAGACGTTGGGTCCATTATTCAACGAAGAGAAAGCCTCAAACGTCACCAAAGCACAGCTCCGTTTGAGCTTCACGCTAGCACGTTGAATACAATGATCAGTTCTACACTCAATAGAAATGGGCCACAACTTGCTGATCCAGGGAATTCTGTAACACCAATCTCATCCACCCCGACTTGGTACCACGCTATTATAGCAGCCCAGGATGGTGATCTGGAGCGCACGAAAGACGGAAAGTACCGTGGTCATGTCAGAGGCCAAGTGGTTGAAATTTCCGAAGCAGAGAGTCAGCCTATTCTTCAGTTCATTCATGAAACTTTGCCTCGAGACCAAGATGTACAAAAGGAGATAGATGCTCACGTGGCGATGCTTGAGGATCTAACCCGGTACGTTGGAGCTTTTGTGGAAGGTATGCAACCTTGCTCCGCTTGCAGGTCTCTACTCACAATACTAGCGCTCAGAGAAGCCAATCTCCTTCGATCTTCACTGCGCGAGAACAGGGATCTTCTTCTAAGCTGCCTTCAAAGGAATCCTGATGTCCCTCATGATACATCAAGCGAGACAACTTCGGCCTCCTCCCAAATCCCATTGAATCAAACCCCCCAGAATCAATCTCACATCCGAACAGGACATCTACCCTCCAAATCTGATATTTCAGTCCCTGAAGCAATAAAAGTCGGGGCATCCGAAGAGTCAACACAGCAGGCAAACCATGCAACTAAATTAAGCGAACACAAGTCTGGACCAACGTCTCACAGCTCCGTTGCAGCTATGAGACACGAGCCATTGAAGACCAGAGTAATTCACGATGGGCTCCACATGGATGTGCGTCGCCGAGGTTCATCTGTTGACACACGGGAGAACCCGAGACGCAGTAGGTCACCTACCCCAGTCTCGAGAGTGGGCGATCGGATTGGGCCAAGCCAAAAAGAAAAGCTTCACAGAATCGCTTTCTTGGAATCCCTGATACAAAAAGGGGTGCCCTGGGACGATATGCCCGCTTTGTACAAGGAGGAGTTCGGTATATGGCGTTCGGCTGCTAGTTTCAGAACTGTCTACAGTCAATATAGGGACAGGAGCAAGAAGTCGCCGGAGACCTGTGCTCCGTCTCAACCTCCACCTCAGACCCCGACGGGAGGAGCTGACAACTATGGGGGCAGGCGCTCAGAGCGGAATAGATCGCCTACCCCAATATCGACACGATTGAAAAAGATCAATGCATCTGAACAAGAGATTCGCTATAGATACTCTTTCATAAAATCTCAGCTCGAGAAAGGGGCGACGTGGGACCAAATTCCTGCCTTGTATAAGGAGGAATTTGGAATATGGCGCACAGTGCTCGCTATTCGCCGTGAATACTCTCTTGATGGCAAAGGGCGCGGTAGCAAGCAGAGCTCCTTGGGTATGGGCTTTTCTCTAAATCAGCGGACTAAGAACGGCGCAGGCAGTAGCTCAAAGCGGCTTAAATCGACTACCCCGATCTCGGATCGAGGTAACAAAATCTTTGCAACCGAACAAGAAAAGCTCCACAGAAGTGATTTCTTGCTATCTCAACGCCGCGAAGGGATGGAATGGAATGAACTTTGTTCTGCCTATAAGGAGAAATTTGGCATCATGCGGTCCGCTAAGGCTCTCATGGGTTACCACAAAATAGCCCTGGAAAGCCAAGAGGATACCCCATCTCTCAGGTCTTCCTCGGCTCGCGATGATACGAACACGCGCTCGAAGAAGCGGAAACGATCACCTAGCCCAGCCCCTGCGACATACAATGAAGTTCCTCCTTCCGAAGAAGAAGTGCTCCACAGATGGTCTTTCATGGAGTCTCATCGCCAGGCAGGGCTGGGTTGGAATGAAATAGCGAAACTATATCATGAGGACTTTGGGATATCGCGCCCATGCAGAAACCTCATCAATTGGTACAATTACAGTAAGCGGAAAGCCCAGACGGGCTCCTCGGTACGGGGACACCCGTCTGAGATACCTGACTCTGACAGCCAGGATTGTCATTCTTTGGTTCGGAGATGTAGCTCAAGCCCTCTGGCTATCTACAATGGGACTAAGAGCAATAGCAACGAGAACACGGTCTCGAAAGCTCTCTCTTCACGTCGTCGCTCGGTATCTAATGACTCCAGCTCGGAGTCATCGTTGTCTTCTGATTAAACCCCTCCCTCGGCTACAGAACCAGGACTACTGATACTACATCACATGTGTCAAGTCATGCCGACCAGCTTTAATTTTGAGCCCTGTGATTCGAATTTCAACGACAGAGCCTGTGTCTAATAGGGCTATACTGTGATAGGCCGGATCAATGAGCCTGAGCCGAACCTTACAGTTGTAGCTTTATTGGCGCAGCCTACGTATCGCATTTCTACCTCGCCAGTGGAAAGATATGACGAATCTCCGCAACCGCCCCCAACCCACCAAACTGGATCGACTTTGTTATCTCTAGCTTCAACGGTGGGCTTGAGGGTTTAAAGATCTCACTCCTCTGTCAAAACCACTCTTGAACAGCCGAGTCAACTTTCCGCTTTCCGGTTGTGAAGTCTCCCGGGGGAGTTTTGCTTTCAACGGTTCATCTATGAGAGACCGTTAACAGCTTTCCTTTCTTTTCGACTGGAGCGATCAAGCATTGTCACTATATTGTTTTATTTATATTTACCATACTCTCTAATCTATGACAGGAGCTTCAATGTTGTATTGTAGATACGCAAGGACTAGAATATTACGAGATTTGTAAGACTCAAATGGTGAGGTTTCGACTGTAATATATTTTGCAAATGACAAAACAACACGAACGAAAAGGTAATTTTAAATAGGCGAAACATTTGATTCTTCAATTCTTTCTCAATTATTTTCAGTGTATCCCGATTTATCTCTTTTGGAACCTCTTTTATTCTTCCTTCTAATTAATTTATCTAGGTGAATTCGGATACACCTGAGAAAATAAGTCATTGCCGTGTGTTCAAAGCCTTTGCATTACATTCCTGCTCCGGCTGTAAATAACTGAAGCGCAAAACAAAACAAGAAAAAAATAAAGCAAAGTAAAGAAACAAAGCAAATCACAGGCCGTCGTTTTCTTCCTTCTGGCAATAGCAATTCTGAAATAACTATCATATAGCCATAATGAGCACAACTCGAACTGTTCCTTCGTCCGCCCCTTTGGCTTGTAGTGGATCGGCTAATGCAAGGTGTCCGACTGACCGTCTGCCAAAACCTCAACATTCAATCGAGCAGATGAGGTCCCGTTGAGACGATGCTGGCCTGGGCTAGCATGAGGGGCTCCAAACGCTCCTCCGGTCCGTTGGGCTCGGATCGAACCAGGCTGCAATCTTATGGTAAGTGAGATGTTTTGTGGCCATGTGTTGTATCATAGGTGTTCAGAGGTGTTCAGAAGAGTACATACCGGGATGCCTTTTTTGTTCCTGTCTGTATTCTCCCGCGTCATATACCTCTTCAGTGTATCTTCTGTGCGATTGGTTCCAAATTCTATATTATACTCGGCCACAACATGTTCCCATTCCAAATCTTTTTGCCGCCGGCTATGTATGAACTGGTAAAAGTTTTTTTCTCTTTCTCTGATCTGTTGGGTCCTCTCTGGCCCAGACACTTGTGCGGTCTTTTCTTTACCAAAGACATTGGTGGAGTATCTTCTCCAGCCTCTGTTGAGTCGCTAAAGTTGTTGAAGGGATCGGAGTCTGCGCTCGGCACGTCACGGTAAGTTGATCCTGTTGTCAGCTTTTTGGCATTCCTTGTGCCTACGCTTTTTCTGTTTCCTCTTTCTGTGTTTCCTTCGACTTCTCTCAAAGGGATGACAGAAGACGTGCCCGTTGTAGAGATGTTTGCAGCTGGACCCAAGGTAGGTTCTTCGTGCGGATTTGGTGGAGTCAAGGCATCGGCAACAATGGTACCGGCTTTTTCGGGGCTTTCATGTTCTATGTCCCCTCTTGGGTCAAACAGGCAAGAGTTTGCAAGGGAATCTTCTCGGATTTGTGGTTGGTTTGATGGAACATCTGGTTCAGGAGGTACTGCAGCTTCAGGAGGTACTGCAGATTCGGACGGCACGTTGAGTCCAGGAGATGCAGATAAATCATCTTCGTACTTGCAAATATCCGAATGGCGTTCTTCGAGTTTAGTAATGAGTTGGTGCCCGCGGTCGACTACTGCAATTTCTATAAGTTATTGACATGTTAGGCTCTTCTGGATAGTTGAATAACTTACCCTTCTGCACTTCTTCCGTTCTCATCCGCGTATCTGTCAAAACAGACTCTATACTCTGTTTTTCTCGGGCTAGGTCTTGGTCATCGGGCTCGAAAAGGGATTGAGGCAAGCTGAGGATAATGTCGCGCTCCTTTGCAGACACTTGGAGTATATGACCATGGGAAACAAACTGGTAGGTCCCGTCGTCTCCAAGGGTTTGAAAGTGCTTCTTTTTGGCACCTCGAACCATCACAACCAAGGAGGGTAGTTCATGTCGTGAATCTGCAGAACTTTGGGGCTCGGCCACGACGGGGTATCGCTCACTCACAGCTTTTCTGATTTTGGTTTCGAGACTGCTAGCCCACGTACCAGAAATGAGATCGGACCAATGCCGAACGAACGTTTTCCGCTCGTCAAATATCCCATGGTGTCTTTCGAAAATCTCATGAGTCAACGCAGCGGGTAAATCAACAAGATCGTAATAAACTCGATCCTCTGAGCGGCTCACAAAATCGAGATTGCGGACTCGTTCCTTGTAATCAGAAATTCGAGATTGAACACTTTCTCTAGCCATTTTTGTGGCAAATGGGTTACAGTGAAAGTACTCAAGCCCTTCAAACTTGAAGCTCAGCAAACAAGATCATTCTTCCCAATTGCTGAGTCCAAGCGTGTGTTGCCGGCGTGAAGTCTCGAAGCATATCTTGGTGTTCGCGCGAACACGACGGTTTCCTGGATCTCCAACTCATACGGCGGCCAAGAGGTCATGCTCGAAGATGTGCGTTAGATGGCCCCAAAGGGGTCTGAGGCTCAGCGTGAGACAATATTGCCGCCCAGGAGCTATGGCCATGACTCGTGGGTACAGCGTTCTTTGGGACCGAAGAGCCGCTAATGCAAGAGAACATCAGCTTTGCAGGTACCAATGGTGGAACACTCGGCGCGTAGCCGTCGCGATTCAACGTCACACGCACGAGCCCTCCAAGACATAGTGCCACGACGCTACCTGGCTATCATGGATATGTGGAGCCTTACCCTAGGGGCCGCGCCGAACCCAAGCACTCAATCCACACTCGGACCCTCACGGCTGACGTAAACTCTTCTTGCAAAGTGCTCGGGCGTCGGCGCCACCTGTCCAATCAATCCTCAGAGAAGCCCACCCATAGAAGCAATGTCTTCTCACGGAAAGTGCTGCACGCAACCCCCGCGCTCTGCCGTTTGGCTAGCCGCCTGGATCCGCCCCGCACCACCGGAGTAATCCCTCTTGAGTCGTCTGGAATCTGACCTGCGACACCAGCCTGGCGCGTACGGCTCCCTTATCTTTGGTAGACCCCCTGACCACTGTTCATCTGACCAGCCGGTCTTGCTCACGTATAAAAGGCCCTGTACGCCTTGCTTCGAGATCCTCCGTCAAGCCTCAACCACACACACGCGCGCTAGAAATTATGGCTGAACCAATAGGCCTCGCCTCAGGAATACTGGCCCTGGCGACGTTTACTTTCCAATGTAGCGTTTCGCTTTTTGAGACCGTCAACAGCTTCCGCTCCCACCCGAAGCGCGTGCGCGATCTTCTCGAGGAGCTGGAGGCTTTGAGTGCTGTGCTAGGTCCACTCGCCGATATACTCAACACAACTTCTGATGTTGATCTCTCATCACTCAATCTGCCTTTATTGCGGTGCGGGAATGCTTGCAAGGAATTCCAGCAGGAAATCATCCAATGCTCCTCTCGATCGACTGGCAACCGTACGAGTTTTCGGGACTGGGCCAAGCTGACGTACATGGGTGACGATATCGATGGCTTTCGAAGGCTGCTGGCCGGATATAAAGCGACCATAAACATTGCTCTCACCGATGCAAATCTGTATGTCTTGGTGCCACGACTGACCCAATTGTGTCCCGCTTTGCCCCTCTGTTTCACATCAACGATAATGTCTATAGGCTAATCTAAAATGCAGTCGTCAGGCTTCAGTCACTGCCGAGAATCTAGAGGACTATAAACACCTCATCCAAGATGCCAAAGATGACCTCGAAGCTCGCTTGGAAGTCATAGACTTGAAACTGGGACAGATTGTTGAAAACAATGCGGTCCGGTCCGACGTAGATGCCGCCGAGCTGCAGTCCATGAGAGAAGAGCGCTTAAGTACAGAGAAGTGCCTGCTGATCTGCACCCAGCTTTCCGAGCACATTGATCAAATCCAGTTAATGTCCGACCGAAGTGGGACCCCCGGCAGTGCAACCAGCGCGAATACCTTGCCCGAGACGGTTACCAACGAAGGCCTGCAGGAATGCAAGAACAGCTTGATTCAAACAGCTGCGAAATTAGAAAAACATATGCAAGATATTATGGACCGGATGCTCTCAAAATCCAAGATTATATCATCTGAACAGGACGCCGCCGACCTGACAAGGTTACGTGACGAGTGGAAGACCGCTCGGCAGTGCTTGGATATCTGCTCGCGGGCAGATACTCACGTGAAGGAAAACGTTAGTGTGATCGAAAATTACGGCCTTGGCGACTCCTTGCAATTCATGGTCTCCACCAATGGGCAGATCCTCCACGGAAAGAATCGAGGATTAGGCTGGCGTACGAGGCAGGTGGGGGGTTACGTGAGTGACGAGTCTGTACAACAGCTATCGCGGGACATAGCAAGCACGAGCTTGCATCATGTGCGAGTGGGAAGCCCACTTTCAAGAGACGACACCACACCTGCATCCGGCAACCGGGCAGAAGGAGAGACGACTGCAGCATTCAAGGAACGCTACGGGTCTGGCTTTAAGCTCAAACCGATGGCCTCACCAAATAGCACTCCGTCCGTTGTAGGATCGGGCAGTGACTAGACCGAGACATCAAAAAATGACTTTGATTGATTTTTTCAAATTGCTGAGCCGTTGGCCCTGTGTTTTGTCAATGGGGTTACTATCAATGCTTTCTTAGCGCGCTTTGTCTATCTTTTATCTCTAAAAAAAAAACCTACAATATCAGTTTTGTACCCCGCTTTGGCCATTACCCCTTGCGTGTTGAATGAGCATGATAAGTGATGTCTCAAGGCTGAACCATTGTTTCGCGTGCCCAACAATAGGTTGACCCGTTGCTTCACAGGCGCTATCAACTAACATATGCTGAAGCGTGCTCTAGCTCAGCACAGAGGAGCAGCCAGGAAGTTGTCAACGTAGCAATTTTTCTTCCCCCTTCAAACATACAAAAGCGTACCCCGCGCCACGAAAAGCTTCGTGGTATCCGCCTCCCTTCACGGCCGACAGTTCACTTATCTCTTCTACATGAGGAGAGAAATAGAAGAGGCATCTACCCAATTCATTCTGGTTGTCACCACATTCTTTCATTTATCATGCCGTATTAAGTACATTCCGTACGGCCTCAGTCGGAAAACCGTACGGCCTCATTCAGGACAATTGTATTCAAGATTTCCCGTACGGCCTCACGGCCTCATCAAGGACACTTGTGACCTCTCTCAAGACAACCTCTGCTACGTGCTGATTGTGTGTGTGGTCCGTTGGTTGTTGTTGCCCAGTCTGCATTGCCAGACAGCCATCGAGCTATTCCCATTTCAATATATACTTCGTAATGTAGAATCTATACTAAACGGATACTAGAAAGCCCCTATCGCTAGGAATAGCTCGGATATTGCTAAGATTAAAACTAGACAATAAAAGGTGATACCGGTGATAGCGGCTGACCGTACCCTATCAAAATAATTCACTAACTTCGAGCCCATTGTTAGATGGACGTTAAACTCAGGGAAACGAAAAACCAATGGTCAACTTAAAAACTGATGACTTTCCGCACACGATCTCTCTGGCGGTTGTGTTTTTAATGCAATCGTAATGTAATTGCGATGCAGTGAAATGGGAAGGACTAACCCCTACAAACGGCTGCGGACTAAAATGTAATGCAATGCAATTCAATTACCCCCATGGGATAGGTTAGATTGGGTTTTGGTTCTAGAACCTAGTCGCGGGTTTTGGCGCAGTCTAATCCCACTTACCCCTATGGGATAGAGCACTATATCGGGTTGAGAGATGTTCAGATCGCGATGAGGAAATGAGATATGAAAACGCCCACAATACTCTCCTCAAGCTTCATCAACTGCATTGCGGCGCGAAGCGTCAAAAGTCAATTGTCAATAGGTTGAAGGGTCAAATCGATTTTCAGGAAAAGCTGCCAACACCGATCAGAATCCACTCTCGCCTGCTAATTTATTATGATAGTTGTCTTACTGTACTGTAACCTTTAATGCACCAGAATAAAGCGACCCGGCATCTGTGCACGCGATCGCGCGATCGCACGATCGCACAATCGGGCGAACCAGAATGGCGGGCTCTTCACCATCTGTTTAGCTCCAGTAATCTTCCGGGCGACAGATCGATTGCCGAGCGACGATCCTAAAACACTGCCAATATTCGTTGCCCACGCTTGCTACCATTGAACACTAGCCACTCTGTATGCAAGGTCACGCTGAAAAGGGCAACGAGTGTCAATAATCGCAGTAAGTGATGTATCTCATCGGACAAGGCGAGCGAGTCCCGGAAGGTGTTTCCCCTACAGTAGAACTCTGTCAACGTTCAGGACCCGTTAGAACCGACAGAGTGGATGGTCCTGGCCCACTTTCGCCTAGACTCGACTTAGCCGCGGTGCAGATCATGGGATCTGATCGCGTTTTGCATATAAGGGCGCGATAGGTCTGTTCTCTCTCGATTGTTACTCGAGAGGTCATATCGGTCGTCATGGCAAATAAGTTTAAGACTTGTTCGCCATATATGAAGGATCTTGCTTCGGCGATAATAAGTTCTTCACTTATATTGAAGTCTTCGATTCCATTGACCCGTGGAAGGGTTTGAAACCTTGAATCTCGAGGATTCTAGTTCAAATTTGCGCGATATTGCCGATAATATCATCGAGTCAACATGTCGGACGTCTCACCGAGAAAGACAGGTTACGAGCATGATAACTTGCGTCATGTAGTCATCACATCAACTTGCTTTGCCTTCATCTTGTCTACAACTGCAGTCGGCTTCCGAATTATTTCTCGAAAGCTCAACGGACAGGGTCTCTTTTTGGATGATTATCTGATAATCTCGGCGCTGGTGAGATTTATGATTTTCTTGGACGAGAAGCTATTGTTAACATTATCCCAAGCTTTTTGAGTATGGAATCACGATTGCTGGGATTGTCTGTACGTATGCCCCCGATGACATGAAACTTCATCAGTCTAAAATTGACCAGTACTCTACAATGGACTCGGAACGCACATTGTCTACGTGAAGCCTGATCAGCTCACAGTTTATCTAAAGGTATAGGCTCTTTAAACACATCGCTTGTTACGACCTGGCTGATTATCTGACAGACACTATTCACTGGCTCCATCCTTTACACATGCTGCATCGCCTCAGTCAAATTATCCATTCTCACGCTCTACCGTCGAATCTTCCCGACCAAGTGGATGAAAATGAGTGCCAACATTGTGGGCATGGTCGTTATACTATGGGCTGCTTGTGGTATTCTCGCCGGCGCATTTACATGCATCCCGACAGAAAAGCTGTGGAATCCTCAGATACCCGGCGGATGCATGAATCTCTCTAAGTTCTATTATGGCCTTCAGATTCCCAACATCGCGACTGACGCGATCATTCTGTTCATGCCTATGCATGTTGTCTGGGCCCTACCTATCTCCAATAATCAGAAAGTTGGACTTTCGGGAATCTTCATTCTTGGCTTCCTGTATGTTGCATGCCTTTACTTGATCGATAGACATTGACAACGCACAGAACCTTGGTCTTCGATATCGTTCGCCTCGTCGCTCTCATAGATCTGTCTACCGCTGGAGATGATATTACCTGTACGATCAAAATTCTCTGGAGCTGAACAATAGGATCACATGCTAAGATTAAACAGATACCCAGGTTAACTCAAGCGTCTGGACCTGCATCGAACCCGCCGTAGGTATCGTCGCAGCCTGCCTGTCGAATATGCGTCCCCTGTTCAAGATCGTGCACACGAAGATGTGGTCGCGCACTGGTTCTTCCAGAAACACCAGCCAGCAGGACACCCTGCACTCGAACGACGGAAAGGCATGGCCACGCAACACTCCAAGCCCTACCAATACCAACAACACCACCTTCGACGGCACGACTCACACCGAGTCTTCCGATCAGTTCCCTCTTCACCGCCTTTCCCAGAACGACAGTACCAATTGAACTACACTCTTCATACCCACCCTCTTTCATTTTTTGAAGGAGTCAATTTCTCATAGACGCTTGACAAATCTCACTGATTCACCTCTCGCTCGTGCTAAACCCTTGAGTCTGGACCGATCTGCCAATGATTCAATTTGTACACACCTAGTTTCTATATATCTGTCGCCATGAATCCCCCGCGGAGGTGGAAAATTGTTATTCCTTTACGTGTTTGCGTGGTTTGCATGTGTCTCTGTGTTATAAATTGTCCATTGGAATTGTTAACTACACCACAGATTTTTACTAGTTAGTTAGTTAGACACACCACAATTGATTATCTAATATTGCATGTTATGTAAGCTTACCACAACTGCGCTCTCTCGTAATTAAGTTGATAATTTGATCAATTGTTGTATGATTAAGATGCCTTACGTTGACATGCGGTTTGATTGAAATTCTTACACTTTGCATGATCTGATTGTATGCTCGATTTCCCGTGTTCTCCGTCAATATGCCAAGGTCTCGTGATACACGTGACCAATATCGGGCCTCAGCCCGTGGGCTCCACAAGCAGTACAAATACCACCTGCGCGTTAACCAAGCGACGCCGTCATTGTTTCGCAAGCAAATTAAGCACTGGGGCTCTACTGGGTTATTTATTTTTTTTCTAGGCTATTCTGACACGTAGATCCTGGGACTTTTTTTGAACTTCTTATCTTGGCATATCCCCCCTGACGAGCGTTTTCATCACCCGACCTCGCAAATCATCAAACGGAGGCCAATAGAGATGGAAATCGACGATAAACCCCACGACTCAGGAGCGCGGGAGCAACCTGTCACTTTGGACTTCCAGACACGACGAAGAGACAGTGAACTGCGAGACTTCTGCCAGCTTCAATCCCTGTCACTCGCTTATATCGCTTCTTGACACTTACAATGCGGTTCTTAACGACGAAAGCCCCTACTTCGATAACGTCAACGCGACCGAATTGATCACGAAGGAGACATTCAATAATTGCGGTCCGCCTTTGCTAAAACACCAGGATGAAGATCCTTCATTCAGTATCAGGGACATTGTTATGGAAGTCAGTAATGACTAAATCGAGCTTCATTCTGATAATTACTACCACTGCAATGTCAAAGGCCATGTCATTCGTCTCTCTGAAAGCCAACACAATGTCGTTTTCAACGCGTTTCCTCTCTTTTTCAAGCACTCTCTGAGCATGGAAGGCATGCAACAGGAAAGTGCAGCAAACAAAGAAATATATGGACTTTTCAAAGCCCAAGGTGAATTGCCTTTAAACCGAGGTAAGTAATTATCCACCTCATGGCTATACTGCAATATTGGCTGACCATATCAGCAATCCATAAGGCCATCCAATTCTCTGAAGAGCTACAAAAACGCAGCAGCGCCCTTGATAATGAGGTTGACAGAACTCATATCAACGACCTGTTACGAGAGCCCTCGCCTCCAACTGAACAAAAAAGGAAGTTCCCTTGCGCCAGTTTGACGCGTGAAACTTCGCCCCAGAGCTCTACTTTCAGCCAAGATGGCGGCGACTCTAATACAGCGAAGGCGACTACACTCTAGAGTCATCGCGTTATCACCCTTCCGGGGAGCTCAAATTGTCCAACTACCCAGAATCAATTGTCCAACTACCCAGAATCAACAGCTCATCATGCGATACCCAAATCGTTGGATGGGAAAACCAACGGGTTTGCCGTCCTGAAGAAACACCACGACAAAGGATTGTCTTGGGAGGAAATCCGCAAATGTTATGCAGATAGATTCAAAATTTGGCGCTCGAAGCTCAGTCTGGAGCGTTAGCACAGGGAGGTAGTATTTAGAGATTTGGCATGGCAGATTTTCTAGGCTTTTGATGATCTACTAACCCACGTTCTACCTTAGTCCGAGAGGAACAGCAATACTTACAAAAGCCACAATGAGCCCGATGATTGCCTTGCAAAAGATGTGCTCGACTACCGACCCGCAAGAAGAACAGACGTTGAGCGAGACCACGGATTTGAATACCTGAAAAAGCTTCGAGAAGTCAACAAGATTCCTTGGATCAAAACAATGAAGCTATACAATGGGAAATTTGGGACAAATCGTACACAGCCTGATTTGATGGATTGGTACTGTAAACAAAGCAAGGAATCGGTACGACATGTTCTTGGCGGTTCTTATAACACTTGCTTACTCTTTACCCATTACCAGCAGGGCCCACAGACTGAGGACAATGACATGCTCGACTGCCTAAGGAATGGATCTAGAACGAGTCACGAGAAAGCCCACGCATTTGACTTCCTGACAGGACTTCGAAACGACGGCCTGAGTTGGCCGCAAGTCACGGAGCCGTATATGGCGAGATTTGGAACGGATCTTACATTCAGCCAGCTATATAGTTGGTATAGCAAGGAAAATGTTCGTTTGATAATAAGTCTTCCCGGGCACTTTCAAAAGATGACAGGTTACGCATTATCGCACAGCGTGAGCGGCATGATGATTCTCAGGAAGGCGATAATGTCTCGGTCAACCCATCTGCAATAGGTCCTAGCCGTTCAAGATCGAAAGAAGAAAAAGCCGATGGGTTTAGCTTCTTGAAAACGCTCAGAGACGACGGAACGCACTGGGCCAGTGTCGTGAAACCATATAACGCGAGATTCGGGACAGATCGCACAGAAAAGGGGTTGCAACGCTGGTATATTAAGACTGCGAAAGAGCTCCCAAGAGTTGGTTATATAGATCCTTGAAACTTTCAACCACGTTGGCTTACCTGTATATACAGCCCAAGAGCAAAGCCGCGTCAGTGTTATCACCTCGCAAATCGATCGGGAAGTCTGCATCAACAAGTTCATCTTCAAGAAAGTCTCTGCCATCGAGAGCCGTGCCAGATCGCGGCACACCAGTCCGTGTGGAGAAATCGGTTCGTCAACCTTGAAGCGCGTCTAACTGTTTCCACTAACATTCTCCCATTGCTCAAAGGGTTTGCGTCAGTCGTTAAGATCTCAAAAACTCTCAAGACTGTCACTAGAAAGCGCCCTGCCCTTCAAAAGAAGGAAATAGTCAATCAATCTCGGGATTTCTACATGCTTACCTACTCGAGAACCTCAGACCAAGCTTAAAGTTGAAATACCAGGCAGCACGATTAAGTTCATATGGAAGGTTCGAAAATTGAATCAACTCGATTAATGGAGTGCAAATGCACCCCAGTTCAAACATACTCATTCCATTATGGTGCAAACAAGAAAGTATTTTCTGCGAAATTACCTTTGGCTGAAAGCCTAAAGACAATTCCATGAACGTTTTGCGAGGCTGGAGTATTCAGGTCGCTCAAGATGCGGAAATATTTTGATCGACGTGCCTGCAGCTAGTGAATGTTTTCATCCTTGTTGTAGTCGTCCCCGTTATAAATCATATCGTGATCTTGGTCTTGGATATCTTCTTCGTGCGGTTTGTTCTGCTTGTCGCGGTTGCGATTGGGCTGTTGGACTAGCTTGCGGCGAGACTTGGAAGTTCTGCTTTCATGGTGCTTGTTAGCTGATGCGATGGGGGTTAAGTCAACTTCAGGGGCCAAAACAGGACAGTATTGGTGGACGAGCCCTCTCACGGGAGGGTTCGGCCTTGGAACGGATAGCTGTCGCACCTTCGGTTGGTTCAGGGTTGAGACTAAGACGATCCCAGACAGCTCGCACCGATTCTACACTGCGATGAGTTCCGAACTCAAGATTGTATTGATCTGTAACAGATGACCAGGGAATACCCTTCTTCAGCAATGAATCAAGGACAGAGAAACCATTTTGCTTCTCAATTTGATTCAGACGAGTTCGCACACCCGTCGAGAGCGAGTAGTTCGTGGCGACTCTTCTGCGCTTGGGAGACGATATCTTGGCGGGGGTGTTCGTGGGGGTCTCCTCGTTGTCATCTCTCTCATCATCGTCACCGCCATTTCTTTCGGTGATGGACGATAGAGTGTAATAGCTTGCGTCTGTGGGATTGTTGCACTTCCTGGCATGAGAACATCCACGAGAAGCTTCAGAGACGGTATTGTCAAGGTTTTCGGTGGATTCATCCAAAAAACCCTCTCCTCCGGGTGGCACGAAGTCGTCGTCGCCTTGATCACCATATTCTATATCACCTCGGTTGTCAAATTCAATCGAGTTGACCGAATCAACGGAAATGGCTCGGGAAGGTTCACATTGCTGAATTGGCGGAGCCAGCGGGACCTCGTTACTTTCACCAGGAAGATCATAGACCGCCCCGAAATAGATCCTGCTCCAGTCCTTGATCGCATTTCGGTACACAGCAAGGTGATGGTCCCGCTCCCTCAGCTTTGTCAGATAGCCGTCGAGGCGAGAACCGACTATCGACATTAGTGTCTTGAGTAATCACACCAGCTGCAGGGCGGGGTCTTACCTTCCGCATGGGCTGTTTTGAACTGAATAGCCTTGTCATGCTCCATCGTTAAAACAAGTCTTTCCTTGTCGACATCATCAGGGTGTGGCCAGGGAGGCCAAGGATGCAGGAAGCTTTTGAGAATCGACATGACTCCGTAGTCGTGCTTATCCATGATGATGTAGTGCTCGCTTCTAAACAGGAAGTAGTACTTGCCATCAGGGTGTTGACGGAAATCATCTTGCTTGGCCTCTCGAATCAGATCGGCCCAGTTGATTGAAGCTGCAGTACTTGGATCTTTGCTGATATCCGGCTGGACATCCGGACTATTCGTGTTCATCAAAGTCCTCAGTCGCTCCTCCAGCGAGCTGGCAAAGAGATCATACGGATTGCGGACCTGGTATCTCGCAAGACTTTCTCCTGCTTCCAAAAGGGCCATATTGTGCATGAAGGGCTGTAGAGCCACATCCATGTACCCATGGGATGGATCGGGGTCCGCTATGGTGGAATCCTTACGGCGTGTTGCGAAGTTCAGATCGCTCACAGGCTGGTGAGCTTCGCGAAATCGCGAATACAAGTCTTCATTGGACATGTTCGCCATGATGGAGGTCCACAAGTCTCAGACACGTCGTGGTGCAAATGTATTTGAAATGGGATCAAAAAAAAAATTGGGAATTCAGAGAGTGAGTTTGTAAAAGGGAAGATGGGAAGGTGACAAAATAGATGATGAAGCAAATGTAAACAAGACCACGTCCAGGTGTATTCCACTTTTGATGTTTATGGAAGGAACCGATGAAATCTGTTTCAAGCAGATAAGCATGAAAGATAAGAGCTACCGTAGGAACCGGTACCTCTTCGAGCTTCGAAGAAAAAAGATGACTCTTCCATTTGATACAAAACATCTGTCCATTCCCTACGTTGATCTTCTTGAGATGATAGCTCCCGGCCCGGGACTATTTTACAACGTTGTGGACGCAGTGGATGAGGGTTTCTGCCTCTCTTCACCGTATCACTTGCCTCAGCCTCCATGATAGACCTAGATCCATAGCTTCCATCTCCAGAATCTACATCTCTCTCTTTTTCTCCTTACTTCTTCACAAGTTGAAAATGTCCAATGGTAAGCTTATGGGGCTGCTGTTTTCTCAAGATTAACGTTATCTAGACTTAACGACACCACATGCCACGTGCTGACATTGAGCACCAGATGGAAATGCGCCTCTCCATCTTACTAGCCTGAAACTCGCAAGTTCATATTTATGCAAAACGCAATTGTATTGAAAATGAAGCACATTGTCAGGAAAGTCTATTCCAGATTTAGCCGATTACCGATTGGTCCGGTTTCGGGTACGAGCCGAGGACCAAGGATGTTTTCATTGGTCCTGCTTTCTAGAGCAACCGTACCGTACGACACATCTAGCCATCTGCAGCCAAGCAACCTAATAGAAAAGACTACTTGACGCCACATCTACATTCTACCATCCACTTTATCTTACCGAATCTCCCTCTTCTTCCATCTTCCAACTTCCATCTTACAAAAGTCTACCACTCTTGAAAAACCTGAGATACCAAAATGATATGCAATTCATTCCTCATCATAACTTAGCAGCCTGAACCTCAGACAAATCTCTGCCCAAGATCAGCACAACGCCAAAAGAACAGAGCCATCTCAAGCCCAAAGCTATCTACAGCTAAGCCTGCGCTTACAGGTACTGGTTGAACCAAGCAACGGCCTGAACAAAGGCCTGCTCCTTAGCCCACTTCTGCTTGGGGTCCTTCAGATCGGCGCGGACGCCGAAGCCGTGGGTGGCACCGCTGAAAAGGTTGATTTGCCAGGGCTGGGCAGCCTTGATCAGGGTCTCCTCGGACTCGTGGCGGAGCTGGGTGGTGAAGATGGAGTCGACCTCTGTATTGATCCGTTAATATCAGTTCGTTCGAATCAAGTCACCTTGTGCGGTACTTACCAGCAGCGGCAATCGAGAAGGGGCCCTGAATAGCGCCAAGCTCCTCGTGGGTGATGAAGGAGGGGTGAGCGGAGTAACCGACATCGATCTGGCCGGGCTTCAAGTAGCGGGCGACATACTTTCCACCGAAGCAGTAGCCGACAGCACCGATCTTCTTGACGCCGAGGGTCTCGCGCATGTACTTGATGGTCTTCTCGACGATGGGGTCGACGTTGGCGGGCTGGTGGTTGGGAAACCAGGCGGGCAGATCGGCCTTGCCTGATTCCATGGCGGCGACGGAGATCTGGTCGCCCTGGAACAGATCGGGGATGACGGTCAGGTAGCCATTGGAGGCGAACTCGTCGGCGAGGAGCTGGGCGTTGGGGAAAATGCCGAAGATGTCGGTCAGGAAGAGGATGGCCTTGTCGGCGCTCTTGTCCTTGGGGTAAGTGATGTAGGTGTTGACTGGTGACTCGGATTAGTGGTTTGTTTGGGCAGGGTTGAAGTCGAGCTCGGGCTTGCCACGTACCACCATCAAAGTCCTTGATCTCGCCAACAGGGTTGCCCTCGTGCTTGAAGCCGGAGGCGCAGCAGGCGGCGGGGGGGTTAGAGGCCATTGTGTATGATTGGTTTGGATGGGTAGAGGGTATCGTGGGAGGGGAAAGAAAGTAGAAAGAGAAGAGCTCTTAAAAGCACTTTGTATCGGGCCGTTCACGGAGGGCTGCCCCTCCTATGAGAACATCGCGGGCCTTTTCACGACTTCCCGAAGCTGTCGATCCAATCATGGTGTATGTTTCGTCCAATTTCGCCTTGTTCCCCTCTATTCAATTCGACCCACATGCCGCCCCTCGTGGCCCGTAGCCCGTAACGAGGATTAATAATGTGTGACGAAGCGCCATTGAGACTACACCGTAAGTCTAGGGTGTTACATGAGCTTAGAGAGAACAAATGTACAATCAGAAATGTTCTACGTTACTTTGCGTCCATTGAGTGATGTCTAAGTGCTTACAGCTCCAGCCCTCGGCATGTAGAACGAAAATTTTGCTCGGTAATCGGCACGGCTAAGCTTCGGAGTTAAGCCGGCTAAAAGGAAAGGTCGAAGCTCTTGCAGAAAATAGTAAGAGGGTCAAAGTTGCAGATGTAGATCTTTAAACATTCCATTCATTTCTCTTAAACCATAAATACTAATGCATGATATAAAGACCCAACACACAGGCCGACACGTATTACCACCTCACATTAATGCGTAACAGGTTCATTCCGACATAACGGACTATTTTCTCGTACCCCAGGGTATTTGCAGGAGGTAGTATATCACACTCGATGGACCCCATATGAAATGACTTGGAAAGCAGCAAGTGTAAAGGGGTATAAAACAATAAACAAAATGTAAAAAAAAATCATGGGAAGCGGAAGCTTCCATTTAGCTGCGGGCGCTGCTCGCGCTTCACCGCCCACGCCTTGATCGCGATGTTCAAGATTACCAGGGACATGATGAAGGCTGTGAAGCCCATGCCGAGAGTGAAGGTGAACATGGCGTCCAGTTCGTAGAACTCCATAGCTTCGATAACTTGGCGGGTCTATTCAATGTTAGTAAGGTGGTCATATAGAATCTGCGGTAATAACGTACACTCAGCATGAAGATGAGCCCACCAGACATGAGACAGAATCCAGCCACGATCTCAGTGGGAGGGCGAGCCGGAAGGTACGAGGTTGGCGGGCGCAAGAACAACAAGACATAGGTCATTCCGCGAGCAATCGCGAATCCGACTAGCATATTACCCCACTGCTTGTGCACCATAGTTGAAGTCATGCTCTCCTGGTGGTGCGATCCCATCATCATACCCAGAAGCAGGATAACCAGAGCCGGCATCGGGTTGAGTGGAACACCTTGTGACTTGGGAGGTTGCCATTCCTCATCGTGGGAGCCATGGGCAGGAGATCGAAGTAGGGTGTTATTAAGCGCATCGCGAATACGCTGGGATTCGAAAAGCATGCCAACGAGACCACCACCGAAGAACATGATCGAGATCGAAACGTGCTCCATATCAGTCGCAGACCACTCTTGACCCCAACGGGACAGGTGCTCAAGGAAGATATTGGTGACACCATACAACCAGATAACGAAGGACTCCACGAACTCGCCCGAAGGAACCTTTGCTTTCCAGCCGACAACAGAGGCCGGAGGCTTTTTGTTCCATGCCCAGCCTAGGTCCGCCCAAGCTCCGATGAAGCGTCCGAGAGTAAGAACACCGTACCAGAAAAAGATTCCACCTTTAATAAAGTGCGCCAAGCCGTTGAAGATCTCAATAGCTCGGAAGATACCACCATAAGTGACAGCTCCAGTGGCAATGGCAATGAAACCAAAGGGAAGGATAATCCGATCAATCACATTGTAGACTCCATTGGAAATACGCAGGACACGATTCGAGACTATTCCGGGTACGCGTTTTGAGAGGAATCGATCGATAATAGAACTGTGGAACCAGCCACGCGGGCTGGAAGGCCTCGGAGGAAGCTCGTCGGGCTTCTCAAAGCCCTCATACTCGGCTTGTGAGTCAAAAGACGGCGATGAAGGGCTGTGGATAGAAGAGCCGGGTTCGGTGCCCTGGCCACTATCGCGGGACCAGCGGTACTCGTGCATAGCACCAGTTCCAGTTGGGTAGGGACAGTCATGCTCATCCGTAGCGACGGGGAGGAACGCGGCACGCTCAAACGAGTCCGACCGCGACTGCTTGGACTCACCACGACCGGCATACGCGAAGATTAAGGCCAGAATGACCTGCACGCTGATGACCCATGTCACAATCCAGCCAATTTTGTGGTGGGCATTGTTCTCGTACAGATCGGGGGTTTGACTATTGTAGATAGTTCCGAAGAGCAGGCCGAAGGCATTAAAGACTAGGAACAGGAACTGCGACGGGAGCGCAAGTCGCGAGCGCCCAATGCTGAGCATGACGGCTGTCACGGGGTTAGTCGCGATTTGAAATAATTGATCAGACTGGAAAACTGCTTACCTGCAGGAAGAACAAAGCACCAGCCTAGGATCATGAGCGCAATGTGCGCCAGGATGGTGCTCGAGTGCTTGCCATAGGCGAAGTAGCTCATGGGACCTTCGCCTTGGGCATCCTGTGAGACGGATGCTGCCGGGGAAGCTGCACTGGTGGTTGCGTGCATATCCATGCTCGTTCCCATATCCATACCCATGTCCATTGATTCATCATTTCCGTGAGCGATCGCAAGCGACGCGAGGAAAAGCGCCGCGTAGGCAGCTTGATTTAACAACCGCATGGAGCCGAGGGATGATCTTGAAGCTCGTGGGAACTACTCGGAATATCTGTGTAGTTATAAGAGGTCAAATGGAGGCAGAGCTTCAATCGGCGCAAAGGATCGAAGCTCTGTCGAATCGTGACGTAACGACGCTGCCAGATCCCGGAAATACAAGCTCCCGCGTCTTTAAAATTTGCTTTTCGCTCCAGACCCGGACTATTCGGATGTGATCTAACCAAGGTCGAGTTCACAAATACCCAGACGGGCGGTGTTGGGGTTGGGTGGACTGGGATTGTATAGGGCTGAGAAGGAAACCTAGGGAAGTATAAGGGTGGTCGCGCTGTATAAAAGAGCCGGAAGCTCAGCGGGGTAAGATGCAGGCAATTAATAATTTAGAAAAACCGCACCGTATTTACGTCGTAATTCTTTGGATCAAAAAAAAAAAAAAAAAAAAAAAATTAAAAAGGAAATTTCTGGCCCAAAAAGGCTTGTCGGCGCTGATTTCCAATACTTCGGACGAGGCGGGGATAACGCGAAACGCCGGGGGCGTGGCAACAAGATGGCCCAGAGCTTCCACGAGCCGGCCTTTCCCTATTCCTCATTTAAGCATGCAATCCTTATTTCCTGATCATTCGCCCTTGTCACCGCTACTGTTCTACATTGGTGGTGGCGCTCTCGAGCACCCTTCCCCCCTCCTTATTCTGCTCACTACATCTCAAAAACACTAACATGGATCTGCAGTCATATGCATTGAAGTCCGGGCGACGCGGATGGAGTCGGTCTTGGCATGCCTTTTTTATTGAACACATTAATAAAAGAAAATCAACGCAAAAATTTTCAATCGGATGTGTCGGGAAGCTCATGAACGGCCAAGGCCTAGCTAGATCGCGGGTGGGGTGCGCCAGAGCGAGTGACCTCATTCCGCTCTAATGGGATCACAGAGGCAGGAAATGGTAGCTTTGTCCTGTGCTTGTGACTATGTGACTATGTGACTAAAGTGACTACGACATGACTAAATGACTATGTTTGTACAGAGTACAGTAGAGCCATGACGTAGTCGATCGCTTCCTTATTGGGATTCACCGCCAGAAGGATGAACCAACTACTGCACTGCATTGCACTGTTGCTGCCTGATCGTAGACTCTGGATCTTTGGGCTTAGGTCTGAGTTTGTTCTGGTTCTGGGACATACACCTCCTAAGATCCCCGTGCTTCACGCGACCTCTCACCCTATCCTGACCCAAGGATATCTTCTCCTAATTTAGAGCTACCGTGTTGCACCCTCTACAAAGATCATCTAGAATGGCTCCCTCCAATCAGCGCCCGCATAGCATAGCACCTCGTTGACTACAGAGTAAACAACATAGGCGCACAGAGATCGACTATGTCAGCCCCCGACCCGGTAAGCAGCCATCGGCGCCCTGGCATCGTCTCCTCCCGTTCACATCCCTGTCTCGGCCTCGCTCCCTGGCCCTTCCGAGCCGCACTTTTGAGTTGTCCGTTGGCGGTGGGGTTCTTTCCCGCTAATCCCGAGACCCCAGTGATTGAGAGATATGGCTGTGACCATGTGGATGAATGCACCACGCACCCTGGTCCAGCCTTGCGAAGACGCTTGAGGCCCGATGCTCTCGGCCTTGACATGTCCACATGTCCCAGCCTCGTATGGCACCATGACTCATCTGGTAGACATGCAGTATGATGTTATCCCGAGTGAGCCAGTGGAGCTGAGCTAAAGTTCTTTGCCAACACCAGTCTCGGCTTTGGGTTCGCGCGTTGACCTTCTTCGGCTTTTTAGTGAGAATGATGAGACTGTCGTGTCAATGCGTAAGCCTCTTGTCAAGCAATTGCTCAGTTGTACCTCGTATACATACACCTCGAAGTAAACGCATATTATTCGTAGACGAAAGATCATCCTACTGTATCCACGCAGACCCGGCTTAGTAAGGTGATGTGCACGATCCGCTATCGAGTAATTTGGGTCATTGCGAGGTGGAACCCGCTAGCTTCACTCCAGCTATGACATAACCTTTGGTCCAAAAACCAGTCATCTTGTGCCTTGATTTTGGCCTGTCTTCGTCAAATACGGCGAGGAAAACCCGGCATGTTATCGCTGTTCGTCCACTGGCAGACGATGCGATTATGTCCACCAGTCATATCACCCATTGCCCCCGACTACTGGTTTTATAGGGCAGGGCCTTCGGGAAAGGCATTAACCTGCAGATCTGTTGATCGGGACCCGCTGTATGGGTTGTTGTCGTGGGCTGCCAGTTTATTGCACGAGGCGCCACCACACGAGTTATTTGGCTATGGTCCGTTCTGGGTATCGGCAGACGATAATGTGCTATTCAAGATCTTTAAATTTTGTGCAGATGCAGATCACGCAGGGAATGATAGCCATCAATCTGGCACTCATTAGCTGCACGCTCTTCATCTACGTTGAGACCCTGAGGCTGCGGAAATATACAAGTTGGATGTAAAGATGCTCGAGAAATACCGTCCGTCATCCACACTCTGCCGAAAAGCAAACAGACTTAGCCCTTTGGGAGCAGATTATTGCCATTTATATCTGACTTAGTACGATCGCATACATCACCCTCGGTGTTCCATTTTAAATGCCAGTACTCGTCTCCGATGATCTTGGTATATGTTTATGCCTCTTTGTTTTTCGAAGTTCCATGATCCGGTTAGTTGCTGAGAACTTGTCTTATGAGAGCGACATTGTACGACTTACTGAAGCATTTGGACATGTCCGGCTCATCAAGAGAGTTTCAGGGTTCAAGTACTACAGGCAAAGCTCAAGTCACGGTGTCAGAACCCTGAACAACGGTGTACCCACGCACCAGCTGCAAGTACCGATGCGGGGTTTCGATCTATAATGCTTATGATCTACCATGCAATCTATATACTTGTTGCTGCATCATTACGTCGGCAGGAAACCACCTTCGATCAGTTGCTTGAAGCATTCGCAGATATTGGTCGGTACGGCGAAGAGTCGTCGTAACAACAGCGGATCCTAACGGAGGACAACCACGTTTTACCTTCCATTGAAATTGAGGAAACTCCCACGCGATCCGAACCGCGAAGGTCCCACGGAAGAGGAGACCAAATACCTCCAGTATGGTACAACAGACAAACAGGAATCGGCAGAGTTCGGGTTGATAATCGCCAGAGAAAAGTCTGCCACTGGGGCAGACCGACCCGAATGTCCTCATCGTGGTTGAAAAATGGATTCCATTCAGCATACTGTATGAGGACCCTGGGTCAATCATTTGACCTAGATAGGCTAGACGGGATTGCGGGTTCCTGGTAAAGAAAAGACAAACTTAAGAGTCATACAGCCATACTTCCGAGACCCACTCTGATTCACGGCTTCTCCTAGGCGTGAAGACCACTACAATTGACTAGCGGATTCATCGCCGAACATCGGCACCAGCTGAAGCGGTCTCATATAAATGACAAGAATGCCATGAGTAGAAATACAAGAAGAGATACTTTAAACTCTTCCATCAACCTTGGGAACAACCCGGACCCTTGCACCCAGCCATCAAGCTCGAAACCTTATATCTAGACCCAATACCATACAATCCAGCGTATAGAAACAAGAAAAAGAGACATGAAGCCAGGACCCAGAACGGGATTGGACTGGACCCATTCACATCAGATGATCTTCGCTGCAGCCTGATTGGTGATGCATAAATCTGTATCCGCGCCCTTCCGGCAGAGCTCGCAAGGCACACGCACCCATGGCGACACGCACTCGATCTACGCTGAATAATTGATGATTTTTGCTCCTTTTTTTTGCGGAATACCCGGAGACTTTCGCGATCGCATTAGCCTTCTTTGGAGCTGTCATATGACTCTTCTTCCATCATCGTCATTTGGTATATGGGGCTTCCGTGCCGTATATCCCGTACTCCGTAGTGTACTTCGCTCCGGAAATCTATCTCCGCTTCTTATTCTATACGGTGTGACTTTAATAGGCCGCACAGAACCTCCAAATGTGTGAAGTAGGAACCTCGATAAGCGCGAATATGCTTCTCTTTAGCTTAGACGGGTCAAAATGAGGGTATCCTCAAGGTAATCGCAACTTCGTGAATCTCCCACGTCTTCCCGTTCCTGTGCGTTTCTTTCAATTCTGAACTTACACAATTCCCTCACTCTTCTCTACCCCTCCGATCTGATTAACAGATCGACGCATCTTAAGCCGCTCGAGCAATATTGCCAAGTCAAGTAATTCCGGCCTGCAGAGTATCGGATGTACGGCACCGCTTCTTCCGACAAGCCGTCTCGATTCAACCTCCGCAGGCACGGCTAGCGTCTAATTGGCGAGGTGGAGATCATGTTCTTCCCGTGCGATCAGCGCCAGCCACGGATGGTACGGGCGCGATGTGAACGGGGATAATACTGCGCATAACATTAATTAACTGGGGCTAGAGGGGACGCTAAGCCGACCGGCTGGTCCCGTGCGCTATATGTACTGTGCTCAGGCACCCCAATCCAGCCGAGTTTTCCGGCTTCGGACGGAGTCGGCGCCCAGGTGTAGACGCGCTCCATTGGATTTTCGATTTAGTATCAAGTGGTCCCTGCTCGACATGACCTTGGTGGCGCTTGGCCGTTTTATATTCTCTAAACCTTTGCTCATGCACGAGTGTGGCCTGGGAAGGCTCCAAGACTGCCCATATTGTCTTCAATATACTTTGTTTAGGTTCTAGATGTATGTTTGAAGTGTAGATACTAGGTTTTCGGCACTTCCTCAAGCAACGCCAGCTATGATCATCAGGCAGGCTGAACAACATTCCCAACACAGATATATTTCGTGAACAACAAACACATCCAGAAAGCAAAAATGTCCAATAAGCGCCAATAGAAGTCACAGCAACCATTTAGCACTTACTAATTGAGTGCGGATCTTTCAAAGGTTCTTCGACTCCCTTAATTCTAGTCTAACTTTAATGGTAGACGCAGTAAATAAAGGAATATCACCTTGAGATCGACTGCACTTGAGCCAATCTCTTGATACCTACCTGTGCTGTGCTATGGTAAATTGATCGATTTTTCGGAAGAATACCAAACAGCTTCATTTCTCTATTTCTTAGAATAATCTGGAGAAATCCATTTCAAACTATGGACTGTACATTTGTCACTTGAAGGGGATTATCTAGAAGTAGGTGCTAAAGAACATGATCGCCGCACCATTTTCCCAATGCCTGTCTCTCCGGTCGATTCTGCTAGGGAAAAACCGACTACCCTTACAAATTCTTCACTTTCAGAAAGATGATCTTCAACTTTACTTCTATCGATCGTGAATGAAGGTATGCTCCTGCCCAAAGTAAGAAGCTGATCTCTGTTTTGACTATCTACAGACAATAACAGACGGGTATGAACTTCTGTACATCAATATCAGCATCTTGTTGCATTTTTTGACTCTTCATCAACTCTGGCCTCAACCGTCAGTCGTTCCTTGGATCTATCCACTCTCTCACAAACCAAACTCAGATCTATCCATTCTTAAAATTTCATTTCCATCCTTCAAAATGCAATTCTCTCCCAGACCATCTCCATTATTCTCTTCGACCCCCTTGACGTCGTCTCCATCAGTGACTTCAACGCCTGCCCCGGCTCCGTTCACGTCGTTGCCGCCTGCTGTGATGTCAACGTCGAGCAAGTCCTCTGTATCACCTGTGACGAGGCCCACAAGGCCCACGGCAGCTCCGGCGAGCTAGTCCTCTGCCACGACCTCGTTGGCAGAAGCTAAATGTCTCTCAATTAGAAAATGCGTCATTTGATTCTCATGGGTTATGGAGTTGTGGTGTCGTTTTGTCTTTGGGTGGGCAATTTTTTACCAACTATGGGTCCAGAGGACCTTCTTTGAAGGATTTACATATTAACCACATATCATAATCTAGTCTATAGTTGTTTAATTCTTAATTTAAATCTCAGGACAATCTCCTACCCAAAAGCCATATCAAGCTTGCTGTAATTATTTTAATGAGCACTTTTTCGACTCTCTTATCTCACTTGACATACAACAGCATGTTCACATTGATTTGAATGATTGAAGTTTTATTTATCTCCTTCATGAGATCTATCATCTATCATTGACCTGAGAGATATTATATCTCAGCTTCAGAGCCTTAAGTCTCTCGTGCAGTGTGGTAGATCCTCCACATACCACCGCTAAGGCATACTTTGCCGGTGGTCTCCCCCTGATCTTTGGCGTTCTATTGGAGGAAATAAAGGGGTTATCCGATCACCATCCATTCCTTGCAGTGATCGCTGAATCTTGCTCGTTAACTATGAAGTTCCAATACTTGTGACGACATACACAGGTTGGACTTAATGCCTCAAGATCGGAAATCCCTTCGATCCAAATATGAATGCACAGGCATGGCGTTTACATTTTCTTCTTTACTATGGTAGATATCCTTACGTCACGATAATGTGATCATCTCCCAAGTGAAGCCTGGCTCTCTACTCCGCTACTCGTGATAAACACAAACACATCTGAATGGAAACGAAGTTTTTCGTCTCTGCCGCATAGCTTGCGGTCCTGTCACTCGCCCTAGCAGATCAACGAAATGTCCAGTTTCATCACAAAATACATGGCCGTGCAACATGGGGAACTATCTGTGGAGTCGATACTGCTCTCGCCTGTTGCGACAAAACGGTGTATCCTCACGGCGTTTCCATGGCCGTCCACAGAGAGCCTCCCTTTGCGATCCAGATTCTCTTGGAGGATACTAAGGAATTTATGGCCTTGGTCTCTTCGAGGGCTGCCATTATGTTCAAAGTCATCATAAGTTCTCTGTTCTTCAGAAGCAAAACTTTCTAACAGTCTTTAAGACAAACCCAGCATTGAGGATTCTGACATCTCGCAAAATTGCTCGAGAAACATTGACTGCTGCTTTACAAAACCTGCGGTATGTATGCGCTGGCTGTTATTTTGATCATTCACTGAATTCTTAGCAGGCTACCAGCAGGATAGTAGTGCCGGGCCATGTGTGGCCACTGGTTCCATTGCCCACTACCGGAACTAATTGGCCGACGTTATTACTGTCTCACTTTCGGACATCTTGGAGCTAGTTATTGATATGCGTTCCAGGTTAGCAGGACGGTTTTCCCTTGCACTATTCACCTCTTCCCGGGCCCTTTCGCGCGAAGATGGTTTCTAATATCGAGCTCTGTACGCTCTGCTAGGTTGACTTGTTCATGACTGAGAAAACCAAAACAAGCGAACTGAATATCCCTTGAGCAAGCCGTACGCTGTCTGCACACTTCCATTCTAGCTCATAGTTCGAACTCAACGAAAATTAGTTTTGGCTTGATTTTGCAATTGGGTCAGCCTGCGCACTTACTCTCAAAGAAACCCTCTCAGCTGTCTCGCCCTGCTACCTTATCTTCCTCGCATGTACAGCAATCGTTATCTCTGCTGACATGTAATTCGATATTCTCAAGGGTTGATTTGATCAAGTTTTGAGATGGCGAAGCACAAGTTTGTATCATCAGCTCAATTGTGGCTTGCAATGCCCTAGACGTGGTCAGTCTACGACTAGGAGAACGTGAATCTATTGTTCAGGAAAGTATTGCAGAAGGATTGCAAAAGAAATCCAGTCATTCAACTTCTGACTTTGAACACATCAAGTCACCACTATTTGCGCTACATCCTTAGCGCCAAAAGGTAGAAAAAATACATTATATATATTAGATGGTGATCATAGTTTATATGGTAGACTGACGTGCGATGTATGAGGCTCTTCGCTAACAATATTTTCCACTCCTAACCCACCCAGGAAGCAAAAAAGTTATAACGTCAGCTACATGATTCGAACATGTGCGGGCGAACCCAATGCATTTCCGGACTGTATTCAGTCTAGTAGATAATTCTAGTGCATCGCCTTAACCACTCGGCCAAACTGACTAATCATGAAGGACATGGCCAATTTTGACTCCATGGACGAAAAGAAAGGAATCTATATGATTATCGCGAGACCGTTAGTCTGTTGGGGCTTTTTGGACGGGCTTTGAGAGGGGGTGGGGGACACAGTTCATTCTGCGAAGCTCCAGATAGTAGGCAGTTTACAATCGTTCATGATAGGAAGGTTATACAGCTTCATCTCAGATGAACGGACCGGAATAACCCACCTCGTATCGAAGAGTGATATCATCGTAGAGGTGGAGAAGAGAGACGGTTTCATTGCACTCGCCTCTGCGTTTCGCGAGGGTGTCAAATTTCACCGGAGATCATCACCGGCTTGTCCTTGTTCCGTTCGTCATCCATGGATAAACCAGACAGAAAGAGGACCAGTATCTCACAGCCCCTCGGGATGTTGCGAGGTTACGAACGAGAGATTCAGGAGTAAGGGATACTGCACGAATTACCAATTGGATTTCGAGCAGCTTGACCCGATATACCGTCTGAGGCTTGAGCTTTTGAAGGAGTCGAGACCAAAGGATTTCCAGTATAGGTTGAAGGGTATGTTCGTTTGCAGTTTCGCTTTCATTCATTGTAGCTATTGGCCATGCTATGCCTACTTGGTTCTGAATCTGAGTTTTTGCTTTCTTCGTGATGTCGTTAGGGAGAGTTCCGCCATGTTGGAGGCGGCACGGGATAAATCGACTACTCGCGCTCCGTAATAGGTTGATAAATTGATGAAGAGGATAAAGTTTTTTGTTGGCTGTTCATGACAGGGGTTCTTAACGAGCTGATACGATTGCAGGTCTTTATATACTTGAAGCATTTGACGGCAATTTCGGTGTACCAATTAGACAACCGACACATAATAGAACGCCATGAAATGCTATCAAATGCTTTAAGGAAGTAAAGAGCAGCAATGGGATCAGATCGTCAAGAACACCTTGGCGATCTCAGCTGTTGTTTTTGTTGGCGTGGTCGATTTGGGACGGAGGATCTGTTTCCCGCATTGGCTGATGGTTAAAAGGAAGCTGGAAGAAGTAATTCGGTAGGGGTCTCTGAGTAGCGATAGAGCCTGCTAGTGTTAGAAAAATAGTTAGATTTTGCAAGAGAATCAACAAATTTTTCTTGAAGAAAAGTTCACTGCGCGATAAGATCTATTGATGACATGACTAAGCATACCATGTGACCTATTGACCCAATCAGGCTAGGGTACACCAAGCGAGAATGGCCCGTGCACGGTCCGAATTGGGGCAGCACACAACGATTTTCCAACCCTAACCTTCGTCTTTCGCCTCTCTTCAACAGCGCCAAACGACCCTCGTCCCCGACAACAACCCCCGTCAACCCACCCCCTACAACATCTCAAGATGACTCACGAGTCCGTTTGGTACAGCCGGCCCCGCAAGTAAGTCGAACCTGAGCCCGGCGCACGACGAAACAATTGACTGACTTTTCTTCAGGTACGGCAAGGGCTCCCGCGAGTGGTGTGTATCCCCCTGAATATCTTCGATCCCCGACGACCAGAGGAAGCAAGACAAGCGACAAGCGCGAGCGGAGGATTGTATTACGGAGCGGAAATACTGGGAATGAAAATAGAGGAATGAAGTGCTAATTCGTGTGCGATCTATTCAGCCGTGTCTGCTCCCACCGCGCTGGTCTGATCCGCAAGTACGGCGTATGTTGAACCTCTCCATAGCATCCGTGTGCATAGTGCACAAGTGCTGTTGAAAATGGGACAATTGTGTGGCTAACACGGGCTCATTTACAGATGAACATCTGCCGTCAGTGCTTCCGTGAGAAGTCCACCGACATCGGTTTCGTCAAGGTTCGTTTCCACCATTCGCTACACCGACTCGAGAACGCTATATACGATTTGCATTTGCATTTGCATCGACGCACACTCAGCCGGTTTCCAACCGAACAGACGCACTAACATTCACCTACACAGTACCGTTAAATCAAAAATGAAAACCATGTCGCTGTAACGCTCTCTTCGCTCCATACGTGTCCTCGATCCGTTTACACCCTGGCGCTCGGTCTCGACAGTGTCCAGGCGAATGTTTCGAAGCGTGGGTTATGATTCGCTCACGTTCCGTTTTCGTGACGGCTCCAAAAAGCGTTGTTGATTCTTGATGGAGGAGGCTTTTCTTTTTTGCCTCGGATGGACGAAGAGGGGACTGGGGTTGTTGTTTAAAGAGTTTGAAAACGAGGATGTCATTTTGATCCTTCATCCTTTTTCCTTATCCAATATCAATGACGGATTTTCTTCTCTGGGATTCTCATGAGTTTTGGATTTGCGTATTGGCCGAGGGTTACGGCTGGCAAGATTCTTTGTGCACTTGTCCATGTCTACCTTCCACTCATGAAACCTGCAATGGTCTCTGGATTGGTTTCTGGGGCTATTCCGTCGATTCTCTCGTAGATCTGACTGTAGACTTTGGCGATCAGGGTGTGAGAGCCCGGTCCGTACGCATTCTGGTCACTCGCTAAGATTTCATCTCTACGAGACTACGAGAACAAATGAATGAATGAAGATTGCGTGCTGATGAAGGTTGCTTCACTCTATGTACATCAAGGCCAACACCAACACTCGCTGTTACAACGAATTCGCAAACGGTAGCATCTTCAACCAATGACCAATTATGTCGTCCTTACGAAGCATTTTCCGCGGCGATTGTACGAATGCTGTAAAACAAAAGGTAGGCGTCCTGTCGGAGGACATCGGCGACGCTGGCGACGGTGACTTTGTTGTCATCCATCAGAACCCACTAAATAGAGTTAGCACAGTCAGTTCGATAGCAAATGGTCATGGTACGTACCTTATCACCACCAATACGAGTGTAGGCGAAGTAGTGGCCCGAGTCCATGGTTCCCTGGTGAACGATGACGGTGGATAAATCGTAGATGTACTTAGAAGTGTCAATGCGGTCTTTGTCCTTCTTTACGACATAAGGGAGCATATTCAAAGTGACAGGGAAGTCAATATGGCAGTTCATCTTCCCCGATGATGACGAAGTGGCCTCGTAGCGCTGGAAAACAGTCAGTAATACTCACAGGCAGAGGGTATGCGAGTCACGAACCTTGAGCTGCATGCAAAGAATAGCGGGAAGTTTGCGAATCTGTAGTCGCTTAGATGCCCGCTGGGGAGTGTTGCCGCACTTCTCACAGTGGTAGGCAGCATCCGTATGCAAGTCTTCAACTGCCGTGAAGCTGTCCAGGCAAGCGGTCAGTGTCACGGTAGATGATGGGTTCGATCGGCCCAGCTTGCGCTTCTTGTTCTGCGCTTGGACGTCGAGACTGAGATCGGCCATGGGATCGTGGGTATTGGTGGTTTTGCCGCATTTGTGGCACATGACGCTGCTGCGCAGCTCTCCGTAGAAGGTCTGATGGAAGAAACATTCGCACTTGCTTTCGTAGCTCTCGGTGTGTCCAGGGGTAGCTGAGTGGAGTGAATTAACCAGGAATTGGAAATATTCGTGTGCATCCTGCTGGCGGTATCCGGCCATTTCCTATGAGAGATTAGCTGCAATTCATGTTCTTAAGTCAGGGTGTCGCCATACTCTTGATCCCTCCCATCCATTGTAGAGAAGAGTAGCTGCCGACACTGCATCGGTTTTTTCGCCGCTGTTAAAGTCCATGAACACTTCAGTGGCGGCACATGCCATGCAGCCAGTCCTGAGGCAGTTGTGGGTGTCATGGCCCCCAGCCAAGAAATAGGCATTCAGAGTCGGGTCGTGTAGTAGAGCCTGGAGAATGACTGCTTGGTAACAAGTCTGGCCCATGTTCCATACACCACGGGCACCACGTCGGTAGCACGGGTTCTTGATGGCATTGATCTTGACGTAGGCCTCGGAGGCCGAGTCTTCGGCCCATTTACCTTTTCCATCTATAGGATGTTAGTTGTTTGCTCCCAGCATACATAGTATTAATGGCGCTCTTCGGACGGCATACCCTCGATGGAATATTTGGTAGCTGGGCCACCCAGTCTTTCCAGACCGTGGTCGTAGACAAAGTCACAGCAAGACTCGCAAAACACGAAGCGATTACGGGACTCCATGTCTAAAGACACAGTGTTAGCACGGGACAAGGAGATCCCCATTCAACGGACATACAAAATACGTGTCCAGTCTTTTTGGTGTGCGCCTTCCGCTCGCTGTTGAGGCAGATCTCGGAACAGTTCAGACAATGATACTTGGGCTTCAACGACGTCACGGTGCGCAGACCACTTGTCTGAATGGTGACCACCTCAGACTTAGTCATAGGAGCCAGAGAGTCATGGCGCTTTCGGAAGCCATTCTTCAAATGGCCAGCAGTTTGAGCATCTTTCAGCACGACGGCAAGATGTTCTAGCGAGTGGGTTAGACATGGAAACACGGAGGGAAGGTCAACACATACCACAGCCATATGCTGCTTCTGCAAGAAGATTCACAGAATCCAAGCTCGCCATATTGACGAAGCTGGGATCGATGTACGAGGGAAGAACAAGAGCACAAAGGGATAGGATCAGAGGCCCCGAAGTCGGAGATGGGCACGATTCCAAATGCAGTTAAAAGTGTAAAGCAAGTCAGGATCACCTTTATGCTAGCAGAAATGGGGAAAAAAACACAACCGGACGCAAGGCCAGGGAGGCAATCCACGTTACGGAAGACTGCGAGGTCCGCGTGGGGGGCAAATGTTCCAGTTCAGCCTCAAGGACTCCCCCTGAATAAGGCCAGCATTGCACTTCACAAGTCAGTTCAGGTAGTTCCAGGACGTGCAACCATCCGTAGTAGAGGTAACGATAACGAACAGTCAAGGTCGAGTAGAGATGAATGGAGCTATGCGCTCATAAGGCACGAAGGGTTGCCACGGCAGCTTCACCCACGCAACCATGCCCTTCAATGGATCACGAGAGACCAAAGTGACCAAGACCGAAGGATACCAGTCTACTGCGATAGGTAGTTCAAGGATATGGGGTCGAGGATATGATGCCCAGATGGGTGGCCGGGCGGGCCTTTTTTTCGCCAGAGCCCGATTTACCGCCGGATCAGAGATCGGAGCCTCTCCGCCTGGGCCTTATAGAAAGCACATAGAGCATAGAACATGGCACTGTTTTTTTTTTTTGCTGGCCATTTACATTTTACATTTTACATTTCTACAGCTTTACTTCTCTCTCCTCTCTGCACTTGCATCAGGTAATTCATTTCTAGTCGTCATAATTACAGGGGATATCGTGAGTTTCCGTACCCGGGCGTGTCCCTTCTGAAGAGTAACTAGCCCCGATCCGTTTGTTACCTTCAGAGCATTTAGATCTGTAGATACAACATTTCTCACTAGCTTGATTCTGCCATGTCTGCCATGTGCAACCTCAGCTGATACCGTTTGTCAACACAGCGCTTCACCGCATCCCACGCCCTCGAGGCAGTGCACTCGGTCGAGCACCCCGGGTCCCTCGTGTTGCGTACCGGCTCGTTGCCGAGCCTCGTGTAGTGCCCCGAGTAGCGCCTCGTGTAGGTGCTGAGTATTTCGATGTCGGTTTGGAAACGGTGCTGGGAGGGTGTTCGACAAAGGAGGTATCGGTGGTCCTGGGTACGGTCAATTGATCTGTTTTGGTACACATTTTGCGCTTTTTTCGAATCGTCTTCACTCACAGGAAGGTCATCTCGCCATCGTCTGGTCGGTCCGGTTCGTTTTCTGCCTCTGTTCAAGATGTCAGCTGAGGGAACCACTCCATAACACGCGAGCGATAGTCTCCATACCTTTCTGTGCCTCTGCTTGCTTGGCTCTCCTGAACGAGTCTGCGATCGGGGCCTATAGTATTTGTTTAGCCTCCCGAAAGGTCTCCGACACGTCTCGACCATACCTCTGGGAAATCGAGGCAGAACGCGTTCATATTCAGGCCGTAGAGGAAACTGGCAAAACTTTCGCTAAACCGCGTCAAGCTCTCGTGCATCAGCTGCAAGTGCATGAAGTTGGCCTCAAGATCGGCCATGGAGTCTGCGAGCTCCGCGAACTGCGGCTCCAGCGCGTTGATGGCGGGCTGGTTGTATCCTGCATTGCTGATGCTGTGGCCGTATCCGTGGGCTTCTCGGAGCGACGAACGCGAACTAGGTCGTAGGGGCGTCGTGGGGCGAGATGAGGGCCTCGGTCGCGAGGAGGATCGCGCGCCATCCATATTGTGCGTGGAAGAAGAGTGCTTTGAGAGGGTGGAGCGAAACGAGATGTCTAAATATCGGGCGACAATTGGGCGAACAGTGTAAGGTGGATTCGGAGGTTTGAACGATTCGGCAAGGAAAAAGACGTGTTGATCCCCCGCGACGTTGCCGGGCGATGGATGACTTCACCGAGATGTGTCAGTAGCGGGTTTCCTACTATCAGATATAAACATGGTATCAGTTCAAAGTCGGTAGCAATAAGGAAGCCAAAAGAGTCCAGAACAAGCGACGGTTTTCCCCGCAAGGGCAGATCGTCATACCTGGATTTTCAGCGAATCCACTTTGCGCCATGATTGTGTCTCATCTCGAGTCGCTGATCCTTGGTCTCTCGTCTCTGATTTCGGGTCTCTGACTTTTCCTATCTTCCCTGACGAATATCATCTCCCGCCACATGCGGAACTGTGCAATTCTACGCCGTCGTTTACATTCCTCGGTCCCCAATCTCTTACCTTTGCGCGCACAGATCCCGATACGGTCTCCGGCGCTCGCGCGACACTACTCCACACGCCAACCGAGGGAGGCTTCGTCCTTCTGGTCCGTTACATTCGCTCTCGTCGCTGTCACTGGAGGCGCCTGGATTCACAGTATATACTCCAATCCCAATTCCAAGCAGCAGCTGCCCGCGCCTTCCCGGATCCCTCCGCAAGAACCCTTCCTCGGTGTTATCGATACTCTCCAAACCATGACTGCCGAACCCGCCCCAGGTACCATCGGGACCCTCACCCCGGAGCAGGAGGCCAAACTCCAAGAATTCTGGGTACTCACACTCAAAGTCTTCGGCGTCAAGCTCGAAGCCCTCGAAGCCGAGGCCAATGGCAAAGCCAGCCACGAGGCACAAAGCCCACCGAAGGAGAAGAAGTTGCCCTCCAAGCGCAGCAAATGGGGATTCTTCGGCCGCGCCGACGACGAAGATGATGCCAAGAGCGTTTCGTCTGTGAATGGCATCTCATCAAACTTGGCACACATCAACATCACCGACGGCGATGACAAGTACGGCCAGTCCAAGGAATTCCAGCAGGCGCTGGAACAGATGGAACCGGAGGAGATTCGCACCGCATACTGGAACATGGTGAAGCAGGATCACCCGGATTCGCTGCTTCTGCGCTTCCTGCGCGCTCGCAAGTGGGACGTCAAGAAGGCGCTTATCATGATGATCTCCACCATGCGCTGGCGTCTGCAGGATGTCCATGTTGACGATGATATCATGGCCAACGGCGAGGCCCTGGCCGTGAAGCAGTCAAAGAGCAGCGACGCTGCGGAGAAGAAGAAGGGAGAGGAGTTCCTCCACCAAATTCGACTGGGCAAGAGTTTCCTGCACGGCGTGGACCGCTTCGGTCGTCCTATCTGTCTTGTCCGTGTTCGTCTGCACAAGGCTGGTGATCAGGAACCGGAGGTCCTCGAGCGGTTTACCGTTTACACTATTGAGACGGCACGTTTGTTACTGGCTCCTCCAGTTGAGACGGCGGTATGTTATTTCGTCTTATCTGGTTTTCAGAACTAATGATTGCAGACCATTGTTTTCGATATGACCGGCTTCTCTCTGGCGAACATGGACTACACCCCCGTCAAGTTCATGATCAAGTGCTTCGAGGCAAACTACCCCGAATCCCTCGGATCTGTCCTCATCCACAAGGCCCCGTGGCTCTTCTCCAGTGCGTTCCCTCAATATCAATTTCGATTCTTATACAATTCTAACATACCCCCCAGGTATCTGGAGCGTAATCAAGGGCTGGCTCGACCCCGTCGTCGCAGCCAAGATCCACTTCACCAAGAACCGAGAAGACCTGGAAGCGTTCATCCCAAAGAGCCAAATCATCAAGGAGCTTGAAGGCGACGAGAACTGGGAATACGAATACACCGAGGTCAAAGAAGGCGAGAACAAGTTAATGGAAGACACAGAAACTCGCGACAAGCTACTCGCCGAACGCCAGATCCTCGCTAAGGAGATCCAGGATATCACCATCGAGTGGGTCCGCGCCAGCTTCAAGAAAGAAACCGAGGCTGCGTCTGCTGCTAAGGAAAAGCGTGATGGCCTGATTGAGGACTTGCGCAAGCAGTACTGGGTTCTTGACCCCTACATTCGTGCTCGCTCGCTGTACGACAGATTGAACATCGTCAAGGGTGAGGGTAAGATTGAGTTCTACCCAAGTGCGGAGAACGAGGCGAAGACTGCATAATTGGTTTAAGTGGGTTTCTTCTTTTTTTGATTTCGAATATGTGCGAGATCTGCGGTTTAGACGGTTTGCATGGCTTTGTAGTATATACTGGCTTGGGCTTGAACAATCGATCAAATAACTAGAAAATATACGGAAGATTTTCAGATCTAGTTGAGGAGCATACTCTGTAGATTACTCATTCCCGGAAAATGAATGATTTGTAGACTGACGACGCAGTTCAGTGGCGTTTTGCTCCAGGGCTGGATGACTAGCAAGCTCTAGACCATTTACATCTTAGCCTTGATCTCCTCGTACAGAGCCTTCAGCTTGTCCATCTCAGCATCCTTAGCCGGCCATCCAATGCTCAAACCCTCCTGCTCGTTAGGCTTGGGAATCTATCAATTGGTCAGTATACCTTCCATATCCGGGGAAATAGGGAACAAACCATGTGGAAGTGGACGTGGTCAACAACCTGGTGAGCAATGCGTCCATTGTTCTGCAAAATGTTAAAGTCCTCGGCGCCGCTGGCCTTGGCGATCTTCTTCGCCACGGGCTGGACGACTTATGTTAGCTGTTGTTTTGTTCCTGGTAGGGACCTTGCGGGTTGGCGGGTGACCCCGACCCCAGTCCAAGTTCGTCCTCTGTGCTTCTTTCTTTTTCTTTTCCTTCTACTCCACCGAGCCAGGGTGTCAACATACCAGGATCTCGAGCAGGTCCTCGTCAGGAATGTCGGTGAGCTTCGCACCGTGGAACTTGGGGATGACGAGCTGTTCGCGTGAGGTCAGCTTTATTCATGCTTTATTGACTTGTCGCAGCTGTCTGATGAATTGAAGGCCAATGGATAGCTGGAATGTTATACACAGAAGGGAATCGCAGGCGCAGGGCACAACGTCGTGACGACCAGACGACCCGACGATGCGGTGCGGGGAAGGGTACACAAGGCGACTCACAGCGTGACCGCGGCTGAGCGGCTGGATATCGAGGAAGGCAAAGACCTTCTCGCTCTCAAAGAGCTTGAAGGAAGGGATATCACCTGCAGCGATTGAAAGTCAGAAGCCTGCTGCATTGCGGTCGAGGGCACCGCGATCGGGAACTGGGCGTTCGCATTCACGGATCTCGAATCTTGGAAACAGACATACCCTTGATGATCTTGCAGAAGATACAAGCAGCAGAAGACATATTGAGTGTGTGCTTTTGTAGTCAACACGAATGAAGTTAGGTAGAGATTGGAAAGGAAGTTAAGCTACAACAAACTGAAGTCATCGATATGCGGGGTCAGGAAAATAAAATATTGGCGGGTGGGGGAATCGAACCGGGGTCACCCAGAATTCATGGGTCCCTTATATATCGCTAAGGGGTCGAAATCCCGAGGAGTGGGACAAGCTAGTACAGAACCCATTTCTTGCCTTTTACCAGAGATGGCCGTGGTTTGCCCACAATACTCCTCTAATAAATCTTTGGAAACATCATTGCAACATAGCTGTTGTATTTTTTTTTCTTTTTACTCCGAGCTTATAATCAATGAGGCTTCCTTTATTACTCTGTGTATTTTTTTCGAGGTTCCTAGGCCATTGGGTGGTGTTTTCAGGGGTACTCTATGCGTGTGCGTAGTGATTTAGTGCGTGCATTTGACTTCGATTCACTTCCTTCCACGCCCTCCCACAAACAACGTCCAGGCTTTTTAATTGCTATGATGTGATCATTTTCTTTTCCTTTTGTACTTCTCTTTCTTTTTTTGCCATAGACAGTTAACAGATCTCTGTCGGTGGTGGTAAGCGAGGCCGATCCGTCAAGCTATATCCCATTCATTTAGAGATTGCCCTTCTTGCCGACCCGTTAATAGGTTTGCGAAAATAGACAGTGTTGAGGCCATGTGACCATATACTGCAGATTCAAGTCTCACTGTATACCGTTACCTTCCTAAATATCACGTATTCATTCAAATGTTAGAAATAGCCAAGTTTAGAACCTGGATGTATGCAAGACTAGACTTGAATCACCACGGCCAACGTCGGGACTTAGGACTCCAGAGAATATTGCGAATAACGGGTAAGCTTACCGATTTACTGGTCAATTAGTTCCTGAGCAGGTTAAACTCCATTAAGGTAAAATTGATATCGTCGCATTTACTTCAGTCGTACGTAGATCGTTGTTATAGTGGGTGACGGAGAGGGTTGGCGAACATCCAATCACAGTGTGTATATTGTCAGACCTTTCGTCTACGCGCACTTTGTAGAGAATATACAAGCCACCTACCGCATTCCTCTCCTCTAGTTTCAAACAAATTCACTGGGAACAGTCAAAACTTCTCACTAAGAAGGGAAGAATATCAAAAAGAAGAAAATAGCGACGGCGCAGACCATATCCAGTGCTGGGTACCTAATCGGGTTTAGCGGCCAGTCCCGTGGTCTTCCCGAATTGACCTGCGAAAGCCCGTCACTGCACCTCACCCACCCCGAATTACCTCTCTCTCCGCTGGTCTCTCCAGACTCTCTCAGAGGCCATGCAAAAGTCCCGGGCCATCAATTCTGCCCTGGGGTCGCGGGCTTTTGCCCCCACCCCGCGGGTCACCGTCATGATCCAGCGCCGTTCCCTCCAGGACGTTGCCATCTCTCGCACCGGACGTCCCATTTTGAAGGTCCAAGGTGGCCGGTAAGTGCTCAATTGATCTTGCCTAGCTGGTCTTTTCTAGCTGTGAACAGCTTGCTAACGCTCTGCGCCAATAGCTCTTCCCTCGGAGGTATCTTCGCCCTTCCGCTTGATCCTGCACTACGTCCGACATGCTCACCATTCAATTCTAGGCCACACCGCGACCGTCTTTGGTGCCACCGGTTTCCTCGGTCGCTACGTTGTCAACAACCTTGGTATGTTGAGGTTTCTCCCGGGTGCAATGAATCGGAGGACTGAGGACTGACATCCCGCAGCTAAGCAGGGATGCAACGTCGTCATTCCCTACCGTGAGGAGATGATGAAGCGTCACCTGAAGGTCACTGGTGATCTCGGACGTGTTACTTTCATTGTACGGACTTCCCCGTCTCAAAATACTCGAATGTCGGACGACATCTGACTCCCACAGGAATACGATCTGCGCAACACCCAGTCCATCGAGGAGAGCGTCCGTCACTCCGACGTTGTCTACAACCTGACTGGTCGCCAGTACCCGACCAAGTGAGTGCGACTGGACCATATGGGGCTAGAACGGGTTATTAACAGGTAACAGGAACTTCTCCTTGGCTGACGTCCACGTTGATGGTGCTGAGCGCATCGCTGAGGCCGTTGCCAAGTACGATGTGGACCGCTTCATCCACGTCTCTTCCTATAACGCCCGCCGGGACTCTCCCTCCGAGTACTTCTCTACCAAGGTTGGATAATTTCCCCAGTCAGTATACAAAGATACTAACCAGAACCAGGCCTGGGGTGAGGAAGTCGTTCGTTCCATCTACCCCGAGACCACCATCGTGCGTCCCGCCCCGTTGTTCGGTTTCGAGGACAACCTCCTTCACAAGCTCGCTGGAACCAGCCCTCTGCTTCACTCCAACAACCTCGAGGAGCGCTTCTGGCCTGTTCACGTAAGTGCCCCGCATTCTACCAAGAATTCCCTCATTAACGGTTGCTAGGCTCCCGATGTCGCTCGCGCTCTGGAGCGCATGCTGCACGACGAGAGCACCGTCGGCCAGACCTTCGAGCTCTACGGTCCCAAGGAGTACTCGAGTGCTGAGATTGCCGAGCTTGTCGACACCGAGATCGTCAAGGAGCGCACCCGCATCAACGTTCCCAAGAAGCTCCTCAAGCCCTTCGCCTTCTACCTCAACAAGTATCTCTGGTGGCACACCATGTCCGCTGACGAGGTCGAGCGTGAGCACATCGACCAGGTTATTGACTCCGAGGCGAAGACCTTCGCGGACCTGGGCATGACTGAGTTGGCCGATCTGGCTGACTTGACCTTCCACTACCTGGTATGTGTACACACCTTGACGCAGCTAAGAACAGTCACTGACTTCCCCACAGAAAAGATACCGCAGCTCGTCCTACTACGATCTTCCCCCCATGACGGAGAAGGAGCGTCGCGAGGACAAGAAGTACGTGCATGTGCTGGACGACCAGTAGTCTGTGTTTTTAATGTGTACATAAGCCCGTTCCTGGACCAATTCCATTTCCTTGTGTTGTCTAGACCAATTCCAACGTATGTCAATCATCTGATTCCGAGCTTAGGATTAAAGCTTGGAGTGATGTATAACTTAATACGTAGCCGCGGAAAATCGGAGCTCGGCCCCGCAATCCATGAATGCGGATAACATCATGGATCAACCTCCCACCTTCAACTCCAACCCTCCCCCCAAAAATGCGGATCCCAATTCTTCTCCTCAAAACTCGATCATCCCCAAATGACGGCTACGACGAATTCTTCAACGCAAACAATTACACTCCAACCTTCGTCCCCGTTTTAGAACACCGCTTCAATGACAAAAACCTAGTCCACGTGCGCTCACTCTTCGCGACCGGCGCATTCAATGCCTCAGACAATACCAATTCCATTTCCAATCCCAAAACCCCCAGCCCCAAATACGGCGGCATGATATTCACAAGCCAACGCGCCGTCGAAGGCTTCGCAAACATGATCTCCCAACACGGCCGTACGTCCCATCCTACACCCCACTACACATCTAGGCCCAAGCCCAAGTCCAATTTCAAGTCCACATTCAATCGTAGTGCCAAACTAACCATAAACCCAAGTCCCACCCCCATCGCAAGATATCCCCCTCTACACCGTCGGCCCCGCCACAGCACGAACACTCACAACCCTCCGCAACGCACACCTCCCCTCATCCACAATCCACGGCGCAGACACAGGAACAGGCGAGAAACTAGCCCATCTCATGCTACAGCATTATAATACCCTCTACACCGAAGAGAAAGAGAACCCGACACTCTTATTCTTGGTCGGTGAGCAGCGGCGGGATATTATTCCTAAAACACTCATGGATCCGAATCTACCGCATAATATGCGGATTCCGGTAGATGAGCTTGTTGTCTATGAGACCGGGGAGATGGGGTCTTTTGAGGGAGATTTTAGGAGGGTGGTTGAGTTAGCTGAGGGTAAGGGTGAGGGGGTGACATGGGTTGTGGTGTTTTCGCCGAGTGGATGTGAGGCTATGTTGCGTGTTCTAGAGTTAGGACCGTATGCGAAGGATGATGGTGATGGGAATGGGAATGTATTTGTTGCGACGATTGGACCTACGACTAGAGACCATCTGAGGGGTCTTGGCTTTGAGCCGCATGTCTGTGCGGAGAAGCCTAGTCCTGAGGGGGTGGGGGAGGGTATCAAAAGGTTTATGGAGCAGAGGGCTTTGAATTAGTCCCTTGTGTGTTTGTCCGGGCTCGTTGTACATAGAATACCCTAGATATCTGGACTTAACCCATATAACTATATGGAATGTTGTTTACGTGTTATCCAAGTGAATGGATATAAAAGCCACAGCCTACCCGTTACGTCTTTACGTGCTTCCATATCACCTTTCCAATGACCTCATTCTATGAGCTTCTACATGCTATTAGCAATTCCTCTTGCATGAGTATCACAATCAACAACGCTCGATGGCTTGCCTTGGCAAGACTATGACTGTTCCCGTCAGGGGAGTCAATCATGCAGATATAGATGTAAATGCATGGCTCATCGGGCCCCTTCAGCTCGACTGCAGAATAGACTATTCGGATATTTCCCAAGGGGACGGGCTCGAACTAAGTTTCAGGTAAGCCGTGGACTGAGTCTGGAGGATTCGGCTTCGGACAATTTACTGAGTGGAGGTTGGGGGTTCAGGAGTGGCTTGGAGAGCACTAACATGGAACGGGGAAGGCTTCAATTGCCAGATATTATCCGGGATATATGCTACTTGGGAAGAAAAGAAAAGACTTTCAACGCATTGATATTGAGATGTTGGTGGTGACGGTAGATCACACTTATTCAAATGTTTCCAGGTGTTGCTAACTTATCTACCGCGTGAAATCACGCTGACAAAATGATTGCATGCTCAAATATTGCAAATCGGACCCTTACCGCATGATTTCTTCATAGATGAAACCTAACATCACGCGTCAATATCAAAATCAAGATCAAAGGACATAGATGGGACCATACCTTTCAATTGCTCCTTACTCAGCGCATCCTTGTTCTTGTCGAAATCAAAGAATCCCTCGGGAATCGGGGGCGCGGTGGGCTCGTCTTCCGGGTCGTGGTACGGCTCCAGGTACGGGTGGCGCAGGGCATCCTCGACGGAGATACGCTTGACGGGGTTGAAGGCGAGGAGTTTCTCGAGCAAGTCCAGGGCCAGGTCGTTGCTCTTGGGGAAGAGAGCGCGGAAGGGAATCTTCTTCTTAAAGGGGAGGGAGCGGATGTACTCGCGTGCTCGTCGGGATTTGATGCCGTAGTAGTCTTCCATTGTGGGTGTGCCGAGAACGTCCAGAATCAAGGTCAACTGATGGTGGTCTGGGATTGTTAGATGGAACGTATGCAAAATTGGAATTCCAGGGGTATACGTACAGTCCTTTCCGGGGAACAGGGGCTTGCCGCTCAGCATCTCGGCAAGAATACAGCCCACACTCCAAACGTCAATTGCTTTGGTGTATTCCTTGAAGGTCAACATGATCTCCGGCGCACGGTACCAGCGGGTAGCCACGTATTCCGTCATGAAACCGGAGTTGTCGTCGGTCGAGGCGGCCGATCGCGCCAGGCCGAAATCGCACACTTTCAAATCGCAGTTGGCGTTGAGCAGCAGGTTGGACGGCTTCAAGTCTCGGTGGAGAACATTGGCGGAATGCATTGCCTTGAGGGCACGCAGTGTTTGGTAGATAAAGTATTGACAATGGTCGTCGGACAAATCTTGTGTGCGAATGACTCGGTGCATATCAGTCTCCATCAGTTCCTGAATCAAGTACACCTCATTGAAGCCCTCGTAGTTGCGGGGCCGTTGGATATCCAAGATGGAGATAATGTTCTCGTGGTTAAAGTACCGCAGCAGCTTCATCTCGCGCAATGTACGCAGACAGAACATGGAGTGGTCGAACGGAGTAATCTTTTTGATGGCGACCTTTTGGCCGGACGGCTTGTGAATTGCGGAGCTGCGAGTATCAGCATGGAGGTATTCCTCCCATGTTGATGTTGCTTACCAGACGACACCGTAAGCACCTTCACCGATAACATCCTGGATCTCATATTGGTCGGACACGTTGAAGGAGATCTTCCGCGATCCTCCCGCGGGAGGGTTCTGCTGGCCCATGATGGCGACAACCTGCTCGATAATCGAAGACTCTGGGGGACTGTCAGCTCCACATAACCAGTGCGAGTGTATGCACGATGACAGTCGGACGATAGAGCGAGAGAACCATTTCATGATGGCCTTGAGGGGCAACGCAAGATATCCAAACAGCAAGAGACTCGCAGACTTGGACGGTGCAGAGCGCCACTGGGATGGGAAAGGCGACTCGCAAAACAATCACATTGGGGGAAAGCAAAGCTTACTTTCACGCGGGGTGGTTTTCTTCCTTCCACTGGTCCCTTCTATCTTTGGTGAATGGTCGCGCAGCCTGACAGTCTGGGAGTCTGGCAGTCTAAAGGTCGAGAAGGCGCAGGAAGCTCGGAGGATCAGGGGGAGGTGAGACCGAGCTGGTAGGTATCGGATAGGAGGGTGGTTTCGGGTCTGGCGATGTGTTAGTCGAGCCGAGGCGGGGTTGAAGCCGATCCCGCACCACTTACCAACTGTTGAAAGAATGTGTGAGATGTCCCGGAAATAGGTAAGTCGGAGGTGGGAGGTGGGAGGTTGGAGGTCAGAAGTTAAAGGCTAGAAGTTGCAGGCTAGAGGCTAGAGGCTAGAGGCTAGAGGCTAGAGGTTGGAGGTTGGAGGTTGCAGGTTCAAGTGGGGAGAGTGAAGAGCCACGGGCCGCAAGTTGGTGGGGCAGCTACCAGAAAAAAAAAGTTCAGGGGGAATCGATAGTTTGAAGGGGCTATGATTTACGCGCTACTGTCGGAGGTTGAGGGGAATCATCCCAGAATAGAGGTTGGGCTCTGTCTAGCTCGACTTGAAACCATTCCGTGTTTACGAACCTTCTCCACTGCCCTCTGCCCATAGATCTCAGTCTTGGGGAATACTCAAGGTTATGTGCTCCGCCACCAGCGCCAAATGGCCAGCTCTATCACGTCTGTGTGTCGGGAAAAGGCGCTACTGTCGGGCGTAATCACAATCACAGTGACCAGTCGACTCCACTGAGATGGGCTACTTTGGCTTCCTGATTGGAGCCCCGTGCGGTTTCACCACGGGATTAGATCATCAAGTGAGGGTAAGACACAAATAGACGTCGATTTTCTGCTGCGAGAGCAACGTAGATGTCAAACAGGTGGGCTTCTATTGCCCTATACAACCCCGATTCCGACCTGGTCTACTTTCACTCCCATATGACAGATATCCTGGCCCGTAATGATACAGGCGTGTGAGAAAATGGAAACGGGGAACAGGGAACAGAGAGCAGGCACATGAACAGGAACATGAATAGGAACAGGAAACAGGAAACGTAGGATTCATGAGCAACCGGGTATAAAGACCGATGGGTCGGGCTTTACTGCACGACCTGAAGACGTGGTTAGTATAGGGAGTGATGACGATCTGGACCATCATACCTTCTCCCGCAAAGTACCCATCCATTGCTCCAGGCTGGGACTCTGGTCTGCCCGGTCCTCCACCAGGGTCGACTGTGCCCAGAGGCGCAGGCCGGGCTCGCCATCCTCGCGAACCACGTACAGGTGAGGCACGATCATGCTGCCCACGCCCTTGGACCGGTGGTCGCGGCTCTTCTCGACTACGTTGCGCACGCGCTGGTTGAACTCGTTGTCCACTTCGGGGAGGGTCTGCTTGCCCACCCGCAGTTCGTCCTTGCTGGCCACACCGAACACGTCCACGATGAGCTGGGGCACGGCGTTGTGGCCAACCCACAGGAACTGAGTTTGGCCGTCGTCGATCAGGTACAGACCGTAGTTGGCAATAGACTTGGACGACAGGTTGATGGCGGGAGGAAGAACGATCTCGCCGGTCTGCTCGTCTGGAATGCCTGCATTGTCGGGCATGTCGTGGAGAGAGTACATCTTGGGGTAGATGTACTGGATGAGGAGGGGCAGGGGCAGAGTCGACAAGAGGCAGAGAGCGGCAGATCGCATATCCGTAGGGATCTGGGCAGACTTGCGGAGACCAAGCTATACACGCAGATTAGCAACTGAGAGCTCGTAAAAGGCAAAAAAAGAAAGGAAACTTACGTTCTTGATCATGGCCAGGAACAGCACGGGCAGGCCACGCATGTTGGCCGGGAATTGCAGGCCACCGCCGCTGACACTGCCGCCAGCAAGCTCCTTGCGGTAAGTGGTCAACAGCTCAATGAGCTTGGCCTGGAGAGCCTCGCGAGCAGGCTCGAGACCGCTGCTCAACGTACGCTCAACGGCCTTGTGGCTGAAGAAGGTCGCAACAGCCTGCTGATCAACAGAGGCATAGATGTCTGCCAAGTTGGTGGTAGTAGGCAGAGCCAGAGTGAGGACACGGATGCGACGCTCGCCGTTACAGGTGGTGTGAAGAACGGCAGCTTGCAGACAGACGACCGGCTTCGCGACAGTCTCATCAATAGCCACCTCAACCACGTATGCCTGGTCACGGGGGAAGGCGGGGAATGCGCAGAGGTCGGAGCTGCGGTTGAAGAAGTTTCCGTAGAAAGTGCTCATGCGAAGACCGGTGGTGGCACGCACACGGAGAACGGCCTCCAGACCAATCTCTGACGAGAGGTACTCGGAGAACTCCCGAGCAAACTTAACGGCGTCTTCACTCCGGGCGGCATTCCAGCCGGGGTAGAAGTAGGTCTGACCACCAGTGTAGCGGGGCAAGTTGCTCAAAGATGCCACGTCCTGGTACTGCGAAGAGAAGAGGAACATATCCACAGACACCTGAGCCTTGGAGCATTCGACTGCAAAGCTCTTGTAGAACGAGTTGCCCGTTTGCAAAAGAGCCGACTCTTTACTTGTGCCCAGCACCTTCTTGTCTTCACGCATGGTGAGAGCGCCATGGCCAATGTTGGGCAGAGAAGCGCTCAGAACAGTCATCTTACCTCCAACGGGGGAGATCAGCTTGTAACCAGCCCGCAAAGCCGAGCCCATAGCGCAGCTGTTGTTCTGGGTGTTCTGGAACATCTCCTGCAACTTGTCGAGGAAGGTCTCAATGTTCTCCCGGCATTCGCTCAGCGTCACGAGAAGATCGGTGGGGATGGGCAAGAAGGGTTCATCGAGGTCACTGACAACCAGCATCCGGGCCTCGGAGCTTTCTGATTGATCCCGAGGGATACTGAAGTAGTGCAGGCTCGAGTCCACGGCAATGAAGCCCAGCCTGGTCCGTCGGTCTGCATTGGGAATACGGTCGAGGCTCTCCTTGATGCAGCGTGCGCTGGTAGCCAGCAGACCACTGGTGACGGAGGAGTAGCTAACGTCGATCAAGAAGAGGTACACAAGCGGCTGAGGGGGTCGGACCATGTACTCCTGGGGAGCAACAAACTCCACCATGCTGTGGTTTAAATCGGAACGCAGAGAGCGGTCGGCCTGCTTCTGCAGTGTCGCATCCCAATCGAACGCCTGGGGCACGTCGTTTGTGAGGTTACACATGTTGCAACGCCAGCGGTGGCCATGGTCGAGGAAGGTGACGAAGGGGTTGATGTAAGACCGGCAGCGTCTGCATCGTGAAATCACTTGATCCGGAATAACGGGAATGGGGTCCGCCTGGTCGTGAAGAGCTCCATAGGGCTGAATCACCAGAGCGAAGGGCAATTTGGACTTCTTAAGGAGAGAATTATTTGTCGGCACAGCGTTCAGGGTGGACCGCATATATTTCGTAGGGCAATTGGCATCGGGGGAGGGGTAAACACTGGTCTGTGGATGGTTAGTATCGCTCCTATCCAAACACGGTGGGCTCAATCAGAACATACTCCCGGGGGCAGAACGATGGGAGGCGGAGGGTAGTCCAACTCCGCGACGTTAAAGGGTTGAGAGATGAGGTCTGTCGGGTAGAGTTGATTAAGTTGGACCTGGCGAGCTGGTTGCACCACGGGCTGCTGCTGAGGCGGGGGCATATGGTGCGGCTCGGCCATGCCCATGCCACCGAACTGCTGGGTCATTTGCGCTACATCTGGCGCGGGCTGAGCGTAGGCTGCTGCTGCGGGCTGCATCTGGCTTGGGTCGGCGCCATATGCCGGTTGTTGATATCCCATGGCCTGGGCTTGTGGCTGCTGGGGGTAGGCACCATAGGCACCTCCAGCCGTGGGCTGACCACCGAGCGCAGCATTGGCACCGGAGCCGAAATCAAAGGCCTCGCCAGCATAGGCTCTCTTCTTCTTTCCTCCGGCGGCGACAGGGGCAGGCGCACCTTGCGCGGGGACGGGCGACTGTTGCTGAGGGTCCGGGGAGCCGTAGTCAGGCTGGCCGTACCCTTCCTGAGGAGGGTAACCCCCTTGTGGAGCTGCCATGGAGGTCTGCTAAAGAATATGTGGCCGGAGTTGGGTTCCTCAGTGAAAGTCGGGATTGGGGTCAAGTTCGGGGGGAGGTTGAGTCGAGATGGGGCGCGGGCAACAGCTTCGCTAGAACCCCACAATCAGTTTAGTCGCCAAGACGTCTTCAAATGTTCAAGTGTTGGATCGCGACGGATTAATCTAATCCGAACAGACAAGAGCAAGACGGGGGGTTAGATCGTACCTCGAGAAGGGGCTCCTGGGGGTTCAACACACTGTAAGTCAAGAGGCGGTGATGGAATACGGTGGCCTTTAGGTGGCCGCACAGCCAATCATGCGCCACCGGAGACATGTGAGCATCGGTTCTGAGATCGATGTATAACTTGCATAACTAATAGGGATCTAATTCAGAGCTAGGTCGGTTGGATCCTTATTGATCTAGTTTAGGAATAGTCGCTGTGCACCTGCACTACATAGATCGTTAAATATTTATTGCCTGGCACTTGGAACACTGCTAAGTATCCAAATTGGCTGGTGCGATCTAGGAATAAATACACCTTCCAATAAATAATTGAACAGGAGTCCAAAGCTTGTGTATTCTAGTCTGAATCAAATCATTACCATTGACCACTTTCGGGTTTGATAAAAACCTACCTGGATACAGTTGATAAAGTCGTGAGGCACACGGTAGCGTGCTGGAATACCGAAGAGGGCGGTTGCCCTGCCAACAAACCACCACAATTGTCTTCCGTGAACTCCTCCACCGTACCGTCTTCAGTTCAACATCCACCAAAGGTAGGTAGGTTTCTTTTCCTGTGTTGGGGGGATATTTCGTTATATCTTCTCTTTCTTTTATTCGGTCCTTCTGCGAGTCATTGTTTCGATCAATTGCGATATTCTTTCAAAAAGTCCGTGAATGTTCAAACCGTCACAATGAGTGTCCGAGTCGTTGCGCGTGTTCGGCCCCTCCTCAAGACCGAGCGAGAGCTTGATGTCATCGTTCGTACCGGTTCCTCTGCTCCGTCCGATTCCAAGCCGCAGCAATCCACGAATGGCGACCGCAAGCTGGCCGCGTTGAGGGACAGGGACAACGTGGTGCGCATCCCCAATCCTAAGAATGGGGGCGAGGAATATACCTTTCAGTTCAGCGCTGTGTACGATGCCGAGGTTGCACAACAGGAGATGTTTGATGCCGAGGGTGAGTGCTGTCTGCTGTCGGAGCTTGAGAAAGCCTCGTCCATGGTTAATGCTGACCAAGTGTAGTCGCGCCCACTATCAAGCACCTCTTCAACGGATTCGACATCACAATTTTTGCATATGGTGTGACGGGTACTGGAAAAACGTACACGATGCGTGGTGGGAAAAGCCTCGCCGATAGAGGTGTCATTCCTCGTCTCCTGAGTGGCATCTACCGACGCAGCCGGAAGATTGAGAAGGATACCGGCGGTGACACAACAGTGCAAGTCTCTCTCAGCTATTATGAGATCTACAACGACAAGGTGTATGATTTGTTTGAGCCACCCGAGAAGCGCACTCTGGCTGGTCTTCCGCTGCGTGATAACGGAGGCAAGACTGTGGTCTGTGGGTTGACGGAGAAGCCCTGCACAAGCTTAAAGGAGTTCGAAAGCCTTTATGACCAGGCCAATAATAACCGCTCCACTTCTGCGACCAAGGTATGTATAGGATTGGACTAGGATTTGACACTCATTGACAATTACGTCTAGTTGAACGCCCATTCGTCTCGTTCACACGCCATCCTCGGTGTCAAGGTCACCGTTATCTCGCCGGAAAGCACTCGCATTAGTACCGCGTCTGCAATTGACCTTGCAGGCTCAGAAGACAACCGCCGGACGGAGAATGACAAGGAGCGCATGGTCGAGTCAGCCAGTATCAACAAGAGTCTCTTTGTTTTGGCGCAGTGTGTCGAGGCAATCACAAAGAAGCAGCACCGAATCCCATACCGCGAGTCGAAGATGACCAGAATTCTTTCTTTGGGACAGAACAACGGACTGACAGTGATGATTCTCAACCTGGCACCCGTCCGGTCGTACCATCTGGATACAATCAGCTCTCTAAGTGTCGCCAACCGCACCAGGAAGATCGAAGTGCGTGAAGTCGAGAATGACCCGATCTTCAAAGGCCCCGCGAGACCCTCAATTCGGCCATCTCTGGCAGCTTCTCGGCAGCCACTGCGCCCTCTTACAGCCTCTGTCAACGTGAACATGCCCGTTCCGGCTGCAAAGGACCCTTCTAAGAAGGATGAGGAGAAGCCGCTCAAGGCATTCAGCGTCTATTCCGATCGAGCTCAGCCAAAGCCCATGACACAGATCCGCAAGCCTGAGACTAAGAGAACTTCTCTTTCCTCCGAAACACCTACTGCACGGTCATTAAAGCCTCGCCAGATGCTTGCTCCTCTCCAGCCTCAATTGGGTAGTTCAGATCTCTCTGCTGCTAAAATCGAGGAGATGGTCTCGAGGAAGGTCGAAGAGATGCTGGCGGTGCGTGCGGTGAGCGAGCAGTCAAGACAGACCCAGGTTCGTGAGTTGAATGATCAACTTCAGCGGCGACTGGAGCAACTGGAGCAACGCATTGAAGGGACGGAAGACGCTCGCGCTGAAGGTCTTTCTTATCTGCTTATGGCGAAACAGCACCAGGCACGCGGTGAGAATAGCTCTGCATTGAGAATGTACCAGCTGGCACTCCCGCATTTCCCACACAACGAAAAGTTGGCTTCCAAGATTGCCGCCTTGAAAGAGCGCATCGAGGGCAAGCCTCAGTCACGGCTTTCCGTCAATGCTGCTTCCCCGCCCTCGAAGGGCAAGCTCGGCAGCATGCTTTCTCTGAACCTGAAGAAAGAGCCCACCGTGACACTCGGCAAGCGTCAAGCTGAGGACTCTGACGATGAGTACGTGGATCCGCTTACCATGGATTATGACGAGACTGGCTTCCTTGATACCTCTCGGCCCAGGAAAAAGCGTGCCTCAGACAAGGCTATCCGTAAGAATGAAGATGATCTCGCTGCTCTGGATGACCATCAAGATCCTTCTGTTTCACCTCGCACTATCCACCTTTTGTCAATCATCAACTCGCGCGATGTCAGCCAGATCAAGCTTCTCAAGGGCGTTGGCGTGAAGAAGGCCGAAGCAATTGTGGACTGTCTCTGCGAGATGGACCAATCCTCAAACATGGACATGGAAATGGTCTCCGACCAGCCGCAATTCCAGGTGGACAGCCTGGCGCAGCTGAGTACGTTGAAGGGAGTGGGCATTCGCACGGTTGAGAACATGCGTAATGGAGTCTTGGTTTGATGCATTTGCATGACTCGCCTATATACGACAACTTCTTGTTTTTCAGACATGCATCATTCAGCGACGGTGCTGCGGCGTTTCAGTTCTATAGTTGGGATGGTTTGGAGTTGGTCTATTTAGCACAAGTGTGCCTTTTCGTGATCCAAGGATCTGTAACATTAGTAGTGGACATTCACGAGGTTCTATATCTCAAAATTTCATTACATTTTTCATTTTGCCCTTCGTCTATATTGCATTATTATCATTCGCTATACAACTGCGTATGCATAGATCCATAACAGCGCCAATGGGATTATGCTGTGGATTATCAAAATCATTATACTTTGTCCCAGGGCCTGGCTCCTCCAACAACAACTCTCGCCACGATGAACAGCGTCGCTCCAGCGAGCATCACCACACCGCAGAATATCTGCAGCTTCGTATATGATCCATGCAGCACATCTGAGACCAAAGCACCACCAATCGGGGTACCAGTCAAGGCAGCAAAGGAAATAATCGAGAAGCAAGTGCCGTTGCGGACGCCAACCTCGCGCAGGTCGGAGATCTGAGCAATCAGTGCCGGCGCGAGAGAGACGAAAGCACCGGAGCCGAAGCCGTACAGTGCGCTGAAGACAATTGCCGGTGCATTGCTGCGAGATGGAAGCCATAGAGCAAGCACGAGAATAGCTGACAGGAAGCTGAAGATGATCATCACGTTATAGCGACCAACACGGTCAGCCAAGTAGCCTGGAAGGGTACGACCAAAGATACTAGATCCACCCATTAGCGAATGCCATCAAAAAAGGGAAACCCTAGAACCATCTGAACTCACCTCGCAGCATTCAAAATCGGAATCAGATACTGCGACATATTCGGCGACATGCCATACCGCTCCGCCTGCGTAATCACAAAAGTGAAAGGCAAAAACATCCCCCAGAAGAAGCAAAAGGCCCCGGCAACAGTCAAAACAAACTTAATATCCTTGAGCGGCCTGACAAAGTTCATCACGGAAAAAGGCTTCTTAGTAGGCGGCAATCTCGACTTCAAAGTCAAGTTTGCAATGACCAACATACCCAAAATTAAAAACGCACAGATACGCATCGCCCAAGGAAATCCAACTTGGGGAATAAGATGCGTCACCATGATTGGGAAAATAACCCCTCCCAGACTTGATCCCGAAGCCGTAACTCCCAGCGCAAAAGCCCTCCTTTTCACAAACCATGTACTAACAGAGTTAACACATGCGTTGAAAATAGCACTAGCACCGAGCGGACTGCATATTCCCTGCGCGAGAATAAACTGATAATACTCCGTCGAAAGCGAAGTCATCATCAACCCGAAGACGTGAAGAATCGTCCCACCGAGCAAGATCCAACGCGGTCCGTAACTGTCGAACAGAGTACCGAAGATCGGACCAGCGAAGAACATCACGAATGTCTCGAGCGATGTGATCCAGGTTACGGTGCTGGTTGACATGTTTTGCAACTGGTGGCTTTCGTAGTATGTTTGGAAGACGCCGATGCAGTTGATCCAGCCGAAACTGACGAATAGCCCACAGAATCCGCCGAGGACGACGAGCCATGCTTTGGGGCCGCCATCTGGGGGTGGGCCGGGGCCTGGGGGGACGGGGGGGACTGCGTTGGCTTTTTCGGAGTCTAGGGTGGTATCGTATGTTTCTGTGGCTTTGTTTGGGGGTTGGCCTTTTTCGATATCGTTGATTTGGTCACTCATTGCGGGTGTCGAATGATCTGACGGCGCGGTGTGGGTGGCTGCGCTGTCAATGGAGGGAGCGTTGTGATCGGTAGTTCCGGTCATTTTGAGCGCGATTGCTGTCTCTGTTCGAGACGGAGTCTTGTGCTATATCAGACTGAGTTCAAGCGCAATCTGCGTAGATAATTGTATTCTGTCAGCTATGAAGCTGCGAGCGAATATAAAGGTGTGGTTCTATAGGGGAATCGCATGAAAGAGGATATGCGCAGGACCGGGAAACATCAGTTTGATTCAAGATCAAGATGCAACTAACCTGACTCGTGCAAACGGTGGCGCAGTACTCAACCGTCGGGGAGGAAACTCTACGACAATCCGTTTGTTCAGCCGTGTATATCAGACTTGGCCAGGGCACGATTCGATTCCAGAGTACTAGTCACGTAGTACCCAAGAATATAGGTATAGATACCTAAGGAGTGAAAGAAAGAGTCAAGACCAAAAAAAAAAAAAAAAAAAAAAAAAAAAAGAGGCAGCGGTCGCGACTTCGGCATCGCGCCAGGCTAAACTCCGAGCTCTGATCGTCTCCCATTTCTTGGTAGCGTGCCTAACCCTGAACGGAAAGGAATCGGCGCAAGCCATGGATAATCTAGGATAGGGCCAAAGACTCGTCTACCTCCACCCCTTAGGACGCCGACCACTAAACCCCGAGAGTGGACCTTGTACTCCACGGGCCTGCGGGTAGTCCCTGGAGTGATTGCCGGATGGGGGGCCGATATTGCTCTCGTGATTGATTACTAGGCAAATGCGCTCGGATCCATTGCATAAGGCCGAAGGCCGAGGGTATTTCTTTAGTGGTCACATACTTGTCTCGTGTGTCGGATGTTTCTGCCTTACAAGTCAGAAGTTGGCAGCTCAATCGTCCACGCAAAACGTGCAGTGTCTTGCAGGGCTCCCTGGGTCATCGGAGTGCGGCCCGCATTGCTATCGGAGCCCCTGATCTCTCCACCTCGGCTTCTTTTTCTGCTTGTAGATTGATCCACCTGCTTACGTGTTTCTTTCTTGTCTCTTTCCGTGGTCATAGCTGTGGCTTGTTTGAGACAGAGTCATGCGTCTATGGAAGATTGGAGTAATTAGGGCTTGAAATGTACTCGTGGGCTCATCTAGCCTAAGAATGTAGTCCTTTACATCCAACGGTTGTGTAGTGTAATGGTCATCACTGCGGATTCTGATTCCGCCGATCCCGGTTCGATCCCGGGCACGACCTTTTATCTTCCTTTCTTTCTTTTACCTGAAAGAAAGAAAGATATTTTTGCTAGCAATTAATCGGTGTAATTGGGTTGGTTTATTTTTGCTTTTTTATTACCTAGAAAACGAAGACAATGTACGTATCTTATCTTTACATGCTCAAAATTAGGTCGACTTCCAATGAATTTGGATGGTCCCAATAACCGGGATGCAGGTGCGACGGAAATATAAACTGACGGCAGAACTGCTTGATGAGCGGGTCGGTTCATCTATGGGTATTTAGAGAGGCTCTTAACCGCGGCATAAGGAAAACCCTCACAGAGAGATTGCAACTTTAGGCCCCCCAGGACCGTAAATGCTTGCACCATACCTCAAAGTGCGGTGAAAGTAGTCGAGAGCCCGGGCCTAAAGTTCGGACTGAGATGTAATCGGGGCCGAAAGACGGAGATAAAGCCATGAAGCAGCCAGTTCTAAAGCTAAAACCTATAAGGTGACATCGTCAGGGGCCATAAACGCGCTTAATGAAAATGCAGAATTACACAGGATATTGCAATTATAGACTCCCAAGGGCATGGACAGAAGCAGACGCATACCTACCTTTCATAGAGCATTGGAAGTAGATAGGATACATACTACAGCCGGTTCAAGTACACCTCGGGATATTCAAGTATTGTAAATAGAACTGAACCGGTTTCAGCCCCTTGATTTATCCCCCTAACCCGGCCGTAGCGCGCACATGCAAACTGGAACATCTACAACTTCATATTCCTCGAAATAACTGGAGGGCAATCATTCTACGTTAGTCAGAACAGTCGCTACTTTGTGCTTCATGGCGCATATCTGCAGGTATAGCCAACGCCCTTGAGAGCTATGCCCACTCGTGATATTCACGAAAAAAAAAAGTAAAGATTGATTTGAATGGCAGAGCTAAAAACCAAAGATGCCCGCAATACTGTACAGGATGCCCCATAATACCATTCCATGAGAAAATCGGCCTCTGCCAGTACAGAAGCAAATGCAATAAGAAGAGATCAATCGTTTACAGCAGCTTTCACAGCTTCTTTGTCTTTCCCACCTGCTCGATTTCAACCTGGCCATCCTTGCGGATCGTAGCCACGCTTTGGCTGATTCCCCTGACCTCTTGGACGACGTCGTCAATCGAGCGAGTGATCTCAGGCTCTTGCATAGCATCGCTGGTATTCTTTGCTTGCTCTGCCTTGGCCTGGCCGGGAAGGGAAGTGAGACCGCGAGGAGTGTCCGCAATCTCGTTCACCTCATGGGCTGACAGGACGTCGTTCAAGCGAGGGCCGCGCGACTGGACGAGAATGGTGGCCGGGCCATCGAATTGCATGAAGAGCTGAAACAATTTGTTAGTTGATAGATTCATTGCATATTGAAGGAATGAGCCTTACCCTATCTCCCCAGATAGTCATGCGAGACCAGGTCCGCAGCTTGTGGAAGAATCGCATAGTGCGCTTCCATGCATCTGAGCTGGAGACATCCTGGATGTACTTGTTGTTCTGCAGAAGTCTCGGCAGTGTCTTCAGACCCGGAACCTGGAAGTTCAAAGTTGTGGACTTAAAGCGGTATGGGCGAGGAGGGTTGGAGGACATGGTATAGGCGACCACGTTACTGCCTAATATCAGCAATGCCAGACTAGAATTAGTGAAGCACGACATACCTAGGATGAGCAATGTACTGCTCACCATCCTTCAACTCAACGGAATAGACCTGGCCGTTTCCAACCAGGGCTATTAAACCTCTGCCAGTCACCTCCGAGCTTCCCCAGTGTGAGAGGCTCTGCCGTAGGTTAGCCCAATGCCCATCTTTATTTTATTTAAAGGGCGGACAAACCATGTTAGTGTTGATAGTAGGCTTAATGGACAAGGACCGGCCTGTCCATGCCAGCAAAGCGCGACGCTGGGCAACCATCCAATCCACAGAGCCATTGAGGTTCACCACAGCGAACGAAGTATTGGGGGATCGAACAGAAACGAGCGCTGTAACGGGGGTTGCTGAGGAAACCTGTATACCAGTCAATCGCCACCCGGAATCAATCGTAAAACATAGCACGATACCTTCTGATAAAGGAAAGGCACTCCGACAACCGCCCTGCGGAAAGGCTCAAGAACGCTCAATGTTGAAATCACCTGCAACCACGGTCAGCCACAATGCGATAACCAAGATTTATATGACTGCATACATTGTCGGCCTTTCCGCTCAATCCAACCAAGGTTCCTCGGCGCGTGTACAGGTTTTGGGAGGCTGAAAGAGAGACGGATAGAAGGGAATACGGGGCACCGATGACGTCGAATCGCGCATCTATAGCATTTGAAAGATTAGTTTGGATATAGGCTCTCGGATCATGACCATAGATAGGGCATACCGCGCGATTCAACGGAGCTGGGCGTGTTTGCGAGGGGCAAGTTAGCCCCGTTGGCGGGTTCCTCGGAGGGTGTCGCGCGAATCTGAATGCATCTTGTCTGCCGATGCACGCGAGGGACAACTCTAGTCCAGGACAGAGTCCGGACACCTCGCTGAAGCGTTGATCGCATTGTGCCTGAAAAAGGTGACGGGAAGAGAACTTTACGTCAGTTTTGGGAGCTGCGTCGGGAAATCGTGGCGCCGACCGCCTCACCTCGTACACTTCGATTGCGACATTTACTTTATTGCGACATTACTTATTGCGATTGATGAGCTTGCGAGAGTGCAAGTTTCCCTCTTCTTTCCCTCTTCTTTCCCTCTTCTTTCCCTCTTCTTTACCTCTTCTTTCCTTCTTCTTTCTTCTTGTTGAATACCTCCGAGGGTCCCTACTCCGACACTTTCCTCCGAAGCCGGCGGCTCCCAAGGTGGAATTCCCCACGAGCTGCGGCGCACGCCATTCCCCTCGTACCTCACTATGATCCCCTGATCCCAATCGCAAACCCCCGTACCTTCCTGGAAAACATATATTACAAGCAGCCATGCTGCTCAGAGCTACGCGCTCGCCATGCTGGCGTCCGGCGCGCTATGCCCAACCGAGCTTCGCCGGCCGGGCGCCGTGGACGAGACCGAACACTACACAGCTGCGCATATTCACATCATGTGGGCGATTGCAAAACCAATCTACCGATGGCAGAGACCCGATGGCTACGAAGTCGGGTTCGGCCGCTGTTCCCTCGGTAATAGACGGCAATGCTGCCCAAGCCAAAGAGGCTGCCGCAAAGAAGGACTTGCTGAGCGAGTCAACCAAGGCAACCCAGGAACAGAGGAAGGCGGATTGGGCTATTATGAGAGAAATGGCCAAGTACCTCTGGCCAAAGGTAATGCTAATGGAATTTCAACGTTCGGATCGGAAGTACTGACCGTGTATGTAGAATGACTGGGGCACTAAGCTTCGTGTTGGATCTGCGCTGTCATTGCTTATCGGAGCCAAGGTTAGCCCCGAAAGATCCTTGGATTGTGCTATGGATGCTCACCGAAAATTCAGATTTTGAATGTAGAAATACCTTTCTACTTCAAGAGCATTGTCGACTCTATGAACGTGGACTTTGCCTCTGTTGGGGGGACTGCGTATACCGTTGCAGGCTCAATGATCATAGCTTGTAAGAACCCTTCAACCCGGCCCAACATAGTCAGACATGTCTAATCGGAACTTTGCAGACGGTGCAACCCGAATTGGAGCAACTATCTTCCAGGAACTTCGCAATGCAGTGTTTGCCAGTGTTGCACAAAAGGCTATCCGAAAGGTGGCTAGCAATGTCTTCGAACATCTTCTGAGACTAGACCTCAACTTCCATCTCTCGCGCCAGACTGGCGGTCTGACCCGTGCCATTGACCGTGGAACAAAGGGTATTAGTTTCCTACTGACGTCTATGGTCTTCCATGTCGTCCCGACTGCGCTCGAGATCTCGCTCGTTTGCGGTATCCTTGTAAGATCACCGACTCTGTACCTTCATACAACCGCTGATACCTTCCTAGACCTATCAATATGGCTTCCGATTTGCTGCCATCACGGCTGTGACCATGCTGGCATATACGGCATTCACCATCACCACAACTGCCTGGCGCACCAAGTTCCGCCGGCAAGCCAACGCGGCCGATAACCGTGGTGCTACTGTGGCAGTTGACTCGCTCATTAACTATGAGGCCGTCAAGTACTTCAACAACGAGAAGTTCGAGGTGGCCCGGTACGATAAGGCCCTGAAGAGCTACGAAGACGCCTCTATCAAGGTGACGACATCCCTGGCTTTCCTCAATTCTGGCCAAAACATGATCTTCTCGAGTGCGCTGGCCGCCATGATGTACCTGGCTTGCGACGGAGTCGCCACTGGCGCTCTGACAGTCGGTGATCTGGTCATGGTCAACCAGCTGGTCTTCCAGCTGTCCGTGCCCCTCAACTTCCTGGGATCGGTCTACCGGGAACTGCGTCAGTCTCTGCTGGACATGGAGACGCTGTTCAACCTGCAAAAGGTCAACGTAACCATCCAGGAACGGCCCAACGCCAAGCCTCTGGAGTTGACGCGTGGCGGTGAGATTCGTTTCGAGAACGTCACCTTTGGCTACCACCCCGATCGGCCCATCTTGAAGAATGCCACCTTCACCATCCCCGCCGGCTCGAAGTTTGCTATTGTCGGTCCTAGTGGCTGCGGAAAGTCCACAATCTTGCGTCTGGTGTTCCGCTTCTACGATACCCAGTCTGGCCGCATCTTAATCGATGGCCAGGATGTGCGCGACGTCACTCTCGAGAGCCTTCGCAAATCAATCGGAGTGGTCCCCCAAGATACACCACTATTCAACGACACAATTCTCCATAATATTCGCTACGGACGGATCGACGCGACGGACGAGGAAGTCCGCCATGCCGCAGAGCGAGCCCGCATTGACCAGCTGATCGAGCGCTTGCCAGATGGATACCAGACCGCTGTCGGTGAGCGTGGCATGATGATTTCCGGCGGCGAGAAGCAACGCTTGGCTATCTCTCGTTTGATATTGAAGGACCCGCAGCTTTTGTTCTTCGACGAAGCGGTAAGTTTGAAACCTAGTTCCCCCGAGTAGACGTAATAGCGGCTGACTGGCCGCGCAGACCTCCGCTCTCGACACCTATACAGAACAGGCTCTCTTGCAGAACATCAACAGCATTCTCAAGGATAAGAAGCGCACCAGTGTATTTGTTGCGCATCGCCTACGTACCATCTTTGACAGTGACCAGATCCTGGTGCTGAAGGATGGACAGGTAGTGGAAACAGGCTCGCACCGTGAGCTGCTTGAGCTGGATGGTGTATATGCAGAACTATGGAACGGTAAGTACAATTTTGTCAAGAATCTGCAATATTTACTGACTATTGAATAGCTCAGGAAACCTCGCTGGACGGCGAGGCGAAGAATGAGGCGTAGTACAGAATTAAATCCAAGTACAGACAAGACGATTTAAAGCAATTTAGATGGAACACTGCTTTGATATCATCCGAGACATCTTGAGTCTGCAAGTAATCGATACCTATAGACATTCGGATTCGACCGTTTCAAGTTAGATTCCCTTGCGTTTGCGAGCTATTTCCAGACCTATCCTGGGAAGAACGCTCGGCCATACTTTGGGTGTTGGTTCGGCCTCGGATCCATGCCTTGATAACAAGAGTTATACCACGTATCTCTTGTCCTCGCTGAGAGCTTCCTGTGAACTGGCATTATGTCTGTACGGCCGGGCTTGAGTGCAGATATTGTGTTTTACAATTCCTTCGTTTATGAGAAGCTAAGGCCACAGCTTTCGCTTGCTAAACGTTTCCGGAACTCTTCTGTTACAGGATGAGAATGATGGGGGTACTGCTAGGGCAATGGTAGATAACTTCTTTTGTTCTAAATCGAGTATGTACCTGACACTGTGCCTTGACCTTGGTCTCGGGGGTCATGACCAAGATATGTCATCATTAGCCCATCTGGCTTACTATACTTATCGGTTGTGAACCTCGGCATTGTAACAATGCTATCCCCGCTTGGTCCATATGGCCTTACACCAACGATTCCACAGTTTCTATACTTGCAGCGCTAGGAAACGGTTCATACCTTTTCTGATTTTCCACACGCGCCTTCTACCATGGTGTCAACAACATCCAACGACGGCAGATCGTCGATGCGATCGCCCTCGCACGAAATCGAAATGAATGAATTGCAAGGCAGAGTGGAATCCAACAACCAGCAACTTGAACCTACAGATCAAGGACCTGCCGCTTGGAGACTGCTTTGTATTGCGTTTGTCTTGAGTCCCTGCTATGGGGTGAGTGGTTACACTGGCGATGAACAGTATTTTTGGGACTGACATATCCCAGGCTTCCCTCTTTCTTTTGGAGTTTTCCAGAACTATTATTCCAAGCTTCCCGAGTTTTCTGAAAACCACTATATCTCAGTGGTGGGTACCGTCGCCTCGGGAATCTCCTACTTAGGGGCTCCTCTTACCGCCCCATTTATCAAGCGCTACCAAAGGTTTCAGCGACAGATGATCTGGTTTGGATGTAAGTTTCACAAAATTTCCAGTCTATGGTCAGCCCATCTCATGCGCGGCTAGGGTCCATCTGCATTGTGGCACTGATCGCTGGCTCCTTTGCCTCAACTCTTGAAACCCTAATCCTGACACAAGGAGTGGCGTACGGACTCGGGTTCCTCATTCTGTATTACCCGATTCTCAGCATGGTGGACGAATATTGGATTTCTCGACGAGGAATGGCATATGGAATGCTATGCAGCGCATCTGGACTTTCAGGTGCAGCGTTCCCTTTCGTTCTTGAAAAGCTACTGAACACATATGGATATCGGACCACGCTGCGGGCTACTGCTCTTGCACTATTTGTGGTGACGAGCCCCTTGTTGCCCTTTCTTAAAGGTCGCTTGCCAGTTTCGAGGCATATCACGGCCGCGCGAGCAGATTGGAGCTTCCTTCGAAATCCCCTTTTCTGGATGTACACAATCTCGAATGTGGCCCAAGGATTAGGATATTTCTATCCGTCTCTCTACCTGCCCTCTTATGCGACAGCTATTGGATTGAGCAGTGTTGAAGGTGCACTTCTTCTGGCCCTGGTGAGCATCTCTCAAGTGATGGGCCAATTTACATTTGGATTCTTATCCGATCGCAAGTTCTCCATCGATATTCTCATCACTCTGGCAAGTGTTATAGCTGCCATAGCTTCATTGGCCTTATGGGGACTAGCACATTCTTTAGCACCCTTGATCGGCTTTGCTTTGATTTATGGCTTTTTTGGTGCTGGTTATACTGCTATGTGGGCAAGAATGTCGACATCTGTCAGCGCCGATCCAACGGCTACACCGATCATTTTCAGCCTGTTTTGCTTTGGTAAAGGTATAGGTAACGTCTTGACCGGACCTCTGAGTGGAAACTTGTTATTCCCCAGGCTGGAATTGGAGAGCTATGGGCTAAGAAAGTACATGGCCCTGGTCATATTCACCGGTGGCTGTATGGCCTTGAGTGGTATGAGCATCTGTTCCTGGCACCTAGGTAAGCGGATTCTGCCGTTGGGATAGGGTACCGGGACAGAGAGAGAGAGAGAGAGAGAGAGAGAGAGAGAGAGAGTGTATCTATGGCCCGATCGAATTGAATGTAAGGAGTTATGATTCCATGCTGTATTCTGCACGGCGACAGCCAGCTATGGGGTCCTGGTCCCAGTCCTGGAGGAGCATAAATCACCCGATCGAGACTAGGGCCACGATTGAGGAGACTGAATGCACGAGGATCCGTGCTCGAAAGCGATGTATATTAGAACGAGACCATTGGACGTCATTCTATGCGTGTGAATGAGAAAGGCGGATGAGAAACCAATTCTTCTGAAACTGAGGTCCCGCACTAGAACGCGCTAAACCGGCCGGACCTAAGGCGCAGTTGGACCTGGCCAGAGCCATGTTTTGACTCCACGCTAAACCACGCGCTTTTCCCCACTTTGGTACGGTTCCCCTTTCTCGACCTCCAAGTTGCTCTTTCATTGTGCACTCTCATCCCAGCCACTCATTTCCAGGGATCTCCCCAGTTCATTCATTATTCCGGTCCGGGGAAAAAAAGAAAAAATCTACACTCGACACTCCTTGCATTGAACATATCGACATCGCCATCGCCATCCCTTTGTGGCACCCGTACCTCGCTAGTTCCAGCCCCTCGTGCGCCTCCGAACCCCCTCCGCGCTTACACTCCCCCTCCCCTATTCTCCGAGGGATATCCAGGTGAGAAACCAACCCGAACGGTCAACCTCGAGATACACATTCCTGACCCGGGAGTGATACAGTGCCGTCTTTGTTGACATCCGACCGTTGCCGACCGTCCAGATTGCCTGCTGTGGGATCGATTTGCCGACTTCCGATTTTCAGTTTCCAAATATAGGAACCGCCAGAGTCCCTTGTGCGTGAGAGGCAGATCAATACCTCCAAGAACCCTTGATTCCGATATCAAGTCTCTCGTCAAAATGGGCCTCATCGATAAAGTCCAAGCCAGTACGTTCGACCTCAAAACAAACAAACCCACACCCAACTAACACGCGACAGAGCTTGAGCTGTACCGCCTCGAGCAGAAGTACGCCCGTCGCAAGCACCGCACCACCTTCTCCACAGGCGCAACATACGTCGACGGGGAATACGTCTTCACAGGCGCCAAATCACCGACCAGCACCGTTTCCAAACACTCAACCGGTAGCTGGCGGCCCTCGATCGGACGAAGCGGATCTTCAGAATCGCGCTGGCGGTGAACAACCCACCTTCCTGCCTTCTACTTGCTGCTTTCGTTCGTGTCGGCGCCTTTGATATTTACCTGATCTATACTGCGCTTAGCATTGCTCTTGAAGCTTCGCATGACGTACCTGCGAAGATCGATGACCCTCTTGCAGTCACCCATGTCTGTTGGAATTGTTTTTCCTCTTCTTGTTTAAACATCCGGCTCATGATGCGTGGGCCTGAGCCCAAAGTTGAGAGTTATCTCTGATACACTTGGCTTTTTTGACTGATATGTCTTACTTTATGTCTTTTGTTCGTCCGCTCCTTTTCCTCTGCTTCGTGGTGAGCGAGCATATACCATATCTTCCTTCTGTGCATTTTCTTTCTTGGTCGCATTCGAGTTCGAGTTGCCTTCTTGTTCATCATCTTGAACTCAAACGGTGGAATTTTTTTTATTTTTTTTTGGAAACCGTGTCCTTCGACTCATCTACGACATTATTGTTTCGAATTTGGATAGGTGATAGAAGAATTCTGATTGGATATCCACGATTCGACCTTACATTATCTCCTGTGAATAAGCTGAATGTTACCTTGTAGTCTTCTATGCAGCTGCAATAACATCTGTTGAACAAGGTACACGAACCAATGCAAGCCAAATCTGGAACTAATGTAGTCGGCGGAAGAAACTACTCCAGATGAAGTAGTTTGTAACTCGGCATATAAAGTAGCTTCTACCATGTGAGAAATGTTCGATTCCTGTACACAGACAACATAAGGTTGCCGGATCACCGCTTCGACTTGCGTCCTCCGATGCCTAGCCGGCCCAGATTCGGAAGACTAGATTTATGCTTATGTGCGGTTCCTAGTATGGAAGAAGACCCTGATTTAGGATCTAGCGCCCCTCGACTTCCACCCGCTCCCATAGAAGGGCCTGGCATACCGAGACCCATACCTCCGCCCATTCCACGGGGTGCGTCGGGGAGACCTGATCGGTCCCTGGTACGGTCCGTAGTTGCGGCCGAGAGGGCGGCAGTTAGAGAGGGACTCTGAAGATTATCTGTTGGGTCGAGCGAGCGCCGCTGTGCAGCTTGAGCACGACGTGCCCGTTCCTGCACGTTCTTGAACTTTTCCAAAAGTTCAACCCAGCGGATGTTGGAATCTTCGCGTTTCACACGGGTACCGGTAGGGCGCTCGTAGGACGGTGCCGTTTGAGCGGTACTAGGAGAGGTCAGTATGTGGGATGGCAATGTTGATAGTGACGGTGGAGTCTGGCAAGTTCCATACCTGCGAGGACCACCGTAGAGAAATCCTATGTTGCTGACGCTGTTCAGGCGATTTTTGAGAGCGGCAAAGGCGGAGCTCTGAGGGAGGAGCATGAGGACACCGTAGAGGCATTTGTAGAGGTAAGGGTATCTTTCAGGTTCGAGGAGTTGGAGTCGGAGATCTAGCCTGCATTAGTGGGGTGATACAATCTCGGCGACATGAGGCAACAAACAGGTAAATACAGGGGATTCGAGCAGCTGCACCAGTTTGTCGATCTGGATGAGCATGTTGACAGTCATTTCGAGCTCGGCGCTGAGTCCTTGAGTCAGAAATTTACATTAGGGGAGGATTGGGGAAGTTGGCGACTCACAATATTTGGAGGAGATTGTAGGCTTGTTCATAAGCCTGGGCAAGGAGACACAGGGAGAAAGTAGAAACGGCGTTATGGCACCACGACCGGAAAAGAGCAACAAAGAGCGCTTGGCCCTCCTATGAACTGTCAGTTATTGTTAGAGCTATATGCGAACAAAGGTGCTTACGGTTGAGTTGGGGTTCCTCAATTTTTTCCTCATATCAGACAGCTCTGGCGCTGTAATAAGGTTGTTATTCAAATTTTGCACCATGATGCTTGCAAACTCAATGTCCTGAGGAATGTCAATATAATGGATTCACATAATTGAAATTGGAAAACTCACTTCTTCCTTCTCGAGACAGTCTGCCAGAGTCCGATAGATGCGGTCCGTACTCAGCTTCAGACACAGCTGTCTGATAATCAAATTTCCGCGAACTTCCAGCAGATGTCGATCCGTAGAGAAGAGCTGTAGTAGATTCACCATGAACGAAGTAAAATAGTTGTCTTCGCTATATCTCGAGATTTGCGACAGAAGCTCCAAATCCTGTCTGACAACAGCCTCCGCAGGGTCCGAAAGAGTCTTCAAGAGAGCTGGGAACGTGCCATCGTTAAAAGCAACCACCTTCCGCGGAGCTTTCCGGTGTAACATGATGAGCCACCCAAGTGCAGCTACCCTTGTGGCTTCATTCTCATTCAGGAACTGCAGGGTAAGCGAACTGACTGCTGCAGCGTAATCGAGATCGGCCGGCGGAACAGGCGTTGACATGATACTACCGCGCGGTGTTGCTGGCCTTGAGTCTCTGGAGATCTCCGAAGATTTCTTTTCTATACTTTCCTTGCTGGGTGCTGCAGAAGGGGCTTTAGAAGCAGACCAAGCCGTTTCGTCGGTTGTATCGTCGGAAAGGGAGTAAATGTATTCGAGGAGAGACTTGTTGACTCTGTTTGCTGCTTGCCGCACCGAGTCTGAGCCACTAGACATTGCTGGCAGCACTTGAGTCAAGAGTCGTGGGACAAATGGAAGAATATCTTCAGGGCTGAATTCGAAGAAGGCGTCGACCCAGCGGAGCGCCGTCAGTTGCATTTCCTCGTCTGTGAGCTGTAAGTATCAAGAAACGAGGGATGAGAGCCAGTGAAATTACTATATGACGTGTCAACAAAGCTGACAAGAATATCCAAAATCTTCGGGAAGTCGATTTGAACGTCCTGTCCCGGAATCCAGTCGCCATCGGCCTGGTTCATCTCTTCATCATCAAAGAAGGACCCCGAGGCAGAATCATCAACGGCTATATCGCCTCTTGTATCGGCAGTCTGTTCGGTTTTGAGACTCTCAGTATCGCTCGTGGCAGAACGTCGGCTTCGCTGGCCCTTTCGACTCTCTTCGATGCCCTTCTTTAGTCTGGTGATCCGCTTAATCTCGGATAAGAATCGGTCTAGGAGGGCCTGGGTAGCAACGTTTACATCCCTGTCTGGACCACCGAGGAAATTGATCAGCCCTTCCAAGAACTCGGGCAGATAGCTCACTAGCTCCAGGTCAGGGACAGTATCGAGCAAAGTCAACCACGAGACTAGGAAGTTGCGAGTGTACGGCTGAATCACATGAATCCGGTCCTTGAGAAGGGGTATAAACCTCCCGAGAGAGAAAGCTGTAGGTAGTTCCGCATCATCGAGCTCGGTTGGGTCCTCCTTCTCCGAAAGCTGCAGTACAGACACATACGAAGCCGCAGATTCGGCGACAATGTCTTTTACCAAACGGTCGAGAAGCTCCGCTCCATTTTTCACCGAAAGCTCCGAGTCGGATGCTAGTTTGGCCAAAGCATCGAAAATCTCATTGAAGAAAGGCAGAATCTCTCCCTTGGCCACCTTGGCGATGTTGTACATGCTCTCGCAAGCATAGTACCGAACTCGCGCATCTTGATCGGAGAAGCATGCCAGGACTGGAGGCACGATCTCCTTCAGGTGGGTTGCAACTCCTTCCTAAAATCACGCATCAGCCGAGCTCCCTCACTTCTCTTCGTTATCCGAGACTCACCGATCCAAGGGCGATAGAAGCAGCGGCGAGGCCAATCAGGCCACCGTTTCGGGCGTGAGGTTGGTGCACAGCGTAGGCATAGTCGTGGCAGAGCTGTTCGACGATCGTTTGGATCTTATCGTGTTCTCCTTTGAAAACGGCATCTCGAACGATTTTCTCTAACCTGTGTCGCGTGTTAGCTTAGCTTCACTCGACCTCCACAGCTCCCGGACCACATACTCCAAGGCTCCCTGCTTTCGCTTATCGTAGAGCTTGTCGTTGAGCAACCGCTGGATTGATTGATCCATATCTCCAACACGCGGAGAAAGCTGTCCCGAGCTCCGATTAGGCAATGTTCATGGTGGAGAGGTCGCGTCGATCGGGGGTTGGGGCACGAGGGGCGGGCGGGATATCGTCGGGAGTTGCCGGTGAAAAGCTCAAGTGATTCCCACACGCTAAGCCTAGTTGTTTGACACTTGAATAGCTTTAGGGAGGGGCGGAAAGATGCGTTGTCAACGCGGAGACGGGAGCCCAAGCGCGGTGTGACGTATGTCAGCACCGGGGCTCCTCTCGGCCCGAGATACGAATCTACTCTGCGAAAACATTGAAAAGGAAATTCAAATGACATGGATATTATGTCAGGATTGATCATCCTGATACCAGGAGGTTCTCCCCAATATTACATATTCACCTGGATCAGAATCCACCACCCTGCGGGAAGTGGGTTCCTGAACCATGGAGAATGCCGCCTAGCACTCCAGGCTGCATTAAATATGCCCAATTTGTCTGGTCGTAGCTCCCAAATGCAGCTCCGTAGACATCAATTGCGGGGTCGAGAGCGGGCATGGTGAGGTTGTCATCAATGGTCGTTTCGGAAGGCTGATCCATTCTCTCTGATTCAGACAGTCGGCACACAGGCTGAGGTTCAAGGCCTCCTTCAGTTTGTGCTGTCTGGGAGTCCTTTCGAGACGCTTTCGTGTCTACAGCGAGCTGTCGGTGCAGATTCACTAGATTCGGTGGCTCAACGGACCTTCCAAGTCGAAGCTCAGCTTCCTCACGAGCATCCCAAGCCCTGAGTGTAGCATGCATGAATGCAGCATGTATGGGGTTTCCGATGTTGCGAGTGAATTGTCTATGTTCATGATTGTTGCAGATGGCTTTCCATGCACGTTCACATAGCTCGCCCGTGGTCCGTTCGCGCAACTCGCTGATGAGAAAAATATAGCCCGGCAAGGGTCCTTGGATCTGCATGTACCACAAGAAGCCGCGGAGACTTTCGGTAGTATAGATCACATCGTCATACTCTAACATCTTGATGGCAGTTAGGAAAAGATCGTCACGCTCGTGATCGCCGAGGCTGGATGTGGGAATGCCCCGACACATGAATTCGACAACGTGAAGTTTGCAGAGGGCGCTGCGTGTTGCCATCAGGGCAAAGAGCTGAACAGGAATTCTCGGGTCGCAGTGCTTCAGGTAGACTGATTCTATGTAGGAGCAGTATTCATCCAGATCCCGGGAGGACGGCCTGCATCCTTCGCCAATGCTAGTATCGGGAGATGCCACCGAGTTGGTGTGGTGTTGTGGGTTCTTGATAGTTGTCGAATTGGGCCGAATGCTGGTTGGATCAGCCGCAATAAGTAGCTCAATGCGTGTGAGACAACATAGCATTTCCGTCGGGCCGCTATGTGGTTTTGGCGGCTCGTTAGAATGCAGGTATAAATCTGCGTCGTTTACGTTGAGTGGGAGCCGACAATCCGATCCAGAAGAAGAGAGAGCTGTGATGGAAGAGCCCGTCATTTCAGCCATTCGTTTATCTAGTGCAGCCAGCTGCCACCAGAGTTTCCGTCGCTGCTCAGTCTCAAATGGCGAGAGGCCAAACTGAGCACCGTCTCGATGTACACCCATGCGAGTTGCCATACGAACGGCAATGCCAATTAAGCAAAACATAGATCGAGGATCGATATTGCGACCAGCGCTGCGCTAGATACGGAGAAAAATAAGCACACGACAGAAACAATCAAATAGGGGGTAGGACCTACAAGGTACAAGAAATAAGCCTGCAGTACTATGAGCTCATTCGATCTCATAAAGCCCACATTGATCAAGGCTTGCTGTGAAGCTTCATTAAACCGAGCGAGCATCAATTCCCTGGGCTCACCAAAGATGGTTTGGGTCTCTTCGTCTGTCAATGATTTCACGGCGATGAGATAGATATTGAACATCAGGGCTTCGAGGGGTTTAGAAACTTTTGACAAGTCGGCACTTGCTGCAACAATTTGAGGTTGCAACGTAGGAACATGACTGATTTTTAGTAATGGGTTCACGTTGCTGATATAGACCTGCCAGAGCTGAAAAATTCGAATCGCTGATGGGTGCAAATGGGTTATGCGCGTTGGCGAGCCACCCACACCAAAGGGAAACGAATCAGTGTCATTAACGAACATTTTGTCGAAGGCATGATGAATTGGAGGCGGGTCAGACCCTTCATCATCGGAGTTTTGTAGCAAGTCATATGTCGTCCGATATTCATCGTAAGATGCAAACCACTTGGAGCGCCTGTGCAGACGTTAGTAAGGCCGACGCGGGATGGGACAAGATACTGACCTCTGACTGCCTTCACTCCGAGGGCCGCGATGTAGAGAACTGCTCTCTGGAGAATTCGTTCTTTCTCCGGCATTAGTATCTGCTTCGGTGGCCTCGTCACCGACATCGCCAACCGAATCAAAGTCGATACCATGCTGGGTCATAAGAGCTTCATACTTCTTGAGTCGTTCAATCAAGTCTCGCTCGTGTAACTTCTTTTTCTTCGTCTCGCAGGCTGTGGTGCGACAACTTTGCATTCAACCTGTGCCCGAATACAATTAGAGCACGGCTTTTGCTGATCACAGCGGACCTTGCGCTGTTGGCATAAGACACAGGAATGGCCTCGCGTCAGACTCATAGTGCGATCAGTTCGGGGCCACGGAGAAATTGGCACCCGAGAATTATCACGGAATCGAACAACAAGCTCCGATAGCTCAGACACCCAGGCTTCCAGATCTGAGGAGTCAAAGTAGATGCTGTGCGTGTCGGGGACAGAGTAATGATTTCGGTCCCGAGCGACATTCTCGGTCCCGTTCGTACACGCGCTAAACCCGATCTGTCCACGCCTGTACATTTCCCTCGCGAGCAGTATCAAATTCATGATAAAGTTGAGGGGTCTTATAACACGGCGGGACCGAAAGCTTTCAGCATGCTAGAATCCCATTTCTAACAATAGTTTAGTACTTAAGTAGCTCTATTTTACCATCAACTTCATAGATATCACAAAATTGACGTTTCTCCTTGCCCCTCTTCTGTTTAATAACATTGCTCATCCATTCCTTGAAAGCCTGCAGTACTTTTCCAATTCTAGGTAGACAACCCACCTGGGTATCATGGCTCACTCTACCTCTCTCAGCGATCAATCAACCCAAGCCGAAAAACCAAAAGACCTCGACGCAGCCCCCGACATCGAAAAGCAAGATGCAAACCAACCGTCTGGAAACCCAGGACCACCAGGAGGCCCACCAGGTAACCAATATGCCCCCCAAACTCTCAAGTTCTGGGTGATAATGGCCTGCAATTTCCTATCCCTCTTCATCGTTGCCCTTGACCGAACAATCGTCACAACAGCAATCCCCAAAATCACGGACGACTTCAACAGTCTCGGTGACATCGGCTGGTACGGCTCAGCATACATGCTCACAGGCGCAACCTCACAACTTATTTTTGGTCGTATTTACAAGTTCTATAATATGAAATGGGTCTTTTTGACTACCATGATCATTTTTGAAGTTGGGTCTGTTGTTTGTGGCGCCGCTCCGTCTTCGAATGCGTTCATTGCTGGAAGGGCTATTGCTGGTTTTGCATCTGCTGGACTTTTCTCTGGATGCATGCTTATTATCATCCCTTTGGTTCCGCTTCATAAGAGGCCTATGTTTCAGGCTATGTTTGGGGCTGTTTTTGGTCTTGCTTCTGTGATGGGACCGCTTATTGGGGGTGGGTTTACTAGTGGCATTACTTGGAGGTATGTCGTGAATTTGAATGATTCATAGTTCCTGAATTTGAACATTGACGTGGGGGATAGATGGTGCTTTTATATCAATCTTCCTATCGGTGCAGCTACGTGGATCTTCATGGCCTTGGTTTGGCATCCGGTTAAAGTGCGTCGCGAGTCTGTTCCGGTTAAAACGCATATCAAGCGTCTCGATCCACTCGGCGCCTTTTTCTTGGTTCCGGGAATTGTGTGCCTCCTGTTAGCGTTCCAATGGGGCGGCTCAACATATGCATGGAACGATGGGCGCATCATCGCTCTGTTCGTTCTCTTTGGAGTTCTGATAATGGCCTTCGCTTCTGTTCAGGTTCTCATGCCCGAGACAGCGACAATCCCCGCTAGAATCATTACCCAAAGGAGCATTCTCGCATCTGCTATCTTCACGTTCTGTGGTGTCGGCTCCATGATGATGGTGATTTACTACGTACCAATTTGGTGTAAGTACCTCTTTAAATCTGGGTATAGAATCTCTGCTCATTGCTAATCGAACCAGTTCAAACCGTCAAACTAGTCGATCCCGTTAAATCAGGAATCAACACTCTCCCCCTTGTCCTAAGTCTAGTCGTCGCAGGCTTCGTTGGCGGCGGCATCACCAAAAAGTCGGGCTATTACGTTCCGGTAATGATACTCTGTCCATGCATCTTGTCCATCGGCCTAGGTCTCCTATCAACCTTAAAGCTAGACACCGACTCCTCCCACTGGATCGCCTACCAATTCCTATGCGGCTTCGGTGTTGGCATCGGAATGCAGACTGGAGGACTAGCCGTACAACGCATTCTCCCAATGTCCGATGTCCCAGTCGGAATTGCACTCCTGTTCTTCATGCAGCAACTCGGCGGCTGTATCTTCACTACTGTGGGCCAGACTATTCTGAGCAACATTCTGATCTCAAAACTCACTGGTATCCCGGGTATTGATCCCAATTTGATTCTTAGCGAGGGTGCAACGAAGTTGGTTTCTATTGTTGCGCCAGAGAATATTGTTGTTGTTCAACGGGCTTATAATGCGGCTTGTACGAAGATTTTCCTGGCTTCTATGGGGTTAACTTTTGGGGCGTTGGTTAGTGCCCTTGGTGTGGAGTGGAAGAGTATTAAGGAGGGAAAGAATGGTCAGGATGGACCTGGTGGACCTGGTGCGGGTGAACCTGGTGGGAAAAAAGATAAAGATATGGAGATGACTAAGGTCTCGGAGCAGAATGGTTCCTAGAGCTCCAACTGAGAATGGCTCTTTCAGGCCGGGAAGTTGAAAGAAGGAATAGAGCAAGTTAATATGGGTAGATTGGGAGACGTAATGGCCAAGCTGGGCCACATCCTCACTCACGTGTACAATACAAAGACTGAACAATCGAATTATGGATACAAATAGAGGCAATCAAACAAAAATCATGATAAATTCTAATAAATTCTAATCCTTTCCCACAAATGACCATGCAAGAACCTGTTTGATTGCTTTCTAGAGATGGGGGTATGAAAGAAGAAGAGGTACGTAGAGAAAAGCAAGTCTCGCCAAAAATACACCAAGACGCCAACCCTCCAATCAATGGCTAATATACTGGAAGACAGCCGAAACATCCCTCTCGCCAACCTCCTGCCTCAACAAAAAGTCTTGAATCTGTGCCATGGGACCCTTCTCGCCGCTGTTGACAAAGTGATTCCATGAACTCGTATCACCGTAGAGCATAGCCGGCGCTTTGATGTATTGATTTCCGTCAGGTCGACAACGTTTGCATTTGAATGTATCGTGCGTATCGCTGCGTGTCTCGGGTTTGAACTGGAAGAGTTCGCGTAGTGATTCCAGTGAGAAGTGACGCTCGACGTCTTCTGCCGCGTCGACAACACATGATGAGAGAGATTGCTTGTGGGATTGTCGCTGGAAGATCTTTTCCTCGATTGAACCGGTTGCGATAAATCGGTAGACGAAGCAGTCCTTCTTCTGTCCGTCACGCCACACTCGAGCTAGAGCTTGTTGGTCGGCAGCTGGGTTCCAGTCGGGGTCGAAGAGGACGAGGCGGTTGGCACCGATCAAGTTGAGACCGCATCCACCTGCCTTACTACTAAGGAGGAACACAAATTCGGGGCTCTCTGGGTCGTTGAATTTGTCGACCAGCTTTGAACGCTTCTTGATGTTCATCGTTCCGTCCAGTCGCAGACAGCCATACGCACGGGATCGGCACAGCTTCTCGAAGAGGTCCAGAGTCTGAGTGTAATTGCTGATGAGAACAATCTTGTCATTCGTGTCTTGGCGAATCCGAGCAAGCATACGATCAAGGACCATCATCTTTCCGGAGTACCAGCTTTTGACCTCTCGGTCACGGCCTCTAGCATCCGGGGGGTGAAGTCCTCCGGGTACGCATGCTCGCATCCGGGAAGGTCCTTTTGCAAATCGAGGAGGTCAGGATGATTACAAAGCTTCTTCAAGATGCCAATAGCTTTCAAAGGCTGACTTCCCTTTCCTCGAAGCAAGCTGCGAATCTCTGGACTCTGGATAAAGTGGTTATAGAGATCCAATTGGAATGGAGACATATTGCAGAACACCACATGTTCGTACTTGACAGGTAAGTATTTCGATAGGATGTCGTTCGACCGGCGAATGATGAACTTGTTCACAATGCCGGATAGCTCTGCGAGACGTTCATCGCCGAGTTTTCGGGACTCCTCGGTGCCCGCTGCATCGCGGCCACGGAGAATTGGCAGTTCATAACGTTTGCGGAACTCGGCCTGGGAGCCGAGCAGATTAGGATTGGCAAAGTGCAGGAGGGCAAAGTATTCAGACAAGTCGTTCTGAATTGGTGTTCCAGACAGAATAACACGGCGGTTGACGTTCAAACTGTTCAACGCCGTCCACGTCAAACTTTCCTTGTTTTTCAATCGATGGCCTTCGTCACACAGAAGGAGCCCAATTGGCGTGTCCTTTAGCGCCTCGACATACATTCGAAGCGTTTCATATGACACAATAAGCACAGGTCTGACGATTCCACGACCCGAGGCGATTGCCCACTGCTTGATTTGCTGTGTGAGCTCCGTCTTGGTCGCCTTTCCGTCTATTGCAAAGGGAGTCGTAGCATCCTTGCCAAGCCATTTACCTACAACAATTAGCATCGTGGAAGAACAAGTGATCGTAGTGACTCACCCAATTCGTTTGCCCAGTTTCCAACCAAACTAGAAGGGCATGCGATGACACATTTCTGGATAGTTGTAGTTCCGGCCTCGGGGCCCTGTTTAAGTAATGTCCACATCAAGGAGATGCATTGAAGCTGGTCATGTCAGCGACGCAGTGCGTGTAGGGAACGATTTTATCATACCGTTTTACCCAACCCCATACCGTCTGCCATGATGCATCCATTGGCATTCCTATCGATCAAGCCTGTTGTACAGCGATACAAAAACTGTTCACGTCAGAATCTTGGTTTCAAACTTCCAGCGAGGATGGATTCAGATTGACATACCTTCACACCTTCCACTTGATGCGGTCGAAGAACCTTGGCCAGTCTCGGGTCAATGACAACTGGCACCTTAGGCCGGCCCTCTACCTTCTTCTTTAGACCAAGTATATCTGCCAAACTCCTATGTACCAGGGGCTCTTCAATTTTCGGCTGATCCTCTCCGTTTGACTCCCCGGACTCCTTCTTTTCTGGCTCCTCTGGAACATCATCGATAGTCGGGTCATAGAGGACGATAGCAAACTCCCCGCTCGGGTCGTGGAGGGGTTTGGCGACAAAGATGGCACCCTGCCGAAGTCCCAATGTCGGTGCTGGCCGGCCTGCGTCGTATTCGCCCGTGGTTTTATTGATCAAGGGGATTCGGAAATGTGTTCTGAACGCGGTATCTCTATTCTTGGGCTTGAACACTGGGAATTTGTTGACCTCGCGCGTCGCCAACGCAAGTCGGTCCTCGTTTGTGTATGGCTTCTCTGCTCCATCCTCGGTGCTGCCATCGGCGTCTGCATAGTTGACCTTTCGCCTCTTTCTTGCTGGTTTTTCTGATGCTCGAGTGGGTGTCGCAGAGCCGGGGCATTTAAAGGGCCTGGACAGCCGATCGAGCGAGTTTATGGATTTGGGCTGGAGTGGTGTTTTGACACTGTCCGTTCCGGCGGGCTTGGATCGATACCTAGATGATCAAATATTAGTTGGATATCCTTGGGTTTCAAAAAACAGATACCCACATAGCTCAGATGCAAATTCAGCGCCCTGTCCAAGTCAAATCGCTGTACAAATCACACTGTACAAGGTGAAGTGAAGGCCGTTGCCACCGACGCGTTCTTGCCTCGCGTCAGGCTACAACACCAAAGTGCCGCGGCCCCACGTGACCCACCCCGCCAAAGCGCCAAAGCCGGGGATCTTCGATTCCAAGAGTGGGACACTCTTTCTACACAATCGAATTATGACATCTGATTTCTGGGCTGGCTATATAAGTGGTGCCCTTGGGATCATTATCGGCAATCCTTTGGACGTGGTTAAGGTCCGGCTACAGGCTGGTAACTCATCCGTTGCATCTTCTCGTCCAAATTCAAACCGCTTTGAGCGGGCCAGCTCTCTCGTTCGAGGTCTGTGCATGGATCGTCGTTGCATATGCAGAGTGTTAATCGTGATTTTAGGCGCGGCTGCTCCGATCTTGGGATATGGAGCTCTCAATGCAATTTTGTTCGTGGCATACAATCGGTCATTGACATCACTCGACAGCTCTATCAAAGACCCCACCAAACCTGAGGGTGTTGCTCTGTATAAGATCTGGCTTGCCGGTGCTGCGGGCGGACTGGCCAGCTGGACTATCTCCTCTCCGACAGAATTGATCAAGTGTCGTGCGCAACTAGATACCCGACCGGAAGTATCCTCATGGACAGTTGCCAAAGACATATATCGCAGTCGTGGTTGGAGGGGACTGTACTATGGGGGTGCAATTACAAGCGCCAGAGATTCCATTGGCTATGGGTTCTAGTATGGAATCCTCCCCGCAGATTTTACGATCACTCGATTAACACATGGTAGTTTCTGGTCCTATGAGCTCTGTAAACGCTGGATAATGACACCAGATGAAAGCTCGCACGAAGCAGCTCTCAAAGTACTTCTCTGTGGTGGCATTGCGGGCATTGTCACCTGGGGCTCGGTGTTCCCACTGGATATGATCAAAACCCGACTGCAGGCACAGACTGTCTTCGATTCAACAGAAGCATCTGAAAGTCGTTCCCTATTGCGGCCTCGGCAAAACATGAACACATTCCAGATCGCCCGAGAAGTGTACCGGGCCGAGGGCATGCTTGCATTCTATCGCGGCCTCGGCATCTGCAGTATCAGAGCGTTTATCGTGAATGCTGTCCAGGTACGTGTTCAAAACATTCATGTTGATCCCAGACTAACCATGCTAGTGGGCGGCATATGAATGGTTGATGAAGAGCCTAACACTTTATGAAGCTCCAGTGGGCAAGTACTACGCATAGTGTACAGTGTACAGTGTACAGATTGATAGCCAAGACAATAGACCGAAACACCCGTTCAGGTTAGACAATATTTGGTATTGAGGGATTTCTATTGGAATAATTTTTACCAAGGGGGTAAATTTCGCATTTCGCCCTGGTCCATGCTGCACCCGCCGGTTTTCGGCAGTTCTGATGCGGTCCGCAGACCGGTAGAACGGAAACCCGGCGAAACTCGGCATATAAAAAAAATAGATGCCTCACGTGAGATCCACCGGATATGCAGACATAGTGTAGAGTAGACGTCGCATTAGCGCTTTTTGGGGGTATTCATGTTCGTTCGTGACCGATTCCAGATTCCAGACCGAGCTGGATATGCCATATGCCATGTGCCATGTGCACTGCCCTTGATTCCTTGTGGTGACCGGAGAAATCTGTTCACTCCTGCATTTCCACGTTGTCGTCCGCGCGCTTGCCGTTGTCAGGAGCTCCGATTCCCACGGCAGCTTCGGCGATTCTTTGGCTGTGAGGTTCGTCCTCGAGTTGGCGGACCCTATGTGGAACAAATTAGTGAAGCTGCGAGAGAGGAGTGGTCTGTGACCGAACGCACCGTCGCTTGTGGTTCTTGCCCTTTGTGTGCGACTTCATGTTGTACTCGCTCTCGAACCACTTGGCACATTCGACACAGTAGTGGCGACCGAGTCCAGGCAGATCTTCAGCATCCTTAGTCTCCTTGTACTGCTCGAGGTGACGGGGAGATTCGAGATCGCTGCGGATCTGGTCGAAGCCTCTGCAGAGAAATTAGCACGCACAAATCGCACCAAGCCACCACGTAGAACGTACCTAGTGAGACGCTTGCACTTGACTCTCTGTCTTCTAAGGGCACCCATGTTGTCGGCCTTCAATCTCTGCGACTATCACAAAGGCAAGGTTTGGAAAAAAAAGGTTATCACCGATTTCCGGAGTGATACTGGGGCGTAGTGGAGAACGGGTCACTCTTCGGGGCTCAAAGAAAGATTGGAATCGAAATTTCCGCCGAGTGGGTCGGCACGATTGAAACACAGTCGCAGTGATTGGCAAAATTGGGAAACGCGGAAGACCGGTCGGCACGCCTCGGCTCTCGGTTTCGTCACCGGTTCTTGTATGCTATGTATGGCATGTATTTTATGACGTTTTCAGTGCGGCATGTTGACAGCTTCCGTCCCGTTTGGGATATGGTACAAGGTACTCATCCGGTTTGGAGATGAGAATAGAAATTATGAGCTAGGTCCAGTTTAGGGAGTGTGTTATTGTTGAAGTGGTCCGGTTGACCAAGACCAAGACCCAGACCATGATTACGACTATGACTATGACCATGGCCATTATGATCCATAATGCCCCCACGAGGAGTACCACGGCAACCACATGCGAGACAGGAGGAATCGGGAGCTGCGGGTGAACGGGGTATAGGCCGAGTTTCCCTGGCACCCCCAGCCCGCACTGGCCGCAACTCTTTGCCTTTGGTCCGAAATGATGTTCAGAGGAGAGTGTAATTGCAAACTCGGTGATTGGTGGCCGGATTCAACCCGTCACATGCCGCGTATTGCCTATACAGACCCATCTGCCCCCGGGTTGGAGAACTTCACATTACCATCAGACCATATAGAATAGGATAAGTATCGATTAAATTAGATACTCAAATATAAGAAGCTCTACAGAATATCTTCCGAACTTTTTCAGAAGAAATCGTTGCCTTGACGCTCACTTTAGCGTGCAGCTCAGCCTCCTCCGGAGCCGTCGCATGCGGGAGGTCAAGCCGTTGCTTGACACAATACGCGTACGGTATCGCCGTGGTAACAGCGGTTACGGCTCTTCGGTCCCAGTTTCTCGCCCACTCAAAACCTCCAAGCTTTCCTTTTTCTCTCCTTCTTCCCTCTTTCCTCTTCACTCTCCACTCTCTATTTTGCTTCCACAGGTGAAGGTGGTAGCTTTTGCATTGGATGTGTTGTGTTGTCTCTTAGAGATAGCTTGCCATCATGATCACTTCCCGCCTTGCGCGCGCTGGAGCGCTGGTAAGTTGCGCCCTACCTCGGCCTGCTGATGCGCGACTGCTTCCACCCCGGTCCCAGTCGCCATCGCCAGTCCATCAAGATTGAATTGACTGCTAACTTCTCTCTTCTATAGGCTCCCAAGGCCCGTCTTGTAAGCAGTTTCGGCTCAATATCACTCGCCTGCGACCTCCGGATCGGACAGGATGAGGGATCACAGAAACGTAGCACCTACTAACTCTTGACTTTTTCTATAGTTCCTCGGGCCCCGGAGCTTCGCTACCATTGCCAATGACCCCCTTGACAAGAAGGTCGAGATGACCATTCACGAGAAGGGCAACTACATCAACTACAAGAAGATGTCCGAGAACCTCGACATCGTCCGTGGCCGTCTTCAGCGCCCTCTCACCTACGCCGAGAAGGTCCTGTACTCTCACTTGGACGACCCCCATGGCCAGGATATCGAGCGTGGTACCTCCTACCTCAAGCTCCGTCCCGACCGTGTTGCTTGCCAGGATGCCACTGCCCAGATGGCTATCCTGCAGTTCATGTCCGCTGGCATGCCTTCCGTCCAGACCCCTACCACCGTCCACTGTGACCACTTGATTGAGGCCCAGGTTGGTGGCGAGAAGGATTTGGCCCGTGCCAACGACATCAACAAGGAGGTCTACGACTTCCTCGCTTCCTCCACTGCCAAGTACAACATTGGTTTCTGGAAGCCCGGTTCCGGTATCATTCACCAGATCGTCCTCGAGAACTACGCTTTCCCCGGTGGTCTGATGATCGGTACTGACTCCCACACTCCCAACGCTGGTGGTCTTGCCATGGCCGCCATCGGTGTCGGTGGTGCTGACGCTGTTGACGTCATGGCTGGTCTCCCCTGGGAGCTGAAGGCCCCCAAGGTCATTGGTGTCCGCCTTACCGGCGAGATGTCTGGCTGGACTACCCCCAAGGATATCATTCTGAAGGTTGCCGGTGAGCTGACCGTCAAGGGTGGTACTGGTGCCATCATTGAGTACCACGGACCCGGTGTCAACTCCCTGTCCTGCACTGGTATGGCTACTATCTGTAACATGGGTGCCGAGATTGGTGCTACCACCTCCATGTTCCCCTTCAACGACCGTATGTACGACTACCTCAAGGCCACTAAGCGCCAGAGCATCGGTGACTTCTCCCGCGACTACGCCAAGGAGCTCCGCGAGGACGAGGGTGCTGAGTACGACCAGCTCCTCGAGATCAACCTGTCTGAGCTTGAGCCTCACATCAACGGCCCCTTCACCCCCGATCTGGCCACTCCTTTGTCCAAGTGGAAGGAGACCCTCAAGACCAACAAGTGGCCCGAAGAGCTCAAGGTCGGTCTGATCGGTTCTTGCACCAACTCCTCCTACGAGGATATGTCCCGTTCTGCTTCCATCGCCCAGGACGCCCTCGACCACGGCCTCAAGGCCAAGTCTCTGTTTACCATCACCCCCGGTTCCGAGCAGATTCGCGCCACCATTGCCCGTGATGGCCAGCTCGAGACCATGGAGGAGTACGGTGGTGTCATCCTTGCCAACGCCTGTGGCCCCTGTATTGGTCAGTGGGACCGCAAGGACGTCAAGAAGGGTGAGGCCAACTCCATCATCTCTTCCTACAACCGTAACTTCACTGGCCGTAACGACGCCAACCCCGCTACCCACGCCTTCGTCGCCTCCCCCGACCTTGTCGTCGCCATGACCGTTGCCGGTACCCTCAACTTCAACCCCTTGACCGACAAGCTCAAGGATGCCAACGGCAATGAGTTCATGCTCAAGGCCCCCTCCGGTGACGGTCTCCCCGGCCAGGGTTACGACCCCGGCATGGACACCTACCAGGCTCCTCCCGCTGACCGTGCCTCCATCAACGTCGTTGTCTCCCCCGACAGTGACCGTCTCCAGCTCCTCGCTGGCTTCGAGGCTTGGGACGGCAAGGATGCCACCAACCTCCCTATCCTGATCAAGTGCCAGGGTAAGACTACCACTGACCACATCTCCATGGCTGGCCCCTGGTTGAAGTACCGTGGCCACTTGGACAACATCTCCAACAACATGTTGATCGGTGCCATGAACGAGGCCAACGGCGAGGCCAACAAGGTTAAGAACACCTTCACTGGTGAGTTCGGCGCCGTCCCCGCCACTGCTCGTGACTACAAGGCCCGCGGCGTCAAGTGGGTTGTCATTGGTGACTGGAACTACGGTGAGGGCTCTTCCCGCGAGCACGCCGCTCTTGAGCCCCGTCACCTCGGTGGTCTGGCCATCATCACCCGCTCCTTCGCTCGTATCCACGAGACCAACCTGAAGAAGCAGGGTATGCTGCCCCTTACCTTCACCGACCCCGCCGACTACGAGAAGATCAAGCCCGAGGACAAGGTCGACCTTCTGTGCACTGAGATCGCCGTTGGCAAGCCCATGACCCTCCGTGTCCACCCCGCTGCCGGTGGTGCTCCCTTCGACATCTCCCTCAGCCACACCTTCAACGAGTCCCAGATCGAATGGTTCATTGACGGTTCCGCCCTGAACACCATGGCCCGCAAGTCTGGTGGCAACTAAATTATCTCACGTCTCAAGGGTTGCCGCGAGGCGCCCGTGTAAACTATGTTCTCTCTCCTGTGTTTATTGACCAGAGAAGAGGAACTGGGTGACAACCTGATGAAGGATTCACTCATTGTGTGTGTGCCTGTCCCTTTTTCGAGCCTGGTATGAGGAGTTGCGCTCTGGGAAAAATTTACGATATCTTGTTTTTCGGCCTATTGGCCTTGCGTTGGATTCCCTTTTGGGTGGGCTCAATGGATATAGCTATTTGATTTCCCTAAATCGTTTCTGTATGTTCGAGGATAGTATGCATACACTTTTTTTTGTGTTCAACCATTTTCAGATTCTTAAGACTATTCTAAAATTGATCGTAATAATGTAAATGTACCGTTCGATGGTAGATGACACTCTGGTCGAGTGCGGCATTAGACCAGATGAGCTAATCTGCCTCGGTCCTTCGCTGCCCCGCGGCTAAGACCCAGTCTCCACGATGCGCAGTTACTTTAGAACCGGCCATTCCGTGACCGAGCCTGAGGATGGTGAGCTCTCCACTTATCTCAAGCACAATCTCCCTACGGTAATCGTCAAAGACCCCGCTCCGTCATCTTAATCCGGGGCACCTTGGACCTATTAATAATAGACGGCTGAGGGTTGGCCCAACCTAACTTCCGCAACTCGGAGAGCTTCAAATCAAAACCAATGGCCCAGCTCGTCCCCTTACCAGAAGTCGAGCGCCTCAGCGCCTCAGTAATCAGGATCCTAGGAGGAAACCCGGGAAAGGTACGATACTTTGATTCTGTTCCTTTGGGCAACAATTTGGGCTGACTAGCACATATAGTTTACCCTGCAAGGTATGTGTCCCGATTCAGACCTGGACGTCCCCCTCTCATCTGTCTGCACCAGGAACCAACACCTATCTTATTGGCCGTGGTCATCAGCGTATCCTTATTGATACGGGCGAGGGAAAGCCCACGTGGGCGGAGAAATTGCAATCCGTGCTCTCCGAGGAAAAAGCCACTGTTCAACAGGCCCTGCTCACGCATTGGCATGGGGACCACGTCAAGGGCGTAACTGACTTGCTCCGCATTTGTCCCAAGGCTACTGTCTTTAAGCATCGGCCTGATACGGGACATCAGGATATTCATGATGGACAGGTTTTTAGTGTCGATGGTGCTACCCTGACGGCGTGTCATACCCCGGGACATACAGTGGACCATATGACTTTTGTGCTGGAGGAGGAGGATGCTATGTTTACCGGTGATAGTACGTATCGGGATACCTCTCAACCTTCAAATATTAGAATATACTGATGATTATATAGATGTCCTCGGCCACGGCACAGCCGTCTTCGAAGACCTCCAAACCTATCTAGTCAGTCTCAACCGCATGCTCAACCGTGTCCAAGGCCGTGGGTACCCCGGCCATGGCGCCGTGATGGAGTCCACCAACTCGCGCATCTCGGAGTACATCAAACACCGTCAGCAGCGGGAAGACGAGGTGCTCCGCGTTCTACAGTACAGCAAGCTCGATGTTGCGAAGAACGAGTCTGAGCCTGAGCGCAAGGGCTGGACGCCGCTGGGCCTGGTCAAGGTTATCTATCGGGATGTCCCGGAGAGTCTTCATCTGCCAGCGTCCCATGGAATTACCCAGGTGCTGATGAAATTGGAGAATGAGGGGCGAGCGGTGCACAATGATGAAACCGGGGAATGGCGTTTGGGGCAAAGGTCTGCGTTGTAGTTCCCATGGTAGTGTATAGACCGGGCAAATTACACCGGGGACTTGTCAACGTTGAGTTCTGCGCATGGCGGATCATCCGCAGTTAGCTTCTTGCATGTCCAGGCCCTGTAGACCAGATCTTACTAGCTGGTTCTATAGACTCCACAATAACATGACTATACTTCATCGGCAGCCGGTCCGTGGTTACGTAAGATCACCGGGTTCCGCAGACGTCAGCAAACGGTCATTTCGGGCAGCAACCTGGCCATGGCCTTTTGAGGCCTATTGTACAATCTGGTCCTGGCCTTCAGGACCCATTGTACCGAAGGTATAGTTTACCGAGAGGAATTAATTTTCAGGGCCTATACCGGTCCGACCTCGTAAAACGTGACTGGTTGGGTTGAACCAAGCCCAATCACGGATCGATGACGGATTTTAGCCGGGCGAAACCTGCATTTGTCCAACCCTTCCGTGAATAGGCCTTAGATGATAAGGACGGGTTAAACGAGGCCTTCCATTTATAGTTTATTTAAAAACAACTGCCTCCTGCTCATTCACGTCGATGTGACTGATATTGAGGAACTCCACATTAGCTGTTCCAAGTTTCGGGGCCGTGACCTCACATTGTCCACCCCGCCCTTGCGCTTTTTTACCCCTCGAGCTTTAGAGCTTGGAGTTTCGCTTCCAGTCGGTCTCAACGCCCCCGCGTGTCTCTTCGCGCTAACCAAGCTGCTCCCTGGCAGGTATTCCACTTTCTTTCTTTTTCGGCGTTTACTTTCTGGAGCTGTTAGCACTCCGCCCTACCTCCATCCGATCCCTCCGCGACCATGCCTACCCTCGAAGAACCAAAGAACGAGGCTCGCCTGCTGCTCGTCTCTAACCGCCTCCCTATCACAATCAAGCGCTCCGAAGATGGCAAATATGATTTCTCCATGTCCTCTGGAGGTCTGGTGAGCGGTCTGAGCGGTCTGTCCAAGTCGACCACTTTCCAGTGGTATGGCTGGCCTGGCCTAGAGGTGCCGGAGCCTGAGATCCCAGAGGTCAAGCAGCGCTTGAAGGACGAGTACGGTGCGGTGCCGGTCTTCATCGACGACGACCTGGCTGATCGTCACTACAATGGATTCTCGAGTCGGTACCCTCTGTCCCGTTGAACGTCATTCGTATGCTAACAAGTGTGGCTTGTCACAGACTCCATCCTCTGGCCACTATTCCACTATCATCCCGGTGAAATTACCTTCGACGAGTCCGCTTGGGAAGCATACAAGGAAGCAAACCGTCTTTTCGCCAAGGCCATTGCAAAGGAAGTCCAGGACGGCGATTTGATCTGGGTCCACGACTACCATTTAATGCTGTTGCCGGAGATGCTACGCGAGGAGATCGGCAACAGCAAGCAGAATGTAAAGATCGGATTCTTCTTGCACACGCCTTTCCCCAGTAGTGAGATCTACCGGATTCTGCCCGTGCGCAATGAGCTTCTCTTGGGTGTCTTGCATTGCGATCTTATTGGGTTCCACACCTACGACTACACGCGTCATTTCTTGAGCAGTTGCTCGCGCTTACTGTGAGTGAATCAACCAGGAGACGCAGTGATGCATTCGGCTAACAGAAGTAGGGGTCTTGCGACGACGCCAAATGGAATCGAGTTCCAGGGCAAGATTATTACTTGTGGCGCTTTCCCGATCGGGATTGACCCCGAGAAATTCACGGAGGGTTTGAAGAAGGAGAAGGTCCAGAAGCGCATTGCGATGCTCGAGCAGAAGTTCCAGGGCGTTAAGCTCATGGTTGGTGTTGATCGTCTGGATTACATTAAAGGTGTGCCGCAGAAGTTGCATGCACTGGAGGTCTTCCTCAGCGATCACCCAGAGTGGGTTGGCAAGGTCGTTCTGGTCCAAGTCGCGGTACCGAGTCGACAGGACGTCGAGGAGTATCAGAACCTGCGAGCGGTGGTGAACGAGCTGGTTGGCCGCATCAACGGCAAGTTTGGCACGGTAGAATTCATGCCCATTCACTTCCTTCACAAGTCTGTCAACTTCGACGAACTGATTGCTCTCTACGCCGTCTCCGATGCCTGCATTGTGTCTTCAACCCGCGATGGAATGAACTTGGTTGCCTACGAGTACATCGCGACACAACAAAAGCGCCATGGTAGCCTTGTGCTGTCTGAATTTGCCGGTGCCGCCCAGAGTCTTAACGGCAGCATCATTGTCAACCCCTGGAATACGGAAGAGCTGGCTGGTGCATACCAAGAGGCCGTCACCATGAGTGACGAGCAGCGCGCTCTCAACTTCGCCAAGCTGGACAAATACGTATCCAAATACACTAGGTAGGCGCCCTCATTTAACTTGCGCCATGACATTCAGCTAACTTTAATAGTGCGTTCTGGGGCCAATCCTTCGTCACCGAACTCACCCGGATATCAGCCCACTCCGCCGACAAATTCCAAGCCAAGAAACTTGTGTCCCAAGCCCAGGAAACCCCGAAAGCGTAGACTCGGCGAGCTCGACACGCGTTGAACGAAACTAGATGCTCTCACGACATTAATATGGCGAACTGTTCTTGACCTTTTCTTTTACTTCGGATAGCATGGGCTTTGTGATTTGTTGCTTTGCAGATTGGGGTTCCAGGATAATCATCTTCTCTCCACTTAGACGCAAACTATTCTTGGTACCGGTGCTCAACGTTCCCTGTAATTCTAACTCTACCCCCGCTTCATGGGTTGTAAGAATCTCGTAAGGGAAACCGAAAACCAATGGCCCGATTTACAATCGCTCTTTCACCTATTGCATGACTCAGTTCAACAATTTGAGGCCATCTGTCGGGTGATCCAGTTTCTGAACCTCCTGTTCGAGCGCTGCAGCTGACGCGTTGCCATTATACACGGGGTCTTCTTCTAGGAGCATCTTCTTCGCCAGTACATTGGAAATTCCAGGATGAGCCTGGAAAGTGAGGACCTTATTTGCCTCACTGACAAAACATTCGTGGTTTACGGCACGGTGAATAAAATCTGGTGCTGCCTTGGCTGCTTCGCGGTCATGGAGTTCCGGTGCTCGCTGTGGGTACTTAGCTTAAAACGGGAAGAACTTCTTGCCAGCGTCTGTCAAGACGATATCTTGGATCGCAGCCTGAAGACAGTTAGCTCGTTACAAACCTGTTAGGAATGGGAGATAAAAGTGGGATGACATACAATAGGACCCGTGGGTACAGGTCCGACAACACCACCAAACGCCCTGGTAATAGGCTGATGACCCTAGCAAATACCGAGTATCTTGGTTTTAGGTGCGTCGCGCACAACTGTTCGAACGTATTCGACGCCTAGAACCCAGGACTCTGAGGAGGATGCATCTGCCTTGCCGCCACTTAGGGCTATGAGGTCGTAGTTTGTGGCATCGGGGAATTTCTGCTCGATAACTGGGTCGTAGAAGTGGACTGTTGCGGTCGGTGCTACTGCTTTGAAACATTCTGTCCAAGCTATCTGAATCAAATTCCAGAAGTCCTGGTTGGGTGGTGGTGAGTTGACTAGCACGGCGATTCTGGGAGAGCTCATGGTGGATTTTGAATTATTGTATAGTTGAAAAAGATGCTTCTTCATAGAGTTCGTCCTCAATATACATATTTTTGACTCGAAGGCACATTATCTAGACAATCTGTGCGGTAGGAATTGGCTCTCTACAGGCCATCGCTCTCGCACACTCTTCTAAATAAGTGTGTGGAGATGGCGAAGAAAAGATGGAAGCTTGCCAGATTCTGTATGTGGATCGACGCTATACCCAACGTGGTGTGCGGGAGCGATGCTAAACTGTGGCTGGTGGAGACCTGCCTTACCATTGAACAAGATATATATATATGCCTAGTCCGAGAGAGAACGACTGATGAGAAGTAATCAAATAAAGATGTTACTTTCCTTGGCGGAAGACCGGCATCTAGATTTTTCAAATTGACTAATTCTCATGTTTGCTTTCTCCGCGGGATTCCTAGTCTCGGATAGACCTGCCTCTATCTCTGTAGTCCCGTATAACGGCCATCGAGATGACTCCGTTTGCAATTTGGTTGACTCTGAGTGGGACATTTAAGTAGATGGTTGTATATTCTTGTCTTTGTCCGACGTCTTACAATTTCAAATTTCACACCAATTGATTTCATCTCTCAATTCGAACCTCAAGATGTTTCTCCCAAACGCACACGAAGAAAAGGACACTGCTGTGCTCCTCCAGTTCATCCGCGAAAACCCACTAGGTCTCCTGATAACCGGGGTCAAATCTTCCCAAGACTTCCTGCAATGTACCCACGTGCCCTGTGTACTGGACTTCCCGGAAGAAAGCGGCGAATCTGCACCCAACGGCCGACTCCGCGCCCACATTGCTAAGCAAAACCCACAAGTGAAGGGCATAGTCGAAGCACTTGAGAATAAGCCCAATGTCCTCGACCTCGACGATAATGTCCTAGTCATATTTAACGGCACACATGACCACTACGTAACACCGAAATACTACACTGAGACAAAACCAGATACGGGCAAGGTCGTTCCTACTTGGAATTACTCCGCTGTTCAGGTCTACGGCAAATTGTCTCTATACTATGACTCGAAGACGCCCGAGGCTGGCGCTTTCCTTCATAAGCAGATTCGGGATCTGTCGCAGCATACCGAGGAGTCTATTATGGGGTATATGGGTGGTGATAAGCCCAAGGCGTGGACAGTGGAAGAGGCGCCAGAGAAGTATGTTGAGTTGTTGCAGCGAAATATTGTCGGAATTGAGATTCGAATCGAAAAGATCCAGGGCAAATTTAAGATGAGTCAGGAGATGAGGGTTGGGGATCGCGAGGGCGTGGCGGAGGGGTTTGCGGCTATGGGTGGGGGAGACGGGGAAGGCGCTTTCGAAGCTGGTCAAGGAGCGAGGTTTGTTGCACGATGCCAAAAAGCAGTAGAAGATACCACGCATGGAGAATGACAATTATTGGAATGTCTGAGTTTACAGTTCTCTGCTTTCTAACTAAATTCTATATTGAATCCAACCCTGTTGCTAGATGCATCGTCCGCTTCAATGCAGAAGATATATATCCTCGAAGAGAGATGCCTCTATCTCAAAGAGAACAATTCACCAATCAGTAAAGGGACTTGCAAGCCCAGCTAGAGGCATCATCGGGATCACCCTTCCCATCGTACTTGGCCTATTTAGGGTAATGGCAAATCGGACGTTGGCGAAGGACCTCAGTGACAGTGGTATCGTTCTTCAACTTGGTAGCAACGATGTCGTTGGGGGGCAGTGCCATTCTCAACCCAAGCCATCATGGCCAGGACGATGTCGTGAAGAGCATCTCTGTATCCAGGGGTTCTGTATGTGCCAGTGTTGATGGTAGCAGCTTGATCAGCTCCAGCGATGTACCAAAGGGCATTCATGTTGTCAGGAGTTGAGTAGCAGTGTCTATTTGATATTTGTTAGCGATCACGTTGATTATTTGGAGGGACGTGAACTTACTCCATGCCGGGAATCAAGAACATTCGGTAGAAATCATCCATTTCAATTGCCTTGCGGAAGCCTGGCCGTAGTAGTAGATACTTGCATCTGGGGAGACGTAGGCATCAGAAAAGCCGTGGTAGGAAGGAACTTGCCGCCACGATTGTGGAAAGCATTGATATCGAACTTGTCGGCTGTAGCATTTCCCGGGTTTCAGCTTCTCGGCCAGCTGAACAGTGCTGTAGTCTAGATCTTGCCAATTAAAGTCATCACCAAGGCCCATCAGATCGCGTGGGTACGCCTGCTACTGCGGATATCGTAAGGAACAGACCTGCGGACTTCCATTATTCGCAATAACTACACAATCGGCTTTTCTGGCTTGCTGCTAGCGGCTTCTCTTCGGTGTCAGGATTTGTCTATTGGCATTGAGATTGGGTCTTGGCTCCAGGCTCTGGCAAACACTCAGCCTACAGAGGAGGGGTCTCTCCCTGTCTACCAGAGCCTTGGTGTTGTTAAAGCCATCATTATCCAAAGAGCGATAGGACGCGATGTGTTTGGAGTGTCGCAGCCCGTGGATGACGGTGATGGAACGCCCAAGTTCAGTGCCTATAACAGCCAGAAGATCGACGACCTATTCGTCCACGGCAAGTGTAGGGATACCGGCGAGCTCTTTACTGAGGGTGTCACCGTAGCTTTGTAATAAATATAATAAAAAAATCGCTTGAATGAAATCCAAAGAGACCAAAGAAGACTTAGAACTGAGGACCCAGTGTTGTTTGTTTGATAGTTAGCTGGAAGGGTGTGCAAACAGTGCAAACCCGACTAACGAAATTCTCAAGATTCAACGCCGCGACTCCGCAACTTCACTATCCAGCACTCCTCCCCATTCTCCCTGCTCAGCCTCTTTTCAGGCACCTGTCTCTGGCTCCCTTCAACCCTGATCAGCAGCCAGCTGCAGCAGAGTGCCTCAATTCACAATGGCTCCTAGCCACCTCCTCCGGGTGTCCCTGCCCATCCGGTCACTGGCATCGCCCTTGGTCCTGACCCGATCAATCCTCCCATCCACCCTCTCGATCACACAATCCATTCGAAAAGCCTCAACATCCACAGAATCCGCACAATCATTCACCCCTTCACCACAAGCATCCAGCCCCCAACCACTCAAACGGCCTGCCATGCTCCGCAACTACGCCTCCAGCCTGAAGACCGGCACCGTCGTCTCTGTTGGGCGCATGCAACGTACCGTCACCGTTTCCTTCCGCCACAACCTCTGGGACAAGCGCATCCGGAAATACTACCCCAAGGAAACTCGCTTCCTCGTCTCTGACCCCCGTGACTCCTTGCGTGAGGGCGACGTGATTGAATTCTCCTCCGGTGCCCCTAAGAGCCGTCACGTTCACCACGTCGTTGAGCGTATCCTTACCCCCTTCGCTGTTCCTATTGATGAGCGCCCTGCTGTTATGTCGCCTCAAGAGCGCCAGGCTGAGCGTGAGAAGCGCTGGGCTGCCAAATACGTGCGCCGGGAATCGAGGCGGTTGGGTGAGGAGGTTGATCTGGCTTCAATGTTGGAGCTTAACCCCGGCGAGGAACTCTCGCAGGCGGAGATGATTCACCGCATTCACCAAGGGAATGAGCGCGTTGGAAAGGTCAAGGCCTTGGTTGAGAAAAGATTAGCAATGCAAACGCAGTCTGATTCTTGAAGCTTTGTGCTTGTCTTTGCGAATTTTGCTCTTCTGGGCTGTCACTTTAGATATCCGTGGTTTTGCATGTTGGATCATAACCGGTACGTTTTTTCTTTTCCTTTTCGCTCTCTGTGTTTTTGTTTTTGTTTTTTTTTTTTATTTCCTGGGATTTATATGATGAACCCTTCCGCTTAACCCAGCTCACTTTGACACGCAAAGTCGTGCTTGATGTAAACGGCGAAGTCTACTCCTGATACCCATTGTTATATTCTGCAATTCTCACAATCAGTTATTGAAACCTTCACATACTGACTGGACAATAGTGCTACTGTCACGGACATTTACTGTACTATACTATACTATACTATACTATACAACTTTCATCTTACTGTTCTATTTTGGCTTTGGGATATTATTGTAGGGTATATTTATTGATCTTTTTAAAGTAATTGATAAGAGTCTTTAAATCGTACGATTTATTGGTCAATCCCTTGAAATTGCAGCATTAGAGAAGTATGTACGAGAAGATGAGCGCATCCACCTAACAAAAATCAAAAAGTGTATACACCATGAAAAAGGAAGCGACCTCTTCTTCCCGCGGACACGAGTCCAGCCCAATCCCTAAATCAGTTGTAGATGGAAAGTAAGTCACTGGTATCACGGAAGAGAAACCAACTCCTTTGCCCAGAAACGACAAATGGCCTTCTAAACCCCAATTCCTCCTAGCCACAGACCCGGAGAACCGTTGTCCCGTAGGCAGGTTGATCTGACGCATGTCAGAGAATCCTGCACTCTGACCTTGTGGAGATCCTTTTGCAAGCTTGGTCCAGCAGCTTGTTGTGGGTCTCACGATGCGAAGACCCGGACTTTGAGATCCACGCTGCCGGTTGCAAGAACGCATCGAATGGACATCTTGCCTGCAGTGGGATCTTCTTTCACCCCATTTGAGCCGGCACCCTCGGCACCGTTGGCTTCGCCTTTGGCGCCACTGTCTTTGATCAATGGAGGTGCCCATCGAATTGAACTGATGAAGTGATCATGAGCGGCGATTGTGCGTACACATTTGCATTCTTGTGTGAAATCCCAGCATCGCACTGTCTTGTCATCTGAGACTGAGAGTAGATATTTTCCTCCAGGATGGAATACTAGCGCGCGCACCCAGTTGTCGTGACCGACGAGGGTCTTGATCAAATTACCACGGGCATCCCAGAGACGAATAGTCTTGTCACGCGAGCCTGTGGCCACGAATTCTGCCGAGGATGATGTGGGCGGCGGCTTCTTTTGTCCTGCGAGAGGAGCCAGGTATTGGTAGCTCGTCGGGGGAGCAAATGCGACACATTCGATGACATGCTCGTGGCCCAAGAAAGTAGATTTTGTCTCTCCAGATGAAACATCCCAGAGACGCGGGACTTGATCATCTCCCGCCGAAAAGAGGAACCGGCCGTCTGGTGATGGTGCTACATCACGCACCCATGCGGCATGTCCTTGCAATGTCTTTACACAATATCCAGTGGTCACATCCCAGATCCGCAATGTCATATCACGAGAGGCGGATACCAGCAGATTCCCGGACATCGGGGACCCTGCGGCCCCAGATGGGATAAATCGCACGGCTGATACACTGTGATCATGTCCTGGTAGGGTGCGGATATTTTTATATTCATCCGCAGGATCCCACAGTTTAATCGTGAGATCAGAGGAGCACGACGCAAGGAGCGTGCCCCCTCGCGGTCCGCCATAATCCACATCCAGGACCGCCCTCGTGTGGCCTTTAATTGTCCGCTCTAATTCGCCTAACTCCCAGTCCCAAATCTTGATAGTCGTGTCTTCTGACCCAGAGGCGAGAGAAGAGAATATAGGGTGGAAGGCGACACAAGTCACCGGTAGCCTGTGCGACTCCAGGTCGTGGCGTGGAGGGGCGCGAGGCAGCCAAGATGCCGGATCCTGGTTACGTCGAGACAGTGATGTAGGTGTTGCGGTATCGATTTCGGTCTGGAGAGCAGCGCATCGTGATTCCAATTCCATAATCTACCGCGGCAATCAGTCTCCTGGATCTTTCAGGGCACCTTTGATAGGAGGCTCCCCACCTTTTTTTGTAATCGGACCACACTTGTCCATTTCTTCTCTAGCAGTCCCTCGTATTTCTTCAGTGTGCTATCATCCACGGTGATCGAATCGCCGAGTTCTTCTCGTAGCGCTGCGGAGCTATGGGGCAGGTTCGCGGAGGCCAAGTAGGCGATGATTGACTTGTGTCTGCAGTAGAGAAGCCCTCGGATTAGTTTTTCAGTATCGACGAAAGAGAAGTTGGCGCGCATACAGCTCCTCCGCCTGTCGCGCCGTGAGTAGCTGGCTCATGGTGCCGGCGGATTTGTGTGTTTCCCAGGCAGTCCTCGCTGCACCTCCGCACCGGAGGCTGTCGCTCGCAAAGGGAAAGGGCTCGGATGGGATGCGCAAAGCAAATTGTTGGAGCTTGAGATCTTAAAGCAGTGTAAAGAATCGAGAAGAGAGAAGCAACGTGAAGATCCACCGCGGGGTCACAACAAACCCTCGACACCGCCAAGGCCGCTTGTTTACTTCCCGATCTTCAGCGCCGCTCGCTGTTTATTTCTCCCCTCTAGCGCAGACCCGCTTGACCTTACCCCTCGGGTTGCTTATTCTGGGGTTTCTACCTTTTCTGAACCTTTTCTTCGCTATACCGCTCTTTTTGTGAGATCAACCCCCCTGATCGCGGACTGAGACGAACTTGAATTCCTCCCGTCCATTGCTTTGGGCAGCAAAACCCTCACCGTACGACATCTGAACCCGGTGGTCTCTTAGGAGACCGTTTTACTTCTATTCTTCTTTTATATGGCATGCGCGACCTTCCAATTGCTCGATTGACTAACCCTGGGTTTATCCAGATTCCGCCCGGTCTCACATCCTATTCGACTACTTGACCATCTAGCCCGTCGCCATGGCCGACGCCGAGCAAGATTTGTCCTCCTTGCCGCTACAGGACCGGTTCGCTCACAAGGTTCGCTAAATTCCCCAGTGTGATATGAGGACGACCCTTCAACCGACAAATAAGTGGCTGACTTTGAGACTCGCTCAATAGAACTGGAAAGTCCGCAAGGAAGGTTACGAAGACGCCAAAGCGCAATTTGAGAAGACGCCCGATGAATCAGCCCCGGTGTTCACGCCGTTCTTACAAGACCCCAGTTTGTGGAAAGGGGCTGTCGCCGATTCCAACGTTGCGGCGCAGGTCGAAGGATTGGCGGCATACTGCTCATTCTTAAAATTTGGAGGTCCACAAGCATGCACACGGTACGTTTCACAATTGCTATATCCGCCACGAATTGTGAGTTGGGAGTTGCTAATATCTCGCTAGGACTCGGCAGTACACTGTTGGCCCCATCGCGGAGAAGGGTCTCCCATGTACCAGACCGGCTGGTAAAGCTAGCGCCCTGGAGGCCCTCCTTTTATGTGTCGAATTGGATAAAGCCGATCCCGTCCTCGAAGAACTTTTACCTACGCTATCACACAAAGTTCCCAAAGTCATTGCAGGCAGCCTCGGAGCTTTGACCGCCATCTACCATAACTTCGGATGCAAGATTGTGGACCCGAAGCCAACATTAAAGGTACTGCCGAAGGTGTTCGGTCACGCGGACAAGAATGTCCGAGCCGAAGCACAGAACTTGGCTGTGGAGTTGTATCGATGGCTCCGTGAGGCCATTAAGCCTCTCTTCTGGGCCGATCTGAAGCCGGTGCAGCAGGGTGATATGGAAAAGCTGTTCGAAAACGTCAAACAAGAGCCTCCGGCGAAGCAAGAACGATACACCCGAACCCAACAAGATGCTATGGCTGCGGCGAGCGCGGCCCCGGGAGGCGGAGATGGACTCGACGAAGAAGCAGGTGAAGAATATGCCGAAGAAGAGGAGGCGGAGGTCGAAGTTTTCGATCTCGCAGAACCCATTGATGTTTTCCCCAAAATCCCCAAGGATCTTCACGATCAGCTCGGCTCATCAAAATGGAAGGACCGAAAAGAAGCCCTGGATGCTCTCTACAATGCGATCAACGTGCCTCGGATCAAGGATGGTCCCTATGATGAGATCGTAAGAGGGTTGGCAAAATGCATGAAGGATGCTAACGTTGCCGTCGTGGCAGTAGCAGCCAACTGTGTTGACGTGTTGGCCAGGGGCTTGCGCAATGCCTTTGTGAAACATCGATCTACCATTATGGTGCCGATGCTAGAACGTCTGAAGGAGAAGAAGCAAACCGTGGCAGACGCTTTGGGTCAAGCATTGGATGCTGTCTTCTCCGCTACAAGTCTCTCCGACTGCTTGGAAGATATCATGGAATACCTCAAGCACAAGAATCCGCAAATCAAGCAGGAGACTGTCAAGTTCTTGGTCCGGTGTCTTCGCAGCACCCGAGTTGTGCCAGCCAAGCCGGAGGTCAAGTCAATCGCCGACGCAGGCACAAAGTTGTTGACTGAGTCAACCGAAGCCATGCGATCCGGTGGTGCTGAGACTTTGGGTACCCTGATGAAGATCTTGGGCGAGCGGTCTATGAACCCCTACCTTGATGGATTGGACGAGATTCGAAAGACCAAGGTCAGGGAATTTTTCGAGACAGCGGAGGTGAAGGCCAAGGAACGACCTAAGCCAGTTGCACCTCCCCCGAAGGCTGCTCCTCCTGCTGCTAGAAAAAGTGCTCCAGGTAAGAAGCCAGCTATGGGACTTAAGAAACCAACATCTGCCGCACCCCCCGCTGAGGATCCTCCTGCGAAGCCAGCATCAAGGGGAGTTTCTTCAAAGCTTGGTGGTGTTCCGAAGGCTGGCAGTGGACTTGCTCCTCCGGGTGGTCTCAAGCTTCAGCGCAAGCTCGGTGGCCCAGCTGGTATCGCTTCGCCGCGACGAGCCGCCCCTCCCCCTGTTGAAGATGACGCACCCACTCCTGCTGCCCCCAAGTTCGGCCTCGGTCGTGGTCTTGCTGGCCGACCAATTGCGAAACCAGCTGCTGCTGAGGCGGCACCGGCTCCACCTCCTGCTCCTGCAGGAATGACCGCTGCCGAGCGAGCCGAAATGGAAGAGCTGCGGATGGAGAAGGAGAAGTTTGCACGTATCATCGAAGATATGAAATCCGATCGTTCCAAGGTCAATTCTCAGATCAGCGAGCTCCAGAACCAGAATGCGCAGTTGATTGAAGATCACACAAGAGATGTGTTGAGCATCAAGGCGAAGGAGACCCAGCTAGTTCGGGCCCGGAGTGATGCCGAGGCTGCTGAGACGAACGTCCAGAAACAACAGAGAGAGATTGAACGATTGAAGCGTGAGTTGGCTAGAGCCCTCCGCGCGTCTGCTCTAAGCCCGACCAACGCTGGCTCCGACGCTGGCAGCATGGGTATGCCTGATGCCAACTCAATGTACCACGAACCTGCTAGCAATGGACACAACGCTGCCGCCCGATCTGGCCTTCACATGGGATCTCGCTTCGAGAGCTCACGGCCGCGAAGCTATGCCTCTGCCAATCACAGTGAAGAAGGGGAGAGCGGCGGTCTTGAATCACCAGGCTTCAGCAGCCGAGAGAGTGGGTTAGGCCGACGTAAGCTAAGTCCGACTTACGGCCTTTCGGGTATTGCCAGCCCTACTCGATCATCTACTCGCGCATCAGCTACTGCTACAGATGACGAGGCGCAACCCCGGTCTACAGAGCCTGCTGAAAACTGGAAGCGGGCTGCTGAAGTCACCAGCCAGTTGAAGGCACGAATTGAACAAATGAAGGTACGTACATCCAGCCATCCTTATCAGTAACCTGTCACTAACACACTCCCAAGGCAAGACAAGGACTTTCACGACCCCCTGGAACTCAACGTTAATGACCGAATGACCGCGACCATATTTATGCCTTCTTTCTTCCGCTGTACTCTTTTCTTCTCCCCGTTTCTTAGACTGGGTTCCCATGATGCTTGTGGTAGGCATCTGGTCTTGGGTACGCTGGCTTAGGACCCGTGGCTGTACTTTTCCCTTATTTCTGCTTGGCTTTCTATTTCCTGTAGTTTCTCATACCAACCTTTTCATTTTTGCTTTCCCATCATTACTCTGAGACGGCGGTTCCTCTGAACAATTTGAATATCCCGGTTTCGTTTTTGTGTCATATTGCTGTGGGTTATGCACTTGCTGTGGCTGTTGGTGCATCCATAATGTATAACTCTAGTTCTTGAAAAAAGCTGTCATTAGGATACCTGGCATTTCATCATAATCCATACAGCTCCGCGAAGGGATCGTAGTTTGGATCTTCATGTCTCGTATACTCTATCCCCTCTGCGATCATCTTGGCCTTCTCCTCGCCGAAAACCCTCCCGATCCAAGCAAGCGTTACATCTATTCCCGCACTGACTCCAGACGACGTCCAAATATTCCCATCTGTCACCCATCGCGCGTGCGGGATCCATTCTACCTCTGGGCCTAGAGCAACCATATCCTTCCATGCCATTTTGTTAGTCGTTGCCCGTTTGCCGTCTAATACCCCAGCACGAGCTGCGAGCCCAGAGCCAGTGCATACGGTGATCAAGTATTTCAGACTTGGATATGTGTCTTTGATGAATCTGATAGCTGCGAGCACGATTGGTCCGGATCCTCGGGACCCTCGACCACCTGGGATGAGGAGAACGTCTAGTGGCGGTGGTGCTTCGTATGTGTGCGTTGGAACGACTTCTTGTCCGGTAGTTCCGGGGGTTTCGGAGTATTTTGTTGATACTGGGTCTAGGGTGTGAGATAGAAGAGATAGAGTGACGTTGCTTGTTCGGGAGAGGATGTTGATGCAGTCCAGAGGACCGAATGCGTCCAGAGCTTGGAAGCCAGGGAATAAAAGTACTCCAATGCGAACGGGGTTGTCGAGTGGTTGGAGGTCTACATTTCTGTTGGCCAAGAACTTCGAGGAGACGAGGCTATCACTTACCGGTCATGATAGTAGTCACTGATTGTTGTTCGGGGGGTTACAAATGTCAAGAGGGGATTTCCGAGATTATCCACTCATACTCAATTTCTCAGACCGCCGATTTGGTTTCAGTCGAGCTGGGTGGCAGCTCGATGCCCAGATAGTGGAAGAGTGAGGGGGTTTCGGGATCGGCATCCGCGCTTATGCTGCAGGGATGTGCTCGCGAGGAATGCAAGATAGCTGCTACTCCACTAAGTTAAATTGAGCTAATTTCTCAGCGTCTGCCGCCGAATCGGAAATAAGGAATTGATTCTAGATAGTGCTGTCGACGGATGCCTCGAAAAATAATGACAAAGAGGTCTTAAAAAAGGTCTAGGAAGAAGTCTAGAATCAAGTGTGTAGTAGGCTCGTTTGGATTGTCTCCACGTTCGGGCTGCAATGCAGGCTAATGTATTCGAGTGTGAGCCCAGAGTATTGTTTAGAACAGTGAGACACCTCAATCGGCTTAGAACTCTAGTCTCTGGGCATATCCCTTGGCACGCTGAGCAAGCTGCTCGGCTCGCTCTTGCGGCGTTACGAAGCGAGTTCCATCAGCAAGAATAGAGGAAAGCTCAGCGAGTGTGACCACCTGGGTCGTAATAGCTGGTGAGTCTGTTGAAGATGAGGACGACGTAGGAAGACCTTGCCACCGCACCATCATCGTGCCCTCGTGCAGCCCAGTTGTATTAATCCAATTGTAGACGCCTGGATCTTGCAGGGAGACCACAAATGTGTATGTGCCATTGGAATTCGCAGCAGACTGCACGCTATTGAGGCTGACCTGGCTATTTCCCGGGTTCGTGGTGATGATCCAGGGGTTTGTCGCGGGAAAGACCCAATAGTCCGCTGGTCCTGGAGTGAGAGTCGCGACAAGGGCTTCGTCGTCGTCTAGCTTATAGTGGCCGAATGAACTTGCTTGACTGGTCAATGTGCCGAGGGTGCTTGATTGACTAGGACTCGATAGCGTATTGACTGCGTTGATCGTTGTTTTCAGTCCTAGGGCTCCCACGCCATAATCTATGATGGATTCTTGCAAGTTCCACTTTGCAGCAGCGAGGATTGTTGCATTGCTGATGGGAGTATGGCCTGACGCGTCACTGGTGAGTTGGACGGAGATGCTGTCCGGTTTTTCAGTGGTCCAGTCTCCTAGATTGTTGCGGATGAAGAGTTGTTTGGCCAACAGGGTTGACTGAATGTGGTTTGTCGAGTTCTCAGATGAGTTATTGATGGTGATAGTGTAAGAACCATCACTGTCGACAACTAAATTGCTTCCGGACAAGCTTGTAACAGTGTTCTGAGAATTGGGGTCGCTGATCAGAGAGAATGTCACATCCGTGGGTCCTGGTGAATACCGATACCCTTTGACGATATAACTGAGGCGGTGGTCGATAGGGATGGTGCGATATATGCAGTCCGGGTTGTCGTACGAATATCGGCCGCCAGGGACGTCCAAGCCGAACCAAGTCCGCGGACCAGCATCAACCCAGTAGACCTTGGGGTAGTATACATCAGTATTGACAGCTTTTTGAATGGAACTGAAGGTCAACTCGTCGATTGCTGCATCGAGACTCGAGGATGCTTCGTCGCTGATGAGAAGTCCATGCGCCGTTTGGTAAGCAGCTTTCGCTTCAGCTTTAAGGACGACAAAGCTGTTGTCTTGGTTGATCTGAATCGCAAGGGCATCTAAATCGCGTTGATCTAAAGTAGCCAGAGGATTGTCTTCCAGTTCAGTTGTTGCACTAGCAATGGCTATGAATGCAGTGACAGCGACCTGGAGTCGAGAGATTGAAAGCCTCATGATGAACCAAATCTACAATAACATCAAAGAAAGTGAACTCCAATTTCGGATCTATTTAAATGCACAAAATGATGTCTTTGGCCGTGATCATGGCGCAACGCTCGAGCGGCATCACATGTAGCATTGACTTCGCTTACAGGCTCCGAGCCGTCATTTCCTAATACTTTATACAGTAATGAATGGCGCAATTCCAACGGTTCCCGCGTCAATCCATACTCCTCAGGACTTGCTCCCGTACACCGTCCTCCCACTGATACCGCGTAAGACAGTCATTCACTGTATCCCTCCACACATCTTCAGGATCAGATCCAGGGGGTAACTCGAGAATCGATTTCGATCAGCTCAACGATGATTGAGCAAAGGTTAATAAATACGTCCTCAAGAATAGCTCGAAACTCCGGGAAAGACTTATGATACGGACTTATGGAGTGCCAAGGGAGTCACGAGACGTGACTCGCAACTCGGAAACTCGGACGTTGGACGTGCGAAATTCGCACACGAACTACAAGATCGATTTACGAACTTTACAAGAAACAGACACATTACACAAGCAGACATTACACAAGCAGACTGCATAAACCAATCTCTAATTATCTACTTAAAGCCATATTGAACTGGTAGAGAAATGGATTCATGGGTATCTGCGAGAAAGTGGTACATAAGGCGTCGAGAAGTTCGTGAGAAAAATTTTTCTTTTTGGAGAAAACAGGATTCAAAGGGCCGGAAGGCTCTTTCCACCCATCTATTAAAGCTAAGTCATCCGGAGCCTTGGAAGACCCTTGTTTCCCAATAGAACTTTTTAGGAGTGCGCTGGAAAGCGGCGATCCCAACCAACAAAAGCTAAGTCACGGAAAAGAGTGAGCTTAGACCTTGATGGCAGCCTCAGCAGCCTTGGTCTTCTTGAGCTGCTTGGCGTTGGCCTTGGAGCCCATGATACCACCACCCCAGTGGCGGCGGGTCTCCTCGTACTTGTCGGTGTAGCCCTCCTTGATGGCAGAGAGGAGCTTGGAGAACTCGGCCTTGTCCTCGGCGCGGGTCTCGGTCAGAGCGAGAACAGCGGAGGTCTTCTTGTGGACGACGGTACCGAGACGGGCCTTGCCCTTCACGATGGCGTAGGGGACACCCATCTTGCGGCAGAGAGCGGGCAGGAAGACAACGAGCTCAATGGGGTCAACATCGTGAGCGATCAGGACGAGGGAAGCCTTCTTGTTCTCAACGAGGCCGACGACGTGGTTGAGACCGTACTTGACGTGGTAGGGCTTCTTGGAGACATCCTCCTTCTTCTTGCCCTCGGAGACGGCGGTGGCCTCCTGGACGAGACGCTCCTTCTTCTCGGCCTTGGTCTCAGGGCGGTACTTGGCGAGGAGCTTGAAGGTCTGGGCAGCGGTGTTGCGGTCCAGGGTGTTCTGGAACTGGGCAATCGCCGGGGGAACCTTGAGGCGCATGTTCAGAATCTTCTTCTGGCGCTGAAGGCGGACATATTCGGGCCACTTGACGAAGCGGGCGAGGTCACGCTTGGGCTGGATGTCCTGGCCGATGCCGTAGTTGCGGGAACGCTTCTCGATGAGAGGGTTCTGTGATCGTTAGCCATCTTCGTCTTCTTTTTCTCAACCTGCCAGTGGGAAAGAAACGTACCTTAGCGGCCTTCTTGGACGAGCCAGCCTTGCCCTGGGGGTAGGGCATAGCGGCGGTCTTCTTTCCGGACTTAGGGGCAGGCTATCATTGAGAAAAGAAGATCAGCGATTGTCCACCACGGGCTGCATCTTCTTGAAACTCGTAAGGAGAGCGATGAGTTGAGGCCGTGTTACGGGCTCCAACTCATGCTTCCAGCCAAATCATCGCCAATCGCACACATCTCTTTCGAGGCTGTGTGCCAAAGACGGAATTGCTTCGATTGCGAACAATCGGAAGCAGGTGAATTGTGTTCACGGCATCGCTGCAGCAGGCGAAGCCTTTACAAAGGCGCTCAGGTGCTTACCATTGTTGTCGATGGGATCGGTGCGCTGTTGACGATTGACGAAGAAGAAAAGAAAGAATGTAGCGGTGCGGATCTTATGAATTTCTCGTGGGTCGCGCTAGTGCGGACATGTGACTAGGGTTAGGGCACTTTACCAGATATGGGAGGTCACGTGACATCTATGGACAACATACAGCATCCGGGCTTTTCTTCAAGCACGTCCTTTCAATTGCAAAAAAAACGAACAATGATTTGGTCGAAACAAGTAGATCTGGTGTATGAAGCAAAAATGGGATATTTGTTGGGGCGGGCATCCCGGAAACACCAGAATATCGCCCCGTCTAAGCCTACCTCTCAGTAAAAACAAAGTACAAAGTCTATGTACAGACAACAAAACGCAAAACGCCGAAAAAGCCTGCCATCCAACATTGTCGCCTTCTAAACAGTAGTATATTCAATCACCGCCATGCCCCCAACCCGGGCAACGCCCCCCGACCCAAACTCGCACTCGCCGCCTGAACGGCCTTCTTCTTCCCCGCATAGCCCTCCTGATTCCGCACGCCAGCAGTAATCTTATCAATATTTGTCTCAACAACAACGCCTCCAACAATCATCTCGCTCAGCACAGCATGCATGGTTTCATAACCAAAGATCAAGTCCAGCTCGCAAACGTTCTCGAACATGCGGTCCAATGCCTCCACGAAGACTTGGATCAGATCGATGAGAGCGAGTGGTGACTCTGTAGATGTCGAGATCATGATGAAGGAGAGCGTGGCGTAGGTGCGGTAGGTGATTTGCGTTGGCGCATCGGAGGGGCCGGCTGAGGAGCTGGCAGCGCCTTGGGAGAGGATTGGTGGGAGGGGGAGGAAGTTGCATGCGCTCGACGGGCGCCGGGCGACCAGTTTGTATATTTGTTCGATCAGTGATTGCTGTGTTTGGGTGTCCTGGTGTTGTGTCAGTTCGTCATGGTGTTGGTTATGGCCGTGGAGTGGAGGACTCACGAGTTGGGTGTAGAACTTGGTCAGCCGGGGCTGACCGTTGTTGTTGAAGACCAGCACGGCGTTGATCATCGTGACTAAAGTGATGGAGCGCTTCAAGGAATAGACAGATGAGAGTATGTAGAGTCCAACGAGCAAGTCGAATCAGGTTCATGGAGGATGATGCTTATCGCCGATAGCTCGGTCTATCTGAACTGGCCCGTGCGCGTATTTTCCGAAGAACTTCATGGACTGCATTTGCCATTTCTCCATGAACAACCCAACATGAAGACATTAAGCTGCAGGCTCTCAAAACCTGCCAGGCGTCTATACTCAACGTCAAAACCGACCCCCAATGCAGGCCCTCCTCCCCCAAACCCCAACAAGCGCGACTTGAAAGACCTCGCGACCTCCGATCTCTGCTATTACTGGGATACGAAATCGCCCACCGCCGAACAATTAGCCTTCGCCAACAAGCTATTCACACCCTCGCGTCACTCTCCACTGAAGCTATGGTCCGCATCCAAGTTTCGCACGACGCCAATGTCATCTCTTGAGCCCGAAGTCGCATTCTTGGGGCGTTCGAACGTCGGCAAGAGCTCTTTATTGAATGCGATTATGGGACAGGAGATATGCTGGACCTCGTCGAAACCAGGTCGCACAAGGGAAATGAATGCGTTTGGAATCGGGGGGACAAAGGGTGGCGAGCATAAAGTTGTGCTTTTGGATATGCCAGGTTATGGAAAGGCTAGTCGGTCAGAATGGGGGTCGGAGATTATGAAGTATCTCAAAGGTCGCAAGCAGTAAGTCTCTCCCGCATAGTCATTGTGGAGGTATAAATGTTAATGCGCTATTCCAGACTCCGTCGAGCTTTCATCCTCGTCGACAGTGAACATGGCATCAAGCCAAACGACGCCTATATTCTCGGTCTCTTCCGGCGCTACGCAATTCCTCACCAGATTGTTATTTCTAAAGTGGATAAGGTCCTCGGCAAGAAGCAAAAGCAAGTCAAAACTGGCGTGTCGACTATCGGACTCCAGCGTCTTCAAGAAATGCTTCAAGGTTTGCGCGAGGCTGTCCAACCGGATATCCGTGTTTCCGAAGGACCTGGTGCCCTGGGAGAACTTATTACATGCAGCGCAGATATAAAAGTTGGACCCGGTCGTGCGCTGGGCGTTGATGCTGTGCGCTGGGCGATTTTATCAGCGGCTGGCATTGATGGAAGCTTAGAGGGCGGGACCCTCGCTTCTGAAAAAATGTCGGCTGCTTCGAGTGCCTTGCCCTAAGGTTGAGTGGTGGTGCACATCAAATTATAAAATTTGCCCTGATATCATAGCTCGTGCCTATGGGTGAAACCTAGCGGGAACATTAGTTGGCCGTGGCACGTTCTTTACAGACATTACGGTAACCATATGTTTCTATTACTATGTGCTTATGCCCCCCCCGGCATGAATATCAATACCAATACGGCTAGGGAGAACACACACACAATGTGATGTACCTGTTACATAGCCTCGCTGGCTCATCTTTCCGAGACCAGCGATTAGCCTAAATATCATTATACCCATATATCAAGCACATTTCGCATTCCTCACTCGCGATCCACACTGACTAGAAGCATCTACATAGATGATCCTGGCATTTCGTGTTATATCGTACTATTAATGTCTATGTGTGATTTCTGGGGTTATCCTGCTATTTGATGATAAAATGCGCGTCCGAGGGTGTCCAGAGGGCCGGTATAAGGCCATTCGGCTATTACTAGTATAGGCTTAGGCTATATCGCCGCAGAAAGTTCAAATGGCCTATACAAGCCATCAAGACGCCCTCTGGGCTCTGGGGTATAACAAACCTCAAATAGCAGGACAACCCAAGAACCTTCAAGAACACTAACGGAACGATAAATTACCACCCGAGACCTGTCTTGAGCCGGCATAAAATCACTGAAGCCGCTTGGCCATCCCCAGCAGCTTCCTTTGTAGCACGAGGAGAGCTTGCAAACTAAGCGAAGCCCTAGATGGTGAGGTAGCATTGGCAAGGCCATCTAACCTAGAATCTACATGAGCATACCAAAGGTGTTAGCAATCACCTCATAACACTCGCTGTCTCCAAATCGAACTTACGGCAACAGGCATACAAATGTATCTTAAGGCGGTATTTAGGTGTGACACAAATCGTCGATATCACGAAACATCAGGGTTTGCAGCATTTGGTAATGTAGGTGCATAATCGGTCGTCGATAACGCCACAAGTGTAGCCGTAGCAGTGACTGTGATTATACGTATAAGGGTCGAGCACATTTGGAGAAAGGAAGAATTGGTTTACGAGTGTGAGAAAGGATGGCATGGGTCCTATAGCACCAAAGAATATGAGCATCATTAGAGTATAAACATATCAACATGGAAGAACAACGAGAAAAATGCACTGAAGAACATTCAAAACTACCAAATGACATGCATTCGAACAGCACGCTAGAATTAGCCCAAGCCGACAGAATATGGGGTGTTTGAAAAAGAGCATCTATTTTCTTTTCGAGACAAACACACTAGATTTCCTTCCTCAATTACTTCAAATTTGCCATGGACTGCACTATAACCATTAAGTTCGCCTACATTCTTGAACAGAATTATAAACATCAAATGTATCTATTACCACTGGATCAGACAAACTAAACAGGTAATAAGGAAAGGAAAGGGCATTATTGGTAGCCCCAAAACGCCATAACCAGCTTCACGAATAGACTCAGATACGAAATGGGAATGGATGTGGGCATAGGTGCAGTATAATGACAAAGTAAAGAAGACAAATAAGATAATGCAGAGGGGTTTCAAGATTTGATGAGAAATGAAAAGATGAAAAACCCCCTGCGAAAAAAAGTAACATCTAACGCCTGTCCCCATCGTAATGCTGGATGACCAAAGAATGCTGACCGCGCTATGCAAAGGATTTTTTCCCAAGGGAAGACAAGAGAGCCATAAGGATGGGGTATCGAGTATGAGTAATAGTGCGAAAAAGGATGGAAATAGAATGGCAGAGGAGTAAGGAGGTTGAGGAAGTAGGGAAATGAACAAGACATCCGGCGTTGATGCGTCGGAATTAGACCAGCCGACGATTAATCAGAATCGGAGTCGGAATCCACACTGCCGCTGGAAATCTCCCGTCCGCGACGGTTGACTGCGACTCGCTTGCCGAGTTTATTTTCGGGGACACCATCACGAGCGGCTCCGAAGTCGAGGACCTCGATGTAGGTCAAGCTATCACGCTGCACGGCAGCGACACAGCGTCGGTCATTGAACTTGACTTGCCACACCCCGCTGAGGTCGGTAAGAAGGTCGCGAACGCAAGCGCCGGTGCTAACATCCCACATCTTTAGGGTGCGGTCCGATCCAGAGATGACCTTTTGACCGTCGTGCTGGAAACAGGTGATGGCACCAGTGTGGGCGCTGAGCATGTTTTTGCAGTGACCGTGTTCGGGATCCCAGATGCGAAGGGTAGAATCTGCGGCAGCGGAGACCAGGAAATCATTTTGCAGGGCAAGTAGACCGACGAGAGAGGTGTGACCTTCGAGGTTATAAAGAAGAGACCCATCATCAAGCGACCAAACCTTGACCATGTGGTCCATAGCACCGCTGATGCAGCGATTGCGTTTGGGATCCAAGACGACACTGTACACCTTCAAGGAATGGCCTTGCAGAGTGTGCAGAATTTGTCCAGTTGAGACCTTCCACACTCGCACGGTACAATCATAACTCCCGCTCACAAGGGTGTCGCCATGAGCTGCGATTGCGCGAACGGAATGTGTGTGGCCAGTTAGCACCCTGACAAAGTATGGACAGTCTGTATCATCGGCAAGAGGCCCGGTCGGATAGTAGACGGGATCTCCTGGCTTGGGAAGTTTCCAGACCCGCAAGTTAGAATCCCGAGAGCCAGTGATAATCATGGGTTGCTTCGGCATGATCTCGGGCCGACCATTTGCATCCCGTCCAATTTCAGTTGGTAGGACGATCTGCAAACAGCGCACGGTGGAAGTGTGGCCATGAAACACCTGAGTGCACCGAGCTCGTTCGATATCCCAGACACGCACAGAGCGATCAGTTGATCCAGAAACAAGAGTATTCCCGTAATATTCGAGCGCCCAGACACCACCTTCGTGGCCTTCCAGAGTAGCCTTCAAAGCGCCAGTCTTCGTTTCATATACATTAATGTTGGTGTCGTCACTTCCAGTAAGAATCTTTTCAGTATCGAACTGCAGACAGGTAACAACATGACGGTCATGAGCACGGAAAGCAATATGCTGAGGCTTAACTTCAGGCTTCATCCATCCTCGGCGAATGGCATGGTGCCGGCGATATAGGGACTTGTAGAGGTACATTCCGCGGAGAGAAGGCAGACCGACTTCGGCATAGGGAACAGCTGCAGCTGCAGCGTTAGCGGCGGCATACGGTGCTTCTGATGCGGCAATATCTCTCTTCCAATCTGGCTCATGGTAGTCCACACCACTTCCGCTGGAAGAAATCTTGCGTTTTGCGAGTTTCCGACTGGAAGCACGCGTGTTTGCTTTCCGCTTCGGGCGTCGAGAGCCCAGAGCTGTCAATGGGGATCTGTCGTTGGCAGCAGAAGAGGATGGTAGTGGAGGTGCCTCATTGTCTCCTCTAGACCAAGGTAAGCTGAGATCTCTTTCGAAATCGTCCACACTGCTGCACTGCCAGCCCCATCCTTCCCGAATAGCCCGTTCTAGCTCACCCTCGGAAAGAAGGTGACCGTCGAGGTCAAGAAGCTCTTTCCAGCTCTTCTCGTCCGAGCTGATGATGTGCCGCCATTTTTTCGAAACTTGAGCCGCACGGCACATTGTTTGAACGTCCAAATACTTGACAATGTTCAAGCTGAGTTCAAGCGGAAGCAAGGCCAGGAAATCGCATTTCAAAGTCGGGTTAACAACGTCGGCTACGAAATGCAAAGTCGGTTTGGGGCATCGCCGCAAAAACTGATACATCAGATAGGTCTTCAATTCTTCAGGGACGGAGTCAAAGAACTCCAGCACCTTGGGCATATCCATGAGCGAGGGAGCTGATCGAGAGGCAAGACTCTTTGTCCGGGAGGACTCTCCATCATGAAGTCGCATTGCCCGGGAGTGGCGTGATATATTGTGGTCAAGGCTGGAATCGGTGTCCACGTCAGGCCCTTCTGATTCAAAAGAAGACTCGCCATGAAGAGCATTCATAGCAGCAACTGGGGACAGACTAGGGCTTGGTAAGCACATATCCTGGGCCATAGCATTATCGATTGCGGAAAGCTGAGAAGTCAGGTCAGGCCTTGGCTGCGATGTAGGTTCAGTTGAGGCAAATGATGTGCTTTGAGTGGAGGCCAGGTCGGATCCGGGGACCTCATTGGAGTCAGCACTCTGACTTTGTAACTCCCGGTTCTCGGGAAGTGTAATATTTCGCATAGCCCCAGAGCCAACTTCAGCTGAAAGAGGTGAGCGCAGAAGGGTTTCCCTGCGCGGGAAATTCGCGCTGTGCATCCTCGGCCTCGAGGCAGCACTTTCCCCGATACTGCCGACATTATGCTCTGTTTCCGGAGTGACAAGACCGGCGGGTGAAAGCTGTGTTGTTGTTGAAGCTCCGTGACGAGTCCGCCGAGCCACAGGCTCCGCTGGTGCACGGGACGCACGGGTACGAGGGAGAATAGATGGGCGAGGGTCGGGGTTGGAAACAGGGGAGACGGGGCGGTTTTGAAGATTCGGCAAACCTAGTCGAATCACTGATCTAGGAGGAGCGAGTCGTCGAGCAGAGCCATCGTCTTCGGAAGAGAAAGAGTTCACGGAGCGAATTAGTCCATTGGAGGACTCGAGGGCATCATTCCGTTCCTTGAACTGGAAGAACGTTAGCACTCCTGTGGAATATTTCGGGAAAGGGCATCAGAAGTAGTTACCTCGATTCCTGCCGTGGCAGCATCCTCGGGTTCATTGAAAATGATGGATTTGTCACCAACCTTAAACCGGAGATTCCTCAGAGACGCGGGTGTGGGTGACGCGGCGAGGGGATACTGTCGGGCATCGAGGTCCTTGACAGCCCGCGGGGGCCTGATGACCAGAGGAGGGAATGAGGTGGTCGTAGTTGTTGTGGTGGTGACTACTGTGGTGCGAGTCGTCGGGGCGAACGAGAACTGCCCGAAGGCGTCGTTCGAGGGACCCGGGCCGAGGTCATCCTTCTCATGGGTATCCATATCGCGTTGACGAGACTGAACGAGACGAGATTCGGAGTAGCAGGTATCATGGGAAGGAGGAGAAGCGAGCGACGCGTTTTGGTCGGGGTGGAGCAGTGAAGTGGGTTTATCTGAAGCCATCACGGAGCGAGATCAGGGTGGGGGAAAGAGATCCAAAGATCACAGCTCACAGATCCTAGATCCAAGTAGAGAGTAAATCTCGACCACCACTTAACAACCTCCACAGAAGACGAGACCATGTAAGTGAAATTAAGAGGACATGAACATGGCGAGATGAGACGCAAGGATGGTCAAAGGGGAGAAAGAACCAGTGGCGGCTGACAAGGGCGAGAAAGTTGGGGCGGAGAACAACAAAATCGAGAGGTGCACGATGTCATCAACGCCTTCACTTCCACTCGGCTTTCTACGTTTGCTAAGGTTGGCTACCGTTCTTCACTTTTAATGTTCCATCGAAATTCTGATTTTTCCGAGCCACCGAGGTCAATATCGGGATTCCCATTTCCTCTCACAGGTCGCCGAGTCGCCTCCAGGGTGAAAACTTTGAACCCCCGTGATTCAGAGGCACTAAGACCGTCACTTTTGCATATCATTGCCATCCGCGTAGACTGGATTAATCTCCATATTGATTAGGACAAGATGATTCCTGTCCAAGGCGAACCGAATCCATCAGATAAACCTGTTTGCAACCTCACCCTCTCCACACTCACCCTCAACATGGTCCAGACACTTTTGCCTGGGTCGCCACTGGGTCACGTGGAGCGGGGGCTCCCGTTCCCTGTTTCCGCCACTCGTTACAAGTTATTCCGCACCCTTCCAAGGTGCTTTCCACCTTGAGGGACGTGCGTGGTCGTCTCTGTTGACTTGTACTCGAGGGGTCACCCCAAACCCCGAGATCTCCAGAGCAGACAAGGGGTACTCAGATTCTCCACCCCTTCCTGACTTGGCCCCAGTATGTACCCTGCGCGTCACCTGCAGGTACCCTAGCCCATTGGACCCTTGCTCGTGTTCGATAGATAACTTTGTTTTTTCCATATCAATCAGGCGGGTTGGCTTCGTATAGATTCAATATATCCTCACAGGCTCAACTGGGCATTTTTGAAAGAGTCATGCTTTCTTTTTTCTTATGTCGTGTTCAACATTGAGACCCATGAATATGTTTTTGCCTCCAGGTTTCCAATTCTCAACATTTGAATGTTGTCTCAAGCTCTGTTGGTATTCTATCATGGATGCATCTATGCACCAAGTAGGAGGACTTCCGGGGAGATACATTAAGCGGTTTTCTTCTCCGTAATACTACCTAATTGCACATCGTAAAAAGGACCGCCCATCCTCGCTGCCCCTTCCTCGGCCACATCCCGGCTACGGCATTAACATTTCAAATGATTGCTCCCAGTAGCAATTACGTTTTTGCTCAGTATCAAGCGGAGAATACCTTAAGTTTCAGCGGACGCTAGGGTGTTTCTAGTCTAGGCCCTCGGCTCTTTACTAATAGGGTCTTCCCTGTGTCCGCTATCAGGGAATTTGTGGAGAACGGACCTACTGCCAAGGTCTTCATGCACAGACCCCAGGAGCACTGGGATGGCGGTGATGGGACAACGATATCGATTTTGCTTATGGGACATAAGGAGCATAGTGGAAGGATAATGTCAATATTAGCGATAGGACGATATGAATAGCTGTTATTTTCAGAGCAACGATCGGGTCACAGAGGTTCGATTGATGGCCAAAATGGTTAGATCTGGGCCCTGTTCCTATGGGATGATTGATCATTGAAAGGGCTTCGAAGATGAAAAAACGTAGAATATCGTGACTTTTCTGCGTTATAGGCTGGCCAGCAATCCAAATCTTGGCTCATCGTCGCCTTACTCCTTAGACTCTCTACTCTTCCGTTGGTACTCTCTACCCCGCCACGAAAAAGATCTCTCTTTGATCATTACCAATATGTCTCCAGTCAAAAGAAAGAGAAAATCGAGATCACCTGCGACCCGCTCGTGGCGGCGCCGCGTCGCCGCCAATGCTCTGAAGCCATGTCGGGCCAAACTAGGCCACCAGTACCCAGCCTGGGTGAGTATCCTGTCTTGACTCTTCTTACAATTGACCAAAGACAACTAATGAGATGCTGACTTCAAACAGGCCCAAAGCCTAGAGCTGTTGAAGATCGCTGTGCATGTCACGGTAAGTACACCGTCTTACTCCACTTGACACCTCCGATGCTTGCATTCCCTGTCGCCATCGTGTATATACTCTAACATCCTGTACAAAGGTCGCATTCATACTTTTCATGCGGTTCGTTTCCTTACCCAAATGACTTGGCACTCGCTGAATCAATTTACAGTGAGCTCCTGCCGGGAGAGGCATTCTGCGATCGATCGCTGGGCAAAGTGAACGTCGGACAGATTTACACATATGAAGACTTCCTCACTGGATACCAAGAGACTCCCCTGGAAGGAAGAGCCGCCTCGGCCCATGCGAAGAAGCTTAAAGCTGCAGCCAAAGCAAAGAAGTCGGATGGATTTAAGAACCCCTGGGTGAAGATGATCCAGAGAGGCACTGATGAGGTGGCAAACCAGATTCGAGATTGCATGGTACGGCAGTCCCTCCTCTGTTGATCTTTGCTGATCTTTCTCTCCAGCAAGAAATCGGGAACGGACTTGCACGCCGCCGGCTTGACACACTTACACTCTGCGTGAGGGCAGGGTTCGATGCTCACGATGGTTCCCTTCCTTTGTTTGAGACTTACGCCATGAGGTTCGTGTATGGTGGGAAGCGTGGGTTTGCAGACAAACTTGATGGCATCATTGATCCCATTCTCAGACCACGATCGTTGAATGATATCCGTAAGCACATTTACAATGTGTCTCGAAAGCTGACCATGCTCAAGAATGCTCCTGCGCCTCTCAGTAAACCGAGCCCCATTTTATGACGCTCAGCTGGGGACTGACACATATTAGGCGGACGACAACTCGGAATCGTCATGACTTACAATAAAGCAAGCGAAATACGAACTGCCGAGTTCGAGTTCTCCTCGCCCTCCACTAACAGTGACAGAAGTGGAAACCGGGCTTCTGAGCTTGACCAAAACTGGGACGAGCTTACTGAAGTAGGTGGATTATTCGACACGGGATATCATGTGTCAGCTCATCATCTCTTCTAACCGTTGATTTTCTTTGCTGATAGTCAAAAGTACAGAGCTCACAGTCAGCTACTACCAGTGCCGTTCTATGGTTATCTACCATTCTCCATCCGACCATACAGAAGAATCGAATTCTCGACGTGGACATCCATGGATCCTAGCTGAACCAGAGTGGAAGGGCAAGTTCACCGAAGGCTTCGCAGATTTATGCCCATGTCACTTGATGCGCATTCACGACTGTCCGAATATTGTTACAAGAACAATGCGGACAAAATTGCCTCAGTTGGCTTTTCCAGACTGATGAGGATTGTCCCAGGTCGACCGGCGCTTGCAAAAAAAATAAAATCACACTTCCTATCACGATGTGGACGGGGAGTTGTTTTTGAATGAGTAATAAAATGTGATGATGGATCAGAGTTCTCACAAGCATTTTCTAGAACTAGTCTCCCAAAAAGACATTTTTTGGGGTTGGTATTAATTCGCACTAGTGTCTCAAGGTGGACTTGCTCAAAATTATTCCACGAAAAAGAGAAAGGTGAGGCAGGTACAGCAAACTCCCCATGCTGGCCCGGTCACCAAGATTTTGGAATGATCTACAAATAATCCACCAAGGCGAAACACAAGTGTGCAGAACCATGGGAATGATCGCTACTATTGTGCGTTGGGCGTCCGGCCGCGCGGGTGGACTATTGAGGCACCATTAGCCGCTAGCTTCACCGACCATTTGGCATAGCCGACCTATATTGGAAACGAGAGCCCCTCTCACAGCTGTCAAACCGGGCGTTTGGGTTCAATAGTGTCGCCGCTGCTGTATGTTTGGGTATGTGCACTGCCGCAACGTTCGGCTGTCTCGTGCATGCCAGGCTGAATCTGCACGATTTCATACTTTCCAAGCACCCCTATTAATCCCTACAGTACAACTTAAATTAAATATCGGATCACCTGACTGAAGCGGTATGGTGCTCAGAGTCCGAGAATACGCAGAATGCCTAGTCTGATCGGCGCACGGCCAATCGCGGGCAATTTCGACATGGAACCCCCGATCTCGCGCAGATGTGGTTGCCCCGGAGTGTCACTGCACCTTGTTTCCGTTACCTGTGGGTCTTAGACACGGCACACGGCTGGAGGACGGAGCTGCCCGGGTATGATGATCTTCGTCTCGATCGATTTTGCTCGGACCAGCTGGGTAAGACGAGGCTAAAGCGTGGTGGCTGGCAAACCAGATCTGTGATTCCCTTTAATGCAACATTGTTTCTCAGACATGACAGCGTTGACAGGCAATTATTCTGTAACATGTCATGCCTGTCAAAGATAGAACCAGGGTCCGGGTTCCACACCGAGTGTTTCATCGTGAATTCCGGAACCACCAAGCACGCGGACGCGGACGCAGGCGCGGGCTGTGTTCTAGGTTTGTGTTTATCGACCAACCTGCAACGGAAGTAAATGACAGTGCAAAGAATGGGACACACGGAGGGCGATCATTTCCCCGTGTGCTAAATGACAAGGATAGGGAGACAAGGCACGGTATTTGTCACGGGAAGAACAACTCCGCGATTACGATGGCGATCAAAGTTCTCGCACCGTCAGGCTGGATCGATATACATAGACAATCGTAGAGATCGACTGTTCCTGAATGAAGCGACGAATTGACGCTGAAGCTACTGCGGTAGTGGCTCCATTGCTTACCCTTTTAGGTCAAGACACGAATCCACACGGGGGCCGAGGGCCGGCCTGTGAAGGAAAAAAGCACAGGGCAGAAAAGGGGCAAGAAGGCCGTGTGGGGATCGCAAACAATAGAACCATACGTAATCATGGAATTGTGGGCGTACGTTAGTAAATGTATAAAGCGCCTTCTAGCAAACCCAATCTTGAGGGCTGACGATTTCGGAGGATTCCAAGGGTTGGAATCGGGACGCGAGACACGTGCAGTTTAAGGTTGGCCCGCAGTAAGGGGGCTGTTTCTTTTTACAGCGCGTCCACCTGCGTAATGTCCTGGGATTTAGATATCCGCAATCTCCTGCACTTTACAGTAATGAAAGTAGTATTTCCACAGGACTCCGTGCGCCAGGAACCACAGTTGGGCCACATCTGGTTCATGGATTGAATCGGACCAATACCGGTGTCTATTGGCGATGCGGAAGTGGATGCCTGTCGATACCTTCTATCTTAGAGGGGAAAAACTAATGTAGCTCAGCTTGCCGATCCGACTCCTCCATTCGAAAATAAAAATAAAAATAAAAATTGAATAATTAAATCATGTCCCAAAGGTGCCTGGGGCCAGGAACCGAGATGGCTGGCGTTCCAATGGCAGCCCAGATGCGATCCACACGTAAATGAAACACAGCCGTGAGCATGGACTCTTCCCCAATCGGCCAGTAAGGATTCTAGTTCCTAGAAATTAGCCCATGATGCCCTGATGTGGGCCACCCCTATTAAGTACGCCGATGTGTAGAGGGACTCGATCATAGAGCACTAAACGTGTGTTCTCATTTATTAGGTTCTCTAGTTCTCACCTCCCCTTTAACTCTTTTTTTTCCTACTCTTTGCACTCATTTGCTTCCGACCCCCAGTCTTATTTTCTTTACCTATCAATTTTGTAATTCTTTAATCTTGTTTTCCCTTTCTATTATTCTGGTATGTGTGGAGGCCCGACAACTCCCTCTGGTTCCGAGCTGGAGCTGTGCCTGAGAAAGGAATCGCTGACCCGTCTGTGGAGTAGATCTGGCAGGGGAAATTACTTGAACCCATTTACGCAATTGAGCATTTTTGCATGACCGACTTTCCCTTCTACACCGCATCTTTCTATGGCGAATCGAGATCCCTCTCCAGTGCGTGTGCCTTTACGAACTTCCAGTCGAAACTTGCTGCGACCTAGCGCAATGGATAGCAACGAGGACGTGAGCATCACGGAGCGCAAGTCCTCAAAGGCGCAACGCATACTAGGAACCGACCTACCCTTCCCAAACGGCCGGTGGGACAAGCCGCAAAAGCCACGCCGATCAAGCCTTCGAACTCCCGACGAATCTTCACGGCAGCAACGAAGTAGCTTCCTGCCTTTTCCTTCGAGTGAAGCGGTTCCACCCCAGAATCTCCGTGTTCGCGCTTCATCGCCGTTGCTGGGCCACGATTACCGATCTCAAGATTCTGCCCCTCCACTCCCGAAGCCTTCGAAAAAAGTCCACCCGTCCGGTTCTTCTTCCACATTATTTTCTTACTTTAGCTCGAAGGAGAAGGAGACGAACTCGAAATCCGTCAAGTCCGGGAAGTCCGGGAAATCGAAACCCACAACACCAAACCATGCTAGTCTTCAGCCCAGAGTCCGCCACGAGCTACAGGCACATCCCAATGTGACATATCAACATCAGCAAGCCCAAACACCGCCGAAGGAATCTAAGCGAAAGCTTCGCCCGCCCAGAATTGATCTTTCTATCCTTTTCCCGAAACCTCGAAACCCTGCCACTCAAAATCACCTCTTGTCTCCTCAGCGAGTGACCAGCTCTCCCTCTCCTGTCTCCACCGTCGCTTCTGATTGGCCTTCGAATAGAGTTGACCGAGTGGAACGACTTTGTAGCACCTCTGCTGTGCGAAAGCTTCAGGTCGGAGAACCACTACCTCAACGGACCTCGGCTATCCAACATGAGGCTCCGAAGCCTCAGAATGACCGGTCGGATCTGTTGTCGATTCCCGAGATGAAAGATGGCGAGTGGTCGCCACGTTGGGACAACCCAGAACGCACAGTCGGCACGAGTGAGATTGATCTTGCTCTGGACCGATATGCAGGACGCCGGTCCCCCTTCAGCCGCTCTAGTGTTTACACCGCCAGTCGGGAGCAGCTGCCTCAGGAGCAGCAACGTCCCACGGAAACGATCCAGCAAAGGCGTACCCATAGCCCCGTCAATGGCAAACGCAAGGATCTATATCTGTCTCCTAACTCCCAGCCTGATGCAAGCCGGGGCCAGAACCGGAACCGCACCAATAGCAACACAAACAGCACAAAGACAACATTGACCAAGAAGAGCAGCAAGAGCACCTTGAAGAATAAGGACTTGCAGAAGTCTAGTGTTCTCTGTCTTTCTTCGTCCGAAGACGAGGACTCCGACCGGGATACGACGCCTACCGAGAACGCTACCGGCACCAGAAACAAGAATTTCAGGGACAGCGTGGCTACCTATGGCGACTACGAGCCTGAGATCTATACTGCCTCAACTGCTCACGCCACAGTCGGCACACCGACATTGAAGAGGGTCGACCGAGATCGAGCACCTTCTACCAGCAGCCGTGGATCCAGCCAAGTATCTAGCCGCAGATCTAGCTACATTCCTCCCATTCCTCAGACGCGCAGACATACTTCCAATCCGTCCAGCAACACGCCGCCTGCTGTGGCCCAGCGAATGTCTAACCAGCCTCACCGGAAAACCAAAGTTCCTCTCATTGCCGAGCCGGATATTTTGAACCAGTTCCCGCAGTCGCGCACGCGCACGCCAGAGGAGCTGAAGAAGCTGAAGGAAATGAATCGGAGAAGCCGAGTCATTGCAGTGACTCGGCAAGAGCAGGATCTTTTGGAGGCGATGCGAGTTCGTAAGGGCAAGATCACACCGAGTATCTTTCAAAATAACGGCTCTCAAGCCGACCGCAACTCGGTGATATCTGGTCCGTCGCGGGATTCATTCTGTGGTTCGGATACATCTTTCCTGCGTCTCAGTGCAGCCTACCCGCCTTTCAACGCCCAGTCAGAACAAGGTGCATCCCACATGGACAAGCATGGTTCTTCCTCGCAGAGTTCTGGTTCTGATACTGAACAGAAAACTGGTAACTCGATTGCCTCTCCCCGTTTCAGTATGGGCTACTCCGAGAGCCTTCCGTCACCCGCTACCAGCGGTGCCTCCCCCCTTACGCCAACCCTCCCCATCCATCGCTTCTCTCCGCTGCCATCCCCGAAGCCCCCGCCTCGCGGCCCGCCCCCGGCCATCCCAGAGGACCAGAAGCAGCACATTCGCCGTCGCACCGACAGCAGCGAAGCTATCATGCTTAACGATAACGGCGAGCAGCGCAAGCACGATCTTCCTCTTTGGTCGTTTGACTTTGATTGGAATCAAGACCGGACTAGCGTGACTGCCGTGCATTAAGATCTGCATCTGCATGCTTGACTCCCGACTACCGACTTCCGAATTCCCGACCATACATTCACTTCCTATTTCCTATCTCAATTAATTCCCCTTCTTGTATAACCAACCTTTTCCCCGATCAGACTCAACAGTCCCGCGACCATTCTCTTCCTACTAGAGCATTTTCCTTATTGGCATTTCTTGCATGATGGCGTTGTTTATTGTTTTTTTCCCGACCCTTTGGGGCACCGTGTCTTATGAACACCTTCCATATGACTCACCGAGTCCACTACAATATCCCCGAAGATTATACATACCACGGGCTTTTAATACCCGACTATATCTCGTATTCCCACAATCGTGTTTCGAAACTCTCTGGACCTAAATTTCCTATCTCAAAGACTAAGCCTTAGCAATAGGGAAGCCAGCACAGATCGTACACGCTGCCGATGAGTCCCGATCACACATAGAACCTCCTTTCCACGCAATGACCCTCAAACGGAGACGCCAGCCCTAATCGTGTGGCTGACCTGCATAAGGGCAGAGCCCAATCACACAGTGGCTGGACGGGCTGGTGCCGACTGGATAGACACGCAAACGATCGACATCACAAAGGACACGCGCAAGTGGACTGCTTTTGCCTCCATCCTATGCATTTTCCCCGTCTAGGGCTTGTTGGGAGCGAATGACGACGACAGAATGGGGGGTAAGGAGGCGGTCGTACAGCGTGGACACGGGCTTGACGTCAGGCAATAAAGCCCCTGGCTGGGAGGCGCCCAAATGGCGCTCAAATTCTCCCTAGACACCTGCAGCTGATCTTCAGGAAAATCAAAACCAACTAGTTCACCACGGAGTTGAATCTTGTGCCCAAAAGTCACGAGTTTTAGACCTCATCGTATGGCCCCGTGATCTACACCGCTTGTTCACATCTTAAAGCTGTTTCCAAGGTTTCTATACCCCGGATTCACGTTTCACGTTTCACACCTATTCCTCGGCCACTCTCTTCTCCCCCCCCCCCCCCACCCCCCAAAGATCCCTCAGCGGACATTTTCTTGGTTTGCCTGTGGGCGATCTTCCTCTCCTTTTCACCCCAGCCACCTCGCACGGAGCTCCGCCGTGATCGACACCCGAACCGAAGCCCTGACGCCAGGCCCTAGAGGATCTTCCAATCCCATAAGTGTTGCGCGTCGGTTCTGCTACTTCTCTGCCAGGAGCCTTTGTGCAGCCATTCGATCTTCGTCGTTCCCTACTTTCACCTCGACTTTCCTCGTCCTGGCCACCTGTTTGTTTTTGGCCCCGTGCGGAGACTACACCCACCTAAACACGCGAACACGTTTCGAAGCTTTGTCGTCATGGGAGATCGCTCACAACGTCAGCCATCATGGGTGCGGGATGCGACGAGAAATGTGCCCTGGATTTTAGTATGGACTCCAAAATCGCGAATTTATGAGTGCTGGGCTATTGGCTGACTCATTGTTTCTTCCGACGTAGCTCACGGCGCAGTCCACTGGATTCGTGTTGGTAGGTCATCTCGAATACCCTCGAGCTGAGCGATGGCTAACAATGACTTCTGCGTTTAGTTGGCTCATTACTCCCGTGTTATGCCGCCCACCGGTGGAAAGCGATACCTGACCTCTACCGCGGTTTTCCTGAACGAGGTCGTCAAACTGACCATTGCACTCACAATGGCTCTCTACGACGTCTCGAAGACCGCACCGCCGTCCCTTCCCGCTACATCCCTATTCTTCTCTCTCACAAGCGCCGTATTCTCAGGGGATAGCTGGAAACTGGCTATCCCTGCAATTCTAGGTGTCCTTTCCAACTCCCTCCAATACATTGCTCTGTCCAATATGCGGGCAGCAACCTTCCAGGTCACATTCCAGCTGCAGTTTTTGACAACGGCAATCTTTGGTCTGATGTTTCTGGGCCGCAACATTGCGCCGCGCAAGTGGGGGTTGCTGCTATTGTTGGTGGTTGGTGTTGCTTTAGTGCAGATTCCCGATGCCAACTCCGAGCCGATGGCGTTACAGGAAGATGGCTCTTCGCTCCACTTCCCTCGTTCTCTCGAGGAATGGAAGGCTGTGAAGGGTGGTGGAAACCTACACAAGCGGTCTGCTACGTACGAGGGCATTGAGGAGGATATTGAGACCATTGACCCAAGGCTCAATGCTGCGATTGGTCTACTTTCGATTATTGGCGCTGCAGTCGCGTCTGGACTCGGGGGCGTCTATTTCGAGAAGGTGCTGAAGGATAGCTCGAGCCACACTTCTCTGTGGGTGCGTAACGTGCAGTTGGCTGTTTACTCTATCTTCCCGGCTCTGTTCATTGGCGTTGTCTTCCGAGATGGCGACAACATCGCCAATGACGGGTTCTTCCAGGGCTACAACTGGCCCGTCTGGTCTGCTATTGTTGTCCAGGCTCTTGGTGGCATTCTCTCTACCTTTTCCATCAGTCACGCACAGAGAGATGCTAAGTCTCTGGCAACCACTGCGAGCATACTCACAAGTATCGTTGGAAGCTTCTGGCTCTTCAACTTTGAGCTCACGGCAAGCGTATGCATCCCATGATCCCCTTGAATCTACAGACAAGTGCTAACGTGACAACCGCAGTTCTTTATTGGCTCGGCTGCAGTCCTAGTCGCTGTTCACTACTATGGTAACCCTAGCTTCAGCCCGTCGGGCAAGATCCCTCCGCCAATTCGCGTGGATTCGTATGAAAAGGAGGGCGGCGGTGATGGATCGCCTGTTGCACCACCTAATGATTTCTCCATCAAGCTTCCAAGCTCCCCCTTCTTATCATCAGATGGCATGTCAAGCTCCCGACCCACATCTCCTAACCCGGGCCAAACTCGTGTGAGCTCAAGTCGGAATGTGAGCAGCAGCAGCTATTTTGAAAAGGAGTAATTGTACAGATAGTATGAGCTGTCTGTTCTCCGACTCTCTACTTTACGGTGATACGATCTTGGGTACCTGATAGATGAGACGACCAAGCCAGTGGTTTGCAACCACATAGGCTATTACTGATGTATGCCCCCATATTCGGGCAATTCTTTGTGAGCGTATTATATAACGTTCAGAAACCGTTGGGCTTTCAATTATGTATGCATATATACGAAGCAATGAGATGCTTTCATATACCCCTATGGAATTCGACTTTTGATGTCCTTCTGCTCCGGCACGAGACTTGGTCCACGTGCCCCGGTCCTCTCTACAACCTCACTCCTGTGACCCCCCCTCCCCATTACGTATACCTGTACTTAGCTCTGCTTTTTGTTCGTTCATTATGGGAAGGATGCCGTTCTCGCAGTCCAACCCCTTTGAACCGTCCTCCAAGCGGCGGCGGGTAAACATCAGATCTGCCAGCTCCCAGGGCGGCAGAACTGGGACAATTGACCAGAGGCTCATCAATGGTTCACAGCACCAACGTTACTCCAGCTCATTCCGTGACGATACCTTGTCTCCCAAGAACCGAATTCCGTCTCTTCAAGATGCGGATTCTCAATTGGATATCTTCGGTGAGTAATGGCTTCTGTATGACAGCCCAGCCCGCTGAGTGACTTTCAGACCTCGAATTGCTCGCTCAAGAAAGTGAAATCGGCAATTCTCACGAGGTTCAGCATGGCTTTTCTCGGGAGACACCTCGACAAAGTCGATTTGTCTCGGCGTTTCAGCAGCCCAGTGCTCCAACCCAGAGGTCACGTTTCTTTGATGGCGAGTGATCCAGTTGCCTATTTCAGGCTAGTTCGATACTGATTTATACCAGCAAGTCCAAGCATGACAACTCTTCGGCCACTTGAGTCTATACCGGAATTGACCTCTGCGCCACCTTCAAGTCCACTGATCATGCTCAACAAAAGGAAAGAAGAGCCCCGGACGGAACAGAGCCAGCGAGACCGCACATATGATCTGAGTCAGTACTATACAACTCAGTCCACGCCACAGCTACTCTCCCCTTTCCAGCCTAACTCCGAAATGTCTCCCTATGATCGGAAAAATCAGGGCCCCTCTTCGCCTTTTGCCAACCTTCCACCCTCTGTCCGAGGAATTGTACTGGTCTCAAAGGACAAATTGCCCGAGTCGTATCGATCCTTGTTCCCGTTCCCGCTCTTTAACGCCATTCAGTCGAAATGTTTCCAGTCGATCTACAATTCGAATGACAATCTCGTTCTATCTGCACCGACCGGAAGCGGGAAAACAGTAGTTATGGAGCTTGCAATCTGTCGACTCCTCAAAGTTCTGAAAGACGAGCGATTCAAAGTCGTCTACCAGGCACCGACCAAATCTCTGTGTGGTGAAAGGTTCCGTGACTGGAACACCAAATTCTCTGCATTGAACCTCAAATGTGCTGAACTCACTGGTGATACGGACCATAACCAGCTGCGAAGTGTCCAAAGCAGCCAGATAATCATCACAACGCCTGAGAAATGGGACAGCATGACGCGGAAGTGGAAAGACCACGGACGTCTGATGCAGCTGGTTAAGCTGTTCCTTATCGACGAAGTCCATATTCTCAAAGAAAGTCGCGGTGCTACACTTGAGGCTGTCGTGTCGCGAATGAAAAATATTGGATCCAATGTCCGTTTCGTTGCTCTCAGTGCTACTGTCCCGAACTCGGAGGACATCGCTACTTGGCTAGGTAAGGATGCGACGAACCAGCATGTCCCTGCGCATAGGGAACACTTCGGCGAAGATTTTCGCCCTGTCAAGCTGCAGAAGTTTGTGTATGGGTATCAGCACAATACGAATGACTTTGCGTTTGATAAAGTCTGTGGATCCAAGTTGGTCTTCTTGAATACCTCGGGCGCCGGTATCGCATGCTCATTGATAACCTTATAGACTTCCTGATGTCATCGGAACGCATTCATGCCAGAAGCCGATCATGATCTTCTGCTGTACTCGGAACTCGGCAGCGGCTACAGCTAAAGACCTTTCTCGTTTGTGGGGCAAGACGAACCCACCTTGTAGGCACTGGAAAGGTCCGGGTAGGCGGATTGAAGTGGATAATGAGGATCTCCAGAGTATGGAACTTTTTTAAATAGTATGTAAAGCCTTGCTGACAAGACTCAGCAACAATTTCTGCCGGGGTTGCATTCCATCACGCCGGACTCAGTGCAGGCGACAGACATGCGATCGAAAAGGGATTCCTGGATGGTCACATCAATGTCATATGCTGTACTTCGACTCTCGCCGTCGGTGTCAACCTGCCGTGCCAGTTGGTTATAATCAAAAATACAGTTGGATGGCAAGGTGGTGGTTGTAAGGAATATTCCGATCTGGAAATGATGCAAATGCTCGGCCGCGCAGGTCGACCTCAATTCGACGACAGTGCAACAGCAGTTATTCTGACTAGAAAAGAACGCGTGACTCACTATGAGAAACTGGTTTCCGGCTCCGAGAGTCTCGAAAGCTGCTTGCATCTCAATCTCATCGACCATTTGAATGCTGAGATCGGCCTGGAGAATGTGAAAGACGTAGAGTCGGCTACAAAATGGCTCGCAGGCACCTTTCTGTCCGTTCGACTTCGTAGAAACCCAACTTACTACAAGCTCAAAGAGGGTGCGAGCCAGGAAGACGAAGATGAGCTTCTGCGGCAAATATGTGAGAAAGATATCAAGCTTCTCCTGGAATGCGATCTTGTCGACACTGAACATCTCCGATCAACCCCGTTCGGTGATGCCATGGCGCGATATTACATCCGATTCGAAACCATGAAGACTATCCTCTCGTTGAAGCACCAGGCTACGATCTCGCAAATTGTAAGTGCCGTTCTGTCACTGCCATTTTGCGCTTGAAAATGCCACAATACTGACAAAGGCAGCTGGAAGCAATCGTCCAAGCTGAGGAGTTCCGCGAAATTCGCCTCAAAGCAGGTGAGAAGTCACTCTATCGCGAGATAAATCGTGACCCTGGCATCCGCTTCCCTGTCAAAGTCGACATCGCCTTGCACACGCATAAGATCTCGCTTCTTCTACAGTCAGAACTAGGAGCAATCGATTTCCCCACAGACGACCAATTTCAAAAACACAAGTTTTCTTTTCATCAAGACAAGAGCCTTGTCTTCAACCATGTCAACCGACTGATACGCTGCGTCATTGACTGCATGATTGTGCGCGAGAATTCCGTTGAGGTTCTGAATTCGCTGGAGCTTGCGCGCAGCTTCGGAGCAAGAGTCTGGGACCGTTCACCACTTCAAATGAAGCAGATCGATCAGATTGGAGTCATTGCTGTTCGAAAACTGGCCGCTGCGGGGATTACGGATATCGACACTCTTGGGAGTACTGAGGCTCATTTGATCGAGATGACGCTTAGCAAGAACCCGCCCTTCGGTATAAAATTGCTGACACGACTGAAGGAGTTTCCAAAATTGCGCGTGGCTGTGAGAATTGTCGAAAAGGTATGTTCCCATGACTTTAAGTGGTGAAGTCTACCTGCTCAAGGTTCAACCAGGATGCAAAGCTTGGAAATGTCAAAGTCCGCTTCCACATCGAAGTTGCCTTCATGAATGACAAGATTCCGGTCTTTTCACAGCGACGACCTGTGTATGTTTGCTGTTTGACGGAGACGTCTGACGGTCGACTGATTGACTTCAGGCGCATACGGTGAGGCTTCGCTAGTTGCTCTTGTAACCTTAAGATGCTAAAGGATCGCTAGCGCCAACAGGCTTCAAGATGGGCTGGATTTCACTCTCATGGCAGAGCTGAAGAAGCCACATGACTACATAATCTGCCATGCCATGTGCGATGATATCGGTGAGCTGTTTTTCGTGGTCTAGATGAGTCGTGCTAACTAATGTATAGCTGGCACTGCAAGACAGGCCGAGCTGCACCCTCATGCTCCTTCTTATCTGTTCCCCGCAAAATCGAGAGAGGCAGGTGCCAAAGTCCGTGTGCTGAAGCCCATAATGGAGACTGTCCAGTCACAGGATAGGAAACAGTCGGGAATTATGCCAAAGTTTGACGACTTTGACGGTGATGATTTGGAGCTGGACGACTTCCTGACTGCAGCTCAGCGTCGAGACAAAGCAAAACAGGCTGCTGAACCGAAGGAATCTCAAGTTGAAGAATTTGAATGGATGTCAATTAGCAACACTTCAAGTCCCCAGCGTCGCCCAGAGACAACCAAGCCCAAAGCTGACGACTGGGTCGCTGACATGGGTCTGCTTGACGATAATGATAGAGGAACAATCAGACTTCCAAATGGGAATTGGGCTTGCAATCATAAATGCAAAGACAAAACGAGGTATGAGTATACTGGATACCATGAATACAATATGCTGATAACAATAGCTGCAAGCACTTCTGCTGCCGTGATGGTCTGGAGAAGCCACCCAAACCCAGCAAATCGCGGACTTTACCAAATGACAAATCTCCCGGCCTCAACCAATTGACTTTGCCAGCTGCCATCAAGAAACGAGACGCATCGAATGATGCACCCAGGAAAAGTCAAGCCTCAAAGTCCAAGATCACAAAGAAGAGCAGCAATCTGTCGACAGCCAAGTATTCCATCGCTCCTATCAAGCGAATCTCGTCGTTCCAATCTCAGCTGCGAGGAAAGCCTACCAGCAACAGTAGCCAGTCAATCATCGAGAAAGAGGGTCACGAGAGCCGAGCCCGGACCAGTTCCAGTGACATTGAAGATTTTAGCTTCGCCGATCTACCACCAACGGGGCTTCTAGCACGCAGTGTGCGCAGATTCGTCAAATCAAACTCACCATTAGTAGAAAAGACGTACCTCAAGGAGTCAGAAGATGCCATTATCAACCCAAAATCTTTCGAAATCGAGAATAGTGACCAAGATTTGATCGTGCCTGACTCAACCAGAACGATTTTCACCGCAGTCGTTGCGGCCACTCCGATGCCCGCGAGTCAAAACACTCAGCACCGCCGTTCTCTGAAGCGCCGGTCCATTTTCGACATCTGGAGCGATGATGTTCTCGACTCTGAAAGAGATATCTTCACGAACCCGAGTTTCCTGGACAGCTCCGCTACGACCGCGCCTTTCGCCCCATCCACTGCAAACACGACCCGAAATCTGAAACGCACAATCCATGTCCTCGAAGATACACATGGTAATGCTCAGAAACAAGATACTCAGCAGACATCCCGGGAATCCACTCAAGAACCGGATGACCCGGAAGTAGAGGAGCCGGTCCCTGTTGAAGCTAAAGCTGAAACAACTTCGACTGCTGAAGATGCCCCCACTGGATGGGAGGATATTGACAGACTTATGTTCGAGGAATATGGTCGCTTTATCAACTTTAATTAGGCGCTGACATTATCTGTTATTATGAATGAGTGCATTTTACTGGAGCAATGGCGCTGATGCTTGATTATGGACGGATCTGACCGGCATGGTGTGTTTTGAATTATTGACACTCGATATCTTATATGAGCTCCGAAAGATGGATGCATGTGTTAGTGGTTATATTATCAGGCTATATTATTCTACTCTAATACATTTTATCAAAGATTATCCAGAAATTTCTCTGCTAGTAGCTGGTTCTCTCAATTCACAAAGCGTGGGAGTTCTTCCAAGGTTACTAGACCGGGATTCCCATACCTTCGGGCGTAAACTTGGAACAGGAATTTCATATAGAAAGCAAAAATTAATTAACTGAATATCCTTCTTGGGCTTCATCTCATTTCTTTTGTCCTCCTTTCTTGATAGACTGCTCTACATCTACTCTCTTAAAGCGATATTTCTTCTCGCCTGTTGTCTTACCTTCCTCTCCGATTCCTCCCCATAACGAAGACATTTGACATTCACGAAGAAGCTAACAATTCGACGAGACTTACGTTTATTGGGGAGCTTAGCTCTATAATTCCAGGTCACAGCATGTTTCAAAAATTGTAGATTTTGAGGACTGGTCAAAGTCTATATGATTTCTGTGGTGTTTGACAAGCTGAAAATTGTCTCTGTAACGTATGCAACAACTGAGAATGTCGGAAAGTGCTTTAAGGCCATCGTCAGCTAACCCATCGTGAGTTCTCTGAGTGTGGCAAATTGAGCCCCGGGAGGAAAAGTTGGCTCGCAACTAATAAGATGTGGAAAAATGGAGAACCAAAATACCTAGGCAGGTCTCGGTTCTTCGGGCATTTGGCTTGTCTCATCTTCAACGGACGTGCGCCCTTTTTGACCGTTCTCAATTACCGAGGTCGCCCCTTAAATCGTGTGTATGACCTCTGTTTACCTGTTGAAAGGAAGGCGTGATAAGCTCACAAGGTCTACCAGCCCACTATGAGCATGCAAGCTTTGCCAAGTCTAAGCGATATTTCTTGGAAGATGTAAATTTGAGTGTCTCCACGGTCCTCCTGGACGGAGGCCCAGTGGTATTCCGACGGGAGGCGCTCAACAAAGACGCATTATCCCTCTCTGGGGGTCCCGTGGGATTTCTGCAGCAACGACTAGAAAGGCAAGAAGATCAGTTCCTCTTTGAAACATGGCGAATATGCAAACAGATTGGACAACAAACCTGGTTCTTCAGGGATCGGACCTAGCTCATAGAGAGGGCTCGGCGATAAGGAGCGGGAGTAGTTTAGCTCCCCTTGAATGGTTACCTTGGCTGTGGATCACTTTATCACGGACGTCCGTCGGAATTTCTTTAGCCGCTCTGATTTTTGGCCCTTAATCACCTGTATTAGATCTAATCTCAAATGGGAACGCCGATATGCCGAATAGTCCTCACATCTGGACCCTTTTCTCCCCGGTTGGGCCACTTCCCCGCTTTTCACCAGGCCAACTCGCCAGTCTCCAGGCACGATGTCACCTTGATTGTAATCTTTGAACCCTGAAGTTTGTCATGGAGATAACGTGAGATGATCTCAAAGCTTGAGCGCGAGTTTTCTCCACTTTTTCGCGACTCTATCACTCGGACCTCTCCGAAATTTACCCAATTTGGCAATGCACTAGATCGAAGAATCCTTCTTTGTTTCCTGGTCCCCAATGCAGGATCTATGCATCTCATAAGAACATGTTATCCTGTGATCCAATGATTTGCGAGGCGAACATAGAATGTGACCCTATCCACCAGTAAGCCCTTCGCTTCGAAAGCCATCTTCGTGCCCGAGGGCTTTTAGTCTCCGTAGCTCGTGGATCGACGTTCGGGATTCCTCAGAAAGGCAACAACATGTTCTTAGTCCCCAAATGATGCGATAGACACTATCTTGGATGCTGGCCGTTGTCCCTGTCCTTCAGAAATGGCGAAGCATGGGAAAGTATATAAAGAGCCATTTGTCGCTAGGCTTTTGGCTTGCTTCATTCAGCATCAGCATCCTCTTCTCTTCCCTTGACATTGAGTCTTCAAGCCTTCACAATGGTTGTCATCAACAACGTTGCCATTACCCTCGCGGGTCTGGCCTCTATCGCCTCAGCTGCCCCTGCGACCAAGGTTGGCAGCAAGTTCTCGCTCAACCAGGTTGCTCGTCCTGCTACGAAGACCTCCAACTTCGCCGCCTCTTATGGCCGTGCTCTTTCCAGGTATGGCGCTACTGTGCCATCGCATATTCAGGCTGCCGCTGTTGCTAGTGGTGTTGCAACCACTACCCCAGAGGCTAACGACGAAGAGTATCTCACTCCTGTTACCATTGGTGGCACCACTTTGAACTTGGACTTCGACACTGGATCGGCTGATCTGTGAGTGAGCCCTTCTTCTTTGGTTACCAAGACTCCAAATTAATCAATTCTTAGCTGGGTCTTCTCTACCGAGCTCTCTTCTTCTGAGCAGTCTGGCCACTCTGTCTATAATCCTAGCAAAAGTGGAACTAAGCTGAGCGGATATACTTGGGATATTTCCTACGGCGATGGAAGCGGTGCCAGCGGCAATGTCTACACAGACAAGGTCACTGTTGGTGGCGTTACTGCTTCCAAGCAGGCCGTCGAGGCTGCCGAGCAGATTAGTTCCGAGTTCCAGCAGGACGTCGACAACGACGGTCTCCTCGGTCTGGCTTTCAGCAGCATCAACACTGTCTCGCCCAAGGCCCAGAATACCTTCTTTGACAATGTCAAGAGCTCACTCTCTCAGCCCCTCTTCGCTGTTGCCTTGAAGCACGCCGAGCCCGGTGTCTATGACTTCGGCTTCACAGACTCCTCCAAGTACACCGGCTCCATTGTGTACACTGATGTTGACAACTCACAAGGATTCTGGGGCTTCAGCGTTGACAGCTACAAGGCTGGCACCAAGTCGGGCGCTGGTTTCGACGGAATTGCCGATACCGGTACCACTCTGCTCCTTCTCGATTCCACCATCGTCTCTCAGTACTACTCCCAGATCAGTGGTGCTAAGAATGACAACAACGCTGGTGGGTACGTCTTCCCTTGCTCTGCCACTCTGCCCGATTTCAGCGTCAGCATCAACGGATACACTGCTACCGTGCCCGGCACCCTGATGAACTACGGCTCCTCCGGCGATGGCTCGTGTCTTGGTGGTCTTCAGTCCAACGCCGGTATTGGCTTCTCTATCTTCGGTGATATTTTCCTGAAGAGCCAGTACGTCGTCTTTGACTCCAACGGTCCCCAGCTTGGCTTTGCTGCCCAGTCTTAAGTCAATCTACCTTGTGGTATAAGACAGTCACTACCTTTATCGAGCACGAAACGCAAAGGGGCAAAAAAAATAAGAGTTACTATAGCAGGCGGGAATGAACTCCCAAGAATTTGAAATTTCATACCATTGTGAAATAAAATTTGACTTGTCAACTTTGTAAGCCAGAACAACCAGTTATTCTTAAATTTTAGTAGTTGAAAAGCTCTGAAGTTAGAAACAACCGTTATGCCTTGTCTTGCCTGGTGCAATTGAAGAGATATTTTAATGCTATATTTGAAGAAAGCAAAGTTCTTTATCGAAAAAATTCCTAGTAAGATTGATTAAAACGATAAAAAGAGGTATAGAAAGAGGTTGAGGGGACCATGAGAACAGTCATTCCTCAGGTTCCCTTAGGATTTCTTCCCGATCGGGATGTGCCACATGTGCAGCGGGCGGGTCCGTAGCCGGCTGCCAGGGGTGATCCACGCCGGGAGAGGCTTATCAATAGGTCTTGTCCTTTGAGATGAGATCTCACGAAAAATCTTTAGCTCGCCGATATGCGTTTCTTTGAGTTGAAGGTCTCATGTAAGCTCTGCCTGGAGACGGCCCAGTCAATATTATTACTTGCTCCTACGTTCGGCCAAACGAGAGCCGAGTCTATGATCCCATCAAGCACGTGACGTTATCTGCCCATCAAATTTCAATGTCGCTTTAACCACTCAAATAGATAAATATCCTGTATACTCTCTATTCATTTACATACCTATTAATCGCGGCCCTAGCCGACCTCCAAATCTGCGTCTAAATTCAACATAATCATCATACCTGGGCATGTGCACGGGCATGTGCACCTCACCGCTAATGACTTTACCCGTATTCTTAGGTAATATTTGAAAAAGTTTCATCACTTCAAAGGCTTCACTCTTTCAGAATATCATACAGATTGGGTTAGTTCTTCCTATTTAAGAATCTCAAACGTGCACCTCTAATATATGTAGGGGTTTCATTGTTCTCGTGGCCTTGTTCCTGACGTGAAAATCATCTCTATGGCGAATCCAGACGATGATATCGGTGTAGAGAGGCATGCCGATCACGAGGCTGAAGCCCAACATGATGATGAAATCAAAAGGTCTGCACTTGACGATGAAAATAATAGAACCATGTCCACCGCATCATCTACATACGCCGCTGATCAGATGTCACTTTTCCATGAATGTGTCTTCATCGCAACGATATGTACGGCTCAATTTACTACACAAGTGGGTCTAACCCAAACATTGGGCATTCTGCATCAGATCGGCGACAGCTTCGGTATCACGAACCCCGGAGTACTTTCTTGGTTCATTGCTGGTTATAGCTTGACGGCGGGGACCTTCATCCTTGTTGCCGGCCGGATTGGGGATCTCTTTGGGTACAAAAGAGTTTTCTTAATAGGCATGTTGTGGTTCTCTCTCTGGACAATGGTTGCGGGACTCAGTGTCTATTCGAACCAGTATCTGTTTATATTCGCCAGAGTACTTCAGGGACTGGGCCCTGCTGCATTACTACCCAACGGACTTGCACTCTTAGGAGTTTCATATCCTGCCGGGCCAAGGAAAAACATGGCATTCGCGTTATTCGGTGCCTGCGCTCCAGGCGGGGGGGTCTTCGGATTCCTCTTCTCCGGCCTGTTCACGTTAGCTTGGTGGCCGTGGACATTCTGGAGTTATGCTATCGCGCTGGCACTGCTGGCCGCCTTCAGCGCCCTAGTCATCCCAGCACAAACCCGCTCGCGAGACCAAGACAAGACGCTTAGAGAAAAGCTCCAAATGCTCGATATACCGGGAGCCATCACCGGCGTCGCAGCGCTAGTGCTGTTCAATTTTGCATGGAACCAAGGCCCGGCGTACGGCTGGCAACAGGCCTACATCTACGTCACCCTCATTCTCGGCATCCTTTTCGCAGTTTCCTTCTTTTTCATCGAGTCTCGGTGGGCCAAGATGCCGCTTGTGCCCTTCCAGGTCTTCACGGGTGATATCATATTTGTGGTTGCCTGCATTGCCTGCGGCTGGGGCTGCTTTGGGATTTGGATCTATTACTTGACGCAGTTTATCGAGGTGCTGAGGGGCGGCTCACCGTTGCTCCTGGCCGCATACATCTGCCCCGTAGCTGTCTCGGGTGCGTTCGCATCTGTGGCTACTGGCTTCCTGCTGCACCACGTTCGCGCGGCGTGGGTCATGACATTCTCACTTACGTGTTTCATGGTGGGGACCATACTGGTGGCGACGGCACCGGTACATCGAACGTACTGGGCCCAGTTGTTTGTGTGCATGCTGGTCATCCCATTCGGCATGGATACGTCATTTCCTGCGGCGACGGTCATTTTCTCGAACGCTGTTAAAAAGGAGCATCAGGGAATGAGTGCGGCCTTGGTTGCTACGGTCGTCAACTATAGTATCTCGCTTGGATTGGGATTTGCGGGCACGATTGAGGTGCATGTCAATCATGGTGGCACGACGCCTGCTGATATCCTGCTTGGGTATCGTGGCGCTTGGTATTTTGGCATTGGGTTGACTGTACTAGGCATTGGGTTGAGTTTGATCTTTGTCGCGAAAGGCTACTGGCATGACAATAAAGAGAAGCGAAGTTCAGAGCCGTGATGCCGAAAAAGAAGTGCAGGTTGGATGGATGGATGGATGATTTCATTTGGCCGACCCCTCGCCGAAGTGGTATGGAGGCAAAAAAAAACTAAAAATGTCTAGATATGAATAATTAATGGATACACTCCCCGAACGCGAATATGGAATTCTGTATATCAGGGTGACAGAGAAAGAAGCTACATGACGGCGCACCTGGGCGCCAACCCTGAGAGGCAGAATTTACCGGAAAGAGGCATCCACAAGTCAGCGTATTGAACCATATATCCCAGAGCCCTGAACGTCCCAGCACCCTAACCCCAAAATGAATATGAAGAGAAATAAAATTTGCTATCTCCAACATCGCTTCGTTTATTATAAGTAAGAGCTCCAATAAATCACACACTGAATTAAAAATAAGAAAGGAGGATACTATCGAATATGAAACTCAGATGTTTCAAGTCGGGTCTCAAGTTGGATCTCCTTAGTCTGAACATAAAACTCATCCTGCTTAGTGACGAAAGTATTACTCTCATCTTTACACATACTCGTGGGGTTGCTGGGCTTCACTGCGGCCAAAGCACGGAATCCACACCCTAGGGCCCCTTCCAGAGTAGGGGAAACTGGCTTAGGAGTGTCTTTCTTGACTTCTATGACAGCACGGCGAATGCCCTCAAGGCCAGATTTGTTGTGCTTTTCAAGCTCGTCAACGTGAGCATATGCTGCAGTTTCCTTGATTGCCAATCGCTCGTAAGAGTCTGCTCCGCCCATTTTCCACTCTTCGATAAACTTTGGAAAGCTTCCAATTCTGTATTCGAACGTTGGGTTTCCATGGCTGTCGACGGTCGAGCGACGGAGATAGTTGTAGTCAAACTCCTTGCCAATGGGATGGTAGAGTTGGACTTCTGGGCTACCGGGATTCATCGTCTTGAAATGCTCCCGTCTGTAGTGAACGACAGGATGGATGAACTCGTGGGTGTTGCCGTAGATAACAGACTTCCCGTCCTTCTCAGTCTCGACTCCTTTGCCGGGCGTACGTTTGGTCTGCCCATTGGCCCAGTACATCTTAGTGTAGCTGTCTACCATCTCCCCCAGACCCCACCGATAAACACGAAGTTTGTCGAAAGCAGGCCTGGGCAGATTAGTGCTGGGACTGAAAGGATGGATGATGCTCGAAGCAGTTGAAACTGCCACGCGCGAGCCCCATGCGCACCAGGACTCCTCCTTGAGAGCTAATTGCTGTCGCTGCCACTCCTTAAGATCCTGATTGAATTGGGCGATATATTCCTCGCGATCGGCGTAATCTTTCATGATGGCTTCCTCGTTAATGGAGAGATGGGGCCGGATCTGATCAAGCATCCAGGAAAAGGTGATGTTAGACATCTCTTCCATGTCGCCTATATTGTGAAGGGTATCACTCGAGCCTCCGCCGACGTTGACGTGATAGCCAGGGAACCAGACTTGTTTTAGCTCAGGGTGCTGCTCCAGTCGATTCTGGTACTTCACACGCTTTCGCTGGGTTCTGTTCCATATTTTGGCAAGCTCGTTGGCCTCATGGCAAGCCTGGTTAACAAGCTCGTTGGCGGCGTTTTTCTCCTTGAGAGACTGTGCGTAGTCCCGTTTGTTTTTGAATGCTTTCCTAGCCTTTTCCTCGGCATCGACCCTCTCCTTTAAGTCGCCTTTGGAGACTTGCCGAGTCGGGATATAGAATAGAGTCGGTGCAAATGCCCTGCGAGACTCGTCAAGGGCCAGAGCGTGGTAAGCGTGTTTGATGTCTAGACATATTTAATTAGAGTCTTTGTTACTTTGACTCACGAATGCAAGTTGACTTACTGACGCAGAGCTCTGTGTTTTGCCAGTAGGGTTGGTCTTTCCAGAACAAGAACTTCTGAGGGAATTTGAAACCAAACACTTCGGGCATTCCCAAAGCACCAACGGTGTCATAGACACCAACTACCTCGACCTCTTTCGTCTCATCCGGAGACCATTCGCCCTCTGCCATTTGGGTCCAACGAAGCTCCGTCTCGTTTGGGCCTCCGGCACCTTGGTTTTCATCGAGCTTGCCCCACATCCATTCATACCAAGCATCACTGCGATGGAACCGCTTTCCAGGATGATCCTTGCCATGCTGCTTGTATACTTTCCACAGATCGGGGAATTTGTTCAGGTTGCTTTGATCGCAAATTCCAATATCGGAGATCAGACCAGCGATAGTGCGCGCAGTGAAGGCACCACGGGAAAATCCGAAGCACATAATTTTATCACCTGGGTTATAATTGAGCACACAAAAGTTATATGCCTCAACAACATTGCCTTCGAGACCCTTGCCGAACGCTCCTTCGACGGCATCGCCCAGTGCCAGCGCGGTCGTACCCACACCGGAGTCGTACCAGACCACTTGCTGCCATACTCTACCGTCTTCGTCGGTACCAACTCGATTCAGTGCGCGGCAGAGTCGAGTGATATTGGACGGCACATTCTTTTCGCCCGAGACAGAGGATTGCCAGGTTCCGTCGCAGCAGATGACAATACGCTTGGGCGCCCAGGAGCGACTAATGTCTTTCTTTTGTCTCACACGCAATTCATGATCCTCGCTGTGAAGATGCTCCCCTCCAAGGGTCACACAATAGGGGTCCATTTCAACTATCGTGGAAACGAGCAGGGAAATGTATAGGTTAAGGAAGTAAGATGAAGACCCTGGAACAGGATCCTCAACCCCAGAACGACGAGGCTCTTATATTCACGAACGACCGGGTCTTTTTACCCAGGTACTTTAAGGCCTCCATTATGCTTTGGCTTATTCAGTGTGTGCAGTCTCCTGCATGAAGCCATCGCTTTTTGGCCCCAGGTTGGCTCGTCTAATATCGCCACGGCCAAGTCCGACGCTAGACCTGTTAAGGTCTTTCAGCTCCCCCCTCATTCGCGTATCTGAGGCTTTTGTTCAGCTGCGGAGTCCACACTGTCTGGCGCCAGCTGGGCTTAGCGTGATCCATAATCCAATGAGGACAAGGGAATTCCGGATATGTGATCGATAGTTCGTGTCAATCACGCGTGGACGCCTAAGACCCCACGAATGCCGCAGAACGAGCCGATGAATACGACCAAACTCAAAGCCTTCACGGGGTTCTTGTTCTGCGGATGAACTAACAATAGGACAACAATAAACGATTTCTTCAGGTCATAGCACTATAGCACCACGCCATGAATGGATCTCGGCTGCTGTGGAACCTTTCCGCCGCGCTACCACAGATCGCGTCGCGTCGGCAAGAGCAATCAACGTGCCCAGGTGGACCCCGTGCTTTTTCATCAGCTTCTCTCTAGTAATTTACCCCCCCCTCATCTTTTACCTGGGTATACTTGTCCAGGTCTACAAGCTGACACCCCGACGATTGGATGGGATACGACGGTCTTGATAGGTATCCACTAACAAGGCCTAGTGTAGTCCACAATCCAGTTCTTCCGAGATGATAATCCAAAGGGGCCTCTGCATTAATTCTTCGGCTCGTACTCAACATCTTTCTGGGGCATCTCACTAGACCTATTTTGGTTCCTTTTTTAGAATATCCTTTGAATGGGGTTGAATACCTCCGCTATGATTTAATTACGGCCGCCTATTTAGAACCGATTATGTTATATTCCTGGCCCGGCTGTAGAACATATACTCCGTAATGAAAACAGTCCGAGAACGCGACGCGACCAAAAGTGCGTGTCTCGATTGAGTTAGCCCTCTCACTTCCATTTGCATCGTCACAAAAGACACGATGCCTTTCTTCCAGCAGAACTATAATATGGCATCACGAACCACCAAAAAGTTTCTGTAGCGATTCTCCGTGGATTTCCTCATTCTTTTGCCCCAATAAAGCATCAAGACTGTAGTCATCACCATAATGACGAAGCTGATGATGCATATCTCAACAAACACGTGAGTAACGCTTTGAACATCAAGCCATGATTCTATCGATCTGTCAGCAATGAGAATTGAGGGCTAGACAGAAAACTTACGACAAACAAATGAGAAAATACACCCAAGAGTGTTATTGATGACGGAGACCCCGACCATGCCTTCGAGAATAATCTCCGGATAGGCGTCCTCCAAGTAAGCCATGGAGAGATCTCCGGCACAGCCCCACCCGAAGCCGATCATCCCAAGACCAATGTAAGGCCATGTCCACTTCCATCCCTGATCTGTACCTAATCCGAGAATTAAAAGTCCGATTGGGCTGACGACTCCTGCTGGAAGTACCAGCCATAAACGATGCTCAGCCTCGTAGGTTCCATTGTTTCTTTTTGCCATCCAGTGGACAAAAATGTCGGAGAAATAACCTCCATACAGACATCCAATTATGGCGCCAATGAGGGTCGGGACGTTCATCAGAGCAGCCGATACCTGTGAGTAGTTCCAGGGAGATTCAACCCAGTTGTCTTCTTCAATAGTCATATAGAATGTCAACCAGGCATCTTGTGCGCCCCATTGTAAGCCAGAATACCAGACCGCTGGTAATGCGAAAACTTTCATATTGTGAAACAAAAGTTTGAAGTACTGCTTGGTACCAGTTCCTTTCACATTCGGCGCAGGAGGAAATAGATAGGCTTTCCAAGTACGGCTAGTCTGGTGCCAGCTTCCATGCTCTATATCGTGACCAGTATTTTTTGATGTTGGTGTTTCACCCGAAAACTTTGGAATATCGGCCGATTCTTCCTTAGGTGAAAGGACCTCTGCCAAAGAATCGTCTGCTCGAGAAGAGATCGTAATCTGTGGTGTCCGATCGAATGATGTCTCCTCAAATCCAAGAAAGAAAACGATCAGCGTGGCAACTGAAAGGATTGTTCCAAGCCACCCAATCCATCTCCAGCCAAGTTTATCAGCAATAATACCAGCTATTAAGGGACCCAAGTAGGTTCCCACACTGGTGGCCAAGATGTATAAACCGAGGACAGATCCTCGCTGATGTTGGAAAAACAAGTCGGAAAGAGAAAGCTGGGCGGTTGCTTCGGCACAAGATTCGGATGCCCCAACAAATAACTGGTTCCACAGAGCACTTTGGGTATTCTGCGTACAGGCCAGCCAGACGGACCCAATTATTGAGAGGAGGAGACAAACAATGTAGATTACCCTCCGGCCATAGAGGGCGGGAATCGGCGAGAAAAGGAGCGTTCCATAGCCAATGGCAAGAAATAGAATTCCAGAAGACGTGTTCATTGAGCCCCATGATATGCCCAACTCATCATTCATGCCATACTGGGCCGGTGATATATCATTGGAGGTTGCGGCGGTCAGTCCGACAATAAAAAGTACAAGAAATGAATGCCAGTATTTTCTGCCCAGTGACCAATTGAGTGGGTCATTGGGAGAGTCCGTTGGGGTAGGGTTGAGGGATGTATCGACCACTTGATCAGTGGAGCTGGAATTTGTGGAGAAGTATTTGACAAAGTCGCGAAGCTTCTGATGTACAGAAGCCATGTCACTAAAGTATATCAATTTGAGTACGATTGATGATAGAAACACAAACGAGATAAATGATTGCAGATGACAAGGGGTGATTTTTATCTCTTTAGTACGCACTAGAGGCTTAAGCCTTCTGGGGAATCATGCAAATCGGGAAGTCCTATCAACACATCCGCTAGTCTCATGATATGCCGGAGAACCGTATTTCTGGTTGACTGGAATCAGAGTATAATTCACGCATGTACCTGCTTTTTTGGCCCTGGGCACAGTCTGGTTTCGAATTAAGCCTCAAATTAATATGATGAAACGGATTATTGGTCTTCCCATATAATCAAAGCGGAGATCTACCAGCAATCTATTGGTATGTTTGGCCCGAGATAAGCGTTTTAGCCCAGTAACTCCGATCTCATTGTGCCCCAGCTTAAACTATCCGTATGCGTTGCTTTCTTTTCTAGGATAGAGTACGATGAGAGGATGAAGCGAAGAGTAAATTATAAGAAAGGTCTAAGCGACAGACAGAATTCATATCTAAAGAGGTTCCCAACGGTCTTGTTTCCCTTGAACTTTCTTTAAACACCTTAGGATGGCGTACCACGAGGAGATAAGAGAGATGACACACAGGTTTCTGGCCTCTCAGGATAAGCGATAGTAGCGTGATAGTAAGGTTACCGCCGCTTGTATGCAAAGCTATTTGAGAAATGAGCTAGGAAACATTCAAATGACAACAGTGTGTGTGACAACACTCAACTCATTCATTTTCATCTTGAACTTTATCGGCCCATTCGCCTCTACCCCTCACCAAAATCACTAGCCCAAGTGCCCCAGCCACTGAGTCGCCCTGACCCCTGATTACGAATTAATGGACTAGCTATCAATGAAAGACTTTCCCTGGCTCACAATTCCATTCTAGGCCGTTTGACGTGAGAGCGTCGATCGGCTAAATGCGGGGTAAGGAACTATCCGCCTTGCTAACACGATATTGACGCGCTAGCCCTCGGATCCCGATAAATCATTTGAAGCAAAACGTTAGAAACGCGGATAGGAAGTTAACAGCGATGTCACTCTCCCCGCGAGCGCTTTGATTTGCGGCGCTAATGCGTAGGCCTTCCTAGTATGGCAAGGGGAGTCTCGGGTGAACCTTGGCGAAAGCTTGCTTCTCTAGCCGAAGGCCGTAAAGGGACATTTATTTGATTGGCCATTCATTCTTATCGAGAGGAAACTCTCGTACATGCAGCTATCACAGATATGAATATTCCAGCCCATGCATCCGCTCGTAATCCGCTTGGCAATATTGCATATTTTCAACGCGATCTTCTTAGTAGTTATGATACCATGAAAGGCCTAGCAGTAGAACTAGAAAAAAGACCCCCCAAAAATGATTGCTTCCACCGCGATGGATGGCTTACAAGTGCAGCATGGGAACACATTCCCAAGATTTCGAAGCGTGTCGCGGGCTGGCTTCTGGAATATGGGTATTTCCAACGGCGACAGATTCAAAGAGAGGATGACTCACTCCATCATTTTGAAAACGAATCAGTGGTTCAGCTTCTGACAGCAAGCCCCGCTAGGTCCTGTGACATTGAATACAGCAAAGGACATGCGCAGTGCGATAGTTCAATCATCCCCGAGACCTGATCCACCTCGCATGGACATACCAAATTTGCTCTCAAGCATGTCTACGATAAAGCGCGCCTCTCCGGCCTCTTCCTCTGACATGAACCCTATCTTGGCAGTACATTCACGTACAGGTTTTCCTCTCACTTCTCAGAAAACTTCCACCTTCTTTTCTTTGGATCTCTCGATTTTCCGGAATTCAGAATGTCTCTTCATGTCAGTTCAAATTTCATACCAGCCTCCATGGACCGGGAAGCCAACGCACGCTCTTTGTCCGCTCTTGTTCAAAAGCCACGCGTAGATTCCTCGACGCAGATGGAGCCCTTGGAAGGCGAGGAGACTTTTGTGATCAAGAGAACAGAAGCGACTCAACCCCATGCCGAACTCTCTTCCAAGACCTCTCCAAAAACAGTCCTTGTCGTGGGAGCGGGGATAGCTGGACTGCGCGCCGCATCAATCTTGAAGCGACATGGTCTCCACGTGATCGTTCTTGAGGCTCGTGACAGGATTGGAGGAAGGATCCTGACCAGCAGAAAGAGCGGAAAGCCAGCACGAGATATGGGTGCGTCTATCCGAATATGGTGTTTTCCAGAGTTTTGCAGGGGTACCTTTAACTCAATGTGGGGAACAGCTCCAGCGAGTTTCTTCTTGAGTGATAAGTCTACTTTCCACAGAATGTCCTTTGAAAGAAAGGATATAGTACTGACATTAGTGAGTGACTACAGGGGCCGCTTGGATGCACGAAACCTCCCAAAACAAGCTTGTTAAGCTGATTCCGAAACTCGGACTTCAATACTATTATGACGATGGGACACCCTTTTATTACACCTCTGATGGACGTGCTGGATCTCAGTTCAAAGCAAAGAAAGTAGTCGATGAGTTTGCAGACTATGCAGAGTGGTTTTATGAAACAAGTCCCGACGCCAAGGACAGAAGTGTCGATGAGTTTATACGAGAGTTCACCAAAGAGCATCCACTGATTACTCAAGACGAAAGACTGTGGGCTCCGCAGGTGATCAAAGAGATGGAACAATGGGTTGGAACGAGCACTACCCTGGCATCCTCAAAACACATGAACTACTTCGTTACTGAGCGAAATCTCTATATGAAGGATGGCTATGATTCCATCGTCAAATGGACGGCCCAAGACTTGCTCAAAGGCCCTGGTTCCATTCGACTGCATCAGATGGTCAAAAAAATACAATGGAGCGAGGATTCATCTTCTCCGATCCTTGTGGAATGCGCAAATCCAGAAGACGAAAGTCAAGTCCAGACAGTCTTCGGGGACGCGATTATCGTCGCAACTCCGCTGGGCACATTTCATCACAACCTAATATCATTCGATCCCCCTATCCCTCGGGACATGCAAAACGGAATCAACAATCTTAGCTATGGAGCACTGGGTAAAGTATTTTTTGAATTCAGTGAGGTATTCTGGTCTAAAAATCACGACCAGTTCATCTACTATCCTTCGCCACAGGACCCGACTGATGAGACTTCCGAGATAGTCAATGACTCAGAAGCACTCGACACTATCTTGAACTACTCTACAGTGACGGTGAATCTTTTACTAGTAGCGGACAGCAAAGAACTGTGTGTCCAGGTAGTTGAGCCACTGACACAGAAGGTGGAGGCTATCACTGACAAGAAGGAACTGTATGGGTTCTTTGAACCACTGTTCAAGCTCTTGCGGACAGAGCCCTACAAGGCCCTACCTAAAGTCACGAGCATCGAGTCCACTTGTTGGACGCAAGATGCTTTTGCTGGATTTGGGACTTATACATCCGAGAAGGTTGGCGATGATCCCGATATCTTGATAAATGCGGCGCAGAATCGCACGAAGAGCAAACTTCAATTTGCGGGTGAGCACCTGGCTATTGCAGGAAGCGGATGTGTTCATGGAGCTTTCGCAACCGGCGAGGCAGCAGCCAGGAGAATACTTGGCTCTTTGGCTGTTGAATGCAAGGAAGAACTGTTGAGTCTCGATTGAATATTTCTCTAGCTTATCAAATAAAGGTCCAATTCTACATGACTAGTTTCTCTGGTCTACGATACTATGGCTTTGCCGTTTCAGGATAGGAAGCCGACTGTTGTTCATCCTGACGTACTTCAAACAATACTAGTTGCCTGATTTCAAGCGCGCTACTCAGAGAATGACGTGCGTTGTAGTTTAAGTTGGTCTTCGAGACAAAACAACTTTGGGGTTTGATCTCGGCCGCCGATGGGCCCCAAATGTGCTTTGGACAATAAGGCTCATTTGATGAGATATAATTGAAAACGTATTTCCAGCTAACTATCCACTGGAGTTTTAATGAAATCAACAGCATCGTACACATACCTAAGCGCAGGTTCGGATTAGCCATCTTCAAAAGAATTCTTCCAGTATATGGAGCTTCATGTTGCCGGCAAATAGATCATGTCGGGCTCACTGCAATTTGAGAATGATGGACTGAGATCATAGAGTACCGCTACTATTTCAATCAATAGACAGGCCATTTGGAGAACCACTTGCGAATAAACGAAATCTTCTCCTTATCGGCTACAGCGATTGGTTTCCACGCATTTCCCACCTCCATGATTTTAGCGGAGTTGGCGCTGTTCCCCGGCCAGTGCGGCAATCCCTCGCCATTGGGGTTACCGCTGCGGATAAAGTTCACCCAGTAATCGGACAGCTTGTCCGCAATTTCGTAATCCAGAGAAGTCCAGGGCTTTTCCGTTGCATACAGGTTGTTAAAGGCATAATTGATCTCGCTCATGTGGTAAGCGCCTTCGTCCTGACCAGGCGGCGCGTGGGTCCAGTAGTAGGTGTAGGTCTGGTAGGTTCCGTTACGGGAGGTGTTTCGAGCAGAGCCGGCCAGATACTCGTTTGCCCACAGCCAAACAGACATGCGCGTCTGGTCTTGATAAAAAGTATTTTGAGACACATCGGCGCTGTGGTTGCTGTGGCCGGCTGGATAGAGCTTGAAGAATTCATCGGCAAGTCCAACGCTGCCGAATTCATATGCGTTCTGTGCTGTGTAGCTCGACACTGTCATGCCTGGGCTGGGCGTGGCTCCATTCTCGTCTCGGTTGCCGCCTGTTAGGACAGGGGCGATGGTATGATTTCCGCGATTCAGCATCTCCTGGTACGTGGCAGGAAGCACGTAGCCGTCCAAAACAGGTCGGAACAGGGGTGGCTCCATGTACGCCGAGTTGTCGGCAAAGACAGTGTTGCTGTAGGTGACATCGTCTTTGTTACCGCTTGACAAGAACAGCTCAACGGAGGCGTTCCGCGCAGCGGTGATGCTCTGAAGGCCGAGGCTCTTGAGGTATTCTACTCCTTGGCTTTCGGCCGAGCTCAGAGAGCGGTAGCTCTGGGCAATGCTACCAATGAGTGGGTTGGAGGGGTAAGTTGCACCGCTCTCCGCAATCACCTGCTCGAAGAGGCCATCTGCGAGCTCGCTATTGAGGTGGTCGAGTACCGAAGCGGCGCCCGCAGATTGACCACCGATGGTGATGCGCGTAGGATCACCACCGAACGAGGCAATATTCTCGTTGGTCCAGTGTAGCGCAGCCTGCTGGTCGACAAGCCCATAGTTGCCAGACGTTCCGCTAACTGAGACGTTGCTTAGCTCTGGGTGTGCCAGGAATCCAAGCGCACCCAGGCGGTAGTTGACGGTCACGACAACCACGCCCTTGGCTGCAAGACCAGCGCCATCGTATAGAGCCTGACTGGAAGACCCAGAGCCGAAGCGTCCACCATAGAACCAGACATAAACGGGCATCTTGCTTCCCGATTCAGCAGGAACAATGCCGATACCAGTCTCGGTGTTGTTCACGACATCATTGAGCCTCGCGGTGTCAGGCGTCCAGATATTCAGATACAGACAATCCTCGCTATAGTTGCTTGCCCCTTGCTGCGGACAGTCTGGGGCAAACTCTGTCGCGTCACGAATACCTGACCACCCAGCGACATGCTGTGGGTGTCTCCAGCGATACTCGCCTGTTGGAGCTGACGCAAATGGGATGGCCTTGAAGTTATAGACAGAGTTAAGATACTCCGACCTGTTTCCCCGAATTGTACTCTCGTATGTGTCGATATAGACTGTCGGGGACTCGGCCGAAGCAGTGGCGGAGCTAGAACCAGAGCTAGTTTCGATATTGCTTCGGGTTCCGACCACTGAGCCTTGCACTATGCCAGCCAGGGCCAGGCTAAGTAGGAGGGATCTCATTGCCATTGAATCGTGTGATGATGGTTCCCGTTTTTGCCAGCGCTCCTTTCTTTATTTATACTGCCGTAAGTGTCAATACCCGAGGTTAGCTCCTTTAATTTTGAAATGTTTGAGTGGTGTTGACGCGGCCTTATTTAAACCCCGCTGTTTTTAGGTCCCTAGACTCTTCACTGTCTTTATAGATCCCCACATCCCCGGGCCGATCCTTTCCTTCGGAGAAGTCTGCCATTTTAGGAAGCCCGGGAGGTGAGGCATTTCGAACGGGGGCGCTCAAGGCTTCAGTTTCTCTGTGCTAAGTTTATTTCCATGATTGCTATCCAATGAAGGTCGGAGAAATAAACGAAGAAGTTTCTTGAGTTTGATTGTTTTTCCTGCGTGGATTGCATTGTTGCACATTTCGGACATATTTTCTCCTGTATCTCCGAGATTGTAGATCTTGCCGGTCCCCGAGAAATTCCCACAGCCCCTTGCGGGGCGTGTTCATTCTGCCCGGTGAGTTAAATGGTATCACCGAGGTCTGAAATATTCAATTAATATCATAAGCTTGCTCCCTTTCGGTTTCATTTTGGTGGCATGATGCGTGGTTGAAAATATTACCTTGCTAGGGTGTCCGCTCGCTTGGAAATCACGTTATACAACGACGTCGAGCTCACAGACTGATTAAAAGTAAGCTTATGCCAATCAAACAGGTGAGAAAAAGGCACAGAAAAAGATGTTGAAATGCAGGAGATCTAGAGACACGGAAGCAGGAAGGAAAATCGATGATCGATTCGGAGAATCTCACTACACACTAGGGCTGTATGTACAAGCGGAAAATCAGGAAAGCAGGACATAGATATTTTGGCAAAATTTTCTACTAACGAAGGTTAGCATCTCATCGGTTGATGCCATCGTTTAGCTGATTCAAATGACGGCCGAGACAGCATCTCTAAATGGTGATCTGTCGGGCTGATCGGAATCTGGCGGCGTTGGCAGATGCCACACAGCATTTAGTAGTGTGATAGAGTATTTTTGTCTAGCGCCACCTTCAAACTCTAACCTTCCGCATCAAGATAGCTAGATGCGACTACAAGACTCGGAGTCGGCCTTATTAAAGGCGAGAGTTTTCAAATCAATCATCAGTCTAAAATGATCCATTCTGCCCCATACATTAGCTTGTCTGGCCGTAACCGAAACAAGTGTTATCCGTAAAGCGGGAAGAACGGTTAGTAGACGTCTTAGCTTAGGCTCAGTGAGCGGATCAGAGCGCTCAGGTCATGCGCCCTGAGTCTGAGCTGAGCGTTGGGGTGAGTGGCCTGAGTAAGCTACGTCAATATAATGAATGCAACACGCTAGCCCCATCACGTGTGCCCCTCCTCTTTTTGAAGCTGAATTTCTGAATTAACCAAATTTCTCGTAGGGCTGTGGCCGATCCCCACGTCTGTATCCACGAGGACCCATCCATTCCTCATATATTTAGGGCTGAGTGATATCTAAAGATCTAAAGTATTACCGCAATTCTCTATTAGGCTATCATCACACAGGTGTGATCGGCCTGATGGACGGGTCGTACTACAGCCTGCTCAATGCATCGATTGTGGGTTGGTCAATGGCATCCAGGCCAGTGTCTTTCCCCACCAGCTTAAACACTAGGCTCTGCTTCCTGTACTTGGAGCTCGATATGCCACATATTTCTGGTATGGGATGATTGTGTTGATGGTCAAGGAATGTTTAAGGGTTAGGGCCTTCAAGGAACTAAAAAGAGGTTCAAAATGACCCGCCGAAATTTCTCTAGGATGAAGTTAATGAAGACGAGGGGACCAAATGCTTTAAGCCCCTTTCTAAAAATGATCTTCACTATGAGTAGAAAATAGATGACCTAGAAGACTTTGACTGTTTTCTTGAGTAGTGGCGCTAATTACCGTCGCAATCTACTCAGTGTGATCTATTTCAGGTGCCGTGCAAACTATGAATTCTCGCGCCTTCTATTGCGTGGTCCGGCTGTTATCTAGGAAACTCTTAGAATCATTCGCTCTTAGTGCCCTATCCGCAAGCTCCCGCCTCTGAAACAGTTAGCGCTAGGGCGTAAAATTAATCTAGGGTTGATCTGGATCCAGAATTTGTCATAGCCTGCTGGCGCACGAATGGTTAGGTACCGTTTTCTCGAGTGCCCGAGCACAGCGGTTGCCGAGGAAGTAAACCATCAAACCGCAGAAGCGAAAGGAAAGCTACTAATCACCAGGCATGAATCCATCCAGAACTTCGTGCTTCGATCTTTAAACAGATAACAGAAAATGCTGAATTCTTCCTCTTTCCTCGGCCACCAATCACGCTAAGAAAAGAGGGCCGGGGATCAGATGCCAAATTCCTCCGAGATTGCCGCTTTTTCAGAACTCAGAGCGCTTTTTGACAAAAGGACAAAATATTCTAGACCCAAAGATTTATTGGCTGCTCAGATCATGCGCATGACTTCGCTCTCTTTTGCGACAGGGGCAGGAATGCGGCTAGGTCGCTAGCTCATGGGGGCCAAAAGGATTCATGAGGCTGGCACAGCTTCTACATTTCTCTTTTCATTCAAAATAATAAATAGCTTATGCACAGTATTCTGAAGTGGTGGCATACATATGATGAAAGTCAACCTGAGCCGATCAAGGTCCAATATGAGGAACCACTTTGGCGTATGCAGGCGCCGCGAGTGTAGTTGAAATGCAGCGCTAATGGAACCCGGAACCCGCAACCCGCAGCACGAAGGCGCGATACACTGCCCCCCCCCCCGCAGATCCGTTCCAGAGTTGGGGCTGGTCGTCCATACCGGGGCATATGGAATTATTTAAAAACACACGGGCACTCGCTTCTGGCTGTGTACTCGGACCATCCTCTTTGATACCTGCTACACGGCAGACACCCCATGATGGAAGCGCCATCTTCAGACTTCAACTTCTCGTTTAGCTCACAATCCGAAGTGGTATTGACCCCTTCATCTTCATCTCGAGGCAGTCATGAAGGAGGTTCTGCGCTCAATCCACAAACCCCGAGATCGATTCCTCTCTTCCAAGCTTTGAGCCTCAACGATTCCCCAGGCTCGATGCTTTCACCTCAAGCTCGGTCATCAAACACGTTGCTAAGCCCGGGTAGCTCGAATGCCACTTATGCCCAGCAGCATAATGCTTCCCCAAGTCCGAGTCCAAGGCCTGCGCCAGTGCCTTCATCTCATGGTGGCCGACAGGCTGAGAGGAGTCGCTCGATATTTTTTACTCCAACCCGAGCAACTCCGCGAATCCCGGGTGCTTTTCCTGAGTCGAGTGTCGGCGAGGAAGCTTGCCCTTCCGGAAGAAATGCTGCAGAAAATGAGGAAGACTCAGACAGTGATGAAATGCCCGACGCCAGAACTGGCGATCTCCGTGAAGAGGAACTTCCTCCTGCCCCGGTTTATAAAAGTCGACTTCAGGATGGCCTGAAGGATGTTAAACGCGAACTGGGCATTCTTGCCGAGATGATGGGAATCTCTCGGTTGAGCGAAGAGCATTCTTCAGATCTACATGCCTTATGTAGGGATACCAAGAAAATGAGCATGTTTAAGTACCCAGAAACTCGGACGGTGGGTTTTATCGGCGACTCTGGTGTTGGTATGGCATTCAAATGACTCTATGCGTCATTTTTGATTCTGATTCTTGACCAGGGAAAAGTTCTTTGATAAACTCGTTGCTTGATCAGCGGAGCCTATCACGCTCAGTATGTGTCATTTCATCACTTATTCCTCCAGTAAAAAATGCGGGTATGTTAACAATTATACACAGAGCAGCGGAGGCACAGCTTGTACCTGCGTGGTGACTGAATTTCGACATGTTGATGAAGATCACACCGGACCGTTCACGGTTGAAGCACAGTTTATGACCTCGGAAGAAATGAAAGAGCTACTGAACGAACTTCTTACAATGTTCCGTCAATTTAATGTCAATCGATTCTTCCGAGACCTGCAATCGCAAGAGGAACAGCAAAAGTGTCGAGATGAGGCTGTGAGGGCCTGGGAAACTTTTGAATCTTTGTTCAACAGCCAACCGGCGTTGACGATGGAGCACCTTTCCGAGGATTATGACGGGGCTCATTCAGCTATTCTCGCGCAGTTGGAACGGTGGGCCTCTGCTGGCCTAGCATGGCGACCAGGTGGACTCGATGCGCTTGGGTATTCTGCGATTGCAGGTGATATTGAGGATTGTAGAGTCATTCTCGATATGCTAACTGCCAGTAACATTGATAATGGCAAACCTGCAATTTGGCCATTCATCAAGCTGATCAGGTTAGTGATACTCTCCTTGGAAAGAACACATTTTCTGATAATCTCGCAGGGTATATCTCAAATCACCGATTCTGAAGAACGGCCTGGTGCTCGCTGATCTACCTGGTATGCGCCAAGAATATCTTTGCTGCACTCAATGTAGTCAGGCTTAGACTAACCCTAAACTAGGCTTCAGTGATCTGAACTTCGCCAGAGTTCGAGCTACTGAGCGGTATCTTTCTCATAGCTGTGATGAAGTCTTCGTCGTGGCGGACATTGCCCGCGCCTGTACAAACGCGTCAGTTCAAGACATTTTGCGAAGATGCAAACCAGATCAGCCAAAAAGGATCATCTGCACGAAATCGGAGGTATTGGTAGTGGTCGCTTATGCGGAGAGGTGGTTACTGATCTCTCTTCTTAGGACATTTCACCTGAAGAATCTGCCCGTGGTGATAATTCGCATGCTCTTCGGGTCAAAGAGATGAATAAAGAAATTCAGGCTGTCCGAAAAAAGGCTGAATCAACCGAGTCCAAGGCACGGAAAGTGTCGTCCACAAGACGATCGGAACTGGCAGACCAATCATTGATGCTACGGTGAGTCCTTGGTCCTAAAATGCGGCAATCCCACTCGCTGACTTTATACTAGTGATAAGGAAAAGGAGTTGAATCTCAAGTAAGTTACTTATGTTTTAGGCTCGGTCCTTGTCGGCATACTAAACAATTGGCCAGTTTGACAAAATTCCTCATCACTCAGCGAAACTCCCTGATATCGCAAATTCTCATCAAAAGACACCGCGATGTGCAGGTGTTTTGTGTCAGTAACACACTCTACTCCGAGTACCGCTTCAGCGGAAAGAGCGAAGAAGAGGCATACGTTGATCTTGCGGGTATTCGGGAGCTGCGCCGGTACTGTCACTTAGTACCCGCCGAGGCTCTTATGCACTCAGCATTCGTATTCTTGAATATCCATGTGCCAACACAGCTGGCCTCTCTGCGTCAGTGGACTTTATCCGGAACAGATTCGGTGACGGGTGGAAACGCCGCTAGGCTTCGAGAAGTTCTGGAAAATGCACAGAATGGTTTGAACCAGGTATTTTTGACCTAGATGAACATATTAGGCCATGAGCAGCGCCTTGAAAGATCCAGAGTTTCTGATGGTCAATAGGAACTCATTTCCAACCAGGGATTGGCTCATCAAGCGCGCGTGGGCTTGGCCAGTCTATTTGAGGAACATATTACCAACATGATTCGTGAGTTTTTTTAATTCAATATGTTTGGACCCTGGTCTCATAAAACTTCAGGGCAATATCAAACTCGCTGGACGGCCGCAAGTATTGAGATCAGCCAGGAATGGACAGTAGTAGGTTTTCTCAAACCATTTTCTGACTATACGACTCGGCTCTAACATCGCTTACAGATGGCCTGGCCAACCTATGCTGCCTTTTGTCGTAATTTTGGCGATCACGCAACTAAAGCTGTGCCTAAGGGTCGCTGTTGGAATGACGAGTTACTCCAGCCAGCAAGAGACCAGCTAATTCTCAATTGGGACACCTTAAGGAATTGGCTGCATATGCAAGAAGGAAACATGGCGAGAGATGCTCGCACAATCTTTGATAGATGGAGTGGGGAAATTGGAGGTAAGTCACTCTTTTTGGGAAAAGAAGCTTCGTCACCCAGGTGCTGCGGTGGCATGCTCATTTCATGGCTTTTTCTAGCGCATATTCATCTTGCACCATGCGCCCTCGAAAATCTTCAACGAATCATGGAATTGAGAAGAAAATGCATCCAAGAACATGTTTTGAATTCTTTGCAGAAGATGACGCAGACCTCAGAGTACAGATCTCCGTGCATATACCATGGAAACAGTGTGCTAACTCGTTCATTAGAAACACCATGCGAGACATGGCTCATGGTCATGCCAGCTCGTACATTTCAGGATTGATGCAACCTGCTTATACCCAGATGAACCTAGAAGGAGGTAAGTTAACCTTTCTACTCCGGGTTGCATTTCAAATCAGCTTATTGGTTAATTTATACAGGGACTGGAAGTGACAAGCGCCGAAAGAAAATCATGAATGACCACCTGACGCATTCGATGCTCTTTGCCAAGTTTTCGAATGTTGCTGGCAGAGAATACACAGGGGCCCTGAATGAGTGTTTTGATGATCTGCAGAGAAAAGTGACCGAGGAGGTAGAGAGTATGGCGAGAGATTTCAATGTGGTGATTGCAGCCGAAGGTCAACGTTCAGAGGCGGAAGAGGCACCCGCAGTAGTAGATGCCCTCAGATCTCGATTTGAGGGCACAGAGGCAATCTTGGAAAGGGCCCAGGTGATCGTGCAAGAACTCAATCGGGAGACTACCCACGATGTTGTCTAAATTGTATTCTCCATGTTATTTCTTTCATAACTCAGCCAATTTGAATCAATCAAGCCTTTTAGAGCGCAGGTGGATTAGGTATCGTCATAAACGAAATTGAGAATGAACAAAAAGACGCTTCGAAGATGCCCAGGAAATCCTTTGGAAAGATGTTCACAAGGATTAGAAGACGCGATGGTCAGGCCCTGTACACGACAAGTTCGGGATCCCATTGGTTCAAAAGGTTCCGACGCGTCAACATCGATCGATGTTGAGGATATAACGTCAGGACAACAAAACGTCGTGGGCTCCTGGCAATTCCACAGTGGAGAGCAACGTAAGTGAGACAACCGGATGCGGGTTTTGTCAAAGTTTCAGGACCGATCAGGTAGAAAGAAAAACTAAAGACTGGACAAATACTCAGCGAATAAATCGATCAAGATGCTATTTAATTTGAACTCTGTATATTCCAATCCCAATCCCATGCCAGACACTAAATCCTTCACCGAAACCAAATATCCACTGGTATACCAACAAGAAGCAAAGAACCCGAACTAAATAAAACGACAAAGAACAGCAGACCAAGCCAAAGAACCTCTAACGCCCTGCTAGCCGGAAGGAAAAATGCCCCTGACCGAGCGGGACAGGTCGACATGAAAACGAAAGACAGAAAGGAAACTATGCTAATACGAATCGAAAAATCATGCTCATCAAGGCTGTGCGACGACGAGTTCGAATATCTTGTAGCATGTGTATGATAGTTGTATTGTTTTCACTGACCAGCTCAGTGATTCTGACCCGGACTGAAATGTACTCAGTGAGCCTGACTCTTGAGCGCCCTCTTTAAAGTGGCGGCATCTGGAATAGGAAAGCCCCACCCGGCAAAGGAAATAGAGTACGTATAGTATCATAAGTACACACTGGAAACGTGAAATATGGATCGGAACAGTAATCAACTTAGTTGCGCATACTTTAAGAATGTCACCCCTAGTGTGTACCACCACGCTGCACTTCGTGTTGAATAGCATGGGGCTTCTCCAGATCATCTTCATCAAAGCTCACGACGCCATCGGGAGAAAGATATTTCCCATGACGGCCAATCTGATACCAGGGGAGAGAGAATAATGCATCCATGGACTCAAGGCTCCGCCCAGCAGTCTCAGGAACGAAGAACCAAACCCAAAGCAAGCCAAGAACGCAGATCGCAGTGCAAAACACAAAGAACCCGTAGTTGGTCATGGCGATAAGCATACTGGGAACAGCCTTGGTATTACCAAACTGGTTGACGAAATGGATACACATCACAAGAGAAGAACCCAATGCGCGCAGTCGAAGGGGATAGATCTCGGCATTGACCAGATACTGGAAAGAGTTCCAGCCCATTGCCCAGCCAAACCCAGAAATATATAGGGCGGCAATGGCACCAATGCCAGCACGTTTGGCTGACCCTGTGATGGCGGATGCACCACTATCCCCGACATGAGCCGAGGCAGGGACCTGGGCCAGGTAGATTGCAACATAGCAGATTGAGATAGTTTGCAAAAGAATTCCGATGTAAAGCGACCGACGACGACCGATAAAGTCAATCAGGAAGAATGCACAAAGATAGGCAGAGCAAAATTTGACAACACCCAGAATGCACGTGGCGAAGAGCTTCTCGCTTTGGCCAGTCTTTCCTAGAGCAGCAAAGAAACTGTTTGCATAGATAGTAATCGCGGATGCGCCAGACCATTGGCCGAGAAGTTGGGACATAACGCCCAGCATGAAACGGTAGCGATTTGCAGGAATCATCACAAGCTCTTTAGCCTTGCCCAAGAATGAAGACCCATGGGTGCTTTCTTGTTCACGCTCTAGCTGGTCACGAACGTCGATTATCTCGGATGTGATAGTTGGGTGGTCTTCGGGTAGTTTTCGTAGCTTGCAAAGATTTTTAAGAGCTTTCTCATGCTCCCCCTTCATAATGAGGAACCGAGGGCTTTCTGGGATAGTCCATGATGCGAGGAAAATGACCCTATCAGTCATTGCATTAGAATGTAAAGCGTTATGAACTCAAATTCGAGGTACTTACCCAGCAAACATGATATGGATTGACTGTGGAATAACCCACTGGTTGCGAGTCGTATCTGAGATATTCTCCGAGCAACCCCAGTTCGCAAAATAAGCAAGCATGACTCCAAAGTAAACGGAGCCGGCAAATATATTTGTCAACATGCCACGAATTGCTTTCGGAGCAACCTCGGCCAAGTAGGTCGGGCCGACAACCGTGGTCATACCAACACCAAGGCCGGCTATGAACCGACCAGCAAGGATTTGTCCAATGTTACCAAAGCTAGTGATGACAATCACGAAGCCAATTGCCCAAAGAATAGTGAGAGCTTGAAGTGACCTCACACGGCCGATCCGGTCACACAAAAGAAAGGCCAACAGTGCGCCGCCGATAGAACCCAGTTGAACCATGCTGGTAATGTTGGACTCACGATTGGCTATCTCTGCCTCTGAGCCTACCTCCAAGGGAAACTCATCCTTGAAGCTCTTGAGGCTGACCATGCCACCAACTAGGCCTTCGTCAATTCCTCTGGCCGCTCCAAGAATACCTTTTATGTCACAAAATATCAGTACGGTATGACTGGGGCATTTTTCCTGAGCCAGTGGAAAGAAAACATACCAAAGACGCCCACAGACCAAAAGAGGCGAATGTTGAAGACCTCTCGGGGGTGATTAGCCATCCCGGGAGGCTTGAAAAGACCCATGCTGGTTGCAGTTGACGCTGATCAGGATAAGTGCAAACAAGGACAGTTACCGAAGGTGTAAGGGAAGTATTTGAGAGTGATGTTTCAATAAATGAAAGAGCGGACCAGCATTTTATACCTTATAACCCCGAACAGGTTTCGGGCAGATTAACATGGATCATGAATCGTATTCCAAAACTCTCACTTCACTCTCGAGTCTAGGCCTAGTGAGAGAGGGGAACAGTCAAGGTAGCAACAAGAAGGTCACCCCATAATGAGTAGAACTGGAATCTATAGCCGGCGCGTACCCCACATACCCCATGGGCAAATCCTTGGAACCCGTGGAGATTCCAATAAGGCAAGGGATCGGATATTTTGTTCAAAGCCAAGACAGCTGATATTCTTTTACTACCCACTTTAGGTAGTAGCACCAAGCAAAGTGTCAAAGCGGCTAAGCATCGGAGGAGATCAGATCGCCGGAAGTTGGCCGAGTCCACAAGCCACCCGTGAACGGCGATATCTAGACGACTCCATTCCGCTTTCTCGCTATTATACTACCATGCAATACTGTTTAGTGGCAAATTCAATCCCTCATCAGGGTCTTGGAAGACAGGAAGAAGTCAATAATTGGGTCAACTTCGGGGCGCTGGGTTGTGTAAAATCCGTAGCCCGAGGCCGTATAGACCCGCAAATATAGACATCTGCGAATGTACCTTAGCTCTTCGTATTTCCTCTCCGCCTATTCGCACTCTTATTCCGCTGCCCTGGATTTCCTATAGCAATTCCGAGTTTGATAGCCCCAAAATTGACCACTGTTGACAACACGTCCTGACCATGAACCCTGAAAGCACATGTATGCCACGAGGCAGCACCCCAGGTCTCGGCGAGAAAATTGCGGAGATTTAAAGCATAGTTCATACATTCGCGGGGATGCCAAGCCCGCAAGAGCCTAGTATCGGAAATTGACCGACAGGAGTTGACCCGTTCAACAAAACATGGGTGGAGGGCCAAGACCTTGGCGGTTGGCGCTTTCGAAGTCCCGGACTCATTCGATTCGGGAACACCGGATTCAGTGAATGGTGTAAATTAATGTGCTACCTATGGAATGGTCTCCCCTGTGAGGCTAGTAAGTCACATGAGTACCTAACATAATCAGGTGCAAGGTTATCCCCATAGGTCACTTAGTTATCTTTGAATTCCTTTTGGGATTATTTTAGTCTTTTTAAGTCTTTTTCCGACATTGTTCTTAGATGATTTGCTACAGATGCTTCTAAACTTCTCTTGAGACGTGTTTTGTAATATCTATGAAGCATTTGTCCTAGTAGCAGTTCTTCACGTCCGTATACCCCGAAGCTGCTCGAGAGTCCTTGCTATAGATATTTCTAAGAAAATAATAGTTAGAACAAATATCTAAGACAAGAAAACATCAATCAGTAGAAAATGATCGGAAATAATTTTCTAGATTTGTAAACGCTAAAGAAAAGAGGAACTCCTGGTAGTATACATAGTTCGCAGCTCTGGGCACGTGCGGATGCTCATCTCCCCGCCTTCCAACATTCTAGTCGGAATCCCCGAATATTTCACTCTCACGATTACCCTCTACACTCTTTTCCAGACACATCTCTTCACTCATTTTAACTGAATCATGCTTCGAAACAAGCGTCAGAACACACAGTCACTGGAAGATACCTCCGTGGCCCCGGCGACATTCACCGATGGCCTCCCTCTTCCCAAGCTGATCGTTTTCGATCTCGACTACACTCTATGGCCATTCTGGGTCGACACACATTGCAGTGCACCTATCAAGGCGCGCGACAATAACTCGCGCGTTGTGGATAAGTAAAACCCCCATCCCAACACAATAACTGTACACAAGCTAACTTACTTTAGATGGGGCGAAGCCTTCGCCTTTTACCCCGCCGTGTCCTCGATTATCTACGCCTGCAAGGGCCGCTCGATCCCACTAGCCCTCGCCTCGCGAACCCATACCCCCGAGCTAGCGCGCGACATGCTTAAAGCCCTGCATATTATTCCGAGTTTCTCGGATAACCCCGCTGCCAACGCGAAGACTATTCGCTCTCTTGACTACTTCGATTTCATCCAGATCTTCCCGGCGAACAAGACCCAGCATTTTGCAAAGATTCATCAGGCTAGTGGTGTTGTATATGAGGATATGTTGTTCTTCGATGACGAGACGCGGAACCGCAATGTTGAGACGGAGCTTGGAGTTACATTCTGTCTAGTGCGGGATGGTATGACCTTGGACGAGATGGATCGCGGTGTCCGGGCTTGGAGGAAGAGAAACGGCATTAAGAAGGCCGAGGAGTAGAAGGTGCCTTGGACTTGAACTTAGAAATGGGCGTTCTTTGCACTTTAGATTAGATATTAGATACCCGGTGGAATTGTACAAAATGGCGACTATTAGACATTGACCTTTCCTCGGAACTTGACTTGACTTGACTTGACGTTCACCTCCGAACTTGACGCCGCACCGCTCCCAAACTCCGCAATCCCCGACCCCCAAAACATCAACCAGCCACCATAATACAATGGCGACACTCAAACCACCATCCAGCCGTCCAGTCCCAACCGGCCCTCCAAAAGCCCCCCTCAAAGCCGATCCCACGGCTACAATTGCCGACACAGCAGTTTTCCAGGGCACATACCCCGTAACCATCGGCGCGGGCACAATAATCCATCCACGCGCCCGCTTCTACGCCTACCAAGGCCCCATAGTTGTCGGCGATGGCTGCATAATCAGCGAAAAGGCCATAATCGGCGCGCAACCTGCACGATCCACCGAGTCCAAAGAAATCGCAACGCGTCTCTCCTACTTCGTGACCGTCGGTCCGTCATCGACTATCCACCCCGGTGCGCACATTCACTCGTCTGTGACGATCGAGGCTCTCGCGACGATACATCAGTATGCGGAGATAGGGTCACATTCAAAGATTTGTTCTGGGTGTGAAGTCCCGGAGAATGGGAAGGTAGATGAGTGGGTTGTTGTTTATGGGTCTGGGCTTGGACAGCGGAGGAAGAGGGCGCGAGAGGCTAAGGAGCCCGGACCTGCTGTTGTTATTGCGGCGCAGGTTGCGCAGGTCCCTGTGCCTGGGCCTGCGCCTAAAGGGAAGGTTATTGAGGATGCCAGGTTGATGGTTTTGCAGAAGGAGAGGGAGGTTTTGGCGAGAATGATCGTTCCTGCTGGGGCGAAGAAGAAATGAGCTCAAAGATTATCCTGGAATTATGGCGCTGCATATTTTACTTTTCATGGAGGACTGTTAGGGGATTGAATATTTCGTGGGCTTGTTGATACCCTTTCTTGTTTTGATGATATCCCTACCATTTTGATACCAGTGCTCCAGCAATGCCTGGAGCTCAGTTGCATGCATAAGCTTGGAGATGTTGAGGAATTGGCATGAATTGAAATAAAATTTTAACCGTGTAATCTATGTCGATCCATTTTGGATTCGGTTAGACATTGCAGTCCCCGGAACGCCACCATATAATCACTAGATACAAAAACAAAAGAAACAGGACATTATGGCATCGCTTTGCCGAATTCCTGGCAAAGGTCACCATCAAGGCACCACCTGCCTTCCCTGAGTCAAACAAATACATGATAGGAATATAGGTTGATACATGAAATGTCACTAGGAGGAAGCTCCACCGCGCGCTTGTCCTCCGCCTCCTCGCATCCGCTTTCCACCACTTCCACCGTCATTTGCGGCATCGGAGTTATCATCACGGCCTCGCTTGTTGCCTGGTTGAGGAACAAACTGCTTGGCTTGAACATTCAGGTTTCCACGGTTGGCCGCGGGGGTCTGGGGTTGGTTCTGGGCGTTGGCAGCATTTTGGTTGCCGCCACGGCCCTGGCCACCTCCGCGTCCACCGCGTCCCCTGGTAAGACCAGCTCCGCGCTGGCTCTGGCCTTGACCCTGTTGCTGTTGCTGTTGCTGTTGCTGTTGCTGTTGCTGTTGCTGGCCATGACCGAAAGGATTCTGCTGGCCTCCACCGCGGGCCGCGTTACGGCCACCTCGGGCGACTGGAAGTCCAGATTGAAGAGCCTTCAATGCCGCAGGACCAGTTCCAGGAGGTGGCTTGCTCGGCAACGAAGAAGGCTGGTTAGCCTGGCTGTTCTGCTGCATTTGGCCGAATGGATTGGCCGGTGTGGTTGCCTCCTCTGCCTCGCCTTCTTCTACTTGTCCTTCTGTCGCCGTAGATTCGGGGATAGTGGCAATGCTGGGGCTCGGAGCAGGAGGAGCGGTTTGTTCAGCAGCTGGAGCTGGCGCTGGAGTCGGTACGGCAGCAGGCGCAGGTGCCGTAGGGGCAGATGCCGTATGGGCAGATGCCGTATGGGCAGGTACCGTAGGGACAGGAGAAGCAGGCATAGCGGGCGATGGGGCCGGCTTCGGCGCAGCGGCCGGTGGCCGTGCTGTCTTGGCTACCTCCCAGACCTCGACAACAGGCTTCTGCGGAGTCTCACCAGCGGCCTTCTGAACAACCTCAATCTTGGCCTGTGCGGTCTTCATTCGAGCGTCCAGCATGCTGATGCGAGCAGCGGATTTCTTGTCGGAAAGCTCACGGGCGGATTTAACCTTTTCTTCCACCTCTGCTTCGTGGGCTTTCTTGAGAGAGTCTCTCTCCTCATTAAACTTCTGTTCAATCTCCGCAGCAGCGCCGTCATTTCCAGTGGAGGATGACTGAACTTCTTGAACGATCTTCTCCCTTTCTTTGGCAATGTGATTGCGGATGTTGTTGCGGATAATAGTGCGGATAGTCTCGTTCGATGTGACAAGCAAGCGCGCTTGGGCATCTGTCAGATCGGGCAGAGCAGAGGTTTTGGACGGCGTTGCGGGTGCCGAGTCAGTAGCCATGCCAGGTGTAGCAGGCACGGTAGTTTCTCCGCCTGACAGCTTCTCCATTTCTTGGCGGTGGGCGGCTCTGACTTCAGCGAGCTTGTTGTTGAACACCTCTTTGAGTCGATCAGCACGCTCCTTGATCTTGGCCTCCATTTCAGCGTCCTTTGATGCCAAAAGACCATCCTTCTCGGCAAGGGCGGCCTCAAGACGCTGGATCTTCTCTTCCAGGGCCTTGATCTTTGGTTCATCACCCGAGGCGATAACCTGTGTGGTTGAAGTGGGGAACTGGGATGCTGGCGTGGGATTGACCGTGGTAGGTTCTTGCACAGCAGGTACAGGTGCGGGCGTAGGTGCCGTTACATGGGCGGAGCCGTTGGTTGTATTGGCCTTGAGTGCTGCTAACTCCGCCTTAGTTGTGTTCAACTCTTCCTGGATCACTTCTTTCTCCTGCAAGACCACATTGAGTTCTTGCTGCTTGCTGTTGATGCGTCCGGAAAGTTCCTTAGATCTGCCCTTGAACTGCTCCGTAAGTTTCGTGCGCAGCTCATTCACTCGGGCCTCGGAACCAATCCTTAATTGCTCAGGGAATGAGTCGACCTCGACCTGCAGAGCATCGCGAGTGGATACAGCCTCATCTCGAGCAGCCACTGCTTCATCTCGTTCTTTCTCTAGGCCTGCAATTTTCTCATTGAGAGCTTCCATCTCCGCAGGATCAACCCGATCGTATTTTTGAAGGATGTTTTGCACACGCTGTTGGTAACGATCTCTGTCCGCCTGCAAGATCTGCATCTCCCCATCTTTACCCTCCACAATATTCTCCAATTCGACAATCCTGGTCTCCAAGGGCTCGATCTTTAGACGAAGCTCGTCAATCAAAGAGGACTTTTCGGCGAGGGAGTTCTCCGTTTGTTTAACCTGGCTGCGAAGGGTCACGTTGCTTTCGCGGAAAAGGTTAAGCTCATTGAGCGTCTCCATAAGCTTGTTATGGTTCAGAGTGTTGTGATCGCTATCGGCAGCAGCACGGCGTTGCTGCTCAAGCTTGAGCCGTGTCTCATCAAGTTGAGACTGTGTGTAGTCCAACTGCTGTCGAATGCGTCTGCCTTCTTGCTCAGACAGATGGAGCTGCACATCCACAATTTGCTTCTCTTGGCGTAAGAAGTGGATGACTTCTTGCAGACCCTCCAGGTTTGAGCCCGTCTGCTCCCCTTCTTGGTCATAAGACTCGGGGACATTAGCACGATCACGCTTCAAAGAAGAGATCTGTGTAGTGATGTTCTCAAGTTGGGTATGAAGCAAGGAGTTCTGATGAAGTACCTCCTCGCGGCGCTTGTGCAATTCTGCCAGTTCACCCTCATACCTGGCACGCTGCTCAACCCAGCTCTCCTCCTTCTGAGCCAAGTCCTTCTTATAATTCTCGGACTGGGTTCGCAATTCGGCCATTTCCAGCTTGAGATGATTGGCATCCGCACGGACGGTTTGCAGGTTCTTGGCCGCTTCAGCGTGGCGGACGAGCTCGGTTTCGTAGTTTTGCTGGGCATTTTGGGCAATCTCTGCCTGTGCCTTGATGTCCTCTTGATGGAACTGGGCAGCGGCGATGTGTCTTTCGTTGTCATCCTTAAGGCGAGTGATTTCAGACTCAAGTGTGATTTTCTGCTCTTCGAGGTGTCGTGTGGCTTCGGTCTGCTCTTCGCGCACCTTTGAAATCTCGGCACTAGTGGTGGAGAGCTCTGAAGAGATTTCCTCAACACGAGCTTCCAAATCCTTGATTTTCTTGTCCTTCTCCTCGATGAGACGATCGGTTTCCTCGCGGTACTGTCCGTTGGTCTCGGCCTCTGCCTCCATACGCTCTTCGGTGGACTGGCTGATAGCTTGGTATTCTTGCACTTGCTCCTTAGCATGGGCAAGCTCGCCCTTCGCCAAGTCCAAGTCGCGTTTCAGCTCCGAAACCTCGATGGCCAGTTCCTGCTCTCGGCTGAGACCACTGCCCTCTTCGGCTCCCTGGGCGTCTGAAGCAAGGAATTCTGTGGCGTTCGTAGACACGCTAGGTCGTGACTGGACGACCTGCAAGCGCTCCTCTGCGCTCTTGAGCTCGACGGTAAGCTCCTCCACGCGAGTTTGAAGGTGATCCTTAGTAGTCTTGATCGCAACCAATTCTTCCCGAACTGCGCCCAGGCTTGTCACCAGATCATCGATCCGCTTCTGGCTTTGTTCCTGTTCGTAAACACGGCGCAGACTGGCCTGCTTGGACTCCTCCGTGATGGTATTGAGTTGGCGCTTGGTGGATTGGAGCTCAGACTCGAGGGTTTCAACACTTGATTGAAGTCGGCGCCGAGTCTCCGTATCAGTGTGCTCACGCTCGTTGAGCATTGTCTGGAGGTTGGCGTTGTAGGAGTCGAGTCGGGTCCGCTCGTTCCGAAGGTTTTCGACATCCTCCTGCAGTCTCTTCTCAATGCTCTTCCAAAGATCCTTTTCGGCCTTCAGGTTGGCATTTTCACGCTGAAGACTCTCTGCAAGACCCTTAGCCTCTACAATATCCTCGGCGGCTTGCTGCGTGCGAATATCTTGTCGATTGGCATTTTCAAGGAGAGTGGAATAGCGTTTTTGAAGATCACTGTTCTCAGACTTCAACATCGTAAAGTTGCTTTGAAGAAGATCAGCGCGTTGAGAGGCGCCTGCGAGTTGACTGCTTGAGCGGCTGATTTCACTGAAAAGCTCGCTGTTCTTCCGGGAAAGCTCATTGATTTGCTGACGAAGAGCGGCATGATCAGACGTCATCTCTTCGCGGTAAGTATCATATTGAGCTTGGACACTTCGGAGCAACTCAGCAGAGCCGCTCGTGTCGCCGGATTGGCTGTTGGCGGCTCCGAAAGGAATGGTGCCAGGGGGCATAGATTGCGAGAGAACAGAGGGATCACCGACAGTCTGTCGGCGGTGACTCAACATGCTCTTGAATGTATCACGCTCCTTCACGTAACTCTTGATTTGGGAAAGTAAGTTGGCGATTTCGTCCCGGTAAGTCTGGCATCGAATGCGCAGTTCCTTCAGCTCCTCCTGCTCTTGTTGGTGAACAGCCGACTTCTCACGAGCTTCCTCACTCTCCAGCTTATCGCCGATTTCACGGAGCATACGACGAAGGTCAAGATTCTGCTGTTGTAAATCGTGCAGGTTCTTGAACGTAGTCACGTTTTCGCTGATCCAGCGGCCAGTGGCGTTGAGTTCGGCTGAGTTGTCTTCCACTTGTTTGCGAGCGATCCGTTCCAGCTCATCGCGGTCATAGTCCTCGCCTTCTTTGGCAAGAGCCACTTCCAACAGAAGCACCTTGACGGTGGCGCTGATATCGTGAAGCTGCTGGCGTAGAATGCTACCCTCGCGGGTCAGCCCCTCAACTTGGCCTTGCCATTTCCGTGCTTCTTTGGTAGCATTTTCCCGTTCCTTGTTGGCGGTGTCAAGGATGTTTGACATTTCCATGACAGCGTTCTCGAGGCGGCTGTGGTCTGCTCGCAATTCATCAATCTCGGGTTTGCTGGACTCCAGTTCCTGGACCATTTCATCCACAGTGGATCGAAGCTCTTGGTTGGTCCGTTGCTCAGAAGAAAGTAGCATGCGCATCTTGTCATATTCGGTGTACATCTGAGTCAGAGTAAGACCACCCTTAGTTCGAGAAGCTCGAGGGGAGAAGGTGCCTCCTGGGGTTCCTGCCCGCATCGGAGTACTAGGAGCGAAACCGTTCAGCGAGCGAGCTGGACTCATGGATCGGTTGCGGCCTCCGTCAGACTCCAGTTGTGAGATGGCCACTTCAAGCTCAGAAACACGCTTCTCGGCAGCGGTCTTGTCTGCATGTTCAGATTCTATTTCAACCCGCAGACGAGACACTTCCTCCGCCGCATCATCCTTGGCTTTCTCGAGTGCCAGCTGACACTCTTGAACACGTTGCTTGGCGGTTTGAGCGGCAGATCCTTGAAGCTCAGCAAGTCGGTTGGCGCTGTCCAATTCGATGCGGAAGGACTCCGAAGCTTGGATCGCATCTTCCTTGAGCTTAGTGATACTCGCCAGTGACTCTTCGTAACGCTGCTCGGTTTCATCCAGGCGGCTCTTGAGCGAGTTCTCTGTGCGTCTAAGGGTTTCAATTGTGGAATTTGCTTCCTCATTTTCACGTTGAAGTTCAGAGATACGAGCACCCTTCTCCTTTCGGAATTTGCTGTGTTCGGCGCTCTTAGTCTTCAACTCGGTCTCGTACCATTCATTGTTCTTCTTAGTGAGGTCCAATTCTTGCTGCAAGTTCTGTTCCCGGAATCGCGCACTTGCAGATGCGGAATTGGCGTTCTGGATATTCTGCTCTGCGGTTGAAAGTTCGCGGCGTAGCTCAATCGTCTTCTTGTGTTGCGCTGACAGCTCCTCGGCAAGTTTGTCGTGAGCAGCAGACTTAGATTCGAGTAGAGCGAGAGTATCTCGATTCGAGGCCTCGAGAGAGGTGATGCGCGACTTCAGAGAGCTCACTTCGCTTTCATTGGTAGTGGACGATGATTTGAGGGTAGAAATTTCACTTTCGAGGGTTGAGCGCGTGTTTTCTGTAGGTTGTCAGAGAAGAGATGAGTTATGAGCTTGGAAGATAAATCATACCGGATTCATGCAGCTTCTTCCTCAGATCTTCGATCTCGGAGTGGCCTTTCTCCACCGTTCCCTTCAGCACCTTGATCTTGGATTCGTTGCTGCGAACAGCATTTTCTAGTTCAACCTCCAAGCGTAGCTTGTCCGACTTAAGCTCGTCGAACGCATGCGCTTTCTTGGTAATGGATTCAAGAAGCTGATTGACAAGATCCGCAGTAGGCGCCTGGGTCAGGGTACTGAGAGTTGCTTCGGGGATAGCGTAATGAGATGCCAAGTAAGGCAACTCGATCGTTGTCTCCGCCATGATGTGTACTAGCGTCAGGCGGGAGGCCTGACGAAATAGGGGAAGAGAAGAAAGTGGAAAAGTAGGAAGCTCGAGCTTCAATGCTCGGAGTTCCGGACGCGGTGTGCACCAGATTCACGTACACACGGTGTCGAGGAACTCAGATCATGACGATTCCTAGAAGTGGAGAAGTGTCGCAGCGACCGAAGCGACAATGGTGGTAGGCAGATGAATGGGAAGGCAAGTTGGATGAGGTTCAAGGGCGAGTTCTGCGCGCTGTTGCTTCTGTCAAAGAGGGCTAGCGCCGCGTCACATCACATGACTCCCCATCTCACCTGCGGCTCTTTTGACACACCTTCGATCTCTCTTCACTTGGACAGGGCGGATCTCTTTCACCCCCACGCCCCCAGTCTGTTTTTGTCTTCCTGCAGTCCGTCTTTGACACCAATATCTCCTATGATCAACGTCTAGCCTCAGAGCTTATCCCGGCTCATCAGCTTGATATACAACAACACCTCTTCATTCGACTTTCTTTGACTCCTCTCAACCTCAAGTGTGCAGTCGGAGGATCAGCCCACACCTGCCGCAGTCATGTCCTACCTTCAAAATCAACTCAAGAGCTTCAACGCCAGCGTGATGGAGTCGGCGAACCGCATGCCTCAGCAGAGACGTATGCCCAACAACGCCCCAGCCTCCGCCACCAGCTCACAGGTCCCTTCATCTACGCCGACTCCATCCTCTACTGCCATTGATCCCAAGAAAAAGCGTCATGACGTGGATATCGTTTACTCGCAGCCGGCGAACACGGGTACAGGAAAGGATATCATGACCCAGGTGCTTTTTGCAATCGAGCACATGAAGTCGAAAGGCATGCCGCTGAAGTTTGCCGATATTGTGTCCTACCTTTCCCTTCAGCACCGAGCGAATGACCCGGGATATGTCCAAGCACTCCGACGAATCCTACAGAAACACGAGAAGGTCGACTTTGATCCTAGCGGCGCAGGCGGCGAAGGTACCTTTGCTTTCCGCCCCCCTCACAACGTACGTAACCCTGAGCAGCTTCTTCGGAAACTCCAGTCTCAGACTACTGCAACCGGTATGAGTGTGCGCGAGCTACGGGAGGGCTGGCCGAATGTCGAGGACGCCATCAACCAGATGGAGAAGGAAGGGAAGCTCCTGGTCACTCGCAACAAGAAGGATGACCATGCCAAGATGATCTGGGCCAACGACCCTTCGCTAATTGAGCATTTCGACGACGAGTTCAAACAAATTTGGGAGAAGATCAAGATCCCGGACCCGCAGGCTGTCAAGGAGGCCTTGGATAACGCCGGCATCGTTCCTACGAACAAGAACAAGGTGGTCAAACCTCGGGTGAAGGTTGAGACAAAAAAGACCAAGAAGCCACGCCGCAGCGGCAAGACGACCAACACCCATATGATGGGTATTCTGAGGGACTACTCGCACCTCAAGCGGTGAACGGCATTCGGTGTCTTCTCAAAACGGCTGGGGAACTTTGTTTGCATTGCATTGGCGTTTGAATACTTTTTACATCTTGGCCAACACTGAATTGGCTCTTTTTTTTTTCTCTTCGGCCAACCCTGAAACTTGCCAGACTGTATATTATGACAAAATGATTGATACCCAGATAAACAAAACAAATTGTCAACTCTTTTCTACCTGGAATCCTGTACTTCCACTTCAAACCGTCTACTCCTACCTGAGACCCCGAAGTCTAAAGGCTTTTATCCATTCATCTAAAGGTATCCACAAAAGCAGAGATGTACAGAGGCAGACAGAACTAGAACGGGATATAAGAAAGCGACTCGTCATAAAGGAAATCACTTAATGCCGCCCATTGACACCCTCAGTCTTCTCCACATACTTGACCAAGTCCTCAATCGTACACACCTTAATCCCCCACTTCTTACCAAACTTCAAACATCCATCCCTACGCATCATTCCGTTCTCACCCTGAATCTCAGCAACACCCTCGGTAACATCACCCCACTCAACCAGCTCGGCAATAACACCAGCCGGTGCCTTGCCAGCAAGCCTACAGAACTCAACAGCCGCCTCGGTGTGTCCTGAGCGCTCGCGCACACCGCCAGGACGCGCCTGTAGCGGGATAATGTGTCCCGGTCGTCGGAAGGAGTCAACCTTCGCGTCTGGTGATGCGAGTGTGCGGCATGTCAGGGCGCGATCTTCAGCGGAGATTCCGGTCGTCACGGAATCATCGCTGGAGTCGATTGTAACGGTGTAGGCGGTTCCTTTGGGATCGGCGTTCTCGGCGACCATTTGGGGGAGGGCGAGGCGGGTTGCGAGGTCCGGAGTGATGGGGGCGCATATTAAGCCGCTGAATTCTTGGGTTAGTATTGTACTTTTGGGGGGGGGGGGGGTTGAGGCGGGATTTTGATCTCTAGGAAAGACCTCGACCCCAAGTACAGGCGGCGTGTTTACCTGGTATAGCGCACCAAGAAGGCCATCTGAGCGGGGGTGATGGCCTCGGCTGCAATTATGAGATCGCCTTCGTTCTCGCGGTCTTGCGAGTCGAGCACAATGATGAATTCACCATTCTCTGTGGTGAGTCACGGATCAGTCGTGCTCCGTCGGAGAACATACGAACAGGGAGGTGGGGTGATGGGGGGAACAGAGGTCTGTCAGAAGTAGGTACTTACTGAAGGCGGTGATTGAGTCTTCAATTGAGTCGAATTGCTGCGCAATTTCTGTAGAGGGCATCTTGGGCAATTGGTTATCGGCGCAATGGTTTTTGCCCCTCACTGCGCAATTTGGATATTGATGGAAAGGATGTGGAAAAAACGAGGGGTCTCGGGTGCGTTTTGTTTAATTTGATGTCCTCGTAAGGTCACACGCTTTGTAATTTCAGATTTGGAGAAGAATGGGGAGTCTGTAATGGCTGACAAGTGCATTAGAAATGCTCGTGATGCTCCGGCGCGGGGAGCCGGGCGGTGAGTGGGTCGCCTCGGCCTCGGCCTTCTGCCCCAGTCGCTTCGATTTCCTTCTCTGGAAATCTCGTATTGCTCTACGGGCCCTCGGAGCCTCGGCGTCTTCGGCGTCGCCGGACGTAAGTTCAGGGTGGAGATGGTTGCATGATACTACATACAGTGGGCATGATGGATTGAAGTTGAAAATATATTAGCTGCTCAAACGACAGTATACGTAGTTGGACACCGGGTGGCCATTCTTATCTATGCTAGTGATGGAAATGCAAATCTGAAACAAAGGTCGCAAATCCATGAAAATGAAAGGTTGTTCATCAAGAGGGTGATCAGCTCATACCGTCCGTCCCCATCCATCGCACCTCATCCGCCTGTCTCTCCAATGCTTGCCGCATGGCCTCTTCATATCTTCTCTCCTTCTCCCACTCGTCACGATGTTTCTTTCGCATAGCTACTCGCGTCTCCTCGTCGACTTCTGCATGCATGAACCAGTCGTCTTCGTCGATCTCGTCAAGGTAACGATCTTCAGGAACGGAGAACCTGATGCGCCCAATGCGCTCACCCGTCCAGATCAGTAACTCATCTCCGGAAAGGTTTCCTCCGGTAGGGAGGACTTTTCGTGCGACCTCGCTGTTCTGGTTTTGGGGTGCGGAGCTTGGCCAAAGACCACGCGGCTGTGATGGATCATATGGCTGCGGAGTGTTGAGGTTCCATCGTCGTACCTCTGCTCGGCCGTTTCGCTCCACCCATTTGATATTGCCCTCGGAGTCGGAGTAGACAAGGCGGTTACCGTGCGATGCCACCGACAGCAGCTTGGAACTAGCCGCGCTTTGCCGATTTCTATACATTGGGGTCAACTGTGACGTTCGCTCTGATGGGTTGCTGTTGTCGGTTTCCCGAGAGGAGGACTGAAGATTGTAAAGCTCCAAAGAGCCTCTGCCGTTGTATTCGCCACAAGCCACAATGGAGTGGGAATGAGGGTAGACGGAGTCTGAGAACACGGGGAAGCGGGGCCCGGGAGCAGAAGCAAGACCGCATAGTCGAGCGCCAGAATGAACGGTGCTCTGTAGGCGAGGGAAGAATCGCCGATCATAGCAGAGAATGCTAGGGAACCGGCCGGCCAACAAAATGGTATTCACGTGCGGGGCTGGGGGATGTAATATAGAAAGAGGACCGGGCTGGAACAGCGGCGCATAGTTCTCTTGCTCAGGGCCCGGGCTGCGAAGTCGACGAGGCGGCAGACCATTTGGTTGCAGTTGTAGTTGCGGCGAGTCGTAGTGTGGAAATATATCCAGTTCTGGAACCATTGGCGCTGAGTTCTTCTCGCATCGTAAACTGATGGCCTCCTCTTCTTCCGCGGCCGATAATCTAGAGTCATGTATCTGCAGGCTGAGTGTGGTCGCTAGCGTGAGTGGTACTGAATAATCAGTCTCTTGAGAGAGCGCAAAGATGGACCAAGGATAGCGTTGCTGCGAGATAACCCGCAGAGTCTCCAGATCGACCTCATTGAGGACGTTTCCGATTGCAAGGTAGGCTCGCCGCCGGAACGAGTCTACACTTACACCCTCGCCGAGATTGATAAAGTCCAAGGAAGATTTCGAAGGCGCGTGCTCTCTTCGCCCAGAGAGATCCTTCATGAGGACACCCGGCTCGCTCATCCCAAGGATCCTGCCTTTGCCTGATTGTGAATCAGATGAGTGAGAATGGTTCAGATCCCAAATACAGACGCTGCCGTCGTCAAGTGGTGCAATGACCTTATTTTCGCGCGCAGAACTCCAGTCTTTCAGCAGCCCCATGCCCTTTACCTCATAGGGCTCCCGCTTGCGACCTTCACCTTTTGCATGCAGCGGTTGCTGCACCCATGAAAAAGAAAGAGGCCCATGACGAGCAATATATTCCGAGTACCAATCCACGTGTTCTCCCTCTGCTGACGAGTCCCACTCGGCCGCTGCCCTCGCTCTCTCACTCAAGGGCAACCCTCGTGGATCCTGGACGTCATGATCAGGCTGTGGAGCAGGGGGTTGAATGAGATCGCGCAACGAGGTCTGTCCCAGAGTGCTCAAGGTCGCAGTCTCATTGGTAAGCAGGCTCTCCGAGTTCCGGCCTGCGGGACGGGAAGCTCGCAAAGCAGCCCACGACTCCTCATAACAGTGAAGTTTCCAGAGGTTATTATCGCGGGCGAGGTCAAAGATCTTTTTGGAGACCAATTGTAGCTGCACCTTCTCACACGGGGTGAGAACTGGTTATCGGGCACTTATCAGCGTTCAGGCGTTCTGCAGGGAATGGTGCGGAGAATGTTCGGGGAAGTTCGGCGGCGCTTACGGTCGATGATTTTGGTCAGGATCTCTACCGGCAGCTTGTCCATGGGGATAGCTTTGGAGGCTGCAGCATCAGGGGCAGATGGAAGTGTAAGAGGGGTTCGAGGGGCCGCAGCCTGTTATGTTGGACTGGAAAAAGTTGCAGACGCCTCTTCCCCGCGATCTGCACTGCTGTCACGTGCCCCAAAGCAAACTGTTTACATCGAGAGGATGATCATCTTGACCTTGGAATGTATCGTAGAGGGTATAGAGTGCTTTATCTCGACGTGACGGGCCCGTGACGCGAGTTTTGGTGGATAAAGTATAAACGACTATCGATGAAACTGTCACGACGGATGTCTTTTCCGAATCGCGAACAGAGTGTTTCATCTCTGGTTGAAGGCCATGCACGTATATACATTAGAGACTAACTGGATTTGAGCACTTGGCTGGAGAATAAGACCTGAGATTTTCACAGTCCGGCGCCAGGCAACCTAAATCCCCCCCCCCTGAGTCGTAAGTCATAGATTAAGAAACAAACATGAGAAAAAGGCCAAATCAAAGAAAGGGGAGACAATGTAGGTATATAGACGATGAGGGAACGTGGATTACTCGTCTGGTTTGAACACCGCATCTTTGCAGAGAATGACCACTTTTTTGAAGAATCGGCGCCATTCGAGGGGATCGCCTTTGATCTTGATGAACTCGACTTCGAAAACGCCTTCGGAGACACACTCAATGAGGACTTTACCCTGCAGCGGACACATTCGGCCATCCTTGGCAACGACTCGAATCATAGCATAACTATCGCCGGCACTTACTGCGGGGACTGATGGTACTGGAACTCCGAGTCGGTGGAGGGCTTCACAGATCAACGGAACCAGAAGCTTGAGTTCCCACGCAGAGTAGAAGCGAGTCATTGGGCGAGAGGGCACAATATCTTGGAATTTCTGCGCGTTCTGGGTGCGGCTTACGGGGACAGACGGTTGTTGTGAGAATTGTGACAATGATGGCTCGTCCTCAAGGTGACTAGCCATTGCGGCATCCTGAGAAGCAAATTGCTTCCCACTGGGCTGAGTAGAAGAAAACTCGGAGGCCAAATGCGGTGTATCCCAGTCCATCACTAGTCCGCCTCCAACCTCCGGCTGTGTGGATGAGAAGCCTGCCGACGGGTGATCAACATCCATATCAAGATCCATTGCTTCTAAGCTCCGGCTAGGACCCTTGCGCTTCTGGGAGAAGGGGTCTTGGCTGAAGTCAATATGCAATGACTCGAACATGGAGGTGGCGAGATTGATTGGGTCTCTCAGCTTGCCATCGCTAGAAAGGAATTTGTTTGACCGTGTATACCAAGGATGTCTTCGCACATCTTCCAGCGAGAAGCGACTTTGCGGGTCCACGGTCAACATGCCGCGCAGTAGTGAAAGAGTGGCAGTTGGTAATTTCTGCCATAGCTCATCTGTGGTTCGTGAATTTTTCGAAACATATTCGTGGAATTCGTAACTGTCATCGGTCGGGCTATCCCAGGGCGTGTTTCCCGCCAAAAGAACGAACAGAACAATGCCACAGGACCAGATGTCCACCAAGTCTGGATGGTACCCTGGCCCTTTTGTTTGACCACGAGTACTGCTGGTAATGACCTCGGGTGCAATGTAGGGTGGGCTACCGCAGAATGTGGTAGAGAGCTTCCTGGTTCCCTTGTACTCGAAGAGAGCGGCGAGGCCAAAGTCCGCAATCTTCAGGTTTCCATCCGCAGTCAAGAGCATGTTCTCAGGTTTAATATCACGATGACCAACACCCTTCGAATGCATGAAGCTGACGGCGCTGATGAGTTGTGAGAAATAAACGTGCGCAATATCCTCGCCCACGCCCTCGTCAGCCTCGATCTTGTCGAAGAGATCCCCGCCCTCTGCCAATTCCATCGCGATCCACCGCCAGATGTCATCCTCGCCAGTCTGATAGAAACTGATGATGTTATTGTGGCCCGTAACATGTCGATGCACCGTGACCTCCAGCTGCAGTTGTCTGGCGCTTATCTTGCCGTGGCGCGCGGCGTAGTCTTTGTGGATGTACTTGACGGCGAAGACGGGGTTGTCCGAGTCCAGAGGGCAGGCTTTCTTAATGCTAAGAGGGCGAGAACTCGTCAGTTTTCATTCTCAGAAGGTAAACGAAGCAAAAGCGCTCTCACGTACCAGGCATACGCGCCTTGGCCGATTGTCTTGGAGACAATGCGAAAAGGCACGTCGTTCGGAAGCGGGGCCAATTGCGAATGCTGCATCGTGGGCTCTAGGGAAGGAACGAGTGACTTGAGAGGAAAGGATCGGATTAAAGATTAAAGAGTGGCTATGAGGAGTTCGACATCACGAGTTGAGATGAAAGCGAGGGAGCGCGGTGATAGGCAAGGGTGCCGAGCAGAGCAGAGCAGAGCAAAGAGAAACGCGGGTCACCGACGCGGGCCACTTTATCCTGTTCGGGTAGTGTGTTGATAACCTGGACAACCTTGGAATCTTCATACAGGGACTACATGAACGGACTATCTAGGTATGCCAAGGTAGCTCCAGGGATGCCATACGCGTAGGAGTGAAGCCCAATGACCCGGTCTACAAATGTGATACATAGTCCGAGCCCCTCTTGTATCAGTGCGACCCGCAGGTGATCGCACTAAAAGCTCCGGATTTAGATCCATCGGCCTGTGCTTTTGGACTTGACACTTGGGTTTTCATATGTCATGTAAGACCTTGGGCTTGTATCTCTAGATCTGTGGTTCCCAGAGATTAACGCGTTCATTGATTATCGCTATAATCAGAGGGTTGGTTCAAGACTCTTGTCCAGTTCGGTTCTAATCTCAGCTCTGGCGGGGCGTTGCCGGGGTCGCGCGTAAACAAAGCGCTTAGTTTTTTTCGGACCCTTTGATCTTCTCGAATTTCACCTTCTTCCCTTCTACCTTTCGGCTCCTTTGTCCACCCTCAATACCCTCAATACCCTTAATACCCTCATTTGAACCCATTTGTTACTGCATTTGGTCGTTGTGGGGCCATTGTTCGGATCCGTCGTCATTCCATCGCAACCCTCGTGCTACTGTAACCAGCATTCCAGCCACCGTCCGGGAATCCGCAGCCTTCGAGATCATTTTGCTAGAAGACCAATTTCTTGATTCTTTCTACGATGGATTACACCATGGAAGATACTCAAAACTCGGCGCCCGAGGCGCTGGAAGCCTCCAAGCTGAACACCTCCAGCCAGCGCAATGAGACTCAGAGCGTCACGAAGCGGTTCGTTCGGCCTCCACAAACTCTACCTCTATTGGCAGACCCATTGTACTAACTCGCTCTCCTACGTCTAGCCTGCAGGCTGAGTTGATGCAGCTCATGATCCAGCCCTCGCCCGGCATTTCCGCCTTCCCCGACGCCGACGGCAACCTACTGTCCTGGACAGCGACCATTACTGGACCGACTGAGACTCCTTACGAGGGGTTGAACCTGAAGCTCAGCTTTGCCTTCCCCAACAACTACCCTTACTCCCCGCCGACCGTCCTCTTCAAGTCCCCCATCTATCACCCTAACGTCGACTTCTCCGGCCGTATCTGCCTGGACATCCTCAAGGACAAATGGAGCGCCGTTTATAACGTGCAGAGCGTCTTGCTGAGTCTACAGAGTCTCCTGGGCGAGCCTAACAAGTAATAAATGCCCTTAATCCACATATCTCCCAAATGCTGACCAGAACAACAGCGCGAGCCCGCTCAATGCCCAAGCCGCCGAGCTCTGGGACTCCGACCAAGAAGAGTTCAAGCGCCACGTTCTCGCTCGCCACCGCGACCTCGACGAAGATTAGATGCCTGCTTCTGGAGTCTGCATTGTCGTCTACCGTTGCTACCTGCCCCGTCAGGGGGGACGTGGAGGCTCGGTATAAATGCATAGTGGCCTGGTTCATTGGGTTTGGAGTTTTGGCTATCTGTGGTTCTAATGCTATCTTTATCGCGCGCATTCACGTACAGGCGCTTGTGGCCCTGGTTTCTACTGGGTGTCTGTTTTGATAAGATCATCGTGGAGGGGTATTCCTTGCTGTTTCCACGCTTTCTCTCTTTCCAATCTTTCATTCTATTATTTCTAGACTGGCAGTCATTCCACTAGACTCTGCATTCAAGTAGTGCAAAACAAGATAGTAGAAGGTTAAGACTTTAAGAGCAAAGCCCTGAGTCAGTTATATTCATCACATTGGCTTTATAATAGCTAGTTAACACGTAAGAAAAACGACGACTGGCCTTGTGAACATATCAGATCAAGAAGACGTGAAGTACGCCTTTTCGTTCGTAATGAGCAATCCAGCAACGGTGGCACTGGTGAAGGTGCTAAGAGCGCCCGTGAGCATAGCACTGATCGCAACACGCGAGACATCTGCACTACGACCAGGGGAGATCTGTGCCAAAACACCGATCTGTTGGCCCAGGGAGCCAATGTTGGCGAAACCGCAGAGGGCATATGTAACAATGAGACGAGAGCGGTCGGAGAGGTCTTGGTAGGCATCCTGGTTCTGGAGGGCGTTGTATGCGACAAACTCGTTCTATATAATGTGAGGTCGATAATCAGTAAACTAGGAAAGGGACATACCGAGATAAGTTTGAGACCGATCAGTTGGCCCACCTTGAGCAGATCGTCGTCGCGGGAGACGCCCAGAAGGAACGCAATTGGGTAGCAGATGTAGCCGACGATGAGCTCCAGGGTCAGTGGTGGGTCATTGATGTTCAAATAGTGGCCCCACCAGGTGAGCAGGCCGTTGATGAGACCGATGAGGGAAATGATGCAGAGGAGGGTGGTGCCGATCATGGCACCGATCTTGAGACCCAGCCAAGCGCCCGTTGAGAAGGCGTGCAGGGCATTTGCGGCTTTGTGTTCGTCGTTATCGGGGATAATGACACGGCCGGCTGTCAGGCTTTCTTCTTCCTCGGGCCAGCGCAGCTTCGAGCAAGCCAGAGAGGCGGGAATACTCATCACGCAGGAGGAGACTAGGGCTTGCGAGTTGACGCCCATGGTGATGTAGGCAATCAACACACTACCTGCGATGGTGGCGAAGCCGGAGCACATCACCTGGTGCAATTCGGCCATGGTAAGATGCGGAACGAAGGGTCGAATGAGCATAGCGGACTCGCCCTGTCCGATGAAGGGCGAAGCAGCCGCCACGACAGCCTCGGCGCCAGACACCCGCATGGACCAGAAGAAGAATGAGGCGAATTTGACAAGGAACCACTGCAGGACATTACTGTAGTATAGGAGTTGAACAATCGAGACGAAGAAGATGATCGCGGGAATCGTGCTGACAAGGAACCAACTGCTCGGGGTAATTGGCGTGGTCATATCGTAAAAGGCATCGGCCGTCAAGAATTTCACTCCATCACTGGCGAATCCGAGCAGGTCACGGGCAAGAGTCGAGATGAAGTTGAAGATATCGTAGCCTGCCCCGCTGCGCAGCACGAACAGCGCAACGATGAATTGGACTAGCATACCGACAATCACGGTGTGCCAGACGATCTTCTTGCGGTTTCGTGATGTAGCCCACAGAACAAACAGGATGACCGCAAGACCGAATAGACTGACTGCACGATCCGCGCGCGAGTTATCTTGAGACTGAGGGGAAGCGAATGCACCGATGAGAATTACTGCAATGGTTACAAGAGCACTGAGAGGCAATCTCAGCTTTTCAGGAATGATCGCAACGAACGGACGAGCGGTATTGTTCCAAACGAAATGCATCGGTTTCGTCACAACAGAGATGGGCACATAGAAGAAAATGATTCGCAGCGTGATGGCGAGATACAGCAAGAACGGAATCAACCATCCCAAATCATACCGGTGCAAAATCAGACCCGCGATCCACCAGCTAAGAACAGCGTAAGTCTTTGATGTCTGGCAATGGTTATTGCAGAAGCTTTTGTTTTTTTCCACTCACCCAGTGAACAAGAGCCAGATCACGGCGTGGACCACATGCCGCCATTGCTTGAGTATACGTCGCTGCCATGGTCGCTTTGCAGGCTCAGTTTCCCCCGTCTCTTCGTCGCTTTGGCTGTGGCTCTTGCTAGCGTGGTCGAGAGGTGTTGGTTCAGGCACAATTCCCTTCTCGAATGCTGTGTCCTTGGAATACACCACATCTTCCTCGCGGCCCTGCTCCGCAAAAGCTGTGTGGTGATGGTGCGCGTGGTGATGCTGGTGTTCGGTCTGCAGCACAGGGTCTATCTGGTGCGAGCTGTGAACATTCACGTCTACCGGTGTCTTGGATTCGGTGGATTCGGCCATGGTTGGAGAAAAAAACGATCAACGTTGAATCTTCAACTTTCGATCTTCCCTTATCTCTTCACGTGGACATTCCCTTCCCACGTTACACAAACCCCAGGGATAAAGATCCGTTCCAAGAATGGGGAGGAGGGAGTTTATAGACGAGCGTGGACCGAGGCGATTTATCAGAAATCGAACCGGTACATTGTGGCTGGCTTGGTATTAAGCATTCCTCGTACGTCCATTGGGGGCAAGGGGGGGGGCAAAAAATTAGTTTATCAACCTGATTTCTGTGCGGGGAACACTTCGTCGTTAGTGCCCTTGGTTTCCCTTGGGGCGAGATAAAGACAGTCAACAGGGGTTTAGGTTACTGGGTCCATCAAGCCCTTGGGTCTAAATCCTTTTGGTTCGTTCCACTAGCTTGCGCCAACGGGATGGCCGACGGGCCACCCCTCTCACCCGGGAGGGGCTCATGTAACCAGAGATTTCTGGTTGGGCAAATGATAGCGCTCTTGCACCGCTATCTCGGTGATCTAGCACCATTCAAGTTAATATCTTGCCACCTCGGGCTCGGTGGTTGGTGGACGATCACCGGCCCTAACCTTGAAAAGGGAATCTCCGCACCATACGGCAGGTGGGGCACGCAACCTTTTTTTTCTATCGTGGCTTGAGTCGTGTGCTCTCTAGGTCTTTTCTGGAAGTGAAAATCCTTGTGCGAAGGATCTGCGATGTCATCTGTCTTACTAGATTACTTGCTTAAATCTGTGGCTCAGTAGGAAATCATCGGGGTGGGAAGTGCAGATCTCTTATCTTTGGCCTGCGCTAGAAATTCTTATCGACTTAAATGTTGGGCCCACTTCAGCTTTGATCCCTGCACTCAGAACTTCAATCTTCTACCTGCGATAGGCGAATTCCGCCCCAGCGAGAGTACGACTTGGCATATCAGCTGCATACGTTGGCTTTGGGAGGCTTAAGGGTAAAGAGTAACCCTGTGCTCAGAGGCGTTGACTTGGCAATCCTTGGAGGAAACATCATTTCGGCTGGGTAGACCTAGAGGAGCCCCGCTAGGCCCGGTAAACAAGCCGTTGATAGAGACGCGAGGATTGACTGGAAGAAAAACGAAAAATATCACCTTGGCAAGTAAGATTCTGGACTAGTCTTCGGGGGATCTTTATACCAATCACAATGCTGCCAAGCTATATAGTGATTGTATTCAAGAAAGAAAGACGTGCAGCATTGCATTTTGGTTGGTAGCAATGATTGGCATGTGCAGGACAAAAATCCACTAGATAACGCGACTTCCAAACACGACCGCCCACTCGAAGGTGTTTATCAAACGAGCTTGAAAGATTTCTAGTCGGACTTGACACCCATGTAGTAGTTCAAGCTAATGAAGGGCCATTGAACCATTATATTCCCGCTACATATGAAAGGTTTATTTACTAAGATCCATGCCCGTTTGGTCCAAGAGACTTCGAGCTTCCTCGGTCGTGTGTGTTCCGAGGCAGGATGTGAAGCCATCAATCCGGATACTCAGAGGCGCCACAGGTAGAATCAATGTGTAGAATCAATGGACAGGGGAGTTCCAAAACCGAAAAAAAGATATAAAAAAACAGGGGCGAAAGAACACTAGCGGGGAGCATAAACAGTTACTAATGTCACGTGCAGTGGGTTCGAATATAAATACAAGAATCAAAGCATTAGTTAGACAAAGGGGGATTGTATTGAACCAGAGTGCTACAGGATGACTCATTCATCAAACCATATTGAAGCCTCCCTTAAATCTAAAAATCTTTAAAATACCCTCGAACTATATCATTCAACCCCACCAGCATTGATTAAACACTCGCGTACCCGCAGGTTGCCCGTCTGTAGTAAATTCATACCCAGTGGGGTTTGCCCGGCATGATTTCGTGAATTAACGTCAGCCCCATATCTGATAAGTAGCCCAATCATACGAGACATAGTATCAGCTAGGGTGTCCCCCATCAAGGCTCTATTACACCAATGTATAGGGGTCATCCCTTCTCTATCCTTATTGTGCACATTTGCACCGTGCTCGAGGAGGACTTGCATCGGCACCAGATAGCCGCGGCGAATCGTGGGATAAAGAGCGTTTTGCCCATGACTATTCTGGTGGTTTGGGTCCGCTCCTAGTTTCAGGAGGACATCAATAATGTTGGGGGTTTGTTTCCGGAACTGTGGTGATTCAATAGCCGTGAAAAGTGGAGTCTCGCCATTATCGTTGCTCCAGTTCGCATCAGCACCTCTTTGACAAAGCCATTTCACCATTTTCACCGAAATCTGTCGAGCCGAGCCATGCAGCACAGTACATCCGCTCTCATCTCTAGCACATATATCTGCACCGTGATCGAGTAGTAATTCTGCTGTATATTGACATTGAGCATGGTCTTGTTCCACATTCAGGAACAGAGGTGTACGTTGCTGTGAATCTCTGGAGTTCACATCGGCTCCATGATCAATAAGCAATCTAATGATATCTTTGCTTGGACCCCAACCTTTGGCAAAGTAATGAATAGCCGTTTGCCCGCGATTGAATCTAGCAGGTGTGCCGATATTCACGTCAGCCCCACAGTCCAAGAGAGCCTGAACGGTATCGGTAGCTCGGGCATGAGCAGCCTTATGTAGAGGTGACATGCCACTTTCGGTCAGGCAATTCACATCAGATCCAGCATCCACAAGCATCTTCACTACATCGGAAAACCCGGCTTTCTCGGCGGCAAAATGCAGTGGAATTCTTCCTTCTTTGGATTCCCGAGCATGTACATTAGATCCTCTAGCAAGAAGGAAAGCCACTCCGGTTGATTTGCCAGCGATAATAGCAGTGAACAGAGGAGTACGTCCGGAGTATCCCTTGAGATTGACATCGGCCCCGTAATCCAGCAACATTTGTAACGTATCCTCCCCACAATCATTCAGAATAGCTGTTTCTAATGGACCGTGTTTAACATTGTCCATGAAATTTGGATCTGCGCCATGATCAAGTAGACTTTTAACAATTGCTGTATGATGTCGGCTTATAGCGAGCAGCAGGGCTGTCCTGGTGTCCCAACGAGGCCCTCGAATGTCGGCATTGACACCCGCAGCGAGCATATTCTGAGCGGCAGATTCATATCCCCAGTTGGAGTAGAAAAGTAAGGCGAGACCGCCGGTAGCACGAATGTCTCGTCTATAGAGCTGGCTAAGGAGAAGATCGTGTAGGAAGTGGTTAACCAATAAAAGATTGAGCATATCATTGTTGGAATCAAGTTGATTTGCAATGAGCAGAAGAATTTCCAACGGCAATGAGAGAAACATCATCGCAATGAGAAGACAAGAGTGATGTTGGCGGGGGAAATGCGTCAGACGCTCGACGTGGGCTAGTGAGGCTCGGTAAGATCCACTTGGTCTTGGTGGGAGCCTAAAACTTTCAGTTCAGGCATCACAGCCTCTCTGTCTTCACTTGGATCATTTGAGAAAGCAGCAGAGTGAGTATGAATCGCAGGCCGTAATTATCAAATTAACTATTGAAAAGGGGAACCCGTAGGGAGACCCGCCTCTGCCTGTCTGTTTGCGAACAGGTCGGCCACTGGGAGTAGTGGGGCTATAGGAGATGAGAACACATAGGAGTGGGTTGGAAGAGAAAGTGCGTCTGTCTTGCTTATCCTGCGCATAGAAAGTCATATACTATCACAAAAGCCTTAGTCATCATATAGACCGCTCCTTCATGCAGTCAGCAGTTCCCCCACTACACTATGGTGTTTGAGGGTGCGTCACTTACTGACTACGGTACCGTATGCTACTCCGTACCCTCATGGCTTGAATCGTTTATCCAAAACGTATTGGAGTAGCGCCCAGTAGTCGGCCGTACCTAGGAAACAATCAGTCGACAGTGGATACTTACAACTTGGTTATGCACGGTACGTTTGTGAATCAATATCACATGCGCCTCAACAATTAGCAGTGTCTCTAAGCTTGACCTCAAGGCTCAGCGCCTTTCCCACCAGCAATTACTAATTTTCGACCGGAAAATCGCCGGTTCGCAAGACTTCGATACCGTCTATGAAAGGAAACCAGTCACCAATGACAACATGTAATAGGAGAAGATTGACTGACATCCTGTCAAAGGACTGGACAAGGGCCTGACAAGAGTCTTCGTCGAGGTTGGGGTAGGGCCAGAAATGATAATCATGATTTGAATTCTAAAAGCTGAAGATGAGTTTTTTGAACAATATCGGCGAGAATATCATATAGCTACAGTAATATAAGCAACCGATAAGTCCTCGTCAAGTGTGAAGCAATGGTCTAGAGATTCACCAATTTCTCGTCGGACCTCTATCAACGTTGAGGCCGAGAAACTGTAGGCTCGGGAATTGATCGGATAAATTAGCGAGGTTGTTAATACTGGCACGAAAAGGATGTTTTGCCCAAGAAGGTTTTCCCCTGCCAAGATCGGAGCTCAGTTTGCCTCGAAAACGTAGGTGATTTAGGGATCTGAAGAAAACAGATCTACACCGGGAGCTTATTTTCGGTTCGACTCATACGTCATTTTCTGACCGCCTTCTTTTAATGCCGGTACATGCAGCAATTACTCCCCAGTTCTCCAGTCCCCAATCATTACGGAATTTATTGAGTAGGATCATACCTGCCATTCGTCATGGAAAGCCATCTTAAATCCCTTTTACAGCCACTTGGCCGTACAGAGCTGTGCGATTCCGTGATTCCGGCTCTCCTGGACTGTATCTCTGAGATCGCGAAGTCGCTGCGCGAGTCACAACATGTCTCCCTCGCTGGCACCACAAACGCATTTGGTGACGGCCAGTTGAACGTCGACATGGCAGCAGAGAATCTCGTTCGAGAAGCACTTGCAAAATGCCCCTCCATAGTGACTGCAAGCAGCGAAGAGGAGCCCGTGGAGCGCGCTGCCGGCGACGGCCAAGCCGTGAACCCCACATCAGAGAAATACACAGTCGCCTTCGACCCTCTAGATGGGAGCTCGATCATTGCGCCTAATTGGACCGTGGGCACTATTTTGGGTATCTGGGACGGTGCGTCGGCGATCAACCAACAACCCTCGGAAAAACAGATTGCCTCCGTGTTGGGCGTCTATGGGCCGCGCACCACGGCTATCATTGCCCTGAGAGTCCCCGGTGGCGAGCCTCAATGTCTGGAGATCGGGATCGGTGGTTCCGGACAGGAACATCAGATCATTCGATCTAATGTGCGACTCGCGGACCCGCCATTTAAAACGCGCTACTTTGCCCCGGCCAATCTTCGTGTGGCAGGACAGAGCGAGAATTACATGCGTCTTATTATGCATTTTATCGAGAAAAGCTATACTTTGCGCTACTGTGGTGGATTGGTACCGGATATTGTGCATGCGCTGGTGAAAGGACACGGCGTGTATGTGTCCCCTGTGACAGTTGCAAGCCCGGCGAAACTACGTCGTTTGTATGAGCTGTTCCCCATCGCGCTGATAATGGAATGTGCCGGAGGAAAGGCAATTGATCCTGCTACAGGAGAGGATATTTTGAACAGACCATTGGAGGATTGTGATGAGACCGCGGGTCTGGTCTGTGGTACGGCTGAGGAGGTCGAGATTGTGAAGAAGGTACTACTTGGTGCCTGAGGATCCACAGTCAAGCCCCCAAGCCTATTGGGATATTTGTCTCCGATTACCTTCCATAATGACAACATGCATGATATGTTTAAAAGGCTACTTGGAATATTCCGAGTGTCAGTGTTGATACTTTAGAAAAAATAGATTTCTTATTGCCAGAAAAGGTGTTGACTCATTCTGAAGAGACGTCACCCACGAGAAGTAGAGAGACGATTGAACAATTGTCAAGTTATATGAAAATCAAACAAAAGGCCATTAAATACAAGGAACATGAGCGGAAGATGCTATGAGAGCCCGAGGGATTAGATCAACCCAGAATGAAAGCCATTTCAAGACCCCACTATTTTAGCAGTAGGTAGCATTAGAGATTGGCTTGTGGATGACACCAGCATCAATAAGACGCTCGTAAGACCAGTAATCGCGCTGGGTACCCTGTCCGTCAACAGCAGCGCTACTGTTGTGCTTGATGTTCCAGAACGAGCCGCCCTGGGCGTAGTAGCTCCAAGCATACCGCTGAGTGTTGAAGAGACTCTGGCGGTTCTTGAAAGTGTTGCTGTAGAGAGTCTGTAGGGCCCATTCACCGATGTAAACAGGGAACTTGCCATCACCGCCAACAGCGGAGGCCTGGCCACAAATAGCGCCATTTGCCCACTGCGAATAGACACCCGAGGCAGCGAAGTAGTACACATGAGTATCGATGACCAGATTGGTGCCGGTAGCAAAGTGGGGGGACCAATGCTCCTCCCCGAGGAAGCAGTCCTGCAGCATGACGGGGATGCGCTTATCAACACGGGCGACGCGAGCCAAGACACCATTGGTGTACTTGAGAATCCAGTTGGTGCCATTGGTAGTCAGGGTGTTGACAGATGCGAAGGCAGACGGGTTATCGGAAGCCTCGTTAATGGGGGCAATGGTGAATGCCCAGGGATAGCCGGTTTCCACAAAGAATTCCAGAACCTGGTCGACTGCTTTGTAGGACCAAGCCAGATTGGTGTAATTCTGGAACCAGCCGTCGTTGCCAGCCTTCTCTCCGATGTCGAGGGAGTTCACGCCACCAGGAAGAGAGTGCAGACCAACGACGATGCGCATGTTGTACTTCTCGATAGCATATGTGGTAATTTCCTTCAGATACTCCTTCTGGTTGCCGTGATACAGAGCAGATCCGGGGAATTTGATCCAAGCAGCGTAGGTGGTAGGAATGCGAAGAGTGTTGACACCTGTATATTTATTAGTGTATGTCCAGCCTAGTTTGGTTATGAGATCGTGTAGAACATACCAACAGCAGCAACCTTGTCAATATCATCGGTGGTGATATAAGAGGCGTATCGCTGCTCCAGAACAGGACCACACTGGTCACCCAAGGTCTCGCAAAAGGTCCATTCATCGGTGGCATTGGGGGCGTACTGGTCCCACCAGTACTGGTCGAAAACCTCTTCTTGCTCTAGCCAACCTCCGAGGTTAACACCGTTGGCCTTAAAAGAGGTCCAATCGGTATACTCGCCGGCGGCAAGTGTGGCAGTGGAGATGGCAGAAGTGGCAGTGGTCGTATAGGTCTTGACAGTGCTACTTCCGTGGTGGTACGCGGTAGAAGTCATCGTGCGAACGGCAGTGTTGGATGTGGAAGCAGTATAAAGATTGGTGTTGATGCCGGAGCCGACAGCAGAGCCACCGGCAACTGGGGCGAGGGTTCCAGTAGAAACGGTAGCAGTGTTTTCACTAATATAGATCCAAAAAGTATAAATTAGCTATCATTCAAAGGTGTCAGGAATTGATTTGAGAGAACTCACGGGTTAGAACCGGCGGTCTTGGTGCCAATCTTGGTTATAACAGTACGACCATTGTCATTACCAGCAGTAGCAGTATCAGTAACAATGGAAACAACCTCACCGGTTGCGGTGACGGTAGCAGTGGAAATAGTCTTGGTGACAGTCTCGGTAGTGGTGGCATAAACAGTGGTATGCAAATGAGTGGGAGCATTGGTGCATTCAATCAGGATAGTGTTGTCAATAGTAACAACGGTGTCTTCCTCGAGCTCAACATCGACAACAACAGGGTATTCCACGATGCTAAGGGACAAATGAAGAACCTCACCGGTGGAAATCAGATTGGAACAGGTTTCTTCAGAGTTTCGGGCTTGAATGACGCCTGCAGCTGCCAGTCCAATGGGTGCAGCAGCTGCTGCAAGACCAAAGAAACGCATAGTTGGAAAATACTTTAACGAAAGGCTAGTGTGGGGAACTAATATGAACGAGTGGAAGGGAGAGGGCGAAGTCTCTAGAAACGAGTGTGAGATGAGACTGCAATGCTGTTCGAAAGAAAGCAGGACTGCCACTCGGATTTTATAAATTAACTTGATTTCCCACAATCGCTTCTCTGCCGTCCTACTTCTCTAGTCGCAAAATTAGAGGGACATTCGGGCCGATCAAATTGACCCGGCACCGAACCCACAGACGAGCAGAAGCTCGGAATGCTCCCCCTCATTGAATTGAACTTAGATCTCTAATCCATTGTGGCTCATGTCGCAAGCGATCTTCCATGGATTGAAAGGTACTGACGGCCAGACAATTCTTCCGGCTTGATGTCTGAGCCGACGGCATACCGTAGAGTTAGAGCAAAAATAAGCGCTAATGGCTAAATTTACCCAAGAGGTCCCAACTAACCCTGACCATGAGATAAGTGGATTGTTGCCAGATACTAATGAAGACAGACGCCGTGTTGTATCGGGGATCTAGATCAAGGAGGGTCTTTTGAAAACAGCCAATCGAGGATTGGCATAAACAAGAACCCTGATTAATTTCAATAGTCCCGAAATTGTTTACGAGTGGCTGTAAACTAAGATTCCAAGAACCATCGATCGCCTTGATCGAAGCGGCGTGGGACCTTGTCAGGACACGAACCCGGATAACCCGAAACCACGTTTTCTGTCGCTCAACAGCTAGGCCCGCATTCACCTATGGAAACATCTGCGGAGCTGGTCTCTTAATCGGCGAGTAGGCCGTTGGCATGACCCGGGCAAGTCCGAAAATCACTCAGCTAGGAAATGCTTTTATGAGTTGTTGGTTCTTGAGAATCCAAGCTATACTTTCTAGGCTTGGAGAAAGGGAAACATCTTCGCGTGCACATACGGGAACTGTTCGATGGCTCGAAAGTCGACTGGAGACTCTTCTCACATGGAGCAGGGCTCAAATTCATATTTCAGGGATCATCGAATTTGGCACTAGGGACTATTTTTGTTGCCTGCCCAGTTCTTCCATGGATCGCACGAATTCCTAGCTTGCTTGACCCACTTGGGCCTGGGATTTTTCTTCTTGGCAATTTTGATTTAGTTGCTTTGTGAGATACCGGGATATCCGGGCGCGTGTGAAAACGAGACATATAGACTTCCTAGTAAACCATATCGCTATGTTTATCTCAGCAAATAATTCAACAACTGATTGAACTTATTGTGGACCTGCCTTCAAGCTGATTCACAACTTTGCATTTAAGTATTTTGAATTTAGTCCCTAGATACTGACTTTACAGTAAGCAGGAATAAGAAAATCGCTTTCGTGCCTGAATCGGCGAACCCGCCCCTCGCAGCCACAGACCCACTTAGGTTATGCATTATTTGAACCAGGCCAACCAGAAGAATTGTATTGCCTCGGTTAGTCTTCGGCAAAAAAAGTGTCGATATGTGGGACCCTGTTTAAACTTAGAATTCAATTACCGACCGGGAGTAGGAATATGCTAGATAGAGAGCCTTGGCCAATTACCAATGTGAAGTGACCCTCATCCAAGGTCATCTTCACGATTGAGTAAATTCATTTTGTGGGACTTGATGGTTAACCTAGCATAAAATTCCCTAATTTAATAAAGGTCCAATCCTGGTTGACGGTTTCTTGTTTATCCTTATCCAGACAGAGCGTGTTTGCGGTATTCTACCCCTTTGATTTCAAAACCCACCGCTCGGCATCTCGCGGAAGCATTGACCGAGACTCAGTCAACACTTTTGGAACAGTAATTGTCAGGTACGCTCGATGCGCAAGAAACCTTGAACAAAATAGTTCATCAAAGTGTTTGGCGTTCGGACCTCCCATCGAATGAACCCTCCCGTATGGGAGAATGATATCTCCTTAGGCATAATATTACCCCTACCTCCTCCTACTTTCCTTTAGTTTCCTGAACTTACTATATTGGTTTCCCTAGGGTCTAATCAAAGCTTTTACCTCTCTTAGCTTGCTTACCTCGTGCTCACTATCGCTATATTCTCCAGAACTTTCACTTTCCTTATCCTACAATATCCTAGTAAAACTTGTGTCGCCAAATTATAGAAGCAAAGGAGCCAAGGACCTATCGAGAGTTGGCTGATCATAGCACGTGGCTTAGATGTGGCTAAGCGGATAGGAAACCCGGTTCTCCTGACCTGTTTTCGTATGTATATGGTACTAGATTACTAGATTATTCTTTTTGTATTCCTGTAATGTAGGGAATAATACTAAGCTCAAATTGTTTGTTTCACAATTGAAACCATTAAGTCAACTACCTGCCTTCAGACAGGGCAATGATTTCGTTGCCTCGCGGGGAGACAGACTCCCAAAATTCACGGCTCTCCCCTGACCTGTTGATCAGGTTTAGTTTTTTGAATTAAAGTCTATATCACCCGGCTGTTTTCAGAGTCCAGTGCCAGGGGTTACTACAATCGTATTGCCATGAGGGCATACCACGGATTGTTCCAAGCTCCCCGGGATAATGGGTAGGTACTTCAATGATTACATAAGGGATAAAATCTGAGCTGTAGCTATTCCTTTAATTCATATTCCAAAAATCTATCTTGGGACCTTGCCTTGTTAGCTGGATTTTGCAGTGGTTTGGGCGGGCCTCGTACTGAATGCCCACATTCCCCGTTGACACGACTCATCCATGGTCGTGATGTAATAGCGAATCATGTAAATACTATAATGATGATTTAAACAGAAAGGCTTAGAATGAAGTCCATGAGAGAAGCTCGCAGGCTTTATTTTGAAAATCTACAGAAAACACGATCTTTTCCTGCAGGACAACAGCTGCATATAGTATAACAATTTGTACCACTGTTATCATCTGAAGGCCCGCTGGTCTAGTGGTATGATTCGCCGTTCGGATTCTCGAATATCCGGGCCGGGTTCACCCGGCACATTTCGGCGAGGTCCCGGGTTCAATCCCCGGGTGGGCCCCTTCTATCTCAATTTTTTCTCTTCTTTTTTCTCTCTCTTGAAAAAAAAACCTTTACTTGAATTGTTGCCATTTTCAGGAACAAAAGGGACGATCGATGCAGTTTTAAGAGAATGGGCGAGAGAGGTTCTTCTCGAAATTCCTGTCCTAGATAGACTTCGGGAAGATTTGATAGTATGCGGTAGTCAAGTGCCAAGATAATGAATATTTAAAACAGACAAGCTATGCTTTCCTTTCTGATTCCCCAATGAATCCTTTTCCATGACAGACGAGTGGTCAGGGTTTCAAAATACACGCTGTTCCAGGTAACACTCTGAGATGTCGAGATAGAGCGAGTGCGCCTATCATCGGCCATCTGCAACCGGAAGCGGTAAACAGCACGCGGGGTTCCCTCTCGGTCCAAAAGCAATTTCATCTGGTCAACAACGCGCAAACCAAAATGGCCAGCGATAAGGCATGGGAGCTGGAGGAGGGAATTCCTCAGGTCGAGGATCCCTTCATTCAGCAGTATTTGAAAGGACGCGACGCCCTGATCACGGAAGAACAGAAGAGACGTCACGGTAAGGACATATACCCCGCCAAAGAACTTAAAGGCTAAGTTGTCCCCTTCAGACGCGACATTTCGCAAGACTTTGTCACCTATTGCCGCCCGTGCATGTAAAATCGTCTCTCAGATCCGTGCCCGCGAGCAGAACGAAGTGTGGACCACGGGACTCGAGAATGAGGCCGCGCATCAGTCAGATGAGATCCTCTACCCAGGCGTCATGTTCCACCACGCGAAAGGTCGCATGGAAAAGACCAATCTTTGGAAGATCGTCGAAAAAATGCCCAAGGGGTCTCTTCTACATGCGCATATGGATGCCATGTTCGATATCGACTTTTTGATCGACCAGGCCTTGTCTACCCCGGGGATCCACATGTCGGCACCTCGACCGCTACTAACACACCATGATTATGATACTGCACCTGTGTCTTTTCAATTCTCATCTCGACTCGAAGCATCCAAAGATAAGCCTGCTGCCTGGTCCGAGGCGTACGAGCCCTCGTCATTGATCCCCATCCAGGCAGCGGCGGATTCTTTCCCTCGTCACGGAGAGGCTGGGTTCCGAGAATGGTTGAAGAGTCGGTGTATGCTGATGCCGGAGCACTCGTACCATCACTACCATGGAGTCGATGCGATCTGGTCAATCTTCACGAGAACTTTCCCGGTTATTAACTCCATCCTTATGTACGAGCCCATTTTCCGGGCATGCTTCCGTCGCATGCTAGGACAGCTTGCCGCAGATGGAATTAGATATGTGGAGTTCCGCATCGCGTTTGTCTTCCGGTACAGGAAGGAGGGACATGATACGATAGAAGAAGACTACCACGAGTGGTGCAGAGTTGTGGAAGAAGAAGTGGAAAAGTTCAAAGCAACCGAGGAAGGAAAGAATTTCTACGAAGCACGCATTATCTGGACGACTCTACGAAGGCTGGACAATCAGGATATTGTTGAGAGCATGAAGCAGTGCATCATATCCAAGATGGATTTCCCCACCTTGATCAGTGGCTTTGATTTGGTCGGACAGGAAGATAAGGGCAGAACTCTCGTGGACCTTGTGCCGCTACTTTTCTGGTTCCGAAAGACGTGTGCAGAGGAACAGGTCGACATTCCGTTCTTCTTTCACGCTGGTGAATGTTTGGGGGATGGTGACTCGACAGACCAGAACCTCTTCGATGCCATCCTACTGGGCACGCGACGGATCGGCCATGGGTTCTCTCTTTACAAGCACCCGCTACTTATCGACCTGGTCAAAGAGAAGAAGATCATGGTGGAGTGTTGTCCCATCTCGAACGAAATCCTACGCCTGGCGAGCTCCATCAAGACCCACCCGTTACCCGCGCTCCTAGCCAGAGGTGTGCCCGTGTCGCTCTGCAATGATGACCCTGCCATCCTTGGCCACGGTAAAAATGGACTGACGCACGACTTCTGGCAAGCCTTGCAGGGGTTGCAAAACGTCGATCTTGTAGGCCTGGCGGTGATGGTCCAAAACTCCATCCAGTGGAGCTGCTATGAGGACCAGTCGACTCCGGAGTGGAAACGTGAAATCGAAGAGGGTATCCTAGGCCAAGGGTTGAAGGCGACGCGTCTGCGCGAATGGTGGTCTGACTTTGAGAAGTTCTGTGAATGGGTAGTGTTGGAGTTTGCGGAATTTGATGAAGACGATTGAGGGTAGATCTGACTAGTAATTAGCACAATCAAGAGAGTGAGAAATTACGACGCGAAGAAGTAAAGGGTTGAATCGCGTAAAGACTGTAGTGAGGATAGAGAGGACCGAGATGTGTTGGCAGAGACCCGCTAAACCTCCACCTGACTCCGGATCACTTATCGCTTTATCAGGTGCCCTCCGCACGTCATTGTCAACTCCCTCTTCACAACTCCCTCTCTACGAGGGCTTGGGCTCTTTCTATTTCTCGTCGATTGTTATCATGTCCGCCCCTGGATGTGTCTGAATGAGCCATCTGCTCTCTCAACATGGCGTACTTCTTGCCATCGTTCTTTCAGAAGCGACTGCTTAAATATGCCTTGTCACGTCTGGGCCTCGTCGATACGGAGGCTTTGGATCCCGACAGCTTGGGAATCCGCTTCGGACAGAGAAGTACGGTGGAGCTTCGAGATATCGGCCTGAAGCTAGAGGTGAGTGTCCTGCCGATGACCCTGTGCACGCGGGGCGGTCTGCGGCTCTTTCCAAGCTGCCAAGCGGTATATACTGACATTCGGACGTGTTTTCAATAGAAACTAGCGACTATTCTTCAACTCCCTCCGACGTGCGAGCTTATCGCGGCCCGAATACAGTTCCTGCGGATCACCGTCCCCGCTGACATATACAGCAGCGGTATCGTCTGCGAAGCTAGTGGTATCAATGTGCATATCCGACTGCTATCCGATGAACCAGCCAAGGGGAAATATGCAAGGCCAAAATCACGACCCGCCACTGTGCCGGGCACATCGGGGACTGATGGTCAGATCCTACCCACACCGTCCAACCTCGCCGAGTCGTTCTTAGAGGCCGAGCCTCAGGAGGAGAAAGAAGAGCTACAAGCCGCGATATCATCACAATCTCATGTTCTACAAAAGTCGTCTTCATTTACCGAGGAAGAGGAGGAAGAGCTCGGAATTGGGAACGATACCCTATCGTTGCCGAGCTTTGTTGAGGCATTCCTCAAAGGCGTGGCGGACCGGCTACAGCTTAAGATCAGAGACGTTGCCGTGCGGCTGGATATGGAGCTGAAACAAGACGGTCCATCCAAAAGGCAGCCCGAAGATAAGCCGGATCTTGTCGCAAGCTTGTTGAGCGTACGCGAGATCGATGTCCATGGTGTATCTGGTTTCACTGCTGGTCCAGGTGACTCATTACCTTTCCGAGAGGGCAAGAGGATGGTCACTATCGATGGCATAAATGTCGGTCTCGTGTCGGATCCGGTTGTATTTTCGAACTATTCGCGGTTCACGGCCCCTGCGTCCCCGACGACGACGATGCAGTCGAAGGAAAGCCATCCGTCAAGCAGAGCGCCCTCGACCCAACCGTTAGACTCATCAGGCTCTGACCACGGACTTGCGATGACACAGTCAACTATTTTTCAGCCCTCTATCCAATCCGATCACGAAAGTGTCAGTGATCACGGGATGGATGAATCTACAATCTCTCATGGTGGCCGGTTCTCGGATGCGGACTCTGAACCGGAGAATAGGCACGATCGTTACCTTGAAGACTCTCAGGTATTTGGAGATGATCCGTTTCAAGACAACTCAGGATACTTAGACTCGGTTATCGATACCAAATTTGACGATTTTGACGACGAACCATCCGCATCAATGCAATCACAGAGACACCCCATGGCTGAAAGTCACGACGGACCTTCCCACCAGAGCCTCTCGTTAAGATCCAGTGGAAATGTGCCGGAGTGTGAAGATGTCGAATATGCCGAAAGAGGCTCGATGCCACCTGAGAATACCCAAGGGTCACAGACTTTCAGATTACAGCACGGAAGCCAAGTGGACATTGAAGATTGTAATCCAGCAAATTCTATCCAATATATCAATGATCTGGAGGACCCTTTCATACCGCAAATGGGTACTTCACAGCATCTATCCCAAGCGTTTGCACCACGCTCCGAATCTAGCGACACTGCTTCAGGATCTGCAACCCCTGATGCAGAACTTATGGAGTCAAAGTATTTCTCGCACGACGAGGCACAAAGCTTATACATGAGTGCTATTAGTCAAGGCAATGGTGAAAGCTTCATTCCAAAAATGCCTGGGGCTTGGGATGCTTTTCCACTTGACAGAACATTGGCGAGCACTTCCGAGGACCTCACGAAGAGGACATGCCCGACCGAAGACATACAAGCGGACCGGGAAGGCCTCGATGAAGCTTCTGCGTCCACTCCGAAGTTGACTGGTCAGCCTGATTCTTATTTTGGCCACCCACCTCTAGAGAGCAGTCAAGCTCATTCCCAGTCGGCATCCACCGACAAAGCTTCTACCCCACCATCGCCTACTCTGCATAGGTTGAGTGAAATGCGGAAATCCATGTTTAGCATCGACAAGGTTTTCGTTTGGTTGCCATCTACTTCTGACGAGACCACCAACTCGAAACATTCGTCTCCGAAAATGGATAAAGCAGACAGTGACCCGAAAGATTCAGAGTCTGAATTGAACGAGTCTACAGTTGAGGAGAGCATGTTTGCTTCCAAGGCCTACGCTTCCACTAGATTCCCAAGGGGTCCAAGAGAGGCTCATCTTGGCGAGGCGGATCGTGCAGAAATACCACAAAAGACTCATAGCAGCAAACTATCAGAACTTGAAGTGGAGATTTTCACAGTCGCTTTTCATTTTGACATCGCGACCGGCTGGCTTCTGACCAAAGCATGTCAGAGGGGGATGCAGGTGTTACCTGGAGAAAGTCAACCGAAGAAACAGACTTCGCCAAATCAACCAGCTCGTCAAACGTCCTTGCATCTTGTCGTTCATGAGCTCTCTACTAAGTTCATTGAGCATGTGACAGGACATTCTCATTCTGCCGAAAATGCTGGTACCCCTCTGCCTCCGCCATATCATTCTATGGAGGACATCGTCCTTCAAATCGCTGCTTCAGGGTTTGAGGCTCGCGTTCTCACAGATGAAAAGCGGACCAATTTGAATCTCGATATTTCGAAGTTCAAATTCGGACTCGCTTCCGATGATCTGATCTCGTTTAACGAGGCATTGAAGATGCGCGAATCTACTAGGGACATCTTGACGTCTTCCCCGGTAGATATCTCATTGTCATTATGCAAGTCAGCAGAATCTGTCAAACTTGATATATCTACTCTACCCCTTCATTTCAACCTCAACATTCAGCAACTGGAGGAAGTTCTGGGGTGGATGGGCGGTCTTAGTACCATTTTGGAGCTGGGAAGCTCAATTTCCTCGGCAGCTACCACGAAGGGAGGACCCAGGTCTCCGAAGAAGCGCCCACGTGGTGTACATTTCGAAACACTGAGTTCAAAGTCTGACAAAGGCAATTCGAGATCTACTCCCTGGAAAGCGAATGCGCGAATTGGTGGTATTGTGCTGGATATTGTCGGCGAAACTCATTATCTCAAGTTCAGCACCACCGCTGTCAAAGTTGTCAGCAGATTTGAAGGCATTGGTGTCCAAATCGACAAGTCGGAGTTGGCTGGTCCACTACCGCTCGATGGGTCTCCTGATGCACCTGCAATGATTTCCTTAGACAACATTAGAGTCGAGCTCCTCTCTGTTCCGAAGGAGAACGATATCGATCGTCTTCTAGCCTTGATCACGCCGTCGAAAGACAAGTACGATGACGACGATGATATTATGCTTGATACGCTCATACGACAAAGGAGACAAGGTTCTGTTCTTCGAACAAACGTAGAAGACATGGAGATTTTGATCTCGAACCCCACTGGCCTGGCTTCTCTGTCATCCCTCGCAGTTGAAATGAGCCGGCTGTCCAACGTCACCAAATATCTTCCCGAAGACGACCGCCCTGGTATTCTCACCTTGACAAAAATTTGCAAACTCGATATCAAGGTTCAAGTTGGCGGGGAGGTAGGAAACTTGAATGCTTATCTGGTGGATCTGGAAGCTGCTTGGATTAGCATGCCGTCACTCATTGCGACTAAAATCGAAAGCATAAACATCCTTCGAAAGACCAAGAACAGCAAGGAGGAACTAGTAGGTGAAGCTATACGTCCCAGTGCCCAGAAGACACAGCAACCCATGTTCATGGTTCGATTCATTCCCGATGAAATGGATCCTACATTCAAGATCAAACTGAATCGCCTCCGTGTCGAGTACACGATTGCGTCGACTATGGCTTTCCTTGGTCTGGGCCGGAATATAACAGGCGGAGAAGTGGTCAGTGAGATGGCGAATTCCATTGCCAATCTTGCAGAGCACTCGGGCCGAGCAACAGATTCACTGGCCTTTGCTGCGTCTGCATCTGACACCTCCGGGGCTTCTACAAAGCCGACAAGGCTAGCAATTGTCCTACGCGATTGCGTTCTTGGTCTCAATCCTTGCAATTCTCCATCGAAGGGCCTTGTGGTGCTGACGAATGCTAAGTTCGGTGGCATATTAAATGGTGAAGAATCTTCGGAGGCCACATTGGACATCCGAAAGTCATCGATCATGATCATTGACGATGTGGCCAATGATGGCTACACAGACAACCTTCATCAACGTACCTCATCTGTTGTCCAGAGTAGCCAGGTCCAGGAATACATTGGCAAGGGCTACGTACCGGTCTCCACAATCTCTTCTGCGACGGCTATTGTAAAAATGATGACACTGGCCGAAGATGGAATGAAGTCATTGGATGTCGAGCTTCGCCCTGATCTTTTGATTCTCGAAACATGCGCAGACTCAACGCAGACCTTGATCAGTATATTAAATGGACTTCAACCTCCAACGCCTCCCAGTGTCGCCGTGAAATATCGAACCGAGGTCATGCCTCTCCAGGACATGCTCGCTTCCTTTTCGGGAGACGCTTTTCCGGCCGACCCTACCTTGCCTCCGGGTTTTGAAATGAACTTAGAGCCTCTTATCGAAGAACAGTCCTCGGAGGAGCAATTGAGCGACGAGCTTGAATATGTCAGCGATTTCAATTCTGGAAACCAAGGTATTGAGGCTTTGAGATCGGGCGAGGGTAATGATCTCTTTGACAGTTTCCATTCACAGTATCAAGTCTCATCTAGCATTGGAGAGCTGGACTTCCAGGAGGACCACTTCGGCAAACAGTCTGCCGTTGGAGGTACTGCGCACCGGTGGGACTCCAGTCACAACACTTACGGTCTTTCCAATGATACGAAGCTCCAGCGGAGCCCACTCCGAGTCAGAATTCGGGACATGCATATTATCTGGAATCTTTTTGATGGTTATGACTGGCAGCGTACTCGTGATACCATCTCCAAGGCTGTCAAGGATGTTGAAACCAAAGCAACCGAGAGACGATCTCGAGCCTCGCGTATGTCACCTACTGCCGAGGACGAGGAGGAGTCCGTCATTGGCGATTTCTTGTTCAACTCCATTTACATCGGAATTCCGGCCAATAAGGACCCGCGTGAGCTCCATCGCGAAATCAACCGCGATATCGACGATCTCACCAGCGAAACTGGGAGCTATGCGACAACGACTACAGTAACTGGTGCGACCAGTCGACAGGCCCGACCTACGTCCACAAGAGAGAAGAAACTGCGGCTGCACCGGAGCAAGCACCATAAGATGACCTTTGAGCTCCGGGGCGTCTGTGCCGATTTGGTTGTCTTCCCGCCTGATTCAGAGGAGACACAGAGTTCCGTGGATGTGCGGGTGAAGGATCTGGAGATCTATGACCATGTGCCCACCTCGACGTGGAAGAAGTTCGCCACGTACATGCATGAGGCTGGAGAGCGAGAGAGTGGGACTAACATGGTCCATATTGAACTTCTAACTGTGAAGCCCGTGCCTGAGCTTGCTGCATCGGAGATAGTTCTTAAGGTATGTTTCTCTATCCTCTACACTAAGACGTGACTAACAGCTTCGAGGCTACTGTTTTGCCCCTCCGGCTTCACGTTGATCAAGATGCTTTGGATTTCATGAGCAGATTCTTCGAGTTTAGAGATGAGTCTGTCGAAGAGTCCACTACCCCAGGCGACGTCCCATTCCTACAGCGTGTCGAAGTCAACGCCGTTCAGGTCAGACTGGACTTCAAACCGAAGAGAGTTGACTATGCTGGTCTCCGATCCGGTCGCACTACAGAGTTCATGAACTTCTTCGTGCTGGATGGCGCCGATATGGTCCTGCGACACGTTATCATCTATGGGGTTTCTGGATTTGATCGACTTGGCAACTCGCTCAACGACATCTGGATGCCCGACGTCAAGCGGAACCAGCTCCCTGGTGTCCTCGCGGGCCTTGCGCCCATCCGGTCTCTAGTCAACGTGGGCGGCGGCGTGAGGGACCTCGTCCTGATTCCAATGCGCGAATACAAGAAAGATGGGCGTATCGTACGCAGCATCCAGAAGGGAGCCATGGCTTTCGGCAAGACTACATCCAATGAATTCGTGAAGCTGGGTGCCAAGCTCGCTATTGGTACCCAAACGGTCCTACAGGGCATGGAGGACATGCTGACATCCCCCAACGCCTCCACCGCTTCGGATGAGAATCGGGATGATGACGACGAGGCAAAGAAGATTTCTCTTTACGCCGACCAACCTGTAGGTGTGGTCGCAGGCATCCGGGGTGCCTACAGCAGCCTAGAACGCGATCTTCTCCTCGCGCGAGACGCGATTGTGGCGGTGCCGGGCGAGGTCGTCGAGAGTGGGAGCGCCAAAGCGGCAGCCAAGGCTGTATGGAAACGTGCGCCGACCGTTGTCCTTCGGCCGGCCATCGGCGTTTCCAAAGCTGTGGGACAGACCTTGCTGGGCGCAGGGAATACCTTGGACCCGAGCAATCGGCGCAAAATGGAAGATGTAAGTGGACATCCAACACCTCTTATTTGATCTAGGCTAACGGCATTTCAGAAATATAAACGCCACTAAGAACGATTTACGAGCCGGCTCAAGGCTGTTTGAAATTTTGATTTTGCATGAGCCTGTAGATACACTGCTTTACTTTGCTGCGATGATACCACTCCGCTCCTTTATAGGAAACGACAATGCATGTAAAATTGCTCATGTTACGCATGATTTTGGAGTTGCAATTTTTTTACTCGATATTTATGGCATGATATTTGCTTGATTTCCAGGTTTAGGTGGATTGAATCAATTAATCGGCTCAAGTATATTAACGCACGAGTCCTCCGTATCCGCCACCTGTGCCTTGCATGTGAAACCACACACCCTTAAAGTTAGTTGCCCGGCGGCTATGGTCTCGTAGATCCCAGGGGCCCTTCTTCGCTTTGCATTTCCCCTTTCATGCGGCCATGAATCATGCATTTCCCAGGTACGAGACTGGCTGTAAGTCTCGAAGGGCCCGGATGGAGTAACCATGGATCGCACCTTCAGCACGTCCGTTCGATGCCGGGGAAAAAAGGCTAGGCCCCGACATTTTCCCTTATGCTCGGTAATGTCCGACTGTGCCTTGATTTCGATGTGGGGTGTTTAAGTTCTTCTCCGAAGGTGTACCTAGGGGGTTTTAAGGGTCAACAGGTTCTCGACTTTTCAGATCGGATGTGGGTCGTGGGCCCTTGCGAGATCTCACGCGTGGCCCTGGGGTGATCGGCAGGAAAGTTTCAACGTGTATGACCCCGTAACGAACAAGACAGAACCCCATTCTTTCTGCTAAGATATGTCTTGCTAGTCATATAGAGACTTTTATAGCTATTTTGAAAGCGGTTGTTGTTCCAGCAGCTGTCTAGTTATTCTTCTCGTTGCCTTTCTGAGCCATTAGATTAACATGCTGGCTTTTCTTGCCTTACAGGAAGATAAGCATTTACCGTGGTAGAATCCAGTTCTTCAGATGCTGATCGGCAGCCTCCACAATCCAAACCTGGCAATCTTTTGAAAAATCTTCTTCTCGACAAATTTTATCCAATGGGATCCAGTAACAATTAGAAAAAAGAGCTCACCCCATCGCTAACTGTATTAAGCGACTGTCCAGGTGCTTTTGACCTGAACCGTTTCTTCAAAGCAATAGACAAACATGTCATCGCACTTGGCTTCACCACCATCCAGAGTGGAGTCTTGGAAGAAATGCTCATCGACCCACTACAGAGGGAGTTGTCGGGCTATTGGCGGGCGTCCGTATGTCGCTGTTTTGTTTAAAATTGAGGACAAAGCCGTTTCCCGCGTCACTCGTGGTGTGTAAATCCACGCCGATATCAGGCTTTGAAGAAGAGCGGACCCAGTATGCCCGTTGATCTTTGGGGGAAACCGTGGAAAGTCGGCAGCTCGACTATGTAAGCGCCAGTGGGGCCTATTCGGGGGACTACCGATGGTCTGAACGTCTTTATGATGGTTAGAAACCATGATGATATAGTGGTAATGTTGAATGAGGCATGATTCTAGTGTATTATATCTGTATTGGAGTCGCGACTTGAGTCGTCGTCTACATGAGCAGTACCTAGATATGGTCTTTTCAGATGTCTAGATATATTTGACATAGGATCCTTCCTCAGGTACCCTCACATACCATAGCTAGATAACAGCGCCTGCTACCGTAGCCGAGCTAGCCATGGCGCGATCGTTGTCAAACTGCTGTTTATCATTAAACAGAGAAGAGTTCAAAGCAGATCGCATGGGAGGTATTTTAATGGAAGAATGGACTGGCATGAATGAATATGAGCGACGACCCCTCTGTAAGGAGCTTAAACATATGATAGCGACATGGATGGCTGTGACGCAAGACGAGTCAGTCTTTATGTTAGTATTGGATGCCGGCTCCTTCGGTTATATTATTCTAAAAAAAAATACAGGAGGTCATGTGTGAGTCCTATCCAGAGCATATTAACACCTGGACGAAAGTTGCAGCGATCAATGACCAGTCCGACCGGTATCCTGCATGCTGAGATTGTTGCGAGGCGCGACAGGCGGGGTGGAATCCGAGCACTTGGCTGATGCTGTAGTAGAACAATAGTGCATCAGATATTTGCCAATGATCATAGTGCCTGCCTTCGCTTTACTTTGAGTTGTCCACGGGCATCTAGTGTACTCAATCCGTGAAATAGGATACGACCACGATGCAGGCGCAATCTCCATCCACATGGTTCTACGAATAAAAGGCGATGATTGAGATGCAGGGTGAGCTTATTTAAGACTCAATTCCTTTGGTCTAATTGCCCAACTATAAAATCAGCGTCAAGCGTCGGGCGTGAACACCACCTTGATGCAGCCTGTAATAAACACGTAATGTATGGCGTCGCGTGGCCCTGCATTGCCACCGTGTCCGACGCCCCCTAAGCAACGCCAGCCAACCAACCCCCTCTGGAGATTTCTGCCCAAGTCCTTCGCCTTCATTCAGCCCCGGCCTTAAACTGGCCACAGGCTCGTTCTGGACACCTACTGGTCCAGGTTGCCCGACCGAGGTGGACTGGGGTTCATGCCAAAGTACTTCTACGAGCTACGATTGGCCCCTAGCGAAACGGGAGGGTGTGCTACTAAGACCAGCTAGCATCACGCTAAGATCATAGGGCCCATCTGCATGTCATTCTACGATTGTGACGCATCTAGAGTGCCGGTACCTGCCCCAGGGGTAAAAGTCTGCCAGACCGACTTTTCACTCTCTTCGTTCCGTGAACCGCCGGAAATGGTCGTGTGACGTCGATGACTCGTACTGCATTATTTAATTCAAATCGGCCACAAACGCATTCGAATTGCCCTTTATGAGATTCGACCCGCCGGTTCGCCCACCCGCGACCCAGAGTTCGTGGGTTCCAGACCGCGCCGCCTCCCATGTGGACCATTGTGGATATCGTGGATATCCCAGAGAGAGAGAGAGAGAGAGAAAAAGAGGAAAAAGAGAAAAAAGATCTTGTTCAGTTCCCAGGAACCCGGTGGATCCCAAGTTCCCATATAACAATCTCTTTCTCTCGAGATCTGGTACCTGGCCTTTCTATTTCTGTGAAATTGAGAGATTGCGAAATTGGTTAGCTCTTGTCCCTTGCAGTTGATCTCGTTCTGACGGATCAGATGTGTAACGTCCGGGCGTTGGATTGATCTCCCGATCGTCGTTTTACACGAGATATGTCACTTCAATAAGGTTCGATCTGGAGACGAACCCCCTCAACCACCACAGTGCGCCGGTTCGCGCCATGTATGAACATTCAGATTATTGTGCCGACTCCACTGAGGTCTGGCGAGACGAGCTGCCGGATGGCTCGCTAGGATGCGCCAGATGTCTCGAGATCCATCCCGTTCATGCATCCTGCACCCTTTCACCCCTACAAGATGCAGTGTCACTTTCCCCTCGTTTAAAGTCAGGAATTACTGGGTCATTGTCTCTCCACGATTACCGCAAGTATCTCTCTCAGGAGTACGTCGCCGATCCCGTTGATCGGTCAGACAAAACCCTCAAGCGCAAAACAGCAACGGTAAACCTGAATCGTCCACCGGCGATTTCTGCGCTTCCTTCCTGTGCAGTTTCGGTCTCCTCTGTGGCGTCCAGTCCACCGCCTCTGTCACCTTCCTACTCGCATAGCATCCTCTCTCAGCGGAGCGAGCAAGAGCCCGAGTCCTTAGATATATCTGGTTCGTACCTCCGTCCTTGTCATTAAAAAAAAGGCAAATTACTGACACTATAATAGCTCCTTCCCAGAGCCCACGAGATTACCTTGTCTCAGAACATCTGGTCCGTCCTAGACCGAACAGGAAGCGATTGGTGAGTGATCTGAAACATTGATCAACACTTATTTCCCTTTCTTCTAACACCTTTTTCTAGAATCCTTTCCTTGAAAAGCACCAGAAATCCGTTCAGGCTCGGGATCAGGCTCAACCTTTGCCTCAACCTCGTCCCCAGAAATCCGACCCGATGCTGGCCAACACGCAGGCCGTTTCCACCATCTCGCACGGCGGTGCCTCATTTGAGATCCTCAATCCGCGCAAGTCGCTGGATATTTCCAGGATCGTCTCCTTTATTGAGGATGTCGATTGCTGCTCGGTGTTGTCCCTAGACCCCATCCGGGACTCCAAGGTCTCCACCACTACCATCGACCTGGGACTGGACCGGTGCTCTCTCTCTCAATTCACTGATGCTTCCCTGCCTTCTCACTACTCGTCTCACTCTCTATGGACCCCTCCGTCAAAAGGATTCTCCACGCCCAAGCGGCAAACTAGCGACATTCCCTCCTCGTCACCTGGAGTGCACGGCCGAGCTCGCTCTCTTTCCGACTACTCTATTCATGAACAAACCCATTGGTCACAGAGCCAGCACATTGAAAACGAATTACACGAAGAAATGTACCCTGACCTAATCAGGGATTCCCCCAACCACCACATTACCTCGATCACCGAGCGTTCTGAGGAAACAGAAAACGAAGACGAAAGCCCATGCGATTCTCCGCGCCCACCATCTTCCCCCAAGACATTGTGTTCCGACGACGATAGCGAAATCGGCGAGCCTGGGTCCCCCGTCTACGCTAATGGTGAATGGGCCCAGGTCGACGAGCGCGACCGTGGCATCTTCTTCGAGGAGCCTCCTTCTCCATACGACATCTACTACGAAAACACAATGCCCGCCCACATCTACTCCAAGCCCCACGACCCTTATGACCTCATCTCCCTCGACCCACATGTTCAATCCGTGCTAGCCGCGGCCAATGCCGAGACCATGGGCCTACGCGGGCACCCTACTCGTGCCCTCGACGACTTGCAGCGCAAGTCTCAGGGTAAGCTCGATGATCGCAAGCGGTCATCTTCCCAGAAGAAGAGACTGCGGAAATTCTTCAGCTGGCGGTCTGGGAACTAATTAGATTATGGAGATCTGATATGATATGATGATGGGCATGTGGCGAACCCTTTCGTTTTCTCCTTTGTTGTTATATACATTTTTCTTCCTTTCTTCTATCTTGTCTTCTTATACTTCTTTTTATATCTTTCTATTCTCTTGAGTCTGAGACTCTATTTCGTTATGAAGAGTCTGATCTACAAGGATGTCGATCCTTTTTACTTCACACCTGTTCTTTTCTCATAAGGGTAGTCCATCATAAATACGTTAGATCTGCGGCTGCAAAATTCGTCACATGTCACAATCAAGGCCTTAGTTACACACTTTTCCATATCCTTCTGGCATTGATGTCAAAGGTCCTGCAAGGCTCATTTCAAGTATGGATTGCGTCAGAGGATAACACAACACAATTCCAACCCCCACAGCGCAGATCCAATGAACATCTCAATGATCAGTGGGGCTGACAGCTCATATGTCGACACTGTGAGGTCGCTTAACGCAATGTAATGCTTACCAAGTTCTCATCGTACCATCACAGAATCTGGGCTCGTTATAAACCGACGAGAGAGTGAGGTCACCTGCAAGAAAGACCTGATCGTGAATACTCCAACTGCATTCCCTCGGTGCTGACACTTGACAAGTTGAGACCACAAATGGGTCCTCGGTATCGACGAGTTGCTGTGATTGGCGCTGGTCCATCTGGTATCTCGGCCATCAAAGCGCTACACGAAGAGAATATCTTCCAAAGGATCCGCCTATTCGAGCGAAGAGACCGTTCCGGAGGAACCTGGGTCTATGATCGCATTCCCGATGTCTTTCCTGATCCAAAAGATTCCATGAAGCAAAATGAAATACCAGGAAGTCTTCCTCGGTTTCAATCTCCGAGTCCGGAGGACACTACTGCAAGAACGGCTGTCTACGATTCTCTCGACTCGAACCTTGGTGCCAAGGCCATGGAGTTTACGCACACGCCATTCCCAGTGGTCAATTCGGCGACATCCATTCAACAATTCGGACACTCGAATCCGACTCGCCCTTTCAGAGTTGTCGCCGGATATCTCCAAGATCTTTTCAAGACGTACCACCATCTTGCCAGCTTCAATACGACAGTCGAGAAAGTCGAAAAACATGGCAAAGAATGGGTGTTGACTCTTCGCCAGTCCGGTCACATCCATGAGAACCAGCAAAGCGATTACTGGTGGCAAGAGCACTTTGACGCTGTCGTCGTTGCTACGGGGCATTACAGTGTGCCTCTCGTCCCCGACATCCCAGGTCTAGACAAAGCGCTCTCATCGCATCCAGCCGTATTCGAGCACTCCAAAGCCTTTCGTTCTCCAAATGACTATGTTGACAAAAAGGTCATCGTAGTCGGGGGCAATGTCTCGTCCGCTGATCTCGTTGCGGACCTCCATGCTATCGTCAAGGGGCCTTTGTATCTATCCCAAAGAGGCCGCAACGAAGCTCTTCAATCCGCATGGGATCTACCCAATATCCAGCTCAAGCCCACTATTTCACGATTCGATACCTCGACACAGGATATAACCGTGATCTTCTCAGATGGCACGACTCTCGCAGGCATCGATAAGATCATCTTCGCAACAGGATACAAGCTATCCTACTCATTCCTCACCCCTGATCCTGTTACACCCAACAACCGTGCGTCCGGTTTTTATCAACACGTCTTCAAAATTGGTGATCCATCACTAGCACTCGTCGGTCAAGCCCGCGCCGCAATCAGTTTCCGAATCTACGAATACCAAGCCGTGGCAGTGGCACGATACTTTGCTGGTCGAAATGCAAAAGCACTGCCCAGTCCGCAAGAGCAGGATCTTTGGGAAGTCGAACGATTGAAATATAAAGGTCCCTCTGATCTCTTCCACGAGATCAAGCCTGATTTCGGGGAATATTTTGCTTTTCTGCGAGATTTGGCTGGACCTCCTGCGCCGGGAAGTGGAGGGTATGAATTGCCACCGTGGGATGATAGATGGGTTGAGCAGGCATTTGAGATTTTGCAGTTGAAAGATGCATACTGGAGGTCTCTTCGGAGGGCAGCAGAGGGTGCGGATCGGCCGAGGGCTAAGTTGTAGGCTTCCGCTTACCCTTCATACTGGATGCCAGGTATTGAGGGGATAAAACAGAGACGTAAGTGAACTATCTTTGCTTTAAACTGATCTTGTCGCTTCAAGTGCGAACCAAAGATTCAGACCCTTGATAGTTAACCATCACCACCCTCTTTTTCATTCTTCTCCAACTTTGCCATGGTGAAGATGGCTGGTTGTAATCTGGCTAGTTATGGCATTAGTTATATGCTGAGCGAGCTCTCTATGCTTTAGTATTAAATAGCAAGATAATTGACAGTTCCGAAGCCATGAGTGTTCGAGTTCTATGAATTGGGTATCAAATTCATGTATATACATGAAGACCGAAAGGCTGGGCTTATGAAATGTTCAAGAGCGTTCCACGACAGATGCAAGCGCCGCGCTGACCATACTCTGACGACGAAGTCCCTGGTCACCCCGTTTAGAGGCTTCCCGTCCGGTATGAGAGGGATAATGATTCTTCTCGATCCGGTGAGACTGCGCAGGTCCCGCTGTGCTCTTCCTCCGACCACGAGCCTCAGCGGCGTACGAGTCTGGCCCGAATCGGCTGCGGTGCAATGTCAATGCCCTTCGGCGTGGTGATGACCGTGGCGGCAGTGAACTGGGGTGGCAATCGTCTTCGACTGGAACGTCTGGTCCAGGCCCATAAGGTTCCTCGGGCATGACTGTGCGGCGGATGGCGTCAAGTTCGCCCTCATCGCATTGTAATTGTGAAATTTGTTGCCTTTGCATCCGAATGTTTCGGTGGTCCGGTTGGTTGGGGTTAAAGTTGGGAGTATCGAAGTTGTCTAGAGATGGAAAGTCCGGTGGAATGGATGTTGGGCTTGGGTTTGAGCCCAAAGAGGGAGAGGAGTCGTAATGCCCATCTTCATCCAGGTCTGTGTCGGGTGGCGTAAGGACATATCCAGAGTAGCGATTTCGAACTCGGATTCCGTCGTGCGTTAGGCGCCCTTGTTCCGGTAGACGCTCGCCTTTCGGACCCTGGAGTGTGTGTTCATGCAATTTCTGCGTAAGTGTTGAAATGGAAAGACGCTTTTGTTCGTAAGGGAATGGCACCGATGTCGGAGGTGGCTGCTGCGAGCGAAAGTAGGAGGATCTCGAACGGGAGAGAGTGCGGAAGCGGTGCGAGGGCGACGGGCAACGCGATGACATTGGCGAGATCAGCGAACTATCACAGTCGACCATGAGCCGGTCATCTGTATCGACCGCTAGACGAGCCGGTCGCGAGGACGGCGACGAGAAGGAGAAGTCCTCGAACATGATGAGGCAAACGAGCGAAAGAATTGGGTCTCGAGGGAGGCGGGATCGTCGTTTGGATGGTCAGCCTGCGCTCGATTTCAGTGCCAGATGTCTTCTATGCACTGATCGAGGCAGGGAACAGAGATATATCACACCGGAGGAGAGATTCCGCCGATTTGCCGCTGCGAAAAATCTGGTCTGGTCGACCAGTGGTTGATGGGAGGCGACGCCACGTGATTCGCGGCTCTGTGGAGGCCAACTTTATAATCGCATTGTTCTATTCCATGGACAAGGTGATATCGATCAATATTCAAATGAAAGGTCATGTTTGTATACGCGAGAGAGGTATTAGATAGTAAATTGTCTAAACTCAGGCTCAATCCTGCGACACGCCGGCTTTACCGCAAATCGACTCAAACACCCCTACAGTGTGCTCCCACACTAATTTACCGGTTTCATTCTTGCGATAATCCTGCAAGACCTTCTGATTTCCAGCAGTGGATCCATTCCAGCTCAAAAGATATGCCCCGCTACCCTTCACTCCATCGGCACCGGGCGCAACATCGTCGCCACCAGCGGAGGCCCGCGGTGGGAACCGCGAGCTAGTTGAGGCATATAGATGCCGATCACCACTCTCGTTGAGAGGAACCACCCAGGGTTTAGCTAGAATAAGCATAGCTTTTATCGCGAACCGCGTAATGGTTCCAAACTCACGCATGAGGCCAGTGTTGACGACTCCGGGGTAGGCATGGACAAAACACACCTCGGGATGAGAAGCGGCGAGCTCCTGCACCGACAGGGACGTCATGGTAATAGCATGCTTGGCAGCATTGCGGAGTGAATAGGTCGACTTTAGAGACAAGTCGTCCAGGTTTAACGGACCTTCTCCGCCGGCCTCAAGCACGGAGACCACCCTGGCCAGGTTGCTACCGACGCCGGTTTTGGCTGGGGCCGATTCCTCGGAAACAGTACCAGCTTTGGTCAACTGCGGCAGAAGATTCTTAATGAAACGCATGCGAGAGTAATAATGCAGGCTGAGCTTTTTGTCAAGTCCCTCGTCGGTTTCTACCGGAGATCAGCAGGTGCTTATGGTTTGAGGATTTCCAGAGTCAGTGGTACCATCGCGTCCCTTGGTAGTGAGCATTCCAGCACTCAAGAAAAGAAGATTGATTTTGTCTTCCTTGGCTTGGATATCCTTGCATGCTTCATCCACACTGTTCAGCCTAGCGGCGTCACACTTGATGAAGTTTAGCTGCCCCTTCGGATTCAGCTGACGTAGCTCCTCGATGATCCTGGATGCCTGGGACTCATTTCGCCCAACTAGAAATACCCGTGGAGAAAGTGTGTCTCGCACAAATGCCCGGGCGGTTGCTTCGCCGATTCCGCTGGTTCCGCCGACTTGAAGCATCCATATTAGTTTAACCTAACACAGAGAATGTAATGACGCGAAAGCTGTGGGGGTGGAGTGTAGTACCGAAGACAGCCACGAGATTGGGGCCATAGTCTTTAAGACTGGCGTTGTTCTTGTGTACCTGGTCGAGTGACACCATTTTGCTTTGATTGTTCAAGGTTGAATGTCAGGAACCGATGTTGTTTGGCAAAGTCACATGACACATCTCATTCCAAGAGGAGTTAGGCAGGTTTAAAAAAAAGAAAGGAGGGTATTATTCTAGTTCATGAAGAGGAAATTCGACTGCCGGGCTTTTTGTAGAGCGGGTCACTAGGCGACGCTGACACCGTTGAAACGGTATTCGGTGTTTAAGACCCACATGTTCGGGGGTGCATTAGTTCAAAATTTCCCCCATGGAGATTCGTATGGCTATGAGGTTCTGCGATGATATCCTTGATCAAACAGACACTCAATGTCTCGCCAGTCAGTCTTCAAGATACACTCGATTCGATAGGGTTCACAAGGTGCATCCGTTTTGGCTCTCATTAACTAGCAAGCTCTGCTTAACCAAACTCTCAACCTTTTTCAAGTTCCTTGGAATACCTATGCTGCCCAAATGATTTCATGGAAACCAGCTCTGACAGTTATACAACATTTGTTATGGGCTCCACCGCATTTTGCTAGAGTTTCGATTAACAAGGACTCTATAATCATGTGGGTTGAATGTTTTGTTTCTTTTATAAGAATGAAACCCGTCTCTTTAGAGTATGGGTCTAGTTCTCCCAGGCTACGTAGTAGGTATCCTTAGACAGATAATTTGATTGAAGAGGTATGCCAGGGGGCTAGACATGTGTACTTACCCCCATAGGTTAACCACCCCAAAATATATACAATCGCACTCGTGGACCCCCATTCTTGGACTTATGCGCCTACACTTTTCCGAAGCTCTCAATCTAATGTATAACTCACATAGTTCGAGTTTATCTCTTATCAGCACCATATCCACCTAGACAAAGGCGCTCATGATTGATTCCTAGTGTTTATTAGCGGCGACATTCTTATCAGTGCTCCCCGCATCGGTCTTCCGAGCGGACTCCCGGGCCCCCATTAATAATGACCTAATTGCTCCAACGCGCCTCCAACTTCCCCTTCGACACAGTTCTATACACCCACCAAAATGGCAGCTTTTCTGAAGAAGCCCTTGAAGTTGGCTCTCGTCCAGCTTGCGTCTGGTAACCCATGCAATCAAAGTTTGACACAGCTTTCAGACTAACGGATCAACAGGCGCGGACAAAGCCATTAACCTTACGAATGCCCGGAGCAAGGTCCTTGAGGCCGCACAGGCTGGCGCACGCCTGATTGTCCTCCCTGAATGCTTCAACTCCCCCTACGGCACCCAATTCTTCCCCAAATACGCCGAGACCCTTCACCCTTCCCCACCGACGAAGGAACAATCGCCTTCGTTCCACGCACTGTCGGCGATCGCCGCAGAGGCAAACGCATACATTATCGGAGGCAGTATTCCCGAGCTCGAGCCGGAGAGCAAGAAATACTACAACACGTCGCTGGTCTTTTCGCCGACGGGCGCCTTGATTGGAACTCATCGCAAGACGCACATGTTCGACATCGATATTCCGGGCAAGATCAGGTTTAAGGAGAGTGAAGTTCTGTCGCCAGGCAATGAACTGACTGTAATCGATCTCCCGGAATACGGCAAGATTGGATTGGCGATCTGTTACGACATTCGATTCCCGGAGTCGGCTATGATCGCAGCCCGTAAGGGCGCTTTTCTGCTAGTTTACCCGGGCGCATTCAACACTATTACTGGACCTCTTCACTGGTCACTCCTGGGCCGTGCTCGTGCTGTTGACAATCAGACTTATGTTGCTCTGTGCAGCCCCTCGCGCGATTTGGAAGCGACCTACCATGCCTATGGTCACAGTTTGATCGCGGACCCTAGCGCAAAAATCCTGAGTGAAGCAGAAGAGAAAGAAACTACTATTTATGCGGATCTCGATAATGATACCATTGTGAATACTCGCAAGGGTGTTCCGATCTATACCCAGCGCCGGTTCGATGTGTACCCTGACGTCAGCGGAGAAAGCTCGAAATGAGGCATGGCCATAGACGCTAGCATAGTTGATTCATGCCAATGGGGCAATGAAATGGAATACATTTTTGTATAGACTACGAATAAAGTGAAAACGAATTCCGAATAGAAGTGAGTTGCGCCGAGAATCTGATTGTGGCCTCAGGCCCAAAATAAGTGCCTCAGGTGTCGATAGAGATCTGCTGAGTCAGACAGTCCCCCAATCATAGGACGCCCACACGATAAGCGAGCCACACTCATCCGCGGGCCACAAATTCGATCACTTTCGTGATTTTCTTCATCGACCAATTCCGCCCACAGTCGCCGACCCCAACAGTCAGTCTTTCCCACGGATTCAACCCTCCTGAACACCATCTGACCCTTAGCAGAGATGTCCAACGTCAACTCTGGAAAGCAGCGTTCGGCTATCGCCGACGTGGTGTCGCGCGAGTACACCATCAACCTCCACAAGCGCGTATGTTGAAATCCCCCAATCTCACTTGAGAACCCCCTTACCTGCGACAAACTGGAAAACCGTGGAGGCAAAAATGGACAGAGAACACACAATCCTGAAACATGGAACTTTTTCTTTTGTGTGTGTGCGTGGGAAGTGGAACGGGGACCTAAAAATCCTTCGACCGCCTCGCCCTCGAACAGCCGTGGGCAACCACGGCTAAAAGTCGTCACTCGTGATGACTCGACAGCTGCAGATTCCTTGGAGTTTTGCAGGTGGCATACACCTCCCAACGGGGAACAAAAGAAGAATTAGTTTTATGAAGTCCACCTCTATGGCCGAACCAGAACATCGCAGAGTCTCGACTCTATCAGATGGCATTCGGACGGAAGACTAATTCTAACTTCTTTCGGAATACAGGTCCACGGTGTCAGCTTCAAGAAGCGTGCTCCCCGTGCCATCAAGGAGATCCGCGCCTTCGCCGAGCAGGCCATGGTAAGTCCCAGCTCTCCGTGCACTCGCCAGATCCGCCTCGCTAACGATCTATCCAGGGTACCAAGGACGTCCGCGTCGACCCCGCCCTCAACAAGAAGGTCTGGGAGGCCGGTATCAAGGGTGTCCCCTTCCGTATCCGTGTTCGCATCTCCCGCAAGCGTAACGACGAGGAGGGTGCTAAGGAGCGTCTGTACTCCCACGTCCAGGCCGTCAACGTCAAGAACCCCAAGGGTCTTCACACCGCTACCGTCGATGACGCGTAAATGTGTTGACGTCGATGTCTTTGCTTCTATAATTCCATGTACTTGGGGTTCGGTCGGGGCTTTTCCAAAATAAAATACCTTTTACCCATGGTCTGGTTTTCTTGTGTAGTGTTCATCTGTATTCTGTCTGCCTTGAAAAGTATCCTTTTTGTCTTCCGGGGGGTCGGAATCACCAGCTTTCGTCGAGAGCGAGGTCGAGATCCTAAGAGTCGCATATCTCAGGATGCTGTGCCAGGTGCCAATGCAAGTTATGAACGCATACATCCCTCATAAGATTATAATCTACAGGGCCCTCCCTGGTCCAGTTGTAGGAGAGCGCCATGTCTCCTACATTACAATTGAATCCCAGTATGCTTTACCATGGACTGATTCGCCTCTTCCTAAAAGTCACGCGTCGATCTAGAGCTCAGGTCGATGATACATAACCACTCTCGTGGATTCCAACCCAATCATGGAAATGTAACCGTATGCTTTATGGTGACTAGTACACAGATAAGAGAATTGAAGGGAAATTAGGAAAAAGACTTGGATGCACCAATCGAGGTTTTCGCCAATATAATTTAGCAAAAATGCAAAACACAAAATGTAGAACTCCATCAATGTTGTATTGTACAGTTGGGGTGGCCAATGAAAATAAAAGAAGCTTCTTCGCACCGAGTTTGAAACACCATACCCCTTCCTGTCCTGTCATGATCATCATTTCAGCCCGACTTTAGTTCTTGAGTTCTTCGATCTTGTTGTGAAGACCGTCAATGAACTCGGCCTTAACACGGATGGCCCAGTGTTCAGGCTTGCCGTCGGCTTGAGGGACCATGCACTGCACGCTGTTGTTCATCTTGGCGTAGTCAAGCTCCTTTTGGAGGTAGGTGTTGAGGATGACATTCCCACCGGGATCACTGCGGAGGACGATTCGAGAGCGGCCAGTGTCAGGGTGCTTAAGGAGTTTGATGATGCCGGTGCCTTGAGAGGTCCAACCAGTGGCCAACTTGAATGCCCGAGCCCGACACTCGAATTCGACCGTTTCATCTTGTTCGCCGTTCACTGCACTGGACAGGTCAAAGATAGCCCCAGGAGCGGCTTCCTCATCGGGGGTAGCATCTCCTGAAGTGGCATTGCCGAGACTGGAAGCCTGAGTGGATGCAGGAGTCGGTACCGAGGACGCAATAGAGTCATTTCCGAATTTGATCGGCATGCTGGGCTTCCAGGTATTGTCGGTAGGGGCGGGAGAAGAAGCGAACAGGCTCGACTTGCTAGGAGGTTGTTCCTTCTGGGGCGCACTTGTTTGGCCAAAGCTGGGAGCGGCAGGGCCAGGAGAAGAGCCGAATAGACCCGACGCGCCGAGAGACAGATTTTGGGTCGTGGTCGGCTTACCGAAGCTGGAAGCGAACAGGCTTGATGTATTGGTAGAACCCTGCTGGGGAGCCGACGAATCGACCCGATCGAATAGACTGCGCCCAGCAGCAGCAGTTGGGGGAGGAATAGGTGTGTCCAAGCTCGACTTGGCGACATCAGAACCCTTGGTTCGCTTGTCCTTGCGAGAAGAATCGTCCTCATCCCCATTAGCCTCCGAAGCACGACGCTTGGGAGAACTGCCCTTGGCCTCGCTGTCGGAATCATCACTGTCCTTTCCATTGTCAGACGGCTGCGGGGTTTCTGAAAGACGACCGAAAATGTTCTGGGAGTTGGAGAGAGGGCGGCTAGACGATTCAAAGATAGAAGTGGTGGATGGGGCAGGAGAAGCGGCAGTCAAGGGGGACTTCTCCGCAGGCTGAGATGCACTGGCTCCAGAATCAGATCCAGAGGGTTCATCAGCATCGATAAACTTGAAGCCTTCGCCAGGGACGAACACGGATTTCTTCATAGAGGTACCCTCGAGCTTCGCGCGCTTCTCGCGTTGTTTCTCAGCATCTTGGCGCTCCCATTCCGCTTCATCATCTTCGTCAGAGTCGAATTCTTCGGCCTTTCGCTTAGCTTTCTCTTTGGCTTCGTTTTCCTCTGCCTTTTTCTTGAATTGGGCCATGAAATCGACGCCAGCAGAGCCGTTACCGAATTTTGGAACACCGGAAGTAACAGGTGCACCTGCAGGATTGAGACTCGCAAACATGTTGCCAGCCAGCTTGGGAGCCGCAGGGGAGGCAGCATTTGGTGCCTTTTCGGCTGGGGTCGTAGCATTTCCAGTCGAAGCCATTGCAAACAGATTTTCCTTGGGAGTGGCATTGGCAGTCTCAGTTGAGAGAGACGCAAAAGGGTTTGCCTTAGGCTCCGGTGCAGCAGAGTACTTCGCCTGCGATGGTGCATCGACTGGTTTAGCCGGGCTGCTGCTAGGAGACGAGTAAGACTGCGAAAAGAGACGTGCGGTATTTGAAGAGTTGGCATCTGCAGTAACTGCGGGGTTTTGCGCGTGGGCTGTCGGCTTATTTGAGTATGCATTGCCTTTGAACTTGACACCGCCCTTGGGTTTGAGAGGTGCACCCATGGCCTGACGAGCCTTCATGTAGAAAAGGACCAGGTTGTCAAATGCATCACTTCCGGCCTCACATTTGAGAATTTCCTTCTGGTAGAATTGAGAAAGAGACTTGACTTTCCAGAACAACTCAGACTTTCCAGTTGCTTCCTTGGTGGCACTAGCGGGAAGCTCGGACTGAGGAAGTCGGGAAGCTGGATCAAAGTCAGTACTGGTAGCAGTGCCCGACTGGCTATAAGTGTCCAGGAAAGCCCGAGGCTGTTTAGGCGCAGAGGTTGCGAGATTCCCGCCAAACAGGTTGCCAGAAGTCTGACTGGTGGACGTAGCTGGCTTTGACGCAAAAAGGTTGGAACCCGTACTAGGGGTAGGTTGAATGTCCTTAGACGGAGATGAACTGGGCGCAGGGGATTTGGCTCCCAAAAGAGACCCGAATGGGTTGGCCCCTGCGGGCTTCTCTTGTTCACCGGCTGACTTGGGCGTGAATAAATTCGGTTCCGGGGTAGAATGAGCCTTCTCGGGCTCAGAAGACTTGGGTGCAGGAGAAGTGCCGAAAAGAGAGCCGAAGGAAGTGGACCCGGTCTTCTCAGCCTCGGAAGGCTGGGCTACCATAGATTTTCCACCAAAAAGGCCCTTGAAGGGCTGAGGGTCGGTAGGCTTTTCAGAGGTTTGATCCGCCGCTGGCTTGGGTGCAAATAGATTGGTGACCTCATTGGCAGGCTTCGCTGGCGATATGTTACCGAAGGTAGGCTGTGAAGACGCTCCGTTACCGAAAAGGGGTTTGAAAGGCTGCGAGTTGTTGTTAGAGGGAGCGGCAGCGTTTTGTTCGGAAGCTGCTTTCGGAGCAAATGGATTACTAGGAGCAGGGGTCTCCGCGGCTGGCTTTGATGAGAAAATGTTGTTCAAAGAAGGCTGGGAAGAATTCGCTTTAGCAGACTCCGAAGGTGCTGGTTTGTGAGCGAACAAATTACCACCTGTGGCAGGGGCCGAAGAGAATATGCTCGGGGTGCTCGCCTTTGCGGGCTCTGGGGTAGATGCAGCGGGAGTTGCACCAAAGATTCCACTGAAGGGTTGAGCCGGGGTTGATTGTGTAGCAAAGGCAGGCTTGGCCGCGGAGTCATCCGCTTTGTCGCTGGTGGGCTTTTCAGTAGCCGAGGGGATATTAAGGCCTCCGAAAGGATTGCTGGAAGGTGTAGTGGCAGGCTTAGAGGAGAACAGATTCGAAGTTCCGGATGAGCCACCAAAGATATTATTCTGGGGCGTAGCCGAAGAGTTGGCATTGAATGAAGGGGCCTTGGGCTTTGCGTCAGGCGACATTTGCATAGATTCAGACGCAGAGTTCGCAGTGGAGCCTTGTCCACCAAATGCAGAGGTACTTGCAGAAGTACCTGCATTCTGCTGTGCCCCGAAAAGACCGTTCGAGAAAGAAGGCTGGCTCGTCGGCTGGTTGCCAAATCCGCCGAAGCTCGTAGAGGCGCCAGGAGTGGATTGGGGAGTAGAGGTGGCAGCATTAAAAGAGAACGGGTTCGACGATGGAGCTGAACCACCGAAACCGGAGGAGGAGAAGTTGAAACCGGTCGAGCCACTACCGCCGAAGGAGAACGGGGTTGAGGCAGCCTGAGTGGGCTGAGTTTGTTGGGTAGGTCCCGAGCTAGCTCCCGGGAAGCTCTGGCTCTGACTCTGTCCAAAGTTGAAACCGGTCGAGGGTGCGGAATTGAATGATGTAGGTTGGAAACCTGAAGCCGCCGGGGCAGCTGGGCTAGACGACAAGGACGAGAAGGCGCCATCTGAAGATTGAGGGGGAGCTGCACCACCGGTTGGTGTACCAGCTCGAGGACGACGTCGAACGTCCTTGATTCTAAGGAAACAAACATCTGTCAGTCTTCCTGCGAAGCATTATGAAGAAGCGGACGAAAGCCGAAAGCGGATGTTGGAGTGTCATAAAAGAAATGAATATGGGCATTCACAACGACAGTGTTTGTGTGGCAGAAGTTCTGGGGAAACGAAAGATGTGTAGAGGGGGATAAGATGTGAAGAGGGCTAGGAAGAGGAGTGGGTATCAATCAACATCGGGAAACACGACAACACGCGCTCAAACAGTAAGTGACAAGGCAGAGGAGCTCCAATCTTAGGTTACCACCCTCCCTTATAAAAGGGTGTCCCGCGTGATCGTAATAGCCTCAAGATGTGATATCCTACACCCATTCCACCAGCTTTCTCCACAATCTGTCAATATAGAAACCCACTTACTTTCTGCTTGCCATCTGGGCAGCCGTCGCCCGGTGAGGCTTTTCATCCGGAGTGCTTGACATCGCGAAGGCGTTCTCGTCCTCCTTGGACCCTTGAGGACCTTGCGCCGTTCGTTTGGACATTTACGGCGTTGTTGTGAACGACACACCCAAAGCACCAAGTTCGAGTCTTGTGAGTAGCAATAATGCTTTCACACCCGTTTCGAATGATTCAGGCAAGAATCAGCTCGTCTGTTCGATCGAAAACGATGCGGGGAGCCTCGGTCTTTGATGCTAGATCAAGTCCTTGGGTGGCTCGAGGATGGAGATCTCTGGTCGCGGCTCTTTGCTGACACGCTCGAAGAAAATCCGGAGCGATACGTATAGAGTCAACAAAGATGGCGCGTCTTTCACTTAGAGAGCAAAACTCAATTTGTCTCTGCGAAACTCGAGGCGGTGGTAGGCGGTGTCTCGTTCCGTGACACGACGTTGTTCGCGATCCGTCGCGCAAGCTAACAACCACGAATTCACCAGGGTCAATATCGAGAGGAGGAAGAGGTCAGGGAGCTGTTTCTCCGATGGAAAAGCAGACTGGTCGGATAGTCGGGGGAAGGGAGGATTGGGGTTGACCCTGGTAATTTTTTTGCGCGGAGGCTCTCGCGGACGCAAGAACACCACGCCGTGAAAAAATGTGGTCACGTGGGTCTTGGCATGACGGCAGCTCAAAACAGTCAGCTTCTTTCTTCTATTGCCATCCTCATCCTTGCTTGCTTATGTCTCCTTCTTTATTGAGAGCTTCATATGTTGGAAGCTCCCTGCTTCAGCTCCGTACGGAATGTGAAGCACAGTCCGATTATCAAATTGCTAGATGAAACCGAGCATGACGTCGGTTGGGAGAAAAGTCCGTCTTAAACCCGCCTGGTAAATGCATGCTGGATCGTGCACGGTGCACCCGGAGACTTCTTCGTACGACCGGAGAAGTAGTTGTGGTCCTTGATGATATGGGTTCATCCAACCCATCCTGTTTCTACAGACTACGCAGCATCTATTTCTACGCGTCAGGCTTACCCTAACCCACACCGGTACCCGCCGGTTTCATGATTTAGCTCACACAAGCTTCTTACCCCTGAAGACCTTTCAGAGATGAAGATAGGTTCTATCTCGGAAGCCACAAGCGCCTATGGGCGCTCCCTGTGGCGGGGTAGGACCAGAGGAGACTACGAGATTACAATCAGGGACTACGTGGCTGACCCCAAAAACGGCTGGGACCTGGGCTAATGAGGTCGCCCTGCAGCACTTGAATGGATCGGTTAAGGTCACAGCAAACGCCAGGAGTATTGAATGGGTTATTTAGGGTTCTGGGCCGTAGCCGGGATCAATCCTTGGAACTGGAGACTAAGTATCGGTAGTCTATTTCTTTCGCTCGTGCAAAGCGCACGGGTCGTACCTCGACAAAGTCTTCTGATCTGTACTTTGTGCGACAAATATACATGAATGATCACGGCGTATGAAACCACATTCCTACAGGCTCTTTGAACCACAAAGCAACATTCTTCGGCTTTTTTACCTTCCTCGTCCATAATCCCTGTCGCACACAAAGCATGACCCCTGAGTCACATTTCCCTCCAAGTGTGGCGGCAATAGAGTCTGCAGCTAGTCACATTCCTTTCCGCTTTTCGATGCAGCCCGTCAGACTAGTCCATTTCTACTCTCTCACATTGTGATGTGGTTGACTTATAGCCTCCTATTGGATCGGTCCGCTTTTATCGTCAGGGGACAAGATTCCCCGTGGGGGGCCCGATCAGCGCGCTCGATTGCCAATCTCTTCTATTCCTCGATCATGAGGCAAGACGGCCAGCGTGACAATATCAAGCTTAGCGGATGATGGCTTAGAAGCTAATACTATTCTTGCCCTATCGTGACCAGATTCAGGGTCATCTGCAATCTATTACCCCGTCTCAAGTGGTACTCCGGGGTAGGATTCATTGAACAGCATGTTTGGACAATGGCTGAGGGTCTGGAAGACACAAGGTCCTACCCCTGTTCTTTGTCATGCGTGTTTCATGCAAAATCTCGATAATAGTTGCCGAAACTGAGGAGTGGTTATATAAGAGAGCGCCTCGCCTCGCCTACGCGCAACAAATTTGCACGCATTCTCTTCGGTCTATCTTTCATTGCAACATGCTCTTCGCTACTCTGGCTAGCTGCCTTTCCTTTATAGCATGTGCCCCTACTCAAGTGCTGGCTGGCCCAGCTCTAGCTAGACCTTCTAGCTCTACTTTGAAGCCCTTGGCCAAGCATACATCCTCGAGCATTGCCAGCACGTCTTCCCCCATTGCCCTTGAGACACCAGTTGTAGCTATACAGGCTACTTCTGAAACCTCGGATGACGTGTCCTACTGGCTGGCGGACATCACACACCAAGGCATCGCAGCATTCAACTCAAATCCTTCCACCTACAAGGTGTTCCGCAATGTGAGGGACTATGGCGCCAAAGGTAATGCCCCGCAACCCGTTGTTTACCTATATTATAGGTGTCTAACATACATCAGGTGACGGTGTAACTGATGATACTGCTGCTATCAATCTTGCTATCAGTGATGGTGGTCGTTATGGCCCAGCAAGCCGAGAGACCTCTACCACGACCCCCGCTATCGTATACTTCCCAGAAGGAACATACCTGATCTCGACGTCTATCATAGATTATTACTTTACACAGCTCATTGGTAACCCAAACTCTATTCCGGTGATCAAAGCTACCGCGAGTTTCACTGGGCTGGGTTTGATTGACGGGGACCAGTACCAAAGTGACGGCGGTCAGGGCTGGGGCTCGACCAACGTCTTCTTCAGGCAAATTCGGAACTTAAAGCTGGATTTGACAAATATTCCGGCCACTTCGGGAGCAACAGGTATTCACTGGCCAACTGGACAGGCCTCGAGTATTCAGAACGTGGAGATCGAGCTCAGCTCAGCCTCGGGGACGCAGCACCAGGGTATCTTTATTGAGAATGGTGAGATGAAACCAAAAGCTTCCTGATACTGCTTGCATGAAACGCTAACTGTTTCAGGTTCTGGTGGCTTTTTGACCGATGTCACTATCACTGGTGGTTTGTATGGAGCCAACATTGGCAACCAGCAATTCACGATGCGCAACTTAGTCATCTCTGACGCAGTGACCTGCATTTCTCAGATCTGGGACTGGGGCTGGACCTACCAGGGCCTGAAGCTGTCGAACTGCACAACCGCCCTGGCTGTCAACAATGGTGGTGCTGGTGACCAGCTCGTTGGCTCAGTGACCGTTCTTGACAGCACAATCCAGGATTGCTCGACATTTGTTGCTACTGCCTGGGCGAGCTCTACTTTTTCCAACGGAAGTCTCATCTTGGAGAACATCGTTCTTGAAGATGTAACTGTAGCCGTGAAAGGAACCAGTGGAACCATCCTAGCCGGAGGCTCTACAACTATCAGTGCCTGGGGTCAAGGCCATAAGTACACCCCAGATGGCCCGACAAATTTCCAGGGTACTTTCACTGCCCCGACCCGGCCGAGCGCTCTCCTTGCAAGTGGATCCTCCAACTACTACACTAAGTCTAAGCCCCAGTATGAGACCTCGCCGATAGCTTCTTTCGTCAGTATCAGAAGTGCTGGTGCCACAGGAGATGGATCGACCGATGATACATCTGCTATTCAGTCTGCGTTGACCTCTGCGGCATCATCTGGTCATATCGTGTACTTCGACGCCGGAACTTACAAAGTTACTGACACTCTTTACTTCCCTCCTGGGTCCCGAATTGTCGGTGAAGCCTACCCTGTGATCATGGCCAGTGGCAGTGTCTTCTCAACCATCTCCAAGCCTATTCCTGTAGTTCAAGTCGGCAAGTCCGGGGAGTCTGGCTCGATTGAATGGTCGGATATGATTATCAGCACGGAAGGCTCCACCCCAGGCGCCGTCCTCATTGAATGGAATCTGGCAGCGGATGCTGGCTCTGGAATGTGGGACGTTCATACCCGCATCGGAGGTTTCACTGGCTCAGAGCAGCAGGTAGCACAGTGCCCAACTTCGGCCGCTGTATCGGCGGCCTGTGAGGTTGCTTATATGTCCATGCATATCACAAGCACTGCGAGTGACGTATACCTCGAGAATGTTTGGTTGTGGACGGCAGATCACGATCTCGACAGTGCCGAAAACACCCAAATTTCGGTGTACTCTGGCCGTGGACTGTTGGTGGAGGGAAAGAATATCTGGCTGTGAGTGGACATTAGCCGCTGATTAGAAATAAGCTAACACCTTCCTAGATATGGAACTGCGGTGGAGCACCACCAACTATACCAGTACCAGTTTTCTGGAGCGAATAACGTTGTGGCAGGTTTCATTCAGACCGAAACCCCGTGAGCTATATCAATGACCGTCAACAGGATTATGCTAATTTATACTCTTCCAGATACTATCAACCTAGCCCCAATGCAGCCAACGGCCCGTACCCAACCAACTCCACCCTCAATGATCCCGACTATAGCACCTGCCTCTCTGGTAACTGTGACGCTCTTGGTCTACGCGTTCTTGACAGCGAAGATATCGTTGTCTATGGCGCCGGTCTTTACAGCTTCTTCAATGACTACAGCACCACGTGCTCGACTTTCCCTACCCCAGAGAACTGTCAGAGCGAGATTTTCAGCGTTGAGGGAACCACAAGTAATCTGGTGGTATATACACTCAGCACTGTTGGCGTCACTAACATGATTGTCAAGGATGGGACTTCGTTGGCAGTTGTCAGTGACAACCTGGCGACGTATGCCGCTACTATTGCATACTTTACTTTGTAACATGCCTTCAGAGGCCATCTGGTTTTAGTACATATTGTTAATTCCTATTTATCCCTTTTAACTTGTACACAATCCATTAGATGGAAATACAAAGCTACAGGCTCCAAATTTCAAGGCCGTTGTCGTCCATAGGTAGGAGCTGGCACTGGCATCAATCAATGAAGCAGAATTATTAGCCTTGGAAGATCCTTGAGGCAGTAATCCGTTGACTCGTGTTTCTATAGCTGCATAAAAGAGAGAAGAAGAATTTGGAGATTGAAGCTATGAAGAAGGAAGAAAAGAAGAAGCGTTAATCTATCGGAATGAGGATGGCTCGATGGTATTCTGGCTCTGAAGATTGGGTGACACTGATACGGAGAACACACATAACCACTCCTATGCCTTTACAAATGGGTAGATGAAGGCTACTCTGAAAGTCTGAAAGAGGCACTACGTATTAAGCTTAATGCCGTAGTATAAATCAAAGACTGTGTTGAGAACTATAACGTATTTGGTAGAACGGTAATTATATATTGATAATTTAGATAGCCAGCTATTAGAAAGATAGTTAGATGATGAGAAGTATGTAGTAAGTATAGTTTGGTAAGGGGGGAAAGAGGAAAGAACTAGAGGGGGAGTTTTATATCAAAGAGAATTCTATATAATCTTGTTTGGTGCTAGCACGTATAAATATCATAAAGACCCCTTACTGATATATACCGCCTTACCTTAAGAGCCTATAGCTAGATATTATCTATTGAAATAGGGATGGCTCGAGGGCTGTTTGGCAATGCAGACTGGACAACACCATCCAAGAGGACACACATAACTACTCCCAGCCTGTGGTAGAGGTCATGCTGAATAAGGTCCTACATATGCCCTGATTGAGGCCTTACAGGCGGCAATCGGCATCGACAAATTCCAAAACAGGCGATATCGTATCGTCTGTCGATATCGTATCGTCAATATCGGTATATCGGCAATATCGTCAACAGCCCTACGCTCAAGCATTTAGGGAGGAAAGGGTATTGAAAATGAGGCAGACAGTGCGGCTGCTTTATCTTATGGTGTTCCATCAGGTTTCGATTGATCGCGAGCAAAGCCATTTTTTGATCCACTGAATCGCTGCGTCAACTTTCTTTTATTTTTCCTGTTGGGAAGCTTGATCGTGCCCATCAGCTTTGCTATCAACACCCGCCTAAACTTGGGGGCTCAATCAAAGACTAACACGATCGCGCAAGCCCTTTGCCTATATATTTCGGACTACGTCCCCTTTAGGAATTTCGGACTATCCACACCCGCTAAAAGGTAGTAACTTTAAACTGTCGGACGTGCAGGGAGGCGGATACCACGAAGCTTTTCGTGGCGCGGGGGTACGCTTTTGAAGATGCTTCCCCACCACGGACCGTAGGTCTACCCGACCAAGGAAGGCTTGATCGGATAAAGAAAGAATAATAAGAATAAGATAGAGTGCAAAGGGCTTATGCACTCTAAATGAGTACAATCCACAATCCTCAAACAAAGGACTAAGCAGAAGGTCTTTCTAAGCAGATAGAAAGGGATAGTAGAATATTTGAAGAGAGTGAAAGGTCTGTCATTTCTACTTGGTGTCTCGCGCGTATTTATAGACAAAAAGTGGTCAAAGTCACATGCTTTATATCAGATAAACAGAATAGAATCAGGGAAGGAAATGTGATAGAACTGATGGCGTGATGAGGGATATGTCATCGATCTGGTGGGGTAAAGAGGGGTAAGCGGTTTGGAGGGGTAAATCATGTTCGCATCTCTTTCTTTTCTTCTTCTTCTTCATATGTTGAATAAGAGGATACCTTCACCTAATGTAGCATTGGTCCAAATTCCAACACATTAAGGAGAGGCAACTTCTAACAATAACTTCCCGAGCCCTAGGTAGGATATAAGAGGAAATAGAATCGGTCACGCCTAGTCGTTCTGTGAAGCCGAGAATATCATAGAGACTATTTTAAGTAGACATAGGTACTATATAGCTCGTAATAAGAGGCCGTTAGAGCTATAAGCGATGCCACCTCGAGAGAAAGCTCTTAGGAGATTTATTGAATTAAGCAGCACATCTTTTATTTATCTTTGAAATATATAGCTCTTCTTGTAGGTCTGTGTCAGGACCACTGACTGACGATACCAACTACAGCCTGAGGCATACTTAAATGCCATGGCAGTATCATGTTGTTGGGCTTCACCGCCCGCAGCCGGGCCAGTCTGTATTTGAGTGAAGCCCCGCTGGACCTTAGAAGGGCCAGCGTTCAGTTTATCTTACAATCTACTACATTGTATTACACGCATATGAAGGTGTCTACCTCGCTTACCCATCCTGATCTAGAGACTACTGCGTGGTCTCACAGTCTGGCTGTAGGAATATATGTATGTAAGTATTGTTCTAGGTAGATTTTCTTAGGAAGTCTGGGTACTTAGAAACCCCTAAATAAGACCTTAATTCTGGGAGGTTAATCTTCCTAAGAGAATCCTCTTAAGAGGAATTTAGCCCCGTGAGCTCTGACCGGAGAGGAAATTCGAAACAAGAGGGGCTGCGTCATAGTAAAAACTTCTTTGTCCTGCACCTGTTCTATGACGGTCATCCTAATCCTAGCCTGATAATGAGACATGCCAGAGATATTGTGTCTCGGCAAATCTTTTTCAATCAGCATGTAATTATTCACCGTAATACCCGACAGAGCGAGGCATCCTAAATCACCATACTATATGCGATTATTCAGGGGTCACTATAGCAAGGATGAGAAGGTATCTCCTCTTAATTTCTAGTATGCTATGACCTCCTAGCGTAAGAAATAGTGTAGTGTACTTCAGAAAATATGATACTCCATCTGTACCACCAAAAATTCGCTTTAATAAAGCGATGTAGATGTCTATATCTACATCGTAATGCCCGAAAAAATTCTGAGCTTGTAGGATGTGTGGAGATGAGGGATATAATTTAGGAGGAGCGATGGTATATACCAGCAATTGAGTGATGTTGAAGATATAGTAAGAATCTAAGATAACCCCTGAGTGGAAGCGTGCTCTATACGCATCCCGAATGCCCATTTTACCCTACAAAGCTAGCGTGTCTCAGGGAGGACGGAGAGCAACAGAAGCTCTCAATCACATGATATTCATCAAGGAAGCCCCAGCGGTATTGAAGACTGCTGAAAACTCAACAGAATTACCTTTGAAAATATGTCTCACACTAAGGTACCTTAAAATTATACAATTTGTCTTAAGCGTTGGAATATAAGATTATGATAAATCGCGTTTCCATTGGAGTTTTAGGTGTCCCGGTTAGTTGACTTGGTGACGGCGAATGTCCTGCTGATTAATCGCCTAGGCAGTCAGGTGAGTGGCTGGTTCACCAGAAAAGATCATTCATCCACCGCGGGACCGAACCCAGAACTGCCAACTCCCCGCTTCAACTGAGCAAAGCATACACACCCGTTCTTGATTTGAGCCAAATTCATTCAACACTCTCTTGTGTTGTTCATCAGACATAATACGGATACGCGGCTAATTTCGGCTCATTTGGGCTCCTAAATGCCCCCACTTCAGCTAGAGGCATCTGCACAAAAAGAAATTACAGCAATCTCCTAGCCAGCGTCCAAAATGGCAGATCCTCTCGGCATGACTGCCTCCTTGATAACAGTTATTACAGCTGCTATTGATTCGACGCAGTCGCTCTACCAAACTGTCAAAGGCTTCAAAGAGCGCAACAGATCGCTGCGCAGGCTTCAAAATGAGCTTGAGGATCTCGTCGATATTTTGGGCTCATTGGCAGAAGTGACCAGTGCTGAGACAACAATGTTTGAGCTTCTTCAAAGTCCTATTTACCGATGCGGCCAAGTCTGTGGAGAATTCAAACACTCGTTGGAAGCTTTCAGTCAGAAATCAAAGACGGGTATTCGAGATTGGGCAAAAATGGAATATATGAGAGGCGATATGAATGACTTCATAAATGTTGTCGCAGGATATAAGTCGACGATATCAATCGGTTTATGCACTATTTCCATGTCAGTTACAAGCCCTTATCTACTCCGGACTCCACTAACATTTCTCATAAGGAATACCAAGACGCCCCCCCCCAAGCCCTCCAAAACTATAATGAACTGATCCAGGACACGACATATAATCTTGAGATCAATTTACAACGAGTTGAGGAGAAAATGTCGCTTATTATTATCGGCAGCGCAAATATCTCGCACACCAGCATTGATACTAATGATGAGAAGGAGGTGACCAAAGAGTGCATTCGTATCTGTGAAGACATGAGGTCTTGCATTGAATCTCGAGCAAACTGCGGATCCTTTCTACTGCAAGACCAGCCCCAAAACGCTACTGAAGACAATATGCAGACTTGCTTTGAAGCGCAGGCGCTTACGCGTCAAGTGCTAGAGGAAAACCGCGTTAGCTTCACACAGATCATCGGTCGCCTTCAGAAACGCTTAGAGTCTTTACCTCAAAACAAAAACCCTGGAAATGACAATGAGAGGGTACGGTTACAGCATGATTTCGATAATTTGAAGCAGTGCCTAGAGGTATGCAGGGTGGCCCGTGAGGTTTGCTACCAGAATATACGCAGAACTAGGGAAGCAACTGCCGGCAAGCACAGCGAGCACGCAGTGGTGACTACTTTAGGAGAATTGTTCAATATCAGAAAAACACTATCTCGGAACGACTCAGCGCAGGTTGTTGGCTCAATGACGGAAGAAGCTCTTCGAGCTTTGACCGACCAGCGTTACAGCAGTCGTTTTGGGTCTTTCTCTCATAACGCTAGCCCTGCCGAGGCCTGCAGTCCCAGCTCACCTCCAGTCGGTAGTAAGCGATTGAGCAAATCAATAAGCAGAGGCTTTCGAAAGATCCAGGCTGCATCATCTTCAGATGACGCCCTGTTAATGGAGTGCCAAGAAAAGGTAAGTACCTGTCATGGTCAATTGTAGAAGGTAACTAACTGGCAAGGTACCGTGTGAGAATTGTGACAGGATAACATGGTCAGAACCTGGGAGAGGCAATCGGATCGAGCCTCCATCCAACACTGTGGCAGTTATCGTGGATCTTGTCAGCGCTCGAGGGGCAATTAGAATATTTGATCAACAGGGCACCTACGTAGACGGGGTTGGGACGGCGGAAGCGGGGAATTTCGTCATAGTACCATGGGATATGGATTGGTGGTTTTATGTTTCGGGGTATCTCACGGTTGGATTTGTATATGGACACTAGCTGATGATAGTATGATCTGATGATGGTATGATTCACATCAAACGTGGTCTGTCCATGACAAGTTGTGCACTCAGTTCTCTAGGGATAGTGACTGTTATCCACGGCTCGAAATGCACGTCGTCTGAGACATACAAACACACGGTGCCCGTAGCGTGGTCTGAATTTACTATGGCCCTTACATCATCCATAGTGAGCATGTGTACATCTCCCATGCGCATGCGCTGATTGTGTTCAACAGGCGTATGGCTCTGTGCGCCAGAGTGGCCTAGCTTTGTTAGATAATATTCCAGGTGGATTCGTATCAAGACGCACAATTCGCAGAGTTGGCTTGTAAGGAGTCTCGCAATATTGGGCAATCGAAATTCATTCGATTGTTCCTAATTCTCCTGGAAAGTTCGAGTCTAAAACAACCCTTCATACTCCCGATCACTGAACGCCCAAGGCCGAGAGCACATAGACCAACTATTTCGTCGCTACAGTCCCGGGCTATGCTTCTCAGGAACTCCCAATAATTTCTCTCCCTGGTAGTTTCTGGTGGATCGGCTTCTCTGGCAAGCATGAGAGCATCTGTAACGCGCTCCGCGTCATTTGGTCTGATTCTGGCACGGTATTGTATCATCTCGGATGTTGCAAGCAGACGATGCATTGCTTGATCAACAGGACATCGGAGCGGCTGGGCTTGCCAGTGTGCTACTTCCTGTGAGGACATTCGGACGGGAGCCTTCGTTGAACCAGAGTTTCTGATCTTGATATATTCGGGACGTGCAAAGAATAACTTGCTCAAGGTCATCGACCATAGTTGAATTACGAATGGGAAAGAGACAATCTGATGAGATGCGAAGAGGTAGAGATAGAAAGAGTTTAGTCATGCATGGGAAACAAACGATACGTCTCAGCTGCAATGAAAAGGGTGAATAAAGGACAATAGTTGATATCGTTTCGACTGTTAGGCGCCTTGCTTGCAAAAGCATTGTAAAAACATGGTGAAATGCAGGGTTATTCTGGGTAAAATTATGTAATGCCCAACCCCGCACAACAGATGTTGGGATCACGAACCTTCAGCAAATGAGGAGTATCTGTGGCTTTCAGACCCCACATCGCTTCTGGTACTGTATGGGTGCACTCGAATTCACGTCTTCTCTGAATCCACGTCCCCCCCCCCCCAAAAAACCGACAAATTTACCAACCAACTAGCTAATAATCACTAAATAATAACTTTTCTGAATCTCTAGCCCCTATGTCACTTGTAATAAATAGCCTTCTGAATACTACAGAGGATTTCGAACACAGTTTCTCTCAGACACACACCTTCTTTCCCAGCTCCCCACTCAAAACTGCGCTAGGCTGAATTAAGCTAGATAATGCCCGTTCTGGGAGGCATGTAGATCCCTCTCCGTGCTGCGTGTGTTCTATTACGGTCATTCTAGTCCTACCCTAGTCCTGAAATGGATGAGAGCAGGTTGCTGCAGCCTGAATCCGGCGGGCGGGGCTATTGTCCATCTGTTTATGTGCCTTATGTGCCTTATGTGTCCTAATACTCATGTTAGGTTACACATCACCGAGGTACAGTACAGTATTGGGGGTGTCATACCTCGATAGCATTAGAACTAAACTGGGATTCCCAAGTAGCACGTAAATTAAAGATAAGCGGCACAAGACTCTTACGTTGAATCTGTTCCTCGTTTCATTGGTTCGCTGTGCCCAATTGTTGCTGAACAAGTGGACGGCTGCAGCAGTGATGTGATACACTGCAGGCCGCAGTGGTCTATTCGTCGGTGGTTGCTTAGACAAGACGACGTCATACTGGGGGGTTGGAGAAGACAGATCAAGTGATCTGACATTGATCCCGCTCGTCAACTTGTTTTTTGTTTTCCTTCCCATTCCTTTCTTCTTGAAGCCGGATTGTGTACACCATATTTTCGAGGCTTATTTACTAGATTCGATTAAACACTACCCCTTATCCTCTATCGATTGCCAGCGGCAATAAAGCATCGCCAGTCTCAAATGGAAAGCCTGGCTGAGACGCTGAGAAGTACTCACTTGAGTGGTGTGTCTGAAGAATCAGAGCACTTGCTCTTCAGGCTTCGAGCAGATAGTGGTTTGGCGCTGACGGCTTTTGATCGGATTCCCAGCTACCTGTTTCGGGTCGCCTCCCTAGATCCTCCGGAAGGATAAATAAGACGTGGGCTCGTTCAGAGTCAACCTCCCAGAACAGAATCTCCTATACGGATGACATTTTCTTCGACTTGAATATTGAGAAGCGGATAACCATAGCTCGAACACTCAACCTGTATCTTCGGTGGTGGGAAAAGTGCGGCCTAAGGGATAAGTTTGTCTTATGGACCAGCTCATTGCTCTTCGCAATTCAGTACATCTACTACCGATATCTGAGTCAAGAAGATGGGTCGAGTTTAGAGCAGATAAAAATATATGTGATAGATATAAAACGGTTCCCTGAAGGCACATTTCTTCGTGACTTAGACCTAATTGATACCTTCTGGGAATCCGACAATCACCGAGCAGGAAAAAATTTAGAGAACTTACGATATATTCGTAACGAAACCGAAAATTATTTTGGAGAATACTGTACCTTTCACAAGGGTCACTGAAGATCGAGGGTAAATGTGAAATAATCTCCGGCCAGTCTCTTATCGAGGATGATCGATTACGTCGCCTATAGCCCTATTTTCGTGAGTTTTATAATATTCTAGTTAGTAATAGGAAACCGATATAGGTCAAAGAAGTTATCCGTCTTCGTAAAGCTATTTAGAGGGTTACCGATTCAGCACAATTATCGTTAATAGAGACAGTCGACCGTTTTAAGGCTCTCGAAGAGATCGTACGAACCCTTAAACCGGGCTGGAGATTTCCCCCTTGCGATTTATTTTGCATCACTTATTGGTTCTGGATCTTTAAGTGACGAATAAGGTAAGGGAGTGCACGGTATCTTCTTAAAGTATTTCTAACTTACGTTTCCTTATAGTGGGTCGATAATATTTCCACTCTATAAAGAGATATAGATATAGCCACGGGCGCTAACAGAAAATTTTCAAGAAAAGTAAGTATGGCGCCCTTCCAAAGTCGATATTGTCGCACCAGAAACAATACCTGAAATGAAGTGGGTCAAAAGACTTACTTATGAAAAATATAGCCACTGCGCGCTGAGACTGGCTCTAGGCTGGCGTCTTCCCTATAGTTTGGTGCTCTTTGCTTCTTTTTGACAAAAGTTCTAGATAACGTCTCAGCGGCCGAAGCAAGTATTACCATTTTAAAATTTGATGATTTTTCCTCTGGAAATAGCTATGCTGTGGCAAATTCACACGAGTTGGTGGACCGTACAAGCCAAATTCTTCTGACAAGGCTTCGCTTAGTACAGACTATATATAAAAAGCTTATCTTCGGGATTTAGAATCAGGGAAGGAAATGTGATAGAACTGATGGCGTGATGAGGGATGTCATCGATTTGGTGGGGTAAAGAGGGGTAAGCGGTTTGGAGGGGTAAATCATGTTCGCATCTCTTTCTTTTCTTCTTCTTCTTCTTATGTTGAATAAGAGGATACCTTCACCTAATGTAGAATTGGTCCAAATTCTAACTGATCTAAACACACATTCAGAAGATTGTCTCAAAAGAGGTTCCAAAGGACTAAGATAATAACGTGATTGGGCCCTATCTCCTTGGCCCCATAACGCTCTCATGTAGGTAGCTAGACATCTCTTACACATCCTCTCTACTATCGGCATTTGACCAACCACGGTAATCCAATAATCTACTGAACTACTGGAAATTTGTTTTCGGATATGAATCCGAGCTGTGGAGATCCGAACTGTGGGGGCGTGGGGCGCTGGCTCAATGAGGGGCCGCAACTCGGGGAAAAAAGCCCAAAGATATCCCATCCCGAGGGCCATCTGTCCCAAGCATATATGATGCACAGATCCCAGCGACAATGTGTCTTTTGCGGACTGTATCCGAAAAGTTGACCGTTATCAACCAACCTCTATCCAGACAACATGGTAGAGACACAAGACAATGCCGAAATCTCTTTTGACTCCCTCCCATTGGATCCCAGAGGCCCCCGTGGAAATGCGTGGGGGCGATTTGGCCCTAGCGATGAGCTTGGCACATTAAATTTACTTACGCCGGAGGTTATCGTTGAGACTGCGAAGGAGATTCAGACCGGAGTGCGCATCTCTCTTGACTGGCCACTCAGCATGCCCTCCTATCCGAGCTTCAACCGCAATCCGTTCAAGCAGGAGATGATTCTCCGAACCCCTAATTGTGTTTATGATGATGTCTTGACTTTCAATAGTCAGGGTTCGACTCAGTGGGATGGGTTTAGGCATTATGGTGTGTATAACTCATTCTCTTGTCAAAGGGAAAGCTAACTCGTCACTTTAGCAAATCAAAAGTCTCGACAATTCTATAATGGACATACTACTGAGGACATTGAAAGTTCAGATGTGATTGGTATTCACGGTAAAGATCATGTGACCCTTTCTCTTATCATCAACGCTAACCTGGTCAATGGCAGCTATGGCCGAACACGGTGGTATCACTGGCCGCGGTATTCTACTCGATTATGCCGACTGGGCTGCCTCAAACTCTGTCTCTGTTTCAGCTCTCGAGTCAGAAGCCATCACCCTCGAACACCTCAAGCAAGTAGTCAAGGATTACAGGCTTGAATTTAAGAAAGGCGACATTCTATTCATTCGCAGTGGCTTCACTGCCGCTTATAATCAATTGAATGAGCAGCAGCGAAAGGATATGCCAAATCGCTCGTCTCCTGACTTCAATGGCGTGGAAGCCACCGAGGGAATGCTTCGGTGGTTATGGGATCACCAATTTGCTGCTGTCGGTGGTGACGCGCCAAGCTTCGAGCGAGCTCCCATTCGAGGTAGCCACGCGGATCCTGACTTTAATCTTCATGAATGGGTTCTGGCAGGATGGGGTACCCCGATTGGTGAAATGTTTGATCTGGAGAAATTATCTTCGCATTGCAAGGCTACTGGAAGATACAGCTTCTTCCTGTCTAGCATGCCACTCAAGGTATTTCTTTATCAATCGAGATAGCATGGATAGCTGAGCTAACTGTGATTTCAGGTTATCGGTGGAGTCGCAAGCCCGCCAAATGCTTTTGCTATTTTTTAGGACATTTGTTGTATCCTAGTTCCAATATTTATCGTATGCGAATACAATAATCTCTCCGGGCTTCTTGTCGCGGAAGAAGGCGATGATCCATCATTTGAGAAAATGGTGGATCAACGGTGGGATAAAATGCACGAAACGCCTATCCCTACTGTCAGATTATTTTTCCGTAATATAATATCTTACTCTGTTGAAGGTGAATTTTGCACCCGAACATCTATGGATGACCCACCGGAGGAATGTTGTTCCCCCAGCCCCGCGGTACGAATGCAGCGCAACACGATGCAACACAATTCGACGACAGCTCATAGGAATTGATCGTTGACTTGGATTGTGGCGAGATGAACTGAACTATGGGTCAAATTCCTCTAGTACACGACACTGAGCGGCTGAGTTGTCAGTTCTGGGTGAGCGCCTGAGACTCCCTTGCCTCGACGGTGCACGAGCTGACCAATCCAGGACCCGGACAATGCATGGCTGTCACCGTGCGCATTTCCATATCTCGTCATTGCGCCAGCGAGTGTGGTTTTGCTTATTACCCTGTGCTATTCATTGGGTCCTCTGTTGCGGCGATGGCGTCCCAGGTGGACGTTTCCCTTCATCTCAGAGAAGGATGAGTATCAAGAGCTTCCTCCTGAGGGTGTGAAACAATCGCTTCGGTGGACCCTTGCGCTTTTTGCTTTCTCAGCTATTGGATTTTCAGCCGAAGTTGTGCACAGCTTTCCCCCAAGAACTGAACTTTTGTCCATCGTTCTTGTTGCGTCATGGGTAAGTGGCCTTCCATATTTCGAGTGATGACTATTAATGCAGATCAGGCTACAGTAGCCGTGTTAATAGCGGTCAACCGACCTAGGTCGTGTTCGATCTCAATGCTGGTATTCTACCTGTTGACTTTCGCCGTCGAGATATCACTAGCTTCAAGTCCCGGTGAAAGCCCGACGTTCAAGTCAATCACCCGTTATGTTGCCGCGGCTGCTAGTCTAGGAGCTTGCTTCACAATTCTTCTGATGCCATTCCGAAAGGCTTCACTCCCAGTCTTCAACATCAGCTCCGTTGGTCAACCGCCATGCAGCGATTTCCGGAGTCCAGAAGACAACCTGCGATTATGGCAATTCCTGACTGTTTCCTGGATGGCACCTCTAATAACCCTTGGACGGCTCAGAAAATTGGATGATCCAGACGTGTGGCTTCTGGGTTACGAATTCCAGCATCGACGGTTACATGAGAAGTTTCGTCGTATCCGCGGAACTGTCCTAGGTCGCTTGTTGAAAGCCAATGGCCTCGATATTCTCGTCATTTCCGCTATTGCTACGATCCAGATGTTCTGTGACTTTTCCACGCCAATCCTGCTCCAGCAACTCTTGCAGGCGATGCAAGATCCAACCAGATCGAAACGAGTACCATTGACCTATGCGCTTTTATCGTTGTTACTTCGCTTGGTAGCAGCTCAGTCACAGGTATTAAATCTTTGGTACGGGCGACGATGCTACGAGAGGTCCCGAGGCGAGATGGTGATGATGGTCTATGAGAAGGCTCTCTCGCGAAAAAATATTCTCGGCGCAAGAAAGATCGAGGGCGAATTTTCTTTGACCGAAGGGGACAACATGGATGCCAATGAAGCAAGAAGAGAGCTGGAAGAGACTTCGGTGAAAGCCGGATTTTGGAGCCGTCTCCTCCCTCAACACAGAAAGACCAAGCAGGTCAAGACCAAACAAGCTGCCTCTCTGGGCAAGATTTTCAATCTCCTCCGAGGAGATGTTTACGACGTGGCTCAGCGATTCTGGGAGGTTGATGTTCTGATTGACAAGCCTTTAGGTCTTGTCATTGCTGTCTGGCTGGTCTGGACTCTCTTCGGTCCATCCTGCTTCCTCGGTATCTTTGCCGTTCTGGTTGCTCAAGCTATAAACGCCATAGTCACTCGAATCCTTCTCCAATGGGAAGAAAAAAGGCGAGAAGCGACCGATTCTCGCTTGCAGAACACATCCCAGTTCGTGGAAGCGATCCGTCATCTTCGCTGGTATGGTTGGCAAGACCACTGGCTTCGGCAGGTAATGGAAGCTCGACAACATGAGCTAAGCCTACGAATCATTACCAGCCTATGGAATATTCTCATCCGTTTCATAAATGCTTTTGCCAGTGGTGTATTCCCAGTCATCGCTCTATATGCCTATACTTTGCTAGCTGGGCGTGAGCTGCGCATTGATATAATATTCCCCGCACTACAGCTCTTTACGATGCTCGAGACTCGGTTGCGAGACATTCCTGGCTTGATAACAGCTTTTATTAATGCATCTATTGCTCTCGGGCGTATTGAAGACTTCATGGAAGAGCCGGACAAAGACCAGCTTCCGCTTGACGACCCCACGGACGAGATTCCTTTCCAGTTAGATTCTTGCTCATTTGCGTGGCCAGGGAAAATATTACCTGTGCTCACTAATATCAACGTGATCATTCCGAAGGGTATCACTGTTGTGAGTGGCAAAGTTGGTGCTGGAAAGACAGCCTTCCTCCAAGCTCTACTCGGCGAACTCGATCGACTCGGTGGTTCCTCTCACGTTCCAAATGAAATGATAGGTTACTGCGCTCAGACACCCTGGCTTCAAAGTATGAGTATCCGGGACAACATCCTATTCTCCGCCCCATATGACGAGCAACGCTACAAACGAACACTTGATGTGTGCGCCCTGCTTCCAGATCTGTCTCAATTCAAACACGGTGACTTGACGTTCGTGGGCGAGAATGGCATTGGTCTCTCAGGAGGTCAAAAGGCTCGCGTGGCTCTTGCACGAGCAGTTTACAGTACCTCCCGTGTTCTTCTACTGGATGATCCGTTATCAGCTCTCGATCACAACACTGCCGAGCTCATAGTTCGCAAGTGCTTGTCCGGTCCCTTGATGATTGGCCGCACGATCGTTCTCGTCACGCATCGCACTGCGCTGGTCCGTACTATTGCTTCCCAGATAATTGAGATCGACGAAGGGCACTGTACAGTCCACGATAGATATGCTATTATGTCTTCGTCAAAGTACGGGATGGAGTCTTCGATGCTATCAACTGATTCTGAATCAGAGACAGAGGGGGAGATTAGCCTCGAAGACGAGGCAACAGCAGTGCCGGACAAGTTCATTGAGGATGAACACCGGGCGGAACGGGGCGTCAAAGCCCGAGTGTATTGGACTTATATCAAAGCTGGCAAACTTCGATGGTGGCTTGTACTCGTCTTAGTTCTAACTGTGTACCGTCTGGCATCTGTCGGACAATCCTGGTTCCTGAAAGGATGGGGAGAGGCCTACAATACAAGTTCATCAGCCTCTGGTGGCTTGGTCGGAGATACGGCGCTGGTGGCTACCTCATCCGTGGACGCATACTTCGCTCCCTCGAATCCTATGGACCAACTCCCACCTCCACGAGATGACGTCCGACCGTGGCTTTGGACTTTCTTCGCTATCATCTCCTTCCAAGCAGCCACATTACTTATCGCACAGTTTCTCATGCTAGCCATCGTCTACTTTGCTGGCAAGGCACTGTTTAGACAGGTCATGGTTCGCGTCAGCCGTGCAACCTTCCGGTTCTTCGACGTAACCCCCGTGGGCCGGCTAATGAACCGCTTGACATCGGACATTGGCGTTGTGGATGGAAACATCAGCGAACAGTTTCAGATTATTGCATTCCAAGCTATCACCTGGATATCCTCTATCTTGGTCATTGCTACAGCTACCCCAGCATTCCTGATCCTTTCGTTGATACTGACGGTGTGTTTCGTCCTCATCTTCTTGCAATTCCTGCCAACCTCGCAAAGCCTCAGGCGTCTTGAGATGGTCTCATTGACTCCACTGCTGTCGAATTTTGGAGAGCTCCTTCACGGTCTCACGACAGTCCGCGCCTTCCGTGCCGAGGAGCGCTTCCAGAGCCGGGTTATTTCCGTCGTCGATAAATTCCAAGGAATGGACCACTTCTACTGGTCATTGCAGGCATGGCTTATGTACCGCTTTGAAAGCTTGTCCGCATTCTCGACCTTCTGCCTTACTGCTCTGGCTCTATACACAAACACAACACCTGGGCTAGTGGCGTTTGTGCTCATCGCTGCAAATAACTTTGTCGAGTCCACACATGCCCTGTGCAAGCAATATGGACAATTGCAGATGGACTTTGTGTCAGTGGAACGAGTGGATGAGTTACTTCACATCGAAGAAGAATCCCCCGGAACGGTTGAACCCCCAGCTGCCTGGCCGACCTATGGTAGTGATATCACATTCGAGGATGTCACCATTCGCTATGCACCACACCTCGACCCTTCCTTGAAGGAAGTATCGCTCCGCATTCCAGGCGGCTCAACTACTGCAATTATCGGTCGCACAGGTAGTGGCAAGTCCACATTGGCGGTATCCCTTCTCAGCGTCATCAGACCAGAAACAGGCCGGATCACGATCGACAACATCAACATCGCCGAAGTCAGCACCCAAGCGCTGCGCACCCGGGTCACTTTCGTCGCACAAGACCCGGTTCTCTTCCCCGGTAGCATTCGTCTCAATCTAGATCCTACTGGAGATTTTTCTGACCGGCAATGCGCCGATGTACTCGAGCGCCTCTGCGGCCGTCATGGCTGGCATCTTGAAACGCATATTGAAGCTGGTGGCAAGAATCTCAGCCAGGGTCAGCGACAGCTCATTGCGCTCACGCGGGCGGTCCTTCGACGCAGTCCGGTTGTCATTCTCGATGAAGCCACTGCGTCGATTGATCACGAGACATCTCTCGATATCCAGCAGATTGTTCGAGAGGAGTTGCGGCTCTCAACGGTCATCACGATTGCGCATCGTATTGAAGCTGTCAAGGACGCGGAGTACTACGTCGTTCTGGACCAGGGACGAGTATCGCGACAGGGCCATGTTCGAGACTTGTAAACTTTTAACACGCTTCTACACTGCACATAGAACATAATATTTATCAAGTTTCATACATCCGGCACACCGGAGCACTACATAGCCAGTACGTAACATAAATGGGAAAGCAAAGATCACCCTAGGGAATATTCATGTACAAATTCTTGGTAAGAAAAAAAGGGTATCTAATCTTTACAGCTTGGCCTTGCCCTGAGCCTTCTTGAGGATAGGCTCCATCTTGGTGGCCTTCATGATGTTGCCCTTGATCTTGAGCTTGCCACCCATGAACAGGCGCTGGGCGTTAGCCTTGCCGGAGACGAGCTGAGCGAAATCGGCATCCGAGAGGGAGAGGGTAACTATTCGCAGGGAAAATTAGTATCGCACGACCATGATGTCTTGTGGGCTAAAACTTACCATCAGCCTTGCCACCCTGGGGAGCGGCGCCCTCGCCGACCTCGCCCTTGTTCTTCAAGTCGAGGTACCAGCTCTTCTCCTCGCCGGCCTTGTTCTTCAGGTTGAAAGCAACGATGGCCTTGGCCGAGTCAACCGCATTCTTCTTCTCGGCCTGGTCGGCCTGCAGGGTGTCGTTGATCGCGTCGAACGCGGCGGAGGAGGGGAAGGAATCTGGGGGGAGCTGTCAGCATGTAGTTCCAGAGTTGTGGGAATGATGATGCGCAAGCGAACATACCGTTCTTGAGAGGCATGGTGAATACGTTGATAGAGTGGTGGATGGTCCAAAAGATGGTTATGGTTCGCGAAGCTATATAAGAAAGGATGATGAAGTGCCCCGGCCAACATGTGAACCGCCGGATGTGCCGAGGCCCCGTGAAGCCGCGCTTTCTCCACACCTGACAGCACCTTGAACTACAATGAAACTCCGACTTCATGACATGCGCTTTGCTTGATCCTATTCTGACTGGTCGATCTTCCCCTTTCCCCCGTGCTGCCACAGAAACCCCCAAGCTTTCAATTTACCCCCAGAAAAAAAAGGACTCCACATGGTCACGGACCGTGGCTCTCGATGTATCTGAAGGGTCGCACAAATCCGGTATCCATCGCGACAAAGGGGACAATCCTTTCCTCCCGAGGACGAACGCCCGCTCGCGTGCCCCCAACGCCTCCGGGCGCCCCAACGTCACCATCCCCAAAACACCGATGACGGCAGTAGCCGCTTCACATGATCGAGCCTACCCCGGATACTCGAAGGCGCCCGCGTCTTAGCTAATCTTCGCAGACCGTCTTTTTTCGCTCGTTGTATTTGCTGTTGGTTTAACTCCTGATGAGCTGAGTACGATTGGCGCGTCGATGGTGCTCTCGTGGGTTTGGGTGTTTTCCATTGCTCGCTGCCGCTGAGCTGGGTTAGTGGTGCTAGCGCGGGGTCCCAGGTGTTCGCAGGATTATGTCTGGAAGGCTTGAAATCTCGAATTGAATGCATATGGTCTATTTGGAAAGATCCTATTTGGGACGCGTCCATCGTCGCGCTCACCAGCTCTACCTGCTGCAAAGAGCGGAACTTCATAGGCCTGAGCGATGTTCTCATTCCCTGGCGACCACACTGTGTTGATGCGAACCTTGGCACGGCTCGGTTGCTAATGAAGGCGGCGATAGTCCTTCTCGCCTTTCCAATACTTTCCAATGGAAGATTAAGCTTTTGAGCCTAGGGGAACTCTGCAGGTATGCCTCAAGGAGCTTGAAATGACCTGTTGGCCGACCAGCTTCGTAGGGGAAGCTCTCCATGCGGATGGTAACGTGTCAGATCTGTGACCAGTGATTACGGGACATAGGCGATGCACCAAAGCCCAGACTCGGCTGCAGGTAGAAGACGGCCGCCGGGTGGATCGAGACCAGTGAGAGGCTTTCCAAGCATCCCAATGGAGATTGCTCAACGGCCGTATGTGGCGAGATGAGCGCATAATTTACCACAATTTGACGATGCCTATGATTCGGAGGCCGGCCGTTGTAACTGCCTCGGAGATATCGAAGGTTCGTTATCGGGGAGAGCGCCCTCACCAACGAGAGAGTATCAGTCGCTGCATGGAACACGGACGGCTATTGCTTGACCAGCAAAGTGGTCATTTCCATGCTCCCGTACCTGAGACTACCGTGCGATGTGCCTCAGCGCAGCGGCATACAGACGAAGGTCTGCGCTGTACCGTTGATTGAATCCATCACCGGAGGCAATAATGTTTCTGCGGTTTGTGGAAACTTGAACGTCACTGTTCGGATATGATGTCCAATGCGCTCGATTACTGACAGGCGGGATGGTCTGGTCAATGTACGAATGTGGAAGAGGACGGTGGTTTCCGCGAAGAGAAGCGGTGCTAAGGGAGCTGCGAGGTCCTGGCAGACTAATCGACACGATGACGGTTCTCCCGTGGTAAAGTGGTTCTACAGCAGTTACTGTATGATTTGTTCGTTGAAGACTTGAGTCAGTGTATACTTAGGTGGGTTTGCCATGGTTATACGATGTAGTCGGGCTCTCTGAACCTGTGCAGGTGCATAGAAGGAATTTATATGAATGCTACATGTCACAAGCCCTGTTGATTCTTCACGTTCACAATTGAACCGTTGTGCCATGGACCCCCAGGCCGGGAGCTGTCCATTCTCATCTTGCCTACCACCCAGCCCGTAGTCCCAATGTGAATTGGAGCGAGGCGCAGATGGTCCAGATGAGTATTACTCCGAAAGAGGCAGGTAGGGCCAGCCCTTCTGTTTGCACTGTTTGTCTCCACAACGCGTGGACGCGTCTGCTCTGGACACGTGCTGATTAGACTGTAAAAGCCAAGTTAATCGTTCATGAGTGTAGTGATCGTTTATGAGTGTAGAAATCATTCATGGGTGTAGGAATCGATGTAAAATTATATAGTGGAAAGAATTTCGTAGCGTTCAAAGTTAATCGGGTAAGCCTTGGGAGCACAGAACCTGGAGAGATCCCGGTGGCCCGAAGAGTCGCATAGTGGACATGCCGTATCTTCACTCGGGCGTGGCGACACTCAGGATGACATTGTCGCCCCAGTTGTTAAACGAGCTGGGCAGTGAATGGGCTCTAGCACGGTCCATCAGACACCGAGACCACCCAGGTCAACTATCTTTCTTAGGGAGTTTCCTTTATTAGACCCAGGCGTGTTCCCCGAGTGCTCCACCTCCGGCGACCTTGCGACTCCGCCAAGCACAGATAATCGGTCCTGACGTCTTTCAGCTCCTGTCACAGAGATCTGGCAGCGCCCAGTGTCGGTGGACCACGGACAAGTGCTGTCTTTGCTTGTTCCCGGCTTTTTGCTGTCTGATTTCTGCCTGGCTGAGACCGCTTTCTCGTTTGTCGCAATTTCTCTTTCAAGGCACCCGATCCACCTCATCTCCAGCCTTGATCGGGGTTGCGACCCGTCTTATCGGCCTTCCCCATCTGATCGGACACATCCTGACAACTAGTTCTGACCCTGTCATACGGGCCAGGCGGACAACGCTCGTTTCGGAGTCGGAACGCGGAGATTGACGGTTCTCACCCATTCAAGACACCAAGTAAGTTTCAAGTTCGTACAAATCTTGCCCTTTCTCCATGAAGCCATCTGAAGATGTTTCGGTTCACTTTCAATATTACTTCTCTATATACTGTCGCCTTTCTTCACGCGGTAAATTAATCTCGGAATAGTTGTTTCTCCAGTCTACCCCAAGTCTGAGGTACTACGACTTATTCTATCCACCAGTGGCCCTTCTGAGAACGCCACCCTCACCACCTGCGCTTTCGTACTAGGTATTTGATTCATTGTCTTGATATTGAGGGAATTGGATTTACTTTCTCTGTCTTTCAATTTCCTCGTACTCGAGTCGACGCGAATTTTCTGCATTTCATCTACTTGAACTCCAGGCTCATCGAGCCAGATCGTTTCCATATCATCTTGACTTATTCTGTCCTCGACTTTCAGCTATGGAAGGTGAAATCCAGGATCTGCTGGAGGAGCTGGACCTCCACAAATTCATCCACGCCGATCTTCAAGACAACCGACCCAATGACAGTTTTGCTATCGCAGAGGCTATGGATAAGATCCATGAGCTCGAAACCCAGGTCGCTCGACTACTGGGAGAGGAGGCACCTGCTGTGGCTCCACGGACTGCCCCGACTGCCCCGACTCCCCCGGTGTCTAGAGTTGATACTCCTGTTACACCTGCCACCGCTGTGTCTGCAAATACTCCTCACCACTCGTCCTCGGATGCCCGTGGACATACTCATCCCTCCTACAACCTGGCTGCTTCTCCGGTGAGACATAGTACACAAGAACTGGCAGATTCTAGGTCTGCCCCACACTGGCCATCTTCCGCTCCTTCTCCCTTCGGCACTGCATCCAGTCGGCCCGGGTTTCCTGCGCCTAGTCCCTTCGACATGACTCGGAAAAGACCGCGACAGGACTCATTCGGCTCGTTGGCTCCTATGCAGGTATCGAAGCGGGCTGTTCTGGATAACACTAGATCCCGGATGGCTGAAATCGACGAAACCATGGAGACACAGCTAGCTCAGAACCGCCAAATCTATGCAAGCCTGTTAGGGGACGAGAATGTGCGCGACGTGGCCAGCTTGGACAACATCTCGGAAGACCAGGCTCGGGAAAAGATTATAGGGGACCAGAAGGACAGTGAGCAAGAGATTAGACAGCAGTTCCAGCTGGAACGGGATGGAGAATTTGCTCGCATGTTGCAGGCACAGCAAGATGAGTCGAGTGATGATGAACGCGGCTTTGACCGACGAGAGCAACCTAGTTCAATGGGCCATGCAACTCCATCGACATTCAGTGCAGGTCGACCTTTGCCGCCATCGACTTTCAATCTCCCCGACCGAACCCATCTTAGTGGCCTTTCGAATGGCTTTTCGAGCCTGGGAGACCTGAGTCGCAGTGGATTTGACTTCTCTTCTAACCCTCCAATACCGAGGCAAGCGGGCGACAGGGCGCTTTTCATGCCGCCAAATAATTTTGATGGACCAATGCCAAAGTCATGGAGGTTACCGCCCGTCTCAGCACTGGGTTTTAATGACGATGATGACCTCCAAGAAATTACTCCAGATGTTTTTAACTCCCGGTTTGGCAGGCCGTCCCAATTCGTTCCTGCGAGAACTCTTCCTGGGGGACCCATGCCTGGCAGGGTGCTTCCGTGGATGCAGGAGCCTGATCCCCGCGCGCGTGAAATTTATATGCGCGACCCATACATGCGTGATCCGAAAGCCGTGGAAAGGGCCATGGATCTGGTTCGCGACCAGATGGAGCTCGATATGGATGAAGATGACCTTGCGTATCTCTCCCTCAATCCAAAAATACGCCGGTCAAATACTAACGTATATGCTTATAGACATTATGAGGAAGCGGATTTCCCTGAAGACATTAAGAACTTGATCACCGGTATCAAGGACATTCGCGAGGCCACAAATGCAGACAAAGATGACACGCCAAGTGGACTCAAGGTCACGTTAATGAAGCATCAAAAAATTGGTTTGGCATGGATGAAGGCCAAAGAAGAAAGCAGTCACAAAGGAGGTATTCTCGCGGATGATATGGGCCTGGGCAAAACAATTCAGGCCATCGCTCTCATGGTTGCTCGTCCATCCACGGACCCTGAACAACATCCCGTTCTCATCGTATGCCCCAAAGCTCTCATGGATCAGTGGCGTTTAGAGATTCAACGCCACATACGACCCGGCAATGACCAGCTGTCTGTGTTCATTTTCCATGGGGATACGCGAAGTTCCCCGTGGAGAGTACTGAAAACCAAAGACGTCATCATCACAACCTTTGGTACGCTGACTGCCAATTTCAAGCTGTTGGTCGAAGCAGAGAAACTTGAGAAGGAGGGAAGAGATGCTAGCCTTGTCAGGAAGATTCAAGAACAGGCCGTTCTCTTTCTTCCGGCCAGCAAATTCCACCGAGTCATCGTAGACGAAGCCCAAAACATCAAGAACCCCTTGGCAAAGTCCACTAAGGCTTGCTCCAGTGTCAATGCTACCTATCGCTGGTGCTTGACTGGAACACCCATGATGAACCGACTTGAAGATTTCCAGTCATTGCTGGGATACCTCCGGATCAGGCCGTACAACAACAAAGACAAGTTCAAGAGCGTGAGTATGCCTAGAATCGTTTAATCAATCCTCAATACTGATCTTTCTACTAGACCTTCGTTCGACCGATCAAATCGGGAGGAGGCGGAGGTGAACAGGCAATGGCCCAGCTACGTGTCCTTGTCAAGTCCATCTGTTTCCGCCGCACAAAGGAATCCAAAATTGACGGCGAGCCAATTCTTCAACTTCCGCCCAAGGTCATCGAACAGGTACACGTCGTTTTCAGTGAGCACGAGCAACAGATGTACGCGACTCTGAATGCCAACACACAAGATCAAGTCACAAGATACCTTAACGCCGGTACCCTGGGTCGAAACTACAGCCATGTCCTGGTTCTTCTCCTACGGTTACGACAAGCATGCTGTCACCCCCATCTCATGCATGGATACAACGCCGAGCCCGCTACAACGGTCGAAGGCGTGAACCTGGTAGCCAACGCGAAATTGCTGGACAAGACCGTTGTCAGCCGTATCCAGAACAACGAAAATGAAGACGACGGCACTTGCCCCATCTGCATGGACACAGCCGAGAACGCCGTCATCTACATTCCCTGCGGCCACTCCGTTTGTACTGAGTGTTTTGCCCGCATATCCGACCCCACTATCCTCGCCCGTGACGACGATTCGGGCATGATTAAATGCCAGAATTGCCGTGGCCCAGTTGATCCTACCAAGATCACCGATGCGAACTCCTTCAAAATAGCCCATGACCCGGACGCAGCACCCCAAGATGCCGCCGCGGAAGAGACAGAGCAGTCCTCAGTCTCGGATTCGGACGATTACGACTCCGATACCTCAACCGATGGAAAGGCACGGAGACGCAAAAAAGTGTCATTGGCTGAGCTGCGCAAAGCGGCCCAGAAGAACAAACGCGAGAAAAGAAAGTACCTCCGCCGTCTGGAAAAGACCTGGATCCCTAGCGCCAAGATCGACAAGGCGACAGATATCCTACAAGCCAACGAAGACAGAGGCCAAGCTGAGAAGACCATCATCTTCAGCCAATTTACCTCGCTCCTGGATCTACTTGAAGTCCCTATCAACCGACGTGGCTGGAAATACGTCCGCTTCGACGGAAGCATGAACATCGCAGACCGCAATGCCTCCGTGGCTGCGTTCACCGACGACCCGGACGTCAGAATTATGCTCGTCTCTCTCAAGGCCGGAAATGCAGGCCTGAACCTCGTCGCCGCGTCGCATGTTATCCTGTTCGACCCGTTCTGGAACCCTTATGTCGAGGACCAGGCTATTGATCGTGCTCATCGCATCGGTCAGAAGAGGGACGTTTTCGTGCATAGGTTGTTGATTGAGGGCACTGTTGAGGATAGGATCATCGAGCTTCAGAATAAGAAGCGCGAGCTGATTAGTGGTGCTCTTGATGAGGGTGGCTCGTTCAATGTGTCTCGTCTGGATACTCGGGAGTTGGCTTATCTCTTCGTAAGTGTTTTTTTTTTTTTTATCTTTTTACACATTGTTCGTCATTCTAACTCTTTTTCTAGGGCGTGCGCCATGATTGAGCCAGGATGGAAACCGATTCTTCTTGCTAGAAACGAACCCCGGGCCTGGTGCCTTGCTTTTACGCATCTAGATGGTTTAGGGTTGTAATGATTGTTTCTTTTTCTTCTTGCACATGATACATTTGACCCTTTTATGCGGGTGTCTTTCAGGCGCAGGAAAGACTCCCCTTTGTTCGACTTATACCCTTGCGATTCCACTTTATGACAAGTTACAATGTGTTTGCTTTTCTTTCGTTCATACAGTAAAGATAGGAATATCCATGAAGATCAGGATTAAGCTACTCGAAGCCTTGTGTCATGAGAACATAAAAAGAAATTCTTTTAGACCTGGTTGAAAGAGTACTTGCTTTTTTATGCAGCGTGCTCATTTCGGGGAGAAAAAAAAGCATTGAGATGGTAAGGGTCTAAGCTACTAAGGTTGGGGGGAAACAGGAAAAGAAATGCATAATCGTGCCGTCCCTTTCTTCAAACCGCCACTGCCCCAACCGCTTTCGTTGTATCGTGATTCTGGGAATGGATTTTGTTTTCGCGGGGCAAAGTCAAAAACATTCGGTCGTGGAATAGACCGTCCCCTAAAGGGCTGGTCGAAGATCGCGCCAAAAAGGGAGGGCTGGAAAAGTCGTGGGCCCGTGAGTTGGATGCACTGCTTTACAGGTCGGCGTCGTCCTCGTCGGGGAGGGGCTGGGAAACAGCAGCCTCCATCTCCTGGCGGTACTTCTCCATCTGCTCGTGGTCGACCTGGACCTCGGGGGGAGCGAGGGCGGGGGCAGCAACGAACTCCTGCAGGGTGGGTCAGTAAGGGGACGGTTGGAAAAGATCAAGAAGTTGGAGGGTTATACGCACCAGCTGGGGGTTGCCAACCAGCTTGCGGGCGAGCCACAGGAAGGGCTTCTCGAAGTTGTAGTTGGACTTGGCAGAGATGTCGTAGTACTGGAGGTTCTTCTTGCGGTGGAAGGTGATGGTCTTGGCCTTGACCTTGCGCTCCTTCACGTCGACCTTGTTACCGCAAAGAACGATGGGAATGTTCTCGCAGACACGGACGAGGTCACCTGAATGGAATTAGTGACGAAAATTCGATGGATTGACGGGACAACTCACGGTGCCAGTTGGGAACGTTCTTGTAGGTGATACGGGAGGTAACATCGAACATGATGATACCGGCCTGGCCGTTGATGTAGTAGCCATCACGGAGACCACCGAACTTCTCCTGACCGGCGGTATCCCAGACATCAAACTGGATGTCACCCAGGTTCTATCGCTTCGAGTTAGTCGACCGAGGAATTCGAAGCGGGGTTCGGCGGGGCATCACGTACGGTGGTGAACTTCAACGGGTGAACCTCGACACCAAGAGTGGCGATGTACTTCTTCTCGAATTCACCAGTCAAGTGGCGCTTGACGAAGGTGGTCTGTCAAATTGGGTGCGTTAGCGATGGCGTTGTAATGACGAGGCGACGATTGGGCAGATATTTTCATTTTTGTTGACAATCGCGGGGCAAGGGGGGTCATCGTAGCAACGAAGCTGACAAGGCCGCCATCGGGCGTCGCTGACTGTCGCCAGCAACACGACGTCTTTTCTGCCCAGCAATCGACGACAGTGATGTCGGAATCGAGCTTACCTTGCCGGTACCACCGTCACCGACCAGGACGAGCTTGAAGGTGGGGGGGGACCTGATCAGCCATGTCGAATATGAAGGATGAGATTTAGGTATTAGAAGATCGCACGCCGATAGTTCAGCGGGAGCGGTTTTTTTTCGAGATGGGTAGAGGTGGAGAGTTGGTAGATGCGGTGAAGGGGGGGAAAGAAGGGAAGGGGAGTCTGAATAATGTCGTTTGGAATTTTTGGCCCGGTCGCGGGCAGGTCACGTGTCTGTGTGCCTGAAGGGGGCCTGACGTAGTGTCAATATTTTTCTTTTTACTGTCTCTCTCTACTGCGAATGAACTCATATCTCTTTGGCCTTGGAAGTTTCGCCAGAGACTTGGGCTCCATGCTCCAATTTTCGTTCGGGAAGGATCCCTGCTCTTTCAAAGCCATGGATGGAGTCATGATTCATGAATAAAGGGCGTCATCGTACAAGAAAGGAAACGTCCATGTGGGAGGATAACTGACTGCCCGAGAGCAGGAAAACATCAACCCTTGAAAAGACAGATTTGCCATACAAAGGAACATCGAAGCATATTGTCAAAATATACAGCCATCTGATCTAACCCATACACCAAAATTCAACCCTGCGCATCTACAAAAATGTCCAAAAAGAACCACCATTCCAAATGGAATTCATATAACACTGGCGCAAACTAACGTTTTCCATTTGTCCTATCTGGTCACCGCCAAAGGAAACTAAGAGCGCTGCTTTGAAGTCAAGCACATTGCCAGTGGGGAACCCACCGTGAAGTGAGGCATAGTATTGAGAGGGTAGCTATTGTAATATGTTGGTGGACACCAGGGTTTCAAAACTAGTAAGTTGCAGAGCAATCTAGGACAAGTCGACTCCAGATTTAGAACAATGAATGAGCAAGATAAATCTTAAGTTGTTAAAGGGTAATTTTGGCTGTATCGGACGGCCTAGTTCTGTCCGCCACACGATGTTCGCCCAGTAACCGTGGCAACTGTACCATATGGAAGGCTGATCAGCGCTTTCATAATGGCACCAGATGGCATCCCAGAAGGCCCCGGCCTCCCCAGTTGCGCCGCGGAGTGAGTTGTAGATCCAACTCCGCTGTGCCCGATCCACTCTCATTCTTTCGTGCCACCTTGACCGACAGAGGACGCTATATGGAAGTTAGCTTGGTTTTCAGATGCAGAGATGAACAGGAAGATCCGAGCATACCCCTTCGTTCTGTTGTACCGCCTCCGCAACCTTTGAAAGGCGCTCGTGATTCAACCAGTGCACACTGCCAAAGCCTCGAACTAGATCTCCCGTCTTCAGACCTGCCTGATGTGCTGGGCTGCCAGGCTCTACGCTATTGACGCGAGCAAATGGTGTGCCCAGTATGCCAGCATCTGCAATACTGTTGTCCGTGACGGAGGTCGGCGCAGAGGATGGCACACTTGTACCGTTCGTGGTGGTGCCTGGCGTATTCTGGAGTCGGGCAAAGTGATCGTGCAGGCCCTTCTCAATATGTGTCATGACCTCTTTGTGGTCATTTCTGAGGTGGATGATTCGTACTCGCGTTGTTCGAACTGGGCAGTGATCTCAGCGGATTGTAGTCAGTGGCCCGCAGCTCGGTTGTAGCGTACCTTGAGCAATGTCGATATCGTCGCGCGGGTAACCGTCGAAGGTGGTGAGGGTCGACCTCATGGTCACTCCATGCTAGCAAAGTTGACTCCTTAGCGAAAATCTTCTTCGGGTGATACAGGGCAGCTCACCGAGTTGAGAACGCTGCTCAGCGCAGACAGCTCCGTCTCGATCCGTTCCTTCTCTTGCATGAGTTCGGGCATCGACAACTTCGATACATCGCGGGCAGAATGGCCGGATGAGGGCCCGGAGGCGACAGTTGGGGCGTGAATATCGTCCATTGGAATGCCCATAGTAGAAGGTGGGGAAGATCAAAGCATCGCAGGCGTGTAGGGCGGTGGGTCGCGTTTTTATATAAGCGCGGGCGCATCTCCAAAGTTTATACTTCAATCCCCGGGGCTATTTACATTTGTGTACCTGCGAGGCTTCGAATTTCCGGTGACAAAATGCGCACTGGAATATAGATAGCCGCTATATTCATGCGATCTTGGGCCTGCGGAATTTTAATCCCACCTGTTGAGCTGCCTCGCGTCATGACGTACATGGATCAGATTGCAATTATCGGTTCCTCAGCGAAACAAACAGCTGCCTGGAGCCGATGGCATTGCTACCATGCGGTCTCGCCTGAATGGGGCTATGCGCTAGAGTTTGTATACTTGAATATCACGAAAGTTGGACTTCCTGTTTGCGCGCGCCACCTTCCCGCGCAGCGTCCATCGCGACTGCCGAACTATGAAACCAGTCGTTGTTGCTTCTGGGATGCGACTGTTGTTTCAGGTTTGTTGGCGCTCTGGAAGACACCAGGGTTTGCTCTACGACATCAAACCAGCGCGAATCCCGTTTTGTGGGATGATGGAGTATAAAGACGACGAGACGGATAAGCTCCTACAACCGTCGAACGAGACTAAAAACGACCCAGATGCTGCAGAAAAGAACAGCCCAGTGCAAAGAGCTTTACCGACCCATCCGTTCAAGAAATGGATGGACAGTTTTCGAACTCGAAAGCGCGTGCCACCGACGATTTCTGAACGATATGTTGAGGGTTGGTCGGACTCTTCGGCTACTGACTTCCCAATACTGAGCACAGTTCCCCGTCGTGGTTCAATCCAAGATCAATTCTGGGAGAGATCCTCTGGGCGTTCTTCGCAACTGGGAACGGTCAAGACGGCCGCCATGAGTATTGCGAGTCAAAGCATGGCCAGGTCGCGAGGAACTACGCAAAGCGCAACTACTCAAAGTGCTGTTTCAGAGATGCGAATTTCAGCCGAAGGATCTCACCCAATCTCGAGCAACTGCATGGATGAAGCTGTAGAGCTACGGGCGACCAAAAGACGCCAGGTGTTACGGGAGTTGCTTGCTACCGAAACTGATTATGTCCAAGGGATGAAAGCTCTTGCCGGGGTAATATTGAGATCTCTGGTCTCCTCGGAATGATCTGTATTAATCTGTCGCTCCCAGATACTATCCATGTTCGACACCAGGCCTCAGATATACCACAACATCCAGCGAATTCGCGACATTCATGAACACTTTCTTATCCAACTTGAAAAAGCATCGCCCATGTCAGCATTGCCTAGCCGAGGTGAAGCTTCCGACTTTATCTCCGGTAGTCTGTCGAAGCGCTTAGGCATTCTTGATTTGCCGGGCCTGAAGGGACTGCAGACCAGATCCCTGAGGACTCGAAGCTTAAAGGCATCGATCAACCAGCACTTCAAGACTTTGGTAGCTGAGTCACTGGAGGGTCTCGAAGTTGCCCGCGAGATTGAGAAATTGGTGAGTTGACTGGTATTTCTTGTTGATGCAGACACTGACTTCTTCGGAAAAGTCCGCATCATTTCCTGCTTACGAAGAGTTTTGCTCTAACTATGAGCTACTCGCGCAAGATGTCGCCATATTACGCCGCTCTATCCCAAACTGGTCGGCCTACGACCAGGGAATTGAAGCGCTGTCCAAGTCGGTTGCCTCCATGGAGAGTAAGAAACATGAGGAGAATAGGTCGATGAACCTAAGTGATTTGATGATCAAAGTTGGTCTCCAATCATTGAAACTGGGTCGAGATGCGCTAACTAGTAACCTAGCCTATTCAGCGTCTGTGCAAATATCCACTTCTTCTTCAAGATCTCCTGCGACACACACCGGTCAGCGACTGTCCCTCTTCTCATAATGGGATACGGCAAATTTTGGAGAGTCTTCGGATTCTTGTTGCTCGTATCAACTCGGCGACTGGCAATCCAGTCAACAAAGATCGCATTCAAAAGACCATCATTCTTCAAGAAAAGTTATCTTTCTCTGAATCGGTAAATTCCCTCCGTCTATCTAGTTAGCGTGCTTGTCACTAACATGATTATGAGTAGTTCATGCTGCAGGATATATATAAAGAGCTCGGTCCACTGACGCTTTGTGGCGTTCTTCATGTTACGTACCAGACACCAGAGAGTATTGTCGGAGACTTCATGGTATGCGTTCTCTTCAATTGCTATCTCGTTTTTGTCAAAGGAGTTGAGGACTTCCGTCGCCTTGTAGTTGTTGCATGTATTTACTTGGGAGACTTGCGGACGGACACCCCTCAGAACGGACGAGGTAAGCGATGCTCAGCTTTTTATTTGGAATTCATCTAACCCACTAGGACTCTACTGTTACGGATGTCCATTCTCATGGAAGCTTCTCTTCCAGGATCAAGAAGACAGCCACGAATTTGTGCTCAGTGCATCATCTGCGACAGAAGAGAAACACTGGAAAATGGAGATATTGAAATGTTCTGCATCATTGGCTGAGATGGCCAACCCCGGGCCAGCAATAGATCCCAGAAAGTACTCCTTCGTGAACTTGTTGCTGCTTCCCCTCGACCGCGTTCGATTTACAGCGACCTCTCTTACTAGAAGATCCTCCATGGATTCTATGACAGTGTCGCGCAAAGCGAATGTTCAGCATATTATCATCAAGAAGACCCATTATCCGCACATGTCCGAGGAAGCAGCGAGTCCACAAAGCGGCGGTGGAGAGTTTGAGCGGCCGAAGACACCGGTCGTGCGCGGGGCACTGACTCTGGTCGCGAGAAGGATGGATCGAATCCGACTGGAGCGAATGATCGCGGATGTCTACAATCGAGATGTGCTTCCAATGCCGGGCATGGTGCTTGGTCGAGGGGATCTCTTCCGGCGGGGCTCGATCATGAGACGTCTGAGTCTCCACGCTGGGTTCACGAAACGATCTAGCTCGGTCAGTATCGGCAACTCTAGTCCTGTGGTTGCCGATGCCCGATCTGTTGAGGAATATAGCGTCGAGGAGAAGGAAATGGTAGCGGGCCATGATGGGTTCACCGATCAGCAACGATCACCGGACCCAGATTGCGAGTCTCCCATGTCACCAACGACGCCATTGGGAAGCTCAAGGACTATTCGCTTTCGAACATCCATGAAGTCTGCAGGGTCTGCATCTTCGCCGCGCAGCGAGAAGGGTTCGAGTCAGGAGAGCAACTTCGAGACTCCATCACGAAAGAAGTGGACGTCACCAATCTCACTCTTCAATGTGCTTTCCCCGAAAACTCCCAAACGTTGACCAGGAGGACCAGGGACAGGAGATTAAAAGGTGGGGATCAGCGTCAGCTATGGGCGACGTAGGTGGAGTTGGAAAGAGCCCAAGGAAACATTGTTATTAGCTTGGCGAAACGTAATAGCTGCGAAGAATGAAAGCAATTGACTTTATTGCACCAGTCAAGCCCGGGGGCCCACCTTGCCCACCTTGGAGCTAGTAGATGACGTCGCAAGGGAGAAGAGAAAGGAAGCTTCCCATGACACACGAGCATTAGCTGTCCAAAACGGCCGTGACGTCACCGACCCTCATCCCACCTTTAAAGCTCCTCCCCTCAGCTCTCTTTCTTCCTCTCACCCAAATAACTTCCTGAACCAATTTACAATATGCCTCGCGCCAACGATACCACCTCTAAGATTTTCTACAAGGGCAAGACTGAAGACTTTGTTGTCTTCGTCGATGACTTGGAAATCCTGAAGAAGTGGAAGGAGGACCGCAGCATCGCCCTCGCCGATGTTTTGAACGGATGGAAGATTTTCCTCACTCACTCGTAAGTCTCAGTGAAGCCTACATACCTGGCTCCTGCTAACCCTGTTTTAGCCACGGTGCTCAGGGTGTCCTGGACACTGCCAGCAAAGCCGCTCTGGCGAACGAGTTCGGCACCGCGGATGAGGATACTTGCATGATTAAGATCCTCGAAGGCGGCGAATTCCAACATAACACTGTTCGTATTCCCCAATGACATGCCACTAAGTTCTTTCATTAACAATGCATACAGGCCCGCGAGCGTGAGGGCAGCAAGAACGATTCCAAGGGCCCTCAGAACATCGGCCGGTAAATCCAACCTACTCAGAGATGACGAAAGACACCGGGCAGCCCCGGCAGTCTTGATCAATCCGTCCTCCATTTTCCCACCAAGCTATTTATTCCTCGGTCTATCTTCTACCACCTCGGCGTCGCGGTCTCACTACCTCGTTTGCATTGACCTTTGAGCATTGTTGACCGGCCGGCGAGCCTTGATGACTTGTGAGTTGGGGGTTTATTATGGGATTGTGCATAAGCTGTGGACAGGCTTCCTTACCTGATATCATGAGATAATGAGAAAGACGATGAAACTCGTTAAACAAATACCATATTCATTCGAAACACTAACTTCTATCTATTGAACAAATGCGTGAACTAAACCTCTTATATCGTAAATATCTTATATCGTTCAAATTCATCATAGCGTATAAAGGTGTGCCATCCGCCCAACGTAAGCATTAGGCATCGGTCCAAAAGTGCCACGCAAAGCCGGGAATTATTCCCTTAAGACTCATGATGAGACTTCAAGTCACGATGCCAAGCCTCTCTCCTCTCCTGCACCCACAGTCCCAATTCAGCCCATATTTCCTGTTTCTGAGCACGCGTGTGGCTCGTAGCCAAGCCGCTTGTCGTAGTCGCGACGAAGAGTCGTGCTCCGCCCCAGCTCGAATCTTCGCCCATGACCCAGGGATCTTGCCATCCATACTTGAATTCCTCTTTACGTATTGGCCGCCCTTGTTTCACTCGGAATACGGCTTCCCATATACCCTTCCCGACTAGACATACGGCCTCGGGCCGGTTCTCTCTTATTTTGGCCTCTAGGATCGGGACACCGTCGTTCATTTCCTGTTTGCTGAGCATTTGAGCGTCGCGCGTGGGCCGCTCGACGATGTTCGTGTTGCCTACTCTGTATAGTCTCGGCAGGTCGTAGGTATCTCTTGGTGGGTGTAATCTGGTCGTGATCCCAGAGGAATAAAGCAATTTCCAGAACAAGTTTGTTGGATGTGCATATGCAAACCCCGTTAGCCCGGTCATTATCCCCGGGTTTACTCCCACGAGGAGGAGGACCAGACCCGGTTCGACGGTGTCTTTGAGGTAATTTCCGACAGTGGGAGGTTGTTCATCTCGGCTGCGTGCTCGTGCGGGGATACGGTTGCCGGTCGGGGTCGATGGTGTTGTCTGGGTAAGTGATGTGGTAGTCGTTCTCCTCGTTCGTCGCCTTAGACTCCTGATAGGACCCGGTGATCCATTGCTGGTAACCTTGTAATGGGTTGAATTTGGCGATTCCTTTTCAACTTTGGGTTCAGGCTCGGATGCTTTCGTTATCGTCGAGGTATCTTTGTCTGTGTGGAGAAATCGCTGCAGTTCCAGGGCGCCGCCAAAGCTGGCTATCCTTTCCACGGGCATAGGCTCTGAGCTCGCTCCAGCCACGGCCTCATCGGCTTCGAAGTGAGCCTCTGGACAAGCTTCGAAGGCATGCATACCTCTTCCGAAACTGTTTGTTGAAGAGTCGATCTAGAGTCAGTACTTTAATTAGCCTCATTTAAGAAATTTTACCCGCCTGGGGTTATCATGAAATGCTGGCCAAGATCTCACTTTTTGCGTGAAGAGCTGACGAAAGGGAATGATCAATTCTTGTTTTTCCATGTCGATCACGTGGAGCCCATGTCGGCGACCTTGTTATAAGGCATCACCGTGTTACGTCGACATTGCTTCACATCTCGGAGATGTAGATTTTTCTAAATGACTATTGCTGCTAAAATTACAGGCTGTGATATCCTGTTGAATGGCAAAAGAGTGCACACGGTGTGATGAAGTTTCGGCGATTGAGACAGACCGTTTAGTGACCTTATTAAGGAAAAAAAACCCCGGGGAATTCGCCTGCAAAGGAAATGCATCTCTTGGCCCGAAGAGTGAGGAATATGCAAAATAGGCTTGGAGAATGTAGAGCGGGCGTCTGTGACTTTTTAGAGGTTGATCAAATCGGCATTCAAGATCGGGTGATAGAAGAATGAGCATCACGACGGGGTGGAATCTTGTTGGCGATCTGGGTAGGACGGATATTGCGGACAGAGCCGGTGGATTCGACAGGACCGTAGCCTTGCATTTGGGCAGCATTTAAGGAGCAAAATAAAATGAGAACTGTAAATGCATCGACGGGGTGTTCCATTAAAAGCTCATTTCAATCGTGATCGGGGGTATTATGGTTTATATACATGATCTGCGTCCGGTACACTCAATGCACCAGACCGAACAAAAAGGTTATGCTTTCAGCATCCTTGATCTCTTTGGTAACGTCCAGGGCTCCGCACATACAACCTGAACATGATATTAGTAAGGTTCAAAATCTAGACGGGTGATTCTCTGACGTACCTCGCCTTCGCTGTATGCCCAAAAGTACACCCCAATACCGACCAGGTAGTATATCGCAGGGTCAGTACCCTGATAAAGCAAGGCCGCAAAGAGAGCGCTCAGTGGATATACCACAAGTCGGATTTCGATGCTGCGATGTGGCAGAGATCCTGCTAGTGGCTTTAATGGCCATTCCCAAGCCAGGCCTACGAGGCCCATTATTAAGTTGAGTATTTGGAGAACTGGTATTGGGTGAACGGCGGCGTCTAGGTTCTTGGAGACGAAGTCCCAGAAGACCTTGGGCCAGATGAAGCCTTCGATTGCGCTTGCGATTTGGTCTGTCATGGAACCTTGTCAGCGCTTGATTAGCGGCGAATGGGTCTGGGGCGCCTACAAGCTGAAGCAGTGAGGATGATCAACCTTCCCCAGTGGTTCTTGATGAGTCTGCCCATTCCGACGGATTATGTTGTTTAGTGTCAATTATTGAAGAGGAATTTCGGCCAGCGAAATGTCACAGTGCTCGTGGCGACAGAGTAGTGAACTGCGCAAACTCAACGTCAGGGTTGTAGATCGCGCGGGTGTATGGTGGGCTATGAGGGAGCAAGTTGATCTCGGTATTTCCGTCTAAAGTCTACCGTAAAGAGTTTAGAGGTTCGTGAGGGTTTGTAGTGATAGATTGCCCTAGGATGCTCGCACTGAGGGGTACGGCATACTGATGGCCTTATCGCGATGGCATGATTGAATGGATCGGAGGAAGAAACTGGTAGAGTTCAAATGGCATGCAAGCGGGGAATCTACACATTCTATACTTAGACAGGAAGCGAATCCACCAGGCAATTCGCATCGACGAGAATGGACCGCCTGGGCGCCAAAAGGTGACCGAAGCTGTGCATCTCAAGAGAAGTCGTCCCGCACGGATGCTAAGCGCCAGAGACCAATCGGTAGGCTGAACAGGTCCGAGTCCTTGGCATCCCCTCATTTTGATTTCTTCAAGTGGTCCTCGCTGCGGTGTGATTGGGGAACAGGGGATGTGACGGAGCGGATCGTTGTGCGGGTGTAGACAAATCAGAGCCCATCGCGCCGTACCTTGGCGTGATGAGATGCAGCTCGTGGCACACGCTTCCAGGTCTCGTTATTCGCGGACTGGAGTTTCACCCACATTTCAATTGTGGCCTACAGACGGTTGATTGTTCTGCGTGTTTCCAGTATGGTACCAGAGACAGGATATTTCCAATCCATCGGATCAGATGACTGCCCCGGCCCTGACTCAACGTTGTACCCTGTACACCCCTGGAAAGAATAAGATTTAAGAAGCTTCAGAGGCCAAAGGCTCTGGCCCCTATGATCAAAATGATCACAGTGATCACAGTGATCAACTGTGATGTACAGTACCAAGTGGACCATGATATTAGTGAGGGGCAAAGAGCTAGCGGCTCGAGTCACAGCTATTTTCAGAGCAACTTGGGAAGGATCAGTCCCAAGTAGGACCATTGAGCCGAATTGACAGGGCTTCACCGACTCTGCCCCGGAGTCCCCGTGTGATGAGCAATGAGCGCTTGCAGAATGCGTGTTATAGGCCTGCCGTGGAGTAATGTTTTGACCGGGCTTCACTTGCCGCTGGCCACTCACCAGCCTCCTCTTTATCCATTCTGGGACTACTCTCCCCGTTCTTTCCAGACGGGCCCATTCAGGTCTCTTTCTGGTCCCATCGCTGTCCGAATGCGCCCTATATCGACTCCACAGAAGCACGATTCCGGCTTCTGCATCTGGATTCGTTTCCTCAGTGGCATCATAGGACGATCAGAATCATAGTGCATTAGCCCAATATGGTCACAAATTCATGATCTGTGCCCGGTTTGCCATGTGCTGCCCAGTCCAGCCTGAATGCCAAGGCGATCGTGCCAAAGATATTTTTAAAAAAGGCCAAGGCATCATGCGTCGCAAGGTGGTAAGATTTAACGAGACCATGGATAAGACGGCGTGGAATCACCAGCCCCCCAGTCTTGGAAGGTTTCTAGCTTACGGGCGGACACCTATCACATCACGGAAGAGGTCATTGCCCTCGAAAATCAATGCACAGACGTAGATAGGTTGAGAAGAGCCCACACGTCGGTTCGTTCCCGGTTGCTGTGGCCGAAGCGATGTAATTATAGATCGGCCCCCCCCCCCCCCCCCCCCTCACCCCTGCAGGTAAAACCACAACGCTGGGATTGTCAACCTCCGTCCTACCGTCTTTATCCATTCAACCCACTATGATCAAGTCAGCTTGAGAGTTACGTATCCCAAGTGCCATCTCATGGGCGTCTAGCATCGCCGTGACTCTCTAAAGAACTAGTAGCGGACTGTTTCACGGAGCGCACCAAGAACAACACATCAAGAGATTGAGCATTTGTGGCGAAAATTCTGCAGCCAGGCGCATCATTTTCTTGCCATTACACGGATGTGACAGCTGTCCTTTCGACAAGCTATTCAAAAGTCTCTCTGCTATCTCTCAGATCAAGAAAACCCCCCAGGCCGGTGGGGGTGGTTGTGATCTTGGACCAGGTTCATGGAGAAGCGAAGACGCAGACGAACTATTTTTTCTCACGTCTCAAATACCCAAATACCTGACCCGAATAGGGTGCAATTTTTGTGACCAAAAGACTAAGGTCTTATCTCAGAGCCTTCAGGTTGCTGGACAACCTACGTTGCTCGTCGCTCCTTAATCACTCAGCACCGTCGCTGGTCGACATCAAAATTTCACTGCAAAATGGTCGTGTCTAATGAAGATTCCTGGCTCAAGCGAAATGGCCTGACGCCTTCTAAGATTCTGTTCTATCTCTTTTTCTGGGCAATTCATTTTGGTGTTTTTGCGGTCGGATGGTGTGTCATATCCCCAGGAAGTCGTTGTCCTCGCTAACAAGAAGATAGGTATATCCAAGCAAGTAGCTCGAAACTTGCAGGGCTTAATGTCCTCACCTACTCAGTCTGGATCTCGAGAGGTGCAGGCCTAGTGCTCTCGATTGACGCAACTCTGATCCTTCTGCCTATGTGCAGGAATGTCTTACGGTGGCTCAGACCGCAGATCAGGTGGCTACCGCTTGATGAATCGGCATGGTTTCATCGCCAGATTGCGTACGCTCTGCTGGTCTTTACCGCAATTCACACTGCAGCACATTACGTCAAGTATCTACAGCCTTGTACACCCCCGGCCGAAAGTTGCTGTGCTAATATGTAATAGTTTCTACAACATCGAGAAAGATGAAGTCCGCCCCGAGCTGGCTGTTCAAATCCATTTCACTCAAGCCGGTGGTATCACAGGTCATGTCATGCTTTTGTGTATGATGCTGATTTATACCACTGCTCATCACCGTATTCGACAGCAAGCATACGAAACATTCTGGTACACGCATCATCTATTCATTCCGTTTACGCTCGCGCTTTATACCCATGCCACTGGGTGCTTCGTCCGAGACACTGTCGACCCCTACTCACCATTTGCGGGTAAGGAGTTCTGGAATCATTGTCTGGGCTATGAAGGCTGGAGATGGGAGCTCGTAGCAGGTTCCCTATATCTCCTTGAGCGGCTCTATCGTGAGATTCGGTCTAGGCGCGAGACTATGATTACCAAGGTTATCCGCCATCCATATGGTAAGTGAAACAGACCCAGCCTAGAACACATCGGACATGAGATGCTAACAGCGGGGAAACAGCTGCCATGGAAATCCAATTCCACAAGCCGAGCATGAAATACAAAGCCGGACAGTGGATCTTCATCCAAGTCCCGGACGTCTCCAGCTCTCAATGGCATCCCTTTACTATTACATCCTGTCCGTTTGACCCCTACATCAGCGTCCACGTCCGCCAAGTCGGCGACTTTACCCGAGCACTCGGTGATGCACTAGGATGCGGTCCTGCTCAAGCAAAGGATCTTGAAGGTCTCGACCCACTTGGCATGTACGAAGTCGCGCTTCAAAATGGACAAATGATGCCAAAGCTTCGCATCGATGGGCCTTATGGTGCACCCGCCGAAGACGTTTTTGAGAATGAAATTGCTGTTTTGATCGGAACCGGAATCGGTGTCACACCATGGGCGTCGATCTTGAAAAACATTTGGCATCTTCGATCTTGCCCTAACCCCCCTCGTCGACTAAGACGTGTTGAGTTCATCTGGATTTGCAAGGATACCTCTTCCTTTGAATGGTTCCAGGCGCTTCTCTCGTCTTTGGAAGCCCAGTCTGCCAACACTGCCGCCTACGAGGGCAGTATCGAGTTCTTACGTATTCACACGTACCTGACTCAACGGCTTGATGATGATACAGCGGCAAATATCTATCTCAATTCGGTCGGTCAAGCGCTGGATCCGCTCACAGAGCTGAAAAGTCAGACGAACTTCGGCCGTCCGGACTTCAAGCGTCTGTTCACTGCTATGCGTATTGGCCTTCACGATCAGACTTATATCAGAGGTTTACAAAGTGCATCAACGACAGAAATTGGTGTCTACTTCTGCGGACCTAACACCGCAGCACAAGATATCAGTGACGCTGCGAGAGCCTCGTCAACGAAAAATGTGAAATTCAAGTTCTGGAAGGAGCACTTTTAGGTTTTTTTCGTTTTCTTCTTCCTCTATTTTTTTCTTTTCTCTTGGATACGGCGATATTTGTGATCGCATACGACTTGATGAATTATGAATCTCCGTTTTGTTTGTTCTCCTTTTGGTGGAGCTTATGTACGGCCTTTGTGCTGAAGATTACATTCGCCGGACAGCTTCCTGTCCTGTACTATAGTTGATGACCGCGACATATTATCCAATTCAGTGATACCATTTCCTGCCATAATTATGTGCAGTTCGTAGGTTTTTAAAGGCTGGTATTATACACATAGTGCACACATCTGCAGAGAGACAATTGAGTGTAAAATTTACCTGACTAGCTCTGCCTCATGGAGAATCTTCGGGTCCTTCGGTTGACTCAGAAGCGATACGCCGCTGAGCAAGAACATCAAAAATGTCGTTCTGAATATTCAAATGCACCCGCAATTGCTTTTCAATGAGAATATTGTACAGCTGGCAGAGCTCGTCGAAATTGAAGCCGGAGGCCACGGTCTGTTTCCTGCTGAGGATTTTGGGATGACGCTGGACTAGGTCCTCTCGAAGATGCTCGAAAGCAAGCATGATAAGCTCTTTGGACCAGGGACAGGCGCGAATGGCTCGGTAAAACACAGCTTTTGCAGCATGGATATCCCGAGTCTGATAGAGTTCAAAGGAGATGTAGAGCTTCCAGACAGCAAGATTTGACCGTGCACTGTCGACGTCAAAGCTGTAGTGTGTATCCCTGTCGCCTGGCTTGATTGAAGCTAGGGCGGAATGTTCGCCAATTGCTTTCTCGAAGGCGGCTCGTGCGGAGTGAGCAGTACTGCCAGTGAATACCGGACGGCACAGTTCATTATAAATGGAGAAGAGGTGAGTGGAGATGGGTGTACTCTGAGCGATGCCTCGGAGGCCGAAGTCACCGTCGAGTCGATACCGACTGTCTGGGTCGGTGCTTTTGGTGAGATCGTGAATGTCCCGAATCCGATCAAAGATCGGGAAGCGGGCTTCATTCCACATAAAGAGCGAGAGGAAGAGTGTGTTGTGAGGGAAGATGGATATGCTCTCTTTGAGAAGATTGTGAATCTGGATCGGCTTGAAATTTCCTTTCCGTTCAACATGGAAATAAATCAGTCTCGCCCGAGACTGATGCAGCAACTCCGCGGTGAAAGCCTTCATGTTCTCTTCCTGCACGGGTAAATTTCTAAGCCTCAGAACCGCTGATGCGTAGATCTTAAGGGATGCCTCGAAAGAGCCTTCCACGATGTATAGAAGCAAGGCAAGACAGTCTGTGTAAGAAGAGTACACCTGAGGCTTCCTGTAGGCTAGCGCCCTCTCTTGAGACTCGCTTAGAAAACTTTGGACGCGCAGCATACTGGTAGCACTGAAATGTACAGGATCAGAAGCCACGGAAAAGGAAGCGAGATCAATACTCTTGGACAACATCGCATGCAGGACATATGAAGCGCGCACGAGGTCTCCATTCTGAAGGCTCTCCCACGTCCACGAGTTCCACAGAAGACCGCAGTCGATCTTGTCATAGTCCTCGAAGTCTTTGCTCATCGTGAGTGCAGTGGACCATACATGGTTTGCAGTCGATTGGGCCCCAGTGCGAGACTGCATCAGAGCAAAGCAATTATAGAGTCTCAAGTTCGAAGACCTTGTCTTCAATAACCGCTTTGCGAATTTATTGGCTGCGTCTCGATCGCAGGCAAAGTCGACTGCTAAGGCACACTCAGCCAATTCATTATCGGTCGGAAGAATCTCCGCCAAGGTGCGAAGGGTCTGTCGCACCCAGTTTGAATTGATGACCGATGATTTGCTCGAAGCGTTTTTGGCCCATGCTTGAAGTGAGGAGAACCATTCTCCAGGCGCAGCGAACATAGTATCAGTCGTGTGAAGAAAGTTGGAAACCTGGAAGGAAAAAGGCAATTTGGATGCTTGTGAGTTATCCCCCTGGGTCGACATCCAAGGAGATAGATCATTTTGAGCATTGTCCAAGATTTCATTCCGCACAAAATTGTCCCCACTCCATAAACGGGTGGTCGGAGCATTCTGAGGGACTGTCAGGTGTGGCAAATGACAGAAATATAGGAAGCTGTCAATAAGATCATCCAGGTTATTCACTTCCCAGAATAACGGCAGAATATTCTGTAAGTCTGAGAAAAGAACCACTGTGTACGCATCGTCCATGCCGGATTTGAAATCATCGATGCTTCGCGCTGGCATTTGGGAGTCCAGAAGTCGCTCCCTCTCCGCGTTAGCCCAAGAGGTCAAAATGTCTGTAGAATCGACTTCAAGCTCGTAAACATGGGTGCTTGGGTCGACATCAGAGCTTGCGGCATTTCGCCAGCCTGCTGCGCCAAGTTCTCCGATTCGTGCCACTTCTGACTCCCAAAAGTTGGCAAAGGAAGAAAGAGCACCTTCTTTGTCGTTGTCTTCAGCGAAAGATGATGGCCTGAAACAGGTAAACTCCAGCACTGCCTGCCAGAGACCGACGGAGAGTTCAATATATCCCGATTCGCGTAGAAAGAGGGTCAAGCGCAGGAACAAGTAACATTGGACTTGCGTTTTGTAAGGACTTGCTGCGCTCGATGCATTGAGTCTCAAACAGTCAATGAAAATTGAATTGCATTGCTCGAAAGCAAAATCTTGGAAATCTGTCTGGCGGAAGTCGATGTATTTGACCCAGAGACCGATAAACGCAGGGTTTTTCTTCAGCACACCCTTCCACTCAGCTAAAAGATTTTCTCTATTCCATAATTTTGCACCCTCGTACAGTCGACCCAGAAGAAGACGATCCCTGTGAGGACTTTCGCCCACCTTTTTGAGAGCTTTCTCATAGAGAGACAACTTAACTTCGGCCAAGCTTTGTCGCTCAGCGTAGGTAAAGGAACGAGACTCGTCGGTTGCACCAAGAATTAGCGTGTCCTGGTGATCGATTAACCTGAGCCAAGCTGCAACGTCCATCGGGTGAGATTCTATGGCACGCGATAGCTCGGCATTGCGGGCCTTTCTGTCCGCATCAATGTCGACTTGAATATCCTGTTCCAGGGTAATGGAATCAGGCAGTGATTCCAGCTCTCCCGGAACCACGTCTTCATCCTTTGCTTTTCCATATATCGACCGGTAAGCATGACGGTCGTCGGCCGAGTCATTATCATCGTAGGGGTTGTGCTGAGTTGTAGAGTCGAACTGTATGAAGTCTTGCATGTGCTCAAAAGCCGCGCCACTGATACCTTCTGCTTTGAGGCGAAACAGCTGTGTTGGCTGAGTGAAGCCTTTGGACATAAGCCTGGTTGATTTAGACCTGGCCCCGTCCGCAAATCCTTGTTCTCTGGTGCGTAAAACCAAAGTGTCGGTTTCCCGGTGTTCACGATCAATCGAGTACCTCGTGTTAATCCCAATGACTCGCCCACTACCAGCCCGGCGAAAGTTGGGGACGGCATAACGGTGTGTGGCGCCGTAGGTGATATTGTGCCGGTCTCCTCTCCGATCGATAATAAAGAGATCATGCTCATCATTAGGCGGCTGATTTCTGGCCTCGCTCAAGGCACGAAGAGCATGAGCTTCATCCCCCTGAGTTTCTCCTTTGGTGCTCCGTGATTCACGGTGGTCGCGCGATTGTTGCCGTTCTCTAGATCTGCGACGATTACGTGAAGGACTATGGCGCCGCCCTTTTGAACGTGCAGATCGATCCAAGGATCGAGCTCTGTCATTGCGATCGGAGCATCCAGGCGAGCGAGACCGGCGTTCATTTCGACCGTGTTTTGACCTATGAGAGTCACGATCGTCTTGCTGAGATGTTTCGCGGCGGCGATCACTTGGTAGATCAGGCTTCGGGGGAGGAGGTTTAAAGCTGGAGAAGCGCGGGATGGACTTTTTGTCCTGCATTGGAGGTCAGTGAGATTCAACCTTAACAAAGCAAAAGCGCATACTCACCTGCGAACCCAACGAGTCCATCGTCGCGGACCGTTGCTGCTGTTATCGCGCGCGGCGCCATCTGATAACCCGGGCGAACTGTTGTTCCGGAGGCGGTGAGAGCGGGCCCCGTCAGAAAAAAAGTTGCTTGTAAACCGCCTCAATATCTGCGCGCGCCGATTCGAGGTAGCAAGCAACCCTGTTCAAACATACGAGAGAGACATGGGCTGCAGTGATCTGGTCTGAAAACTGACTGATTACTCTTTCGTCAATATGGCCTCCTCTCTCGCGGCGCAGTTGTCGCAAATTGCGACCAAGTCGACCAATGAGCTCGACCTCAAGGCCCAGCGCCTTTCCCACCAGCAGTCGCTAATCTTCGACCGGAAAATTGCCGGTTCGCAAGACTTCGATACCGTTTATGATATCTGTTATGAAGGATACCGAGAGCTTTGTTCCCTGGATCCACGTTTCGAGGACTTCGGGCGCACAATTTTCAGCGAACAGAGCAAGGCGGAGGACCGAACGCAACTCAGCGCTACCCAGAACCAGGAACTTGATGCCGTAATTCAAGCATTCCTTGGTCTTGTCGGAAGCCGATTGCAACTTAGCCCCGCAGTTAAAGCTGTGGACTGGTTGGTCAGACGTTTCAGGTACGCAAGTTATGATTGTTGAGCATTGCGGGAGAATATTCGGCGACTAACTACCACGGCAGGGCTCACGAATATAATACCGCCTGCATGATTCTCACCTTCCTCCCTTATCATACGACTCCTCTTTTCTTGAATCTGCTCTCCATTCTGCCCAATGACTTGACCTCGACATTCAAAGTTCTTTACCCATATAAGACCGGCTTGGTTAACCCGCCGCGCCACCCTCTTGTACACAGCGCCACCACAAACAAGCCGTTTTTCGCAGCTTTGAATGACTATGTTATCAAGGTGTGCCGACAGCATGCCCAGAGCCACACGCTGCTTTCCTTTTGGGCCGGTATCATTACCGAGGCGGTGGCGGGTATGCTAGATGGTGCTCGCTCGGGCAGAAGAGAAGCCGAGAAGCAGAAGCACGAGGACATCATCATCCGCGTTCTGCCCGTTCTCAGCTCTGCTTTCACGATGAAGAAGATCCCAGAACTGATCATCAGTTGCTACATGATCTCCGTCGTCCTCGCCCAGAAAGCCACTCTCGCCGACGATGTTCTCAATGGCTTGATGGAGAGTGTTGTCGCCTCTTGGTCAGAGGAGACAATCAGCTCCGGCCTCATCTGCTTGTCCGTCCTGGCTCAGCAGAAGCCCACGGCTACCCTTCCTAAGAAGGTTTTCAAGGCCATCTCTCGCCTCGAAAACCCCATGCAGCAGCTTTCCGAAGTCACCGCACAGTACCAGACATCTAAGCTTTTGCTTGGTCTTGTTGGCGGCTGTGTTAGCGACTTGGACAAGCAGGAAGATAACACCCGCCTCGCACTGTTATCCTCTATCTTTGAAAATGCCTCCTTCGGAGAGGATGAGACTAAGGAGGCCATGACCATGGTCCTGAAGGCCGCTAGCGACTCCGAGGAGACTCGTGGCATGTCCCTGGATGCTCAGACACAGCTTGCTGAATTGGTTCAAGGATTCGGTCGTTCCAGCTCTCTCCAGCCCGTTTTCCAGAAGGCATTGGCTGAGTCTTCCTTCAACATCCAGGCTCTGGAACACAATTTGCAGACCGTGGTCGAGGCTCCGCTTCCGACCCCGGCAATTGAGGATGTTGATATGCAAGATGTGGACGAATTGGACGTGGATACTTTCACCCCGGCGGCAGAGGCTTTGGCTAAGGAGCCCGCGTTCCCCGAGTCCTTCCTCAGCAAGCAATTCATTCCAGAGTTTGACAGCCTTGTGCAAGTCTTCGCGCTGGCTGTTGATTCCGAGGCGAGACTCGAGCAGTTCACTAATTTGCGCATCCTTGGAAAGACCGATGCATCGAAGAGCGCTCAATATCTGTCGTTCTTGACCCGTGTCCTGTCCGGCTCCTTCCCTCTGGGCACCAGGGTTGCTGCTTTGGGAGCTCTCTCCTCAGCGCTTCAATCAGTCCCTGGTGATCTCGACCCTCAGGCACTGTTGCCATTCCTGCTTGTCGCCCTTTCCGACCCATCCGAGCGTATTCGCCGCGAAGCGACTGGCGTTTTGACTGTTGTTGGTTCCATCTACAAGAACAACAAGGCTGATGGCAAGCCATGGGCGCAGGATACCATCTATGGCAAGGGCAAGCAGTCGTCCGGTGTTTCTTGGTTGCCAGCTCATGATGTTCAGAAGGTCATGGAGCGCGCACTGCTTCCTGGATTGGAGGAATATACCCTTGATCCCGAGTATATTGGCAAGGTCCTTGATGCGATGATGCGTGGATCTGTTCTTTCGGAAGACTCTGGTGCATCTGAACTCAAGAAGTCTCTCCGGCAAGCATTCTTCGCATTCTTGTCATCGCACGTCATTCGCATGCCCGTCTATGCTCCCAAATTCGCCCTGTTGCGTCTTCTCAACCTTGTTAAGAAGATTCCGGGCTCTTCTCGTACCAAGGAACTTCTTCCCTTCCTTGAGAACTGGCGTGCCCTGACCCAGAAAGAGGTCGACGATATCTGTACCAAGGAGCGTCTTTCTATCTCAGAAACAGAGCAGCAGGTTGTCGCCATCGTTTCACCGAAGGAGGCCGATGCCATTAACACCCTATTGACCAAGGTCAGCCCAGCTAGCGATTCTTTGCGGTCGTCGTTTGTCGCTGCTGCATTCGCCCGCATCAAGGAGATCTGGGCTAAGATTCCAGAGGAAAATCAAGTGGGCGCAGCGGAGAAGCTTTTGGATATTTCGCTTGGAATTGCTTCGGACGAGGTTTCCTTGGCAGATAACTGCCGTGACGTCCTTCGCAGTGTTGAGCTGTCTGGTCCTATTCTGGTGACCTTCGTTAAGAAGATCCCCTCCTCATTGACTGATATCGAGTCTCTTGGCCCTGCTCCCAAGCGGAGACGTACCAGTCAGAACAATATGATTGCAATGACCGTCAAGGACGAGTCAGAGCTCGCCAAACTTATGGACAAGATGACATTCATCCTGGAGGTGATTGATAGTTCTAGCCCCGATGCTCACCCGGAGCTGGCCGATGGCCTGTTCCAGACTCTTGCTGCTCTTCACCACTTCAAGTCTCAAATTCAGTCTGGAATGAGCTACCTATTGAGCTTGACCCTAGGCAGCCTCTTGGCTATCGTCAACAAGTCCAAGGGATCTACCAAGCCTCTGTTCGACACCTCGGTTATCCGGGCCGACTTGGTTGTGGACTGTGTTCGCACCACAGATAGCCCCCAGGTTCAAAACGCGGCTCTCCTTCTCGTTGCTGGCCTATCCGTCATTGCTCCCGAGCTTGTTCTTCACAGTGTCATGCCCATCTTCACGTTCATGGGATCTAGTGTCCTCCGAAAGGATGACGACTATTCTGTATCTGTCATTGACCAGACTATTGATCAGGTTGTCCCGGCTCTCATCCAGTCGCTCCGCAACCAAAAGCGTGACATTGTGTCTGGAACTTCCGAGTTGTTGCTCAGCTTCACTGCGGCATTCGAGCACATCCCGTCGCATCGCCGTCTCCGTCTGTTCCATGCATTGATCAGCAAGCTCGGCACCCAGGACTTCTTGTTCGCTGTTCTTGCAATGCTTGCCAACCGGTACTCCACCGACAAGGATGTCTTGACTTTGATGACTGGAGTCGCCTCAGACACTACTCCTGTTGTGGAGCTCACCACCTACAGCAAGTATCTCAACCTGATTCTTGACTCCTTCGAAGCCAAGCCGACTATCTCCGCTGTCCTCCTAGGAATTGGCAGTGATGATGGCCGTGATCCTCAGAAGGTTGCTGTGGACCTGCTGCGAGACTTGGCTCACTTGCTCAAGCACTCGTCTCTCAAGTCAAAGCTGGAGACAGCATTCGAGACTGAAGGCCCCACTACCGACCAGGTGCGTGCTTGCTTCTCTCGAGTTCTCGGTCAGGTTCTCGCCCTTGGCGAATCCGTGCAGAACATGAAGCCTGTCAGCCAGGCATGTGGTGAGGTTCTGGGCTCTCTCTTCGGCACCCTGTCCCTTGTTGACTTCTTGGACACCATTGAATACCTCCTTGATCCTAAGCAATCGAGCGATGACCTCCGCCGCAAGGTTCTCCGCCTGCTGGAAAACCGCCTCCGTCAAAACCCTGAGCGTGACAGCGAGTCTCAGCTTAAGGTCCTTGACTTCCTTCCTACTCTGGTTGGTATCGTCCAGTCCTCGCCTGACTCGCTTCTCAAGCACGCTGCCGTCGCCTGCATTGACCGTATCACTGAGAAGTACGGTCGCAAGGATCCCTCTAAGGTTATTGCTGCCGCCCAGGTTGTCGCCAGTCCCTCTTGCCTTGGCGAATCTGATGAGCGTATTCGTATCATGGGTGTTCTCTGTCTGGCCTCTATGGCCGAGGTTCTTGGTCAGGCCATGATCCCTGCTCTTCCCAATGCGCTCTCCCAGTCTTTGAGCCTGCTGGAGCTCAGCTTGACCCCCGGAAAGGAGAACTCGCGACTTCACGATGCTGTCTTTTCCCTGTTCTCTGCCCTGTTTGTTAACCTGCCATTTATGATGTCGGCTAGCCACCTTGACAAAATTCTGTTGCTCGCTTTCAAGTCTACCAACGCAGAGCTCGAGGACAGCTCCGAGGACAGCCGCCTGGAGACACTCCGTTTGATGGCCTCTCGCAAGATGGATATGGCTGCTACCCTTGGTGCCATTGACCGCAACTGGCCGCAAGTCGTGGAGGCCGGTCCCACTGCGGCCAACGAGGTCTTAGAGATTCTCAACCTTGCCGTCGAGAAGAACACCAAGGCCGTTGTCGTGAAGAACGTCGGGGTCCTCTCCAACATCCTCTTCAAGGCCTTTGACCTTCGCCGTGAGCAAGTTGCTCTGGGAGATCGCGCCAACTTTGATGCTGCCGACTTGGACGAAGCTGAGGGTGCATTGAACGATGTCACCATCAAGATGATCTACAAGCTCAACGACAGCACGTTCCGACCCCTCTTCATCAAGTTTGTTGATTGGGCCACCAACGGCGCCCCCAAGAAGGATGAGCAAGGTCGCGTGTCCCGTCTTACAACCTTCTACAAGTTCCTCCAGAGCTTCTTTGGCACTCTCCAGTCTATTGTCACCAGTTACTCCAGCTACATCTTGGAGAATGTTATCGAGGTCTTGAGCTCAACCGGTCCAGCCAAGGCGACCAGGACTCTCTGGCTGGCTTCTCTCCGGACTCTTTGCAACTCGTTCCAGCATGACCAAGATGGTACGTCTCCTCTCTCAATGATACTCACTCGTCCATGCGCTAACCCTCATCTACAGAATTCTGGCAATCTCCCTCCCACCTCGCCAGCATCTCTGGTCCCCTTATTGCCCAGCTGGCTCACGCAACTACCTCGAAGACTGCTGAGTTGGTGATCGAAGAGGTAGTCCCCGCCATCACAGACCTCGCCATCGCTGCCGACTCCACCGACAACCACAAGGAGCTTAACAATGCTCTGATGAAGTACCTCCGACCTTCATCCGCCCCTAACGCCAAGTCGGCTGGTGGTGATAACGCTTTCACTCGCCTCGCCGCCCTGAAAGCCGAGCAGGCGCTCACTGAGCAGCTCGGCGAGGAGTGGCTTGCCCTCCTTCCCGAGATGCTGCCTTATATCAGCGAGTTGATGGAGGATGAAGACGAGAGTGTTGAGAGAGAGGTGCGCAAGTGGGTGAAGCAGATTGAGGGTGTGCTGGGAGAGCGACTTGACGATATGTTGACCTAAAGGATTTCCTTTGGTGTCCATGTATAAAAACCGCATTTGGCTGGCGTTTGTAGAGATAGACCCTCGGCAGGGCATGCAGGCAACGTCTGCAGAAAAGAATATATTGTGATTTACACTGCCTTATTTATGAATATCTTTCCATTCGAGTCATTTACATCAGTAGGATCCATTCACCGTCGCCCAGCCCTTAGTCTTGAGGGTAAACGGCGTCGGCCGCGTCAACACCCGCGTTCCACCGGTACTTCGAAGCTGGGTGGTCTGCAGCCGGACCAGTCTGGCCAGGCCGTGTGTAAAGGTTCTCACGGTAGGTCCCCTTCTCCACTGCATATTCATCATGGAAGAGACCGCGCTTGCGAAGCTCGGGAATGAGCAGATCGATGATATCCTTGAAAGAGCCAGGCTTGATAACGTATGCCTAATTCAAACTCGGTTAAATTCGACTCGAAAGGATGTGAGATTTCAAACTAACCAGGTTGAATCCGTCCACATCGGCTTCTTCGACCCATCTCTCCATGTTATCGGCGACTTGCTGCGGTGTGCCGACGGGCGTGGCACCAAGACCACCCACGGTGATGTGTTCGCCCACGGTCTTCTTGGTCCATTTGGAAACTCCGGGCATAGCCTTAGACCAACCTTCAACAGCGGATCTAAACACAGGTCAGCAAGAATATCAAGCAATTCCTTGTATTCATACATACCGGATTGCATTGCTCTCGACATGACGCAGCTCCTCATCATCACCATACTTATCCAGATCGATCCCAGTCCAGCCACCAAACAGCGCCAAAGCACCATCAATCGAGCCAAGTTGTCGATAAGACTTGAACTTCTCCTGAGCCTCCTCCTCAGTCCGACCGAGAACCGGACACAACAGTGCCAGGAACTTAATACTCTGCGGATCACGACCAAACTCACTCTGCGCAAGTTGGCGAATCTCAGCAACGTTCTTGGCTACAACGGTAGGACTATGTCCCGCGACGAAGATGGCCTCAGCATGCTGTGCGGCAAAGGTCTTTCCGGCCTTGGATGTTCCGGCTTGTAGAATCACGGGCGTGCGCTGCGGACTGGGCTGGGTGAGATGAGGTCCTGGCACCTTGAAGTATTTGCCCTCGTGATTGATTTGACGGATGCGTGTGGGGTCTGTGTAAACGCCGCGCTCGCGATCGAGCACGACTGCATCTTGCCGCCAAGATGACTCCCAAAGCTTGTAAGCGACCTTGATGTATTCTTCCGCTATAGCGTATCGGTCATCGTGCTAAAAACTTGTCAGTCATGCTGATGGTACTCTTGCGGAGAAGACCCACATGTGGCTGCTCAGCTGCGCCTAGGTTTCGGGCAGCGGAATCGAGATATCCAGTGACAACCTGTGCTTGTCAGTTCTGACCAACCTTGTTCTTGCAAGGGTTATGCTCACATTCCAGCCGACACTAGCAATGATCCGTCAGCTGCAGATCGGCAAAAGTTACTATTGAGTACTTACCGTCCTTTGGTAAGATGATCGATCGTGGAAAGTCTCCTGGCAAGGTGATATGGCTGCTCGTATGTCGTTGTGACTGTCACGCCGAATCCGATACTCTTCGTCGCCGCAGCCATTGCTGGCACGACTGCCAAGGGCTCATTCACGGGCCATTGGGCACCTGAGATGATTGATGGATCCAGGTTCCTAGGTCCCTTGTAGACATCGTAACCACCTGCTCGAGCGTCAGCATATGGTACCGCAGTGGTCTAAGTGGTACCCACCGAGAACGTCAGCAATGAAAATTCCGTGGAATTTGGCAGACTCGAGTAATTGCGCAAGCTCAATCCAGTGGTCCACGTCGTTGAATCGATGCGATTCATCTTCAGGGTGCCGCCAGAGTCCTGGAGACTGATGTCCACTACCTGCGGTACAGTTAACTACCACCTTTGCGAAGTATTGCGAAAGACCTACACATTTCAACAAAAGCATTGAGAATCAGAGACTTGCGAGGTTTGTCTCCCCCCGCCTGATGATTGGTTCCGGACATGATTGTGAGATTCGATGTGTGTTGAAGGTGTTGAAGGCGTCCAAGCTACACTTAATCCTCGACTGTTCCTCGATAAGGAGAAATTACAAGTTAAATGTGATCATGGAGGGGTACCATTTATTCCATGATCGACGAGCACCTCATTCGTGAGATCCCCGCGTGCGTCACTCGTCCAAAATAAAGTATAGCATCAAAGTGGGCCGTGATGGCGCGATGCAGGAGATCCTGAGGGGTGCCGAATAAAGCCACTAAATGTTGACTGCCCAATCTGATTTGATCTTCTCCGATCACACTAGCAATACTGCAATCGTAGTTACCGGGGTATTTCAGGCCTTCTCTCTCGCCCGAGAGATGTAGTTGTGTTGATGTGTTCCTAACTTTGGGGTGCATCCGTGTCCCCAGCTTCATTCGTCGGCGTTGTCAACCACTCTCGCGACTTTTTTTATCTCTTGAGCCCATTCTAGATTGTGTGGTCTCGACCACTTGAGGTTAGACATTATATCATGTGCGTTGTTAATGGTCACTTTCGCCCGACCTGCCCTGCCTCGGTTGGAATGGCATCCCTAGCCTCCAGCTTTTGCGCCGTTTATTCTGTAGAGCACATAGTCATCTGCCTCTCAAGCAGTGTCAGTTCCAAATCAATCAAAAGAGCCATGTGCTATTATTTGCCTGGTTTACCCAGTATTTCATGCACTATGACGCCTTTGATAGCTAGGATACGATCCAGCACCAACTCATCAGCCCAAACCTTAAAACCCTTCCTCACTGGCGCCGAAAAGCACCTCATCGCAGCCGTCCATCAAACCATTGTGGATCAAGTCATGCTCATCCGCCCCCATGAAACCGACGACATGGAGTCGAACACTGGAGATCTCGCACACCCCTGTCCCTGGGGACAATACTCTGCACTGGGGCATTTAAACCTTCTGCAGCCCTAGTATTTTTCTGAACTTGATAGCACATCTCGTCTGCTTCCTCCTTAATTGCATACCGATTGCCTCTCAATTGACTTGGAGGGGGCGCTTGAACACTCTCTTCTCTCAATATGGCCGATTTACTGGCTCGCAATGGCATCTCGACTGTCCAGCCGCCTCTGTCGCAGGCGGTTGGTTATGTCATTGTCGTTGTGGTCGGTCTCATTATTGCTTTAGGTACTACCGACGACTTTTCTTTTACTAGACTCGATGGCTGACTAGATGATAGTGATGATGATTATCACAAAAGTTCTGAAGAAGACCGCCGGGGAAGATAATGAGAAGACTGAAATGTACCAAAACCCTTGCTTCCATACCATATATTTCTGGAGTTGAATTAACAAATGCAACAGGTTCATGACGGCCAACCGGACCGTTCGAACCGGTCTGACCTCTTCGGCAGTCATCTCTGTGTGTTTTTCTACATCTCTCCTTCTGGTCACTTTTACTAATAGACGATCTAGTCCTGGCTGTGGACGACCGCTCTCCTGGGTTCCTCCTTTGTCGGCTACAGCTATGGCCTCGCCGGTCCATTCTGGTTCGCGGCAGGGTGTAGCCCGATGATCGTGTTCTTCGCATTGCTTGGAATCTCTTGCAAGCGAAAGATTCCCGGGGCGCATACCTCACTGGAGGTGGTTCGTGTTCGATATGGTATGTCTTCCCCCTAGAAAGACCTCCACTACACTCAGCTAAGTAGTCATCTTGTATAACAGGTCGCACGGCTCACATTGTATTCATGATCCTCTGTCTGATCAATAACATCTTCGCGTGCGCCAACATGCTTCTCGGCGCTGCTGCTGTTATCACTGCTGTGTAAGCTCCCTCGTTACGTCTCATCAGTGACTAAGTTACTGACTTATCCAGCTCTGGTATGCATATCATCGCTGCGACATTTTTGCTGCCGGTTGGAGTTACAGTTTATACCTTCGTTGGAGGTATCAAGGCAACGTATGCTCATTCCTCTCTACTTCCATAGTTCACGACTGACAACTATAAGCTTCCTTACGGACTACTTCCATACTGCTATCATCCTGATCATCGCGTGCTACTTCTCAATCAAGGCATTCACCAGTAACCAAGTTGGCTCCATCGGCAATCTCTTTGAGCTCGTTCAAGCTGCGGCTCAGCGACACCCGGTCTCAGGAAACCAGGATGGAACGTACTTGACCATGAAGTCCAAGGGGGTGAGTAGATATCTATTCCCTTCAACGAGAAATATATTGACAAACTTCAGGCAATTCTGTTCGGTATCCTGCACATATGCTCGAACTTTGGTCTTGTCATTGTAAGTACTACTACTTCGACTCTTTTGAAAAGATCCTAAGATTTTCTAGATGGATACTAGTTACTTCATCAAGGCTTTCTCAGCCTCCCCACGCTCTGTCGTCCCCGGATACACGATCGGAGGTATCTTTTACTTCGCCATCCCCTGGGCCCTGGGAACGATCATGAGCTCCGTCGCCTTAGGCTTGGAGAACCAACCCACTTTCCCAACATATCCTCGAGTAAGAGAACCCATATCTCCAGCTGGGAGCAAGTTGCTGATATAATTCCAGCGTATGACTTCATCAGAGGTTAGCAACGGGCTTGTGCTTCCTTACGCTGCCCAGACAATAGCAGGCAAAGGTGGTGCCGCCGCCATTCTCCTCATCACTTTCATGGCGTGTACATCTACACTTTCCGCACAGGTCATCGCCGTCAGTTCGATCCTGAGCTTTGATGTGTACCGTGAATATTTCAATAAGCTTGCTTCCGACCGTGACTTGATCCGCGCTAGTCATTTTGGTGTAATTTTCTTCGCGGCTTTCTCGGCTGGTTTCAGTACTATGCTGCATTATGTTGGGGTTGACCTTGGCTGGACTTTGTATATGCTAGGTAAGTCTGAAGTTGTGCTCGGTGAGAGGTTTATCTAACGAGTCGACAGGAATCGTGACATGTCCTGGTATCTTCCCGATGGTGTTTACCATTCTTTGGAAGCGACAGAGCAAAGCAGCTGCCATTATCTCCCCGATCCTCGGCTTCGGAACAGGACTCGGTGTCTGGCTAGGCACGGCATATCGTTTCGGTGGAGCGGTATCTGTTGCTTCAACAGGTGAAGTGCTCCCTTGTGTCTATGGTACAGTGGCATCTTGCTTCTCGCCGATTATCTACTCGGTGGTAATCACACTCATCCGGCCCCAGTGCTATGACTGGGCCGATTTCAAGAAGGAAAATCTTGCGCTTGAGAAGGTGGAGAGCGACCTAACCACTGCCCACCATCATCATGATAAGTCCGGTCAAGAGGGAGTCAACGCCGAGGACGGAGGTGTGCAGAGCTCTACTTTGGAAACGCAGGAGTTGACGAGATGGGGTCGTATTGCAGCAGGGTGGTCTATCGCGACATTCCTGGGCCACTGGGTACTATGGCCACTTCCAATGTACGGCTCCGGTTATGTCTTTGGGAAAAAGGTCAGTTTGCTTTGTCATAGACCAGATTTGGTAGATGTCAGAGCCATTGCTGACGAGTTCAAAAGTTCTATATTGCCTGGGTTGTGGTTGGCATCATCTGGCTCTGGGGTACGATGCTCATCGCGATCTTCTACCCAATCCTCGATGGAGGCATGCAGCAGATTCAAGAAGTCTACCGAGGTTTGACAGGTAAAGTCACAGTCCACGGAACAGAGAAAGGGGTCACAGGCACGTCTCCATCGTCACCATCTGGGGGCTCTGTTAGTGACGTGCCCCATTCGAAGGAGCCAAAAGGTGAGAACTAAGCATATAAGAAACTGGTTCCCACTTTGACTGGTTCCCACTTTGAAAGGAGGAATTGCAAGAGACAATTTTGATGTAGATTAATCTAATGGGTTACATTTTCTGAAAGTTCCGAGTCAAATGCCATGCATTCACTGCCACGGCTGGAACCGTAAAGCACAAACTGGGGAAGCGTTGGGATTTTGCTAAAGCGACGACAACACCAACACGAATTCTTGAGCCAAGGATAATCTCATTTCTCCCTTGAAGGTTTGTAAGGTTGAATCAATCCTCCAGCTCTTGCATGTGCCCTAAATTACAATTTACAGAGAAGAGTACTATCAAAATCAAATATGGACTGGTATTGAGCAAGCAAATGAAGGGCAATCCATCACAGCAACTCTTCCTCTGTAAATTTCCACTGATATGATATCTGCAACATCGAAGCGAGAAGAACCATGTGTCTGGCGATCACGTATTCACAGCGAGATGAATAATGACTACCTATAAACTTCTAACCGGAAGGGAAACCAGCCTTCAGGTTAGCGTATTCCGAGGCAGGGTAACTGAGCTGGTTCTGGCCCTGGAGCAAGGCACCCGTTCCTCCAAGTGTGTTCACGACCTGTAAGTATTGTCAGGGAATTGTCAAGCGACGTTCGACCTGTAGTAACTTACAGTTGAGATCAAGCTGTCAGAGCCATTCTTGTCACTGCTGCTCTCCCACCACATACCACCACCAAGGCCCTTGGATTGGATGTACTGCGCCTTCTTCTGAGCGACCTGCGGTGTATCATAGCTGATCATGATCCGCTGAGTGGGGTCATAGCTGTAGCTGGCAACTTCCTGGTCAAGGTAGGTGACCGTAGCACCAGCCTGCGGAAGAGCCTTGTAATCCCAGACGCCGTTCTCCCAGCTTCCGCTTCCAACACCAGTAAAGCTCTTGCCCGGTCCGTCGGTTCCGTCAAAGGAACGTCCGTATAGCGGCATTCCCAAGACAATTTTGTCTGCGGGCACGCCGTTGGATGTGTAGTAGTTTATAGCTTGGTCCGTGTTGAATGGGGTACTTGCTGGGTTGGAGGTGGATGCGTAGACGTTTGCGTCGTGGCCCGAGATAGTGTCCCAGCTTCCGGCGTAGTCGTAGGCCATCAGGTTCCAGAAGTCAAGATACTGGTCCATCTGGGCAAGTTGGAGTATCTGGTAGTTAGAAGGTCCTGTGTCGATGTTTAGCAGAGTTAGGTGGTATTCTTGAATTATTCTTACCTGCAGGGCTAGCAACCGTGATGAGAAAGTGATACCCGCTCGCGTTGGCTGCACTGTAGCTGTCAAGAGCCTAGTTCATGTTAGCGCCAAATAGGCCTGCAATTTACTCCTTGGGGGATGTTCACCGAGCGCAAAGTTTTGAGAGTATTGACAAAGTCGCTAGCCTGGCTGCTGTTGGCAGGGTACTAGGTGAGTGTCAATATCGGGTCTTGCAAACTGAAATGACAAGGTAAATACCTCGTAATCAATGTCAATGCCATCAAGACCAAGGTTTTGCACAAGGGCCACGGCGGACGAAGCAAACAACTGTCTTCCTGCCTCGGTGCTCAAAGGACCGGCAAGGTTGCTCGAGTAGGTCCAGCCTCCAACAGACATGAGAACCTTCAAGTTTCGGTTCTTTTGCTTGAGCAAGAAGAGTTGTTTGATGCAGCCATAAACATTGGTGCCGACATCGTTCCAAGAGTCGGTGGGGTAATGTTTGTCAGTATCGGCATACGTGTCTGACAGGTAGATCTCGCCAGTGTCCGGGTGGACATTGGCAAAGGCATACAGGACATGAGTCAACTCCTCAATAGGAAGGCTTTGGGGCTGGTAGTTTCGGCCATAGATAGCCTGAAAGATGGATCTTGGTCAGTGCTTTGCTTGATAAGTAAAGGTGTATAGTGGTAACGACTGACCCAGTTGACAAAGTATGCGACAGAGCGGTATCCAGAGGTAGCACGAGCTTCCAGCTCAGTGGGGTTGGATCCGAGGGGATGGGCGGCAGCAGCATTGGTGAGCCATCCCAAGCCCAAGATAAGAGGAAGGACAAGTTGCATGATGGAAGATCGGGTTATGCCGAGGGAATGAAATCGAACCAGCGGTTTCAAGGGGATTTGTCGACGGGAAGGAAGCTGGGGAGAGAAGTGAGGGAAGAGGTATGAGAGAGGGCATTTATACAGAAGGCAAGACTAGGTAGCGATCGGATATCTCCCATTCACTATGAGTCCTGATCACATCGAGTCCAATGCCAACACTACCTAATCTCTCAACTCTGACGTGACTGTGACAATGAACAGGTCCGACTCCTGATCAAGAGATCCCACTTTCCGAATCCAGTCAATACAATCAACCCCATACTGTCGGAGGGTTCAGCGCAGGCACATGGTCAACGTGGGAGATTGTGATCACTCGTGTGAAGTATGAACGCCACATTCCAACAGAAACGAGAGAACCATTCGGAGCTGCCAAACACGTTTCACAATCTCCGCGTGGAGGGCATTCTTCATGTAACCGTCAAGCATGGAAACGTGCTTGGGGCCTTTGCTCCTCTCAGGTCCATACAGACTTGAGTGATTATCCAATCGGCGCCACAAATACCTGGGGATGGGTGACATCGTCATCTGCTTTGCCGCTGATCGTGCTCTGCAGATCCCTCGGCAGATCCCTCGGAAGGTATTTCGAAGCTATCTATGACCAATCTACGTAGATTAGCCTCGCACTCGCTAGTTATCCTGGGGGTGGGTGTTGCAGTCACGTCTTGGGCCTGAGTTTGTCTGTTGTAGCAGCGGGAATGTAACTTGGACAATATCAATATCACCCAAGCGAGGACTTAACTATTTGAAGCTAGCTTAATTTCCCATGTCAATATATGAGGAGGAGAGACAGGGATCTTCAAACAACTGGGGCGAATTAGAGTAGAATCAGGGTCCTCGGCAGGTGCCGCTCTGCAGGAACGCATCACCCGCGCGATAAGCCAACTTGATGAAATGTAACATCTTCGGACCCCATGGCTTTTCTCCCATGCGACCGGGCCATGTGCCATACCACCCAACGCGGAGTCCTGTCCAGATACTGTGACACGAAATCGAGGGTGTGACTCGGTTATCGAGTGGTAAAAGATGGAGTGGTATAGGAGGGCTTGCCAGCCCGGGCTTCCGTCGGACCGAACGTCCTACTTAGGGACAGAGTATTGGATAACTTTGTGCAAGATCTGATCGTGGTCTAGATCTGGCGGAGAAACAAGGTGAAACCTGCAGTGCTTGGCGCGGTCCGGATTGCAACAGAGCCCCTTTAACCGGGTATTACATTACATACCGCGGAGCTTGGTCTGACGGACTGAAAATGTACAGATTTACGGTGCAGGAAGCGAGGTAAGAAGCTAAGGGGAGTCCGAAGACTTGGGATATCCTGATATCTAGCTCGATCTACGAGCTGTTGTCGGCGCAAGACCAGGCAGCCGACCCTCCAGACTCTTTGTAAGTATCCATAATCGTGACAACAGACCCGTATGTACCTCCGATCATCAAAAAAGTTCCAGCAATTATAATGAAAACACACCAACCGACCATGAACATCCACTTGGTAGTTCGGTGGTCTTTGCCCTTGCTCCAGTTGTCGAACAGCCACATGCCGGCCATCGGCTGGAAGCACATAGGTGTACCAAGCAAGGCGCCAACGAGTGAGACAAGATCACTGAATACGGGAATAGCGCTGGCAATGATATAGGCGACTAATGTGGTGCCGAGTGTACATCCAATCCACACGCTCCAGTGGGTGACGGTGTTTGCTACCAAATGCCGGGAGCCGTGGAGGAGGCGGATGAAAACGTACTTGGCCGTGATCTGGGAAAAGTTTAGTATAATACCACAAGACCGATGCCGGGCAGAACTTACGTGGACAAAAAGCAAGGTGCTAACAATCAAGCCAGGAAGCGCGAAGCCATAGCTCACTATCTTCACGGTCGGGCCAGCCGAGCCGAGGGCGGGAGAGGAGACATAGGAGCCACAGAAGTAGTAGATGACAATGCCAATCGCGAGGTAGAATACGGTCACCACTGACTGGCAGAGGACCAAGGCACGGTTGTAATGGGTAGGGTCCCGCATCTCGGATGCGATGGAGAAGAAGGCCGGGGTGCCGGCGTAGGCGAAGACGATTGTCGTGACCGCGGTGATAGCTTCGGTGAATGTGGCATCGCTCTTCACAATCTTGTAATTGGGAACCCAGACGGCATCTTTGGGCGCAGCCGCGGGACGGTCTTGGATACCGACGGCGATGGTCACAATAAGAACTATGAGGCGATTAGATCAGACCCACGGTGCGGAGCGAAGGAGAATACTCACTCGACGTAAGAATACAGAAGAGACCAATCCACGCGAGCCACGATATCCGTCCTAATGTCCGAATACTGCCAAACAGGAATGCGACGATGGCGGCAATGGCGACGTAGACGGCGGTGCAAGTGGCGTGGGAGGAGACGGCGTTCAGACCGATGGAGATACCGAGCATACCAGAGCCAGCGACGAAGACCCACCCTAGGACTAGTCAGTCAACAGCATCGAGGGCTTCGTAGCGAAGGTCACTCACAGAGAATAAAGGCACCTCCCAGAACGATTCGGCCGAGTTTGCCGCAAAGCAGCTCACCGACATCGTCAATGCCGTAGACCTCACGATGCCTCAGCTTGAAGACACCGATAATGTAGTCTGACCATGTTGTAATGGCAGCAATGGTGCAGAGAACAATCACGCCGGGAACCACCCCTAGGGAATCGAAGGCCGTGGGGATTGAAAGGACACCGAGACCAATTTGGGTTTTCATCATCAGCACGGCCGTGCCCAGCCATCCTACCTAAAGGAATGTTAGCACGAAGGACAAGGACCACCAGGCCATGAGCCAAAAGCACGTACGCTTCGATAGTTCGGGCCATCACTCGTGATTTCACCAAAGACGGCATCATGCGAGCCTTCCTCGACCTGACCGAGATTCGACGGCACTGGCGTCAATGACTCCTGTTGTTTCTTCTCTATCGACATAATGGCAGGGGTAAAACAAAACAGTTGGGGTCCCATGAAGGGATCTGGGGACACTTTTAAAGTCCCGCCCAGGCTGGTTAGGGCCGGGTACCAAGCCCAATGCGTCTTCGGTATCGGTGGCGTGCGTCAGGGGCACAAGGAACTGGAATGGAACTCTGGGACTCTGGAACACTCGTATCTCACGTATCTTGGTATCTCGTAACTATCTCCAAGCCGCAGAACGCCCCCACCGAGATAAGGAACACAGGCCAACGTTATCTTGCGATCTGATAATTCGATTTCTTCTCTATTTTCCCCTGTCTTGACCTCTCGTCTGATTCTCTTTTATGACCCTCAATGCTACCCCCCACTTCGGAAGAGAAGCGCTCTAACTCTCCTCTCCCCGGATTTCGGAATCCTACCCAACGCTGTTCCCCCGCAAATGAACCGCCAAAGACCCAGAAAACCCGCTTTTTTGGGTGTGGAGGGACGCGCGAATTACGTCGGTCCACCTCTTAAATGCCTCACAGCCTCGGGAAAAGGTCCACTTTATACGACTTCCCTACACTAAAATGGTATACTAACATGGTTTGAGAAGGCGATCCACCATTCCGACTCCTGTCGTCGCGATTCCTAACTGGTTCCACGCTTATCGGGCGCCTTCCTGTCGTAGAAAACTGCCTATTCTACCGCTAACCGATACCTGCTTTAGGAAGGCGATCTCCTACTTGACCTGCTTTCCGGCATCGCGTGGCTGACGTTCTGACCGTGAGGTACCTCCGAGCCACGGTCTTCCCTTATATACAAGACCCCTTCATCATGGGGGTCACCCGGCCCGGTTCCCGGCTCCTCCGAATCTGGGGCACCGGATGACCCCGCCGACAGTGCGCTCTACGCGACATGCGACCCCTAGCGACGTACGCCTCGAACGGATACACCCCTAGTGGCTGTGCCTTACGGTCTTACGATGCAGGGTGAATCTCCGGGGGTCTACGAGCCGACGCGACCAAGACATTGTGACCAATTTTCGAATGTCCGTGTTGCCCCAAAGCTCGAGCCAAGTCCATCGGGCGTTGAGTGTTGGGGTAACCGGGGACTTTTTCACCGAAACAGGATAACCAGGATACTCGGGACCTTTCAAAACAAACACACGATCGCGAGGATTCGGAACACAATTGCCAATGGACTCACCTGTCGCGGCGCCAATGGTTTCAACATCTGCAATGGTTCCCGTGCCGAGATGGAGCATACGGGGCAAGTGGAGAGGAGAGGGAGCTCCATGAACACGGGATGATTCCATCGCAATTGAAGCCCAGTAGCCAGACCAACGCGCCCCGGACAATTGTGGAGGAGATGGTGGATCGATGATAGATGGTGCCATAACTCCAATCAGTGGACCGGATTGTAATTGACGCACGTGTGGGACGATCTGAGGTCAAAGATGCTCCATGGCCCCGGCGCGCGTGAGTGACAATTCTGCGCAGGCATGTAATTTTCCACCTTTTCCTTTACCAGAGATCAAATGTCTTTTCGAAAAGTCTCCGCGGGCTATCAGCCTCCAATACCTGATAACTTAAGCGCCACGGTCACGCCGGTTGCCTTGCTGATGTGGTTTCAAGGGGCGATGGAAAGCCTTACTCGCTCCCTTGCTCTGGTTCAGGTCACAAGTACAACACCACGTTCCACTACGAGTCTAGACCGGTTAAACCGGAGCCATGCGTGACTCTCCAGGTCGGTCTGTTAATTGAGGAAGTAGACTTTGAGGCTTGGAGGGTGGCCAAATGGACCGACGCCTCGTTGGTTGTGGCGTTGAAAAGCCTTGTCCATTTCAACCTTAAATGGGGGCTCTTATCTAATAAGATAAATGTTTCTAACCAATCCGTAGATCCTGACCCCGTGAGGAAAGCAAGAGTTTCCGGGCCCATGGGCAATAACACCCGATGCTATTTGATAGGAATCAACTGCTATTTTCATGGCATTTCACGTAATTGACCACATTTAAATGATCGTATCAAATCTCGCATCAGATATCAGATTCTATTGATACTTTTGTTATTTAGATATCTTTCTCATGCTATCTGACTCGACCGTCTTTCATATTGGGGCTGCTTTAAATCCGGAGAGACATGCCACTGATCAACCATTTAGCAACTATCCGGATAACGACCAGCCAGATCTATCACCGTTTCTTCTAAATCTCTTCGAAAACTGCCAATCCGAAAACTTGCACATTCAGCCGGAAGAGCTTCTTGACCTCTGACCCTTGCTGTGCCCGTATAGTAATTCCATTTGGGGGTACGTACTCCTAGGATGACACCATACTGAAAGGTTTCATTGACCCGCAAGCCCCTCGCATGAAGATGAAGCACAGCCGCCCTTACGGAGTATCTAAATACCATATGAGAATCGGCTTTTATGCCCGCGAAATTAACCACTTTGACCACTTCTTTCTTCCTCTAGCCCCAAGAGAGTGACTCTCTTCCGTGAACCTGATGCTGATTCCCCGAACGGCAGGATTCTCCGGGCGAATCTCCGGAAGATGCGCACGACCTCTGCATCGCTTATCATTCGCCAATATTGGCATGCCCTAAACCACTGCCACTGTCAGCTGCGAGTTTGATATGAGCTGCGTCGGCGATAGTCACTTTCGCCGTTTCTAGGCACGCATTTTAACTTTATTACCTACGACCAACACAAACGTTGACACATTATCGATCAATTAAGCTCAAAGTTTTCTGTCGATAATCTGCCACCAGAAAGGTTTCTTTCCCCTCATCTAGCCACGTAGTTCTTCCGGGGGAAATCCTGATACCGGTCTGTCTCTGGGTGCTCTCGGGTCCATTAACCGGTCTTTGCTTACTATGGCAATGGCACATCGTAAGCTAAGCCTCTACGGCGGTTCTTCAAGAAAATATGGTCAGGAAGGTGCCCGCTTTACTTGGTAATAATGAGGATGCCATCTTCGCCCCAGGTTCTAGCGTATTTCTTCATCTCGTAGAGTCACCAACGCTTGAGCCAAACCTCTACAAGAGCGTTACATCATCGATTTCTTCATCTTCGATATATATAATGGTTCTCCGGTGCCTAAGTGTTACTTTTAACGCTACCCAAAGACCTGCCGATGGCAGTCTGGCCCTGCAGACTGGGCGACACCAACGAAGGGAACACACAAAACACTCCCATGGCCTATAAGAGGTCTTGAGAGCGGTCTCTGGAAGAGCAAAGAGCTTTACCCCTAATGCTGCATCCTGAATCAAAGAAATTGGTGAAAAAGGTAGTCATATTCGGGTGATTGCTCATTACATTTCTTCCTTCAACGAGGTGCGCAATATTTGCGTTTACATGTGAACTTAGAATACCCCAGCCTCTCACACCTGGCCGTTATGCCGTTGATGGCTTTCTGACACCCGTGGGCAATGTGAGTGTTGGGTTGTTTCAACGCCTGGATGCCTATTCTCGATTGTTTCCTAACTTGAAAATTCTATTGTTGAGCATGATCTCAATAAACATGCTCATTCTCAGGGGCACATGTACGTTATGATTATCGTGTTCCTGGAAGTCATCCTCCAGCTGTCTATAGGTCTCCATCTGCATTTATTTCTACACATCTTCCTTTGTTTCCTACCTACACTATTTCCCTTCGTTTCTCTCCTGTGCCTTCTACCTTTTACTATCTCGTTCTTTCCGACGTCCTTGACTTAGCTGGCTGTGTCCCGATATTAACACCGCCTCCCAAAATTCCGAGCTATGGTCACCGCCGCTGAGTGCGTCCTCTCCCTACCGGAGCTGGTCTCCATTATCCTCTACTGGGTCTACTTCTCCGAAGCCAAGGCGTGGTACACAGCCAAGTTTGCCTTCTTCGGCCTGTCCGATGATGGTAAAAGACCCAACGGCAGCTGTACCCTGGCCGTAGCCTCACGAGTCAATAAGCTGTGGTACTATGAAGCAGTGCGGCTTCAGTGGGCAGACCCCACACGCATGTCTGGTCATTCGATCCATTACCGGATTGGGTCTCTCCCCTCCATGGAGCAACGACAGTTGTATGCCGGCTTCGTCAAGTCTGGGACGCTGCCCAAATGCCACTCCAAGAACGTCAAGGCGCACGGCCGATTGGTTGAGGGTGTGTTCTTTCCCAAGCTCCGGGCATTACGATACCGACTCGCGGCAAACGCGAAGAGGATCTTTCTAGCCGACATCGACGCTCCTGAAGTCGACACCCTTCACGTCCACATCGGGGGACAGGAACACTTGGACGTTGAATTCAGCGAGAAGGTAGTGTATCGGCTCATCAAAGTTGTCAAGGTTGGTTTCCGCTACGTTTGTACGGGATCTGTGCTGACATCCAGCTGTCTATGATGTAGAAGCGCTACCCGAAGCTGCAAACGATTTACTTCGAAGACCCAAGAAACAACATTAATCGCGAGACAATGAAAGAAGTTGCAAAAAGCTACAAGGTTATCGAATGGACAGTGTCGGATAATGGCGAGGAGCTCGAAACCAATGGACTTTAGCCTCGATGTGTGGTGCCGGGCTCGAAGCCTGAGATGGGATCGGGTCATGTCAAGGGTTTTAATCATTCTTCCACCGAGACAAAAAAGACAATCAGACAATCATTTGCTTTCATTTCACGAATAGGTAGAAAATGAATGATTCTTGATTCAGTTGGAATTGTTGCCTGGAGGAGCTGCCTACACGGCCACCCGGTGGCCCATCTCTGCTGGCTGCCATAGTGAATGAGTTCAAGTTGGATGGCTGCTCATTTTCCGTTGACTGTTTGTTGAACCGATGATCGGCTGAGAGTATATGAGGCCTTGTTTACTCTGGACCAACTTGAGACGACCAATCTTTGTACTTATTTGACTTTGTGTGCTCACAAGTTGGGGAAGGTGCCTTGAGGAGTGGATGTATAAAGCACGGGTTCCTCTTTTCAAACGTTCCTCATCCTTGCACCATATTCATTACCACATTTTCATCTTCACACTCCCTCTCACTAGAGACAAAGCTTCCGTATCTACACACACGCAAAGCAGCATCATCATGCCAAAAAGAAAACGGGGAAACGGCCCCCTCACAGTCACTTCGCGGGTCACCCTCTTGCCAGAAATACTGGGAATGATCTTTTCTTACCTTACCGACGACAAATATATCGGCTTGGGAGGCGATGGCACCCGAAATGGCCTCATAAAGACGGCCATTGTGCCCGCCATATACCAATGTCTCTTCGTGAACTCCACCTGGTTCCATGAAGCCGTGCGCATCCTCTGGCAAACCCCCACGACTGAAAACATATTCCCGCTCGCTCGCTGCTTCCAGAATATCCCTCAATCTCGTCAACAGTTCTATGCCAACCTCGTGAGGAAGTCTAACCTGGTCGGCCATTATAAACGTGGGGTTTTTCCGTTCGGCAATGCGAGGACATACATCGATGCGCTCTATGGCTTGAGTTTCCCGAAGATTCACACTCTAGACGGGATCTTCGCGGCTAACAAGTATGGAGAAAACATTCCCTGGATCCATGCTCCGGCAGTCACGTTGTTGTCTGTATACTTTCACTATTATTACCTGGCGCCAATTCCCGCAGAGGGCACGCCGCCTTACTATCTCAGCCGAAAATCGGAGCATAAAATCGTTCAGTCTTTGGTCTGCCTCATTACGGTAACACTCACTTGTCTGTCATTGCTCACTCTGATACTAATCGAAAATGTTACTTTAGAATCGTTTTCCGGCAGTGAAATGGGTTGTCCTGCAATGTCAGAGTGCGCCCTCGCAAATGATCGAGTGGCTCGCTTTGAAGTTGCCCACAGTACATGTTACATCAGGGATTGGTGCCAAAGAGGCAATGCTGCAACAACGGATTTCCCTAGGTCAGAACTGAGTCTTTGAATAAGGATTACGAGGGATACCATGAGGCGTGGCATCGTACATCGTGGACTTCATCGTGGGCTTCATCGTGGGCTTCATCTATCTCGGTTGATCGTTTGCTCCACAATTCAAAGTTTAATAAGAACCAAAATTTCCATGATGTGCTTGATTAAGTAGAAAATCGTATTCTAAAAACATGAGTTTGCGCTTCAAAATAAAGGAAAGGGTATATTCAAACAAGGATCGAGATCAGCACCAAAATCAACACAACTTTTATGCACATGCAACGCATGATGGGGGTATTATCAAGTAAAGAACCAAGCTAAAGAAAGAAACATGCACTGGGTGCTCATGTAGCAGCGACACGGGGGGCAGAAGAAATGGTCTCCGAGTACTCGGGTGGTGCGAGGCTCACATCGATGACTGCCTCGGTGGTGGGCGGGCTCACAGTGCGGGGCCGGAAGAATGCGTTTACTTCTTCTTGAGTGACGATAACGCCCTCGATGGCAGACTTGAGGGTATCGTATTTTGGCTGGGTGGTGATCTGAATCGGAAGACGGAGGTAAATTGTTGGCGTGAGGACGTTGGTGCCAGGAGTGTGATATGTTAGGGAGAGGTCGAGGGAGTATGTGCGAGACATCAGGCATGAGTGGAAGGTTGGCACGAATGTCTTGGTTTTAGGGAGTGTGATGGGGATCACGACTGATGCGGTGTAGTAGGTATCTCCGAGGAATTCGGAAGACGGGCTGACTGACTGCTCTGAGGCTGTTGAGGAGGTTGAGTTCAATGAGTCGCGACGATCGGCGTCGGAAAGAATGGAGTGTTTCTGCCATTGGGCGGAAGCTACACACATTGTGGACAAGGGGACGGTCTCAGTGAAGAGGGCCTGTCCGATCTGGGAGAAGGGCGTGGTGCCAGCCTGGCAGGGGAAGTCCTCCCAGGGAGTGGCACTGTAGAAGGTGCTCACCTTGAGCTTACTGACCATGGAGCCGAGGCGAGGTGGTTGCTCGTTGCCCACGGGGTCAAATCGAAGCTGAACGGTAGCCACAGTGCTCACAGTATCGCGGGCATCACAGCTGGGAGGGGATAGTCGAATAGGCTTTGGCTGCGCAGACGCGGCTACCAATCGCCCCAGCTTTCCGCGCAGGAATCCACGCTTCACGCTCTTCTCCTTCCGAGTGCAGTAGTATGTGTGGTCGACCGTGTTGATAGGGGCCTCCTCCTCGACCACGGGGATAATGCGAACCTTCTTCGCAACATTGGCCAACGCTTTGATCTGGCGATGATCGGCCGTGGATCTCTTATTGACTGCGGCGCGAATGATATATGAGATCTGGCTCATATCCGGGGCCATATCATCGAGCAGTGTCTTTCCATTGCCGGCCAGCATGGGATCTCCCAAAGTCGGCGGGAGCATAGTGTGAGATCGGTGGACCTGGTGGTTGTTCCTGGAGTGAGTGCACACCTGGGGAAGCAACTGGTCGGGGACGACGAAGGTAAAGGGAAAGCTGTATTTATGACCAGCTTCGAAGAGTCGCGGGGTGGAGTATTCTGTTTCATCCACGGGTTGGCGGAGCTTCAGGAACATCTGCTGGGATCCTGTACGGCCCGGACACGATGCACGTTCTACCGTGGTGTGCGATGTACCTAAGTCGGGCTTAGATGCGAGATAAGCAAAAACTGTGGAGGAATCTTACCTTGTAGGACAATTTCCACTTCATCGAAACGTGTCTCCTGGTCGACAGTGATGGATACAGTCCCCTCAATCTGATCACCCGTTGTATAGGAGTTGACCAGGCCCGGTGTCTGATCTAGCAGGTTGATCTCGATCTTGGGCTGCGATCGCCGGGTGAAGACATCGAGAGACTCGGAGCCCTTGCTGATTACGGAGGTCGCAACCATTGTATCGCGCTCTCGAGGAAGAGGGATCGAGGTACAGAGGGGCAGAAGAAGAAGTTGAGCAATAAATCAAGAGATGGATCAGTCCCAAAAATCAGGAATTCAGAGTGATTTAAAGCACCAAAAAAAAAAAAAGGATGTAGAAAGTGGAGCCGTGGACAACCGCAGTTCACTTCAAGGAGGGGCCCCGTCTTATAGTCCCTAGTGTGAGTATCTCAGACTGTGACTGTGACCGTGAATGCAAATGCAAACGAGCTTATGGTGAGGATTGTTAATCGTCATGAGTCACGTCCGCGTCGAATAACCTTTAGGGGAAACGAGCTGGCGCCCATCGTCTGCAGCTGCAGTTAAAGGTTAAAGCGAAGAGTGGTAAGCCTCCTACATCGGCACGCCCTTGTCTTGACATTCTTGCTAGTCATCTCATCCTACCATTCTGTTCTCGGCTAAGATCGTGCTAAGGCCGCGGTGAATTGAACATATGCCGAGATGAAATGCCATTCCCTCGACTTCCTCCCTACGATGTACGCCCTATGCACACCTATATTCTCTCTAGCGAGTGCTTTGGTGTCACAACACAGGCTTGAAGGTGGGGCTAGGGGCCGGTGGAGCGCGCCTTACGCCGACATTTGCACGCCCTTCGAGAGTCTCCACTTGAACTACTCTACATTCCCCGACGCTCGGTCGTCACTATGGCCAATCACTAGTAACAGCCACGATGCCCCGGGGGATTTCAAAGCACGGACATGGGGAATGGTTCCGCATATCGCGTCGATGACTCTCGTCATTTGGCTCTTTTGTTCTTTTTTTCCAGTTCCCACTTGAATTGCATTCCCCCTAAATATGACATGCAATGTGACACCATCGCGGCTCTAGGATTTTCCCGAGGAGAACGGCGACGCTGGTAGCCGGTTTTCGGACGCCCCAGAATTTTCCGCCCTTAACCGAGGCTTTTGTCCCTCCCGAGTGGGTGCTGTTCGGACTTCACCACGGGATCAGGGCGGATATGTGTTCACACACGGCGTAAATCTCGGTGTACTTTCGGTTGGCCGTAACGAAGGGATCGGTCTCGATTCCGATCGCCCAAGTGATCTACATGATGTCCTAGGATATTTCATATGAAGCGAAGATTTCTTCCAAATGTGGTTTCAATAATGGGTTTCTATTCAACTATGTACCTGGGCCTTACGGGATGTCCCGACAGATAAATTACGGTGTATACCCGTGGTGCAAAGCGGATAAAACCGTACTCAAAAAACGTCGACGCGTGGTGACCACGCTTCTTCTCGTCTCATACAGGCCACTCGTCGTAACGAGCGGGCTGCATCCAGCTCAAGATTAGCCGAGTGAAGCGGCAGACCGAGCGAGGCAAGAGACCTTCTCCGAAGAGATGTCTAGAAAGAATAAAATGCAAATGGAAACGAGAAAAGGTGGCACAAGCCGTGATCAAAGAATGCGGTCAATGCCGCCAAGTGGTATCGATTAACAGGTACTAGGTATCTGAAGCCCAGAGCACAAACGCCATCATCAGAATCCCACCTACCCCAGAAATAAATTAGTACGCCACCCGAGTTCGCATATCAGAGATCTTGCGCTCGATCTCGCGGACAGAGCGATCCAGCTCGCCCGCAATCATCATCTTCGTATCATTGGGTAGCAGGAAATACATCTCGCAAAGGTCGCCATCAATGACGCCCTTGGAAGGTGCATAGTACCCACGGTAGATCAGGTGGTCGCGGCCAGCCAGAGGGGGCTGCTGCGCGGCGAGCTGCATCTCCAGACTTTGGAAGAAGTCAACGTCCTCGCGGCTGGCGAACGGCACAAACATGCCGATCGTGCCTTGGAAGCCCGTCCACACCACAATGTCACGACCACCAGCCACCAGTTGAGCTTTGTGGATACTGGTCGGGACATCTTGCGTGTAGTAGTGAACCATCAGCTCTAGGCGGTGGGGAGTGCCCTGAAGGTAACCGCGCTCGTGAACGAGGTGGGCACCGGATCCATCCTCGTCGGCCTCTTCTGAGACCTTGGTCGGGCAGCGCATCATCCAGAGATTACCGAACTTGTCACCACCCGCGGTGGTTTCATAGTCAACCATGGCCGTCGCGGTCGTCCAGCGAGCAATGGAGTCATCCACAAAGGGAATCAAAATGTTCTCCTGGTACTTGTAGACGACATAGGTAACACTCTCGCGGACATCGCTAACCACAATTCGGCTTCCTTGCGTCTGGAGTCCCACAATAGTCTTGGGGACGACAGGGGCTTGGCACTTGCGGAGAAGCTGTTTCATACCGAGGTCATACAGACGAAGAATGGGGCCGACACCGGCAAGAACCTTGCCCTGGAAGGCAAGAAGGGCAAGGGGAGGCTCCTCAACCTTGGTCTTGTGAATAAACTCCAGCTCGCGCCCATCCTCCTGGAATCGGTAAATATGAATGAAGCCACCAGCGTGAGACGGAGGCAAGGAGACCATGTCTTTAGCAGTACCCACAACCAGGAAGGTTTCACCGTCTTGGCTGGCGAACGGTACTGCAGCAACACTGACCGCCGCCTCGTTTTCGTCCAGATCCAGTGTAAACACGACTGACTTGGAAGAGATAGGATCCACAATCTGGATGCAAGAGGCCCAATGACCAGTGCCACGAGGGTAGCCGAATTCGTCAGGCGGCAGAACCTCGAATTCGCCATTGGCGTGCGACTTGGAATCCTGAATCAGACTCTCCCGCGTAGCAGGAGACAGGACGTTATTGTCGGATTCAATAACGTAGAATAGCGGTTGCTCAGGGTGTTGAACAAAGCGACGCGGTGTGTGAGCAAGAGGGATGGATTCCTGAAGCATGTTGTTGTCGAGTTTCTCGATAGAGAAAATCCTAGTAATTGTCAGTGACAATATCCCAAAGCAACGGTCAAATGCAAACGGTGGCAGGTGAATGATCTCAGTAGGAACAATTGGAAAATATTAAAAAAAGTTTGTCCTCATAAATAATTTCGGGCCCTTATTTTCATCATATGATCATGGAAGGAATGGGATGGGATATCAATGCAATGCTGGAAGTATAAAACGTACCTTAGGTTACGGCCTTGGATACCGATCATACCCTCGACACACTGCTCACTGGAGAAGTTCCAACCCCACTCAAGAGGCGAATAGTCCAGCGGAGTCAGCATGAAGCCCTTAGTTTGCGGGTCGGAATATCCAAGCCATGAGCGGGAGCTAAGAGCCAGGACGGCTGTCTGGCCTTTGACAGAGACCTGGGACAGTTTGACGGGCTTTGCGCCCAAGAAGCGAGTCCGTGTATCAGACAGCTCGCCAGTGACTTCATCTAGAACTGTGCGAAGGTACACACCGGAATAAAGACCGATGTGCAGATAAAGGGTGGTGCCGCCGGAGCTTGAATCAGCCATAGCCATGATGTTCAATGAAGAGGGGGCAGAAGTCAAGGCTTGAACAGACTTGTTCTCCAGAGTTGAGTCTGGGTCAAGGCTGAGGATACGGACAGTAGAGTCGTCGCAACCGACAGCCAGGAAGGAACTGCGCATTCGGCCCTCGGGAACCTGGCCCAGACTGAGAGAGGTGACGGTACCAGACATTTGCCGCCTCTCATCATACTCGGCTAAGGTGCCATCTGTGTCCATTTCAAAGTACACAATTTCACCAGAGCTGAGAGCCACGGCCACTTGGCGCTCGTTCGTAGCAGCAGCGACGATGGAACGATGCTGTGGCGCGGGCCACTCGTTGACTCGGCCACCCGAGAGGAGGTGACGAATACCCCGAGGATGCACTTGAATCAAGGAATCTTCGCCAAGCTGCTGCACGGCCAGCGTGGGTGCAGTAGAGAGGAACCCAGTATCGCTGACTTCCTCCACGATCTCACCAATACTCAAAACCAGAGTACCATTGGCGAAGGAGAGGACAATGTACGCATCATATTCATCGCCACGCGTCAACTTCGTCGTCCAGACAGCGGAAGGCGCAGTTTGGAGTTGCGACTCCACGATCTCAGAGACCTCCAAGCCATGCTTGAGTGTCCGGAAGGTACTGCGGGCGCCAGTGCCGCAAACCGAGTAGATTTGAGGCGCATCGGCCTCTGTGAGATTGGCAATTTTGCTGTCAATCAATGGGTTGAGAGAGCTCAAAACCTCCATGAGATTGAGGTTCTCGGCGGCGCGAGGACGGAAGAAGATGGGGTCGTAAGGGACAGATGGGTCGGCAGAATAATTGTCGCTTGAGAATTCAAGCTCCACATCATCGTCACCGAGCTTCTCAAATTGGTAGAAGTGGTGATTGCCTGATTCGCTGGCAACATAGAGGAATCCGCTCTTGAGAATCAACAGATTTGATGCAACGGGAACGGTGTCGAAATACTTGATCTTAAGACTCTGGACTTCTCCAGTCAACTGACCGTTATCATCTTCGACCATGTCAAGCGTGAGCTTGAACATGTCACCGTCGTCGGTTTGGAGGAGGAAGAAGAATGCGCCTCGCATCTTGTGCATCACTCCGGAAACGATGGTCCGCTTCCGCTCGGGGTTCTCTGTGGGTCCACTTCGACGGGGAATGGGCACACGGAACGCGTCCTGGTTGGAGTGCCGATACGTAACGCTGTCTTCGGCACAAACCAGAACACCACTGGGGCCGTCTGCACCACCAGGGACTTGGAACAACATGTTCGCAGTGCGGTCGACGGGGTCAGACCACTTGCGGACAACATGGTTGAGTCCAAGATCAAGCTCGTAATAGACCAAGACCTTCTCGATCTCTGCATATGCTTGTCCGGTGGGGTCTTGATCGGCCTCGGAGTAATCGACCTCAAGGGCAGCGAAGACAGGGTTCTCATAGCCAACATCCAGTGATATCATGGCAAACACAAGTGTCTGGGCCTTGTGCGCCTCCAAGGGTGACGAGATGGTGAGTTCCGCCTGGGAGTTACGGTTGAGAACATAGACCAGCTTGTTCTTTTCCACAGATGCAATCAAACATGCACGTCCCTTGGGGTCCACGGCAAGATACTGCCCGGGAACTACCCTGCGAACACCAGACTTGCCAAATGTTTCCAGATGGATCCGGTTGAAACGGTTCTGCGAGGGGACGTACTCGATGATGGTAATACGACCCGAATCGGAGCCGATAATAATGTAATCTAGATACTCATGTCTCAGCACAGTTCGTAAACTTGTGTTAACAGCGTCAACGTTGCTGGCCGGGGCAGGTCCCGCCCTCAAGGGGCCGGCTCGGAAAACCAGGACCGTGCTACCCGGAAAGCTTGAAGAATCACTAAGTTGAACTCGTAAATGCAGACACGGGTTAAAGAAAAACATACCTTTGTTACTTCCAGCAAGCCTGAATGCTGCTAGCGAGCGGATGATGCCGAAGACATCCTGGGTAAAGATTGGTGTGACCTTTCCCTGAGTCGGATCCGGACGGTGGATGGTAAGCTTGGAACCGGACGCAGTGACGATCTGCTGCTCCTTAGTCCCAGAAAACTGACCCAAGATGGCCTGTGTGATCGCAGTTGGAGGCTGGATCGTCAAAGAGTACATAAACATGTGCGAGGTGGTAGCCATGGTGGGCAGCTAGCTCACGGGTTTCCGCCCAAAAACACGCAGAAAGACGCGGATTTTACACGCAATTGCAGTCCAGGCGATGTGATGATCACATCAATCCCATTGCTGCTGGGTGGAGTCAGTGAAAAAGGAAGACTCCTCCTGAAAAATTGGCCACAACTGGTGGTGGAAAACAAGAGAACGAGCTTGCAGAAAGGGAAAGATCCAGAGGTGCAAAATTGCAGTGCGAAGCTCCCGAATCACGTGCAGAACGATCGGATTCGACCGCCTTCTGCAATCAGTTATGTAATATGTCTGGACTATGGAACACCTTGCTATCTCACTTGCCCAACCTCTTTGCCTTCAATCTGCTCCTGCGCATTGCTCTTTTGTTACCGCTGAGTAGTCCTATATAACGTCTCTCCTGGCTTGACGATCCTCTTTGCTTAACCGCCCGATCTCTCACTTCTCTCCACGGCCCCAACCCCCCACCCGGTGGCTCCCTCAAACTTGCCAACCATGGCCGATGACACCGGAGTTACTGAGGATACCTCTATCACCTTCACTGTCAAATCTTCCACCGATGCCAAGTTCACCCTGGCCCTCCCTATCACTACACTGGTTTTGGAACTGAAGCAGAAGCTATCAAGCTCTGAATATGCCGACACCCCCGCGGATCGCCAGCGTCTGATCTACTCCGGTCGAGTTCTGAAAGATAATGAAACTCTAGAGAGCTACAAGATTAAGGATGGCCACACTATTCATTTGGTCAAAAGCGCTGCGAGCAATCAGCAGCGTACGAGCCCGGCTGGTCAGGCCAGTTCGACAACTGCACCTGCTGGCGCCACCCCGACTCAACCCGCTGCCGGTGTCCCCGCTAACCTCGCTGCCGGTACTGGTAATAACCCTCTGGCCGGTCTTACTGGGGCACGGTATGCTGGATTCGCCCAGCTTCCCGGCGCAGGTCTTTTTGGGCCAGATGGTGGGGTAAGCAAGCCCTAATATCATATGACCGCTTGTCGTCACACTTTCGGATTTACTGACATGCCATTGGATTTAGATGGGCCCTCCTCCGGACTCGGACCAAATGTTGAATATGCTCGAGAACCCCCAGTTCCAGTCACAGATCAACGAGGCTCTGCAGAACCCCGCGATGATCGATATGATGATACAACAAAACCCCATGCTTCGTGACATGGGGCCTACGGCACGACAGATGTTGCAAAGTCCAGAGTTCCGTCGCATGATGACTGATCCCAATCATATTCGCCAGATGATGCAGGTCCAGCGGGCGATGGGTATGGGCCCCGGCGGCGCGGGCGGCGAGTCAGCCTTTCCCGCCCCAGGCGTAACCAACACTACCGCCCAAGAGGGGCAGAACACCGAGCAGCAAGCCCCTCCCAATCCTTTTGCTCAAATGGGACAGATGGGACAAAATCCCCTTGGAAACCCATTCGCTCAGCTCTTTGGAGGTGCTAATCCTTTTGGCAACCTTGCCACCGCTGGTAACGCTCAGCCGGCTGGTACACAGGAAGGCCAGAACACCACAGAACGATCCGCAACGGGCGAGGGACAGACTCCCGAAGCTGGCCAGGCTCAGGCCCAAGCTCAGAACCCATTTGCTTCGTTGCTCAACCCAGCTTTGCTTGGCGGCAACGGTGGTGCCCAAGGCATGAACCCCTTCAACCCTCAACAGAACCCGTTCCTGCGTGACCCCGCACTTATGCAACAGATGATGCAGGCTATGGGTGGACAAGGTGGAGAAGGTGCTGCTGCTGGTTCGAATCCGCTGGCATCTTTGCTCGGGGGCGGCGGTTTCGGTGGTGGCTTTGGTGGTTTCGGCTCTCCGCAGCCGGCTGACAACCGACCCCCAGAGGAGCGCTATGCTGATCAGCTCCGCCAATTGAACGACATGGGCTTCTTTGAATTTGAGCGAAACGTTACAGCTCTGCGTCGTGCCGGCGGTAGTGTTCAAGGGGCTATCGAGGATCTCCTGAACAACCCGTCATGAGCACACGCTCTCTTCTTTTGTCGCGCATTTTTCATGTTTATCTCTTAGTTGACCTATCCCATGGCCCTTGATGTCTGATGGTAACGACCGACTTCTGAGTGCTGATGACCTCACATTACCCTTTTTCGCATGTTTGTCCGTGGAAGTGGATCTTTCCTTTCTTTTCAGCCTGGATCGGCCTGGATGTTAGCGTTTCTTGATGGCTGTTGACCACTCCAATGCCATATTCGGTTTGCCTTCGGAATCCTCAAATCTCTAGATTTAGATCTTGGAGTCACAGTAGAAGTACTGCCCATGTTGTCTTGTATTCCCTTCTTATTGGATATCGGTAAAGTATAAGTCCACGGACCTCCATTCGTGTTTACGCAGCTCGGAGATTCCGTAGATGCAACCTTAAAAGGCAGACTCTACACCCCGCTCACCTCGCAGAGGAAACCCTAGGGTAGTGTCCTTCCACCCCCGAACCGCCGCTTCAATTTAGATGTTCAATCCACTTTAGACGCGATTGTGGAGTCCAGGAAATAAGCAAAGTAAGCTTTTCCCTTTTCCCCAAGTTGAATGCGTCTGGGTGCATGCCGCGCCTTAGTAAGCCATGTTGACACGCTGGAAGCGTCAAGGTCCGGCCATTCACTGTTTCCACCCTTGGATTCCCCATTGCTGGCTCTGCGGCATTCGCCGATTACACTCGTTCTCTTTCCCTTGCTAAACCTCCCTCAAATCTCGGTCGATCCCTGGCGGTCCAGACCCCGAACCTTGCCAAGCACCCTAGGCGCACCTGCCTCCTAATCGTTGGACGATCAATCTATACACCTTGCTCAGGTGTCAGTGTTTGAGATCTAGTCTCGCTGGGCGAAGATCAGGACCACTTTTTGCAACGCCGTCCACGTCAAGCCTACCAGCGGCTTCGTTGCATGGTTTTCTAGACCTTCTCGTGAGTAGAGCAGAACAATAACTCGCAATGCACACAGCATCCGGGCCACTGAGCCCACAGCACTGGGGGCTATGGTTGCTCTTGTTCGTGTCCAGGACCTGGGCCTTCTACATCCCTGGTAAGCTTCTCCGATCTGCCCATCCAGCTCACGCCACTGACCCTGTCTTCCATTCTAAGGTTACTCGGTCGCCCGGTATAACGACGATCAGCCTATCCCTCTTCTCGTGAACAAGATCTTTTCCGACCATACCCAGCTCCAATATGCCTACTTCGATCTGCCCTTCGTCTGCCCGCCGAGCGGCCGCTCACACGGTGGCTCGCCCTTCGGATCCGGCGAGAGCATCTCGCTCAACCTAGGCGAGGTGCTGCGCGGCGATCGGATCATGACCTCAGACTTCGAGCTTGCCATGGGAAAGGATGTAGAGTGCCAGTCGCTCTGCACTGCCGAGGTCAGCCGTAAAGATGTCAAGTGGGCTCGCCAGCTCATCAAGGAGAATTATGTGATCGAGTGGATTGTCGATAACCTCCCAGGCGCAACCAGCTTCGTGACCGTCGACCGGAGCCGCAAGTACTATGCCTCTGGCTTCAAGCTCGGATACCGCGATATCTCACCCGTGACCGGTCGTCCTCGCTCCTTCATCAACAATCACTTTACAATTGTTATTCGCTGGCGCAGCGCACCGGAGGGCGGCAAGGTTATAGTCGGATTCGAGGTATATCCCAAGAGCATCAGCGCAAAGGACCGCCTAGCGAATGGCTGCCCCAAGGCGGTCCACAAGGACCAGGATCCATTGAGCTTGTTCATTGCACCAGACACGTCGCGCCTTAAGGAGAAGTACCAGGGTCTCTCCTATATTCCAGAGGAGGATGACGACGATGACGACGGTGCTCTGCTGAAGATTCCCTACACCTACTCCGTCTACTTCCGCGAGGATACCAAGGTCGAATGGGCGAACCGTTGGGACCTGTACTTCACCAACCAGGAGGAGGGTTCGATGACCCACTGGCTGGCGATCATCAACTCCTTGACAATCTCTACTGTGCTGGGGGTCACCGTCTTTGTCATTTGGAGCCGCACGGTTTATGGCGACATCAAGGGTCGTGGTGATGGCGCCATGGATGATCGGAAGCCGAAGGGACCTCGACGCAAGAGATCCGGCGAGAAGAAAGGCGACGGACTGTTGGAGAATGATGTGGAGAATGACGCAGACATGTCTTCCGAAGAGGAGGCATTCGAAGACACCAGTGGTTGGAAACTTCTTCACGGCGACGTCTTCCGCATTCCAGCCTACAGTGGTCTTCTGGCCCCGTTGATCGGATCGGGCATGCAGTTGTTGTTCATGGCCACGGGACTTCTCGTGCTAAGCTGCTTGGGTGTCTTGAATCCGAGCTTCCGTGGTGGGTTCGTCAGTGTTGGCATGGGGCTGTTTGTCTTTGCTGGTGTCTTCTCCGGCTACTTCTCCGGAAGGCTATACAAAACTTTTGGCGGATCAGCTTGGCGGAAGAACACGGTCATTACAGCCTTGTTGTTCCCGGGGCTGTCATTCTGCCTTGTCTTGATATTGAACCTGTTCGTCTGGGCTCAAGCATCCAGCACTGCCATCCCCTTCGGTACCTTGGTTGGACTGCTTGCTCTCTGGCTTCTTATCCAGGTCCCCCTGGTGTACGCCGGTAGCTGGTTTGGATATGTGCGAGCTAGCCCATGGGAGCATCCTTTAAAGACCAACGCCATCCCTCGTCAAATCCCACTCCAGCCCTGGTATCTGCGCAGCCCCGCAGGCCCCTTGTTGACTGGTCTGATTCCCTTTGCTGTTCTCTTTATTGAACTCCTCTTTGTGTTCAAGAATCTTTGGCAGGACAAGAGCGGCTACTACTACGTGTTTGGTTTCTTGAGCGTGGTGTCAGCGGTGTTGCTGGTTACAGTGATTGAAGTGACCATCATTGCGACATACAGCCAGCTCTGCTCCGAGGCAAGCCCCCCCCCCCCCGACGATATATTCATGTGCCTTGTGCTGACTTCTCTGCAGAACTATCACTGGTGGTGGCAGAGTTTCTTGACCGGCAGTGGCAGCGCCTTCTGGATCTTCGCCTACTGTATCTGGTACTATACCTTCAAGCTGCACATCACAGGCTTTGTTTCTGGCTTGCTGTTCTTCAGCTACAGCTTCCTGGCTTGTGCTGTATACGGTCTCTTGACAGGAACAGTTGGCTTCTTGGCCGCATACGCCTTTGTCCGGCGAGTGTACAGGTATGCGACATGGTCTTGCTAAACACTCTGCACAAAATGCTAATTCATGATCCTAATAGTGCAATTAAGGTCGATTAAGTCTCGAGCTGGTCGTTCTCACCATCTCTGGCCACTCTCTGACAACTAACTACCTTCCTTCATCTTCTCTCACGATTTGAACTGTCTGATAAGCATTGGTGATGTTGACCACCACGGCGTATACTGTCTCATTCCCTGCATCTCGCTTAATTTGAGCTATTCACTCGACCGAGAAACATCCCACGGTTTTATTTCTGGTCTTCCCTTGTTTCTTTATATAGTAGCAGTCTCCTATACAACCAGCTGCCATTCCGGCTGCTAGTGATCCGTTGGAAACGGAGTTATAGCGGGCTGTGAATTCTACTGCGTTAAGCGTCAATCCTACGTCTTCGTTTCTATTATGTGCTTTGTGCTATGTAATACTTTATTATATGGTAACCTCGGAATAAAAATGCCTAGTCGGAGACTTATGTAGGGATTCCTAAAAGCGCAATTTCTCTTCGGGATTGACTTAACCTGATTTGGATTTTATATTCTTCACTTCCTGGAGCGGTTTTCATTGTCTTGTTGAAGATTTTTTTGAAAGCCTCATTTATACTCCTATTTACTTTATCTGAACGCTGCCTTGCTCGCCGCACGCCTATAACGGCGACCAATAACCTTGCTCTATTATTCACCGACTATTCACTTTAAGTAGTTATCGGTGTGAAACTGTTCGTCTTACGTTGCCTGTGAACTTACTTCGTGTCTCGAGGAGAAACTCCCTTATTATTTAAGATACAAAAAGCCCCCTCCTCCCCTTATTCAACTCTTCTTATCTCTTCTCTTCTCCCCTAGTGCAAACTTTCCTTATTTTATCTTTATATACTGATTCCATTCCTCCTCTTATCATTTTACCATCCTGAGTCACCTTTATTAACTTCCACCATCATAAACCCGAACAAAGATCATCTTATTTACTCTACCCCGTGCATTCGCACCAAGCCTCCCCGCATCGAGCCTGTCCTAGAGGATAAGCAGGCTATTCTCGGTATCAATAGCAGGACCATTAGTTGGTCAAAGCTGAAGACCTTGGGCTACTAGGTGACGATATTCATGGACTCGGAAATCCACGGGATGCTTCGCTGCAGCGACTGCTTGCGTAAGTTTGATTCGACTTTCTCCTTGCACAGAATGGCTAATAAAGATTTATAGTCCGTCTCAGATCTAGGGCCCAGCAATCCAAAGGGTTGCCCTATTGGACTATTTTTAATGGGGTAGTCCCGCCTCGACCCGCGAAAGCTGTCTGTCGAAGCCACCCTATGGGGCCTTATAACAACGTAAGTCTCCTTTTCCCTTGATATAATTTGGGTCAACCGAATATTGATTATTTAAAGAAATTCTAGTGCTACGGAATGAAGGTTGGTCAGTCTAATTCTGGTTGTGTTGAGAAAGACGCTTACGGGAAGCCCTTCAATTTCGAGGAGCTTAAGAAGGACTACTTCATGCATGGGACTAAGCGCGATGTGGCCGTTGACGAACGACGTGCCGTCGCTCTGGATTGCGAGATAGGTATATCCTCTATGGGCGAGAGTGAGCTCATTCAAATAGCTGTAATTGACTTCTTCACCGGAGAGATCCTCGTGGATTCCTTAGTCTGGCCCAATATTAAGATAAGATATCTGTTAAGCCGCCACTTAGGCGTCACCTAGCCCATAATATATAAGGCTAATAATACCAAAACCTACATCTGGGGTCGGGACAAGGCACGGAAGCGTCTAATATAGTTTGTCGGCATATAAACTATTATTATTGCTCACGATGGAAAGTATAACTTGCTGGCCCTTCGCTAGCGCCATTCTCTTATCGCTAATACCAAAGAACTGGAAACTCGGATAAGCAGCGTGAGCAATTCCTCGAAAACCCCTAATCTTATAAACTTAATATTTATTCACCTGAAGCGTAGTATCTAGTAGGGGCAAAGTCATAATTATCTTAAGGATTACCTGGCTACCTAGGATTTAGCCGCCTTTTACCTAAAGACTTTGCCTGCGAGTGAGAAGGTCACGGATTATGAGAGATATAGAAAGTAAAACGAGCAAAAGGATTGCACTCATTTTATCTTAGGAATAACGTTGGCTGAACTTTAGGGGGATAATACACCCCTGGGTTTCGTTCCTTGAAATATTAGACCCGTTACTATTAGCGACTCTTAGGGAAATAACACTCCTAAGGATAATACTTCTAGGGATATTAAGCCTTCCACCAGCGACTCTAGAGTGGAAAATGCCCCTAAGGGTATTATTTATTGGGATCTCCGGCCTAATCCCTTTGCCGACTATAAGGGTGATGTTTACCCCGACGATTGAGATCAGATATTTACTTATGTGGCTAGGGAATCGTCCAGAGCCGCTACTCCTAATAGCGACACCCCTACTACGCCTAAAGACGCCCCTATAGAACCCTAGAGTCTGAAGGATTCTTAGGAACTGAAGGCTCTTGCCATCTGTGAATCGTTAGGGGATGATAATCCCTTAGGCGATGCCCTTGCTTCTCCTATGACCGAGGTTACGGACAAAAATCGATGGTAAGGGTCTAGTCCTAAGGCTAAGGCTGCTTTTACACGCAGCCCGAGGCTTTTGTCTCGGTCTTAGGTTCAAACCCAGCGGGAACTACGAGAAGCCTTGTCTATATCAGGAATGATGAGGTCTCTCGGTGAATTTTGCAAACCTGTCTTGCATAGGTTTCCCAGTCAAAAAGTGTCAAGGGATTTGAGAATGGAGGTTTACAAGGGGGGTGGAGAGGAGGGTTTACACGTGAAGATGTCGACATACTAGTTAGCAGAGGGAGATCCAGACATAGGGGATTTGAACATAGCCCCAGGATATGAACATGATCTACAGATAGCAAGCAAATACTAGATGGGATGTAACTAGTCACATACTCTGTTCTTTAGATTTTTTTCTTGTTTATTGTTCCACTCAAACGTACTTAGGTAGATGCGGGCCAAGATCCCGTGTTTACCTGATTGCAACCATCATGTTTGGCAAAGCGAAGCCGCATCAGTTGCAACCTTGGAAATGCGGACCCCAGCTATAGACTCCTGGTTGCTGGCAGGCCGCAACGATCAACCTGCCGGTCATCTCCGTATGGGTGGAATCATCCCAGCAGCGCGGTGCAAGTTTGCCCCCTATCGATCCCTGGCGAGTGACATATCACGAAACGGGGAGAAGATACCAATCAAGGCATGTGTGATGTGTGATGCGTTGACTGTGATGTGTTCTTTCATCTCAGATGACAGTGATTACGCCATTCTGAATCGGGTGAAACAGTCCCGCCACAGAATGTTGCAGACGTGGCTATGTGGGGAACCGGACGTGCATCTTTGGTTTTGGGACCATGGAGACAAGTCAAGCCAAGTCAAGACAAAGACAATGAGACAACTGCTCAAACGGCGGTGACGAGGCCCTTGGCAGGAATCCGGGGGCGGAGTACAGTAATTCTACTGTAATAGACCGCCCCCCCATGGCGTGCTTGGAAAGGGGGATTGCTCATGTCGTTTCAGCTGATCCTTCTACATCATCTCAATTCCCCGTGTCTTGTCATAGTGATATTGTCATGATGACAGGGTGCAGTACATTATGCTCTCGGACTGCAGAACTTGCAGGATCATGGAGGCACAGGGACACGAGGAGAAGTACCGGATGTGGGAAAAAGGGAGTTGAGCCCCCGTGGCGCACTATTGGATCACAAAGATAAGCAAGTGGATTACTCGGACTAGTGTTGGCGCTAACCGCATTAGGGTCGAAAAGGGGAACAAGCAGCTCCCATTTCCGTGCATTCCATTGGCCACAAAGGCGATGACACGATCCGGTGGAGCCCAAGGTTTACTTGGATTCTCGGGTGGATCGTCGTCTTTACAAGGGTTTATCAAGACTGTCTCGACTGCCCCATTCTTGGTTCAACGACCGAGCATCGGGTGAAGATGCTGATTTCGCATGCGGCCATCAATTGGGGTATTATGCCTTCAGTGTGAAAGTTGAATCACTACAGACCCCAGAGCGGCGGCGGGGTGGACCGGGTGGTCAAAAATACACACTGCGCGGGTAATACATCCGTACCGAGGCTTCGCAAAGTGGCAACTCGGCAACCGCCTTCGCTTCCCGGGTCAACATGGACTCGGTGACCAGCTCAAGGCACAGAGTCCATTCCATGTCCACATGACAGTGATAGCGTGCATTCATTTCCCTTCTCATGTCGGTTTTCACTTTCGCCCAGCCCGTTGATAGCGCCCGATGGAAGTCTGATTCGTCGAGACCGGACTACGCGCAGTCGACAATGATACCGTGATGTAATCCCAATACGATCCCGTACCAATGTCTCCTGTCGATCGGGAGTCTCCACCGCTTTTCTTTTTCCCACACTTCCACCGCTTCCACCGTTTCCAGCCCATTCCGGACCGATCACACCATCGCACCGCAAAATTGTGTCTTCTCACGCCTTGGGTGTACGTCACTGTTGGCCACCAATCTAAACCCAGGAGCCCCTACGCTGGAGCATCCCCTGATCTTCAGTGCATTACACTACTGTACAATGATCGGGTCTTGGGAGTTTGTCACTGGGGATGATGGGATGCCCGCATAGGGCGGTCTGTAGAACCTAGGGCCAGTACGAAGTATGGAGAATGGAGCACGGAGCCCGGGAAGTATACCCCGGCCTTCCGACAATACATACGCTTGTAACTTTCCAGATGGCCTCATTGATAATCATTCTGTGACTTTGGGTCGTCGTCTTGGCCCGATCCTTTGATTATCTCTTTTTTTTTTTTTCTCCCATTTTCCCATTTTCCTTCCTAGTTCCCCACATATGCCATTTCCCGACTTCATATATCTACCCCCTCCCGCCACTCCCTCTTCGGTCTTTTCTTTTTGCCTTCCATCTAGCTTCACTGTCCCAAGGTTGACTCCCTTCTATACATCCCCGCCGATAGTCACATAATTCATCATGGCGGAAAAGAAGCCCAACATCTTGTACATCATGGCCGACCAGATGGCGGCTCCCATGTTGTCTCTGCACGACAAGAACTCTCCCATCAAGACTCCCAACCTCGACCGGTTGGCAGGCGAGGGTGTCGTTTTCGACTCGGCCTATTGCAATGCTCCCCTGTGCGCCCCGTCGCGCTTCGTGATGGTTAGCGGCCAGCTGCCCTCGAAGATTGGCGCTTACGACAACGCGGCGGATCTGCCCGCCGACGTACCCACCTATGCCCACTACTTGCGGCGCGAGGGTTACCACACGGCTCTCGCCGGAAAGATGCACTTCTGCGGGCCGGATCAGCTGCACGGATATGAGCAGCGTCTTACCAGCGACATCTATCCCGGTGACTACGGCTGGTCCGTGAACTGGGACGAGCCCGAGGTCCGTCTGGATTTCTACCACAACATGTCCTCGGTCATGGAGGCCGGTCCTGTTGTCCGCACCAACCAGCTTGACTTTGACGAGGAGGTCATCTACAAGTCGGAGCAGTACCTGTACGACCACGTGCGCTCTCGCACCGATCAGCCTTTCTGTCTGACCGTGTCTATGACCCACCCCCACGACCCATATGCCATGACCAAGGAATTCTGGGATATGTACGAGGATGTTGACATTCCCATGCCCAAAAACGGCCCTATTCCCCACGACCAGCAGGATGCCCACTCTCAGCGTGTGCTGCAGTGCATTGACCTCTGGGGTAAGGAAATGCCCGAGGAAAACATCAAGAACGCACGCCGCGCATACTACGCCGCCTGCACATATGTCGACACCAACATCGGCAAGCTCCTGAAGGTTCTGAAGAACACTGGTCTGGATGAGAACACGATCATTGTTTTCAGCGGTGACCACGGTGACATGCTCGGTGAGCGCGGCCTGTGGTACAAGATGACTTGGTTCGAGAACTCGGCTCGTGTGCCTATGCTCGTCCACGCTCCTAAGCGTTTCTCCCCCAAGCGCGTCTCCGAGAATGTGTCCACCATGGATCTTCTGCCCACTTTCGCGGAAATGGTCGGTGCTCCGCTAATCAAGGAGTTGCCTCTTGACGGGGTTTCCCTCATGCCCTATCTGACCGGTGGCGAAGGTCTCCGGACGGACACCGTCTATGGCGAGTACATGGGAGAAGGCACCCAGGCCCCTCTGGTCATGATCCGCCGCGGCCGCTGGAAGTTCGTCTACTCGGCCATTGACCCGCCCATGCTGTTCGATCTAGTCGCCGATCCTGAGGAAAAGGTCAACCTGGTCGCCGGTCTCCCCATCCCAACTGCTACCCGCGGAATCGCCGTCGCTAAGTCACCCATCACATCGCTGTCCTTGCAGACCAACCTGCCTACGCCCAGCGACACTCCCCGCGCATCGCCTATCCCGCAGCGCGCCAACGAGAAGAACTCTTACCCCTTCCCCACTCCGACTCCTCCCCGCAGCCCGAGCCCCAGCCGCGTGCCTCCCGCCTTGCCGGAGACCATGGACCCTGTCAAGCTGCTCGCTTGGTTCATCGAAGAAACCCACAACCGCTGGGACCTCGAGAAGATCCGCCAGGACGTCCTGCACTCTCAGCGCCGTCGCCGTCTGGTCTACTCCGCCTTGATCCAGGGTACTCAGCAAAGCTGGGACTGGGAGCCTCGTGTGGACGCAAGCGCCCAATACGTGCGCAACCAAGGCAAGGGCGTCCTAGATGACGTCGAGCTCATCTCTCGCTGGCCCCGCGTCCTCTCACAAGCCGCCCAGGCCAAGGGCATGCAGATCTAGACCTCTTAGTGCGAAGGTCACCGAACATAAAAGCACTCATTTTTTATTTCTCAGCGTGCGCATTGATGACTTCTGTGATTTTTGCATTCGCATTTGAGCACGTACTATCATGGCATTTCCATTTTGTCTTTCGTCGGGTTATTTTTGGGCCGTTTGTTTTGCACATCAGCGAGGCGCTATACCCGGGAGCTTTTATTCCATCTTTCATTTTGACCTTGGATCTCTTTGATCTATGATTCAAGATCTTTTCATTTCCACTTCCAATCCCAATTTGCATTGGCGGCGAATGTCGCAATTCAAATATTCTTGTAAACGTTTATTTTTCTCCCCCCGGGTTGGGTGTCGAGCCCTTTGTTGGATTTGTCATGAGTAGATACAGACTGAATATAAGTTGCTAGTCCATTATTCTTACTTCTATACTTCGCTACAACCAATAGATATACTCCCCCCGCAACACTAGTTGAACTATACCCACCTCATGATGTCACCATCCACCCGCAACTCCCGCCAGCCCCGCATTATCTGATGAACCCCACACTAACTACACCTCAGCTTCTACACCTTATCCTTCGGCTCCTCCAGAATCTAACTCTGAAGCATTGGAATACGTATTCGCAATAATGCCTACCCTAACAGTAGCCATCGCCCAATCCCGCACCCACCAAACCACCCAATCAACCCTCTCCGCCCTCGAACGAACAACCAAATTAGCCTCCTCTCGCAACGTCCACCTCATTCTCTTCCCAGAAGCGTACCTAGGCGGATACCCACGTACATGCTCCTTCGGCGCAGCAGTCGGGTCTCGTGCCCCCCACGGCCGAGACCAGTTTCTGGAGTATTTCAAGGCGGCTGTGGATCTGGGCGATACGCCTGCCGGGGCGGGTGAGGAGTGGGTGAGTAAGAAGTTGGAAGTTGCTGTTGGGAAGCAGTACCGTGGAGATGGGACTAGGGAGTTTCTGGAGCGGGTTGCGAGTGAGACGGGGGTTTTTATTGTGACAGGGTTGGTGGAGAGGGCTGGGGGGAGTTTGTATTGTTCCGTGGTTTATGTCGATCCTATTAGGGGGACCTTAGGGAAGAGGAGGAAGGTTATGCCGGTAGGATTGCTTCTTTTTGGTTTATTGTTTTTGTTGTTTAATACCTTTATATTGGAGTGAAACTGACATGTTCATGTTCAGACCGGCGCCGAACGCATGATCTGGGCTCAAGGTTCACCCTCAACTCTACGCGCCGTGACAACCTGTCTCAATGGCATCCCGGTTACATTGGCTTCGGCTATCTGCTGGGAGAACTATATGCCCTTGTTGCGCCAGAGTCTGTACTCTCAAAACGTGAATATCTACCTCGCTCCAACCGCCGATGCCCGTGATACTTGGCTGTCGCTCATGCGCACCGTTGGCATTGAAGGCCGCTGCTTCGTGCTCTCTGCGAATCAATGTGTTCGTAACTGTGAGTTGCCCTCTTGGATTACTGGGCAAAAGGAGACTGCTCCGAGTCCGGTCCCGGCTCCTGCGCAGGTCGAGCAGCCGAAGATGATGAATCGGAAGCTTTCAATTACGGCTGAGGGGCCGCATGAGATTGTTTGGCCGCAGTGTTCGACTCAGGGGGCGGAGAATGGTGAGACGTCCAAGCTGTCATCGCAAGTGTCCTCTCATGCTTCTGGGGAGTATCTCTGTCGGGGAGGTAGCTGTATCATCTCTCCGCTTGGCGAGATTCTGGCAGGGCCCCTGTGGGAGGTTTGTACGGACGATGTGCCGGATAGCGATGAAGCAGCCGTGAATGCGAGCGGCATTCAACCTGCTGCAACTGGGGATGGACTGGCGATTGCCCAGATTGATCTGGATGACTGTGAGCGTGGTCGATTGGATCTCGATGTCGCCGGTAGCTACTCGCGCAATGATGCATTCAAGTTGACCGTCGAGGGGCTGGACCTGGCACCGCCGCCCTTGTAATTCAGATATTTACTCGAGATGGAAGGCAATTTCAAATATTTTCTATTATCGTGAAGCATGCCGTTCTTTGCATCATCACTCGCCAGAAGTTCTGGCTCGAGTTCTGTTCGACAAAGATAAAATCTTCACAGCCGCTCAAATATCCTCCAAATAAAACAACGGACGGGGATATCAATGCTATCGTGGTCGTCATCGCCATGTGCCAGCATGTCTCTGGAGTATGTACAACTGTTTTCCACTTCTCACTCTATCATCCATACCGGCGCCTTGACCAGGACCATTGACGGTCCCTTGCCGCGTACCTCGACGGTCAGGAAGGACGAGAATCGGATTCTCGCGGGTCCTTCAACCGGCTCGCTCTTCTCCTCGGGAACGTGGCCTGCGGTAGGGCGGGGCTCATTGCCTTTGCGGCCCATGATCGCACCAAAGACAGACTTCGTTTTGGATTCACGAGGTGCGGCTGAGGTGCCATCACCCCCTCCTGTCGAGATTGAGGCGGGTGAAGAGTCGCTTTCGACTCCGGTTGCGTCTTCAGGCTCCTGGTCAGCGGGTGGTGGAGGTTGGCGACTGAGCGGCGGCAGCTGTCCTTCTACCTTCATGTACACCTCGACAAAGGTGACGTTGGGAGGGAAGTACTCTATACAGACATCTCGAGCTTCTAGTGGGATCTTCTCGGCGATATTGACGCTGTTCTCGATGATCATTCGCACTCCCGCCTCAAGTCCCGGTAGGGCAGCCTCATGCACCTGCGAGCTAAGGAAAGAGGCCAGCTCTACCGACAGATGCTCAATCAGCTCCGCGCGGTGTTCTTGAGCGGCAGCGTCTGCAAGCATATCGCCCAGCCCGTCAAAGGTCGTACGCCGCCAGTTTGACAGGCGGGCAATGGCATTCTCGCGATCTTCATCAGTGGCAGGTCGCATCTGTTGCCGGCGCAGGTTCATCTCAATGCTCTTGAGTTGTAAGCTGAGACCGGTTTCCAACCCCGGGTGGAAGTATTTATGGAAAAGTTCTTCCGCCAACCACCGACTAATGACAGCCCGTCCCACACTGGTCATCTCCTTTGTTCCTGTTGAAACTGCTTCATCGGTCACCAGGCCGCGCAGCCACGTGGGAACTCCGCGCCAGTCCTTGCGCACCGAAAAGGCAAGGTCCTTGATGGCTCCATCCAGTCGCTGGAAGCGATTTGCATATTCATTATCGTCGAGCACTGTGCGGGATACGGCCATGCGCTGGTGCGCCACGGTATTCTGGAGGTGCTGCACCTGCGCTTCCTTGTCAAAGTAGTATCGCTTCACTTTGGAGTATTTTGATTCTATTTTTCGTTAGTTCTGATTACCCCGCGTTGATAACAGGTACCAAAAAAAGAACTCACGGAGTTCTTCATGTTTCTGAAGCAATGCGCGGACGTCGATATTCTCGGGATCTTCGCGTACTCGATTTGGCGTAGGGGTATTCTGCCCCTCTACCGCTGGTACTGGTTGAGTGGTACTGCCCCGTCGACTACTATCCTGGCCCGAGGAACGATCATTCTGTGCCGGCTGGGCCTGGGCCTGTACCTGCTGCTGCTGCGATTGCTGCATAACTTCAGGTTGGTTCGGTCGGGCTGGTGAAAGCGGCTCGTGGGTTTGCCGGGAAGGGGGCCGAGCACTCAATCCCAGATCCTGCTGGGTACGCGAATGAGACTGCCCCCGGTGGCTCTGTTCGGGCGGATAACGAGGCGACTCTGAAAGAGGTTCGGTGGGGGACGGGCGATTCGATCGGTCGAGCAGGCTCAGGTCTGTACTGGAGCGCCCGAGCGGCAACGGTGCGGGGTGTTGTTGGGTCTGAAGCGGCTGCTGAGACCACTCGGTGTTTTCCTGCGACAATGGCTGCGGGTGCTGCAAATGTTGCTGTTGGTAGGCTAGCGAAGCTGAACGCGGCTCATGTGGAGTATTGGGGGAGGGCCCCTCGGAGTAAGCGGGGTGGATGCGGTCTTCGTTCAAGGCAGGGAACTGCGGTGAGGTAGGCTGGGAGATGGGATGAGAGATGTTTTTCCCCTTGACAGAAACACTGCGCTCCAGCAGCCCAGACGAAGCACGCACAAACAAGTTCTTTTTTAAGCGACGAGGCTGTGAATCCTCAGGGGGGACAACACTAACGGTGGGTCGGTCGCGTTGGGGTTGGGGTTGGCGCTGGCTTTGGCTTCGATGGAGGGAGGGACTCGGTTCGGGTGGCTGGGTGAGGTTTGGATTTGGATTTGGGGCTGGGGCTGGATTCTGGGTAAAGCGATAATCTGGGATGCGGCGGTCGGAGTATGCCTCGTCGATGGAGCTGGTGCTGCGGTCTGCAGATGGAGCGAACGCGGGGCGAGGGAGAACTTCCTCGGACCGACCTGGAGCTGCGTAACGTGTAGGTTGAGGGGACTTCTTCTTCTTGCTATTGATATTGAAGAGTGGCATACTTGCCTTGTTGTCCTTGGAAAAGGACAGTGAGAGAGAAAGAATGGGGGAAGGTGATCGGCAGGCGGGGCTCAAGTGTTTCGTGTTCTATATATAACATTTGAACAGTGGGCCCGTGTAAACATTTGAGTCGAGAGAATGGGTGACAGGATGACAAGACGACCAGCTCTTGTGCCCGTGTATCTTTAGTACCTAGCTACAGACAACTTCGTGGAGCTTGGAGCCTGGAGCTTGGAGCTTGGACAAAGAAGGAAGTCAAAGAAAAAGCCCCAAGCTATTCAGAACCCCTATTGGGCACGGGGGGGGAAGGGGGGGGGGGGGGCCAAGAGCATACTGCCAGGGTTGGCCTAGACATAACTCTGGGGAACACAACAGCGCATCGTATGATAGGAACTGCGCTTATTTGTTTATGCGTGACATGAATTGCAGTACTCAGTGAATCATGGAATTGTCGCATGTCAGGGCCTCATGAAACTTCCAAGGCTCAAACAAACAACCGCAATCTTCCTTCACAAAGAGATTATTGATAAAGGCATCATGAAGTATTCGAGAACGATGGATGTAATCCACTTAAGCACTGGCCTTTTCCGGAAAACCAGAGTATAATATAAGCCTCCATCTTACGAGAATACCCTTTTCAAAGGATAGAGCGAACCAAACAAGACAAATTCGTGATGAATGAAATCGAACTGCGCCATAACGGACATTTGCTATGTACCTACAACGGCGAGACAATCTGTGTGGCGCAGCCAGCAACAGTCCCAGGCTCGTGCATTGTGATATACAATATATATTGAACTCCGCGATTAGCAAGTTAGCACACGGGGTGGGTCTTGCCAGTCTTGCCCTGCAGGGAGTGCTTCTCGCCCTGGTAGCCCTGGTGGGTGTGCCTGTGACGGGGCTGAGCACGGTGGCTGACCATGTGCCTGGAGGAGAGTAAGCGAGAGATCAATGCACACGTTTGGTCGATACTTACGTCTTGTACTTTTCAATCATGGCCTTGTCCATGGAGTTCAGGGTGTCGAGGGCCAGCTTGATATCGGCCAGGAGACTGTCGCAGCGGTTCATGCTGAAGTCCTCACGGACGACAACACGCATCAACTTCAGCTTCTCGCTGTTGGGTGCCATGGTGTAGGCAGGGACAATCCATCCGCGCTCGCGCAGCTGGTGGGCGACGGCAAACTCGTCGTAGACACGGTCGGGGTTAGGAGGCAGACGGAACGCCACCAGGGGCAGACCCTTGCCCTGACCCTGGCTCATGATGACCATGCCCTCCTTCTTCAGCTGCTCGGCCATGTAGTCGGCAATGCGGGTCAGATTAACCATGATGGAGCGGTAACCGCGCTTGCCCAGGCGAATCAGCTGGTAGTACTGGCCAATAACATGGGCGGCACCCTTGGAGAAGTTCAGAGTGAAACTAGCCTGGTCGGCTCCGAGATAGTTGATGTTGAAGACCAGCTCCTGGGGCAGGAACTCGGGCGAGCGCCAGATGACCCAACCAACACCTGGGTAGACCAGACCGTACTTGTGTCCGGAGACGTTGATGGAGACGACCTTCTCGAGACGGAAGTCCCAGGCCAGATCGGGCTGGGTGAAGGGAGCGACAAAGCCACCGCTAGCGGCATCGACGTGGATGGGACAGTCAATGCCACGCTCGACCAGCAGGTCATTGATGGCCTTGACGTCCTCATACTCACCAGTGTAGGTAGTACCGATAATGGCACAGATACCAATTGTGTTCTCATCCACCAGATCGACAGCCTCCTTGGGGTCAATGACATAGCGGGATTGAGTACAGTAGACGTACTTCTCCTCGACATCGAAGTAGCGAGCGGCCTTCTCCCAACATACCTGCACGGCGCTGTTCATGACGATGTTGGGACGGGAGTAGTCCTTACCCTCGGCCTTGCGCTTGTTCTGCCAACGCTTCTTCATGGCCAGGGTGCCCAGCATGATGGCCTCGGAGGAACCAATAGTGGACGTACCCATGGCGTTCTCACCCTCTGATTCTGTGGGGCAGTTGAACAGACGGGCAATCATGTTCACGCAGCGGTTCTGGATCTCGGCGGAGTGGGGATACTCCTCGTAGTCGATGAAGTTCTTGCTAAACGAGTCGGTCATGATCTCCTCGATCTCCTCTTCCTACAGAATTGTGAGCTATCGGGCCATCAATAAGTCATACATGCTGTCCTACCATGTAGGTGGTGACGAAACTGGCCAAGCTGCAAGAGGGTCAGCGATAGTTGCTTGGCAACCGCACGGAGTTACTTACTTGAGCTTGGGGTTACCGTCCAGGCTGAGCTCGTCCTTGATCATACGAGCAGCGATCTGGCGAGGCATCTCTCGCTCGGGCATTTCATGCATTGGCATGTGGTCGGCAGCGAAGTGGCTACCGTAGACATTGGTGTAAAAGTCATCCACGTCCGGAGCCGCGCCCACGGACTCGACATTGCGAGAGGACGGGTCAAAGACCTCATTATCCTTCTTAACGGAGGCTAGATGGACCATGATTGCGAGGGACTCAAGGGGGTAAAGCTGGGAAAGAAAGCTTGGAAGAGGGGGAGAGCTTCGTTAAATAATAACAAACACGTGCGGGGACCCAATGACGCAGTGCACCGCTCGGTTTCCACGGGCGTATATACTTTTCTTATGTTTCAGCCATGTCTGTTCCAGGCGCCAGTCTATTTTCTTCGTTTCTTTCTACGCCAATCATGCCAATTCTCCTTAGTAGACCCCTCAAATGCGAACGCGGACTTGCTAAAGCTTGGGCAAAGCTTGGCATAGGCAGATCGTCAATTGCCGATACATCCGACTGCCCCTCTTTTTACATTTTGACCTACGCAATATTTAATCATCTGGAGCCACGTTGGCAACCGCGGTGGGCCCACCAGGGTTCACATTGAGAGCTCTGTGTTGGCTATGTGTTGGCCCTCGGCACTATTCTGCACTATTCTGCGCTATTCTGCTACTCAAAGCTTGCTCTCGCGTAGCTTCTCCACCTCGGCGAATCGGTAGTAGTATTCCAAGCTCCCTGGGTTGAGCAGGGTCCCCGAGGGTCGAATTCGCTTGCCGGACACAATCTGCTTCACAGGCAGCTCCACTTTCTTGAGGTTGACCGTGGTCTGATCATCGTCAGTGCCGTCTCCCCATCCGATGGGCTCACTTACCGGGATTTCGGGAGTCTCGAATATGAACATCGGCACATGGCGAGCACTTAATTCCGAACGGATGGCTTTCTTGACCCGATTGACTAAATCAAGGGTGTAGCTCGCCCCAGGCTTCATTAGTAGGAAGAGCATGACCCGCTCGTCGGTATCGGTCGGCCGTCTCTGACCGACACAGATCGAATCGGCGATCTCCGGCGAGAATAAGCCCTCGATCACTCGGTAAATCTCTGCAGATCCAAACCGGACGCCTGAGGGGTTGAGCACCCCGTCAGCACGCCCGTGGAACATGAGCTGCTTGGTGATAGGATGGATGGAGACAAAGTCTCCGTGGGTCCAGACGTCTGTCAATATTAGCCACGGCGCCACGCAGGCGTATGGGGGTCCATCTTACTATCAAATCGACCAAAGTACGCGTCGTGGTACTTCTGACCGCCCTCATCACCCCAGAACATTGTGGGCATGTTGGGGAAGGCTGAGGGGGCCACCAGTTCGCCCGGCACGCCCTCTTCTATGGAGACACCTTGGACGCCCGCTCCTCCTTCGATGGTGGAATCGTAGACCTCTACTGAAATCCCCAGGCTACATCCCGCACATCCACCCACGTAAACAGGTACCAACGGGTTGCCTATACCGAAGCAGCCCGCGATGTCCGTGCCGCCCGAGATGTTGTTCAAGCGAGTATGGGACGGGAAGCCCTCGTCGTAGAACCATTCGAACAATGCATCCCGTAAAACCATGCCGGTGCTGGTGACCACCCGAAGAGAACTCAGGTCAAACATCTCCCGAGGGCGGATCTTGGCTCTTTGTAGCTCATGCATCCATCGCGGGGAAATCCCCAAGTGTGTTACCTTCTCCTGGGCGGCAAGAGTAAGCAATGCAGTAACATCAGGTACAAATGGGCTGCCGTCGTAGAGCACTACTCGTGACCCGAAGAGCAGAGTTTGCATTGCAGCTAGATACATGATCCATCCCGTGGTTGTATACTGCAAAGCCACTGTATCCCGTCCGTTCTCCGTATGCAGACCTCCTTCTTTGTGGGCATTGAGAAGAACACCTCCGACAGAGTGCACAATGCACTTAGGTTGTCCGGTTGTGCCTGATGAATAAACAATCAGGAAAGGATCACGGAATCCAACCCGCACAAACTCCAGACGATCATTTTCTCTGGCTTTGGAAAGAAACTCCGACAAGGTCAAAGACTTGGGGATGTTGCTGACATCTGCCGGCGAGGCGAATCGAGGTTGCGAAATGATACCTTGGAACGCGGAGATTGAGCTCATCCCCTGCGCGATGTCGTTCATTTTATCGCGAAGGTCAACCGTCTTGCCATTGTAGACTGTAAAGTCATCCATGAAGAGCCAGCGGGGCTTGATCTGCAAGAGGCGGTCCAAGACTCCCTTGACACCCATATCAGTGGAGCTGGACGAGAAAATAGCGCCCAGTGCCGTCGACGCCAAAAGCACCAGTAATGTATCGATGCTGTTAGCAGAGCAGACGGCAATACGATCGCCTCGAACAACACCACCGGTCTTCATAGCCTGCAACAGGGCGCCGGTCTTCTGCCTCAGCTGGCCCCAGGTGAGATGGACTACGTTCTTCACGTCTCCTTCTCTGACTTCAGTGACGGCGATCTTTTCGTCTTCTTTGCCGGTGGTATCGCCGACACTGCGAGAGAACAGAAGATTTTCGGCAAAATTCAACTTGATACCCGAAAACCACTCTGGAACGCCGTCCATCCGTGTCGACTCGTCTACCACCTGAGTATACGAGCCCTCGTGGATGATCTGAAAATACTTCCAGCAGAAATCCCAGAAAGCCGAGCGATTCTGAGTGGAATAAAGATACATATCATGGTAGGACTTGTCGGTCAGTATGGTTCAATTACATGAGTTGAATGTACTCACATCGACCTTGCAGCCCATCTCCTGCTGCAACGCACGCTTGAACCGCCCCATGGCGGTCGACTCGGGGTCTGGATGCTCCCATAGCTTGCGAGGCAGTGACACAGACGCCATGGTGAATCAACAATCTAAATTGAACTGAAAGAAAAGTAAATGGGGTTTCTCTCTTTTCCGAGTGATGCGGTGAGCTTTATCTTAACTTGCGGAGGGTTGACATGCCAAGCCAGGCCCGCAGTAACCCCCATGGGGCGAAGAGTGGGAAGAGTGGGCATAGTGGGAGTAGTCCCCGCTGGAGCCCAAGCGGGATCTATACTTCACCGGAGAAATGCCAGACTGAGACTCAACATGATTTCAACTACTGGATTGAAGTCTGTTCAAAAGGGCCACAGGTGGGCTAGTAAAAAGATACAGGCTCGAATGGCTCAAGAAGCCTCCCGAGGAGTTCAGCAGAGCCAAGTCTAAGACCTATTGTGGAAAGCCTCTTTCTTTATGATACAATCCATGCGCCTGAAGACCTTATCTTTCATTTACTCTTACCTTTCATCTAATGCTAAATGTCAAACAACTGGGCCAGCCGTGTAGCAGCCTTCCCCAGCTCGGCCTCCGTGTTACAAGCCGCGAATACGAACCGGTCAGGTCTCAACACCACATACCGCTTCCCATTGACACTCTTCCACATCAACATTTCATCGTAGCCTCGAGGGATAGGTCGTGAATCGCATAGTATCGAAGAAGCAAACTCATCACCCGTGGCAGTTCGACACACCGACTGGCGAGACCCATAATCGGTATCGGGCTTGCAGCTCGTGCGGGGAACGAAGAATGTAGCGTCGCGCAGAGATAGTAGCTCATTGCCTTCATTAAGTGCCTTCAAATCATGCACCGCAGAAGCCAGCTCCTCGACGTTGTTAAGCAAAACCACAATCTGGAACAAGCTAGTCTTGCCCTCAAAAATCACATCGTCCGTGAATTGAACCGCCGCGTCCTTATGTAGCGCCATGCAATATGTTTGAGGAAAGCAACTCCCACCACTCAGCTCGGGCATGAAAGGCATCTCTGGTAAGTAACTGTATTGAATCGCTCCACTGCTTCGAGGGCCCCGTTCAAGGAAATGCTTCCAGCTTGGAATAAGCTGGATCAACCACAAGGCCCAGTTGCGGATGAATGTGTGTTTCAACCCTGTTCCGTTGACCATGTCTCCATTTCGGATTGTACTGGCCAGGGAGGCATCGAGCTGTTGTTTTCTCTCCAGGTACCAGCCCTTGAAAAGACTCTCATAGTCTATTCGAAGACTGGAACAGGCAATAGCGAGGCGCCAGGCGAGAGCATTCGCATCTCTGAAACCGGAGGCAATGCCCTGCCCCCCGACTACGGACGACACTTATCAGCTTGACCTAGAGCATCAGTGAAATCAAACTTACACGGGGGAAACACATGGGCAGCATCTCCGCAGAGAATGACCCGGCCAAGAGCCCACTTGTTACAGCTTCTTGCCGAGAACCGAAAAGGTCTAGATCGCAGAACTTCAATACAGTCCTCTGGAAACTCGATATCTTCTTTCAATCTAGAAAATGTCAGCTCTCGCAAGAATATCAACTCTTCTCTCAGGTACGAACCCATAACGACTCCCAGGATATGTCAAGTAGGGATAGACCACCTCGCGCACTTTCTTCCGCGTCGCCATCTCCATATCATCCTCCTCGGAAGCAACGACAAACTCGAAACGCCAGAGCCGATCTTCAGGTCGGCCAAATCTTCCACATACAGCGGGCCTCTCTGGGTTGCAGAGGAAGCGGAAATCAGCCGGGAAGAATAAATTATATACCTCTTCCGGCGTGTATCCCAGCTCCCACAAAGGGAATGAGGGATGCGTCTCTTTCGTCGGTAAATGAAGTTTCCAGTTAAGTGCTACCCAGGTTTCTTCATACTTCGTCCTGGTTATAATTAGTATCACTATTTCGTCTTGAAAAACGTTAACGAAAAAAAAAGAGAAAGAAAAAAAACCTACTGTTCAGCCCAATTCAGTTGAATGCCCTTTGGCTCGAGATACATCTTCCGCGTGAAGCCCGTCTTGCCATCGGCCGCAGCTAGAAATTTCGCACGTAGCTTTCTCTCTGTCCCGGATGCATCGCTGTACGTGGCATAGACCCAATCCGCATCCTCTGAAATCGAATTCAGCGTGCAACTACTTCGTAGTTCACAGGTTTCGATTCTCTCAACGACAGATCGGAGGTTTTTTTCGAGAATGGGCTGCTTGTGAGCAAGGATACCGATATGACCTGTATTTCCTTCACTCTTCGCTCATGTCAATTTTTGCTCGCAAGATCCAGATTCAGACAGACTGATCTTACCGAAGATGTGTCCATGCAGAGAAAAGGTTTCGTGTGTAGATCGTGGTGAGTTCCGCTTATGAATCGAACCTTTGGCAAGCCTATACATAATTGTCAATAACCCTCTTCACGCCGCGAGTAGGATCTCTTTACAAGTCCCGATCTCTGTAAAAATATGCTCATACAAACCCAGACCCTGCATGAGTCGAATGGCATCATCGTCAAGCGCAATACCCCTTGGATCGGTGGTAATCGCTGCTTCTTTCTCAAGAACAATGTTTCGAACACCCAATTTGCCCAGGTACCCCGAGAGCATGGCTCCAGTCGGGCCGCATCCGCAGATCAGAATATCTGTCGTTTCCCATTCCTCGGTGACTGACATCTTGCTCGTAGATTTTCACAAACAACTCTGAACAATTTTGCTGGGGTAAGCCCTGGTCGCTTATCAATGTTTGTTCCTTGGCTTGAACCAATTTAGCTGGTCATTTGTTGTGGTAAACCAGATGTGGGAACAATACATGCGGGTCCAAATAGGCACCACATAGTGTGATACGGTGGTATTTTCGTCAGAAAAATGGTTGTAGATCGTTTTGTGAGCTTGTGGAAATTTCAGGCCATGCACTGTGTTTAGAGAGCCCATAAGCCCGGTTCCTGCGATCCACCAGTCCTCTACATCCACATCCGTGACTATGGGAGGATTGTGCCGCCAAGCCAGGCAGGCAAGGAATTATGTACACAGCCTGAGCATACAGCATCCACACATTGTGCGAGACTTCTAAGCCAAACTTTCCGACCGGTCAATCCTTTTCCATAGTGGGCGTACTTGGCCGAGTTGGTCAGAATCGTTTGTGTATGTGGTGGAATAACTGGTTCTTGAATCATGCACCAGCAGGTATCAGTTAGAATCTGAGCGCCAAAGTCGTCCAGGGTTGTAATGTGGCCTTCTTGAGCAGCCTTTGAATACGTGTCGCGGTTACATGTCACCACCAAGGTTGTCCTTTCATCCTTCTTGCGACCTGAACAAAGCCGTACTAGTTTCACGATCTCATCAAATGAAAAATGGGGGTTTCCAAGTGATACAAGGTCAATAGCCGTAGAAGTTTCACCATCTTCGCAGGGACTAAACCGAAGCCATTGCTTTGCTAGCTCAGGAAGTGTGATCGTCACTTTCGACGTCTCCTTCAGATGAGATGCAATATCGGAGAGGCTACGAGCCTCAATAGTAATTCCCGCGATGTGAAACATCGGGGCACTAGATGTAGTTGCAAATGCTGCACCAAATGCCTTGAGATCATCCATGGTAGCTCCCTTCTTTTCCAACCCGGTAATGATGGGCACATGATCAGCAGCAATGTCGCCGGCTAGATACCCAAGAAGCGCGAAAAGTGTATCATCGGTATCCTGCACGGATTCCATGTGGATTTCCACTCGAGCTTTGCGATTGTCCGTGAGATGACAGCCCGTGTTGAGTGCTCGCCCGGTCAGAGAAACGCACACGTCCAGATAGTCAGGACATTTGATAGTCCTCGCACCGAGAACACTATTGGCAAAGACCACGGCGTTAGACTCGGCCCACATAATATTCTCGCCTGCTTTTGGCGCAGTATCTAGGAGATATGGTGCACATGTGAATGTTGGCTGTGCTCCCATCTTCAAAAAAGCTTCTGCCAATTGTTCTGAAGGCTCCCCCAGGTCGGGATCAACACCTTGTGAGCGCCATAGGCGCCTGTCGATGGAAATTGAATTCAAAGAGGTAGGAATGCGGACTTTTGCCCCCATATCGCACAACTTCTGAGCGAACTTCAAGGTTGCTGGGCCCGTGTAAATGCAGCAGTCGATGTGCGCCTGCTTCACATCTATCAGCTCCGTCACGCCATGGATCCGGGCGATGCGGAGAATGACCCGCATCGCCATTTGAGCAGCCTCCCCATGTACGCCTTGGAGTAGCTCACGATCGAATGGAGTTAATTCGATAGTGGCGAAGTCGGGTTGCCGAAGAATTGGGCACGGAGTGACTGGCTGGTTCAACGCTCCATCATACAAGGAGTCTCCCCACTGAATCTGGCCATCAGCGACTCGAAGGCGATCAAGTTGTAGAAGTGTGTCGAACGATGACATCGGTATTTGTAAGACGGGAATGCTCTTCTGAAACATCTCCTGGGCTATCAAGACTCCGATTGTCAGAATCATCTCCTCACGCCCAAAGATGAGGACGCATGGAGCGCTTCCATTCAACAGCAGCTCAAGAATGACACCACTCCCCGTGCATGAGCCACGGCCGCTAGGTATCGCGAGAATTTTCCCAGCGATCGACTTTCCGACGAGTGGGTGATGACTATCGATCACGATACCGTTCCGGGGGCTCACCCCTCCCCAGAAGCTGAGGGCGACTTTACTGGCCACAAGATCACCTTCTGCAATCCCAGGGATGATTTCATGGGCCCTCATACAGTTCTAGTCAAATCAGCCAGGTTTGGTTACATCTGAAAGAGCCGTGACTCACGGCCATTGCCTCGGTGTGGACCTCTGTCAAAGACTGTAGAGAGGGCTTTAGTCTTGCGTGCTAGGTCGATTTATCAAACGACGTATTTCATTCTCATCAAAGAGCCTGTGGTGTTTATGTTTATAGGGAAGAGAGGAGACATGGGGGCATCTCGGGTGCAGACTCCGATACAAAGCGGCAGCGACAGCCGGAGAACCCCACACTGAGATACGCGCACAAAACATTCTTTCAACATTAGAACAGCCTCACATTCACTTCATCACTATCTCGATCAAATTACTCCAAGAATATGGCAGGCACATCAGGCCCCCAAACAGCAAGAGACTCGCTCCCCGCCTGCACATACCCAATCGGCGTGTCACCATTAACCAAGTCCCCGTCGGCGTAGTGTTCCACCATGTTGCCAGTCGTATCCCACCAATAATCAAAGATCTGAGAGCCGAGAATGTGCCGGCCAATTCCCCAAACAGATTTATATCCCTTCTTCGCAAGCCACTGATGACCCAATTGCTGGGTGTCGTAATCGTGTACCTCGAAGGAGCAATGGTGCACGTGCTTGCCCTTGGGGTTGGCACTCAGGAAGAATGAATGATGGTCTACATGAGTCTCCCCGAGGTCGATGTGGCAGAACGTGGTGACGACCATTTTCTGGTCATCGGGTGTATTCACGTAGACCAGATCAGTAGGGGTGATGTTGAATGTCGAGGTATAGAACTTGAGTAATACTTCAAACTGCTGGGTGCAAAGTCCGAAGTGACCCAGCTGAAGAGGAAGTGTTAGCCCATGACACTTGCTTGGGTTCTGTGGGTAGGGAAATAGGTACCTTATGAACGGCTGCTGGGCCAGGCTCAAAGCGATTGAACTCACGGCGTCTTATTTTCTCGCCCGTATAGTTCAGCACGACTTTCTCCGGATGCGAAACCTCAACATTAGTTGGCTTCTGATCGAAAACCACATTGAAAGGGAATCCTTCCGGGTCGGTGATGGTCACCAAAGATCCACCTCCAGGTGCTTCGCTGAGATCTTGAACTGGACTAGCAGTGGGAAGGCGAGTTGCTCTTTCGAATGATCAGTATCTAATCTTTAAGGTCATTTCAACATTCATGGGTAACCTACTTGTCAAAATCCTCTTGGCTTAGAGCTTCAAAGGTACCGCCCAAGAACTGCTTGATTCCTTTCCGAGCGTAGTACACATATTGATCAGATCCATAGCCTTTGAACCAGACCTCGCTCTCAGTCTTCTTTGCAATTTGCATTCCAAAGTCTATATGCATCAGTAACGTTATTTTCGAAAGTCAGAAAAACATCATACCGATCATGAAAGTCGTGATCTCTTCAAGATCAGGATGTTGGTATCGCATATGGGACAACTTCTTCAGTTGGATCCGATCTTGCGCTATGATATGCTGCTTGGCTAGCCACTCTAGCTGTGGCTCACTGGACACTCCAACAGCCAGGACATCTGGAACGGTAGCTCCTCGGTTCGGCTGGATAGCAGCCATGTTCAGATGCTCGGAGTATTTTGGTGTGAGACAAAATTTGGGTGAACGAAATGGGGCTTGCACGTTACTTCGACACAGAGGTATTAGTCTTTTATAAATTTGAAGATCAGATTATCTGCGGGGAGCCTTGGCTCAGGCAAACATGAAATCCGACGTAAATCCCCGTCGGCTTACTGACGCGTGAAGATTGATCCCACATCCCATCCGGCCATCTTCCCCACCTGCCATATTATAAGATGCAAAACCAAAGCTTCTTGAGAATGCATCACAGTTGACTGATACTCAATGATGGCTGCCTTCAAAAAACTTGTACGCTTCAACTCTGGTGCGCAAATCCACTACGGCGATCTGGTCAGTGTGAGCGACAATAAGTACACCGTTCGGAAGTTGGAGGGAAGTCCATTCGGTAACTTGAGGGCGACCGAGGAAATTCATCATGTCGAATCGGTAAGATCGATTATGGAGATCAATCTAGGACACGGCTAACACTATGCAGCTTGAATGCCCAATTGAAAGTACACCCATTGTGATGTGTATCGGTCTGAATTATAAGCAGCATGCAAAAGAAGCAAGCGTAAGCCTTTCGCCTCTCCATAGTCAACTTTTCTCTCATCATTTATCTTCAAATAGTTGCCTGTTCCGACTTACCCGGTCGTCTTCACAAAGCCTGCCGATGCGCTCGCCGGTCCCTTCGAGACGATCAGTATCCACCCCGATGCCCGCGAACTGCTGGACTACGAGGGCGAGTTGACCGTTGTTATTTCTCGGGATGCAAAGAACGTTTCGGAAGAAGATGCACTAGACTATGTACTGGGATACACTGCTGGAAACGATTTATCCGCTCGGAACTTCCAGCTCCCCGAGGCGTCTGGAGGGCAATTCTGCTACGCCAAATCTTTTGATCGGTTTGCCCCCATTGGCTATACCATCGTCTCGGCCGAGGAGATTCCAAATCCACAAGTGCTGCAGCTGACAACCAAGGTCAACGGTGTGGTCAAGCAAGAGACCAGCACAGAAGACATGATTTGGACCGTCCGCCAGATCATCAGCCACCTCTCTCGCGGTACGACCCTCCGCAAGGGCACATTGATCATGACTGGCACTCCATCCGGAGTTGGCTTTTTCCGAAAGGAATTCCTGAAGGACGGAGACGTGGTGGAAGTGGAGATTGAAGGAACATCCGCGACGAAGAATCGAATCCAGTATTGAGCGCGCGGAGCCTGGAGCTCGGATACGCGGCTTTGCGCAAGGCCCCGCATTTAGGAATGATAGATCCCACATTTTCATCTCGCAATTCATTAGAGACACCCATCCAATGTGGCTAGACTCAATTCACTGGTCAATTCAATTACATTTCAGAAGTCATTGGATCCGTAGAACGCCACATGCGGGGGGAAGATCCGAGCTGCCGCTTCCCCAGCTTTCGATCCTCTCAACACATCTGCGAGAGGACCCCTTGATGCTTGTTTATCGCCAATATGCTTCATAGTTCGGCTTCACCTCGAGATCGCTCGCCGTATATGGACACGAAGTCCCGACGTCGGCGCAAGACCTCGAAAGAAGAGCGTGTCTGTCCGGTTTGCGCTCAAGATTTTAAAAAGGCGGAGCATCTGGCCCGCCACTTAAGGTCACACACAAAGGAGAAGCCTTTCAACTGTCCCGTCTGCAATAAGGCTTTTGCTCGGCAGTGGGTATCTCCAATATTCCAACATGGTGTAGAATCTATCTGATGCATGTTCTAGGGACACTCTCTTGCGACATTCGCGATCTCATGCTACAGATGACATTTGTGGATGCCCTCAGGTGCAAAATGATCCGTCAATCAATGGCAGTCATGCAAGCGACCTGAATCCTGAGCTAAACTCAAACGATGCAGCGTTCTCTGGAATCCCGGAAGTTCCGCTTGGGTTAGACGCTGGTTCTCTTGCGGACAATATAATGGCACCCATGTCACCACCAAAGTCCATCGACAAGCTTACACCGAGTCTATCAATTGGAGATAACAACACATATCCTGCACAATTGACGCCCTTGCCTTCACTCTTTTCCCTTGAAACAAGCGATGCTTGGAAAAATCAACCAAGCCCACCGCCTGCGGTGTGGGATTATCGACCTGACAGAGACTGGGAAACCTTGCTCACTGGAGACGACTTCGATCTCAACGCTGTGAATTTGTCTCTCCTCTATGCTACGGCCGACTATGTGCCCACTTTTGACACTTTACCTGACTCGGAGGTTGCCCGGCCTACTTCTCAACCCGCCTCCCGTACTGAAAATGAGCATGCAAAAGGACGAGCCCTAACTGTTCAGAAAAAATGGCATACATTTTCTGAAGCGACTCCATCTGGACAAATGACTCCAGACCAATCACAGGAAGGTCTTATTGACGAGTCATATCGCAAAAGATTGACAGAGCGATTACAGCAACGGGTACAGCATGGGATTCTACCCTCTACGCCCTTTCTGGTATGTTATTCTCTCTCTGTCATTCATTAAAATACTGATCTCTTACTAGGATCTCAGTATCCAAGCCTACTTCTCCAAGTTTCACCCTCTTTTTCCGGTTGTACACATGCCCACTTTCCGACCTAGCACTCAAAACTCTGTCCTTTTGCTTTCCATTTGCTCGATAGGGAGCTTGTTCGTCGGCTCTCCGCGTGCTATCAATCATGGCATCAGCATGTTTGAGCGATTGAACAAAGCAATACTTGCCTCGGTAGGTCACCAAGTCCAGGAATTGCAGAATCTGTCCTGATTCATCCAGTGGGATACCTATGTCGCAAATTCCGGGTGCTCCAATTTGGTAGCTCTTCAAGCTTCAATCATAGGACAGACATTCGGTCTTGTTATGGGCGTATGTTCTCTTTTGTCATCCAGATAATTCCTAGGATAGGTACTAACTAGGATCATGATTTCTAGAGACCCAAAGACTTGTATGGGATTGAGATGTTCCATGGCAGTGTGATTGCTGTATGATTTGCTCTCCTAAGTCTAGGACCAAGTGACTGGCTAACACCAATCAGTGGGCACGCACTTCCAAGCTGTTCCATATACAGCATCCAGAATTCAACCTCGTCGATATGAATGGGGATACTCTCGAAAAGGCCTGGTTGTCATGGATCCAAATAGAGGTCAAGAAAAGGCATGCCTGCTCGAAATGGTAAACATTCCGGTAACTAACTTCAACAGAATTGTCCTCGGAATCCACATCCACGACGCTGCACTCGCCCGAATACACCACCACGAACCCATCCTTCGCCATTCCGTCGAACGGCTCCCGCAAATCTCTTCCAACGAACTCTTCACAGCTCCAAGTGCCGGACACTGGAAATCTCTCATGATTGAATCCCAAATGCGAACCCTCTCATTATCGTCTCCCATCAACAACCATCATCAAAATCAACCAGTAGTCATTGGCGACTTCGCACTGTGCGCAATACTCGAATCAATCAGCGCTCTAGTCTGCGAAGACTGCGACCTCCACTCCTCCCGGCCCACGACCGTCACAAAATGCCATGACCTCCTAATCCAATGGCATCATCGATACCACTCAAGCATGCAAGGCAAATCCAGCTGGTTCTGCCTGATGATGCTCTGGCATTCCAACTTCATACTGCTTCACACAGACCTCAACGCTCTAGAATGCGCCTGCGGCCGTGAGGGCTACGACTCCGCTCAAAAACATCTCCCATATGTCCAAAACTGGCTTCGCTCCATGGACGCAAAGCGCTGTCTTCTCCACGCCATGCTCATTCAGAAGAATTTCGAGTCTCTTCCCGCTGGTGCGGAACCGGCTCTCCATGTCCCAATGTGTCTGTATTACTGTGGGCTTATCTGGTCTTGCTTTATGTGCTTTAGCGAGGATGCTGATCCCGTTACTGTGGGCGCGACGGATCATTTACAGTTCGCTGAGCTACGTCTACCTGGGGTGGATAGCGTTGGAACATTTTTAGAACAAATGGGCGGACTACAGCCGCGGAAACTGGCGATGGGCTCGCTGTTCCGCGTTATCGATCTCCTGCAGCGTATCAGTCACTGGAAGATCTCGCAGAGTCTGGCTTCCACGCTGTTAGCCTTGGTGGAGGAGACGCAAGATTTATTTTAGTGGGATATTCAGGCAGCAAATGGAATTATGGACTTGTGGAATCCTGCGATCCCCATGCTAACACATCATCGACTCCACAAATGCGCAGCTGCCCAGATTCAGGGCTTAGCTATGACGGCGTTGGGAGGTGATCAATACTCCATACCAACTCTACAGTACATTAATAGCGCCATCGACTAGTCCCCACGCGCAGACCACCGAACCCACCGCATGGACCACAAGTAGCGGTGAAGTCTAGCCTAGCAACGAAAAGGAGACCCAAAGAGAAAAGAAAAAAAAAGGAGGGTTCTCAAAAGCACTATGATATATAATTTCCATTGGTGTATCATCAAAAAGCCAGACTAAAAAATAATAAGAAAACAGGAGAATCCAACCCTTCCCCTTCCATCTACCGCGTCTCAACGCGCGTATCGTACATCTCCCATGCACTAATTATTTTGGTTTTCTCAGGTATTATCGCAGCAAACAAACAGCTTCGTCCTCTATTTGAACTTCCGCTTCAGCCACCCGAAGAAGCCGCCTTTCTTCTTCTCCGGCTGCTCTGCTGTTTCGGAAGTCTGGGCCTCCTCTGCCTTGGCGGGCTCCTGGTGAGCAGACTCTGTGGCAGGAGTCTCCATCGCGGGAGTCTCCTTGGGTGCCTCGGTCCGGGGCTGGGGCTCCTCGCCGCGCTTCAGGGCTGCTTCAGGCTTCTTAGGCTCGGCGGACTCGGCCGCAGCCTTGTCGGTCTTGGAGTTGTTGATGGCCGCGCTAGCCGCAGCCACCGCGACGGGCGAGGCAGGGGACTTGCTGTCAGTCTTGCTCTCGGCAGCCTTGGTGTCGATAGTCTTGCTCTGAACGGGCTTGCTCTCAACGGCGGTGGTCTTGGGGACGGCCTCAACAGCGGTGGTCTTGGGGGCGGTCTCCGTCGCGATGGTCTTGGGGGCGGTTTCAGTCGCGACAATCTCCTCGGCCTTCTGGGGCGCACCAACGGCGGGAACGGTCTTGGGGGTGGTCTCAGTCGCGACAATCCCCTCGGCCTTCTTGGGCGCCTCAACGGCGGGAACGGGCTCGGGGGTGGTGTACGCCGCCGTGGAGGCAGGGCCAGCACCAGCCAAGTGCTGCCCCGCAGCAGCGCTAGCAGCAGCCTGCTCCTCCTCAGTCTTGGCCATCTTGTGCGGCTTCACGTCATCGTTGGAGAAGATGGGCTTCTCGTACGGGCGCTTGGTGTGCGCGGCATCGGTCTCCGACGGGACAACGGCGGGGGCGGTCGTCTCGGTCTTAGGGCGCACAGGCAGGGAGGTTGTGGCAGCGGCGCCAGTGGTCGCAGCAGTTGAGGTGGCGGATTCTTCGGCGGAAGCCTCTGTGGTGGACGGGTAGGTCTCAGCCCCGAGCGAGGTTTCCTTGACACTGCTCTCGGGCAGGATAGCTGGGATTGAGTTAGTTTCGATTATTGACGAACCACCGACTATCGAATCCTTACCCGTGCCCTCTTTGTTGCCGCCGTCGAGCTCGCCGATAGTACCGGTCTTGGAGGCCTGCGCCTTGTCTGCAGTCTCCTGCACATCCTCCTTCGGCACGACCGGCGCGACCTCAGTCTCCTTCTCGGCCTCCTTGGTCTCGGTCACGGGTGCGACAGGGGTCTCCTCGGTCTTGGACTCGGTGGGCGCCTCTGTCTTCTCAGCGGACTCAGTCTTGCCCTCTCCGTACATAACCTTGTTCTCGGTCTCGTGGCCAGGGTGGCTGTGGGCTTGTTAGAAAGGTTTGCGACAGGTGGCACGCGACCACAACTTTTTTTTGGTGTCCGGGGAACCTACACAATGTTCTTCGCCGCATCGGCGACCTTGTCAACGGCGGCGGCAGCAGCGGGCTTAGCGCCGCCCTTCTTCTTGTTCTTTCCTCCCTTCTTGGCCATGATGTTCGTGTTCGTGAAGATTCGTGAGTGCTATGCGGTGGTCAGAGATGGTCCACGTCGGAATGACGACAGGATGCGAAAAGCGCAATGGGTAAAGATATAGTTGGCTAACAAAGGAGAAGAACTTACATTGTCTTTGAGGGAGGGGGGGGGGGGGGTGATGCAGAAAGGAAGAAAGACGGGAGTGGGCCAAGTAGCCTCAAGGGATGATGATCCGGTATGCTGGGATGAGCTGGGATCCGTGGTTCTCCCTACGCTTCTGGAACACTGAGACTGTAAGACGGAAATTAGATGAGGTAAGAGGTGAGAGGTAAGAGGCCCTAAGATTCTTATTACTCCATTCTACGTGGTTCATTGAAACCAATTGGAATTCGGGGATGTTTTTTTTTTGTTTTTCTTTGGCTGTTTGGGGCCGTGTATACGCCGTTTCAAAAGGATGCGCGCATTCTCTTTGCCGCTCGCAGGGTGATGCACCGATTGTCTCGGGCATTCTACAGGTCTGGGCTGCAAACGATGGCATCCTGGAAGATATGATCCCTTCTCCTAGCTGTCATGCACTTCCTCCCGTACCTACATAGTTCCGCGCTCGGGTCGCGCAAAGGTCGTGTGCCTGCAGGGGGAAGACCAGCCCTATTACCCGATTCAGCATTAGGGCTGCGACAGGGCTGCACTGGCCTGCCCCTCCAGGCCTCTAGGAGCGACTAACGTATAGGGGGCTAGGGGCTGATCCGGGGACTCTCAGACGCCGCGACCGTCGACTTAACCTACATTCCCTTGCCGTAGGACTTCGTTGTAAGGTGAAGCATTCTTGTGGGTGGTTGGGAGAGATTACATCATGTCCACTCCGACCATTGAAAGAACGGCGAGCCACTGAACCAGTGAACCACCGATGAAATATATAAATAGCAATATGTAATCAAAGCAACCAAAGACATGAACATGGATGCGTACGTTTCAGACCCACGATGATGGCAGTGGCTTAATTTGTAAAACGCTTGTGCAGGACAAGGTTGATTTACCAACAAAGCAATCACAGCAATCGATGGATGGATGCCCTTGAAAGTAAACAAAACCAAAACAGCCATAGATGGCCGGATCTGGAATGAAATAAAACAGAGGATGGGGGGGCCAGTGGGTAAAAAAACCACCAAAAAATTGACCGACGCAGGGGTCGAACCTGCAATCTCTTGATTCGTAGTCAAGCGCCTTGCCATTGGGCCAGCCGGCCTTGTTATTGAAATACCAGGACTTCTTTGACATCAAGACACAATCGACTCGCTGAGACTTTCTCAAGCAGACAAACGGGTAAAGTGTGCCGAGAGTGGAACCGGGCAAACCGGGGGGCACGGGGCGACTTGCGCTGTTTCCGGTTTTCCCTCTTCTTCCGGTGCAATAAAATGACTTACCCTTGGTGCTGACGTCGAATACCCCCACCATTTACACACACTGGCTGCTGCACGTCTCGCAAGAGTATGCCGAATTGTTCCAGGTGTTCCAGGCTACGCCAGTGCCCCCCCCAACGATGCCGATGATGCCGACACCGATGCCTATGATGCAACCGTTAAGGCTGATTCTGGAAGGCTTCGCTGCAGCAAGATTTGCCACGCACGCTGTCCGAACTCTCCATGCGATAGGGGGGCCCGACACTCTCAGTCGGTTCGCGGAGATACACGGTACCACGGTGCCACCTATACGCTAGAACTGGAGGAATGGCAGTTCCTCGAGAGCCGCCCTAAGCCGTATCTTGCGTCAGCTCCGGTGTGGCAGCCGTCTCGTTCTCGTTCAATAATAATCAATGGTCATGTCTTGCACTAGATAATCGCACAGACGGTGGGGGGGGCCAGAATGGAGTAACAGCAGAGCGTAACCCCCAATCGCCTTCACCGGAGAAGGGAAGGGCGCTCCCACGGTTCCTGGGGCTTATCTCCTGTTGCATCCACATTTGCCATTCCCCGATTTATCCGCGTCCAGTTTCCCTCCCTTTTCGACTTTTCGTCCTTCTTATCTTTCCTTCTTTTCTTTCTATAGCGAAGCATGGTCACACAGTTCCTCGTACGACTTCAACGTTCTTCGTGCTTGCACATCCTCCGCGTCCGTTCCCAACCCGGGATTGGTATGCACCCGTGAGGCAGGACTGCGTACTTCTGATACTCGATACTCGATACTCGATACTTCAGACCTCACTCTCGACCTTTCCAAGATGACTTTCCGCGAAAAGGTCAGACGAGTCTTCCATCGCTCCTCGAGCAGTGTGAGCAATGGAAAACCCAAGGTGGAATACTATCGTCGCCATGAAATTCCTCCTTCCAAGTTTCGCGGGCCCTTCGATAAAGAGCACCAAAAGCGACTAGCGGCCTGGTCCTTTGAGGCCGCCATGGCGGATCGCCCGCGCTCTCTCGACTTGTCCCTGTCGCCCTACGCCACCTACGATTTGCCTCCGTCCGATAACGACACCGAGGATGTCTCCCCGGACGATGATGGTGTGGCCATCGATCCAGGTATGTTCTTGTTCTTTGTTGTTGTGCCCTTCCCGAACCTGCCCTAACTTGTCTCCAGTCTGTTCCGACGCGGTCTCACCTATCGATATCGACTCCTCCCGCCCCACCAACGCGGGATCTCAGTCGTCCACTGTCGTCAACTCCGAGAGCTACAGCGGCTCCATGATGACTCTCCTTGGCGAGCCTTCCATTTACGAAGCCTCCGAAGATCCAATCGCCCAAATCAAGGAGTCCATTCGGTACACCTCGCCGATTGTCCGAGCCATCACCCCCGCCTCCCCGCGTGCCATGTCACCGCGAGGAAAGCACCAAACCTTCACGCCCGAAGACCTGACCCGTGCCCTCGTCGCCGTGCAGGTCTGCGCGTAATCTGTGCCAATTAACTTTCTTCTACCACATCCCGGAGATTGTCCCTTTTTACCTCTCTATTCTCCCCGACTCGATGTCACCTTTACCTCGCTTTTTTTTTTTTTTCTCCTTTGCTTTTGGCTCTCAGTTTTGAGGGCCTCGATCGGCCGATTCCCTAACCGGCCATCAAACATCGACGATCTCCACGATCCGCGATCGGAATGCGGCATGCCCATTCCCATTCCACACGGAAAACCAACCCCGCCGGAGACAGGGTTGCTGCGAGGAATGATCTCGTCTGTGCACCTTGCATCTTGCATTTGAGCGTATACCCGCACTTTTGGAGTTTTGAAAATTTGCTTAGACGCGTCCTAGTGGGTGAGACGCGCGCGACTGGTCTAGAATGTACCTTAGAACACGCTAGATATGGACAAAAATCAATGGTCGCTTGAATATTATTTTCGTGTGTAGTAGACAAAAAAGTAGGAAAGAATCTAAGCTGGGGGGCCTGGACCGCCAATTTAAACTAAGTACTCAAAGTTGAGTGTGGTCTTCCCCGCCGAGCCAAGACGTTCCCCCGCACGCCCATGCGCACATCACTCTCGGCATTCACTAAACCCGGAAATGATCCTTCTTGATCTACCCGATTATCCTAGTCAAAAGAGTCTTGAGTGGCTCGTCTTGGATTTTGTGTTGCGGGGTGGCGAGTTTCGATATGAGGTTAGATAACTCTGTTCCGACGTTGCTGCTCCGGGCCTACTCCGGGCTAGGAGTGATGGTGGCGGATCTTTCAGGTAGTCGCCACACGGTCAATCCCACGTAAATGTGTATAACTATGACGATGATTGAATAGTACATCTGGGCGCTTAAAGTCCGCTCAATATTCATACAGATGTATGAATGGCCGTGTGGCGAGGGAACGTAGGGCCGGAGCCTGACCTCTCTGCGGTTGTTGGGAATACTGATATAACTGGAAAGGTCGGTGGAGATGTCCTCATGCGTGGCAAGCCTTGTGTCTTGCTCCAGCTGAACGTGGGTTGGCCAAATCTTGGTCGATCAAATGCCCTCAAGTGCATAACGAAAGAATATTTTGGGCCTGCTCGAGTTCGTGGCCATAGAAACAAAACGCTCGGAGGGAGCTTGAAAGGCATAACAGGAATTTCAGATTCTCTTAAAGGCAAGGTTAAATTGAAGAATAACCACGGATGACAGTGATACTTACGGTCATCCCCTAAGCATATGGCTGTAGCATATCATGAGCAAGCTTCTGAGTAATCTTGTATGACAGCCAGAGAACAAATTTCAAATCTGCAGGTGTAAGCCCTATCAGACCCTCCGGGTTCAAGAGATAAAACAAGTTCATTTCGAATATAAAGCTGCAAACACGTGGATTCTTGAGCTGTGTAGCGTTGGACGAAGAGCTCGAAGGGGACGAAGCTGGGTTTTATATCTTTCAAGGTTGTGTCGTGCGAGCTGAGACGCTGGCCTATTCCTTTCCACTGAGTTTGCTTACCTGGCTTAGATATGCATCCATTTGCATCTCCCAGTGGACTGGTGTAAAGTCTCCGCTCTTGGTAGCTGGATTCCACGCACTATCCCTGCTACGCCCCTGGACCACCGCGCAGGCCCAAATGCTGACCAAGCTCTAGAAAAAGGCCACTAAAGTAATTACCACCAGTGTAGCTACCCAACGGACTTACTTTACGTTCGGGTTCCCCATGTCGGGCGGGTGGTAGGGTGACATGAGACCTGGCTGCGCTCTCCAATTTCAGGTGCGGGTTCCCACAGCTGATGTTTGATCCAGTTATTTGGTGGCCCACCATGACCAATCCCTCTTTATTGGCTATGACAAATCTCATTAGGTCCAACTGTAGGACTGTCTGATCTCATGGGGTTTTTTTATGGCCGCTCCAAGGCTCGTTCACCTCGGCTGTGGCTTGTAGCGGGTAGATGCTGGAAACCAATGCAAAGAACAGATCTGCCACGTAGCTACTGCATTTGGGGATTATCATGTCTTCCTCCAATAAGGCGCTATTTTCCAATGCATTGTTTTTATTTGTTAAATGGGTTCAAGACCTAAATCCCAACAAGAACTGGTGTATATTCACGTGACACTCTTCGCCCTAGAAGGCTGGGCTTCACTCCCGCTACAAAGTGGTTGGTTGGCGATCTCAGCCCATTTGATCGTATTGTTGCACATAGGAATTGTCACAGGCATCTTCCCGGTAATTGTATAGATCTTGGGATGCACCACAGTAATAGAAAAGGGTATAGTTGTGTACCGAGACCATGGTTTAGCCGCTGTCTTGGCACTTCAGCCTTCACCATCGGCAACTGAGGGCTCAACGGCCGAGGAAAGGTCAAGCCTTGCAGACGATAGTTCCAGACGATAGCTCCATTATTCTTTCGTAGCGACGATCATCGCTTGTAATAGGCGAGGTCCCAAAGTTGAGCTGCCACTTCAAGTAATGAGTTTGTTGCTTCGCATGAAGAGAAGGACAATATAAAGCAGATTACTCGGTACCCATTAGCCTGAAAGCTTTCAGGAACTCCAGAAGCTGCCCGTTCAATCTACTGGAGAGTGACTCGCCATAATATTTATCTTACTTATTCATATTCGCCCCGCGTAACAATGAAGCGACGATTACAGAGACCCGATTGGCCATGGGTGTGAACGTTGGCAGCAGCTAATAATCTCTGCAAGAAAACGAAGGTTCGATGTAATCCTCGGTTCTGTTGAATCCTGTCGGAGGCATGGCGCAGCGTTCGATCTTACCGCGAGGCCTTCCACACCGTAAGATCTGGGCATTGCGCGAACATCCAAAGCACAACGACGTATTCCGAGACCTCCGGCGTTGCAAAACCCATGATACTATATGAATAGCGTTAAAAATTAACTGAAGAGAGTCAGAAGATATCAGTCCATATCAGCCTAAACAGATAGTAGCAAACGTCAAGCCTTCGTAGATGCCTTACCAGAGGGAACAAGGAGCCGGACATAGGGCGAGGATATGCGACGGACACGAGGATGCCATTGATCTTGACGAATGGGGGCCAGAGCGACATCCATATTCGGAGGTGCTAAGAAGCACACCGTATTTAAGCCAAGCTGTGCCCTCGGCCCTTATTTTGTCAATAGCTGTGGATTCTACTCCTCACTCGTGTGGGTGCAAGCCACCTTGTATACTTCCAGACGCCAACCGTCTTCAGTCTATGTCTATACAGTCTGATATGCTATTCTTGACTCGTCGGGAAAGGATCACTGTCAATAGCATCTGCTCATTGTAGTATACCTACATAGGACGTTGTTCATCATGATCCGCTCTTTGCAGCAACTTCTTTGCTTTTCCTCCCATCCGAACCCCTCCAAGAGTACCAATACATCTATCAATGGTACTTCGAACAATGTCGTTCGCATCAAGCCGATTCGCAAAAAAGCCCTGAAAGCCCGTGTCCCGCATATCCGGACAGCAAGTCCTATAGTGACTCCTTCTATCGGTACAAATAGCACCTGTCTTGCTACTTACAACCCAGATGCAGAGACTACAGTCTCATTCGGCTCAGCCACCAGTGACAGCTCTTCCTCATACCCGAAGGTCCTTGTCAGGTCATCCACCACGCCATTCGATAGCGAGGGCACACCGTATGTTCCGATTCTGCAGGCAGATGGCACGCTGAGACCGCCACAGATCTCATTCGGTGGCTATGGCTCCTACGGGGGCAAGTTCGTCCCCGAATCTATAATAGGGTTCCTGCACGATCTGACCTCATTCTTCGAGGTCACTGTCTCAGATCCTTCTTTCTGGGCCGAGTATGCCACGTTCCAGCGGCCCCAGCCCACGCCTCTGCAGATGGCGAGCAAGCTCACGGCCCTTGCAGGCGGTGCTACCATCTGGCTTAAGCGAGAAGACAAGAACGAATACGGCAGCCACAAGTCTCGCAATATCATCGGCCAGCTGTTGCTGGCGCGGCGGATGGGCCGTATTGAGATCGTCACTGACTGTGCATCGGCCAAGCACGGGAACTTCACTGCGGCTATGTGTGCACGTCTGGGTCTGCGCTGCGTTGTCGTCATGGGTGCAGATGACGCCCTGGCTCAAGAAGAGGACGTCCTCGAAATGAAAATGCTCGGCGCCAAAGTCTTGACCGCTCGGACTCCTTCGGGCATGGGTTCGCTGCGTGCGGCAATCACAGAAGCACTCCGTTATTTGGTTTGCAACTACGAGACTACGTACTACCTGATGGGAGGCCCAGTGGGTCCCAGCCCCCTGCCAACCCTCACTCGCACGTTTCAGGCACTCCTAGGCGAGGAGGTTGCGATCCAGTTGCAAGGATTAACCGGTTGTCAGCCGGACGCTATCATCACAGCCATTGGTAGCGGTAGCGGTGCTGTGGGCTTGTTCAGGCCCTTTTTGCAGTACCCCACCATTCGACTCATTGGTGTTGAAGCAGCTCAAGCCGCAACTCTAACTGAAGGCGAACTTGGCGTCCTTCAGGGTGCTCGCACGCTCATGCTTCAGAACTACGACGGCCAACTTCTTGATTCCCACTCGATCTCGCCAGACATGAACCTCTCCACCGTGGGGCCCGAGCTGGCTTATTGGAAGAGTATTGGTCGTATTGAAATCTCGACCGCTACAGACGCAGATGCCCTGGACGGAATTAAAACTCTTCAACACCACGAGGGCTTTCTAGCTGGCCTGGACTCGAGTCACGCGGTGTGCAAGGCAGTTGACTTGGCCAAGGAGCTTGGGCCAGGCAAAAATCTCGTTCTGTTGGTGACGGGGTGTGATGGCATTGGCATGCATGGTCTGCTGGAGGTTTGACCTAAAGTAGGATCGACTCATTCTTGGAATATTTGGATGGTTGGTCACAAGCTACTCATTCCACTTGTCTGATTTCATTATCTTTTCTCTTTCCTCTTGTGTTGGTCACATGCTGGATACCCAGGTGTGTAGGTTTGATGTTGACGTTCGGGCGTTGACGCTTCGATTTTGTTGTACTATAGACTTGCCAGTTGCACTCACGATTCGTAAATATTTTCATGACCATAATCCATCTCTCGGGTAACTCCCATACCTTGAAAACTCCGTTGTGTCCACTTCAAGGAAATCGCTTGTTGTTTACAAAGCCTTTTCGGGATACAAAGCCGCATTCGTCACCTGCTTCTGCAGAACAAGAACATTGGCCGAAGCACAGATAGAGCTGGCACTATTGAAACTTATTTCAACATAACAATTTTTTGCTTTTCTATAGCGATGTCATCAGTCATTGGCAAGTTCGTCATGTACATGATCCATGGGATGGTATATGCAATTAATCTTCATGCGTCACCGACATGTCCAAGACCTCTACTCGTCCCCTTCCGCGAGTCTCGTTGCCGATGAAGTCATTCAGTGCTTTGTACGCTCCTGGCTCAGCAAATCCAACCACCTCCCATTCGTCGCCGCTGACCTCTTGTGACTCGACAGATTCGATGTAGTTCAAGATCAAGTCCTTCACAGTGCCGGGCGCCTTGGGTGCTGCCTCTGCATCCGAAGCACCGGCATCAACGTCAGAGTCGTCGCCCTTCTTGGACTTCTTTCCACCTTTTCCTCCCTTCTTATTGCCCTTTGAACCACCAGACGGGGCTTCCTTTTCTTTTGCAGGCGCAGAACCTGGCGCGGCTTTGACTGACTGCTTCAAGAGCGAGACCGGGCAAATAACACGCAGGCGCATGCGTGCGCGCATCACGGGAATCGGCTGCCAGGCAATAAGAGCCTTCATAGCGTCGAGTGCCTGACTCTTCGCCGACCGGTTAGATGAAACACCCGACCACATCGGCTTCTTGGGTTGCGCCGGCTCTTCTCCCGATCCGTTCGCATCGCCGCCGGGCTGCTGTTGCTGTTGACCACTGGCAGAGCTGAGTTGATCGAGGGCCTTGGAAATCATTCCTGAGGTATACACGCGCTTCGTGGTGGGGTCGACCAGTCGGCCAGACACGATATCCAAAACTTCCTTCTCAACTCGCTCTAGAATATCTTTTCGCTCGCGCTCACCGACTTGCACCTCGCCCTTTCGTAAGATCTCTTGCAAAATCTCATCTTTGGGTGTGGTGGCACCAAATGCCTTGGCGAGTTCTGCTGACGGGGCTGTTTGGGCTTTCGATACGGACAAAAAAACGGTAGGGACTTGGAGGACGTTGTCGAGATCCTTTTCGGCGCCAGACCGGTACTCTAGCAGCTTGTTCTTGTAGCAAGCAAGCTCGAAACGCTTTTTCCCTGCATGTCAGACCTGTATTAGTGACATCATAGCCTGAAAATGTTCATTAGCATCGTGCATACCTTTCTTAAGTCGAACGACCGACACATTGGTGAACTTGATCTGGTTGGAGGGCTGGTTAATCGGCATGGCGAATGAGTCTTAGTGAAGACACCAAATCAACACGAGCACCAAAATGTGAAAAATAAAAGACAGGTAAATTATTTCCAAGCTTATCCCACTCTGCCTCGAAGCCTCGATCCTCGATGAGTCATCATTATCCGTGCCAAGAGCTTGCTCGTGACCCCGCATGACTCAGGAATGTCAGGTGACGCTCGAGACTCGTGCCCAGGGCTCTCATTGGCTCCCGCTTATCGTAAGTTCCCGGATTCATCGTCACCAAGGTTCCTAGTCCCCTTCCTTCTCCTCACCCAACCTCCTCATCCATCTTCGATTGCAGGGACCGCCTTGCTTTCTTGCCTCAATCCCATCGCCTTTTCCCGGTGTACTGTGTATGTTTCTCTCCCGTCTTCAGATCTGCCCATCCTATTCCCCCTACATGAGCGGTTACTGATAAGAGCTGCCGCCTAGACCCAGGTACCCGCTTCCCATCACAAGCCATCATTACCATCACTTTCACCTTTGATCGTACACCGATCCATCATGAGACTTCTCCCCGCCACCATGCTGGTGGGAGCCGCCTCTGCGGCTGCTCCGGGCTTCCAGCAGGTCATGGGCATCCACCAGGAGCAGCTGGAGGATGTCGTCAAGCAGGGCTCTGATGCTTTCAAGCATAGCTCGGACGCCTTCTCCAAGCCGCTCGAGCAGCTCAAAGAACAATTCAAGTCCCTCTCTGGGGAAGCTCGTGAGATGTGGGAGGAAGTTTCTAACTACTTCCCCAACTCTATGGACCACGCTCCCATGCTCTCTCTGCCTAAGAAGCACACTCGCCGTCCTAGCTCTCATTGGGACCACATTGTCAGTGGCCAGGACGTTCAAAGCGTCTGGGTCACAGGAGCCGACGGCAATAAAGAGCGTGAGATCGATGGCAAGCTTGATGCCTATGATCTTCGCGTGAAGAAGGTGGACCCCAGTGCTCTTGGCGTCGATCCCGATGTTAAGCAGTACAGTGGTTATCTCGACGATAACGAGAATGATAAGCACTTGTTCTACTGTAAGCTATCCCCCATTCTCTTTCTCCGCTCAATCTGACTTTGATCAAGGGTTCTTTGAGTCTCGCAACGATCCCGAGAATGACCCTGTCGTTCTTTGGCTGAACGGTGGCCCTGGCTGCTCTTCCCTCACTGGTCTATTCATGGAGCTAGGCCCTAGCTCTATCAACGCTGAGATCAAGACCGTCTACAACGACTACGCGTGGAACTCCAATGCTTCCGTGATTTTCCTGGACCAGCCTGTCAACGTCGGCTACTCCTATAGCGGTGGTACGGTCAGCGACACCGTGGCCGCTGGCAAGGATGTTTACGCCCTCATGACCCTTTTCTTCAAGCAATTCCCCCAGTACGCCAAGCAGGACTTCCACATCGCTGGAGAGTCCTACGCTGGCCACTACATCCCCGTCTTTGCCTCGGAGATCCTGGCTCACAAGAAGCGCAACATCAACCTCAAGTCTGTACTCATTGGAAACGGCTTGACTGACGGTTTGACCCAGTATGAGTACTACCGCCCCATGGCTTGCGGTGAAGGCGGCTACCCCGCTGTTCTGGACGAGCAAAGCTGTCAGTCCATGGACAACGCCCTGCCTCGCTGCCAGTCGATGATCCAGTCTTGCTACGACAGCGAGAGCTCGTGGATGTGCGTACCGGCCTCCATCTACTGTAACAATGCCATGATGGGTCCCTACCAGCGTACCGGGCAAAATGTCTACGACGTCCGCACAAAGTGCGATGGTGATTCCAGCCTGTGCTACAAGGGCCTGAACTACATCAGCGACTATCTCAACCAGGCGGACGTCCGGGAGGCTCTTGGCGCTGAGGTTGATGGTTACGACTCATGCAACTTCGACATCAACCGTAACTTCCTGTTCCACGGTGACTGGATGAAGCCTTACCACCATCTGGTCCCTGGTGTTCTTGAACAGATCCCCGTCCTTATCTACGCCGGTGACGCCGATTTCATCTGCAACTGGCTCGGCAACAAGGCCTGGACTGAAGCCCTTGAGTGGCCCGGCCAGTCCAAGTTCGCCGCCGCCGAGCTGGAGGATCTCGTCGTCGAGCAGAACGAGCACGTTGGCAAGAAGATCGGTCAGGTCAAGTCCCACGGCAACTTCACCTTCATGCGCATCTACGGTGGTGGCCACATGGTCCCCATGGACCAGCCTGAATCCAGCCTAGAGTTCTTTAACCGCTGGTTGGGTGGTGAGTGGTTCTAAGCATCACGAGGTCTTCCTACTGCATCTTTATCTTTACTCCTTATGTGTGGTGGTAATCACTCATCTCTCTTATCTTGCATACAGTGGTTGTAACGCAATGTTCTTGGAGGATTGTTGATGGGTTAGAAGTATCTAGTTTGCTGCTTTCGGCTGTTCACAACTTTGCTTTTGCTCAGAGGTATATACTTAAGAACACGTTTAAATTGATATTTGGCCATATTAATACAACTTGTCATTGTAGTACTCAATACCTACTTATGTAAGACGTAAACCGACGGAGGGCATCTGAAAAGTCAAGGCTGGATGGCTGGCATTGGGAGGCGTTAGCAATGTTCACAATCCGCCTGGGATGCAAGTGACCCAGACAAGCGCTGGAGACTTCCTAGGTTGCACATGTGGGAATGCAACCGTTTGATGGGATCGGGGTCGAGGTACGGGACGTGAAGCGATATCTGGGTGGGAAATAAGTGTTGAGACCTTACACAACAAACTAGGTAGACAACCCGTAAGAAACAACGGCGCATGTAAGGAAAAGCTAAAGCCGTTCATACGAGGCCAAATACCAGGCTACTCTGTAAAGAGAAAGGAAATTGATCGGTTCATTTCATATTGGTATGATTCATTTTCAATTTTTAGGACTGGCATACCCAGCCCAACGGGGAAAAGATCCCACGGATGCCCATAGAAACACACCGACAATAAAGGAATCCCTCCATACCCCCGAAAACGACGAGATAAATGATTTAGCCCTTCTTCTTGGACACACCGACGGTGCGTCCACGACGGCCAGTGGTCTTGGTGTGCTGGCCACGGACACGGAGGCCCCAGTAGTGACGGAGACCGCGGTGGGAGCGGATCTTCTTGAGACGCTCGAGATCCTCACGGAGCTTGCTGTCCAAGCCGTTGGAGACAACTTGGTAGTCCTTGCCGTCGACGATGTCGCGCTGTCTGTTCAAGAACCAGGTGGGGATCTTGTACTGGGTAGGGGTCTGGAGGATGGTGACGATGCGCTCAAGCTCTTCGGTGGTGAGTTCACCAGCACTGTAAGGAGACTTGTCAGTATTTCGCTCAGTTCTCATCGTTGCGTTGGCGAGCGCTCTGCAATGTCTCGAGTGTTCGGTCTCTTCCCCCCTTTGGCGATCTCCACCGCACAAAATTTTTGTGTTTGGTCATCCACGTCGCATTCGACCGTGGACCCCTTTCAAACTTTTTCCGTGTAGTCCACCGCCGACTGAGAGCATTGCAGAGGTTGCCAGGTTGTTGGATTGTGTCGAACGTACCGCTTGCTGAGGTCGACATCGGCCTTCTTGCAGACCAGGTTGGAGTAACGGCGACCGACACCCTTGATCTGGGTCAGCGCGTACATGATCTTCTGCTTGCCGTCAACATTGGTGTTGAGCAGGCGCAGAATGAACTGGAAGTTGCTCTTCTCGCCTGTGACGAGCGCTATAATCGAAAAGTCGACAAGTTAGCCTTGCATTTTCCGGACCAATTTTAACGGGAGTGGTGATTTGTGCTTCTTGAGGGCGAAGAGTATTCGAATAATCGTAGGGGAGGAGAACGTACACATGATGGGCGATGGCGCGTTGTCGACAGAGGGATGGAGAGAAGGAAGTCTCGAGCGACTTTGCTGCCGTTGTGGGATCGGGTAATTGGGACACTAACCAAGTTGGGATTAGTGTGGACGAGGGCTCGCTTGATTAGCACTAGCCTCAATGGGGCTAGCACTGTCATGTGCTGTCCATTCACACTTGGTCACCTGACTCTGTATCGATGAAAAGGGTAATACAAGTGTAACCTCACCAGGGATTATTGGGGGTAATTACCTGTATCTTACCCGCTTACATTCTCCTTTGCCAAGTGACCACACAACGATGTTCTTTGTGTCCCCAATGCCCTTTGGTCTCGGGATGTCGGGCTTTATTCAATCAAGGGCTTCTAAGAAATCTTTTTCTTACCTAAAAATCCGTGTCTGACACCGATCATCTATGATTCCAGTGTCTGGCTACAAGATACTTGAATCAGACTATTAGCTACGTTGGATGTACGTGTTTTTCAGCCCTAGAGAACGGCGAAGAAATCATGCAAAGAGGACTTTTAGTTATTTACACTCTCGGCCGTACACTCAAGCTCAATTAGGTCTTTTTTTGTGGACTCAAATCTCTCTTTGTATGCTGCCAGACCAATGCGTCGAGATCGAAGATGCCCAGCCATACTCGATGAAAGCCGCTTCGATTCCATTCTCCGCATTTGAAGTAAACTATTATTAACCTGTTCTTTAGGTAGTCTCTTTGAATAGTGACCGGCGAGTTCACGTCTAGGCCCCACTTCCATTCTGATACCAGACTGTTGCAGACTTGCGCCCTTGGCAGGTATAACGCTCAGAATTAGGCAAGTTTGAATTCTAATTGTAGAAACAAACAAGTTTCTTTTGTTGAATGTTCTTCTAATCTATGAAATTTGACTCGAAGGGCCCAAGGGTATGGTAGGTCCATGGTCGTCGCTCTGGTCCGTTCTCTTTGTCGATATCTCGAAGCATATCTGAACGCGCAGTTTCTTTATTCTGATACTTGGTCCTGTTATAAGAGGGATGTGCTTATAGGAGACAACATTTCTTCGTCCATTCGAGATTTTACTCGAGTTCTAAATTTCTTCAACTTCAACGATTCGTTTAGCCCTGAACATCCAACTCTCTTTTCCTGGAATTCATCACACTCCTTTCGTCTGTCACCTCAGGAAAGAAGAAAGACTCACACATTGGTCTACAGGCCAATCTACTGTAGGATGCCGATGAAGACAATTTGTCGCATTCCCCAGGGCTGGCAGGAATATGCAGATCAACTGGATGCACCGTACGTTGACAAGCCATGGTATGACTTGACCAAGCTTCCTGATCCTCCTGACAAAACGCAATTCTGGTCCACGAGAAAGAGAGATGTATATAATGCTCTCAGAGTGCCTATGATAAATGCATTGGAAAGACATTATCTCTGGGGCATCAAAGCCTACGTATATGCAGGTAAGCCTACGAAGTCAGAGAAGATAGATGCCTTGTGGAAATGCTTCTATTACATGTCGGAAGATCACTTGCCTAAGAGCTGGGAGGAGGTACTTGACATAGATCGGGATGCTGGACCTCGACTGTTGAAATGGAAAGAACTTGTTCCTGCGCCGACGCCGATTAGTAAATTTTATCCGAGGTTACCTCCGGAGTCGTTCAGATTGGACGGAGATGAAAATTGGTTTGTGCCTGCAGATGCGCCGCCTGATATGCCAAGGACTTATATGCTGCAATTCCAACTCTCTTCCATCCTACCTGAAAAATTGCCCTGGTCTTCCATATCTGGCGAAAATTCAAACAGTGAGGATGAACGCCAACCTAAGAAACCTGCACCGAAAAAAACCGCGCCTAAGAATCCTGCACTTAAGAAACCTGCACCAAGTGAACCAACAGAATTCTCTTCTCTCAGCAGTGCCTCTCCTCCCAGCAATACTTCCACCAGGTCTCCGTCTCGAAGAAGTGATTCTGATCAGAACCCATCTGGTCAGGATCCATCTGGGCTAGGTGGTTATGAGGAGGGTTCGGGGCCAATTCTTTCTCAAGGTGAATTCTCTAGCTCTGGGGGCGGCTCCGGGCGCAGTCCTTATGTTATTCCAGCGAATTACGATGCAGTCCCTATCCGAGAAATCTTTGAGAAAGCCATCATGAACTACACATATCGCTGGCTTGATCGTCATCCGGGTGCACCATACAAAGGACCAATTCCTCACAGGATAGCCGAGAAGGCTGAGGATCTGGCGATTGTCCAGTCTGGAGCGTTCCGATCTGTCCAAGCCGCCAAAATAAGCATGAACCTTCAACTAGATGCAGATGGCTTTATGGTGCCAGTACGTGGCAGGGGTCCGATCTGGGAGGGTACCTCTTGTGCCATAGACTGCGTGATAGTGCTAGGCAACTTACTCGACGCTGGGTGTACCATTGCAGACCGAGGTGACAGCGATGGTGTCCATTTCACCGATCTTGAAAACGCCTTTGTCGAGGTTACCAATATGAACTGGGAGGCCTTCAGCGAAGAAACTTCGAAGGAACTTCGTAACGCCTTTTATCGTATACTGTGTAACAATGTCCCCAGTGTTACCATGGACAATCTTTGCCACTCATGGGTACCGTGGTCCGAGTGTACGAAGAACTTCGCACAGTTCAGATTTGATTATACCACAATTACGAAGGCTTGCCATTGCAGGGGCGTCGGGACTACAGAGACCGCAGGAAACGGGCGTGTGCTGGACCCTGCTTCTCTACCCGCAGATCGCGAGGGGGTGACCTTGAACATGCTATGGAGTCGAGCTTTTCCAATGTACCATCCATTCTATTGCTCAGATTGTGGTTCTGGGCCTGAAAATGACGGTCCATGGCTTTACAGAAAAATCACCAATCTTCCCCTCCGTCTAGTCGTTCAAACAGAACCGGGCACGAAGATCTGGCAGCACACTCGGGATCAAATCTTCGATTACTTAAATGCAGATGGAGAATCGTGTCAAGTAGCCTACCGCTGGCTTGGAGGGATCTATGGAGCAGGCATCCATGGACGGGTTTTCTGGGGCGAGAGTAAGCGGTTCGAAGCCCCCACCAAGGACTATGCCATGTACGACGGTGCGCTAGCATCGGGAATGATCGTTTCCTTGCCTGCATCTGATGACGAAGAAAATATTCCCCTCGAGTGGGTGCACGACCCATATTGCCCTCCAATCTTGGTATTTGAGCGTATAATGAACCCCGAAACACCCGCTATTTGTGCAGCCATCAATACCCTCAATAGTGTAGGCCAGATGGTTGAAGGAGACCAACTGTTCAAGTATGTACACATACCTTGGACCCCTGACCCTGGACCTCCTCTATTCAATTACAAAGAACGACAATTGCCTGCTTTCGGGGGCTGTTTCCTCGATTCGAAACGTCCCGATCCATTTGAGACCCTTCCGGATGACATTTGGGATATTAAGATACCCGACTGGCTCTCTCTTGCGAAGATAGATCCAAACAGAGATCTTGTGCCGAAATATGGTCTCACGGCAGTGGACTCTGCCTCGCAGGTTCCGGTCGATCTGCTCGGCACTCCGCCATCACGGGTTCCCGAAGACGTGTCACCGTTCGACTCACCTCACGTCGGCCCGCAGAGCCTCGCTGCACGTCTGGAGCTATGGCCTCCGGGCTCTTTGGATATTACTGGTGCTCTGGATTTCCCCGACCTCTCCTCACGGTCGGATTCTAGATCAGGTAGTGGCTCCTCCCAGGGTGGTGGCCGCCCTTATACCTTGAGAGAGTACTTCAATTCACTGAGAGTCAATAATCAGAGCCCGAGGGGAGGGCAAGGTGCCCAGACACAAGGAGGAGATAGCACGGCTTCACAAGAGACCCCAAGTATTACAGAAGAAGAAGTACAAGAACTCTTCCAGCAGTTTACGCACGTTGCTGGCTCCCACTCAGGAAGTCCTCCTCCTCCTCCACTCTACAGCTTGTACCCCAGAAAACGAAAGCGGGCCATGCGAGAAATGGTTCTCATTGAAAACGCTAAAAATGGGGCAAAGACGACGAAGGGGGCAAAGGTGACAAACTCAGGGAAGAAAGGGAAATATAAGAAGGACGCCACGAGCAAGAAGCATCGTGTTGAGACGCTGGATGAGGGCCGGTTAAAGCGAAAGGCAAAGACAGTCAGGTTCGAATAAGCAAGGGAAATGGTGGTTTTAGGTTGCTATGTATTTGAGACTGGTCCGACATTGACAGGTCAGGCCTTGTCCTGTTGATACCTAGGTAGATTTTACTCGAGGCTGGATTTTTCTCAGTCTCACTGATTCTGTAAGGGCCGGGCCTGGCCTCGGAGCTATGATGTTGACGTTAGTGATATTTCAATGCAATTAGTAACAAGAAGTGTATTTTATTGAACGGGGACATGGTCGATACTAGCTGATGGAGGGTTGTGCCAATCAGAGACGCGATATTTGACACCGGGGGACTCGGTTTTGTATAACACGCGGGTGTCGCCGAGTCCGTGCGGAGTCTGCCCCCGCAATACCCCAGACTCTTTTCCCTCCTTTTCTCTTCCGACTTTCCCTCCTCTGCTTCTCATTCCTTCCTTCTCATCATCGGGACTTATTAGGTTGTGCTGAGCCCACATCCTTCCAAGGCAGCAGTACTTACTCATGTACAAGCCTGAGGGCTAACACAACCAGGAACTAATGAAAGGCAGATTTCTCTGCTCTCAAGGGCCCAGGGGTTGTGAGGTATCTTTCGCTCATATTCTATGATCTATTTACATGTCTGGGCCCGGCCAAAAATCCACAGCCCAGATCTATCAACGCAAATGGGGACTTTTCATCCAAGAGAAAACATAAACAAAACAGCAGACGCAAAGGAAAGGTGATGTATATCTACAGACGAGCACGAGGCTTGGACGGGCCGGTGGCCACGTTACTCTTTTTGGGAGCAGACATATAGCCACCCATCTTGTTGTCGCTGTTGGTGATGGTGCCTTGAGCATCACGCTGGATACCCAGCTCAATCAACTTGGCAAAGACCTTGGAGAAATGGTCAAAGAACAGATCTTTGTCCTTGGCGTACTTCTCTACCCAGGGTGCAAATGCAGGATCCGTCCTGAGTGCCATATCGGTCGGCAACATCATCAACGGCTCCTCATCCTCCTCCGCATCAGGGTCCTCATACACAAACTGTGCCATGCCCGTCGCCAGCTTGCGCGGCTTCCAGTCAAGCTCGAGCAGCAGCTTGAAGAACGAATTCGAGAACCGAGTCGGGTTCGTCACCCATGGTCCTTCGAATCCGCTACGGTCGCCGTGGCACCGGCCAAGATTGTGTCCACCGGTCAGCGCCACGATCTCCTGATCATTGAAGCCCATGCGGTTGAAGATGAATCGCAGGTGGTCGGCGCCCAGGGCACCGTCCGGCAACCGACCCCGTGGCGGCACCTTGGAGTCATCCACGAAATCTGTGCGCCCGCCCTGCCAGGGAATATCCGGTCCGCCCATCGCCTTGATCGCAACTACACCTGCCAAAGTCCATAGGTCTGAGTATGTGATCCACGGGTGCTTTTCCTTAATAGGTTCCAAAAACGCCCGTCCGTGCTGCAGACCAGCGTTGGCCGGATCGCCACCCTCCGCTTCATATCGCATACCGGCGCCGTTCGAGCCACCGGTGTCAGATTCGAGGTCATAGGTGCCAGAGGAGTGCCTGCAAACAAGAACCTGTCAGCTTCTGATGCTTTCATATGATCGGTTGCCGCGGTCACTCGGGAAGTCCCCAGGCCGATCGGCTCGGCCAGACTTCGGCTTTTCGCGACAAAAAAAACAAAACAAAACGAGATCAACTTACCATGCCAGACGTACGAACACCGGCCCCAGACTGCCATCATCATAGTCGGGTTTCTTCAGGGAGGCGACGATGTCCTTGCGGACCGCCTCATAGTCTAAGGCTTTGCTCATGTTCTCGGCCGATAGCGTTTGTGCTAAGGTTTATTTGCGGCAAGAAAATCCGGATCAGGAACGCAAAGCTATTTCAAACGACAAGAGAGAGAAATGCTTTTAAGAGGAAAAGAGAAGATACAGAGAAAAAGAAAAGGGTTAAGTCTTCCACATGAAGGTCAAGAGGAAGTGGACCCGCGGGTCGCGAATCAGCCAGCGCGCACTCGCCGGTCAAAATGCCGAGGTCCCTTCGGTCGGGCATAACCCGGTCTATCAGGACCCTGAATGGTCATTCGTGCGAGTGATGTTGCGATGGCGAGAAATTCCGATTCTCGGCTCAATGTCGTATCGCCCCTAGGGTCGATTTTCGTGGACTCTGAGGTTTGGGGATTAGGGGATCTGGCCTGGTTTCCCCCACGATAAGAACATGAAGTCATCTTCCCCGGTCATATGCCGTCGGTGATAGACACGAATACCTCGGAACTTGGTACATAGCCGTGTGACGCCCGTGAGAGTCGCCATAACAGAAACGCCTCTTTTATCGGCCTATCTATTTCGCCATCTCGGCCCGAGTGTTATTCAATAGCTTCCTGGAAATAAAATGACTGCTGTGCAATTTTGACCCCGGCTAAATGGTTGCACATAAATCCAGTGATAGACACTGCGACAAGGCGGGCTATGAGACATGGCTGAAAGGCTGCACACGCTCGGAAACACTAACAGCTTTCCTGTTGGACATTCCCGTCTTCATATCCTACCGTCAGCATCGGCCGATACCTCCTGACCACCGACATTCTGCTGTTTCTGTGTACAAGGATGGCTCTCTAGGTTGGCCCTCTTCGTCTCGTTCTTCTCATTCTCGTTGCGCTGGTTTCTCCTCCTGCTTAGACGTAATAAGTCCAGTTCCCACTGCAAAACTCCCATCTGCTTCCGCATCTCCTTCACCCTTTCTTTTAATCGCCGAACCTGGCTCGTTTGCTTCCGCGCCAGTTCCTCTGCATTTTGAAAACATTGCCGAAGGCTTTCGCGGGCGCTGTGCCTCTCTTTCCTCAGGCGCCGCACCTTTCGTATCCACATCCTCCGGTGCGTGAGGTCTGTCCCTTGGATCAATTTGACTACATCGTCGAATGACCTAGTATGCTGGTTGTCTATGTTCCCTGCGTTGATGTGTTCACGCAGACACCAAATGAACGCGCGGATATCGGTCGATATTGAGTCCACCAGCTCTGTCTTTTGCATATCGGACATGCTCTCTAGGCCTTGAAGTCGCATTGCACAAGACCCAGGAGGAGAAACTCCCGGGGGAAGGATACCAGGAGGTGCCGTTTCTGGTTGATGAAAGCATTGTTGGATCTGGTCTGACATGTCGTGGGTGTGGAAGCTATGGGATGACTAAAGGACACCGAAGGGGTTTGGGGTCGTAGAGGCAGGCAGAGGGTAGTACTGTAAAACCGACCAAAAGGAAGTTGGATGACATGGGTCGAGAGAACGAGAAATTGAGAGGTCTTATATGTATAATTGGATGTCAACCACGGATCGCTCTTTGCGCAAACATTCTACTCAAAATCTCAGTCTTCTTTGACTTGTCTCATGGCAGCCGGACCAGGTTTCAATGAAGACTCAGGTAAATTGTTTGTTCGGGCTATCTGTTTACACTACGCTAGTAATAATTCCTCGAACAATGAAGGGGATTTCCCCTTATTGCGAGGTCTCGTAAACTGATTGCAAGGAGATTCACCATGCTGACTGCATATCATGCATGAATCAACGCTCGTTCATTGCCTTCTTCCATGTTTCCAATATACTCTTGTTCACAATGCTGCTACGATCGCATCTCCAACCTCCTTCGTACCCATCTTACCTCCTAGATCTGGGGTTCGAAGGCCTGAGTCAAGGACCTTGCGCACTGCAGACTCTACGCGCCTAGCTTCAGTCTCCATGTTCAGCGAGTAACGGAACATCAAGGCGACACAGAGGACCATGGCTACAGGATTGGCAATATTCCGACCGGCAATCCTGAAGAAAAGGTTAGGAACATGAAGAAGATGAGTAGAAGTGTTTGTTCTCCACTCACGTTGGGGCTGAGCCATGAGTGGGCTCATATAGACCGTATGGTCGTGTCTGAAGCTTTTTATCACCAGGAAGACCATTCAAGCTGGCACTTGGCAGGACACCCAGGGTACCAACAATTGAACCTGCCTGGTCAGAGAGCATATCGCCGAAGGTATTGTCTGCCAGAATAACCCCATTCAATGACCGTGGGTTGGTCGCCATGATCAGCGATGCCGAGTCGGCAAGCTGGTGAACCAGCTTCAGCTGTGGATATTCTGTGGTCATGATCTTTTCTACTACACGGCGCCAGAGACGTGATGAGGCCAACACATTCGCCTTGTCCAGGGAGATGACGGGCCACGGGGGATCGTGTCGTAGGGCAACTTCGGCAGCTAGACGGGTCACACGTTGAATTTCGGCCTCTGAGTAGCCCCATTCATCCATTGCTGATTATATTCATCAATCAAACATGGCTATTGAAAAAAGAAAAGTGGATTTATTTAGCTCACCGTATGTTTCATCTTCCACTTTCCGTCCAAAGTAAGCTCCTCCGCAATTCTCCCTCACCACAACAAAGTCAACACCTTCGATAATTTCGTGTCGGAATGGACTAAACTCCTTTGCGATGGAGGTGCTAGGGGAGCTAGCAGAGCATGGACGAAGATTGGCATAAATATCCATTGCCTTTCGCAATTGCAGTAGCCCACCTTCAGGCCCATCCAAACCACGCCGAGCGTTGTCCCATTTGGGTCCTCCAACTGCTGCAAACAGGACGGCGTCTGAGCTCAAAGCCGCCTGCTTGACTTCTTCCGTGACCGACTCTCCCGTTGCATCAATACTGCAGCCTCCAATTAACTCCTGGCGTAGAACAAACTTGTGCTGCGGAGTCTCAAAAGCCTTGAGCACCTTGATGGCCTCAGCCATGACCTCGGGGCCAATGCCATCACCGGGGAGTACAAGGATGCTGTGGGTTTGGGCCATATTCGGTGGGACTTTATACAGTCTGACTCAAGGGTAAAGATGGAGATTCAGCTTGATCCTCTAAGTTCATGTATACCTATAACCTATGAAGCCTATGTCGGCCTCTCGGTCTTTACTCCGACGAGTGCGGGGTTGAGTCATCTCGGACAATGACCGACGCCATGGCATCCGGTATACGTAGGTCGACTATATCTCTGTATACACTTCTCTGCTGTATGACCAGGTTCGGATTCTAAACCATGATTGTACAGTTGTAATCACTCCGCTCCGCTTTCTAGGTCCAAAGTCTACCGGGGCGGTAACATGCAGGACAAAGAACGGAAAAGTAGCCTGAAGAATCTAAGACTACATATCCCCGTGCATTCCAAAAGTAATATACGCAAGTTTCGTTCAGTAGACAAAAGTAACTTACACAAACATTACAGTCTTCAAAGTTGACCGTGAAACCCCGAGGCAGCCGATTTGGTAGGGCAGAAGCCCCACACGTGATACAGATACAGCCTACAGGTCCATCACGATAAGGCGTTATCATGAAAGTTGATGCTTCAATCCCGCCCAGGATCATTCCTTTTGGATGTTTCATTCGAAGTTGGTTGCAGGAGTCACTCTTCTCTGGTGTAAAACCCTTTCACTATGGATAGAAGAAATATATCTGTATTACAAATCCGTACTAGAATAGTCGAGAAGATGGCCGAGGCTTTCCGCCCAAGGCCCCTCCTTAGTTTGCACCATTTGCATTTAAATTTTGTCCCCGCAAAAAAGTTCACGAGAAACTGCCCCTCTTACAAGACAGCGTTCGCCCGGTCTACACTATGTCGCGTGTCGAAGAGCTTCCGGATGACTTCGATGAGTCGCTTGACCTCAATAAGGCGCCCCCCGAGGTGGTCCAGGACGTGCCGCAACCTGGATTCGATGCCTTCGCTGCCTCGAACGAAGCGCCTTTCCCTATCAATGAGGAGAGATTGATGGAAATGATGCAAGATCCCAACCACCCCGAGATGCCGCCGGCCATGGCCTCGGTCAAGTCGCATTCTAAGGAGGAGCTCTTGGCCATGATGAACAAGACTCCGCTGTTCATGACCGACATTGAGAATGCTGGTGATGAGAGTATGTCTGATCTTTCACTGCGGTTTTTTTAAAACCCTCGGTTTACTAACCTTCTTTCTCATGAATAGATGGCGAGAACGTTCTCCTAGATGCGCTTCAGGCTATGCAAAACGAGGGTACCCGCGGCGAGGTTGTGCAAAGTTTCAAGGACCAAGGCAACGAAGCCGTCCAGGAACTGCGCTGGATTGATGCCAAGGAGTTCTACACAAAGGCCATTGCTGTTATCTACGCAAAGGAAGACAAGTGGGAGAAGCCTGAGGATATCGAGGAGGAGAAGAAGCTGTTGCGGAAGATGGAGGAGCTGTCGCACATCAACCGAGCCTTGTGTAACCTCGAACTTGGTACGTTCTTTGTTCTACTCTATATCTTACGCATGTCACTAATTCCCTGCAAATAGGCAACTACCGAGCCTGCACTATTGACTGTGCGACCACCCTCAAGCTCAACCCCAAAAACGTCAAGGCTTTCTACCGCTCCTCGATGGCTTTATTGAAGCTGGACAAGGCCGATGAAGCCGAAGACGCTGCTTCAAGAGGACTGCTCATTGACCCTGAGAACAAGTCTCTCCAGACCGCTGCCAAGAAGATTGCCGAGCGCAAGGCTGCCGTCGCGCGTGTTGCTGCCAAACGCAAGGCCGAGGAAGACCTTGCACGCAGACAGAACCTGGTTCTTAGTACCGCTCTACGTGCCCGTCAAATTAGAACTCGCAAGACTGATCAGCCCCCAGAGATGGAAGATGCTGGCATCAAGCTTGTTCCCGACCCGCTCTCTCCCGAGAGTTCGGTGGAATTCCCTGCCGTTTTCCTCTATCCCATGGATGCGCAGTCCGACGTTGTCAAGGGTTTTTCAGAACTGCACTCCATTACGGACCATCTTGAATACATCTTTCCTTTGCCTTGGGATACTAAGAACGAGTACTCGATCAACAACGTTGAGTGTTTCATGCAGACTGTCTCGGGCGGTTTGATCAAGGCCGGCAAGAAGCTGCCCCTCCTGCAGATTCTTACTGGTGGAAAGATTGAAGTGGTTGATGAGCTTGTCCGGATCTTTATTGTGCCTAAATCCAAGACCAATGCTTTCATTGCAGATATGAAGGCTCGCAAGACTGGTTGAGCTTGTGCGCCCGAGGCCGCCAAAGCAAGCATTATTTTACCCGCCATAGAAAAAGCACGACACCCCAAGCATATGAGCGCTTCAATTCTCCAGAAGAACGCTGCATACAGTACCAGCGTTTAATCGGCACCGTGCTGAGATTCGCGGCCTGCTCAGTGATCAGTACATTCACGATGATACCGACTCGAAGCGGCTTGACGTTGGGAAAACAAGATACCCTGGTTATTCTGTTCATAGACAAATCTGAACCTTATGTAAAATCTTTTTGTTGGAAATTTGACTCTGCGCTTTTTTGATTTGAAAGTATAGATCCTAAACATGGGCTTTTCAAGACATGCAGTGGGAAAGCATATACTATAGCCTGATGGAGAAGACAATTGATAGGAACCTAAAGATTTTGTTCCCCCTGGCCCTTTTGACCTCTTCCTAGACTCTGGACTTTCATGATGGCATTTTTAGACCTTATACAGCTCCTTCCCAATATATTGTTCGATTACCTCGCTTCAAATATATCTGGGAAGACCTGACATGTCCGCTTTTCAGGAGTGAATAAATTACCTCATTAGTCAGACTCCACGATGAAAGGTTCAACACATTCTCTTCGCGGCAGGGGAATATGCAAAAGAAAGCACTTTATTGGAAAATAAATCCAAACAGCCACGTCCTGAATTTAGTCTGTAGTTCAATCATTTGAGTTGTGATGAATGCGGGGATAAGCATCTGCAGGGCTCAGACCAACAAATTTTGCCGGGCAGCAAAGACGGAGGTTCCTCCGGAATGAACGCTGCAGAATATCCAGGGTCGCCGAGTCACAGCATTGATACGCGTGCTGGGGGATGGGCTCTTGAGTTGACATTATCATTATGATAGATAAGGATCATTGTCCTAGGAAACGGTGATTTTTTTGAAACAACGTCTCCTAGCCTTGATCCACTCTAAAACGCTCGGGCTTAACACGATGTCCTTCAATCACAAATTCCCCATCGTGTCGCTGAACACGTTTCTTTATGGTCAAAGTGTGTTCGTTCTTGACTGTCTTTGTTAAAAAAATAGCGGTAGTCCAATTTCAGCCTAAAAGTCTCTTTAATCTAACTACGGAGCACTTGTCACTGTGAGTAGCGGGATAACAACGCCGGACCCAAGAGGGTCCAATGGGCGCCTAATGCGGACTAGAGCAGGTCCCTTATTCTCTTCGGGATAGCCGCGACCCCTACGCCACGGCCAGGAGCTCCGAATGCTGCGAGTGGAGAGAGTTGAGGGCGTCGGTGTGAAACCCCTTAGCGTGTGCCCTTGAATCTTATAAAAGGTGAAAAAGAGTCCACCTTGGAAGCTTTGGATTATTTCTTCAGCAAACTACAGCCAAGCCAGCTAGCATTCAAAGCTTACAGAGGCCGAAGAACCTCAACCTACTTCAATATGGTTCACTTCTCTACTGCAGCATTGGTACTGGTGGCCAGTGTTCTCCCACAATTGTACATATCACTCCTGAAATCCTCATGAACAATCTTCTAACACCCGGTATAAACATCACAGATCGCAAGCTTCAGGACTTGACACGGCTGCTGTTGCAGCTGGGAAGGTGTATTTCGGAACAGCCACCGACAACCCCGAGCTCACAGATACTGCCTATGTTGCGCAGCTGAGTAACACCAACGACTTCGGGCAAATCACGCCCGGGAACTCTCAGAAGGTATTTCATGAGCTATATTGTGAAATTGAAACCCACTCACATAATCTTTATAGTGGGATGCAACTGAACCACAACAAAATACCTTCACATATACTCAAGGGGATGTGATTGCCGATCTGGCTAAAGCCAACGGCCAGAAACTAAGATGTCACAACCTGGTCTGGCACAGTCAGTTACCTAGCTGGGGTAAGCTTTTTCGCGTTCAGGTTGAAGATCTCCCTTGCTTATCATGGCCTCACAGTGACTAGCGGGACGTGGACAAATACAACTCTGATCGCAGTCATGAAGAATCATATCACCAACTTGGTCACCCACTACAAAGGACAATGTTACGCATGGGACGTTGTTAACGAAGGTAAGTTTTCAGATGAATCGTCTTGAAGCTGTTTAACGATCATCTGATCAGGTCTCAACGAGGACGGTACCTACCGTGAGAGTGTGTGGTATGAGACCATCGGCGAAGCCTACATCCCCATTGCATTCGCCGCAGCCGCAGCCGCAGATCCCAATGTCAAATTGTACTATAACGATTACAATATTGAATATTCGGGGTCAAAAGCGACGGCTGCTCGAAACATTGTCAAATTGGTCCAGTCATACGGTGTCAAAATCGACGGCGTCGGTCTGCAGTCCCACTTCATCGTCGGTAGCACCCCAAGCAAGAGCGCTCAGGCCGCCAACTTGGCTGCTTTTACTGCCTTGGCTGTCGATGTGGCTATCACCGAGTTGGATATTCGTATGACTCTGCCATCGACAGCTGCTCTCCTCTCACAGCAGTCTACAGACTACGCTAGCACTGTCGGTGCCTGCATGGAGACAGATGGTTGTGTCGGTATCACCATCTGGGATTGGACGGATAAAAACTCCTGGGTACCAAATACCTTCCCTGGACAAGGTGCTGCATGCCCCTGGGATGATAATCTGGTGAAGAAGCCTGCCTATACTGGTATTTTGACTGCTCTGGGTGATACTGCATCAGCAACTAGTACTACGACCACTACGAGCTCCACTACAACAACAAGCTCCAGCTCCAGTGGCTCGACGAGTGTTGCCGCACATTGGGGCCAGTGTGGTGGTCTGAGTTGGACTGGGCCAACCGCATGTGCTAGTGGATACACTTGCACATATACCAATCCCTATTACTCTCAGTGTTTGTAATTGGATCCTTTCAAGTGCTCGGGCACACGGGAGCTTATCAGATGAACTCAACCGGAGTCTTTTTCCCATACGGTCGCACCAATATGATTTTCGCATTCAGTATCAGCCACTATGTAACCTTGAACTGTGTGTCATTTTTGTTTTATTTTACTCTTTTTGTTTTACATTATACTTTATACTTTATTTTTTATTATTATTATTATTATTATTATTATTATTATTATTATTATTATTATTATTATTATTATTTCTATTATTATTATTTTGCTCAGATCAGCTTGAAACAATTGTACAATGGGGGAATAGGTGACAAGATAATCATCGATTGCTATTTCTCGTGAGGCATGATAACTAAGGAAACTCGTGTTCATAACGTAAAGAAGAGCCAAAACTGCTAATACGCTCAATTATCAAAATAATAAGGGAACCCATAGATCTCCATGTTCTCTGCGAATTGTTCTGTCCCTGGTTGCCCAGTGTTGGGGACTCCTGGCTGTTGTAGACCTTGAATGTTTTCGAATGCCTCCGGTACGAAGGGTTGGGAGCCCACAAAAACAGGAGAGTAGTATGGAATCGAAGCCGGACTGGTGCTTGAAGATGGACCTGCCTCGACAAATGGACGCTTTCTTTTCAGGTCTTGTGAGGATGGCGACGCCGTGGGCTCGAAGCTAGGGTGTATGGGAAGTTCTTGTTGAATATATTGCGAGGGACTTGGAACGGCGGTGTGAGGGTTCGGTGAGAGGTTCGTCGGCATTTCATTACCGGATGATAGTAGAGGTTGTGGGATGTTGCTTCTTCGTAAATGACCGCTGCGTACACTTGGGGTCTCTTGGCTCGGTTGTCGACTAGTATCCTCATCTGTCGGTGTGGTTCTTCTGCTGCGCTCGCCTTGGCTGACAGTGAGTTCCACCGCGTCAGGGAGGTTGGCTCGTAAGATTGACACTGTAGTTTTCATGTCTGCGATGAATGAGTCCCCGGGCTCCAGTATAGTCAACAATGTTAGCACGTACCGGTCGCTCCGTCTTGGAACTTTTCTTCCGCTTCTCTAACATCGTATAGCTCATCTAAAAGCTGCAATCGCTCGGGTGGGGAGATTTGACGGCGAATAGGCTGCTCTGCTTCCTTGAGTCTTCGGGCGGTGACTCCGTTGCTCGCGCGCAACTCGCAAAGAACGTGAACTAGGAGTCTAATGCGCTCTTTCGGACAGATTAGCGATGATCCCCGGGGCCTGGGCATAGGAAGAAGGGGGGTCATTACCAGCCTTGGGAAGATGGTCTGGCTCCCGGTGGCTCACTCCGGACGGCCACCACGGCGGCTTGGTCGCATCTGGCTCGAGTTGCTGGGTTCTGCCAGCAACTATTTTCCGTCCGTTGTAGGGATAGTTGACCTGTTTGCGAGGCTCCACGAGCTTGACGTAGGCTTTGGCGATGACTCGGCAGTTCGTCTGTTGTAAGTTTTGGAATACCTTCTCATAGTAACCGCGCAAGAAGTCTTTATCCCTGATTGAAATCGTAGCTTTCTGATTGCTGAGGCTCAATTCTTCGTTCCAGGGCTTTTTTCTGCGCTGTTGAGCTTGTGTGGACCAAGATTCCTGTTGACCAGGCCACACCGTCGGTTGGATTTGAGGCCCCGGAGGCATCAGCACTCTACCGTGTCCTTCAACTCCACGGGTTTCTGCGCCATGAGGCACATGGCCTATTTGAGACTCGAGAGAAGTCTGCTCGCTTGGTGATATTAGGTGAGGCGCAATTGGTGCGCCTGGTTCAACTACTCCTGGTTAGAACACGATCAGGACTGTATCCAAAAATGTGACTTACACGGAGAATGTGACGGGCCAGAATCTCTTGACCTCGCCACGGCTCTGAGAAACTCATTGGTGACTCGTGGAGATAAAATAGTTTCACGGTTATTAGCGATAGAGCGCGAGGCTTCATGGCGCAGATTGCCCTCTCGGTCGATATAGATAATAGCAAAGTGCGGATAGGACAACTCGCCCAGCTGGTTTTGACTTGACATGGTCGTTGGCACCTGTTTCTGGTGTTAGCTCTCCTGCGAAACGCGGCGGTCAGGAGACAACGACAGTACCATGCAGCCAAGTCTCGTCAACTGAGGTTTCAAATCAAGTTTATAAGGGCAACAAAATGGTCTGAACGGTTCCCAGCAGCCAACAGGAGAAGAAATGGATGTCTTACAGCCCGGGAGCATGTCTGACGATTGAATGGCACGAAAAATCATTAGGTGCTCGGAAAAAGAGTAAGAGAATGGCTAACCGCTTTGGTCCCACCAGAACTCCTGGGATTCAGAGATTTATAGACAACCTGCTCAGCCACCGGTCCTCCTGTGGCGCACCTAGGGGGCTACCGAAAGTGTGGAGAACCAGCTCCAGACAGGAGGGAAAGTGCGCGATGATGGGAAGGACGGGACGTGCAACGAAATACAGTGATGAACACGATCGTTGGGCCGCTAAGCCCACGCATTACATAGCGTGTTTCCCGGATGTATTTTCCTTACCGTTAGCTGCAAGTATCAAAGTCAAGGATCGAATGTCCCGCGGAAACGCCGAATTTTAGGGCCACAGATCCAAAAGACGTTGATGGCACCCCACGCACCGCGTGTTTTCTTTTTTGGGTGTACAAAGGGATCGGCTTGGCACATGCCACGATTATGGAGCCTCTGTTACCATGGGTTTGTCGTGGGACTCGCCCAATGGAGACTCATGGACAATGGGGGCTTGTCTTAAGCCTGCCGAGCCATGACATCTCATTGGAAGCCGCAGCTGCTCTATCGATCAGCTAGATGCTAGCTCGAGACACTCTACTCAAATCAGAGTGTTTCCATGGCTCTCAAGCAAGGCTAGGCTGACCGGATTACGAACGGTTTCCGGTTATACCGGGTCTGGAATGCAGATCAGTGCCCGGCCGTTTAGGACTGAAGTACGAATTCTTTGCCTCATGTGCCCTGTCCGATCTTTCTGACGGTCTTCATTTCTGCTTTTGGCTGCCTGCATAGGCATGAATACTGGATCAGGCACCTAGGGGAGATCACACCCCCATATTGACTATTGACCCAACTGCGAACCATCTTTAATTTTAGGCTGTCAATTTACCCTGCTGTCAAGCTATGGATCCCGCGTGCAGTGGGCCCCGATAATTAGCCTAGACAATGCCGGTGTGGCGTTCACTGCTCATTTGTGATGATCGGCTCCAAAGCGTTGGAGGGTTGTGCGGCCCACGTCCATGCAACAAAGTCCAGATCTCTCTGTACGATACCCGTGTCAATCCACATGGTTCAAAGCCTGTCGTATTGGATGTCGTATTGGATGGGCAAGAGTCTCCTTGTTCTCTTCCTTTTGCTGTCACGCTTGTCCTCCCTTGGGCTGATGTCTTGGAGGCTTGGTATTGGGTTCCATGCCGATCAGAACCACCATCGTGCGTTGAGACCCCTCATACAGATTTGCAAAGGAAGCCGATCAAATTACCTATGGAGAATTGGAGAGTGTGGTTCCATATGGAACTACACCTGCATATCTAGACCTTTCACCGCTGATATTCACCCCGTATCCGTTGAGGCTTTCCGCCTTCTTCCCTGCACGTCGGTTGTTAGCTGCAATTCTTCGTATGGTCAACTTTTGATCCTTGGCGTATCGGCTAAACTGCCTGACACTTATTTCTCTTATATCACTAGTCAATAACTTGAGGGAAGAGTGTTTCATTCTGCGCTTGCCAACCATGGATTTGGGGCAATTCGTCGATTTTTCTGTGTAATTTATCGGGGCAATTGGAAAGATAACCTAGTGTGGAGATGTATCTCTCAGCACCGATATCTCCGAATAGATTGCATCCATTGTTTTCACATTCCCCTGTGGGGTGAGTGGCTTGGAAACAGTATGGGAGATACATGCAATGCGGTGTCGAATCATATGGAGGCCTCGTTATCCAGGGAGTCCCTGCACAAGGGTTTGTTACGTGAAATCTGACTTTCTCATGGCATTAGAGCCTTGACCAAAGTACCATTGATCTAAGCGCCACGGCGTGGCTGAGCTAGTCTTTTGTCAATCATTATGTTTTCAAAATAGTCGATCCTTGCCTCGGGCATCGGCTTGAGGGACTTTCCCCGCGAGGAGAGCTGAAACTATGCTGAAAGTCAATGCGACCAAGTGGGATCCAGGGCGCAGAGCCACATTTTCTCCGGCTAGTGGATAACCAGAAACTATAATTTGCCACCCCGGGTCATGACGAACAGGCCTAGGCTTTCCTCAGGCTGTTCCCTTCCTTCGGCCGGCCGGCTTCAGCTCGGCTCAGAGACCGACCTTGGCCTCGTAAAGATCACCAAACATGATCGCCGTCCAGTCATGCGTTTGTTTGCTTTTGGAATTCTAGGGTTCGAGGTGTGATCATCGAATCGGGGGGTTAGACAGGTTGTGCACCCTCAGCTCCTTGGCCCACAGTTCAAATCCCGAATTCGGGCCCCGCCGAAAAGCTGTCACTAGCCTGCCGATCTCGATGGTGAGATGGTGAGAACCGTTAGCCTCGGAGAAACTCGATACCACCTTCAGCCAAATCGGGGACAGATCTATGGATCGGACTCTTGCCAAGGGGACGGAATCCGGTCCTTGGGCCACACTCGGAATATCTCACGACCGGAGGGTTTATGCCATCCCGGGCCGTTAGCATATCAGTCGCTCATCGAGGATCGTCTGCATATGTACTCAGACCTTTTGATATTATTATTATTGTTATTATTATTGTAATTAATATCATTATTGTTGGGTTCCCGATACGGTTTCGGAGAACACTGATCAGACTTCTCCGGGCTCCGTGCTGCAAGACATGATGATGTGGGCCGCTCGATCGGGGATTCAGTATTAGGGTTGACAAATCATCCATTCGGGGATTCCTGGAACCACGGTGTATACGTTCGTGTTTCACAACCTTTTTTTTTCCCTTCCCCGGGGGCAATAGCTTATCCTCCTAAGGCTGTTAATAGAGTTTGGATGCGTCCTACAAGGTCAGCTCCAGTGTGAGACGCCCCTCCTCCACTTGCATTTTGTACATTGGACCTTCGGAACCAGAGGAATGTGTTCACTGCAAGGCCGTCTTCCACGTTGTTCTGTCTTGTTTTTTTTTGTTTTCTTTTTCGGGCTGATGGAAATCCGATTCGTGCGTCTTGCGTCACACTGTCTTCGGCATGAATATAAAGAAAGGGGATTGTAGATAGGGTAGAATAGTGCTTCAACTTGCATTGCTTGAGACGAAAACGAGCGAGAACGAGCGAGAACGAGCAGATCATGATGAATGGTCTTTAACAGGCCATATTGGACTCAGTTGCGTCTGCTCTCGTTGACCCAACTCATCGAGCTGAGCCGCATACTCCGTGCCTTGTCAGAGAAGGAACTCCGAGGTCTCGCCGTGGCTGGCTGAAAGAGCTGTTAGCTTTTCCTAGAAATACCTGGACTACTACTCGTGCAGTCGTTCGAGGAAGGGATCTTCAACCTGCATTTCCTGGAAGCTGGGAAAATTGGATCCCTCTCAAACGGGCTTGTGGCGTAACAGCGATATTTGACGGCCCACTAAGTGCTTAAGCGAGCTGCATGATACCCGTTCTAGGGTGCCATGACTGTGGGTCAAGATAATGGACAATGTACGAAGTATGGCCTCCAGGGCTGTGTACGAGAATCGTGCCTGAAGGTGGGGTTTATTCGAGCCCGTCACATGCCTCTTGTGTTAATCACCCTGTCTATTGCAGATTCCATCGAAGATCTGAAGCCTCCGATTGGTGTTGGGAAGGGAAATATCGATTCCATAGCCAGGGGTCAATGTCACATCTGATATCATCTTTTGGTCGGCGTCACCGTTAGGCTGCCAAGAATTTTTGACTCATCACTTTATTCCTATGGCTGCGGAGTGGAGCTGTTGCTCACCGGCCAAGCACTGAAAATACCTTGTTCCTACCGTCCGTTCAGTGTTATCCCGTTCACCGCGAGCATAAACGTATGAAATGTCGACGTAGATGACAATCGCGTGTCCTGTGCAATCTTTCGTTGTTGTTTTTTTTTGTTTTTTTTTTTTTTTTTGGGGTGGGGGGTGGGGTGAACTAACACCATATAGGATGCTCTAGGCATCAATTACGCCATTCTCAGCCTGAACCACATTAAGTATAAGCATCGGTAGGTTAAGGGGTATTAGGCTTCTACGGGACCACAATGTCTCATCAGGGGTAAATTAGATCCAAACCAGGGCAATGTCTTGAATTCAATCTCCAGGCCATGGGTGGGATGAACGGCAAATCTTACGCCACATCTCAGACCCCTGTGAGGCGCAGTTCCTGGATCTGTGAGAATGTGAGATGAGTACATAAGCAGCGAGGGACTACTGGAATTCTAGTGATCAGCGCTCCGTACAGCTGAATGATGACGAGTATGGATTCGTAGGGCAAGATAAATGTGAATGCCTGAGGCCACCTTTTCCCACGTGAACATATATAGCCCAAACAGGATTAGCTCATACGTCACATGCAAAGATTCATCCTGTACGCAGTTACACAATACAGCGGATCCGCCCGCAAGAGCCCTGAAGATGTCTCGTATATTACCAAGGTGAGACGCCCTCCGTTTTCGAGTCCCGTGACCCGTTCCAGTTCTGTCATTTTCCCCATGACTCTCCAATGCTTTGGCCTCAAAGGTGTCAAAAGAAGCTCACATCTAACGAACACACACGATCTCTCGATTGCAACTCCCAACCGGAGCCGAACAATCAATCACGTCCAACGGGTCCGTGACCCCACTCCAACCCAAAAGGCTCCGCTGCATTAGCCCGTCCGCCCACGGCTGATCACTCTGAATCCGGACCACACGCAACAAAATCTGTCGCTGCTCCGAGTGCCAGCTGCGTCAAAAGAGACAAGCCGATCGATTGTCAGCAACCCTGCCTTTCTCTGGTCTCTGGGCCAATCATCGTCCCTGGTTTTCGAGATCCCTTCCCTCAATCCAGAACCCCTCTGCCGCCTCATTTCCGCAATCCCTTCTATCCCTGGATTCTCGTGGTCCTTTCGCCCTTCGCGCTCCCGTCCGTCCGTGCGTAATCCAGGCGCCCTTCAGCTGCTTCCCTAAAGTCAAAGAAGCGCGACAGGGCCAGACCAAAAAGGAAAAAGAAAAGAAACCCCCGGGATTATAGCGGGCCAGCCCTGACGCCCTGGTCCCCTTTGAACGCCAATAGTTCGGCACTCTGGCGGGCAGACCTGATTACACGATGGATCCCAATGCTGGCTTTCCTGCTGGCTTTCCCGTACCGACCCAAAGCCCCCAGAATCAAATGGCGTTCTATCCGAATTCGGTTCCCCAGTACCCCCAGTCCAAGATACCACAACAGCCTGGACAACAGCAACATTCCTTTGGTGCCATGCCACAGCAGCCAGGCGGTCCCAGTGGAGCTATGATGCCCCAAGGCTTTCCCCAACAGTCATCTGGTACGCGGTCTTCCCCTTCCTCCCTTCCCCCCCCCTTTTCTTTGATTAGCCCAGCACACCTGTCACCTTCCGGCGGGGTCGACCTGCTGCTCTAGTAGTTCTCTGGGGCCAAATGCACTGTTCGCCTGAGGCTTAAGATAGGGTTGAAAACTATTCCCCTGGCTCCTCATGGGTCGTACTTGCATTTTCCCTGCGGGATCTCTACATCTCGTCCAATTGTCATCGTCAATGGTGCTAGCTATTGCTTCGACATTGGCCTTGGTAATTTCGGTCGCTGCGATTCGTCCGTCCTGGTCTTATTTTGCAGTCGAGTGTCTTCGAGTGGCGAGCCTATCGGTCATTGACATGGGATCTGACCGCTAATGTGACAGCAGCACCGATGGATGCTTTCTCGGCGTCTTTCAACCAGCCGGCCATCCCCGCATCGATGCCCCAGTACACACAACCTGGTACCGCCCCGAGCCAACCCTCCGCTGTCCAACAGACCTTCAACCAAAATATGGCTACTATTAACGCCAACATGCTCGCCAACCAACCGAAGCCTCCGCAAATGAATTCCCAGATGAATTCACAGATGAATTCGCCGCAGAACACCCAGCCCGGGACCCCTGTTCAGGGTCAGGCCCACGCCCACGCTCAAGCTCAAGCCCACGCTCAAGCTCAAGCTCAAGCTCAGGTCCAAACTCAAGTCCAGGCCCAAGCAGCAGCACGTGAAAAGGCCCGGGTGACCATCCTTCTCGAGATTAACTCGACACTATTGCAGGAGGTGGTGAATCTACAAGCGGCGGGGAAGGCAGGCACTGCGCCTACCGTGGACGCAAATCCAGAGCAGGGTGGCGCTCCCAAACCCACCCCGCAGAAGCCCAGCCAGGAATATATTGAATGCATGCGACGACTGCAAGCCAACCTGGCATATCTTGCAACGATCGCGGAGCGAGCGAAGAAGCCGGGTGCTGGTACTCCCCAAGCACCCGCTATCTTAACTGCCCCTGCAAGTGTACCCGCCGTCAACGACTTATACAACAAGCTGAACGAGCTATTCCCGCGCTCCAGTCAAGGTGGCACACCTCAGAACCTCAGCCCAGGGATATCACAGGGCAACGGTGGACCCAGTCCTTCGCCTGTGTCAGAGTCGGTAGTCTGAAGGGCCGAAACTTGCTTCCGTATTTCTTCCCTGGGATAAGCGACTGCAGATGCAGTGTTGGTTACCTCCGTTTCCGATCCGCTGGTCATGCGGGCAATCCGGACTCATGTGCTCCCCACCCCCTGTGCTGCAGAAGCCTAGGACGGCGCCTCCCGCACAGCTCCCCGCTCTCCTGCCCTATCTGCGTCACTGCATGAGCACTTGCCTTGGTATATGTGGTCTGGATGCTACCACCAAGGTATCTCACGCAAGAACTAGGCCGCTAGGGGTCATCTTGAAGGGGGTTTCAGAACAGGGACCCTGAGGGACATGACCCTCCAACCATAGTTGTATTTCTACGTATTCTCTCAAGCAAATGCACTTGATTTCCATCTGAATCTATAATCGTAATTATCCATAGCTGTGATCAATAGCTAAATAGCTAGCTAGGCCAGCTTGCCAGAAACTCGTCGATGTTGATATAAAAATAGCAGACAAAGATCGGCGGCGCGTGGCCACGCCGAATGATCGCATCGTGTGAACACCCACCGCCCAATCAGCGCTTCTCTCTCACTCCGCCTCATCCAAACATTCAAAGATTCGTTTTGCGACGCGAATGTCTTTGTTGGTGTGTAGAAGAAGCCTCAAGCTATCTACCGCGCATTGGCCTGTGGCTCCTTCTTTGCTACCTTCTCCGCCTTCCCTACGCTACTCCCGCCAAATCTCTTACCAAGTCCCTCCGGCATTCCTCCGAGCTCGCCTTTCCTCACAATTGCCCCTATCGACTGCTCGAATAATGGATGCAAGCGGTGATATTGGCGCCAAGCGCAAGCGCAGTGCTGTCGCCAGTGCTGCGGAGCGGCCGGTCAAGCACCTAAAGCCCGAGGGCACGGCGCTAACCCCCGGAGACTCTACCCCGGCGAATGGAACGGTATACGACATCGAGGAGGACGATGAGACTGGTCGCATGATGGCTGTTGGCCCTGCGCAAGCAGACTCGCCCGAGTGGCAGGCCACCATTGAGTCGGTGGTCAAGAGCGTCGTGTCTATCCACTTCTGCCAGACCTGCTCCTTTGACACCGAGCTCTCCATGAGCAGTCAGGCGACTGGTTTCGTCGTTGATGCTGAGCGCGGATACATCTTGACAAATCGGCATGTAGTAGGCGCTGGTCCATTCTGGGGATACGTCATCTTCGATAACCACGAGGAGGTAAGTCATTCCAGCGGATAGTATGCAGCTTTGACCAGCGATCTAATTGTTGTCTTCAATTGCTAGTGTGACGTCCGTCCAGTCTATCGAGACCCCGTTCACGATTTCGGCATCCTTCAATTTGATCCCAAGGCGATTCACTATATGACCCTCACGGAACTCAAGCTTCAGCCGGACGCAGCTCGGGTCGGCGCTGAGATTCGCGTAGTCGGTAACGATGCAGGCGAGAAGCTGAGCATTCTGTCGGGTGTGATCAGTAGATTGGACCGGAATGCACCAGAGTATGGCGAGGGATACAGTGACTTCAACACAAACTACATCCAGGCGGCGGCTGCTGCCAGTGGTGGTAGTTCCGGAAGTCCTGTCGTCAACATCGACGGCAACGCGGTCGCTTTGCAAGCTGGTGGACGAGCTGATGGTGCTGCAACCGACTATTTCTTACCGCTAGACCGCCCCCTTCGTGCCTTAGAATGTATCCGTCAGAGCAAGCCCGTCACTCGAGGCACCATTCAGACCCAGTGGATTCTCAAGCCTTTCGATGAGTGCCGTCGTCTAGGCTTGACTCCTGAGTGGGAGGCAGCTGTGCGTAAAGCAGCACCCACCGAGACCAACATGCTTGCAGCTGAAATCATCCTGCCTGAGGGACCTGCAGACGGCAAGATTCTTGAGGGCGATGTGTTGCTGCAAGTGAATGGAGAGCTTTTGACTCAATTTGTTCGTCTTGACGATATTTTGGACTCCAGTGTGGGCAAGACGGTAAATTTGCTGGTGCAAAGAGGGGGAGAAAACGTTGAGGTGGAATGTGATGTTGGCGACCTTCATGCCATCTCCCCTGATCGATTTGTTACTGTGGCCGGAGGTACCTTCCATGACCTTTCATACCAACAATCTCGCCTCTATGCCATCGCCACCCGCGGTGTGTACGTATGTGAAGCGGCTGGTTCCTTCAAACTAGAGAACACGCTATCGGGGTGGATCATTGATTCGGTTGACAAGCGGCCAACTCGAAACTTGAATGAGTTCGTCGAGGTTATGAAGACCATTCCGGACCGCGCACGAGTTGTCATTTCATATCGTCATATTAGAGACCTTCACACCAAGGGGACTAGCATCATCTACGTCGACCGTCACTGGCATCCGAAGATGCGTTTGGCTGTTCGTAATGATACCTCTGGTATCTGGGACTTCTCAGATCTCGCGGACCCGATTCCGGCTGAGCCACCTGTTCCCCGCAAGGCGGACTTCATCCAGTTGGACGGTGTGAGCCAGCCTGCTGCTGCAGAGATTGTCCGCAGCTTCGTGCGGGTCTCTTGTACCATGCCTTTGAAGCTCGATGGATATCCTCAGGCCAAGAAGACCGGTTTCGGCCTGGTCATTGATGCCGAGAAGGGTCTGGTCGTGGTGTCGCGAGCGATTGTCCCCTATGATCTCTGCGACATCAACATCACAGTCGCCGATTCGGTCATCGTCACTGCCAGCGTTGTCTTCCTGCACCCGCTTCAGAATTATACAATTATCCAATATGATCCCAAGCTAGTTGATGCGCCTGTTCAGAGCGCCCGACTCAGTACCGACTATATCAAGCAGGGACAAGACACCATATTTGTCGGCTTCAACCAGAACTTCCGCATCGTTGTGGCTAAGACAGCCGTCACCGATATTACCACTGTCTCCATCCCCGCCAACGCTTCCGCCCCCGCTACCGCGCCATCAACCTCGATGCCATCACCGTTGATACTGGACTTAGTGGACAGTGCACCAACGGTGTTCTGATTGGGGAGGATGGGGTGGTGCAGGCATTGTGGCTTAACTACCTCGGCGAACGCACACCCAGCTCTCACAAGGATGTCGAGTACCACCTTGGTTTCGCCACGCCGTCGTTGCTTCCGGTCACTTCCAAAATTCAACAGGGTCTCACTCCGAAGCTGCGCATTTTGAACATGGAAAGCTATGTCGTGCAAATGAGCCAGGCACGCATTATGGGCGTCTCTGAAGAGTGGATCCAGAAGGTCGCGCAGGCTAACCCCTCTCGACACCAACTTTTCATGGTGCGCAAGGTTGACTGCACGCCGGTGATTTTTACTGCCACTGAGGGTATCGATAGCTTCCAAGAAGCCGACATTATCCTGACTTTGGATGAGCAGCTCATCACCCGCGTCTCGGAGCTGGACATGATGTATGAGAAGGATTTCCTGGATGCCTTGATCGTTCGAAACGGTCAGGAGATGCGCATCCGAGTTCCCACTGTTCCCACTGAAGACCTTGAGACTGACCGTGCTGTCGTCTTCTGCGGTGCTGTCCTGCAGAAGCCCCATCACGCTGTTCGGCAACAAATTTCCAAGCTCCACAGTGAGATTTACGTGAGCGCTAGAGTAAGTAGTGTTCTCCCTATCGCAGGTTGGCGTATGTGACTAACCCTGTATTCAGAGCCGCGGCTCTCCTGCGTACCACTATGGTCTCGCCCCGACTAACTTCATCACTGCTGTAAACGGTGTCCCGACACCCAATCTCGATAGCTTTGTCAAGCAAGTTGCTCAGATTCCGGACAACACATACTTCCGTCTTCGTGCCGTTACCTTCGACAATGTTCCGTGGGTAGTGACTATGAAGAAGAACGATCACTACGTAAGTCAATTTCCTTACAATCATTCTATTTTAAGTTCTAATTTGCCCACCTGCAGTTCCCCATGTCCGAGTATCTCAAAGATCCCTCTGTCTCCGCGGGTTGGCGCACCATCCCCCACGACAAGTCAGCCGACAAGCTCGGCATCTCTTCCGACGCTGCGAATCTGAACCCTGACGCCATGGACGAGGGCGGGGATGGTTGTGCTAGCGACATGGAGCCCGACATGGAGTAGGTTTGATTATACTTGTCTTGCGGGTGACTTGTGTCATGTACAATATTCGGTTTGGTGGCGCGGCTAGGTCGGGCTGGTAAAGGGGAGGTTCATTAGATCTTTAGGTCTGCTTTTTTCCAGGAACGTGTATGGTTTCTTTGGTCTGAAATAGAGCCAGGTACCAAATCTAAAAAAAAATTCATACCACGCAATCTACCCAACGTTGAAGGTGCTGCGACGAATGCACCGAATTGAATCATTTTTCCTGTATCACCCGATTCCGAATCTTACATTCACCTCTGTATTTGCATTCATGGGTGCCCAGTGTTTTGTTCGCATTTCGAGCTTACATATGTATATCCTACCCAGCGTCTCTTTTCCAATGTGGCCCGGCCCCACAGTTATATATTTGCGGATTCCTGGGTAGCTGGAATTTGCCCAGCCAACTTAGCATATAGCTAACCAGATACATATGACAATATACCAGGGAACGATTAGAGTACGAGAGGAATGACAGAGAGAAAAATAATAAGTTCAAAAAATCATGAGATCCAAAGTTTCCCTCCCACCTTGGGTGAGGAGGGGAAAGACAAAAAAATTGCTTTGCATCATCCGTGAATCGAACACGGGCCTCGTCGATGGCAACGACGAATTCTACCACTAGACCAATGATGCTAGTTGATGTATTAATTAACAGGTTAATGTTATATGAGGCCAGACTCGAATTATTGCTTTACATTATTATGATATGCGATTCATTTGATTTGACGAGTTGCTGTGGACAAGGAGTTGGAGCCCGGAAGGAGCCAGCTATAAGAATTACACTTCAAGTGCCATTGAACAATTTGAACACGGAATAATAACACAACCCCCTTGGAACAGCCCAATTATTAGCCATATGCACCAGTGGATATACGCGACTGCGTCTAAGATCGGAGCTTAGACATCTCGTCGAAGTAAAAAAAATACATGGACGCCGATAAATCAACACTCCCAAACACCAAAACACCACTTCTGCAAGCGAACTATTCCATGACTGCCTCTGCTGTTCAATATGACATCTCAATCGCGGGTGGGACACTTCAATACCAATACACGGTCCAGCCGTCTACCTATCGAAGGACCATCCGCCATTGAGGCGCAACCGTTGCCGCTCTGCAACATCTTTCCGAATCTCTTCCTGGGTAAGTCCGTCCGGTCCGTTCCAGTTGGCACTGCTAGTGCGATCGCGGTATTTCTTGATCTTCTTGTCCGCCTTGAAAGTATCCTCCAAGGAGAAGGGAGCGATGGGACCGAAGATCGAATCGACTTCCATTCCGTCCTGCACGCGTAGGATTTCATCCAGAGCCTTGGGCTGGGCCCACCCAGGAACGGGGAACATCTCAGAGTCAGAGTCGTCCTCGTCCTCGCTATCTGTGGCAATTTCAGGCAGGTGAATGTTCTCACCCTTAGGATATTTCGGCGATGGCTTGGCCACGGGCGGGGGTCGCTGAGCAGAGCTAGGCGTAGGCTTTTGCGTAGGTGGCGGTGCGTGGGTTGGCTCGGCGAACGGAATCTTACCGGACGCGAACTTGGATAGATCTCCGGGCCGCTGAGGCTGGCCATACTTTGGTGGCTGTCCCATACCAGAGAGCCCAAACATGGAGGGGGGCTTTGAAGAGTTCTTAGTTAGCAGTTGGTCTGACGAGAGCCATGAGATGATACGGGCACATACCTTGCGAGCACCAGACTGGCGGATTGGCGGATGCATCGAAGGCCGCACCGACTGCATAGCGTTGTGTTCATCTTCTGTTTTGCGTCGTTTGACCTCGCCAGAAGCCTGTACGTTACTAGGCTTGACGACAGCAGGACGATGACCTGCATCTTCATCGTGGAGTCTCTTGGGCGGCTTGGCTGGATTAGGAGCTGGCGGGTTGATTGGTCGATACTGCTGGGTTGAACCCAAGCGAGATGCGGGCCTGGTCGCTCCAAGATCATTCCGTTGAGACTGCGAAGGCGCCCTTTCGTGCTGCAACATCGGACCCTGCTCATATTAGCAAAAATTCCAAAAGCTCACCGCAGAGCCTACATACCTCATTAGTGGGCTGCTGGCTGCCCTGCCTCTCGTGCTTCCGAGCATTCTCCAGTCGTCTTTTCTCAATCGCTTGCATCTGAGCAGCCTTCTTGGGGTCTTCCTGAGCGGATCGCTCCCGACGCTCTCGCTCAGCTTCGGCACGGCTCTCGGCACGACTCTCAGCACGACTGCGCATCTCTTGCCGACGGGCCTCTTCTTGTTGTTGCTGGGCAGCACGTTTGCGTTCCTGCTCACGCTTTTGCTCCTCCTTCCGACGTTCCTCCTGCTCCCTCTTTCGTTCACTTGCGAGCTGGGCCTTTCGCTGCGCTTGTGTTTGACTGGAAGCGGTGCTCTTGAAGCTACCTACAGAGGAAGACGTTTGAAGTGACTGGTTGCTAACCTTCTTCACATTTGTCTTGGAAATAGGAGCAGGAGCGGGAGCACTTGTCTCCTGAATGTTGGAGACTGAAGACGAGGGCATTGGCATACGAGAAAGTGTACTCCCCACACGAATTGAGACCGGCTGGGGCTCGGGCTTCTGGACTGGCTCACGAGTCGGTTTGGGACGTCGATCGTTTTGCTTGAGCTGAGGAATAGAGAGTTTGGACGTCTCTTGGGCTGAGTCAGGCCTACGAGGCTGTTGTCGCTGAGGCTGGGTCGACTTCTGGGATGTGCGCTCCTCAGGCTCGATGGACGACTTGTCTTGAACCGCCCTCAGTTGCTGAGCCCGCAGTTTTTCCTGCTCCCGGGCTCTCTCCTGCCGTGCTTCTTCTTGTTGGCGCTCCTCACGCTCCTCACGCTCCTCGCGATCCTCGCGTTCCTTTTGCAGGCGCTTCTCTTCCTTCTCGGTAGAGCTTCGTGTCCGTCGGGTCTCTTGTCGTGGCGGACTAGAGATCTGGCGTGGTTGGGGTTCCTCATGATCATGCTTACCACCGACCACAGCGCTCCCAGGTCGAGTCCTCAGCTGCTCGGGACTTGAGGTGTCCCCTCGCCCTGGGCTACCGGTGCTGGAGAACAAGCCCTTAGCAGACTTCATGATCGATTGAAGTCTCATCTTTGATGCACTCAGCGGCCCGTCGAAGCGTCTAGGAGACCCAGTAGGGGTGGTGGAGGCACCAGTAGCAATATGAGACGTAGATGCGCTTTGCTGGTGACCATGTGGACGAGGGGATGAGAAAATTGAAGTTGCGGTCTTCGGACGCTCTGGCTGGGCAGAACGCTGTAATTTTCCAAATGAAGCATCTTTCTTCTCAGCCGATGGGACACGATCCACATCAAATAGTTTCTCCATAACTTCTGTCGTCTTGCTCCTTGAAAGGGTTGGTTGGCTGGGTGAGCCCAAAGGCTTGATCCAATCGTCCTCATCGCCTGCTGTTGGTTCGGAAAGCACAGCCTCTGTTGTCTTTTGGCTATATTCTTGCTTGGTCTCTGCCTTGGAGGCTTGCAAATCTGGATAGGCCACCTGGCTAGCAGTATGGCCATTAGACAAACTAACCACGGATGGGATCGACTTTCCGGTCCGAGAGGCATGCTGTTTACCGAGCATGCTGATCCTTTCATGAAGGCTTTGGGTAGACTTCTTGTCGTGAACCTTGCTCGCTTGATCCATTTCAGTGTCGTCTTTCTGTTCTTTTGCATCGTCGACGTCCATAGTACCGGTTTCGGCCACATTGTCATCGGATGTGGCCTGAGCTGTTCGGTGGCCTCCAGTTTGGCGGCCGAAATAGCTAAGGCGATTTCCATTGCTGAGCTTGGGAAGGTCGATGTGACTAGTACGAGAGAGTCTCGAGCCTCCCATAGTCTTTGTAAGAGGTTCCCGCGCAGGGAGAGAGGCGAAACTCAGACTGCTCTTGCGTACTGGAAGCCGTTCGGGAGTGGAACCGTCCGAGGGAGATCCGATATCGTCAATATCGTCAATGTCGTCAAGAGTGGTGTCTTCCTTTGCTGGCTCTTCCATCTCCACGTCATCATTCTGGGGTTGCTGCGCATTGGAAGGCTCAATAGTTGGGATCTTCTCTGATGAAGCCTTGGCATTTGCAGTCAGCTCGTCAACCTTCTGTGCCTTGCTCTTCTGCTGTACCGCCATCTTCTCTTCTTGCTTTGAATTTGGCTGCGCCTTAACTGTAGGGGTATTCATGAGGGGCTCAGCATATTTGGGCTTGGCCTCCTTGGAACGGGTAACACGCTCTTGTCGCGGGGTCAAATCCCTATTTATCGGCTCGATAGTCTCTTCGCGAGCTCGAACATTCTCCTGTGCAGAGTGGAAGGAGTCATCTGCCGTTTGCTCTCTGATAGAGTGGTCGACGTGGGTATTCGTTTCCATGGGCTCGCCTGCCTCCAAAGGTTGTGTGGAGGAGACCTGTGTGTCTGGTTGAGTGTCTGGCAAAACCATTTCGTCGTCATCCTCCATGCCATGATAGCCCGAGTCTGTATTATACTTCGTGAAAGAATTCAGGTTTTGGCTGAGATCTGGATATTGAGGTTGTGGCGTCTTCTCTGCTTGATTCAAGCGAGGGGTGGCTAATGTTGTAACCGGGCCCGGAGCCGCGGAGGTGGTTTTCGAGACCACGCGGTGAATGAATGGACTGGGACTGATCGCCTTGTTCTCCGTTTGTTTATGAGCAGATGAGAAGATCTCGCTCAGCGGCTGCAGACATTCGGTTAGGTTAGCCACGACTGTGGAAATGTGACTGAATCACACAACTCACCACTCGGTTCTCTTCCACATTTCGCTTTCGGGCTGTGCGAGGAGTCTTGCCCCTCATCTTTCCAGGGGTTTTGAATACATCCGTAAAGTTTCTGCGATGAAGGTCAGCGTTGAGATCAATGCCCGCCCGAGCGAAGGATCGCGACTCACGCTTGGCCCTTGGAGAAGATCTCCGTCATGTGTTCGTTCAACCATTCCATTTCGTGTCGAACGGGATATTCCACCTCTTCCATTTCTTGTTCAAGCAGCTCCGTCATGTTCTCCTTCTCCGCCGCGATCCATGCGGCAGAGCCGACGGGCTTTTGTGCCCGCGCACTAGCTGCGGCCATGATGTAAACAACGCGCCGAGTGTTGGGGGAAATCGGTGTCGGTGGGCGCGATAGATGTTGGTTTCGAGATGTGGATTAAATTACTATAGTTGGTACAGCATCGGGAGTCGAATGGGTGCGAGGTGTCGGGGCTCCAAGGTTGGCGTCGGGAATGAAGGTTGGTCGAGGATCAAAACACACATCCCAACTAGGAAACGCGTATCTAGTCGTCACGTGCACACATGCTAAGATTCTGGATTTCGTCTTTTTGTTCAGTAATTTTCTTTATCTGGTGAATTGATTGTTCTTGAACGGTTGATGTCTATCTCATGCTTTACGTAAGTACCAATGACCTCTCCGTGACAGTCAGAGTGGCGAATTGCGCGACTGCCTCTTCGGCGGGGGTGTCCATGGAGATATTGAGTCTCTGCAATGTATCTTCCGGGAGACAATCGTATCCTAAGTTGGGAGGCAATGGTCGAGCCCATTCGACAGTAAGATCCGGGGCTCTTTGTGGGCGATCGCCGATGGAGTCCTCTGAAGGTCGCCAGGTTACTGTCGCAACATAGTAATCAAGCTGACCAGGCCGCACTTCATCTCGCACCCAGCGCCTGCCGCCCAGAATAGAGCTCCCAGTCCACCGGGAGATGGAAATATCGGATGATTGAGCCAGGAGATTAACACCATCAGTGCGTTTGAAGTGCCATTTCTTTGCGGCTTCGTTCGCAATATAGTCCACCTCGTCTTTGCGCCGCTCGATGCTTTCAATGTCCATTTTGAAGCTCGTCACACTCCTCGGCAGCACCATCCATCGACACCATTTGCCAGAGATATGGAGGGCTCGATTTACTTCCCATTCCCAGGTATCCGTATATCGTAAAGTGATGGTGACGGATTTGGGGTAGAAATGGGGTAGGCCTGGGTTGAAGAGTCCCATAAAGTCCCGGGATTTTTCGAGCATAAAAAGCTGTGCAAACAGTCGTACCTGACCGCCTTGAACTTCTCCATGTCGATGATAGATCAAGTCAAGACATTCTTGCATCTTCCTGACGGACATGGTTCGGCGGGGAGAACGATCTGCTCGGGCCATATAGAATGTATGCTCGGACCAGATGAATGGCATGAACCACGCCTCCATGTAGACTCGCTTGCAGGTTCGAAGCAGCTGTGTCCAGCTAAAGTGGCGAGTCTCGTACCCGGGTCGTATGCAATATTCATCCTGGTCAATGGGCTGAGTGGTGTCCGGGGCACTGGCCAGGGCAAAGGCAAATATCTCCGAGCGAATCTCCGGAGGAAGGATAGAGAAAAGTGCACTCTGACTCTGATCTGCATAGTCTGTAAAGGACATGGACGAAAGAGTCGGGTCCATCTCGGCGTTGGGGGCTCTCTTCTTGCGACCAAGATGTCGTTCAAGGGTCTGAGTTGTCAGTGTTGTCTGGAGTTTGAGGCTGAAAGCGGGGAATCCCCTCATCGAGTCATTTCGAGGACCAACCCACCTTTCAGTGATTGTTAGATGGTCTATTGGTCGAGAACTTCTATGTCTACAGTAGAAGAGCATAAGCCCTACAATGTACAAATTTGTCCTCGCAGAGGCCCTTCATGTGGATTTGTTGACCACACCCTGCGTCGTGGAGGGTTGCGCGACATCTACAAGATCGTGGGGGCGTGTAATGGGCTTGCTCTTGTAGCTCTCATTTCCAACATTCTCACAATACATAGCATTCTCCAATAAACAAGGTGAGATAGCCAGCACGAAGTTCAATTTAGTTTGACTATTACCAGAGTACCGTTGTAGGTTACTTGAAGTCGGTACCTGTGGCGCCATTGCAGGCCACTATTACCGTATCAGGCTCCATAAAACCGAGATAGAAGAAAACAAACCTCTGATAATCTCGAGATTATGAGTATATCGAGACAATCAGAAAAGAATATAGCTTCAGGGTTCAGTCTATGGAGTTGTCGAGAGGCGAGCGTGTCTTCTAGGGATTTCTCTAGGCACCGATGAGCGCGTGAAAATGCACTGCGCATGGGCCGAGCTGGCCGCGAGTCGCCGGAGAGCTAAGGTATCCGTACTTCTAACAAGTCCAGATTGGACACGAGCTTGGAGGGGACATAGCAAGGAAAATCCGGGAATAAGGGGGAATCATCGAAGACCAGGGAATATGGTCATAGAGCTGATAATCAGGGAAAGGACGATGTATAACAACTTGAAACGTGAATGATGATGTCAAAGGTGTTCGGGAACCCTTGGGCGCACATGACAATCCACACCAAAACAATTCCAATCTCTTATCGCGCTCCTTTTTCCACTTCACCTCTTCACTTCTCTTCACCTTCCTCCGCCTTCCTTTCAGTCGTCTCTTCCTTGTGATCCTTGACTTCTTTTAATTCCAAAATGGCCGACTCTGGTGACGTGAGCTATCCTAACACCAGTAGTAAGGTACTACAACTCCTGACTCCTGCTCCTCACGGGATGCTAACAAGCTCGACAGTCCCTATTGTCTTCCCACTTCTAACTCCTCTCCATCTACCCCCACAATGACACTCGGCTGATTCCGGACTTCCGCGTATGCAGACATCCGCGATGTGGTGACGAAGGGTAAATAGACTCTTTGCGGGTGTGCGGAGAGGCTTTGGGAACATTCCAGCTAATACGCGATTTTCTAGGTCCTGTTGTTGATAAGGTCAAGTCTGAAGCGTCCAAGACCAGCAGCGAGCTTCGCGACTTGAAGAACTCGCGGGTGATCCCTTCGACCACCACTGACAATGGCCAGCCATTGACCCGTATGTGTTGCTCTGCCGGACCGAGTTTGGGCGATAGGAACACCAAAAAGCTGATTGAAATACAGACTACCACTCTCTGCTGTATAGTCTGCTGAGTGTGAGTTGGCCTCAGACTTTTTGGCGGTGTGATATTTTTTGCTGACTTCTTCGGTGTACAGTGGGAGCAACCCCGTGCGACCGCCGTTTCCTATGCCAGCGTCATCGGCTTCATCTTCGCCGCTCGCTACCTGCCTCTCCTTCGCTGGGCCTTCAAGTTTTTGTACATGTCGTTGGGATGTGAGTTGGTCGCGTGACCCGTTGTTTCCGGAGTGGGCAACTGACTTCGTCTGGTAGTGACCGCCGCCGTTGAAATTGCCGGCCATGTTATTCTCAAGCAGGGCATCGCCAGCTCTTTCCGCCCCCGCCGCTACTACACCATCCCCAAGGAGACCCACGAGGCTGTTCTTGAGGACATCTCGCAGCTCCTGGACTTCTTCTTGATCGAGTTCCAGCGCATCCTCTTCGCTGAGAATGTCGCCCACACTGTCGGCGTATGTCTTAATGCTGCCTCTATGAATGCCTCTATGAGTTTCTAACGTGTCTCAGGCTTTCTTCGCTGCCTTCACCGGCTACTGGCTCATCCGCTTCGTCCCGCTCTGGGGTTTGGCCGTGATCGCCGTGACCACCGCCTACTTCGGTCCCCTTGTGTACATTAGCAACCGTGAGATCATCGATGAGCAGATCGCCAATCTTCAGTCCATCATCACCTCGCAGACCAACCAGCTGAAGGATATGGCCGGTGAGCACACCTCCCACGCCACCGGTGTTATGAAGCAGTACGTCGGTGAGTACAGCTCCAAGGCCCAGGAGTACATCGGCCGCCGCTCCGCCTCCCCCGAGATGAGCAAGGTTGCTCCCACCCCCGTGAAGACCGAACCCATCTCGGAGCCCGTTATCAAGACCGAGGACTTCCCCGAAGCCCCCAAGGTCGAGCCCGTCGTTGAGTCTATTGAGTCGACCGAGCCGGCGGCACAGCAGACAGAGCGGGAGCCTCTTCTCGCCATCTAAACGCATACGCCTCATAATGCCCCAATTTGTCGAACTGGATGGCTGTTAATAACAGTCCTCGATTTGATAAAAATGGGAATATGCCTTGCGCCGTTGATCCTCAACAATGGTTTACGGTACGCGAGAAAGGTGTTGGGGCCCTCCATTAGCTCTTCGGATCATTTGGGATGTATATCAGGCCCCAGCACCGCTTGCCCCGATGACGAAAACTACCTATGTGGAACGCTCGGACGATGAATCGACTTTCATGACTCCGGTCTATTTCTGTTCACTTCACCTCTTATCTTTCACCTTTCACCTTTCACCCTTTATCTGTCTATTTAGTCTTCTTGGCCCCCTTTGTTTATTTCGTTCGGGTTGAAATTGTTCTAATGCAATTGTCCAAGATAAATCTTATGAATGTGACGCTTGCCCCCTCATAGATCCCAAATGAACTTCTCCTGTAACGTGCCGGTCCTCGAGCCTCTAGCAACAAAACGTAGCATCTCACTAGAAGACATCAGTCCCCGTGTGTCCGAGTTGTACGATCTGTGCAAGACGCGCAGGAGCCTCGACTCGACCAACTTGGGCAACTGTTGGACGTGGCGCCTGCAAGTGGCCTCATATTGCTTCATGCTCCCACATGAGTAACGCATCCCGGCGCCGTGAGAGGCGGCCGTTAAGTTTCATCCCGGTCCACCAAGCTCCCAACTCTCCGCATCGTGATTCAGGCCGGCCTGGGAGTGCATCCGTTACCTCTACCCTTCTCTGCCGTGTGCTCGAAAACTAGTCTTGTTGAGATGAGCTCACCACGGACTTGTACTCAACTTGAAGCCAGAAGTATCTTAAGAAGGCTTGACTGTTGCCTGACACTTTTTAGTTTAGGTGTAGAGCCAGTGAATAATGTAGGCGCCGGGGCTATGTCGCCATACGCTCGTGTTGGAACGAAGTCCCCAGATTCCAACCAGGTTTGTATGGATTATAGTTTAGACCTTGCAGCTTCAGCAGGGATTCATGAGGAGTAGGCCTTTGGACAGAGGATTTCGAGTCTCGAGGTGCTTTGCACAGGTGGTGTCGGCATTGCCTCAACCACCGCTAGCTTCATGCATTGTCTATTGAAGCTGTTTTCGTGACCAACACAGAGCCATTGATGGGAAAAGCCATACCTTCAATACTAGAGGAGCTAACAAGTGAGACTGTTCGGGGAGGAAGTCGAGGGTGCGTCCTGGAACGTCGTTGAGGACGAGGACCCTGAGGAGGCTCGAGCCCTCACAGCAGCATCCCAATTGAGACCTCCAGTTTTCGCTTTCCAAAATGTGGATAGAACAGGAGAACCGCTTCGCAGCACCGAACACGCATGTTCGGGTTTACCGCTCTTTTGGGCCTAACGGGGCAGTCACTCATTGCCAGCCTGTCTAAGACATTCGGATCCCGTCGTCTTCTTTGGCCTCTCGGTCTCAGACTCGTATCGTTGGGCTGCAGACCGAAGTTTAGATGGGTTCCGGGGGATCAATGGCCATGACAATTCCTCATTCCAGAGGTATGCTGCCTAGATCTGTAGGGAAATGGGAATGTGTCCTGGTAGATGATATCGTGAGATCTGCACCGTATATGCTGTGCTTTAGCCTGGAGGAGATATCCCTAGTGCCAATTGGCGAGGACCCCTGGAACTATCAGGAATATGGGCTGCACGGCGCGAATGGATACAATGGGGGAAAGTTGAAGAATGGACTGGAGCAGAAATCGGAGAAGCTGGGATAGATCCGAGCCCTGACAGGGACGAACGAGCCACCGCCAACGTGTCTGAATTGTGCAGCGAAGCCTGCATGGAAGCTTCTTCCTCACTCTAAAAAGCACTAGAGTATCCACTTTTCGATGCAGCCCTGGTATCTCAAAGAGCGGTCTCGTGCTTTGATGTCGCTAGGAAGCGGGATACGTGGCAAAACAAGCGTCCGTTTGCAGGGCATTTTGAATCACTAGGCCCTTGGACGAGCCGCGCATCTGTGGATGGCCTGGTACACTGTGTCCAGCATGAGATCGGAAGTCTATTTCTCGCAGCATTACTTCACATAGACATAGACAGACGAGGAAGGACTCGTTAGCAGACCATGCAGTCTCCCGCTATACAAGGCATCGATACCCTGCAGCCAGCCGAGGTCTCAGACCTCTTTGATCTCCATCGCGCTGAGCCACCCGAAGCTAGGTCTATTTATTGGATGTCAAATCATACTCCTAATTCTCCGGCTGCGCCAGCCGCCCCTCTGGTTTTCACCCCGAGGCCAACTCTCGCGGGATGTTTTGTTCGATATAGCTTTCTCTTTCACACGGAACAACGCATGTGCGCTGTTTGATCATTACATAGAAAGTAAAGATAAGATTGTGGACGAATATTGCTATACGTGCATCATACCGTCAACAACCTGTTTGCACGCAGAGATACTCTGAAGAGATGGCGGTGACCAGAAACACCTGTGCTTTACCATGTAAATACAGAAAAGAAACATCGCCTTGTTCTTTCGACTTCCAAGTCTTGGGTACCTACAGCGGCAGTGAAACCGGCATGGCCTCGAAGCTGGGAGACATGTCATAGTCCAGGAGGCATCAAGAAAATCAATGAAAGCAACACAGCATAACCGGCCCAGAGTCGATGTCAAGAGCGTGGGAGAGGCAATCAGGCCCACGGGGACTCGTCCAACTTCAACGGCCTCGTGATAGAAGGAACCGGTGAGATGATTCCAGAAGCTATGCTTTCCATATATCTCCATGCACTGTAGATACGAAGCACCTAGACACACCGCTAGTACCTCGACATATTCAAACACTGTACTCATCCTACGGAACAAACCTAAGAACAAAGACACATAGCGTGGTATCAAACTGGCTTGTCTCTGATTTTGGAACTTCCCTTTCTCCACGAGCTTCTGGAAAACGTATTTTGTTCCCCACGTCCTCCCTCTCGCTGCTTCCTTTTCTTCATCAAACTTTTCCGCCCTTCGAAGCCATCCTCTCTCACTTCCTCTCCGGCTTTATGGCATCGATTGGGGATCTATTGAATCCAGATCCAGATTCACAAGGCTCACAGGAGGTAGTTTTTCCCAAAGCGCCCGTACCTGTTCCAGAGTACCGCAATACATATCTCCCGGAGCCCCCGAGGCATTACCATTCGGAGCTCCAGAGGTCACACTTCACAGATTTCTCCAGGGCCCCCTTCGCAGTCTACAGGCGTTTAGATACCGCATTACCAGCGACTACTTTTTCAATTATTCAAAAAAAGGCTAAGATGCCGAAAGACAGCCCGACATTCCGACTTGCAAATACTGTGGGAGAGGTCCGCTTCCCACCTTGTGAAGAGCGTGATGAAGAATTAGCCAGAATACATGAGGAGTTCCAACTCAAGCCCATGGGCGAGATCGCCAAATACCCTCGACATATTCCATATCAGAGTGACAAAAAGTCGTTCCAAGAGAAGACAGGTCGGGATAGTTTTCATGGTATGTCCCTTGCTACTGCTCTACTACTGCCAAGCACCATCGCTAATATTATCCAGTCTTCAATTACACATTCCAGAAACCGGGCTCTGACGTTGTGTGGACAGTGATGTGGGACTACAATGTTGGACTTGTGCGCACTACGCATCTCTTCAAGTGCTTGGGCTACGCAAAGGTAGTTTGTTCAAATGCTATGAATGGCCATAGAAAGAGGAGACCTAACATCAAGCTCTTAGACCGTTCCTGGCAAGGCACTGAGAAACAACAAGGGCCTAGAGGATATCTGCCACAGCATCACCGGCGGAGCAATCTTGGCTCAAGGTGAGAATCTCGATCACCGAAGCTCCAAAGCATACTAAAGCTGTCTTCTAGGCTACTGGTGGCCATACGAAGCGGCCAAGGCTATGGCTGCCCAGTTTTGCTGGAAGATTCGCTACGCTCTGACGCCCCTATTCGGCACAGACTTCCCTTCCATGTGCATCCCCGAAGGCCAGCCTAGTCATGGCATTATGAGGATCGATGCACACATTGTGGCGGAAGCTACCAAGGCCGCCAATTTCTACCGTAGCCTTGAGCTCCAGAAGCCTCGTGCTGCTTCAAGCCAGGGATCTCAACAGCGTGGACCTCATGGGCAACAGAGAATAGGTCGTCAGCGCTCTATCACCTATGATGACCAAAATCGACAGCTTTATAGGCCCAAATTCGCTCGACATAGCTACGAAGACAGCATTAGCAGTGCCCGAGACTCGTCCTCGGAGCCGTACTGTCACTCTCCCCAGAGTCCTACCAGCTCCTGGACCCCGGTGAATGTCCCGCCCCGCAGCTCATATGTTTCTCCCCATGGGGATCGTATTTCGCCGTGTCAGTTCTTTCATCCCCTCAATACCTGTCAAAAGCAAAATATGTCGAGCGAGTGCAGTGGATCTGAAACCGATGATAGCCCTAGACCCAACTTTTCTTCGCTTGCGAAAGGAGATACCAAAATGGGCAAAGCCAATTCATGCGTGGCCGATGTAGAGACACGGGATTTCTGCACCGACTCTGGCTTCTCCGGCGACGAGTCTGACGAGTCTGACGACGCATATACGCCTGTCTCTCGAGGTTCAACGGGCGATGCGACCATGAGTGCGAGGAAGAATCCTCCTCGGTCTGTTAGGAGCCTTAGGAGCCGAAGAAGTGATACCTCGCCATCCGCGCGTCACTTTGCCCATGAGGTCAAGGCTGCTCATGCCCTGCTCCATTTGCATATGCAGCAGGCAGAAGACGAGCATGATTCTCTTGAAGCTGTACCAATCCCAAACGCTCGCAAGAGACGTTGCGCTTCTCTGTGAGGAAACACTGCTCTTTTACAGGTCAATGGCAGCTCGGAGGTTTTGTGTCTGAGATTAGCTGTGGAGTTGATATGCATCGAGGTTCTGAAGGCATCGGGTTTAGAATGTTTGACGTTGCGATGCACATGGATGCAGGGAGGCACGGTGTTTTTGATTTTGTTCGGTTTTCTGTAGAAGAATGAACCTTTTTCTTGTTAAAGACAATCTGTTAGCAGAGAGCGTAATGTTGTCGTCAGGGTTCTCTCTCGAATAGCTTCACCACCAAGGAATCTGTGTGACTCTTCATATCCAGCAATACAGCGTAGCTTCTACGAATAACAATTGTAAAAAAGGGAAATGATTCAATAAAATTGAGATATGGGACGCCTGAAAAAAAATAGCAGGGCAACTCTTGGTCTGCAAAACGGGCCGGCGCTGCCTGAACACCAAGAAAACATAAAATGATTAAAAGAGTCACTAGGTAAGAAAGTAAGAGTCCGGCGCCTCGGTGCTCGAGGAACGAAAGAAAATCTCCCTCAATGTTCTTTAGCTTCGATCTAATCACTCTCATCCTCGTCGTCGAAATCATCGGCGGATTCTTCATCTTCACTTTCGTCTTCGATGACATAGGTCTTCTTTGCTTGCGTGGCTGTGCGACGAGACGGACGGGCTGCAGCGGCTCGTCGAGGCGCAGGCGCGGGCTCATCATCAGATGCATCCTTCTTGCCTGTTGGAGAATCCAAAATGTCATTGGCCATAGCCTCAATGTCATCATCTGAGATGTCATTACCCGGCTTCTTCTTGATTGCCTTCGCCGGGGCAGACTTGACAGGCGGGATAGCAGCATCCTTCTTCGGGCGACCGCGAGGCTTCAGAGCAGCCTTGGCCTTGGGCCCGGGCTTCGCTTTGGGTGCGGGCTTCACAGGAGAATCTTCATCTTCAACTTCATCCTCGTCATCATCGAGTCTAGAGACGTCTTTGGGCTTGATTTGAAGTGAGCGGCGAGGCGACTTCGAAGGAACAAGCTTGCTGTAGTCGGTCTCATCGAAGTCGAAATCATAGTTGCCCTTAGTGGCCGAACGAGGAGGCATCAAGCTGGCGCTACTTCCAGCACGGGATCGCGACGAGGAGATCATGGGTCGAGACTCCGAGACTTCACCTCCGATGCCCTTGACCATCTGACTGACATCACCGAGGAGATCATCTCCGTTGTCGCTGTCAGAGTCGGCGGCGGCGGCGGCGTACTTGACGGGTTTGCGAGCCCGACCACCAGCAGCAGGCTTGGGGGCTTCTTTAGCAATCCCAAGGAAGTCGTCATCGGAATCATCGTCATCGACAACAGGCTTGGCCTTGGGCTTAGGTCCTCGCTTCGCGGCCGGCTTCGCGGCCGGCTTAGTTATGGGCTGATCAGCCTCAGACTCGTCGTCAATATCAAATATATCCGGAGCGGCTTTAGGTCCTCGCTTCGCTGTTGGTTTGGGCTTTGGCGGAGCGACCTCGGGCTCGTCGTCGATATCAAATGGATCAGGAGCGGGTTGGGCGGATGTGCGAGAGGGAGGGTCTGCAGGACCGTCGTTGATGTCCATCAAATCATCGTCATCGAGCTCCTCTACCTTGGGAGCTGGCTTGGATGCTCCACGACTCTTCTTGGGCATTACTTCCATTTCGAAATCAAAGTCATCATCCGAGTCAGCAGCGCCATCAGCGGGTGATGTCTTTGCCTTTGGCTTGTCCGTCGATTTGTTAAGGAAATTAGCCAGACTATTGGTCGGCTGCTCTTTCTTCTTGGCCGCGGCCGTTTTCTTCGCCTTTGGCGCAGCAAAGTCCTCGTCATCTGGGTCTTCGCCAGCAGCAGCCTTGCGCTTACGTGCGGCGGCACCACCGCGAGCTCCAGTGGAGGTCGCAAGCTTCGATGAAACACGACGGCCCAGGCCAGCAGCCTTGCGGAGACGACGCTCTTCATCCTCAAGCTGGAAGCGCCACTCATTGATGAAATCATCCAGATCCTGGTTCCAGATGTCCTCCTTGGAGAGCTTGATCAAGGCATCAACCTCCATCTCACGATCGCCAATTTGGCGACGGAGTCTCTCGACACGCTCCTGGGTCAGCGACCACATGGGCATGCCGAGCAGGTAGTCGTAAGAACTTGACAACGTCTCCGTCTCGCGGCTTTCGGCTTCCTCGCCTTCCTCGACAACAGGTTCGTCCTCGCCCAGCTTGGAGGCTTCGACCACTTTGGCAATGGGCTTGAAGCTCTTCTCCTTCAGTTCAGTAACGAGAACACTCTTCTTCTTCTTGGAGATGACCAGCGTGCCATCAATGATCATTTGAACAAAGCGGGCTTGGTTGCTCAGCCTCTCCAGTTCCTTCTGAAGCTCTGAAAGCTGGTGCTGTTTGCGGCGCTCATAATACTTCAGACGGATAGTATAGAATTCCTTCAGGATATCATCAACCGTCGCGTACTTGGTGATACGGCCCTCCGCGTCGAATGCGACCAGGTTGGTAGTCGCAATGGTCTTGGAGAGCTTGAACCTTTCTTCCAGGCCATCCGACAAAGCACCCTTCATGTTCTTCTCGTCAAGTTGAATCACGAAGTGAACCTTGCTGTGGGTGTTGTAGTCCCTGTAGTCCTTAATGAATGAGGGCACCTTCTCAGCCTTGATAATGTCCTCCAGCTTGTCTTTGAAGTCCTGAGTCCACGTGCGAATGGGCAACTCGGTGATTTCGACCTCCTTATCACCGGTCTCCTTGATGATACCACTGAACTTGTATCGATCGCCGCCTATAGCGACAACCTCCCCAGTGAATCCACGGAACCACGGTTGCATCGGCACAACTTCCTCGCCCTTCATCAGGCGCTTGATGTTGCTCACGACATCCTCGGGGTTGTAGTTAGGAATGGAGGAACTCCATCCGGTTCCGATACCATCGGCACCGTTGATCAGGATCAAAGGAACCACAGGCATGAAGGTTTCTGGTTCGATTTTCTTACCATCATCCAAGTTGTAGCTCAGCAACGGCTCGTCAGCGGCGTGGAAGATTCTGCGTGCAAAGGGAGACAGGCGAGTGTAAATGTAACGAGCACTGGCGCAATCGCCACCACCCTGAAGTCGACTACCAAAGTTTCCACTGGGTTCAAGACAATTGATGTTGTTTGAACCCACGAAAGTCTGAGCCAGGCCAACGATCGTTTGCTGGAGCGATGTATCGCCGTGCTGGTAGGCTGTCATTCCGGAAACGAGACCCGCCAGCTCAACAACCTTCATATCCTTCTTCAGATTACGGCGGAAGCAGGTGTACAAGACCTTGCGCTGACCGGGCTTCAGGCCATCAACAATGGACGGAATAGAACGCTGGTTGTCAGCCATACTGAAAAGAATGAGCTCTTTGTTGATGAAATCGGTATATGTGATCTTGGCTGTGGTGTGATCCAAGAAGGTACCGGGCTTGTACTGGCGCAACCATTCCTTTCGCTCATCTGCTTTCTTCTTCGAAAATGCCAGCTCGATAAGCTCCTCTTCTTTGTCTTGCATAGTATGGAACTCTTTCAAGTGGCGATCGAGGTCGCGGAAGTAGACCTGGGCATCCTCTGTGGAACTGGTTCCCAGACCCTTGTAGTACTTGTGATCCCACCCACGTTCATCAGTGTGCTCCTCCTTCCACGCCTCGTACTCTGGCATGGTGAAAAATGACTTCGATTTGGTTGGATTTTTGGGGTCGCCCTTCCAGACCTTGATGATGGGAGTGATGAATTCAATGAGGAATTCAGGGATCTTGAGCAAGCTAGGGAATTGGGCCTGAAGGAAGTTGATGAGTAGACCCTTGATGTGACTACCATCATGATCCTGATCAGTCATGATCATGATATGACCGTATCGCAAGCCCTTGGTCTCGGTATACTCCTTCTTGTGTTGCAGGCCAATAAAGTTCTTGATGTTCTGGATTTCTGCGTTCTTGGATATTTGATCGAATGACGCATCACGAACGTTGAGCAGCTTTCCACGGAGTGGGAAAACACCGAAAAGATCCGGTCCGACAACTGCACGTCCAGCCATGGCCAGACCCTTGGCAGAGTCACCTTCCGTCAGAATCAGGGTACAGTGATGGCCATCCCGAGTGCCAGCCTTGTTGGCCTCCACGAGCTTAGGGTTGTTCATGCGAGAACGACGACCGACATCACCCTTCTTCAGGATTTGATCGGCCTTTTGTTCAGCGAAGTGCAGGATGTTGGACATCACTTCCGTCTTCAGAACCTTCTTGTAGAAATCTTCCTCGAGAACACACTTGCTACCGAACTGGCTTGCCTTAGTGGTCAACTGCTCTTTGGTCTGTGAGGTGAAAGCCGGATTCACAATGGAAGCATTGACGAAGATGAAGATGTGGTTTCGGATCTGAGCGGTCTTCAAGGTAGCACCACTTTTGTTCTTCTTCTTGACCTGATCAGCCAGGCGGTTACAGATCTGATCGGCGATGTAGTTGACGTGGGTTCCACCAGAGGTCGTAGCAATGGAGTTTACGAACGAAACTTGCTGGAAAGCACCATCGGAGACCGCAAAACCAATCTCCCAGCGAGGGTCAGGGCTGCAGGTAATGATCTCGTCCTTGGCAGGAGGCCCGTCATCACCACGCTCTTTGCGAATAGCCTTGGTGTACATCTCCATGTACTTTCGGAAGTTACGAATCGGAACGCGGGTACCATTGAGCTTCACAGCAACGCTGGATGTACCCGCCAGATCGTAAACACGGCGCTTAACGAGGGCCTCGAAGTCATCGTCAATTCCCTCCATACCAAACTTGGAGAAGTCGGGCTTGAATGTGACCTTGGTGTAGTCATCGCCCTTGGTGGCATCCGTAATCTTCGCCTTTCCCATCTTGGTCATATTATCGCTCCAAGTTTGCTTGTACTTCTTCTTCTGGCGCGCGTCCTGGGTTTCGATGGTAAATTCCGTTGAAAAAACGTTACAGAGCTTCGCACCAAAACCGTTACGACCACCGGTCACCTTCTGCTGAGTATCGTCGTAGTTGGAAGATGTGAGAAGGTGGCCGAAAATCAACTCTGGCACGAAGATCTTCTCTTTCGAGTGGATCTCGATAGGAATACCCTTTCCATTGTTCCAAACACTGATTTCACCAGTCTCGCGACTGATGGTCACACGAATCTCGTTCATGTTCTTATCGTTATGCTTGTTATCGGCAGCGTTGACGACAATCTCGTCGAAAATTTTGTAGAGACCAGGGACGAAAGTGACTGAACGGAACTCCATCGATTCGGACTCGGAGTTGTAAACCCACATCTGTTGGGTGGTAGCTTCTACGGAGCCAATGTAGGTATCGGGACGTTTGATAATGTGTTCGAGTTGTGTAAGCTGCAGAAAGCTGGCATTAGCCCGAAGCTCCGTGAGCAGGCCTGTTCGATCAAGCGACTCACCTTTTGGTACTTATCTGATGCGTTGCCATCCTTCCCCTGTGCCTCGGAGACAACTTCGCCCGCGAAGGACTCATTCTCGACGTCTCCGAGGGGCTTTGAGCCCGCTCGTTTCGGCGCAGCAGCCTTCTTAGCCTTGGGAGGGGTATGGGAGAGCAAGGAATTGTCATCATCGGACATGTGTACGTCTGACACCTCATCCTCACTGTCAGCCTTGGCCTTCTTCTTGGCCGGGGCTGACTTGGCCTTGGGCTTAAGTGTAGTTTGCGTCATCTTCTTGGTGGTGGCTTTTGGGGCAGTGGCCGCCTTCTTCGGTGCCGCCTTGGCCTTGGCTTTCTGTATGATGATGTGGTTAGCGACGCGGTATTCAGGTGTTTTAATAGAGACAATACGTACCGTCGCGGGCTCAGGCACAAAATCAGAGCTCCCACCGTCGGAAATGTCGAAAACGTCGTCGTCCATCATGGAGTCGTCCATGATCGAGGACGGTGCCGGGTAAACCGGCGATTAAAACTGAGGAACTCGGCCTCAGGTCGAATAAAAGCGAGTGACGGTGTCTAGAAAGTGAAAGAAGACGTGAAGCTACGCGACAAAGCTGTCACAGCCAAGCATACTCGGACTGGCGAGGAAGAGATGAAGAGGGGGTGACCTTGTTTTTTTCCAGCGCAAAGTGAAACGCGACTGCCAGCGGGTTGCAGGGCGGTGAGGGCAGTGGCCACTCGGATCATCGTTGATCCTCACCGCCCGAGCAGCCCATTTCCCATTTAGGAAGTTTGACAACAAACGTGCCGAACGGGGATGGCACGATAAGAGCTCTGCGTCTGGCGCGAAGAGCAACAGATGTGGCGACTGTTCACCTCGGTGTGTCGTGTTTTGATAAACATGGTGTTTCTGACCAGACTATTTCAGATATTAATTTAAGAAGGAAGTAAGAAAAACAGTGTCACTTGCAGGGGAGCTATATATAGTCGTCTTTGGGACTAGTATTTCCCTAGGTTCACTTGACCATCTGCCACATTACCAGACCCCACAATGAATAGGATGTTACATCTGGGCGCGAATGCATATAGTATTCGCTGGAGAGCTAAAGTTAACATCGAAAGGTCTTGATAAATCTGGCCGTCCATCACCTCAACGATGGTTTTGAATCCACTGGCATCGTAGGAACCTACTACTCAAGTTACATATTCAGCTGGGTATTCCTCTTACCTTAGGGTACCATTAAATTCATAACTTCAAGCATTTCTGAAGGGAAGGACTCTCAATTCCTGACAATTATGTTCCGACGTCCATGAGTGAGAGAAATTTCTCTCACTGCACCGTAGCCAGGTGACATTCAGTGGTAGCGCGTCCAACGGATAACCCAAACACTTGAGAAGACATACCCCAGGCGCTGCACCTGTTGCCATATCACCAGCCTTTAGGATTCCCAGCCATCAGCAACTCCCTGTAGGGGTATCGTGGAGTACTTCGTACAGTTGTAGCACCCATGGTTTTACCCTTCACTAGTGCATGTCTGACTTGCGTTAGCTTTTCATGCGCCCGCAGCACAACATCAACAACCCTTGCAGGGAGCCAGATAAGGTCATCCAAGGAACAAGTTGAGCAGAACGGCCGCCGTAGTTGACAAAGTATTGTTCAAGAATAAAATGAGTAGCCAAAACAGTTCAACTGTAGATTTGTAATGTATATGAAACATACAAGCGTCATTGGTGCAAGAAGAAGGATTAATGATTCAAGTTTTCCAAGGGGCGTAGAAGACGGGCGATGCCATGACACCGAAGACATACTTCCTAATTCGTACTCAAACCCCATTTTTTCCGATTTGCTACTGTGTGGCTCCAATCTTTCGGAGGTTAGTTCCCGTCGGACCGCATGGATCGACCGAGAAAGGGGCAGTCAACGGCCAGGAGCGACAGTGGGGGAGATTGCACGGTTTGTACCAGCGTTTGCCACACATTGCGTAGAGAACAGGTTGTACCAGCCGGTCGAGACCCCCTCCTTGGCTTCTCTCTCCCTTTGCGCCATGCAGAGGATAATCCGCTTAAGGTGAAACAGAGCTGCTAGGGGCTGTTACTGGATTTCCCGCACAGTGAAATATCTCACCCAATGAGAATGGAAGATTGTCAATATGATCCAATCAGTAACAGAATAATTTACGCAAATAATCCTCACGTAAATGTGTTACAGCAGTGCACCCACCCCTCTAAATACTAGAGGCTGCACCTGTAGAGAAACTTCGCATGGCAGATTGTCAAACTCGCAGAAGCGCTGGCAATCAATCGAGAACAATAAATAATTCATGTTTGCGATAAAAAAGGCTCGATTCGAAAGACTGATCGATACAGGGGTCCACGGATCGCGGCGCATCCATGGAACCGGAGAGCGAGACGCGAGTAAACAGAGGGGGGTCTTGTCCTAAGGGGAAACAGACCAAGGAAGCTAATCAATAATTCTCGACAGTGGCGGTAGCCATCAGACAGTCGGTGTATGAGGGGAGATCGACGAGGGGCCGAGACTCGAGGGGAAAACTAAAGGGGCTAAAATAGTGGTCTTAGGGTGGGTTCTCCTGACCTCCCTTTTTCTCTTCGACACGTCCTGTACATAGAGACCTATTACGGTGCTGGATCACCCCAGGCTTTTACTTCCTGCTTCCTGCTTCCTGCTTCCTGCTCCCATCTTTTGTTCCCTGCGCAACCGCGAACTGACCTCCCCCAAGAGATGAAGCTGGTCTTGCATATCCTCTCCACCCTCGCACTGCTCAACTTGGATCTTTAATTGAGCTTCCTCGGTCACTGTTTCATACTTTCCAAGGCTACAATACCTCTCTAGTTATGGAAACCTCCGAGCCTGTATCGCCCAGGATGCCTCATGCCCCCAATCACGACTCCATGGTCACCGTCTCGCTATCCGACATTCAATCCAATTCAGAGCACACACAGCCCGACTGGCGAAATCTTGACATTCCCCCAACACCGGTCGAGTCTACCCATGAAACGGAAGAAACCCGCACCAAGACCGAGTCGTTCGGTCCAATGGCTCTCCGGGATGCGGCGAGGACAACCCCCACCCCAGTCGACGAGCTCCCAACACCAACCTCGACGGAATATAAGACCCGAGATAAGACCCTGGACGAGGAGTCGGAGAACGAGGTGGACTGGGAGAACTTGGAAAAAACCGAGGAGCAGGAACCTCGCGGGGAAGGCTCAGACGAGGTATGTGACTTGCAAAGTCCCCCATCCCATCTCATACCACACGGAACGGACCCTGACTACTTTTGCTCCGCCAGTCGACGGCCTTGCTTCTCGCTCGCTTGGAACAAGAAAACAATGCCTTGGCAACGAATCCAAAATCTGGAATAGCCACCCCGCCCCGAGCTCCGAAACACCAGCGACAATCTCGTTCTCAATCATTAATCCAGATCAAACGATTGATCAATGACCCAGCTCGATCAGAACTCCGCTACTCCCAACTCCCTCCTCCACCGATGACAGAGCTTGAGTTCTGGGCTGCTCTGGTCGCGGATTACCCGCAGACGGCTCAGCGACTGCCCACCTTGACGTCGAACAAGATCCAGAGTGGTGTTCCTCCACCCCTCAGAGGATTGGTATGGCCTAGTCTTGCAGGCGCTCGTGACCCAACACTTCTGGAAGAGTTTTCACGGCTCTCCGGCGAGAGCAGCCCATACGACGGACTCATCGGAAAAGACATTGGCCGTAGCTTTCCTAACGTGGAGATGTTCCGTGATCCGAACGGCGAGGGTCAACAGATGCTGGCTAGAGTATTACGATGCTTTAGCTTGTACGATGCTAAGATCGGCTATTGCCAAGGTCTTGGATTTGTTGTCGGTCCTTTGTTGATGCACATGTCGGATGCCGAAGCTTTCTGTGTGCTTGTTCGGTAAGAAATACTGGCAGACCGCCATGACAAGATCGAATACTAACTTAGAAATAGTCTCATGGAACATTACAATCTCCGCACTTGCTACCTACCGGACTTGTCGGGTCTTCACCTTCATGTTTACCAGTTCCAGAACCTTCTCGCACGACTCCGACCTGCACTGTTTGAGCACCTGGAGGCACTGGGTGTTGAGCCGGTGTATGTTTCTCAATGGTTCTTGTCATTCTTCGCTGTGGCATGCCCATTGCCGATGCTCCTCCGAATTTACGATGTCATATTCCTCGAGGGAGCTTGTGAAACCTTGATGCGCGTTGCCCTCTCGCTCATGCAGCGGAACGAGCAAAGACTTATGGCCTGTACCGAATTCGAGGATGTTATGCAGTTGCTTCTATCGCGAAGCATCTGGGATACGTACGCTTTCAACGCCGACGACCTGGTCAATGATTTCGTATCATTGACTTCCTTGGTCACAAACGAGAGTTTGCAGACATTAGAGGCTAGCTACAATCAGTCCCAGGGCGTACCTACCGGAGTATCCTTACCATCCATGCAGGTTGCCGCTTCTAGGTTCCTTGGACGTCTCTGGGCAGGCTCTGGCTCTCATAACTCGATAAAATCCTTGAACCCGAATACTAGCCCGTCCCGTCCCGTCAGCACCATCCGCCGCTCGACTTCGAAACAAAGCATGACTTCGACGCTCAATTCGATCGAGACTATATCTGACGCTAGCACCGCCCCCACTGAACTCTCGACTGCGACTGTAAATGTCGACGGCCACAAATCGCGTGTCAAGTCAAACATGTCGGCACACAAAGATCGCGATCTTCACACGCAGATTGAGGACCTATTGATGGCATTAAGCGATCTTCAACGCCAACAGGCAGACCTGAGTCGGGAACTGCAACAGGAGCGTGAGGATCGCGAAGAAGATAATGCTTTGGCGAAAGAGATGCTCAAGCATCTACAGGAGCAGACTCCCGACGAACCGCTCAGTGACCTGATCTCGAAAGCGCAGGACCGATTCTCTTCCGAGGAGCCCAAGCACGCGTCGATTCCCCAAACTAAGCAACAGCTTTATGGTGATATGACGCGGTGGAAGGAAATGCATGAGGTGGAGGCGAGTCGGTACATGGATCTTACCCGGCGTATGGACGATTACGAAAAAGAAAACTCCTCTCTGAAAGATCAACTCCGCGAGGCGCGCAGCCGAATTCAAGATGGATATCGCGATCGACAACGACTGGAGCGGAGGAACCAAGAGCTTCGGGCGAAGACACCGACTTCGGAGTCGATCTCACCTCCAGAAGCCTCCTTTTCTCCTTCGAGTGCCAACGAAGCATCGTCACCCACCAGTACGGGTCTTCGTGAATTCAAGCTGTCACGCACCAATTCGCAGAAGACGGCTCCTTCATTCAGCAAACGATCTAGTAGCTTGGGCCTTCAGACTGTGTTGTCTACCGAGAATAACAAACCCGCTGCCGAGGAAACCCTGCTACTCGAGCTGGTCAACGCAAAGACGGCCGAAGCAGTCGCCAAACAAGAGCTGGAGGAGGTGAAGTGCAAGATGGACTCGTTGCGAAAAATGATAAGCGCGCCTCATGCACGCCCCGAAAACCGACATTCATTTATCGGTCACTCATCATCCCGAGCTAGCATCAGCAAAGCCCCGACGGAACCTGCAAAGTCTTCGGGTTCCTCTAACACTGGTGGCAATGGAGGTTTCTTTAGCGGATGGGGTCGACGGGCGGCGCCAAGCAACGAGTCTCCATCGTGAGATACTATCATTCTTGTACCCATACTGAATTTCATGCACATTATGGTATAACGAGGATGTGATTTAATGTCTTCTCATCTGTTTTCTGTTCAAGTACATATTAGATATCCCACTCATTCGAGAAAATCGCAAATACGTCTTCTAGCGCCCATGTGTTATCATGTCTGGATTATCTGCAGTTTGAGATATGAAAGACCGTCTTGTCTTGAAGCTTTGCATTTGCTCACCTGTGCAATACGGCATTATTCTTGACTAAGTCCCTAGCTTCTGAAAACAAATGTGCACTTCACCTCCAGTGTATTATACTGAAACACCCTCAATAATCACCTTAATCACGCTCTCCTTCCCTTGCCGCACAAGCTCAAATGCCTCCTCGGCCTCTTCAAACTTGAAGCGATTCGTGATGAGCCGCTTGACATCGATCTTTCCACTGGCGATAAGATCCACCGCAGTTGGGTAACAGCCGACAGTATACCGAATGGAACCGCGAATGTGCAAATCGCGGATACAGGCCGTGGTGATGGGGAAGACAACATTCTGCCAGTGTTAGTCTATAGCTTTATCCAATGGGAGCAAGATCAACTCACCTCATGTCCCATACCCGCTTGCACGTAGGTGCCACCCTTCTTGGTCAAGTGAATCCCAGTCTGAATGCATGCCTGGGCTCCAGTTGCTTCCAGGACCACATCGGGGCCTTCGCCTAGATCGAACATCTCCTTCATAATGTGCGCGACTTCTTCGCTCCACGCCGTCTCTTCCTTGCCATCAGGCTTGGAGGGAGGAATAAATACGTCATCTGCCCCGAATGTACGGGCAAAATCTGCCCGTGACTGACTGATGTCCACCCCAATTACTTTCTTTGCGGAGTATGCCTTGCTCACGGCCTGGCAGAGCAGTCCAATGGGTCCGCAACCAAAGACCACGACTGTCTGGTTGGGCCTCACATTACCCACCTTGGTGATCTGTACCGCGACAGCCACCGGCTCCACCAGAGCACCTTCTTCCAAGTCCATGTGCCGCGGGAGTTGATAGCAATAATCTGCCTGCGTGTTGTAATACTTGGAGAGTGTGCCGTCGTGCGGGGGAGTCGCGGCGAAGACGGTGTCAGGGCAGAGATTATATGAGCCGCTGCGACAGTAGTCACAACTGTGGTCTGTTAGCCATTTGTATCTCAAAAGTGTTTGGGGACTTAGTACTGTCTGCATGGAACGCCCGGTTCAATAGCGACACGATCGCCTACCTTGAGATTCTTCACTGTAGAGCCGACCTCAACAACAGTGCCAGAGCTTTCATGGCCGAGGACGATGGGAGAGTTCAAAATAAAGTCTGCTCACAGGTTGCGTTAGCTAGTTCAGTCATGTTCTGTTGGAGAAGTTATCTACCTCCGATGCGTCCTCGCTGCCAGTAGTGTACATCACTTCCACAGATACCCGTCTGTGCAACATGTACTCGCACATCCCAAGGATCCTTGAGCACTGAAACCGGGCGGTCTTCGCAGACCACGACTTTGACGGCGCGTAAGACAAAAGAACGATTTGTTTCCTGGGACTAATCTCGAAATTAGAAAGTCGAAGACGAGGACCAGAGTCATAATTACACTCATGGTTGAGAGATAACGCTGCAACCGTAGAATATTAGAAAAACGAAAGGTTACCAGAGCTAGATTACAGTTGAATTTAAGAACCTAGAAACACGTTCGCTCTGTTCTGTACTGTTGCTTTCCCCGCCGGACAACCCTCTCCGCTGCCGGACGCTCCACTCCGGTTCCCCAGCTCGGGAACCCTGGCCTGGGTAATCCAAGTAGCCGGCGGTGGGAGAGTTCAGCTAATGATTCACCTGAGATTGCTGCGCACTTGTATATCAGGGGTGGGTTCAATTTCCTCACCGATCGAGCAAGTAAACAAAACAACCTAACACAAAAAAAAACCGGGAAGGCCAGTAGTAACTTACTACACATCATTTCAATATTTGCAAGCCAGCTAGCCACCCATCTCCGCACTAAAGAAAGCATTGGAAAAAGGAAACATCAAGCACAGAATCACAAAAATCAACTGTAGCGCGCGTGATAAATGGCGTTTAAACCCTTCGTATGAACTAAATTTGAATCCTATTTTGCTAAAAAGAAGAAGAAAAGAATGCAGAAATAGATGCTGAGGAAACCCAGAAATGGAATATTCTACATATAGTATAGTGTGTCTTGGCATTAGGATCGGAGAATCAATCAAAGAGTCCATGATTGCATCTCCGCTTGACCATTCCCTTGCGACCGCGGCTTATTGGATTGCAATTCGACAGGAGATATATTATGCATTGACAAGAGAAACGAAACCGCATCTTCGGTTTGATTCAGATCGCTGGCGCAATGAATCAACAGCCAATAGCATGGTTATGTTCCTAGGCGAGGTGGCAAACTGGAGATGGGGACTGAAGCAACCCGAAGAATGGGGTAAGAGAGAGACCGCTGGTCCATCAAATAAACTCTTATCTAATGTGGACTTTAAAGCGCAGTTAAAGCTAGAAGAGCAAGACATCGTTCGTGAATCTGTGGGTGTCATGGACCCCATCCTTGAGCTTCGAGCAAAGGGGGACATGTTCCCGACAGTGTGGTACGGTTTCGATGTACAATGTACTGCTGTACGGCACTTTCGGCTCGCCCAGTTAAGATTGACTGCCGAAGACCCAAATCTTGAGTGAGTTTTCTATTATCTCCTGGCTGAAGGCGACTGACAATCTAGAATTGCAAGTCGTGCCGCTCACCGCAAAGCTGAGGCACAAGTGCGGTCTATCGTCATGAACTTGTGCGGAATTGCCATTCATCATCTAAAAGTCCAACCTTGTATGATGAACGCTGTGATTGCGATCTCTCTTTATGGAGATTATTTTACCGACCAGGGCGAGCGCAATGCCCTCATTGGAATCATCAACCGCACCAAAGACATACATGCGTGGCCTATGAGAAAGCCATACCAGACCTTGCTTCAGCGGTGGGAAATTGCAGATAATGTGGAGTTGTGATTCTAGGCTGAAGGATCAAGTCAAAATAGAGTACAGCTCATCTGCTACATAGCCAGAATACAGGAATAAACATTGGCAGGAAAAATACGGAGAGCCCAATGAGAATGGACGGGTCTCCACAATAAGCTTACAAGCTTACTTACCTCCACCCAAACCCGTTCACCACTAGCTTAAGTGGCTTATAGGGTCGAGCCACTTACGGTGCGACCAATAGAGAATCACCCTTAGACTATGTACGCCCCGGTAAACCTCCCCGTGTCTCTAGACATACTTCCTGTTCAAGTTTTCGAGGACAGAACCTGCCGATCCTGAGATGACATTGGAGCTACGTGGACTGAACACCGCCATGGGGGCCGGAAAGCGGAACTCCACCGTAGAGTAAGCTCAACGTATACAAGGTAATTAGAAGGCCCCAAACTATACAGTATACAGTATAAAAAGCCTAGGTGCCAACCTTGGAGCGAGGTCTCTCTACTTAGAAACATTCTTTCTTCTACCGAGTCACTTCATCACCGGAGCCTTCCATTACTATTCAAATATGCGTGTGCACGCCTTCTTACTGCCTTTGATTGCGCTCTCTGTCGATGCTGTCAAACCTTACTGCCCTCTGCTCGGGCCGATATTCCCACCCCCGAGATCTCTCGTCAACAGCCCGGAAATAGCAGCAGCTAAGAGACAAATTACTCTTGTCATCGAAGATGCTATCAGTGCAGGCAATCTCACCGATTCAATCTCGCTCCAAATATTCTCCGGGAGCGACAATGATTCAATTTTCCGATACTCTTACTCGGCTCCTGTTACTTCAAGTGCAACAATGGGTGTCAAGAAGGTGTCGGAGGATACCGTCTTTCGCATCGGAAGCGGCTCCAAACTATGGACGATGTTTATGTTCCTTCTGGAAACTGACGGCGACGTTTTCACTGACCCAATTACGAAATACGTCCCCAGTCTATCGACCACTTCCAACGCCACCCGCAAATTCACAGGCAAAATAGACCATATCCAGTGGGACGGTGTGACTGTCGGAGAGCTAGCAAGTCACCTCGCTGGCATCCCAAGAGACTGTATGCTTCCAAATATACCTTTATTTCAGCATGATCCAAAGTGGGACTGATTTTTTGCAGACGGATTCGGCGACATGGCTGTCACAGAGACTGCGCTTCAAAAGCTCGAGAAAATGGGCTTCCCCGTTCTTCAAGGGTCTGAGATACCACCATGTGGACGTGAGAGCGCCTGTAGTGGGGCAAGTGAGTCAAAAAAAACTATGAGTTGAGTAAGATGGCTTTATTGACTGGACGGTAGATTTTATCAACGGAATGCTCGAGTCGCATCCGCTCGTGACTACTTCCTGGACTCCCATCTACTCAAACGCAGCCTATGAAATTCTGGGGTACGCGCTCGAGAACGTCACAGGGAAGTCTTATCGGATCTTATTGGAAGAGGGTCTTATCGAGCCGCTTGGCTTGACACGTTCAAGCTATAGCAAGCCCGATGACAAGTATGGCGTTATTCCGGGTACATGGACCGAGAATTACTGGAACGTCACAGTCGGCGACGAAACCCCGTGAGTACAGTTTTCGATGAGGTTGAAACACAATTTGATGCTAACACCGTTTAAGTGCGGGAGGGTTGTACTCCTCTGCAAAGGACATGGCTGCGGTCGGTCGGGCGATCCTGAAACACACTCTGTTGACTGCCGCCGAGACAAGACGATGGATGAAGCCATCTTCTCACACTGCCTCTCTGGATGCCAGCATTGGTCATCCATGGGAGATTCTATCGCTTTCGGAGCCCCGTGTCATTGATCTCTATACCAAATCCGGGGATCTAGGCTGGTACTCGTCTATGCTCGCCCTGTCTCCCGACCACAACGCTGGCTTCACTATTCTTTCCGCTGGTGAAACATCAACTGCTACAGTCACCCTTCTCTCGGATCAAATTACAGATGTCCTCATCCCAGCACTTGAGGCAGCCGCCAAGAGCCAAGCTCAGAAAAGGTTTGCAGGAACATACAGTCTGGGAGGCTCGAACATTACAATTTCCTCCGAGGAAGAGGCTCCGGGCTTGAAAGTTTCCGCTTGGAACCTTGCATCGAACAACATGTTCGATACGATTGCCTCTCTCAAGTCGTCAGACCCTTCTTCGATTGACATCCGGTTGTATCCCAGCGGTATTGAAGTGCCCGGACAAATCGGCTTTCAAGCAGTAATACAATCCCTGCCAGCTACCAAAAGCACCGGCTTATTCTCTGGAGCTTGCATAACTTGGGAAACTAATGACGCACTCGTATATGGACATGTTGGACTGGATTCGTTTCTCTTCAATGTTAATCGTGAAGGTCAAGCCGTAAGTGTGGTTCCAAGAGCCCTACGACTTTCTCTTCCAAGGCTGTAGATTTCAATTCTTTGAAGCTCTGAAATATACATCATCGCTCAAGTTAATCTTTGCGATTTAGAAGAGCCGTTTTTTTTTAAATAGCATTGCTATTCCATTTATCAATCTCTAAATTAGTCTACTTAGCATGTGTCTCCTGACCTCGTTATCGGCATATGTATCCTCCTCAACCACAATAATGGATCCCGTTGTAAACGAGCCAGCTTGACTGGAATGATCCAAATAAACACCATTCAACTCGTGTGGGTCTGCATCCCGCTCGAGGGGGGGGGGTTTGGGGGTTTGAGGTTGTACCGTTCTCCGCAACGGACACTCTCGTCCGGAGCGAAACTCTAACGGTCAAAAGCTAGTCTTCATTGCACACTACCCCACGGGGAAGAAGCCGACTTCATAATTTAATGACCCACTTCAACCTAGTCCCATCTTTTCCGGTATCTCGTGGTGCTGGCACGCTGACTAGAGTGATGTTTGTCACAATGCCAGGATCTATGCTTATATTACGTTTAGACCCCGACCATTTGCATTTCTGCCATCCGAGCTAGAATTTAAAACTTCTTTGGAAGATGAAAAATCAAAGAATTGTTGGTGAGGCTCTAGCCTCTGTCCTTCCTCAATATGATCGCTCGTGGCTTCGGGTACCACACCTCCTGCAGCTTAATCTCATTCTTCTCGTTCCGCTTCTGTCATCGGCGGTGGCTGGATATGATGGTGGGCCTTTTGATATACCTACGCTAGGCAAAAGGCTAACGGTTCACTTCTCTGGATAGGATCTCTTATGAATGGTCTTCAATCTATTGCTGAATGGAAGGAGTATTTTGGAAATCCGTCGGGCTCTCTTCTTGGTGTTGTCAATGCCGCCCAGTCCATCGGAAGTGTCCTTTCACTTCCTTTCGTGGGTATCCTGTCAGACCGAATAGGAAGACGTCTGACTTTGCTATCGGGTACAATCGTGATCATTTTGGCGTCAATAATCCAGGCCGCTTCCGTCCAGTACGGTATGTTTGTTTTCGCGCGTGTTTTACTTGGTGTTGGCTCAATGCTGGTCGTGCAGCCTTCGCCCATGTTGATCACCGAGCTGGCGTATCCAACTCATCGAGGCAAGTATACTAGTGCCTTCTGGACTATGTACTATCTTGGTGCTATACTGGCATCATGGGTCTCGTATGGAACTCAGAAGCACTTAGCTCAGTCTGATTGGAGCTGGAGAGTTCCTTCTATTGTTCAAGCTGGATTTCCGATTATCCAGATCTTGTTCTGGTGGGTTATTCCAGAGTCACCACGGTGGGTCTAACACTCTTGCCCCTTTCTCCTCCAGAAACTAATAATGAGCTAGATGGTTGATTGCCAATGGAAAAGGACAAGAGGCTGAAACATTACTTGCAAAATTTCATACTGCTGGGGATGCCTCACATCCCTTGATCCGATTCGAAATGGCCGAGATTGCGCGCACCATTGAAATGGAGAGCCAGGCCGCCGAGACCAAATGGATAACACTAGTCAAGACACCCGGAAACCGCAAGCGTACATTCATCGCAGTCTGCGTCGGTGCCTTTGCGCAGTGGAACGTAAGTTGTCGCTTCATCTTCTACTCCTTTATGGAAACTAACATCAAGACATAGGGTGTCGCGGTCGTATCTTACTATCTCACTCTCGTCCTAGACACGGTCGGAATCAAAGACACGGATACCCAGACCCTTATAAATGGACTGCTCCAAATATTCAACTTTATAGCAGCTGGCAGTGCCGCTATGTTAGTGGACCGACTCGGCCGCCGTACCCTGTTTCTTTGGTCGGCAGTGGGCATGCTCCTGTCTTTCATCATTTGGACCGTCTGCTCAGCTGTGTTTGACAGTACACAAGCCAAACCGCTTGGAAGCACGGTAATTGCGTTTGTCTTCATCTTCTACTTCCACTATGACATCGCCTATACGCCACTGTTGCTTGGCTACCCCACGGAGATCTTCCCATACAGCATTCGCAGTAAAGGGCTGACCGTCGAGCTTCTCAGCGTGTATAGCTCTCTAATTGTTCTGGCTTTCGTCAATCCCATCGCTCTGGATAATATCGGCTGGCGATACTATATCTTTTTCTGCTGTTTCGATGTGGTGGTTCTGGCAGTTACTTGGTTCGCATTCCCCGAGACAAAGGGCTATTCTCTTGAGGACATCGCCGAAGTATTTGACGGAAAGTCCTCTGCTGTACAGGGTGTGGTCTGTGATAAGGAAGATGAGTTCATTGGAAAAGGCGAACATGATGAGTATGTTGCGTAGTAGCGCCACGCAGTATTCTGTCTACATGTGTTAGATCTTCTTGATATATTGCATGAATCAAAATCTTTGATATATTAGCCTCATTCGGTATTTCATAGGACCCCATTAAATCCGCTTCCATGCCGTGTAGACCATGCGAAGGGTCGCCCATGCGGAGATGGGTACGCCTGGACACATCGACCCCACAAAGAATTCTATAGCCGGCTCAATACCAGCACTACTGCCTATGGAAATAACAGGGAAACACCAGATCCTACAATGCTGCGTCATAACATCGACCGGGACGTCGAAGTGGGACTGGAGTACGGGCGACAGAGACCCGGGCGGACCTAAGTTGTCCGATTCAAAATGATCGGAGAAGGCCCGATGCGGGGAAAGGGTCACTGTCGCCCCAAAGCTCATGAGCATAATTGTTGGCTCCTCTTTCCGCGTAGAAGTTAATTAGAAAGAAGAACAACTTTCATCATAGATTAGCTGTATAGTCCTGTATAGTCACTTTACAAATTCAATCAACATGGTCCTCGCGCAGCCCCAGAATCAGCACGTCAAGGGTCTTTTTGACCTGACCGGCAAAGTCGCCGTCGTGACTGGTGGTGCTCGTGGAATCGGTCTCGAAGTTTCTCGAGGACTAGCTGAGGCCGGTGCTAATGTATGGCCCCTTCTGTTTTGTTAAACTCAATCTTCTGACTTTGGTGCAGGTAGCTCTGATCTATAATTCATCCAAGACAGCTGAGGCCATCGCCGCGGAAATTGCAAGCGCGAACAATGTGCGCGCAGTCGCATACCAGGCCAATGTCACCGACCAGTCCCAGATCGAATTAGTAATTCAGCAGGTTGCCCAGGACTTTGGAAAACTTGATATTCTTGTCGCCAACTCGGGCATTGTGAGCAGCGTTGCTGCTGAAGACTATACCCCCAGCCAGTGGAGCGAGATCATAAAGGTCAACCTTGACGGCGCATTCTACTCTGCCCAAGCTGCCGCCCGTATCTTCAAGCAGCAGGGATATGGCAACGTGATCTTCACGGCTTCTGTGAGCGCTACGTTGGTGAATGTACCTCAGAAGCAAGCCGCCGTGAGTAGCTATACCCCAGTGATTGGAAATTCAGAATGAATTGAAGTGTTAACGCAAAGCAGTACAACGCGTCCAAGGCAGGCGTAGTACAATTGGCCAAGTGCCTTTCCGTCGAATGGGTTGATTTTTGCCGGGTTAACTGTGTTTCTCCTGGCTTCATCGCTACCGAAATCCTCGACATCCACCCCGAGGAATGGCGCGCCAAATGGTACGATATGATTCCTGCCAAGCGCATGGCCCAGGCATACGAATTAAAAGGGGTAAGGCCTATCATCAGCTTCACAAGACTCCACAGCTGGCTAATTACAGCAAATAGGCCTATGTCTTCTGTGCTTCCGATGCCTCAAGTTACATGACCGGGGCCGATATTATTATAGACGGGGGATATACTCTACCTTGAATTAATGAGAGATTTCATGCCATTCAAGTCACTCTAGAAGTAAAAATTAGGGAGCAGATGGCCCATGCACTTCCCCTGGCCTGCATTGGTAAAGGCTCGTTAGACTTCCGGTAGCTGGTTCATAAAATCTGCTATAGTTGACTCTTGTCTGTGTATGTATTGGTCAGTAAATCATTCGTCACCAAGAAAGCTTTAAGAATTCTTACAAAACCGATCCCATTCCATCAAGCTGAGCCATCTCCAGAGTTGGCCACATCAATGGATAGAGCTGTGCCAGCTGCGTCTGTGGGGACTCCTCAGTTGGAAGATACCGGCCATCAATGGAGTTGTTTTCAAGATACGTGCCGCATCGGGCCTTGATTACCGAAAGGCATCTGAGTGCAGTCGGATTCAAAATTGCCATGGACTCGAGGATCCTCATGGCTTCTTGAATTTGTTCAACCCATTCGATCGCTCGAAATTCCTGAGGATTATTTCGAAGACAGATGACTGGAATAAGAATTGCTTGAAACAAGAAGTATAACCCATACCAGCAGGCCATCATACTCCGCTGCTCATGTGCCCAGAATTGAGAAATGAGCTCCACAGTCTCACGACTTGCATCCAGACATCGCTGAATAGCAAACCTGGTACTATTGTCCATAGCAGTGCACTGCCCAGGCCGTGCCATGAGCCGACCAAGAAGGAAGGGGCGATACATGAGGATGCGGAAGTTCCGATATCTCCATCTCAAAATTGAGTGACAGAGCCGGAATCTGGGTTGTTGGCGGACGGATTCTTGAAAGAAAGAAGGTATAGAGTTGAGCCAGCCTCCGATCAACCGATCGTCTGAATCGATGAGCTCCGATGCAGATGGGAATGGCGACGAAATGATCCTGGAGTAGATTTTACTCGTAGCCATGTGGAAAGTCGCTTGGGCTCGCAAGTGAGTGTATACAGTCGTTTCATCAGCCGGCTGCGGCAAAAGTTTTGCTCCTTGAGTGAAGTCCTGCGCAGATATTAATGATCATTCAATGGAGAAGAGAATTTTGCTTGAAAGACTGACCGTGTCGTGGACGTTCATGGGAAGTCCCACGTCGATACCATCACTTGGAAAGTCGAGCGGTCGAGAAAACGTGATGATAGCACCAACATCGAAAATGTAGAGGCAGTGCCAGATACGGCGCTTCATCTCAAGGTTGAAAAGGCTAGTTTCTCGGCTTGGAAACTCTTTGTGTAATCCGATACCCATCGCAATACGGCGTGCAAGGCCCATATAATTGTATCCGGAATTCGGCATGTTTATCTTCTGCATGTAATTCGAAAGGAGGGTAAGAGCTTGCACGAGAAATGGGTTTCCCGTTTCCAACATGTCAATGGAGAGCCGCGCCTTGGCAGCTTCGAATAGACCGAGGTGGAGGTCAGTTTGTTCTGTGGCTGTTGTCCACCCACCAACAGCGGCGATTATGAATAGAAGAACTTGCCATTCATCACCAGCTGGCCGGGGAATAACTTCTGTAAACTGAGCTCGGAATGTTGCTTCATGCACTATCGGGTATGATCGGTGGAAGAGAGAGAAATATGCATCGACGAAAGGTTCGAGTTGGCCCAAAGAGTTGAGAGCAAAGGGGATAGTTGAAATCGGATGATTTGCCGTGCCAGCACGTTGTTCCAACCCCGAAGCCCAATCCGGTCCAGTTGGCTTGGTGTCAATGATGCGCAGTAAAGCAGCACCGGATGCGACCCCTGTCTCAATATCAGTGTCATAATCAGATAAAGAAGAATATACTGCAAACCTAAGTAACCGTCCTTATGTGAAGCACTGGGCAAGCTGGCCATGCCGTCGACAAATTTATCTCCGCTTGGACTTCCATTTCTTTCGTCCCATTCGAAGTTGCTCGGTGAGGTTGGAGTTTCCAATGACAGGCCAGACGTTGCCTGTGATGGTTTCTTCGACCCAGGCGAGCGGTCCTGCAACTCGCAACGAACAGATTGATGTTGAATAGGAACCTCAGAGTTACCTCTCACATTATCCATCCTACTCGACGTAGAATGGTGTGATTGGGTTTGTGGGCTCGCAGAATGCACCGTGGTCTCTCTTCCTCGGTGGTTCAGCAAAGAGCCGCCTAGAAGCTGAGACCTGAGAACATCAGATGAACGAGATACATGCACTGGGTCTTCGGATGGAGTACTAAAGTTCACTTGGTCTGTCTCATCTGATTTGGGGGGTGACCTGCTGTAGCATTGCCTTGGTTCGAGCCAGCTCACTCTCCACCTCGGTGAGATAGCGCCGAGTGAGCGGTGTCTTCATTTGTTTTTCATAGATGCATTGTCTGCCAAATTTGTGGCACAGGGCACAGTTTGGAATCAAGCGATCGCACTTCACGTATGTCAGTGTCACTTCAATTGGCCCCCCTTCATGCTCACCTTAGATTTCCTGCGGCGACATTCTTTGCAGGCCTGTTGGGCCGTGGGGCGAGCGCTTCCCTCGTGCGCCTCGTCAATCAGGCTTTGTGCAGGCGATCCTGATGATACGAAGAGTTGTTGGTCCTGCATCTAGAAAGACGATCTCAGGTTCAATTGCGTGTGGGGAAGTGGAGTACAAGTACTCACGTTGGATGTGGAATCCGGAGAAGGTCCGAGCGACACCGGATTCTTCGAGCAGACACAAACCCTCGGCTCCGTGGAGTTTGTAAAGAAAGAACGGTAGCAGTATGAGTTGAATAAAAGAGACGACATTTAGATTAGGAAGACGAAAGCCCCTGTAACTTCAAAGCCACGAAATAGATGAAGCCACGAACTCCTCTTTTCAAAATTGGAAAGTTTCCAAGGTTGGGAGGAACAAATGAGCAGATACAAAGTTTTCGAAGCTTGAAATATTGAAGGTTACGGGAAAAGGCCCCTGGCATGAATATTTTGTGAAGAGAATGTTGTTGGAATTGATAATGACTATGTATGCTTTAGTAGAAACTTGTTGTTATAAACAAGCGAACCCTGGTGGATGGAAGACAAGACTCCTCATCAGAATCACTGATAGCTGCTAACGCTGGGAGGGAGATCTTCAACATGAGTTCCCCATTCGCTCTCCTTCTCTCCTAGCTCCAACTCCAAGACACCACCTTCAATAAAGAAGTCATGGGTGAGCCAGTTCTTGGACCATGGCTTGCCATTCAACTTCGCGGTCTGGATATAGATGGACTTATAGCCAGGATCAAAGTTGACGTTTCTAATAGTGGAAACCTTGCCAGAGATGGGGTTGGTGATGCTCACTTCCTTGAAGTACGGAGGGGTGATGAGGTAGACGTCCTGTCCAGGAACAGGCCACAAACCCATCATGCTTAGTACCACGAAAGAACCCATCGCTCCACTGTCATCGTTGCCCGCGATACCAGCGGTGGTGGTGTTGAATTGAGACGGAATATAGAAATGGCTGTATTTGGCCGAAAGCGCGGGACGTCCAGAGTAGTGAAATTGGAAAATGGTCAAAAAAGCCTGCTCGTCCCCGACGTAAAGCAGGCCTGACTCGTGAAGGAAGGTTAGTCGCTTGGTGAACTCCTCTGCGCCTCCCAGTGTCTTGATCAAGGAACCCATGTCATGCGGAGCATAGCTGGGAGCATGTCAGCAATCAGCCATCAATGAGATGAAACAAGCGGAACTTACAAAGTATAAAGCCAGGCGCTTCCTTCATAGGTCTCGTGGCCGGTAGGGTTCAGGTAACAGGAAGTGAAGTTCAGCAGTGGGCTGCAGAAGCTGGGGTCCTGAGAACCCCAGGTGCCATTCATATAGCGAGGCTGCAAGAATCCGGTAAAACCAGTGTCGACGCCGTTGATGCTCGATTTTTGGTTGGCTTTGAACATGTTGATCCAGTTACCAGAGCGCGCCAGGTACTTCTCATAATCGGCTTCTTTGCCTCTCGCTTTAGCAATTTCGGCAATGCAGAAGTCATTATACGCATACTCTACAGTCCTGGAAATAGACCGAGTATGTGTGCCTGTCCCATATGGGTCATAGTCATCAGTCGGGATAAATCCAAGATCTTTCCAGCTATGCAGTCCGCCACGGCCTTCGATATCCCAGTTCTCAGGTTCGACCTCGGCGTCCTTGACAACAGCCTCGTAAGCAGTGTCCCAGTCTATACCTGGCACCTTCTTCAAGAAGGCATCGGCCATCAGTACGTCTGCATTAGAGCCACCCTGAGTGTAGCCCTTACAGAGAGACATTCGGCAATCGGGTAAGAAGCCTTCGTTTCGGTAGATATCGACAAGACTGCGCATCATCAAAGACTGCGAAAGGGGGTCCAGCAATGTAAGAAGGGGGTGAATGCTGCGGTATGAGTCCCAGATACTAGAAGCATATCATCGTTAACCAAAGAAGCCCACAAGGCTCGTCCTTATACTTACCAGTAGTAGCTGTCGTAGTAAGGCTCGTCGCTTTGCCAAAGAGGATTTTCGCCCGTGTAATCCTGAGGACTGATCATAGTTCGGTAGGCGCCACTCCAGAAGACCTCCTGCAGGTCTTTGGAAACACCCTCTGCATCAACTGAAATGACATCGAGCTTCGTCTTCCAGGCAGACTTGGCTACGGCAACGGTACCATCGAAGTCGAAGTGGGGTTGCTCCTGCTCAGCGTTGGCACACGCTTGGTTGACATCCATAAAGCTCACACCGACGCGGGCTAGCATCTCTTTGTTCTCTGGGCTCTTGAACTGGGCAAAAGTACCAGCGGAGAGGGTAGCAGCCGAGTCGGTCCCGTCAGCTGTGAGCATCACGTTCTCAACGGTATAGTTGGCCCGGTTTCTCGACCAGACGCCGGTATTCCGCAGGTCGGCACCCTTGAAATCGACACAGAAATGGAGATTGTAGCTACCGATTCCAAAACTGGGACTGAATGTGCCATTACCTGTCAATCGTCCCGTATTGGGGTTCACGGAAGCATGACCAGATGAACGCGACTGGGGCAAATCCATCAGGTCAACTAATATCACCGGGCTAAGGGACTCGGCAGAGCCGTCAAAGGTGAATCGATACAGAGCAGAACGATTCGTTGTGGTCATTTCAGCCTTGACGCCGTTGGTTAACGAGATACTGAAGTATCCTGGATCCGCCACCACCGAATCTTTTTCCCATGCAACAGCTCGATCATTCTGCTGCCATTTGCATTGGTTTATATCGTCGTTTGGACATGATGGTTGTGCGAAAATCGGGAAGTTTCCCAGCGAGGGAGACTATAGTGGATGTTAGAGTCTTTTCTTGAGGGTTCGGAAGTATCACATACACCACCGGTGCCAGAGTCATGCATGTGGGAAAAACCAGTCACAACCGATGTATCCCAGGCAAATCCCGCTTGGTTTTCGCCTTGTGTATCGGCGACGGCTTTTGCCATACCGAATGGCAAAGTTGCACCTGCGAATACATGGCCTGGATACCGTCAGTTTATGTCGTTGAGGCTCCACGGCTGGTAATTACAGCGCACCTCCATTGGCTGTTCCGATCAAGGGATCGACATAGTCCAAGATATCGATCTTGTCGGTGGAGGCATCCTGCGCACCCAAAGCAACAGAGCCATACAAGGCCGTCGCGATGGCAAGAGCTTTCACGTGGGATCGGAAAACGCGTGGAAGCATACTGAGTTCGAGTAAACAATCCGGGGCCACGTAACTTTCACGTCTATTTTCGAGATAGCCTCACGGTCGCAGTGGCCAACGCGTCTGCGGGACTGATATTTCCTTGTTTACGGTCGTGGGGAGCATTCCACGGCCCTTTTTGGTGGAAATGCAAATCGGGCCAGGAAAGAGGGAAACGTCTTAATTATGGTATTTTAATTGAGGTCACATCGCGCTCCTGGATTCTGAGCGGGCGTGACATCTGGACAGCTTGTGGACGTGCATTGCCAACGTGCGCTTTCCTAGGGTTCCCCACGTCTGCGCGACTTTTGAGGCAGCATTGACCGCAGTGATAGACATCAATGCTGCCCGAAGGAGCAATCGGCCCAACACGGAATGCAAAATGAATCAATAGTACAGCATCGGGTTCCTGACTGAGTGCCGATCTGTTGAGGTCGGAGCAGGATTGGCGAATAAATCCGAGCGGGGAAGTCTGAGACTCGTGGGGGCTTGTGGAGAATAAACAATGAATGCTAGCGGGGTCATGGTCCATGTAACCTCTTCACGCTACGTCGAGCGCGCCAGGGAGGCTTTGTTGTCGTCCCCCAAGAAGTCGTTGGCTAGTTGCAGACTGGTTCGGCCATCGTGTGTTCGGGATAATCTAGCCCAACATAAAGAAAACTATTCCCTCTCCTGATTCTTCTCTGTAAAATATCCATTCACTTATGCTCAGATCGTCTATGTAAGATGCACTATGTTAGAGAAAGCAAGCCAAAAGAAACCAATGACTATGTACTGCCGTACCATTTCCAATCCTGATCATTCATGTGCTACACAAGGGCTCGTCCAAGATGCCAACTTGCGCACTGTGTAACCTTGGAACGGTCATTATACAGACCCCCGATTTAAATGAGGTCTAGAGCAATCATATCCCATGACTGCCCCGTTGTATCAGCCCATGGTCTGGGAAATCCTGCAAAGTTGGACGATCTGGCAAAACTTCCTTCCGTCGGCATACGAGAATTGAGATATGCCCGAAGATGCACATTTTCCGTCTGAACCCTTGAGAATTCTTCTCGAAGATTCGCCAGTTTTCCAAGGAGTGACCGGTGGGACTCAACTTCTCTTACCATGAGATTCAACTGGTTGAGGAACTCGAGTTGATGTACCGAAGAGATGTATTTAGCATCTGACTGGTATAGATGGGCCAAGACTTGCGAATACATTTCAAAGACGGGCGGTAAACTGTCCGGGTACTCAGTGTCAAAGCAATCCCCTTTCATATAAGGGAGGTTTGATGCGGCGAGCCCTGGGGTATCATATCCTGTCAACGGAGATTCTTGATTACTCGCACCCTCTCTAGAGGGCGGCTCTGTTCTCTGGAATGAACTTCCTGACGATGCATCTTGAGAATCAATCGTTGCTGACAACGAGGGAGGCACCTGATCCCACAGGTTATCTTTGCAGGACGGGCAATGAAAGAAGCCGGGAATTGCATCCGCAGCAGACAAGCACTGAGTATGGTAGGCTCTACAGCATGTCCCGCACCCGATTAGCTTTTCGGGAAGACGACACTCGGAACAAACGAAGTTATGTGGCTTCCCTGCATCTATGGAAGGTGTCAACGCGATAACAACATAAAAACGAGATGGACATACGGATCCACTCATGGTAGATTCGACTCTGTTCGGAGTCTGGTAGGGCGCTCCATCGAGTTAAAGGTCGCCATGCTCGTGTTTGCAAGCTCGGCTCGGCATCGTCTGCCTCGACGGACGATCTCATAAGCCTCATACCGCTATGGCTGTCCGATACTTGGCTCCGAAGCATCTTCAAGTGTGGACAATGGGCTGAAGAATAAGCGGTAGCACTTCAAGATGGACTTGCCGAGCGGTCCGGAATCCCGAATCTGTCCCGAGATTCTGCCGAGTTACATAATCTGATCTTCTGACGACGGGGAGCTTCCCTGAAGGTCTGGTTGCTGGTTTCTTCGCCTTTATAGCTTAAAATTTGTCCAAAATGTGGGGGCATTAGTACCTTGTTGGGACCTGTCAGCAATAGAGGTAATGATCTATCGCACTTCACCTCAAATGATTGTCAACACTTGCGGTTTTGGTCTTATCACACACACACACAATGCCTGGGGTTCCTTCCAATAAGGCGTGCGAGAGGTGTAAGAAGAGGCATATGAAGGTGTGTGACTTGTCTCTAAATTACATGATGGCTTTGGTTGACCAGGATCAGTGTGATGAAACTCGCCCGCACTGCCAACGATGCACGGGGGCGGGGGTAGAATGTCCGGGATATGTTCAAACCCGCAAATTCATCGACCAGGGAGCTTCCGTGAGACGTCGATATGCTCCGTATCAAGAGGTGCATTCCAGAGCTGGAACACCGGTAAACGATGCTCATATGGGCGAGGAACATGAGCCTGACTCGACACAAAACGAGATGCAAGCCGAACCACCGCATGAGGCAACGCTGACATCAACGGATGACCTCGAAATGGCAGAAGAAGCAAGCGGGATGGGCCTCATGCAGAACCAATTCTTCATTACTAAACCGCCAGAGCCTCCTCATGCCCCGGAGATACACAGAGTCCCAGGCCACGGCAGCCATGAATCATCCAGAGCCACCTTGCAGAATTCAGTGTCACCAAATGTTACAACTGGATTTTCTCCTAATTTCGAACACTCATACTCACACTCAAAAAGGCCAGTTCCACGTGATCGACCTGATTATGAAAGGCTGATCTCTTCGGAGAGTGTATCGCACCGGAGCGAAAAGGAAGAATTCCAAGATATCTTCTCAGAACTCATGACGGGGACCGAGCATGAAGTTGCTTTTCTTGTTCGCAATTTCGCCCAAGTTATCGCGCCCTGGTACGTCATTTTTGCTGTACCTTTTTAATTCTATTCTACTTTATTTTTACGCGAGCTTATGGTCAATCTAGGTTGGATGTCTCTGACATGGGCAAATTCTTCTCGGTCCTGGTCCCAATCCGGGCCATCAACTGTAATGCACTCAAATACTCTATTGCAGCTTTATCGGCAAAACAACTTGGTCGAGTGAAAGGTGCCAAGTCATCCGCCGGAGGTGGCATGTTCACCAGCCCTGCAACGACAGAGGTGTATCCAAATTCGGCCCAGGTCGACTGGTACCTCAAGGCAGCCAATTACTACTACTTGGCTGCTTCGGATCTGAACAACTCGACCTCTGATGGATATACGCTTGTGTCCAGCTCGGCTGTCTTGGATTCGCCGATTGACTTGGTCGGACGATGGCTGAAAAAGCAATCCCCTCAAAGCATAGGCCAAAGCTCAATTGATGGCGCTCTTCTAAAAAAGGCTGAAGATATGCTGGCTAACATTACGCTATTGACATTATACAAACTTCTAGATGCGAAAGGAGAGGAGTGGCATATGTACGTGCTCTCGGATGTCAGTGCGAACCATAGCTGACACGGTCACCCACAGGCATCTTTCTGGTATCCATTCTTTGTTTGATTCTCTTCTGAGAATACATCACAAGGGGTCGACTCCGTTTTCCCATGGCATCCGAGCCTCATTCTGGAATTTTGTTAGACAGGACTACCTCGGAAGCTATTTCACTCGCTCAGAGACACACTTTGACCCTCAAAATCTTCCTCTGTGGCGTGCAGCCGGCATCAAAATTGATGAACAAGATAAATTGCGAGCATTGGACAGCGGGTCAAGCAGTCTACCACTAGAAGACCAAGCTGCGAACGGTCTGTCCTGGCTCGTTTCAAAAGTGATCAATTTCCTCGCCAAGTCGAAGCAATCTCAAATTGCTCAGTGGACTGGATCTCCACCGAGTAACTTATCAGGATCTCCAGGCTCGCCTTCGGGCACTAGTGAGCGGTCCTATCCGAACACGAATACCTGGCTTGACCTTTGCTTCGAGTTCCAAAATTGGTTTGAAGGCGTCCCGGAGACTTTCCGCCCATGCGTACGCATCGATCACCCTAGAGACCTTTCCAAGCCGGATGGTGGCCAATTACCATTCCCTGAGATCTTCTTCAGCCTAGCGACCTGTGCTGCTACCATGCAGCATTATCATTTTGGGAGGGTTGCGCTCCTGCTTAATCGCCCACAAGACACTGTCAGCGCTCCAAGCACCGCCTTTGACCGTCTACAAGGGTATCGTGAAGTTACGAAGGAAGTGGAGTATCGCAGTCGTGAAGTATGTGGCATCGCTCTGGGACGTCCTCAGGGAGAGGTGCGTGTGTACATGGTCCCGCTATTGTTTGCCGTCGGGCAGTGCTTGGAGAGTGCCGATGAGCGCAAGATCATTGTGGACTTGTTGCGGGGCGTGGAGGCGGATCTGGGCTGGGCCACTGACTTCGCAGTCCAGAGTCTCCAGTCTTCCTGGAGTCGATGAAGCTCGGCTAGCGCGTCATTCAAAAAACACTAATGGAAAAGCGCAAGACCTCCGTTCGCGCGCTTCCTATGGTCAAATTAAGTAATATCGATACCTAGGGTAGTAATGGTTTAGTGCTAATACGAAGTCCTATCGACACTTTCCTAATGTCCTTTTGACTTTTCGGTTAAATGTAAACTACCCGAACACGTCTGGGCTACTGTCAGTGGTCACCTGCGGCCTGTTTGGCAGACGCCCAACCAATGATCGCCTCGCAGAAGCAATTTCAAGTTCCAGGGGCGATCTTGGGCAGCTTTCGGCAACTGTTACATAGCTATGTCCCGGTAAGAAACCTGAAACAGCCCCTATCTCTCGCCTCGGTCGAGCAGGATGATCCCAAAACGCTAGACATGACGACACCACTAGGGATGAAGTGGGAGCCTACAGCCCCACGATCAGTGCGGCCATAAGCCGCGGGGAATTGCCGAAGTAGACCGTGGCAATGATAAGCGACAGACTTAAAGTTAGAAAAGGTTGACAAGCAAATGGGGCCACGAGACGTGCGGGGGAATAATCCGGGGCGAAGAGTGGAACCCGGGGTAGTCTATGCTTTTGGAAATGACTATGCCAATAACAAGGCTATCTGGACCCGTCCTTGCTCGTTTGATCCTCCCAAAAGATGATAGCCTATGGGTGACTCGTGTTTATAGAAAGCTTCCGGTGCGCCACATCTTGGGCCGTCCAGTCTTGACTTTATACATGCATGGTATTTTTGAGCTATCGGCAAATCCCCAGCCGGCTGAATTCCGCACCGGGACTGAGCTAGATTACTTCTTAAATCTGATCAAGACCCCCTGATATTGCCTTGAAACACACGCAGCCTTTCTTCATTGATTGATCCTCGCCATCGCCGCGAATCATTCATCATGGAGATGAACTATAATGAAAGAGTACGTCTTCTCCTGTCGTGTCGATGGTACAAGCTAACACACATCGTCCTCTAGGCTCTTCACCAGTATGCGCGCGCTGTCCCCGCTGATTGAATGTCTACTAAAGATGACCAGAATCGAGGTGGAGCTGGGGACGACGATTTATCCGGGCACGGAGATCATGGCTGATGTAGGAACTCATCACTTCATCCACTCTTCAGTCAAGTCCGACCGCGTGCTAGTGCCCCAGCCATCCAACGATAAGCATGATCCACTGGCAAGTTCCCTTCAAGCTGCCCGCCGTACGATGCCTAATGGCTCTATGTCCTCTAGAATTGGAGCCGATTTTGGAAGATGAGTGCCATGGCGATCTCAACGGCAACCTCGTTCAGTCAAGGCTTAGGACCTTTGGCTCTAGCGCCCATGTTCCCGCAATTGATGGAGGCATTCAACTCCGACTTGGCCGGTGTGGTACAGTTCACTGGTATCTGTATTTTGGTACTGGGTTTCAGCAACTTCTTCTGGTAAGAGGAACGAACCGTCAAGTCGGAATGTCGTGGGGCTAATCAAATTTGCATATAGGATCCCCATGCAGACCTCGTACGGCCGTCGCCCAGTTCTGATCTTCTCGACCTTGATTTGCCTCGTCAGCAACATTTGGCGTGCCCTCGCAACTTCATACGGCAGCTACATGGGCGCCTGTGTTCTCAATGGATTCGGTGCAGGTCCGGCTGAGGTTAGTCTGAATTCATCAGTCTGAAGTCTTGTTTTAACATCCAGACAGACCTCTCAACCCGAGATCATCGCCGACATCATGTTCCTTCATGAGCGTGGTGCTTACAACACACTCTATTTTACAGCCTACTTTGGATCGCTCATGGTAAGAATACCCAACGCCGGTATAGTCATCAATTAACATCTCCTAGGTCGGTCCTATTATTGCTGGTCCCATGGCAGAGCACGTTGGCTGGCGCAGCTTCTTCTGGCTGAATGTTGGCATTCTGGGAGTCGTCCTGCTCTTCCAGATCTTCCTTTTCCCGGAAACCAAGTGGCGTCGTGTTCATCCAGAAGATATCATGCATGAAGCCAACAGCACGTCCACAGCTGAGGTTGAGCCTGAAAAGCCAGTCGAAGTCATCCAGAAGGAAAATGTCACCGTGGAAAATGCCGCAGAGCAAGACCCATGGCTGCACCGTGGCAGGCCCTCGAAGCAACAGTTTAAGCTTTGGCAACTGGATGGGAACAACCTCAAGACTGTCCTGGTCAGCTTCTGGATTCCTTGGAAGTTGTTGAGCTTCCCTATTGTTGAGCTGGCAGCCTTTGTTGTGTCCTGGTCAGCTAGTTGCTTCTTGACGCTGAATTTGACCCAGAGTCAGGCCTTCGCGGAGCCTCCGTACAACTTCAACAGCCAAACGATTGGTTTCTTCAACTTTGCCATTCTCATAGGCGCTTTTATCGGCCTGGCCACCAATGGTCTTCTCTCGGATTGGATATCGATGAGGTCCACTCGTAAGAACAATGGCATTCGAGAGCCAGAAATGAGACTGCCGGCAATGGCGATCTACGTGGTGATTATGATCATCGGAAACTTCATCGTCGCCTTTGGATACCAGTACAAATGGGACTGGAAGGTAAGTTCACGTGTTCCTCGTACGAATTTTGATCTAATATCCCGCAGGTGATTGTCATCGTTGGCTACACGGCCGCTGGAATCCAAGTTGCTGCTCTTCCAGCCATCACCAGCACTTACGCCGTCGACAGCTACAAGCCCGTGGCCGGCTCGATTTTCGTGTCTATTACCGTCAACAAGAATGTCTGGGGTTACGGCTTTAGCAAGTTCATCACCCCGTGGGTCGAAGAGAGCGGTTTTGTCAAGCCAATCATGTTGAACATGTGTTTGACGACTTTATGGTGCCTTTGTGCCATCCCATTCTACTTCTATGGTAAGAAATTCCGAGGTTGGACGGCGAAGTCTTCGGTGCACAGAATGTAGGCATTTCATGGGCGCAATACGTTGATGACGGATTAGAATGGAATCAAGATCAATTCATGGAATGCTTTGAGAATAAACGAGCTAGCCGGTAGCTGTAGCTTGTATGTGGCTGGTATCATAGTAAAGAAGTGCAAGACAAGTTGGCTTCAAATGCTCAAAAGTCGTCGTCATCGGGGTCGTAGAGATCAAGATCCAATGTTGCCTTCGGTTTGGGTTTCGGCGCCGGGGCTTGAGCATGACCAGATGGCCGAGGCGGTGGTGCACCGGCGAAGGATCCAGCTTGAGCCGCAGCCTGAGCAGCCTCGTCCTGCCTTGTGTCTACCGCTGGTGGCGGAGCGGGTGCTTCTGCGACTCCGAGACCCTCCGCTTCCCGTATCAGTCGCTCAACCTCCTTGTCTGGGTCTGTTGCAGCTGCAAGCTGAACTTGACCCATCAAGCCCATGCGTATCCGCTCCTCCATTGGATATGGCAACATGTAAACCTCGCGCGTAACATTCGCTGACTCTTCCAGCCACTGTGTCGCACTCTTCGTCACCGATGAGACTGGTTCGGTACTTTCTTCCGCGGTCGGCTCGCCATTGGTGCCTGCCATGGCGACATCCTTGTCTGTGATCTGTGATCGCGATCCCTGGCCTTTGTCTCCCGTGCCACTGGCTGCATCGGCAGCGGCTTCGTTGTTGTATTTGCTGATGCGACGCGCAAAATCCAAGAGAAGTCGGTAATCAATCTCCTTGCGAGAAGCCAGCTTCTCCGCCCGGGTCTCAGTCTCTTCCTCGTAGTCTTCGTCACTGTCGCTTTCGTCATCGCCGCAGGCAGTCCGAATCTCTTTGTCAAATTTCTCAATGTCCCGAACTATCCCCTTCACTCGGTCCTCTAATTGTTCGGCTTCTGCTCGGAGGCGCAGAATTTTCGCGTAGTTCTCTTGGTGCCGTCGAAGTGTGTCGATGGAGGTGGTTAACGTGCTGTCGGCCTCCAGTAGGGCTACCGCTGCAGCCGGTGCTCCTGCTGCGGCGGGGGATGTGGTAAGCGTAGCGAGGAGCACATTGAGTTTGGCCTCAACGTCAGAGAGGGATGTCTGCACGAGGGCGTTCATATTGGAGGGAGCTTGAGGGTGCGATTGCTCCAAGATTGGGATGACGACAAGACAAGAAAACAATAGGCATATGCTCTCCGTTTCTTTGGTAATGTATAATTGAATGCCCTTGGTCAGTCACCAAAGGAAATGGCACCTCCGAAGTCGCAGCGCAGACAGCTTGAAGCAAAGAGAAGCTGAAATGCGGAGCTTCCCACTTCGGTCAATAACAGGTCACGTGCTCATATAGAAGATCCCCGGGTTTTGATTTGAATTCGTAATCGAACTCTAAGCAAGCTACAATCTATGTCAGTAGAACTATTAAGTTCATCCCAGACGAAAAATGCTAATGCTTGTGCTTGTAATCTCACATTTGCTAGTAGCTCAACGGCTTTACAGAAGTGGGGGTCCAACGTTTGCTTCACTTATCAGCACCTCGGCACTTGCATTTGGACCTTTTTCGCCTGTCAATTCCGAACCTTCGAGCAAGGCGCAACGGCTCATATCATTGCTTGACTCTGACTTCGGAAATTTCAACCTCCTGCCGTCCTAATGGAAATCCGGCCTGAGATTGTTTTCCAGCATCCCCTCTCACGCTGCGAGCGGGGTCCAGGCCTGATCCTTATCCGACCTTCGTGCTACGCAGATTGCCAGAAACAAAATAAAAGTCTTGACCCAGAGCCTCTCCTGAAATGGGCAGAAGAAAGCTTTGCGACTGTTCAGATTACGTTTAGTACGGAAACTAGCGATGCTGCTAAAGTGCAAGACATGATCAAGGAGGCCAAAGATGGACTTGACAATCTAGAGGAATGTGCAGCTAAGGCTAGATACGGTGTGATAGGCGCGTTTATCATGAGGCTTCTGTGACTAAGATTTATGCTGATGATTTTCTAGTCTACGGTTCCAGGACAGACTATGCCCCTGGTTTCGCTGCAATTTTGGCAGATATTATGAACGATGACCAAAGCCTGGCAGCAGCAGTCGGTTTTGACTTCTGGGAAATCGGCGGAGAAAGGCCAGTTCTTGTGCATGCTCTCAATGGCCTCAAAGTTCCCACCCAGGGATCGATGCATACACACCATTACGCCGACGTTGCTTCCCCTGGCTTCATAGTTCCGGGGCATCATGCCTTTAAAATATCGACAGCAGGCGTGTCTCATACTCGCAGTCTCGCCTTCTTGAAGAAGCATCTTGGTGGGCCTTACTTTGACCTCGAAGCCATCTGGGATGAACACACCTACTATGAGTTTGGCGATCGGTCGGTCGACAAGACAATGGCCACGATGGTCCAGGAACCATACGTAAACCATGTTCCCACGGTACGATACGATATACGCCAACCAAGGGGTGTTGCATTGAACAAAGACTGACCGAACTCAGCTGACGGGAGGCATTGGGCGAACTCATTTGAGTCATTTCTACCTCAATCATTTCATCCACAGCAACCCCGATGATACAGCACTCGAGCTGATCAGCCGTACGGTGGGCACCGATCGAATCGTGGACGAATTTATCTTTTCTCTTACGCATAACAAGCAAATAGACTGGCTGTAAGTGGTTCCAGTCCCGATGACCTCTCCCTCTGCCTCGAGTCTCACGCGTGCCAAGACTGCCAGGAATTCCAGCGACCGGTAAATCCCTCCGCATCCCTTTTACTTCCGTGGTCAATATCCGGGGTGACCGATTATATCACGAACATATCGCATGGGACCAGGCCACTACGTTGGTGCAATTGGGGCTCATGCCCGAATATTTGCCCTTCCCATACACTTTGCCAGATGGATCAACTCCAGCTGTGGGCAAAAGATTTGAATACCGCGTGCCGGCAGCCGGGGCCGAGTCTGCTGATAAACTGCAGAACGAGCACTCGGTTCTGTCGAATCAAATGTTCGAATACAAAATTCGCGAGGTCGATGACAGCTAAGGTAGCAGTACCATGGTACCTTCTTCGGTGGAAATCCCGCCCCGCCCCGTGCCATGCAACCATGGAAAATACGTTCTTCTGCATCATGACGAGCTCTCAAATATCTATCAATGTGCTGTTCTATCCCTGAAAAAGAAACTTGTCATGCATGTGTAACCCCTACGCGATCCTCTAGGTTCAACCCCGCAGCGCCCCAAATGCGGCACAGTGAACCAGTCAGAACAGCCGACCAATCTCACCGCAAGTACCTGTTTCTGTTTCTCACCCAAAGGTGAAAAGCTCGGATCTCGCCGGAGCTGTTGATTGACATCATACAGGCTGGTGTCCATGTAATCTTTAGAAAGGGGCAACCGCACCCGTTTCCTCATTCGATATGGATTCAAGATTCATGCCGATCTCTAGCCCTCTTTAGCCAGTTGACTGCAATTCAGCCCCACAGGGCCCTTCATCTTGCTTAGATCGAATATGCACTTCCTAAAAGTTGGCAAAATCCGCACTAAGTCCGGCCCCCAACCATTAAATAGACGGTGCATTGGGCATCATTCATTACATGGTTCCCCGCATGAGGCTAACTTCGTTGCCGCAGGATCCCAAAGTGACGAGCCCATGTGCTGTGCCTCTATATAGAACCCAAGGTACCTGGAGTCCCTGCGCAGGCCCATTCTCAACCTCCTGCATCTAGTGTCAACATGGTGTTTTCCCTGGTACTGGCCCTCGTATCGGTCTGCTATGCAGCAAACTTGCCCATAGTTGATCTTGGTTACGAGCGGCACCAAGCCATCTCGTTCAATGTATGACATTGGCCCCACATTCTTGATTTGTAACTGACCGGAGATATCTGCAGAACACTCATGGCTTGTATAACTTCAGCAACATCCGATATGCTGCGCCGCCTTTGGGTGACTTGCGCTTTAGGGCACCCGTGTGGCCTGCGCAGAATCGGACACAGGTTCAGGATGGTTCGGTAGGCCGACTTTGTCCGCAAGCCATCCCCATCTGGGAAGAGGATATCGAGCCTGCATTCCTCCTGAGTCTAGTGGCAGGTACCAGTTTCAACCAGTCGACCAACATTTCTTCATATCCGTATGTACCCCAGAAGATGGACCCTCGGACCACTGAAGATTGCCTGTTTCTGGACTTGATTGTTCCAAAGAAGATCTTTGATCGTGCACAGAACAAGACCTTCGTTCCGAAGAAGACATTGGCGCCAGTTTTGGTCTGGATCTATGGCGGTGGTTATACCGAAGGAGACAAAGCCACGTATGATCCCTCGGGCTTGATCCAGGAAAGTACTGGAGGCGATGGAATCGTGTATGTTGCGATAAACTACCGAGTGAGTTTCGGCCATTTTGAAAATCGTCGCCCTAGTTTATGTTGATCTGACACTCGTTAGCTGGGTGTATTTGGCTGGCTTGCTGGTGAAAGTCTCACGGCCAACGGCACTGCGAACGCAGCGCTACACGATCAACGCTTTGCTATGGACTGGGTATACAAGAACATTCACTTGTTCGGCGGTGATCCAACAAGAGTCACAATTATGGGCGAGTCGGCCGGAGGTGGTTCTATCATGCACCAGATCACAGCGTATGGAGGAAATTCCGGCCCTTCTCCGTTCCAACAGGCGATTTTACAGAGCCCAGGATGGGTTCCTGTCCCCAACAAGACGCAGCCAGAACAGACTCTGCAACAATTCCTGGGGATTCTCAATGTCAGCACGATAGAAGAGGCGCGCCAAATGTCGACCGAGAAGTTGATTGCTGCCAATGCCTACCAGATAGCCACCAAGTCAAGCTGGGGCGAGTTCGTTTATGGGCCCGTTGTGGATGGTACTTTCGTGCCGGCTTTGCCTGGCCAGCTTCTTTTGGAAGGCAATTTCGATCGCAATCTGAATATCATGGTGGGCCACAATGCAGATGAAGGACTCGTTTTCGCTTCTCCGGATGCTCGCAACAGCTCTTGGGTGGCCACGCTATTGGAGCAGTATTACCCCAATATTCGGCCTAATGTCACCGAGTATGTCACCAAGGTCCTGTACCCAGCCAAGTACGATGGATCATACGGCTACACCTCTCCATTCGAGCGTGCTGTTTTCCTAATTTCGGAGCTCATATTTGTCTGTAATACAGACTACATTGTGAGAATGCCTCTAACAACTTTCCTGAGATCCGTTGAACCCAACTAATCTTGTTTCTTTCTCAGAACCGGGCTTACCATGGCCACACATACGCATATCAGTTTAGCGTCCCTCCTGCGGTACATGGCCAAGATGTGCTGTACACTTTCTACAACAATGGCTCCAGTGGTCTAAGCTCTTCAATTGAGGGATTATCGGTCGCCAACGTTACGATCGCCGAGGTCATGCAACAATACTTCACTAGCTTTGTGCAAACTGGCACTCCCAAATCGGCTCTGGGTCCAACGTTCCCACCGCACGGTCAGCGGGGACAACTGATGAACATCGGCAACACTACCATTCAGCCGATGCGCGATACGAGCAACAACCCGCGCTGTCGCTTCTGGCAGACAGCGCCTTACGCTTCATGAGCATGAATCACAGCGCGTTTTTTTACATCATTCCGAACATGAGGAGATGGAAGGTTTGTGATTTAAGTCGAGTCCTCTTTTTAAACCAATGGAATGAATATTACGATTGGGATTTGCACCAATAAAACGTACAAATAGAGGACTATAAATCGGACGACCTACTATGCCGGGAACTTGGAATTTGGATCTCGAAGATCCCTGAAATGGAAGGCCGAAGCACGATCAGACTTTTTGAGTTACGACCAGCATCGTGATCAATCCAATTTGCAGGAGCGAATTTTTCAAATACAGTTCAAATCGAGAAAGGCGAGATACCTCGGGCCAACGGTTTAATAAAATATTAAAAATATTAAAAAAAAAAAATCGATAGATTACCGGCGCTTGTCTTTGATAGGAAAGCCAAATCCACATGGTCGAAAGAGACTGCTCGGGGTGTTTCATCGCCCCACAATAACCCTGCATGTAACTTATAGTTTGCTCAAAGAAATTTCGTGATATCACGACATGCCATGGATTCGCTTCCGCTGGCCAAAAGGCTAGACGGGCGGGGTTTCTCTTGGCAGCATTGGTGGCAGAGTTTTGGTATTCTCCGTCGCAGTGCAATACGAGTCGACCAGAACAGTCGGTGAAAAATAATCCGAAATTATTTCCTAAGGCCCGAGGTGGGTGTAGATTCCGATGCTTGATTATTTCGCGCTTCTCCTTGGCACCTTAACGGGCGGGGGGGAGGGGGGATGAAGAATTTGGTTGTAGAGGGGGCGACATGGAACTATCTAAAGGTAGCGTGACAAGGAACAGACTTAATCGGCGCTAGACATAGCAGGCAATAATCTGCCTGTGCATGAGACATGGACCCTGAATCGTAGGTAGTGCAAGCGATTTGCAGAGGAACCTCCTTGGCAACGCCGGGGAAACCGATCTTTGTGAGAAGTCGGTTAGAACCGTCACGACATGGTTAGCACAGCCATGAGCGTCGATCAGTTCGGAATAGAACCGAAATAGATGGAGGAGCCGGCCAACCGTTAGAGGTCGGGCTGGGTACCTGTCACGGATGCAAAGGTCATTGAGGCTCAGGGGGATCGGCAAAGGTTCATGTCCAGAAAAAAACAACAAAACAGAAATAAAAAACAGAAACATCCTGGAAAGGGTAAAAGGGCAGTGAACAGAAGCTAACCGACTCGGCCCCGGGGGCCAGACTAGCTAGTTAGCTACCATCCTGCAAGCTACCAAGCTACTCGGAGGGCAAGGGGTAGGCACCAATCACGGATTCAGTGGGCCGCAGGTGCAGAGCCTAGGAGTAGTGAAACCAACTCTTTTAAGACGCCGCTAAGCATTTCTGCCCCCATCTGTTATTAATAGCGAGATCCTGGGAACACAGCCAATAGCGAGGGTCAATATTCGGAACAAAAGCTTTGCCCCGCACTAAAGTAGTGCCATACTGTGCCCATCAGGTGGAATTATGGGAGTAGATTACACATTACACATTACGCGTTACAGGGTACAGGCACTTACCATACTGGAACTCCCGTATCCTGGATTTCGCCGAACTTTGGTGGCAGGCACCCACATTCTGTCCGCCTTGTAAGGCCGTTGCTTATTCTTTAAAAGCATGCGGACATTGCTCATTCCTTCTTGAATCTACCATTTCGACCTTTTGCTTCAACTTTGAAGGCTTTGCGGATTTAGTGACACTTGGCACCTGGGCATCCATCCGTATTCCGTTACTTCCACCCGACGCCTCGTCACAGCTTGACTCAGTACCTCTCATTATCTACTCTTAAACCCAATCCGGGGTCGCGTTTCCTTTTCGTTTCTTTCTCTTTTTCTTTTTTTCATTCTCTCCTTCTCCCACCTTTTTTTTTTTATTTATTATAAATCTTCCTTCGTCATGCGTCTCAACCCGTGGACAACGGTCTGCCTGGCCACTGCGATCGCATCATCGATCCCCCTCGCTACGTCTCATGAAATGCACCTGCCCTATCTGCCTTCTCTGGGCTGGGAGAGCGATGTGAATTCATATCTGGTATGTAGACTCGACCAAACGATGGGATTCTTTTATCTAACATGACTGCAGTCCCTCAAATGGGCGGTCATTAACGGCTCGCTCTATGCCAACGAGGACCGTGTCTTCCCGCCTTCAATGTCGATGCAGCTACATGCGCCTCAGCGGGAAGGCCCGGCGAAGACCCTTATTATGGGCGATGAAATTGAGCTCTCTTATGCCCTGGAAGCCCGACCTCTATCAACCGAGGAAAACGGCTCAACCTCGACGATCGTGAGGGTTCGCGTGGACTTGTACAACTCCAAAGGCGAATCTGTCACTACCGACGCTGTAGTCGTCGATCTTCTTTCTCGCCCCGATGGCTCAAATTACATCACTCGGATCCGTTTGGAGCCGACCAAGAAGCACAATGGAGGTCGCTTCCATCATGACCGACCGTGGCACATGAATTTCTGGCCAACCATCTTCAGCGGGAAGGACAAGCAAGGCTCGTCCCCAAATGAAAAGCCGCAGCCAACCACCAGCATTGCCAGCAACATTGGCACACCGTCTCGTCCTCAGCCCACCAATGCGGCAGCCAGCAGCGCTCCCGAATCTCGGTATGGATTCATCTTCTCTCCCTACTGGTCACCAACCACCTACACCAGTCGCCCTCACCACCACCCGCATGGCGGCCGCCCAGACCGCAAATTCATGCACTTTATGCGCCCCGTTATCCTTCCTGCCGTTCTTGGTGCCATCGCTGGCCTGATTGCCTGTCTGGTTGGCTTCGTGCTGGGTCACCTTTTCATGTCCCTTTCAGTGTATCTCGGCCTTCGCAAGAAGCAAGGCTGCCAGACAAGGACAAGGTCCATTGAAGATGGATTTGACTCGGAAAAGGCGGAACTTCTGCCTCACGTTCATGTGACTGAGGTTGATCCAATGGACGCATAGAACCCAGTGGCATATCTATACGGCGCAGGTGGGGCTTTTGTTTTATTATCACAGCGTTCTCATGCATGACAAGCATCCTTTCCTTTTGTTCATAATCTTCCTTATCTTAGATGTATACTTATGCAGTGAATATGATTCCCCAATGAGGCTCTCATGTATAAAATTTGCACGCTTTTCCCAACTTACCTTGCTTAGCCGCTCATCTAGCATACTTCCATAGCTCCCTATATCAAAAGGCCGGCTGGCCCAATGGCAAGGCGCTTGACTACGAATCAAGAGATTGCAGGTTCGACCCCTGCGTCGGTCAATTTTTTGGACTTTACACACATGGTGCGTGTGAAGTGGATAGCGAACCAGATTTTTGATTTTTTTTTTCGGTCCGATGGGACGGGATCCACCCGGAGTCGCCGGTCTAAGCCGAGCAAAGATGTCTCACCGATGTCTTTTTAATCCATGCTTATTTTACTAGCATGCGACCTAAGCCGGGCTGTCTCATGCTTGTGTACCAATTTTACGAGCTTTTCAGCCAGCCTCCGGATTTCTGGAAGTTCCATAGTCCGCTCTTAAGCTTAGGGTTGCGCTAGTTGGTGATCGGTGGCTATGTCCAATCGACGGGTGACTTCCCAAAATATATATATATATATATATACATAACCACTCAGTGTAGTAGTCTCTATACATAACCTTACGAGACATTGTAAAGTGACCAGTGGCAGCCATTTGCAAAGTGCGACGTGTGACCCAACTGGTGGGAATCTGGAAACTTGTGGCGTCGGTTGTATTCCACGAGCTTTGGAAGTGTGACCAACAGTTGAAATTCTAGGGTCATTAGGCGCCCACTGCTGTGCGACGCTTTTAAGGTTAATTGAGCACAGAAACATGCGCCTGGGTTCCCCGATGACCAATATTGGCTGTTACGTGGCAGTCGGGGGCTGTATTAATCTGCCAGCCTAGTCCATCCCGCCCGGTCGTTCAAGATAATCCACTCACAAGGCCTTAATAGGTAGCTTAATCTTGGTGCCTGTTTCGCCCATCGCGTATTATAAGGTTTTCCAAGGTTGTGCCGTGGTAGTTTGTCATTTCCGGGAGCCGAGGACTCCGCGCACCACGGAGCGATGATCCCACAGAAACTGGGGATGGTTCGACTCTGAAACCACATCAAAGTGGCTTGGTATATGTATTTACACTGGGAAACGGCGAAAAACAGACCAAATATACGAATGATACCATGTGTCAGATCTAGGCAACCCTGGAACGCCTGCAACCTCATCCACCGGTATCCCTGGGTGTCGATGGATACATATAAAGGTCCACAGCTGTGCCCGACCAAATTCAAATCTCGGATTCAAAGCTCTGCCGGCCTAGGCACAATACCTACGACTAGCGATTGGTGATCAAGAGCATCTCGGTCCAAATTCGGAGAGATGCACCTTCTGGCAATTGGTCGTAAACAACTCCATCACGGCAAGGAGGCAGAATGAAGTTAGAAATCTGGACAGCACAAGACTTACCCAGTGCATTCCATTCATTGACAATTAGATAAAGGCCATACATAGCCAGGGCCATCTGCGTACAAATTGGAATTACATGGGTTTGCTTTGGCAGAATAAATTCTGTTTTCTTGGTGGTATCTATAACTATGTAGTCCTAAGCTTCAAAAGCCGGCAGCGAATTGGCTCCGGTACCGAACCTCAGGTCTAGATTCGTACGAAGGAGCAGGAGACCGTCGAAAGGACCATGAGTGTCGCTCGGATCTTATCAAGTTCGAGGTGATAGTTCGTAAACCCACGAGGTCTTTAAAAAGCAGTCTATCGGTCAATGGAGTTGAAGGCAGTCATGGCAGCGACCCTTACCATCGTGTTGAGACACGATGTTTTGCAATGAAACAGATCAGAGCGATGGGCGATCAGCATAAGCCTTTTCTCGAGAGTAAGACCCTCTCTATTGTCAACAAGGAATCATTAATGACTATTGGCGGATGATTGGGATCTTAGCAGCTAGGTGCGAAAATGGCCACAACCACTCAACTCCGGTCGCATTCTTGCAATCGCCAATTTGACAAATTCGCGGGCCGACAAGTTACTTGGAGACCGATGTCGGTTTTCTAAATGTATTGGTATAAAATGTATATCTTGTTGACCGGCCTGTGCCGGGCTTTCGAAGACTGCTGTGACACCGTCAGGCTAATTGCATGAGGAGACATTAGAAACCCAAGGGCAGATCTCCAAGATCAGAGCCATGGGTTATAGAAGTTTGTACAGGTGTTTCAAGGGGTTGGTACTTAGATGGTTGAGAGCTAGACACTCCGTAGCGATGGAAGGCGGATCAAAGTCAATAACAACAGGCGTGTTGCTCCGGTAGCGACCCAACAACCCTGACTCATTCGCGCACGCGACTGTAGGTGCAAGGCAAGGGCATGTTCGTGATAATTCGGGCATCCAGCGGCTGATGTTACGGCAAGGGGCTTTATCGCTGCCGGCAGTGTTAGGAAGAAAGAAAAAGCGCCGCGCGGTCTCTGCAAATGTCCAATGTGCCTACTGCCCACTACTGCATGACAAAAATTGAGGCCGACAACAAGCCCTCGTCAAGAGCTTCGTCATGCGATCGGCGAGCTGCTTGGGTCATCTTGACCAGGAAGGCATCCCTCAAGCCTCGTCTCCAATCACCTTTGCCTGGCTGGGACATGTTCGCAGCTGTATAATCCCCCTGCTGCATTGCAGCACGTGTATGCGGGATAAGTAATAAGAATTGACGAGTCACTAGCTCTGTGCGTCAATCGCATGTGGAGCAAAAGCGAGTGCTGTTCGTAATCTCCACATTTCAGCAGCAGAATGTCATTGAGGAACCCGCGGTCATCACAACGGACGTGCCTTCGTCGTAGATTGCGGGGTGAAAGGAGACGGCAAATTTCATCATATTAAGAGCCTGAGCATGGTCTCATCTTGAGGGAGCAGATAGATCCCGGCGGACGATGAACGAGGCATTTGGAACATGACCGAACCAGCCACAGGGAAGTCCAAAGAATGGATAAGGCTGTTGAAACTGAGTTTGGAAGGTTTCGAACCTTTTCCACAACAGAATATTTTTTTGGAGAACCCCCTTGCGCTAGACAAGACAAAACACGGTCAAACTTGGTGAAAATGAAAAACAAGTCTCTGGTCATGCAAGCGAGGGACTAGTCTCCCGCGATATTCGACAGGAATCCCCCGCCACAACGGGGTTGAGGTGCAGTTGGCCTTCACCTGGACGCACTGCAAGCTTTCCGACGCGTGGTTTTCGGGCTCTTAGACGATGCGCAGAAGCAGATGGCCCACGCAGATTTCCCCGAGTCAGTTCTTACGAAGATGTCCGAGACCCACGGTGATACATCTTCAAAGCAGAACGCGGCCAGATGGTCCGTGTAGGTCATGATTCATCCGAAACCTTAGACATCCAGTTCGCGTCCGCCAAGTTGGAAACGCGTTCAGGAGCGTGAACACGTGATGATAAACAAGGACCTTCAAGGTCGGGCAGGGATCATGGCAGTTCATTGTGTAAATAGGGGGTCAATAGGGCTGGAAGAAGCCTTTGGCCACCGCATATGCGCATTGAACACGAGCCTACCGTGTCCATGTTCCCCACATCAGGTCAAATAACCGGGAAATCAGAAATCAGAAATCAGAAATCAGAAATCAAAATTGAGAAATCAGAAATGAGTAGTGTAGCAAAGAGGTCATAGTGGGTCAACACTAGAGAGAGTTGGGCAGGAGAAGACCCTAAAAACTTGCCATGACCCTGTCGGTGACCCTGTGGCTGCACCAGCCACACTGGCGGTGACGACAGGATTCAATAGTGCGATCGGACTCTCGACGTATCCAGCGACTATTCGGCTTCGGTCCACTGACGCCGCCCGATTGGAGTCTGTCGATCACCATGCGCCACCCCTTTATTTTTGTTTCTTTTGATTGCCCATGTCCGTCATCGTCATTCATCTCCTTTGAATTGTAATTCAGGCCCAGGGCCAATGACCCGAATCTCATCTGCTGATGAAACGAAGCCTTGGACATGCAGGCTGTGTTCTAGCAGGCAATGGAAATGAACTATATTGAAATCGAATCAATCCATGGATCCATGGATCCAGCCTTGGGAGCTCAAGCTCTAGTCGCCTAGGGAAACCCAGGAAGTCAAACCCGAGCCACCCCAATTTTTCTTAACTTACTTTGAAACGATTAAACTAAGAAGTGACTGAGGCCCCTGCGCAGACTGGAGCCTATGAGATCGACGCCCAGGGCTGGAAGGACCAAGTCCGCGAGGGAGGAAATCATCTCCACCCGTTGATCCAGCCCCAATCGAGCTCCAGATCTGACTTCTCCGGCTTCCTAGTCCAAATGAGAACCGCTTGGCAAGCTTCTGCACCTCGATGACTTCATTTTGCTTCCAGGCACCCGTGGGTGTTGACTCCTCTCCAGCCACGTTGGCTGGCACTCTATGCAGGACAACAAACTCTCCAAAAGTAAACAGCACAGCAGCCCCTCTCCGCACTAGACAGGCCACACGGGCTGACCCTGCTCGATCGTGCTGGACCGATTGGCCTTGGACGCGATCTTCGGCCGTTTCCTGGCCCTCCCAGCCTGGTTAAATTGTTGATGGACTAGTGGGTCATCACTATGCCCACTTGCCCAGCTCCAATGGGTGCTTGCAGCTTGTTTGGCTCCCAGCTGGATCAGTTTCTGATATAAAAGACCCCTGTGCCGAGCCACTGTTTCTCTCCCTTCTTCTTTTCCTATCAACCTTTAATACCCGGTCTATTCCCTCAACTCGCTTTTCTGTTAATAATATTCAAAAGTTCTTCACGATGAAGTCCTTCTCCCCTGCTGTTATGGCCCTTCTGGCTGCGTTCGGTATGGTCGCCGCCGCCGATATGTCAGCCTCTCAGTGCGCTGTATGTTGCCTCATTTATCTATGCTGCTGCAGACCAGAAAGACGAGCCACTAACATTCCACTGTCATGATAGTCTATGTGTATCTCCAACATGAACGCCAAGGCCTCCGAGCTTGGCTGCACCTCCGGTGACATGCAGTGCCTTTGCAAGGCCAAGGACTACTCATACGGTATCCGTGACTGCACCGCACAGGCCTGCCCTGACGACAATACCGAGACGGTTTTGAGCATGGCTCTGGCCAAGTGCCCTAGTACGTCCCTCCCATAGATCCATGATAGCAAACTTGATGCTAACAATTGACTTGTAGGCTCCACTAGCTCTGGATCGGGCTCCATGACTTCGACTGCCTCTGGCAGCGATGCGACCACTACCAGTGGATCTGGTGTCGGCGCTGGTGCCGGTGCGACCACCATCACCACCACTGATAGCGACGGCTCAACCACCAAGATCACCACCACCACCACCGGCGCGACTACCGGCGCGACCACCATCACCACCACTGACAGCGATGGCTCGACCACCAAGATCACCACCACCACCACTGGCTCGGGTGCTGTCGCTACTGGCAGCGACGTCTCGACCACTATCACCACCACTGATAACAACGGCTCGACTACCATGATCACCACCACCACCGGCACCAAGACTGGCTCTGACTCCACTGCTACCGAGACCTCCGGCTCTGGCGGCGACAGCACCAGCGGCTCTGACTCTGGTTCTAGCACTTCAACTGGCTCCGACTCCGGCTCCAGCTCTGCTCCCTCCACCAGCACGGGCGCTGCTCACCCCATGGCCACTGTCGGTAGCGGTGCTTTCGGTGCCCTCGGCCTCGCCGCTCTGCTGGTTCTGTAAATTGGACAATGATGATGTAATTTGGAAATAAGGACTACGATCTATGGAAGTTTAGCAGTTTAATGTCGACCTAATGAAGTCATGCTCCACTCGGGCACGTGTCCGAGGTCCTACGCATGTGATTGCGGACCTAATGTTCATTCTTCCTCCTTCATCGTACGTGTATCGATCCATGTAAAAGAGCGCCGTATACCATTGTTCAGAACTGGGATCACTTGGATCACTTGGACCTCTCGAGCTAGTTCCGAAGTGGACTTCCTTTATTCCGCCGGAAAAGTGGGAGGATCTTTCCCGTCGCCCGGCTCGGCGAGCTCCGATTAGGGAAACGCAGTCCAAATCAAAAAACAAAGCACCGTACAGACTTAGAATGTACGAGTTATATAGCATGAAACGTGAACAAATAGTGTAACGCAGATGAATAGCTTCAACTTCAGTGGATCTCAGCGGGAAGCCGGTTTCTCCGCGCCCGAGCCGAGGCACAAGTTGTCCGGGGAATCGCAGCCCTCCGTTCGGCTTCGGTCCGCATGTCCTTGGCCGATCTGTGTGACGGAATTTCTTAATCTTCTGACTTCTGACTTCTGACAACTCTTCAGCTCTCTTTTAACATCCTCTCTTCTCTCTGGATATCTCCTCTCTCCCTCCGAAGACCTCCAGAATCCTCCCCACCCCACTTGACCGCCATGTCCACCTCCACTTCTCCCCCGCAGGAGCTCAAGGATGAGCTCAAGATCGTGGAGAAGAAGGCCGTCAACCAGACCATTCAGCAGATTCGGTCCCTAGCGGCCGGTGCTGCTGGTGGCCTCTGCGCGGTCGTGGTCGGACACCCCTTCGACCTGGTCAAGGTGCGCCTGCAAACGGCGGAGAGGGGCGTCTACGCAGGCGCCATGGACGTTGTGCGCAAGACCGTGGCCCGCGAGGGACTCGCTCGGGTAGGAACCACAATATGATGAAATAGAAGGAAACAATAAGGCTAATAGAGTATTGGCTAGGGTATGTACGCTGGTGTTTCTGCCCCGCTCGTGGGAGTCACTCCGATGTGTAAGTCACCAAGGGCCTCAATGGCAGGTGTATGAAGTGAATACTGAACGTTAAGCTAACATGCCCTTTCTGAACAGTTGCTGTTAGCTTCTGGGTATGTCTTCAGGACCGAGTCTTTGCGATCGAGTCTTTGCGATCGACTTGATTGGGTGATTCTAACGCCGAAAAGGGCTACGACGTGGGCAAGACCCTTGTGAACAAGTTCAGCACTGTTCCCGTGGTGAACGACACTCCGCAGTACTCCATTGCACAGATCTCCGGGGCCGGTTTCTTCTCAGCCATTCCCATGACCCTGATTACCGCGCCTTTCGAGCGTGTCAAGGTCCTTCTGCAGATCCAGGGCCAGAAGACTCTGGCCCCAGGTGAGAAGCCCAAGTACTCTGGCGGTACTGATGTAGTGCGCCAGCTTTACAAAGAGGGTGGTATTCGCAGCGTGTTCCGTGGCAGCGCCATGACACTGGCTCGTGACGGCCCTGGATCGGCTGCATACTTTGCCGCCTACGAGTATATTAAGCGGTCGCTGACTCCCAAGGATGCCGAGGGCAACGTCACCGGCGAGCTATCCCTGCCTGCTGTGTTGGCTGCCGGTGGTGCCGCCGGTATTGCCATGTGGATTCCCGTTTTCCCCATCGACACCATCAAGTCCCGCTTGCAGAGTGCGCCGGGCAAGCCCACTATTGGCGGCACCATCAGTGCGGTCTATGCCAGCGGTGGCTTCAAGGCCTTCTTCCCCGGCTTCGGACCGGCTCTGTGCCGTGCCGTGCCTGCTAACGCCGCGACCTTGTAAGTACCCTCGAATATATTCACGAGCGCACAACTGACGATCGGACAGCTTGGGTGTTGAGCTTGCTCACAAGTTCATGAAGAAAATCTTCAACGACTAAATCAACGACTAAATGGGGTCGAGTCAGTCCTGTGTAAATATTCTTCTTTTTTTGTTCTTGCAGCGTTGGGTCTGTCGTCCATCCACGGATGGAACTCTGCGATGGGTTGTACCTCCATGGGGTACCCTGTGGTTTCCTGTTGGTTTAGATATTTTCACCCAAGAGAATTCTCTGGGGGTTCTTTGTATAGATCGGGGCTCTACACAGTTGTCTTTACATTGAATTCGACATGCCACTGGGTTTGGCAGCCACCAAGAAGTCCATAATTGAGTATAGGCTCTTGTAACTGCAGAGTGGATCAAACATGGCCAACGGTGTTCACGATTCGGAAGCGCTCGCTTGCAAATGGGGCGATGAGCGGCCCACCCAGGGTCATTTGAGGCTCAAAGACTTGGCCGTCTATGGCTGCCGGGGCCACCGAGGGCTAAAGCTAGAGATAGCGCGAAGACACGAGCAGCTGGATTGGTCGCACCGTGAGGGGCCTTCCAAAATGCTCCCAGTGGCGGTTCCTAAAGGTTCTTTGGGGGCCAATTCTGCTGACACGGAGCTGACAGTTGACATCCAGAGGACGTTCAGGGGGGTTCGATCATAAGCAGATAGACAGATACAGAGTACAGAGTACAGACGATGAAACAGTTGGGAACACTAGAGAGGAAGATGTTGAATGTTAGGCATCTAAACGCTCAAGGAACGGACGAAAGCGGTAAACCGTAAACTTGGACCATTTGAGGCGGTGCTGCCTGTTTCGTGTTTTCTGTCTAGTTTCCATAAAAGCCGCGCCTCCCGGCTGACTTCCTTCCCTTTTCCATCTCTTTCATCAACTCCCAGTATTATACCATGTCGACTGTTACTAGTCACCTTGTTCGTCGGGGCGCCGATGCCGCCTGGGCCAGCCTCCAACTCCAGGACCCTGAGAAGAAGCAGCCCTCGGGCCTGCAGATCTTGGGCCTGTTTCTGACTGTTATGGTGTTCGGTCTGGCTATTTTCTCCGTGAGTGTCCTGTTACCACTCTTTTTCGATTGATGATTAACCTTTTGAAGGTCGAGTACACCTACAGCTGCGTCGTCGCGACCTTGGCCGCCGTCGAAGACTCTAACCCGGATATCTACATCCGCGTCGACGGCGATGACATCAACAAGCCTCTCGACCCCAACAGCCAGGAGCCCGAGGCCGAGATGGTCGGCCATCATGCACCCATCACCAGCAAGCTGCGCCGCGCCGTGAAGCACCTCCGCGCCCGTGGCGGCTTCTGGTCGCGCTTCCGCGGACTGTCCATGTACATCGTCATCAGCATCGCCCACAGTTTACTGGTCGCAGTCTTCCCCATTCCTATGACCTCTTTCATAGGCCAGCTTATCGTGCAGCCTCTGGTTAGCGTCATGCTGTCTACCTTGTATATGGCGTGGGTGCACATCGTCATCTCGGAGCCTTCCCCCAAGCGCTTCTACCAGCGCATCCCCAGCTACCGTACTTTCATGAAGATCGCCCCTGCTGCGGCTCTCGAGAGCGCCCTCGCCTGTGCTGCTCTCTTCGTCCCTCTGGCCATCGCCAAGGCCGCGGGTTGGATCAACATGCAGCCTGATATGGACCACGCCTCTTCAGAATTGGGCCGGGGTTTGGCTGTCAGTGCTCTCCCTGCCATTCTGTCTTTACTTTTGTCCATTCCCGGTCGCGTAATTTTCGTCCGTGTCGCGGCCTCGATGCTGCCCGAGGAAGATGAGACCATCGTGCCCTTTGACCGCTCGTTCGGCGGCAAGGTTCAGCCCGCTATTGTGGGTGGCAGCGGCAAGATTGGCCTTCGCGATGCATGGACCACTTTCGACTGGGCCGGTCGAGTCCGCTTCGTCAAAGTTATTGCCAAGGCCTTTGCCATCAAAGTGGCACTTGTGGTGCTTGCTGTGGCGGCCTTGATCGCCCAGTCTGCTATGATGCCCTCCAACCCCGACTTTCCCAAGGAGACGCCTCCTCAGTAGATATGTGGCTCTACACTATCTCAAATGCTGGTATGTCGGGACGGTAAAATCCCTCGACGCACTCTGGGTCACTTGTTATGTACAGCCAACTCTTTGCAACGGTCACATAGTTCCACCCCTTTTAACTACATCCTTGATACCTTTCTTTCAAAGTACAAGACCCGGTCTTCAATACCACAGATGACTTTAAACTCGATCACGTGTAGATCTCTTATAAGTAAACTCGTATCCGTGACTTCGGGATCTATACACCCTTCACCCGCCGATCACCGCCCCCCCGCTCTTCACCGCCTTCCATTTCTTTTTGCGCCTTCGAAGGTCCCCCTCACTTAGTTCCTCGATCTACCACATTCTTGCTCTGCATCCATACTCCTCTCGGAACCTACGCACCGGGCACCGCTTCAGACCTATCGTCCTACACAATGGCGACGTCCCCCGCCGGTCGTATGCTGTCTCGCCAGCTGCAGCAGATGCAATCCGATAAGGACATTCCCGGAATCAGCTGTGGTCTGGTCGATAGCAATGTCTTCGAATGGGAGGTTATGCTCATGATTTCGGACGACGTGAAGTTGTATGGAGGTATGGCTCTTCGTTGGGATCTACTTCCGAAACACCCCGGAAGCGGGATCTGCTCCAGCAGCAGATCTTCTGTGATAGCTATATTCAGATCGTTGCTGACACTATTCAGGTGGTTTCTTCCGCGCTCGCCTCACTTTCCCTATCGAGTACCCTCATATGCCGCCCAAGATGAAGTTTGAATCTCCTCTCTTCCACCCCAACAGTAAGTGATCGCCATACCGAGAGCTTGAGGGGCATCTTTATGGATTTGCGTGTTTTCTCCCAGAGATATGGCTGTATTCAAAGATAACATGCTTACTTATTCTTCTTTTGCCAGTTTACCCTAACGGCGACGTCTGTATTTCTATCCTGCACCCTCCCGAGGAAGACAAGTATGGCTACGAGTCTGCCGCCGAGCGCTGGTCGCCCGTCCAGACCCCCGAGACCATCTTGCTCTCGGTCATTTCCATGTTGTCCAGCCCCAACGACGAGAGCCCGGCGAATGTCGAGGCTGCCCGGCTGTGGCGTGAGAATCCGGCCGAGTTCAAGAAACGCGTGCGTCGGTGCGTGCGGGAGAGCCTAGGCGAGGATTTATGATTTTTTCTCTTTTTTTTCGGTGCATCTGGCTGGTCATTTTTCTTTCGATTTGCCCGAGAGCTATGGTCTCGGAGAGTTTTGCGTGCTCGTGATGTTGCTCTCCATTGCATGATAGAGCGAGGGGTCTTCCATGAGTGGAATGATCTAGCATTCATGGCCGCGCGTTGAGTTCACTCATTTCCCATTCATGGGGTTTTATGATGCACGATCTGGGGTGCTGGAGTTTCATTGCTACTGGGATCTACTGGCTTGCATTTTGGTATTCTGGTTCCGAGCACGTTTGTTTCTACTTTGCTTTCCAGTCCAGGTATAAGCCTTGGCCGTTACGAGGATACGAACGATCGAGTGGACAGACTTGATACTTAGGAACCAATGATATTTAACATTTCAAATTATGTTCGTATTCATGGAGTATTTGCGTGGAGAAGTCTAAAAGAAATGTTCTCGTGAAGATAGTATGTTCAAGCGTGGTGACACACGTCGTGTCGAGTTCTATCCAATGCAGGTCAATAACTAATTAAGAGGAAAATGAAAGGGGGATGTAATGAAAAGTGCCAAAGATGCAAAAAAAATTGATCTAGTTGCGGTTCTTGTATCCAGTGCGGATTGAAGGAAGGAAAATGCCAGGATGGAAAACAGTAAAGGTGAGACAGGCCAAGGCAATCATCCTAGGAACAGTCAGCTGGTGCGTCTAGCAAAGAGGGTATATACACTCACATTCCATCGAGAACAAGGAACTCATCCTCCTTTTGCATCAGGGGACTGCCCCAGCCGCCAGCCATCTCGGGAATACTAGAACATCGTAAGCGTGGAATTCCCAAAGGGCATTTGTTCCCGAGGGACCTACCGATAGATACAACGGATAATGACCGTCAAGTAAGCGAAGATCTCAGCACCAAGAATGAATTTCATTTTCATGGGGGAGATTGCCGGTGTGGCATCGTCCAAATTCTTTTCGCCTGCGAGTCCGTTTCCACGACGTGCGACGCGGATGAAGAAGTCCAAGCCGAACAATCCGCAAACCGCCATGGTAGCCACCTGGAAGGCAATACCGGCGATGATGATATCGTCGCCCACCTTGAGCAGGAACTGGTTTGTCGAACCTGCCGCCGCCGCGACACCGCCACCCGCCGCTTGGAGGACCAGAGATCCGATATCACAGCTGATGAAGATCCAGGTGAACAGGCGAGGCTTCAGTCTCGAATGTTCGGGTCCCAGATACAAAACAATGTGTTTGAGGGTCAAATAGACACCTGCCGCAACAAAGGTGGGTGCCAGCACCAGACACACAATTTGCAACTTGAAAGCGCCTTGATTCCACGGGTTGCTGGACATCAAGACGCGACCGATGTATCCTGCCATTTCCATCACGGTACCGATACCCAAGGCGACCATGAAGGTCCATGTTCGGAAATAGACCCCCAGACCGATTTGGAACAGACCTAGCACTCCGAAGAAGACGGTGAAAAAGACATTGCCGCCAAAATTGGGAGTGTAGCCATATGTTGTGGCGGAGACAGGGCACTGCGGGCTGACAGCGATACACTCAGAAAAGCCCGGCATGGTGGAAGGTGAGCTCGGGAAGGGTGAATCGATTCGAATCGAAAGGGCCGAGCAGCTCAGAGTGAGGTGGGACAACAGTGCTTATAGCAGTGCGCACGGCCAAGGAACGGCCGACTCCAGTCTCCAACTCCTCGAACTCGAACTCGAACCCTGTCCATCATGGAGAAACTGGGGCCAAGGAACGCGCGCCATGCCTGCCATGTGGAGCCCGTCAGTCTCGAATTTGCCCTGTTCGGTTCTCGTTATTGGCGCTCGTGATCGCACTCGTTCTCGTTTTCGCACCCGGGGTTGGTCACCGTTCGCTTGCTCCAGGAACTCCACTCGGTTCGGAGGTGGTTATCGCCGTGGGCTATAACGAATCGGCGATTTGAGGTTGGCCACCCTAACGTTGGGTGCAGAAGAGGCTCTAAGCTCAACTGTTGGTTCTGGGCCTAGTGGATCGATGCTGCATTTACCCTTTTCATCCATCTATACCATCGATACTGATATTGATATTGATATTGATCTTGATCTTGCTATTGCCATAGCCATGGCACATGAACATTAAACATTGACGCTGACATCAACAATGTGACTCTCGGAGTTAACCATCTGGGGAATCGGCAGAATGTACGGGACTCCACGTGACCCCTTCTCTTCCCTTGTTCAACTTCTCGACTGCGAGGGTGCATAGCCGACATGCCTCCTCGTCGGGCGCATACCAAGTCGCGCAATGGCTGCGATCAATGTAAGCGGCGTCGGGTTAAGGTGAGCTTCCCCTTCTGTCAGATCTCCGCGTGTCTACGACTCTAACAGGCGCAGTGTGACGAACGGGGTCCCCCTGCTCCAACTGTATCTCACGAGAGATCAACTGCACTTACGTGAAGGCACCACCGCGCGGAGCTGATGCAACCAATGTGCGACACCCGTCGATCCCTGACTCGCACGACTCGCGAGATTCGGGGACGCCTAGGCCGCTCGCGCCCCTCAGCCCGGCCTCCACGCCATCGGCTATCTCGGGCGTACGTGATCTAGAGCTGATGCACCAGTTTTCTACCGAGACCTTCAAGACGGTCTGCACCGCCGATTCAGAATACCATGTCTGGCAGACTATCATCCCGCGTCTGGCCCTACAGTACGACTTTTTGATGAACGGCATCCTGGCATTGGCGTCACTACATATCGCCACCACGACCGAGTCGCCGACTTCCTTGGCCTACGTCGACACCGCACTTCAGTATCATAATCTCACCTTCGCGCCCTTTCGTGCCGCGATTGACAATCTCACTTCGCAGAATTGCGAAGCTGTGCTGGCACAGTCTATCGTAACCACCGTAATCGGCATCGCCTTGCCGCGAGTTACCACCGCTCGGGATGAGGGCTCTAACATGACCGAGAATATCGTCGTGGTCTTTGAGCTTCTGCAGGGCGTCAAGAAGATCATTCACATTGGAGGCTCCTGGATTAAACTTAACCTATTTACCCGCCAAAAGAGCTTACGGGAATCCGATGCTACCGATCTGGATTGCGAAACACAGGCCGCGCTCGATCGGCTCGCTACCCTCAATGACGAGACGCTGGCCAGTATTGACACGGACCAGTATCGCATTAACAAAGACGTCATCGCTCATCTCCTGCATTGCTTCACATTATTTTCAAAATCATTAGATCCGGCCAACGTCCTCGCGTGGCTGGCTGCCGTGGATAAAGAATTCGTGGACAATGTCCGGCGTCGCCAGCCATTGGCACTGCTGATTCTCATGCACTGGGGGGTGTTGCTGGGCGAGCTAGATGGCACGTGGTGGTGGGCTCGAAAATCCGGTCGAGCTCTAATCTCTGAATTGTCGCACATCTTGCGCCCGGGGGACATGCGATGGGCCGACTCGTTGGCTTGGCCTCAGCAGAAGATGGGCCTATGATACCGCTTATTTCGACGAGATTCTTGCCAAAATATCGCAACCGGTCTCACAATTGATGACTATTGAGCCGCCTTCTACCATGCTGTGAGCATCCCTCACTAGAAATGAGACCGGGATTGATGATGGCGCGACATCATGGCATTATGGCAGCAGGCTCTGAAACGCTCAATTAAAAATATAAGTGCTGTAATTAGCCACTGATTCGGCTCTTGATGGGACCGGCCAGTCGATGCTGATCGCATCCAAATTTTACTTCCTAAGGGTTGTCCTATGCAACCGAGATTTCATCAGCATGAAACACGAACTATTGAAAACTGGGTTCAGATGCCATCTCCCCGAACTGTATACGATCATCGGGAAATGCAAGAACCGAAAAGGCCATGGGTTTGGTTCCTGAGGGTCTTGCGTACCTGCAGCTAAGACCTGCCTGGCCATGGCACATATCATGGATTTCTGGAACTAACTACTTCAAGTACATAATTATCCCCCACCCCATTCTCTTCGCGATCATTCCTGTGACTGGAAAGCAGACATCAAATTTTGGCCATTTCCATACCCTTTCTGTAGATCCCTTGGATCCGCAATTTGTTTATACTGTCTACCTGACATCTGCACGCACGCAGACTCAACGGTCCACCCACCTGTCTCATCCAGTAGGACCGACCACAATCGAAGAACCAATTGCGCGACGCAACCTGGACCAATTCAGCCAGGAAACACTGCGGTGCGCTCTGGTCCTCAGTGAAGACTATTTGCGGAAGCTCGCGTCGGATCGACGGTGGAGCATTGGTCATGGCGATGTCTATGTACTCGTCAAAAGTAAAGGGTTCGTACAGCTCTGAGCCAATCTGAACTGTGCCCGTGGTACGTGCTGCGGCATGAAGTAGACAAGCATTGGCCACGAAGTCGACGGGGATCTCGTCGATGATATTGGCGCCTGTTTTGTAGCCTTTGGCAGCGTGCCACACCTGTGTCGAACCCTGGTCCGCCATGTAAATTTGATAGAATTTGTTCAACGGCGTCGAGTTCAACAGCCCGTACAGTGGATAAGGATGTCGCAATGCTTGACCGAAGATGGTTGGGCGAACGAGGAGAATCGGTAGAAGCGGATAGCGCTTTGGTAGGAGCTTTTCCATTACGTATTTGGCCTGGGCATACGTCGAGGAGAAGCGGGATGCGTGGGGTGAGTCCTCTAGCGTCAAGATCGATGCAAGTTCTTCTTCTGGATCTTCGTTTGCTAAACTGTACGGCCGCTCCAGCACAGGGCCGTCGGGAAGGAAGCTGTTGCAATAGGCAGTGGACAACTGGATGAGAAGCTTGAGGCGTCGGAAACGTGATGCAATCCGGGCCAATTCCAGTGCTGGGAGGCAGTTGTTCTCGAATGCATCAACAAGGCTGGACTCCAGGGAGATTTTGGCCGCCGTATGAATCACAAGAGTGATTTGGTTGCGTAGCTGCTCCATCACTGCTGCTTCGATTCCAAAGTCCACGAATTTGATATTCCCACTCACAAACTCGATTTTCTTCGAATCCAGAATTGCCTTCGTCTGGTTCGGCATGGCTCTCTTCCATTTCTCAATTGCCTGCTCTGGTGTCCCGCGAATCAAAACGTATATCCTACGCGTAGGTAACTGAAGTGCCAGCTTGTAAAGTAGGCATCCTCCTAGGGACCCGGTGCTTCCAGTCAAGAAGACCGTGTGCGCCTCGAAGAGCTTTGAATATCCTTCACGAAGGACCTGCTCGACCTGGGATGGTACTGGGACTGGCAGCGACGTCATCAAAATCTCGTCGTGCTCAAGCTAACCAGAATTCACAAAAGGTGTTCTGATAAAGGCTATAATTCGAGAAGAGGAAGCCATGAGGCATATGTATGGGTGATATATCAAGGCTGGAACCTGATGCTGTTGCACATGACTATTTCCCCCGGAATGGGGTGGTGGCACAAGATTCCAAGGTGCCCTGTTCGATGCCACTCTGGAAACTACGAAGTCTATTATCTGAATCATTACGAACGGCAATAGCCATTCAGAGGAGCGAAAAGGACCGAGACCCCTATCTAGGGTGCGGTTGTGTTCATTGCCTTTTGCTACCATGCCCAGTTGTTAACAACTAACTCATGTGCGGCCAAAAATTGAAGGTAGAACAACTTCGAGGATTTTCGGTTCGTTCAAAACTGAGGTCCAGCTTGGGCAATCGTAGATGGATTAAAAGCCTTATTTTTTTTGGCCAACCCATGTCGGGCTTTGGATGTAAGGGCATGCCCAAGCGCGGTATGGATGGAGAGTTGACTGCGCAAACACGTCGTACAAGGCCTGGAGTGCAACGTGAGGACACTGAGACTCGGTCTACATGTGATCTGGCTGAAAAATAGCAATTAATTACGGAGAAAGGGTATTGAAGTATATGTCATCTCCGGAGAGGGCACCAGGTATATTTGCACACCGTCTTATTTGCCAACGTCATCTGTACAATGTATGCGGGTGGAAGTCGAAATTCTAGCGATGACCGGGAAACGGTTGTAGAACGGGGAATCTCGCCGGGGAACTTTGGTTGGTTCCTGCTTAAGAGCTCTTATGTCCACCACCGCACCAACAGCGCCCATCGCCATCACGCTCCACCTGAACCACTATATCCACGCCCTTATCCTGGAGATAGCTGACAGTTCGTTGCCGAACATCTTCCAGATCTGACCCACGAGAAGCAATGACGTGAATCACACCAAAAACCTTTTGTTTCTTTTGTTCGTGTTCGTGTTCGTGTTCGTGTGCGTGGCCGTGGTCGTGGTCGTGGGCATGATCATGATCGTGGCTGTGATCGTGGTCATGGTTGTGGCCGTGACTGCGGTCATCGTGATTGTGAGCGTGGCTATGACCGTGACCATGACCGTGATCACAGACAGAATGACCAGAGTGGTCATGAGAATGAGCGTGGTCATGTCCAGACGAGTTCGCACTGGTGTCGTCAAGCCAGAACTTTGGCACCGTGTAGCTGACCACACCCCGTAAAGTGCTCACTCCGGCAAGAGTTTCACGAACATTATACTCGGTATCGGCAGGCAAGGTCAGCAGCAGGGTCTTAGCCGTGCTACTAACCAGCGGGATTGCCGAGGCAAAGATCAATATGGCGATAAAGCATGATGCCAGAGGATCATATCCAGCCCACCCGGTATAGTGCACTAGAATGGTAGAAATGACCACCGCCACTGAGCCAAGGGTGTCGGCCAAAATGTGCAAGAAAATGCCGTGCATATTCTCATTGCCATGAGAGTGGTCGTGCCCGTGCCCGTGATCATGGCCATGGTGGTGGCCGTGCTCGAAGCTGAAAATGCCGACCAGATTCACCGCCAGACCGGCAATGCTGACAGCCAGCAGCTCGCCAAGGCGATGCATTTCGCTTCCAGATGATAAACGCTCCACTGCCTCGTAAATGATTTCCACGCTGATGATCATAAGGAAAATTCCATTGGCAAATCCGGACAAGGTGTCTACCTTGCCATAACCATAGGGGAACTGAGCATTGGGCGGCCATTTGCTCATAACAGCGGCACACAGTCCGACAACCAGTGCAAGGCAGTCAAAGAACATATGAATACTGTCACTAAGTAGTCCGAGAGAGCCAGTTAAAAAGCCATACGACAATTGAACAAGCATGAAGGTAAAGTTGAGGCTGGAACGCGTTAGTATATCTCCCGACGGTCGATGTAGATACTGAACTCACCACATGAAGTAGAAGATGCTGCGAGAATCTTTTTCCTTGAGAATGCTGTGCAGCAAGGGGTAGGCTTCGCTGCGGTGAACAAGACACTTGGTGACTCGTGAAGACTCGGCCATGCTGTGGGAATGACTGTGCGAGTGGTTGTGCGAATGAGCATCCGAACGGAGGTGGCTGTCATCCATTCTTGATGCGAAGAAAGAACCAGCAGCCAGAACACATCGCGCGACATAGACAACTATAAAATCATCCCGAATGTGCGGGGAGCACAAAAGGGCGACTGCTCCAGCGCTAACAGCCAGACCAACTTTATTCGGGGAACGGAGACCCCTCGGAAATGAGACCATCAGGGAGGCTGCCAAAAGCCCGGCGGGAGCTAGAAGATAGACCAGTTCCGACATACTGAAGGGCAGCCCTCGAGAAAGAGTCAAACTCAGTACAGCCAAGAAAACTCCCGAGACAAGGGCCAATGGTGCATCGGTTGTCACGAGGACCGATGACTGGCTCGCATCCGATGCCTTTTCCGCCACGAGACCTGGCTCCGGAATAGGTCCCTGTCGGCGAATGGAAGGGAAAGGCGGGGAAAGAACGAAGAGAGAGAACGTGAGTGCAAGATACCCAGCGAGAGGCGAGGAATCCCAGGATTGATTCATGCCCAAAAAGCTCATTAATCCGGCTGCTCCAATAAGAGCAATCGTATAGGGCTTCTGAGTATAACGCTCGGTGCTTGCAGTACGCAGATCCGCATGCATCAGGTTTGGCAGCCCGGATGCCCTAGCAAGAAGTAATGCAAATGCGACCAAGAACCCCCCGATCTCCAGAGTAGCGAAAATGGGAAGTCCGATGGAGAGCATTTGTAGAAGGGCAGCCTTGACGGTCTTACCATCCGGAGTCGGAGATTTGATTGATGAGGTGCTCATTGAAGCTGCATTTTGATGATTCAATCGCGCAAGCCGGCCGAATCCAAAAATAAGAAGAGTCATCGCTGTCAAAAAAAGAGTCTTCTGTCCGGCGTGGCCACTTTCCAAACCGGAGGTGCAAGCATTTACAGCCGCGATGCCCTCAACGGATTGGCTTTCCTGTGCGCATTTCCTCGGGTACCAGGAGAGCGCGATCCAGGGCAACGCGATTAGAGAACCGGTGAATATCTCATGTCTGAAATTGAATAGTCAGCTCCCGCTCATTCATCAGATCCTACCCACGTACATCTGCTCAGAGCCGTGCGAGTTGTGCTTTGTATAGGCGCCAGACGCTGCCTTTATATCGTGATCATGCGCCGCATCATGAACGGATGCCACGCTATGGGTGTGGTTGTGGTTGTGGCTGTGGGTAGGTGCGTGGTGCGAAATTGAGTGAGAGGTGGAGGCGGAGTAGTGATGACCAGACCACGATGGCTTGCTTGCATGAGTATATGAATAGTTGGCATTTGCCGCGTCCGGCGGCGACTGCGCAAGTGGCGGTGGATTGCCATTGGAGCTCCCTACCGAGATGGGAGGTGGTCGAGCCCAGCGAGCGGTTCGACTGTGGCCACGACTGCGGCTGTGCCCATGACTGTGATTAAGATCATGAGCATGTCCATTGGATGGAGGCGCGAGATCCGCAATCTGGGGCGGCGCCCCCGTCGACATTGTCTGTTCGGAGCTGCGTAGCTGAATAGGAGACTCCGGCGAATGGGTGTAGGAGGGGCGCTCGGCGCCAAGAAGAAGCCTTCGAAGCTCAAACGGAGAGTATAAGCGACAGGAAAGCAATCGGCATTGCTAGGATAGTCCTTTAAGCACTAGGAAGTTCAGATAAGAGACGAGCCGTGGACCTTGGGGGGTAGCTCCACGTGACGTTATCGATACCGCGCGTCTACAACTTGTCAACTTCAACTTCGACTTAGTCATTTCACTTGAACGATAACTCGGAGTGATGATCTACCATCATGATTGAGTACCTTATCAGCATCGCATTCTGCCTCTCCAGTGCGCTTACGGTGCTGATTCTACTCCTCCCCTCGCAATATGACCCGGCCACGAAAGACAAGCCCAGCGTACAGATCCTGGTCTTAGGTGACATTGGTCGAAGCCCGCGCATGCAATATCATGCCTTGAGCATTGCTAAACATGGTGGGGAGGTTGTTATCATCGGTTATAAAGGTGAGTCGTGTGAATTGACTTGACACGAAAGTGCGGAGAAATTTACACCAAGCTATAGAGTCTGATCCGCACCCCGACGTCGTTTCCAACCCAAAGATCACAATAATTCCTCTTCGTCCCCATCCCGCGATTCTTCAAACCAGCAATAAGCTCCTATTCACAATTTACGGTCCATTGAAGGTGCTATTCCAGATCGCGTACCTATGGAAATGCCTTGCATATACTGCCCCGCCATCGCGCTGGCTTCTAGTGCAGGTAGGTTTCTAGATAAAAGACGGGCCTAGTTGCATTCTAAATATCGTTACAGAATCCACCGTCAATTCCTACTCTAGCCGTGGCATCCATCTCTTGCTTCCTGCGACAAACCAGACTGGTCATTGATTGGCACAATTTTGGATACTCCATTCTGGCACTGAAACTGGGCCAGAATCACCCGCTCGTGAAGCTGTCCATCTGGTATGAAAAGACATTCTGCAAGTCTACCTCGGCACATCTGTGTGTAACCGACGCGATGGGCTTGGTACTCAAGAATGATTTCGCGCTTCAAGCCCCCATCTTGCCGTTGCACGATCGACCAGCCAGCCATTTCCACCCCATCACCAATCCTCAAGAGCGGAATGAATTTCTCAATGGATTTCCTGAGACAGAGTCTGTGCGTTCCTCGCTGGCCGCAGGAACGCTTCGAGTGCTGGTCAGTTCGACTTCCTGGACACCGGACGAGGACTTCTCCATTCTTATCGATGCATTGGTGCAATACTCGGAATTGGCTGCTGCGCAGCCTGAACTTCCAGAAATTCTGGCTGTTATTACAGGCAAAGGCCCGCAAAAGAAAATGTATCTCGAAAAAATCGCAGCCCTGGAAGTTGCCGGTCAGCTTCAAAAGGTCACAGTGCGAACGGCGTGGTTGACTGTGCCTGACTATGCCCGACTTCTGGCATCGGCATCATTGGGCGTCAGCCTCCATACCAGTAGTAGTGGTGTCGATCTCCCAATGAAGGTTGTCGATATGTTTGGCGCCGGTCTGCCCGTGGTGGGCTGGAATCGCTTCGAGGCGTGGTCAGAACTGGTAACAGAGGGCGTCAACGGACTGGGCTTTGGAAGTGCAACTGAGCTGACGGAGCGATTGATTGAGCTTTTTGGTGATGATAAAAAGCTGGAAACTCTCCGAGTCGGCGCTCAAAAAGAAAGCACCCGGCGATGGGATGATGAGTGGGATCCTATTGTGGGCAAATTGCTTGGGCTCACGTAGTTGAGACGACGCACAAATCAAAATATGTAAATTCTTCAACAGGGTATTGTAAATCACGCCGTCATATAGGCATCGAAGTCCATTTTGTCATCTCTAGATGCTAGCCTGGAACTTAGCGTCACAGTAGAGGCATGTATCAAACGTCTCGAAAAGTTCCTGGAACAGCTGGCCATTGAATACATGGGCGACCAACGCTTCGTCCATGTACTCGGTGCGGCAACCAGAGCAGTATTTCGACACCCCAGGCTCTTGGATAGTCAGGAAGGTGAGCCCACAGCGTGCTTGCAAACCAAGTTAGTATGGAACGGAACATGAAGGCGGTAATAATCCATACCCAATAGATGACCATTCGCGCATTGGGCCTCGGTGGCCGAGATCCACGCAATTCCCGCTTTACAAATCTCGCACCGCTCAAAGAGATATCCACCAGGCTGGTCAAGCTGATGCGAAGACTTGGCCGGGATTGAGGAGGATTCGGATTCACATGCAGCCATTTCCTCACTCTGATCTGTACCTGTCTCCTTCGCTAGGCGGTCGAATAACTTCTGAGCCTTGGAGCGAACTGCAGAGTTGTGTCTATCTACGATGCCGCAACATGCCGCTGCGTAGATGAGCTTCTGGTCCTCTCTACTCATAGTGGCAGTGGCATCCCGAGAAAGAAGAAAAGAGGTCACTGCTTCCCGTCGGCTTTGAGCCGTCCGTGATTCCTGATTCTCTGCCCGCGGGGCGATGAGGGCTTGTTTGTCCGGTATGCTACCTGCCTCATCAGAGGCAAATGCAATTGTGGCGTCCTCGTCTGACGCTACCCGATATTCAATCATATCTGTAGGATGTTTTGTGAAAAGAACAGCATTTATGCCGCGGTAAGATGTCAGCCCCCACATTCGCGCCACGGCATGTCCTCCCAGATCGCGGTTCAAATCATATTGCTCTCGAGAAGTTTCAACGATCTTGTTCCATGCCGGTACTTGTAGGTCATTATCGGAATCAAGTTGGTCGAGGCTGACGGCAACACCTAGCCCACCTGTGGTGCAGACATGGAGTGTGCAAGTACCGTGTTCTTCATCTTGTGAGGTAGTCATCGCTAGGACAAGTTAATGGCGGAGCGACACTGCACCCAGTGTATGACGTACCTGTAATCGGGTCCCAATGTCTCTTTGGAGAATCATTAATCTCCGAGAATGGCTCATAGAAAGGCCAATTCCGAGTTTGGACTTGTGTTTCCTTTGTGCTGGTGCCGTCGTACGCAGAGCGCCGCATTGAGATTGTGAGGAGGCCCCCAGTGATACCAACTGCAAGAGCAATATTTTGATCCTGATTCTGCATTTGATTAACTTGAGTAAGAAGGCTTTATCAAGAGGTGGCCACATACCGTGTAAAGCCACTCTATCGGACCAGTGACACGCTGATGATTCCACTTGGAGGCAAGATCTGTCACCTGGTGATCCCCCAGCTTAGCAGCAACTTCATATCGAGGCACGTGCTCTTCTTTGTCACTCGAGCGCCGCACAGTAACGCTAGCTTTGAAAATACGAAGTTGAGTTCCATGCACGGCGGTAAGGATTGCAGTGACGGAATGAACATCATCCTTGCGCGAAGCTGGAGTCATGATCCATGGACCACATGAGATTGAAGAGACACGAACTTGTGACTGGATCCTGCCATGCAAAATTGAACCCGAACCAGCCATGGGAAATTGCACTCCTTCTTGATCCAGCGGACAAAGCGTGATCTTCTCAACGCAGTAGGGGTTTGAAGAACCTTGCATCTCAGCGGATCTACGTACTCGTAGCAGGGCCAGATCATTGAAGTCCGTTGCAACAGCCAACATATGAATACCCCAGCGGCTCTCGGACTCAGGAAGTGAATTGGAGCCACCGGCAGGCGCAGGTACTTTAAAAGGTGCACACCACTGGAATGAACGAATATTCACTCTGCGAAGAATTTCACCTCCCACTTTCGTCGGAAGTGATGGGTTTTCGTGAAAAAGATGGTTCACTATGCCAACCCTAGTCCATTGCCTCTTGGGCCCGATCGGTTCCCAAAAGGACAGGATTAGATTTGATGTTAACACAGCTAGGACACTGCGCCGGAATCGAGCCAGGCCTGGCGGTGACCACGCCATAGCAAGAATGGTGCTGGTCGACTGTTCTGCTCCAATTGAGAAATCATCTCGATTTTGCGGGTAGATGTCGGCCCATTCAGCGTAGGTAAAGACATTAACGCGGAAGCGTGTGATTTGCCATGTTTCTTGCCTTTGGGGCGCTGATGTTGACTTTCCCACGTCTGGGGTCTATCTTTCTGTCAGCTTTGGTCCTACTGATGTTGTAATCGAACACACCAAGACCTGAATTTGCTCTCCCGCGGCCACGGCGAGCTCGCCGTCCGGAGACCAAGCAAGGGCATCGAAGCAACAAGGATAGATAGGCAGCTGAACCGGGCTGAGCATTTTGCGGCAATTTAATAGGACTTTCTTTAAAGATCCTGCATCAGGCTCGAGCCTCTGAATGGAAGAATCGAACAATATGGACAAGTTGCCGCACTTGGAGGAAACGGCGAGTTTGAAGTGAAGCAAAGCGCGAAGCTCGTTACCCGATCGGGACTAGCGTCATTCTCTGTGACTTTCAAGGACTCAAAACCTTTAAATATTGATTCAATAGATGTTGACCTGCATACTGACTACCTAGAGCGCAGAGCTATCTTGAGTTGTGAAGACGCTATCTTAATAGTAAACTTTGTTGCGTGTCTTTGAACAGGTAAAAAACCCCGGTGAATGAAATGGCTTCAATTTGAATGCGCACGACTGGCACAATTTATATACAATTGGGAATTCATATGCCAGGGTATCATCAAATTGTTTGGGATCGTATCGCATGTCTAATCCACACGGTCCAGTTTCTGCACAACCATTGCGGTCGCAGCTCCACCACCATTGCAGATAGCAGCCACGCCGTACTCCCCGGGCTGTAGCTGGTGGAGGAGGGTGACGAGGATACGGGAGCCGGAGCTGCCAAGAGCGTGGCCAAGAGAGATGGCACCACCGAGCATGTTGACTCTGGCGTTCTCCAGGCCGAGAATCTGCGCGAAATATAGGTTAGCAAAGTATGGTCAACATTAGCATTTGGCCACAAAACCATGTTCTCACCTTCTCATTGGCCTTGATGACTGCCGCAAAAGCCTCGTTGAACTCCCATACGGCCACTTGATCCTTAGTGATACCAGCGCGCTCCAGGGCAATCGGGACGGCTTTGGCCGGAGCAACAGGGAAGTCAACAGGGTCGATGGCTGCGTCCGCCGATGACACAATCCGGGCCAGCACACGACCACCGGCACCAAACTCGCGCGCCAACTCCTTGTTGCCAATAACAAGAGCAGAAGCACCATCGTTCATAGTGGAGGCATTGCCGGCAGTGACGGTGCCAGTCCCGTCTCGCAGAAAGGCAGGCTTGAGAGTAGTCAATTTATCAACACGAAGATTCTCGTAGCCCTCGTCCCGCTCGATCACAGTCTCTCCCTTCTTGCTCTTGACAGTTACAGGGGCGATTTCATCTGCGAATTTGTTCTCTTTCCAGGCCTGTTGGGCACGCTCATACGACTGGATAGCGTACTGGTCCTGGTCCTCTCGCGAGACGTCATATTTCTTGGCGGTTTGTTCGGCGCAGATGCCCATGTGGAACTTGTTGTATACATCCCAAAGACCATCCTTGATCAGACCGTCTTCCAGCTTGATCTCACCGAAGGGAGGTAGCTGACTGGCACGGGACATGTAATACGGCACACGGCTCATGTTCTCCATACCACCGGCGACTTGAGCCTCCGCCAAGCCAAGCTGAATATTCTGGGCAGCCAGGACAACCGCCTTCAAGCCGGAGGCGCACACTTTGTTCACAGTCAAAGATTCGACCGTGGACGGCAAACCAGCAAACATGGATGCTTGACGAGCAGGAGCCTGGCCAACGGATCCCTGGAGCACATTTCCCATGTAGACATCGGTGATCTTGTCCACGGGGACCTTGGATTTGCTCAGAGCCGACTTGATGGCAACGGCACCCAGCTCGGGGGCTGAAACGGAGGTGAAGGAACCATTGAACTAGACATCGAGCATTAGCACTCGCATCCTTTGAATCCGCAACATGGATTCCCCAAAATTAGCTAGTTACCTTGGCTGTGGGTGTTCGCGCGGCACTCAGAATGTAAGCATCCTGGATTTCTCTCAATGTCGGGCGGGCGGAGCTGAACTGTCTTTGACTGCGGAATGCGGGGATGGCAGCCCGCCTAGAGAAGCGGGCAGATAACCCGGTAGTAGTGATCATAATTAGTTTTAAGCAAGAAGATGGAATGTGACAACAGGAGATGGTGTATGGAATATGAACAGAGCCAAGTGGAAAAACAACGAGCACTTCGAGTGCAACGGGGTATGGAATGCACCCGCTCAGCACCCGCAGGCGCGCCGCCGTTAACCGCCTGGGCCGAGGCTCTTTAAAGTCACATGACCAAAAAGAGAAATGACGACATCAGATGAGTAAGTCAAACAGATTCAGGTGGTTTCTCCATTGGGAAAGTTCCACCGGTTCCCCTCCTCGAGCGCGCTTTCTACTGATAGTCTTCCAGCATCTCCGTGTCTACTCCGTTGCTTCTTCATCCTCCATCTTGACCGCCGAACGGCCTTACCTGCACACCTCAAGCTTCTATCTATTCGGACCTGCCGCAATGTCGACTTCTGCCCGCCGCCGTCTCATGCGGGATTTCAAGGTACGTACTGCGTCACTTAGGAACTTGGGCGAATTTGGTCTTTGGCTTTTTCCAGGTCCCCTGCTGGATATGGTGACAAGGCCATAATGGATATACAGTGCCTCCTTTGGGACCTTCGTGGTCCCCCAATCCCTTTGTTTCCGAGGGTCCTCCAAAGAGTCGAGAGCCCCCACTAACTGAATCGCGTCGTTGATTGTAGCGCATGCAAACCGATCCTCCCGCTGGTGTTTCCGCCTCGCCCGTTGCCGACAATGTTATGACCTGGTACGTGGAGATGGCCGGCGATCTAAATGATCAATCGACTGATGAGCTGCTAGGAATGCCGTCATTATCGGCCCGGCCGACACACCGTTCGAAGATGGAACATTCCGTCTGGTGATGAATTTCGAAGAACAATACCCCAACAAGCCACCCGGTGTCAAGTTCATCAGCCAAATGTTTCATCCTAATGTGTATGGAACCGGCGAGCTCTGCCTCGATATCCTCCAAAACCGCTGGAGCCCAACATATGATGTGGCTGCCATCTTGACAAGTATTCAGAGGTAGTGTACCCCCGAGGCTACTCAACGCCCGACATAGACTGACCATGCTCTCCAGTTTACTCAACGACCCCAACACCTCATCCCCGGCCAATGTCGAAGCATCGAACCTCTACAAGGACAACCGCAAAGAGTACATCAAACGGGTGCGGGAGACGGTTGAAAAGAGCTGGGAGGACTAACTGCGCGCGTGGATTTTCACCCTTTCACCCTTTTTCATCATTTCGATGGTTCTTCTCTATCAAATGTTGAGGCCGCAACGAGTCCGGAGCTGGTATTACCGGAGTCAAATATCGCCTTCGAACCTTCGGGCCGTTTGATCTGCACAGCGTGGGGTTTGGGCGTCAATTTTTTATTTTCTGGTTTTCTCATATCTCCTTTTGCGTGCATCTATCATTCCCATCTTGTTCTGCATTAGCCCTAAATGATACATCTATATTGAAAAAGTTGAGGAAATCTTAGAAAGCATCGAGCGTAGAGCACAGAGCGGTGACTGCGCACCTCCTGAAGAGTTCGGGAGTCGGGGCGGTCGGCCAAGAATCCTAAACCGAATGTCAACAAACCCACCCATCTTCACTCTTTCTGACCGCACCCCCGTATACTCGGGCCATTTGTTGATATTTCTTTTCTTTTTCTTTTCTTTTCTCCGCACGTGGAATTTACATCCCTGAGACCCTGGACCCTGGATTCTCCAGGCCAATAGTGAAATACACCCCCGGGATTTGTCTGCCCCTCCTTGGGGTCCATTTCTTCCCCGTGAGAGAAAGCCGGTGAACCGCGAAGATGGCGTAAGTACTCTTGACTAACGCGTTGGACTACGACTAACTTTGCTTTACAGGTCCGCCGGGTCGAACACCATTAAGGGTACGCACAACGTGGGAGATCAGACCAGACGACAGCTAACCCCCTAACGCGTACAGTGGTCGCTCGATTTCGTCCCCAAAACAAGATTGAATTAGCCTCCGGAGGCAAACCGATAGTCGGGTTCGAAAGCGAGGACTCATGTAACATCCTGGTGAGCTCGAACACCTCAGGAGGCTGCGGGGAAAAAGATGCTAATGGGCATGTGGACAGTCCAATGAGGGCGTCGGTGCCTTTACCTTCGACCGTGTATTCCCCATGAATACTGCGCAGGACGACATCTTCAATTTCTCAATCCGGCCGACTGTCGACGATATTCTCAACGGTTATAACGGAACGGTATTCGCATACGGTCAGACTGGTGCCGGAAAGTCGTATACCATGATGGGATCCGATATTGATGACGACGTGGGCAAGGGTGTCATTCCGCGCATCGTTGAGCAAATCTTTGCCAGCATCCTTACTAGCCCAAGCAACATCGAATACACCGTGCGAGTCAGCTATATGGAGATCTACATGGAGAAGATTCGCGATCTATTGGTGCCGCAAAATGACAATTTGCCCGTGCACGAAGAGAAGGCTCGCGGAGTCTACGTCAAAGGGTTATTGGAAGTCTATGTCTCGAGCGTCCAGGAGGTCTACGAAGTGATGCGTCGAGGTGGAAATGCACGCGCTGTGGCTGCGACCAACATGAACCAGGAGTCATCTCGCTCCCACTCCATCTTCGTCATTACTGTCAGCCAGAAGAACGTTGAAACTGGATCGGCCAAGAGCGGTCAACTCTTCCTTGTCGATTTGGCTGGTAGTGAGAAGGTCGGCAAGACAGGAGCCAGTGGACAGACTCTGGAGGAAGCCAAGAAGATCAACAAGAGTTTGAGTGCTCTTGGTATGGTCATCAACGCGCTCACCGATGGCAAATCGAGTCATATCCCGTATCGCGACTCAAAACTCACCCGAATCCTGCAGGAATCCTTGGGTGGTAATTCCCGAACCACCCTGATCATCAATTGTTCGCCTAGTAGCTACAACGATGCGGAAACTATCTCGACTTTGCGTTTCGGTGTCCGAGCCAAATCCATCAAGAACAAGGCAAAGGTCAACGCAGAACTCAGCCCAGCCGAGATGAAACAGCTCTTGCGAAAGGCCCAAAGCCAAGTGACAAGTTTCGAATCCTATATTTCCGCTCTGGAGAGCGAGGTCAACCAGTGGCGTGGTGGTGACAACGTTCCCAAGGATCTATGGACTCCAGCACGTGGCAATGAGATTGCCAATGCCATGAAAGCGGAGGCTCGGGCTCCTCGACCTGGGACTCCGTCACGCCTCCAGGAAACCGCTCGTTCTGAAACCCCACGTCCAGACTCTCGCGTAGGAGACCGTTCGAGTACACCCAGCCTGGTGCTGGAGAAGGACGAGCGGGAGGAATTCCTTCGCCGGGAGAATGAACTGCAGGATTCTCTTGCCGAAAAAGAAACTCACATCGGCAATGTGGAGCGCAGTCTCCGAGAAGTCCGTGAGGAGCTCAAGTCGATGAAGGAGAATGCTGGACGGTCAGGCAAGGATAACGAGCGCTTGGAGACCGAAGTTAACGAGCTGCGGATGCAGCTGGAGAAGGTCTCATATGAGAGTAAGGAGGCAGCTATCACCATGGACGGTCTGCGGGAGGCCAACTCAGAGCTCACGGGCGAGCTGGACGAGGTGAAACAACAGCTCCTCGACGTCCGTATGAAGGCCAAGGAAACCACCGCTGCTCTCGACGAAAAGGAGAAGAAAAAGGCTGAGAAGATGGCTAAGATGATGGCCGGCTTCGACCTCGGCGACGACGTGTTTTCCGATAACGAACGCAAGCTGCAAGATTTGATCGCTCGGGTTGATGCCCTGCACGAAGTCAGCGCGGCAGGAGAAATCATCGCACCCGATGACATTCTTGATCTCCGCACGAATCTGCTGGAGACACAAGGATTTATCCGACAGGCTGAGTTGACGATGAATGACCGGGGCGAGTTTGGTGAGCTGCAGGACAGCCGCCGGGTCGATCTGGAGAATAAACTGGATAACGTTCAACGGGAATACGAAGCTCTCTTGACGCGCAACCTGGGCGAAAATGACGTGGAAGAAATCCGTGAGCGGCTGGAGAAGGCCTTTATTGAGAGGAAGGAAACCGAAACTGCAGCAGTCGAGGAGCTCCGGACTCACATCACCCAGAAAGACGAGGAATTGTCGAAGCTGCGCAAATCCCTCGTTGACACCGAGTCTCGGACCTCGACCAATGGCGCCGCGAGCAAGACTCTGCAGCAGCAGATCGCCGAGTTCGACGCAATGAAGAAGTCTTTGATGCGTGATTTGCAGAACCGCTGTGAACGGGTTGTTGAATTGGAAATTTCCCTGGACGATGCTCGCGAGCAGTACAACAACGTACTTCGATCATCAAACAACCGGGCTCAACAGAAGAAGATGGCTTTCTTGGAACGCAATTTGGAGCAATTGACGCACGTCCAGCGGCAATTGGTCGAACAGAACAGCAGTCTGAAGAAGGAGGTTGCCATCGCTGAGCGAAAGCTCATTGCACGAAACGAGCGCATTGCCAGCCTTGAGAGCTTGCTTCAGGAGAGCCAGGAGAAGTTGACTCAAGCCAACCACCGGTAGGATCTTCGTGTACACACTGAATCACATTTGACTGATGCTGACCATTTTATTAGATTTGAGGCCCAGCTTACAGCTGTGAAAGAGCGCTTGGAGGCCGCGAAGCAGGGCTCTACCCGGGGCCTTCCCACCATGGACAGCAATGGGAGTTTCAGCTTCGGCGGATCCCGCATCGCGAAGCCGCTTCGAGGCGGGGGTAGCTCGGACGGGCCGACGAATGCAAACGTCGCGGGGGTGCAATCGCAAGAGGCGTCGGGCAAGCGCACGAGCTGGTTCTTTGACCGCAAATGATCCCACGAAGCCCCCAGAAGAATGCTCGTCCGTGGCGATGCTCCTCCTGAAACTCGACGGCTGTCTGCCATGGACACCAGACATCTTCCAGTTTGTTTTGCTGTCACTGGCTTTAGCCTGACCGTGATCTCTTCCTAACGCCGTCCTACGAGTCTCATCTCATTTCCCTTGCTCCAAGCCGTGTCCTTTTGTGACAGGGCTTTTTTTGTGATTTTTTATTTGACGTTGCTTTGCGTCGCTTTTCTCTTCCCATTCCAGTACATTAGATCGCGCCCTGCGGGGGATTGGAGATTCGTGGATCTCCCTGATACCCATTGTACATCAACCCCAGATAGAATGCAGTGGAGCTGGTAAGTAGCTACGAGATGGAGCGTTATATATGCCACGATAGTCCCAAGACTTATTTCCAATTGACTTTGACTCTTAAATCTTTGAAATTAGAACACTCGTTAGCTGACCAGCGAGTGCCCTGAAAGCCAAGGACTCAATTGCGCATGTGAAGTTAAGGAAGCACTTGCCTCAGGTGCTCCGAGCTCATCTCCAGGGCTACGTTTGATTCCATTCTCTCCCACATTCTGTTCTTCACTCCTCTGGACTTTCTTCCTTATGATTTAATCACAACATGCCCATCTCAAATTCACTGGGGGTGGCAACGCTCGTGTGGCTCAATCCACATGATGAAGCTCAACTTGTCCAGCGTCTTCAAGATCACGTTGGAAAAACCGCGTCAGTTCAGATCTGGCATCTTCCCAAGGCCAAGCTGCTTCGTCCCATAGGAGAGAGAGACTATCCCCTGGATAGTAAAGGAAATATCTTCCATGCTGCTGCCCTTGCCCACCGCGAAGGACTTTCGAGCATCTTCGTCGCCGACAGCCTGACGAAGCGTCAACTGAAGGAAGATCTACGCCCGGGCGAGGACCCTTTGCTCTCAGTGGTTATGGTAAGGATTCGAAGACAGGGCGCTGATCAAAATGACCGACCTTTTCGGGTCATCGCAAAAAGGCACACAGTGGAGGGGGTCGCAAATATTCTTTATCTTCTGAATGCACTGGAAATCTCACCCAGCTTTCTGAACCGCAATGGCAACAACAAGGATCACGGCATTGAGCTTCATGACCCAGATCGCGCAGTCTTTGAACCAAACAGAGCATCCTCCACTGGCCGCGAGAATCATGAAACCTCCATCACAGCCGCATTATTACAATCCTTCCCTCTCCCTACAGAGCTATGCCGGGCAATCACCTCGATGATCAACAATCGGGCACACTTCCAACCAAAGAAAACGGCGGGGCTCTTACGCGGATCTCACCATGGAACAGTCATAATGCTCTCGTTCCCAGCCACTCCAGGTGAAATCGAAGAGCTACGTGTGTCAGTTGAGCTGAGTCTGAGAGATCGTGGTTATCATCACTCGGGCCCCGTAGGAAGTATGAAGATCCAACTCGTTCCATGGACGAACGATTATCAAGCCACCAGACGTGACTTGGAAATGCACTGGAACCAAACGCACCACCCAAAATTGTGTCCGATCTGGTATCTTCTTGCACCTCCCCAGCGCATAGCGGGTGGATACGATCTTGAGAGGGCCCAATGGGCTGCCATCTACCATGGCTCGAATGATGGCATCTTCATTGCACGGAAAACTTTCCAGTCAAGGTTGATGGAAAGTATTTCACCTCAATCGTTTCGCCGCAGTGCTGCAACGCAGTTTCAAGATCGGTTGGCGGACCAGCTGTCTATTGACCCGGATCGGGTCGAGATTTTCTGTTCACCAGACAGTCCGCTCTATCTCAATCCTCCCATGTGGGAGCCCGTCGATAGTGCTGGGATCACCTCGATAGCCTTGTTTTATCTGACGAATCAACTTCCGGAAGAGCAACAGCAGACTCTTAAAACCGAGCTTCATACTTTGAATGACATGGAAGATGATTATGAAGATGAAGATTACAACAAGGCGTGCTGTTTTGTACCTTGGGCAGAGGAGGGCGAGAATGTCTCGGGTGGAACCGTGGACGACATGTGGGAGGTATTCTGGGGTATGTATCAATTAACCACCTTCGAAATGCCCATCTTCTTTATCGATGATCAATCAGGGATTGATCAAACTGTCCTCGTGGTCTACCCGGACCACTGCTACAATTCAGATGAAGATGCACAGTCGCTCATGGAAGATGTCAACAAGCCCAAAGTCAACGGCATGCTCTATGGCCGCATTAAGGGGCGCGATGCACACATGGCCTGGATGGATTTGAGGGATGTCAGCATGGACTTCGACGAATGCGTGAGGCTCAGTGGCCAGGATGAGGAGCATCAATATCCAGTGCCTCGCTGACCGAGTGGTGACAATCTGGATCTGGATATCAATGAGTGACAGTGTATCCATTGGGTGTCATGTCCAGAGCTCATTTCATTAACTTACCTACCCATGTGCCCCCAGGACTTTCATATTCGAATAGTTTCCACTGTTCAGATGTTGCGCCTCTTCAATCATGCCAGGGCACTGTCGGCCTTTTATCTTTAATACAGTTGAATCTGTCATATCAATTAAAGTTAGCAATATCAGATCAAAACGTTGCCAGTGTCAATGAAAGTTACATTGCCACCCATGGACAGCCGGTAACATCGGAACGGCCCTTAGGCAGCAGCTTCTGATCTCGACGATCGGCCGAGGATCGGACACATTGAGACTCTACATGAGAGAACTTGCGTCCTAGCAGACCGACAACCTTGGAGGATATACCAGCTCTTGGTAGTCGCGAACAGGCAGATCTGCGAATTCCCATCACACATGAGATCTCAGTTGAGAGGCAACCTAACTGGGTACAAAACTAATCTCGTCTTCGCCACTCCACTCTGAGGGTCCACCTGTCCAAGAGCAAGTGCCGAGGCCTAGGTCGGTCTAGAACACATGAGACCGTTGGCTTTAGCAGTATGCACTAGCGGAGCATAGACTCGTGTTCCTGAGATCGAAAAGTGGAAGATCGGAACTGGCTCAGAGTACATTGTAGACAGCAGGACAACAAAACCATCAATTGAACCATGGGTCCCCGTCAAAATGGGCGCTTCAAGGAACACAGCGGCGCAGATGAATCTACGAATGAAGTGTACTTGGCAGGTGGAGGCAATTGTCTCGAAACTGTACATGTATACAAATGATCAAATTTACGAAAGGTCATGTACAGAGGAGGGGCATAAGATGAAATCAAGGGGAAAAAAAAAAAAGAATGCCAATGCAAATACAGAATTCCCCCATCTCCATAATGGAACAATTGCGCCGCCTTCGCCCAAGCGAAATTCCTCAAACTATACCAACCCGTCGTAGAGCGACAGCGCACTGACAATTGTCTCGTCGCGCTTGCTGCCCTCCTTGAACTCTTCGAGATCCAGGCTGCCATTCTCATCCTTGTCCATCATTCGGAAGATCTTCCGCACTCGCTTCTCGGGGGTATCCTCGTCCTCCGGCAGTTTCACCATCGATCCCACCTGAAGCGCGTCAGCAACTGTGGTAGAACCTCCCCTGTTCCGGCCACCTACCATCTTGTAAATCGCCTCGACAATGGCCAGCATCTCGTCGTAAGTGATCTTGCCGTCGCCGTCAATATCGTACAGTTGGAAGGCCCAGTCGAGCTTGTCCTCCATCTTGCCTCGCGAGGTCACGGACAAGGCGCAAATGAACTCCTTGAAATCGATCATGCCACTGTTATCCGAGTCGAATACGCGGAACACATAATTTGCAAATGATGATGGATCACCAAAGGGGAAGAACTGTCGGTAAATCTTCTGGAACTCCTCCTTGGTCAAGGTGCCCGACGGGCAGTCCTTCAGGAACCCTGGACAGTGGTCAGTACACTCGGAATCCCGATTGTGCGAAGAGATAATCGAGTCTGTTCCACTCGCCCTACCTTTATACCATTGCTGGAGCTCTTTCTTGTCAAAGTGGGTTGCTTTCTGCAGCTCTTCCAGCTGCGTGGGCGAGAGCTTCGATTGCCTGCGCATGAGTCAATATCGGGACGTGGAAAGCCTGAAAATAGTCGCTCAATAACCCGGAAGGTAGGATCCGTCGTCACCCCCTCGAACAGTCACTCCAGAAAGGTGATTTCATTGTTCCAGGCGGTTCCGCGAGATCCATCCCCGCCGAGGTGCTTGGGTGAAGGGAGGCCAGATCGGGTCGGACTCACGACTTGCCCATGGTCAAACACCCAGAAGCTCAGCTATGATTTATCCGGGCACATAAAAGTCGAAATTTCGCACGATCGTCAAGGGGACGTAGAGGCGAAGGGGAAAAGAAAGACAGTGACGTGGGGTAGAAACCGGCGGACGAAGTGTGGCTGAGTCGCGGTGGCGGGAAATCAAAGCAAGGGATCGTCCGGGATTCGCGTACAGAATGAAAAGGAGGAAGCACGTTGGATCGAAGATGAATTCAAAGTACAGAGTAAACTAGAAAGAATACAGAGGAACGGAGGAAAGTGGCGGGGGGGGGAAAGACGTATGGGGAGTCCAGGCCATCGGGCTTGGCATGACACGAATACAAAATTACCGCGTTCCGCTATATACACGTTGGGTCATTTGATCCTCTTCGTCCTCTCGGGAAAAACTTGGATATCACTATTATCATCAATCTATCTCAAAAATGCAAATCTTCTCCAGGCTATCAAAACACGGAACGGAACGGGACCCAGGTGCCCTGCTCCCCGGCTGAAGGGCGAGTTTAGTCCACCTTGATAGAGCCGTAGATACGATAAAGAAATGCCCAGCTGGCGAAGAAACCAATCGAACCTGGAGATATCAGTCAGTTGGAGTCGAATCGGAGAAGGGTGGAATAGACATACCAGTCAAAATGAAGACAACGAAGCCAATCAGGGCCGAGTAGCCCACATAGAGGACAGCGCCAGTCAGGCCGCCAAAGCTCACTCGCGTGGCCCAAAAAATGAGCGCATTGACAAAGACATAGCCTCCTGTCATACCGGCACCGGCAAAAGCACGCCAATGCCACCGGTAGTTCTCCGCACACAGCAGGAAGTATACCAGCAGGATGGTGGTCGCCGCCGAGGTGATGATCATCAGGCCGTAGCACAGGAAGAGGAAGCCAAACATGTAATAGATCTTGTTGGTCCAGAGAGAGGTCATGATGAAGTACAGCTCGACAAAAATCGCACCAAAGGGAAGAATGCCGGTGAGAAGAACAGATGGGATGGTGCGGAGGCTACCGGCCATCGGAGGCACCTGGCGGGGGATTTGGTTGGTCTTGGTCGGGCCCTCGAGCGGCTAAAGAGGCGGCAAATTAGTACAAGATAGAGACAAGAGAACCACAAAGCCATATCACATACAGATTGCCTGAACCCAACCCAGCTACCGGCAACGCTCAGTGGCACGCTGATGACGAACCAGATCAGAACCAGGGCCAGCATGGTGCCGAATGGCACGGCGCCGCTGGAGCCCTTGGCCCAGACGAAAAGGTTAAGCAAGAAGAAAGTGCCGAAGATAATTCCGGGAATCAACAATGGGGTCATCACAATGTTGCGTTTCCATGCCTCGCCGCCAAAGGCCTTGTATACTCGTGCTGACACATATCCACCAATGGCACCAAACAAAGCCGAAATCAAGAGGATCGCAGTGGCCAAGAAGCCACGATTGGCAGGGGAAAGGAGACCGAGGAGTGCGAATGCTATAAAGATTGGATCAGTTTGAGAAATTTCGGCGCAGGGCGAACAATCCACCTACCGACAGTCACGCCCGTCATCATGAATAATTGAGCGCCATTGCCCAGCATGATACTTAACAACAGCGGGGCCTTGGGGCAACGGAAAACGTCACCGTGAACAAGCTTCCATCCAGAGTCTTCCTGGATACCATCCTCGACGGCGGCTGAGGTACCGTCAAGATCTTCCAAGCTGATTGCGTCGAGCCGGTTGTAGCGAGCAATGTCCTTCTTGAGCGCGCGAACAAGAATCATGCTCACCATACCCACGAGGAAAACCACAAAGACGGCGGAGTTGATGAGAGAGAACCAGTGGATCTTAGGGTCGTAAACATGCAGATACTTGTCCCATCGAGTGGCCCATGCGGTAGGTGATTCTCTCCAATAAACACTATAGGTCCAGGTCACTGGGGTGTCAACATCCTCACTCAGGGTAAGTACATTTCCCTGGGTGCCGCACTCAGCAGTCCCGTCCTCCAGACGTCGTGAATCGCGGCGAGACTCGGGTTGCACAAGTACACCCACCACGCGTAGTTTGTCTTTACCACCATATCCAACCCGGTGATAATCAATGAGGAGATTGAAATGGTTGTTGAGAATGGCCTGCCCGTTGTCATCTAGATCACCTAGGGAGAAGCCGGGGCTATAGAAATCGGTATCGGTGTTGCCGTCATGATTCAGCTGCGCGGCGGGCAGTCCATCCACAAGCCAGTTGATGTTATAACCCTGGGAAATGCGGCGATTGGTAAACTTGGCGTCCCGAGTATCGAAGACAACCTCCCCACAGACAGCTTTACAGGTCTCATTTTGAGCCATGTGCAGCTCCAGCGGGGAGGTGCGAATACGGTCACCGAACAATATGCTTCCCAATGATTCCCTTACATCCTGAGCACCACCCTCTGGGCGACAGAAATGGAGAGCAGCGTGGTAGTAATCAAATGCAAAGACAGAATGTAGCTGGTCGTCGCGTGAAAGCCCAGGCGTCAGATGATTGACAAAGAGCGGAACAGATTGCCCCTTGTCATACGAGGTCGGCGCAACACCAGGGAGGTAGAACGCGGAAGAAAGCGAAGGGATCGCGAGGAGGACCGAAGTGAGGAGGGAGGGCCGGTCGGTGAACCGCATGGTGAGAGTCGAGAATTCGGGGGGTTGCTCAAATCAGCCGCATGGAAGGGAAGGGGGGTCCGGTAGTGATGCAATCGAAATAGGAAGCTCACGATAGGAGCATAGAAAGTCCCACTCGGGATTCACAACTTCGTGCTTGTTCAGAAGGTGAAGTTAGACTCGAAGCATCGGAAGGACAGGATGGCCCTCGTGAGATAAGCACGGCTGGGTCCCTTGAGGTCACGTGCTGATAAAGAAAAATTTCCAGATCTTGACGAAAGGCTCCGTTCAAAGTTGAATTCTACATCAACCATGGCTTCAATTACAGCGCCTGCGCGCGCTCAGAACTTATCTGCGCTCCTTGAAAATCTCAAGTCATGTCTTACTAGTGCTGCTTCGTCCTTGCCAGCTTCCCGCAAGGAAGCCTCCTCCGACGTCTCGATCGAGCCTCCGCAAGATGGCATTTCGCTTCTCGACAGCAAAAGCGAAATTCTCCTCTCCTATCTCCACAACCTCGTTTTTCTCATTATTTTCCAATTGCGAAACGCTTCGTCCAAAAACGCCCCAGAGGACTCTAAAGATGTTGCGGATGCCACCATCCGGGAGGAGACTGTGAAAAAGCTGGTTGAGCTCCGAGTCTTCCTCGATCGTGGTGTGCGCCCGCTGGAGGGACGTCTGAAGTATCAGGTTGATAAGGTGGTGAAGGCGGCAGAGGATGCGGAGCGGACGGAACGGCCCAGCCAGTCGCGCAAGTCCAAGAAGGCCGGCAAGGCTGGACAGGGCAGCGATGAAGATGCCAGCGACAGTGACGATGACAGCGACGAGGAGGATATGGATGAGATGGCTTACCGGCCCAATGTCTCTGCTTTCTCCAAGGCCAAACCGGAGGAGAACAAATACCAAGCCAAAAACGCCACCCAAGAGCCGAGTGATGGTATCTACCGGCCGCCGAAGATTATGCCGACCTCTCTCCCCACCACCGAGCGCCGCGAACGGGTGGACCGTCGCCCACAACGGTCCAATGTCATTGACGAGTTCGTTAACGCCGAGATGTCGTCCGCGCCTATGGCCGAACCCAGTATTGGTAGCACCATCATCGCCGGTGGCCGACAGACCAAGTCTAAGAAAGACCGAGAACGTGAGGCTGATCGGACCCGGTACGAAGAAACCAACTTTGTCCGTCTGCCTAAGGAGACCAAGAAGGATATTGCCAAGCGGGGCGGCCTCCGGGACTCTACGTTTGGTGGAGATGAATGGAAGGGCCTTACGGAGGGTGCTGATCGCATTGAGCGTCTCACTCGGCGAGGCAAGAGTGGTGGAGTCGCTTTGGAGAAGAGTCGGAAGAGAAAGAACGATGATGGCCAACGCAGTGATGGCGTTGGCATGGGCGAGATCTTCGACAAGCGCAGGAAGAAGATTGATAGCTGGAAGAAATAGATGTGGGCCGTTGGGGTTGTTTCCTTTCTGTTTTTCCTTTGCAAGACCTCGAGTCTACGAACATCACCGGAGTTGGCATGGCTATCAAAAGTATATTCACCACTGCTACCAGTTGTATCTATATGAACATCATTTTATCCATAGATACCTTCAAGCATTCAGTTCAAAATTTACGCTTTCCGCTCAAACTTGATGATCGGCTGGATTCGGCATGCCGAATGCCAAGCCATAACCGATGGCTCTGGATATCCAAAGATGAGGGACCGTGGGGAGGTTTCAAATACAAATACCGTCTCGGCCTTACCCTCGTAATGATCATATGCCAAATTAGAAGATACCACATACTGCATACTAGCCAAGACCCACACGATGGGAAGCTCGGAAGTCAAATGTACTTCGAATCGATCCGGTGTTCACATGTCAGAACTGGGATGATGTCATCGCCCCTTGCAACTCGAACTAGAACTTGATATTCTCCCAGTCTCCAGTCTCCAGTCTCAAGCTCGACTCCTCTTACTCTACTCACACATAACACAAATTCAATTCTCTTGATCATGGAGAATCCAGGTATGTTTAGTTGTCTTCTATTTCTGCAATTAGCACTCGCTGACTTCACTGCCAGTGGTCGAAATCCCGGCGGTGATTAGTCTTCTCACCCAGTCGACGCCAACATTACAACAGAAGACTCTAGAGCGTTTCTTTACAAATGATGCTTCCTTTGTCCATCCTTTCTGCCGCGTTCCCAGCTTTGAAGGGAGTCGATGGTGGATATTGAAGATCTTCCAATGGTATAAGATCATGTCACCACGGATAAAGATGGAGATCCATTCAATTGGTGAGCAGGTCTTTTCTGCTGTACAGAGACTCTTCTGTTGCTCACAATTCGGTAGCCATGGATGAGAAAAACCTCAAAATTTATGTGCATATGTCTCAGATCTTCTCAATTTGGATTGTGCCATTCCACGTTGCACCGGCGACGCTGACAACAGTCCTGGATCTCACCACCGACTCGACCAAGACCAGCTCCCCGACAAACGGGGCCCACCCGTTGTACTACATCACTAAACAGGAGGATCTTTATCAAACCTCTGAGTTTGTTAAGTTCATCTTGCCACATGTGGGACACTGGTTGGTATTCGGCTGGCATTTGTTTGCAACGTTCTTTTGCTTCGTGGGTGTGACGCTGCTATGGCCATTGCTCTGGATGGAAGAGAATGGATATCTCCCCAGTCGGATCGCTCAGGGAAACCTGGCCTATAATATCGACCGTAAGGTTTCGGAGATCAAGAAGCATTGATTCCGATCTCGGCAGTTTAGCTGTTCCTACACGATCTTACCTTTTTCACATGATATTAATTTTAACATTTTGAAAGCTTGGCATAACTTTTTGTCATACATTTGCTACGAAAAGGTGCTATTCCATGATTGTAAACCCATGAATGAAATTTCATTATCGACGCTAATAACCACGAACACAATCGCCTTCGCCGTATGCATGAAATCCTTCGTCACGTCATTTGCATCGCACAACAAGCTTGGACTTGCTGTGTCCCTTAATTGTTTTTCCGCTGCTTCCGCAACTCCTTGCGGAAGTTTTCCTCTTGCTCGACAACCATTAACGGCAGGGCACGTCCGAGACCAAAGAACACGAACAGAGCCCACTTCCACCGGAACGGGTTGACGAGTAGGACAAACACATACCAGTAAATAAGCTCGGCATAGGTAAAGAAGTCAAAGGCCTTGGTGGGCGAGAGTTGTTTCATAAACCGTGTGAAATCGATCCAAGTCTTCATCCGCTCTTCCGTGGGGCGGGTCAATGGGTCGGTCATAAACATGATCAAGAAACGAGTGTAGATTCCAATGTGCATGTTACCGACAGTGCCAATGGCATTGACGTACGTGCTGTTGTTCGCACAGACGTCGGGATACTTGGGCGGGAAGACTTGAAGATACCAGTTGGGAGGACCGTAGGGCTCTTCGAAAACTTCATCAGGCAGGAAGGTCAGCGAAGGCCGCTTGAAACCGGTTGCCATCACGATAATGTCACCCTCGACTAGCCCTTCACGGCCAGGGCCACCCTTGGGAACACCTTGAGCACGGTGATTAAACATCACACCATCTTCTTCAACAGAGACAATGTCTCCGCGCAGCCAATGGGCTTTGCCCTCGCGAATTTGGTCAAACAACTGGGAATTGGCCATAGGGGTCTCGGTGAAGATCCCATCGTCGGTCGGAGCAATGTCTTGAAGATCGCGGTAGAAGAACTTCTTCAGTAGCGATTCAGGAATCCAGGAGAGAGAGGTTTCCTGTCCAAACACATTGAAAGCTAGTAGAGATTGCACCAGTACATTTCTCGGGATAATCCATTTGTCGGAGCGCGACAGGACATCGATTTCCGCGGCGCCTGACTTGACAGCGAACTCGAGGGCTTCAATTGCGCTGGCACCACTGCCGACGATCAATATCTTCTTGCCCTTGGCGTCCTTACCATCCAAATTGGACGAATGATAGATCTGACCCTTGAATTTCTCTTGGTCGGGTAGAGAAGGCATCTGCGGGTCGCCACATACACCCACAGCCGTGAGAATACCGTCGAATCGGCCGTATTGGGCCTCGTCATTGTTGATAATCCATTGGCCATTCTTGGTCTTTTTGACCGAGGTGACACGAGTATCAAACACTGTGCGGCGCTCGAGATCGTAGCGCTTCCAGAGGTTGACAATTTGTTCCTTGATCTTTCCTTGACTAGGGTATGCACTGTCGTAGTGGACTGAAGGGTGGAAACGGTACATCAAACTGTGAACCTGAAGCGCAGACGTGGAATTGACTCTCTTTGGCCGAGTTAGCATTCAATCGATGAAGTTGAGGGGTAAAATAAGCCTCACGCTCCAAATGCCACCGAGGCCGCGGTCTTTGGTTCTAGACTCGAAGATCTGCACATCGAATCCATGACCTACGCAGTGCGCAGCGGAGGAAATTCCAGTCAGACCAGCGCCAATAACGGCGACCCTCTTCCGGGGAAGATCTGGATTGCCATTCGCATCCGGTGGAGGTGGGACAGGTGAAAAAACATATTGAAGCACCGCCTGGACAATCAAATAAAGCCAGGTCCAGAGGGTGACAATTGGGTGCCTGATAAGGGCCGAGATGGTGAATTGAGCACCCGCCATGGTAGTGAGAAAAGAATTGTAACTTTCCCAAGGTTCCGAGATGCGACTTTTTGTAGTTTTAAATAAAATAAGTGACGTGATCAGTGGAGCAACAGGCAGCTCCAGAACTTGCGAACTCGCGCATGTGATTCTGATGCCATGATGTCATGGGCCGGTTACCGTCACATTCTTCTCTGCGATAAGAAGTGTTGGTATAACAGCCCGGTATCCGAGCAGGGATTAGATTACACTGAAAGACAGATAGGGGAGATTGAAGATTCCCCTAGGGTCAAACGCTGTACCTAGGGTACTATACGTACAGTACCGGATTTCCTCTGCCAGGTGGGGCTTCGCCGCTTTCCTTTTCTACATGCCGCTGCTTTAATGAGCTGAGCAAAAAGCGGCAAGCTCTGAGCATTAAAACGAAAGGGTAGTGGCAGAGGAAACCCGATACATACCGTAGGTACGCTCACATGAAAATTGGTGGGTATATTTCACTGTATACGCACGTGCAACCTTGGATCAACCCCTAAAGATAGAGAAGCCTCCAATTGGCAACTAGATGAGACAAATACCCGAAATACTATCAGCACGTCTCTATGGATGCATCAATCCCTTCAATGCCAATATTCATACTCTTAATTGATCTACATACTTTCCAGCCTCGAAAGTCTTTTAAAAGATGCCCCAAAGGCGGTGGAAACGCGCCATTATTCTGCCGCTGGAGCTTCGCCTTGCGTTCGGCGCCTTCCAACATTGAACGTTTGCTCTCAATTGTCCCTGCTTGAGATACGTTGCGAATGACCGACGCTCATTTGCAGTGAATATCACCATGCCTACAGATCATTCACTTCCATTCTAAGTTTCCTCTTATCCATCCGTCTAATTTCTGACTTCCGATTCTTCCCCAACACCTTTTTCATCATGGCGGGCCAGACCCCCATCTTGGATCAATTCCTCCGCAGCGTCGCTAGTTTCGTCCAGAATCGCGATGGCGCCAAGTTACAAGACTTTCTGCAGATCGAGCCTCCGCTCTCCGATATCTACCAACAAATGATCCAAGAATTGCGGCGACGATACCCGAGTCCTCAAGGTGACAATGAGCTACTACAACGGTGTGAAGGACTGGTTCCGCGCACCAAAGGCGCCTCATCGTGGATAGCATTCCCAACATTCATGAAGCTATACTTTGCATTCCTGCGCGATGTGAACGTCGATAACCTGTTGGAGACCTACAACCGACTCAGGGGACTGCTAAAGTAAGTGCCTGGGCTGTGAGGATTTGTGCAGTCGCGCGCGTACCATGAGCAATGAATCAAAATGCTAACCGGAGCTTCTATTTTCTGAGCATACAGTCAATGTGTGATGGCTCTAGGAGACAGCCAAATGGGTGTCATTGTCCTTCCAACCGTTTTTTATCTATCGAAAGTACTGGCAAAATTGGCCATGGGATTGGACCGCAGACCTGAGCTCATAGCGCATCTCCTGCGCTCGGAGGGCCTTGCCGACCGCGAGGAGAGTATCGAAAAAGTGACATTGGTGGAACAGTCGGCGAATGTGGTTCGCGAAGCTTTTATCAAGTGCTTGACCGATCGCTCCGGTACTCCAGGTCCGCAAGGAAAGCCCGAGGGCAAGCGCATTGGTATCTATCTCATGGCCAACCTGTGTCTCAAATTGCTTTTCCAAGTGAGATCAATCCTACACGCTTTTATGTCCGCATGTCGTGTTATGACTGACGATGATCCTTAGTGCGGTAAACTTCGAAACGCAGAGCAAATGTTTGCCAGCATCAGCGCCCAATCACCTCCTTTGGCCCGTTTTCCAGCTTCACAACGTGTCACTTACCTCTACTACCTCGGTCGCTATCTTTTTTCCAACAACCTCTTCTATCCTGCTCAGATCGCCCTGCAGTCCGCTTATGACCAGTGCCATCGCCAGGCACTCAGCCAGCGACATCTGATTCTCACCTACCTGATCCCATGCAATATCATCATGGGTCGCTTCCCATCCCAAAAACTTTTACAAAGAAACGAGGCGCAAGGGTTAGCGGAACACTTCGAACCTTTGCGCCGTTTAATCATTCGTGGAGATTACATTGCATTCCGCCAACATCTCTCCCTAAGCTCGTCCAGTGCTCAATGGTTCTCGCGAAAGGGGACCTTGCTTGCTATCCGCAACCGATGCGAAATTCTGGTGTGGCGATCGTTCTGTCGCAGGGTATTTATCGAGGGTGGTTTTCACGGCGACCTCCAGGTGAATGGGCAGCGTGGCCCACCACCCTACCTCTATTTACAGAAAATGGCAGTGGCCACGCAATGGCTGCGATCCAAGCATAACCAATTGCCCCTCAATGGCAACAGCAATCTCAACACGCCTCAGTATTATGGGCCGCAGACTATATCCGAGCCAACTGATCCTGACTATGCGGATCTCGAAGATCCAAGCCGTGTCGCTGCCCCGGAAGCAGATCAAAGCATCCTGGGAAAATACGGTGACTATATTTCCCCAGATAGTTTCTTTGATGAGGGTGGCCATTCACAGCAAAATACGCCGGGTCAGTTGGTTGATGGCGATCCGAACGTCGATTTCGAGGGACTCGAACTGGACCCGTATGCCGCTATTGATGACTTCGAAGTGGATCAACCTTCTCTTCTCATGCGGGAAATTGAATCAATTCTCTCCTCGCTACTCACCCAGGGGCTGATGCGTGGCTATCTCACCCACCGCAACCCTCGCTTTGCTATTCCTGGTGCTCGACTTCGAGGCGCCCTGCCGACAGGATATCCCAATGTTTGGCAGACCATTTCGGCTCGTGAACGGGAAGACTCGAGCGTCCCCGGATGGGTTCGGCCTCCACCCACCATAATCGGTGGCCCGGCAATGGCTGCCGGTGGTCGGGTCGTGAATCTGTCTGGGGCTCGACCGGTCGGAGTCCAATAGCGTTGGGCTTCGTCTGGAAATTCATGATGTGATGGCGTTAATGATACCTCATAGCTCATACCCAATTGAGATTCGGTTTTTGAAGTTTGAACGGCTGCGTTTAATTATCTACTCAAGTCTATGGTAAAGAGATAGTCTTTAAAGCAAACGAATTCAACATCCAACGGTTGACACAACTCTATAGCTTGGGCCTCGGCATCTCCGGTCGCCACATCTCATTCAACAGTCGAGTCGCGTTGACCATTTCTGGCCGAAGTTGGTCGAGGGAGGAGACACCGAGCATTTTCATGGTGATCTCAAGCTCCTCGGCGATGACTGTATTTTCGTTAGAAAGAAATCTTGTCGAAAGGCGGAGAATCTCAGAGTGTACTTACTATCGGTGCATCTTTCCACTCCTTCCAACCCATACGCGGCCATGGCGTAGTAATAGGGCCGACCAACGCCCACTGCTGTGGCTCCGAGGCAAAGGGCCTTGAGAACATCGGCTCCATCTCGAAGACCACCGTCTACATAAATTTCGAGCTTGTCAAAAGCTTCTGGGTAGTAAGTCCGGATCTCCAGGAGCGTCATCAAGGCGCTCGGAGCAGAGTGAATTTGGCGGCCCCCATGGTTGCTCAAAAGAACGCCCTGCACACCATGTTGGACAGCCAATCTAACGTCTTCAACAGTTTGGATGCCCTTCAACACAACGGGACCGTTCCATTCCCGAGAGATCCACGCCAAATCCTCCCAGGTCAGGCCGGGATCCAAGTATCCAGGAACGGGCCGGCCACCAAATGCAGGCCCGAAATCATTCTCGGCCGCAGGATCTCTTGTCGTCTCTCGCACGCCTTGATCGAGGGCTTCTTGTGCCTGTAGATATCGATCGGCTGTTCGTTTGCCTAGTGTTGAAGTGTCCACAGTGACCCACAAGCTCTGGTATCCGGCGGCCTTTACCCTCTGAATGAGAGACTTGGCTTTTGTGCGGTCGATCGGGACGTATAGTTGAAAGAAGAGCTTGGAAGGGCTCTGGTTTTTGAGTCGTTGCTGTTCGTCCAAGTGGGCATCCATGATATCTTCCAAGGACTTGGATGTCGCTGTGCTGATCACTGTATGCAATCCCTTGCGTGTCGCTCCTCGGGCTAACAATGGTTCAGCACCAGGGTGTGCATTACCCAGAGTTCCCATGGCTGACACAAAAAATGGATATTGCCCAGTCTGTCCCAGGATGGAACATTTGGTGTTCAAGGCACTGACACTTCTCATGATTCGAGGCCGGAAATTGATGAGAGACCAGTCATTCAAGTTCGAATCAAGCGACGCTCCCGAGTTCGCGCTGCTAGATACATAGACCCATGACTTGTTGGGAAGAACCGCTTTTGCAGCCGCCTGGAAGTCTTCCGCGGTGCAGCAGAGCGCTAAATGCGTCGGGGCTGACTTGGTATTCGGCATGGTTGATTGATGAGGGCTTTGGAGACTAGGGTTCTTGAAAAAAAAAAAGAAGATTTAGTTCAAATGAACATCCTGGCAAGCAATTTAATAGAATGCAAGTAAAGAAGTTATCCTATACGTGAATCAGCTATGAAAAAGCTGATTGATGGAAAATCCTATCTGTGTGCCCCGGTTTTGGATACTCGCAGTGAAGGCCGGCCAGAGCTTCTCGACCGACAACGGTTTGAGTCCACGGCCGATCGGCTTGTGTCTGTTCTTAGTTTGAATATAGAGCTCCCTTTGTCTCCGCTTGCTTCCGACAAGCATGTCTGATTGGCCATAAGGCAGAAAGCATCACTCGGAAGGACTAATACCGGTGCAGTCAAAAGCCGATATGACTACATACGTACAGAACATGGCCTGGGTCTGGTGAGAACCCGCGTCCAAAGTTACCTCGAATGCAGACTCTCTAGTGCCGGCCGAGAAAAGGGTCCGATAGCAATTCAAGCTCAAATACCCTGTGGCGCCACTCGGAAATCGATGTTCAGTAGTATTTACTCCGTACAGCAACATCGATAGCCGAGCGGCATTTGAACCTCCAGACTTCGAACCATGGGTTTCCGGGCCGTGGAAGATCGACCCACACCTCTCGAGGCCTACAGCTGGCGTTTATATAGTGAAGCTATCGTGATTGCGATCGATTCCTTTCCATTACGTTCTGTTCCATTCTTTAGCAATCGCTTCTACTTTTTCTGTAGAGCTGTGGGTGCTTCTTAGGAACAACTGTAGCCTGCGAGAATTTCCTGGCAGATCTCAATATCGACAAATCCAAAACGAGTGCAATGTCTCGCAATATCACTTCTATCTTCCAAGCTGGTGCTTGTTTCGGGGCCTACAAACTAGGGAAGTGTTTCAACAGTATACAACTTTCCATTGCTGGTACTTTAGGAACGAGCTCTGCTTCTTTCATTGAAGTGTCAATCCTCTGCCCGTTGGTGAGTAGAATTATCGATAATAAAATTTAATCATAAATAGGCAAGCTTGGGTCATATACTCCGTCACACATGTCAAATGTCAGACAAATATTGATAGGCTGGCGCAGTCAGACTGTCAAAGTCTTGAATACCGCGTTGGGTTCCATCCTTCCTAGAACCTAAAAATCTACTATTAGCCCTTGACTTTTTCAGGTCGGGGGGTATTGCATACGGCATCATAAATCGTTCTGCCTTCATTCGCTTCTCCACCTGCATTGAGGCAGACGCGGATGGATTTGCGTGAGCCGTGGAAGTTGCCCGCTTCATCGGCATTGACATGGACATCGATGGGGTTGCAGAGTGCTCAATGTCCTAGATGTGTGTTAGCCACGCTGTTGCGCCGAAAGCGAGCCCTAAATATTTCCACCTTTTTACCACCTCCGTGAGGAACAGCAATTGCAGTTGCCACAAACAGAGCGCAGATGAATCCAAAACGCATGTTGAAGAGAGTAATAGAGGTTGTATTGAGATATATAGATCGAGTCGAGTGATTATTGATATAATGAAAGAAATTGCAGGTAGAGAAGCCTTTATATAACCAGATTATATCCAGAGCAAGCTGGAGCAAGGATATATTGATGGCATCATGATCAGCAGTTTAGCATGTCAACGTGAAATGAAAATCTTTAGAAAATCCCCTCTGGTACTAGGGTGGCAGCCAATCAAGTCCGCCAACATTTGGCTTGCTCAGGGAACAAGCTCAAGGGGACTTCTGCTGAGTATGTTCTTTGCAGCTTCTGGTGTATGTAGAGCCCGTGCTGTGATGTCAACGGAATGTGGGAACGGTGTCGCCCCATGTTTGGTGACATACACATTCCATAAGATCCGCTGCCCCATGACTTGCATGGCTGGGAACTCGATTGCGATAAGAGGAACGTCCAATTGTTGATCCAAATGAAAGGGAGTGGTCTAAATCTATAGATATTCATGTTCTATTCAGCGTACGTACGTTTCCCCAATGTCTATTTATCTGTTCCATGTTCCGATCCGCGCGATAATTTCTCCAACTTGCAAATATGAAGGCAGTGAAAATCACCAGGCCCAGTCCAGCTAATCCAATGCCCATGTAGAGCACACTGCGATATCCAGGCAGAAAATTGCTACCCACGTCATTGACATGGGTTCCACCGTATCGGCAAACCCAAGCTTGAGAAAAATGAAGTATTTCAGGATCGTGGCCGCATCTCTCCAGTCCTTGATGGTGGCGATATATTGAATTACTGAGAATGAGGGCCCCAGAAGGGAAGACCATATCCCCACAGAACGGAGTATTTAGCATATGACGAGATACTGACAGGAAATCGACACGTTTACATTCCCCAAGACGTGATCAAGCTGACGACGAAAGCTTGAGCCTAGTCGGTCTAAACCGACTAGCACGGTGGCAAATACCAATAGACCAGCCATGAAAGACATCATGGCACAATGGTGACGCTGGGGGGCAGACGACCAGGCACGAATCCGGTATGAGAGCAGCAACGGCACCCGACACCGCAGCGGCGGACCATATCGCCGTGGTCAGCAATGGCGAGTCACCTTTGATGACTTCCATGGACTAGTAGAAGTAGTAGATAGAGATTCCGAAACTGGACCATCCAGCAGCGATGCATCCAAGTACCCAGGCGAGATCTCCGGTGGAAACAGCGCGATGTAGTAGTGGATACAGTGCACGGCGCTCGATGACTGCACGAGCACCCCCGAAGGAGGAATCCGACAATCAGGAGATCGTAGGTGTAGGGGCTCTTCCAGCCAACAAGGGCAGCCTCGTTCTAAGCAAAGTTGATCAGTACCAGAGCTGGGATACCAGCCGCAGAACCAAGAAGATCCAGTCGCTGTTAGACACAAAGGCTATCGTCGTGTTACGGAAGTGAACTGTCCCTAATCATCAACCGTGCCACGCATAATACACCAACAAAGTGAACGTCCTTCGACAGGGAGGCAGGGAGTCCGGAGGCGGCACATGAGATTATGAGGTCTCTAGCCGAATGAGAACCTTCGGGTCGCGCTATAATAAGTAGAATGTTTTTGTAGATGGACTGGGTATTCGTTGGAGTCACTGGGTCGACCGGGGTGAGTCCACGACGAGAATCTCCAGGGCTATATAGACCTCTAGAAGTGGAAAGAACAAGAAATTCCCAAATTCGTTGAGAGTACGTCGTCTTCTCTCTTTTTCTTCTTCTTCCTCTTCTTTATCAGATCCGGTTCGGTGGAGCTTCGAACTTCCGTCAGGTTTGGTTCATACTGGGGGTTCATTTCGTTCCAGTGGTGAGATTCGACATGGCCCTTGAGACTCACCAAGAACGGCATCTAACCCTCAAAACGTAAAACTCAAGACTGTTCCTGAACTAGTACTGTACCTACCGACAGGAAGTGGTCCTGGTGGTGAACTATACTGATCAAGCTCACCGGATAATACCAAAGTACCCCACGTCATCCACGGCCCGCGGTGGGATGAGCCATGAGCTCCATATCTGGACTTCTACTGGCTCCAGCACCTCATTAAGTTATGGGCACTTGGATTTCAATACAGTGGAAATTTCTCCGTCAATCTGATCTCTTTGATTCCTCCATTCTTTCCTTCCTCCATTCTTGGACTCAACAAGCTGGACTCTGCCACTTACCTAAGCATCACATGCCGTGTGCTTTTTTTTCTATCGCGACATCCAAAACTTGACCAGCTCTTGAGCAAACTATCTCGCAGCTCCCTAGCGCTGCTGTATGCCTGGCATGCTTCTTTGAGCTTCGCTTGGGGCGTCTTTGTTCCCCGTTGCTCCGTTTGCAAACTCCCAGACTCAACTTCGACTCTGGCTCATCTTCTGTCACCCACCCTTTGCAGTCTCGATGGCTGAATCACCTCCCATTGTCTTCATCGCTAGGTAAATTTTGATCTGAAGCTGCATGGGTAGCCCACCAATACTGACTTGTATAGACATGGCGCTCGTCTTGATGCGGCCGACAAGGACTGGCATCTGACCTCCCCCACTCCCTACGACCCGCCCCTCTCCTACGGTGGTTGGAATCAATCCCGGGCGCTGGGTGTGCGCATTGCCAGTCTCCTACGAGCTTCGGAATTCACGGGCCAACACCCAGAGAGCCATCACGGCCAAGCCTTGGGCGATCCGGCAAATCTGCAACCGACCCCCGCTCCTTCCGACCTGCACGACCGATACAACGTGATCGTACATTCCTCGCCGTACCTACGATGTTTACAAACCGCAATCGCCGTCGGTGCGGGCCTCAATCAGTCTCTCTCCGAGAGTGAGGCCGCGGACTCCTCAAAATCTACGGATGTGCATCAAACAGACGTGAGAACCGATTCTCGGTCTCTGTTACGCGTTGATGCGTTCTTGGGCGAGTGGCTGTCACCGGACTATTTCGACCAAATCATACCACCACCGGCCTCCGATCGCATGGTAGCTTCGGCCAAGGCTGAGCTCCTCCGTCGTGGTGAACTTCTTCCTCCAGCGCGGGAAGGAACAAGGGCGCTGTCAGGTCATTTCCCGGGCGGCTGGGGTAGTCAGTCTCATCCAAGCTCTCCCAGCGAGGAGGATGACCGCCGACTGGCCCCGCAAGGATCATCATTGGCGTCGGGACAAAATGGCAAGCGACAGCGTGCCAGCACCTATGACACCCTCCAGGGCCCTCAGCCCAGCCGCATTCCGAAAGCCTTGAGACGGCTCAACACCGATCTGCCACCGGTTTTCGATGCATCCTACGTGCCCCCAACTCCCGGCTATGCCATTTCTCCCTCGGATCCCATCCCCGCCGGGTACGTGGCCCACGCGCGGGACGCCTGCACAAAGATCGACTACCAATGGGATAGCATGCGCACGCCCTTTTGGGGCACGGGCGGCGAGTACGGCGAGGAATGGAGTAGCATGCATGAAAGAGTGCACGATGGATTTCGACGAATGGTGGACTGGTACCGGCGACAGGACGGACCCAGCGCAGACCCCTCGAGCGTCATGTCCAACGGTGCCGACAAAGCTCGCCCCAAGGAGACTGTTCTGATTATAATCACGCACGGGGCTGACTGCAACGCCCTAATTAGCTCCCTGGCTGGCCACTCGGTACTCCTCGACATCAATACAGCGTCTCTCACTATGGCCGTGCGACGGGACCGCCTGAGGAGTACTGCGCCACTCTCCGAGGGCGCATCCAACTCTCCAGTAGGTCGGGATGACTTTGTATCACGGGAATACGCTTTGCAGCTAGTCGCGTCAACTGACCACCTTCGTGCGGGGGTCAACCCTTCACAACTCACTACACTGTCATCACCCGCGGCTCCGCAGCCGGTCTCGGCACCTGCCATCTCCACCTATCGCAATCGCCTCGGCACTCGTCCATCGATGCTCCCAGGCTCCTTCACCATCGGGCCGAATCCAGGATCGAGCCTCAGTCCTCGCAGCTGGTCTTTGGCACGACAGTCACCATTGCCTCGAGGGGCCTCTGGTCTTTGGGGAGCCAGCGCGTCGTCCGACAAGGACGATGATGTGGAGGACTTCGTGCCGAACTTCGGGGACCCACGACCTGTGAGTCATGACTCGTCTCATACAGAGGGATCGGTGGACCGATCTGGCTGGATGAAGCAATTGCCGCAACGAACTCTCTCACAGCGCGGACTATGGGGGAGTGCGCCCGCCCTGGAAGATCGCGAGGTGTCGCGGCGACGGTGGACGGTGGCAGAGCAGAAGTTGTGAGACGATCGGCTAACGACCTTTATTTTTTATTTTTTTATTTTGTGTACAATCTCTTTTCTTTAGGATACCTCATTGCATGGCGCCGGGTGTTTTTATTCCCCTTCTGACCCGATCTAATAGCTCGATTGAATTGGATTCCCATTTATCAGGCATCCAGGCATCCAGGCATTCACGTTCCCCGGATGCCTTTGTCCCACCTTTTGCCCCTCGTAAACAACTCTCCAACATCTCCAACATCTTCCCTCTTTTCCCTCTCTCTTCCTTCTTCTTCTGAACTACTCTCGTCTTGTGTCCAGGTCTTCCATGTCAAATCTTGAATCGGACGGTCTCTCCGTCACCTATGCCTCGGATCGCACCGGTGCCCCGGATCTACGGCTGATCCACTACAATGATGTCTACCATGTTGAGTATGCGCTGCGAGTTCCCTTGACCTACGCGCATTCCCTGTGCTAATGGAATACCAAGATCTGGCTCTGCTGAACCGGTTGGCGGGGTCCCGCGCTTCCAATCCCTTGTGAAATACTACCGCTCCCACCCGCGGTTCGCGGGCCAACCCGATATCCTGACCTTTTTCTCCGGCGATGCCTTCAACCCCAGTATCGAGAGTACTATTACAAAGGGCCGTCACATGGTTCCGTTCCTGAACAAAGTCGGGACCGACGTGGCATGCGTGGGTGTGAGTAGGACGCCAGGTTCAATTGGGGCGAGAACACCGCTGATCCAGCCAGAATCATGATCTCGATTTCGGCGTGGCCCAATTCCGCCACTTATCAGGTCAATGCCACTTTCCGTGGCTATTGGCCAACGTACTGGATCCAGCGCTTGGAGACGGCGTGCCAATCGCTAATTGTGGGAAGACCTGCATGCTCGTCTCGTCGAACGGGATTAAAATCGGCGTTATTGGCCTAGGAGAGAGGGAATGGTGAGACGTGGCATCAGATCATTTCCACTTGTCTACATCTACTGACCGTTCTCAGGCTAGAGACGATTAACTCGCTTCCACCCAACTTGATCTACCAATCAGCAAGCAAGACTGCGCAAGAGCTGGCACCCCAGCTGCGAGCGCAAGGGGCCGAGATGATCGTGGTTGTTTCTCATCAGCGCGAACCCAACGATAACAAACTCGCGAACAACTTAATTCCTGGGACGGTGGACATCATTCTTGGCGGCCATGATCATTATTACGCCCATTCTGTTGTCAATGGAACTCATGTGCTTCGATCAGGGACCGATTTCAAGCAACTGAGCTATATAGAAGCCTTTCGAAAGCCCAATGGAGAGCAGGGCTGGGATTTCAACATAACGCGCCGCGATATTTTGCGCTCCATCCCCGAGGAGCCTGACACGATGACCATGGTTGGCCGGCTCACCTCCAGCTTGGAGGCGAAGCTTGAAAAGCCAATAGGCTTCACGGTCAGTCCCCTCGATGGCCGTTTCTCGACGGTGCGACAGCGTGAGTCCAACTTGGGCAATTTTGTCTGCGATCTCATGCGTCATTATTATGCCGCCGACTGTGCTATGATGGCTGGTGGTACCATTCGGGGTGACCAGATCTATCCTCCAGGGATACTACGGCTGAAAGACCTGTTAAACTGCTTTCCTTTTGAAGATCCTGTGGTCCTGATACGTGTTAGCGGGCAGGCTTTAATGGATGCTCTCGAGAACGGTGTAAGCCAGCTCCCTGCACTGGAGGGTCGCTTTACACAAGTTTCCAATATCTCGTTCGGGTTCAAGCTTGATGCTCCCTCGGGCGCACGTATCACATTCGCTCGAGTTGGTGGAGAGCCTATTGACTTTGACCGAAACTACGTACTGGCCACGCGTGGCTACATGGCTCGTGGCAAAGATGGATTCTCGTCTTTGCTTGTCCAATCCGAGGGCGGCAAGGTTGAAGAACTTGTGCATGAGGAGAATGGTGTTCTTATCAGCACGATTTTACGCCAGTACTTTATGAGCTTGAAGGTTCTTGGTAAATGGCAACGTTGGTCTGCCAGCCTCCATCGACACTGGGGCTCTGTACACCGCAATCTGCACAATGAGGGCTGGCTCAAGCCGCCGTCAGCCGCTGCTTCCCCTGTATCTGAGAAAGCACCGAGGAACTACTTGAAGCCCCGCCCGGGCTTGCAGCGAACGGGTCGGCAAGCTTACTATTACGGCCGCTTCCCTCAGGAAGTTGACCGAGGGTCCGCAACCTCGCCTGCTAATGGAACAAACAGCGATGAAATGGACTCTGACTCCGATGAAGACCCAGAAATTCTTACGTCTCCTCGATCAACCACCAACTATGTCACCCTTCCTGCTCGGTCCACGGCAGAGGAGGAGCATCGCCTGCAGCTTGCACGACGCGTTGTCCGCAAATGGATGCGCCATGCTGGTCTACACTCCACCAATTTGAACACGATGGATGGCGAGGGTGAGTTCACACCTGCCTGGACTTCTGGTATCTCTCCTAGACTTGAAGGCCGGATTGTCGTGGAATAGATCTAGCTGTACAAGCTTTTTCGTGTTCATATTCTTTTTAAACACATATTGCATATGCGCGGAGCGGGCTCCATTGGCGTTGCGGGGTTTTAGAAACCAGGGCATAGAATTACGTTGGTATGATCATAAGATATGTGCTTCGTCTAGGTCAATAAGTACCCAGATATGTAGAGATCAATTTTATAGATAATGATAATGGCTTTACGCAGCAGTCTCCTGGGCGCCCCATCCACCTCCACCGGCGGTCATAATGACAACCCGGTCGTGTGTCTTGACCGACACAGTGTTCTTGCCTCCAATATTGATCTGGCGCTCTTCGCCAGTCTCTGCATCCCGAGTAATCCACAAGTTCAGGCCTGGTTGAGCATGCTCGCCTCCTTCTAGACCATAAGGTCTGTGAACACGTCGCTCTGACAGAATCGAAACTTGCATTGGAGCAAGGAATTCGATGTCACGCACCACACCTTCACCGCCTGGGTTCTTGCCTTGGCCACCGGAGCCTTCTCGCAGGGTGAATTGACGAAGAAGGGTTGGGTAGCGCTTCTCAAGGATTTCGGGATCAGTAATTCGCGTGTTGGTCATATGGACGTGGACGCCAGACTCGCCCTTCCAGGTCGGACCGGCACCGCTACCACCAGCAATAGTCTCGTAATACCCAAAGCCAGGAGTGATAATAGCTCCAGTCTGGGGATCAATCTTGGGGTTGGTGCCAAAGGTCAGATTGTTGCAGCAACCCTGAGAGGCAGCACAGGCCTGGAAAGCTTTGAAAACGACATCGGTGATGCGCTGTGACGTGACCACGTTTCCACCCACAACAGCAGCTGTCTTTGTGGGCGACAAGATGCTGGGCGAAGGAACTCTGATATCAATTGGAGCTAGACACCCCTGATTGAGGGGAACGTCCGCATTGATCATGCATCGCAGACAATAGATGATTGCCGAGTGAGTGATTGCAATGGGTGCATTCCAACTGCCGTACACCTCAGGTCCAGTACCATCAAAGTCGAAGACAGCAGAACCATTCGAGCCATCAATCGTCACCTTCAGGTGGATAGGGGTGCCATCGTCCATGTAATCAACAGCCTCGAGAGGCTTCCCGCCAAACTTCTGATACAACCCCTTGAGGAGGTTTCGTACGGCAGTCTCAGCGGTCGCCTGGATGGCATACATGTATTTTTGAACAGTCTCCACACCATACTCCGCAAATAGGCTCTGGATCAAAGTTATACCGCGAGTGTTGGCGGCAATCTGTGCCTTGAGGTCGGACATGTTGTCACTAATGCAGCGTGCGCCAGAACAGCCGGGATACTGGGACGGCTTCGTGACAAGTAGTTCGATCAAACGGGCCTCGTCAAGAACACCATTACTAACGATCTTGTCACCCTCGATAGCGGCACCCTCCTGCCAAAGCTCTGTCGATTTGGGAGGCATGGACCCGGGTAGAATACCACCAATATCAGCGTGGTGGCCACGCGAGGCAACGTAGAACATGATCTCGGTGCCTCCAGGACGATCAAAGACGGGCGTAATCACCTTGTATTGAAATTAGCTTTCGCATATACAGATTAGAGAGCCACTTACAGTGATATCAGGCAGGTGAGTACCACCACAGCTAGGGTGGTTGGCCACAAGCACATCGCCATCCTTCAAATTGCCTAGCCACTTTTCATGCTGGTAACGCACAGCGAACTGCATCGATCCCAGATGCACTGGGACGTGTGGAGCATTGGCAACAAGCCCACCATCTGGGGAGAAAAGAGCGCAGGAAAAGTCCAGTCGCTCCTTGATATTGGTTGACACAGAGGTCTTTTGCAGAGTGCGACCCATCTGCTCGGCAATAGACATGAATCTGTGACCAAATATACTGAGCCGGATAGGATCGATCTCGGTGGTGAATTGTGTCTCGGAAGGAGAGACGCTTGGCTTGTCCTTCAGATCAATTACAATGCATGTTTCGAGTAGGTTCGCGACGGCATTGGGGGCGACGACAATCGTTTGAGTTTGATCAATAATGACAGCAGGGCCTGCGATGCGGCTGTGCTTCTCTAGTTTGTCGAGCAAGTACACAGGGGTGTCGATGCGCGTGGAATAACCATCGAAATAGGCTGCAGTCGTGTTGGCGGCTCCGGTCGTAACGTCCTTCATGTTTGCATCCTTCAATTGAACCAGGGGGCTGCGCTCCGTGCGAACCTTGGAAGATGCAATCGTACGAACGCGAATATCATCAACAAGGATAGGTCGGTCCGAGTTGAAGTTGAACTCGCGGCGGTGGCGCTCGCGGAACTCATCCAAGAAATCAGACGAAGACTCCGGTCGCAAGATCATCAAACTAGTATCGGATCCCTCGTAGCGCATGTTCAAGTATTGCTCATGATGCACTTGATTGGAAGGGAACCCTTGTTCCTGCATTTCTTTTGTTGCAGCAGAAGCCATATCATCGAAGCGCTGGAGAAGGCTAGGATGAGAAGAAAGGTAATCAGAGGAGACCGGCTCCTGAGATTCCTTGACTACTTCTGCAAGTGCTAGGCCGTATGCCGACAAGACCGAAGAGTATTTGTGGATAATGATACGTGAGATGCCCAGTGAAGCAGCCACGGAGCAAGCATGTTGGCCACCGGCTCCTCCAAAGCAGGCTAGGTGGTGAGAGGCAGTTTCAAAGCCACGGGCCTCGGTCAAGTTGCGGATGGGGCGGGCCATAGACTCATCAGCAACCTTGAGGAATCCAAGGGCAATTTCCTCTGAAGTGTATTCTGGCTGGGAATTCTGCCGGCGCTCGGCATTGATCTTTTGTGTCAAATCATGGAACTTTTGCGCAGTGATCTCAGTATCCAGGGGTTGATCCTCATTGGGCCCGAAAATGTGAGGGAAATACTCGGGAAGCAACCGACCGAGGAACAAATTGGCATCCGTCACAGTCAAAGGGCCTCCTTTCCGATAGCAGGCTGGGCCGGGATGCGCGCTAGCTGATTCAGGGCCAACATAAAATAGGCCGTTGCGCCATGTCAGAATAGAGCCACCGCCGGCAGCAACAGTGTTGATATCAAGCTGTGGAGACTGAATGAGAACGCCAGCAACCTTGGATCCGAAAACGTGCTCCAAGTGACCATCAAAACGTGAAACATCGGTAGATGTACCGCCCATGTCAAATCCGATCACCGGTGTCTTCTCGATGGGATCCCAACTGGTGGCAGCAAATCCTACGACGCCAGCAGCTGGACCGGAAAGGATGGCTTTCAACCCGCTAAACTTGCGGAAGTCCACGAGACCACCGTCTGACTGCATAAATTCAAATCGGCATTCCTGTTGCTTTTCCAGGCCGCCTTCAAAGCTGGCAGAGATGGAGTCGATATAAGTCTTGATGACGGGGGTGAGATAGGCGTCGGCGGCAGCCGACATGCCACGAGGCACGATTTTGATCATTGGCTGCAGCTTTGAGGAAAGCGTGACAGAGAATCCCATCTGCTCGGCCAGTTCTCCAATCTGGCGCTCATGTTCAGGATAGGCGAAAGAGTGTACAAGGGCCACCGAAAGGGACTGGTAGCCTTGTTCTTTCAGGCAGAGGAGCTCTGATCGGACCTGGTCAAGATCCAATTCCTGAACCACTCGGAACTTCTCGCCTGTGATGCCTTCCACTTCGCGGGCTCCGGAGAAGCATTCCTTGTCTGCAGAAGGATGGCAAGGAACCACTCGCTCATTTACCTCGACCACACTCTCGGGCAGCACGCCAGGTCTTGCCGCAGAGAGATCGAAGATGGCTGGCCGGGACTGGTCACCAATCTTGAGCAGGTCCCGGAATCCCTTGGTCGTAAACAATGCTGATCGGGCTCCCTTGCGCTCAAGCAACGCATTGGTTGCCACGGTGGTACCCATTCGAAGACAACCGATGCGATCGAGCTTCAGCGGGCGTCCACGAGGATGTGACTCGCCCGTTGCAAGCTCAAGGATCTGTCGGATGCCCTCCGTAGGGGCATCTTGATAATGTGATGGATCGACGGAAAGGAGCTTGATAATAATGTCTGAGCGACCAGGAACAATTGCATGGACATCGGTAAAGGTTCCCCCGCGGTCAATGCAGATAGTGATCTTCCCGGAGTCGGCCATCACGATGTGGGACGATGGGCGATGGGAAATGAGAGAAGAGAATAATATGGAATGATCGGAATAAAGGACCAGGGAATAGCGACTTCAAATATCAACATACTGTCTCGTCCCCAGATTCGTTTGTTACGACATTGTATGCGGGTCACGTGTCGGGCCGATGACCGGCGTGTCGGGTCCATCGGGCCGACGGGTTGGAAATTACGTGCAACGGACGCGATAACGAGAATGAGGGGTAGATTGGAGATATGCGCGCGTTCCTTATCGAGTAATGACTATCTATGATCCAGTATGGGATATTAAGGAGATAGAGGGGAAATCATCCCCCAATGAACCACCGTTTTGAACAAAACAGTATTTGATTGAAAGTATACACATTTACAGGTACTATCGTTTCAACGTGCTCTCGATCCAATCGGTATCCATATCAATATCAATTTGGTCCAATGCACCCTCCCAGAGCGCCGGGTCATCGTTCAGATCAAATTGAAAGGAAATGTCCTGGAACGAGGGCAGATCAAGTGATGCTTGCCAATGCTCCGGGAGTTCCTGAGTGGGGGGCGTCGTATCATCGATCGCGGGACTAGCCGGATGATTACTCCTTGGTGTGGCTGGGACATTCAGTGCAGTCATTGTCCTTTCCATGTCGCCTGTAACAGCTTTGGGTTCAATGGCTGCTCGTAGCTCCAGCAACAAGGAATGGCGCGAGCCAAGGTACGTGTTACCTCGGTCAGCCATACTACGGAGGAGATTCAGTGCAGTCTCCATTGCCCGCGAATTAGTTTCATTGTGAGGGAAAACAGCATTGACCATGACGAGAAGTAATGCGGCAGAGAAAACGTATTCGCCGTCGAGATAGCCGTAGGTAGCTGTGCACCATATTAAAAGCCGAATGGGCAAATGCTGGTCAAGAATTGGGGCGACGTACCGATAAGATTATGCTTCGCGGCTGCGTCCATGATCAAGGTCGTTGCACGAGCAGCGGTGATACAGCTATCGATCACCGCAACCGTGTTGGGAGCCAAGCCTTCTTTCCAATCCTCTCCCGATGTGCCCAGAATACCAGCGTCGAGTCGTCGCTGGATAACATAGAAAACGAGCGGACGTGCCGTCATGTTGACACATGAGTAGAAATGAAGGTTGATCGACACCGTCTCTCGATTTACATGAGTGTCCAGTGTGGTAAAATCAATGCGAAGCCCATCGGGGACCTGTCGAAGCCAGCTTGAAAGATCGTTGGTGATACTTTGCACAGACATGATCAGGTTGGATCCTGATCGAGGCTTCTTCCGGTATATCTCTGCGGTTTGGGTCAGCCGCCGACTGTGCAAATGGCATGGTCTGGTTTCTTGGTCCCTACCTTCGCCAATTCGGCCTAAGATTCGGGAGAGCTGTGTATAATGGGTGAGGACAATGGATGGCCAGGGGTCAGAAGTAGATCCATCCTGGAAAAGATGGTCAGAGATCACTCTTATCATGAAAAATTCGCGTTACCTACTATCGTCGCCGGCGATGTGCCAATGTCTTCATCATGGATAGTGATGGGGTTGCCAGATTTGACTGAGAGCAGTCTATGCAGTAGTTATCAGCGTCATGCTCATTCAGTGAGTACTTGGATACGGTTACCGGTCCAGACTATAAACAGACCACCAGGCTCGTCGCCTGCGGTTTCGATCCGTTTCACTAATACTCGGGTCCGATACTTCTTGGTGCAGACCCAGAGAGATAGCCATGCGAAGGGCAAGACCGATCTGACAATATGAGTCGATTGAGTCAAGGCCCAAAAGGGAGGCTGCACTTACGTAGAGAAACGCTGCATCGCGCCGGTTCAGATTTTGCATATAGTACGCCACATAGCACAGGACCTCGACGAAGAAGATGGAGCCCTCTTCGTGAATATCCGGCAGGAAACGTAGGGCATGTTTGAAGTACTTGAAGCCAGGTGGGCCGTCATCTCCTGACCACTGGTTGACGGAGTACATCAATCCAAACGCGATGACTAGTAATGTCTGGCAATAAATCAAGCATGTTTCGCGATGGGAGAAGTCGGGTGGTTGGTGATAGACAAAGGCTAGACGCTCTTCAAATTCCCTGGGTTTGATCAAGGAAAATATGGTACCGATATAAGAGTACTGGACCCAAAAGAGCCGCTTGGCAAATTCAAAGGGAGGTAGTTGGGGAAGGGCGCTCGCCACTGGACGGCGCAGGGACGAGAGATCGTCGTAGAGCGGACGCACATCCCATGCAAGGTTGGTGGTGGCAGGGTTGAGACGCTTGGCCAAATGGGTGGTGGAGGAAGCTCCCACAAAATCTAGACGCTTTTGATTAACAGACCATTTAGAAAGATGACGCAGAATTCTTACGGTGTTCGCCCGATCGGTTCAAGAGCAGGTTGTCGGTTCCTTTGAACCACCAGTCGTCTCGTTCCAAGGGCACTTCTCTTTCCCGATCTGAGTAACGAGTGGCCGCTGAAGGCGCACTTGACGGAGTCGGAGTCGGAGTCGGGCGATTATACGCAAGATCTTTGGTATCACTGGATCGGCTGTCTTGACGAGGCGAACGGGCCTGCGTTTGTAGATGACGATAGTAGCTGGAAGAATTAGTCTCGAGCCAGCAACTTGTGCCCGATAAGCGCACCTCTCCGTTATTGACACTCGCTTTTCGGCCTCTGAATAGACACAAGCCTGGTCGATGTCTACACAGGCTGCACATGGCAGCGGCGGGTTGCCAGCGCAGCGCGTCTTACGGCTGCGACATCGATTGCACCTGCGACAGTCAGTACCTGTCCACAATGTCCAGGATGTCCAACATGGATGATCCGTACGCTACCATCGACCGCCGAACCATACGGTCCGATCGTGAAACACGTTTACTATGCATCTGGAGAGTTGGGGAAAGGACGTTATTGACTCCACAGCTTATCTTTATCTTTATCTTTATCTTCGGACCGTGGCTTTTCTCTCGGCGCTTCACTGCCGACACTTCGTATCACTCGGATTTCATTAGAACTATACCTAGGTATCTTTTCTATATCCTACATCCTATTTAACTATGAAAAACTACGAAATCAAAAGATAGCCACTCCGTTAGGCGGGCTCGCAACGCCACCGGGAACCTGAGGTTGTCAGCTGGGCCTCGCAACCATTTGAATGGTCGAGGATCACTTACCTTCAATGGTACGCTACTGAAGAAAAAGGTCCAGCGCTTTCTCTGGCGACATTCCTGGCCGAGACGCTCCAAGTCAAACAGCTCGCCGATCGGGAGACCCCATCCTGCCAACAACCATTCGTGCAGGAAAAAGTCCGGATCCTGGCAAGGGTACGCTTCGAAACTCGGCATGTCGCCAGCAACTGCAGCAAACTCATTGTCCCAGATCCATCGCAGCATCTCTTCCGATGATTTGACGCCGATGACGGGGGGTGCCTTGTAGTCCGCCAGCTGCTGACACTCCTCCTGGGAAAGCTTCTCGTATTCTCGAGTCCAGCCCGTTCGAATGAACAGGATGTCGCCCGGTCGGAAGGTCGTGTTCTGACTGGCAGCCACCTGCTGAAGATCGGAGAGTGGGATGGATTGAGTCTGGAAGCAATTGACGGTGACGCCGTTGGCCTCCGCCCACGCGGCGTAGTCCAAAAGTACGCCGCGACCGACGACTCCGCCCTGTTCCACCCACACTGACATGTCTCGTGAGAACCCATCCTCCCGATTCGGAAAGAGAAGGGATCGACTTACTGTGGGTGCCATTTCGAGTGGATGTGTGGATATCCTCGAGAGAACAGCCGTTGAAGTAGGACCCTTCTCGGGAGCCGTAGTGTCGAAACCCGTCCCATTGGGAGCTACTCTGCGTGTTAAAGACAAGGACGTCATCATTCACCGGTCGAGGAGCCTTGTTCTTGACCGTATGCTCAAAAGCCGACCGTCCAAAGCATGGGGTGGCCATGCTGTTGAGGTTCCAATCAGTGGAGACGCGTACTCCTTCCACGATTTCCCGCGCAGCAGCAGTCGTGTTCTCTGGTGTGAGACGATTGAGCATCCCTATCTCATCCTGGTCCCCAAATAGGCCCCAGGCATTGCCCCGTGGACCATCTTGGCGCAGCGGTAACGAGTCAAAGGGCGGAGTTTGTAGAGACATCGTGGCAAAGATCTCGGTATTGTCTTCTCATTAGAACCGCCTGGGCACCTGGATATATATAGCTGCTCTATTCAGCTTCAGGTTTACCTAGGGATAGTTTTACCCCGCATCGTTGACCTCGGGCTACGTCTACGGTACTGCCGATAGAGCCTTGCGATCACCACCTGCGTAGATAGGTGGTCACGGGCGTGAACTCCATACATATATATACTGTATATGAATCCAAGACTCCCGATGCCTGCCCCCGTGACCGCAAGTGTTCCAGAAACATTCTCGGATTCTTTTCAATCAGTGCTCCCGTTCTCGCAAGCCAGCAATGTCTATAGCCTACATTTTGCCCAAAGAACATATGTAGATGTTTCAATCTCCAAGGCTCTAGCCTAGAAGACTTGCGGGGAAGGACCTCGCTGTGAAGTCCGCTCTGTGGCGATCGGCGTCGGGGAATTTCCGACCTCTGAATTTTCTACATATTGTTGTGGTGAAACGCATGAACAATAGATGCAGCTGCAGCCTGAGATGCCATGAATACCTTGGGCGTATGCAATGTTTTCTACATGAAGATAGAGATAGAACAGGCATCTATCCAATTCATGACAATTTTTCACCAAAGTCCTTTTTTCATGGTATGGCACTAAGGGTAATACGCAGTGCCTCTTCCAGACCAACCTCCACTCGCCACATAGAGCCTGGGTGTGGTGGTGTGTGTTCTCCTAGTTGGTGTTGTCCAGTCTGCATTGCCAGACAGGCATCGAGCCATCCCTATTTTATATTGGCGTCCCCGGGAAGGCTCGTTTTGTCAGGGCACATCACTATACGAAGAAACATGCACCTGGAAGGTGGTGATCGCGTTTGACCCTGAAAACTACCATATTGTGTGAGATCTCAAGCAGAGATCTATCACAACCACCAGCGACGAAGGCGATAGAATTTAGCATAGACAACCAAGAGAGGTTAGCTAAGATGCAGTATTCGCCTAAATACACCCAGTTCCTACGGGGCATACTATCCGATTGGTACGCTGGAGATGTAGCTATACTTTGCATACTACTACAGATGCGCGCTATCCAATTGAACGCAAAAGCTAAGCAGGGATGCCTTGGTATCCGATGGCTGTGGCACTCGACAATTTATCTAATACTGATGTAAACAATTTTGCAATATAAATTATAGCAAGAGGAAACGGCGTCGACAAGAAGAATAGAAAAAGGAGAAGAAGATATGTTTGAGAGATATGACAAGAAGTACAGCGAACAAGCCCAACCCTACAGTTCAGCCGAAAGGTCCTCTTCTTTCTGCGAATAAATGACAGAATACGGAGCGCCAGAGCTTATGGCCTCCGATCTGCCACACCCTGAAGGCCTCACATCTTTCACCGATTACCGAGAACCAGCGACAGAAAGGTCCGAATCGGTCCACGGCGATGACAGTAGTGCGGATTCTGAGCATGAGTCGTTACAACCACGACCAGTCGAGCCATTTATACCAAACCAGGCGGCCCCATCCCATACTGGTCAGGCAGTGCCTCTATCCCATGCGATCCAAGTCCCTCATTTCTCTGCATTACCGACTCCAAGGTCCGAGGGGCACCATACTTTGACGAGACCGATGTCTCTGAGTTCTTAGAGAAGCTGCAGGATACGTGTTTCAGATGCAGTGTCAGAAACAATGAGGATGTCATGGGAATACTGCCTCAGTACTGCGCGGGTCATCAACGAAAAAGGGAACCCGTAGGGAGACCCGCCTCTACCTGTCTGTCTGCAAACAGGTCGGCCACTGGGGGTAGTGGGACTATAGGAGGTGAGAACACATAGGGGTGGTTTGGAAGAAAAAGGGTGTCTGTCTTGTTTATCCTGCGCATAGAAAGTCCTATATAGCGCAAACCCTTAGTCATCCGATAGACTGCTCCTTCATGCAGTCAGCAGTCACAATATGTATGACCATCGTCCTGGTGATCAATTAAATAGGCAACCTTCATTTCTTGATTTCCCGGCATACACATATCCTAGTGACTCGCCTAAGGTGCCCAGATGTACGTATACATATTGCCAAGTTTGTAGTGGATCTGGGAGCAGTTACCCGTGCAACAGGTCAGGTCTAGTCTATTTCCAACATGCCAGGTGGGGGTTCCAAGCTTACTCTGGAAGAACCTTAGAAGTTGAGTAATAGCGCGATCGATTTCCGTTCCACTTGGTCATTGGGGGCATAAACGTTTGAATAGGGATTATCAATGATTTTCAGGGGTGCGACTAACTAGGAACCTGAGGTGTCAAGACACCTCGTTTTTCCAGGCAGGAACACGTGAATCACGTCAAACCAAGAAAAAGAAAAAAAGAAATAACCAAATCCAACTTTGGCTGTGCACAATTTTGCAGCCTCAGCCTCGTCCAATCATGGCAGTGGAGACACCATCTCAGCCCCTACGCAAAACGCGGCCGATCGGTCTATTTTCCGCCTCTTCGTCATAGCGGCAGTTGTGGCCCCCTCCCCAGGCGCCACCTGGCAGACGTGTCCTTGGCAATGATCTGAGACGTTGCAACCTTGAATGCAATGCAGACAGGAGACAGAGATGGGGTTCAGGGTTTCCAGGGTTTCAGCTTTGCAGTAAATAGAAAGGGATGTGTCTGGGAAAACCGGGGTCTGGAATGGATCTCAGCTGAGTCGACCAATGTGCAGACGCGTTACGCACTTGACCCGCTGGGTGGCCTCATCATTTGACGAGTAGTGTGGCACATACTGGATCGGAGGCCCGGAGTCCATTTCCCATCCGTAATCCGTACCTGAGCCACCGTGTGATATTGCAAAGACCCCCGAGGACCCTCCTCGACCCGCGGATGTGAAGCAGCGTGGCCGATCAACCCCCTCTAGGAAGCGCGAGCTGACCCCATCACTATGCGCAGGGGGAGGTGGGAATAAACGGCCAGTGAATGTTTCGGACGTGGATCCATCGGTGGATCCCAGCAACCGGCGGATGACGAACGACAGCTCCTAGAAGGCGATGGCAATGGGGCCTGTGATCCACAACTTGGCACTTTTCAGTCCACGTCGTCTACGCCTCCAATCAAAAACTTATACCCAAAAATATCTCGGAGTCCCAAGGCTATGCTCTGGTGCTTCAAGCCTTACTTTCGAACTTCTCTTGCTTCCCTTTGTTCTTGAAGTAGTTCTCTGTTCATTCTCTCGGTATCCGCCGAGCCCATTCTTTCGCCGCCGTCCCCGAATCGATCTACACCGTGTCCAGGAGATCGTGCATTACTCTCCCTAGATGTCCTAGCGAGATAGCCACTGCCTGGAATCCGTCTTCGTCCCTCTTGACCTTTTTTTCTCTTCTCTCGCCTCGTTCGACCCTTTGAGCTCGCGCGATCTTTCACTACAGCCTACCTCACCACCAATTAAGAAAACCCGAAAATCGGGGAGCTAGTGCACAATGGGTACCCCCATGCCAAAGTCTCCCCATTCCCCCCATTCGGCGCCGTCGTCTCATTCTCCCGAGGCTAGCGAGAGCAGCTTGTATTCGCACACCAATCCTCAAGCTGTGAGTAATTGGCCGGCGCTCCCTAGGAACGAAAGGAGGGAGGGAAAACAAAATAGAGAAAAACAGCCCCCCCAAAAGCACCAGACGCTAACTGAACTTGTTCGAATAGCACAATTATGGCCTAGAAGAAAAGTCCGAACAGGCCGAAAGCCAACAATCGCTCCTCTACCGAAACCAACCGAGTCCTTTTAATGCTCCCTTCGACGATCCGTATGCCTCGACGGATTCTTTGCGGCGCTATACTCTCCAAGACCCTGGTGTGGCCATCTTTCCAGAGGGGCCGTACCAGGAATCCTCGGGCACGTTCAACCGTCGCTCGGGGATTCAGTCCCCCATGTCCGAGACACCCTCGGAGGCCTGGCAGAATCGCCAGGTCCCCGGCTCCGGTCTTCGACGCTACGCAACCCGTAAAATCAAGCTGGTGCAGGGCTCCGTGCTGAGCGTGGACTACCCGGTGCCGAGTGCGATTCAAAATGCCATCCAAAAAGAGTATCGGGAATCCGAAGAGGGCTTCCCGGAAGAGTTTACCCATCTGCGCTACACGGCCGCTACGGTCGACCCTGATGAGTTCACGCTGCGAAACGGATATAATTTGCGACCGGCCATGTACAACCGACACACGGAATTGCTCATTGCCATCACCTATTACAACGAAGACAAAGTGCTCACCGCGCGAACTCTGCATGGTATCATGCAGAACATTCGGGACATTGTCAACCTGAAGAAGTCGGAGTTCTGGAACAAGGGTGGACCGGCGTGGCAGAAGATCGTGGTTACTATGGTTTTCGACGGTATCGACCCCTGCGACAAAAATACCCTCGATTTACTGGCAACCGTTGGTATCTATCAGGATGGCATCATGAAGCGGTCTGTGGACGGCAAGGAAACTGTCGCGCATATTTTCGAGTACACCACCCAGCTCTCCGTCACCGCGAGTCAGCAATTGATTCGGCCCCAAGGCACCGAGTCGACAAACCTCCCGCCTGTTCAGATGATTTTCTGCCTAAAGCAGAAGAACAGTAAAAAGATCAACTCCCACCGCTGGCTGTTCAACGGCTTCTGCCGTATCTTAAATCCGGAGGTGGTGATTCTGATCGATGCCGGTACGAAACCCGGCAAAAAGTCTCTTCTTGCCCTGTGGGAATCGTTCTACAATGACAAAAACCTTGGCGGGTCTTGTGGTGAGATTCACGCCATGTTAGGTAAAGGCTGGAAGAATCTGATGAACCCTCTCGTTGCTGCTCAGAACTTCGAGTATAAGATCTCGAATATTCTCGATAAACCGCTAGAGAGTGCTTTCGGATACGTGAGTGTATTGCCTGGTGCTTTCTCGGCTTATCGCTACCGTGCGATTATGGGCCGGCCTCTGGAGCAGTACTTCCACGGTGACCACACCCTCTCGAAGCAGCTCGGCAAGAAGGGTATCGAGGGCATGAACATTTTCAAGAAGAACATGTTCCTTGCCGAAGATCGAATCCTGTGTTTCGAACTAGTGGCAAAGGCTGGTTTCAAGTGGCACTTAACCTACGTCAAGGCGTCTAAGGGTGAGACTGATGTCCCCGAAGGCGCTGCGGAGTTTATCGGCCAGCGACGACGATGGCTCAACGGTTCGTTTGCTGCCAGTTTGTATGCCATGATGCACTTTACTCGGATCTATAAGAGTGGGCATAATATCATTCGTCTGATGTTCCTCCACGTGCAAATGTTGTACAACTTTGCCGGTCTTGTCATGACCTGGTTCTCTCTCGGTACGCACATTCCCCGCTGTTGTCCAACAATGCCATGATCACTGACTCTTGATAGCTTCGTTCTGGCTCACAACCACCGTTATTATGGATCTTGTGGGAACTCCTAGTGCGGCTAACAAAGATAAGGGCTGGCCCTTTGGTAACGATGCCTCCCCCATTGTCAACAACTTCTTGAAGTACGGATACGTCTTCTTCCTGATGCTTCAGTTCATTCTCGCCCTTGGAAACAGACCGAAGGGGTAAGTCACTCATCTCTCGAATCCTCGATTGTCTGGGTGAAAGCACGCAATACTCATCTACTTGATATTATAGTTCCCGCCTGTTTTACACGCTTTCTTTCCTCTATTTCTCCATCGTTCAGGCCTACATTCTCGTCCTCTCGTTCTACCTTGTGAAGAACGCCTTTACCGGAGGTACTCTGGATTTCTCCATGAGTGATGGTATCGGCGCGTTCCTCAAATCCTTCTTTAGTTCGTCTGGCGCCGGTATCGTCCTGATCGCCTTGGTGTCGACCTACGGTGTCTACTTCCTGGCGAGTTTCCTGTATATGGATCCCTGGCACATGTTCACCTCGTCCTGGGCCTACTTCTGTGGAATGACCTGCTCGATCAACGTTCTGATGGTGTACGCTTTCTGCAACTGGCACGATGTCTCGTGGGGAACGAAGGGGTCCGACAAGAGTGAGGCCCTGCCCGAAGCTCAAACGAAGAAGGAAGATGGAAAGTCAAACTTCATCGAGGAAGTCGACAAGCCACAGGCCGACATTGATAGCCAATTCGAGTCGACGGTCAAGCGCGCGCTGGCGCCGTTTGTGGAGCCGGAGGAAGAGGACGAAAGGAGCATGGACGACGCATACAAGGCGTTCCGAACCAACCTGGTCCTGATCTGGATCTTCAGTAACTTGATCTTGGTGCTGTGCATCACCAGCGAAGGCATCACACGATTCTGTCTGACGGTATGCACATCTTCTCCCTATGACGTCACCACCAAACGAGACACTAATCGGACAAATAGAACACTTCGACGACTCGGACAGCGGGCTACTTCGAGGCCATTCTGTGGACCACTGCCGGCCTCTCGATCTTCCGCTTCTTTGGATCCATGTGGTTCCTGGGCAAGTCGGGCATTTTGTGCTGCGTGTCTCGGCGCTAAGCTCTCAGATGTCAGATCTCATGTCTTCATGTCTCCGGTCTCGCGCCCTCCGACCGGTTTGTTTCTGTATATACCATTGTTCAAGCAATTTGGCTTGAGATAATCATGTCTGTTCTTTTTTGGAGGGGGATCGTGTGTTATAGAGGCTTGGATTGATGGTCTCGTCTGATCTCGAGGGTATTCCACGTCTGCATCACTGGAGGGAGGGGGAGCATAGAGTTTCTGTATTTTGTGATCCTGGGTGATCCATGTATGAATCGTAGGAAATGATCGACGTTTTCCAATTTGAACAAGTTCCAGAGCATCGTTGTGTCCATAGGTAGCCCCACCGGGCATGCATGATGCCGTTGAGTCTACTGTACTGTACAGTAGGGGGAGGTTCCCGATCTGCGCCGTTGGCCTGTCACTGGGTCGGACCCAAAGTGGTCCCCTTCCAAAGTGGCTCCATTTCCAGAAACCGGTCTACGTTCTTCCTTTTCATCATCATACAGTACATTGTCCAAGTTTCTCTCGAGTTTGGGTCTTCAACGTGGTTGGAGGATCCTTTTTTGCTCTTCCGCTTCGACTTCCGCTTTTGGTTTCCGCATTTTCACATTCGCCAGGCCTCACAGACCCCACGTCCGAGGTGCCGAGACCATGCAACCGGCATATTTCGGATTTCCATCTGGGCTACAGAGCAACCTCGGAGGACTGCGATCCGTAGTCACCAATCAGGCACGGAGCTGACTTGGAGGTCGCTTCATCCAACCTGGTTCGCGCACACGATGTCCCTGTGTCTAGACTCCGGGCTCGCTTTACCTGCACATCCTGTAATCGTTGCCCCGCATCCCAGACTGCCGATCCCGCATGTCCGGCGGGTCTGTTTAGAACTCGGGGTCGCTACCACTAGTGATTTGCCCATTGTGCCCTCGATGGAACCTTTTTTTAGTGGCCGAGAGAGGGTACAGTACTGTACGGTGTTCCACTCCTAGCGCGGCCATGATGCCATGATGCCAAGCTGAATGGTCTCTGCCTGGTGCTGGTTCCGAGCTCTGAGCCATTTTCAAACGGCCACCTTTCAGTGTCAGACCATCCGAACTATATAAAGGGCTCTTCTAACCCCGACCACGCGGTCTATCTCTTTCAGTTCTTGTTGCAGTGTTCGGTCTCCACACGTTGGACAATCGATTTTCCCCACTTTATCCACTCATGGCGCAGTACATCCCTCAGATCTCTGAAGAATCCCTTCGAGAGAAGGTGGTTCTCATTACCGGTATGTTACTTGCGTGAGGCATTTGCCATCGCGGGCTAACAGACTATATAGGAGGTGCCAACGGAATCGGCGCAAGTCTTGTACAGCATTGCCTGGAGAGCGGTGCCAATGTGTGCTTCGGTGATCTAGACAACATTGCTGGTGAAGGTTTGCTGCGAAAGTGCCAGCAAAGGTTCCAACCGGAGGAGACTGGCCAGCCTGCTCGGGCCATTTTCTTGACGACCGATGTGACCGACTATCAGTCGGTCCTCGCACTCTTCGACCTGGCATTCAACACCTACAAGCGCATCGACCACGTCGTCTCCGCCGCCGGCATCGTAGAGATCGGCAACTGGTTCGACTTCGGACTCACCCTGGAGAGCATTCGCGAGGTAAGCACTGAATCAAGAGATTTGCGCGCATCAACATATTAACCTCGTGAAGACGCCTACACACAAGGTACTGGATGTCAATCTACTCGGCTCCATGTACGTGTCGCGCATCGCCTCCGTGTATCTGCGCCACAATCGCGGCCCAAGGTCCGACCGTTCGATTCTCCTGTTCTCGTGCTCGGCCGGGTTCAAGGAGAGCCCATCCCTGTTTGTCTATCAGGCCTCGAAGCACGGCGTCATCGGCCTTATGCGTTCCCTGCGCAACTACATTTCCTCGCCCTACAAGCACGCCCTGCGCATCAATACCGTTTGTCCTTGGATGACGCAAACTGAAAGCATCAAAAATGTTGAACAGCACTGGAAGAATGCCTGTCTACCGGCCAACACCGTCCGTGAAGTTTCCACCGTGGCGGCCAGTATCCTGGCCGATAAGTCCCTGAACGGCACATCGATGTTTGTCGAGGGCGGCCGCGCGTGGGAAATCGAGGAGAATATCGACAAACTGGAATCTCAGTGGCTCGGCGAAGGACCTTCCAAAACCCTTGCGGCAGGACAAGAGTTACTCGGCGACGGTGCCATTTGGACCGCTCAGCCCCGAAAGAGGACCAGCATCTCGAACGGCATCCCGCCCGGAGTTCCCCTTGCTAAGATCAACGGGATTCACAACGATGCGGATCACGGTCTGACTAATGGTCACAGCAACGGGATTGCCAACGGGGTGCATTAGATTTACAGGAGTCTCGGACCAACTTATCTTGATACCCACGATAATGAATGCAATGCAATACGATACAAAGACCTTGCAGTAGATAAAACCACGATACATCCAACGGAATGGGAGACGTAGAGATTTCAAATATCTTGTAAGCTTTGTTCAAATGTTTTCGGCTTCGTGGACCTAATGATCAGTATTACCTTGATGGATGCAATCGGCTTTCCGAAGAAGTTCCACACGAGCTACGTGCACGGCCGCCCTTTCTCCTGCCTCTATTACTGGACCGTGACGCTCGATGCACATGAAGGGTTTATTTCCTGCAATGTTGCAAGCGGGCCGTGATATGAACAATTGAAAAAGTGGTATAGCCATGCATTGGAGATTGAAAATTCTATATAGTTTAATCTGAGTGGTGAGTAGCACGAAAATAATCTCAACTTCAGCAGATATTAAATTATGGACATTATCTATATGCGAACATTAAATAGCCCATACGGGCAGATATATAACATGAAAACAAACACCAGACATATGCATCGATGACTTCATCACAAGGTGATGAATCTCTATCTTGTTCCCTTCTCCCAAACGCCCGTCAATCCTGCTTCATTTAAAGGATTCACGAGTGTGCACGCGGTCGATATTGTAGGGGTTCGCCTCATAGGTCGGAACGCGTTGCAACTCCGCCGCATGGGTCGACGCGCGCGATAGCGATCGGTGAATCGACTGTACCTCGGATGTGCTCTGCTTTTGCATGGCGGCTTCATCGGGGCCTGTCATATCCTCCGAAAGCACGCGGGTTGCAGCTTGTTCACTCATAGTTGAGTCATCGGCTTCGCAATCCGCTGCAGGAGCACTGGCCCGCAGAAGACTTTGGACGAATGCCTCAGACTGCGCAGAGTACTTGCAGTGTTTCCGAATGGCAAGGCCCTTTTTGTAGAGTATGAATGGGAAAGGCACACAGGCCAACGCCAGAAAAGCCGGCACAGATGACGCCCAGTGGATCCCAAGGTTCTGGAACATGTAGGTGGTGAACAGAGGGAAAGCGAAACCGAACAAAGACCGGAGCAAAGAATTGGCAGCCAGCACAGATGCGGCAAAGATAGTATAGGCGTCAATTAAGTAGTTGAAGACGCTGAGGAAGACCAAGACCATTCCGAAACCGAAAGGCACACCTGCCGCGATACTGGCCATCCAGTGAATGGACGGGGAGTTGGTCCAGGCAAACCAGAAGAGCCCAATAGGCAGAGCGATCGAGGCCAGCATACACGGAGGGAGACGAGATTCCGGCGGCGAATAGCCTCCGTTCTTCGCTAGAAGCTTACCGTAACGAGTGTTCTCGGGAATAGAATAGGCGATTGCGCCCAGCATTCCCACCATAACACCGAGGAAGGCCAGGCCAGAAACACCTTGGTTCCAACCTCGGTGAATCTCGTAGACAATAGGGAATGCACCGAAGAGCATGTAGAGTGTTCCATAGATAATGGCGAGGTAGATAGAAAGCAGCAGCACGATGGGCTCGCAGAAGAGCAGGATAAAAGGCCGCGACATAGATGTCTTGAGGACCTCCTTCATGGCCGGTCGACCCTGATCAAGGTCCAGCTTGCTGATATACAACTTGCCGGTGAGTTTCGAAAGCGTGAGCGCACGCTGGCGAAGAAGAACCGGTGCATAAGTCTCCGGCTTGAATGCAGCGCCGATGAACCACATCACACCACAAAGAATGGTCAACAAGCCCATCACCCACTTCCATCCGGCCCCCATGCCCAAGAAGCCGCCCACGATAGGCCCAATGACCGGACCCAGGAAGGGAGCCAGAGCGAAGGCGGATAGAGCCAGACCTCTCTCACGAGCCGCAAACATATCGGCGATCACACCTCCGGAGTTGGTGAAGGGAGAGGAGCCAAAGGCGCCGGCCAAAAAACGGAAGATCAATAAGGACTGGATGTTTGTTGCGCCGGTTGTAGCGGCGCAGAAGATGGTCAGGCCACAGTAGGTTCCTATGAAGACAATCTGACGACCGAACATTTCACTCATCGGTGCCCAGAGCAAAGGACCCAAGGCAAAGCCCAGCACGTATAGTGAAACACCCAAAGTTGCAACTTCAGTGGTAACGAGGAATTGCTCTTCGATCTGCACAATACCACCTGTATAGGCCGAGGAAACCAGAGCGACCACCAGGGTCTCGAGGGCGGCCACCAAGGTGATAGACCATTTCATAAAAGTACTCAGCTCGAGAGGGTTCCGGAAATCCTTGGGCATCCACTGCACCACGTAAGGATCCTCCTCGGTGCCAGATCCCGCATAGTCATGATCTACCACTTCCTGCGTGACGACACCGGGCTCAGTGACTAATCGCCAGAAGGGAACAGTCCGTGGAAGGTTTGTCGGGGCCTTAGCCTCCACTGAAGGCGCCTCCGTCGACATTTGAGATCGTGGGTGAGCCAAGTTGCACTGGGGCGTATGGGCAGGTTGGCGTATGAGGGTATAAGCCCGTCTAGGTACTCGGGTACTTTGCGAGCGGGGCTAAGGTGATTACTAGGTAGCCGAGTTCGAGAAAGCGTTGACTCTGGTCTGAGCGAGACTGACTGCTTTTGTTTGCCTACGATTTCTCGCGATTACTCAACGGATTGCATTAGCCCCGGGGCATTACTGGTTCGGGGCAGTGATATTTTTCTGATGGTGGGTCGACGCGATGCACTCTGGGGCCAACTTGTTTGTTTTATGCTGAAATAACATTAATCTTCAGTGGATACAGCGTAAGACAGTGGAGTTCACTCGGAATGGCCGAGCGTAAAAATTTGCGATTGGTTTAACAGTACAGGAATTCGGCCCGATTATTGATCGGTGCCCTTTAAAGTGGGCTCGGCCACCGATAAGATCACCCGGAGAGACTCGTTATTGGCCTCGAGTGGCCCCATCGAGTCTTTAAAAGGGGCATTGCTCCGCCCAGCGCGAATTTGCCGAGGTTCAAAGCTCGTAGAGGGAAGTTTTGCTGTGTCTGGCCTGGATGCTAAAGTTACCAAGGTCTTTCGAGCCCACTTTCGCAATGAATCCGAAAGCAATGGATCCGAAAGCAATGGATTCCGTTCTCGGCAATTACGAAGCGAACTGGTCGGCAAATTTTACCGGCCCAAAAGGATGGGCATGTCAAGCTGTGCTGTATCGCGCATAAAAGCGTAGCAGTTGACGTGAACACTAAACAATATCCCGAGACAAATCACTCCACTATCGGGATTCCCCCACCCGGCTGAATCGATACCACCGAGCTTCGAGAACCTAGAGGTGGGTCTCATTATCCATAATTATGTACACTGACAGTTTATTTTTATTTTTTGAGGTCATTAACGCCTCGCGGCACTCTATTCGTAATGTGTCCGAGAGTGTGACTACCTGCATAATCTGCATAACTCCATCAGTGACACTCCCAAGGCTCCCTAATCTCAAGATTGCTTTTCGTTTTTCCACAGTAGGACATTCGTGACTGTGCATCAACATATGAAGATTTACCTGGAATATTTTCCTTCGTAAATTTGAAGAAGAATCGCCCGTAAGCTTGGTAATTAAGACCGTTTTCATCACCTTGGACGGAGCCTGGCCGATGATGCCGGCGCAGCCAGCCTTGGATATGTGTGCGCGCACGATATTGTTTCTCAACACCTTGAAGATATTTACCGTCAGTGCAGCTATCAAAGCGATTCGCTCGCCGTTATGCATGATGAACGCAGGATCACGAATTCAAGATGCTGCTAAGAACTGCGACTATAGGTTCTTCGGCGGCAAGAAACCAGTGTCCTTCAAAAGAAGGGTATGTTACTAAACAGGCAGCGAGGGAAGGAAGTTTTGCTGGTATTGCTTTGATATGCATGTATACGCACTCAGATAGGGCGGCAAGTACTATTGCCCACAAGGCTGTCATCAGCATATAGGCGTTCATTAAATAGACGTCTCTCTCTGTTGTATGGTAGCAAAAGCTCCTTGCCACTTTAGTCCCACTCGAAATTCCATCTTGCTAGGATGCTATAGGTCAACTTATTCCTCCCAGCGATTGCCGTAGCATCCAGCGAACACCCAATGAGCATCCAGCGAGCATCCAGCGAACACCCAGCGAACATCCGGCGGAGAGGCGACTTTCCAACGAACATTGATGGCCAACTTTGCGGGACAGCTTCGCTTGACAGATGCTATTTTCCGATTTCACGCTTCATCCAGTGACTGCCGATAACTCGTGTCCCAGCTCTGGTGAAGATGACTGCTCTATTCGGCGGCAGTCGCCACTTCTCATGTCCTATATGACAGTTGAGCAGCTTCAATCATAGCATCTAGGTAGGCCTGGCCGCGCTACCGAGCCAAGCTTCGAGCCGGCGCCGACAGCTTCGAGCGATTCAGGGTTGGACAATAGGTCACGCCAGCCTGCGTGCTAAGTCAACCCCATATAGGCGAATTATTTCGAACTTTCGTGGCCATGATCTTTTACCATCCTCTCCACGACCGCTCCGCATTTCGACACTGCACTGCGATAATTCACTCCCTCCTTTTACCCGCGATGCTTGAGCTTTTCTCCCGACCTCGGAGGCCCGTAAAAACTGCTCACTTCGAAACGACTTGACGGCACCGGGCTTTCTGTTTAATTGCTTTGTGGCATTTTGTCTCCGATTCGATCCTCTTCCCCCAGTCTTTTGATCTTCTTCTTGGTCAGCCTCATTCTCTCCCTCTTGGTTCACAGCATTTCGACTCTTTTGTGGCTGCTCATGGAGGATGCCACCGTGGACGCAATTCACCATGCCGAGTTGCCCTCGGCAAACTCCAGTCTGATCGAACAGCGGCCCCAGATTATCCCCAAGATTATCCACCAGACCTACAGGCATGAGGCTATTCCCGAGATCTGGGTTGAGGCCCAACAGAGCTGCATTGACCTACACCCGGACTACGAGTATATTGCACATCATTTGTGCAACAAGATGTAAACCGCCACTAAGAACTGTTCCAGCTGTTAGACCTCGTACGAACTTGGTCGTCGCGATGACTGAGCTGTGATTGTTCAGTTGTATCAAGACGGCATTGGACACGATCTCTGCATATTTAACAGCATTTAGTGTATATTAAACTCTGCATGCCTAGCACCTGAACATCTCCGTAGGCCGCACGGGTTTTGGATAGATGGTTCCAATTTTCTACATTTTACCATACAAATTGCTCATTTTCTGCGTACTTGGGGGGTGTATATTGAACATTACGAAAGGCCCTCTCCTGTGCTGCGACAAACAACCATCTTATAATGAATTATTCGTACAAAGTTACAGCACAATTAATATTTAATCATGAGAATCCACGCGTATTTTCGCTGGGAAGGAGTAGGTCATCAATATTCTGCCAATTCACAGCCCATTCCATCGGGTCCCATATTGAAAAGTCGAGGTTAAAATCCGACTCCACCTCTGCCGAAACTTCTGCTTCTCCGGATACTCCGCAATCGCGTTCTGTTCGCGCAGCTGAGTGCCGCTGATTGGCTTTGATAATTCCCCTGGCCGCAACATCGGCGACAAAGTTATTGGCCATAAATGATCCGGCTTTACCTGTAAACGGCATGTCTGTATCCCAGTCTTTATAATCAATCATGTGCTCAATGATTCTGCAGACTCGTACGCATTGAAACCGTCGGTCACTCCCCGTTTCAGACATGTCTTTCATGAGCGCAAAGGTCCGTCTGATGATATTCCTAATACCCGCTTCATCGATGAACTGACTAGGCGCCATTTCAAGGATGCGTAAAAGAAAGAATACCGCGTAGCTTGTAGAGCGGAAGATATGAAATATCCCTTTACTCAGTATATCGGGAAATGTAGTCACCACAATCAGGAGCTGTCTTGCCGTGACACTGCTTTGAGTGATGATTTCATTCACTGGACGAAGGCTTTCTGAGGGCTGATTCTTCCCCTGGTCGAGAACGTAAGAGTACAGGCTAAGCCGCGCGTCAAGGAATGACACCTCATCGGCGGGAGACCATTCGCTAGCATATCTATCTTGTATCATGCCAAGCTCAGTTTCAAACAACCGCACAAACGGAAGGGGATCCGCCGTGAGCCCGGTGGCCGAGGTCTCACATTCTCCTAGGGCAGCCGAAATCTTTGAGGTGACGAGAGCAATATGGAGTTGAATCCTCGTAGTCGCTGGTACCCCAGGCATCGGAACATTTAGGGCTTGAAGGACTGTGTGGTCGATCCTAACGGAGCTTGGTACCCCGAATCTTGCGGTGTGCCTGCAGAATTATCAGCAAATTTCTTAAACAGCTTAGGGGCACCCTACCATTGATCCACGATGAAACAAGACAGCCAGGTTGCTCGCCGAGTTTCCAAGGTTCCGACCTCCGATGACATTGCAGCAAACAAAGGGAATGGATATTGCGGACGGTGTAAACCAAGAGAGCGTGCCATAGAAATAGCGAGTGCGCAGTACATTGACAGCGGCTCCTTATTCATGCTTCCTTGGGGAGAAGACCAAACATATAGTAGAAGTAAAGCTTGGACAAGGTAGATGGACCGAGTGCCAAGGAGGATAATATCTGCTGTCAGTTGCCTTGAAAGGATCTGTAACCGAGTGTTGATAGCTGTATGCTTTTCTGAGTCTTTGCTTGCAATAGCCAATACGCCCCAGAACAACAAGGGTTCTTTCTCGTAGCTGTCGATTACGGTGACTGGGTCAAGCAAAAGCGGGAACTTCGGGTGTAGATGGAAATAGTATCTAATGGTCATAAGCAGGTAGAAAATGAAAAACCCATTGGTTTGCCGTACTCTTCTAGCATTTCCGCCACAACACTGGACGTGAGGTTGATGCCGGTAGCCTCATGGGTAAACAGAACAGATCTCTTCCTGCCGAGGCGCAATTCGGCAGTTACGCTTGCAACGGAAGACTCCGAGCCAGGTAAAGGAATATCCGGCCTTGGTGACGACTCTCTCGGTACAGAACCTGATAGCACGGAATGAGGCGTCGTGTATGCAGTGTCACCTTCACATCCCTGGCGGGTTTTCAGACTATATTCGATTAGAGGGAAGCATGGCATGAAAAGGGAATGCATTGGGTCGGCTTTACCTTCTCTTGAATGTTCTCTTGAACAAAGGGTCAACAGAGCATCGCTCGCCTGCTTTTTCGCAAGCCGAGCAAGGTGCAGGAGATTTTTGACTGGCATTACATTTCACCTGAAGACGGTCGTTAATCTCCAGATTGGCGGCGATGACTAACGATAAGAACTGAAGGGTCCCCTATTCTTACCTTCATCTGACGACATCGCACACAAGGCACACCAGCCCGGCGTGGCTTGATATGAGATCTCGAATTTGCATGCGAACGAGCCACTGTAGATTGAATGTTCTCCATTGCCTCCGGGAGTGTCTGTGCACTATGGTGCCCGTCTCTGCCAACAGATTTCGGATCGAAAGCGAGAAGGCAACACAAGATAGGAAAACGGGAGATTTAGCCGAGAACGTTAACTAACACTCACTAGTTTCCGGTATTGAAATGGTGCTGCCTATTTGAAAGGATGGTTGTTGTCATTTTGGCATTCTGCCTAAGATGACGGTATTTGAAGTTTAGCTTAGTAAGTTTTGGCCAAGGAGAGGGGCTTCCGCAAGGACCGAAGGAATGCAACTATACGGCGTGTTCATATCCATATCAGCAACTTTGCGAACATGAATAAACGAATTTGTTTACGTAAATAAAAGGACGGCGTAGACCATCTGGGTTGAATGCCACCGGGGGCCGTGTCGGGCAGCGGCCAAGCTGGTGGGGAAGCCAACAATTCTGTCTCGGTCAAACGCCGCAAAATGTTTACTGATCGGCTCCTCTTCAGACGCAAGACAGATATGAAGCGGACTGGATGTTGATGCCAATTTTCAACATGCTGGAGTTGATTATCTTCCTTGGCTCCATCGTGGTGGTCATCGCAGGAGCCATGTTATTTGACCAGCTGATCTGCGAGCCGCTTGCCAAGTCCACAAACTTGGGTTGATGTAGTGGCCCCCTTATCAGGGGCTCGCACAAGCGTAGATGAGCGCCTGGTCGCACGCCCGGGATGAACATTGCCTAGGTCCCAGTGGTACCCGTTAGGATCGGGAGTTGGAAGCCCGGCGCCATCATCTTCCTCCATTAGTCCTCCCACCATTCGGATTTCATCAGGGAATAGGAGAAAATCTACACCGGGTCATCATCAGTAATAGGAAGGGGATCATCGTCAGGATCCAGCCCGGCGCTTCCGATTGCAGTGGGAGGATAGAAGCCGCGATCTGTTCCTGCCTCTAGATGATGCCTGCGGGCGCTGAGATTCCCACCGTGCTCAAGGTGCGATGGCTATTGAACAGTGCCGAGTCTTGTTACGAGCCGCGCGGCCCCGGTTTCGTCTGCTGTAATGAGGAGTCGACCAGAGTGCCCTGGTCTACAGGGGAGCTGACAAGGACTACGTCAAAACGAGGAAATCAATCTATCAATAGATCTGGGGCTTGCATTTGAGCTGCTACAAGGGCTTACCATTGGCTGCGTTTTTTATGCCCCAAAAAATAGCAGTGGCTAAACTCGTTCAGCGGCCCATCTGATGTGTCCAGCGAGTTCAAGCCCGCAAGACATTGTCAACTTCAACGCTTGGTTGGGTTTCGGTGGCCCATCGTGGGTTAAACAGCCCTTCAATAGATTCGCCGCGGGTGTTTCAATCAAACCCTATTAAAATTACGAGGATGTGACCTGACTTTCCAGGACAAAGCTTCCGTTCAGCTGCGGCTGCTGCTCGCTCTTCACCGCCCACGCCTTGAGCACGATGTTCAGGATTACTAGGCACATAACGAAGGCCGTGAAGCCCATTGCAACCGTAAAGGTGAACATGGCGTCCAGTTTGTAAAATTCCATGGTCTCGATAACGTTGCGGGTCTGTCCGGTAACAACTGTTAGTCGAAACCATAATCGTGCCCCAAAACAACTTACACTCAGCATGAAGACGACCCCACCAGCGATGAGACAGAAGCCAGACACGATCTCTGTAGGAGGGCGAGAGGGGAGGTAAGAACTTGGCGGGCGCAAGAAAAGGAGGACATAAGTCATTCCACGAGCGAGCGCGAAGCCGACAAGCAAATTACCCCACTGCTTGTGCACCATGGTCGATGTCATGCTATCTTGGTGGTGCGATCCCATCATCGTGCCAAGAAGCAGGATGATCAGAGCCGGCATCGGGTTGAGGGGCACGCCCTGCGACCTGGGAGGCTGCCAGTTTTCGTCGCGAGAGTCATGGGAAGGGAAGCGAAAGAGAGTGCTATTGAGAGCGTCACGAATGCGCTGGGATTCGAGCAGCATGCCAACCAAACCACCACCAAAGAACATGACGGAAATAGAGACATGCTCCATATCAGCCGCAGACCATGCACCACCAGAATTTGACAGGTGCTCCAGGAAAACATTGGTGATACCATACAGCCAGATAACGAACGACTCCACAAACTCACCCGAAGGAACTGTGGCCTTCCAGCCGACGACTGACGCCGGGGGTTTCTTGTTCCAGGCCCAACCTAAGTCCGCCCAGGCTCCAATAAAGCGGCCGAGTGTGAGGATTCCATACCAGAAGAAGATTCCACCTTTGATGAAATGCGCCAGGCCGTTGAAGATGTCCTTGTCCCGGAAAATACCCCCGTAGGTGACCGCGCCGGTCAAAATGGCGACGCAGCCAAACGGCAGGATAATCCGGTCAATCACGTTGTATGCGCCATTGAAAATGCGCAGGACACGGTTTGAGGCCATTCCCGGCACGTGTTTCGAGAGAAAGCGATCGACAACGGAGCTATGGAACCAGCCGCGCAGGCCAGAAGGCATCGGGGACTCCTCTGGCATTTCGAAACACTCCAACTCATCTTGCGATATACAGGATGGTGATCCAAGGCTGTGGATAGATGAGCCAAGGTCGGTTCCCTGACCGCTGTCGCGAGACCAGCCGTACCCATGCATCGCGCCTGTCGGGCAAGCGCTCTCGTGCTCGTTTGTGGTGACAGGCAAGAACGCGGCGCGCTCAAATGAGGTCGACTGCGACTTTGGCATACCACGGCCGGCATACAGGAAGATCAAGGCCAGGATGACCTGAGTGCTGATGACCCATGTCGCGATCCAGCCAATCTTGTGGTGAGCATTGTTCTCGTACAGATCGGGTGTCTGGGTGTTATAGATGGCTCCGAGGACCAGACCGAAGGCATTCAAGACCAGGAACAGGAATTGTGACGGGAGCGCAAGTCGCGAGCGCACAATGCTGAGCATGACCGCTGTCGAGGGTTAATCACGATTCGAATACTTGACCGGAGAATCGCTTACCTGGAGGAAGAACTAAGCACCAGCTCAGGACCATGAGCGCAATGTGCGCCATGATGGTACTGGAGTGCTTGCCACAGGCAAAGTAGCCATCGCAGGGGATGTTCGGCGAGATGAGTGACGTTGAGGAGGATGCGTTGGGGGTTTCGTGCATGTCCATACTCATTCTTATGTCCATGCTTATCGATTCATCGTCACCGTGCGCGATCGCAAGCAACGCGAGGAAAATTGCCGCAAATGCAGCTCGAGTAGCTAACTGTCGCATGAGGCCCAGATGACAATGGCAAAGATCGCGTGAACTATTCTGTGAAGATCACGGTAATTCCGAGAGGACAAATGGAGGCAGAACTCAATCGGCACGAAAGGTCGAAGCTCTCTAGAATTGCGACGTAACGACGCTGTCAGGTCCCGGAAGTAGCAAGGTCTGGCTTTTCAGGATTCTTTTGCCTTTCTTGCTCCAGACCCGGATATTTGGATATGCTTCAACCAAGGTCGAGCTCATGCGACTACCCAGACTGGCGGTGTTGGTGGGAAGGTGGACTGGACTGGAATTGTATAGGTCTGAGAGGCAAGTCTTATACCGGAAGGCAGAGAGATGCTGAGGTATAAGAGGGTCGGGAGTCCAGCGGGGCGTAAGGAGCGAAGCACCGAATTAATGCAAGCTACTAGATCAAAAATACAATTAAACCCAAAAAAGAAAGATTTGCCGGAACCGATTTCTAATGATCCGCACAGGGAGGGATTAAGACAAGCGCCGTGCGTGGCAACACAATGGTCCAGAGCTCAGCTTGGTTATATGTGACGCTATAACTTCGCTCCAAGCAGCGAAATCTCGCCCAAACAGCGAATGCGGCACAGCCGGGTTACGGCAGTGAGCTGGTTGCTCGTGGGCATGACCAATGAGAAAGACCTCGTGGCAAAACGAATACTATATACGTTGTAGCCTGGCAAGGGCCTAATTACGTAGCACGTTTCTTCGAGATGACTTGGACCCTGATCGCCTCCTACGTCTAAGAGAAGGGGAAAGTATAAGAAGAAGAGATGGAAGACAAGAAACTAGAGAAATCACTCAAAAACAACAGGTAATTCACGACCAAGCCATCAGGCTTTCCTTACAGTCTACGGTTTTCTTTTCACTCATAACTCGCCATGAAACTACATTCCTCCGCCTATACCGGCCCACTTTTGGCCGCTCTGCTGTATTCCGGTGAAGCGTCTGCGGCGTACAGCACCGCTAACAGCTCCATACTGCTGTTAAGCAATGACTCAACAATGAACTTCGACTTGCTGACTCCTCTCGGCGAGTCCATCACCGCAGGAGGCGACGTCGGGCCTATTCTTGGTGCAGCCAAAGATATCAAAGCCGGAAACATGACGTCATTCAGCGAGGTCTTCTATAAGCTCGCCAACGACACCAAGGCTCAGGCTGAAGACCCAGAGAATGCCTACGACCCTCTTAATGTCAGGGACACGTGGTTCTCTGTGGCGTCGTATTTCCGCAAGGCTGACGGCTACCTCCACCGCAATTGGAGCAATCCGCTCATCAACAGCCTGTGGGCTGAGCAGACTGAGGCGTTCAACAAGGGGATAGCTGCTTTGCCTATTCCTGGCAAGCGCATCCGCATTCCAGCTACCAAGGGCAACTTCACTGTCGACGCCATCTGGTACTCTGCTTCCGAGAGCAAGCACGACAAGCTGCCGACGTTGATCATCGGGAACGGCTTCGACGCTGCGCAGGAGGACTCCTACCATAACTTCGTCGCGCCCGCCCTGGACCGAGGATGGAATTGTATCACCTACGAAGGCCCGGGCCAACCGACTGTGCGCCGTGACCAGAGCCTTGGTTTCATCCCCGACTGGGAGAAGGTCGCCATCCCCGTCGTGGATTACGTTCTCTCAGAGAAGAAGCACGTCGTCGACGAGAACCGTCTTGTCCTCGTCGGCAACTCATTCGGCGGCTACCTGGCTGCCCGTGCCGCAGCCTTCGAGCCCCGCCTGTCCGCAGCGGTCTTCATCGACGGCGTCTGGGACAACTACGTTGCATACAAAAGGGAGCTATCGTCTGAAATGCTCGAAATTTACGAGGCGGGCAACTACACGCAATTCGACGACATTGTCCTCTCAGCTCGGGAGGCCGGGAAACTCCCCACTGGCGCCGCCTGGGGCATCGACCAAGGGCTGTGGGCGTTCCACACGCACTCGCCCTCTGACTTCTTCACCCAGATCAAGCAGTACAACGTGAAGACTTTCATTGACAAGATCAAGATGCCTGTGTTTGTCGGTGATGCCGAGCTGGAGAGTAGCTATGTTGGACAGCCGAAGCAGGTGGCGGACGCGCTAGGCCACTGGGCTACTCTGCATACTTTCAAGGGGGTTGCTGGATTTCATTGCCAGACTGGTGCTGGGCAGGAGCTTTCGAGGACGATCCATGCGTGGTTGAACAAGACTTTGGGCAATGCGGGCTATGGCCACTGAGATTAGTGCTCAGTATGATGAAGATGCTATCTTACGACATCAATATCAGACACCTTACATAAAAGTGCATATTGATCATTGTCAGCATGTCCTTCAAAATTGTCAATTTCCATAGTTTTAGTTAGCGAGTTTGATATTACCATTCCGGTTCATTTTGGTTCCCATACAATAGTGGTCACTGATTTCTGTCTCCCCGGAGTTTTTGATAGCACCCAAATCCCATAGCGTATTGGACACTTTGCCGCGCGGTCTGACATATTTGGCCCAACAGCCGGGCGTATTCGCGCAGCCTCCCGGTTCCCGCCAACCTCCTATATCATCAATCATTTCCGAGCTCCATCTCTGCTTCATCCACTTCAATTTCGGAAATCTCGGCGCTGCTTCAGGCAATGTTCGGCTGGCTATCCAGTGCAAAGTGTGGATACGTGGGCAAGGCGGAATGAGAGGCAAATAGCAAGAAGCTCGTTTTCATCCTTTGCCCAGAGAGGCAGCGATATTTGGCTTCTATATGGTATTGCATGGCATGGGCGAGCCCCCCCCCCCCCCCCCCCCCCCCCAATCTTTACTCTTTTTGCGGTCTCCTACCGGATAATAGTATTTAGAAGACGTAGATGATTATAATCTAAAGTGTATTCAAAATTTTCTGTTTTGTTGTTCTTGCAGGAAAAAAGGTTCAGCGTCGTACTAATTACAGACTCTTCTCAATGCCTGCCACTTCAGCCATCACTTCTCGAACAGATCTTTTGACTGACTCGCCAACACCCTCATACGGATGACGAGGTAGCAACTTCTCCTCGGCTCCCTGGATCCCCGCCGATGGGGCCGAATAGCAGGCAACTGCATACTTGGTTGAAGCGATGCCGCTCTTGATGGGGCTCTCGGCTAGGGCTGCTTTCTGCTGGAGATGCAGTGCTTCTTCCAATTGACCCTTCTGATACAGCGCATAGATCCGTGATGCAGTCTTAGGGAACACGTTGGCAAAGGCTGCGATACATCCCACGCTACCAGCAGCTAAGCCACCGACGAGAAAATCAGATTGTCCGCCAAATGTCGCAAATTCTTGCGGGGTAAATGTTGCCCCCAGGCGTGTGATCTTGCCGACTGAGCCGCACGTCAGCTTCACGCCGACCACGTTTGACCGGCCATTGGGTTGAGAGGCGGCTGATTCCCGCACGATCGTAGCGATAGTCTCTGAGTCCATATCAACTCCATTACACACACCTGGGAAGTTATATACCACCACGGGCAGCGGAGCTTTAGCTGCAACCTCTGAGAAGAAGCGTTTCACCACGGCCATACTCGTGGCTTTGCCAAAGTATGCCGGAGGAAGGACGAGCAAATAGTTGGCACCGGCTGCAGCAGCATCCCGGGCGAACTCAAGGGTCTGTTTGGTTGAGTGTGCCCCGACACCCGCCATGAGGGGAAAGTTGGGGCCGACTGCGGCACGTGCGGTTGAGATGAGCTGAGAGCGCTCTTCGCGAGTCAGTAGGAATGCCTCAGAGTTGGTTCCCAGAATCACTAGACCGGCCAGTCCAGTCTGCGAGAGGTAGCGAAAATATTGCGACTGCGACTCGAGATCTAAGCTGTCCGTCTCATGATGAAAAAGAGTGACGGCAGGACACCACACTCCTGCCGGAGGAACATGTGGTTGAGCTGAGACTGTGTGAGATCCCATTGTAGAATTTCAAGATAGATAACGATTGTGAGAACACTGGAAAGTGATCGCTACCTCTTTAAATCCCCTCCATAGACCCCGCGGAACGGAGGGGGAGGGGTAGCTCGGTGACATCTTAGTGGTTTGACTATGGTTGCTATTATCTCGGGTCGGGCTCCCGATCATCCACGAGAGTGGAGCTACCACGACATTCGGTCAGACAACCCGATGGTTCTACATGCTTGATAAAGCTAGAAATGACCGACAACTTCGGAGAAGTCCCGATAATGCCAGTCTGATTCGTGACAATAGCACAGTCGACATACCGAATGTATACTTCGGCCTAGCTTCCGAGATTTCGGACTCTTCCTCCGATCTCCTCCAACCAAAGCGACCTTGAGGATTTGGTGTTAAACCCATCGATAAGAACGAAGATACAATAAACGATGCTGTACTATCGTCAGGTTTCGAGAATCACTCCCAATACTCGCAGAATGGCTGCTAGCACGATGCCGACGGCATCAAGCACAGAGTCCCGTTTTGATCAAGCACGCTTCATACCCGCGGATGCGATCTTTGCGCTGACAGCTCAGTATCAAGAGGATTTGTCTCCGCAAAAAGTGAACCTGGGACAAGGAACTTATCGCGACGCCGACGGACGACCGTGGGTTCTCCCCTCCGTCAAGAAAGCCCGCGAGAGTCTCTTCGAACAAGGGTTGAACCATGAATACCTTCCCATTGTGGGCCTTTTGAAGTTTCAGCAGGCGACAGCTAGGCTTGTCTTGGGTGCAGAGCTTTCAGCGGAACTCGGAAATAAGGTACTGAACAAAACTATCCTGATCCTAGAATTTGACACGCAGTCAAAATGTCAATGAACTAATCACTTCTGAAACACGTCCAGGTAGCAACATGTCAGAGCCTATCGGGCACTGGCGCATTACATCTTGCCGGTCTCTTATTGAGGGCTTGTCAGAAAAGCCCCCCGAAGGTGTACATACCGGAGCCTACGTGGTCCAACCATCATCAGGTGTTTGGCTCTCTAGGATTCCCCTGTGAAAGTTTCAAGTACTATGACCATGAAAGAAACGACATGGATATTGAATCATACTACTCCACACTAGAGCGGGCAGAGCCAAACTCCGTGGTCATTCTCCACGCCTGTGCCCACAATCCGACTGGCCTTGATCCGAGTGAAGAACATTGGCGCCAAATCGCGCATCTTATGAAGGCAAGAAATCTATTCCCGCTTTTCGATGCGGCGTATTTGGGATTCAACTCTGGAAATCTCGACGAGGATGCGTTTGCAATTCGTCTTTTCATCGGGGAAATGAACATGGAGGCCGGGATTTGTGTGTCCTTTGCAAAGAACATGGGACTCTACGGTGCGTTGCAGAGATTCTATGAGATATGCCCTTCATAATAGACGAAAGACTAAGCCCTGATAATAGGCGAGAGAGTCGGGTGCTTTCTTCTTGCCAATAAATCGAAGCAGATAGCCGTGAACACCCAGTCTATGCTTGAGATGCTGCAACGATCCGAAGTGTCGAACCCACCGGCTTTCGGAGCAAGGATTGCAAGCCAGATTCTAGGACGGGATGATTTGAAGAAGATGTGGTACGCTGACATGATCACTATGAGTGACCGAATCCGGTCGATGAGGAACGCTCTCTACGACCATTTAGTCTCTCTCGGTGAGTGTGACTGCCTCAAGAAATCGATATTTGCTTACACAATACAGGGGCCCCTGGTGCTTGGGAGCATTTGATTCGACAATCCGGGATGTTTGGATTCTTGGGCTTGTCCCTCGAGATTGTTCTGAGACTGAGAGGTCTGTCTTCAATTGTCCAAAAGCATTAGATTATACTGACATGGCGCGTGAAAGAAAAATATCATATTTATATGGCGGATAATTCTCGAATTTCGATCGCAGGCCTGAACGAGGGAAATGTGGAATATGTTGCTCGCTCGATTGCCCAGTGCCTGCAGGATGTAAAGAAGTGACGCCTTTTGAGGTCGACGGGCTCGATATGAGATTTTGCTCTCATAACCAATTCAACCAATAGAGCGAGGAACAAACATCATCCAATCATATGTAATCGATATGGTGTTGGCTGTGAGTCATCAGACTAGCTCCTCCGAGTCATGGAGGCTCGAATGCCTCAGTAAACCAACATCTTGCGTGATTGTATCACCCGAGCCGCACTCGTGTAGATCTATCTCTACGGCAAACACTTACCGGAGGCAGCGCGATCGCTATGACGCCTCCTAAAATAATGATTGAACCACACACAGCACATATGTGCGAATGTGCAGAGCTGCTTCACATGCGTCGCCAAGCGGAGGTCTGCAAAGAGCTCTATCCCGACCATGAGATTCTTATCCAGTCTGTGCCCAAGGGTGGAATCACCATACGAACGCTCCCAGCTTTTGGAGGCAAATTGAACCGAGTGGTTGGGTGCGGGGAGGAGGGTGCGTTAGCCGATGCTGACTTGAAAGAACTTGAGTCCGTCTTCGCAATAGTCGGACTCAAACCCGAGATCCATCTGAGTCCGTTTGCACAACCGTCCGTTTCCGAATTCCTAGTCTCTCGCGGATACGTTGAAACGGCCACACTGGTGACCCACTGGTGTGACTTGAAGCAAGCCATGTTTGCAGACATGGCACCCTGCTCTACCGGTCCTACCGTGTTGGTGCGACGGGCCACAGCCGACGAGGCAGGAAGGTTCATCGAAGCCTCCGCTGCGGGCTTTCAGACCAATGGCCGCACCCATGAGCTGCTCCGGGCGCTGGCATCGATCGCAACCCGGAGAAAGGACAGCACCCTGTACTTCGCGTTTGTGAATGATGAAATCGCAGGCACGGCTGCGATGGCGACGATGGCGACGGCAGAGGGGCAAGTGGCCCACCTGTATTTAGATAGCACTCTGATGGGACATCGGGGACAAGGAGTACAGCTGGCACTCATCCGGGCCCGTCTGCTCGACGCAGTGCGACATGGACTCGACGTGGCTAGCTCGATCACTCGGGTTGGACACGGCAGCGCCCGCAACGCGAGGAGGGCCGGGTTGAGGCTCGCATACACCACGCGGATTTTCAATCAACTGCGGGGATAAAGTTAGTTAGGTTGGGAAAGTCCCAAAGAGAGTTCCGGACCCTTCCGAGACGACGATCGATTGCATCGATGGCATCGATGTTTCATGCATCTTCGGGATTGAATGGGATAATCAGTGTTGTGACTGTGATGGGAAGGAAAGTCGTAACAATTGTACATTTAGACCTTGGTTTCTTGATCCGAGCAATTAAGGCACCGCGCAGTGAAGCCGAGGTCGTGCCTTGGAGACCGTGCCTGGGCAGCCACCTTGTCCTGCCTCGCGATTCCTCAATGCGAGTCCACTTTCGGTGATCTAGACGTTTGGATTTAGACTTCCATGCGTCCATAGCCCGACGCGGTACCCCAAAGCCACCAGCCACCAAGTCAAACCAGGCGAGCGACACGAGAATTCAAGGGGGAGCCGCCACAGCCGGTAAGACGAATCACACGCGGCAACCATGTCTGTACATCTTGGCGCGGCCCGTTCGACTACCGATGGCGCTGGTGGCGGTCTAGCAACCCCTGGAAACGAGCAGATTAACTTTTTCGAACTGGGCTGTTCGAGGCCCGTGGAGAACAAGTGAGATTGGAAGACGGGATGATGAGACAAAAGTCGTGGAGCCAAGAAGGGAGCCAAGAAGTCGTGTACGCAGATAGGGAGATAAGGATAGAGGGGCGATATGCGGTATGAGATAGGAGATCTCTCCCATTAGAGATGGGATGAGATAACAGTCATCTGTTTGCGGTGAGCACGTGACCAGGCCACCTCGCAAAGCCTCTCGGATCGCCCGGCGCAGGGTTTGGACTACGCTTGTGGCGTGATGCTTGTCTGTCTCTATCTACTCGTCATCCTGCATCTTCTATCCTACAGTCCATGCTCTATCTTCCATCCGATACATGTCTTTCCCCGTCCCCCTTTCCATCCATTTCCCCCGCAATCACCAGACGCGGGGGAAATGCTCCATAGCAATGCCGTAGACCCTCGAACGGACCAATGCGGCATTTCTTTTACCTAAGGACCCGAACCTTCTTATCGGGGCGCGGGTCAACTGGGTCAACCGGGCGTCGCAGGATGCACTCAGGACGCAGTCAGGGTGCACAGAGTGGGTGGCTCTGATGCATTCGGGCATCTCGTTGGGCGGTTCTCAAAGTGGAGCAGCGTCGTACTCCACGTGTTGGAGACGCCTCTTTAGTCAACGAATTACGAATTCACCCATTTGGCATCGATCTGCCCGGTTCGCCCTGTTGCCTCTGATAACGCCGGATCAAGAAGGTGTTCGCACTTTCCTTTATAGTTCAGATGATCCCATACTCTTCCTCCCCCTCCTCCTTCTCTGCCCTTCTCTAACCCCCATTCCCCTTCCACCCCCGTCTCATCATGGGCTACGAAGACCTCTCTCACAGCCCCGATGCCGAAAGCGGCAAGATCATCGAGGCGGATGGCGAGAAGGTGTACGCCGCACCTCCGGCGTTCGAAGGCGACATGCTGGGCGAGATGAGTGAGACCGAGCGCGCTGTGTACGATCACGGAATCAAGAGGTTTAGTCGTCTGGGATGGAAGCGACTCACCGTTGTGCTCATCGTGGAGGCCATCGCGCTGGGCAGTCTGTCCATTCCCTCCACCTTCGCCACTCTGGGCATGGTTGCCGGCGTCATTTGCAGCGTGGGGCTCGGTCTGATCGCCATCTATACAAGCTACATCGTCGGGCAGGTCAAGCTCGCCTTCCCGCAGGTTGCCAACTACGCCGATGCCGGTCGCCTGATGGGAGACCGCACTGCCGCCTTACTGATCCGCATAATCAAACCCATCTTCCCCCGAGTCGCCAACTTCGCTGAGCGGGGTCGCGTGATTGGAGGCCACTGTGGATATGAGCTGGTCAATTTGATGCTGGCCCTGCAACTGATCTTGTTAACCGGTTCTCATTGTCTGACGGGAACCATTGCCTTCATGAACATCACTGAGAGTAACGTCTGTTCCGTGGTCTTTGCCGTGGTATCCGCCATCATCTTATTACTCTTGGCCATTCCTCCCAGTTTCACCGAAGTCGCCATTCTGGGCTACGTCGACTTCGCATCCATCATCATCGCCATTGGTATCACCATCATTGGGACTGGTGTCTCCTCCACCAACGCACCCGGAGGACTCGCCGCCGTGCCGTGGTCCGCATGGCCCAAGGACAACCTGACCTTCACCGATGCCTTTATTGCCGTGTCCAACATTATTTTCGCCTACAGCTTTGCTATGTGCCAATTCTCCTTCATGGACGAAATGCACACCCCGAGAGACTTTGTCAAGTCGATCTGGGCCCTGGGCCTCACGGAAATCTTCGTGTACACTGTGACCGGTGCCCTGGTCTACGCCTTCGTGGGCCAGGATGTGTCGAGCCCGGCCTTGACATCGGCGGGTACCTTGTTGAGTCGGGTTGCGTACGGGGTGGCCCTCCCAGTCATCTTCATCAGTGGGTCGATCAACACGGTGGTGTTTGGTCGCCTGATTCACGGTCGCATCTTTGCCAACTCCCCGATCCGGTTTATCAACACTACAATGGGTTGGGTGACCTGGATTGCGGTTATTACGGGCGCCACGGTCATCGCCTTCGTGATCGCCGAAGTCATTCCTTTCTTCTCTGATTTGCTGTCGATTTCGTCGGCACTCTTTATCTCTGGCTTCACTTTCTACTTCCCCGCGGTGATGTGGTTTTTGTTGATCCGCAAAGGCAGCTGGCTCGAGCCCATGAACCTCCTGTTGACCGTGATCAACGCCTTCATCTTTATTATTGGCATGATCACTCTGGTCGGAGGAACCTATTCTAGTATTGATGACATTGTAAGACTTATCTTGGTGACGTGTGCAGAGACCGATTGCTAACCATGCCCTTTTTTTATAGATCAACAACTACAAGACTGGCTCCGTGCGCGGCGTCTTCACGTGTGCGGCGCCGGAGTAATCGCTCAACCCATCTGGGCGTGCGCCGGCGGTCCTAGAGAAATCGCAAGCTGACATGCGGCCGACCATAAACAGTGGATCCATCCATATGACGCAGGACGTGATATAGAGGCTGCATTGCATTGTCAACATAGATATACCCCACGCTGGCCATGGTCCTGCGGACTTTGTATATATAGCATTCTGTTTACTTATGTATACTTTTTTCAAGCAACTATGGTCTTTTTCTCAATGTAGATTTCCGCGATTTGCGCTTCCCGCAGCTTCACAAGCATCTTTCTCTGAGTGCCTAACAATCTTTTCACGGGGTTCGAAGTCGACGCAGCTCGCATGGCCTGATCATGTCTGGGGGCATTCTGTCCCCGTGGGTGTGAACGGCACCTAGACTATCTATGGCGACCCAGCCCATCACTTTGGAAGCATGAAACACCCCCGCCCACGTGGACGTGCGATCAGCGCTGGTCGGTGTCGCATAGAATCGTCCAGGATCACTCAGGATCGAGCACGCCCGAGGATGTAAGGGCTATTATTGGAGAAGTCACGCGCAGGGGTGATATCTGTCAGTTTCATTCGACAGAGCTATACAACCCGCACTAGGACCCGGACCGTTCCAATTTCATGATAAGCAGTGTTAGTGTCCCGATTACCGGCAACCCCGACCTCCGCGCCTCGTGCCTATCCCGCCCCTTTGCACAGTCACGAGAACAAAATCACGCCAAATCCACGGCCCGCGAGTATATGTGCACGCAGTCGGGCTGGAAGAAACGATACCTCTGCCCAGAGCATCTGTCACGTCATTGATTCAAACGTGAGTATGCACTAGAGAACGTTTCAGCTTCTGCCTTGACAGAGACTGGAACTTGGTAGATCGACCCTAACAAATCTATCAATGTAAGCCGAGCCCGAAACGATTTGTTCGATATGACTTGTTGCGACGGCATCAGAAACAGCATGAGCGGGGGATGTGGTTTCGAAAGTCTGGTGGCATCATATCTTCCCCAACAGACGAAACGCCGAATCACCGGTCCCCTGAGCATCAGGCTTCGGAGCTACCGTCAACAACTAATGCAAATACCAGTAATGTTCCGCATACCCCAGCTTCTCATCAAAGCTCCGATGAAGGTTGTGAGAGTCAAAATCACGGACAGATCGGATCTTCTGCCGACACCAACTACCCGGTGGATTCTTTGCGTAGCGCCGTTGACAGTGCACTGAAACAAAACGTGACATCTTTATTTTTAATTCCATCTTTTAGTGCCCCCAATCTATCACTGGACTTGAAATGGCCATTTGAAAACGTCCTATCTAGCTCCACTTTCAAGATCTACCGGAAGTCATATCACTAGTGAGAAGCTAGAGGCGAAGCGTACCCCCAATCACTGTCTGCTGTTTATTCAAGAGATCTTTTCACTGGCAAGCAATATCACGCATCGCAGGGTATTCTCTCCCTTCGACCTTGGTCTCTGTATCATGCCGCACTGATCCTGTGGGCTTACGGCTTTATGGCGAGTCGACGAGCATCGAATACGAGGATTTTCCCTTCATGTGCTGCAGAGGAATACTTCGTACGTGTTTTGATGATACTGCAAAATGACCAAGATAGAGCTCTGAATTGCTCAGAGCAGTTCAAGCGACTCTAGAGGGCTGCCGGTGGGAGCTATTACAAGAGGCATATGAGACACTTGGAAAGATAACTATGGCAAGCAGAATTATTGACAATAAGCTTTCTGTAGGACCTTCTGGTTAGCGAACCATTGAAGCCCCCTCGTGGCGGTTATACTTTGTACAGATGCACCCCCCATCGGTCATAAGACCAGCTGCCAAGCCATTCTCCATTGTTTCAATTTAACTCAAGCTTGTTGGGTATTTTTTTTTCTTTTGAAAATAAGATTTATGTTGAGTAAATCTGTCTATTTCATTCTATTATGTCCTTTGTCTCCGTCTCCTTTGACTGAGCGAGATCCAGGTCAATAAGCGAGTCTTGGACCCGTTTGTAGATCAAAACCAGCACAAGAACCATTGATCCAGCCAACAAACTCCAATAACTGCCAAACATCGCCCGATAGCTGGTCTTTTTCACATCCAGACTGAATACTATGGCGGCCCCCATAGCCCCAAAGACTTTATAAAATGCAGAATAGATGGACAGAACCAGTGGGTCGTTGGAGAGAGTTCCCATGATCCACCAGGCAAATGTTTGCCAGGCGCCATCCACTGCACCATAGAATGTATACAAGACAATGTACCCAGCAGCTTCGGAGTCGTTAACATCTATGAGGGGTGAAGGGGGCTCGCCACGCTGAGATCGACGCGCAGGAAACACGCCTCCAATGAAAACAGCGTTAATCAAAATGAACAAAAAGCCCCAGCCAATGAAGGCACGCCGACGTCGATTCCCAAGTGCCTTCAAGTCAAGCAAAGCCCCAACCACGACCGCCATGGAGAATTGTCCAAAGTCGAACCAAAGGCTACCGAAAGCCCGTGTTCGCAGGTCAAAGAAGTAAGCGTTGAAGTCGTTGCTTTGATATGGAATATACCACAGCCCAGCAAAGCTGTAAGGGAAGAATAACATGATCCAAGGTTCCTTTCTAACCACAAGAACAACGTTCTTGAGCTCCTGTATGAAGGTAGTCTGACGAGGGACCACAACTCTGCTACCGTCAGCGCGGATGACTTTGGATGGATTGGACACAAAACAGGCCAATACGCTGCCCATCAACATTAAAGCAAAGAGGGCGATGTAGGTGCTATCATTAACACTACCAGCTGTTGTGACCCCCCAGTTTTCCACGGTCGGAATGATGGCACCAATGACGGTGCCAAAGAACGAGATCCCGTAGAATATCCCCACATACCGACCCTTCTCATGTTCCATTGGCAAAGACATGATCATCGATCCTTCTGCAGTCCTATAAAACAGTTCGAAAGGATGAGAAACAAGATGGGCATTAAGCGTCACGCGATTGGAACGACACTACTTACCAAAGAAACGCGGCTGCCACTCCACACATTGCCCCTCCAAAGTACACAAACGCCTCGTTCTTGTTATTGTTGTAGCTCCAGTAGGAGGCAGATAAAAGCGAATATCCAATTCCACCCGTCGCAAGAGTCACCTTAGGGCCAAGATAGTTGCAGACTGAGCCCGAAAATAACGCGAAGGCACAAAATAAGCTATACAGGATGGTGTTGGCATTGTTACTCGTAGTAGGATCGACCTGACCACCACCTCCGAGGGCAGAGAGAACGTTGAACATTCCTACCACAAGAAGATGCACGAAAGAAATCATGATGCACTGCGTAATGGGGGCTCGATACGCCGGTAAAGTGAACAGCCCGGCTACTTTGTATCCTCGAGGAGGTGCATGATAGATCTCTATGTCGCCGACCGTACTCTTCGTTTTGTCATGAACTTCTTTGGCAGATTCTTCCATATCAGCTTGGTCCCCTGAGTCGTGCTTGTTGTGATGTTGTTAAGGGGAAGGGATGTGAAGAGCACATGGGCAGATGATGAAAACAGACAAGCGGAAAATCTTCCACTTTGACGATAGATACTATCAATTTCTCTTCCTCTACTCCCTTTCTATTCGCTAGACTTCCTATCATGCTAAGATTCCTCAGATAAGCGGGGAAGGCTCAGAGCGGAGCTTATCTTGCGAATCCGAGGTGCTACGTGGGATGACTTCTTAATCTTGCGTGGGATGCTCCCACTCAATTCCCTGCATTTCTCTTTATTTCCTACTCATTGTACTCTGGGTAAGGCATAAATGTCACAATTTCAGGTTTCACCCTGGAAATTCTCAATGTTTATCCGAACGATCCCCAGATGAACGACCTCACGTTGGAAACATCATAGATGTTCGGAAAATTTCCTTCGCATTCCAAGGCGACTACGACGAGTGCGCCCCGATCAAGACCACATTCGTTAAAATCCGATGCCCGCATGTTATGTAACGGTTCGCCATTCTTGACGAGATGACAGGTTCGAGTTTTGTGGGTTCTACGAAGAGGATACAGAAAGTCCCTCTGGCCTGGCTAAAAGACTCATGACTCACTCGCTTCATCACAAAGAATGCTCTACCGAGTGCTCTACTAAATACCAACTCCGGAGAAACCACCTTTTCTGTACTTGGCTGCTGTGATCTTCAAATTTCATCGAAGAATTTTGAAGTCACAGAGGCGTTCTACAAGTCTGCAAGCTCAAGGCGGTGGGTGGATGTGTAATTCAAAACAAACACATGCACACCCCGTAATTGTTATCTAAATTCAAGAGAAAAGGCTATCGAGATTTCATTTTGGTTAACATTTCAATTTTGACTCATCTGACTACAGCGTTGAGTAGGTGAGAGAGGGCCACACATCACGGAGAGAAGCCCCGATAGGGAAGTCTTCCAGTCATCTGGTGGATTTAACTAGAAGAGAGCATCGATTTTCCTGATTTATTGTTAAGATATAGACTTATTTACCCTGCAAACTCATGTTTTGGTTTGCCATGAGCATCAGTTGGTTTGTATCGAAACATATGGCCACCTTCATCTTGAGGGTCTGGGTTTGGGCGTCGATCCTTGCCACTAGCCATGTAAATGATATCGAAGTTCTTGCCACCCCAAGTAGTACAGGCCGGGTTCCTGGCAGAGAAAATAATATCCTTCAAATGGCGAGCTTCCGGGCTAAAAACCATTACCCGGTTGGAGTCAAACATGGCTATCCACAAATTCCCATTGGTACTGTATTCTTTAGCAAAAGTTTAACGTCATACGGTAGATGAAAGGCTACTTACTCGACAACCATCCCATCTGGTTCACCAAAAGAGGAACGACGATCAATGAGTAGCCGCTTGTTAGAGATGTCTCCAGACTCCAGATCAAAATCGTAAGCCCAAACGACCATAGCTACCGAATCATGGAAATACACTGTTAATGAATTGTCAGTTCGTTAGAGAAGTACTTGAAGATTCCTCAATGAGATAAAAATCTCCACTTACTTGTTTTGTTGTCCGGGCTCCAACCAAGTCCATTTCCACAAACAACACCTTTTTCGATCACTAGGTGCAGGCTACCGTCGGGGTCAAATCTCCAGAGACGGCCCCGTGGGGTTCCGTAGCTTTCTGGCAATTTATTGGGGCCAAATGCCATAGCCTTTTTGTCGATTTCTGCAAGCCAGAACCTTCCCTTAGCATCGATGCCACCATCGTTGAATCGCAACACGTCTCGTTGACTTGTTGGGATGATCTCCTTTACGATATCCATTTTCCCTGTCAGTTCATCGATGAAGCAGACCCCTTGGTAGTAAGCAGCGATGTATCCTGGTTTGCCCTTGCGAAAGAAGACCACCGTGACACTATCCTCTAGGTCCAACACCCGAGCCTCCCCAATCGCATCACCGGAGTCATCAATCTTGAGAATATACAGCCGCGATGGTTCAGAAAGGCAATCAACCCAGTGGAGAGTAGAATCATTCGCCCTGAAAATTGGAGCTTCACCAAGCACCATAGGTTGGGGACAAGAATACCATATCTTGCCCCCGTCAATCGAATCTAGTCCTGCCTCCATAATAGCCACGAGTCCTTTCCGAGGAACAGTATGTTTGCAACTGCACTTCAAAGCAGAGAAGCTCTGAATTTTTTTTATCGTTTATCATTTACATATTCTACCAATATTTATGGGGATCGGCAGTGGTATTCCGCGACGTTCTCCTACCCCCTCATTTGAACCCTCATCTTGCCGCGTGAAGCGGAGTCCCATCCCGCGCAAGACGTGGGTTAGGTCACATCATCGCAGTTTTCCTGAAAGGGGCAAAGGCAAGTACTTCGGTCTTCCAATTCCGAAATTACTGGCTGAACCCCCTAATTTGAAATAACCAATCAATTTCGGCACATGTTTCGTAGGTGTTTGCCGAACTTGCTCTGGTGAGGATGTGCATTAGTACTAGCTTTAAAAAGCCATATCACGGAATAAGCAAGGATCATAGAGAGACTCGTGATTCGTATGTCCCGAGCCATCAGGGCTGGTCACTCTATGTCAGTATTACGCGAGAACCACATCACCTCAGCCTACCTACCTACCTTCATACTGAAATGGGATGGCTCGATGGCAGTCTGGCTCTGCAGACTGGGTAACAGCAACCAATGGACAACACACACACACAGCCAGCACGTAGTAGAGGTCGTCCTCCTGAGGGACCTCTCCCTCTCTATCCTCATGTAGAAGCTGCTGCTTACACCCAAGATATTCGTGACACCTCAAGCCGCAACTGTATTCATTATGTCATGCGTTCCACCGCTACAATATTGAGTTATGAGTCGGGGGACCACCAGGTGGAAACAGGTTTTCAATAAATGATTTGGGGCTCCACATTAAGAGGATCCCTTCCTGTGATTGGACATGATGCTTTTTGGGCGACCGATCGGATAACACTCGAATGTGGAGTGCGTAGCATTCAGGGTCTTTACCTGGACAAAATAATAGACCGAGACATTTTGATTCAAAACTGTTGGCGCTTGGATTTTAGCGTTATTGTTGCAGAAGGATCATAAGTACCAGTCCACGGAGGCTATTTCACCGAAGCGGCGGTGAAAATTGCCGAGTTCAAGGTACATCAGATATAATCGTAGCCTCACTGCGTCCCAGAACTATGCTTCAGTAGAAAAGATGAAGATTTTCATTGACGGTGCCTTATGAACGGGCTTTGTACCCTTTGCACATGGTCATTTGACTCCGAATAACGGAGACTAAGTTTTAAGGGGAAATATCCCCATATTTTGAGGCTGTGCGATCCACTCACAAACACATATCCCATAACTGCGGCTATTATTAGCCAACCCAATTAAGCAAAGCGGGTAGGGACTCCAGTACTGTAGTTCCCCCGGCGCTGCCGTTAAGAGCCTGGCAAATTATGTGTCGGTGTCTAAGACAAGGGCTTCGATGATCTGCAATGTCCTTGAGGATTTCGATATTTCCGCGAAATAATTCCGATGTTCTCAAGGGAGACTAAAAAAAGCATAAAAGAAATAGGGAATCCTCACCTGTGCCTTTCTTCCATCACGCAAATCCAGTCTCCTCAATCACTTCTCCATCACTCGCGGCCAACGATCCTTTCCACCTCATTCTCAAAGAATCAAAGTACCTAATATGCAGATCAAGAGCCTTTTGTTCGCTGTATCCCTCACGGCCACTACCACTGCCCTCCCGGCCACCCATTCTGAGACTTTCGGCATCGTCGCCATCCATTCCGGCTCTGATGTGCAGTATTCAAGTTTCAACGCTGCTAAGAGCAGTATCTTCGCTGGGTTGAAGAAGCAGGATGCTAGCTGCGCCCGCCCCAAAGAACAAGACGCTACTTTCTACATACAGAATGGTGCTCTCTTCCTTTACGACACATCTGCCACCCCCCAGGAGATTTATGTTGATCGTTCCGGCATGGGTATGTCTCAAGCCTATGTAGTCTCTTGGTCATTATAGACTAAGAAACCTATAGGCCAAGGTGTCATTGGATACACTACTGGTGCCCAAGGTGCCCCCAAGTATAGTGAACGTAAGGGGTGGACTATGAAGGATGGCCACCTCCAGTTTGCTGGTGACGATCTGATTGCTTGCCCCAACAGCATCGATGGGGCTTGGTCTATCTGGGCCTCCGCTGGTGTTGCAAACCCTGGTGGCAACAAGAACTGTGTAGGCGTTGCTGCCCGCGTCGAGAAGACCTCAAACCCCAACGGCTGCCTCTATACCGAGTAAATGAGCTATCATGCGTCGTGGTTGCACATGTGCACATAGAGAAATTTGACCTTAAGCGAGTGCCTAACTTGAAACATCATCCAAATTTTGTGCTGCTTATCTCAAGACTCAATAAAAGGAATTTCTATGATGACAAGGTACACTTCCAAAAGTAAAATAGAATTTAGGCATACTAGAGCGACAGATAGCGAAAAAATCTGTATCATAAATAAAAAATGTCGAAAGAAATAACTGAAAGGCCACAGCCTCCATAGTTAGGTCGAAAGTCATAATGTCTGACCATTAGGTATTATGAATAACCCTCGGATGTGCGACAGAGCTCGGCAACTACAGAAACAAACAGAACAAATTGATTTGAGACGATTTCACGAAGCTTCGGGGATAATCCGGAGAGAGGAGATCGTGAGCGTGAAAACGACCCCGAAGGAAAGTTACCTTTTGGCATACTTGGTATTTGATTGAAGAAAAGTCTATAAAAGTTTGTGTTTTGTGGGAATAATGTGAAGATCTCCGATTTTCTGATTCTCTTATGTCCAGTCGAATTTAGAGCACCCTTGGTGAAAAACAATTCATTGCTTCGTCGCGGGGAAATTTCCAGTGCCGAGAATGTCACCATCCTCCTCGCGACCCTTCTGCGCTCGGTCAATGCGAAATTGAGACGTCTTGAAAAGACTGGGCATCCTTGTCTCCTCAAACGAGATTCCCTGCGCGACCATCTTGGCTATTTCTTTCGATGCCAACCAAATGACCGGCATGCCGTGACCATTGAAGCCAGCAAGGATGAACTGATTTTCCCTGGCTGGAACCTGGCCGATATGAGGATTCGAATCGTAAGAATAGCCCATGACACCGGACCAAATCCTCTGAACACTGGCACCTGTGTTTTCCCAGCCATTAAACGTCCGTTGCATATAGTCGGAATAATAGTCCTTGGCAGCTTCAATCAGGACACTGTCGTCAACATTGTCGTACCATTGATCTCTGAACGACTTGAATTTAGCAGCTGCTCCCCCAACAACGATGCTTCCATCGGCTCGAGGGATCAAGTAGGAAAGTACGTTGTCATCAGTCCGATGAATATAAGAGTTGTTGAGCAGCGGGGCCCTGACTCCATCGGGGACAGTGATGCGACAGCAGATCCCTTTACAAGGAACAATGTTCTTTGTGTATTCAGGGAGAAGACCCGAGACGTATGCATTGTTCGCATGGATGACTCGCTTAGCATGCATTTGGCCACGCGGACTCTTGATTGAGTAACCTCCATTTTCGTCTGCGTCGATTGATAAAACCGGCGTGTTTGTTTGTAAGTTGACTTTGTTGCTGGAAACTAGCTTCTGAATGAGGTGCATAATGAATTTATATGGCCAAATCGTTCCGGCTGTGTAGGACGCGCATGCCACGGCGCCTTTGACACCACATAACTGGCAAAAGTTAGCATGGAGATCCCTAGATCGCCTTGTGATGCATAACTCACCCCTTCGACCTGATCGCCGGTATAGAATGCAACATCATCCATGTGAGCGAACTTTTCTGAGACCATGTAGTCGTAAATTGCTTTCGCTTTCTTTGCAGCTTCCTTGTTGCACCAGACATCAAAAGATCTTGCCATGGTAAAGTCACAGTCAATATTTTCCTCCTCAATGAATTTCTTCATCGCTTTAACATGTGCGATTTCAAATTCTGCAATCTCCGCTCCAGCCTTTGCTCCAGCGCGGTCAATGAAAGTTGGAATGTGGCCGTAAAGATCTGGTCGCAAATGGCCGCCATTCCGACCGGTTGCTCCGGAACAGGCCGATCGAGCTTCCAAGATTGTGATCGATCCGGCCAATTCACCGTGTTCTTGAGCGAGGTGATACGCAGTGGCTACGCCAGCGTATCCGGCACCAATAATCACAATGTCACTATGATCTGGAAGCTTGTCTGTTGAACGATAATTGCTGAGGTCATGGCCTGCCATCTGCCAGAAGCATTCGCCTGGGTTGTCGACCGGCAGACATGATGGGACATTCCCATTTGAGGCAGCGGATTGATCCGTGATCGAGCTTGGCATTTTGGCGATTCCGGGAAAAACAAACTGAAGGTGAGAACCGAACATAAGCAGAAGGCGCAGTGGTTGTTAAGAGAAAGCGATGGTCCATTGCGAATCGACAAGATGCTTCTTTACCCCGGTTGACCAGTCACCGGGTCGTTTGACCCCGCCGGGCCGGCTCCGCCGATAATAAGGGGCCGCTTATCTCTGATCCGGTTCCGCTGGAATGTTCAATATCTGGTTATCGGTACTTTGTCTTAGCATTAGTCTTTACCTATCGTATTTCCCCGCAAATTACACTGATAGCTTCATGGAATAGCATCGACCAATACGGCGTAGCCATCACCTCAAAGGTCCCTAGTCGATGTCCACAATTTTCGATTTAGCCGTAATTACCGCGAATTGAATACCGGTCGGCTTGGAAAAGCCCACTAATTTTCAATCGTCTTCATATAAGTGGTGGATGGAGTATTTGATCAAACCCGAAGCGAGTAAAGATAAAATAAAGGGCTAGCAAAAAATGTACAAAAGGCGCACAGATTTTTCTTGATCTTGAAATAAAATTTGGCATTGGTCATTGTCCGATCGTCATGAGTTCTGCAAGCATCGGCCAAGCTCAGTCCAACCGCCCATCGGGTGATGCTGTCTATATCGATCGAAAAGAGAGCGAAATTACCAATTGCGATGTCGAAAAACACAATGGGGACCTTGATACTGCCACTGCCCAGCTCGAAGAAATCCATGCTTTCAAGCAAGGGCTCCATCAACGGCACATTCAGATGATTGCCCTTGCAGGTACGATCGGGACAGGACTTTTCTTGAGCTCCGGTCGAGCAATTGCTACAGCTGGGCCCCTCGGTGCCTTTCTTGCCTATTCTATCATCGGCCTCGCAGTGTCAAGTGTTGTCTTCGCCGTCGGAGAGATGGGAGCCCTGGTTCCACTCAATGGCGGAGTCATTCGATATGCGGAAATATTCTGTGACCCTGCTCTAGCATTCGCCAATGGATGGAACCAAGTATACGCCTATATTGTCTCGATACCTTCGGAAATTGTGGCGGCGGCCATAATTATTGAGTTTTGGGTGACGATAAACAATGCTATCTGGATCACCATTTTCGGGATTTTAATGCTCGTTACGGCCCTCTTGTTTGTACGGGTATACGGTGAACTGGAGTTTGGTTTCTCTATGTTAAAGATCATGTTGGTCGTGGGCATAAACATCATGGCCCTAGTGATCACTTGTGGCGGCGCACCTAATAACACCGCGATCGGATTCACCTATTGGAAAGTCCCTGGGCCATTTGTTCAATACCTCGGGGTTACCGGCTCTCTAGGTCGGTTTCTAGGTTTTTGGAAGGCATTTGACAACGCTCTCTATTCTTACTCGGGAATCGAAAATATCACTATCGCTGCCGCTGAGACTCGAAACCCTCGACGTGCTATTCCGATGGCAGCTAAGCGTATCTTTATTCGAATTCTACTCTTCTACGTTCTGACGATCTTCATGGTCGGATTGGTAGTCGCTTCAAATGACCCTAATCTACTCGCCGAGACCGACACCGCTTCTCAATCGCCATTTGTGATCGCAGCTCGCAATGCTGGCATCAAAGTGGTTCCATCGATTATCAACGCTGTTGTTCTAACGTCAGCCTGGTCTTCGGGTAACTCTAATATGCTAGGAGGATCAAGAATTCTTTACGGCATGGCAGCTAATGGACATGCGCCCGCTGTCTTTATGCGGCTTAATCGCTTCGGCATTCCTTATGTGGCTGTTGCGCTCTATGGTATATTCATGGCTCTGGGCTATATGACACTCTCCTCGTCGGCTAGCACTGTATTTACCTGGATGCAAGACATTGTCTCAATTTCCACGCTGGTGAATTGGATCTGCATCTGCATCGTTTATTTGCGTTTTCTATACGGATGCCGCAAACAAGGCATTGATCGTCATCAAGAGCTCCCATGGGCTGCGCCACTGCAACCATACACAACTTGGGCATCACTGATTGTGTTTATTCTCTTATTCTTCACGGGTGGGTATTCCACATTCATGAAGAATAATTGGAGCACGGAAACGTTCATTTCGTCCTATCTCAACTTACCGCTTATTGTTTTCGTATATGTTGGATTCAAGGTCTACATGAAGACCAAGATACTGCCATTGGATCAAATACCAATCCGGCCCTTCATTGAGAAATATCAGCAAGATCCTGACATCGAGGAGCCTAAAGTCAATGTTGGATGGCGACGAATCAATATTTTATGGTCTTGAAAGCCAATTAAGCAAATAATATATACTTGTTGTACTGTGATGCACATAAGCCAGTGCCTAGGTAGCCCGCTTTCGTATATATTACTATATTGTACGAGGCGAGGCACATATGAACTTAACGCAAGTTCGGGAAATATATAGTCAAACTTTCAACTATTGTATTTATCTGTTTCCCAAGCTCTAAAGAACATATCACCGTAGCCACATCCACTGCGGGTACGTAAGATGCCATTGTGTTCGAAGACGCATATTCCCAGCTGTTCATCCAAGCAAGTTAAATGCCATTTTGCGGAGAACCGCGGGCCCTCCCAGGCTACTCAGGCTACCCAGGCGGGGGATCAATAGGTCTTCTGAAACGATACAACCAAAGCACTGCCTTAATGTAATCATCTCAGAATTATTCATCTCGTAATGGCGATGTGTCTAGGATTGAAACCACTGGTACGATAGTGGAAGGACCGGGCCGGAGTAGCCATTTAAGGCAATCGAACCCGGTGAGTCCGCGTATTTGCATTATCAGGCGCGGGGCAGCTTATCAACCGGCGGGGTCGTACGATGTTATCATTATGGCTGATATGACCGGTTAATTCGAGTATTTCCTTCCGATCGCATACTCCTCTGATCAATCAAATCACACCCGCGCATATATTTACAACTGAGTTGCCTCAATCGAAGTCTTCTTGCTTTCGCGGTAGCACTTGGACAATCGAGTACCATTGATGTGGTGACTGATAAGGCGATTGAATCTCTGCCAGACTCTGTCGACCATCCAATTATCACCAAGTAAGAAACCGGTTCAATTGATCATACACGTCTCGCAAGAACTCAACGGAACATGACGGGCCAAAAACACGTGGTCTTTGACGTCGTTGGCACTTGTGTTTCATTCGATGCATTCTACGACGCTATCAATAGAGTGATCGGAGATAAGCTTGCCGCAAACAATATCACTGCACCATTCTTCGGTTTCAGTTGGATGACAGCCGCAGAGCTTGAGTTCACCTTTCTGTCGGTCTCCGCACGGCACAAGCCATACAAACAGATCCTTGGATCTCTTTTTTTTCGCACTCTCCATATGGCAGGCATTGTCGCACCCCGGGATTTTGCGACGGACGCAGAGAGGGACCAGTGTGTTCAAGGTTACTCCGAATTGCAGTTGAGACCAGGAACGGTAAGATGCTTCGATATACTCAGGAAAGGAGGGTTTACTGTGTGGTGTCTCACTACCGGAGATATTAAACGCGTCCAAGGCTATTTTGAACGTGGGGGCGTCGATATGCCTTCAGAAAATGTGATTAGCTGCGACACGCATGGGCTGGCAAAGCCCGCGCTGGCAGCATACAAGCCTGCGTTTGACCGCTTTGCCCCCGAGGACGACAAATGGTTTGCAGCCGGTCATATGTGGGATGTTACTGCTGCAACCAAGGCCGGGTTTCGAGGAGCATACTGTACCGTATACGAGAAGGAGAGCTGTTTAGAGATCTTTGACGAGGTGATGGAAGTGACAGCTGACACACTACCCGAGATGGCGGAAAAGATCGTGGCGGCTTCAAAATAAGCGGAGGCTTTTGTACCGCGTTTTGTCTAATGTTAGTTTAGTGCCTGCGGAAAAGCCAAAAAAACTAATGCATTGAGTTCAGGCATCCTTTGCTGAAATTCACATGCCTAAATGTTGATTTCACATGCTAATTGGAATAATTATTCAGGCCGCCACAAAAAATCAATTAGTAGTAGTTCTCCTTGGCGCGTCTCGCTATTCTATTTTCGTCGTTCTCTTAGGAAGGAAGGAGGAAAAGAGAGAGATGTAGATTCTGTAGAAGGAAGCTATGGATCTGGATCTATCATGGAGGCTGAGGCAAGGGATGCGGTGAAGTGGGGCAGAAACCCTCATTCACTGTGAACACCTTCGATAAAGATTAAGGCATGGACTATGCGTCAGCACGTCAAATTTTCGGCCTCAGAAATGAGGCCGACAATAAATATGTCCTCCGGGCGCATATAATCTCCTTGAGAGATCTGATCCTAGAGATTCCCGGCGATTTGGGCAAAAGACTACCGACTTCAGAAGAGTGGATCAGAATCACCTCTTTTACAGAATGGGAAGCAGCCGACTCTAGAGGGAGAACCCGGACCAGGGCTAGGTACCCAACTCACCACCTACGCGGGCATCCCCAGAAAACCGAGAGCTTTGGTAGATGTGTTTTTCCGGTAACCATGAATGAATTCACCAATCAAGACGCACCAATCAAAACAATTTAAAATGATTGACCGAAAAACTCTGGTGTCGTAGGCTGGGGGACGAGGCCACGATCCGTGGTTTGCCGAGGTCTAACTTTGGGGCGTTTTAACCTTACGAGGCAGTGGTTGCCCATGGACGCCATCGACAGGAGTCAAAGGATAGTGAAAAAGAATGGTTGGTATGATGGTTGGCGAGATTAGAACCCGTGGCTTGAGTACCAGAATGACGACGGAAATCTAGACCAGTCAGCCCCGGCTTTTGCGTCCCCAGTTTGCCTCCCCCAGGTCTCAACGCCCTAACGCCTCCAGTTCGACCCCTCCGAATCCACACCCCACATCACCTTTTTACTGTACCTGAGCCCTACCTCTCTGCAAACATGGCTATGGTTTCTTTTTTGTACCTCTTATCCCCATTTTATACCTCTTAAGGGTCCCCTGAAGGGAAACTCGGGGATGTAGCATCTCACGTGACTCGGTTCCGCATGCGGGCATCATTGGTCTTCGGTGGAACGCCGGAGCTCATCCGTGAGAAGAGACGGCCCCTCCACAAATGCAACACTCCGGCCGTCGGCATCGGGCAAGCTACTTCGGGGGCCAAGAGTAAATGTGGTAACTCGAACGAGTTTTATGTAAAAGTATATCGGCTACGACACTCGGCCCCGGTCCATGCGAGCGACATTAGCGAAGGTTTTCCGACTGCAAAACGGACTGCGACTGGCCGTGACTGGAGGGAGAAAAGAAAAACTCTGATCCTGGTCCACAAACTCTCCCCGTAATTCCCCGTGAATGGATGGTCGGATGACCGAGTATGGTAATTCTAAAGTTGATCCTCCACCCGCTCTAGGAGTTTCTCCACCCCCACGAGGCATATCCAAGAGGGCTCTGACATGGGAGGCTTCAGGCAAAGGGAGGGACCTGGAGATTGGGCCCGGTCGGCCCTGAATGGAACCAGTGGCGCCTAATAAGCAATCGGGGCCGACCATTGGTGTGACCGTGCCTTTCAGCCGTACCCTGCGGTCTCCCCTGGTCCAAATGGACCATCTGCCCCATACCTGTGCCCTACCGCGTTCCTATATCCCCAACTCTCCCCCACCCCCGACCCGCCACGCGCGGGCTCCGAACGCAGGACGTTACGTTGGTGGCGGCCAAGGCCGAAAACTCATTTGGGCGCCACCCGAAATCTTAGCCGCTAGCCCCTTGGAAGTTAGCCTTGGTTGATCTTGACTGAATATGAAAGGCCTTGACTGGCCCTGACTGGCCTTGGCCGCTACTTGGCCCCTCTCGGCGGCTCGCGAGACTTGCCTAGAGGGCTAACCCGCCGACGTCATCTCTATACTCATTCGTCTGAACTCGTCTGAACTCGTCTGAACGCGGCTTGGCACTACCAGCCGTGAGATCGGGTGAGATGGGGCCCTAATTTTCCCCGAGAATACAAAAGGATGCTGATCGAAATGTCACTCCAGAGTGAGAGTTTTTTTCTTCGTCTTTGTTTTCTACCCTTGTCCTGGTCCCTCCTCCCTCCGTACAATAGGTAGAGGTATAGCCACAACAGGTCGACAAGATGTGGACAACAACCTGCGGCTTACGGGGCAAGAAGCTCCATCTAGCCATCACCATCACTTCCGTCGTGGGCTTCTCCCTCTTCGGTTATGATCAGGGTTTGATGTCTGGTCTTATCTCCGGATCTCAGTTCGTGAAGGAGTTCCCCCCTTTGGACGACTCCATCCGCCCCATTCCCGACGGTTATAGCAGCGTGAAAGCCTTCACATCCCATGTCTCCGTTCTCCAAGGTGCCGTCACGGCCTGTTACGAACTGGGCTGTTTCTTCGGTGCCATCTTCACTCTCTGCTTCGGTGAGCGTATCGGCCGCACTCCTCTTCTGGTGACTGGTGGTGCGCTGATGGTTCTCGGTACTGCCATTTCCACCGCTGCTTTCGGCCCTCACTGGGGTTTGGGCCAGTTCGTCGTCGGCCGTGTCATTTCCGGTCTCGGCAACGGCATGGACACTGCTACTATCCCCGTCTGGCAGTCCGAGTGCTCTCGCGCCCACAACCGTGGTTTCCTTGTCTGCTTCGAGGGTGCTATTATCGCTGTCGGTACATTTGTCGCATACTGGATCGATTTCGGTCTTTCCTACGTCGATTCCTCGGTCCAATGGCGTTTCCCCGTCGCTTTCCAAATCGTCTTCGCTCTCGCCGTCATCGTTGGAGCTCTGATGCTTCCTGAGTCCCCTCGTTGGTTTGTCATGCGGGGCCACGACCAGCAGGCATTGGAGGTCCTGGCTGCTCTTAACGACAGCACCGTCGATGCAGAGGATGTACTCACCGATTACAACCTGATGAAGGCCGACCTGAACGCCCAAGAGGGTGCCAAGGCCAGCTGGACCACCCTCTTCAGGTCTGGCAAGACCCAAGAATTCCAGCGCATGATGATCGGTTGCTCCGGCCAGTTCTTCCAACAGTTCACTGGCTGCAACGCTGCTATCTACTACTCCACTCTGCTGTTCCAGAACAACCTCAACATCAAGGGCAAACTGTCATTGGTTTTGGGCGGTGTCTTCGCCACGGTCTATGCTCTCGCAACGATCCCCTCTTTCTTCATGATTGAGAGGGTGGGCCGTCGCAAGTTGTTCTTGATTGGTTTCGCTGGTCAAGGTCTTTCTTTTATTATTACCATGGCTTGCCTGATCGATCCCACCACTCAAAACGCCAAGGGTGCCGCTGTCGGTATCTTCCTGTTCATCTGCTTCTTCGCCTTTACAACGCTGCCTCTGCCCTGGATCTACCCCCCGGAGATCAACCCTCTTCGTACCCGTACCATGGCTGCCTCGGCTTCCACCTGCACCAACTGGATCACTAACTTCGCCGTCGTCATGTTTACACCCGTGTTCTCCTCCACCAGTGGCTGGGGTATCTACCTCTTCTTCGCCCTTGTCAACTTCATCGGTATCCCCTTCGCCTGGTTCTTTTACCCTGAGACCGCCGGCCGCGATCTTGAGGAAATCGACATCATCTTCGCCAAGGCCCACATTGAGAAGAAGTGGCCTTACCAGATTGCCAACCAGATGCCTAAGCTCACTGTTGAGCAGATCTCTCAGATGCAAACCGAGCTGGGTCTGGATACCTCAGATCACCAGGTCGCCTCCGAGTCTGAGAAGGCCGAGATCGCGATGAGCAGTGGCGAAAGCGTGGAGAAGCACGCCTCGAACTAGTTTCTCGTCATTTTTACTTCGGCGTTCCATCCTGGAGACGGAACGCAGAAGTTTGCAATACCCCAAATGGATTTTAGACTCTCTTGATCCTCGCATTTTCATTTTATTTCTGTTTCTATTATGACGGTTATCATGTCGAGATGTGAGTGGTTCATCGCCACGATTTATTTTTGTCAGATAGCTTTTCCCCCTTTCTTTCCTACCAGTTTCATGGTTATCATGTCGACATGTGAGAGTGGTCAATGGCCTCCTTTGTGAGATAGCTTTCTTTTTCTCCTATTGGTTAATGAAAGAGACCTCGCAGCCAAATCCTGCGAACGGTCCGTACACTCAATTTTCCGATTCAATCTTGGAAGTCCATATGTATTAGTGACGCATGGTAGCATCGGGCATGGGTGCGAGCGAGGTAGTACACTTCATTTGCCGACGAGGCTTGAGCAACTTAAAATCGGCATGTGTACGATGCAACTCATTACTAATTTTCTTTGCACTACTAAGACTCAGTGAGCATAACCAACTTAGAAAGGCTTAAGGGCGCCATAATTATTATCAATATAAAACTAAATAAGGGGAAGACCCGGAAAGCGCCCGAAATACAATGACAGCTGATGTGTACATGAGTATCATAAAATTTAGATCATTCATGCTAAAAATGTGACTCACATAGTCGAATTTCTATAAAACTTGACTTAGATTAATAATTATCGACGGAGATCCTAGTTAGCTGGGTTCTATACCTTCAATTGATAGAATCCGGTTCTCGCTATGATGCCCAGATGAAAATGATTCTATCACCAGACAAGACGGGTGTCCAGGAAAGCCTTTGCAGGAAGTTTTACACCTCAGATGAACTATCAATAATGTTTCCAATAGGCTGAATACTTAAGGGTACTATAAGTATATGTGTTCTAAGTTGCCTTGTTTGGTTGCATCGCCCATTACACAATGCCGTAGCTTGAATTGAACCCCGTTGAATGATACTGGTAAAGATGAACCACACAGACCATCATTGCGGTATGTTGCATCAAAAGTTGATTCTTGAAACCGATTCGGTTCATCAGTAAGAAACGAAGCTTGCGTTAAATGGAAATAGCGTCAAATAACTTGCGAGATATCGGAAAGTAGGTAAACAGAGAAGTTTCAGTCTGACTTCCAGGGTCAACGCTGAAATTGTGGGGGTACAGCTCGTTAGCGTAGGAGGGGAATTGTATTTAGTGTGGGGGTGAGGGTGTCACGTTGGGCGCGGGGCCACGCACTGCGATAACAGAACCAATTGAGAATCTAAGTGGAAGGTTCGAATACTACCTTAGCTGAAGATAACCAGGGAGTTTCGCGTCGATCTCTATCTTTTACATGTCACATTACCTGACGACCCCTTACCTCCGGATTATAAATAAGGGCCCCCGCCTTTCCTCCAAATTCGAGTCTTTCCCTGGAAATAACCTGGCATCAGGACACGTTTTGTTTGCCCTTCACCTGCGACCACGACTTTACCTTCGGCCATTTACTTCCCTCATCGATCCAAAATGTATGCTCCTAAAGTTGGTGACAGGCTCGATAGCCTTGACACGCCATCCATGATTGCCGACCTTGATCTCGTGGAGGCAAACCTCAAAAAGCTTATGGACAAATTGCTTCCAACCGGGCTCAACATCCGCCCGCATCTCAAAACAACGAAAAGTGCTGCCATTGCCGGCAAGATGGTCAAAGCCGGCGCGAAGGGAGGATGTGTGGCAAAAGTGAGCGAAGCGGAAGCCATTGCAGCCACTGGGTTTGATGACCTGCTCATCACTTGCGAGATCGTGGGACTAGCCAAAGTCAAGCGACTGGTTGAATTGTATCGCAAGCATCGCAATATTAGGATTGTGGTTGACAGTGAGATTGGTGCAACGGCTATCAACGAGGCCCTGGCTGGTTCGGGCATTGACGAGCCCATTATGGTTCTGATTGACTTGGATGTTGGACTCCACCGGACTGGTGTCAAGCCCGGTGAACCGGCCCTTGCCCTGGCGCAGCACATTGCCGGACTCAGACACTTGAAACTCATTGGAGTCCAGGGCTACGAAGGTCATCTGCAGCACCTACATGACAAGGAGGATCGCAAAACCCAATGCCTAGAGTCCATGCAAATTTTGACCGGCACTGCTGATTCCCTGCGCAATGCCGGCTTCAAAATCGATGTTGTTACCACAGGGGGCACTGGCACGGCTGAATTCTGTGCTACAGTCCCCGGTGTGACCGAGCTTCAACCAGGATCCTTTATCTTCATGGACACGGACTACCGTAATGCCGTCGGCTCATTCTACTCCAATAGCCTTACAATTCTATCGACAGTTGTGAGCAAGCAAGGACCCAGGGCCGTCACTATTGATAGCGGACTGAAGTCATTGACGACCGACAGTGGCCTGGCAGAATGCAAAGACTCTAAATATACCTATGGGGTCCTTGGAGACGAACATGGGTCTCTTACTTGGGGAGAAGACACTCCTCCGCTTTCAGTCGGTGATCGGGTGGAAATGATACCCAGTCATATTGACCCCACGGTGAACCTGCATGACGTTTACTACGCTTACAGGGGAGCTGTGATCGAAGAAATTTGGCCAGTCGACTCGAGAGGTAAGGTCCAATAGGTGGGATTACGAAGCTTGCCTTCTCTTCCAAGTTCTATATCATTTAGCCAGAAAGGTAAGGCAACAGATGATACGTTCATATGCACAACAAGGTCGGGGATTGACAGTGGGATTTGAGTTATCTAGAGAAAAGCAACTGTTTGTATTGAAGAAACACCCTTCCCAGCATCGCCCTGCCGTTGCATTAAGGGCTTTTCCTAACAGCGCTTATACTGGTAGTGATATTTAACGTATTCCTAATCAATCTATCAATGAAAGCTGTATCAGTTTTGCGTGTAGCCTATAACCTACTTCTCCCATCGCATTACTCTATCACTCTTTCATAATTCTCCGTATTCAGTCATTACCCTCGAAGAAACTTGAAATTCGGCCAATTACGTCTCTCTGTAGCCTAGATAGCCTACGTCTCCCATAGCACCAATTTATCACGCTTACACATATCTCCGTATTCAGTCATCCCTTTTGACACCGTCAATGCTAAGTAGGCGCTTGTTTTGCACCGAAGTTAAATTTGGTGTCAACTACAGAAATAATCTAGCCAACATAGACAAAATATATCATTAAACTTGCGAATCTCGAACACGTATACCTTAGAAAAGTCGTAGCACTTGAAACTAAACATATCGCTTGGAATAACATCCATACAAAGGCAAATCTGGCTTCTTACCACAATCTAGCACAGTAAAGAGTGTGCTTAATCTTGCACAATATCGAAGCCCACCAGTATGAAGTACACAATTTGTCACTCTTTTTGCTTCCCCTTGTCCCGGCTTTATGCTTCCACTTCCTCTTAAGCAAACATTTTCAAAGTGCTTCGGTTTTGAATTCATTGCGATAACCAAGATATTAAATTGATTTCATAAAAATACAATATAGGCTCTTCTTGGGAGCCACCGGCAGCCAGCACCGACTGTAAAAGCCGACGTTGAACACTTAATTATGACTTACAAGAGGCAAAATTGTCAAAAATCAATATTATATGAGAAAGCATGGCTAAATCAGCTAAGACTATGAGGTCATTTTCGTATATATTGAGTTATTACGTAGCTCTACACGGATATGTATGGGCTTCCCAATGTTTTGAAGATACCTGTCAGCCCATGGAGGGATAACTTACCGCTAACAAGTGGTCACATTTAAGATCACATTTCCTATGTCTTTGTATGTAATCCTGCTTACTTATGGACTCGAGCGTGGTAACCGCCGAGTATCGGTCGTACGGACCGCCAAGCCCACCCGTAAGGGCAAGGGGAGTACTCTCAACAGCAGTCTCCTGAGTGTCTTCAATCAATCAATCATTTCAATCCACATCATATTGATTCCGCTTGACCTCATTGGCCGTCGTAACATACTAGGCTATACGAATATAGCCTTTGTAGACAATACCAAAACAAAATCTGTGCAAATATACAACTCAAGAAGAATATAAGGACATTCCTTTGACCCGAAACACCTATATATTATTGCTTAGGTGACCTTCACAAAAATACATATACACCCATGATCCAACCTGGAAAATAACGTAGACCTCGGCCTATTTAGTGACACTCAAAAACTGAGGCTAATCATACCGGAAGCTGGATATAAACAAAATATTGCAATGGGATTGAACAAATACACTACACTACGTAATTTTTTGGTAATTAAGTTCAAGTTGAAATTCGTCAACCGCTTATGGGTTTTAGCGCAATCTAGATCTCCTCATTCGCCAGAGAAACCTATTCTATCCATGAATCGCCTTGAAACCCCCAACCACGACATGGCCATGAGAGCAATAGAAACAGGTGAAATTATCAGGTCACATACAATAGCCCCCCAGAATCCCCATAATCTGACCAATAGTTCACTTAATTGATTTTTGCGTTTTGCAAGAGCCGGTAAAATCTTAAATAGTGACAAAAACCAAGAGATAGAAGCAATTTTTAGTTGTTGGCCGTCAAGGGTGTAACTTTAGTCTTCACAAGATTCTGTTCCAAACTTTTTGGAATGAACATGGAGAACGTCATTGCTCAAGAAGGTTGATCAGTCTTGCTGCCCAGTGCTCGGGAACCGGGATCACTTTCGAAAGCGTTGATTGAAGCCAAATTTCATAATATTCTACATGAATCCAGAAAAATTCGGAGTAAGTTAATTTTAAGCGGTATATTCGTGACTATTTCTTCTCAGAAATTTTTATGATTGCACAAGTATCCAGAACACAGGCTCGAAGAGTTATTGTGCTATTGCAAAGAAAAATAAGAGAGTGAAGAAAGTCCGAAAGAAAGGTAGAAGAAAAGGCTTCTCTCGTGGCTCTTGGACTATCTATGAGACTGGCGGTCAGCTGACCAACGATGGCTCTTGAACATCCTGAAATTTGTTATTTACAGTCGATTAATCCAAATTATATGGAATTGGAAACAAGATATGCCAGAAGCTTGTTGAGACATTTTAGCATCCATGGAGGTGTTGAAATGTCTCTTGACCGCCGCAGGGTCAGTGAATTTGAGCGTCGCAGAAATCGCCACATTATCCACAAAGTAAAGCACCTTGGAAGAATATACATGCTCCTGACGGCATAGCCATATTTTAATGCGAATAGACATACGAACTGGAAAAAAATTCTACTGGGTTGCATTTCCGATTCTGTATTCTCGGTAGGAATTAATACACTCGAGAATTGCCACGGAGGAGGAATTCACCGTCCACATGGCCGAAATCGCGGGATTGGTACTAGCACTCTGGTTCTCCGATAGGGTCCCAGTCTATGTCTGGACCGATAACCAAAGTGTATCAAATTCACTGTATTATCGAAAATAGGCGCCGGTCAATACATCAAGAAGCAACCATGATTCTATAAGACTATCCCTACTATAAGGTCTCCTTCCATTGGATCCTCGCTTATCTCCATGTGGTAGGCAACGAGCCAAAGCGCGCTATAGGGTAGCAGTCGGACGTGTAGTACGTTCCCCTATTAACCGAGAGGTTCTCAGACCGCGTGCTTCGCCAAGCGGCGAGGATGTCATTGAGAAGCTTAAGGATTAATAGTATCACTCGTGGAATATAGGCCACTCCACTCCTTCCTCTGGCGATAGCGACCGGATCTATAGTCCACTAGGGCGGCTATGAAAGGTATAGCTACGTTAACGCGGCGGAGACGGCTACACTCTTTAAGCCCGGATAGGTAAAATCGGCCTAAATTACTTCTTATCTACGATTAACCGCCCCAATATAGATGAATCCCTATACAGGGAAGCCTTTTAAGACTATTCATTATGTTTCGGCCGTGTAGGGAGGCGGATACCACGAAGCTTTTCGAGGCGCGGGGTACGCTTTTGTAGATGCTTCCCCACCACAGACCGTTGACTACCCGACCAAGGAAGGCTTGATCGGATAAAGATAGAAAAAGAATAAGATAGAGTGCAAAGGCCTTATGCACTCTAAATGAGTACAATCCACAATCCTCAAACAAAGGACTAAGAAGAAGGTCTTTCTAAGCAGATAGAAAGGGATAGTAGAATATTTGAAGAGAGTGAAAGGTCTGTCATTTCTACTTAGTGTCTCGCGCGTATTTATAGACAGAAAGTGGTCAAAGTCACATGCTTTATATCAGATAAACAGAATAGAATCAGGGAAGGAAATGTGATAGAACTGATGGCGTGATGAGGGATATGTCATCGATCTGGTGGGGTAAAGAGGGGTAAGTGGTTTGGAGGGGTAAATCATGTTCGCATCTCTTTCTTTTCTTCTTCTTCTTCTTCTTCTTCTTCTTCTTATGTTGAATAAGAGGATACCTTCACCTAATGTAGCATTGGTCCAAATTCCAACACATATGCCTATCAATAACACTATATAGGGCTATAGCAAGGTTTTCTCTAGTGTGTGAGCCATCCAATAGTTCAAACCTAAGTAATATCTGTCTATAATCCCAATTATTATCAAGAAAATAGCTAGTTATTGCCATAAATACTTAGTGAAAAGGAGAAGTCCAACAATCAAGGGCGAGTGATAGTTTTGCATCTATTAGAAGCATCTAAAGTATGCCTTTCTATCGAAGCGTAACGGTGCTTTGGAGCTGACGTGTAAGGGTTTTACCTATTTAAAGAACTAGGAGGGAAGGGGCTTGCTGGGTAAGACATAATAGATCTCGAAAATGCTAGTTTTTAATGATCTGGAATAGTAGGCGAAGGCTTATGATTATGACTAAAAGCTACTTTTTCCATTCATCTTCGTCCTATGATTGTAAAGGGGTTCGTTTAGCCTATAGATTATAATAATAGGTTATTAGTCTTATTTCTCTCTCACTTTATTCTCACTTCACTCTTACCTAGGTTTCAATCAAGGCTTTAATATTTCCTTGTCTCTGCTTGCCCTTCGGTAGACATCTATCCCTATACCTTAATATAGCATTTGTCCCATTTCGCGGATTGTAGGCAAGAATTAAACCGCAATCATTGCAAGAAACGCATGGTTCGCTAGTTTGTACCTCGGCTCCTTGCTCAAAATACTCCCAGACCTTAGATAATAAGCCCCTTTTACCCCAACGAGGATGCTCTACCTATGGTTTTGCCCCATATTCAGTTGTAAGCCACCATTAGATAAACTGAGCCTTATTCATATTAGACCAAAGGATAAAATTACTCTTAGGTCCAACGCGTTTAAGGAAAGGGGGTGGTTCGTAGATAGTAGGTGTAGTAGAAGGGCTTTCAGGGACTGAGGATGGGGGAATAGAGAAATAATCAGATCGAATAGGGTCAATACTATCACTATAGATAGATTGGCTAAAGGAGGATGAAGGGAATACCATAATAACACTAAAAAGTATAAAAGTAAGGGTGAAGTGAAAGTGAAATAGAAACGTAGAATGGATAGTAGGCCCTACGCGCGAAACTCGGCGCGCTATGATTGGCTATAAGCCTCAGTTAGTGAGTCTATAGGCCTTACTCTATTAGTCTACGCCTTTGGTCGTAAACCCACTTTTTCAGTCTACCTTTACTTTGTCCTTTAAACCTTTACCCTATACGCAATATAGATAACTAGGCTATAAAACAATATCATTAGGTAGATAAGGGTATTGAATACATTATATCTAAACATAATAGCCTAATACCGTGGTTTGGACGAAAAAAAAAAAAAGTTCATCCAGTGGAAAGTGGTACTAGACATCCATACAGAAATATATATTATGTAGCCCTTACCATCACCCCCCGACTCCCTATTAAAAATCTGCCTAGCTCGAGATCTATAATATAGTACTCTATAACTAGCCAACTGATCAGTGGCACTTTAAATTATGGCACTTTGGATTATGGCACTTTAAATTATGGCACTTTGGATTATAGCACTTCGACCATAGCACTTCGACCATAGCACTTTCCATTATGGCACTTTGTATTATGGCACTTTGATCATGGCACTTTGATCATGGCACTTCGACCATAGCACTTCGACCATAGCACTTTGATCGTGGCACTCCGTAAATCACCGACTGGACCATAGCACTTCGATTATAGCACTTTGGATCATGGCACTCCGTAACTCGCCGAGTAGAATCATAGCACTTTGGATTATAGCACTTTAGATCATGGCACTTTGATCCGCGGCGCTTTGATTCATAATATTTATCTGCAGGGGGCACAGAAATATTGATTTCGGGCGGAAATATATATTTCCGAGGCACTTCAATCATCCAATGCATATAACTGACTAACTATCTTCCCCTTTTCCACCATTTATTGGGCCAGGCCACGACATCTACAATATAGCACTTTACAGCTCGCCGACCGATTTATGGCACTTCGATTATGGCACTTCGATAATGGCACTCTAGATTATAGTATTGTGGTTTATAGCACTTTAGATTATGGCACTTTGATCCGCGGCGCTTTGATTCATGATATTTATCTGCAGGAGGCACAGAGATATTGATTTCGGGCGGAAATATGTATCTCCGAGGCACTTCAATCATTTAATGCATATGACTGACCAACTATCTTCCCCTTTTCTACCATTTATTGGGCCAGGCCACGACATCTACAATATAGCACTTTCCAGCTCGCCGACCGATTTATGGCACTCTGGATTATGGCACTTCGACCATGGCACTTTGATTATGGCACTTCGATCATGGCACTTCGATCATGGCACTTCCATCATAGCCCTTCGATCATGGCACTTCGATCATGGCACTTCGACCATAGCACTTCCATCATAGCACTTTGATCATGGCACTTCGACCATGGCACTTCCATCATATCACTTTGATCATAACACTTCCATCATAGCCCTTCGATCATGGCACTTCGATCATGGCACTTCGACCATGGCACTTCCATCATAGCACTTTGATCATAGCACTTTGATCATGGCACTTCCATCATAGCCCTTCGATCATGGCACTTCGACCATGGCACTTCCATCATAGCACTTTGATCATAGCACTTTGATCATGGCACTTCCATCATAGCCCTTCGACCATGGCACTTCCATCATATCACTTTGATCATAACACTTCCATCATAGCCCTTCGATCATGGCACTTCGATCATGGCACTTCGACCATGGCACTTCCATCATAGCACTTTGATCATAGCACTTTGATCATGGCACTTCCATCATAGCCCTTCGATCATGGCACTTCGACCATGGCACTTCCATCATAGCACTTTGATCATGGCACTTCCATCATGGCACTTTGGTTCATAGCACTTTGGCTACAGCATCTCAGACCATTCTTTGAGTGGCACTCTATAATATCAATACCAAGCGGAAATATATATTTCCCAAGTAGTATAAATACATAAGATAGATTATAGTCATAAACCTATTATATAGATATTATATCTAATATCAAAATTGATCTTAACTATATTAATAACCTATGTTATCCACAAACCCACACTGTGCAAACCTATTAATAATACTACATTTTGTTATTAAATATGCGAAGGAGCTAGAAAATAATATTCATAAGCGTTTCGACTGAAACAGCGGTAAAAAACGGTAAATAAGCTAAGAGTTATGCAAAAAAATCAGGCAGGATTAGGCCAAATAAGGCCAAAGAAGGCAGAAATATTAGAATCAGGCAGCATTAGGTGTCGATGGGCCGGCCCATGGGCCGCCCATGGACGGGCCGTGGGCCGGACCTTTTGTCCATGGACGGCCCATGTCAATGTCTAGTATTAACCTCAGACGGCACGAGTAGCGCGTATAGCGAGGGTAACAATAGGAGCAGCTAAGGCAGCATAGGCTTCGTGCGGAGTTAGCCATGTTATTTTAGTAGCTAGGAAGCTTCTTAACCCTAGCGATAAGAAGCGAGAGGGTATCCGGTAGCGAGGCTAACTAACCCTTTAACTATCTCTTTTCTCTTAATATTAGATGCCTAGCCTGAATATAGGTAATAGACACCTTTGTCAGCGCGCTACGGAGGAGAACGGACATAGGAGGTTGCGAGAAGCGGGAAGTCAGAAATTATAGATCAAATGGAAATCATAGAAGCACTACGTGGGTATCACGCGGAAATAGTTAGAAATCATATTTAGTAATAAGGAGACTATACGAAGTAGCGAATAGCACCTAAAAGTGTAGGCCAAAAGTGAGAATTGGGAATAGGCATTATATATCTCTCGCAACTTTTTCAATACTTACTTCTCTAGAGGCCACTGGCAACTCTGACATTTCGCCGTACGGGCATGAAACAGAGTCTAATGGAATTCTCTCTCCCTCTCTCCCTTTATACCCGATAAATGGTCTCCACAATTTTATGAATCTGAATTTACCGCCAAATCTGACCCCACGCCAAGTCTTTGTACAGGCTCGGTTGTTTAGATCGGGAAGACAGCGACAATCCCTTCTTATTACATTGAATAGCTAGACCCAAGTTGCATTAGCCGTAAATTTCTTAGCTCCTAATGGCGACTGCGAAACAATAATTGGACGATGTGGAGCCTTAAATATGTGTTCGGGCCTATCCGTAACTCCAGACCGACATACCAAATAAGCGTAGCACGCTAGTTGCCACTATGTGCCGTCACCCACGTCGACTGCATTTGAACATCCACAATAGATCCACAGTAGATTACCCCCGTGGCCTCTCCGAACCATGTGCCTATGAAAAACCTTCCTCCCCCCCGTGCATTGGAACGCCTTTATTATTTTTTTCTTTCACGGCCTGGTGCTTCTGTCTTTCAGCCAAGTTTGACCATTATGACTGTCGATGAGAAAGTAAATGCTGAGGACACCGAGCTGGGAAGTCCTCGCGACTCGCTCGAGGAACAGGAGGTCTTCAAGAAGACCGAGGACGGTGTTAGCTTTCGCAATGTCGGCTGGTTTAAGGCGTGCATTATCTTCGTGAAGGTCCTCTTCGCGACGGGAGTGCTTTCCATGCCATCAGCGCTGTACTCCCTCGGCGCAGTGGGTGGGTCGATCAGTATCGTTGCCTGGGGCGCTTTCAACACCTATTCCTTTGTGATTCTGGGCAACTTCCGGAAAAAGCATCCTCACTGCCACTCCATCGCTGACATGGCGGAGGTAGCCGGCGGCTATTTCGCGAAAGAGCTGACTGGCCTCATCTTTCTCATCGGCTACGTTCTTGTCACAGGCAGTGGTATCATTGGAGTTTCAACTGGTTTGAACGCCCTTTCGCATCACGCTGCATGCACTGTTTGGTGGTCATTTATTGCGGCGGTCGTGATTATCGCGACAGCTTCAGTGCGTAAGCTCCAACATGTGGGCTGGCTCACTTACGCAGGTTTTATCTCGATCTATGCCGCAGTCTTCATTGTTGTCATTGCAGTAACCACGCGCGACCGCCCGGCCGCCGCACCTCAGGAGGGCCCCTATGATCTCGGTTACCTAGCCATCAACAACCCCGGATTTGCCGCTGGTATGGTTGCCTCTAGCACTATATTCGTGTCCACGGCTGGCACCAGCGCTTTTATCCCGGTAATGTCGGAAATGCGAAATCCAAAAGACTACAAGAAGTCGCTATACCTGTGCATGGCTTTGGTTACCGCATCTTACCTTGCTTTCAGCTTGGTTCTCTATCGCTGGTGCGGACAATGGGTTGCCAGTCCATCCTTAGGTGTGCGTATTCCTTGCTTTATACCTGCGTGACATTCGATTTCATGTGCTAAAACTTGATGTAGAGCGCCGGACAAACCATCAAGATGGTGTCTTACGGTGTTGCTTTACTGGGGCTGGTTGTGAGCGCTACAATTTACCTGCATGTGAGTGTTTTCAATCGCACTTGAGGGTTCAGGGCTAACATAGCGGGATACCTCTAAGATCGCCGCCAAATACATCTTTGTGCGTATTTTGGGTAACACACGTCATTTGCAGTCCAACACAGCTGTCCACTGGGCTACTTGGTTGAGCTGCACGATTATCCTCGGTGCAATTTCTTTCATTCTCGCGGAGGCTATCCCTATTTTTAACTACTTGATTGCCTTGGTCGGTTCTGTTTGCTTTGCCCCTCTCGCCATGTCCCTCCCTGGCCTATTGTGGCTGCATAGCAACCGTCACTACCGGAAAGGCACCCTGATACAGAAACTGATTTATTTGCTACACTGGGGAATGGTGCTGCTCGGAATATTTTTCCTAGTCGGTGCAACGTACGGTGTCGTTATCCAAATTATCGATGCCTACGCCACAGGAACAATTGGTAAGTTTTGGTCCCGTCTATGTCATAAGATTGTAATTGACGTTTTTTTAATTTTTTCTAGGCTCTGCTTTCAGCTGCGTTGACAACTCGAACTCGTCTTAAAAATGCCTCCTCGAAAAAATCTTTCATTTTCCGAGTTGCTTGGCAACAGCTCTGAACAGTAATATTTGAGATATACCATACACCTGGGGTGGATAATTTAAATGGGTGGTATGATTGGATGCAATGGGGCCCAGGGGCTCAAAATATGTTCTCTGCAATTTAAGCAGTTTAATGTAATAAGTTGTCAGAAAATCGTATCAAAATCCGCACCAAGCCTCGCTTAACTTTTGATTGGTTGTCTCTAGGGTTAGAGTCAACGTTGCTCTCCACTTGAGCACCGGAAAGTATTCCGCGGACCTAGCGCAAAATGTAGTAAGCACGATCGTGTCTGTCTCTTCTGCTCGACGAAAAAAAAAAAGGTTGACAGCTTGTTTTTGTGGAACCCGAAGGCGCGAGGATTCTCACTTGGTATTCAGGCTTTTTATGAAAACTGAGTGAGCAAGGCTCCGCGAATCGCCCTGTCTTTGTGCACTCTGGATTTGTGGATCATGTGCAAGAGTGGCAAAAGAGATCCTATCCCTGGCCCCGGAAAATGTCAAAATCGGAAATCCGTGGTATCCCGTGGGGATCCACCCGCGACGGGTCCTCATGCACCCGATCGAAGTTAAACCTGCGGAGTTTGCCGGTGGTCTTGTAGCCTTATGGAGTGTGACAGCTGTTTCATCTATAATGGTTGAGCGCACGTAAATATGCTAGTTATGAGCCGGATTCAAGAAATATTGTAACGGAGGCCAATGGTGATCAAAATATCAAAATAATCACATACAGGGTCTAGTCAGTCGCATACTGTAATATATACATCAAATTACCGAACGCGCTCAGACTTCTTGTAATTTGGGTGGCTTCTCATACAGTGGGTGTTCATAAGTTTGAATCCGTGATTTTTACCGCCTAATTTTTGCCATACTTTCTGCCGTCCCAACCCTCCAGATTCTTCTATTTACAGGCCCCACCCCGTTAGTAATTCGTATACCATCCATCAATCTCAGTAATAGGAGGCATAATAGCGTTAAAGAAGGCAAGGAAATTGTATCCAAACCAGACGGTGCTCTAGTGCGCGTTTGGCGGCAAGGTAGATAGTAAAGGCGGTGAAAACTCGGATTCAAACTTATGAAACCCACTATATATAAAGGCTTTACGTCGCTTCAAGAACCTCTCACTTTTCACTCCCACGACGCCCTATTTCTACAGCCTATTTAGCTTAGCCCCTGCCAATGCATCTCAAATCGTCCGTAGATCAGTTCTAGCTCTGGTAACGGGAGACTGGTTAAAATCTATGTCATTTTTTACCCCTACACATCAAGTTCTTTTGATTCCGAGGCCAAAAGCTAGATCAGACAACCTGCACACTTTGCACTATAAGGTGTTCTTTTCTCAACTAAGACTGCCCCGATAAGCTATAATTGTAGATTATTGCCTTTTCAAAACGCGTAATCTTAATATGCATTCGATTTTATATCTCGATAATATTCACTGCCTACATATTGTATCGATGAGTCCTGCTCAAATATCTACATCATAGGGCTTTAAACACATACATAATATATCACGTAACTTGTATGAAACCAAATGCTCAATATCTCTGTATCAGAAATCGAGGCCTTTAGCTGTCGGCAATCAGTGTAAGTAAAGTAGCTTGGAACCGGGAAACACTACTCTTAGAAATCAAGTGATAAAAGGCTAATGGTCTATTAATACTCGGCGTATATACTTTACTTAAGCCTAGAATAGACATACTTATACTTAAAGGGTAGAAAAGCTTATATTCAATACCGTAGCGGTATTTTTCTACTTGGTGAGTGACACTATATACTCTAGGAAGTAAAGGAGGATTATGCTCTAACACTACGAAAGCAATAGTAGCTAGATTTTCTATCTATCGCTACTAGGCCTCGGCACAGAACCGCGCAGAACCGCACCGCACCGCACCAGTCCGAACCACGAAACGGTTCCACAGACAAGACAAACATAGAATATATTTATAACGTGGTCGGTAAGCGAGTGTCCCATGTAAGCGAGTGGCCACCCGCGAAACACCATAGTTAAGACCACATTTTCAACTTCAATATTTCAATAACTATGGCTCTTTGTTGGTTTTTTTTTGTTATGAGTTACTCAAAGGCAGAGTGATGTTTCAGATACCGTAAAACATGTTAGACTGAATGCGGATGTGAGCAATGCATTCGATGCTACTGCAAGGGGACTAGTACGAGTAGCTATCTTTGCCCGGCCATTCATGTCCCGTGGCCATATCGCGAGCTCCCGAATCCGTCACGTTGATTCTGGGCCATAGATACTTCTAACATCTATCAAAAATGGTGTTGACATTTACGAAGGCGGGGCTTCGAAACTATAAGTCAATAAAAATACGGACGTCTGTTATAAAAAAGTTTCTTGCAAACTTCGAGACTGTCAATTTGACTTGATGTAGCCAATTGAATGCTGAGCTGCAACTGGACATAATCTGTTGGTACCACCAAGCTCATAACATGGTAGTAGCAATACAATAAAAACATAAAACATTCCCCCATTGAACTAGCCCCGAAAGGTCGCATTAAAATCAAACATTTAATATCAGAAGAGAACGATTAAACAAATAAAACGAGAACAAACAAAAAGCCATCAACGACAACCGTGATATTACTAGGCCAGTCATCTTAATATCAGTTACATTGTACGTAAGCTGACGATGACTCATAGCACTAGTCAAGGGTAAGACCAACTAGTAGTCTACATTCCCCTTACCAGCTAAACGACCCTCGCTGGGCTCATTTGTTGCCCTCCTTGGTACCAACCTATTCATAACTCAATGTCAGTCTTGTGGGAACACGGAAGTGAAGTAACCTAAAATGCGCGTATAATCTACCTCTATAATAGCGGGGCCAGCAACGATGTTATCGTCGGTTACGTGGCTTTTGCCTTTGGTGATGACAATGTAACTCTGGCCTGCAACGCCCTTTGGGATGGTGGCAGTGAACGATCTGTCGCCCGTAAAGTGGAGGGAAGTCCATATAGGTCCAGTAACAGTAATGAAAGCAGCGTACAGGTTGTTTAGTTTGGAATCGTCGAAGCCGCTGCCAGCCATTAAGTGAACTTTAGAGCCGCTAACGACAGCGTGACTAGTGGTTAACGTTAGAGAAGGAGATGCCTTCACTGGAAGTTTTCCATTGCTGGAGGGACATGAGATAATAAAGGGTGATGCGACGGCGTATACTTCGTCGAAGTCTAGGGGGTCATCGAATGGCTGGGCGAAAGGAATCTCACCAATCGCAGCTCATAAGTAGGCGCTATGACGGGCCTCAACCGTCAGAATACTTCCAGCGGCGGTAAGATAACCTTTATTAGCAATGGACGCGGCAGCACCGAGATAGGCACTAACACCAACACCTAATAACAGTCATTAGCAGAAATTATTTAATGATAAGATCAAGTAGTACCTTCGAGGACACTAGCAAGGGCTAGGAAGGTTTTCACATCGGTAGACGGAAAAGAATACGTGCAACGTTTAACGGGAGAAGCACCAGTAGCTAGAGGGAACCATCAGGTCTCGCTCGTCATAATTTCTATGGTACTCACTAGTGAGGGCTTGCGTAAGGAAAGCCACGTGTGTTCTCTCGTCCGCAGCGACCTCCTGGAGGTTGGTGTAGAACGGATCTTTAAAGCCAGCGTTCACGAAATTACTCTGAGTGTAGTTCTTGAGACCCTCCTCATAAAAGGTGGCCTCGAGGTGTTCGAGTGTTAAGGCATAGTTGAGGATATCAGCTAAACGGTTGAAAATTCATTAATTCAACTCAGCTAATAAATTTAGGGGCAAAGCATACCGTCAGTGATGGCTGCACGGGTGACAACAGGGCTAGCCTGTGCCATACTGAGAATCGCACCGGTTAGAGCAATTCTGACGACCTTCATTGTGTGTAGATGTAGAGATTTCGTGGAAATTTCTCGATTGATTGAGTCGTGGGACTTGACAAAATCAAACAGTTTAGTATCGGAGGCAAGTGATCAAGATAATTTATACCTGATAGCGATCAGACCCCTTGTTTGTTGACTTGTTTTAAGAGGCTCGTGGTATATCACGTCTTGAACAGCTAATAAATGCGCCCTTGTAAATTTCCTTTCCGGAATTTGGGCGCTTTCTTAACTCAGTAGAAACATATTCTTAGGCCAAAATGTTGTGATCGGCGTCAGAGGTTCCGAATCTAGACAAAGCCGACGGAAGGCGGAAGGATTATATCGCTCAGGAATATTACAACGCCACGAATCACAGATCATATGTTAGGGGTAAAGCGAGACCGAGAACGAATCCGACGTTGTGGAATTTGAAATTGTTTTGGGCTTACGTGCTTTTCAAACGGAAAGTAAAAGAAATGTTCAATATTAAGGACAGGTCACGTGTAGCGAGCTAGTCCCGGTTGGGACTTGGGGGTGGTGTTGTTTTGTAGTTGTTCGCTCTCTCTTTCTTTCCTCGGTTTAGAACTTTTCTGAATGGCACACAAATTATCCTGTACTGGCCTGTGACACTTTCTACTTGAATATATCACTATACTGCACTAATCGCATAACCCAAAACACAGCGCGTCGAAAATCGCAAAATTGGCAATAACAAAGATCTTCCTAGCAAAGATTTGGATGTCTCAACCGCCTCTATAAGAGGTTGTGTGATCTCTTGGCTCTCCTAGGCGGTAATTCCACCTTTCTGAGTAATCTCGACACGAGAAGTATTTGTAGCAGGGGGACCTTTTTGGCTTTGGAGATCTAAAAAATAGCCATCGCGTTTGGCGGGCTCGCCACAGCGCCTGTATAGTTCAAAGGGATGCTAACAAAGAAGAAAGTCCATCTTTTCAGTCTCTTGCACGTTTTGGCCAATGATTCAAGGTCAAAAAGTTCTCCAATCGGTGTTCCCCAGCCTGCCAAGAGGATGGGATGCAATGCCCATTTAAAATCGAGAGGTGCTGCATAGTTTTTATATGAGTAAGAATAAAACTATTTGATTGATGGACTAGACATACGAGTGCATTCAAATGCAGGAGAGTCTGCAGCAACTGCAGCATACTGACATTTCCAGAGCCATTCGCAGGTTTCCTGGGATTGCGCAAGACCTGGAAACTCAAATTTGCTGGATAGTGAACCTCTTGTCGCTGCATCAGCTTGTTGATAAGCTGCAATATACCCTGAGCTTGATGTGAGTCCAATGACGCCAATATAATCGTCGCCATAAGACTTACCCGTCCGTATGATCAATATATCCCCCTCCTGGGGCCGAATCTCTTTTTCCTGGATGATTTTCTGGACATCCGAAAGTGATATTGGTGACGACGCGAGAGGATCATACGACTTTCCTGTTTCTAGTGCCCAATCAAAGTAATCAATCAGGAAGGCCCTTCCGGCGATAGCATGCTTAGCCCATGCACTGATACTGTTCATATCTGGTTGATCTTTGCCATGTATATCTTGTTGAGTCACGCTTGAACTGATTAGAATTCGGAAATTTAGCACTTGAAGTTCCGAAGTTTAGCTTACCCGTTATAAAAATATCCTTCTTTCTGATAGGCAAAGTGACGGAAGCCATCCCATTGGGAGCTACCTTGCGTGTTGAAAGTGATCTAGGCCGAAGTTAAGAAAATATACAATGAAATGCGGAGATAATAAATTTACGATGTCATCATTCACAATGCTCGGACTTTTATCGATCACCTTTTGTTGGAAGATTTGTCGACCTAAGAGCCCGGGGTCGATAGCATCAAGCGGAAGACTTGGCGAGCAGTTTATGTCAGGCAAAGAAGCCAAAGCTATCAAAACACAGAGATCGCTTACTTGAGTGTGACTCTATCGCCAGTCTTAATCTCAGATTTCGCAGCCTCCAAAGTCTTAATTTCATGGAGGTGGTTAAGCGAACCAAGAGCTGGGTTTTTCCAGAGACCCCAGGCCGAGAGTGGTGGGTCGCTTTCTTTGAGAGGCAATTCTCCGAATTCTGGAATCTTTGAGTAATTCATTTGAAGTCCTAGGGTAGTTAATGTCTCCTTAGTAGGTAGAGCAGGCTGAAGGAGTGATTATATAGAATACGTCCTCTGGCCGTCAACTTCCGCCGCCGGAGATGTATCACCGAGATCTCCGTAATGTGGAAAAATAGACTGATACAAATACTACATGCAACACTCCAAAAGGGCACATCCAAAGATTAGGAAAAATTAGAAAAGTTTTCTCAAGCAAACCAAGTGCTAGAATGGCGAAACCTGGTCTTTTATCTATTCAAATTGATCCGCATCACAAGTGGGAGGAAATCCGGATTTCAAGCCTGTTTGCCATGGATGCCGTTCCTTCTGCTTCCTCCAAATTGGTTTTATTGGCTACGGACGTCTACACGCCGGAAAAACATTACCAATACGAAATATTATTCCAACTGGAAGATGTTTCGAAAGTAGACATTTCTCAGCTGAACCAGGCCCTGAATGCACTTCCCGCCCTAGTGGACCTTGCACTCTACGAACGCCTCAATTTCGACAAACGAGACGGACCCCTCAACCCCCAAAGAACGGACGTCGTCATCAAAGTTGGACTTACTCCCAAGAATGATCCTGAGGTGTTCCAAGATTATCACAACTGGTACTCAACGGAACATATCCATCGCCTGAAAAGAGTGGATGGTTGGAAGACAGGGAGTCGCTACCAATTATTCCAGCAGGTCGGCAGGAAGCAGGAATATGCTGCTCCTCTCGTGTCAATTCATCAGTACGAAGCAGTGAATGGCCTGGGAGGGGTAGAATGGGAGAAGTCTGTGAGAACGGAGTGGACAATGCGGGTCGATAGCAACAAAGAGAGATTGCCTCATCGCAGGCAGTTCCAAGTGCAGGATTTCAGCATGCGGAATCCTGTGACAGAGAATTGAAGTCGGTTACCAGCATCTGCAGCTCATTTTACCTGTTTATTCTCGCCGCCTTTGCCCTCTGACCTTCCGCGGAGATTGTAGTCTCTTCTCTTCTTCATCTGAATAGCTTCAATCTATCCAGTTTCTTCATTCTTTCCTTTCTTCTGTTCAATAACACACGAACTTTGGTTTCTGTCATCATTTTTATTCCCAGAAATGAGAAGTTCTGAACCTTCTCCGGTGGCTATAGCGATCTCATGGGAACCGCTTATTATTAGCTCCCGCCTTGAAATATGGTCCTCTTTTGTAAGCTCTTGCGATATAGTCAAACAATACAAATGATTTCAATAAGCTCGTCAATTTCTTAGTTTTGCTATTTATTTACTATGTATTAAGACCCAGACACCAAAAGATCCCATGTATCATATCTTCGTCCCATTTCTCATTCGCTTTGAGAGAAGGAATCTTTCTGAATGCGTGGGGGTAGCCGGCAAAGACATTGAGCCTCACCGGAATTCTAGACACCTGTCAACCGTCATCCGATATCGTCAAGCAGAAAGGCGAATGCGCACCCTGAATTTTGCAATTTTTGGTGATAAAGAAGACCATGGTCACGCAAAGGGTCAAGGCCGCATACCATGATATGAGTGGGAGGCAAATTCCTCAGAAGACCATTGTAGGCCAAAAGAGGGTTGATGATAGGGTTTCGGCAATCTGCTGATGATGGCTGCAGTAATGTCGCAAAGTCCATGACTAGGCTTGATGGTAATAGATCAGCGCCAGCACACTGCATCGGGGACGCGCAGTCAGGAGTGGAGAACTCCTCAAACGGGAAGCTTTGTGGTAAACAAAGCCAAGGGCACCAAAGAAATTGCCCTTTAATAGTAGCGTTGGACTCCTGCAGAGAATGTGAATAGGTGAGTGGCTTTTCTTTCTACCAACAGACTCGATTGATTCCATACCAGCCGTTCCCTAGTCACAACGCTAGCAGCTAGACAGGCGCCGCTACTAGTTCCACCAACATAGAGATCTATATTAGAGGGTAGCAGATGATGACCCTGGTTTTGCAGGATCCAATTCCGCACATCCCACGCATCTTGAAATTGTACTGGACAAGTCCATTCCGGTGTATGGCGGTAGTTCACACTAACAATCACTATACCACAGGCTTCAGCCAGCTGGACGCAAATCGCGTTCTCGGAACCAAGAGTACCGGCGAGAAAGCCGCCACCGTGGAAATAGATAATTACAGCCCTAGACGAAAACTGTGCTTCACTAGGACGATATATACGAGCGCTGATCTCTTGAAAGTCGCTCGTTGGGATGGCCACTGTTTTGGTCTGGATATGTAGCGCTGTCTTTCCTTCCATTATGCTGCGCGAGACATTGATCCGTGCTGCATTCGTGATCCGTCGAGACTCGGCAATTCTTTCGGGCGTATCATACTGTGGCAGAGGTTGGGGTGCATGCTGGCGAACATAAGATGACCATTCCTCTGCACAATGTCCATAGTGGCTAAAATCGGCCATGCTGGGAATGCGATTTCGATCCTTACCGAATCAGTTCTATTAGATTGTGCTGGTATGTGGCACTGAAACCAGTCATTTATGTGCGTCACAAGCAAAGTTCGGCGTTAGCCGGAGATTTGATCCCCGGATTTGAGTGGGTCTCAACAAAGAGGTTTGTCGCCACGCCCCGCAAAAGTTCACCGAGGTCGGGGAAACACCGCCGTCGAATCCCAGGGTAGAGATGAAGAATATCATGAACGCATATTTCATCAGAAGTCACTCATGTGCTGGCAGTTTCCCTAGCTCAAAGTCTGTCTCTGCATGGGAAGATCTTTCCCCGATTAATCCAGCATTTTCTTACCTTGCTCCTCGACTCGATATCTCGATTGCCGGAATTAGCTTACGAGTGGGAATGAAAACTTCGACCATGCGGACCTCATTCAAAAGGCTGCCATTCAAGAATTTTCTGATATGCCTTGCCATCGCGTTCGGGAATGTGACCTATGGCTATCACGCCGGTATATATTCATGGCTACCACCATCAAGGGAGAAAAAGCTAATAGTGAGATCAAGCCATCATTGGAACAACTCTTTCTCAGCCCACCTTTCTGATTTACTTTGGAATCGAGAATGAGACCAAGGAAAGATCTGCCAATGCGGATGCTTTAATTGGGGCAATGAACGGGTCGTTCCAAGTAGGCTTTTCATCCTGTGTGTTCGCAGATGAGAATGTGCTAATTGGGGTCTGTAGGCCGGTTCTCTGTTGGGCGTCATTACTACCGGTATGATACTCACCCGGTATGGGTGTAAGATGGCCATTTTCTACGCCGCAACCTGCTGTACCATCGGTGCGGCCATTGTAACAGCAAGCCAGAATGTTGCCATGTTCATTGCCTTCAGGTCCGTCGCGGGGTTCGGCTCGGGCCTGTTACAGGTTTGTAAGTTTACATAAAATTGAAGCCCATTGTTAGTACGAGTTGAACACACTCTGATACAGCCCGATGTTATGCAGGTCCGGTTTATACCGCCGAGCTTTCTCCGCCCAAATTTCGAGGTTTCTTCGTGGGGATGAACGGTTTGATGATTGCGGTGGGTTTTGGGTTGGCATCATGGGTAGGCCTCGCGTTTAACAGCTTGGTGTCCGATTCAGAGGCACAGTGGAGAGGCCCTCTTGGAATCGGAATACTGTTTTGCCTGATGTCTATTGGCTTTCTGCCCTTTCTTCCTGAGTCACCCCGCTGGAGGATGATGCATGCACAGAACGAGGAGGCTTGGATTACTCTCCGTGAGATCCATGATTCTGATGGAGACGAGCAACTCCATCACTTTGCAGTGCGCGAGTACAACCAAATTCGCAAACAAGTTGAGCTCGATTGCACTCTTGATAGCTCCTGGAAGCATATGTTCCACAAGCCCTCCTATCGCCGACGTTGCTTACTGGTCATTGCCTATGCATTCTTAGGTGAAAGCACCGCTATGCTAGTGATTACTAACTACGGTTCGATTTTGTATAAGCAACTGGGATATGACAATCACAGCCAAATTGTTCTAGAGGCAGCATACCAGGTAATTCCCTTCGTGGGAAACTTGGTTGGCTGTCTGATTGTGGATAGAGTGGGGAGGCGAACACTTATGCTAGCGTCCCTTGTTGGCTGCAATATCTTTGTCGCACTCGAAGCGGCCATGGTTGCGGTCTATGCCGACTCAGCATCGAACGAGGCCGGCCTGAAGATGGGAGTCGCGGTGCTTTTTTGTTTTATCTTTTGTTACGCCATTGGTGTCGATGTCGCGGGCATCGTGTTCTACGGTGAAATATTTCCTAACCATATCCGCGCCAAAGGACTGACTTTGGCCGTTGGGGCAAGGACATTGACGGATCTGGTCTATCTGGAAGCCGCCACGACGGCCTTTGCCAATATTGGGTGGCGATTCTTCTTGGTATTCAATGTGATTCTAACGGTCGGTACGGTGGTAATGTATTTTGTTCTTCCAGAGACGAGGGGGTTGCCGCTGGAGGAAGTCGCTGCCATATTTGGTGACAAAGATGAGGTCAGATCTTACATTCATCAAATCAATGATGAGGACAATAATACTGCGCTACCGGAGTTTTCTGACACTGAAGTTGGGGAGAGTAAGTGTGAGTTAGACCCTTCAAAAGGGTCCGAGTATTTACATCTTGAATATGTCGGTGCTTGATTATATATGTACTGTGCTACAATTACCTATTGTCAAGTTAGGGTTTCATTGAGTTGTTTGCGCGCTGTTGTAAAATATTTTATGTCATTATGACGGTACGCTTGAGTATGCTTTGAGACTGTCTGGTAGCATGACGACGTATTTTAAATTGAGGCAAATGCTTCTCACTATCAGGGAACAAATCAGGCACTGTTACAATGCTTGAAGCGGGATCTGTATGAGCACATAATGTGGAAGCTCTCTTTTACGACTGAGGGGCAGGGATGGTCACACACACGGCGGGAAGTCATTGAAAAAGTCCAAACAGCAGGTCTGACCCATCCAAAGGCGGCAATTGTGAGTCCCAATCCCACGTATCCCAAGTTTCGCAAAGGGTGGATTTTAAACGGTCATCCAAGTTTGCGTCTGAGGCGGCGTTATCTAGAGATGGAAGGCAGTCCTGTGCTGGGTTAATAGCATCAAGCGGTTGCATGGGCCTGGAAGGTTGCGGCAGGTTCGAATCATTTATGTCGTCCATGGACACTCCCGTTCGGGCAAAGAGATCCCGAATGATCAAGATCGGTTTCATGAGTCCTCTGTTAGCACCTTTCTGAATTGCAGTCAATGCTCTGAGGACGAAATGTGGGAATCCAGCTTGGTCAGATTGATTGGGAACAACTGTAGCGGCAGAGAAGAGAGCATATGAGAACAAGTAAGGCGCATGTTGGAATCCAAAGCTTTGCTCATATCTCTGGGATATATGATAGATGTGAGCTGCTGAAGATACACAAATGGCACGTAAAGAATCATCCTCCATTTGGATATGGCTCAGATGCCCTTCAGACAAGAAAGGTCGACGAAGGAGAACGTTAAGAAGGTGGAAGGTGGTGTGGCAAGTAATCTGATGCGGCGGCAATGTGAGATCAACCTCGGGGTTGAATCTTAATTGCTTGGGAAGCACATTCTGCCATAGTTGCAAACGCCTTTGTATATCCCTGAGACTCTTCTTTGCATCCAAAGATGAGATGGAGGGGGCGGATGGGTGATAAAAAATTTGAATGATATCCGCGGCAATTTCAGCAAGCCGAAGTAACGCATTGAAAGTCGCGACCACATAGGTTGGCAGTGGGTTGTACGACGGTTGTTCTTTTGCGGGGCTTTGAGGGTCGACATAAGGCGACCATAAATCCATTTCTTCGTACGTATCGAGAAAGATCTGACTGGGCTCATACCCAGTGCGATTTAGGTCTGGAAGACGACCAAAGTACAGAGATTGAAATTTGTCGATGATATATGCACTCCAAAATATGCGCCGGCACATCTCCTTCTCACTGTTAGACATTTGGTTCAGTGATGGCTGTGGCGGGGGTTGTGAAGGGCGCGATTTAGCCTCATCGAGATGTAGTCCGAGGTCAGTGATCATTCGATAAGCAAGGCCGCAGTACATCCATCCTGCTGTGTGCTGCCCGCTAGAAACAAGGCTCGAACCCATCAATAGCAAGGCTGTCACTGAAGGTATACTCGACTTTTCCATTTGTTCAGGCAATAGCATCTTGAACTGATCATAGAACACCTGTTTCAGCCCTTGGCTCGCGGAGCCGCACCCACTTACATCGCGTCGCTGGCTGTGAAGGGCAGAGGCATAGAATATAGCGTACCAAAGGAGCTTATTGGCGTAGGGGCCGTCTGAATGGAAATTCTGCATGACCAATGGTCGGTAGGTGAGAAGGAACATCAGGTGATGGCGGTTCCAGTGAATATCCAGAAGGTGATGTATTGTATCCCAGTCAAGACCCTCGAACGGATGAGTTGGAGAGAGGAAACTGTGTGCCTCGATCTGTCGCTGCAAGGCGGCGACTACCACCAGTTGCATTTTCCGATGCTCTCTGGTTGTCTCGTGCCAATTCTCGGCGCTTGCACAGCTTGCTGGAGAGGCAACTTGTCGCCCGGCCATCCCTCTCATGTCGCGGTAGCGGAACGCGGAGGAAACTCCGTATGAAGATACCGATTCTTGGTCATTCAAAATATATGTGACTGCATGGGGTGACACCGGCTCCTGTCTAGGCGACTCAATATTCGCCTGAATGGATGTACGGTGAGCTTCTGGGCTGGCCGACTCTGACATATGGTCAACCTGAGGATTTTCCGAGCCAGAAAGCTCAATGGGTTGTTCTTGTCGCACGAGGTGTTCGGGGGATGACAGTAATGAATCGGTTTCCCTACTATCCTCTTTCCCCAATCTAGCTGCTGGCCTTCCATCTTCCAATAAGAAGAGGCGATCGTCCAACCGATGCAGAATCCCTTCAATATGCTCCATACTGGTGGCAAGAGATGATATCTTTTCCTTGGTAACACGCGAGGTAGCCTGCCGTTTGTCTTCGCCATAAATACACATTTCTGCATGCGTCTTGCACGGCGAGCAGCTCGGCCGCTGACTGTCACATTTGATCTGCTAACGCGGTCAACCTCTCCGTTGCTTTGGTCATCACGGCGAAAACTCACCTTGCGGATCCGGCATCTCACACATGCTTTACAAGTGGCCCCCGGGCGACTTCTGTGCTGCGTCAAGGTCATGGGTGCCGATAGCGGTGAGCACTGTGTGGATAGCACTCCCCGAGTTGATTTAAAAGGGTTGAAAAAGGTCCATCAAAGATAGTAAATAAATTGTTAGCGGATAGAGTGAGAATGACTGGAGTAAGTCACTCGAGAAACATGGGGAAGCCAGGGGGCTGCTAAACGTGCTCATTATCCATTACCCCGCACGAGGACGAAATATGGGTCTGCACTACGAATGAGCGTCGGGCCGGGTCGTGCTTTGCTTTTGGTCCGCGCGACACTTCTAAATGCCGTAGCCAATTGAAATGGGACTCCCCACATCTGCTAAGATCATAGGCCATCTGGTTAGGTCTATGCAATGGTGGCGGCCAATATATATAGACAACTCCTTGTCCGCACTGCTATCGAGAGTCTTACTGTGAATGGATGGATGAATTCATATAATTTACGAGTCATGAAGGCGCCCAAGAATAAGTGAGTTTGGGCCAGTTGGGCCGGTCTAAAACTGCTAGGGTCGCCCACGCGTCTGTCCAAGGCCTACATACCGCTTAATTAGTGATTATAAACCACCAACCACTTATTCAACTTAATTGCGAAGGGTTAAGACAAATTAGCTCATCCACCCATCCACTATAGTAAAGATGGAAGATAAAAATTAGTGTGGGTACTACTACGTATACAAAATTGCAATTATGCTTGGGGAAACCATAGTTCATTTTAAGTAGAATTGACAGGTCTCCGTTGAATCGATCCTGTCCTTCCCGAGTCCGCGCATCGCAAAAAGCCCACCCCGGATGGTTCCCATTCTTGATCCTCTAGTACTGACGATAAAATTCTAACAAGAGAATTAATACTCGGCTATTCCGTAATGCCTGCTATTCAGATGAGTGTCTCTTACCCTTGTCCCAGAGACTTCCAGGTACTTCTCGCCCTGTCAGCGGCCTTCCTGGATGCGAAGACTCCGACCACGAGGATCTGCCTGGACTCCTCCAAGTCAGAAATCACAAAGGCAATCTGGTCTTTTTCGCGCGGTTCGTCTGCAACTTTACCCAAGATAGCCAGAATTTCCTCAGATCTTGCGTACGTGATAGTCAACACAGAAACTGATCCTGTGATTGCCACCAAGGGTCCCGAGCTGTTCACCGGGTCGGGCAATCTACTCTTTTCAACGAGTCGACCTCGACAAAGTGCAGCAGCCGTCGGAGGTGGCGCTAGTTGCTCTTCAATAAGTACTGTCCGGAATTTTTCGTAGGCCGTGCTGCGGCGATGAGTATCTTCCAAGGCACTATCATTGCGGTAAATTTCGACCCCACGAATAGCTGTCGTCTCGGTGACCGAAAGCAGCCAAATGTAGGCCAAGCAGTCGGGCTCAGAGGTGAGCGTCTCCTTTCCAACCTCTCTCAAGAGCGAAAGGAACTAAGAGGTGCGGTCAGCAATTCTCGGATCCAGTAAGAGTGAAAAGAACTCATCCTTACTCGTGCTCTTTTCTGATCGGAGGCAATGTTCACCAAGGGGGAGAGAACTAAAGCGGCCATGGTAAAGCCAGAAGCTTAGATTCAATAAAGGAGGGAGATTCATCAGAACCCAAATGATGAGAAAAATAAATTGGCATCCTGTAGGTAATTAGCCCACTCAGTCGGTGTGCGTACTTGTCTCTGCTTGTCCCGGAAGTATGAACGAAGGAGTGTGTCGGGGGTAGATATCCGTTCTTTCCGTCTGGCCGCCCCACCACATTCACGACCGGATATGCGGACATCACAATGCCGATAGTAGTCTTAGTAACCCAGAACGTTAAATGTGCTTCATTGTGAACCGCTGCTTTGAGAATGTCATGCCTTGTGGCTATGACTATGACTATGACTTCTCGCGAGCATTTTTATGCACAGCTGCAGACATTGGAAGAAGAATTACCCGGCAATCGCATGCGTTGGTATCTCTCCGTGTTTCCTTGTCTAGCTGCTCTCAACCAAGTCGATGAAATCGTCGACCTCTACCCCATTTTGCTACAAAAGTACGTTGATGAAGCGCAGCATCGACAAGTTACCCGACAAATTCGAGAATCACTTACCAAAGCCGTGGGTGTTATTGGCGCAGCAAAGGTCGCTTCCCTTTAACCCTCGGATGATTTTCAAATTTAAAGCATTCGAACTGATTCAGACAGACCGGAAATGCTCTACGGGCCTTGGCAGGCGTGGTTCCTCCATACCTCCATGATCAATTGAATTATCGGTGTGTGAAAATATCTTGAAGTCGATATACTATTCAGCCTCTCATCCATGATAGCGAGAATGATTCACCTGAGGTAGCGTCTAAAAGAGGCCGTGAGTTTTTCAAGAAAATCTACCTCCTCGATCCGGATGTGGACCCCAATCCTACCCGTGAAGCGGGTCCAGATTATGACTTTATCGTCCTAGGTTAGTCAATCCTGCAGTCCCTGGATCAGAAAAAGTCTTTATTATATTGATAACTGATCAATTCTGTACAGAACTGCTTTATGGACGCGTTTTCTCCTTCACTGAAGTGCTGGACATTCTCGAGAGTGAACAAGTAATGGTGTCTGCTTTGATTGGGATTGACTGCGTGGAGCAAGTTAGATTCCATATGATAGGCCTGCTTCGAAATGGCGCCCGGAGAGACGAGGTGGACTTTATTCGTCAGATTAGTGCTTTGGTCGTGGATACAATTGGTGTCAAGGAATCGCGAAAAATCCCCACTGTACCAGAGCTGTGACAGCATGACGCCACTTCAGTCGTCCCTATTGTAGTGAAGAAAAGGAACAAAGGGGAAAAGAAAGTGACAGATTGAAGCCATATAGAAGAAAGAAAAGAAGAAACTACAATCAGCCAGTGGGCAAAAGCGGTGAAACTAAACATGTGTACATAGTCTTCTTGCACAGTTGGAAAGCTTGAGTCATGGTGGGCTCACTTGCATCTTTCTTGCAATTACGTAGCAAAATTCAGACTCATTCTAGACGGCCGCGTCTTCTAATTCATAGAATAATGATCTTAGGTGGGAGAGGTTGAGTATTCGACTCGGTCCCGCGAGATACAGTTATTCTGGCTTAAGTTCTTTCATTTTGCTTCAAGAGATTACGTTTTTTCACTCATCGATTGCAATCGCAGACACTGCCCTTTATGCGCGAATATCATTGTATCAAGGTACTTCGGAGTTAGCCATAGCTGTGGTTCCGCTGTGCCTGTCTAATTAAGCGGAAACCCCCGAGGCGACCAGCCTGAGACGAGTCCGGAGTTGGATCTCCGTACTAATCTACCCCCTGCGCACTAGGCTGGCTGCCACCATACCTTCGGAAACCGATTATCCGTTCGTCTAATCCTGTTACATCGCGATCGGACTATCCTACAATTCAATAGATATCTTGGCATTGGGTAACAGATATAATCTTTCAACTGCGACTATCACAAATTAACCAAACGCTTCTTCTCATTCATTTCATTGTGACTTTAATATAGTCTGGACAAGAACACATTTTCTTCCTCAAGAATTTCTTTGACAGCAAGAACACTTCAATGCACGAATTATCTATTGCCGCAATTGGTGAAAACCGCCAGATTCGGGTCGTCTGCTTGGGTGCGGGCTACTCAGGCCTAATGATGGCTATTGCGGTCCGCGAAAAATTCCACACAGAAGACCTGGAGTTTCAGGTGTACGAGAAGAATGCGGATCTTGGTGGAACGTGGCTAGTCAACAGGTAGTACAAGCTATTGTCTTCCCTTGCTTTGACATTGTCTGAAATCTTTTCTTCTCAGGTATCCTGGTTGCCAATGTGATATTCCTACCCATAATTATCAGTTCAGCTTTGAACCGAAGCCTGACTGGCCCAATTACTATGCGACGTCCGAGCAGATACATCAATACATGACCCAGGTGGCATGCAAATACCGCTGTGAAGACTTTTTTAAGTACAGTCACGAGGTTGTAAAGGCGCGATGGGATGATGAAGAGGCGAAATGGCACATCACTGTCAAATCCGGTGACGCACAATTTGTCGATATCTGTGATGTCTTCATCAATGCAGGCGGTGTCCTAAACAACTGGAATTGGCCTAGTATTCCGGGGATCAGTTCGTACCGAGGGAAGCTCCTGCACTCTGCTGACTGGGATCTGAATTTTGAGTTCCAAGACAAGACGGTAGCTGTGATCGGCATCGGATCTTCAGGGGTCCAAATCATGCCTGAACTGGCGAAGGTGGCGAAAAGTGTCACATTGTTTGCGCGATCTCCGACATGGATCAGTCCTTCCGGGATTGGTGAGCCAGGACCGGGAGATCCTGAAATCGACCGCGAGTACAAATACACGGAAAGGGAACTGATCAGATTCCGAGATGATCCTCAATATCTCCTCCGTCATCGGAAAGACCTTCAAATCAACCGTATTACCGGATTCAGGCAGTTCATCATAGGAACGCCGTCCCAGCTGCAAGCTATGGCTGCGTGCGAGACGGCAATGCGTGAGATCTTGGGAACAACCGACAAAGGACGGACAGTTTTGGAAAAGCTATTGCCCGATTTCCCCGTGGGCTGTCGTCGTCTCACCCCCGGCCTTGGTTTTCTAGAGGCCTTTACAAAGGATAACACCCATTTGGAGTGGAAGAACATCCGGGAAATAACAAAAAGAGGAATTTTGACGAGTGACGGACGTCATCTGGACTTCGATGCTATTTGCTGCGCAACCGGGTTTGATAACTCTTTCCAACCTCAGTTCCCGGTCACCGGGCGGAATGGATTTGATCTCGCGAAGAAATGGAAAGAAGAGGGTCCGGAGGCATATTTTGGTGTCACTTTAGCGGGGATGCCTAATTACTTCAGTGAGCATCATACTTAACCCACTACTATACACCAGTGCGTTAATTATTTCAGGTTTCGTGGGTCCCAATTCTCCAGTATCGAATGGATCCCTAGTGCAGGCAATCCAGGGGACTGCGATATACATTGCAAAATGCCTAAAGAAGATGCAAACTCAGTCGATTCGTTCGATGGAGATATCTTTAAAGGCCCAAAATGACTTCAATGAGCACTGCCAAGCTTACTTGAAAACAACAGTCTGGGCTGGACCCTGCAGCAGCTGGTACAAACAAGGAACTGCAGATGGGAAAATCGTCGCAATATACTGCGGTAGCACCTATCATTTTTTGGAGGCATTAAAAGAGCCTCGCTGGGAAGACTACCATTTCACATACGTTCCAATCTCACAAAACAACCGGTTCTACTACCTCGGGAATGGTATGACAGTGGGCGAAGTAACGGGACGCGGAGATATGGGGATAACTCAGACTTTTAGCTTTGAGGATTATTGGAACCTCTTCAACAGCCCTGTGCTGTTCCAATAGTAGCAATAAATTTCTCTGTTTCCTCCTTGGTATATAAGTTGTCTATTTCTTGAATTGAAGATACCGGATCACGCCAGGGTTTTCCATCAGGACCTTTTCAGGACTGTGTCGATCTTCAATGTCGATGGTAGAAAGATGGCAGAGACTAGTTGAGTCCTCTACTAGCCAGCATTTATGCGACATTCACCATCCTAGCATGTCCGGAGAATCGTCTTTGATCATGCAACCATCAGGTGATTTTATCAATCTACTTCCAAAACCACATGGGAATTGTATCTCCCCCACTGTTAGTATGGACTTTCCAGCTGATGCACAATCATCGATATCCAAAATTGCGGCCATTGGCAGGCCCAATGTAGCGACACTTCAATTTCCTATTTAGCAGGTGATCACTCTGAACTAGAGTGCGCCAAAAACCGCAATTGGGGGCAAACCTTGCCCCCAAAAACCAAACCGCAATGGTTGCGGTTTGAAACCGCGAAAACCAAACCAAACCACAAACCATTGCGGTTCCCCATTGGGGCCCTAACAGAAACCATTTTTGCATAAAATTAAGGTCTTGGCATACATAAATTTGCTGATTCATACTTTTAGATTACTGTTATTAAACTATGTTTTGGTCTCAACACTACTTAATTATATTTTTTGACTATAAAAGCTATGAAATACAGGGTAATTCACTTATATATAAAATTAAAAGTAGAAGTAATATAATATTCCTTTATTTTTAGTGTATTAATCGTAAGTAGTTAGCCAGTATTAGGTATTGTTGGAATTTGGACCAATGCTACATTAGGTGAAGGTATCCTCTTATTCAACATAATAAGAAGAAGAAGAAAAGAAAGAGATGCGAACATGATTTACCCCTCCAAACCGCTTACCCCTCTTTACCCTACCAGATCGATGACATATCCCTCATCACGCCATCAGTTCTATCATATTTCCTTCCCTGATTCTATTCTGTTTATCTGATATAAAGCATGTGACTTTGACCACTTTCTGTCTATAAATACGCGCGAGACACTAAGTAGAAATAACAGACCTTTCACTCTCTTCAAATATTCTACTATCCCTTTCTATCTGCTTAGAAAGACCTTCTTCTTAGTCCTTTGTTTGAGGATTGTGGATTGTGCTCATTTAGAGTGCATAAGCCCTTTGCACTCTATCTTATTCTTATTCTATCTTTATCCGATCAAGCCTTCCTTGGTCGGATAGACCTACGGTCCGTGGTGGGGAAGCATCTACAAAAGCGTACCCCGCGCCACGAAAAGCTTCGTGGTATCCGCCTCCCTGCACGGCCGACAGATATTAATTGTGAAAGGCATATATCCGTATCAAGATTCGATAAGCTAATAGAAACGTTGCTGGGAGCGGTAGGAGAGGTTAAAACCGGAGTAGTTAGTGAGTTAAGGGCGGGTCGGACCGCTATCTTTTTTCGAGGTCGCGGAAGTGGGATATCCTCTATAAGGAGGCCATATTTATGAAGCGCTACATAATCGCGTTTATTCTTCCTAGTGTTAGGACAGTCGAATATGGTTATAGGTAGAGATATTATCTATATAGTTATATTAGTATATTATACTTATATTATAATTGATCGCTTACTTTGGAGCATTAGAAGGGATAGTATTTAGTAGCTTTTGACCTAGATTTAGATATTACTCTTGGTAAAAGCACGTCTACGCGGGGACGCGTTCTTATAAAATCTCCGCTAGCCCGATTAGACCATCTATTTACTCTATATCGTATATAATATGTAATTACTAATATTTTGGCTCCATATTAATAGACTACGTGTATCTTAATACGGTCTATAAGCTGATATAATTTGAAATAAAATAGACCACAGATACGATTACGGACTTATTAGGCAATCTTAGGAGTGGAATTATATATTTTAGATGGAGGGTTAGGGCGAGAATTTATATCTACTGATACTACTCTACAGCTTGTTCAACCTAAAGCCAAATTGCTTAATTTTATGTTAGATTAAATAGAGCTATCTCTGAGGCTATCAATTAACTAATTATTAAAGTAACTACTATATGTGATGTCGATTGCTCACTATCGTGTGGAATAATAGATATAGAACGATATAGTCGGACGTGACTTACCGCTTTCCAAATAAGGGTTTAGTACAAAAAGTTCGCGAACTTCGAATCGAATTCGAATCGGTCTTCAATTCGAATCCGTACGAACCGTTGTTATCGACATTAATTCGAATCGAATCGAATCTGGCAAAAGTTCGATTCGATTCGATTCGTGCGGAGCGGTACCCGCAATGCAGCTGAACAGTTCGAGGGGAAGCGAGGTTCGCTGTGCCATTTTCACAATTGCTGACGTCCGTGTATTGCAGTTATTCAAACGCTACTCAATATTTCGATGCCTATTTCTGCTTCGAGCAAGCGCGACTCGTAATCCAGAGAGCTGCTGGACGTCGACCAATGCTCTGCCAACGGCAACCACGGTTCTGACCGGTTCTCGGCTCAAACCGCCTTAGCTTAGTGATCACGGCTCTCGGAATAAGTATTCTCCCCAAAACAAAAGTACTCTGCACAGACTTCCAACTAGAGTCAAAATCCGCACTACTGAACCATGCTCAAGGTGTGCATGAAACTTTGCCTCTACCAGCTCTTAGCCTGCCCTTGAAGCATTCGTATAAGCCATGCAATCCCCAAACATTAATGAGTTTTGCCTTACGCCGAGAATAGTCAAGAGCGAAGCCAAGGTCTCCCTTGAACAGAGTTTCTGCTTCTTCGACACGCCCCTGCTCTCTCAAAGGCGGTTGACAGTAGATAGAACTATAATAAAAGAGGCCTTTGCATTTGCATAATAGTGTAGGGAAACCTAACTTGATAGGGAAAACCTCAACCAAGGCAATTAAATGATTCCAAAGTCCAATACCTTCGCGATAGATTCGGTAGCAATACGCGATCGTAGTCTTGATATACTAGCAGGGAAATAGATCAGTACACAACAATCATAGGGTTATTACCAGTCCCTACCTCGGTTTGATTTCGCGGGTACTGTGGCCATGAATATCGGACCGAAGGAGCATTTTACTACGTTTGATTAGTATAACGATATTCTCAAGTCGTCACTATCCCATGGGGGGTGGTGGGATGCATTGCATACCAGTTAGGGTTTTGGCTTTACTATGGGCGAAAAACGGCGCTAGTGAGTGCATACCAGTTGGACTTCTCGAGTGCATCCCAGTTGAAAATATCGGTCGGACAATCATCAAAACTTCAAAAGTTCTAAATTCGCGATCGCTCTATACCCGGTTTCAATTTAAAGATCGTACAATCAAAAGAAGAGGTAGTTACAGGGGTTAGAAATTTGGACCTTTTTTTTTGATGGGGTGCGCTTTGGCCAGTCGTGCGATACTTAGTCACCCTTAGGCTAGGGGTTTACATAAGCTTAGTATAACCCTCAAACCCTACTACTTTATTAAAGAAGGCCTTCTAGTAGCTATACTACCTTAATTAACGAATATAAATAAAAAGGGTAGATAACTTCTCTATCTCTATCCTTACGTAGGAGATACTATATATGCTCCTAGGTATGCATGACACCTTAGGCCGCAGCCGCGTTTACTATATTATATATTCCACCACTACAATATCTATATATTCTATTATAATTCGCTAAAGACGTATCTTTAATTATACTTAGTATACTAATAAGATTAATAGATAAAGAACGGGGGAAGTCACCTCATTGCAGTCGATAATAGGCTTAATGGACTCGTATAATGGGACTAAGGCAGTTATCTTAGTGTAGTCGGACAATGGGACTAAGGTAGTCATCTTATTGCAGTCAGATAATAGGACTGAGGCAGCCACCTTAATGGGAACGCACAATATGCTCTATAGTCTCGGACAATAAGGCTCAATAGACTTATACAATGGGACTGAGGCAGCCACCTCAATGCAAACGCCCAATGTGCTCAATGCAAACGCCTATTGTGCTTGACAGAATTGTACAATGGGACTGAGGCAGCCACCTCAATGCAAACGCCCAATGTGCTCAATGCAAACGCCTATTGTGCTTGACAGAATTGTACAATGGGACTGAGGCAGCCACATCAATGCAAACGCATTATAGCCTTAATAGACTAGGACAATAGACGTACTTCGGATGAATGTACAATCCTCAATATATAATCAAGTTTTCTTCCTTTTCGAACTTACCTTCCTTTATATCTCTCTTACCTGACCACTTTCTCTACCTTAAAAATCAACCTTTTTTTTTACTTCTTTTTCTAAAATCACTGATTGTCTCTCGCCCTGTGCCCCCCTTCTTCTCTCGTTTTTTGACGTACAATTACGTCAAGATGTCTCCCTTGTACGAACCCAACCCAAGCAGTGAAATCAAACTAATTCCGATTTAGTTCCTCCCTCGTCTCTCGCCGTGGTGGTGGTAGCCGTGGCGGACGTGGTGGCTCTGGATCGTTGTATGTATGCTTCCTTTCCTATAGCGATATATATGAAACTAACTATTATACAGCGGAGGTCGGGAGCGGAGTCCCTATGCCGGCGAAGGTATCCTGAACTTTGGTCCCGGGGAATGGAGCAGGTAAGCTCTTGACTTTTTTATGAACGATCTTTAGCTAATGTACAATCTCTACTAGCTGGCCCTTCCCCTACACTAACCAGGATGGGAACCCTCGTCTTCCTCGTACGCACGCGGAGGGTATCCAGTCCCTCATCCAATACGCTAAACGACCAGGCGGTAACCAGGGTCAGCTTCAACTCCCAGTTGGCGGCGATGAGCTTACCCGGATGTGCACAACTCCGGTGCAGCTCGCGATCCTTCGGGGTCGTGGACGCCCTATCTGGCATATACGAGGCAACATTAATGGGCAGCAAATTGTCTCCCAGCGACCCTCGTATATTAATGCCCTGCTGATCCAGTCCCGTGGCAATCAACTCGTTTAGCCTTACGAGGCGTGTGTGGACCGGTGCAAACCTTTTCCGCAGTGTATCCGACTCCCGGGTCAGTTTGGCGGCTGTTGTGGCAATTGTAAGTGGCGTGATCACGTATCTCGGTGCTCTGTACGAGATAGACAGCCCCGTAATGCTACACAGCCATGGCCACGGCACCCACCTCGTCCCTTACCCACAACGGATATTATTGACCTAACGGACGACCGGAGTGTCGTCCGGTCGGCCCAAGGGCTATCCCGTCGGGCCTATCAACGTCCTCGTGCGGATAGCGAGGTCCAAGAGATCACTATAGTGGATTTGACTGAAGAGGAGGATAACCGGCGTCGGACCGAGCCTTCTCAACTTGCTTGGTACGAAGAGGCCTAGGGAGGACGTACAATATGGGTGGTAGGGAGTGAAGATAGCATTTTAGGCTAGAAGGGGGAATACTTACAATACCGAATGAAATCCGCATTTTTATTACTTATAATCATTCGTAGATATAGATCTTATTAAATTATATATAGTCATATATACTAAGGGTCGTCGTAGAAAGCTTTGTCTTAGTGGAAACTTAGTATATTCGATCAGCCTATCATATTATTAATACTATCTAGCTTGGGTGGCGTAAGATTCAGGGGTAAAATATAAATCTTTAGCGAATTCCCACTTACTTTTTTCCTCGCCCCAACAGACTAAGCTCCGTTCTTTGTACGACCCCCGCAAATATATATTTGGACGATCTACGAAACCTTATCGTACAATGGCATCCCGCACCGCCGCGGACTTATTTTTACGGATCCCCAAGTATTCCGTGATTGTCTGTCGCCAGTGTCAGTATGCTGTCCGACCGACCCAGGTCGTGTTTCATCTGACCCATTCCCCGCATCGTACAACGATTCCCGATGCCCGGCAGGTCCAGGCGGCTATCGAGGAGTGGGACGAGGTCGAGGAGAATATTAATCAGTTATGCTTTCCCGAATGGGTGGACCAGCCTATCGAAGGCCTCGCGATGTACACTGATGGTATCCTATGCACCCGAGTCCAAGGCTGTGGATATGTATGCCGGAGTAAAGAAAGTATTCGGAAACATTGGCGTACGGAGCATCATTGGTCGCCGTACGGTCACCATCAAGGCCACCAGCAGTCTTGGCTAAATGATCTTGCCCGAGTGGCTATTCAAGACACTACCCAAGCGGTATGCTGCCAGCGGTTCTTTACCACGAAGTTTGGTTCCCACTATATCCACGTTCGCCGGCCCGGCCCGTCGTACGAGCCGATGGAGCCTCCGCCGCACCCTACTGTGGTCCAAGGGTTAGTGAACCAGCTCGAACAGTGTTTCACCGCGTCCCAGGCCAGCGACGAGACGGTCGTACAAGCCGGCGAGCTGGATGAGGCCAACCCGTGGTTACGGCGGACGCAGTGGGCCCAGTATTTGCAGGGGATCCCCGTACGACTATTGTCCGAGGCCATCGCCACCCCCGATCCGGATGCCGAGGGCCCCGAGGGCGTCGTACGTGCCATTTGGGACGCCATGGATCGGGTCGCCCGCGTGAGCCAGCGTATTACCAAGCAATGCGGCCATTTAATCCGAATCGAGGCCGCGCGGACCGAGAAGGACCAGAGCCCGCATCAACCATTGCAGGCGTATATGGATATGGATAACATTGTACGACACGTGGAGCCATGGCAGCGGGTGTTAATGTTTTTTGCTCGTACGCAGCAGCCGCACGAATGGCGCAGTCCCCGGTACCGGTTTATATCGCGGCAGCAACGCGCGTGGCAGGCATTATGGCGCTGTGCCCAGTCCACGGTCCAGCTGGGCCAGTCGTCGTCCGCGCAGGGCGCCGACCCGGCCACCCATGGTCGTACGAACGATGATCCCGAGCTATACCAGTTCACACCCATTGAACAAGCATGCATCGACTTTTGCATTGAGTTACTGAATCAGCGCGTAGGCGCCGAGGAGTACGAGTGTGCATTAGTATGTGCATTGGCCGTATTAGGGCGCAGCCGGGACGGTTGGCAGACGCCCGAGTCGTACCCCCCATTTTGTCCAAGATGATTAAGATTGCGCGGTTTATGGTATTGCATAAGGCATTACGGTTAGATCCCCACGCGGATGAGATCGTACAATTTTTGCAGCACCGACAAGGGGTCGGCGAATGGGCCAGCCAGAGTCCGATGGACGACCCCGAATATATATTCGCGGGCCAGGATGAAGGATATACCAGCCAGAGCCCCACGCCCACCCCCGAGCCCGATCACCCGCATTCACCGGTCGTACAAGATCCCCCCCGATCCCACGAGCCCGGATTGATATCATTTAGCCAGCAGCGGCGGCAGGGTTCGCGGCCGTTTCGCGAGTGGTTAAAGGTATTAGTGGATACGTTTATGGTCCGTGGCACGCATAGCCCGATGCAGTGGATGTTAGATTTACGGACGTACGGTTTACATGTGCATTATAATAGCACCACGCCCGGGCATATCGCGTGGATGGGCCCCGACCAGATATTGTACAAGGAGGTGCATTTTTCGATGGGCGATTTCCGAGGCTTCGTACATGGATTAGTGGGATCATTACAGGGGATATTGCGGGACGAATTGTTAATGACCACCGAGACCACGCCCATCCCATCCATCCCGTGGGCCAGCTTGATAGACGACCCCGCGCAGGCCAAACCCGGGTGGTGTTTTTTAAAGGATTCGCGTACGACGTGGCCCGTGGATGGCGCACAGTGGATGACCCAGCGGTTAACGCAGGATAGTGCCGTACAACGGCGGTTTATCAATACGCACGAGGGTCAGTTCCGGACATCCGCCATTCAACGATATATGCAACGGGTCGTACGATTCCGTGAGCAGTTATGTATCGCCATCCACGTCACCGCCGGACAACCCAGTCGAGCCCCCGAGCTGTTAAGCATTCGGCACCGGAACACCGAGGGCGGCCACCGCAATATATTCATCGAGGATGGATTAGTGGTATTTGCCAGTCGGTACCATAAGGGGTTTTATGCGCAGAATGACGCCAAAACGATCCACCGGTATTTACCGCGGGAGGTCGGGGAGTTGGTCGTACAATATTTGTGGTTAGTATTGCCATTTATGGAGCGATTGCAGGCATACCCGCTGGGGCAGTCGTCGTACGAGCATCCGTCCCATTTATCGCAAGCCGCATATTTATGGCCGCCCGACCCCCATACCGGCCGCGAGTGGTCGTCCGAGCGGTTCCGGGAGGTGTTAAAGCGCGAGACGGCCATTGGATTGCATGGGTATTCATTAAATATCCCCGCGTACCGCGATATTGCCATTGGGATCAGTCGACGGTTTTTACGGGTATCCAGTGTGTTCCCGAATAACGTCCAGGATAGTCGTACGACCGATGGTACGCCCGACGATGCGGACGACGAGTCCCAGATGGACCACGACCAATTTATGGGCCATATTGCGGATTTACAGGCCGCGCATTCATCGCACGTCGCCGGGATGATATATGGCCGCGAGGTCAGCGAGCAAGCCGGTACGACGGCGCACCGCCGTGAGATGTTCCGGTTATCCAGCACCGATTGGCACCGGTTTTTAGGGTTTCCATCGTCCGAGGATCCATTAGCCCGGGTATTAGGCAAACGCAAGCGATCCCCGTGGGAATCGACGGCGGACGAGGCCCGCAGCCAGCGTCGGTGGCAGTTACGCGAGACCGATATGACCGAAGCCGTCCGACGGATGACCGGGGACGACCAGATGCAGTTCCGAGGCGTACAAGGGCCGGCCATCCAGGCCATCCAGCACGGCGCCAGTCCGGTCGTTGCCGTGATGCCCACCGGAGGCGGCAAAAGTATGTTATTTATGTTACCCGCGTGGGTGGCCGGTGGATTGACCGTGGTCGTGGTGCCATTGATTGCATTACGGGCCGATTTGCAGGACCGTTGTACGACATTAGGGATATCATGCGTGGCATGGGAGAGCCGACGGCCCCCGGACGAGGCATCGATCGTATTGGTCACGCCCGAATCAGCGTTAAGTACGGAGTTCACCACGTTTTTGAACCGGCAACGTATGATGCAGCGGTTAGACCGGATCGTGATCGACGAGTGTCATATTTTGTTAAACCGGGACACCACGTTTCGTCCGATGATGCAGCAGTTAGGCCGGTTGACCGCCGCACAAACGCAGGTTGTGTTATTAACGGCCACATTACCCCCCAGCGCGGAAGGTCGATTATGGCAGCAGATCCGATGTGAACGGTCCCAGGTCGAGTTTTACCGGGGTCGTACGAGCCGGACCAATATCGCATATCGTGTATGGCGGCCCGTATTAGAGCGTGGGTTAGAAGGACCAAACCAGTGGATCCAGATGCCCCAGGTGATGGCATTCGTCCGACAGCGGATCCACCGCGTGCCCGCCGGACGGGTGATTGTGTACGGGAGCACCAAGACACATGTGGGTATCATGGCCGGTGCGTTAGGGTGCGATGCATTTTACAGCGGGCAGGACGACAAGAGCGGGATCATCGAGCGGTTCCGGCAAGGCCACACCGGGGTGATCGTGGCCACCAGCGCATTAGGGATGGGGATTGATATCCCCGATATCCGGTGTGTGATCCATATTGGGTGGCCCCGTACGATGTTAGATTATGCGCAGGAAAGTGGGCGTGCGGGCCGTGATGGGCAGGCGAGCGAGGCCATTATCATTCAGCCCGCGGGGATTGATACCGCACCGCCATGGATGGTTCCCGAGCCCACGCGGACCGGTTTGCCCGAGTCCGAGGAGCCACAGCGGGTGTACGATTATATCACGGCCGGGGTGGGCCAATGCCGACGGGTGATGTTGGACACATATTTAGATGGCACGGTGGATGGATATCAGCGGGTTCGATGCGGTGATGGGCCCCCCGGGTTGGACGAAGCCCCGTGTGATCGATGCGAGCCCGGTTGGCAGGCGATTAAGCCCGAGACGAGTGAAATGCCCATGATTGACCCCGTCGTCCGTCCCCGCCGGCCCATCAAGTCCATCCCGCGTCGTACAACCATCCCCGCACGGCCATCCCATATTCCACCATCCATCATTCCCAGTCCCCCCGTCAGGCCCACAGCGACACCACGCGAGCCCCCAGAAGCCACCAGCCCAGTCCGGGTGACCCGGAGGATTTCCATTACCGACGAGATTGATTTCCCGCCATGGCCAGTCCGGGATCACCCCGTACGACCCGCCGTGGGAGAACCCGTACGGGATCCAGGACCGATCATCAATCGTTTATATCCGCGGGTCGGTTCCAGGAGATCCGAGAGCATTCAGTCCCAGGTCGTCCGGATCACACCGCAGAGCCCAGGCCCCATCCCACCACCCGTACGACACCCCAGTCCGGACGTTCAAGATTCGGATGA